CTAACACCCTAACACCCTAACACCCTAACACCCTAACACCCTAACACCCTAACACCCTAACACCCTAACACCCTAACACCCTAACACCCTAACACCCTAACACCCTAACACCCTAACACCCTAACACCCTAACACCCTAACACCCTAACACCCTAACACCCTAACACCCTAACACCCTAACACCCTAACACCCTAACACCCTAACACCCTAACACCCTAACACCCTAACACCCTAACACCCTAACACCCTAACACCCTAACACCCTAACACCCTAACACCCTAACACCCTAACACCCTAACACCCTAACACCCTAACACCCTAACACCCTAACACCCTAACACCCTAACACCCTAACACCCTAACACCCTAACACCCTAACACCCTAACACCCTAACACCCTAACACCCTAACACCCTAACACCCTAACACCCTAACACCCTAACACCCTAACACCCTAACACACCCTAACACCCTAACACCCTAACACCCTAACACCCTAACACCCTAACACCCTAACACCCTAACACCCTAACACCCTAACACCCTAACACCCTAACACCCTAACACCCTAACACCCTAACACCCTAACACCCTAACACCCTAACACCCTAACACCCTAACACCCTAACACCCTAACACCCTAACACCCTAACACCCTAACACCCTAACACCCTAACACCCTAACACCCTAACACCCTAACACCCTAACACCCTAACACCCTAACATTTTTCTCCAACTATTTTCGTCTCTAGGATTGCTTTCATATATCCTGCCATCAAATTCAATTAAATACAATCTCTCTTCATATATCAAAATCTTTCTCTTATTACTTTCTTCACTATCTGAATATCTATAATTAATTCTCGTAAAATCGTTATTCTCAATGAAATACCGCAAAATATAGCTGCTACCCAGCAATTAAAATGTTGCCATTAAGTATAATGCAGTGGCATTTAATATCAGCTTTTGGCAGGGCAGCTAATTTAATTCAGCAATTTTGATTAAAGTCAAATCTCTCTGATAAAGCCAAATGATTACCATTTGATCCTCCGAAACAAAAGACACTTCTGTCAAAATAAAGAGCTGAAGAATAATAGCAAGGTGTTCCTGAAGGCATTAATTGAACTCTTTTAAACTCATCTAATACCAATGTAATGCCAGAAAGTGGAAACTGCTTGCCATAAAAGAACAAGCTGTTATATGGCAGTCTAGCTATGCATGTGCCAGCATCTAATGGCTCTGGAGTCTCCAAAATTTCCACATTTTGTGCTTCTCTTTCAGTGTCATAAATAAACAAATTAGTTTTTTTATTAATGTTTTCAGTGAGATAAAGAGAGGTAGATTGATTATAAGCGTCAATATAGTCTTTGTAAGCTTGATTAAGCAATGGATTAAAATTGCGTTGGTCTCTTCAGTTATTTTCATATAGTGATCACGTGCTTCTGAAATCTTGCTCCTTTGCTGATCATTTGGTCCATTTAAAATCGTGGCTCTTTTATCTCATAATTCTTGGCAAATTAATAGTCTAAATTCAACGCTTTGCTTGAATAAGGTTTGAGCTCGCTTTCACTCGTCAAGACTTGCAAAGACGCTGCTTATTTCTTCTCTAATATTTTGAAGTTGGGAATTAATCGATAATTGCTGGGTTTCAATTTTATCTTCTATTCCTTGCAATAAATAATCAAACTCCCCTTTATTCTCATGTATTATTTTATTAGAAAAAGGGTTTTGAGAGTTTCTCATCTGAAAATTATTTAGAGTGATAGCTATTTCATGCTCCCCAAGCTTTTTTTCTATACTTAAAAAATTGTTTTCCAGCTTATTTTTCATAAAAATCATTATTGAAGTTGCTTCTTCTGATGGATATCTCACTTAGAAAAGTAGTTCAAAAGATTGAAGCAATAAGATGCAATAAACATAATTTTAAGCCAGATTCTCATTGTCTGGATAAATGAAATCTAAAAGGCAATACTCTGAATAATTTAGCATTTGATCTAGATCATTTAGGGCTTTTAAACTTTTTTTTTAAATATATTATACTTTCTTTATAATGACGCTTTATCTTTCCTATCTAAAAAGAAAGAGTCGTACTTTAAAACTCAAAGTCTTTAAAATAATAATATCAAATAATTAAATAATTTATGAATTTTAAAGCAATGTAATGAAAACTCAGAATTCAAGCAAGCATTTTGACATGGGAAAAAGACTCAAATGAACTCTTTGATTATGACTCAAAAAGCGTCTCTAAAAGCCTGATCAAAACTGAAACACCTTCCTTTCTTCTTAGAAATGGAGATTAAGATTAGCCGTTCGCACTTGCGGTGCCGGGGATTTGCGCCCCTGCACGCTCTTCGCCCCATAAGGAGCCTCGGCATACGACATAAACAAAGGATTTCCGACCCCTTTCCACCTAAATCCCCAACACTGGGCAGTTGCCTGCAGTTGTGAGGAAATAGAGTTGAGAGGTCAGGTGGCACGTCGTTTCCATTTTCATGTATATGTATATTAGAAATGGAGATGATCTTGAGTTTTCTTCAACCTTTCGCTCTCTTGCAGGGACAAGTGGAATGAAATATATTTTAAAAGTCCATCTTATTGACAGTAACTCATAAGCAGAAAACTTTGCAATAACCCCAGTGAGCTCTGTAAATGGAAAAAAACTCCGAAGAGATCATTTCGAGAAAACGTGGCTTGTTGTAAGGGCATTGAAAAATTCCCATTCTGCTAAAGGCTATAGACTTGCCGAAGGCGATGTGATAAAACTAGGAAAACTGAAATTTAGGGTAAAAGAAATAAGCTCAACGGCAGTCCCTGGACTTGAAACTTTTAGTATGTCTGATATGCTTTCTTACTTACTTAGTTACATAGTTTTAAGGTGTCTAGTGCCCACACCCCTTAATGAAAAAGGGTCAAAGCGACAACTAGTGACGTCACCAAGCCATCTTGGAATATGTGGTCAGCCCACACCCAAGCCTTCTATAAGGCTAGTCGTCAGATAAATCGCCGCACATCTCACCCGGCGCGTTGCCGTCGCTCGTCCAGACTCAGCTCCTGCGCGTGTTCCGCCTAAGGGTCATCCTCCCGTGGGGACGTGCTGAGAGGTAAAACTCCGAAATCTTGAGTGCACTGAGGAGTCGTGCCTTTGGTTATCCCCAAAGTTAAACGACTATTGCTGTGCAGAAGTTCTCGAGAGAAAACCCAACCCCATAAATAAAATTCCATGAGGGAGAGAAAATTGGCAGAGCCAATTTCTCTCGAACCGAATGCCATTTTATTTATGTCTGATATGCTTTCACAAAATCAAAGCAGCGAGCACAGTGAAGAGCCTCCTCCATCCAAAATTTATAAGCTGCCTTGCAGAATCTGTTTAAGTGAGTCAAATGATGACGATAACCCTCTAATAGCTCCGTGCAAGTGCGATGGGACTATGAAATATATTCATATAAAATGTCTACAACAGTGCTTGAGATCAAAAATCACTAGCAGATATAGCGACTGCTCAGTGTCATTTGTATGAAAAAAACTTTGTTGTGATTTATGCAAAAAAGAGTACCCATATAAATTTATTTTGGGGCAAAAAGTTATAGAGCTTTTGGATATCCCTAAGCCGCCAGGGCAATACATTATATTGGAAGGCCTTTGTAAAGATAAAACGTCTAATAAGAGTTTGCATGTTGTAAGTTTGTGCAGCAAAAGTTCAATAAAAATAGGAAGAAGCCAAGAGTGCGACTTAAGGGCGCAAGACATATCGGTATCTAGGACCCATGCGATGCTAAATTATGCAGCTGGGCACTTTTATTTGGAAGATTCAGGAGGAAAGTTTGGGACTTTGATACAAATAAAGCGCCCTATCTCATTAGCTCATAAAATTACTATACAAGCTGGACGATCTATTATTACTTTCTCTATGAAAAAACAATTTAGTATTATCCCTTCCTGTTTCAGACCTATAAGCACTATGATTGATTCTTATCTAACGCCTCAACCCGAAGGCAATCTCCCTCTACTCCCTTACAATACAGGAATCCCTTTAAGTGTTAACAACCCATATGATCTTCTTGAAAGTGCTGGCTTATGCCCTCACAAGCCCGACGAATACTCCAGAACTAACAATGTTTTATTTGAGCACAAGCAGCTCGGACTAAATAGCTCCTATGAGGATGAAGAAGGCACTGAAAGTGGTGACTCAGTCGAAGAGGTGAAACTTGCAATTTCTTCAGATGAAGAAGACGAAAACGAAGAAAAAAGATTCGATACCTCTGCGATTTAAATAAATATGTATTAAAAAATCACAATTTATCTTTTTGAAGTAAAAAAGCGCTTTGGCTTGTAATAGCAAGGTCCTGGGGTTTCTGATACTTTGAACTCAAAGCGCTTCCCACCTTTAGGGATAACTGAGCCTGGGGTTGATTCTTCTATGAGCACTGTTTTAGGGTTGTAAGACCCAGGCCCAGGATTCACGTCTTTGACTTCTCCTAACTCCCCCCTTTCGTGAGCGAACAAAAAACTTGGTTAGCTAACAGAGAGTTAATTTTTTCAGACATTTATATATAATACCATAATAAATTTTGCTTTAAAAATTTAAAAAATCCCAATCGTAAAAATTAATTTAATTTTCAAGATTTATCTTTTAAATGTAAGATAAACAGAATTAGCTATAGATTTCATTATAACAATTATCACTTATAAATGAAAATATTTTTTTCATAAAAAAAAATTTATATTAAAAAACTTTTGTTCTCTATCGGAGGTAGATTTTACCCATAAAATTAAGGATTTTTCCAATGGTTTTACATGCTCACGGAGGGAATAAGTCTCTTTTTGCTTTCGGAAATGAAAGTGCAATTTTCGGATGTGAAAATTCGCTCTATGTTAAAATCACCAAATAATCGAGCTCTTCTTTTTGATTTTCTTCAAAAAGTTTGTGGTTATTCACATAAGTCTCAGTCAGTTCACTGATGGAGGCGTTTCTTCTGTGTTTTAGGTTCAGTAAGCTTAAGCTGGAGTTCGAAGGGGTCCCTGGTCTTGAATTGATAGGAGATTGCTGGGCTGAATAGATGGGAGTCCGCACTGGGGTTTCATCAGCTTCTGTAGAGGCCGTTGTGGTTGATTTTCATTCTTTTGTGACGAGGAGATCGAGCAAATTCATTAGGGCTTCTTTTTTATTTCCTTTTAGAGTTGAAACCTTGGTATGAACTTTGGACAAAAGGGTTTGAAGTTCATTTAGGAGGCCATCTCTGTCTAGAGCGTCAATCATTTCTTTTAGGCTGAGCTGACTTGTTGATAGTCGTCCAGTTCTTTTCATTTTAAAATAAAAAATATTTAAATTGCAATTAATATCGTTTAGATTTAAGCAATGAGGATAAAATTTTATGCTTAGACAGAAAATCTAGCCTAGAATAGAGAGTTGCGGCCTCAGCAGAGAGGTGAAGATAAAACCTTCCTAGAACGGGCAGAATTTAGAGTCCAGCAGAGTTCATGTCCCTATAATTAATTGTGAGAGGAGGAGAGAAATAACATACACACAACAACATACCCATCGAGATTGATGAATCTGGGAGTATTCCCTTCATGGGTAGATCAAAGGCTGGGAAAACCCTTAGGGATTATTTCTGGAATAGATACTCGCTGATCGAGGCAAGGACTGGCATCATAGCTGCTTATAATTTCTTAAAATTCTTAAGCAGCAAAGTATAAAATATTTTTATATTTATAGAGGAAGAGATTATGCTAAATCTGACTCCCCCTCTGTGATCGAGCCGAAGATTTTGTTCGCTTATAAGAGTTATTTTTTTTAAAAAATGTATATCAATTTTTTTTTATTTCGAAATTCAATAAAGATCCTAATTCTCACAAATTAATTTAAAATATCAATTATATATTTTAAAATATATGCTGTTTAAAAATGGTAGATTAGCTAGATTATTTTTTCATAAAATTTTAGTTTTTTTAAGCAAAATACAAAATAAAATTTTTGAAAAGATCTTAAGCAAAATAGATATAGTGAATTCTATTAGATGGTGCGCAATGCACCATCACTTGGCCATGTCGGGAGAGGGTTCTCCACGAGGAATGGTTCCACGTGTGGAACCCTCTTTTTCCACGAGCCAAAAAGAGAGGGTTCCACACGTGGAACCATTCCTCGTGGAGAACCCTCTCCCGACATGGCCAAGTGATGGCGCATTGCGCACCATCTATAGGAAGGCGCTATAGCTATTTGTCATTAATATTGATTGCATGCTTACAGCAGAAATCTCTATGGAATTAAATAAACCCTTAAATCATCCAAAATCATTAAAAAATTTTGAAAGATGCTACTTTTCAGCATTGAAAATGAGATTGACTCTTGCTTTTAATTTAAATAAATGAATTTATGACTAAAACCAGTTATTATCGCTATGATTTTCAAATATTAATTGCTGTCGACAAATTTGTCAACATAATCCTGATAAAATGCGCGAAGCTTGAATCTTTTCCTATTGAAAGCCCTAATATCATCAGCTTCCGATAGCTGCTTCAAATAATCTATCAAATTCAACAACTCTTTATCTTCTTTCCGGTTTGTTCATGAAATTATCGGAATTCCATTATCAAGCTGGAAAGCAAAACTATAAACTGAATTATCAACAATTGCAATATCTTGGATTTTTCTGTCAAGGAAAATCCTTAAATCTTTAACCATTATTCCATCAACACAAATACAGCTTTCTCTATACAGCCTATGATGAATAAATTCATGTCTTGGATCCAGGATATCCAGCACTGCGTTTGCATAATATCTTTCAGCTGCTGTAAAAACGATAACCTCAAAGAGTTTGCTTGCTTCCCTCAAACACTCTACTGCATAAGGCCTTATATTAATCCCACTATTGGCTTTCTCTCCAGTTGGCAAGGTTATAGTGATTTGGGCATCTGTTTCAATTCATTTTGATTCCTCACAGTGAATAAGTGTTTCGTCCATATCGAAAATAAGTGTTTTTTTATTTTCACATCCGGGCTTTCTTGGAAGACTTATTTGCCTTGCTTTTACAAGTTTAATGTCTGGGGCCGGGAGTTCTCTCGTCGTTTTAAGCGCTAAATATGTTTCATGCAAGTGGTCTTTCATTAAGAGCTCTTGCAGTTTTCCTTCAACCATGTTGTCCTCTATGGTACAAGTCGCTGATGTTTTAGATCTTGACGTTTTTTTACGGGTAAAATTATTCGATTTTGGAATTTTCTCGCATAGTGTTATTTGGGTGAAATTTTCTATTGATTTTTCGGATTTTATAGGAGGAGCAGTTCTTGCACTATGAGGCTTGGGAAATAAAGCTCGAACAATATTTGAAGAAGAACTAGATTGAATAGTATGCCCTAAAGTTTCATTTTTTCGCTTCTTTTCTAAACTATCTTTTAGAAGAGGGTTGGGGGTAATTTGAATCATTTTCTTAGGGGAATTGAGAGTACAATATTTTTGAGTAGTTGGTGCTTTAAATGACCTGTTAGCTGCTGAATCTGCTTTAGATTGTGACGATTTAACTAGCATTGAGACCTTTTGCTTTGATATTAAATCAGAAGTACAGAAGCTCTTATTTGGCTTATGATGCGAATTACTGCATCCTTCTAAAATGAGTGATTCGAATTTTTTAAACGTCTTTAGACTGTCTGTTTTATCTTGAGAAGGTGAACAAAACATGCTATGATGCCTTACAGCTAGTCTTGATGACATATTGTCCAATGCTATTATTAAAAGAAAAATAAAAGTTTTAAGTTTATTAACTTTTTCATAGCTGTCTTAGAGCAACAAAAGTTTAAGCTTCAAGTTTTTTCTACTTTAAAAAGATTATATATTCTGAAATTCAGTAAAGATAATAAATATTAGAATGTCTCCTCTGCCAAATAGGCAGGCCAACTTATATTTTTATAATTTATTTATACATATGAAACAGTAATAATGATCTGAGACTCAGTCCATATAATGGACGAAGTAACTATCATAGATGAGTGATGCTTAACTGAATCAAGACTGTATTCAATTTCAGAGGAATACGGGACTCCGCTATATATATATAACCAAAAAGTTATTGAAAATTCAATAAAATCAATTCTTGAGTTTCCAAATGCTTTTGGCTTGAAGGTAAGATATGCCGTCAAAGCGAATTCAAATTTATCAATTTTAAGAATTTTTAATAACTTAGGACTGCATTTTGATGCAAGCTCTGAGTATGAAGTTGAAAAACTACTCTACTGCGGCGTTGAGCCTGAAAAGATTTCACTTGTTTGTCAAGAACTGCCAACTGATTTAATGTCAACAATTCATAGTGGAGTTCAATTTATTGCGAGCAGCCTTCACCAATTGGAGATGTATGCAGAGCTTTTTGCTTCAACAAGTGTGGGGATTAGGATTAATATAGGAATGGGATCAGGAAGTTTCTCAAAGACAACTGTTGGAGGGCCATCTGCAAGTTTTGGAATATGATACGAATTGCTGGGAGAAGTAAAGGCTATACTAATTGCCCGAGAATGACGCTATTTGCGCCATTCTCTGGCAATACGGAAAATCGGCTCCACACGGGAACGATTTTCCACGTGTGGAGCCATTTTTTCACATGTGGAAGTCAGGATTCTCACGTGTGAAAAAAAGGCTCCACATGTGGAAAATCTTTCCCGTGTGGAGCCAATCCTCGGGAATTTCTATATTTGTGAAGAACACTCATTAACGATTGATAAAATTCATTGCCACATAGGCTCTGGAAATTATCCCAATAAATGAGTCTTGGCAGCCGAGACCCTTTTAGGTCTGGTTGAAAATCTCCCAGATGTTAAAACTATTGATATGGGAGGGGGATTCAAAATCTCAAGATACAGAGAAAAGGAAACAGAGTGCGATATTTTGGATATTGGAAATCGTGTCAAAGAAAAAATAATTGATTTTTACAATAAAACTGGAAGGCAAATACAAATTGAAATAGAGCCAGGAACATACCTTATGGCCAGAGCAGGAATCATTTTATGTAAAGTAATTGATATAGCTAGAACCTCTGAGTATGAATTTGTGAAGCTTAATACAGGAATGACTGAAATTATAAGGCCATGCCTTTATGGAGCTTGACATAATATCATAACTTTACCAAAGAGAGAAAATAAAAAAAAATATGTATTTGTAGGCCACTGTTGTGAATCATCTGATTTGATATCGCCTTCTTATGGGAACGGTGATAAAATTGATGAGAGAATTAGCGGGGAAATTAGAATTGGCGATTTATGCATTATAAAAGATGCAGGGGCTTATTGTATGCTGTAATAAATAGATAATATCTAACTTAGAAGCCATAATTCTAGAACGAGGGCTGGTCTATGAGTGAGATATTCTGTTAGTATTAATTTCCAGCAGAATAGTTCTATGTGCACTAAAAATTATAACTTCTTTCCTGAAAGTGCAGAGTTGTTACTAAATAACGAAGAGAATATATTGATAAGAAGAAAGCAGACATTCGCACAGATGATCCAAAATGAAGATTTTTACTAAAATAAAATAGCTATTGATAGTGTTTAAACTTCTATGTAGAAGATGCTAACATTATATCTTCTATAATACCCCAAATAAAATATTTGATATCTAAAATATAAAAATCTTTATTGATTCTTAATTAAATGGATAGGACTACTTCTTATTAATCAATTGCTTTATTTGTTGAATAATAAGAGGCACTTAAATCATTTTCTCTGTGATTAAATTAGGAAGGTTAATTAAAATTATCCTTAGTTGTGCTAATGCAATTTCCATCAGTGCTTAGCTTTGAGCTGTCTAAAAACAGCTTATTAAGTTTATGGTTATTTTATTAATCCTATCATTCAAAATTTCAAGTTCTAACACACAAAAATGCCAGCTTGATCACATAAATTTAAAGTAATTTTGCAATAAATAAATATATGAGAAGAAAATATAATCCGAAAATTAGTTGTTCACTTAGTAGGATTGGAAGTTTTGATGTATTGGAAGAATTAGAGAAAACAAAGTCAGAGATTGCTTCGATATTTAGTCCTACAAATTCTCAGTGCTCATCTCCACTTTTGAGTCCGAAACGAAAACCAACAAGAGTCAAAGAAACAATTTTCGAAAAATTACCTCCTATAAGTGTTCATAGAAATCCAATGAGCATGATAAGTGGCAGAGAGATAAACTATGAGTTAAAAAAGAAATATAAACCCAAAAATAAGAGCAGGCTAAAGCAATGGGCTGTTACAAGAAATATTATTGATAGAAATATCAATCTTGACAGAGCTGAGTCATATTTGGAAAACCATGGGATTAGATTTTCTCACTACTATTCTCAATCTGGTTTGTAGAAGTAGCTGATGAATAATTAATAATGATAATCTCAAAATTAATTGCTGATGAATAATTAATAATGATAATCTCAAAATTATCTGCTAACTCCCCCCTCCGTGAGTGAATAAAACCATTAGAAAAATCGCTATTTTTTGCCCAAAAACCCACCCTCTGTGAGTGAACAAAAATGTTTTTAATAGAAAAATTTTTTATGGAAAAAAATTTTGATATATAAATGATAATTAGTATATGAAATATAGAGCTAATTCTGTTTAATTTTAAACGAATTGCTTTTTAAAACATAAATTTTACAAATTGAATTAATATTTGCTTTCCAATTTTTGCGAATTAGGATTTTTTTAAATTTCGAAAAAAAATATTTTTTTATAAATTTATATATAAATTTTTTTAAAAAAAAAAAATTAACCCCCCCTCCGTGAGTGAAGTAAGAAAAGGTAGTGATAATGGCTTTGGGCTTATTCTGAATGCGCCACAGGAAGAGAAGATCTTCTAACTCCCTGTTTGCTAACAAGAAGTGTTTCTTCACGCTAATAAGGGAACGCTTTTTATAACATTTCATATTAAATATTATATATAAATTGTTAACAAATCCAAATTTGTAAATATATGAAATAAAAAATTCATATTCATCATCCCCAATATTTCCAAAATTGATCGGAGAGTTGTTTTACTTGCTCGTGAGTTATATGATGCAAAGCAGAAGTCAATGGTCTTCACCAGAGACACGCGAGCACAGAAAGCATCGGAAAGGAAGGACCCGACATGAGTTGCAAGTTCAAGCAAGCTTCTTTGATGTGCTCACTGTGCATCCATTAATTAAAATTTTGGCAAATTTTGTTTGGTGTGCCAATCTTAAATTAAAATATCAATTGTGGGTGATCTAGCACACTCATTAATGTAAATCAATCTTACCTAATGTTATCAAAAAATGCATTTGAATGGCGACAAGTGTCAACCTGAACTCTTGGTGCAACGGTCACCTTATGGCTCGGCGTGCTGGACAGACTCTGAGCCGAGAATCAAGTGAGCCTCAGAGGGCGAATGAGCATTCCTCTACCTAGAAGCTGGAGATTTAGGCCCAAGCTACATGTGAGCAGTCTTTTTCTATAGCTATTCTAGGAAGGCACTTCGGCACCGATAGAATCCAAGGAGCCGGTCTATGGAATCAAGCTACTCCAGTCGCCCGTAATATGTCTGCATAAATCCATAAGTACCCAAGACTGAAGCCGTAAGGCAAGGAGGAGACAGAAGATGCCATCCACTTTAGGGGAAAGATCCTCCAAGCTGGAGTCGAAAAGTGGTTGATCCCTTGCGGGAGGTCTTTGGTGGCTGCGCCACCAATATGGCTAACGCTTGACCTTAATAACCTAGCCTAACCTAACCTAATTTTACCATTCAAGTATTGAATCGATTTTGATAATATTCTACTTATGGTATTTGGCATATTATAAGACTCCAATAAAAAAGTTTTATATAATATTGAGAGGCTAAATTTATAACTACCAGTGCTATTAATTCAGATGAGAAAATTTATATAGAAATGATATATAGCTAGTCTTATTGTGGCAATTAGCTAAGATTATTATTTTTCCAAAAATTTTAGCTTTCAGCTATTTTAAACTTTATTTAGCAATATTTACATCAATAAATCAGTTAATTATTCTTTAACTTAAAAGTTGGTTTTATTAGAATTTGTTATTTCATTAATTAATTTGCAATGAAAATATTTTTTAGAGCAAGTCTTTAATTGCTATCAATTACTCGGTATTTGGTTTAAATTAATCTAAATTGGGATATTAAAGCTGATAAAAATGAATAAGGAACTCTGGGCTTCGATTTTTTTTTACTTAAGTTGGTACATCGCTGTAGCCTCCTGTTATGCTAATACAATCTACACTGTTTTTACACTGGATTCAAGAACAAATCTAATGCTAGCTGGCCTCGTTATTTTATTAATTGACTCAGCTTTTGTAATTATCTATTTTATTTTTTGCTTTATTATAGAGCCAGGAGAAGTGAAATACAATATTAACATCAGGGATTTATCAGAAGAAAGTAAATATACTCCATCAGACTGTATCGATGAAAACGATGTCATACCAGCAAAGGTGCATTTATGTACTTCTTGCAACTTATGCAGACCTCCTCATGCTATTCATTGCTACAGCTGCAAAAGATGTGTTTTTTATAGGTATAACCATAACTTTTTCTTCAGAAAATGCATTGGCTACTATAATTTCAAGTTTCATGCAAATCTGTATTTATATATTGCAATCGGTTCAATAATTGTTTTTGCATTGAACTATGAAGTCATGAAAAACACAAAGGCACCTTCCTACGGATTAGACGTTGTGTTCACGTGCATATATTCTGGCTTAGCAGCTTTTTTCAATTTGGCAGCGTTCTTAGATATGATAAGGGCTGCTACAGATATATCATATTTATTAGAGAAAAAGCAAGACATATATGGAAGCGCCTCATTGTATGAGAATTTTCAGATATTTTTTGGTGAAAAAAGTTGGACTTGGCTTTTACCAATCAAGGTATCTGAAATAGAGAGTTTGTTTATAGATTTAAGACTCAATACTCACTATGGAGGAGTAATTCAATTGCATGATAAATTTATAATCTAGCTTAATTATTTAGGACAATCTTATTAATTATTTCAAAGCGAGCTTTTCAATTTGTAGGAATTGGCATGTTTTCGAAGAATAAATATTAATGCTATCATATAAATAAAATTCAAAATTTTAAATGCAAAAAGACAAATGGATTGAAAGCTTAGAAAACACAGGAATTTTCGAAAGTCCTTTGGGAACGCCTCAGTTCAGTGCTGCTTATAAAAAGTTCAGACACATGAGAGAAAAGGCTTCCCTTGACACATTAGAAAGCTACTTCAATTGCATAGATACCAACGAAAAACATATTGAGTCAATAATTTCTATTGAAGAAGCCTCAAAAATTGATCATAAAATGAAAAATCTTATGGAAGCAACTGATTTAACCGACGCGGAAATCTGCAATGAAATATCGCGTATGCGTTCTGAGTCTGAAAATTCAATTCTTAAACTTAAGAAAGATTATTTGAAAAAAGAACGAGAAATATTTCACTCCTCCCTTTAAATTGGAATAAATTTTCTGTTCCGATTTAAAGGGGGTCTAATTTTCCAAAACGGAGAAATATAATGTGAATGGAATATTTTTGAGTTTAATTATTTTATAGAAAATTTATTTAAAATATTTAATTGATTCAACGATCAATAGATAAAAGCTATTTTAGCATTTAACAAATATAATTCCTTTTAAAAAAATAGAGCTCCAATTTAAAAGGGGCGTTTTGTAAATTTCACCTATATTTTGTTTCAACTTGAAAGGTGGGGGGAGCTAGCAAATTTCTAACGAAGCAGATCTGCAAGTTCTGATTGCAACTCGCCCTGAAATGTTGGAAATAACAACTAAAGTCTCAACTTCTCCTCTAGTGACTCCTGAATCTTTATGCCTAGAAAGTTTGTCTATTAGTGATCATTTGAAAAATTGCAGACTACAAGCTTTTACCCAAAGTTTGAATAAACAGACAAATTTGAGCAGCTCAGTTAATCCTCAAGAACTCAGAAGCATTTTAAGTGAAATCATGGCAGAAGACCCATCCATCATTACAGAAAATAAAATTCAAAAATATTCAGAAATCTTGCAATCAGCATTTGAAGAGGATATTAAAGAAAAGGAAAATATATTGAGAAGCCAGCTTGAAAAAGAATTTGAGGCTGATCAATCAGCGTTGGCTTCCAAATTCGAGTCTCAAATTTCCCAAGGAATCGAAGAAACCAAAACAGCACTTAATAAATTTTGGCAAAAAAAAGTCCAGGAATTAGATAGAAAACTAAAATCAATGGAAGTCAAAGCAATTCAATATCATAGTCAAGAAGAGCAAGGCTTAAAAGAATTTTATGATAACCTTCTGGACCAGAAGCTTAATGAGCAGTCTGAGGCTTTGCAAAAAGCAATAATTGCGAAATTTAAAGCTGAATATGAAATAAAAGCACAGCAGAAGATTGCAGCCATTCAAAAGAAGAAGCAAACAGATAAAGATACGCAGCTATCAACTGATGAGCTGGATCGCATGAATGAAGAAATCATTTCAGAAAATGAAATTAGATTATACAGCGAAAAAGAAGCATGGAAAAAAGATATAATGCCATTTCTTATTGAAGAATGCAGGATAATTGCTAATCGGGAGCAAGATCAAATAATTTCCAAAAAAAGTTCAGAACTAAGAACCCAAGCAAAAGTAGAAATCCAAGAGCTCATTGACCAAGTGAAAAAAGATTCCGAGGCTGCTATTGTAGCAAAAATCAAAGAAATCGACGAAGCTGATGGAGAACGAGAAAAAACTATGTCAGAAAAAATAAGGGCTGAATGCTTTGAAGAACTAAAAAAAGAGCATGACTTTAGGTTGAGAGTTGGGCTTACAGAAAAACTTAGGGAGCAATTGCAAAAAGAAGTCCGAACTGAGTTAGTGAGAAGAATTGAAATGGAGGTTAGGCTTAGGAAAGAAGACGAAATAAGGAAAGAAGTTCAAGAATCAATCGTTGCCAGCCATTTGATAGGATTTTTTTCCATTCACATTTCTTAGATTTTAATCGTAACTTTTACCTCGTAGACAATTTCTCGGAAAAGAGCTATTCTAATTTCGACAAAAACACCTGAGAAAATACCACATTAGGAAAATGCTCCGATATATTGTATGGAGCCAAATCAATAGAGGAAGAGCACGAAAATGCTAGAAAAAGGCAGGAAAATGAAACCCGGTTTAAAATTCAAGAACTAGAGCAGACTTTTGAAGAGAATTATAATCATCTGGTGATGGAAGAGGTCAAATCTAAGCTTGAAAAACGAGAAAAAGAGCTTAATATTGACTATATGCGAAAATTAGAAAAATTGAGGGAAAACCATGAAAAGCAATACCAAGACTACCAATCTCAGCAAATTCAAGTAAGAATTATTTAGAAAACAAAGCAATTGCTAAACCAAGAAAAAGCTGAAGTTGCTCGTTTGCGATCAAATTTAAATGTCTTATTGAAAAAAATGACTGACTCAAGAAAAAATGAGCTTTCTCTTCTAAAGTACCAAGAAGAAATATTAGAGAGGAAAATGAGAGAGGTGCAATATGATCAACAATTTAATGAGGAGCAGCCTAGTAGAATCTGCTTTATTCAAGACTCCGAAAAAGCAAAGCGATCATCAAAATCCCCAACCCCTAACAAAGGCAGATCAAAGTCTCCTTTTAAAGAAAAAAATTCTATTACATCTCCAAAATGGCCCAGCCCTAATAATGATTATATTAGAACTTTGCCAAAGCCTTTGCCTCCACCTGCATTTTCATCAGAAAATAGCATAAAAATTGAAAGAACTCAAGAAAGATCCCCTAAGAGGAAACTCTTGGATACATACAACACTAAAGAGATTATTTCAGATTTAATATTAAAAAACCTGGAAAATGCAAAGCAACATGCTTGAGCATTGTTGAGGGAAACAGAAATCCCCCCATTAATAAGAGTGAATGAAAGTGATATAGATGTCAGAGAATTTTTAAGTTCCAGAAAAACTCTTCAGACCAATACATTGCCAAGCAATTATGAAACTCAGCAAATAGCTTCAGATACAAAACCAAAACATAAGCATTATTATGAACTTTTGAATCAACACCATGGAATAATAGAGCCACGTATTAAATAAAATTAATTTATAACAATCTTTATATTTACTGAAAAGCCAATTGGACATTTATATATGAGAAATTTATAACTAATCAGCCATTACTCATACAAATTTTGAGTTTCCAAATAAACAAAGTTATTACTCAAGCATATAGCTTTTATCTGGCTTATCATAGGTTCGATCGTCTTTTGAGAAATCGCAAGAACATAAATCCTTTTTTTATTCATTCGTTTTTCGATTTTTATACCTGAATTTATTAAATTTTTTTTCAACTTTTCCAATTTTATTTTAGTTGGGAGCATTTCGTTTTAAGCTGATAATACCTCCTTTGCATTTTAAACTTCTCATGGAAACAAAACCGATTCATCAAAAACTTTATTTTTTCATCAATGTTTAATTAATATATTTGCTAGTACCTCCGTGAGTGAACAAAACCATTAGAAAAATCGCTATTTTTTGCCCAAAAACCCACCCTCCGTGAGTGAACAAAAATTTTTTTAATAGAAAAATTTTTTATGGAAAAAAAATTTGATATATAAATAATAATTAGTATAATGAAATCTAATTCTGTTTAATTTTAAACAAATTGCTTTTTAAAACATAAATTTTATAAATTAAATTAATATTTGCTTTTCAATTTTTGCGAATTAGGATTTTTTTAAATTTCGAAAAAAATTATTTTTTATAAAAATTATATATATAAATTTTTTTAAAAAAAAAAATTAACCCCCCTCCGTGAGTGAACAAAATTTTTTTGTTCACTCACGGAGGGGGGGGGAGTAAGCAGCTCTCGAATCTCTCAAGACTTGAGATAAACGCTCAAAAAATAGATCAACTTCTTGGGGTGATAATCCAACTGCACAAGCAGCTGTTATATAAGCTAAAGGGTAATTGCTATAGCTTGCCCCATAACTATTGAAGGAAATGCCACACACTGATTTACTTGATTGAGGAGTAATTACTCGAGTTCCTGACACTCTCCTTAAAAACAGTGAAGAGCCAATTGCAGTTGGATTAGGAAAATGGTCTAGAGAAATAGCATATGAAATTGTATTATTCTGTGATTCCAGCAACCTTTCACCAAATGAACGAGCAAACTCACTAACTCCCCCCCCCCGAGAGTGAACAAAAACATTAGAAAAATCGCTATTTTTTGCCCAAAAACCCACCCTCCGTGAGTAAACAAAAATTTTTTTAATAGAAAAGTGTTTTATGGAAAAAAAATTTGATATATAATTGATAATTAATATAATAAAATCGAGCTAATTCTGTTTAATTTTAAACAAATTGCTTTTTAAAAACACAAAATTTATAAATTAAATTAATATTTGCTTTCCAATTTTTGCGAATTAGGATTTTTTTTAAAATTTCGAAAAAATTATTTTTCTATAAAATTTATATATAAATTTTTTTAAAAAAAAAAAATTAACCCGAACAAAATTTTTTTGTTCACTCACGGAGGGGGGAGTAAGTCTTTGCTTGAATATTGGAACTAATGATCTTCTTTCTCTGAGAATTCTTTGATACCCAGCTTCACCCATAGACAAGAAGGTCACGAAAAGATCCAGAATTGGAGCACCTGATGCGCGTCCTGGATAAGTTGACGATATACTCTTGAGGAATTCGGAGCTTGGACAAGCAATCACTGCTCCTCCAACAGGGACCATAAAATTTTTGTCTGTGCTCTGCACAATGGCATCAACTCTCCCGTTTCTGATTGAGTTTGATATTTTTCCACAGATTTTGTGACATTGAAGCCCATATGCATTATTAACGATGTGAGGAATCCCTTTTTCTTTACAAATAGCCGAAATTCTCTCAATATCATCCGGCTCCCTTGGAGCGAAGCAGCTAGTTGTTGACAAAACGCACAAAATTTCATCAATAGGCACCCTCTCTATAGCATTTAGCACATCTCCAGTCACTATTGCGTCTCCTTTTAATTCTGGCTCCACCACAATTGCTTGCAACCCAATCGTATAGATGCATTTTAAGCAAGTCTTTTGGTCAATTCTTGTTCAGACAACATATTTAGCTTGCTAAGTTACTAATACCGGTCTTTGAGGCTTCAGTGCAAGCATTGCCAATGATATAGACATCCCAGTCGCCATTGGCACAACCATGCAGTCAACTTTTCTTATTCCAGAGATTTTCAATGCATGTTTGGCAAAGGTGTTTGTAAGAATTGCCATTAAACTTGACCCTGCAGCTTTAGGCTGGATCGCTGAAATCTCTCCTGATCTCCCAATTCCGTGTGAAAAATAAAAGTGCCTATGTTGGACAATTGAAGAGAAAATCCTCCCTTCTCTTTCTCCCACACCTGCTCTTGAAGTAAAATTATTAGAATCCATCATGGCTAAGTCTGTAAGGACGCTTTGTATCATCAAATCAGTCCACGGCTCTTTTGGGAGCTTCTTTTGAGATAGCAATATTCTCACTCCCCCCCCTTTAAATTGGAACTAAAAATTTAGTTCCAGTTTAAAGGGGGGTTAAGAAAATTTTTTTAAAAAAAAAATCATTATAAAATTTTTTATAAAAAAAAAATTTATATAAAATTTAAAAAAACAAAAAATTTCAAAAATTTATCGAATTAGATTAATAAATTTGTTTAATAAAATGCTATTTACTCTTTATCCTTTAAAACAAAGCAAGATATAACTAAAATTTCATTATTTTTTAATACGCCATTATTAATTGGTATCAAAACTATTTACACAAAAATTATTATTTTTATTGATAAAAAAAAATTAAAAAAAAAAAAAATTTTTAGAAAATTTATCGATCAAAGTGCTAATTTTGTTTAAATAAGATGTTATTTATACTATATTCTTTAAAATAAAGCAAGAAATAAGTAAATTTTGAATTTTTGTAGTATTGGATTTATATCAAAGCTATTTATATAAAAAAAATATCATTTTTATCAAAACAAATAAAATTTTTTTGAAAATTTTTATTGAAAATTTTTAAAAAAAAAAAAATTAAAATTTTTTTAAAAAATTTACAATTAAGGATAATAAATTTATTTAAATAAGATGCTCTTTATATTCTATTCTTTAAACAAGAGCAGGATATAACTAAATTTTTAATTTTAGTTAAGAAGAAACATTTAAATTTATATCAAAACTTTTTACATAAAAAAATGATTTATATATATAAAATTTTTTATTATAAAATTAAAATTTGTTCCAATTTAAAGGGGGGTTAATTTACCAAAAAAGTGGAAATTTTCCCTATATTTTGTTCCAATTTAAAGGGGGGGGGAGTCAGTTCCTTCCCAAGACTATTGAGTGACTATATATCTTTTACATCTTCTCCTGACTGCCCTAGAGTCTTTCCTATAATTTCTTTTGTCAATTGGAGATTTCTGCTATCCATTTATAACGATTTTATTTATACCTCGTTTAACTATAAGAGTAGTATCCTACTATTATCATTAATAGCATCCCTAAGAAAAACCAATTCGACCCACTTTTTTCTTTAACAGCAGGAGGCTTTACAACTGTCTCTTTAGGCATTATTTGCGCAAAAAAAGGCTCAAAGAGTTCCATAAATTTCGGGCATTTCATATTAAAGTCTTTACTCAGTAGAGCTAGCCTTTGTTTTTCAATATTGGAAGCGGAGACTGTACCAGCAGCATTTTCTTCACTTTGCATAAAGCTGATAAAACCCATGATTATAGTGCTCACACTCCATATAGGACTTCAGGACTCTGGATGATAGTCAGACATAGAAGTACAAATTCTTTGCCCCGGATCAAATCGTCCGCTTGGGGTATGCATGATAATTGAAGGAGGAGCCATTGGGTAATCAATTGGAAATCTAAGCTCACTTAATTAGTAAGTTAGATTTTAATACCTTTCCTCTTCAGCAAGGTGCCTGACCCATTTTAACTCCACAAACTAATGAAGCCACAATAAATATCTCCCACACCCTTTGCAGGGCCAAGCCATAAGATTACTATTAATAACTCTACCTGCTCAAGAAAGTTTTCACGTAATCATTGCATTATCTCTCTGCTGCGCATGAAATACCTAAGGGTCTCACTTCTGGGAGTGACAGGCAAATAAGCTCCATGCCACCTAAAATCTACGAATCAGAGTCTTAACCTGCGCTCTAGGGCTTTCCTAATATAGTGGGTAAAGGTCCCCCGTGAAAACTAAACCACATAAAACATGAAAATTTAAGTTCACAGTGGTAGACTCCATTTGTGTAGGGCTTGTCCAATCCGAACACAACAAAGTGCCAATGGAGCCAGTTTTGAGGATCTGGACATGCAATTGCGTTAGGAATTGGGTCTTTCATGATCATTTCATATTCTTTATGCAAACGGCTTAAACACTGTCGACTCATATTTATTTTTTGAAAGACTGTTCTGGATCGTTCTGAATTATATTTAATAGCTTATTTTAAATTTTGCATATTATAACAATAATAATTTAAAATAATTATAATAGCTTCTATCGTTATCGTTATATTATCTATTACGTTTTACGTCCACTATGGGGTCGCCATTTCCAGGGCTGTCACCATATTTATCCACTTGTCGGGCACATGAACCTCTGGGCTCATTCACTTAGTTGCACCATGGCACGGGACAAATACAATGTTCCGGCTTCGACGGCTGCGTTGCCTCGCTCTTCCTTGACTCAGCTCCTGCAAGTGTTCCGTTGTGCTGAGAGATAAAACTTCGAGCCTCTTGATGGACTTAGAGCAGTGCCTCGGCTTATCTGCCAGAGTTAAACTACTGTTGCTGTACAGAAGTTCTCAGAAGAAAACCTAACCCCATAAATAAAATTGCTTGAGAGAAAGAAAATTAGCGAAGCTAATTTCACTCCAACTAAATGCCATTTTATTTATATAATAGCTTCTATCAGACGATTTTTTACAAATAAATTCATAGTTCCATAATCTTCTGCAAATAAAACAATGGAGGTTCTCCAAGCTGAGCTAATCCACATCGTAAGTGAATTCGTTTCTTTACGTTTCCAAATTCCTGCAATAGATGAGTCTTCTGACCAAGAACTTCACGCAATTTTTGCTATTGATAAAAGTGGATCTATGAATGGCTACCCTATTGAAGATGCCAGAGGCGCTGCTAGCAGCTTGGTATCCAAATTTCGGAAAATGGACATCCCAGTTACAATCTACACTTTTAGTCACGTTTTCGAAGAAATGAGCTCTATTACAAGTGGCTATGATGAAATGATCAGAAAGATTGAGCAACTAAAAGGGAGCGGAGGAACTGAGTTTAAAAACGTGATTTTAGCAATGAAAGAGCATATTTTGAAGGAAAACATGAAAAACGTCTTTTGTGTGTGGCTCTCTGATGGAGACGACGATGATGGGCTCGCGTTTTTAACCCCACTTATGGAGGAATTTAAAGCACAGATGGAAGAAGCAAAAGTGTCTATTGCGGTTCACTGTATTGGGTTTGATGAGTACCATAACGCTGACCTGCTAACTAGACTGTCAAATAGTGGGACAAGGCCAGGAACTTTTCAGTATGTTCCTGATGGCGGACGTATCCCGGTGGCTGTCAACAATGTCTATAATTTAGCTTTTGAGCTGTCAATATGGGGCAAAGTGTACGCAGAAGACCAATTATACCAAATTCTTGTCCAAGAAAATCTCAGTACTGGAAAACCTGAAGGGATGATTTATATGTCAGAAAATCATTTAGGAGAATGCTCAGCAGAGCTCCATCAAGGAAGCCGTGTTAAAAATTTCCAAATTGAAACAATAAGGAGCGATGAATTTAACCTTAAAGAAGCCATCGATTTATTATTATCTTTTCTCAGCACAAAGGTGCTAAAAACACTGGAGACTGGCACCGCAGGATCAAGACTGAGACTTACTCCCCCCTCCTTGAGCGAACAAAAGCATTTGAAAATTTCCCTAGTTTTTGCCTAAAAATCTACCGATTAAAAAGTTTTGATGTATAAGTGATTATTAGTATAGTGATAAATTTTACAAATATTGCGATTTTTAAAAAAAATAATTAAAAAAAAATCAACCACTAGTGAACAAATTTTTTTTGTTTTTAGTGAGGGAGAAGTTAGAGAAATGGAGAATCTGATCGATGAGGCTGAAAGGAGACTTAACGATTTATACACACAATCACAGTTCTTTTCGCCTCTTTGGATGATGCAGATAACTCCGTTTTATAATGCAGGTGTAGAATTGATTGGGAAGTTCAGAGAATTAACTGAAGGTGATGGGAATGACTTGGAAAATCTTGACGTGGCAAATCTTTCAGCTGTAGCTATTAAAATAATTAAATATTAGGGCTCTTCCTCCTTCTTCGTCTCACCCAAGCTGAGGCTTCATTGAAGACAGTTCAGCTGCTAGCGAACCTCCTTTGGGTATGTCAGCATTTCCTCCAGAGATAGTTCTTTTTCTCTGGCTTTCTGCCTGGTTCTTGATCTGTCTCGCAAGGCTTGGGATTTGATGGCTGCTGCTTGAGTGACTAGAGTTCCGGAGATAAAATCCTTAGCTCGCATCGGTACCAAGTATGTCTTCGTAATCGGCACGAGTGATCTCTAGGGGTAAAACCCTTTTTTTCCCCAAATATCCATCGGGAAGAAACAAAGTCTTCATTGCTAGACGAGGGAGGCAAAACCCAGCCAGAACCCAAATGCCCAGCACCTGTAGGTTCTGCTTCCTGCTCGGTTCGGCTTCATGCCTCAGCAAGGTCTTAAAACTCGAAGCAAATCCAGGAGAGGACAGACAGGTGACACCGCCGCTCTATTTGTGTTTCTTGGAGCTGTAGCCAATGCAATACAGCTGAAGAAGAATTTAGAAGTGAAAATAATTAAAGAGAATAAAGACGCCTATTTCGAATTCCAACTTGCTGAAGCTAATATAAATAAAGCCAAAGGAACAGTCAGCACTGAACATTTACGAGATAAGAAAAGGATATCTAATTTAGAATGCAAAATATCAGGCTCCAATATTTTCGATTTAATTTCCAAAGGAGACTGCTTATGCGCCACTTTTTGTGTCCAAAGGCCTCAAAATTTATCAAGAGACCCTTATGGGATCGCAGTAACCGGAGTTTCAGCTGACCTGATTTCTTTCGACTCTTTTATAGAGTCTGATTTATTCACCACAAAAGCAGGACAAATCATTCAGGGACGCACCGGCTATAGGCATGGAGAAATGCCTCCTCCAGCTTCTCAAGCCTGTGAAAATTTGTCAGATTTCCCTATTAACGCACTAATGCCTCTTTATTTGTGTGAAGAGCATTGGTATATATCAAAAAATCGAATAAAATCTGCCTTAGGATTTACAACACAGGTTGATGTTTTTGGGTACAGTCCAGAACAGCTCGCTATAATTCCTTATATGCTGCTAATAAAGACAAGAGAAAGCGATGGCCTGCCTAGAGAAATCATAGGATTTATCAAGGAAGTCTGTCTTCAGATATATATTGATAATAGAGAAACATATTTTGAAGCCTTCAGCAAACTGCTATTACTGTATATAAGTGATCCAGCCTCAAGGCTACCTGAAAATATCCCAAATTCCAAGGTTTTCTTATGCCAAATTTCAATTGCTATGGAAGCAGGCGATCTAGCTGAGTATAAAGACATCTTCAAGCTTATTGTTGAAGAAGAAATCAGACGAGAATTTTCAAGAAACGCTAAAAATTTCAGTGAACTATGCAAAGAGCTTCTTGAAATCAGCACTGAAAGTCAGCTCAAAGCATTAGGGGAAAGTCTTAATAAGCCGAACGCTTCATATGCTGAAATCTATAGCTCATTTGCCAGAGATTTCAAGGAAAAAGGAAAAGCAATGGAAATCGAAAAATTCAATTTTTCAGACCGAATTGAAGTTTTAAGCCCGTTTGCAGATGAGTCATGGGGGAAAGTCAATGCTTTCTTACACACAAGCAATTTAAAATCCGAGCTTTCCTATGCTGGAATTGATGTAAACTCTTTGGAGGATCTTGGAATTATCACAAATGAGCAGAAACTTGCATTTTTAATTGAATGCTTTGGGCATACAGATGAGATTAGAAAAGTCTCGATTGAAAAAGGAGAGATTGCCAATGTTTTTAGCCCTGATGAGTGTCTTGTTTTTATCCAAAAAACTTATTCAGGCACAGTAAATCGTGAGCTTGCTGCAAATAAGTCAAAAATCTTATATGAGCTGCAAATAAAAGAAGGAAAAGAAAGGGCAGAAACTTTTAAGAATACTGTAGATCTTGAAGAAGCTGCAGGGTGCCTATATGGGATATGCCAAGGCCATCATACTTTTAATCTGTTTGTTGATGCATTAAAGCATAAAAACGTGCCATTAGCTTTAGAAAAAGCAAAAATGCTGACTCACGGACACTATCAAGGTGTAAAATTGGTCATGGACAAGAACTATGGCGACGGCTATGCTTTGTGGACCCCAAATAAGAAGACATTCCATAAGATCTGGAAAAATAACATGGAGTCAGGGACTATGGAGCAGTGAAAAGAAGCGTTTCCTACAAAAAGTGAACATATAGAAAAGCAATATAGGAGAATGGCTGGAGAATTTGTCCCTTACTCAAAACCGAAAAAAAATGTGGTTGATCCGAGGCACTGGGAGATGAAGAATAAAGAGCAAAAAGTGCCAAGGCCGAAAGCAGTCGGAAATAAGAGGAAAAATTTGGTGAAAAAAAGGAAAATTGACAATAGGAAAAAGAAAAGAGCACCTGGAAGGAGGGCTCATGAAAGAGTTGAATATGCGCCAGCACAGCCTCAAAATAAAGGCTTATTTGACAGGTGCAGGCCATTTTAATTTAAATAATTTACTTGCGCACCTTTTAAACTATCTCAATTTATAAACGGATAATTAAAATGGTCATCAGTTTAATTTTCAGCATCTTTTCCTTAGTTCAAGCTAAAAACCCAATCACAGCTCCTGGGGACGTCAATATCACCAACTTAGTCGACTCTTACTCCATAGAACTTCCAGACGGATCCTCATTCGCCTGCACAACCGCCGAAGCCGATAGCTTTGTCTCAGAGTACGCTGAAGCCAACGAAATCACTGCGAACACCTTAACAGTCGACAAAATCATTGCCTTAAATACAGAAATTTTATTATCAGGAAAAGTTAAAATTAATGGAGAAATCACCTACACTACAAGTCTCCTGGAAACGAAGCGCGAGGAATACTCCACTTTCCTAGACACTAAGCCTATCGTTCAGTCAAAACTTAAAGGAGGAGAAGATTTTTCGAGCTTTTTGGAAATCAAGGTCCCACAGTGGGAAGAAATTGGCATTTTTGATCAGTTGCCGATTGAAATGAGTGAAATTAAGGAGCACAGCTATATACAAATAACAACAAATGTGCATTTTGAGAGTAAACAATGGGCCGGAGAGGGATTAATGATGAAGGTAGATGGAAGACTGGCCTGGATGGACTCTCATCATTGGAGCATGGGAGATGGAGTCTGGACAAGCCCAATCCGCGCTACAATTAGACATAGCAAGCCGCAGCTAAAAATAGAATTTGAAATAGTGAATTCATCCGGAGTTGTTTCGAAAGAGCTGCCTATTATTGATCACATCACTGTCTATGCTAAATAAGCTATATTTATTATAATTTATATATTTATTTGAGAAGCTCCCATAGGAGTCGGGGCTTGCTGGTCTTCAACCACATTGGAGTTGTCCAGATCCACAGAATCCAGTTGACTTCCTTTCCTCACAATAATCGCATCATATATTTTTCTTTTCCCCCTAGACCCCGTCGAAGTCAAATAATTCGGAAAATGTCTCTTTTGAATAAAAACCGCTACAATTACCATAATTGCCCATCCTGCCGCAAGTGTCACGAACCAGGCAATATGTTTAGAATCCCCTGCATTTGCCAAAGTCGCCAAAACTGATATATAGCATACTGCAATTAATGATGTCATTTCCCATAAGTTGCATCTCCCATAATTAAAAGGCTTCATTTTATATGTAACAATGGTGAATGCGATAAATAGAATTGAGAAAACAACCCCATGAGCAATTACTGAGGTGCCTTGCAAGGACTTTCCTATAGCAATTAAAAGGATCTGGGCGCATGTTTTGAACAGTAAAAAGAAAGGTGTGATCATGATGTTCATGCCAGTTTTTGCTTGCTGTCATAGGGGCCGTGAAAAGGCTGCAAGAGGCTCGTAGCACATCATGGCTATAACTGAGATTATAATATAAGGCGAATGCTCACTTCCCAGCATATACATTAAATGGTGCAGCGAGCCAGCGGACTCTATTAAAATATGGATCGTAGGCTCATTGGGAGAATCAGGAATCTTGTGGAAGAGAGGATGGTGTCAGCAATAATGCATCTGGCTGGGGTTTGTTGTTTTGGTGGAGCCATTTTCTGGTAAGCTGACTGTATATCAACTTACCCATGGGAAATGATTTATCGAAGCAGGAAAGGGTCCCCAGCAAGGATAGAAGGGGTTTATTAGTCAGTCAATTGCTTTTCAACCACGATGCCAGCTGTTGCCCTTGTCTGTGAGGAGCAATACAGTGTTCGGACTGGTAAGCAAGTCGGCCTGCCTGCAACTTCTCTATAATTAATTAAGGCAGTAAGCGCCACTTCCCCAGCAGTTCATATAGCAGTCTCTCCAGACGAATGCTTTTTTTTGCGCTTTGTGATCACATACAAAAACATCAAGCAAAATGGTCATAAAAGGCAAAAACATGGTATTCCCGATAAACGGCAAATATAAATTGTTCATGAGTTCATATATTCTTTGGCAGAGGACACTGTTTTGGATATATTGCTCAGCGTTGCTCATAATTGAAATGATAATTAAAAACCAAATTATGCATAATGCGCAGACACAGCTTAGCATGGCCCAGAATCCTTGCTTATTGCTGTGTGAAACTTTTAAAGCATCAATCATAAACACATTAGAGAAGCCTTGGACCACAGACTCCAGTGCTGGAAAAGTCGGAGCAATTGCAACAAACTGGCAAAACTCAATAGCAATTGTAATAAAGACCAATGTATCTTTCCAGCTTTGCAGCACTGGCTCGTTGATTTCTTGGATTTCTAGAAGTTTTCACTTCTTATAAGCAAAGTAACTTAATATGAGAGTGACTATAAAAAGGAATCCACCGATCATAACCACTATTCCAACTCCAGCATTATCAACGCTGACCATTTTTTCAGCAAAAGGACAATCATAATAAGTCGACCAGGTGTCATCAGTAGGACTTGCAGAGCCGTCATGGTACAGAATGGTATTGTCATCAATACTAATAAACCCAGCGGAAGTAGAAGGGTCATAGATTTGTACGTTTTTTATGACTCCTTTCTGCACGTTAACCACATAGTAGCCTATCCCAAACCTGTCATTTGTTTCTGTGATGACTTTAAAGATCCCGCTTGCCCCTGTAAAATCAGCAGCGCGTAAGGTTCTGATTAAATCGGTTCCACTATTGAAGTTGTCTCCTACAGCTACAATAGAGCTTATAGCATTTGCAAGGAAAAAAGCGATATCATATGCATATATGGAGTAAACAGTATAGGCTGATGATGGGTAGGCAGCTGTATAATTAGCGGCAAATGCAGTCCCTTCAGTGCCTATTATGGTTCTATAGTCAAGTCCCACGGCTCCTTCAAGCACATCCCAAATTTTAGATGAGCTGCCACTATAGCTTTTTGTGACTAAGGCAGTCAAATCACTATTAATCCATCTCGCTCCAATCCACGCATAGTCTGATCCATAAAGTTCTTTCTCATGTGCAGTTTTCGCTACATACGGTGTAAGTCCATAGTCTCCCAAATACACAATGACTTTACATTGCTTTCTTACAACAGCGGAAAGCGCATCATCTACATCATCTTTGGTTTTCTGGGTTATTGTGGATCCAGCGCCGCTGTACCTGATTCCTCTTTTAGATTCTTTATTCCTTATTTCTATGCCTAGAGAAAGGGCGTTTTTCACGAGACTTTTATACATTTGAGAGCCATAATCATCTAAAGTGTAAATGACGCAGATCTTTTTCCATTTTATTTGGCTTAGGAGGACAGCCACCGCGGTTCCTTCAAGGTCATAAGCTTGGATTGACCTGAAAAAGTTGGGGTAGCTGGATTTGGAAGAAAAATTGCCTGACGCACAGCCATAAGAAATTAAAGGCTTTGGGTCGGAGGCTGTTAAGATGGCAGCTTCATATGCAGCTGTTTCGTCTGTATTGTAAGGGCCAACGAATGCAATTACGCTGTAGCTGGTTAAGGATTGAACGTTAGAAGCAGCTAGAGTTGTAAGCATATTTGTATCGACATAATTCACGGAAAATTGATAGTCACCCATTATTTTTTCTTTATTTACTGTTGCAACTCCAAGTTCAAAGCCATTTTTTATTGTCGTTCCGATAGTAAAAGTAGATCCGGAAGTGTCATGGCCAGGGTATAGAAACCCAAGCTTGATTAAAGGAATTTGATCATTAGGTGTCGTTGAACTAAACCCAGGCCAAACAATACTGCTAGATGTCATTTCATTACATTAAGATTAATCTTCCTCTCATTTAACTTGAAATGGCCGCATCACCTGCTTGGGCTTCCGTCCCTGCTTCTGGATTTCCCTATCCACCGTCGCATCAGGCAAAGCACTACTTCACCCCTGAATGGTTCATAGAATTTGGCGTTCGGATTTCGATGATTGTCCTATCGGCTCTTGTGTAAAATCAACTTGAGTCTGTCAGACACTCTAAATGTTTCATCCTCCGCCGCCTGAGGTAGGCAGAATAGTTTCCAGAAAATTCGATTCCCTAAGGGACAGAAGTCCTGCACTGCAAATCGTAGATTCTTGAAGTCCTGCCATCGTTGAGATAAATTCCTAGGAAACCAAGCTTCATAATCATAAAAGGTAAAAAGAGAATTTTCGGTCGGGAATCAGAAAATTCGAGTGATGCCTTTTATGATTATAATGCTAGGTGTCAAACTGATTTTCCTTGAGCTGTAGCTCCAAGATCCAATTAAGTATTCCTTGAAATTCTGTATATTATAAATATTATATAAGCTTATCTTCATTCTGTTACTATCCAAACTAATTTGGTATTTTGAGTCTGAAATTGTTGGACTGCTTGATAAGTAGGTCGCCAGAATCGATGCAGAAATGCTGACCCCTGGGAAGCCTTGACTCTGATACCCTTGACTAACTAAAATCAAAATTGATCTTATCAGTGCCATTGGCTTAATATCATAAAGCTGGTCATCAAGTGCCTGAAATCCAATAGCCCCTGATTTTAGCACTCCAAAAGTTGCTTCATCTGTGTCTACATACGAATTTTTGCTTATATCTCCTAAATCAGTCATAGCGCTGCTACAAAAGATATAGGCATATCCTGATCCACCCATCACACTTAAATCGGCAGCCCTTACTCCCCCCATCCGTGAGTGAACAAAACCATTGGAAAAATCCCTATTTTTTGCCAAAAAACCCTCCGTGAGTGAATAAAAATTTTTTATCAAAAAAAATTGATATATAAGTGATAATTAGTATAATGAAATCTCGAGCTAATTCTGTTTAATTTTAAACAAATTGTGTTTTAAAAACATAAATTTTATAAATTAAATTAATATTTGTTTCCCAATTTTGCAAATTAGGATTTTTTTTTTAAATTTCGAAAAACAATTTTCGCTCATGGAGGGGGGAGTTAGCACTTGTGCTGAAATGCTTGGGTTTGTGCACACCAAAAGAATTCTTGCACCCGCATTTAAAGTTGAGGATTGGAATCTTGACACAAAAAAAGATTCGACGTTCGGCTCGTCTAAGTTAACGATAATTTCATCATTAATTGTAGCTCCTGAGTTTTGGTTGATGCTTTTGAAAGAATTGGCGAAATTCATGGACTCTGGGGCATTATCATAGATTAAACCAAGATTTTTCCAGCCATAAAGTTTGATGATGTCTAAAAATGCATATGCCTGAGTGATATAATTGGTTTCTAAAAAGAATGTATAAGGATTCAGGATTTCTCCTTTTAAAGCGTCATATGATCTTTGAATGACTATATGAACAAAGCCTGCTGAAACTGAAACATATTCTAAAAATTCAGAATACTCCAGACAGTTGGCAGCGTCAATGATCACTACGATGCCTGCGTCAGAAAAGGATGAAGGAACTTGGTAAGGGCTTGAACTTTCAGCTAAAGAACAGTCTATACTTTCTAATTTGACGTCGAGGCTGAATGAGAGCTCTAAAGTATTTTTAATTTCCAGCTGTAGGCCTACAAGATTTGAAATAAGGGCTGAGAGAAAACTTGAATCTGTTTTTGATGAGTAAACCAACCCAATAGGCAGGACTGAGCCTACTGCAAATCTTATAAGCACTAAAAAAAATTGAACCAGCATTTTCTTAGAAATTATTTAGCCTCAATTTTATTGAACTTATAGTCTACAATTGATAGTGTCCATAATATAGTTGATTAAGTTTAATTCATTAATTTTTTATTAATTATTATGAAAAAATTGCATAAAGACTGTTAAAAATTTAATTAAATTAAAAAACACTAATCAAGCAAAAGCTTGACAGTTATCAAATCATGCTTGCTTATGCCTAATAAACGCTGTGCATTGCCTTGATTAACTGCAATTTCTAAGAATTGATGACTTCCGAATAGAATTAAAGGAGACCCAATCTCTACCTCTGAATATGTTTGGTTTTGCTAAAACATAGTGTTGCTCGAATTTTCTGGACTCCGACTCTCTTGCCTAATTTAATTATATGAAATTATTCCAGAGTTTCAGGGGAGTTAGAGCTGAGTGGTTTTTTCTATCGGGCTCCTGACTTATCCCCCTCCATGGGAGAATAAAATATTGGAAAAATCCCTGCTATTGCCCAAAAAATCCTCCCTCCATGAGAGAGAATAAAAATTTTGATAATTATAATGAAATCTCTAGCTAATTCTGTTTAATTTTAAACAACTTGCATTAAAACATAAATTTTACAAATTAAATTAATAATTCCTTTCCAATTTTCCTAATTGGGATTTTTAAACTTACTCCCCCTCTCTTTGAGCGAACAAAATAGTCTTGTTCGCTCTACGAGGGTTTAATTTTTTTTATCTCGAAATTTAAAAAAATCCTAATTCGCAAAAGTTGGAGAGCAAATATTAATTTTATTTGTAAAAATTTATGTTTTAGAACGTAATCTGTTTAAAATTAATTAGCTAGCGATTTCATTATACTATTATCACTTATATATCAAAATTTTTTTCCATAAAAAATTTTTGTTCACTCACGGAGGCTGGGTTTGGGCAAAAAATAGGGATTTTTCTAATGGTTTTGTTCGCTCACTGAGGAGGGGAGCTAGAAAAAAAAATTTTAAAAAAAAAATTAATCCCTCTCCATAAACGGACAAAATATTTTTGTTCGCTTACGTAGGGGGGAGTTAGGGAATCAAATTTCTAGAAGGATACACCTACTTAGCGGTGGAGACAGGGACCTTTAGGTACCTAATGGATCCAAGCAGGACTAAAGGCCAAAGAAAAGTTGTCGGAGTACAAACTTCAAGACTGGCGTCTTTGTCGTGAAACAAAGTCAAGGTGGCCGCATTTTGGCGGGCTGGAGGAAGATAGCCCAAATTCCTCCAGAGTGTTTTGAGATAGTCATGGCAGCTGGCAATTTGGTAGCGACGCTAATGAGGAATTTAATAAATTTAATTGCCATTATTTTTATTATTAAATATGTTTGATTTATATATGAAAATTTGTGGTTCTTAATGCTTATCTCTTCGACTGGATATTTCAGCTCATCTCTTATATTTGTTACACAATTTCCGTAATGATCAATATAAATAATTTCCCCTGTCATTTCATCTTTAGCCAAGGGTGAGGCTGAAAAAACTACATTGAAAATTTCCGTTTGTTTTTTCAGTCAAATGTGGCTGAAAATTTCGAAAACATTTTTAGTTGGCTATTAAAAACAACCAATGGAAAATTTTCAATTTTTTCTCAATCTCACCCTTGAGCCAATACAGGCTTAATTATTGGTGAAATTTTTGCATCATAAATATTTGGTCCTACGCTAGCTAATGAGGCGCCATTTGATAGATGTGCCGCAACAGGAGCAAAAATATCTCGGCCATGAAAAGTAAAGCTAGTATTTTCCAGCATTAGTTCAGGATTACTTATAAGATAAGTCTCGATGATTTGATACCTCAGCATTAACAAGCTTATGAGTCCATTGTCTGGAAGAATAAATATCTGAGAGTTGCTTAGCCTTACCGCAATAGGTCTTCTGTCTGACCCAACTCCAGGATCCACGATAGCTACATGAATCGTATTTTCAGGATAATAATCACAGAAATTCAATAAAATAAATGACCCAGCAATAATATCCTGAGGCGGAACGTCATGAGTAATATCCACTATAGTCACAGCTGGGTTTATCCTTAATAAGACACCTTTCATTGCCCCCACATACCAATCAGAATTTCCAAAATCAGTCGTCAGTGTCACTATCCGGCTCATCTTTTTTATTTGTTAAATATGAAGCAAAACTTAAAACCAAAGTTTCACTCGCCAATTCGAAATTCCTCCCCAAGCGCCGAAGCCCTAAGCACGACGCTTGGCAAAGACTCTTACCATTGAAGTTTCAGTAAGGCTGACCGATTTATGCACAGAAAAAATGCGACAACTCCTGATTTTATTGTTCCGCCTACATCTTTGTCCAAACGGTCCACTTCATTCGGTTTTGGTAGAAGATGGGAACCTAAGAACGAAAAAGGAAGGGACTCGCCGCCACCCACAGCATATAACCCGCCAAGTTCGTTTACAATGAATTCAAGGACAGTTAATTTCAGTGCTGGGACTGTTGCTGAAAGAACTCCAATTAAAACGAAATTTGTGCCAGGACCTGGGACTTATAATGTGTCACTTCCCATTGGAGAAAACAGCCCGAAATTTACATTTAGGCCGAGAATTCAATTGAAGGAAAAATATTTAGTTCCTCCTCCCGGGACTTATAATCCAAGTTTTAAAGTGATTGAAAGATCAAATTTTTCAAAAATTGGATTTGGGTTTGGAGATAGAGGGAAGATACAGTCAAGAGATGAAAACCCTGGACCGGGGACTTATGATTTGCCAGGAATTTTTACAAGAACGAATAGTAAATTTTTTGCGCCGATAAGGAATCAAACCCCACTTGCAAAGAAATCTAATGATGATAGTTTTTAATGTAAAAATTAAGGATATGTATAAAATGTGGTAATTAAAATAATGGTATGTCTTCGCTATTTTAAGAAAAACAATTTTTATATAAAAAATATTTTGCAGAAGCAATGCAAATAAGCACTGGTTAACTTAGCAGAATTGGATAATAAGCTAGAAAAATTTATATACAGCGTGCCATGCTATCTTCAATAATTAAATATGAATAACTTTATGTAATGTTTCTGATAAATACACATCGATAATAAATACAAATATAAATAATTAGCTTTTTAAATATTATATTTATTCATCTCGTAGAGGTTTAGTAATTTGAGCGTATATAAAATAAAATGAAAGTATATTTGAGACTGGCTATAAGTAAATTGGCATTTTAGTGCAATTTGCTAAGCGAAGTCATTTAAACTGTTTAAGCCGAACCAAAGACATCTCAAAGAGACGAATCCCGCTGGATCACTGGTGAATACGGTAGCAATAATGCTCTAGACTGTCTTTAATAATTGCAATCCAGCGATAAAGATTGTAGAATGCAAGATACTTGAAAAATAATTTTCAATGATAATATTTCGAAATGCTTCAACAATAAGAATTAGCTGCAGAAAGAGTATTTGCAATTAAAAATTTCAATTGAAATTATATATTCTTTCTCCATTTAATATACAATATATATTTAATAAATTTATCAGTATACCCTTCATCGCATTATTCATTAATACAACTAATTCGAAGGATTAATGGAACCAGACGAAAGGCTATCACGTGCTCTCTGCATAATCAGCAAAACTTTCAAAACTTTCGATGACCTCGAAGAGCTTGACGACATCTTTTCTGACTTGCGCTCATTACAAATAGCGATGCATTCCCTCAACCAAACAAATAGAATGACCTTATTGCGCAACTTTTCAGTCAAAAAGCTAGATGCTGGAAAACGTCTTTTCAAAAAAGGAGACCCAAGTGCCTGCATTTACGTAATCCTCAAAGGTGCCCTTCAAATGTATAATCATGAGTCTCCTGATTGTTCTGATATGACACTTGTAAATTTTCAAACAAAAGGAGCTTTAATAGGTGAACGTGGAATTTTAAAAAATTTCCCCAGAAGCCTTACAGCAATAGCCGCTGAGGAAACCTATGTGCTAGTGCTAGAGGCTAAATTATTTAAACTGTTTTTAGGAAAAGAAGTTCATGCAGAAATAGAAACTAAAAAGAAAATAATTGACCAGTTTATTATTGGGATTTCACAATACCCTCCTTCTCAAAAAGAAAGGCTGGCTTATTTGATTGACTTTGACATGCATAGGAGAGGAGATATTATGATAAAGCAAGGATCAGTTACAGACTGTATGATGATAATAACTGAAGGGTCCTGCAAATTATTTCAGCAGCTAGGCCCTTATAAGAAAACTGTTTCACAGCTAGAAAAAGGGTCAATTATAGGTGATGAAACAGCCTTGTTTAATAGACCCTCATCTTTTGCAGCGGTTGCTATGAGCGATGTAGTAAAAGTAGCGAAAATCCGTAACGACGATATCAAAAGCCTTTATCCTCCCAGCGTAGTCCAGTCTCTAAGGGACTCATATAACATACGAAACACAGCTAGACACAAAATCACTGATTTTTCTCACCCATGCTTAAAACTCAAGCTAGACGTCCAAAACCCTGAAGAAGATTTTCCATTAGCTAGCTTAACGGCCAGAGAAAAAATCAACCGAATTAAGCTCCGAACTCCTAGTCTTAAAAGCCCAACTTTTTCCAATGAAAGCGCCAGGAGTGTCTTCAAGTACAAACTGCAAGAATTACGAGAAATTCCTACTCTAAAACTAAGCAGACTTATAGTAAGAGACAAACCGAGATCTAACACGAGTCGATTCTAATAATTAATTTTGTATTAAAATTTCATTAAACTGATTTGTCTCTGTTGAATTTTTCATAGACTACAACTCCAATAGTAGCAATTAGCAGAAAAATGATGCCAAACATTATGAGTTTGTTAGCGATAGACCTCCTTTGCATTGTGTTTATTAGGTTGTTGGATTTTCCTAGGTCTCTAGAGATTTCTCGAGCGCCTGTAGTTGAATTTGCAATTACATCTCTTTGGGCTTTTAGGCTGGTCATAGTGTCGATTGCGATACCTTCTGTTTCTAGTGCAACTTTTTTTCCATTTTCTAGTCTTGATCTTTGGTCTAAAGCTAAGTTCTGAACTTTGGCAAGTTTTTGGTCATGGACAAGATCATTTACATTGGAAAACTCGATTAATAAATCTTTATTTGGTTTACTGGAGGACCCATACTTTTCCCATTGCAGCCTGTTGTCTAATTCTTGCCATTCTTTACGATATCTCTTAGTTTTTGCTAGTAAAGAACCTTTTGTGGTGATTGGCATCATAGAAACCTCTATTTCCATCTGTTTTAGGTACTTTTCGGCTTGAGCCAAATCGCTTTTAAGTTTTAATAAAGAATCGATGTCACTTTTTGCTATAGTTTTTCTGCATTCTATTAAAAGCTCGATAAAATCCTTTTCAAAACTTTTAAAAATTTCTGTCATTTTTATTAAAATTTATCCCGTTAAAAATCAATTGCACATTTTATGAGAGAAAGCATCCAGTAGATTTATTAAAATTATCCTTTGAGTGAATGACGATAAAGTATAAACTGGAATACACTTAATAAATATAAATAATAAACAATTATAATTCATCATAAATTTGCGGGTTGTGGAACATTTGAGCTTTTAAAGTGCCATACTCCATTTCAGTGTCCTCCACTTCTTTCTTCTTTGTGTTAAGTCTGGCTTGGCTTTCTTTTCTATTTGCTTGAAGTGCTGCGATTTTTTTCCTTCTTTCTTCTAAATCTTTTTTCAAAGACTACATTTGTCTTACATTGATTTTTTCTTTGGCATGGTCAATTTCAACATCTTCCACAAAAAATTTAATTTCTAGCTTTCTCGCTTCATTTAATTCCTCTTTAAGCACCTGTTTATCCATCTCTACTTTATTTTTATACTCTTCCCGTGCATCTTCTGCCATTTTTTTCGCATTTTTAGCAATTTCGTCTTTTTTCTTCCGAGCGCCTTGGACTACTTGAGCTCTTCTTTCTTCAAAATCAAGCTTGGAGTTGCTAACTCCCCCTACTTGAGTGAACAAAACGATTAGAAAAATCCCTATTTTCTGCTCAAAAACCCACCCTCCGTGAGTGAACAAAAATTTTTTTAATAGAAAAAATTTGATATATAAGTGATAATTAGTATAATGAAATCTCGAGCTAATTCTTTTTAATTTTAAACGAATTGCGTTTTAAAAACATAAATTTTACAAATTAAATTAATATTTGCTTCCCAATTTTTGTAAATTAGGATTTTTTTAAATTTCGAAAAAATATTTTTCTATAAATTTAGATATAAATTTTTTTAAAAAAAAAAATTAACCCCTCCGTGAGTGAACAAAATTTTTTTATTCATTCACAGAGAGGGAGTAAGAAGCTGCTCAGTCTCTATGATGGTTTCTTCTGATTTTATTATTTTTTCTTCTAAGCTAGTGAGCGGGTTTCCCAGCTCAGAATACCTTGTCTGTATATAGCCCATAAATAAAATGGCATTCGGTTCGAGAGAAATTGGCTCTGACAATTTTCTCTCCCTTATGGAATTTTATTTATGGGGTTGGGTTTTCTCTTGAGAACTTCTGCACAGCAACAGCCGTTTAACTTTGGGGATAACCAAAGGCACGGCTCTCAGTGCATTCAAGACACTTGGAGTTTTACCTCTCAGCACATCCCCACGGGAGGATGACCCTTAGGCGGAACACGCGCAGGAGCTGAGTCGGAGCGAGCGACGGCAACGCGCCGGGTGAGATGTGCGGCGATTTATCTGGCGACTAGCCTTATAGAAGGCTTGGGTGTGGGCACTAGACACCTTAAAGACTATGTAAGTAAGTAAGTCTGTATATAGCCCATATTTCATTAGCAGTGACTTTTTCATCGTTTCCGAACTCTTTTGCTGTTTTATTCTGGGTTTCCAGCCTCGTTCTCAGTACATCAGAGTTTATTTCCAGTTCATTTATTTTCGATTTTTTCTCATTTCCTTCATTTTGTGCTTCATCAAGCAGCTTTCTCAGATAAATCTGCAAGGAATTCAAATTTTTTTCTTTTTCATTAATTTCCATAGATTTCATTTTTACCTCCTCTCTTAAATTTTCTAAATTTTTCTGCGAGAGCTTCACCTCATTTGCTTTTTCTAGCAATTCTTTAGATTTAATAGCATTATTTTCTGCAGTGGCATGGCCATCACATGAACTCTGTAGTTTTTCTAATTCTAAGTTTACATCAGAAATCTTCAGCAGCATTTCTTTTTCAGAGACAGTGAGCAAGGCAAGTTCTTTTCTTTTTTCATTAATTCTTTCATCTAAAAGTTTTATGTTTTCTTCATATTTTTGTAATGCATGGGCTTGCTCTTGCAGCTTGTGACGGGCTAGTTTGGTTTCTTCTTCTTTTTGTGAGAGAGTGTGCTTCATTTGTTGGATGCTCTGGCGATATGAGTTGGGCTGTGGTGATTTCATTTCTTCTATAGCTTCTAGTGGCTCATTTTGGGATGCTTTTTTTGTGGGCGATTTTGCTTCTTCAGGCTGCTCTGAGGTTTCTGTAGAATTTTTGGATTCTTGTTTGGAAATCACAACGTAGCCTTTAGGGATGTTTGGGTTTTCTACATTTAAGTCAGGAAGAGGCTTTGGCTGCAGCTCCTGCGTGATTGTGGCTCGCATAGGAGGATGGTCAAGCATTCATTTGTGGTTTATTACCTGTTGGATCGTCAAGCGTCTCGCAGGCTCTTTTTCCAGCATTTTGCTTATCAAGTCTTTTGCATATGCAGGAAACGTCAGAGGGAATTTTGGTTTTCCATTCGCAATATTTCTCAACATTTGGTCCCTGACCGTCGCTTTAAAAGGAGTCGAGCCATTCAGCATTTCATACAATAAAATCCCCAGGCATCAAATATCAGCTGAAGTGTCATGCCCTTTTTCTTCAACCATTTCTGGAGGCAGGTACTCCAAGGTCCCACAAGTGGTAAATCTCGGCATTGCGTTATCTTTTGAATAGTAATTCGACCATCCAAAATCAGTCAGTTTCAATCTTCCATCTTTGTCAAGCAAAATATTTTCAGGTTTTATGTCTCTATGAATAATTGCTGGGACATGCGAATGCAAATACTCGACTGCCAAGCCGACTTCACGGAAGTATTGAGCAGCCACACGCTCTAGGAATTGTTTTTCTCTGTAGAGTTTGTGGAATAGGTTGCCACCTTCAGCAAGTTCCATGATGAGATAAAAGTTCTTTTCGTCTTCAAAGTGATTATAAAGTTTTATAATGTGAGGGTGGTTTAGCTCATACATAATATAGACTTCTCGGCGAAATTGTGGAAGCATTTTAGTAACTTTATCCTTTGGGACTTGCTTCAGTGCATATAAATGCGAGGTTTTCTTGTGCCTGACTCTCCATACTTGGCCAAAAGCTCCATCACCAAGACGTCGCTCGAAATCAAAGTCTTCTCGTTTAAGCTCTTCTTCTTCGCCGTTGACCACTGAAGGGGATTCGAATAAGAGCTTCGTAAAAGCCGGACGACGAAAGCCCATTTTTATTGTTAAACTAGAATTAATAAGCAGATTGAGAATTCTCAGAAGTTGTTTAATTTTTTTGTATAAGTCAATATTGGTAAACAATTCTCTAGATATTTTACTATAAAATGATGTATAAAGAAAATTATTATGGTTGAGCCATCAATTGAAAATCTTTCTTTCAAGATTGGAAAATTCAACTTACAAGTGGATAAATCTCTTCTATTCCAATCAAGAATTACAATCCCGCTTAAGCCTTCACAGATAATCTCAATTCCGTGCTTTTCTTCAGAAAACCCCATTTTCCCAAAATACTCTTTCACATTGGTTGACTCCCCTTCCAAACAAAAGCTCAAACTTAAGACTTTTAGCGTATTTATTATCCCTCAAGGCCAAGAAAACTCATGAAGTTTCAGCGAAATCGAAGGCCAGAGAGATTTGCTTAAAACAGTCAACACTTCAAGACTCTTATTTGTAAAGCTTAATCATGGCTTTGAATTTAGCACAATGCAAGCAATTCAGCAAGAATTATCAGAAATCGCACAATTTTTGGCCCCTCCAATGGGCAAGTCATCAAGAATTGCGTTCATGACAAATGGAGATATAGGGGAGAGGGCTGTGGTATTTCAGAATGGGAATATGATTATAGAAGATGTAAAAGAAGAGGAAACATATTTGAGACAGCTGATTTATCTCACAAATGTTAACCAAATACAATCAGAAATCAAGCTTAAACAAGTTTTAAACACAGACAGCCCTTTGCATGCTGAGAATTCGCCAGCAGTGAAGCAGGGGGGTTTACTAGAAGCGGATTATAGCACTCTGACATGTGAATGACTGAAGGTTATGCTTTTTTCTTTGGCGTTCAATTCCAATACAATTTTTGGGAATGAAGAAATGATAAATGTTTTGATTTTGGGGGCTGGAGGAGGAGTTTTTTCATCATTTTTATTAAGCCATTTCCAAAATATCCAAGTATTTGCTGTAGATATTGATAGTTCACTTATTGATATTGGAAGAAGGTTTTTTGGTGCTAAAGAGTCTAATAGGCAACAAATTATCATTGAAGATGCTTTAGTTTTTGTCGAAAATTGCAGAGACTTACAATTTGATTTGGTGTTCCTTGATATATGTGCAGCAGACTCACATATTCCCACCCCTCCACCTCCATTTACTTCTCAAGATTTCTTAAGAAAGCTAAAGAATCTAATGACAGAAAATTGTGTTTTATCAATAAATACATTTGGGACTGCTCATCAAAAAGAAAATTCCATCAAAGAAATTTTAAAATCATTTGAAAGCTTATATAATTAAAGAAATGAATAAGATTTTTCTTTATTATGATTAATTTCATATTTCCATTGAAATAAATCTATCCAAACATATTACATTCATTTAAATAATAAAAAAATATACAAAATATCATGCAAGGAAGACACAAATGATATTTTATTCTGCCTAAAAAAAATAATTACACAAAGCCAAATTGAAGACAATTTGAAAATAATTGAGGAGAGGAAAACATGGGACTCCTCTCTCAATTTATCAGACTATTTAAGCGCCTTAAAATTAGAAACTCCGAAATCTTCATAATATTTCCCTAAAATTAAATAATTTGAAATGGAAAACCTCGGCTCATCCCGTGGCCTCAGTACCTCTGATTTAAATCATGCTTCTTCCAAAAGCTCAGACATCGACGAACTCCGCTCTGGCATGAACAACCTAGAGTTGCAGCTTGCTAAATCTAAAGAAGAAAAAGCGCTGATTTTGCACCAATTAGAAGAAACTGCAGATGTCCTTGAGCGGACTCAAAAACAGATTGGTGACCGTGATAACGTTTTACATGAAAAAGATAGGCAAATAAAAGACTATGAATTCCGCTTAGAGCAGCTGCAAAGGAAAAGTCCACATGTCAACCTTGACGTTCTAAGTTTCCAAGCTGAATTGAAAAAGAGAGATGACGAAATTAAAGAACTCAGAGAAATCATCAAAAATAAAGATAAAGCACTTGAGTCTGTATCAGCAAGCTACCACTTAGAGTATCAACGGCTTAGAGATGCAGACGAAAGAATTGTTCAAAAGACCAAAACATTAGAAAATCTGCAGGTAAAAATAAAGGAGAATGAAAGTAGTATCGATAACTTGTATTTATCGAAAAGATCAGAAGGCACAATGATGCTAGAAATCGAGCATTTTAAAGCAGACAACGCAAGACTTATGAGACTGTTGAAGTCCACAAAGGAATTTAAAGAATTCGGGGAGTTTGCAGAAGCCTCAAATGGCGTTAGGTATTTGCCTCAGACAAACCCTACAAGCCATTATGACTGTGTAAAAGCAAAAATAACTGAAGAATGCGACGACTGGATCCCGCTTGAAACTGCAAGATTAGCCAACGAGTTTTTGACTAAATATGGGAACGTTGGGTTTAAATCCCATCACATGAACAGATTTTTGGAAGATTTAAATAAGGCTTGGAGAGCAAGAGAAAAATGTTTGATGAGCATTGTGAGAAGTAAGTGCATGAGAGAAGTCGAAACTCTGAGGAGAAAATTAGCAACAAGGCCATCATATTCTCAAGTGCAATCAGAGACTGAAATCAGTAGACTTAAGACTGACTTGAAGAAAGCTCATAGCGATTTAAGAGGCGGAAGAACTACGTTATATTAAGCTAATAAAATTTAAAAATCAGTGAAAATAAAAATATATAGATTTTCAGACAGATTTTCTATTATAATATTGATAAAAATTCACCATATCTTTATGGTTAAAATTCTGAAATAAGAACCAATCCCAGATCTCTGGCTCAAAATAGCAAAAAATAAATCCATAAAAATATCCTTACTCCCCCCTCCATGAGCATACAAGCCATTGGGAAAAATTACTATTTTTGCCCAAAAGCCCACCCTCCGTGAGCAAAAAAAAATTTTTTTAATATAAACTTTTTATGAAAAAAATTATTGATATATAATTGATAATTAGTATAATGAAATCTCTTGCCAATTCTGTTTAATTTAAAAAACAAAATTGCATTTTAATAATAAATTTTATAAATGAATAAATATTTGCTTCCCAATTTTTGCGAATTAAGATTTTTTAAACTTCGAAAAATAAATTTTACTGTAAAATATATATAATTTAAAAAACAAATTACGAGAGCGACAAAATTTTTTTGTTCACGGAGGGGAGATTAGCCCACCTTCTATACAAGGAGAATTTTTAGGTGAAATAACATTTTAAAATTATCTAATATTAAACCAGCGCTGAATAAAATGTTGCTTTACCCTCAGTTTATTAATACAAAAGCCATGGCAAGAGTGGCAGTAACGCAGGGCTTAGATTAAAATTATTACTCAGAATTGTAAATTAGCAATCTCTTCCGCGGGAGAATGCAGAACCACCCTTTAACTCCCAACCGATGATGTCCTAGCCATCTTATCAATAAGCATTTTAGAGGAATCCTCCAAAGAGTAAGAAACATAAACTGGTCGCATAAGCGGTCAAATCCACATGCCGTTTCTATCCTTGACCAACTGAATTACCCTGAGCTGTAATCTATATTTGCATTTTTCGCAAGGTGCACAAGGAGAACTGAATCACCTATAGCAAAAAAATATGGTGAATCAGTAGCTCCCAGAGAAAACAAATTCCGTACGTAGCCATTTATTATTTCATGGCGGTAACTAAAGGCAGATTTGCAGTGAGTAGTCTTTGTGATGACGGAAATGCTGACAACTCTCGTGACAGCCGAGATATCCCTTTAGTTTATCGATCCATTAACCTCGCAAGTCTGCACCATGCTCAAAGTGAAGACTCTACAGTAACTCTTCAGAGTTCTCCTAACAGCTCGCCTTCATTTAAGCCACAGGTTCGACGATACCATCGAACTTCTACTTGGAATAAACCTACCCAGCCATTGAGAAATAAACAAGTTCAAAATGACCCCTCTGTTTTTGATTTGGCTCACTGTGCATCACAGCTAAACAATAACGTATCAACTATTTAGATCACTGATATGTTAGAAACCCATAAGCGCATGATGATGACTATTTTATCTGATGGAGACGAAACTCCACCTGCGTTTGATATCCAAAAGCAATTGGAAACTTTAGCTAGGCAAAATTCAGAATTGATGTCTGAAAACCGAGAACTTAGAAAGCTGATGAAACGAGTCGACTAGGCTTCACAGAACTTTTTTAAAAAACAAATATTAATATCTATTTTCTAAAATTTTCTTATTCTGAAAATCTTCTATTATCTTTTCTGAGATCATTTCAATAATTTCTAAAGAATTTAAATATTCCCTAATTAATTTCCAAGACATATTTTTCTTATGAACTGGAAGAAGCAATCAGAGATTCTCGAACTTCGTTCACACCCTGAATTAATCCGAAATATATCTATTCTCGCTCACGTTGACCATGGTAAAACTTCTCTTTCTGATAGCTTAATCTCTTCTAACCAGATAATATCCCCAAAGCTCGCAGGAAAGTTGCGTTATCTTGATTCCCGTCCCGATGAGCAAGCAAGGTGCATTACAATGAAATCAAGCTCAATTTCCCTTATTTACCCTATGCAAGAAACCTCCTACCTTATCAACCTTATTGATTCCCCTGGACATGTCGATTTCTCATCTGAAGTCGCAGCCGCTCTGAGGGTCTGTGACGGTGGCCTGTTACTAATAGACGTTGTCGAAGGGTTTTGTGCACAGACCTACACTGTGCTGAAACAGAGCTGGGACGAGGGCATAAGGGTCTGTTTAGTTCTAAACAAAATCGATAGGCTCATAAACGAGCTGAGAATGACCCCAGAAGATGCATATAAGCATTTAAATTCCATTGTAGAAAAGGTAAACGCAGTCGTCAGTGGGTTTTATTACGAAAAAAGAGGAAGAGTCGTAGACGACGAAAGCGACGAAGAAAGCTTCTTTTTTAAGCCAGAGCTTGGAAATGTGGCCTTTTCAAGTGCACTAGATAGGTGGGCGTTCACATTGCGAGAATTCGCAGATATTTATGCGAAAAAAATGGGATTCAACCCTAAAGCTCTTTGCAGCTGCTTTTGGGGCGAGTTTTACTATAACCCGAAAAGCAAAAAAGTCGTCAAAAAAAAATTCAGCGAAAAATGCCAGCCAATGTTTGTACAGTTTGTGCTGGAGCCACTATGGAGAATTTACGACTGCATTATGATCAACAAAAACCCAGAAAAGCTGACATCTATGCTAGAAAAAATCGATATTGCAGTATCTCAAAGAGATATGAGCTACTTGAACAATGAGCCGAGAACTACTTTGCAAGCAGTTATGAGCTCATGGATGCCAATTGATAAATCAATATTGTCGATGATCGTCAGAAACCTGCCAAGCCCTATAAAAGCGCAAGGGGAACGAATAAAAGTGATTGCACCTGCATTAGAAGAAAAATGCCCAGAATTATTTACAAGTGTTTCTGCATGCGACCAAGCAGGGCCGATTTCAGTTTTTGTGAGCAAAATGGTGTCAATTGATCCAAGTATCCATATTAATAGAAAACCAGGCGAGGAAATAGACTATAATGAAACTTTGATAGCTTTTAGCAGAGTGTTTTCAGGGACTTTGACGAGAAATACACCAATTTATGTGATAGAAAACAAAGGAGACGTGATTGAGTGCTTGATTGAAAAATTGTATTTACTTATGGGGCAGTATTTGATACCTGTAGATAGTGCACCTGCAGGGACAATTGTAGGGATTGGCTCTTTGGAGCACGTTGTGTTTAAAACAGGGACTTTATCGTCAATTCCTGACTGTCCTACATTTACGCCTATTCCTCACAAAGCGTCGCCAATAGTAAAAGTTTCAGTACAGCCTGTGAATTTGTATGATATGAATAGCATGGTTCAAGGGCTTCAGATGTTAGACCGATCTGATAACTCTATAGAAGTGTACGTACAAGATAACGGTGAGCATATAATTGCTGTATGCGGAGAAGTTCATTTACAAAGGTGTATAAAAGATCTTGAAGAAAATTTCGCGAAAGTCCCTGTGACTGTTAGTGAGCCACTTGTGAGTTTTAAGGAGACTATTGTGTTGGAAGGGAAGCAATTTACAGATATTACTCCGAATAAGTTGTGCTCAATGACTGTTTCTGCTTATCCGATCCCTGAGCATATTTTGAACTTTTTGGATGAAAAGCAAGAAGTAATGAAACAAATCTTTGGTGTTTTTGCTATGCCGGAGTTATATAAATCTGTATAAGAAAATTTAGCATCTATGCTATATACCATATCAATATAATATATAAGGACCCCCCCCCCCATTTGTCCAATTTTCTAGTGTTTTATCATTTGTCCATTTTTCTAGTTTTTTTTATAGGAAAAAAAAAATTTTTTTAGGACCTCATTTGTCCAATTTTCTAGTCAAAATTTTGATAGAGAAAAAAAATTTTCAGGACCTCAATTGTCTCATTTTCTAGTTTTTTTAAAGTAAAAAACTAGAATTTAGGGCATTCGAAAAAATGCAAAAAAGACTAGAAAATTGGACAAATCATTTTTGACTAGATTTTGGGACAAATGAGGTTCTGAAAAAAAAAAATTCTTATAAAAAAAAGACTAGAAAATTCGACAAATGAGGGTGGGGGTCCTTAGAAAATTCAAGTGAAAATGGTATAAACCTTCTACTGAATTAAAATCTGCATTTATTGAAGAATTCAAAAACCTTTTAACCACTTGCCCACAGCCACTAAAAACCTTAATTGAAGAGCATCTCTTCTCATTCGGCCCTCGCCGAGCAGGCAATAACATGCTAATTTACAAAGAAAAAAAATCCATACTAGAATCGTCCGAGCCTAAAGAAGAAACCAAAGAAGAATCAGAGAGCGGAGACGAAAACGGAAGCTCCACCAATGCATCAAAATTTTCAGGCTGCGACTTTGATTTGCCTAATGCTTTTATCGCAGGCTTTGATCTTGCCAATAACTCTGGCCCACTATGTGGCGAACCCCTTACTCCCCCATCTATCCATGAACGAGCAAATCAATTTTGTTCGCTAATGGAGTAGGGTAGTTTTTAAAATTTTATATATAATTTTATAGTAAATTTTTTTCAAATTAAAACTTTCCCCATTCGTCAGTGTTAGAAATTTAAAAATTTTATGTTTTTCTTTAAGGGTATACCGAAAAAATTTCATAAAATATTTTTATATTAAAAAATTGTTTGTGTGTTATTGGAGGCAGGTTTTTATCAAGAATATATGATTTTTCCGGCGATTTATCTCACTCACGGAAGGGGAGTTAGAGGTGTCTGCTTTGTTATAGAAGAAGTCAAAATTTCAAATTCAGAAGAAACAAAAGATCCATATGGACCTTTCCAAGGCCAAGTAATTTGCACTATGAGAGACGCATGCAGAGGAGCTGTTTTAGCTAATTCTCCACGAATTGTAGAAGGGATGTATGAATGCACGTTTCAGACCACCCAAGAGCACATTGGACGCCTTTATGCTGTTATTAATAGAAAAAGAGGAAAAATTGTGCAGGAAATTTTGACTGAAGGGACTGATATGTACGTGTGTAAAACATTTTTGCCTGTGGTGGAAAGCTTTGGGTTCTCTGATGAGCTGAGGATTATGACGAGCGGAGCTGTAATGCCGCAGCTGACTTTTTCACATTGGCAGATGATTGTGGAGGACCCGTTTTATACCCATAAAACACAAGAGCAGCTGGAAGAGTTCGGAGAGCAGCCGATATTGGAAAACTTGCCGAAGAGCATCATTAATAAGGTGAGGAGGAGAAAAGGACTGGCAACTGATGAAAAGTTAGTTATTCATGCAGATAAACAAAGGACTTTGACTAAAATGAGGTAGAATAGCTAATAAGATTAAATTCGATATGAAAATAAGAGGACTTATCCATGCTTTTTGTTTTAAAACACATTAAATTATTGCTGCTCAAGATCTAATAGCTCTTTCAGCTCTTTGTTTTCTTTAGCAAGCTTTTCCATTTCTTCTAATAAATCATCTTTTTCCTCTTTAACTTTATTTATTTGTTGTCGTAAAGAATTTACTTGCTCAACCATTGTCTGCTGCAGCAGCCCTTTCGAAGAAATCAAGTTTTCAACCTGCCTCTGCGTTTTTTGTTGTTCTTTTTCCATATTCTGCTGTTTTATCAAGCTATTCGCACACTTATTTATAGCTTCATTCATAGCTTCTTTCAGCTGGTCCCTTTCTTCAGCAAGCCTTTCTAAGTCTTCCAGTGTTTTTTCCATCTGCTCTTTCAGCATTTTTTCTGTAATTCCTCCATTATCTCTAATTTCCCCAATTTTGTTTTCATATTCCTCTATCTTCTCTAGAGCTTCTTCTAGCTCAGAAAATAATTTTTTATTTTCGATATCCAAACTCATAATTTTATCTTCTTTTGACTCAATCTTTTTCAGCAATTCTTCGTTTTCTCTTTCATAGTCGTTAAAAGTCTGCCGGGCACGCTAATTAAAAATTACCAATTCATTTTGGGCAATTTCTTCATTTTCTCCTATAAGACCATCTAAATGTTTCCTAAGCCTATTTACTTCTTTGTCAAGCTCTTTTATTGTTTCTAAAGCTTGGTCATATTTTAATGACAATTCTTCACACTGGATTTCTTTTTCGCAGATTTTTTGTTCCAAATCAATAATATTTTTGTTAAATTTTTCTATTGGGATTGAATATTCAGTTTTTCTGCGCTCCATGTTAATTTCTTCTACATACTCTAATAGAGAAAGCTTTTCTTCAGATTAAGATTAAGATTAAGATTAAGATTACGCTGGGTATTTAAAGTCCCTACTACGTCCGAGGTCGCATGCCACGGTTTTCCGTGTGGTGGCAGAGCGTTCACCAAGCCCGGGCCGAAACCCCCGGTTTCTCGGTAGAGGTATTGTCAAGGGCCGTCTTATACCGGCTTTGCTGACCACCTCCATTTCCAACTTGGATCGTCGCCTAAGTTTACGCCAACTCCGCTTCGTCGTCCGCCAGATCTGCCCATTGAAGGGCACCTTTTCAACTGGAGAGACCCCCGTCTCGATGTCTAATTCGCCTCCCCTCTTTTCCGGTCATCCCGAGAAAGAACTCAACAGCTTTCGCCATTCGGGGCGAGCCACTAAAGCAGCTTAGGCAGGTAATTCACCCTGCCTCATTTCGGGCACTCACTGGGCTGAGCGCTGCTGGCAAAAAGAAGTCACGAATAACTGCCCATGGGTCTGGTCGCAAAAACAGCGGTTCTCGCGCTTAGGCCTCTCGCTTCGAGGTCCCGGACGTTGTTGGGCTAATTCCTGGCTCCAAAAACCATGCCCGGATATACATGGGTAACCACCACTGGGAGGTGGGTCGGTCGCCATACGCCATTTTATGTATATGCTTTTCTTCAGATAAATCTTTGTTTTTCTATATAAAAATTACCTCGACTAGCTTTTCTTTTTCGCTTTTAAGCATAGCCACTTTTTCTTCTAGTTGTGATAGCTCTTCAGTGTTGCTTTCTCTGATTACTTTTAGTTCTTCAATAGTAGCTAATGCTGCATCTAGCCTGGTTTGGAGTCTTTCATTGTTTTCTAGTCATTTCTTTTCTCGTTCTTCTGATCTTTCAATGTCAAGTCTGCATTGCCCAACATCATATAGGAGGCTTGTTTTCATATCCCCGGCTAATTCAAATTCGTTGGATTTTAGAGCAAGTGCTTTGCTGAGAACTATGATATGATCTCTGAGTTTTTCAATGGTTTCATTAAGCTCATAATTTTCTTCTTCGAGCTTGCTTTTTTGGTCCTTTAAATATATAAGCCTTTCAGTTTTAGGGAGATCTCCATTGCCTTTTAGGCCCATTGCCACTTTATTTTCGAGCTTTCGTATATAAGCTTTGCTTTCATTTAGTTTCTCTTCTAAACTGCATTTATCATCTACAACCCTTTCTAGCGCTTTTTTATTTTTAGCTAGTTCTTTTTCTTGGTATTCTAATTTAGATTTTAATTCTCGTTGATCTTCAAGGGTTTCCTCGTATTTCTCAGTAAGTTTTTGGTACTGCTTTTGAAGTTTGCCATAAGAATTAGCAAAAATCCTGTCCTGAGGTGAAGCTTTTACAATAGATACAGTTTTTCTTTCAACTTGGCGTTTTTGAAATGATAAATTTGCGTTCATTTTCTAAAAAATTAATAAAAATCTAAACTTTAAAATTCACAATCATTTATTAATATTCCTTAGCAGTCCCAAATAATTGCCTATGCAATCGGCTGAGCTTTTCTTAGAACTAAATTTAAAATATGGTTATAAATGCTTAGACTTGTGCAGAGATTCCTGAGAACTGACTGACAGACTTTGAGAGTATGCCTTATTTAGAGAAACTTAATAGAGAGTTGCGATTTGAAGAAACCATCAAACTCTATGAAGATTTGCCTGGAAAACTCAAAGATGACCCTAGCATAAGAAATCAATATCTCCATGCCAAGTCTGTATTAAATCTCATAGATTCCCATAAACCTCCAGAAAAAAGCGCTCACACTCCCCGTTGAAAATATATACATTAAAATAGCGACACGTTTTAACCCACCCTCTTGTCTAGCAGTCCAGACATTAGGGCTACGGTGAACTGGGACGGACTCCTAGCCGAGAATCAAGTGCATGCTGAAGAGATGTGTATCCGGGTAGGCTTTGGCTGCTTTCCTGTTGTTAGAAATAGAGGCGCTCAAAAACTTCCTTTGGATCCGAGGGCCATGGGGATTCCTCTACCGAAAAATTGGTGTTTTTCGCCCAGGCCGCATGGGAATAGTCTTTGGCACTTCTGGACCCAACAGACTCCAAGGATCCTTAGAATCAAGCTACTCCAATCTCCGTAGCAGGGCCGAAGAAATCCATAATTACTTAAGACCGAAACTGCAAGGAGGAGATAGAAGGTATCAGAAGTGTCATCCATCATTGTGGGAAAGACCTCTGGGCTGGAGTCGAAAAGCAGTTGAACCTCTTGTACAGGAGGTCTTTGGTGACTGCGCTGCAAAATGGCTAACCCTTAGCTTTAATAGCCTAACCCTACGTTGAAAATTCAATATTTGCTAAAAATTAATTTTTCTACAAATATAATAATGATTATTATTTTAAATGTTTAGGTTGCATTTTTAAAAAAAATTCAATTTTATAAAAATTTAAAAAAAAATTAAGAGGTGGAGTCAGCCTAAAAAAGCCAAAGAAAATGCAGAATATGACTCTGATTGGCGCGAAGAAGAAGCAAAAAAAGAAAGAGATAGAAGCGCCTACGCAGTCGGCACAGAAGAAAACCCTCTTCTAGTCAAAAACGTTGAAATATGGGAAAAATCCAAATGGTCGAACCTCTTCACGTTCAGTAACGGCCTGACGCTACTTGTCATAGGCTCCTTTATTTATTTATTTTACGGAAATCCTGGAGTTAACATTTTTGAGGCAAAATCACATATAATTATTGCAGAAAACAGCCCTTATACTTTTAACGATGTAAAAGGGATTGATGAGTGCCGAGCTGAGCTAGAAGAAATCGTACACTACCTTAAACATATGGAAAAATACGAAAAAATCGGTGCAAAAATGCCTAAGGGCTTACTTTTAACAGGGAAGCCAGGTGTTGGGAAAACTCTTCTAGCAAAAGCTATAGCTGGAGAAGCAGGGGTAAAATTTTTTTACTCCTCAGGCTCAGATTTTGAAGAAGTCTTTGTTGGCCTCGGCGCTAAAAGGGTTCGTGAATTATTTGCAACAGCTAAAAAAAATGCTCCTTGCATAGTTTTTATCGATGAAATTGACGCGCTAGCTTCAAGCCGCCGAAACAGAAGCCAGAACTACAACAGACAAAGCTTGAATCAGCTACTAGTAGAAATGGATGGTTTTGACCCGAATCAAAACATCTTAGTTATAGCTGCCACAAACCTGCCTGGAGAGCTAGACGATGCTTTAAAAAGGGCTGGGAGGTTTGATAAAGTAATTGATGTTCCATTGCCTGATATAAAAGGAAGAGAAGAAATATTAGAACTATATTTGGCAAAAGTGTTTTACGATAAAAGTGTGGATAAAAGCATTATTGCAAGAGGAACTGCAGGGATGACGGGGGCTGATTTAGCGAATTTGGTGAATTTAGCGATGCTGAATGCAATTAAGGAAGGGAGAAAAATCTGCTCAGCCCATGATGTAGATGTAGCAAGAGACAGGATTCTGATGGGAGTGGAAAGAAAGACGATGGTGCTTACACCTGAAGAAAAAATGAATACAGCGCTACATGAAGTAGGACATGCACTGGTAGCTGTTTTGTCAGAAGGAGCTGAGCCTCTTCATAAAATTACAATACTCCCCAGAGGCCATGCACTAGGTGTTACCATGCAGCTGCCTAAAAAAGATATAGCACTTATAACAATATTAATTTCTCTAGAAATAAAAGTTATTTTTAAGCTAATCGAACAAAATAATATACCTTTATGGAAAGCCGAAACAAAATCCTCGCACAAATTGACGTCGCAATGGGTGGAAGAGCAGCTGAAGAATTATTCTTCGGGAAGCAAAGAATGACTGAAGGCTGCTCCAGCGACTTATCAAATTCTACACAGATTGCTTACTATCACGTAAGAGGAGGACTTTTCAACGAAAAAACAGGCCTCGTCGACACTAACGCATTAAGAAACCAATGAGGAGGCCGAAGCGAAGGGCTCAAGCAAAGAGACATGATCGACAATGTAGTCAAAGAAATCCTCGACGACAGCTACAAAAGAGTTCTCGAGAAGCTTCGGACCCAGAAAGACTTGATTCAGAGAATTGCCAGCGTTTTAGTTGAAAAAGAAACCTTAACAGGCGAAGAGTTTTCTAATATGGTGAAAAATGGTTCATAATTTATATTGATAAATCCTTATTTACCAGTAGTTAAATAAGTGAAACTTAAATAACTTATGGGAAGATATATTTATATATCTGAAATACCAAAATCACTATATGGAAAGCTATGATAAATAATGAAAGTGGCCGCGTCGCAAACTTGAAATCGTAAATGGACTTTCCTGGGAGCATTTCACGAGCTGCCAAATGCATAAGTGGGATAGCGACTGGGATCATTAAAATTCCGAAAAGCCCTGCAAAAGATGTGACATTTCCCTATGTAAAAATTACTAACTCCCTCTTTCCGTTTACAGAGGGGGTTGATTTTTTTAAAATTTATATAAAAAATTTTTAGTTCAGAATTTAGAAAAAATCCCAATCCGAAATAATTTTAAAAGCAACTATTAATTTAATTTGTAAAATTTATGTTTTAAAATGTAAGCTATTTAAAATTAAATAGAATTAGTGATATTTCACTATAATAATTATCATTTATGCACCAAATTTTTTTTTTATATTAAAAATTTTTTGTTTGCACACGGATTGGAGGGAGTAAGTCGTATTCATAAAATGCAATAGCAATTGGTAAAAACACTGTGGAGAGCTTTATTGCATAATCCCCTAGCCTGGCTGATTTATGCTCGACAACTCCATAAAAATAGGTGGTTAAGTTGTGAGAAACTGCAATAGCTAATAATGGGAAATTCGATAAAATTCCTATAGAAGGGTATAAGACAATAAAGTATGCTATAGGATAAGTCCACCATGGTCTCTCGCTTTGGGAGTACCCAGCTGAATATTCTCTGAAATCTATGTTAAAAAAGCCTTTTACGTCAGGAATTGCAGCAGGCATAATAAGGCCTACCATCATATAGATGATAAGTGAGGCCACCAGGACCCTTGTTAAAATATTTTGGATACTTTTTGGCTTTTTTTCAACATTTTCTAAAATACTTGGCAAGAATGCGTGATAAATCGCAGCAAATAAAATTATAGGGAAGCTAACACCTACATTCATATAGTCAGCAACTTTAAAATCTTCAGGCCTAGAAGGTTCATCGCTGCTTATGTCTTTTCCTACAATAAGACTAATTATAGCTAAAATTGTGGATAATAATAAATTAAATAGCGTTCCACAAATCATAGCGTTTTGTATGTATTTTGACTCTCTCATACCTATAATTGTAAGATAAGTCACAATTACTGAAAAAACTACTAAATAAATCCAATAGGAGCTTCTGCAATCATTAAAAAACCCAACTGACTCATAAATATTGCATGGATCCATCAATCCAATATCAAGATTTGACGTCAGCGAGCTTGCAAAGATTACTGCATAGCTTACCAAGCTTAAAATTCCTAAAACCCAAAAAATAAACATATAAGCGCTTTTCCAAAAATTTCCAAATAAAATATTGATCATCTCACATAGGTCGACTCTGCGGTCTGTTATAACAGGAGGGTACTCTTCATGTGAAATTAACCGAGACTCCAGCTCATTTTTAGACTTTGATCCAAAAATAACTGATTGGAATGAAGGTCTTGAGAGATTATGGTTGTTGTCACGCAGCTGAATCAGGGCTTCACAGCGGCTCATGACTTCTACCAGCTGCCTGCCTCAGTAGTAGCAGAGTAAGCAGCAAAATATTGTATAGAGACCTGAGAGAAGTCACCCACTCATGCGGAAGGAATAGGGAAGACTGAGAATTCCTGCTCCCACTACTACACTAACAGTAAATAAAAAGCCAGTTATTGCTCCAAAGGAAGATTTTGGTTTGTTGGAAGAGTTCTCTAAATCTTTCATTGAAGTTATTTTTATGGAAATTATGGTAGATTTTGCAAGTAAAATAATGACGTGATAGATAATCCAGACATGAAAAAATTTAAGCTAAATCTTAGATAATAAATTATTTTCAAGATTTCTATTAAATATAGATGCTTTTGATTAAAAAAATAAACTGTGAATAATTGATTTGCACAATTAGAAAAAATAAGCTTATTCTCCTTTTGTATGCTTTTCTTCTATTTTTTGGAGTTTGAAAAATCATTCTCATATTAATGCATAGTAGTGATTGCTCATTTTCTGTATTTATTTTATTTGATAGACGTATAATTGATATATTAGCAAACGTTGTGTAACATTATCCATTTTTTACTCTGCAAAATTTTGTATTGTCATCAAAAATTTTTAGTTCCCAGTTTAAGATATTTTGGAGTTTTATATTGATATTAATTATTTATTCTATTCAATTGAATTCATCGCAGTGTTATTCTCAAATTTATTTTTCCATTAAGCACCCTTCGGAATCAATTCTATTTTTCATCCTAAAGTAGGATTTGTTAGATTGAAGTGAGGCTTTCCAAATCCTTTCCATTGACTTTCGAGCCGGGCTTGTTATTTGTGCTGATGAGAAAGGCCTTGATTTTTGCAACTTTTTATGATTTTCCTTAATCCCCTTCTTGGGAAGAAGAACTATTGGAAAAATCCTGTTTTGGGGAACACTTTCTCAATTAGCGAGCAAAAATAATAATTATTATTATTTTTCTCTAAAATACTGGGTGTATAAATACTAATCACTAAAATCTTAGATTTTAAACAGTTTATTCTGAAACATAACGCTTTTACATCAAAATTACAAATTTTGGAAAAAAAGTTAACCCTCCATAGCGAGCAAAAAATTGTGTACTCACGGAGGGAAGAATTAGAATTTGTTTTCATACTCAAAATCGGTAGCACGAATCCATTAATTTCGAATAATGATGTAGGAGAAATTTCGTCTTTAGTTTTATTCTGAGGATATCAAAATTCACTTGTTTTTAGCTTCAAAGGTGGAATTTTGATTTTTTGGAAATTGCTATGGTGTTTTCTCTGCTTTGACTGAGTAGTTTGTGGACGCTTCGGAACGACAGCGTCATAAGGATCTAGATTTGTGGTAAAAATCGGCTTCCTGAACTTGCTCATGTCTTTTGGTTGCAAATAGTTTATTAAAAGTTGAATAAATCAATATTCTTTTAATTATAGAATTTGAATAAATAAAATCTAACATATTAATTATTTAGTGCTAGTTTTTATATTGATAAAATTTGTTACCTCTTCATTATAATTTTATATGGCTAAAACAAATATTTGAAAATGATCTCATTTTTAAGATAAATTTTAATTAAAAATGCGGAGGGGAGCTATGTTTATTTTTTCCTAGGAATGCCTTCATTAGAATTTACTGAGAAAATCACTCAATGCTTCTTGAACTTCTTTGCTTTTTTCTATATACAAGTAATGCCCAGTCCCTAAAATCACTTCTATTTGCAACTCAGGCAAATATTTAGAATACAAATCTTTCACATCAATTCCAGGGAACTCACATGTGTGCCTTGATTTTTCCCCAACAATAGCCATAGCTGGGCCATCAAAGCTTCTGTCATTTTCCTCTCATTTTGGTATTTCTTTGAGTCCTTCAATTAAATAGTCCACATTTACTCTTCACTCAAAGCTATTTGCCCCATTCATCCTCAAATTAGACGAAATTAAGCTTGTGATGATAGGATTTTTGAATTTTTTGTCAATTTCTTCTTCGTATTCTTTTCTATGCTTGCCTTCTAATTTCAAGTCTTTCATAAAATACAAATAAGAATACAGATTTTCATAGTGACTGGTAAGAATATTTGTGTAATCTACAGGAGCAGCATCAATTACGACTACTTTATTATTTTTTATAAAAATAATTGTCCAATTTTTCTAAAAAAATATTGTTTTAATAAATTCACCTTTATAAAGTATAAATCTTCATGGCTGCAGCCCACTTGCGTATATCGCTGTTTTAGCTCCCATAGAATACCCTACAATTGACGCATATTTAATCTCATGCAAATCCATAAACTCAAACAAATCTTTTGCCAGTAAATCATAACCCATCCCTAAAGAATGAAAAGATCTCCCATGATTTCTTGCGTCCAATAAATAATGACTCCCATGAATTCCTCTTGCCAGCCCACTTATATTCAGCCCATTTCCTAGAAACCCATGCAGTCAGATTATAGGATCTCCAGTCCCGAAATGGAAAAAATGCTGCTGCATTTTTAAGGTAAAATTATTTAGTTGCAGAAATGGGCTGCGTTTTCCTTATAAGTCTTATAGCGGTTTTTCTGACTTTTTTGCAAATTTATGAACAAGAGAGGCTGGAAGAGTCAAGCAGGGATTTAACAATATGGATGCAGTCCTTTAGAAACCCGATTTTTGATATTTTTTTTGAAATTATAGGAGAGATTACTAGCGTTTGCTGCATTGTGATAGCTGGGACTCTTTATCTGATAGGGAATAGGGAAACTGGCTTAATAGGACTTATTGCGTCCCTTTTCGGGGTTGCACTGTCAGGATTTCTTAAAATTTTGTTCGGCCACCCAAGACCATTTTGGAAATATTCAGAAATAAAAGGAATCCAATGCCCTGAAGATTTTGGGACGCCTTCTGCGCATGCTTTATCTGCAGGAGCTGGATTATTGGTACTGGGAATAATGTGGCTCAGGTCAGGAAATCAAAATTCAAAAAAAGTGATGATAATGCTGTGCGGGTTAATGATTACTGCAATTGATCGAATTTTTCTTGGTGCTCATTTTTATTTTCAAGTGATTTTAGGGTATATTTTTGCTGGATTAGTGGCTAGTATTGTCTTACATCCAAAAGTTTATGCTTGAATATATAAGATACCAAATGATATATCAGTAGTAATAAAGAGTCATATAATAATGATTGGGTTTATAGCAGCGTCAATTATAACAGCATTTTATAGGAAAAGTAAATGAAATGATTCATGGTCTATTAATTTTCAAGTCCAATGTGGAAATGAGCTAACTGTTAATGATGCTGTATATGAAAATTTTACAGATGCAGCTTTGGTGTGTTTAGTAGCTGGGATGATTATGGGACTTTTTATACTTACTCCCCCCATCCTTGATCCCACGATTGACTGTAAAAATTCCTAAAAATTTGGGGAAATTAACCCCCATCCTTTGATCGAACGATTTTCATATCATGCAAATTTTTATATATATAAAAAAATATATTAGTTATCAAAAGCTTGGGAAGATGTACATAATGAAGTTGTTTTCAGAGACTTTGAGACGACAGAAAGCTTCGGAATCAACCACCTGAAGTTATTTAGTCATCAACCAGGCTTAAAAACTCAATAATCTAATAAAATAGAGATTCTTTAAAATTTAAAAAAAAAAATTAATTCAATAAGGAACAAATTAAAATTTATACAGTTTAAAGGTGTGACTAATAAATCAAAATATTAAAAATTGGTATTTTTATGAAATTATTCAATTTTTTGCTGTAAAAATAATTATTAAATACTCTTAACCCTCTTATTTAAAAGTAAATAAAAAAATATATATATATTTTTCATTTTATATATAAAATTTTTTTCCCAAAAAATTTGTTTTTTAACCCCCCCCTCCTTGATCGAACAATGGCGAGTCGTTCGATCAAGGATGGGGGGGAGTTAAAGAAAAGGAAAAACCGAAATTTAGTTATGGGTTAGTTTTTTTGTCAATGTTTTTCAACGTCGGCATCATGGGTACAATGAAGGTTTCTGATATTTTGATAATAAAATTCACAGACGATTTTTGAAGAATTTTATTGATATGCACTCTTCATTATTGCTGCGGGGTAATACACTGCTACTTGACGCCTGTTATTATTAATTTCTTACATATTGCTAAGACCCCAGCAAAAGAGTTTTTGAAGCTCCAAGAATTAGAAAAGTGTGAAATTATAGAAAATAAAAAAGAGCTGTAATATATATACCTATAATATTTTACACAAGGCTAAATTATAGAATAATTCTTACTAATATTATCATATTTTTCCATCTACAAGAATTTGTTGAAAATTTTTCTGGATAAGAAATTAGAACTAAATAGAATAAATTAACAATAAATTAAAATAACGACGATTTTTCAATTAAAATTGATAAAAATTAAAGTTACAAAACTTCTAGTCTATTCTTTCTCAAAGGCGTCAGCAAACTGTACTTCAAAGAATTTCTTTTTTCTTGGGAAGTCGACCTGCATCTCTTTTTTAATTCATTTTTTTGTGATAAATTCAAGTCAAAGGTATCTTGAATTTTTGTTCGATTTAAAAGTGGCTTCTCTATGGTCAATAGCCTATAATTTATTTTTTTAGGTAGTAACTCCAATGGTTTTTTGTGTATTTTATGATTTAAATAAATTCTTTTCATAACGTCTTCATTTCGCTCAAAAATCATCGTATTTTCATTTTTTGCAAGTTTTGCAAAAGAAGAGATTGTTTGGTGACTCTCAGTGTTGATTGCATTTGATTGATTTGATGCACTAGAAACCACCGCTCTATTATTTGAAGGAGTAAAACAAAGCTGCATCCTTGGTTTGATCTTGTAGTAGTTTTTTATATGGGAATGCTTTACAGTTTGAGACATTGTTTATAAATGTCTTAGAATTATTTATAAAACTTGAATATATTTAAATAGAAAAATAAATTAATTATGCTCATTTCTTATATAAATAAAAATCCAAACCAATATCATCTTATTTTTCTATTATATTTATACATCGCAATATAAAAATGTTTAATCATATCAAGCGCTTCTATTCCTCAGCTCTCAAAAAGTACACAGATATGCTCAGCAGCTCTGATTTCTTAGAAGCGTACTTGCCTCGAACCCTAAATCACCATTCTCAATTATCAAAACTGATTGATTTCCCTTCAAATGATTATGATATCACCAGCATCTCAAAAAGCATATGTGAGCCTTCATATAATATCCTTGATAGAAGGGGAAAAATGTGGAGAGGGTCTTTATGTCTTTTAACTGCTGACATTTTCCAGCATGATCCTAGAGAAATTTTACCGCTGGCACATTCTATTGAAGTTATACATAATGCTTCATTAATATGTGATGACATTGAAGACAAAAGCGAAAAAAGACGAGGGCTCCCGAGTACTTATAAAATATATGGACTTGACATTGCACTTAACTGTGGGAATTTTATGTATTTTCTTCCTCTAACTCCTTTCCATGAGGGAACAAAAACATTTTAAGTTCACTGAGGGAGCTAATTGTTTTCTAAAAAAAATATATATAAAATTTTATAGTAATTTTTTTTCTTCAAATTTAGGATTTAATTCGAAATAATTTCAAAACAAATTCTAATTTAATTTATAAAAATTTATATTTTAAAAAACGTGATTTGTTTTAAACTAAACAGAAAAGCTAGAGATTTAATTATAATAATTATCACTTAATATCAAAATTTTTTTCATAAAAAATTTTATATTAAAAAAATCTCTTGTTCGCTCATGGAGGGAAAAATAGATTTTTCCAACGGTTTGCTCGCTCACGGAGGCGTGATTAAGGATAATTCATGATCTGGCAATTGATATTACACGTAAAGAAAAAATCCTGAAAACTTATAGTGAAGAAATGCTTCAGCTGCATCTAGGACAATGCACTGATATATCATGAAATAATAATAAATTTTATATTCCTTCAGAAGAACAATATTATCGTATGGTTTTCAATAAAACCTCAGTCCTCGTCCGAATGTCAGTGAAATTTGCATTAAGCTATTTCGGCCACGATGATGCAGTTTCTAGCGCACTTATACATTATGCTGAAAAAATAGGCGTTTCTTTTCAAATTATGGATGATATACTAAATCTTGTAAGCCCAGTATATAAAGAAGGGAGAAATTTTTTGGGTGAAGATATTACAGAAGGCAAAAAAACGCTGATAATAATAAGAGCTATTTCGCAGTCTAAGAATAAAGCTGAAAGGCTTAATGAGATTTTAGCTATGCATACAAATGATATAGGATTAGTTAATGAGGCGCTTGATATAATAAACAGCACCGATGCAATTGATTATGCCAAAAATATGGCGATTAGACTGAAAGATGAAGCTTGGGGCCCTTTGAAAGAACTTCTGCCCAATTCAGAAGTAAAAGAGAGTTTAGAAAGTTTAAGTGAAATGGTGTGCACAAGAGTCAAGTAAAATTAATTTAATACAAATTGATTCAATTGGAAGTTTGAGAAATAATTGATTCTTCCAGCAATCTTAAATGCAAGTATTGTATTAATTGGCTAATAATTATCAAATAATGGTATTTTCTTACTCCCCCTCCTTCCATGAGCAAACAAAATTTTTTTCTTTACTCACTGAGAGAGGAAGGAGTGAAAAATTTTTAAATATTATCATTGTATATAGCAATTATATTTATTGATTTTGCTTAAAATTAAGACAAGGCCTAAGTTTTCTAAAAGCTATGAGGCGATTAAATCATTATATGATTAGTATATATTATAGCCAGCGAAGTCCCAAGAATTGCCCCAATTATTGTATCTGAAGGGAAATGGCACATATAGTAAATTCTCGAAAACATAGTTGAGACCGTCATAATAAAGCAAACCCACAATGGAAATTCAAAGTTAAGGTGTAAGAAGCTCCAGAATAAAGCAGCTTGTGCAGAGTCTCCAGATGGCATTGAATGGTTTTTTTCTATTCCTCTCAGATTGTATTTTAGGATTTCTGTTCTCTTCGAGCAGGCTTCTGGCCTAGGCCTTGAAATAACTTTTTTGGAAATCAAGGTAAGAATGAGGGTCAGAGCAGGTAATCCCACGCAAGCAAAAATTGATGCTGGGTTTAAAGGCAAATACCAAAGTACACAACCCCATAGAAGTAATGCCTGCTTATTGTTGAAGGCACTAGCAAAGAGAGCCATGATGTATTGAAATACTCCCCAGGCTTGTGTATGCCTGTTGACTATGCTACAGAATTTTTGGTCAAAAGAATGGATAGCTCTCTTGATACCACAAATTGACATCATTTCTTGCTTTTTTAAAATGGTTATCATGTTTGCGAATTTTCGCAACAATAAATTAAAGAAATTAATATAGGGTGATTCAATATATTATTTATAAATATTATCATGTATCGGGGACTTATAAATATATAAAGAATTATAATAATTTTATAGCATAGACCTAATCAAAATCAATGGTCATCCTTTTTAAAGGATACAATTTTCCAATAATTTTTATTTTTATTGCCATAGCTCTTTTTAAGTGCTCACAGTCTGGGCCACATTTTTTATAGTCGTGGTCTTTCATGCACTGGTTTATTAACTTTCTAGAGGTGGGGGAAAGAGCTTGGTATTCTGCATTATTATTAAAAATTGATACTAAGCAAGAAGGAATTTTCCCTTCTTTCTCTTCTTCAAGAATTTCTTCTAACTCCCTCCCCCCCCTCCGTGAGTGAACAAAAAAGTTTTGTTCACTCACGGACTTAATTTTTTTTTTTTAAAAAATTTATATATAAATTTTATAAAAAATTTTTTTTTTCAAAATTTGAAAGCAAATATTAATTTAATTTATAAAATTTATATTTTAAAAAGCAATTCGTTCAAAATTAAATAGAATTTAGCTCTAGATTTCATTATACTAATTATCATTTATATATCAAAATTTTTTTCCATAAAAAATTTTTCTATTAAAAAAATTTTTTGTTCACTCACGGAGGATGGGTTTTTGGGCAAAAAATAGCGATTTTTCTAATGGTTTTGTTCACTCACGGAGGGGGAGAGTAAGTTAATTTTGGGAGGATGTGGCAAAGTTTTATTTAGGTTTTCAGAAGTCAAAAAAGTTTTCTTTAATTTGCTTTTTAACGTAGAAGATTAAGATTAAAGATAACGGGCTTAAGATCTTCCAGATTTGAAGCCTCCGCGCGCTTGCAACAACTAGACCCTGTTTGCTAAGTAGACACCCAGGAAAAAAGAATCTGTAGTCCAAAACCTCCCTTATAGCTAATGCCTGGAACGGAATTGGTACCAACTGACTCCCAAGGCTGCCGCTCTATACGGCCACTCTTGGCAAGCTAAGGATTAGGGATAAAGTCTTGGCCTTGGATTAAGCTATAAAACCATTTAGCATCAAAGTGGTGTATCGTCAAAGGCATATTTCGTCGCCGCCACCATATTAATTATTTTAAAGTAGAAGGATTTTTACTTTTGCCAACATGAGGCAAGCTATCAAAATTCTGTGATTCATGAATTAGTATGGCTTTCAGGTTTTCGCTGAAGCTATCGTAATGACTGTCTTTTAACCCCAGCAGATCTTTATATTTTTGAAATAAAATCATCTGCTCCTTATCTAGTGTAATTACTAATGCTTTTTCCGCTTTTTCTAAAAGCTCATTCAATCTCTCTAATTCAGTTGAAAATTTTTTTGATATTTCCCCACAATCTCCTGTCCTATGGCCATGAAGCAAACTATTTTTTTCGTCCAAACTTCTATTCATATCATCTTTTTCATAATTTTTTGACAATTTTTCATTTTTAGATGCCTGCCTCATTCTAATCCTTTTAGGATCATCATTTTCCTCTAAATTTTCATCCAAATAAGTCGATCTTCCTCTGCTCCTATTCGTCATTGCCTTTTGATGAGAATAAGATCCATTTCTACTTCCTTTTTTCTCATTAAAATTCACAATTGACCCTTCGATCCTTTCTTCATCGCTTTCCCTAGCTTTTTCAAGGCCATATTTTTTAATAATTTCATCGCTATCAATTCCAATATATACGAATTTTTTCCCATTAAGTTGATACCATGCATCTTCAATTTGCTTATTTTTTTCTTCAGCGATCCTCCATAGCACACTTTTTTGGAAATAATCCTCTTTTATTCGCTGAATTTTATTTCTCTTCCCTATAAGTTTGATCTTTAAGCCCTCATTTTCTTTTTTTAAATTGCTTATGACTATTTTATTTTTGTCGAGTTTTTCTTTGGCTATTTCATTTATGATTTTTTCTGATCTCAATTCATTGGAAATTTCAGTTATTTTTACTTTTAGAACAACAATTTCATTAAGGCCGAGAGCTTCAGTCAGTTCTTGGATTTTGGAGTCTTTAAGCTTTATTTGTTCTTCAAGCTTTTTTTTGTCTTCAAGGAGAAAATCGTGCTTGCGCTTAATTTTGAGAAATTCTAATTCTTTTTTCTCCAGCATACCTTCTAAAATCGATCCTTTTCTATGCTCTAATCCAATATAATCAGCTTGGCATTCTTTTTCTGCGACTTCAATTTCTTTTTTAATCCTTTCATTCTCAAATTTAATTTTTAAATCATTTTTTAAATTTGCAACTCCGATTTCAAGCTCTTTAGCTTTTTCTTGGGCGTCAAATTTCATAAAATCAGGGGTTTCTATGGGGCTTGGGACATCAGTATGCATTTGGCATAATGAGTCATAGAGGTCTCACAGCTGGCTTGTGATTGTGGTGAATTTGAGGTTTTGCAGTTTTTCGCCTAGTTCTTTGAGAAAATTGAGGTCAGGGGTTTCTCCTCCATTTGTTTTTTCGATTATTTTCAGCGGTAAAGCTCCTGTTTGGGTTCAGTCTTCTTTGGAGTTATGCTTCTCTGATTTTTTAAAAGACTCGATATTTTTTATATTTTTTTATTTGTTAAAAAACCTTGAGAAAAATAATGTGAAGATTAAAGACATACAATGTGCTAACTCCCCCCCCCCCCTCCGTGAGCGAACAAAACCATTAGAAAAATCGCCATTTTTTGACCAAAAACCCACCCTCCGTGAGTGAACAAAAATTTTTTTAATAGAAAAAATTTTAATGGAAAAAAATTTTTGATATATAAGTGATAATTAGTATAATGAAATCTAGAGCTAATTCTGTTTAATTTTAAACAAATTGCGTTTTAAACATAAATTTTGCAAAATTAAATTAATATTTGCTTCCCAATTTTTGCAAATTAGGATTTTTTTAATTTCGAAAAAAAAATATTTTTTATAAAATTTATATATAAATTTTTTTTAAAAAAAAAAAATTAACCCCCCCTCCGTGAGCGAACAAAATTTTTTTGTTCGCTCACGGAGGGGGGGGGGGGAGTAAGGCATAAATGTTTTTTGATATTATGATATGCTTTTTTATAACCAATAACTCCTCTTATAATACAATTTCCAAGCGTATTATCTTTTTGTTTAGCACAAATTGCAAGATTTTCCATATACTCCTGATATTTCTCAAAAACTTGACTGATCAGCTTAAAATCCCTAATATCAGCTGCTTTAAAACTTTCTAACTCCCCTCATTTTTTCGAAAATAATATATTTTACTTATTGGCCCAAAAGAATAATTTTTCCTCAATATGATCACTGGAGTAAATCAATTTCGAACTTATCAAGATCCTTATCAAGTCTGGTAAGCTCTGAATTACAAAATAATTCAGAATATTTTTTATATGGAGAACTTGAAAACGCAACTGGACTCATCTCTATAGATGGGTCAGTGTTTACAATTTCTGCTGAAATTTCGTTTAAATTGAGGAATATGCTGTTCGATTTCTTTGAATTCCTTCTATTGGTAGCAGTAATTGACCTGGCTGCAGCTCTTTTTTTATTTAAATTTGGGAAGCTTGGGTCATGCATGTCAAATTAATCATAATTTCATTTTTCATTTGCAATTTATCCTGATTTATATGTATAAAAATAGCTTTACTCAATAAAAATTAATTAAGAAGGTTTAATATTCTGAGTTACTTGCAGATAGTCTGTAGAAATACAAAATTTATTATAAATTCGTCAGCAATATAAGTTCGGTTAGACAAATTAAATATGGGCTGTGGCGCAAGCAGTACAAGGACAACTCCAGGGTTTCAAGCTGTCATCGTGACTTTTTATCTAGGTCAAAAAGAAATATTCGATAAAAGTTTACAGAACTTTGAATGACGAGCCATTAGATTTTTCTGTAACTTCTGAATTTGATGAGATACCACTGCCAACACTTATGAACATAATTTCGTTTGACAAGGATACTGGCGATAGCATTGATGCGAATTTTATGTCAATCTATGATAAAGAAAATGATAAATTTGATTACGTTGTTCAAAGACTCCTGGGAATTGAAGTTGAAAATCTCAAAGATCCAATGAGCGGAAATATGTGGGTGCCTTACGTCAAAGGAAACAAACTTGACTGAAACAAAATTTGCAATGATGAATTTAAGGTAAAACCTGAAGATGAAATAGTGTGGCGATTCCAAAAATTTAATGAAGAAGCTGAAAATCAAGTAACTTCTCAGGGGTAAATATAAATGATAAAATCATTAAATTATAATTAATTCATAGAAAGCCAGTATTAGAAGGTATTTTTTGAGATTTATCTCAAGTCTTTGATAGACTGGAGAAATAGCTAGAAGGTAGTATCATTTATCTATAAAGAAGAGAGTAACTAAGGCAATTAAGCCAATTTTAATTATTTAAATTAATTCTGAGTATTCTTGCTTACTGGTTTATTCATTGCTTAAGTGCATTATTTGAAATAAATAAATCTTATCTTATGTCTGATATAGATATCTTTGAATATTTATATGGCAAGCTTAAGCAATTATCTTGTAGATTATATAGTAGTAGCATGTGCAGCTGGATTATCATCTCAATTAGATAAAATTATTTTTGCACGCTTATCTAATCTATGATTCTAGGAATGTTAAACGGAATTATTTTGTAATCAATAGCAAGCGCATAGCCCCATTTAGTGCATATCTTAGTAATAAATTTTGATAATAAATGCCAAGTTTTTTGCCAAAGATGAGAAAATTTTGGGCTAATTTATATCTGTGGCTAGTGAAAGCCAATGCCATATATTTGAAAGCTGTAGACATATGTAAGCATCAGCATCCAAATGTGAGATTTTTTATAAGTGTGTAATATTTAGCAATTTTCTGTTCTACTTAACTCTTCTTTCGCTTTAATTTTGCAAAGCCCTAGACTGCCATCAAGCATCAAATCCAGAAGATTATTTGAGACTGTTGTTTTTCTTATTTTTATTTGGGTGTTTTATATTATTTTACTTATAAATTACTCTTGAGTTCTCAATTTTCACCTTTTTCATTTAATTTCTTTCTAAATAACTTTCTTCCGAATGGTAAATTTTATCTAGAATGACCAAAATCGGCTGAAATCAAGCAGCTCAGACCCTCAGCTAAAAAGAAATTTCCAAGGCCACAGTGCCCCGATCACTGCAGTTGACCTGCAACAAAATTTAAAACAAGTTTTATCTGGTTCTTAGATTCAAATATCATGGTATGGCATTTTAAACCTGAAATGCGCCCATAAAAATTTACAGGCCATCGTGCAGCAGTGACTGATGCTTGCTACTCTCCAACAAGTGATATAACTGCATGGAGTCTTTGGCAAAATATCCTCTATAATTATAAAAATGCTAAGTGTTTTGTCGAACTTAAAGAGGAAGTTGTCAAGTGATTTTTTGGTTAATTTAGATCTCTTGACAAATAAAGCGAATATCTTATACAACAAGGCTGTAAACCTAAATAAGCATCTGCCTCCAAGTGTGAGACTGCTTATAGTGGGTATCGTATTTGGAACTTTGATTCTCATATAAGAAAACGTACTCTCAAAGATATGAATTCAAAAATTGATGAAGTATGTCGAAGGAAAGGTTTAAGTCTGTCGATAAAAGGTTTGACCAGCTTTAAGCACAAATTTCTCAAAGCGAGGGCAAAACAATGGATCTTTTGATGAGGCTTGAAGAAAGAATGAATAGAAAAGAAGATTTTTATGAAAAAATTCTGGTTTAAGTAATTTCTGGAAAGAATATTGTGCTTCCTGATACGCCAGATAAAAGTTAAACGCTTAAATAAATGCTTCAATTAAATTGAAACTTAAAACTTCTATGTAGCATAACTTATTGGCTGGGGTTGTCTCATCTTGCCCTAATTAGCAAGCTCCCCGCATTATTCAATCAGAAATGACATCATATCTTTTTTCATACTTCTTTTTCGCTAATTTCATTCTCTGAAGTAATTTCTTCATTTAACCGATTCTAGCTCATCATTTGACAGCTGCAATTTTATGTTCTACTTATTTCTTATTTCGCTTTAATTTCGTAATTATTGCTTTTTGCAAAGCTTTAGACCGCCCAATAAGCTTCGAGTCCAGGAAGATTCTTTTGAGACTACTTTTTCTTATTTATATTTCTATTCTTTTATATTATTTCCTTTACGAATTACTCTAATGTTCTCAATTTCCACCTTTTTCATTTCATTTCTTTCTAAATAATTTTCTTCCGAATGGTAAATTTTATCTAGAATGACCAAAATCGGCTGAAATCAAGCAGCTCAGACCCTCAGCTTAAAAGAAATTTCCAAGGCCACAGTGCCCCGATCACTGCAGTTGACCTGCAACACAATTTAAAACAAGTTTTATCTGGTTCTGAAGATTCAAATGTCATGGTATGGCATTTTAAACCCGAAATGCGCCCATACAAATTTACAGGCCATCGTGCAGCAGTGACTGATGCTTGTTACTCTCCAACAGGTGATATAATTGCATCTGCTTCAAAGGACGAAACAGTGCGTCTGTGGCAAAATATTCTCTATTATATTAACTTTGACTCATAAAATATCGATTTTAAAAAAAATTAAATTTAATTAGCAGAGAATACTGTCAAAAACAAGTCTGTAGTATTAAAAGCTCATACTGCAAGTGTAAGAAGCGTCTGCTTTTCAACTGATGGATCTTTATTATTAACCTCATCGGACGACAAATCTCTCAAAGTGTGGACTGTTGAAGACAGAAAATTCCAATTTTCCTTGACTGGGCATTTGAATTGGGTAAAAGATGCTCGATTCAGCCCAGATTCAAGAATGGCAGTTTCTGGAGGCGACGACCGCACAGTAAAACTATGGGATTTATCTCAAAAAATCTGCCTGTCTACATTTAGTGACCATACAGGCGGCATAAATAAGGTCCGTTTTCACCCAGATGGCACTTGCATTGCGAGCGGCAGCTCTGACAGAAAAATCAAAATCTGGGATATTCGGTCTCAGAGACTTCTCCAGCACTATGATGCTCATGCGGACTCTGTGACTTCTGTATCATTCCATCCTTCTGGGATGTATTTACTATCAAGCTCCAATGATTCCACCCTAAAAATCTGGGATCTCAGACAAGGGCACATTCTTTACACCTTATATGGCCATCAAGGTGAAGCGAATATTGCTAATTTTTCAGCTGACGGGGACTATTTTGCCTCTGGAGGAATGGACAAATTAGTCATGATATGGAAATCAAATATAGAAATTAATCAAAAAACTGAAATCGAGCTACCGAAAAAAGCGACGAAAAAAAGCTTTTGGGAGACTGAAAATATGAGAAAAAGTGCAGCTAAAGGAGAAAAAGAATTCACATTTTCGCCTCATAAAAGTGAATCTGGAGAAATAAAAGATGAAAGTGTTAAGGCAGAGGCTTCAGATAAGCAGGATAATGGGAATAATTTCCCGCTAATACCAGGGCTACCAAAAGAAGTAGGTAGAACGCTAATGCAGATTGAAAATCAATTGGAATTAATTACTAGAGTTTTGGTGCAATTGGAAAAGAAAGTCACGATGTATGAAGACCAAATGCTGATGCTGTCGGCTCATTTTTCTGAAAAGGAAAGAGGAAGTATTTCTTCATATTAAGTTAATAATCTTCAAAAAGTTTATAGTAAATTGATTAAGTCATATAAATACACCTTGAAATACTATTCTAGCCATTTCGATAGATTTTTAAATCATTGATTTATGCCATCAATAAATGCATTTCTAGGCTTATTCTTATTGATGGGCTTTTAAATTTGAAATTTAAATCAATTCATCATATACTATTGCATTTAAATTTTTTTTATTGATTTGTGACTTTTTCCTATTTCTCATTTTCTTTATTAATATTGTGATATAGCAATTGCCCGAGGATGGCGCTATCCTGCACCATCCTCGGGCAATTCAAAAATGGCCCCACACCGGGAATCGAACCCACGTGTAGGGCCATTTTTGGTGCGTGGCCAACATCGACTTACACGCACCAAAAATGGCCCCACACGTGGGCTCGATTCCCGTGTGTGGGGCCATTTTTTGGATTGCCCGAGGGTGGTGCAAGATAGCGCCATCCTCGGGCAATTCCTATACTTCTTCAGAATATTTAAAATTACTAAAACTCTTTGCCTGCCACAAAAATTTAAAAAAGACCTAAAAATTTCAAATAAATGGTATAATAAATTAAGATCGCAATGAATATATCATTATCTCAAAGCCTAGATGATCTTTCACTCTACCCAGGAAAGCGATTCCGCAAAAAATCTCCCAAAATTTTAAAGAAAATCCCAAATTATCATACAATGAGTTCCTTAAAACTTCATCCCGATAAGTATAAGCGTGAAACTTCTTTTTCTTTCGGAATTGTCAACCCAAACTCAATATTTACTCGAAATCACCAAATTAATAACTCCTCAAGCTTTCATTTAACCCCGATAAAAGAAGCTCCATCCTCTCTTGTCCAATTTACCTCATCAGTACTCAAAAATAAATACGATCTTATCCAAGTCCTTCAAGAGCTCGAAAAATCATCCCAAGAGCCTGATATAAAAAAAGCCAAAGCTGCTTCAAAAGCCTTAGATATTTGCTCAAATGAAGCTGGGTCCTACCAAAAAGAAATGCAATTGATCACTTCAGAAATTTCAAAATCGCTTTATATGAACAAAAAAGAGCTCCCTGAAGAAGCACTAGAAAAAATATATGATAAGCATATAGGTAAATGTATACAAAGATGCCCTATTAGATGAAGAAATTCCTTATTTTATTATTGCAGATACATATAAAGAGCTATGGGAAGACTCCAAAAAAAACGCTGATAAGCTTCATAGGTTGTTAATTCAGTCAGATAAAGGTGGATTTTATGTAGAATTTAATGGAATAATAAAGAAAAAAGACAAAGAAATTGAGCAGTTAAAATGGGATCTAGAAGAAGCTCTAAATGCACCAGTCAAAGCTGCGGAATGGAAAATGCTGCAATTAGAAGAGCAGGTAATTTATATTAAGAACCAAAGGTATAAAATAGAAGCAGGTGAAACTCAAGAAAAACTTACCCAAGCCCACAAAAAAATCAGTAACCTCAGATCTGAGTCTTTAGCTGATAAAAATTTGATAGGAGAATTACAGCTAAAAAACGTTCAAAACGAAAAAATAATGCTTCATTTAAGAGAAAGCTTAAATGATCTAACGAATAAGCATGACATTATTTTGCATGAAAATACAAATTTAAGGTCAGAGTTTGAAAAAAGCAATAGAATGATAAGGGCACTGGCTGAAGAAAAAAAGGCATTAGAAGCACAGCTTAGGCTATTAGAAAAGGAAGCAGAGAATTTGACTGTAAATGCAGAAAACGGGGCTGAAAATTTGACTCCGAGACCAAATTTTAATGGTGCTGAAGAGATTCATAATTTTAAAGGAACAAATACAAAAGAAAAAGTGTCAGAACTAATCAAGCTTTTAAAGCATTTAAAGCTTATTCAGAAGCCTTCACATATTTTTAAAAGAAGAGAAACTTTGAATTTAAGGAGAAATAGCTCAATAAGTGTTCTTCCAAAAAGGAAAATAGCAAGAATGTTCTCTGTTGTTGAAAAAAGAGATGATAATTTACAAACTCCTTTATAAAACATTAAAATTAACTTTGCTTTTACTATTTTATGTAAAATGGATGAATTCCAACCTAACTTAATTGCTTCTACTCCAGAGAAAGACTTGCTTGAAAACAAGTTAGAGTCATTGCCTACATCTCCAAATTCTCCTGCAAGAAAGAAATATAGACTGTATGGCAAAATTGTATCACAATTTTTTTGTCAATGCTCAATTTGCAACTTTCAAATAAAAAGAGCTCCAAATAAGCCAAAAAAGATTTTTGACTATACAGACTACGAAGTCCATAAACAAGGAAAATTAAAAACCTTCACATGGCTTTTAATTGAGCTTGGAAAGTTGTCCAAAAAATTACCTATCAAAATAACAGTCCCCGACACTGTAATTTTTCGACGAGGAAAACCTATTGCTATTGTCCAGCCCTTAAGGGAAAGTTATATAAAAATGACCTCAAACCCAGAAAGGCTGAACTTAGCCAAAATTTTGAAATCTTTTACGAAAATCGTAAAAAAGAGAAAAAAAGAAGATTTAAGCCTTGTAAAAGGAAATAACGAAAATGACTCAGCTGTTTTTATTACCCAAGACTTATATGGTAAAGAAACAGTTTTATTGAAATATTTAGTGAAAGGGAAAGACTGTGCAGAAATTGAAGAAAATCCTCAATTTGAAGATGGAGTGTTAAGGGTAATGAGCGAAAAAGAGTTCACTGATTTTATGTGTGAAAGGCCTGGAAGTCTGATATGAAGGACAATTTCATATATACAGACAGTTATTAAATGTAAATTTGGGATAGGTGAAATAATTACGGTTGAGCTGTATTCAGATAGAGACAATAGAACATTGTCGAACTATATTGAAGAACAGGAAAACGAAACTCAACTGATGTATAGTGATCCTAAAGAATATTGCCAGCTAATGTGTAAAAGGATTGTTTCAATTATTTTTGAGCACACAAAGTATCAAATATTAAAAATTAAAGCAGAGTTCATGAAAGATGACGAAAATAAAATTTGGCTTGCATTCGCCCCAGAAATTTATGTTCGAAACAGAGAAATGCCTACTTCTTCAAGAAGAGAAGCAAAAGAAATAATAGACACTCCTGACCAAAGCCCAGGGTTTTTTATTACAGAAAAAAGCCCAAATAGATCATACTCTGAAAGTTTAATAAAAAATCCTCAAAATGTTGCTATATGAAAAGCGAAAAAAATAATATTGATGCCTCTGAAGCAGGAAATAAGAGACAGAAGAAGCAAGTCTTCTATGAAAGCGATTTATTGTAGAGGTGAAAGCAATTCTCCACAGAAAATCCGCCCCAACACTCATATAGAAAAAATATGGGAAAGTTTGGTTAAATCAAAAAAGACTCATGTGAGAGAAAGATCGCTGAATAAGACCCCAGAAAGTATAAGGGACTGATGCTATACTCCTCCATTGAGATTTTCTCCTATGAAGAACTTGCGATCTGCAAGCTATTTAATTTAATATTAATTATTGTTATCAATTAATAAAGCTTTTTCCCTATCTTCATTGTTTCCATGAATTAATATTTTCTTAGATTTCACTATACAAATTATCAGGGATTCTCCCAAGCGTAAATTCAGACCCTTTATGATAAGTTTTTGCTTTTAATTTTTGTATTTCTTTTTTCAGTCATAAGTTTTCTTCTTCAAGCTTCTCTGTTGGATTTTCAATTATTTTTTCCGAATTCATATTTTTCGCTAGAAGATCTTCATTATCTTTTTGCAGCTTTATGATAATTTCCCTGTATTTTTTTAATTTTTCTTCATATAGCCTCCTCATAGACTCCATTTGAAAATTATGAATTTCATTTTGCCTATTCACAAGTTCTTTGGCTTGCTTTTTATATTTTTTCTTGTATTTTAAAGCTAAATTTTGAGCCAAAATTTCAACATTTGAGTTACTAAAGATCGGATTTGCTGTTTCGTTCATTTTCATAGGTGAAGATTCATAAGTTTGTTCAAAATGTGGCTTTGCAGGCGTAGAAGTTCTAGATTTAGATAGTGTCGGTGTCGATGATAAATCTGATAATACTATATCATAATTAGATTTATTGTTTACATATCGAGGCTCATGAGACTGTTTCCTAGATAAATGCAGTTCTGTGTTGGATCGGTTTAAGGATTCACTTTCTCGATTTATTTTTGATGCTTGCCTTTTTGCGATTTCTTGGAGGTCTATTGGTTTTCTTTCTATTACAACTATGCTATTTTGAATTGGCTTCTTTCTTAGCTTGGGTGGCATAAGCTGAAATTATTGATTTAATATGAAAATCATAATGTTCAGAAATGAAGATTATTATTCTTACTCTTCTGCAAGGCTCCAGGCTCCTCGGATCATCTGTTCAAAGTCGTCATCACTTTTGACATTTGCGGATATATCTTTATAAAAATTCTCGAAATCTTCAAGAGAAATCGCTTGGTTGGCTCTGACGCTTCCCCACTTATTCATAAACTCTACTAAAACTTGATCTCTTGTCTTTGCACCTGATCTAAACTCTGGGTGTGCAGTGCCGTTATAATTCTGCCTTATACCGCTCAAAGTGACTTGTCCATCAGAATTAGTTTCTAATTTCTTATAAGCCATAGCAATAAGGTCTTTTCGTTTCTGGCTTATATCGTCTTTTAAAGCGTCTAAAAATTCTTGATAGGAAACTTTTCCATCATGATTTATGTCAAAATACCTAAAAAGTCTGTCGAGATCCATAGGGCTCAAAACATGGCCGTTTTCGCGCAGTCCCCATTCGAATTCGTGACGGGTTAAATAGTCATCGCCATTCACGTCCATTCTTCTTAATAAAGTTTCAAGGTCTCTTATAGTGCCTCTTTTCAGGATATCATTTTTAAGCTTACTTATAAGTGCCTTTGGCAGCTCCCTTCTTGGCTTAAACTGATGTCGGTCCCCAGCTCCTCTCCTTGCAAAAATCCCTGAAAACTCCTCATAAACAATGGTTCCTGACTTATCAACGTCATATTTATCAAAAAGTGCCCTAGCTTCTTGATTATCAAAAGCGCATCCCCAATGCTGTAGACATTTAGTGAACTCTTCAAAAGTAATAGTCCCTGAGTTATCTTTATCAAAGTGTCTAAAGGTCTTTTGCATAGCCCTGCCTTCATCTTCATCCCCCCTTATCCTCTGCCTGATTTTTTCATAAATTAAATCTTCTATTTCATTTAGCCTGGCATCCGGGACTGGATTCCTTCTAGAATTAAGGTCCCAAGTATTGGTAAGTAAGGCTTCAAAAAAGTGGTCTTGCTCTAATGGTAAAGTGGCACTTAAGTTGGCATAGTAAGCTAAAAAACCATCTTCAGTCATAACTCGGCCTTCTGAGTATTTTCTTAGGGCGTTTTCAAATTCTTCTCTGACGAGTTCTTTTGTTTTTTCTCGGGTTATGACTCTGGGATGACGGTTTTCGTTATAGAGACGCTTGAGTTCTTCTACTTCTATAAACCCACGCTTTCTCTGATCCAAAATTTGCCATGTGTGCTTAACTGCTGAGAGTCTTCTATCTGAAATGGTTTCTTGCAGAGAATTCAAGAATTCCCTGACAGATATATTCCCATCCTGATTTTTATCATAATATCTAAACAGTTCAGCTTGCTCCTGCGAACTCATAAATAGTCCTACCTTGCTTAAAAAAGCTTGAAATTCATAGCGGTTAAGTGATCCGCTGCTATCAACATCACATTCCTATATGAAAAATACATGAAATAGCTCATACACCTTGTCCATGCCATCATATCTTCTTGAATAAAGCTGAGTTCTGAATTTATTGAGGATGTTAGGAAGCTTATTTTTCCAATCCATTTAATATTTATTTACTTAAAATACCATTTTGGCTACCTCACAAAACCGTGGCAATGAAAATTTCTTGAATAATGCTTGAAAAGGTGACTGTCTTGATCCTTGCAAATTTAAGCATAATTCTTTAGCACAAGCTCTTAGATCTGTATCGTTATAAGGACTTTCTTCTATAAGTATCTGTGGCCATGCTGAGTCGTTATTATATAATTTATTTGTCAAATATATAGAACTTGCAGCAATTTGTGAGGGAGAGTATTTCAGCATTTTATAATCCATAAGAGATAGCTCTATTGTGTAGTGTGCAAGATTAAAGGCTAAGTTGTCCATATGAATAAGTCTTGCATATCTTTCAAGAAATCGAAATGGAGTTGTCACCGTTACGTTGAAATGGAGAGCCCTTAAAATACTTCCTTCCATAGCAAGTATTTCTTTTTGTGAATAAGTGTGATCTGATATGAAAGATAGTGATTTTATATCAGGGACTGTGATTTCTTCATATTTACAAGCTATAAGCAATGCAGAAATAGCTAATAGCTGATAATTGTGTCTTGATACAATCGCAGCCTCACAGAATCGGTCTATGATATTTACAGTTAAAAATAAGGTCTCCGGCATCAGCTTGAACTTTAAATGGACTTCGATGACTCAGTCAATCAAAATGCTCCTCATGCTTTCATTGATTTCGAACTGAGCCTTCAAATATCCGAAGTTTGCTTGGAAATTGTTCTCGACCTTATGCAAATAAGCGAAAATTTCATGTGCGTAATAGCCAAGCCGTTGTGGGTCCTGAGAATCAATTTTATCAGAATCATGGGGGCGCAGTATCAAGTTTGTTATGTCTTGGCCAAACGTTCTGTGGGTACTAGCAGAAGCGGGCTTGAGGACTTGGTATAGGTTTTCTTTATTTTCAAGAGAGTAGCAACCACTTAGGTTCATATAGTTTAAATTTATTTTAATTTCAAATATCTAACGGAAATTCATGGTTTTTCAGTAACCAGCAAAAGTGTGGCATTTTGCTAAAATTATTTATTAGGTAAATAGATGGAAAGTATTTACTTTTGCGCCATAAATTGAGGGTCCCTCTTGTTTGAGCTTCATGAAAAAATTGTTACTATTTAAGAGTGCACATCGACTTCAGCATATCCAACGTTTAAATGTCTTTGCTAAAATTGGAATGCTTGGGTGATGTATAGCCACTAATAAAATATTGAAATATATAAGGATTTTTTAGGTGCAATAGCCTTTAAAATCAGCTTCATGTCCAAAGTCCTAAAATTATAAAATTGTCAGTGAAATTAATTTAGGAGTTAATTTTCATATGATAAAAAGCTTTTATTATTTTTGATAATCATTAGATATAGAAACTGTTTTTAAATGAAGATTTAGCCATAGAAACCTAAAGAACAGTTTTCTATATGTGAAACTTATTGTCTTCTTGAAGGGTTTTATCTATTTTTTTATGATCATGCAAAAATCCTTTTGGATTTGCAATTCTTATATTATTGAATCCATCTTCAGGTCATCAAAGTGTCTCTTCCTTATGCCATCTATAATAATTAGCTAAAAGATTTTCATTTCATATTTGATTAATAAATTTATTGACATAAAAGATGTGAATAATCCAATTATCTGAAATACTTTTAATGCAACTTAGAAATACACTTGAACGCGAAAGCGCTATTCAATAAAATAATATCTTTAATAAATTAATAGCCCCAGCTACAATTCATTATAAAGCTTTGCTCTAATGCAATTCTCTATCAGCATATAAGCATCACTATTATTTTAAAATGTGTTATATTATCAAATTCCTACATCATAAAGCTCCTCTTTAATAAATTGATTTTTTCTTTTCGTCGAGTGTCCAATTCCTTAGACACGTCTTGTATCTCCTGCTTCATGTTTTCCTTCATTTGATCAATTATTAAGTTCATAAACCCTCCTTGTCCTTCCAGCTCTTTTATTTGCACTTCATAATTCAGTTTTATTTCACTGATTTTTGAAGCTTTTTCTGAAAAAGACGCTTCCATTAAATCTTCTTCTAATTGTGATTCATAATATATTTCATATAATTTTTCTATATTTTTTTATAATAATTTTTTAATAATTTTTTTTCCTAATTGATTTTCAATGTTCTCTATATGTTTAGATTCATCTAGGCTTGGACCAAATGACAAATTTACTTCATCCATAGTATCGCCAAATAAATGGATTTCTGGAGGGGAGTATTCTATTTCACTAGGAAGAATATCAATACACGATTTGTTGAGCGGGGAATCAAAAACGCTGGTATCCCCAGTAGATCGGTCTATCATTGCTTTTTTTCTAGAATCAAGCCTTCGTTGTAGATCTGAGTCCTGAAATTTAAAATCTGAGGCACATTTCTGGGTAATTACCTTGGAATTGGTTTGATGAAGATGGATAATTCTTTCCAAATTTTTGGAAAATTTATAAGAAGGCTCTGCAAGAGCTTGGTTAAGCTGAGCTGACAAAAGTGATTTGTTCCTTTCTGATTCTTTTTTACGCTGCTCTATGCTATCTTCTAACTTATGCTCAGGCCGCTTTGGCTGAGGTGTTGAAAAAGTATGCCTCCTCTGAGAATTTCTTCTTATTGTGCTATCAGGGACAATTTTTATTTCAATTTCTTCTTCTGGCTGATTTTTTAAGTTTTCTCCCTCATTTTCTCCTTCAGACCCTGAATTTTCAACTTCTGGTATTACATACTGAACTGGTGTTTTATGTACTGAGTTTACCTCTTTTTTGCCTTCTCCCTCATCTTTTCTCTCTTTTTGAGGAGATGGTGATTTTATGGATTCTCGCCGGTTTCTGATTGGAGACAAGTTTTCCTCCCTCATCGTGCTGATTGCTTGAGGCTTGACAAGCATTTTATGCATGCGGTCTTGGAAATCCAAGTATCGCGGATCTTTATTATATTCATAATATTCAATAATTTCTGTATACATCAGCACGAGTTCATTTATTATTTCTATACTTCAGTTTTTTTCGAGTTCCAGCTCTTTTTCAAGCAGCTTTATGCCTGAAACTTAAATTTATGCAGGTTGGCTGGCTTGTGTATTGGCAGCGAAGTCATCAAGGATCCTTGAGGTGATTAACCTTCTTTGAGACGTCGTCAGAGAGAACTTGCTCGAATGAGATGATGATTCTGAGTAATCAAGGCCCTGACACCACCCATGTTGTGATGGTCATCTGAAGTGTAGCTCTGTGTCTCCGTCTCCTCCTTAACCTGTCGATTCCAGTTTTGAGTGGAAAGGCTATAAACTTCTGCGGCTTGCTGCTTGGGTTGAACAAAGGTCTAAGTAAAAAAAATGGAATTTCTGGTTGACTCTCGGCAAAAAGGAGAAAAATTCTTAGCCTGAGGCGTAACTCTCAGTTCCACGCTAAGAAGTTTTGCCAATTTATCTAGGCATTGCCTGCAGATGATGCTAGGCTTCTCATCCTAAATCTGAACCCTCCTCTTCCCTAAAAGCGGACTTACTAGCTCTGAGCATTACCCAAATTGCAGCCTAGCGTGGCTGTCCATTTCTGTGTTGACAAATCCTTGCCGGATATAAATAAATATACCTTCTTTGCTGCATTGCCTTCCGGCAATGCCCGGGCTGAGACACCATATTTATTTTTTATAGAAACTTTATGCCAAAATCGTTAGAAAGCTTAGGAGGGCCTCTGCCAAGTCTTTGATTAGTCTTAGATTTGGACATTTTCTTATAAATATCCACCTTCATAAATTGTTGAGAAATTTTTATATAAACTTATTATGAAGATATTGGGTTATTTAAATTTACCTTACAGGAAATGCATACTGAGTTATAAATGGGATTTGGCATGTTGCAGGCTAGGCAAATTTTGTGATCTACAAGCTGCTTTGTAGGAACATATATGGACTTTTGTTCTAAATTGACAGAGTCAGGCGGGCTAATATAATTTGGCTCGATTGGCAAGTCAGCATATCTAAACAATATAGGGAAATGATAGTTAGATTGCTTATTGCTTAGCCTATATAATGCAATAGATGGCACACTTTCCCTTAAATCACTATAATCTTCTAGCAGAATTTTTTTTTGGTCATCAATGACTTGTCACACTTTCTTTGCTCTTGAATAAATCATGGCTGTATAATGAATGTTTTTTACATACAAAATAAAGCCGACTGCATTATACCAAAATGCACCACATGGAATTGACTGAAGCTTCTCAAAATTTGAGTATATAGCATCTGGCAAGTTTGGAATGGAATTATTAAAATCCAAGTATAATAGTAAATATTTTGGAAATTCACTGAAAAAATAAGCTTTTTTGTATGACGTTTCATGACAAATTAAGCACCGCCTTGGGGCATTATTTTCCATTTCGGAAAGCATAAAAGAGATAAGATCTTCATTTTCTCCTTTATTTATGATACCGAGAGGAACTAGCATATTTTCTTGATTTATAATCTGCACGGTGTGCTGAATAATATAAGCTCGTTTATCTATATCATAAATCTTTGGATTTTTAGGAACATCGCATGCCGGGTTGGTGCACGATTCTACTTGTTTTCCTACTTTTCCAAAAATTTCGTGTACAGGACAGCAAGCTTCTATCCTATTAGCAAAAAATGGAGAATAATAATTGTGAATAGTTTCGAACATAAAATTTATAGCATCCCAGGCATCCCCTAAGTTCCCACATTGGTAAATAGTTTTTTGATCAGCAAGAGCCATTCTTAAACGCTGCACTTTTAAGGGCCTATTTTCGCTGCCTCTTTTTGCATTATATTCGTTTCTCAAATCTATTAATGCATCAACTATTGGATTTACTGAGTCTAAGAAGTCAGTTTTTCATTTTTGATTGCAAATAGTTCTTAATAGCCCACTTCGGATACAAAGCTGTAGGGCTGATATAATAAAACAGTCAGTGTCGTTATTTATGAAGCCTTGAGCTGTTGAGTCGGCCTGCGCAGTACTTTGAAAGTTGCCTTGCATAAATCCTTCTATATTTTTATTATAATTGTAAAATCAAGTGAATGCACTAATTTTAGTAGAGATTTTATATTTTTAATATATGTCTTCTTCGGAATTTAAAATCACAATTAAAAAATTCCATATGCGGGAGTCCTACACAATTTGTTCAAAAAACTATATAATTTATGTATTATTATGCGAGCTGGATAAAACAAAATAGAATTAGCCTGATACTATTTTCTATAAACAAAATACTAATGAAATTGAAATTTGCATCCCAAAATGCATAAATAATATTAAATGAGCATATAAACTTTCTATTTTAAAAGATCCTATTCATGGCATTTTCTATTTTCTTATTTATTTCTAAAATTTCCTGTTGAGCTTAACAAGACTCTGCCTCTTTTACTTTCATCAATTGTTCTTATTAGTCTAAATGCTGATATTTGCAAGCCTAGAATAGCATAAACTCTTCTATATCTTTATCATATATATAAAAAATAAAGCGAGACTGCTTATTTTATTAGAAATTTAATATAAACCTTGTAGGGATTTTTTAATGCAATAGAGTTACTATTTCTGCTTTCAAACGGCTATAGTAAATGGAAAGAACCCAAACCTTAGCAGTGCAAGAAAACCGAATAGTTAAAGTCCCTAGAGAAGAGCCTAGCAATTTTAAGCCCAACGGGATCAGCACTTGCAAATACAACCTCCTTACATTCATCCCTAAAAATCTTTGGCTTCAATTTCAAAAATTAGCAAATGTTTATTTCTTAGCCATTGCTGTATTACAAGTTATCCCTCAAATTTCAGTCTCAGGAGGCATACCTAACATTTTGCTTCCTTTACTGTTTGTTCTTACATTAAGTGCAATTAAAGATCTTTTAGAAGACCTCAAACGAAGAAGGGCAGATAAAGAAGAAAATAGTAGGATTGTGGAATATTGGACTAATGATGGATGGAAATTAATTGCGTGAAAAAAACTGCATGTAGGAGATATTGTAAAAGTCAAGAAAAACGAGTATTTTCCAACTGATTTAGTCCTACTTACTTCAAGTGAGTCTAGTGGAATCTGCTATATTGAGACAAAAAACTTAGATGGAGAAACCAACTTGAAGCACAAGCTTTCTTTAAAGCAAACTCACAAAATTTTTACTGAGGCTGGAGAAGGCGTTTTAAATAGGTTTGAAACAGAAATCAAGTGTGAAGATCCGAATGCAATGATTTATCAGTTCAAAGGGACAATTTTGATAAATGGAGTTACAATTCCAATTACCCCAGAGCAGTTTTTACTAAGAGGCAGCTCTTTGAGAAACACTGACTGGATTATTGGGATTTCTGTATATACTGGGCACGAAACCAAAATTATGCTGAACTCCTCAAATGCCCAGTCAAAATTTTCTGCGGTAGAGCACCAGATGAATAGGCAGGTGGTTTATATTTTTCTTATGCAATGCTGCATCTGCTTATTTGGCGCTGTTTTTTACACGATTTGGTTCGAAGTTACAGAAGACGACACTGAGCAGTACTTGGACCTAGACGACGAAACACAAAGCGGAGTCGTCATTTTTATCCTCATTTTTTTCTCATGGATGCTGATATTTACGAATTTTGTCCCAATTTCTCTAATAGTGACGCTAGAAATGGTGAGATTTTTGCAAGCGATTTGGATTAGCTGGGACTTAAAAATTTATTATGAGCCGACAGACACCCCAGCTGGTGTTCAGTCTTCTAATTTGAATGAAGAACTAGGACAAATCCATTATGTTTTTTCTGATAAAACTGGGACTCTTACTTGTAATGTTATGGAATTTAGGAAATTTTGTATTGATGGGAAATCTTATGGAACGAACAGCAGAACTAAAATCGATAAACAGCCTAATGTAGATTTTGTGGACCCTAATTTTGACCGTAAATCTGAAAAAGCAATAGAGTTTTTCACAAATTTAGCAGTCTGCCATACTGTTGTAACAGAAAAGCATGAAGATGGGACTATAGAGTATAAAGCTTCATCTCCTGATGAACAAGCATTAGTTTGTGCCGCTAACTCCCCCATAATTGAACAATGAAAAATGTTTTTATATATAAGTGATAATTATTATAATGAAATCTCTAGCTAATTTTATGTTGAATTTTAAACGCTTTGCATTTTAAAACATAAATTTTTTCATATTAAATTAATTTTTGCTTTCCAATTGAGAATTTTTTAAATTAAAAAAAAATTTCTATAAGATTTATATATAAATTTTTTTAAAAATTAGCTCGAACAAATTTTTTTTGTTTGCTCATGCAAGAAAGAGGGAGTAAGTATTTTGGTGTGGAATTATTAGGAAGAGACAGAGAGCAAAGCGTTATCGTAAATGTGAATGGAAAAGAGCAGCTTTATAAAATATTAAACGTCATTGAATTCACAAGTAACCGTAAAAGAATGTCGGTCATTGCTAGATACCCTAATGGCAAAATTTATTTATTATGCAAAGGAGCTGATACTGTCATATTGCCAAGGCTGAGACAAGGTCAAAACTTAGATGCACCTTGGAAATACTTAGAATCCTACGCTTGTGAAGGGCTGAGAACACTTGTGATCACATTTAAAGAAATTTCAGAAGAAGACTACGAAGCTTGGAACACAGAGTTTATAGAAGCCATGAACAATTTAGAAAACCGCGAAAAATTAACAGCTCAGCTCGCAGAAAGAATAGAGCAAGACCTGGAGCTAATAGGAATCACCGCAATTGAAGACAAACTGCAAGATGGCGTCCCATCCACAATTGCTATGATAAGAGAAGCAGGGATCAAAATTTGGCTGCTCACAGGCGATAAAATAGAAACTGCTGTAAATATTGGGTACTCATGCGCGTTGCTTACTAATGAAATGATCCAGGCTACAGTTGATGGGAATTCTACGAATACTGTAAAATATCAGCTGCAAGAAGCTTTAGCTACTTTTAGGCTAGAAACTGCTAAATATGCATTGATTATTTCAGGGGACGCGCTATTGAGAATTGCAAAACCAGAGCTGATTCGGCTGTTTTTGAAATGTGTAGACTACGTTGAGGTAGTTTTAGCATGCAGAGTAAGCCCTCAGCAAAAGGCACAGCTTGTAAAACTATAATTTTTTTATATTAAATATTAGATTTTTTTAAATTAAAAAAATAATGCAGCTATTTATGAGGAAAAATATAATTAAGGACACAAAGCCAAAAGTAAGGACACTAAGTATAGGAGATGGAGCCAATGATGTAAACATGATTTTGGCTGCCCATGTAGGTGTTGGGATTGCAGGAGTCGAAGGAAAACAAGCAGTCAGAGCTGCAGACTACTCAATCGCCCAGTTTTCTTATTTAAAACGACTTCTATTCGTCCACGGCCGCGAATGCTACAGAAAAAACACCAACCTGATCTGCTACAATTTCTACAAAAACGTCCTCTTAGTAATGCCTCTCTTTTTCTATGGCCTTTTCAGTGCTTACTCAGGCCAGATTTTATACAACATGTGGACCTATCAGCTTTTTAACGTCTTTTACGCAGCCAGTCCTATCATAATTTATGCAATTTTCGACAAAGACTACGACTATGAAAATCTCGAGACCACCCCTTCCTCATACAAGCTTGGCTTAATCGGCGATTTATTCAGTACAAAAGTCTTTTGGCTGTGAATAGTTGAAGCTGTCCTACAAGCCATGCTTATTTTATTTGTGGCTGTCCTAGCTATTTGTTACTATACAGGAGACGAAGATTATGGCAGAGTTAATGGTATGTGGGTGGCCAGTGACTTGGTCTATTCTTTAGTCGTCATTATTGTGAATTTAAAAATTTTCTTATTCAGCTTTACTCAGTACTGGTTTTCTATCCTTGCTATATTTGGGAGCATTGCGACATATTATTTGACGTCTCTTATATTGACAATGTGGCTTCCAATTATCAATTGGTTTGATAACTATGATGGCCGAGGCTCGACTGAACAAATGTTTGAGAACCCGAACACGTATTCGTCCCTTGTATTATGCATTATTGGCGCTTTTCTGTTTTTACCGATTATAAGTCATATAAAAGAAATGGTTGATTTGCTTAAGCCATCGCCGCCATATTATGAAGAAGTGGAGAAAGATGAGAAAAAAGAAGAGGAAGAGCAGTTTATAGAGGAAGAAGAACTGCCACTGAGCACGTATACGCCATTATTGACTAGAAGGCATACAGGGTTTGCATTTAGTCAAGAAGCTGGGCATGTTCCTCAGATCACTGACCCTGATTTTTACCAGTCCAAGCCATAAATAATGAATATTTAATAGAAAATAATCCCCTATTTTATTAATAAAAGCCAAAATGTCAGGGTTTAAAGGCACATTCACTAAAGAAGAGGGAGGCGAAAAGAACTTAGACTATGACGATTCAGCCTTTTATTACTTCGCAGGAGTTGTCCTTATAATCGTGATAATCCCAACAGTGTATTACTTTATTAAGTACCAGATCTTGGGCGTGGAAACTAAAGAATCACCAATAGTCACAAAAAAAGGGACAATTACTCACGATTGTCCTTGTGCTATTTGTGTGCAGAAAAGGTCAGTTTTTAAAACTCCTCAGAAAGCGTCTAGGTTTGGAATGGCTGGGTTCTGCCACTTACTATTGATAATCTTATTAGGGTATGCCATTTATGTGACAGCAGTCAATATCAGCAATTCCCCAAAAGGCATAAAAACATTTGACCCTTATGAAATCTTAGAAATCGAAGTGGGCGCGACTGATAAGCAAATTCGCTCAGCTTTCAGAGAACTCAGTAAAAAATACCACCCTGATAAAAACCCAGGGAACAATTGGGCAGCTGGCAAGTATATAACCATTACAAAAGCCTATGAAACATTGACGAATGAGCTGGCTAAGGCAAATTATGAAAAATATGGAAATCCTGATGGGCCGTCTCCTGCAAAAGTTGCTATAGGGCTGCCGATGTTTTTGCTGAAAACAGAAAACCATGTATCGATTTTGGTGGTGTTCTTTGTGATTGTGGTTATAATTGTGCCAGGGAGCTTGTATTTGTGAATCACGACATCGAAAAAGGTGGATAAGAATGGAGTTTTGCAAGATAACATGCCGATGTATACAGATTTATTATTAATAGATTATAGTAATTTCATCTTAAATTATATAAAAAGTATGGCTTTTGGCTTAGTTTAAGCTGAAATCTTAAAAAATAGAATACTTAAAGCTTATCAATGAAAATATGAATATCAAGCAATGTTTATTGATGATTGCGATCAGTGCTGAATTCCATGAACTTCCAGTACCAAAATCTGATGCACAAGAGCTGAACAAATTAAGGCTGAAATTCCTAGAATATATACCAAAAAAGCAAAACCTTAACCCAAAGATACTAACTCCCCCCCCCTCCGTGAGTGAACAAAAAAATTTTGTTCACTCACGGAGGGGGGTTAATTTTTTTAAATAAATTTATATATAAATTTTATAAAAAAATATTTTTTTTCGAAATTTAAAAAAAATCCTAATTCGCAAAAATTGGAAAGCAAAAATATTAATTCAATTTAAACAAAAATTTATGTTTTAAAAAAACAATTCGTTTAAAATTAAATAGAATTAGCTCTAGATTTCATTATACTAATTATCATTTATATATCAAAATTTTTTTCCATAAAAAATTTTTGTTCACTCACGGAGGATGGTTTTTTGGGCAAAAAATAGGGATTTTTCTAATGTTTTTGCTCACTCACGGAGGGGGGGGAGTAAAAGTTTTGCTGTTGCTGCTTGCACATATGAATAGAAAAAATCTTTCAGATAAAGCCCAGAAGGATTTGAACATGATTTTAACTAAAGCTGTCTTAACTAGCTTATTATCTAAAATCGTGCGATACTCTATATATTTATTATTGGGGCTAGTAATTATATTTAGGGGTGCCTTTTTAGTCTGTGCCATTAATAATTAAACAAAGCTGTCAATATTATTGAAACCATGCTTGACTGTGCATATATCATTAATTCAGTCCCAAGAGCCAAAAAAATGAGCATACACACATTTACTTTGCTAATAGAAGTTGCTCAGTTAATAACGCAAGGACTATGGCTTCATGAAAGCAATTTATTAATGCTCCCACACATAAATGATGGTAACTTGAAATTATTTAGTAAAAGCAAAAGTAAAGGAAAAATTTCTGATATTGATATCAATAACTTATCAAAATGGGCTTTATAAATATTATATTTTTTATGACTTGCTGGTTAATTTTTATATTAAAGATTTAAATTGAAAATATATAGGCTGCATATGAAAAAAATTTCTAGGAAAATTATGCAAATATCTCCACCCATCAAAATTCGAAAAATCACTATCAGAGCAACAAATTTCTGACATAAAAGAAGTCCTTAATTATCTTCCAAAGCTTAAAGTAGAATATTCAGTATTCGTTGATGGAGAAGAAGAAATTGCAGACGGAGACGTGATCACTGTAAAAGTTGTTATTACAAGAGAGCAGCTTCAAGAAAACCAATTCGTCGGGCCTATCCACGCCCCAAGAATACCTCTATCAAAGTACGAAAAACTATGGCTTCTTATTGTAGAGCCAAAATTCAATAAAGTTCTCTATATGAAGTCATTTTTCACCAATGAAAGAGTTATTGAAGACAAAGACTTCAAGGTGCCACTAGGCCCACAAGGATTCAATATTGGCCCAGGTGAGCATTCATGGGAAATTCATGTTAAATCTGACTCATACTACGGTCTCGACGTCCTCGAAAAGCTTAATTTCACAGTGAAAAAGCCTGAAGACGCCAAAAGAGAAGAGTATAAAGTCCACCCTGATGATGAAAATATTGAAAAGAATGCTACTTGGCTTCAAAGCGTGATGACTGGCTTGCAGCCTGAAGAAGAAAGTTCAGAGGAAGAAAATATTCCTGAGCTAGAAGAAATCCCTGAAGGTAAATCCGAAGAAGTAATCTACTTTATATAGGCTTAATTAATATTTATATGCTTGGCCAGCTATTTTTTATCAGAAAAATGGGATTTTATTAATTTTAAAAAAATAAAAAATAAATAGATAAGTGTAGAAGATTTTGAGCTTTTAGAAAATTAGATTAAGAATTATTAAAATGGAAGTCAAACGATATTTCGGGGCTTGTGAATATATTGGGACTAGCTTTTTTGGCTGGCAAAGTCAAGGCACAGAAAATGCTACAGTAGCTGGGCTGATAGAATTCGGCATAAAACACATTTTAGCAAAACCTATTAAACAAGGAAATATTGAATTTGTGGAACTAAAAGGGTCAAGCAGAACAGACACAGGAGTCCACGCAATTTATAACACTTTTCACATAGACTTCAAGCGAAACCCACAGTTTGGCATGATTCCTCCTGAAAACTTGTTAATAGGACTGAATAGGAGTTTTGAGAAAAATAATGCAGGCATAAAAATCCTAGAAATGCGAGAAGTCCCATTAGATTTTCATGCAAGATTTTCAGCAGTTTCCCGTGAATATATTTACAAGCTATTTATTGGTCCAGAATCAGTGTTTTTATTAGAATTTTATTGAATTTTAGAAGAATTAAATATCAATAAGCTTGAAGAAGCTCTAGGAATTTTTGAAAATAAAATCAGCCTAAACGACATCTGCAAGGTAAAGCAAGAAAAGTATGAAGACGACCAAGTAAAAATCGACGCCTGAATGGACATAAAAGAAAATGAAATCCTCCTGCATTTTCGATCAACAAAATTTTTTTGGCACCAAATCCGCTATATGGTTGGCGCCTTGGTGGATTTTTCCTGCGGAAAAATCTCTTTAAAACAGCTTAATTCCTTTTTCTCAGGGACTGCTGGGAAAAAGCCAAGCCGAGCCCCAGCAGCAGGGCTATATCTGGCCAAGGTAGAATATGTATAATTTAATAAAAATTGGCTAAATCTCTAAGATTAGTTAGAAAAAGTATCCAAGCAGTTTCCCTCCAGTGTGTCTTTTACGTGCTTCTTCGTGGTCAAGGATTCCATAAGTTGTGGTCAAAACAACGTATCCAAATTGTCTAGATGGTAATAAATCAGTCGCGACCTGCTCAATATCAGTCAGGGCAATGTCAAATCTTGGCGAGATAACTCCACATTTGTTTAGTCTTCCAACCAAGTCGACTACAATTTTATTAGACCTGTGGTCATCAATAACTTCGAATTCTCCAATGTACCCGTGCTTTTGCATTAAGCGAAGGAATCTTATGACAACTTTTGAGGCAGGCCTAATGAGTACTTGCCGCTTTCCTCTTTTTTCAGCATTGATGATGCTTTTGAGACAGTCTGCAAGCACATTCATTCTCACCATTTTGTTTGATAAAACTCAATTAGAATTAATTCTCACAGCTTAAATTAGAATTCTTCAATTTGGCCGTTTAAAATATCTTCTAGACCGGCAGCTTGGCATTGCAGGAATCTTATGATGTCTAGGTTGCTCTCTCTAGGGCCTCCTACTCCTCTTTTTCTTAAATTTGCATTTAGGCTTTGCAGCTCTGTTATTTGGTCTCTTAACTGTGCTTCTTGTAAATAAGCCTGTTGGACTTTTTCTCTTAATTCATTCATTTCATTTTTTTGAGTTTTTATTTTATCTTGCAGCCTATCTATCTCCCTATTCTGTTGTGAAGGGCCAAATAAAGGCCTGCTCGACACTCCAGCTTCTTCTTTGTCTTTCAGTGACCTTCTAGCCGCAAGACTAAGTGCGGATTTTGAATCTTTTAGTGCCTCTTCAATTTCGATTTTTTTGTCTTCAATTTCGAACATTTTGTCGTTAAAATTTGATTTTAAATTATCAAGTTCTCCTTCTTCTAAGAAATCATTAGACTGCTTAATCCAGTCATAAAGCTGATATAAATCAGTCAGCCAAATCTGAGATAAGCTTGTAGTTGACGTAACTTCATCTCTTAAAGACTTAATTTTCCCATTCAAAGTTTCAAGCTTGCTCTCATATATATCAATAACCTTGGAGCATTGTTCACCAAACACTTCTTTTACCAGCATTTTAGTGACTGGCGACATCACATATGGCTTATCTTTTGATAAAATAATCAACGATAGCTGCTTTATCGCTTCTTTTGTAGACTCATCAGTGAAGTCTTCAACCACTTCTTGCTTCTTCTGTAGCTGATAATTTTCATTTATAAGCTCATCAAAAGCTTTTTTAGTCGTCGCAAATTCTTCTCTCAGAGCTGACAGCTGTACCAATGCCTCAGCAGAAATTTGCTTTTCCTTTGTAAGCGATTCTTGTAGAGAAATTGTCTGTGATTTTAGCATATCAACTTTTTGCTGCTCTTCTTCATTTTGCTGAGTCAGCCTTCTGATCTGCTTTTGGCTTAGGTCTAAATTATGGTTTAAATCGTCTTTTTCTATGTTCAGTCTGCTTTGGTCAATTTCTAAAGCTTGAAGCTGCTTTTTTAAGTCTTGTCTTTGGGCTCTTACTGTGGATAATTCGTCGTCAAGTTCATATCTTTCATCAATCAGCTGCAATATTAGCTGTCGGGCGTCACAGAGTTCTGCTTCTAGTTCATCTACTTGAGTTCGGTAAAAAGTTTCGATTTTTCTGTGCTCTTTTTCATGATCTTCTAAGATTTGGATTAATTTCTCTTTTGACACATTTGAATAATCTGGAGGTTTGGCTTCATTTTGGTGCTTGCGGACACTTTCTAATTTTTTTCGAAGAGTTTCTAGTTCTTCCTAAGTAATTATTACATCAGTGGGCGGCTCTGCATCTAAATCAGCTGCTTTTAAAGTAATTCTTCGGACTACGTCCATTTATTTAAGTTTAATTTATATTACATTTTCCTTTAAATTACCTTTCTCTTGCCTAGTTTTTCTTGATTTTCAAAAAAATTCAAATATTTCAAATAATTTTGCGTTTTTTCATAAACTATTATAATCCAGTTTAGCATAAAAGTCCTCCTATTTCCCTCTATTAGTATCATTATTTAGTTCCTTCATATTTTTTGCTTTTAATTCTCAGGTTTATTATTATCCATTACCAATTTTCTTGTTCCCAAAACTCATAAACATGATTGACCATATTTAAAAAGCAAGGAATGAAGCTATTCTGTGGCGTCGCAAAAGCAATTAGTTCCTTTGACGAGGACTTCTGTGCAGCCGTCAACCGATCAATGAAATCTCGAGGGTTTTTCGAGTACATCATGGCGATTTTTGCTGTGACCTTCAATAATGAACAACCGTCCTTTTTCTGGGCTTGTGTTCTTTTATTCCTGCCCTTTAACATCAACTCAGCTATAGCGGTTGCCGCACTGCCTGGGCTCTGTTTATTCATCACTTTACTGTTCAAAAAAATGATTTCACGTCCTCGACCAGTCGCATACCCTCCCAGAAGCGAAATTTTAAGGTACAACCTCCGAGGTAGTGAAAAAACTCACTCGATGCCTTCAGGCGATTCTGCACAGGCTGCACTGTTTTGGAGCTTTTTATATGTAAAATTTGGGTTCCCTGGGTGGCTATGTTTGATTTTGACATTGGCCACGATGTTTTCAAGAATTTATTATATGTGCCACTTCCCATCTGATACAATTATGGGGGCACTTCTTGGGCTTTCTGTAACTGTTACTTACACTAATCTTTTAATGCCTTAAATTTAGTGTGATTAAATATAAGGATTTTCAATGAATTGGAATTTTAGCTTTAACACCTATAGGATTTATAAGAAAATGATATATCAATATGACCGAAGACGCTTTTTCTTTAGAAGCAAAAGATGGGGTGAGGTGCTCATGGATGAAGTGGCCGAGTAAAAAATTTTTGGCTGATAGGATAGTTGTGCCTGTAAGTGTCTTTTATACACCTTTGAAGCAAATTGAAGGCTTAGGTCTGGTAGAATATGAGCCACTTTTTTGCAATATTTGTAAAGGCGTGCTAAATCCTTATGTCGGGGTCGATTTTAAAGCAAAAGTATGGAGCTGTCCTCTGTGCTTTAATAAAAACGCATTCCCGCCACACTATAAAGAATATATCTCAGAGAGTAGCATTCCATCAGAAATGACGCCTCAGTTTACCACAATGGAGTATATTTTAGGCCACTCTGAGCTTGTCCCCTCTATCTATTTATTTATTATTGATACTTGTTGTACAACTGAAGAATTAAATTCTTTAAAATCCTCAATAATAAACTCATTGAGCTTAATTCCAGAAAACTCGTATATAGGCATATTAACAATTGGCAAAAATGTATTTTTATATAATCTTGGCTGAAAAGAAGGGGGAAGGTGCTATACTTTTAAAGGGGATAGGATTTATGACCCTAAAAACATCAAGGACCAGCTAGGAATTAATCATCATGACCCAAGAGGAAATATTGCTGGGGGGAGGAAATTTTTTACCACAAAAAGTGAGTCTGAGTTTTCACTAATAGGGATTATTGAAAAAATAAAGCCTGATATTTGGCCAACTGCAGTTGGAGATAGGCAGTATAGATGTACAGGGACTGCTCTAAATGTGGCTGTTTCTTTGCTAGAGTTAGCATATCCTAAGCGCAATTCAAAAATTTTGCTGTTTGTGGCTGGAGTATGTACTGCTGGACAAGGGATGATAGTAAGTGTAGATATTAAAGAAACAATAAGGACACATATGGATATAAGGAACCAAAATACAGTAAATATGAAGCCAGCGATTGAGTATTATAAGCAATTAGCAAAAAGAGCAGTAGGCAATGGGATTTCTGTTGATGCATTTTTCTGTGCTGTAGATCAGACTGGGATTTTGGAGATGAAATCTCTATGTGAGGAAACAGGCGGACATATTATTTTGACGGACTCTTTTAATACAGAAATTTTCCAAAGATCGTTGACTCGACTATTAGGAGAAAATCCTGAGACTTTTGCAGTCGGGTCTGATGCTGTTATTCAGATACACACAGAGAAAAATTTGGGAATTGCTGCAAAAATTGGGCCTGGAGGAAATCATGTTCATGACAAAACCCAAAAAAAGCTTGAAGAGTTCATCACTGTGCTGCCAAGCATAGATTCTAATACAACGATTTCCTATATTATTGATTTCCCAGAAAGATATGATAAGCAGCATGGTTTTTACTTTTTGCAGTTCCAAACAAATTATCGGCATTTTGATGGGAGAAAAAGGCTAAGGGTGACTACAGTGAAATTTCCAATAGTCAATAATGATATAGATATCACACATTTTATCCCTGGATTTGACCAAGAATCAGCTGCTGTAGCAGTTGCGAGATGGGCTGTAATTAAATTGGAGTCTAAAGAGCCTTTAGAAGTGATTAGATGGATAGATCGCACCTTAGTCAGACTGATAAAAGTTTTTGCATCTTATCTTGTCGATTCCAAAGAGTCTTTTAAGCTCTGCAGAGAATTTTCACTATTCCCCCAATTCATGTTCTATATGCGACGATCTCAATTCCTCCAAACCTTCAATATTTCTCCAGACGAAAGCTCATACTACAGATCATTGATTTTAAGCGAAAACATAACAAATTCTTTATTAATGGTCCAGCCAGCTTTACTTGAATATTCTTTTGAATCCCCTGAGTCTCGCCCTGTACTTCTTGACATAGTTTCTTTAAAACATGATGTGATTTTACTAATGGACTCGTTTTTTATTGTACTTGTATGGCATGGAGACACTATTGCAAGCTGAAGAAAAGCAGAATACCAGAATAAAGAAGGATATGAGCATTTTAAGATGCTCTTACAATTACCATTGGATGATGCCCAAGGAATTTTAAATGAAAGGTTTCCTGTCCCTAAATTTATAGTCACTGATTGTGGGAGAACACAAGATAGATGCTTAAAAGCTAGGGTTAACCCGTCAACAGGAGGAAATGTTGAGAACTTGCCAGGTGACGGCGGGAATTATCTTACTGATGATGCAAATTTGAAGATGTTCACAGATTCTATGATAGAATATGTAATCAAACCACAGTAAGCACACATATAATAATTCATAGGTGATTAAATAAATCAAAAAAATAATTAAACAAAAACCTAAAAATGTCTAATTAAACTACAGGTCTTACAGCTTGACCCACAGGCGTTTGAATTATTGTTTGCCCAGGAACAGCATAAACTGGCTGAATTCCTAACACCCTGGGCTGTTGCTGCATCATCTCTACCACTTCTTTTCCATGCATTACCATCAAAGTCTCATTATTGCTCAACCTTATATAGGCACTCCATACAGTTTTTGCAAAGAAAAAAGATACCAAATTTGCTATCATTATTCCAAATACAAAGTAACCCCACCCACAAATACCTAATTCTTCACAGAAAACAATGTGTTTTACTAGTCTTAGAGGGATAAGAAAGCACAATTCCACAGTTTTATATTGACTGTAAGGGTGAAGCAGCAAAGAGTCAACCTTTGTAATACCGCTGATTCCTTTTAAAGCAAAAAATAAGGCTACGATGTCTAGCAAATCGTGGAGCCCTATGACAATATCAACTTCTGAGTAATATTGCTTAAGGAGGATAAACGCTAATTCAAGAAAGCATAAAGCGCCTAGCACAATGTCGATGACTGCTATTATGATGACTGCTGCTTTTAGTGTGAGACAATATAAAGCTCCTTTGTAGGGGCCGCCGAAGCAGCTGAGAAGAAAGTGTTCATTTTCTGAGCTGGGTCTTAAATCCATTTGTATTTATATTTTATTGAATAGCATAAAATAGATATATATATTGTTATAAGAATTTTTATTTATATAATTAATCAAAAAAAATGTTTCTTACTCCCCCCCCCCTCCGTGAGCGAACAAAAAAATTTTGTTCACTCACGGAGGGGGGTTAATTTTGTTTTTTAAAAACAATTTATATATAAATTTTATAAAAAATATTTTTTTTCGAAATTTAAAAAAAATCCTAATTTGCAAAAATTGGGAAGCAAATACTAATTTAATTTGCAAAATTTATGTTTTAAAACGCAATTTGTTTAAAATTAAACAGAATTAGCTCTAGATTTCATTATACTAATTATCACTTATATAGCAAAATTTTTTTCTATTAAAATTTTTTCTATTAAAAATATTTTTGTTCACTCACGGAGGGTGGGTTTTTGGTCAAAAAATGGCGATTTTTCTAATGGTTTTGTTCGCTCACGGAGGGGGGGGGAGTTAAGCAATAATTATTAGATCGCAAATAAATCTAATTTTTAGAAATTAATTTGCATTTGCTTTTGAATAATTTAAAGAGAAAAATTAAAATCAAATAATAGCAATATAGCATGAATGCATAAGGTCCAAAATCATTGAAAAATAATTTGTAGATAAACATTAGCTTTTTTTTCGATTATTTATTTGCTCATTTTTCTATACCTTAAAACATCAAAATAGGATTAAGTTTTTAATTTTATATTAAACGTATAGATAGCACAATATAATCACGATGAGACAGCATAAAAAGATGGACTTCTGAGGTCTCCTGACTCCTGATTATTCATTTCAGCTGCTTTACTATACTTAACCAAATAATTTTCGTTATTTTTTTGGAATTAGGATAGCATTAATTATTTATTGGAAAGTTCCCTGTGATGCCACAATTATCTCAAATCTACCTTATTAAGTCACCTTATACTGCTCTGGGCTAACTCCTCTTGCTCTACTGAGAGTTCTAGGGCTTCCTAGCTTCTGACTAATAATTCAGCTTAGGGGTCAAAATTTGATAATTTTATATTGCTGATAATGTTTCAACCCTAAATATCTGGATTATTTATACCTAATAATCCTTCCACTGCAAAACTAGCACCTGCCATATAACGAGAATATCTATTTCAGCAAAGAGCCAAGATTGAAAAACAAACACAAGATTTTTTTGAGATAGAATTGATAAAAGCTGATTAATGCAGAGATAATATATAATATAGCCGCTATTCTGACTTCTGTGTTTAAACTCATGAATAAGCCATTTTCATATGGTTTTTCAAAATAGCTCAAGAATTTTTCTTTTCTGTTAACGTCGATTTATTTAAAAATTTTGAGTTATAAAATATTATTGAAAAAGATGGGTTACTGGTATTCTATAAAGAAATGCCTGAAATAAAATAGAGGATTAATAATATATTAAAATAATTATTTATTATTCTGCCTTATAGGCATATGAGCTTCTTTCAAGTATTCTTGGCTGCTCATAAAAGGTATTGTTTAAATTTAAGCTCCAAATTCTAATCACGCATCACCTACATAGAATAAAACTGATCTAAAGAAAAATAAAGTCAAACATTCATATTATTATAGAAAAATTGAAATTAAAATTAGATATTAGATTTCATTTCAACCTTTCCCGATGCATCCCGATTAGGATGAGACCATATAAAATTGCTGCCCTGTAGCATTGACAGGCTGCTGCCTAATCATTTCAACTTCTTTGCCATGCATAACTAGCAAAGTTTCATTATATTTTAGCCTAATATAAGTGCTCCACTCAATTTTAGTTAAAAAGAACCCAATTGTGGTTAGGATTACTACATAAAGAGAGGCAGAAATAAACCCATAGAAATTAGCTTCAGTAGTAAATCTCATGCATCTTATTAAGAAAAGTAAATTCCATTCCACAATTTTGAATTGCTGATACCTCTCAAAAAGTACAAACTTTGATCTACATAGGCCTATTAATCCTGATATCGCGAAAGAAAAGGCTGCATATTAACAAGGGCTTGCATCTCTAAATAGAGCGTATATTGGCTGCATTGCTTTGCTGAGCTAAGAGTTATCATTGTTGAAAAGCCCATTGTCCCTATAACAATGTCGATAATTGCAATTATTATGACTGCTGTATACAGAGTCAGGCATAAGACTCTTTCATATGGCTTTCTAAAGCGATTCAAAAATTTCTCATTGTCTGAATTTGAGCTGCTATCCATTTATTCATATTCTATAAAATGAAGAAAGCTAAAAAGCTTAAATAGTGTAATTTTATTATGGGATATAATGATCAAATAAAATGTCTATATTCAGGTAAACACTCTGAGGTTCTTAAATAGGCACTTAAAAAACAGAAAAGTCAAAAAAATTTTAAAGATGTTTCTAAGGCTATTACTGATTGCTAGTGCTATTTATAATAATTTAAGTACTTGCCAATAAATATATTAAATCAATTGTTAAATATGCTAAGATTAAGCTATTAAATTTCTAAAATACACCTAGATTTTAACAATTTCCTTTCAAGCTGCTCTTTTCTCTAAAGTTTTGATAAAAATGCAGCAAAAAACTTTCTATATTATGAAGAAGTGGATTTAAAAATTAATAATCAAGAAATTAATTATGGCTTTTAATATTATGCCTGTGCCATCGATAGGCTGAATTGAGTTTGGGATATTGGAACCCCATAAACAGGCTGATATATAAAATTTCTCCTTTGTTCCAGCAATTCTGCAACTGCTTTTCCATGCATCACCAATAAAGTCTCGTTGTTTCTTAATCTTACGTTTGTACTCCATACAGTTTTCGTATAAATAAGCGATATAAATGTTCCAATTCACACGCTAATAAAGTAAAGCCACCCGCATGTATCATTTACTTCGCAATATACATATTCAAGAGGCCTGAAAATGCAAAGCATAAAAAATTCTATAATTTTATATACTGAGTAATATCGCAATTTCGAGTGGTCAGCTCTCAGCATAGCGTATAAGCCAAACATTCGGAAAAATCCTCCTACTACTGAAAGTACCGGCCGTAAATACATTCAAAGAGATAGATGCTGAAGCATCTCATAATATCCCGCTACAATTATAAGTGTTCAAACACCTATAAATCCCAACCCAATGTCAATAATTGCAATAATTACAACAGCGAATTTTAGCGTCAAACATAAAAATTTTTCATAAGGTCCTCCACAGCACCTTAAGAACTCTTCATTTTCTCGATTTTCTCCCAAATTCATTTTATTACTGATTTTTGATAAAAATAATCACATGATTTTTCATTTTCCCCAATAAAATTGCAGGAGATTTTGTAATTATGCTAAAGTTGCCATAAAATGGCAGATGCTCAGCTATTTCTTAACGCTATTCACAAAGCTGACATTGTAGATATTTACAGAATCTTACGTAGAACAGGATTAAACCCTACAGAAGCAATAGACCAAAAACACTATACAGCTCTTCATGTATCAAGCCTAAACGGAAATTACGCTGTTTTAGAATTTTTGATTTCTCATGTATAGATAATTCAGGTGAAACAAATTTATGGTGAAGATGCTAATAATGTCTTAGCGGAATGAGTAAATAAAAAAACAAATGAAGGGTTCACAGCGCTACATTTTGGAGCTTTTAAAGGAAACCTTGTAAAAATCAATTAGAAAATAATTAAAAAGTTATTGGAAATTGGTGCAGAAACCAATGCCATAAATAAACAAGGTTTAGGGGTAATTCATGTAGCTGCACAAGGAGATCAGCCTTTAATCATTGCTTATTTTAAAGAACTTGGATTAGGGACAAGAGATTTAGATCACAAAGGAAGCACACCTCTGCATTGGGCTTGCTATATGGGATGTGAAATGGTTTTTTTTTATTTTTTTAAAAAAATAAATATATCAAATTTAATTATTTAAATTTTTTATTGTGAAATGTCAGCAGCTTTATTAATTGCATTAGGCTCACCTACGAATTTAGCAGACAAAGATGGTCACACACCTCTTCACCTTGCAACAATAGCAGGGAATTCCAGAATTATCAGAAATTTACTTATCAAAGGTGCAGATAGAAATACCAAAGTAATTAATAATCAGGATAATGATGATAAAACTGCTTTAATGATAGCTCAGCAAGGTAACAAAAAAAATTTAATTTCAGTCCTAAAGCCTCCTACAATTTGGTCAGATTTTGGATTGAAGCCACCATTACGCCCTCCAAGGCCTGCTTATATTCTAAACTAAATTAAATGTTTAATAATAGTTTTGTATGGGATAAATAGAATAATTGAAAATTTTCAAGAAATTTAAATATTTCATATCCGAATTAATTTAAAATAGTCTGTATCAGTCGCAACTTTTTTAATTTTTTACGGAGGTGGTACTTTGGCGACTTTATTTTTCAATATTCAATATTCAGGAGAACTGGTTAGCTATATCTATAGCGTCTTGATATGCATTTCTTTACTGCTGTTTTTATTTGTGAGTGCTAGAAATCCTGGGTACATAGAAAGTGATGGAGCAAGCTTATTTTCATTGTATGAAAAATATGAATGCCATTTGGTTTGCCCTGACTGTGTTATTTATAGACCGGCAAGATCAAGACATTGCCAATGCTGCGACAAATGTGTGGAAAAATTCGATCATCATTGCCCATGGGTAAATAATTGTGTTGCAGCCAGAAATTTAGGTTTTTTCTTTGGATTTATTAACACTATGTGAATTACGCTAGCCTTTACTGTAATTGTTTGTGAAGAAGTTATAAGACACACTGAGCATAAAGAAGGCCTTCTAAATATTTCTTTAAAATCCAGCCAATCATTAGCAGGAGTTGTTGGGACAGGCTCATTTTTCTTTTTAATACCATTAACAATGCTGGTATTTGTGCATTATCAAAATTTCTTTAAAAACGTCACCACAAATGAACGTTTTGCAAAAAATATAAAAGTCGAAGAAAATGAAGAAAGCCAAACTGGATCTTTTATGAAAAATGACCAAAGTGCGTTCCGAAATTGCTTACTCCCCCCTCCGTGACGAACAAAAAAATTTTGTTCGCTCACTGAGGGGATCAATTTTGTTTTTTAAAAATTTATATATAAATCTTATAAATTTTTTTTCAAAATAAAAAATTCTAATTTGTAAAAACTTTAAAGTTAATTTCATATGCGAAATTTATGTTTTGAAATGCAAGCTATTTAAAATTAAACTAAATTCGCTAGAGATTTCATATAATATTATCACTTATATATCAAATTTAGTTTCCATAAAAACTTTTTGTTCGCTCACAGAGGGCGGGTTTTTAGGCGAAAAATAGGGATTTTTTCAATGGTTTGTTCACATACAGAGGGGGAGTTAGAAATGTGCTGCAACACAAAAAAGCATAGAAGAATTTCATGTGAAATACGACCGCTTGAAGAAGATTCTGTGATGTACCAAGATGTAATTAAAAATTATGAAGGGTCAGCTCACCAATCTGTGCTATCCAACAGACAATCTTTATTAGACTCTCACCATAGTAATATTTTAATATAAAAAGCGATCTCAATAAATTTATCAGCTTAATTATATGTAGAGAATTCTACCATCAGCATATTCTCTGTATTTTGTGCCATCCGGCATTGTGACTTCTTTGTGTCCTCCAGGATGAATTAAGATTTTCTCTCCATCTATTTTGCTAATATACCGAGTACTGTCAGAAAACGTTGTTTCTTCTTCTCCATCAGCACTAATTCTCCGGACTGTTCCATCTATATAAGTTATTTTTTTATTTCCATTAGGATAATGTTTTTCTATTTGGCCATCGTTGAATTTTATTATTTCCATTGAATTCGGAAAAATTGTGTGAATTGCTGAATGTTTGGCATAAAAATATACGATTTTTCCGTCAGGAAATATATTAAAACACATTAAATTAATATTTTTTTTGAATGTTATTATAAATTATTTACTATGCAATAATTCAGATATACTTGTTTGATGTCTTCATTATCTAGAAAAACCACTGAATATCCATTTGGATACACCTCTTTTCTCCCTCCGCTAGGAAATGTGATTTCTTTATGCCCAGATTCATAGGTTTTCAAAATTTTTCCATCTGGGGTTGTTTGTTGTGAAATCACAGGGATTACTTCAGAATATTCAGGAGTGGATATAGGCTCGCTAGGATCTAAACCTTTATAAGCTTCGAAACTTTGTTTATAGCTGTGATTGGAAATAATTGAGTTGTTATTTATTCTTAAATGTATATAATGAAAGCATCAAATAAATTCCCTTTATTATTTTTCTGGAATTTTTGGCTTAGTTTCTAATACTAATCTTATTTTATTCAAATTTATCCTTATATTTCTTTTTTCTCTGCTACTTTCTGGATTTCCTGAGGTCTTTTAACCTCATAAATCTGGTTATTTGTCACTTGTGGCTGATCTTTTTGTGCCTCTTCCTTTAAAATCTGCATTTTTTTAATTTGATCCTGCAGCTCTGCTTGTCTTTTCTTTGCATCTTCAAGCTGTTTTACAGCTCTTTCTTTATTCATCTTATACCTCATATTTCTCTGCTTATCTTCTTCTTGATATTTATTAAGCGTTTGTGTTAAGCTCTCTATTTCATCTCTTTCTTTTTTATTAGGGAAATTTGCTAATACCTTTTGGTTTCTTTCATGGACTTTTAATTCTTGCTTTAATTTCATTTGTTCGCTTTCGTAAACTTTTTCGACTTCTTCTTGGACGCTTATCTTGATTTTTTCGAAGTCTTCTACCTCTTTTTGGTATTGATTTTGCTTTTCTGGGTTAATAATTATTATTATTTATTTTTTTTATAAAAAAATAATATTTTTTTGTAAAATATATGATGCATTTTTCTTCATATAAAATTTTGGCTCTTTTAAGCTGGTCACTGTCTTTTTTGAATTTTTGGATCTCGTAGTTTAATTCTTCAATTTTACTTGACAAAATATCTTTTAGTATTGCTTCTTGGTCTTCTTCTTTTGCAACAGGTGGAAGCTCAGTTTTTGGCCTGATATTAAAATATTTTTGAGCAATTTTCCCTACTTTTGGAGCTTGAATTTGTGGCTGCTCAGTGATAACTTTACTGTCATTTTGACTTTGTTTTACGATTTCTGGCTTGTCATCTTTATATTGAATCTCAGTCTGCAAGTCTCCTCACGCTTCATTTTCTGGGGATTCTTGAAGGTACCTTGTAGGGTTATATTCAGGCTCTGACTCGTCTACACTTTCCCTTAGCATGCTTTCAAAAGCTTTATCAAATAGAGACCCAGACGATTTTTTATACATAATTTAAATATAAAGAATATGAAAAGCATAATAAATATATATGGAGGAAAGAGATATCCATGAATATAAGACAAGCCCATTTGATAAAAGTCTTATGGAGGGAGTTAATGAGATTAAGGGTTGCGCAAAAGATTTAGTAGAAAGATTGGAAATTCCTTATAGAGTTTTATTAGTGATTTTTAATTAGAAATCAGCATTTGAATGCAGCAGAGATTGTTTTTCTGTGGAAAATTATGAGCTGAGAGAGTCTTTTGCATGCAAAAATAAGTGTATTAGTGTCCTTGAGTCTTTAAAAAAGGACCAGGAAGCAAGCTTTGCGCAATTTGATGTAAAATAAATTTAGACTGCCCTTAATCTTTGCTTTCATTCATGCACCAAACAAAAGAGGAGAACCCCTTACCTATCAAATGAGGCAGTTTTATGCTATAGAGATTGTATGGAAAGAGGAAAGCAGTCTTTAATCAAAATGGAAGCGCATTTTGCTTCTCTCTATTCCCAATACACAGACACCCCTTGGTAATTTCTTAACAAAATCAAATATTAAAATAAAATGTGCATTTTCTAGTAAAATTAATGTCTGCTGAAAATACCTCGAAAAAGTCTCATGACCAAAAAACCAACTGAAAGCCATTGCCATATATTGATCAATCTCGGTTTACTCTTAATAAAACTTCAACCCAGTCATATTTTGAGCGTAAACTTGGTCCAGGTACTTATTGTCCAAAAATGCCTGAATTAAGTCAAAGTTTCACATTTTCAATTTCGCCAAGATTTACTTTTGAGACAAGAATTGAAAAAATAGTTCAAAAAATCCAAAATCAATCAAGAGAAAAAGGTTGTAAATCAGAAGAAAGATTTAGGACTATTCTATTTTAAATTAATGTAGAATAATTAATAAATAAAGCTAATAATTTAGGATTTATTATAAAACAGTTTTAACTTAGATCTCTCATTGTTTACACCTGAAAGAAAGCTCGATTTAATTAAAGAAAAATCAAAAAAAGCATCTCTTAAAGAGCTGATAACTAAAAAAGCTAAACTTTGGATAGAAAAAGTCAAAAAAAGCAAAAGAGAAAAAAATTTTGAAGAGAAATTCAAAAAGTTTGAATTCAGAAAGCACGTTCGAGATGCAGTTGATATAAAAAAGACTTGGACTATTTTAATAGTACATTTAGCAATAATACAGAACTATAAAGCTAAGTTTGAGTATGAAACTAATAGGCTTTTTCAATTACAGAGAAGATTAAAGCTGTTTACTATTTTAGTTCGATGAATTGGGAGACTGAAAATTGCTTTAAGATATGCAAGAGAAAGAAATGCTCGCAAAAAATTAAGAAAAATTCTGCGACCTTATTTAGTGACTTGAAGGATAAAAAGACGCGAAAAATTCCTTTCATGTGTTACCAGGACCATTGAGATATGCCTCGGCAGAAGTGAAATTGGGAGAATCGCTTCGTTTTGGATTTTAAAAATAATTTTAATACAAAGAACCTTTAGGAAATGAAGACTTATACACTGTGCAAGGCTAAAAGCTTTGCAGTACATGTGGAATAAATTAATAAAAACGAGGAAACCTGAAATAAGATCTACAGTAGAGACTTTTGGGTGAAGATATATTAGGATTTATTTAAGAGAGAAAAAAAAAGAATATTTACAAAGGAAATCTAAACAAAATGAAAGCAAGTCGCCAGAAAAAGAAAAATCTATAATTTTGTCTATTTATCTGGATAAGAAAGAAATTAAAAATCTTATTGCTAAAGCCACAGCAGAAATTGAACAAAAATCACAAGGGAATAGTCCTATTAATAAAAAAAATGTGTCAATTAAAAAAGAAGATAAAAAAAATCCAGTTAGAAGCTCAATTAGAAAAGCAACTGTAAGAAGCCTGAAACCAAGAAGAAGCACGTTTAATGACTCAGTTCTATTAAAAACTCCCTTTGCAACAATGGCTAAAGATGCTGCAGGAGAATCAGTTCTTTTAGAAGTTCATGAAGTTAGACCAAGAGGGAGATCCAAAAGATAATTTTACTATAGTTTATGAATTTAGTAATTCTCTTTTAACTAAATTATACTAATTCAAATTTTTGAAAATATATTTTCATTTAATTTATAAAACTACCTGTTTTCTTAACATTTGCTTCCCCCATAAACTCTTTATAGATGCCTGAAAACATCGACATTATTTCTTTATAATTATTCCTTACTAGCAGAATTCCTGCTTTTGAGTTCATTTGGCTTAGTTCCATGCTAAGATTTTTTTTCTGCTCTTCTTCTTCGTGATATTTCTATATAGATATTACTCTTTGAGCAATAATTGCTTCTTTTTCAATTTGGCGTTTTTTCTTGCTTCTCCAAACTCTCTGTATCATTCTTGCTGCAGTGTCCATTTTTAGATTCATATTTGTTGCCTCTTCATGCTTCTTTCTATAATTATCATAAGATGATTTTATTTCTCTTAATTCTTCTTGCATATTTGATATTTCTTTTTCTTGGGCTTTTATTTTTTTACAGTTTGCAGCAATTTCCGTATCTTTTCCAGTAAGGGCTTTTCGATTTTCCATTTTCATCCGTTCAACAGATACTTTTAGCATAAGATTCTCGTGCTTTGAAGCACTAATTTCAGCTGATAATTCCTTTTTACTCTCTTGGAGCTCATTCTGAAGATCTTCTATTTGTTTTTCCCTATTTCGGATTTCTTTTTCTTTATCAGAGATAATTTTTTCAATCTGCTTATTTTTATTTTCTAAATCAGCAATTTTTTGTAGGTATTCTTCATTTTCAAGCAAAAGTTTTTCTTTTTCGCTTTCAATTAGGGAGTATTTTTTAGACAAAGAATCCAATTTATCAATTAGTTGAGATCTGTCTTTCATTATTTCTAGTTTTTCACTTGTAAGAAATTCTATATTTTGCTCGAATTTTACTTGAGAGTCTGCTTTTTCAGACTCTTTTAATTTTAGTTTTTCTTCATAATTGGCTTTAATTTCTACAATTTCTTCTTCCAAATTTTTTGTTTTATCACTAAGATTTTCAATGATTTTAGCTTGATTTTTGCCATTTTCTCGTTCTATTTCAAGATTTTCTTTCATTTCGCGATTTAATTTCATTAGAGTTGTATATTCTTGGTTAAGATTTTCTAAGTCCTTGCTGAGCTTTATAATTTCTGAATCTTTATCATTTATTTCTTTATTTTTAATTTCCACAGTTTTTTCTGCTTTAATTTTTTTGGTATCAAGATCAGAAACTGACTGTTTTAATAGTAAATTTTCAGTTTTATTCGAATTTAATTTTGCTGTAAGAACAGAATTTTCTTCTTTAAGAGATTGGAGCTCAGAATTCATTCCTAGTAAATTTTCTTTTAGTCTTGATATGTCTTCGGATGCAGATTCTAAGTTTTCTTCAAGTTTTTTAGCATATAAATTATTTTCTTTATTTTCAAGCAAAAGTTTTTCTTTTTCGCTTTCAATTAGGGAGTATTTTTTAGACAAAGAATCCAATTTGTCAATTATTTGAGATCTGTCTTTCATTATTTCTAGTTTTTCACTTGTAAGAAGTTCTATATTTTGCTCGAATTTTACTTGAGAGTCTGCTTTTTCAGACTCTTTTAATTTTAGTTTTTCTTCATAATTGGCTTTAATTTCTACAATTTCTTCTTCCAAATTTTTTGTTTTATCACTAAGATCATCAATGATTTCAGCTTGCTTTTCGCCATTTTCTCGTTCTATTTCGAGATTTTCTTTCATTTCGCGATTTAATTTCATCAGAGTTGTATATTCTTGGTTAAGATTTTCAAAGTCTTTGCTGAGCTTTATAATTTCTGAGTCTTTATCATTTATTTCTTTATTTTTAATTTCAAAAGTTTTTTCAGCTTCAATTTTTTTAGCATCAAGATCAGAAACTGACTGTTTTAATAGTAAGATTTCACTTTTATTTGAATTTAATTTTGATGTAAGAACAGAGTTTTCTTCTTTAAGAGACTGGAGTTCTGAATTCGTTTCAAATAAAATTTCTTTTAGTCTTGATAACTCTATAGTCGCAGATTCTAAATCTTCTTCTAGTTTTTTTATGTATTTCACATTCTCTTCGTTTTCAACAGAAATTTTTGTTTTGTCTCTAACAATAAATGATGTTTTTTTAGATAAAGAATCCAATTTATCAATGAGCTGAGATCTGTCTTTCATTATTTCCACTTTTTCTTTTGTAAGAAATTCTATATTTTGCTCAAGCTTTTTAAATATGTCTGCATGCTCAGAATCTTTATTATTTAATTGTTCTTCATAAGCTTTTTTATTTGCTTCAATTTCAGTTTCTTTCTGTTGAAGTTTTTCACTTAATGCGCTTAATTAAATAATATTTATAAGAATAAATTACTTTTTGAAAAAAAAATTATAATTAATTAATATATTACTAGTTTTAAATTGATCCAGTAGCGAATAGGGAAGTTATCATTGCAGAATTGTTTTTTTCTTTATTTATTGAAGACTTTAGATTTTCAAGCTCAATCTTGTGGTTATTGCACAAAATTTCTATTTCTTCTCTTAAATCTTTAATTTCATTGTCCTTGGCTTTACTTTGTCGCTCTCTCGTTATTATTTCTTTTTTTGCTTTTTCAAGAACTTTACTATAATCATTCATTTTGGATTTTATGGCTTGATTGATTTTTGCAGTAATTCCTTCTTTAAGCATATTAAATTCTTTCCCACTGGCAAGTAGTTCATTTCTCAAGGCTTGTGAAAGCTCTTTTACTCCTTTAAAGTTTATTTTCTTCAAACTTTTATTAACCTTTGCTTTTGTTGCTTCTAATTGTAGTGCTAAAAGTCTTGCATCTTCTTTAGTTTCCTTTAAATTTTCATTCAAAATATGGTTTTTTTCTTTTTCTGATGCTAATTTCTTTTTGCTTTCATCTATTTGATTTGATAATTCAGAAATCCTGAACTGTCTATCATTATTCTCAGCCTCAAACTCAGCTTTGCTTTTTTTAACCTCTTCTCTTACTCCCACGCAATTAGTATAATAAACACTTGTTAATTCTGTCAAATTTTAAACAGCTCGCATTTTAAAACAAAAAAATTAGATTAATTTTCGCTTTCAATTATTTATGAATCAATATTTTTTTTAATTTCAAAAAAAATACTATTAACCCTTAACGAAATTTTTTTTCGCTCAGAGTTAGAGACCTGTTTTTATTTTTTAATTCAATGATCTCATTTCTCATACTATTTATATCTTGCTCTTGCTCAAGCATTAATTTATCAATTTCTTCTATACTGTTCTATTAGAAATTATTGCTTTATTTTTGACTAAAATATATTACTTACTAAATTATGCAAAAAGTAAAATTAAATAAATTTAATATAAAAATGCTTTATGCTCATCATTTTTTTTATCCAATTTTGACTGATAATACGAATGTATTTTTTGAACCTCATTTTTTTTAAATTCATCAATTGCAGCTTGGGTTGATCCAGTCGACACCTGCTGGTTTTCTTGATTAAGTAGCTCAAGTCTTTCGTTTTCACTTGTGAGGACTTCAATTTTTTCTTTAAGTTCTGTTATTTCTTCCATTAATTTTTGCTTGTCTATTATTCAAAGATTTTCACCATCATTAAATTTGTCAAGCTCAGCTTGGAGTTGAGCACAAAGAGCTCTATAGTCAACTTTTTTATTGATTTCAGGCCTATTTTCTACCTTCATTGCTCTGGAGCCAAATTGCAACGATGATATGCTTTCTTGAGCATGAGAAGAAGATGGCCCTATAGTCACAATTAAAGATGTTTTGGAATTTCCTCCTAAAGAATCTTCTAATAAGCGTGTCAGTTTAGAGTCACGGAAAGGGACATATTTTGCTTTTTTGTCTGCAAGTGCTTGAATGCAGTTTCCTAAAGCTAGCAAGGCTAAGTTATATTGCCTAAAATTAATTCGCTCTTTTGCTAATATTAAAAAAATATTAATATAAAATATGGATTTATTCTATTAAATAATCCAGTAAAGGATAATATTTTTTGCTTCATCAAGCCTACTCCCGACCGCTTTTGATTTTTTTACTCTTTCGCTACCAGCTAAATCTACCAAATACAAAGTACTTCTAGTCATACTTTGGTCAGGCGTTTCTCCTTGCTTTTCTAATGCTTCCAGCTCTTCTATTGTATATTTTTTTCTTTTTTCAAGCTTTACCATATAAACTGCATGAGATCTGCTTGAATGAGAATTCATGCTTGTAAAGGCTGTATTTCGGTTTCTGTCACCTATAACCATTAAATCCATACAATCTTTGACAGAATTTACAGTTACCCATTGGACGCCTGACAAATAAACCCCTTCATCAGGGTCTTCTCTAATTTTCACTTGATTTTCATTATCTGGAAACAATAAGTCTTGTAGCATTTCCATATAAAGCTGGACAAAACCTACTTGTATTGAAAAAGTAAAGCCGGTATCTTCTTTTACGTGTTGAAAAATATGCTGGATTGCTCGCGGGATTACACCTTTTTGTTCTCCAGATGCTCCCATCATTGTATGAGTTTTCCCAGTCCCGGTTTGCCCATATGCAAAAATTGTTCCATTGTATCCTTCTAATATGCTATTCACAAAATTTTTTTTTCAAAAAAAATCTCCAAAAATAAAATATTTATCTGCATAATTCCCTCTCTCAATTCACAACAGGCTGCCCTACTCTTTCATAAATCTCCTTTTGCGTCGCAGTCGATTCAAACACTGAATCAAACGTAAAAGTCTTTTTATCACAATCTTTTTTAATTACGATTACACCTCTATTCGGATCAATTGTATCAATAGAAGTATCTTTCCCATATAGGCTTAAATCTTCATCATTAAAAGGTCGAACTCTTAAATGTACGTTTACTCTTTCCACTTTTCCACGCCTTTTTCCTTCCTGCATGAATTATTATGAAATTAGTTGTAATTTATATTTAAATGAATTTTAAAAAAAATTATTAGGGATTTTATAGTAAATAATTATTTAATTATGGAATAGTTTAAATGGAAACGAATGAAAATCATATAGAGAGATCTAATATTAGAAGAGGATCAGCCATTTCTGAGTCTGCACTTGTAACAATAGAATCTTTAGCTGACCCTTCTATTAATACACAAGCTTGAAAAGATGACACAAATTGTATTGTATGCCATTGTAAGTTTGGTAAAGGAATAAATCAAGCCTCTAAATATTTTTGCAAATTTTGCTTTAGAGGAGTTTGTGCTAATTGCTCTGAAAATAGGTTTCCAATTGTGGGGTTAAAAGATCCCCAAAGATGCTGTGATAATTGCTATGAAAATCAGTCCAAAAGTAATGATGGCGGAATTTTAGATAGGAGGAGTTATTCGCTTCATTCGAATCCTAATGATTCTTTAAAAGAAAAAATCAAAACTGTCGCGCTGCTTGCATATGAAGAAAGGAATAAGCGAAAAGAAATAGGAAATAAAATTAAAATTTTAGAGGAAAATATAAAAGAAGCAGAAACAGAAATTAATGAATTGAAAAATAATAAAAATATAAAAAGAAAAGAAAATTTTGAGAGAAAAATTGACGACCTAATGCATGAAAATGAGTTTCTGAAAAATGAGAAAAATACGTTAAAAGAAGACTTATCAGAAAAAGATGAAAAAATCGCAAAACTTCAAAGGACTATTAGAAATTTAGAACAAGAAGGCCAAGAAAAAGATATATTAAACAAGAAATTAGAAGAAAAAAATAAAGAATTAAAACAGTGATTAAAAAAGCTTGAAAATGAAAGAATCGCTGATACACAGCAGATCATGGATGGTCTGCAAATTTTGAAACTCCAGCTGGAGGAAGAACAAAAACAAAATAAAAAATTAATTGATGCTTTGCAAAATAAAGAAAAAGAAGAAAAGGAATTTTTGAAAGTAAAAGAAATTGAAAAAATAAATGCACAAAGAGAAAAGATGATTAAAAGCACTGTTAATCTTAGTGTTTGTGAGAGTCCTGATGAAATAATTAAGGAGGATAAGTGTAAATGCCAAATTTTTTAATAATTTTATGAATACTGAAATTTCAATCTTATAATTAGATAAGCGAATTTAAATGGAAAATGCATATTTTGATAGTTTCAAAGATAAGTAATTCTGACAAGCTAAACCGCGCTTGATAAATGCGTATATAGTTAGCTAATAGAGTATATTATTTTGTATATAAAAAGCCACTGCTTTTGTTTTAATATTTTGCCATGTAAAATAAATTTATCATAATGAAAGAAAATAATGATAATCTTCTGGAAATTTAATTAGTTATAAAACAGATCAAAAGATCCTCAAAGAGCAGCTATAAATTCTATTTTAGCTAAATCTAGACTTATTTAAGTCTATTATCTCAGCCAATTACAGTTAACTTATGCACACTTTTAATGCTGGCCACTGATTTTTTAATACCTATGATCTTATTGCTAAAAATGTTTTTTTCATATCATATTTTCTATTAGTCTAATTTTATATCTGAAAGTCACCATAAGGCAATTAAGGTTTCAAGCTAATGGGTAAAAGATATCCTTATTAATGAGAGAATAAGCTCAGATTGCTAAAATTTTTTTGTCATTTTTTCTATATAAAAGCATATTATTATCTTTTTTATCTTAAGTTACTTTTCTTTTAATTATATAAATAAAAATCATGGGTATTTGCGCATGTAAAGTTAAGGTCATTACTCCAGTCCCCACAACTCAAACAACTGTCCGAACCGTCCCAAAAATTAAGAAAGTGCTCCTTAAATGTAAAAACTATTCAGTCACGAAAGATGAGTTAAGGGTATTAAAAGATCTCTACAAAGACTTATCAAGGAAAACAAGCGACGACGAAGCTATCGACAAAAACACGTTTATCCAATTTTTTTCGCTGCCTGTAACTTCTAAGTAGGGTCTCCTAGGAGAAAGGCTTTTTCAAAAATTCGATACATCAAAACAAGGCTCAATAAATTACGAAGACTTTCTGTTAGGATTATCGTCCTTCAGCAAAGGAACACTTGAAGAAAAATATAAAATTATTTTTGATCTGTATGATTTGAAAGAAGACGGCGTTATTGATAAAAATGAATTAGTTACTATTGTATTTTCTATTTAGATTCACAATACTTATAAAGAAACAGCGGATTTGCTGCCATTGCCAACGTCTACAACTGATACTTCTGGTGGGCAAGATTTGTTTATACAATTAGGAACGCCAGCAAAACATCCTATGAGAAGGATCGAAAAAAGAAGAACCACTTCAGCTTTTCCTGACGAAGAGTACCCAGTAAATAAAGAAAAATCGATTGCTACTCAATTCCAAGAAAGAAGGGTGCAAATGATTGCAGCACATATTTTAGATACTTTTGGGGATAAAAATACCTTGACATTTCAAGATTTTACTAATTTTCTAAGCCAACACCCTAAAATTTTTGAAGTTTTTAGGGCATCTTATAAAGAAGATATTTGGCTTGGGGTGCAACCAGATGTAACAATAATCAGAGAAAGAAAACAACGGAAAAGATGCCGAACTATCGGCGGGCTGGTATCTGCACAAACTTTTGCTGATTTTAGACTTGATAAATTCCCTTCAATTAATTCATGCGATTTTTCTGGATTTTTATACCAGAAAAATAAAGAAACTAGCGTTTTTGAGAAAAAATTTGCTGCGTTGAAGAAAAGTTTGCTATTAATTCATGAAAATCCTGAAGATAAAATGCCTTCTGGAGTAATCTTTATGGATGGGTGCTATGTGGATATTATAGGTGATTATTATGTTTCAAAAAAATTTGGAATTTCAATTTCACACGAATCCAGTGCTTATAATGAAATTAACCTATGGTTTGACTCTCGAAAAGAACGAGACGAATGAATTAAACTTTTAGAAATTGCTGCAAAAACCAGGAAATTTAAAGAGTTTTATGAATTAAAAGAAAAAATTGGCCATGGACGATATTCTGATGTCCATATTGTAATAGAGCATGCTTCAAATAAAAAATATGCGGTGAAAATAATTACAAAAGCCAGGCTTTCTCATAATGAAGCTGAGATGCTCAGAAGCGAAATTGCTATTATGAGGCTTTTAGACCATCCAGGTGTGATACAGTTAAAAGAAGTCTTTGATACTAAAAAACATATGCTGATTGTAATGGAACAGGTATGTGGAGGAGAATTATATAAAGATTTTCTTTAAAAGTGCCCGCCAAATGGCGGGCTATATTAAACTATTAACCGTATTAAGCGGAATATAGATTTATCAAATAATATTAGTTATAAAAATCTAAAGAAACTAAAAGCAAAATTATATATCAGAGGATTGTAAATAGAAAATATTTCACTGAATACGCCACAAGCCAAGTGATAAAGCAGCTGCTTGAAGTCGTTAAATACCTGCATGATGTTGGAATTATCCATAGAGATATAAAGCCTGAAAACATTTTATTAGTTGATGAGTCAGAAGTCCCCAAAATCAAGCTTGCTGATTTTGGGCTTTCCCAGCTTGCGTTACCAGGGACCTTGCAAACTTTATCATGTGGGACATTAGGATATGTAGCTCCTGAGGTGTTAGCAAAAAAAGGTTATGATAATAAAGTCGATTTATGGAGCATTGGGGTTATCGCTTATTTGATGCTTCATCATAGATTATTCTATTTTATTATTAAATAAATCTAGCTTTTTTTAGAAAAAAAAAATTATAATGCTAATTTAATAAAGTATACCATTGGACCACCCAGAAAAGCACGAATTAATTGAAATGACCCTAAAAGCTCCTATAGATTTTAGCGTTGAGCATTGAAAAAGATTTTCACCTCAAGCTTTGGATTTTGTACAAAAGTTATTAAATAGAGATCCAAATGAAAGATTGTCAGCCGAAGAAGCATTGCGGCATGAATGGGTCAGAAATCCAGACGGATTTATCAGAAAAAGCACATTTAGAGAAACTACAAGAGACAACTCAATTTCTGTTGATTCTCATCTATCAGGGTTGCTATATCATCCTGAATTCACAGAATCTTCTAGTACTATAGATAAAAATCATAGATATGCAGTCCAAAGCTTGCCAGAACTATTAGCTCCTGATATAATGTCTTTTGATAGGTTTTCTTCTAACTGCAGCTCGTCCATGCAGGTGCAATCATAACGGCTATTGATGCATTGAAATATTTTCCTAAAGCATAAATTATTGATGTTTTTTAAAGATATGCCTTTTAGTGATTTATAATTAATATGGAGGTGGCGACAAAACATGTCATTGCCGACGACGCAAAAGTTTGGGTGCCAAAATTGCTTTATAGAATAAACCAAGGGTAAGGCCTTTTGATTTTAACCCTAAGCTTGCTGAATGGCGGCTGTATAGGGTTGGTGATCTTTGGAGCATGCTGGTGGCCATTCAGCCCAGGTATTAATTATTCGGATGGTTTCTGGACCACGGGTTCTTTCCCTGCCGGTTCGGAGGGCCGTAGTTCTTTTTTCTCGTGTGTTAGCTCTCCTAAAGATATCCGACACGAGGTATCGGGCTAAACGTTACTTCCACAGCACCCGATTGCGTACTGGTAGGGTATCTTCCTAACTCGTCAAGACTCCTTGGGCCACAGTGCAAGCCCTGCTCCTAGAAAAGACCACTGTTCCAAATAGCAGCTTAATTTCCACCCGGCAATAGGTTGGCTGATTCGAAAGCGTACTTAATTTAATTTTAGTGACTTATAAAACTAAATTTTTAAAATAAGAACTAAAATTTTAGTTACAAGAAATAAGGATATATCCCGAGCCTCCTTAGCTCACGCTATACCGATTTAGTTTTTTTACCATCATTTGTTAGTAAAACCAACTCCCCAGATGACAATTTTATATATTGGAGATTTGCCATCTGAGGAGTTGGTTTTGCCAACAAATGTTGGTAGAACCAACTCCCCCTTCGAGCATCAGGAGGTATCAGAAGAGCCCGAGCCAAGAAAAGGCTTGGGCTATAAATATTGATAAATGTGTAATTAAATCCTATTTTTTATGTATAGCTTTTTATATTACCTAAGCTGATGGAACCAGATTTTGTATATCTATGTGCTGGTATAGTTGAAGAATGCAATCTTGTAGCTCATCTGATGCTATATTTATATCATCATTCACTAAAAATTTCCTAAATAAATGCTGGTTTGAGGCAGCAAAAGTCATTTCTGAATCAGCATTTTTTGCTCTTATAGCGATGGCTTCTTCACTATCTTTTCCTCTACTCCTAAGTCTTTGTACTAATTGCTCTGTACTTTTTGGCTGAACGAAAATTGAATTAATTTGTAGCCCGCTTTTTGAAATAGTCTTGACTCCTTGTACGGCGTCTCTATTTAACAACCATAGGTAATTTTTTCTAAATTTTTGACGTTTAAATTAGCTTTTTTTAATTTTCCTATTTTTTTCCTTCAATAAAATGGTTTAACCCCTTGTACATCAATATCCATAATACAAATTTTCCCCTTCTTTTGTATATTTTCTATGGCTTTTTTGCTTGTACCATAAAAATTCCCATGGACTTCAGCCCATTCCACAAATTCTCCTTTTTTTACCTGCTCCATAAATTCTTCCCTTGTTAAAAAATAATATTCAACTCCATGAGTTTCCCCATTTCTTGGCTTCCTTGTAGTAGAAGATACAGAAAACTCAAAATTGCTTTGGAAGTTTTCAATCATTTTTGTAATAAGTGTGCTTTTTCCAACCCCTGAAGGGCCGACAATTGCTAGTGGTTTTAAGTATAAATAAAATGGCATATGGCTCGAGAGAAATTAGCTCTGCTATTTTTTCTCTCTCATGGAATTTTTTTTATGGGGTTTGGTTTTAACTTGATAATTTCTACAAAGAAAGCGGCAATTTAACTTTAGAGATAGCCAGAAGAACTGCTCTTAAGTGCATCAAGAGACTTGGGTTTTTACCACTTAGCACATCAGAGGAGAGGTGACCCTTAGGCGGAATACGCACAGATGCTAAGTCAGACAAGAGCGACAGCAATGTTCCTGGTGAGAAGTGCGGCCTTAACTTTCGACGACGTGCCAAGGAATATCTACCTATATGGTGCACCATTTTAAGTGACACAATGGTCTGTGACGTCACTAGTTGGGACTAGTCCCTTCTAGTAGGAAGTGGCACAGGACAACTTAAATACTGAATAATAAGTTAAGTTCAGCTAGTGGCTTTAAGTAGTCTTTTCTCGTCTGAGTAAAGAAATTTGAGTCAAGCAAAGAAGAAATATGAGTGTGGTGGAGGACTTTGTCATAAAATTTAAAATACTGTTTAATAGAGGAGTGAAAAGGCTCAAGGGTAAGTTTTGGATGGTGATGGGTTGAGTAATATGAATAAAGATTGGGAGTCAAAACATGAGGTGGGAAAGCCTTTATTCTATTTTAGAAAATAGACCTTCAAAATATAATTAAATTTAAATAAAAAGAAAAAATATGATGGAAGGATTCAGTTAAAAAAGAATATCCTCAGTGCTGAAGAATAGCGGGCATAGAGCTCTAAGCTTGTTTTCATCAGATTTTTTATATTTTTCCTGATAAATATGCATAAATAGATCAAGCTAAAGTAAAAATCTATACGAAGCAAAGAATTCTGTTGTAAATTAAAAGATTTTTAATTTAAAAAACAATATAATATTTTAACTAACAGATTAATATTCAATATGGGGCCAAAACCTTCGAAACACATAGAATATGATAGAAATGATATAAAAACTCAAGGATATATATCAATCACGACTAAAGAAAAAGAAAAAAAGAAATATTTCAGGCTTTCCCACAAATCTCTGAAATATTCAGATGGCCAAAACATTCCTTCTAAAAATAAGTCATCTTTATTTAATTTAATGCCATTTTTCTTTTCTCAGCCTATTTTCTAATAATTTTTTATGTCCTGGCCCTTTAAATTATCATCCAAATTTAATTAAACTCTCTATAAAGCTTTTTTCGATAAAAACTTTAAAATTCGGTTAGAAAACCCTGATGAAGCTATTTTAGTACTTGAGGTAAAAAACATTAGAGGCCAAATTCAACAGTGGCAATTAAAATTTGAAACAAATGATGAATATATAAGCTGGGTAAGCTTGATTAAGAAAGCAAAAAGACCAATATGAGAAGATCCTATTGAAAATTTGGCTTGCAAACAATGCAACGTAGATTTTAGTGTCTCTAATAGGCAGCATCATTGCAGAAAATGTGGAAAGGTTTATTGCTATCTGCATTCCTCAAATAAAATAGCTATACCAGAGTTAGAATATAATACGCCAGTTAGAGTATGTGATAATTGCTTCAAGGATTCATAATAACTAATATTTAATAGAAATTCTCAAAAATTAAATTGATAAAGCATAAATAATAGGTTTAGCTGAAATCTGTTCTTTTCTATAGCAAAATATTGGATATTCTTATGAATATTTAAGTGTCTTTATTATAAATATTAATATTAAAAAAGCGATTTAATTTGCTTATAAAGTAAACTTTATCAAATTGAATATGAAGCAGTTGAATTTTTAAATTCGAGTAAAAATGATTGATGAAAATGAAAAAGACTCTGATAGTGATTAGAATTATTAAGGACAGGCGCTAGCCATATTAGTGATGAATCACCAAAGATGGGAGATTCATCCGCTTTACAACGAACTGGCAAGTAGGTCGAGAAGTAGCCGACATAGTTGTCTCCTCCTTTCTTGAGGCTTTAGTCTTGGATAGACTTTTGGATTCTGCAGCCTACGATAAGCTATTGAATGGCTTGATTCCAAAGATTAAGCTACAAGAAAATGAATGTTCCCTTTGCTGGGGCTAAACCCCCGATTTCTCGGTAGAGGATGCCCAAGGCTCCAAAGGGCATTGCATGACACCTCCTTTTCATCTACAAGAAAGTAGTTAAAACCTAATCGAATACACATTTGCTGAGGCTACGCTTGCTTCTCAGCTTGAATGGCATCCCGTTCCAGTTCATGGCAACTTTAAGGTCCTAACTGTTGCGCCAAGAGCAGTGTCGCCATTTAGTATATGATGACTTTGATAGTGACAGTCAGGAAAGTCAGCACATTGATCCTATAAATCAGCTTATTTTGGAAACTTAAACCCCTTCATATTAAAAAGAAATTTTTAATTAAAAAAAAATTATTAAAAAATTTAATTATTTTGTTAAGCATATTATCTTTAGTGAGAAGCTCTCAAATGCCTCAGCTAAAATGATGGATTAAGGAAGAAACCTGTAAACTCTGAATATTTTTCAGTCTTAAAGCGAATAAAACCAGGATACAGAGTCCGTCAAAGAGATAAAGATTTTTATAATAAATCCCCTGAAGCAGTTTCTGAAAGATCTAAAAACTATCTAACAGAAGCCGGTTTTTCCTATGGCCGATTTCACTTTTCAGACCCTTTCAAAGACCAGCGTGCAGGCCGTCCTCGAATCCGAGCTGCAGGTCCTATAATTGACCAGCCAGCCGAAGATCTTCCTCCTATAAAATTCAATGACAAATTTTCCCCCAAAATAATTGAAGGTTTTCGCAAGCCCTCCCCAATAATTCCACAAAAAATAGAATCCATCATAAAAACCCACAGAGATTGAAATTTAGATTCTCAAAGAAATGAATCCCCAAGCCAAATAAAGGCAAAAGAATATTTAATGTACGTTAACTGCGTCAGCCCAGCTGAAAAAAGTCATCTCAAAGCCAAAATAATTGCTGACATGAATTCTTATAAAAAAAAATTAGAAAAAAACGCAGACAGTGAGCTTGCACAATTAAATGGGCGTGGAATGTTTTCAAACCAAATAAATAAAACTAGGGTGCAAGCAATGATTGCTGTGAGGCTGCAAAATAAGAGAATGAGCCTTAGCCCAGTTTTGAGAGCGGCAAAAGAAGAGCTATCGAGGAGTAAAATTAAGCAGTTTACAGTATCGCCGATAAAAACTAATTTGATTGAAGAGAGTGAAGTAATTGAGCATGAGAGAGGAAAAAAGCTGCTTAAAGTATAAAATTAGCAGAAAATAAATTATTTATTGTAATAAAAATACTATAATTTTTTTAGAATTGGAGGCTGGAGATTAGAATTTAAGTAATGTTTCATTTTTAATAGATATAATTGAAGGAGCAGTTGCGAAAAAAATTGTAAGAAATAAAAGAAGAAAATCAAGCTCGCTTCAAGATGAGCTGCTATATAAATCTGAATGATTAAAATATGGTATCTAAGTCTGGGCATGGCCGGAAGCCATGCAGTTTTGAGCACATATTTTAATTATATCGGCAAGGCTTTTACAGCTCAGAAATGGACAGCTGTACTAGGTAATCAATCTTAATCCATTTAGGGTTAGCCTTAGTCCGATTTCAGAGAAGATTTTACTTCGAAGGAAAGGAAAACTTGAAGTTGGAAAGGGGAAGCCCAGAAAGCCTTTTAGGCCTTTCGGGAAGCTCCCTAGTGTGAAACAAGGAGCTACTTTTGTTAACAGTCGGCCAGAAATTCCATTTTTTGGAATTTCTGTGCCGGCAACCTCGTCTGGCGTACTACATGATGGCCAGCCCACTTAACTCTTGGTAGACTCGAGCCTAAGGCGGAGAGGAGTTAACCCTCTTGTGGGGTGTGCGCACCAGCGGGTGCTACCTGAGCTTCTCGATAATACAACATAATGTTAATTCTGTATAAATCTGAATGAACAGAAGCAATAAATGCATCTGTTCACGAAACAATGAAGCACTGCAGGCCTGATTCAAGAATAACAAATCTAGGTCCACTAAGTTTAAATAATTCTGTGTTTTAGTAATTTTTTAATTACAATCCTTTTGAAATATTACATACCTTCAATTATAAATCATTAAAATAAAATCTAAATTCTTAATCTCCAAAAATATAGGATCATCTGCTTATTAAAATTCTTTAAAAACCCTAAATAGCATATAATAATTTTCCAGTACTCTTTCTATATGACCATACAATTCTCTATTTTCCGGGGCATCCAGCCTTTTCTGCCACTCACTCCCTTCAAAATTTTTCGCATGCTTAATTATAAGCCTAAACCCAATTTTTGCCAATTTTTTCGTAAAATAATTTAAAATCGAATAAGGAAGAAACTTTATGCTTGGGTCAAAATTTGATATAAATTTTACATAAGTCCTGCATCTATCTATAGGCTTTATCATACAGCCAAGAAATGTCACTTTCGCCCTTATAGCTTTTCCTCTAGGAGGCAAAGCGACTCCTTTAAAAGTATCCTCATTGTCACAAGATCTACAAATAATCATAATGGCTCCATGAGTTTGCAATAAATCAGCCCCAAACCCATATAAGCAGGTTTCCCTTCTGGCGATTTTGCTAACGTTAAAGTCTTGGGCTAAAATTTTTCTGGCCCTCGAAAGCTGTTTTATTAATGAAGATTTTTTACAGAAAGGGATTCATAGAGGATAGAGGTCATGCTCATAAATAAGTGTCAGAATATTGAAGACTGGGACCTCAAATTCAGTTTCTGAAAGTATAGATATAGTAGGAGTGCCAGGGACTGCTTTAAAACTCAGCTTGATTGGGTCTTTCGAAGGAACTGGGGTTCAGGCTTCTTTATCTTCAAATTGGTCATAAATTGCTTGGATTTCTTGGTAATCTTTTTCTATTTCTAATAAGTCAGGGTAGTGGTTGATATTTCCTCCACAGGATGATTTGAAATGGTTAAGCTCTAATAAAGCGTCATATATTTTATCGTCATAGTAAAGGTTCATTATTTTGGAAACAGTTTCATTATGTAGAGAGTCCAATAAGACGCTTTGGTCATCAATTTTTATAGTATTTTCATTTCCCTCTGCCAGTTTATTTTCTAAAAAATTGTCAATTTCTGGGTTAATATCATTGCTGACTTCGTCTGAAGATTGGCAGCCAGTTATGACAGGATCTTCAATAGGAGTATCTTCAGGTTTTATTGGAGAAATATATTCAACTGTTGCCAATCTTTCCATATTATATTTATAGTGCATGCCTTGGTTTGAATATAGAAATAAAATGGTGACGTTGACGGAAATAGGACTCCGAGGCGCACCTCCTATGGAGTTGGTAGGACCCATTTCTGATGAAGCTGAAATATAGGGCCTCGTTCCCTGTCTTAAGTAGGCCTTCAGAGGTGGGGAAGCCGTGCCGAAAAGGAAGTTTTATTTCTCCCCCGAAGGTTTTCCTGTCCATGCCTGATGGGCTAGACAGGTAAGACCAGAAACCAAGATGGCGTCGGGCCTGGGAGTATGGTCGCATCAGAACCCGACCTGAAGTTGTCTTTCAGCTGAGGCGTTATGGCCCGCTGGTTCGCCCACGTATGGCCATTTAAAACTAACTAACTAACTTGGTTTGAATAATTTAGGAAATATTTTATAAAGGGAAAATTACTTAAAAAGTATAATTTATTTTGATGATCTGACAATAAAAAAGACGAAAATAATAAAATTTTATTTTAATAGTTACAAAATTGTTATTTCAAAGCCAATTTTTATCTAATCTAAAAGGGACTATTCGCAATATTAGCTTATTTAAACTCTAGAGCAAAATCTCGTGTAAATTCATTTCTGTCAATTTTCCCTACAATAATTCTGTCCTTGACTATATAAGACTGATAAAAAAAGCACCCTTCATTTTCTAACTCCCTCATCTCCAGCCATTCTGAATTTTTAAAATTAATCATGGCCTTAAAATTATAATATTCTTCTTCATTATGCCAACCTCCAAAACAAATCACACTTGAATTCGTCAAACTAATTAACCCTACCGCAGCATTTTCTGTTGGCAATTTAATTTCAAGTAAAGTCCACCAATGATTTTCATATTTTTCTATAGTATCTACCTCAAACCCTCCAAATACATACACAACATCTCCCATATTTACAGCTGAAGGTGTGCTTCTTTTCCGGTTTAAGCTAGAAATTTGTCTTCATTTTTCTTTTTCAAATATTTCTACACTGTCTAAATCATTTTCTCCATCAAATCCTCCTATAACTGCTGGCCAGCCATCAATTCAGGTACAAGCATGCCACTGTCTTTCCATTATCATATTTTCTAGAGGAGTCACGGAAAATTGTTCAATGTCTAAAAGGACTGCGCGTTTTCTGTCTGTGTCGCCTCCAGTTACTAATATTATTTTTGGGCTTACTTGTAGCAGCCTTAATGTGAAATCGTCGAAATTAAATAATTTTTTTTCTGTATACCCGTTATTTACGACAATATTTCTGTCTGTGTCTAAGTACATAAAATAGTCATTATAGCCATTAATTAAGTGGGATAATGGTGAATAATTTATAGTAAAAACGGAGTCTTCAGGAATTTTTACTTTAAAAGTAGGGTAATTTCATTCTTCAAGGCATTTTCCGGTATAGTAAATATCAGATTTTAGTAGATTTTTAAATGGAGTGTAAAACTGTTTATCAGGAATGTCATCGATTGTAATGAGCCGTTGATAGGTTTCTTCACATAATGCAATTATTTCATTCATATGGGTTAAAATGTGCGCTGTTTCAGCTTGTATAGTATTAATTAAAGCTGAAGATTGCTGATTTATCATTGATATTTGTTTGCAGGTTTGGTCTTTTATGTATAGTAATTTTTGGATAACGAGATTTCTTGATTGAATGTTCATTTTAAGGAGACTTTTAAGGTTGTGATCTGTGAGAGGATTGTCGCTTAAATGGAGAGAAAGATGTGTGTCGCACAGTCTAAATGAGGCCCCTTTGCAATCGCAGGATTGTTTGGCAATTAGATTACAGTCGGCTTCTTCGCAATTGTTCATTTATGTCAGATTATCTTAGACTATTATGTGATAATTAATAAATAAATTTATCATGATAATTTTAAAATTTAATTTTATTAATTTAAGAAAAATATTCAATTAATTCCTGCTATTAAATAATTTGTTTAAATATTTTTGAATTTCATTATAATTAGGAAAACTATTTCATAATCATAGTCTTATTATCTCTCATATTTTACACATCTTTTGATAAAAATTATTTTAAAATATAAAATTTTGTCATTTATAAGAAAAATCGATTTTATATTAAAGAATTTATAAAAGGTGCTAAAGTTATCTAAATGGAGCCACCAGAAGAAATCCCCTCAAAAAGAGCTGAATTATCCTCAGAAGACGAGTCAAAACCTGCAAAAAAGCCTAAACTTCTCCCAGTTTATTTAAGCACTCTTCCATCGTCTCCTTTATACGAAAAAAGCTACATGCACAAAGCTTACGTAACACTAATTGCTATTTCTACCTCTTCCGAATTCATAGCGACAGGCAGTGCTGATGGCTTTGTAAATCTTTGAAAAAAACAGTGGCAAGGTATAGAATTTGTTAAAAAAATCCAAGCCCATAAATCTGAAATTTCCTGCTTACTCCCCCCCCCCCCTCCGTGAGCGAACAAAAAAATTTTGTTCGCTCACGGAGGGGGGTTAATTTTTTTTTTTAAAAAAAATTTATATATAAATTTTATAAAAAATATTTTTTTCGAAATTTAAAAAAATCCTAATTTGCAAAAATTGGGAAGCAAATATTAATTTAATTTGCAAAATTTATGTTTTAAAACGCAATTTGTTTAAAATTAAACAGAATTAGCTCTAGATTTCATTATACTAATTATCACTTATATATCAAAATTTTTTTCCATTAAAATTTTTTCTATTAAAAAAATTTTTGTTCACTCACGGAGGGTGGGTTTTTGGTCAAAAAAAATGGCGATTTTTCTAATGGTTTTGTTCGCTCACGGAGGGGGGGGGGAGTTAGCAATGTCTCATGATGGATTAAGACTGATAAGTTCTGGAAAAGGTGATAACACAATAAAGGTATTTGACGTGATGGGATTTGATATGATAGACATAATTCGCCTTGATTTTTGTCCAACAATTATTGAATTTGTGAATATATTTATTATATTTAATTTCAATATAAATTAAATAGAATTTTTAATTATTTTTTTTAAATTAAATTCAAATAAGTTTATTATACAGCAAATTCCCCATGCCCTTTAATAGCATTAGGAGGAAATGATAAAATACAAATATCGAAAATTGGTCAGGAATCAAATTCAATTAAAACAATGTCAATGCATAATGGGAATATCAAGGCTATTAAATTCAATCATTCATATTCTACTGTAATTTCTATAGACGATATAGGCTTTATTGAATATTGAGATGTGGAAACTGGGGAAACTCCTGAGGACATTGCTTTTGGATTTAAATTTAAAACACAGACTGATCTATTTGAGCTTGCAAAGCTTCAAACCTATGGGATTTCCCTCACAATTTCTCCTAATGGCAAGCAATTCGCAATCTGGTGCAAAGATCGTGCGATTAGACTTTTTGATTTTTTGTCTGGAAATCTCATAGCTACTTTTGATGAAAAAATCGAAAAATACCAAGAAATCCAAGCGACCCCAAATTCCCCTTTGAGGCTTGAAAGATTGGAATTCCACAAAAGAATGGCAATAGAAAGAGATATAGATAAAGACCCTTCTATAATTTCCAACTGCCTTTCCTTTGACGAAAGTAATGAAGTTTTGCTATATTCTACCTATATTGGAATAAAATTTATTTTAATTTCTGATGGTAGCTTGTTAAAAGTCCTTGGGAAAGAAGAATCAGAAAGGTTTACTAATATTGCGCTATATCAAGGAAAACCTATAAGAAATATGTCAGGAAAAGCAGGGGCAGGAGGCTCCACTTCTCAAGGAGAAAAAGAAATTGACCCTTTAGTTATATGCAGCGCTTATAAAACAAACAGATTTTATTTATTTTCGAAAAGAGAGCCTACTGATGTAGAAACTGAAAAAAATCAGCTCGGAAGAATAAGAGATATTGTGAATGAACAAATAGAAGAAGAGCAGAAAAAAGCAATGGTTTTGCCGAAATCAAGCATCGAGCTGCCACATTCTGCTGTAATTCATACTACAGTTGGGGATATTTATATTAAATTATTTCCTGAAGAGTGTCCAAAAACAGTTGAAAATTTTGCTGTCCATTCTAAAAATGGCTATTACAACCAATTGACTTTTCATAGAGTTCTTATTCCACCATCCTTTATCGAGCGCACTATTGAAATTTCCTTAAACAGGTAAATTAATCGGTATCATTAATCAAATGATTTTCATATGATCAAGCTTGAAACCTATATTTGATAGTAATGAATTTTAGAGATTATACCATATAATTGATTCTGCGCAATTCTAATGCGCTTTTAGCATATTTGCTAATATATTTAATACTGTATCTACTGTGGCTAGCTTATAAAATACAGACTGTTGGGTCTTTTTGATCGCCAGTAAACTGGTCTACTGGCCGCGACAAATCATCTATTCTGAATAAGAAATAGATGACTGGTCGCGGCCATTAGATCAGTTTATTTGTGTTTAAAAATCCCAACGGCCTATATCTTATTTCTAAAAAAAAATTATAAATTTTTTTTTATTTTTTAAGATTTTTAAATCTCTCCTATAGCGATTGGCTCAATTAACGATAGGGAGTTAAAGGATTTATGATACAAACTGGTGATCCTAAAGGAGACGGGTCTGGAGGAGAGTCTATTTGGGGAGAAGAATTTGAAGACGAAATAAATGAAAATTTGAAACACGACAGACCTTTTACTGTGTCTATGGCAAATAGAGGGCCAAATACTAATGGTTCGCAGTTTTTTATTACAACTGTTCCTGCTTCTTGGCTGAATGGAAGACATACTCTATTTGGAAGAGTCTATAAAGGGATGGACGTAGTTTTAACAATAGAAGGAGTGCCTTGTGATAAAAATAAAATTCCTCTAGCAGATATCAGAATAACCCAAATTGACTTAAATACTTAAATTTAGCTTAAATAATACATTAAAAATCATAAAAAAATCATATTAATTTGGTATTTTATAATGATCCATTTTGGAAATGAGAACTGAAAGCCGGTTCACATCGTTTTCTAGTCGAGAAATCCGATTCCAAAAAATGATAAGAATAATTACCAAAATCCCAATAAATGCCCATCCCATCCAATTAAAATCGGTATTTTCCTCTTTTACAGGCTCTTTCACTTTCGGCACAATTTCTTCAACTTTTTCGCCTAAAAATCCATTCACCTTATTTTTCACTAATGGGACCCATATTTCATTAATCACATTTATGGTCTCCGCTACACTTGTCCTCTCAATTTTTCCACTGAACATAGTGCTTTTTAAGAATTCCATCCAATATCTCCCCACAAGGCTAGTTTTTCCATCCACTTCTTTGACGTGCCATCTTAAATGAGCCTGAAAACAGTCAGAAAAAGGAACCCCGCTTGTTTTTATTAAAATTTCAAAAATAAATTCGTTTTTTGATATAAAATAAATTGTTTGCTGCTCATGGACTCCATGAGTTTTCGGCATCATAGGGAATCTTTCTTTCATAGGTCTTATATAGTCTAAACTTCTAACTGAGCTTTCATTTCATGACTCTCCAGGCTGATTAAGATAAAAATCAGGCGCAGATGGCTCCCATTGTGTTAATTTCATATCAGTTTCATTTTTCAGCTCCATAAATTTTTCTAAAAAATCTTTAGCAGAATCAGCAAATAAAAGCTCAAAAATTTTTTGTGCTGGCACATCAAAACTTAAAGGGTCTTTCAGCAAAGTCACTTTAAAAAATGATTCTGGCTTCCTATTACTGACAGGCTCTGTCTTAACTTTTAGCGTTTTCATGAGCTTTGCCAACTGCAATCGTTTTTCTCTTGTTTCTATTTTAAATTCACAAGCAGTTTTTTGTGCTGCATTCTGAGAAGGTTTGTTTAGTCTGATCAAATTTTCGACTGTTGCTTTTGCTTGCTCTCTATATAAAAATGAAGCGAAAATAAATTCAGAGTTATCAGTAGTAATACGTAAAGCATTATCAAAAATCAGCCCATGGATCTTTTTTTCGACTTTTTTTATTTCTGCAAATGGAATAGCTAATAGAGTTTCTCTCCCAAAAATAGTTTGGGAGTTAAAATATGAGTGAAAGCAAATATGAGTGGTTGTAAGATACATTCGCCCATGGAGAAGAATTTTTTTACTCCACCTTGGTAGAACGATCAAAATGAGCATTTAAGAAAAATTTTTATTTTATTGTTTATTATATAAATTGCTTAAATAAAATAGGCTAATATTTCAAATTTTGAATAGAATCGTATGAAAAAGATGGGGGAGTTAGATAAGGCACAAGCAAAGCTCTCCACAAGTGTTGAGCCTGCTTCAAGATTGAATTTTTGCAAAATTGAGTTTTCTTCACTTGGGTTTTGATAATTTTTATTTTCTTCGAATTCTAGTGATTGCCTTTGGTTTGAAATTTCTAAGGAAAGATCAAGAGAGCTCTTTTTTTCATATAAAACTTGGTCTTTAAAGTCGTCTTCTACATTAATATTTTCTATTTCTTGTTTGCCTTTTTCTATTAAAGAGTCAATTAAATGGTTATATTCTTCTTCAAGCATATGCAAAGTTGCTAAAACTCCTTTAAGATTTTGCAGATGGGAGGCTTCTAAATTTGTGTTTTCTGCCATACTGCTATATACCTGATGCTCAGCATTTTGAAAGGAATTTTGGATTCTATCTCTGATTTCTAAGGCTTTTTTTTCCTCATTTTTTTTTATTTTCTCAAAATCTTTTAAGCCTTCTTCTTGGATTATGGCATGATCCCTTATAGATTTCTGGACGCTGGTTTGCAACTTTTTAGCGATATTTGTTTTCAAATCTATGAGAGCTTGTAAAGGCTCGCTTCCTTTTTTAGCAATTTCTTTAGAAAATTTAATGTGGATTTTAGATATCTCAATAAATATATTGTTAAAAATAAGCCATTCTGCTTTACATTCTTTTTTACTGGTGTAATAATCAGGCAGCATAAGAGCAACCCCAATTTTTTCAAGGCCTTTTCCAAGCGATTCGTCAGCGTTCATAATTTCTGATAAATAAGTTTTAAAGCCCCTTAAAGCTTTTGACCTGTCTTCATTTGCATTTAGCCTTTGCTCTAATTTTTGCATAAGGTATTCAATTGAGTTTCTTTGTTTATTATCTTTATTATTATCAATCATATCAAGCGTAATATTTGCTAATTCAGCAATTTCGTTATGCTTTATTTCTGACTGTTCTTTTCTTAAAGCCAAAACATTCCTTACCATACAAATAACAGAATGTGCTAGGTCATGCAAGGTAATCATGCTTTCTTTTTCTAATTCTATATTTTGATAATTCGCTAATTTTAGCACTGTCTCTAAAATTTCATGCTTGTGGTTAATAAGATCAATCTGCTCTTTCAGCTCCTCTTGCAAGCTCGCACATTCTTTTTTGCTTGCATTTGATTTTTCTTTAAACCTCTGTTCAACCCCCACCTGGAAATTGCTGCTCGCATCATTTTTTGCTTTCGTAAAGGCAGCATGGAGATTTTCACTATCTTTTACAGCTTTATCGTATTTTGCCTTAATTTTTGTATAATTCGCCTTTGACTTACTCAAGTCTTGCATAGCCTGCTGGGTCTCTTCAACCATCTTTTTCCTCGTTTGGCTTGTGTCTTCGGTGAGTTTTTGTATTCTCTGATTAATCATACTATTTAAAGACGATGAACTTTTGCGGTCCATTTTTTCTCAATTTTTAAAAATTTGGCTTATTTTTTAGTCAAAAAATTAAAAACAACTTTAAATTGTCATATGGATTTGCTAAAAAGTGCAGAAAAAATATCTATACCAAATTTTTGCTATAGACATCTCCCAGCATTTCACTGAAATTTCCGAATTTTTTCATGCTTTCTGCTATATTTGTATTGCTTTTGGTTTCTATTTTTAATAAGTAGCTGATTAGGTTTTTTCCACTTCTCGAGAGTGATTTTCCGTATTGATCGAAATTTATTGTAATATCAGAAAGAAATGACCCGATGTATTTTATATTTTTCCGAAAATTATCTAAGGAAGTATTTCATAGTTCCAGGTACTGCTGCTGTTCTGGAAATTCAGGCTTTCCACCTGTGAAAAGGTCATTCAAAACATTCATTATTTTAAATTATTATCCCAATAGTAAAGAAAATGTTTCATTATTTATTTATTTTTTTAAAAATAAATTCAATATAATAGAAAATATCAATTTATCTTATAAATTATCCTATGAAGATTAGAAATGGAAAAAGAAATTCTCTAGAAATTTAAGCTTGAAAAACACTGGAAATTTATGTCCATTTTCTTTAGCAAATACAAATAAATTAATACTCAGCCCTATCTGTATTATCTCCAAAAGACATCTGAGATTTCCTTGTTGGGGAAGTCGGGTTAGGTTTTCCTTGGGTGTAAGTTTGATGCCGAGGCGACATTTTTCTAGGCAGCGCTATACAGGTAGAATATTTTGTGTTTCCAGACGAAAAGGCATCTTTTAATATTTGAGCAGCTTTTTGAGGAGAAATTTCGAATTTTCCTCCAGTTTTGTCGTTCACTATATATTGTTTACCTATATTGCTTGCAAGCTTGCATAATATAGAATTTCTTTGGGAGCTTGCGTCTTCTTTATTTTTGGATTCAAATTTTTCAAGTTCCAAAGGCGTATACAGATTTTGGATGAATTTTAGCTAATTTTTATAGAAAGCTTATATTTAATATAAATAGTGTATATAGCTCCACAAATTCATCAATTTTCATATAACCGCCTCCTACTCGGACTATTTATGTCTTACTTATGATTTTCCCATTCTCCAACTTAATAAATACTCTTTTGGAGCCAAAAAGATAAATCCCAAGATCTTCCCTTACAAATGGTACATCAATTTTTCTTGTGTTCACATAGTCCGCAATAGCTGCATCTATAGGATCATCTTTTACAGCTACATAAACATCAGGCTTGCTCTGCAGATCAGAAACCATATTTCTTAAAACTTCAATTTCTCCATCCCTGTCTTCAAGAATTGTTTTTAGCCTATTCCCGATATAATAATTTACGGAAAACTGACCAATAATAAGCAATTTTAGGTCTAGCCACTCTTTTGCATGTCATTTGATTGGAATATTGTATTCTTGGGGCAATTCTTGCTTAAAAAAAGAATTAAAATTAAGATCAATGTCTCATGAGTGAAAATTTCAATCAAATATCGAGGAGGAAAATTAAATAAATGATAGGCATGCAGGCCAGTTGATATTTTAATAAACAATTCTAGGCAAATTAGTATATATATCAACTATTTTTTAATAATTTTTTATTTTTTATAAAAATTTTACCTTCTCATATATTTTTATATAGAATATTAGAAATTCGCTGGTTTTGGAGACTATTAGAAGACTCATCTACTAGCTTATTTGTAATGAAATCTATATCATTATAGATCTGTTGGTTTATGTCTTCATGAATTTCATACATGCGTTCCAGCTCATCTTTTATTTGGTTTTGGTCTTCTTGTGTGCATAAGTGCTCTTCCAAGGCTGCTTGCTGTGTTTGGAGGTCAGTTTTTTCTTTATTTAATTTTTCTATTTCTGCTTGATGCTTTATCAGCTCTTGTTCAAGCTCAGAATAGGCTTCTTGTAAAGACCTATTGCTTGCTAAAAGGTTTTCTTTATCTTGTTTAGCATATTTTGTTTCAGTTTGGAATTGATTTGTGATGTCAAATAACTTCATATGCAAATTTTGGCAAGAAGATTGGTGCTTTTTAGCGATTTCTTCCATTTGAGAAGCTTTGGCTTCGATGTTTTTGAATCTGATGGCTTCAAATTTCATTGTGTTGTTTTCTTGCTCAATGTGGCTGAATTTTGTATTGAGGGAATTGATTTCTGAATTTTGGTCAGAAATTTTTTGTTCGGCTAAAATTAGGCTGTTTTCAAGATCCTTGTTTTTATTAATAATTTCTTCAAATTTTTTATCCATATCTTTTTGTGCTTCTTCATGCTCTTTTAAGCTTACTAAATAGAGACCTCTTAGCTCATCTCTTTTATAATTTGCATCTTTTAACTGTTTTTGTAATAGATATAAAACGACTGGACGAGTGACCTGCCCCTCCTTAAAAAGTGACCTTATGTATACCGGCATGGATTTTGAGCTGCGTTTATGGCCCTGCTATAGTCAGCAGTCTCAAAGCGACCGAAAGCCGCTGTTTTTGGTTCTGGCTCCTTGGCTTTTAAATGCAACTTTTTTTGCAGCAGTATCCAGCCCAGTGTTTTCGATATGAAGCAGGGTGATATACCTGCCTAAGCTGCTACTGTGGTTCGCCCTAATGGCGAAAGAATTGAGTTCTTTCTCTGATATAGAAATTTCCCTTAGATGGCGCAGTTTGCCCTTGATTTGCCCACTGAAAAAATTTTTTGGTTCGACCAGTACCATATGGTTTGGTCAAACCAAAAAATTTTTTCAGTGGGCAAATCAAGGGCAAACAGTGCCATCTATGGGAAAATCTATAACAGGAAAAGAGAGGTGGCAAATTATATGACCAAGTCGGGGTCCGTCCAGTTGAAAATGGTTGCCAAGGGCGCAACGCTCAGGTGTAGGCTTAGTATATATAGCCGGGAACGGCTATATCAGGATGGCGTCGGGAGTTTGAAATTGAGTGGTCAGCGAAATCAGTAACGGCCATCAGTGCTTCACCTCTACCGAGAAGCCAGGGTTCCGCCTGCGTTCAAGACGAATATTCGCTTTGCTTACTTCAGAATGTGTAGCAGACGAAGCGCGGACTAGAAAGATTATCCTATAACATAACTGTTTTTTTTAAAACATCAATCTCTTTTTGCATATCAAAGCAATTTTTTTCAAAAACACTTTTCACTTGAAGCTGCGCTTTTAGCTGTTCAATCTCATAATTATTCGCATTAATCTGTATTTCTGCCAGTTTTAGCTTTTCATTTACTTTCCCAAGCTGATTTCCTAGCGAAACATTAATCCCTTTAATTTTTTCAAATTCAGCATTTTGGTCCTCAATAATCTTGTCAAAGCTTATTTTTGTCCTTTCTATTTTTTCAAAAAGCAGCTCATTGGCTGCTAATTCATGCTTCAGCTGATTATGATAATCAATCAGCCTTATCTTGAAAATCTGCAAAACTTTTAATTTTTCGTTTAGCCCTAATAAAAGCAGCCTTAAATATTCAGCTTGGTGGCTTGATAACTCTCCTTCTCCAAGTCTGAGCTCTGGCAAGCTAAGTCCTAGCTCTTGTGAGGTGATATCAATGCTGATATTTTCTGGGTCACATTCTTTAGCTATTTTAAGGACTAATTCGTGGGTGTCTTGCAGATTTTTTATGTCTTGCTGCATTAGGTTGTAAAATTTGTCCTCTTGTGTGCATTTTAGGCAGGCGGTTTTAGGTGTTTTTATTTGTCCAATGAGGTGAAATTTATTGTCGGTTTGTGATTTCATAGGAATAATCCTTGGCTTTTCTGCGGGTTTTTGGAGACTGATTCATTTATCAATTTTTGAACTTTCTAGAGTATTTACTTTTAAGGTTGTTTGGCCAATTTGCTCGATCCCATTAACTAAAGAAAAAGTAATCGAGTTTTGGCATTCATTATAGCCTGAGTATGGCTTTAGTTTGGATTTCCTGATGATTTAGGCCAAAAAGGTAAATTGGCTGTACCAAATTTTGTTGGAAAGCCAAATACCCAAATGGCTGAGCAGGGTTTATATACTGTTTAGAGATTTAATTTTTTAAGCTCGAAACAATCCCTTTTTTGTAGCAAAAAATAGTCAAGAACACGATCAAAATCTTGCTTGTGTTATATTGTCTAAATTAAACAGAATATCTTTGGCTGGCAGAGAAAATTTCTGCACATTTTGGTCGCAGCTTATAATTAGTGCTAATTCTTCTGAATCAGAAAATTTATCTATTGAGTATTCTGGAATACTGAGTGCTATTTGCTTACTCCCCGCCATCCGTAAGAAAAAAAAAATTTTTGTCCATTTACTGAGGGATTAAAAAATATTTATATAGAAATTTTTTTAGAGTGGTTTCAAAGCAAATATTAATTTAATTTGTAGAATTTATGTTTTAAAATGCTAACTGTTTAAAATTCAACAGAATTAGCCAGAGATTTCATTATATTAATTATTACTTATATATCAAAATATTTTTAATTAAAAAATTTTATTCGCTCACGGAGGGTGTTTTGGCCAAAAAAATAAGGATCTTTCAATGATCTTGTTCGCTCTCGAAGTTAAGATCCATAATTAATGACAGTTAGCGAAGTTTTCAACAAAAAATGTGAGAAAAATATTAATTAGAAAATGATAATTGCTAGGATTTATAGCTCGAAATATTGAATATTCCCTTTATATCTTTCTATTAAAATTCATTTTATAAATATGACATCAGCAAATATTCTGGCAGACATCATAAGCTGTCGCTAAATCTCCCTATTAATTTTTTTTTTAAAAAATAATAATTATATATATATCCCATATAAAAAATATACTTCTTTTCTTGGAGTGGCGCTGCAAGCGCAGGCCACTCCATGCGGAATTCCTGTGTTGGTTTAACCAACATAGGAGTTGGTCGAACCAAAACTGTGCGTTGGTTCGACCAACCCATGAATTCCGCATGGAGTGGCCTGCGCTTGCAGCGCCACTCCAAGGAGGTTTCTATACTTTTTTAGTTGCTGAATTAAGCTAAATCTGCTGATATCTATTTATCCCAAACCCTCGCTTAAAATATTCATTTTTATAAGTTCCCATTCCAATCCCATCCTTATAATCCATTTCCAGCGGTTTTCCCATCCATATCTGTTTCGCTCTTGCCCTTCTTTCTTTTCCTTCATGATTTTTTCCTATAATATTGTCTAACCTCCCAGTCCTTATTTTTCCCATTAAAAATCCAGCATTCTTTAATTTCTTCCCGACAATTTGAATTCACATACTGATTAGACCATTTTTGGTTGACCTGTTGAATAATTAAAATATGAGCAAGCTTACACTTATAGTTGTACTTCTCCTTGGATTCTCATGCGGAAGCGAACTCTATGTCCCACAGTCGTTCTCTGCGGTCGACTACCAAGGTTTTCAGACTTTCATCCAAGCCGTCATGCAAACTTTCGAAGGCTCACAGTATACCATGCCAAGCACCTGCCTTAGCCAGACAGTCGTTTACCAGCTGGATCACGACATTGTGGCTGCCTTCTTTGCAATTTCTAAAGGACAGACCAAAGCTGCCATCGAGAGCTTTGTGGACTTCGCTCAAGATTTGGCCACAAACGCAGGGTCATCATGTGGACTTGAAGAAATCCCAGAATCATGGACCTACACCATCAAGACAAACGGAAAATGGAAGATGATCAATGACGTCGTATATCACCACACCATGTTTACCAATGATCTCTTATTCTCTCCCATCTTATTGAACCGATCGCTATTATTAGATGAAAGATGAGGATAAAATATCTGAAAAAAATTATAAAAAAGCTATATTTTGTATTAAAACTGTGTAGGAGCGATTATATGGTAATATATAGAAAATACTACTATCAAAGATAGGTAATTAGATATGAGACAGGATAGGGAACGTGCTGGATATATAATCGTGGATAGTAATTTCTTAAATTTGAGGTTTAGTTCGATCAAGGATGGGAGGTTAGGAGTTTTCCAGAGCCTTCTTAAGCTCGAATACCAACAAGCTGGAACTGATCTTGGAGCCATGCTCAAGATTTTCTTAATCCCAGCTCCTCTTAAGCTGGCCTCAGCTCTTTCTTTGGCTCCTGTAGCTTTTAGAGATATTGGTTGTATAATTTTTTTTTTCTAAAAAAAAAATTTTGAAAGAAATATATTAAATTCAATTTTTTCTAAAAATAATAATCCCTTTCTTCACCAAAAAAAAATATAAAATGGTGATGTCGACGGAAATTGGACTCCGAGGCTCACCTCCTATGGAGCTGGTAGGACCCATTGCTGATGAAGCTGAAGATACAGGTCTCATTCCTGTCCTAAGTAGGCCTTCAGTTGTGGGGAAGCCGTGCCGAAGAGGAAGTTTTATTTCTCCCCCGAAGGTTTTCCCTGTCCCTGCCAGACGGGCTAGACAGGTTTTTCCTACCACATGGTCTTCCTTCATCGGGACCATCGGGGCACTCAGACAGAAGTGGCTCTGCCCAAAGGAGCTGATCCTTTGGACAGGTGGTTTTGACCAGAAATCAAGATGGCGTCGGGCCTGGGAGTATGGCCACATCAGAACCCGACCGGGTGTCGTCTTTCGAGCTGAGGTGTTGAGGTCAGTGGCTCAGCCGCTTATGGCCTTACAAAACTAACTTAACTTAACTTTCTTCACCAAGCGCACAAAACTTCATTGATGGAATTTTGACTGGCCTTGAAGTAAACTCAGCTCAACCAGGCACTTGCTACCCAGTTTTGGTCTCCACCACAAGCTCAATCTTCAACATCCTTTCAGACGCAGTTAACGTTTTTACTGGAAAATCAAGCGGAATCAAGAAAATCTTCGAAGATTTCGATGTTGTCATGAAGAACCTCGAAAAAGACCAAGAAAACTGCGACTTCAGCCCACTCTTTGTTCAGCTTGACAAACTCTATACCTTAGCTGGCTGGCAAATGGTCCTCAAAAATTATGTTGCTAATGGAGCTGCCGTCTATCAAAGCACCCAAGTTATTGAGACCTGCAAGACTGACTATACAGCATGCGGAAACGCATTTGGCACTATTTTCAAGCTCTTGATCGGATGGGGACTTCAGTAATCTAACATAATTTGATTAATGTTCATATAGATCTAATTTATCATGGAAATCTCTCAAAATCCTTGCTATTTTTTAAACTCCTTCTGTTCATTTTTAAAAAAATTTAATATAAATTTTAAAAAATTATTAGAAAATTATAAAAAAAATAAAAATTTCATTCGTGGAGTAAACAAAATCCCTATTTAATTATAATAAAAAGGCGGTAATGGCTGAACTATCCTCAGTGTTTAACAAATGTTTGTCGCACCAAATCAACATACGATCTCAAGGTGAGCACGAATTGAAGAATTTCGAAGAAAACCTAAACTTCCCTATCATTCTCTATCAGTACTTCACAAATCCTCAGTTTCAAGCGCCATTAGCTCAATTTGCAGCAGTCGCATTCAAGAATTTCATAATTAAAAAATGGTCTCCTGAAGAAGGAGCACCAATTTTAGACGAGGTAAAAGCCCAAATCAGAAGAGTGGTCTTTGGCGCTATGCTGACCACCCAGCCAGCAGTTTCTAGTCAGCTGAGAGAGTCAATTGCGCATATCGCAAGCCATGATTTCCCAGCACAGTGGCCAGAGCTCTTAGATTACTTGTACCAGGGGCTGAATTCAGAGAGTTCTTCAAGAGAAGCGATTCATGCGACTCTGCAGACTTGCCACAAGCTTTTTATGTCTATTTAAGCTTATTTATATTATTTTTAAATTATATCAAATAAGTCTTTATTTATTATAAATAGGTATAAGAGATATAGGTTCTCATTTAGATCTGATGAACTGTGGCTTGAAATAAAACTTGTAGTAGACAGGCTATTCCCAGTATACTACGCAGTCGCCCAAAACCTGTTTTCTGCTTTACAAGGATCAGCCACCCAGCTCGAAATAAACCAGAATTTATTGACTTTTGTGCCTCTCCTAAAAGTCTTTATTTCCCTCAATGGCCAAGACGTGCCTCAGCAGTTTGACGACACTTTGAAGGAATGGATGACTCTTTTCCATTTTTTGCTTATCCTTTTCTAGCAAATTGATTAATAATTTCAATATAAATTGATTATTTACCTATTTTTATAAAAAAGAATACTTATCATAGCCAAGCTTTGACTGACGACACCATTCTTTTTGACATGAAAAGTAAAATCCTCAAATGTCTGACGCTTTATGCCCAAAAATATGACGAAGATTTTGAACCTTTTGTGGAGAATTTCTGTAAAACTGTATGGGAGCTGCTTTCAGCAGCTTCAGGGAGGCAGGAGTATGATAAATTCATAAGCGCTTCTTTGGACTTTTTCAGGGTGGTCACTTATAAGCCACAAATAGCGACCCTTATGCATAGTAATCTGGGATTGTTATTTGGGTCATTAATCCTCCCAAATATGGTTATTTCTGAAGCTGACGAAGATTTGGCAGATGCTGCTAATAACTCAAATACAGATTTCATAAAAATGTACCTTGAAGATGCAAATGAAGACACCCGCAGGTCAGCTTGTACACAATTAATGCGAGCTTTAATAAAACAGTTCCCTGACGACATTAATAGACTGGTTTTTGACACTCAGACTCAGATTTCGGAAGCTTTTAGAACTAACCCTCAAGCTAACTGAAAACAAATGGACGCTTTAATTTTGCTACTTTCAGGGCTATTTCCACTGTTGTATACAGCGAAAAATGGAGCTAGCTCTATAGCGACCTCTCCACAGCATATTGTCCAGTTATTTGAAAATTTTGTGCAGCCTCAATTAGCAAATCCTAATGCTTTTCCGATATTGAAAACAAGCTGTTTAAAATTCATTTATGTGTATAACTTGGGTAGGCTTTTAGATGAAAAATCATAAATCCTTTTGCTAGCCAATTTTGCTATATATTTTTGTTGCTCAATTATAAGTTAAAAGCTTGCCAATAGTATATAGAAATCAGTTTCCTCAAGAAATGTTTGTAATGCTGCTTAATCAAGTCTCAGGACTAATTGATAATCAAAATGCCTTAGTTTCTTCATATGCATCAGCCACCCTAGAAAGGCTTCTAATGGTAAAAAACCAACACATAAACCAAAACCCAAACCAAAGCCAAGAACTGCTTATGACAAAAGACCATTTAGCGCCTTGTCTTAAACAGCTGCTACAGTGTTTAGCAAATGCATCTATGAAGCACCCAAGGAACTTATACATCATGAATGCCTTTTTCAGGGTAATTTGGCTTGCTCAGGACACTTTTTCAGCATTTGCAATCCCTGCTTGTGACATTTTTATTGAGTATGTGAAGCAGGTAATGGCAAACCCAACTGACTCAGACCCAAAATTTAATTGGCTGGTATTTGAATGTTTTGCCTTGGTAATGATGAATTCAAGAGGCCCTACCCTGGATGAGATAGAAAGTAAGCTAGAGGTGTTTATGGCTTTAATTATACAGAAATCCAATGCAGAGCTGCTCCCTTATGCATTTCAAATCCAAGCCTTGTTTATTAGACTAAAGAGAAGGCTTTCTCAAACTAATATGCAGCTTTTAAACTCAGTGCTCCCTATGAACAACTGGGAAGCTGGAAGCCGCTACTATGCCCCCACCCTTGTAATTTTCTTAGAAAATGTCTTAAAAGTCCAACCAGAACTATTGCTGAATAACATCCCTGATCTAGCCGCCATCATAAAGCAGCTTTTCATAATAAATTTAGACGCCCAAGCCTTCAGCTTAGCTACGACCCTCATTGAAACCTACCCAGCTGAGTCTGTTTTACACCTGCTTAGAGAAATCTACGTAATTATTTTTACCAAGCTCCACAGCTCTAAAGCACAAAACATCAGGCTCAGCCAGAAATTCCACAAAGGTGCAATAATTTTTATATCACTATTAGTGATCAGATATGGCCCTGAAGTTGTAGTATCCTCACTAAACACCGTCCAACAAGGGATTTTTGAGATGCTAATTAAAGGCGAAGTAATTCAAAACTTAAGGGCAGTAGACACTATTATAGAAAGAAGATGGGTCGCTATAGGAATGACCAATATTTTGGCAGCCAATGCATTAAACCCTGATGTCTGGGGTGCTGCATGTGTCAATCTTTTAAAGATGATGGAAATTCCGACTAATATCGCGTCTGGGACTATATATAGTAATGGAAGTGTGGACTTGCCAGAGGAAAATACGTTCCAAATGGGAAAAGACTCGTTCCAGAAGATTTATAGTGCGGAGGAGCCTTTGCAAGACAAGTTTAGGGATTTTCCGAATGAAAAGATGTATTTCTTGCAGACAGTGACAAGAGTGCCACAGTTCTATATGATGATAAGCCCATACCTGGATGAGAGCTCTCAACAAATTTTGCAAGTTTATTCGAATTTATATGGAATTCCTATAGTTTAATCATATCACATTAAAAGCTTTAATATCGATTAATTCCTGTGCTAAGATAATGCTGCTGCTCTATAGATTCTCCACCAAAAGAGCCCAATTTTCTTGATTCTCTAATTCTTTTTTTCTATGATTTTTTATAATTAAATAATTTAATTGAAAACAAATTTATTTATATGATGGTAATTTTTAAAAAAAATCGATAAAATGTTTATTATATAAGGATTTTTTAAAAAAAAAAAATTATGTAAAAAATAATTTGATAAAAGAGTAAGATCTTGTTTTCCTTGTTTAAGTTTCTTATAAAGCATCGCAATATGACTCCTGTCGTCTTGCAGCTCTTTCATCAACTCTGCCTCAGTAAATCCTAATTTTTTCTAAATATTACTTACCATGCTTGACATAATATCCAAGTCTATAGTCTCAGACGAATTTATATTATTTTGAGGCGAAAAACTGGAAAACTCAAACCCTTTGGTGCTCGCAAAAATCCCTGAGGAGTTTAATCATTCATCCCTTAAAATCTCAGTGACTGTCATACGTTTCGCTGGCTCCAATATCAAAACTCTATTAACTCACCCCTTTCCTAATTAACAAAACCATTGGAAAAATCCCTATTTTTTGGGGTAAAAAAATACATAAAATTTATTATAAATTAATAAAAAACTCTCCGTGACATACAAAATTTTTTTTTCCCTCAAGGGGGAGTAAGAACATTTCTCGCTCCCCCACTCACATGCTGAGGGATCACAAAATGCCCTCTTTGGATTTTCCTATAAAGCTCCTTATCTGCTGAAGCTTTAAATGGAAAAGTCCCACAAAGCATTGCGTACAACAAAACACCCAGCGCCCACACGTCAGCTGGCGGGCCTGAGTACTCTTTTCTTGCAACAATTTCTGGAGCCATATAAGTCGGTGTCCCACAGAACACTTTTACCTTTTTTTCATGAGGAAAACACGTGGCGAACCCAAAATCAATGATTCTAACGTTATTTTTGTCGTCTAATAGTATATTTTCCAGCTTTAAATCTCTATGTGTCACATTATTATTGTGGCAATACTCAATTCCTGACAGAAGCTGCCTGAAAATCCTTTTGGTTTCGGCTTCTTCTAGCTTCCTGTCAGGTCTTTTTTTCAAATATCCATGCAAAGAACACCCTGGGACGTATTCTAACACAAGGTGAAGGTGCTTCGGAGCGTCAATCACCTCAAAAAGCTTGACTATGCTGCTGTGGCTGAGTTTTTCAAGGATTTTTATTTCTCTGCTGACGTTTTTTTTCCTTTGTGGGTCAAGGAGCCTGTATTTTTCATAGGTCTTTATGGCGTATTTTCGGTTATTTACCTTGTGTACAGCCAATTTTACAGTGGCGTAGGCGCCTTGGCCTATAAGTTTGCCAATAGTGTAGTTGTCAAAATGGTTAGCGTTACTGTTTGAGTCAGCTGTTGAGTTATTGGTGCTGTCTGGGAGGAATTTTTCTATTGGCGGCTGTGTCCTTATCCCAGATAAGTGTCTAGGAGGGAGGCCTTTCGGATTTGGGGAGTGCTCATAAGTTTTAGGTCTTATTGATTTTTATACTAAATATGCAGTTTTTGTGGATAGGATTATAAGTTATTTATATAGGAAATTCAGAATGTATTTGGGACAATGGAATTTGGGAATCTCCTTGATGTCGGGGTCACTGTTGCATCTTTAACTTGGGTTTTCAACATTTCATTTGTATCGTTTTGCTTTATAATTTGAGGCGCTGTAGTCCGGTATTGCTGGCTGCCTCTTCTCCCTAATAGGCCATTTCTTGTAGACTTATCTTTTTCAAAAGCATCAAGAAATTCTTTCTGTTCAGTCTGAAGCCTTCGGTAATCTAGCTTTACCTTGGCTGGTTCTTTTCCAGCCTGAAGCCTTCTGTCTTTAAGAACCCTTAAAAAACTATTGATATTTGTTAAATTTGATATAAAATTATATATAAATTGGCATTTTTTTAATTTTTTAAAAAAATCAGACCTATTTATTAATAGATATATAAGTTTGAGAAATCGCCATTAGCTGTTGTAGGCCTTGGGCCGATTTCTTTAATTCCTGAGAGGCCAGCATTTAAGTTTACATTTGACTTACCTGAAGTTTTTAAATTTTTATGAGATGGCTCATTGTCATGATCTCTTATTTCGACCTTTGAGGACGCTCTGTTTATATTGGCAGAGTTCATAATTTATTGACATAAATTTCTTTTTTAATTTAATCTTATTATCATATTTTGCTAATAATTGCTTTGATTATGCACAGAAAGCTTGTTTACTGATCTGCATTTATTTTTAATGAAATTTCTAATAATTCTCATATTATTTGTTTATAATTTGAGGATAAAGGGTTTTAAAGAATTCTGATAAGAAATCATATTTAATAAGAAATCTAAGAGATTAATTAAACCAATTAGCCAATGATTGGTATTTTTCGAGGATCTTGTGACGTAAATTCATCACGTTTAAGACTTCTTCTAAACTTGTGAGGTTTAAAAATCTCTTGTATTCTTCAAATATCACCATGCTGTTGTCTTGGATTATAGGATCACCTGATTGCAATAGCTGATGGGTTTGTTCTTTCCACTGATTTTCTTGTAAGCCTTGAAACAGCATCCCAAAAATCAAATCAATTAGCCTCATTACAATCAATAACACCCTCAGCGACCCTAAAACACATTTTTCTCCTGTTGAAGCTTCATTCCCAACAGTAATAAACGCCAATTTTGTTTCAAATCTTGGGCTGTTTTTCGCTGATTTCATTGCTGCTTCTACCAAAGCTAGCCTTATTTCGTTCCATTTCGAAGGCTTCATCATAACAAGGCAAAGTGTCATAAAATATGTATATTTTCTTATAAAGATTAATATATTATCAAATTAAAAAATAAGCCAAATATAAGTCTCTTTAAATAGGAATAAGCTGGTCTTGCTTTAAGTTGTCCAAGCTGCCCATAAAAGCGTCAATTGAATCATTTATAAAAGATACCTGGTTTGGCTCTTCTTCTAACAAATACCATATCATATGTAGCATATACGGGATTGCTTGTAAATTATGCTCAGGGCCTCCTCCTTTGGATTCTTTTGAAAAGCTTTCTTCTAATCCAAACCTTTGCAGCTGCAGCCTCAAGTTGTGGATTTCGTTATGCACCCTGCTTTCCATCAGATTATAAGAAGAAAACATCCGTTGAACACCCATAGAGTAGTCCTGTCTTGTTATTTTTGGCCCCCAAATCGGGTACCAGTTGTTGCATTTTGTATGCTGATTTCTTATAGTCGCCCCCTCCCACTCAGATTTTGGCTTTTTCATATTTTTTTCAGCCCTGGCTGCTTCTCTGTGGCATGATAAGTGGATTGGGTTAAAATGGGTTACCAAGCTCATAATAGGAATAACGTCGCCTTCTCCAGCAGGATGCTCAATACCTGTATGTATCTGTACAGGTGTTACAAATACATAAAATCCTAATAAATCGTCAGGCCTTAGTGTATACCCTTCTTTACAAATCACACAGGCTAGGCCAGCTTCTTCATCTAGCATATCTCCAAATTTGTTTAAATCAGGGACTTGGAACTGCTTCAGAACCTCTTCTCGTTTTTTGTTGGCTTTTTCTCGGCGCTGCTCGTCTTCATTTAAAATCATTATTTCTAAAAGATCACTGACTGCTGGGTTGCTAGACTTTTTGTTGTCTAAAATGGCCTCAATTAGCATTTCTGCAGCTGGGCCGATGTCGTGGGACGCATTTTTCATGCTGAAAATTTTTTCGATAAGGGCTGGTTTTAGTAAACTTTGGGAAGGAGGATGAGCTCTCATTAAGCCTTTGAGGACTTTTAAGATGGAGACTGCATTCTGTGGGCTGATTTGGTAAGGATCAAGATTGGTAAACTCAGTTACAGACTGCTGGGTTAGTCCTGAGGAAAGAAATTCATCACGTAAAGTGGAATGGGCAGCTGGGAGGTTGTCCAGCATTAAGACTAAGCATGATAAAATTTCTTGGGTGGCTGGCAAGGACTGGTTAAATGACGAAATATTTATTTGGGTTTTGAAAAAATTAACAAGGACTCTACAAGCTTGATAATTTGTATGGCAAAGGTAAGGCAGAAAATGAGTAATCTTGGTGAACATTTGCAAATTTTCAGACATCGGGTATTTCATAAGTAAATTCAGCATAATTTTGATGGGTTCTGCACTTCTGGCTATATATGGCTGGGTGTTAGGGTCTTCTATAAGCAAGCTGATGATTTTTAAGATGTTTATAAATTCAGTCTCAGGGATCCTATGTAAAATATCAAAAAGGACTGGGACTCCTCCAGTTTCACAGAGCTTGTGTCTGTTTATAGAGATTTGGCAAGAATAATAGAGAAGGTTAAGCACTGAGTCAGAAACGTGCTGGACCCAGGAGCTTCTGAGTAATTCTAAACAATATGCAATCATACTAGAGCCTTTAATGTCTTGGCCAAGAACTGAGGTAATTGCGTATTTTATTTCTGGGTCTTCTTCTATGTTGCCGGTTCCTGGGATTGATTCTATAATGTTTTCAGTGGCTTCGCCGTCTAAGCCAGCTAGTCTAAAAGTGATGATCATTGGAGGAAGCTCTTCAGGGGAAAATTCTGAAGGGTTTTTTCCTTGGTATTTTGGGTTGAGATTTTTTATGCTTTTTTAAGTTGAATTTTGATTTTTTTAAAAAATAATTTTATTAGGGTTTTTTTTAGTTAAATAGCATAGAGTTGGCCATAAAACATGCTCATACACGTCATTAACTGACAGTGAAGGAGCAACAATTTGTTCTGCAACCAATAATTCTAAAATTTCTGGATCACTGTACTCTAACTCTTTACATATCCTCTCTCTTACATTTGACATCAGCGGCCCTACTTCTTTGCTTGAATAAGGATTTTTCTCCATATTTCCTCGAATAAATTCTTCTTGTGTCGGCGCTTTTTCCAATTTCAAGCAATAAACTGGCTCCGGCTTCGCCGGAGCAATAATCCTTGTAATCTGCTGAATAAGGAAGCTTTGTGCTAAAGGATCATCTTGTCTTTGTAAAAGTGCCTCAATGCATTCTAGCAAGAAATTATGCCTCTGTTCTTCAGAGCAATCCAGGTGTAATAAATCAAATAATTTTTCTAAATATCCTTGGCTTTCTGATATTACTTTATTTTTCACGAAATGGATTTTTCTGACATTAAGGAACGAATTCATGATATAATTTGCGAGATTTTTGGAATTTCTGATGATTTCTTTGCCCCATAGAAAAGAAGACAGATTAGAAATCATGCCAAGGAGACATACAAGTCCATGGCCAAGGGAGATGTTGACTATATAGGCACCTTTAGCTTGGGCTTTTTCTTGTTCTGCGAGGACTTGTTGGACGCAAAGTTCAGTCGCTTTTAATAGCTGCTCTAATACCTTGCTAGTTGTGCAGTTTTTTTCAATCAGTAATGAATAGATTAGATTAAATTTTAGGATTTATTTTAGCCCTCTCCGTCCATCACTGGCTTCAAGCTGAAGCAGCCTTAGGCGCTGGCGTAACACCACGCCCTTTTCATGTCGATGTCACCAAAAAATGGTGACATCAGTAGTCTCTCGGAGACTCACCAGGCCCAACTCTGCAGCAGAGGACTCTCTTAGCCCTTATAGTGCTCAGGGCATGAGGGAAACATCTTTCTGTATTACCAGGACTTATCGGGCAAAAATTTCTTCCCAGAAGTTTAAGCCGACTTTGCGCCTCCGATTTTATCACCTGTGGGCCAAGGAAAAAAGCCTTTCCGGTTTCCTGCTAGGCAAAAACCTACCAGAGACCTTCCAAAAGAATGGATCCACCTTCCATAGGCTGTATAAATTTGCCAGCCACCCAGTACCAAATTCTCCTCACAATTTTTCAAAAAGTTCAATGAATAGAGAAGCGTAAAATAATAATCAGACCCTTGATGTGACACTTCTAGGGCTTGTGGCAGTACCTCCAATATAATTTTAAGCACTTCTTCCCATATCCCAGACGACGCCAAGCACAACAATATCATTCTACTTAAGTCCTGAACCCTCGCTGACCCTGCATACAGCAAGCAGTCCACCAGCCAATTATTTTTCAGTAAAAATTTCTGACTATTTGGCGTTCCTTGTTGGCTATTTTGCCATTTATCATAAAGTCCATAGCAGGAGCCATTTAAAATCGACTTCATAAAAATTTCATTAGTATTGGTAAGGCTTTCCCTGGTTTTTATAAAGGCTGGGTTGCTAATAAAAAGTTCAGCAAGTCCAGGATCAGTCGGGATATTGTCAATATCAGGAATTAGGATAAGGGTCTTGAAAATCATGTCTAAAATAGAGTCAAGGAAGCTGGAAATGAGTTCGCCAACCCTGGAATCTTCCCAACTTTTTTCTAGCATTATAAAGAAAATATGCCAGAATTCTTTAAGGGTTAGTTCAGAAATAGTGGAGGATTCGGTGGGCGAGGGCTGGAGGAATTTTGAGGTAAATTCTAGGAGAAGCTGGACTTCCTCGCGGACACTGGTGACTAAGAAAGGCTTCCAGCCTAGCATGGAGGTGATATGAGACCTTATCATCTTGAAAAGCTGCCTGCAGCCTGCTTCACTTTCGTAGGCAAGCTCTATTAAGACTTTTCTGCCTTTTTTCCTTATAGGCTGACTGTAGCTTCTTATAGTATTTTGTACTAAAATGTCTATAATATTGTATTCATTTATCAGCATTTCTTTTAATTGCTTATTTCTAACTCTCATTGAACAAGCCGCTATATTTCGATCAAGTTGGCTGACTAAAAAATTATATATTTAAATTTATTATATAAAAAAATATGAAAATCCCTGGCAAATTTTAATAATAATGGGGAATAAGCATTTTCAAGCTTTTCAGCAGTTGCTTTAAATAGTGATAATTACACCCAAAGCAGTTTGTCAATGAATTTTCCATCGCTAAGCTTCCTACAGTTGTTTCTGATCTTTTATAGTTCATAATCGCATGTCTCAATAGCACAACAGACTTTACGCAGATCATCACATCATAATAAGAGTCTTGGAATTCTTTCAAAATTACTCCTAAATTATAAATAATAGGCGAAAATTCTTTATTTTGGGCTTGGTCTTTGAATTCTTTTTTTGAAGAGTACCCTTTCAGCTTATTAGCCAAGCTGCATAAGGTTTCTCTGCTTTTTGGCAAATGCTCGTAATAAGATTGGATAGTTTCTAGATAAGTGTCAATTTTGGCTTCGGCGTCAGACAGTTCTTTGTTAGAGGTGATGCTTTCGTAGATTGCGTCAATGCTGCATTGTAGGAGAATTTCGATTTTGCAATAGCGGCTTTCTCCACACTCAGTGCATAGAAATGCGTCTAAATTTTCATAATTGATATAAATTAAGAGTTTTAAAGTTTTCCAGGTTTGATGTCTCCGCACGCTTGTGGCCATGGAACCTGCTTGCAGGGAGGAAATCAGATGGATGAACCCAGTCTTATTATTAAAATTATCTATCGCTGCCTGAGCAGCATTTCTCCCGTTTTTTCTTCAATTTTCTTCAATATTTATTAATTTTCCTGAATTCCCCATTTTCTTCATTTATTGAATTTCCGTGAATTTCCTCAATTTTTTTTTAGGTTTCCTTCAAATATCCAACATTCCTCAGTTATTTTTTAATTTGTCACAAGCTCTTCACTTCTTCATCTTGCGTCATCAGCTGCAGCCATTTTTAATTTAAATTCCCTTGTTCTCTCTTTTGCGCGGCAAATTCTTCTCTCGAGCTGGCCATGTGATTACTTCACAAAGCATATATCTTCGTCAATTATCATTTGTTTTCATTGTTTTTCGTTTAATTTTTCAGTTTTTTCAATTTTTTCTTCTGTTTCTTCAAATTCCAAATATCCACATTCAAGACTTTCATAGCGATCTCCACCAACTTCATCTTCATCATCAACATCTTCATCCATGCAGTAAGACGCTCCAGCATATGCTAGTGTAAGCCTTAAGCCTTCATCTTGATAATCATAATATCCGTATTCATTCACGCCATCTAATTCATTTGCAACAGAAGTTCCAGAGTTTTATTAGTATGCAAAACGCTAAATCGACATCTCCTCCACATGCGTCCAGCATCTTCATAGCAGTCTCCATATCAAAACCCAAATCCTTCAATTTCAGCGCTTTTGCAAAAATTTTCCATTTAGTGTTCCTTTAGCTACGTTATGTTGCTATTTGAACCCAGTCTTAACAGCGTCTACCCCTGAGACTTGGGCTTGCACCGATATCCCTGAGTCTTGATGGGTTAGGAGGATTCCTCTTTGCTTCACGTCTACGGGTGCTATAGAGGTAAAGCTAGCCTGATGACTCCTGTCGGCCATCTTGAGAGGAGTTACACCTAGGAAAAACGAATCATGATCCTCTAGAATCGCAGGGATAAAACTCATAGCCAAATAACTATCGTATAATCAATACCTGGACTGGAGTAGCCCCAGCTGACTCCCAAGGATTACCCACCCCATAAGGAAGCTCAAGGCATGCTAAGGGTTAGGATTAAAGGGCCTGAACATTGTCTTAGGCTATAAAGCGACTTTAGCACCCAAAGTGGTTCATCTTCAGCAAGGACATATTTATTACAACCATCCTATTAATTGATATAGGGATTATAAAAATAATAAAAATGTAATCTAAGACTCATCACTATTTTATAAGAAAAAAGAAAAAAAAGGTCAATTACTAATTATTTTTTGTCAGAAAATGGAATATTCCGACATTGCAAGCATTGGAAAGCGTTTTCTCCACAGCTGCAAATCCCATATTTGTCTTCTACTACTTTATTGCATCGAGGACAAGGAATGACTTCTCTCTCATTTCCTACAGAAACTCCTACAACATCGCCTTTGATTTCTGCTTTATTGCTGCTCAAAAAGCTATATCTGCTTCTTCCGCTTAAATATCTTCCTGTATATATCCCTTGTCCTGATTCATCTTGTGAGACTCTTATCTCTTATCCCATCACCTAATTAAAATCCTACCTAAAAATTCCCAATTTATTTATTTTTTTATTATTATGGTATATAACATTTACTGTGTGGAGCTCTATCAATAGGTTCAGCATAGTAATTTCTGTAGGCAAATCAATTTCTATCATACTTGTCGATGCAGGCTTTATATTCACCGTCTTAATTTTATGCCAAACGCTCCAGTTGTTTTTAAGTTCGGTTAAATCTTGTGAATCTTTATTGCAAAAATATAATGTACATCCTGTAATTGCTTTGTGGCCTCTGAGCTCAGTCAGTTTTATTTCAACTTTGCTGACCTTGACAGGATCTTTAAATCTCGTGAAAAAGCAAGAATCAGAAAATCTGATTTCGCTTTGTAGGTCAACAAGCTTCATAAGCCCAAGTTTGTATTCTTCAGCACCAAAACATTTTAAACAAGGCTCTGGGTCCAGGATAAACCAATGGAAGCCGGTAGTACTGAAAATTGTCATTAAAATGTCATATACCTCAGCGTCAATATTTTCTGATAATTTATTTGAGGATTTATTTATGGTCGTTACAATGCCATTGCAGAAGGCTTGGTAGATGTTTTTATTGAAGGAAATTGAATTCATCATTTCAATAATATGCTTTTTAAAGGAAAATAAAGGAAATTTTAGTATTTTTGATATTTATTAAGTAAAAATTAGGAAAATAGAAATTAAGGCATTTTTGATATTTAATATAGCTAGATTATTTGCTAAAAAATATTTCGAATTAACCCCAAGGTTTATCATAGTTTGGAAATTGTCAAGCATAAGCACGGCCAGTTTTTTTATTTGAGAAGAATTAGCAATCCTAGATAGTCCTAGCAGCAAGTCTGCTATATAATTAGCAAACTGTGTGTCACCGTATAACGAAAGTTTGTCAATCATTATAGGCAAGTGGGTATCTAGCAGCTCTTCCCAAATGTAAGAGTTTTGTTCTACGAAAATTTTGGCTTCTTGGAGATTTTCTGTCTTGATGATTGAGTTGAGAATGCTTAAACATTCTTGATTTACTGGGGGTAAAAGAGTTAGTGACATTGTAATTAGCATTCTTAGTGTGTTGGATTCTGTGATAAATTTTTTATTCTTATTTGCAGACATTGTTTATAAGAAATTAAAAGAAATTTTAATTTTTTTATGAAAATAAGATTTTTTGGGATTTTTTTTAAAATTTTGGAAAATTTAAATAGGATAAAAATTTCAGGCAAAATTTCTTGGCTGTTCAAAATTGTGCTTTTTATTTGGGTTAGCTGTTTCAGCAAGCCTAAAGTATCATGATAAGAAGCAGCCCGGAAATCAGAAGTCTTGGTCATCACTTTAGTAATACTCGCCAAATTTGCATCAATTTTTTGCATATGGTAAGCCAACAAATATTCTTTTCTATCCAAAAATGCAGACTGCAGCAATTTATCTGCAGAAGGCTGCAAGAACTGTAGAGAAGGCTCTAGCAGAATTTTTATCAGCAAATTCACCCAATCATTCGACAGCTGGCAAGGCTTCTGACTTGTCATCTCAATCTGCATGCCTCCATCAATTAGTTCTAAAATATCTTTTTGCTTCTCAATTACCTCAGAATTAGAGCCAGTGACTAAATTATAGCACAAATCAATTAAATTGCTGATTAAAAATTGGTCAAGTTCTGTAGCGAAAATTTCGCTTCCAAAGGCGCCTTCCCATTCATTCATTAGCATAGGATTTTCTGGCTTGATTAATTCAAGGTGATTTCTTTCTTCGACTACTTCTTCAAGCACATCATTTTTATAGACTGCCTTTATGCTTCCTTTTCCGGTCGAAAAGCGGGTATAGCTGACTTGAAGCTGGTGGAAGAGCTTGCTGAAAGTTTCGTCATTAAAATGCCTTATAAGGGAAGTGACGATTGATCTGTGGATTTTGTGGGCTTTTGAGTATTTATGCTATTTTCGTTAAAATAAAAAAATAATTTTTTAATTGGTTTTAATTCAGTGTAGAATCATATATCATCTTTGGGTCTGAAATAAGATGTCAAAATATTCGTAAAAAACAAAAAGTAAACTCTGCCTTCGTTTTCATGAGCTGGAGATACCATGTTTAGCTCTCTTTTAATGGAGTTTGAGATCAAAGTATAGTACCTTGAGTCTTCGAACTCTTCTTTTATCCACAGTTTCTCGATCAGCTTTACCAGTTTATCAAGCATGCACATTAGCCCATCAACTTGATATAGCGGCCCTTTTCAGTCTGCACACAAATGAGAAATTCATAAAAATTCATATATTATGGTTTGTCAATTTTATTTATAGACTCAAAATCTCAATATCATTTTGGCAGGTCTAAAAAGCCAGACGATACCTACAAAAGAGGATTGTGCACAATTCTCATAAAAAAAAATAAACAAAGCAGTATATTAATAAATGGCAAACATCTGCACAATAAATATTCGTCTCAATTTTTTCACTTATGCTCAAAATGGCCTGAATTTGTGTAGAAATGTCCATCAACGATTCATCATATATCAGTGGCATTGCATTTGTTACCAAATACGGTGATTTTTCATTAACTTGTTTCAGCCACATTTTTGCATGTTTTTTAGCATGCTGGTTTATTTTTGTAATAATTTCTTCTTTATATCCACTATTTGCCGATTTAAGTAAATTAATAATAATTGATATCGGCTCTTCAGTCAAAATCGGGTTCATATGGTAAATCGCCGCAATTTTGTCTTGTTCATTGATATCTTTTATAGCTTTATTTGTAAAAAACTGTGCTGCGTATAGCAAAACTTTTAAAAAATCGTCTAAAATTTGCAGTTTTGTGGTGGAATTTAAAGTTTCGTCAAGTAAAGAACAGATTTTAGGGTTGGAGTTCAGCAAAAAGAAAAATAAAGGCAGCTGGTCTCTTATGAGGTGGCTTAGAGATTTTACTACAGCTTTAGCCAGTTTTTCTGACGGTTTTTCAATAGCTGACATAGAGTAGCAAAGCACGAGCCCTTTTAGAGCTGTGTAATTTTCTTCAAGACCCATAGAGGACAATAGATTTTTCAAGCAGTCTTTGATAGCTATTGAATAGAGGCTGTTTGGCGACGAAAAATTCTGGATTGATAAATTTATTATCTTAACTTAACTTAACTTAACTTAATTATCTGGTGTTTAAGGTGTCTAGTGCCGCAGCCCAAAAAGGACCTATGGCAAAACTAGTGACGTAGGCGAGCCATCTTGGAACAGGTCAGCCCTGGCCAAGCCTTCTATCAACTCCTGCTTCACCAGCCTTGCTGCACGTCTCACCCGGCGCGATGCCGTCGCCCTTGTCTCTCGACTCAGCTCCTGTGTGTGTTCCGCCTAAGGGTCATCCTCCTGTGGGGATGTGCTGAGAGGTAAAAGCCCGAAATCTTGAGAGGACTGAGGAGCAGTTCCTCTGGTTATCCCCAGAGTTAAACCGCTATTGCTGTCCAGAAGTTCTCGAGTGAAAACCTAACCCTATAAATAAAATTCCATGAGGAAGAGAAAATTAGCAAAGCTAATTTCTCTCGAACCGAATGCCATTTTATTTATGATAAATTTATTATCAATGAGATTATCGAGTCTACTGAGCAGTTTGTAGGGATTGTGGAGGCTAATGCATTTAGATAGACTATCAGCTCTTTTTGTTGGCCTGGGAGGGAGTCGAGGGTGGAAAATTTTTTCTTCCAATTTAAGTGTTTATAGGAGAGTATATTCATTTTATATGAATAAAGAATAGCTGGTTTAAATGGTTTAAGAGAAATCAAAGACGCCTTTGGCGTGATAAAAAATAAATTATTATTATTTATAAGAAAAAAGTATATCTGGTCTTCTGAATTTGCAAGCCCAAGAGCTGCCTTGCTAAGCTCTACCAATTTTGAATCCAACGCAAAGGTCGCTTGGCTGAATCCGAAAATTTCAAAATGAAAAAGCCTTATGGGGTGTCTCCCTGCATTTTGCGTCACAATTTTGACTGTAATTTGTTTATTCAGATACCCTTTCACGATTTCTATATCACACAAAGGCAAGTCATACCATCTTTTCTGATACTGTAATTGGATTTTTCTATTCATTATTTCTATATGTGAGCATGGCCCAGTTTCTACAAATAGCTTAAATCCACACAAAACCAAGGTACTAGCAGACGTCCCTTCTAAAGAAATTGTTATTGTGATAGTGCTAGGATCAGGCAGAGCTGTTGATATAAGTCCTGCAGTATCAGCATTTCTGTCAAATGACAGTTTTTCTAGGGCAATTTTACTGTTTCCAAAGGCAATTGCGGGGTCTCCTGATATAATGACATCATTTCTATTGATTCCTTGGGCACCAAACATACGCATGGTGTTCAGTGGTATAGCTTTTTCGAAAAATGTGATAGGCATTGTGATGGTTTGAGGCAAATGATCTAAAGTAAGGTACTTATTGAGAGATTCTATGCCGATTTATAATGAATGAAAGCTCTTGGTAGTAAGGGGCATATTAAAAACTGTTTTAAATCATGATAAATAGGTATAAATCTACATGGGAGTCCTGGGTTTCTTCATCTAATAATATAGAATTCGTCAACAAAGAGCCATCATCATACTGACTAAGCAGTATAGCGCGAGCATTCTATTGGTTTGCTGTATTTCTAACGTCTACTGAGAGAATCGGGGATTGGTTTTGCCAACAAATGATGGTAAAACCAATCCAATAATAAACAAATCTACCCAATATGATAGATCTTCCATTTTGGAGTTGGTTTTATCAGTATTTGTTGGCAAAATCAATCCCCCGACTCTTTCAAAGACGTCAGGAGCACAGCGATCCAATAGCGTGCTTGCTCTATATATGTTTCCCATTATGAGAATAAATACAAATCCCTTCTACATACCCTGTAGATTTTTTCAGTGGGTTTAGCGTGCATTTTTCATCAGTAATTTTCACCAAAACTGGTATCGAGCTGCTTTTTCTATTCAGCCCTACACATACTAGAGAATCTACTGTAGGCACAGACAAAATTTGGTTAAGTGCTGCAGAAGTCCATGACAAAAATGCCGAACTCTGCTCATTTTGGAAATCTAAATATAAATCATTAGTAAAAGCTGTGGCCTCTCTATTTAATTTCCCAAACATGCATCTTCCACCTAATAGTGACACTATTAAAAGGTCCTCATAAAAATTAGATAAATTACAGTAATTTTTCCTATAAAAATAATTTTTCCCTATAAAACTTCTTGAGCTTCAGACCAATTGACTGAAATAATTTTCTGATTATTAAGATAGCTCGGCAGCTGTATAGACTCACTCATATACAAAGGCTCATTAGTGTCTATTATTTCCTGTCTATATAAAATCCCTGAAGAACTGCTTGCAATGAGAATGTTTTTATATATAACCAAATCTGTTAAATCAATAGCCAGAGATCTAAAACATTTCACTGGACAAATAATGTCTCTTGAAAAGTCAAAAATCCTGATATCTTCTGTTGTACAGATCGCTAATTCTGTCTGTGAGCCTGGCAGTCATCTTGATTTTACTATAATCAGCTTAGACTCACCACTGATTAAGCTGAAAGAAATTTTCTTCTCAATATGCCCTTTATGCTGTTTATTAGTAAGCTGGATAAATGCGCATTGGTTTACTCCACAAATTGCGACTAGTCGGCTGTTATTTGGGTTGACTGTGATTGACATGATGTGGAAAGGAAATACATTTTTGGCAAGAACTGTAATATTAGACCTTTCTACTTCATTTCCAGTACAGTTAAATAGTGATTAGATTAAGTTAGAATGGGTCTTCGGGGTTTTATTTCAGCTCCTTTCTGTCTTGCTGAATTCAGACTTCTCGTCCTAAGCATTGGCCTCCACTTTTCTGTCGATATCGCTAAAAATGGTAAGGTCGCCATCTCGGAAAGACGCACCCGGGTATTTCCTTGGACAACTTCTTGATGTCGGAATCATATATCCGGGGATGGGAGGTAAGAGACGACCCCGAATCCTCCTCCTGGTCCCATTGTCCCCGCACCCGAAGTATCGAGTTGTCTTATGGACTCTGGCCTACTTGTCTATGGGTCGGTGTAAAACACACTGTTGTGGTGTCTCAACTAGGGAGAAAAAGCACAATCCAGACACAAAATACCAGACCCTGAGCCCTCTTAGACCCATAACCCTAAGGGTATGAGAGACAGAAGGGTTAGGCAAGTAAACATTTTATTTGTGTGCTAAATAGCGAAGAGTCTAAAGATAACAGTCTGTTTCCTTCAGCGGATAGGACAACGCCTATATCATGACAAATTGCTAAATCACCCCCTTTAAATTGGATCAAAATTTTTTTAATGTGAAAATTTTGTTTGATGAAAATACTAGTTTTAAAAATTATTTTTGACCCAATTTAGTAGATTAAATGCAAGTTAAATGCTATTTAAACAATTTTTACACTGAATCAATTCATTTTTCATTTAATTCTTTATAGAAATAATTAAAAACTTTTTGAAAAAAAAAATTAAAGATAAAAATACTAATTTATAAATTAGTTTAACTTAATTTGATAGACAAAATGAAATTAGAATGCTATTTAAACATTTTTCAAATTGAATCGATTAATTTTCTATTTAAAATTTTTTAAAAAAAAATTAAATAAATGAGAATTCTAATTTTTATAATATTAGTTTGAATAAAATTCGTTTTCACATAATTTATTGGAAAAAGTCCATAAGAATATAATATAAATATTTTTTTCACACTGAATTAATTAATTTATTTTTAATTATTCCTTTATAAATGCTCATTTATATTTTTTAAGATTTTAAAAATTTTCAAAATAATTTTATAGAAATATTTTAATATAAATTTCATTTTAAAAAAAAAATAACCCCCTTTAAATTAATGGAGAATTTTTGCTCCAATTTAAAGGGGGGAGTAAACTATTTCTGATCCCTGGGTATTTTGAGGTTAATTCTTTTAGTTCTCTATGGTCTGTATACGGAACTTTTAAAGGTGAAGCTATTCCTTTGAACGTACAAAGGACTTTAGACAGCTGCTTAGAATACTCAATTATTTTAGGGTAAAATAGCCCTTTAATAGTCTCTGCATGCGTGTCTGTTAGTCTTGCCAGTGTTCTTTTAACTAGTCCCATTGCTGCTTCACATACTTCTAAGGTCTCCAAAGGAAGCTGTTTTTTCATTGGGCTTTGCTTTTTAGGGGAGCTTGGTTTTTCTTCTTCAGAAGCGTCTGAGGAGATTTGAGATTTGGAGTCTTCTTCTGGCTCTTCTTCCTCTTCTTCTTCCTCTTCTGATTCATTCAGTTCACTATCTTCTATTTCAATTTCCATTCCTGACTCCCCCATTAAATCAAAACAAAAATTTTCCTAAAAAAATAATTACATTAAATTTTTTTAAAAATTAAAAAATAAATTGAACGCAATATATTTGAATTTTAAAAATTAATTTTAAAAACTGTTTAAATAAGATTTTTACTTGCATTTTTTAAATTAGGTCAAGAGTGTTTAAAGTCCAAAAAAATGGAAATTTTACCCTTATTTTGTTTCAATTTAAAGGGGGGAGTGAGTCTTCTTCGAAGCCTTTTTTTTCTTCCTCGTCAGATTCACTGTGGATGTCTTCGCTGTGGATTTCATAAGGAGGAGAAGAAATATTGATACCACTGAATTCCTGGTATTGAGGCAGCTCTTCCATTTGGACAAAGGCAGAGCCCAAAGAACGCTGAGGCGAGGAGTAGAGAGAAGGAATTTGAAGCTCGTGGATGCGAAGTCGTCCTTGGTCACTAGGGTTGCCAAAGTAAGGAACTTCTCTTCCAAGAAGGTCACGCAGCTCGCTGGAATGCAAATCCTCATATATTTTTTTTATAAGAAAAAGCATTTAATATTAATAAATTATTATTTTTTTCAAGATTTTTCTGATTTATTTTAAGAAACTATTTACTATTAATGGTATATCTAATTTCAATTTCATCTTGCTCTCTTTCAAACATCTTGGACGCGTGAGATTTTCTCTTTGCCCCTTTCGGCATACATTTACAAGCTGGCGATCCTTGATTATCTCCACAGTCACAAAAAAAATTCCCCTTTCTCGAATACACAACTTGATGCCCGGCATGGCATTTTTTAGCGCACACATTACAAGTACCTTTATTAGCTACCAATTTGCAGGTATAGCAGTAATACCAATGCTGCATTTCGTAATTTGTCCCTGTTCTGTGGTAAGTACAAAACTCCTCAGGAGACGTGTCAGCTTCTTCATAGTGCTCTTTTCCATATCCAGAAATTTTTAAAGGAGGAAGATGCAAAGAACTGTCAGCAGAAATAGGCTGCAGCCTCTCAATAATTGCAGTGCATAGGTCAATCAATGTGCTTTCATTAAGCAAATCAATGTAATATTGTGAAAAATGCTGCTCGTTGTATATAAGAAGTTTGCAAAGCTGTAATAAAATTTGTTCATTTAAACTTTGAGGGACATTTTCGCCTAGCTCGATTCTTCCGAAGAGGACTATTAGCTGTGAGCTCATCCCGACGTCGTTTCGCATATCATTTCAAGCCTTGAAGCTTTCTAAAGCTGAGGTAAAAGCTTCATAATCAGTCACTTTGCAGCTGGTTGCTATTAGATCTAGTAATATATAAATCATATGAATTGGTGAGTTGTAGTGCTTAAACACTTGAGTAATAAAAATATTTTTAATTTTTTTTATAAAATAATTATTTATATTAAAATTATTATAGAAGCCAGTAATAAAATTTAGAAAAACTTTTTGTGCTGCATAAGCTTCATCAAATAAAGAAAAATTTTGTGGGACTGAATTTTCTAAATTAACTGAGGTAAAATCATCAGGAAGGGCCGCAGGCATGAAGAAGGCGGGGAATGACGATTCCAAAAAGGTTGGGCATGGGGAGACTGTAAAAGGCTGATTTTTGTGGAGAAATTGAAATAATGCAGTCAATAAAGGTTCACAGCGCTGCCAGGAGTTTTGTTCTTCTTCAGTCACTAATTCTTGATGCTGGAGATACAAGCCAAGATTTCCAAGCACTTTTAAAGCTATATTTTTCTATATAAATATCAATTTATATTTTTTTTTTTTATTTTTATAGTAATTTCATAGAAAAGCACCATAATAATTGAGATTTAAAAATTAGTGGCCGATAGCTGCTGTGCTTTTCTAAAAGCGCCAAAGCTAGCCATAGAGCATATTCTTGCTCCTGCACCAACAACTGAGTGTAAGGCTTTTGAGTTATTCGGACCAGAAAATAAAGAGCTTTGATTCGGAGTTGAGGGGAAAGTTCTGAGCCGAGATGCTCCTTTATTTCATCAAAGAATTCTTTGGTTGGGTTGCATGTGACTTCTTCTTTACCCTGAATAGTAATTACTGAAAGAATCTTTGTCAATCGTATTGCAAGGGCTAGTTCTTTACTAAACGATTCCATTTTTTATTAACTTATACTAATGATAGCTAATGTTGCTGGATTTTTTTTTTTTTTTGACTGAGTCATATATTTTTAAATATTTTTACTTGAACTTATTCCACCCCTTTTATCGTTAAAAAATCCTGCTCCAATGTAAAAGGGGTTATTTTTTTTTAAAAAAATAATTGAACTCATACTTTGAATTTTAATTTATTTCGACGAAGAATTAATTAAAAAAATTAGCCACTTAATATGAAAACTCTTTAACAATACTCTATTTGCACTTTTTACATTAAATTAGGTTAAAACTAATTTTATAAAAATTAGTATTTTCACTGTATAATTTTCCTATTAAAAATTTTTAAATGAAATTTTAATATATTTTGTTTCAGTTTAAAGGGGGAAGTTAGGATATCATTTTACAGTCAAAAGATTCGCTATAATTAAGTAAATGGGGTATCCTTTATTTTATTAGATAATTTCAAACTAAGAAATTAATTTTAAAGTTAAATTGAGCTTAAAATTTGATATTTAACTAAAATATTGTGGTAATTATAATGATTATTCAAAATGGAATTATTTTCTGATTTATAATTATTTTACCAAACAGCCGTAAATACAAAAAAGACTAGCGAATTAAGAAATTTTATCATTTTTGATATTAGTCATTAGGTTTCAGAAATATCTCAAGCATATTAATAGTCAATATTTGCGAAAAAATCTTCAAAGTCTTCTTCATAATCTTCTTCTTCTCCAAAGAAATTCGTCTCAATTTGAATTTCTTTCTTATCATTATCCAAAGGCAAATTTCTGAAATTCACATAAGATTTTGATAAAACTTTTAAAAATAAATCAAAATTTTCTTCCTTTTTCTTTGTTTTTCTTAACTGTTTATATTGTTTTCTGTCTTCTTCAGATAGTTTTTTGTAATTAAATCTAGCTATATTTTCTGTATTTGCGATATTTACCCATCCACTTTCTTTTAAAGTTTCAATATAATGCTCTTTGAATACATCGTAAACCCTTTTATTTGTTTTTGGTAGCAATTTTGGCTCTGAAGCTCTTAGCAGCCTTAAAATAAACTCAAACCTACTTACAGCAGTTTTCTCAAACTCATATCTTTCCCTATCTAGTATTTCTAAATTTTTAAATGGTTCTTTTGCATCTGCTGACAAATTTTTTCATTCCTTACTCTCCTTTTCCCTATTAATTAGCTTTTTATATCAATTTTTTTTACAAAAAATTAGCCTCCTGTCTTTTAGCGGGCAAATTTTATATAATAAATAGGGAGATAGAAAGCTGAATAAAATTTGATTTTTTCGAGATTTTATGTTTGCAAGATATAAAAAAAGTAATTGAGGAACAAGCTCGTCTGATTTTCTTTAATTTCCCGCCTATTTTTCTGGTCTCTTCACATCTTTTTATGCTGGATGAATTAGAGATAGTAGCTTTTTCTTTATAATAGTTTTTACGTTCTGGGACAAGTTTTGTCCATTCATTAGAGGCATATTTTAAGAAATGGGTCATTCTTTTGGTCCCTGAAAGCTCTTTAACAAATTGGCGATATGTGTTTTCTGTTTTTCTGCGCTTTCTTGGGGCATCTATAGTTAATTTAGAGTAAGCAGTCTCGAAAAGCTTCAAAGGAGGTGTATAGCTTACACCTCATTTTGGATCGGCCTTGAGCACCCCCTCCCCATGCCACCCACACCCTAATGGTCCCAAATATTTTAAATGTTAAATATTAATTTTGACAAGTTAAAATATTTGAGGAGGACTTGTCAAATAATATTTTAACATTTAAAATTTTCAGGACCGTCAGGGGTGGGGTGGCATGGGAAGGGGGTATTTAATGGAGAGCAACAACGAGGGTTGTGCTATATAAAGTGATTGTGTTGAAAATAATCCTAATTCTTGTAGATCAATTGTCTGGAATTCTGGACATATTAGGTCCGAAAAAATCATATTTATATTTTGTTCTCTAAGCTTTTCATTTTGCTTTTAGAGATAATTAATTAATAATGCTGGCTAATTTTTCATTAGGAGAAAAAATAAATTTTTAATCCAGAACAAAATAATCGACCAATTTTGATTAGGAAACAGCCAGTATATTATTAGAATTTTAATAAGGATTTAGGTTTTAATACAGCAGTATTAATATTTTACACATGAAAAATAAGATATTCTTATGGCTGACTCTATTTTGCTGCGACAAGGTTGAGAACAAAGAAGAAGAAAAACCATCCCGTCGAAGGTCTTCAAGAAGAGAAAAAGAAGTAAACTCTGCAAACTCATTGAAAGATAGGACTTATTTATGTATTATCATAATTATAATATCTAGCGCCCACGCTCCAAAGTAAGTCTTAAGCCAACTAGTGATACCATGAGCCATTATTCATTTAAAATGGTGGATTTATTTGGTAGATATTCGTTCGTTCACCTCAGTCCCTATCGCTCGTCTCGCTTGGCCCTTTTTCTGTTACGTAAACTCCTGTGCACATTTCACCTAAAGGTCATCTTTGTTAGTCTTACTGAGAATTGAAACCCTAAACCTTCTAAATATCTAAGGAGCAATTTTCAGTGGATTCCTCACCATTGCTTGCCTGAATAGTATTTTCTATGAAAACTGAATCTCATAAATAAAATCGTCCTATTATATTTAATTTTGTCACCAAATTTCACATAAATTGCAGTTTTATTAATATCCATCAAAAGATATAACAGAGTTTGAGTCACACAATTCAACGAATTTATTTATTAGTAGCCAAAAGGACGATGAAATTAGCATTGAGCCTATTGATGAAAAAAAGAACACTGTAAATAATTTAAGTCTTCTAGAAGATGCAGAAACATTTTCTCTTCGTAGAACTCCAACATTCGGAAACCCAACTTTTTCAGATCTTTGCATGAAATATATTACTAAAGAGGAGAGCACTGGAGGAACCACAAACCATGCCAACGATAAAAAAGTTAAAAAAAGGAAAGGAAGCGTCAGAAAAAGTAGCAAAAAATCAAAAAAAAGTGAGAAATTAAATAATTAATTAAACGTCACTTGCTGTAAAGATGGCATATCTTTTTAAAATATGCAGAATAATAAGATGCTTTATTCAGCTTAAAATTTAGTTTAAAAATATCCAAATAAAAGCATATGAAAGTTAATTAAAGATATAATTATTTTTTAAAAATTTGCACAAATTGTATTAATAAATAATTGTGAAATTTTAATAGTAGAATTATCCTGCTAATCAGTTGATTTTACTTACTCCCCCCCCTCCGTTAGTGAACAAAACCATTAGAAAAATCCCTATTTTTTGCCAAAAAAACCCACCCTCCGTGAGTGAACAAAATTTTTTTAATACAAAAAAATTTTTATGGAAAAAAATTTTGATATATAAATGATAATTAGCATAATGAAATCTAGAGCTAATTCTGTTTAATTTTAAACGAATTGCTTTTTAAAACATAAATTTTACAAAAAAAATTAATATTTGCTTTCCAATTTTTGCAAATTAGATTTTTTTAAAATTTCGAAAAAAAATATTTTTTATAAAATTTATATATAAATTTTTTGAAAAAAAAATTAACCCCCCTCCGTGAGTGAACAAAATTTTTTTGTTTCACTCACGGAGGGGGGGAGAAGTTAATTCTTTCAAAAATTATATAACAGCTATATAAAATTCGCAATAAGGGTAATTTCTTTTGATAAGTTAAGATATACAAATAATTTTCTCAATATAGAAAAACGATTAAATAAGTTAATTGTTATTTGTAGCCTTCAAAAGAGTCATCAGCTGAAGCTAAAATATAAGAAGTTTGCGTTTTCATCGGCTCCACAATATCCTCAAGCTCTGTTTTATATTTTTCGTATTCATTATTAAGTTCTTCTACCTCTATCTTATACTTTTTATAAATTTCGTCTTCAATCTGGCTTGTTACTATATAATAATCTTCAAAATCTCCTAAATAATCTGCATTTAATTCATTAAAGCGGTTTGAATAATAAATCATAACATCTCGGACTTGGTTTACAGTAAGATCAGATTTTATCTCCTCAGTATATGCAGGCTTTACAAGTTCTTCAGAATATTGAACAAAAGATAAAATGACAACCGTAACAACCATCTTCTACTGGAAATTTCTGTGTTTGGGGACTTTGATGAGGCCTGAAGCCAAATCTGATTGGGAAAGGAGAAGTAATGGACTGAAAATAGTGTTCAGGGTGGGGTTTTCTCCTCGTCTGGGCTCCATGAAGTAGATTTTATCCATCATAGCAAGAGACCAAAGTCCACAAAGACTACTTCACACTTTTGGATGCGAATGGGAATGGGACCAGAATGAGGATTCGGCACGTCTTCTAGCATCATATCCTCAAGTAGAGTTGTCATCGACTACTTGGAGTTGTCCAAGAAAGTACCTAGGTGCGTCTCTAAAAGATGGTGACTTCTGATGTCGACAAAAAGGGGTGTAAGCGCAAGCCAATACATAGGGTGAGGAGCCTGAAGTTGGCAAGCCGGATAGAGGGTTGAAATTAACTATCCGAGACCCTTACTAACTTAACTTAATCTAATCAGAATATTGAGCGATTTCTGGAAATGAGTCATAATAATTTACTGACTTCCCTATGCAATCGAGCAAAAAATTTTTTTATATACCTGCTTGCCAAGAATAGCGCACTAAGGAGCATTTTTGGTTCGCCATTCTTAAATTTGGTTAGCCAGAAAATAGGGCATGCCAACGAATTTGGCAAGCCAGCTATTGTCTGGCAATCAAAAAATGCTCCTTAGTGCGCTATTCTTGGTAAATAAGTATAATAAATTTTTATAGTAATTATTTTCCAATGAGTTTACTCGCTCATAGGAGTGAAGTGAGTTTTCAAATATTTTGTGGGAAATTCCATATTTTCTGGTTACCTGCTCTGTAGCACTATCTAGGAAGGCCTTTGTTCGTCTCTGAAAGTTTACTATTGCTTGCTCATAATTTTCTGATTTCGGAGAATATCTTCGACGCTCAATCCTGCATTCTTTTACAGCTGGCCAATAATTGTTGGAATATTGACTTCTGATATTTTGACAAATTTCTATAAAGGACTCTTTGGAAAGAATTTCGACCCTAAGCATGTTTCCTTTTTGTTTTTTCCGTGTGTAAAAGTATAGAAAAACGCCTGCGGATATAGCTACAGCGCATCCTGCTATTGTCAATTCTTTTGAAGAAATACCCATTATAAAATATGAAATTTCATTAAATAATGTATTAATATTTTGTATATTGGAAACAGATAATGATTAATTATGAAACACAAAATAAAAAATTATTATAAAATAATAAATTCTTTTTTGAATTTAAATCGTTTTTTTATATGCGTAGTTTATCGAACAAATTTCAAAAATTTTTTAAGAAACATAAACACCGTCCTTAAGGGAATTTTCAATAAAAATCTTATAAAGATGCTAATACATTAATTGTTGATAAAAGTATTTTTAATATAGCTTTTCAAAGGCTTACATATTAACAGTTTAGTTAAGTCTCATCCCTTGTAATTTGTGCTCTACCACTATGCTCATATTTTTATACCTATCCCAGAACTCTTCTTCATTTTCATCCAAGTCTTCAGTAATTTTCATCGCTTTCTGCCCAACTTTATCAATTTCTGCTACTTTTAATTTTAATCCAGTTATAATTCCCGCTTTTTCAACAATTTTCTGTTTTATACTCGCAGTTGTATCAGTTTTCTATATAAACTTTACCTTGATGATTACAGTAAATGGCCTTCCTAGCCCTTCTTCTGAGTTATAAGCATGAAAAACCTTAATTCTCTGCATAAATTTTACCTTCAGCTTCTTATCTTTTAGCATTTTCAGCTCTTCATCATTCATAATTTTAATCCCCATCAGTATATCTTTAGATACTGCAATATCTTTTAGCTTATTTTCAGGCTCCAAAAAATTTAAAATTGCTTTTTGGTTCTGCTGATACAAAAACAGCTCAGGAAGTCCTTCCAGCTCATTGGCCATCATATCACATGCATCTTTTACAGTGCTTTCTTGAAGAATGACTATAGGAATAGACCGTAAAGGGCAATATTCTTCATCAAAAAACACGACCTGCAGATGTAGCATCCCCCGTATTGCTAATAAATCATATTGAGAAATATCATAATAAATTTTCTTATTTTGCAGGATTTTTGATAAGAAAAATTCAGGCGAATATGTATAAGGCACCATATTTGGTCCAAGTAGGTTTATTTGGTTTTCTGATATTTCTGGACAATAAGGCTTGAGAGCGTCTGCAATAATTTTCATTGCTTGATGCTGGGTGTAAGAAAGCGATAGCTTTAAGTCAAGCTTTTGTGGGAACATGTTTCTCTCAAGAAGCTGCTTAGAAAAGGACATAAAATTGAAATATTGATGCAGGTCATAATAAAGGACTTGGACTTCTACGTTACTAGCCACTTCTCTTAGCTTGTGAGGGATATTTTGACTGATATCGCTACCTATAATTAAAGCGTCCCCATTTTCTATTATCATCCCTTTTTTCTCTTTATTTCCTGTCACAAAACCTACTAATTCTTCAATCCTGACTTCTTCACTGCCACACCTTTCTATACAAATCCAGCCAACTGCTGCTCCAGGGAAATATTTTTCAAATAATTTCTGCTTTATCATAACAGCAGCGGCATCTTCAATTCATTCTACCCCTACAATCTCCAATTCCCCGTTCACAAAAGTTTTCACAAATACAAATATATGTGAAGAAGGGCTGACTACAGGATTTTTTCCATTTTCTTGTACTGGCTCTGGGGAACTTTCTTCTGACTCCCCCCCCCTTTAAATTGGAACAAAATATCGATAAAATTTCCAATTTTTTTGTAAATTAACCCCCCTTAAATTGGAACAAAATTTAATTTTATAATAAAAAATTATATATAATTTTTATCTAAAAAGTTTTGATATAAGTTAAATGCTTCTTCTTAACTAAAATTAAAAATTTAGTTATATCTTGCTCTTTTTAAAGAAAAAACTATAAAGAGCATCTTATTTAAATAAATTTATTATCCTTAATTGCTAAATTTTAAAAAAAAAATTAATTTTTTTTTTTAAAAATTTTCAAAAAAATTTTTTGTAAGGACCCCCCCCCCCCTCATTTGTCGAATTTTCTAGTCTTTTTTTTATATAGAATTTTTTTTTTTCAGGACCTCATTTGTCCCAAAATCTAGTCAAAAATGATTTGTCCAATTTTCTAGTCTTTTTTGCATTTTTTCGAATGCCCTAAATTTCTAGTTTTTTACTTTAAAAAAACTAGAAAATGAGACAATTGAGGTCCTGAAAATTTTTTTTCTCTATCAAAAATTTTGACTAGAAAATTGGACAAATGAGGTCCTAAAAAAATTTTTGTTTCCTATAAAAAAAACTAGAAAAATGGACAAATGATAAAAGACTAGAAAATTGGACAAATGAGGGGGGGTCCTTATTTTGGTAAAAATGATATTTTTTATTTGGATAGTTTTGATATAAATTCAATAGGAATTCTTTATAAAATTTCAAAATTTACTTATTCCTTGCTTTATTTTAAAGAATAGAGTATAAATAGCATCTAAATTAGCACTTTGATCGATAAATTTTCTAAAATTTATTTTTTTTTTAATTTTTTTTATCAATAAAAATAATAATTTTTGCGTAAATAATTTTGATACCAATTAATAGTGGCGTATTAACTATAATGAGAATTTAGTTATATCTTGCTTTGTTTTAAAAGGATAAAGAGTAAATAGCATTTTATTAAACAAATTTATTGATCTAATTCGATAAGCTTTTGAAAATTTTTTTTTTTTTTAATTTTTATATATTTTATAAAAAAATTTTATATTGATATTTTTTTTTAAAAAAAAAATTAACCCCCCTTTAAATTGGAACAAAATTTTTAGTTCCAATTTAAAAGGGGGGGGAGTGAGGACTCATCTTTTCCGTCATCTCAGCTTCAAGAGTCGATTTTTCCATCAAAAACAGTTTTAGAGGACTCTATAAAAATGGCTTGAGTAATAAGGCTGTTTTCAAAGGCATAATTATTCAAAATTTGGTTTAGGTCAATTTCTTTGAATTTTCAATTTACTGGGCCTGGGCTAAAAGTTCATAGCTTAATTGGTCCTAAATGGGCAAGTTTTGTGTCTATGATGTACTGGACTTTTGAGTTCTTGCGGGTTGAATAAATAAAAAAGCGGCTTTGGGACTCTGGTGGGGCTATTCCTGGGCCTTTTCAGCCAATAATGGTTTCTTTGCTTGCAAGAGCGACTGTGCAGTGTAGAACTCTGCGGACTCTTTTGTTTTCTCTGACTTTTACTTCGCTGGCAGGGATATTTGATACTAAAGAGACAGGGATATCTTGGCCATTAATAGGTGGAATAACTTTGGTTTTTTCTGATTTTTTGATATAAAATAGCATATAAGCGCTTGTGTCACTTTTTTTATTGCCAATTGAGATTTCGCCTGTGTCTGATAACAAGAGGTCTTCCATATCTCCTCCTCAATTTGCCCTGATTACTTGTGACGGAAGCGCTCTTTCTACGTTTTCATCGTTAAATTTAAATCAGTTGTCGTCAAGCCCAGGCGAAATAAATGCATAATAATGTCCAGATGCGAGTGTTCCTGCATGAATCAATATAGAAAACAATCTGTATTTATTAAGTCCTCTTTTTCCAGGCAGCATATAAGGATCCAGGTCGATTTCTTCATAAAATTCGAATTTTTCGTTTAATTTCACCATAGAGCCTCTAGCTGGGTTGTATTCAAATCTTTTTAGCATGACTTGTAGGACTGGTGGGAGTTCTTCAATCATCATTATTTTTTTTGCGTCTTGTTTTCCAAAGCCTTCAGCTTCGTATTGCATATCCCCTGTTAATTCTACAGGTGAAAAATACTTTTTGAGACTTTCTATTATGTTATTGTTTCCTTTGACGTCAAGCTGCAAATCTATGAATTCTTCGTATTTTTTTGAGCTGTAGTCTACGTTAAGACATTGTATTTTTTGAAGAATTTTCCCTTTAAATAAGCTGGAATAGGTGCCTTGGGCGAGAGTTCCATTCATATTTCTTTCTAGAGTTTCTGATAATGTGTAGTTAAATTCTTGGACGTCATGTTGAATGTGCCATTCGTCACGGCTTAAATTATTTTTATAAATAATTATTTTTTAAAAATTTGGTATAAAAAATAATTTTTTTTATTAAAAAAATGGAACCTATCGTCACGACCCCATCCAAAACTTTTTAAAAGTTCTTGTGTCGATGGAGGATTTTGGCTGACTTGCAAAGCTCCAAACAGTTTTCTTAACGCCTGAGGGATCCTATCATATTCACTATCAGTCGGCACTATTGAGTATAAAGCCTTTCTAAATGACGTGATCAAAAATAAAGTTTGTAAAAGCGAGTTCATATAGCAGGTTGTCCCTTCATTTACAAGTCCTACATATCCTGTTGCTTGGCGGCAGGTCTCAGAATTAATACTTGGCCTAAGTGAGCACACCACGTACATAGGCTTGTCTAAGTAATAAGAATTTTTCTTGTGAGAAATGAGCTTTGGGTATCCAATTAGCTTGGTCTCCATTGTAAAAGTGTCTTGTGAGGGTTTTATAAAATAAAATGGCATTTGGTTCGAGAGAAATTAACTCTAATAGAATTTTATTTATGGAATGCGGCTTTGCCTAAAGAACTTCTGGCCACATAAGATATGGCTAAGGCACTGCTACGAGTACGTTAAATGCTTCAGAGTTTATCCGCACAGCACACCTGAGTATGACCCATTGGCGGAGCACATGAATGAAAGCACAGATAAGGGCTACGGCATTGCGACAGGTGAGATACATCGGCCAGAGAGGGAGTGGTTTATTTTTGGGATGGTCCGACCTTTTATATTGAAAATGCTTATGGTGTCATAATTTTGACTCAGGCCTTAAATGGAGCGTAGTTAAGTATTTTAAACACTTTAATTTATCGTAATTTTAATCCTCTTGTGAGGTTTTTGAAGTCTTTTTTATAACTTTCCCTGTCTTCTTGGTGACGTATAAATTAAATTAAATTGGTTAAATTGGCCATGAGCGGATCAGCCCACTAACCTTTGCCTCGCCTCGACTTTAAAAGTAGCAGTTTCCAGACTCGTAGTTTAAATGTGGAAAATGGGTTACCATTTTGGAACCTGACCTGAGCAAGGGATCAATTCGCTAGGGCAGAGCCATCATCTATAGAGTGCCCTAATGGTCCTAACAAGTGATGACCATGATATGATAGGCAAAGCCTGTTTAGTCCATCTGGCAGGGATAGAACAAACTTCCCTCTTCGGTAAGGCATCGCTAGACCTAAAGGCTTACTTCAAAAAAGACAGAAGCCCTTTTTTCAGTTTCATCAGGATGGGTCCCTACCTGCTCCATAGGAATGCGCGCCTCAGAGTCCAATTTCAGTCAATATATTCAATTTATTTCTGTGACATATAAGGATAATGTAAAGTTTGCTGTCTGTGGGGAGAAATTCTCTTGGATGCAGGCTTCCACATAAATGCCAATGAATTTTTCTTCGTTTTTGGGGTGGAGAACCAAGCGCCAGAGTTGCCCATTTGAAGAGTTAAATCACTCGGTCTCGACCTAAATTACGATTACCATCTCGTCTGCTGAAAATCGGGACATGAGCTTTGATAAGTTTGGAAGGCACCAAATTGCTTTGGACATGCCTGATGATGTCAGAAAGCTTTGGAATCGAGGCGAATTTGACTCCACAGGTTCTTGCGGAGGCTCATCTGGCGATGGTGGCGACGTTTTTGATGGAAAAACATCAACTTTATCAGGTGATCTTGGTCGTTTTAGAAAATGGCTGTCAAGACCTTCATTTTCATTGAGTTCCCGCTGCTAACTATAAGTTACCATATTTCAATAAAATAATTCTGAGTCCATTAAAGTTTACTCTAGGGTTTGCAGATCAGAATGAATTTTATTTCTTTCTTACCTTTTCAATTTTTGAGTGAGGGTTAAAAATTCCTATATATTATTATCTCTGTTTTTATATTATTTTATTAATGATCTGTGCAATTTTTAAACTTAGATTTGTTAATTTAAAAAAAAATATAGCAATTTAAGGTTTTTTTGGTATTTTAAATTAAATTTGAGATAAAAGTTTTAAATTATGAAAAAATTATGTTTTAAAGAGGTATAACAACTTATTTGTAAACAAAATAATGGACTATAACTAATCTTATAAGCATGCCAATATGAAAGTATAGGTTTGAGGAAAGAGGCTGTTTAGAGCTGGAACGATATTCATAGCCCATTAATCAAAATAGCTTATTCTTTATTATTAAATAGCTTGTTAAAGTTTATAAAAATGCTTACTAGACCGAAAGTGGAATCATAGATTTTGGACCCAAATCAAATCTATAGTATTCATGCACTTTTATATAATTAACTCCAATATATATTGCTTCTTTGTTATATGCGCAATAAATTTGGCTAGGATATGCTTCCTGAATTATTGATCTTCCGACTTGTTTCCAAGCAGTCTCATCCCCATCTTCGCTTTCATAAACCATTCCATTATCGCACTCTATTAAATACAGTCTCCCAGCATTTAGCAAGATTTTTCTTCTCCCAGGTGCAAACTGAAAAGGGATTTTTGTGAAAGAGTCGTTTTCAATTGAATATCGTAAAATATTTCTATTTTTGCTCCCAGAAATCAAAATATTCATTTTAAATATTATGCTGTGGCAAAGCCAGTCGTCTTGTGGAAGAGGATTTAATTTAATTCATTGGTTTCTATCTAAATCAAATCTCTCTGATAGAGTTAAAGCAGTTTTGTTATCATATCCTCCAAAGCAATAAACGCTTCTATTAAAATAGATAGCTGACTTCTACCTTTAATTGAAGCAAAATTTACATTTTTAGGAAATTAGCCCTTTTTAAATAGCTTTTATACCTAATTTAATAGTGCAAAAGCCAATAATTCATTGCAAATTGCTTTATTTTCAATGGGTGAGTGCAATTTGAATACTATTAAATAAAATTGATAATTTTATAATGAAAAATTTAAGTGGGCCAATTTTCGTTCTAATAAAATGCCCCTTTTAATATTTTTTTCTTATTCAAAAAGGAGGTTGAGGAAACTGAGCAAGGTGTTCCAGAAGGTAAAACTTGAAATTCTGAATTTCTGCCAATTATTATTGCAATACCAGAAATCGGATTATTTTTGCCAAAGCAGAATAATTCACCATTTGGAAGTTGGGCTATGCATGTGCCATAATTTAAGGAATCTGGGGTATTAAATACTTTGGACTCTTTAAGCTCGCTTTCGGTATCATAAACAATCAAATTAGTCTTACCAGCAGGGTATGGCATTCTTTCCCTTTTTGTAGTCATATGCTAGGTGACAATTTCCAAAAATTTTAATTGTCAGATACTTGGCTGGAGAAGTTCATTGAATTCTTGAACAGATTTGTGACTGGAAAAAAGATAAGAATATATTTCGGAAAAATGCATGCCTAAAAATAAAGGATAAAAATCATGCACCATACTAGCAGTGCCTCCTCTGGTAAGATAAAGAGATGCAATTTGATGGTAAGCACCGATGTATTCTTGATAAGCTTGGTTGAGTGATGAATCAAAAGTGTTGATTTCTTTTAAACTCACCTTTCCGTGAGTGAGCATAATAAAACATTGAAAAATTATCCAAATTTTATTATAAATTCTTTATAAATTTTTTTTAGATTAAATTTTATAAAATTTTTAATAACTCTCTAGAAAAATTTTTTGCTCACTTACTGAGGGGAAAATAAGTAGATATCATATGATAAGCAATTAATTCGAAAATCTTGCTCAAATTCTGGGTCGTTTATTCTTCCTAGTACTTCATGTTTTTGATCTATTAATTTTTGAGTAAATATTTGGATTTTAGAATTTTGCTCATCCACAGCATTTTTAGTTTTTTCTTGCTGTCCCCTTCCAAGATTTTGCTTTAAATCACTAAACTCTATTCTGCTACTCTCAATTTTACTTATTAATTCTTTTATAGACTGCTTTATTTTTGAAAAATCATCCGTAATGTCTATTGATTTATTGTATTCCTCAAATTTTTGTTCTATATTAAATAATATGTTTAAAAAGCTATCAAACTTTTCCTCGATAAATTTTTCAACAACTAGATCTAGGCTTTTTATAGATTAGGATTAGGATTAAATTAATTATTGGCGTACTATTTCAAACGCCTTATACTTTTAACGAGTCTTCAAAAATTTAAATCATGAATAGATATGTTTTCTTTTTTGAGGTCATCTTCAATATTTTGGATTTCAAAGAAATGCTTGTGTTTGCTGTTTTCTCTGCTAGTTCGCAATTTATCATCAATACTTCTTAGTGTGATCTTTGTTAAAAAGTCAATCTTTTCTCATTTTTCTTCACCTAATTCTTCTAAAAATTTTAATTCTGTAACATCTGAAATAAGTCAATTGTATATGCTTGTATTGTTAATATATCTGCCTATCATATCTTGTAATCTTTGTATAAATTTGATTCTTTCGTTTTTATATTTTATGCATTCGTTAAGAATATGTTTATCTGTTTCCTTGACTTTACATAATTCACATAAATTCGAATGTTATCTTGATTATTTCTGTTTCTCAATAGAACTAATACTTTAGATGGACCAGCACCATATCTTCAAGCAGCCTTTATTCTTGTTTCAGTAATTAGGTTTTTATTCAGTATTCAGAATTTTGGGAGTTTATTCGTGGTAAAAGTTTGATTCCTTAATTCTTTAAACATCTTTAATGTTACTTTTTTATTTATTATGCTCATGTTTTCGTTTCTTCAATAGATTTTGAGTTTATCTTTGACATTTCCTTTTCAATTTTTGTCATTTCAGCTAATCATGTTGTTATTAAAATCGAATGGTTTTGTAAAATTATATTTTTGAAGCAACTCTTGGTAGATTTTCATTGTCGGTGTAATTGTATTATCGAAATTTCTTAGGAAATGGGTTGCAATCTCAGATATATGTGTTAATTCAAAAATTTTTTGTAAAAATATCAATGATTTTTGGTCAATATATTGTTGTATTGTTGGAATATTTAAATCAAGTAATAAGGGTTCAATAGGTGTTTTGTCATAAACATGGCAACATTCTCTTATAATCTTATTGAATGATCTTTGAATTTGTTTAATTGCAGTTTTGCATTTAATTCTTGAGCATATTTCAAGACCATATGTGCATCTTGGTAAGAATATTGCTTTGAAGCAGTTTATAAGAGTTTTACTTGGGATGTTAAGCATTCTTCTAATCATAGGGATTAGTGAGCAAGTAGATATTTTGCTTTTATCTTTGAGGTATTTATAATGCGCTTGGTCGAATCCTGTACCTCTTATATTTCCATTCATTATTTTGCCTAAATATTTATATTTTTCAACAACTGGTATTTCATGATTTTGGTATGATATTTTAGGTAGTTTACTTATAATATTTTTCCTATTTTTTGTTATGATTGGCATTATTGCTGTTTTTTCCGGTCCTATATTCAAGTTCATATCATTATCTTTTGATCATTTATCAAGTTTATTTAAAATGTTTTCAATGTCTTTTCAATCTTCTATTACAAAAGCTGTATCATCTGCATATTGAAAATTGATTTTTGATTTTAATTGGTGGTTGGGGAGGAGTTCTATATTGATGTCATTATTTTCCTTTTCTATATCATCTATATATATATTAAATAACAATGGTGATATTGCACTTCCTTGTCTCACACCTCTTGTTATGTTTATTTTTTCTGTTTCAATCCCATTTATGACAAGTGTAGTTTGTTCACCTTTTAGCATTTGTGAGATTATTTTTCAGCTATCATTTTTTATATTTTTTGCTTTAATTTTCTCTAATAGTCTAATTCTATTAACTGAGTCATAAGCTTTTGAGAAATCAACAAATAATATATATGAGTCTCTACCTTTTCCAATCCTGTAATACTTACGATATTCCAGTGTAGATTTTAAGAGAAAAATCTGAGTCATGCATGACTTTCCTTTTGTGAATCCATGTTGTCTTTCTGAGATATTAACCGTATTTTCAATTCTTTTTAGTTCTGCTTTGTCAAGAATCTTCATAAAATTATTCATTAAGGTTATGGGTCTATAGCTATTAAGTTCCTTCGGATTACCTTTTCCTTTGTATATAAGGATTGTTTTTGCTTCATTGGCTTTGTCTGGGATTCCATTTAATTTGCAACTATTAAGGAAATGTGTAATTGCTTCTGCCATTATATCTCCACCTTTCTTTATTATCTCATTTCTTATATTGTCTGGTCCAGGAGCTTTTTTGTTTGGTAATTTTTTAATGATTTTCTGGATATCTTGGAAATCTCATAGTTCTTCTTTTGAGCATCCCTTTTGTGGTATGAATTCTATTTTACTTTTAAATTGATTTTCAAATTCTGTTGCTCAAGCTTTAATCTCTTCTTTGTTTAATGATAATGCGATTCTATTTTTATTCATCTGACGTTTTATTTTGTTTCAGGCTCCATATGGATCTTGCATACATTCTTTCAATCTGCTTTCACTGATTTTTTCATAGTTAGATAGTCTTTTTAGTTTATTTATTCATGCCTTTTTTACCTTTTGTAGTTTGTTAGCAAGTTCTCTATTATTTTGCGTTCAGCAAAATTTTATTCATTTCCTCGAGTCATTTATTCTATTTAATAAGATTTTCATTTCTGGGGTTCTAAAATGGTCTGGTTTTAAATGTTTTAGTAGGTATTTTGATTCTTCATCAATTGTTGATTTGATGTTATTAAATATTGCTAAAGGATCAAGAGTTTTGTAGATTCCTTTATTCTGGAAATTGATTCAGATTCTGTGTTGGAACGCTTCTAATTCCTTGCCTTCTAATTTATATCATGGAATCACGGATATTTGCTTTGGTATTATCTGGACACTTTTTATATGAGATAGTAATAATACGTGATTGGTGTTTAATTGTGGGACTTCTATGTATTTAATCTTTGATAGGGTTTCTGAAATAATATAATCGATAATAGTGTGTCTATTATTTCCTCTGAAAGTTGATATAGAAGTTTCATTTAATATATGTAAACCATTGTCTCTAACAAATTTGATAAATATTTTTCCAGCTAAATCATTTATATCTGATAAGTAACCTTCTATGTGTGCATTGAAGTCTCCAAGTAATATACATTGATTAGCATCATTTTTGTTTGCTTGAATTATTTCTTGAACATTCATGATGCAGTTCATATATTCGTTAATTGATTTTTCATTTTCGTGGTTTGCAAGTACTGGTGCATATATGCATATTATCAAAAAATCTTCTATCTTTGCTGCAGTTATTCTATGGTTATTAGTTTCAATTCAAGTTATTTCATTTGCCAGTGAATTATGAATTAATAAGCCAGTTCCACCTGATCCTCTGTAGCCTACTATAGGTCCATTATTACCTATTCACACAAAACCATCAATATAAACTTTATCTTTTAATCAAGTTTCTGCTATTCCTAAGATAGTAATATCGTTTTCGATCATAACATTTCTTAATTGTCTTCGTGATAGATCGTCTTTTCCAATTCCTGAAATGTTGATGAATCCAAAATTTTTTCTTATTATTTTTTCGCACAATCTTCTTGGATTTGGAATTATAATTTCCTCTTCAACTTGAACAGGTAGGACATTATTTTTTCTTAAGGGAGAATGGGTTATTTTCAATCATTTTTTTGGATCTGTGAGATTATCAGATGCTTCAATAAAGAGAATTGTGCATAGAGGTCTAATCATATCTTGGAACATTCTGCTCTCTAGTATTTGTATCTTTTTATTTTTGTAAATTTCTTTTTCATCTTTATTGATGAAAGGATTTTCAAACTTTTTCTTATTTTGGGTGTTATAAATTGAAATCAAGGGTTCAACTATCAGTTTTTCTTTCTTTTCTTTTTTATGTAAGAATGGGTTTTCGATTTTAGAAACGTTTATTTCAGGAAAATCTGTCATCAAAGTGGATGAATTTATTTCTGATGATGGAGAAAGTTTTGGAGATTTGGAAGCAGTTTCATTATAGGATTGCGAGGATTCCTTAATAAGCTTTCAATTTACATCTTCTCTTTCTGGTTCATTTTTCCTTATTGCTGGAGTCTTTTTAATTATAAAAATTTTTTTGATTGTATTTTTGTGATTTTCTTTTAGAATAGTTCTTCCTATGATTTCTATCGGCTTTATGATGCTCTTCTTTAGAGGAATATATGTCTTGATATCATAGTTGTAGGCATTAACTGGTTCATTATTCTGAGTTTTAACAGGAGGATGAATGTTTTTTTTGGGTGGCTTAATTGTTGAGATCTTGCGTGTTTTTAAGTTGTTTTCATATTTATTATCAGAGACTAAGTATTTTTGATCGATTAAATTTAAATTTCTTGAACCTTTCTTGACTTTCTTAGATTGCTTAATTCTTTTTCTTTTTTCTCTGATTTCAATAATTTTATCGTGGTTTGATTCAAGGTGTCCGATTTCGTTACAAGTGTTGCATTGCATTGTTCCTGCGTGATTTAATCATACTGAGTTATTTCCTATTTTCAATATATCTGTGAGATCTAATGCTTGCTCTAGTGAATTAAATTCAGCATATATTGTGTATTTTGCTTCTGGTATAAAATTAAGACTGTGAAACTTGCCTTCATTTTGTATTGTGTTATTCATAATTATTTCTTTTATATCGCAGATTTGCTTTAATGATTTAATTGTTTCCTCAATCGATATTCCAGGAGGTAATGTAAAATTAATCCGATACCTATTGTAGTTGATTTCACCACCTAGTCATAAGATTCCGATTGGTATCATGATGTCTCTTCCTTTGTATTTTAATTCATATGTGATTTGATTCAGTAAATCTTGTTGTATTGATTTTTCTTTAGGGATCAGGATAGCATCTCCTGAAGGTAATCTATGACATCTTAGGATTGATTCTGGGGGAAATTTTTGGTTAACTGAGATGCAGAATGCTGAAAAGAGCTCTTTTTTCTTGTTTTGGTTGCAGTCTTTGAGAAATTTAGACAAATAAAATTTCACTGACAATTCTAAAAATTTGTTTTCTTCAAGCTCTGGTAGGAAATGAGTTGAGGAAGAGAAGCTGTAGATAACTTTGTCTTCTCCAAGACCAATGACAAGTTTTTCTTGTCCATTAGACAGAGAAGAGGGTGAGTTTGTGCTTGCATAATCTTCCATTTTTTATTTTTTTGCTTTTTATAGAAGCTGTTTGATCGGTCTCTAAGAAATTTGAACTTATTGGAATTATTTTTTTAGCTTTTTCAATAGCATCATCTGGATGCAGAGTCAATAGTTTTAAAATTGGATCCTGCTCGGATTTTGATATTTTCTGGGCTTGAAAAACTTTTTCAAAGGAACTATTAATTTCGAACAAATTAGAGTCCAGCTCATCTAAGTGCTCTTCAAGATTATTTTTCAAATTTTGAAGATTCTGAACAAAAGAATCCACGAATTTTTTCCTCAGTTCATCTTGCTTGCTCCTGCCCTTAGCTAGCTATTTTCGAGAAAATTAAGCTCTTTGTTTAGCAAGAATATAAATATATTTTTATATAAATAATAATTTGATATGTAGTTAATGATTATATTAGTGAGATCTCAGATAATTTATTAAATTTAAACAGCTTACATTTTAAACATAAATTATAGAACTTTCTCTTCAATAGCGCGAAAAGACGTGCATCTTAGTTTGACTAAAAGGTCTTTGGACCATGAAAATTAGCTTTTCCTTCTCCATAAGAGAGGCAAATAGTAAAAGTGAAAAGTTCTGCCCGATCCAGTCTAGAGAACTTGAAGGATTTTTTTTGGTCTGAATTATGAATACCTGAGCTATTGTGGAATTTTGATTTCTTGCAAATTTTTTAATTTCAATGTATTTTGGTTTGTCAAATAGTTTTGACGAGTCAATTCTGGTTAGTACTTGAAATAAATAATAAAAAAATTGCCATTATTTTTTAATTTTCTGATGTTAAGGATGATCAGAAAGTTGACAAAATCAAGATGGCGGCTTAAACGAACAAAAAAATGTTCAAAAATAAATTTGTGCTCGAGTCCAGAAAGTGGAAAATAGAGATGTCAAATAGCTTATTTTGTTTCTCAAATATCAAGTCTACAATAAAACCGCAAGTGGTGGCTTAAGAGTTTTAATTTTTTATTGAGCGTACAAAATTAAGATGGCGGCTTAAACGAGCAAAAATTGTTCAAAAATGAATTTGTGCTCGAGTCCAGAAAGCGGAAAATAAAGGCACCAAATAGCTGTTTTGACACTTTAAATACCAAGTTCTCAATGAAACCGCAAGTGGTGACTTAAGAGTTTTAATATTTTATATAGCGAGCAAAATCAAGATGGCAGCTTAAACGAACAAAAAATGTTCAAAAATGATTTTGTGCTCGAGTCCAGAAAGCGGAAAATAAAGGTGTCAAATAGTTGTTTTGATACTTTAAATACCAAGTTCTCAATGAAACCGCAAGTGGTGACTTAAGAGTTTTAATATTTCTATAGCGAGCAAAATCAAGATGGCGGCTTAAACGAACAAAAATTGTTCAAAAATGAAATTTGTGCTCGAGTCCAAAAAGCGGAAAATAAAGGCATCAAATAACTTATTTTAGTTCTCAAATATCAAGTTTGGAATGAAACCGCAAGTGGTGACTTTAAGAGTTTTAATTTTTTTATATAGTGTACAAAATCAAGATGGCGGCTTAAACGAGCAAAAAATGCTAAACAATGAATTTGTGCTCGAGTCCATAAAGCGGAAAATAAAGGCATCAAATAGCTGTTTTAATGCTTTAAATATCAAGTCTACAATAAAACCGCAAGTGGCGACTTAAGAGTTTTAATATTTTATATAGCGGTCAAATCAAGATGGCGGCTTAAACGAACAAAAATTGTTCAAAAATGAATTTGTGCTCGAGTCCAGAAAGCGGAAAATAGAGGTGTCAAATAGCTTATTTTGTTTCTCAAATATCAAGTCTACAATAAAACCGCAAGTGGTGACTTAAGAGTTTTAATTTTTTTATATAGCGAGCAAAATCAAGATGGCACTTAAACGAACAAAAAATGTTCAAAAATGAATTTGTGCTCGAGTCCAGAAAGCGGAAAATAAAGGCACCAAATGGCTTATTTTAGTTCTCAAATACCAAGTTCTAAATGAAACCGCAAGCGGCGATTTAAGAATTTTAATATTTTATATAGCGTGCAAAATTAAGATGGCGGCTTAAACGAACAAAAATTCTTCAAAAATGAATTTGTGCTCGAGTCCAGAAAGCAGAAAATAAAGGTGTCAAATAGTTGTTTTGGTACTTTAAATACCAAGTTCTCAATGAAACCGCAAGTGGTGACTTAAGAGCTTTAATTTTTTGCATAGTGTACAAAATCAAAATGGCGGCTTAAACGAGCAAAAATGTCTGAAAATGAATTTGTGCTCGAGTCCAGAAAGCGGAAAATAAAGTCACCAAATAGCTTATTTTAAATCTCAAATATCATACTTTCAATGAAACCGCAAGTGGTGACTTAAGAGTTTTAATATTTTTATATAGCGAGCAAAATCAAGATGGCGGCTAAAACGAACAAAAATTGTTCAAAAATGAATTTGTGCTCGAGTCCAGAAAGCGGAAAATAAAGGCACCAAATAGCTGTTTTGATACTTTAAATTCCAAGTTTTGAATAAACCCGCAAGTGATGACTTAAGAGTTTTAATATTTTTACATAGTGTACAAAATCAAGATGGCGGCTTAAACGAAAAAAATTGTTCAAAAATAAAATTTGTGCTCGAGTCCAAAAAGCGGAAAATAAAGGCACCAAATAGCTTATTTTAAATCTCAAATTTCATACTTTCAATGAAACCGCAAGTGGTGACTTAAGAGTTTTAATTTTTTATATAGCGAGCAAAATCAAGATGGCAGCTTAAACGAACAAAAAATGTTCAAAAATGAATTTGTGCTCGAGTCCAGAAAGCGGAAAATAAAGGTGTCAAATAGTTGTTTTGATACTTTAAATACCAAGTTCTCAATGAAACCGCAAGTGGTGACTTAAGAGTTTTAATATTTCTATAGCGAGTAAAATCAAGATGGCGGCTTTAACGAACAAAAAATATTCAAAAATGAATTTGTGCTCGAGTCCAGAAAGCGGAAAATAAAGGCACCAAATAGCTTATTTTAAATCTCAAATTTCATACTTTCAATGAACCCGCAAGTGGTGACTTAAGAGTTTTAATTTTTTTATATAGCGTACCAAATCAAGATGGCTGCTTAAACGAACAAAAAATGTTAAACAATGAATTTGTGCTCGAGTCCAGAAAGCGGAAAATAGAGATATCAACTAGCTTATTTTAAATCTCAAATATCAAGTTCTCAATAAAACCGCAAGTGGTGACTTAAGAGTTTTAATATTTTATATAGCGTACAAAATCAAGATGGCGGCTTAAACGAACAAAAAATGTTCAAAAATGAATTTGTGCTCGAGTCCAAAAAGCGGAAAATAAAGGCGCCAAATAGCTGTTTTAAATCTCAAATATCATACTATCAATGAAACCGCAAAATGGTGACTTAAGAGTTTTAATTTTTTTATATAGCGTGCAAATCAAGATGGCACTTAAACGAACAAAAAATTGTTCAAAAATGAATTTGTGCTCGAGTCCAAGAAGCGGAAAATAAAGATACCAAGAAGCTTATTTTAGTTTTTCAAATATCAAGTTTTGAATGAAACCGCAAGTGGTGACTTAAGAGTTTGCATTTTTTTATATAGCGGTCAAATCAAGATGGCTGCTTAAACGAACAAAAATTATTCAAAAATAAATTTGTGCTCGAGTCCAGAAAGTGGAAAATAAAGGCACCAAATAGCTTATTTTAAATCTCAAATATCATACTTTCAATGAAACCGCAAGTGGTGACTTAAGAGTTTTAATTTTTTTATATAGCGTGCAAATCAAGATGGCGGCTTAAACGAACAAAAAAGTGTTCAAAAATAAATTTATGCTCGAGTCCAGAAAGCGGAAAATAAAGGTGTCAAATAGTTGTTTTGATACTTTAAATACCAAGTTCTCAATGAAACCGCAAGTGGTGACTTAAGAGTTTTAATATTTCTATAGCGAGCAAAATCAAGATGGCTGCTTAAACGAACAAAAAATGTTCAAAAAATAAATTTGTGCTCGAGTCCAGAAAGCGGAAAATAAAGGCACCAAATAGCTTATTTTAAATCTCAAATTTCATACTTTCAATGAAAACCGCAAGTGGTGACTTAAGAGTTTTAATTTTTTTATATAGTGTGCAAATCAAGATGACACTTAAACGAACAAAAAATGTTCAAAAATGAATTTTGGGTTCAAATTCAGAAAGAGAAAACAATGGCATCAAATAGCGAAATTTAAATAAAAAAATTAATTTGAGAAATATAAAAGTTATTTATTAGAATTCTTATTATTTTATTAGCAAATATCTGGGCGTCTTATAGCTAGAAAATATATGCTTGCTTTCACTAATCTTTAATCTCGTTTTTTTGATCCTGTGCCATTTATTAAAATTTCTGATCATCCTTAAAATCAGAAAATTAAAACATTATGGCAATCAATTATTTTTTTATTTCACGTGCCTGCCAGAATTAACTCGTCAAAACCATTTGACGAACCAAAAATACATTAAAATTAAAAAAATTTTGTAGGAAATCAAAATCCCACAATAACTCAGGTATTCTTAATTTAGGACAAAATAATCCCTTCCAGTTCTCGAAACTGGATCGGACAAAAAATCTTCATTTTCACTATTTTCCTCTCTTATGGAGAAGGAATAGCAGATTTTCATTGTCCAAAGACCTTTTAGTTAAACCAGGATGCACGTCTTTTCGCGCTATTGAAGAGAAAGTTCTATATATTTTTCGTCATCATCTCTTGGCTAAATTTCTTATGGCCGTTATGTTATACGCGCCATTTTCATATGAAATTTCAAATTATGAATTTGCCGCACTAAAATCTGCGTTTTGAAACGTATATTTGGTTTCCACATATTAAATTCAAAATGGCATGCATATGCATGATAAGAAATAAATGCAACGCATTATATAATTATAGTACCTTGTTAATATTTTGGCACCATAATGCAGCCCATACTGGCATAATCCCGAATTAAGAAAAATATGAAGCTACCAGCAATTATGGGCCGTATACTGGCGCCGAAATATTTGATTGCACAATATTTAAAATCTAATTTTTTTTTTTAAATAATTAGCCCACTTTGTTAACGAGCGAAATATTTTAGCTTGCTTCCCAAGGGAAAAGTTAGACTTTTCTTTTGTAAGAAATCTAAGAAGCATCTCTTTTGTTTCTTTACAAGGCTTCCAAAAAAGAGGCTTAAAATGATGGGCATTGCTAGATGACTCAAGATGCTCTGCTAAGTGCAATTTGCAGGAATAAGTTTCAGGAGAAGAGCAATCACATGAATACTCAACTTCACTTCTGCAGCTAGCTTCAAAGCATTGCTTAATTTCCATATTAAAATAAAATTATCTTGTTATATTAATTGCGAAGTTAGCTTTTTATACATAAAATCATTTCCAAGACGATTCTTCTCATAATTTATATAATTGGTCTTTTTAGATAATAATTAAGTTATTTATTCATTTTGCTCATGAAAATTCTCAATGTTTTTTTCTGAGGATATTCAAAGCTCTGATGTTTCTTGAAGTTCTGAAAATTTTGCTCTTGAGTTTTCTATTTCTTGATATCGTGAGCTTATAGATGGAGTTATTGAATTATATCTCTTTTGCTGAGTTGCATAGTTTTCGTGTATATGTTTTATAATCTGTACATCATCAACAGATTTAGCATGAATACCATGGTTTTTTGATCTTGCCGATAACTGCACTGTAGGAAACAAAGGCTTTCTTGTTAATTCTAAACAAGATCTATGCTCTCCTAACCCTTTTTGTCTTAAAATCCATACATTTCCTTCTTTTGCGTACAATGACAAATAATGTTTATTAGAAATATAGTCTTCAAGAGTTTTTAATTTTTGCTGAAAAATAAACGCTCTTTGTTGGTGTGACGATAATCCTTTTACTATCTGTATAAGCGCTACAGAAAGAAAATGCTTTTGTTCAATAATGACATTATCTTTAGAAAACCCATCTTCTTCTCCATTTGCTAATAATTTAATTCTTTTTCTTTGGCCTTTATTTATTATAGTTTCTGTTTTTAATTCATAAAATTTTTTAGTCTTTAGTCTTTCTTGATAAAATTTATTAGCGATTCTTTTGTAATAGTTTTTGACTTTAGATGTGTAAGAAAAAAGTTTCCAATAATAAAGAATTCTTAATTTTTCTCGCATTTTGAGGTAATTTTTCATTTTTTCAATATAGATTAAGGTTCTTTGTTTTTTTGTTGAAAAATCTTTTAGTATAAGAAAGATCCGTTTCTTTTTTCAGTTTTTGAGGGATTGGGAACTTATTTTGGCCACCTGTGTTTTTTCGTGAGAAATTCTTGTGAAAAATAGCATTGCAGAAAAAATATAAAATAATAGAGGTCTATTAGCAGATTTCAAGCCTATTTCAAGGAACTTTTCTCTTGATTTTCTGATTTTTATATTCAAAGAAAGGATAATCAGCGTCGTTTTCTTGACATTTTTTTGTCATGCTTCATGCATTTGCTCAAGTTTCTGTTCTCCATACTCAGATCTTTCTTCCAAGCTATTAAGTTTTTTTTGAATATTTTGGTTTTTTTCTCTTATCCCCCCCCTCCGTGAGTGAACAAACAATTTTTGTTCACTCACGGAGGGGGGTTAAATTTTTTTTTTCGAAATTTAAAAAAATCCTAATTTGCAAAAATTAGGAAGCAAATATTAATTTAATTTATAAAATTTTATGTTTTAAAACGCAATTTGTTTAAAATTAAACAGAATTAGCTCTAGATTTCATTATAATAATTATCATTTATATATCAATTTTTTTTTTCCATTAAAAATTTTTCTATTAAAAAAAATTTTTGTTCACTCACGGAGGGTGGGTTTTTGGGCAAAAAATAGCGATTTTTCTAATGGTTTTGTTCACTCTTAGTTTTACATACAATATGTTTAGAAGTTTTCACCCCAGTCTTTCCTGACACCAAAAATGGCCGATTTATTCTTGACAGCTCTTGTAATAGCTCTCTCTGGTCTTCTAAATCTTTTTCTGCTCTTGCTGCAGCTTCTAATCTCTGCTGTTTCATCAGCATTTTTCTTTGATGCTTTATAAAGCTAATCCAAGAGTATTTCGTATCATTTATTTGTTGATAAAGCTCCAGTAATGAAGATAAATTTTCTTTTTTATATAAAATATTTATGCTTCTCAGCCACGGTTTTTTATCAATATACACATTTCGTGTGAGATAATTATTGAAATTTTCTGGGCTGAAATAATTTTTTGCTGAATATTCAGATGCAGTCCCTTCGTGTTTTTGATAGTGATGATCCAAAACGACAAGACTTTCAGTAGTTTCGTAATCTTCAGGAGTATTTATATAATCTTGAATTAAGTTTTTATAGTCAATTCATAAGAATAGAGGAATATCGAATAAGGCAACAGATTTAGGGATTGATTGACGAATTATTGTGCCTGGCTGAGGGCTAATTTTAGAAGAAGGCTTTTGAGGCGCCACTTCTGGATTTGTTGGATTGCGAGTAGGATCAGTTTTATCTTGATGATTTGAGGATTGGGCAAGATATACGGAATTTTGATTTAGATTTGTAAGAGAAAATCTGCAGGATGATGAGCTTCCTGATAATGAGGATTGGAGGTTTGAAAAATTCTTTAAATAAGGAGTTGCGGCATTTGATTTGGATTTGATCATTTAATTGCTATATAATAAGAATTAGCTTTTACTCCCTGGTAGAGAGAAAAAAACTATTAGATAATCAGTAATTTTGAAAAATTAATCCCTTTCATTAGTTAAATTATTCTTAATTTAAATAGAAATCATAAAGTTTTAAAAAATTTAATATACTATTTTTTCAGTAAAAATGAACCCCCTTTAAATTGGAACAGAATTTTGTTCCAATTTAATGGGGGAGTCAGGGATGGAAATCGAAATAGAAGACAGTGAACTGAATGAATCAGAAGAGGAAGGAGAGCCAGAAGAAGACTTCAAATCTCAAATCTCTTCACTCCCCCCCCTCCGTGAGTGAACAAAAAAATTTTGTTCACTCACGGAGGGGGGTTTAATTTTTTTTTTTTTAAAATAAAATTTATATATAAATTTTATAAAAAATATTTTTTTTCTAAATTTAAAAAAAATCCTAATTCGCAAAAATTGGAAGGCAAATATTAATTTAATTATAAAAATTTATGTTTTAAAGAGCAATTCGTTTAAAATTAAATAGAATTAGCTCTAGATTTCATTATACTAATTATCATTTATATATCAAAAATTATTTCCATAAAAAATTTTTCTATTAAAAAAAATTTTTGTTAACTCACGGAGGGTGGGTTTTTGGGCAAAACATAGGGATTTTTCTAATGGTTTTGTTCACTCACGGAGGGGGGGGGGGAGTCAGACGCTTCTGAAGAAAAAAAACCAAGCTCCCCTAAAAACAAAGCCCAATGAAAAAGCAGCTTCCTTTGGAGACCTTAGAAGTGTGTGAAGCAGCAATGGGACTTGTCAAAAGAGCACTGACAAGACTAACAGATACGCATGCAGAGACTATTAAATGGCTGTTTTACCCTAAAATAATTGAGTATTCTAAGCAGCTGTCTAAAGTCCTTTGTACGTTCAAAGGAATAGCTTCACCTTTAAAAGTTCCGTATACAGACCATAGAAAATTAAAATATTAACCTCAAAATACCCAGGGATCAAAAATAGATTACTCCCCCCTTTAAATTGGAACAAAATATTCTATTCCAAATTAAAGGGGGGTTAATTTTTTTTTTAAATTACACTATAAACTCCAAATTTAATAAACCATATTCCTGATCTCTATCTCATATATATATTTTTTAATAATATCTAATTCTTATTATTTTTAAGTTCTAACAAATAATGGTCATATTTAATGTCCATTTATTATAAATATCCACATCTGATATAATACAATATGTCAAGTTGTCCACACTGTGCCTCATCAGAAAACAAACTTTGCTGCCAGCCTAATTGCGATTGCGGAGAAAATTGTTCCTGTACCTCTATCGTCTGCTCAAAAACCTATGCTCCAATGGCTCGAATCCGCAAGCCAGCTCCCACCTTTTCAGGCACTGCATGGGATGGAAATAGAATGAGGCAGCTTACTTTAGATGAATACAAAGGCAAATACGTTGTCCTTTTCTTTTACCCTCTAGATTTCACTTTTGTATGCCCAACTGAAATTATCAACTTTAATGATATGGCTCCTGAATTTCGGTCAAATAACTGTGAAATAATTGCTTGTTCAGTGGATTCTGTATTTACCCATAGAGAATACACATTAAAACCTCGTGAACAAGGAGGGCTGGGGAGGCTGCAAATTCCATTATTGTCTGATCTCAGTAAAGCTGTTGGGAAAAGATATGGGGTCTATTTGGATCATTCTGAGGATGAAGGTGTACATTTGAGAGGAACTTTTATTATTGATAAAAATGGGATATTAAGACATGTGTCTATTAATGACCTTCCAGTGGGAAGAAGTGTAAGGGAAGTTTTGAGACTTGTGCAGGCTTTTCAATATACAGATGAACATGGAGAGGTATGTCCTGAGTCTTGGTCACCTGGAGCACCAACTGTTGTACCATCACATGAAAGTGAAAAAACTGAAGAATATTGGAAAACCCATCATAAATCTAAATAACTGTGTTTTTTTAATTAAGATATAGAAATTAATATTTATTACTATCATAGCAGTGCAGACACCATATCTGCTATTTTCAATTTAAATTTTTAATAAAATTAAAAATAATAAAAAATTGCCAAATTTAACCCTAATATTGCCCAAACCTCTTTTTGGCTCTAGTTATATCGATGCCTTCGACATCATCAGTAAGTTATTTTTAATCCAATATTCTTTATTACTAAATAATATCGAATTATTAGCATTTATTGATAGCCTCTTTCTTTTATTCAATCGAAGATACCAATTTAAAAAAAATTATTTTTTAAGTCAACTTAAATTTTTAATTAGATATCATTTATTTTTGTCATAAATTTAACCGAACCTTGATAGATCATAACTTGCTTTTAACGCAGGTCTAATATCAGGCGCACTATTTAATTCATCCAGTAATGTAACAAGATTACACAACTCTCTGTCTTCAGGGTCATTAAACCATGAAAGAATTGGTATTCCATTGTCAAGCTGGAACGCGAACGATAAAACTGAGTTATCAACAATGATAACATCTTTTAAGTCTCTGCCTAAAACTCTCAAATCTTTAATATAATTTCCTTTATATTCATAGCAAGACTCTCGATATAGCCTATGCTTTATCAATTTTCTCTGTGGGTCAATATTTTTTAACACTTGGTCAGCATATGCTTTCTGTGACGCTGTAAAAAGCATGGCTCTTAATTTTGCTTACTCACCTCTTTAAATTGGAACAAAAAATCCTGTTCCAATTTAAAGTGGGTTAATTATTTTTTTTAAATTTTTTTCTATAAAAAATGTTTAAAAAATATAATATGACCACAATACTTTGAATTTTAATTTGTTTTATAAAAATTAATAAAAAATCAATAGATTCAGTGTGAAAGCTGTTTAAATAAAATCCTACTTGTATTTTGTCTATTAAATTTAGGTCAAAACTAATATTATAAAAATTAGTAATTTCATCTTTTACTTTTTTTTTAAAAAAATTTAAATTTTAAGCAATACTTTGAATTTTAATTTATTTTTATGAAGAATAAATAAAAAATTAACCGATTCAGTTTGAAAACTGTTTAAATAATATTCTGCTTGCATTTTGATTATTAAATTATGTCCAAACTAATTTATAAAAATTAGTATTTTCATCATCATAATTTTCCCCATTGAGAAACAAATTTTTCAAATTTAAAGAGGCAAAGTACAAATTTTACCGATGTTTAGTTCCAATTTAAAGGGAGGGGAATTAGGGACAATTATCCTGCAGAAATTTTTTCTCGTATTGATGAATAAATTTCTCAAATAAAAGTAGACCGTTCGAGTACGCCTAGAAAGTAAAAATTTCAGACCAAAAGACCTACTGCAAAAGCAACAACTTCGAATTTTTGAGAAGCTGCTTTTAAAAATTCAAGCAAAAATGGCCTGTAGCTCACATAGACATTGCAAAGTCTTCCATGGCTCATAAAGCTGACCACTTCTTTATATGTTTGTGTAGGTGCTATATCGCTGTGAACTAAGGTTTCATCAAGATCTAGCACTAAAGTGCGTTTTGGGGTGCTTCGACGTTTTGGAGGTAGATGGGTCTGCCCTGGATCTGGCACATTTCGAGGCAGACTCATAAAAAACTCAAAAGGAGTCATTATTGGCTCCTCTGGCTCTGTTTCCACATCCATTGATTGGGAATCATCAGATTGATTTTGAATTTTTGATTCCATTAATGTTTGAGATAAATATTCTATTTTTCTAAATTAATTTAATTTTAAAGCCAAGGTATTTGGCCAATATTTTTATATAAAATATAATTTTTTTGAGGATTTTCATAAGTAAGAGGCACAATACTATGCTTTCTGTAATCAATTTGTTATTTAATCCATTTGAAATCTCTCTCGTCAAATTTATTTAAAGAGCTTGAATTGGTTCGATGGCTGTAATCATCATGTTTTTATTTGAAATTTATTTAATAAGTTGGTTTATTATGAAAATTATATAAAAAATCAAAAAAAGAAGCTGAAAACTTAGGGCTGAATATGTTTGAGGTATAAATATATTGATAAAACAATAGAATTCTATATAATATTTTTATTTCTTTTTTGATAGTTTTAAAATAAATATTATTCAAGTATTAAATAGAAAATGAAAACCCACGCTTATAGTTTTGTAACCGAATAATGAGTCGGTCTGAATCAGTGCAGAATTTTTTTTCTTACCTTTTTGACAGCAAAGCAATTATTTTAAATTTTGGTCGGGATTTTCTTTTGTCTGAAATTTTGAGTCTGAATATAAAAAAATCGGCAAACTGTTGCTAAGTATCTATTTAATTTAAAACTGCAAGCAAACAACCTATAGCCGTCTGAATTCCATATAATATAGCTGGACATTTTTTTGAGTATCTCACTTTAATTTTTAATTTATGGAAGGAAATATCAAGCTATGATGCCAAGACCACATATGGCGAGCTAATTTCGGAGAAAATTCTTTTAAAGCGTACTCAATTACCCTTCCTCAAGCCTTCCATGATTTTATGAATAGTGACAGCATTGTGATAGACGAAAATGATTCTGAAGATCCTGCTCAATTATTACTAGGTTCTGAAGGTATGAGAAAATTAATCTCTGATATAAATATCGGAATAGAATATGTAGGAGGTAAAGGAGTGGTACCAAAGTTAAATTGAAGCGCCCCGCAGTAAAGTTTATATAGAGATGCCTTATGGATGCATGAGTTAAAATGCTGCACATACAGAGATGTTCTTTTGCTAATTAAATCATCTGAGCTGATTTCAAATGACATGAGTGAGGCAGAACAATTAGGGATACCATTAGTTATGAATTTGGTCAGATATCATAATTTAGCTGATGGCATGACTTTTAGATGCTTTGTGAAAAATAGCGAAATTGTGGGAATTTCTCAAAAAACGTCAATAAATACGCCTTTTCTTGCAGAATTGAAAATTATATTGACGGAAAAAATAACTGATTTCTATAATGATGTGGTTGATCCTGTAATAAATTTTGAAGATTTTTGCTTTGATGTATATGTTGATATTCCTCCAAGGTATAAATGCTGATTATTAGGGTTTTCTTCCTGGGATGAGGACACTAGCTCATTGCTTTTTTCGTGAGAAGAATTAAATCAATTGAGTAGCTTAGAATTCAGGACCTATGACTCTGAATCGATCCAACCAAACGATTATTCAGCGAATCGAGTGCCAATAGAAATGACAGATGGGACTGATCTAGAAGAATTTTTCAAAAATTTAAGGTCTTAGTCCTCACTAATAGATTTCATGATCGATTATATAAAAATCTTTCATTACGATTGAGGCGAATTTCCCCAATGATGCCATTTGACAAAGAATGAGGGAGTAAAGTATTTTTTTAAATAAAATTTATTTTAAAATTATAAATTTTGAACATCTCATTCTATGATGCAGACCCTCTCAATTCAGATAAATTTAAAATGGAACAGCAAGGTGAAGTTGGATTGGACTACACACCATTTGAAGCGCTTGAAGAATCTAACCAAGACATTGGAGTTGTCCTTTACTTATTGCATTCTGAAAATTGGAAAGAAAATTTTATTGGTATTGATCAATTAAGAGCTATCAATAAATATAGATGGCTCGAATTTTTAGACTACTGGCCAAGGGTATCTGATCGTGTAATGGAGCTGATGGATTCAATAAGATCTTCACTCTCAAAAAACACTTTACTGCTTCTTTCCGAATGCTTTGCAGAACCGCGAGAAAACTCAGAAATGGTTGCTCAGTGTGTAGCTACTTTGCTACTGACAAAAACAGTTAATGAAAAATCGTTTATTCGTGGAGAAGCTGTAACTGCATTAACCAACATATGCGCCACAGTAACAAGTGAAGAAATAGCACGCCAGCTGCTAGAAGGATGCTTTCATAAATCCGGACAAATAGCGGATATAGCCTACCAGCATTTAGCTACGATATTGCCCCGATTATACCCTAATACAGTGCTACATATCACTCTTAGACTATTGGACTCAAAAAGACAAAAAACTCTGACAGGCTCAAAAGAGTGCTTAAAACACCTCAGTGAAAATTGGCCGGACTTCAGCCAAGCCGTTTCAGCACTGGCAGCTTCAGAACAAGAAAAAGTCAGGCAAGCGCTGCAGCAAAAAGCAAAAAGAGCTGGAGGCTTAAGAGAAATGATCCAAAAATCAAAAAAAGAAAATGTTCAACCCACCTTCATATTAGAAGAATAATTGATTTAAAATAACAATTATTAGTTACATGAGTATAATAATTTTTAAAATGAATGATCACAACCCCCAAATGTATGTTGAGATTGTGGAGCCAGACTTAGAAGACTCCATGAGGTCACTGGAAAGCTATAAATTTGAAGACCTCAGCCTCAAAGAAGGATATGAAGTGAGCAGATTTGTGGAAACACCAAGAAAAGATATTTTGTGCCCAATTTGTTTAGGTGTGGCCAGAGAGCCGCTTGAATGCATTCAGTGTGGGATTTTAATCTGTAAAAAATGCGCTAATATGATGGCTCATAGCACTAATCGGTATCTGCCTCAGCCGAGATATATGGAGAAGCCAAGATTGACCTGCCCTGTTTGCAGATCCAAAGCAGCCCCAAGGGAGCCCAGCCTATTGCTAATTAAATACATAAACAGCTTAAAAATCTACTGCAAAAACAGATCCCAAGGCTGCCCCGAAATCTGCGCCCTTGAAAATATAAAGCAGCACCAGAAAATCTGCCAATTCTCTACAATCTGCTGTGCAAACCAACAATTTTGCAATAGAAAAGGTAGTAAAAGTGACTTCATCACGGTAAACTTCCCCAAGCCTAGGATTGCTAGCTATTTCAATAACTCAAGAATTCGAAAAAAGGACAAAGTCGTGTGTAGTGAGGCATGCAAAAAATTGCTTCTTATGAAGCATGCACTTGATTCAGGACAAGTCAATGAAGCACTTAGCATGTATCATACAGCCATTAATGAATTAGTTTCTCCAAGGTCAAAGTAATGCTTTTTTAATATTTATTGGAATTTGGCTTAATTATTTTATTAGCGATCCTTGATTCATATAGATTCATAAATAAGCGATAAGCTTACATAATACTTAATTAAATTAGAAATCCACGTCAGTCCTGAATCTTCTCAAAGTGACGATACGCTTGGCTTTTGGATTTTCTTCATTAACTTTTTCTGCTTCAAGAATCTTGATCTTAGGAGCAGATAGTTCACGGCCTTGGTCAAACACGAAATTTTCGACTTTGATTTCTTCTTGCAAAGTTTTTACTCCTGTTAAGGCGGCTTCAATTTTGAGGTTCTGAGAATTTTCGATCCCTATGCCTTGCTGCTCATAGTCTTTCATGATATCAAAAAGAGGCCTTAGCATGTAAGGAAGCTCTAAAAATTTTCTCTTGATTACTTCTAAAGGCTCTGTGCTGAATGGGAGGGAATTAAAATCTTGCTCGATTTCTATAAACTTCTTATGGACACTCATCCTGATTTCCCTTCCTGGTCTTCCTTTTACAAGAGGTTTTACAGTCAAAGCTTTGGTTATATCACTTCTTATTTGATGAACTGCAAGCTGACCTTCTTTAAACCAGTCTGAATCTTTGACAGCTTCTGGGACCTTTACCCACCATCTTTCTAAGACCATTTGGTCATCTACAAGAGCTTTTAAAGACTTGCTTTCTAAATTAATCACTTTATTAGGCTCAGAAAGCGATTTTTCCAGCATTGCCAGCTTGCAGGTAATTCTCTCTTTGAGTGCGGTGTATTCTTCTTTTAATGCTTCTGAGTTGAGTGCTATTTTAATATCATTTTGCAGTTCTTCAATTTTACAAGATTTTTCCACAATTTCTTTTTGTTTTTCTGCACAGTTGGGGCATTCTCTTCAATTGATTTTTTTTGAGCGATCATTTTTTAAGGATTCCTCTAAGCATTCTTTATTACGTTTTAATTCCCCTTCAAGCTGTGCGATGTCGTCCATATATTTTGATACTACTGATGATAGTTGTTTTTGATGCTCCATTTCCATCTTGACTATTGTTTCTTGTAGCTTAACAATTTCTTCTTCTTTATTCCTAAGTTCGTCAGAAAGGTCACTTTCCTTATCGCTCCATTGGGATTGAAATTCTTTTTTTAATGCTAGTTCTGAAGACAATTTCAAATTGTTTTCGGTTATTTTTTCTAATTTCTCCATCAGAAACCATGCATAGTTGCAGTCTTTTAAACTTTTGTTTTCTTTTATCAAATTCGTGCATTTCTGCTTATAAAATTCAGCTTCCTTTTTAAGTAGCTCGAATCTTGCATCCTCCGCATAAATAAGCTCAATGTTTGAGACTTTTGACTCTTCCCTGAAAGGATCCTTCCCAAAGCCTGGCGGAGGAGAAATATATTTTCTCAAGTCTTCAGTCAGTGATTCTTTAGATATGAATAGCTTGCCACACATACGGAGTGGAGAAGTAACATTACCAGATGGTCACATAAAGGGCTCAGGGTTGGAAGTAATTGATGAACTTGGTTTGATTTCTGGTAAAAAATTCTCACCACTCATGCTTGGAGAAAAAGGATTCATGGTATCTGATAGTGAATTTGAGGACTCAAATGATGATTTGTTGTCAGAAGGTTGCGGCTCCATATTTGTAAACAGTTAATCCAGCTTAATTACTTAAGGAAAAATGAAAAATATGACCATGGACACTTTTTTTGGAAATAGGCAATATATTTTAATTTGTTATTGTAAATTTATGTTAGTTGAAAGGCAAAAATTCGCTTAATTTGGGCTTTTTTGATACTTGCCATACTCCGAATTCGTCACACGCAAACTGAGGTGGGCCAGGTGTCCATTTTTGTCCATTTCGATATCTATGATCATAAAAGCATGATCCTCCAAAAGGGCATTCTCCATCTCCAAAATTAAAATGCTGACAAGGGATAGACGATAGTTTCTTCTTATAGCTTTCAGCAAGATGTAGCTTGTCTTCATATCTCATTACTAAATCCGTACTAGGTAAAATATAAAAGCTTGGAACTCGGCAAATCGGGCATGACCTTGATACTTCTTTTGGGACATTGATTTGCCCTCTCCATGATCTAATACAGTTTAAACAAAATATATGTGCACATCCCAATAGAAGTCCAAATTGTCTGTTATTTTGTTTAACTTTTTCTAAACATATTGCACAATTTGCATCGCCTGGGATTTCTTGATCATTAGAGGGGTGCCTAAACCAGCATTTATTGCCATACATGCATCGGCCTTGAAGGAAATATGGACAAATTGCTTCTCCAGGCAGATTTTGAGAGTTTACGATATTATCTAGATCTTCTAGGGTAAAATCGCAAAAGTCTTGATCCATTTTTAATTTTCTTCGGAATTTTCTAATGCAAACCACCTTAGCATTTTCATTGAGTAAATACCCATCATATACGTCAAAATAGCTTAAGTAAATAAGAAGCCTAAAATGGCTGATAAATGAATACTTTTAAGGTAAAGTCTATTTAGCTCAGACACCAATGTGGGAAGATATATTACCAAGGAAATCTTGAGTTCAGTCAAGACGGCGATTCTCTTTTATGTTAACTTGTCTTGAATATTACTATTAAAAATTTAATATATTTATTTATTTTAATACAAGTAAAATAGTATAACTATCATTGGGAATAGAGTAAGTATCCATAATCTTGCAAACCAAACCTCAAGAACCATTCGAGCTCAAGGAAGAAGCGATATATCACTAATTGCTCTTTCCCCCGACCAGCAAGTTCTATTTCAAGTAGACGTGGATGGCTACGCTCAAATCGTTCTGCTTAAAAATGACACAATTCTCTTATATCTTAATTTCCACGCACCCGTAACACAAGTAAAATTTAGCCCAGATGGCAAATATCTGGCTGTAGCACTAGGGTCTAAACTCCGTATATTTGAGTGTGCCTTTTATAACAAAAAATATTTAGGGACTTTATTACCTCACTTAAGCTTTTCTTCATGGCACAGTGACTCTATAAACCATTTTCAATTTTGGAAAGACTACCTGATCACATCCTCTTCTGATCAATCAGTCCGATTTTGCAACTTAAATAAAGTCAAAGGGTATATCCCTATTACACTAACTGGCCACAGAAAACCAGTTTTAGGAGCTTTCCTATGTGAAGAAATTTTATACACCGTCAGCTCAGACGCCAGAGTTTTCGTGTGGACATGGCAAGAAGCCTCAGAAAAATTTTTAAAAATTCAAGAAGCCGATTACATAAGGAGAAACAAAAAAAAGCCAAAAGTCCATAGCAATTCTGAGCAGCTGGTTTTGGTACAAAAGCACCAGCTACAGCATGAAGGCGTTTTCACCCTTTCCTGTGTTGATATGATCGGCCATATGCTTGTAGTTGGCTTTAAAACAGGAAATTTTGCTTTGTATTCTGTAAACGAAAAAGAAGTCACTGTAATACACACACTTAACATGTCAGATTTTGAAATTAATGCAATAAGCATTAATAATTCTGGAGAGTGGCTTGCATTTGCATCAAAAACGCTAGGACAGCTGCTGGTATGGGAATGGAAAAGTGAAAACTGCGTCTTGCATAAAATAAAATGGTACTCGGTTTTCTCTCCCGTATGGAATTTTATTTATGGGTTGGCTTTCTCTCAAAAATTTTTAGCAACAGAGGTTTCATTTTGGGATAATAAGAGGAACTCCTTCACATTGCATCAAGAGGTTAGGGTTTTACCACTCAGCACATCCAAGGAGGCTCACCATTAGGCGACACATGTGCAGATGCTGAGTTAGTTAAGGATACTGGCATCGCCCTGATCAGCATGGGGTGATTTCTTTGGAATTGTCCGGTCTTTGAATCTAAAATGATCGTAAAGTCATAATTCTGGTTCTGCCTCATTTTTTGAGATTTTGGCGTTATATATCTTAAACACTCTAATAAAACCTACGTCTTGCGCCAAATGGGCCATTCTTCACAAATAATTACTGCCTCATTCAGCCCTGACGGCAACATTATAGCAACAGGTGGAATTGACGGCAAAGTCAAGCTTTGGGAAAAAGGCTTATGTTTTGCCACATTTTCCGAGCACACAAATGGCATCGTAGATTTAGCCTTTTCAAAAACCAATGCAGTCCTATCAGCTAGCAAAGATGGAACAGTCCGTGCTTATGATATAGCAAGATACAAGCAGTTCAGAGTAATGACGACTAACACTCCAGTAGAATTTACATGTATGGCCCTTGATAACAGTGGCGAATTTGTATGTGCCGGAGCCGTCGACTACCAAATTTACATTTGGGCTTTGCAGACTGGTATTTTATGTGACGTCCTTTCTGGTCATACCGCGCCTGTCTCTTGTGTCGCTTTTTCTGCTTTAAATTTGCTAATTACTGGGTCATGGGACAAAACAGTCACTCCCCCCCCCTCCGTGAGCGAACAAAACCCATTAGAAAAATCGCCATTTTTTGACCAAAAACCCCACCCTCCGTGAGTGAACAAAAATTTTTTTAATAGAAAAAATTTTAATGGAAAAAAATTTTGATATATAAGTGATAATTAGTATAATGAAATCTAGAGCTAATTCTGTTTAATTTTAAAACAAAATTGCGTTTTAAAACATAAATTTTGCAAATTAAATTAATATTTGCTTCCCAATTTTTGCAAATTAGGATTTTTTTAAAATTTCGAAAAAAATATTTTTTATAAAATTTATATATAAATTTTGTTTAAAAAAAAAAATTAACCCCCCTCCGTGAGCGAACAAAATTTTTTTGTTCGCTCACGGAGGGGGGGGGGGGGAGTCAGGATTTGGGACATTTTTGAAGGAAAAGGGGAATGTGAAGTAATTGACCATCATAGCGAAGTTCATGCACTTTGTATTAGAGGAGATGGAAAAGAAATAGGAATTGCAGGAAATAATGGAGAACTTTATTTTTGGAAGCTCCCAGAAGCAGAAGACCATGGATTTATTGAAGGAAAACACGATATAGCAGGCGGCCGTGGAAAATTTGATAGATTTACTGCCAAAAATAACGCGAACAATAAAAATTTCAATTCAATTTCTTACTCCCCAGACGGAAATTTACTATTAGCAGCTGGAAATTCTAAATATGGCTGCATTTATGATTTAAGGCACAAAGTCTTGCTGCACCGTTTTTCTTATACAGAAAACCGGTCTCTTTCAGGAGTTTTAGACAAGCTGAACTCTAAAGATATGACAGAAGCAGGCCCTATTAATGAATTTGAAATAGACGAGTATAATCTCCAAGACGACGTCGACGAGTTTGGTATCCCACAGCCACATCGTCCAGGCGACATAATGAGAAAAGCTAATAAAGAAGTCCGAGCCAACAAAGTCATTTATGCACAAAATGGAAAACAATTCGGAATCGTCACAACAGAAGGGCTGCTTGTTTATTCATGTGACTCAGAAGAACGGTTTTTGCCTTTAAATTTGGGTATAGAAGTTACTAGAGGGAATACAGTGAAAGCACTTGTAGAGGAAGAGTACACAAAAGCGATGATTTTGGCTCTGCAGCTTGGAGAAGATTATTTACAAAGAGATGTGATAATAAGAGTCCCAGATATAGATGTGGCAGCTGTTGTACAGCAGATTTCAGGAGCTGAGCTGCTTAGACTGATAAAACTTTTAGCAAAAGAAGCAGAGAGGTCACGGGAATTAGGGTTAATTTTGACCTGGGTGAAAGAAATTTGCAAATTCCATTCAAAAAGCTTAAAAGCGGCTAATGAAATTAGAAGTCTCCTAAGAAGCCTTGCCAAGAAGTATCAAGAACTCAGCTGGATGTGCCGAGAAAACACATATACTCTTCAATATTTAAGTAGATAATAGAAAAATGGATCCTAGAAAGATATCGGATTCCTTCAGTTCTGAAAAGATCACGACCATTAAGTCAGAGCTGAACAAAGTTCTGAAAACTATTAATGTCTTGGAAAATCAGCAGAAAATAGCAGCTGAAGAAATGGTCGAGAAAAAACTTGTGGAATTGTCACAAAGGAGTGGACAGATTTTAGATGAAAAATTCAGCGAGCTAAAAGAAGAGTTTCATGGAAAAATAATGGGAATTTTGAATGATTTTGAGGAAAAATCCAGGAAGGGAGCTAAGGAAGTCAAGCACATAATAAGAGGAGATATAAAGAATGAAGATAACCAAAAAGAACTTTTTGTGGAAAAGGTGCATGTAAAACAGTCTGCACCGATTTCAAAACTTCTGTATATACAATGTAAGGTTGAATTATTATAAAAAATATTAGAGAAACAGTAATATTAATATTTATAATTGACAAAAATAGGGCTCGTCTAAAGGAAAATAGTTGTAAAAGGCATATTATTAGCTAATAGCAAAGATTTCCAAACAATTTACAATATATTTATTGCTATTCTTCTGAACTTTGGTATTGCTGAGCTTGCCAAAGACCTTTTGGATAGCACTGATGTTTTGGGCTTAAACTTGCTTGCAGGAAATTTTGGTAACATTGAAAAAGTAATCATGATGTGGATAGCCATGTTTGTCTGGAGCTTTATACCAGTCACTCTTGTGCAGCTCGTTTCTGGAGGGTTATCCATTTATCTAGGATTTTTCCTGCATGCCCTTTCAGTTATCTCTATATTTTTATATGGCTGTCACTTCACACAAGAGTATCAGTTACCAATCGCAAGCTCTATTGTAGCCCTAAATATTCATATAAAAAATCATTTTAATTTCTTTTAATAATAATAAAACATTTCTATAAGTTTGTATAATATTATGGGAGTAAGCGAAACGGTAAGATTTATTATGAAAATGCATTCTTACTTCAGAGAAAAATTACTCCATGGAAATGGCTATAACAAATATTCACACTATTTGCCTTCTTATGCCGAAAGCATAGGATACTCTGAAAAAGACTTGGTAATTCCACAAATAAACATAAAAGATTTCGCTAAAGAGCTAAAACGATACACATTTTTCTTATTTGTGCCGACTTTGATATATAGAGACTCATACCCTAAAATAGATAAATCAATTAGATGGAAAAATCTTGGCGTTCATGTCTTTGATTTCTTTGGAAGTATTGTATATACCACATTGATTTTCAAAGCCTTCTGTGTCCCAACCTTCAAAGAAGCTGCCAACAATCTCAAAGATCCAAGCAAATTGATAATTTCCTGGATAGTGTCAATGCTACCAGGCACTTTTGTGTTCCTTTTGCTGTTCTTTGCAGTCATGCACTCATGGTTTTCAATTTGGGCTGAAATTCTAAATTTTGCGGATAGAAAATTTTATGATGACTGGTGGAATTCAAGCGATTTTGGGACTTTTTATAGAAAAGTCAGCGTAATTCTTTACGAGTGGATGCATTGTTATGTATTTATTGATTTAATGAGATTTTCTAATGAATTTATAGGCCAAAAGCTAGCTCGTTATACAGTTTACTTGTTAGGCGGAATCTGTTGTGAGCTTGTTATTGACTTATCGCTAGGGTTCTTTTCCCCATTTTTATTTATTTTGATAAGTGGCCCTGGGCTGTATATGATTTCAATGAAGGCCAAGACGTCAAGGCTATACAATGTGCTTGTGTGGGCCATGCTAATTATTGTGAATGGGCTGATAATTATGTTGTATTCTCTTGAATACTATTCAAGGCTACAAAATTCTTATATTGACCCATTTCCGAAGTATGGCTTGCTTGGCTATTTAATTCCTCAGTGGAGCCTTAAAATGAGCTTGATTTCGATTAATTAATTAGTATATTGGATTTGTTTGGCTACAATTTCTTTAATTTATTACATATTTATTCTTAACTTTTATAGTAGTGCCAAAGGATGTCCTCAATCTAACTGGAACTGTGTAGTCCATCTTTTTTGATATTTTAATAGGAATCAGCCACAAATAGACCTTGCCTAGAACAAATTTAAAGCTTTTATATCAGCTATCTGTCCTAAATATGTTATAAGCATCGTTAATCGGAGGTATTTTTCTATCTGCCATAAAAATCATTAAATTTCAAACTTCATATATAAATCTGACCAAATAGATAACAGAAATCATAAAAATAAAAACAAAGTTGAGGTTTATAAAAGGGGTTATGACGTTCATCATAATCGTATAACTAAGAATTATACACATACCTGAGCAAATTAAGCCGTTTACCAAGAATATAAAATATAGTTTGATATTGTATAAACCAACACACTTTTTTATGATATTCAGGTGGATATATCTAAATTGAACGCACTTATTGCATACAGAGCAATGGCTAGTTTTAGGGGGTTGCATAACTCGGCAATATAAGCAATTATGAATCCTAGCTTTTTCTAAGTCTGTTTTATCAATATATCTTGATGGTTTAAACTTCTTATCAGCTGGAATCATATATCTTTGGCAATCCGAAGGAATATAGCCAGGATTGCCTATAATTATCATTAGAGTTGATATCATAATTCATCCCAAATTGGCAAACAAAACAATCAAGCCTATAAATATTTCTGCACTCGGATTTTTTATTCTAAGGGCTAAAACTGTAGCACCGGTAGAACAATACATAAATAGCAGTACATCAAAGATCCTGAACGAAATTATAGTTTTTCTTCAACTTCAACAAGTCATAATATTAAATTCTCCTTATTATAAAAATATATACAATTTCCTCTAATTTAACTCCAAATTTTCATAATATATCTAAAGAAAATGAGTTTATACAGTACAAAACATTTACAAGCAAATATATTAAATTATTTTCCCTATTTAATTATAGACTCAGTTATTGTTGACTTTTGTCATTAGTAATTATCGATTTTTTAATTCTTGAAAGCCGCGTTTCGCTCAAATTCCAAGTTTTAGATTGGGCATTTGGATCAGGTTTTTCAACGCTTAAAAACTTTCTCACAAAGCCTCTACTCTTTGTAGGGGTATGCTCTCCATTTGATTCCTCACCTGAGCTCGTAAAATCTGGTACTGGGATTTTCTTAAAAGACAAGCGTTTTTGCGAAGCTGTGTTTTCTGTGGAATTTATGTACCTGTCCAGTTCTTTATCTACATATTCAGAAAATGGGCTCGTATCCCGTTCGTCTACCTCTTCATTTGGAGGAGTGAGGATTATATTCATATCACCACAGGTGTCTACATGTAGCAGTTTTGTCTCCATGCTAGGAGTTTTTGATCTTTGTATCTTTTTATGCTTATTTTGAATTGATAGCAAGATTATAACTGTAAGCTGGATTTTAAAATTTATAAAAATAAGACAAAGAATAGCCTAAAACATGTATCGCCTGAGCCTTCTTTTGGCTTAGGTTTCCCTATTTCCTGACGGGAAAGAGGGAGCTAGTGAAACCAACTAATGCTGGTTTGGCCAATTCCCAAATGGCTGAAACCCTGCATCATGTAGCTCTGTCACTTGGGAGTTGGTCAAACCAACTCCTCTTTCCCATAAGGAAAATCGGGAAACCCAGGCCAAAAGAATGCCCAGGCTATATCTGATTATCGAAAATACGAATATATTTGTTTATTAGACGCTCATTGTATCTTACTAACAGGATAAATTATTTTCTATAGAAATAAGAATTAGAAAATTATATCAAAGTTTCATAAGCATTAAATAGCATAAGTCTTTCGAGGTCTAAAAACGAATGCGGCTTATTATTAGACTTAGATTCCTCTCTCAAAGTGTTCCTCCTTTTACGCTTTGAGTGTGCTGACTTAGACCTATTATTTTTTTCAGGAGATTTATCTTGAGTTTCTAGAGGTTTGTTGTTAATTTTGATAGCAGGCTCATCACAGATTTTTCGTCTTTTGATTTTTTCTATCATATTCCATAAGACTTGTTTGGCAGATCTCTGGCGGTCTGAAGGGCTATGTGAATTGCATTTTATCGGAGGTAGGCTTTTTTTAAAAATTTCTGATGAAGGCGAGTAAGCTTTGGATAGTGACTTTGCTCTTTTCGAGTTAGATCTCGTAGAGCTAAAGCCATTCCTTTTGCTAAATACAGGGCTGTTCATTAAAAAATTATTGGAAATGATTAAAAGATTCGAAAATTTGGAAATGGATAAGAATTCAGATTACTGAATAACAATTAAGATTTTGAAATGCATATAATAATTAAATTTAATATAATTAAGCTATTAACTCCCCCCTCCGTGAGCGAATAAAAACATCTTGTTCACTCACGGAGGGGGATTAATTTTTGTTTTTTAAAAATTATATATAGAAATTTTTTTTTTCGAAATTTAAAAAAATCCTAATTCGCAAAAAATTAGGAAGCAAATATTAATTTAATTGTAAAATTTATGTTTTAAAAAACGCAATTTGGATAAAATTAACAGAATTAGCAAGAGATTTCATTCTACTAATTATCACTTATATATCAAATTTTTTTTCAATAAAAAATTGTTGTTCGCTCACAGAGGGTGGTTTTTTTGGACAAAAACTAGGGATTTTTCTAATGGTTTTATTCGCACACGGAGGGGGCAGTAAGTATATTATTAGTAAGCATATAGTTTTAATTTTTGAAAGAAGGGTTTTCAGTTGCATTTTTAATTATAAATTATAAAGCTAATCTAATTATAAAAATTTATTTAAGTTTAATAATTGTCTACATAAGAGTGCTATTCCACCTAACTTTTTTGGCTTTTTTCCCTTTTCTAAGCCCATTAAATACTTTTTGCTTTAATTTTAATCTTCTAAACATCATAGCTACTCTTAATGTCTTCCTTCTGATTTTACTGTATTTAACTAGAGATTTCCATTTTCCCAAAAATTTTTTGCTTAAGTCCCTGCCCTGAGAAATAATTTTGCTTGTTGATTTTTTTAAAATAATTTTTTTTAGGTTTACAAAAATATAGATAAAAATATTTGAAATGAAATTGTAATTTAATTCTTAAAATTAATACTTAAGGATGCAAGCTATTTAAATACAATAGATTCACTGGATTATTATCTATTATCAAAATATTTTACTGAAAAAGTATATTAAAAATATTTTTATCTTGCCATAGTACTAATTTTTTTGTTTTGCTTGCTACCCAAAGGGAAGATTAGCAATTTCTTTGATAATGCAAGAGCTTTTGAATTTGCAGACATTGAATTTATAGTACTCATACTGAGCCATTTTATAAACAAAGACCTTAAGTAAGAAGGAGTCTTTTTAAATTTCTGCTGCTGAGTATTGGAATATTGTCAAATTTGATGCTTTGGCAAAGGTTTTTGACGCGGTGCTATTTTCCAAGCAAAAAATGCTGAAAATATCGGATCTACATTTGTGCATTTTCTAAGGCCATAATACCTCAAATATTTGTCGAAAATTCCATAAAGTTTTTCTTTCTTCGTCCTCACAACATTTTTAACGAATTTTATACTATGGAGCGCTTTAGAAACAGTTTTGTAATAATAAAACTCAAGTGCTTTCTTTATATTCACTTTCTTTTCTTTTTTATTTTTAGTAAAAATTTGAATCCCTGCAAATCCTTTAGTTTTCAAAATAAAATCAGTATGCATATCTGCTAATTGATTTTTTTGAGCTTTGTAAATATTTATTTGTTTATTTAAATGCCAAGCTTGCAATGACTTTTTTATTAACGATATATGCCTGTGCTCTGATACTATCAGCCGGTGTGCTTTATTTCTCATTGAAATCATTTTCCAAGAATTCAGCATCCTGCTTGTTTTCCTATCCCAATAAAAGAAAAGTCTATTTTCAGCTCTAATTTTCCAAGACTTTATTTTGCAGTTATAATTCAGCCGAGTCAAGCACAATCTTTCTTCATCTTCTATTTTTTTCAGTCTAAATGTCCTTGCTTTTCTCATCAGTTTCAAATATCTTTCATAGTAGCCTTTCCACCTTCTGAGTCCTTTTTTAATCAATAATTTCTTGTTTGCTTCAGCTCCTAGTTTTTCTATTTTTCTGTGAGCTAAAAATTTTTTAAGCCTTCTCATACCTCTAATTAATTGAAGATCTTCTAAAAATGCATCAGCCTTTTTTTCGAGTTTTTTTTCTTCTTTTAATGACTCTTTCTTTTTGAGGATGTAAGAGATTCATGCATCTCATATTCTTCCTTTTAAGTGCTTTAATGCTTTTTGGTATTTCCGTGAGTGGTTGTTTTCTACATTTGTTTTTAAGATGTTAAATATTTTTCTGTTTAGGCGGGATTTGTTGTGAAAAATTGCGATTGCTGAAGATTTTTTGCTGTTTTTCCAGGTGAAAAAAATTTTTTGTAGCCCTGGGTCTATAGGCCTATTTGGTTGTCCGAGTCTGTTTGATTTATTTGAATTTTTGGCTTTTATATACTATTATAAGACTTTAATAATAAATAAACTTAGAACAGATCCCCAGAGTTGGACTGCCAGATAGAGCTGTAGACCCAGTCAAAATAAAAAAATTTTCATCCAGGAATACAAAATCCTTTTGCATTTTGGAATTGTCAGTTCTTTTATAATATTTTTCAATCTTTCTTCCTTTTTTCTCTTTTGCTCTTTACTGCTAGCTGCATTGATCTGCAGCCACTGCAGCGCTTTATGCATTTCTTTTTGATTATAAAAATTATCAGCCATATCCAAAGCACACCTATGCTTATTTTTTTGTAATTTTAATAAATTCGCATCAATTGTCTTCAAATGATCTATAAACTTAACCCAAGCCCCAAAAGCATTATTTATCCTTGCTTCTCCAGTGTTCTTCAATTTATAATACAAATTAATCTGAATCCTGCTCCGATTTTTTTTAATTTCTTCTGTATTTTCTTTAAGAGAGAAAAAATATTTTCTCTTTAAATGAGCGTTTGAAAAAGTTGTGGCTATTTCTTCATTGATGATCTCTTTTTTAGAAATTTTTACAGCTTCTCTAAGCCATTTAAAAGTCCAATTTAAAATTCTATCATGCCAGAATATCAGCGCTAAATCATTTTGCTGGTTTTCCATATTGATCAGCTTGGTCACTATTGCCAAATAATGGAAAAATCTAACTTTAATTCTTTTATTGATTTTTCTATTCATTTTTTCAATTTTTTCTTTATTTAAAATCATTTTTTTCGCCACAAAATTTCAAGAACTCAGGCATTTTTTCATAAAATTTCTTTGTGATTTCAGCCTATGGCAATATCTTTCAGCCGTTTTTCTGGTCCCTTCTTTTAATTTCCTTATAGCAGTCTTCAAAAGTGTCTGCGCATAACACCCTAACGCCAGCTTATTTTTATTTTTCTTTCTTATCTGTTTTTTTGATATCTCAGATATCGCTTTAAATGCAAGCCTACACCTTCTAATAAAAATATTTCTTTCTGCAATATCCAGCTTCAGCTTCCTGATTTTTTTCTTCATTACATAATTTTTCCACGCTTTAAACAGTTTTCACGCATATTCAAAATTGTCCATAGACTCCAGCTCTTCTTGGATTTTTTCGCTTCTTTTTGATAAAATTTGTGAAGTTCGGTCTGTATCCAAAGCTCCCATAGTCATAGTTGACAGTGGGGATCCTGGAGAGCTTGTACTTGGGATATATAAGTTTACTTTAGATGATTTGACACTAGTGGGAGTTTCTAAGCTTGCATAATTTTCAGGAGAAAAATCTTTTGATTGGATTCTTTCCATTAGTGAATTAATTCTTTGAGATAAAGCTTCAGATTTTACTGTCACATCTATCGCATGATATTTCATTGGTGGGGTTTCAGACTTAAGTGGTTTGTCAATAGTTCTGTAAATGCTTCTTGGAGTTGACAAATTTTCGAGATCTGAGTCAATTTCTTTAGGCTTTTCTACTTTTTTAAGCCCGTTAAAGCTCCAATGCAGGATTCTTCTATATGGATCTTTTAAAGCCGATTTTAATACAGAAAGCATATAATTGGAAATTTTCCGAGGCTTTTCTTCTTTTATATCACTATCTCTTCCAAAATCAGGCTCTTTGTCGAGAAAAGCGTCAAAATTGTCGTTTAGCTTTGCGTTTTGAGCATCGTCGCCCATAAAACTAAATTCTTTGCTCTCTTCTAAAATTATCTGTAAAGGCTTCATGTGTTCTAGTCCCCAAGCTAAGCTTTCTTTGACTTTTTTAGTAAGAACCCAGCCAAGCTTATAAAACCCAATTAATTTATTTCGATTGTCCCTCAGTGCTTTGAATCCTCATGTTTTAAGCGCGGTTTGATAAAACTGATTTGCAATGTTTTTGAGATTTTTTTTATTTTGAGAAAAGCCACAAGCTATCTTGAAGCTGAATATTAGTTACCTGCTGAACACAGAACTGAGAAGATGATGGTGATAAAAATCGATGCCTTTTTTGAGATATGAGTCTTCTAAGGATGAGTCGCTCTCCATAATGTATTTTAAATGGAAATTAGGCTAAATTATTTAAATTATCTTATAAACATTGGTTTATATTGGAAATATCATGATTTATGATCCTGCTAACTCCCCCATCTTTTGATCGAACGGCTCGCCATCGTTCGATCAAGGATGGGGGCTAAAAAAAATTTTTTTTGGGAAAAAAATTTTATATATAAAATAAAAAATATATATATATTTGTTTTATTTACTTTTAAATAAGAGGGTAGAGTATTTAATAATTATTTTTACAGCAAAAAATTGAATTAATTTCATAAAACCATCAAATTTTAATATTTTGATTTATTGATTACCCCTTTAAACTGTATAAATTTGAATCAAAAAATAATGTTTTTTAAATTTTAAAGAATCTCTATTTTTTAGATTATTGAGTTTTTAAGCATAGGTTGATGACTAAATCACTTCGGATGGTCGATTTCGTAGCTTTTTGCCATCTCAAAGTCTCTGAAAGCAACTTCATTAGGTACATCTTCCCAAGCTTTGATAACTAATATATTTTTATATATATATATAAATTTGCATGATATGAAAATCGTTAGATCAAGGATGGGGGTTAATTTCCCTAATTTTTAGGAATTTTTTACAGTCAATCGTTCGATCAAGGATGGGGGGAGTAAGAAATTATGCTAAATATTCAGAGTTTATAGTTCATAATATATATAATTTACACAGGCTAAAAATCAATAATAAACTTAAATAAAAAAATTAATAAAAATTTGCCAGTCATTGCTATGATTTTAAACTTCAAGAATGCATGCTATCTCAATTTTCAATTAAAGCAGCAAGATTAAAAATATTTTCATCTCCATTTTATGTCAAAAAAATACACCGTTATGGTGATTTCTGAAAAACACCTTTAATCATAATTCTACAGAACTCATTAATCTTAGCTGATATAATCATTAATTTTTTGTCATTTCAGCCGTCATATCTCGCTGAATCTCTCCAGAAAAACTTCCATAAAAAATAATAAATTAGCAGGAGAAAGTTTATAAATTATTAGCTCAATTATTTTCCAACCAAACTTTTTTGGACGGCCATTGTTGCTACAGAAAGCTTATACGACCTCAAAACTTTCAAAAAATCAGCCTCTAGAGCAGTAGGAGATAAGCTCTCCAGACATACAAGGTCAGGCTCTGCCTCATATTTCTTTCTAGTTCTTGATTTTTGAAATTGATCCCACCCCCACTTGTAGATTTGTCCTTCATTCAGCCCAGTAGTTAAGGCTATTTCTTCGATTTTATTCTTATCCCACATTCGTCCAGGTATGAACTCTTTCTTTAAAACATCCAATTGATTCCCGTTTTTCCGTTGTCGTTTTTTAAGCGGATATGTATGGGTCTCTGAGGGGCTGCTGATAGTGGAGAAATCATTAGGTACAGGGCTATTAGGCTGATAGAACTGTTTTTCTCTATGTAGAGGTGGAAAAGGTGAGGTTGTGAAAGGCTTTTCCGTCGCAATGCTAAAAGGCACGACGGCAAATTCTTGATTCGTGGTCTCCAATAAAGTGCGTCGTTGATCACGTAATGTGCAATCCATTAGATTATCCGCGTTTTCAGCTCGCTATTTATAGCAGTTTAGCCCAAAATATGGGCCAAAATAGAATAGGTTGTAATCCAGGGATTCGGGATTTTTTATTATAAAAATGATGCCATTTCGATATTAATAAGAGAGATTGATATTTAGGAGGCTTTAGAGCTTGGATAAAATAGATGGGAAAATATTTATCTCGATTCTTGTGTATAAATAAATGTAAGCGAAAATCTTTCATTGATAATTTCTTTCAAAAATAATTCATTTCCCCAATTTTTAATCAAAGTTTTAATTTTGATATAAATTCAACAAATTTGAGAATTTTTAGAACTCCCTGTTAATTATTAAATATTTGATTATTAAAATACTTACTCCCCCCCCCCTCCGTGAGCGAACAAAAAAATTTTGTTTCGCTCACGGAGGGGGGTTAATTTTTTTTTTTAAAAAAAAATATATATATAAATTTTATAAAAAAAATATTTTTTTCGAAATTTAAAAAAATCCTAATTTGCAAAAATTGGGAAGCAAATATTAATTTAATTTGCAAAATTTATGTTTTAAAACGCAATTTGTTTAAAATTAAACAGAATTAGCTCTAGATTTCATTATACTAATTATCACTTATATATCAAAATTTTTTTTTCCATTAAAATTTTTTCTATTAAAAAAATTTTTGTTCACTCACGGAGGGTGGGTTTTTGGTCAAAAAATGGCGATTTTTCTAATGGTTTTGTTCGCTCACGGAGGGGGGGGGGGGAGTTAAGGCTATTCTATGAAATCATAAAATTGATTAGGAATTAATAAGCTTATATGATTTAAAAAGTTTTTTAGAATTTTTATGACATTTTCATGTATATTTTATGAATATTATTTAGCTCCTCCTTCGTGAAGGGGTGCTTTGATTTTTAATTAAGAATTTAAAAAAATTGGAATTGTTTTTTTAGAATCTTGTTTAAAATTCAGTAGAATTACTAAAAATTTGTGATGATACCACCATTATAAAAATTTTTTGCTAGCTCACAAAAGGTGGATTTTCCAATAGTTTTACCAGGGAAGTAAGGAGAATATTTGGATTTCATCTTTAACATTTTTTTGCTGGTTTGCAGCGTCTAATATCTATATGATATTATATTTCTATAAAGAAATTAATAAAATGAATTACTCATAAATATGATAGATTCCTCTCCAGTTTTCATTTTAAATTATTAATCTGTTGCGTTTTTGCAAAACACTAATTTAAGAAAAATTTCAATTATTTCTAATGAAAAAATATTATACACTCACTGAAGCAGCGGAAAGCGAGTTTGATGCTTCAGTCCATTCCTGGGATCCAATAAGATCATTGTTTGTATCATTTTCCTTCATAAAATCTCTGAGTCCTTGAATGGCTTCATTCAGTTTTCTTCTTGTATATGGTATCATAGCAATGGTTTCTTGCAATACTTCTTCTTGTCTTTTGATTTCAGACTCGCTTGCTCCATTGTCTCTCAGTTTCTGAACTCTATCTCTGTCTTTATCAACTTCTCTTTGATACGATTCGTGCTCTCTGTTCATCCTTTTCACGACTCCAGATTTGATTCTCAGCTTTTTCTTCAGATCAGAATTCATATTATACAAATTATATTTTCATATTTAAATATCAGAACCAATTAGACAAATATGTGTATTCAACAATTAAAATTTTATCATGTAGGATACTGAAATAAATCGACTTCTTTAGTCTCCCTTTAGTTAATGAACAAAAATTTTTGGATTTTTTTCGTTGGAAATTCTACATAGGAATTCTTTTATCCATATTTAAATATTTTAATAAAATATAGATTTTATGTTTTAGAATGTAAGATATTTCTAAAATTCAATATAATTGACTTGAAATTTTATTATTATATAAAAATATTTTTTCAAAAAAAAATTACATTAAAAAATGCTTTTCTCGCTTCTAAATAGGTTATTTATCCTAAAAATAACAGCTCGTCCGCTCCTAAAGGGAGTAAGGGATTTTAGTTTTGCAAAATTTCCAAAAATATTTTTTAAATCCTGATAAATAATTTTTTTGCAAAATTTAATGTTAAACTTATCTGATTCTTTAGAATTTCATCCTCCTGCTACAAATTCTATACCAAAGCATATTGACGACTATTATTATGATTTTCCATTACAGTTTACCCCACAGTCATCAATAATCATCACTCCTCCAATTTCAAGCCCAAGAGACGAGAAAACAAATGAGGAATTTTCATCACAAAAACCGTCAATAGAAGGATCTCCAGTATATTTAGGCGATTCAAGAAGATCAAATAAAGTCTCAGCTATGAGAATCGAAGACAAGCTAATGCAGAAACAAGTTTTGGCACAGAAACGGATTGAAGATTTAAGAACGAAAAGAGAAAAAGAAGAAATGGGCAAAATGAGGAACAAACCAAAAATTTCGAAAAAATCCCAAGAATTAGCCAAAAAAGCTGAACAAAAATTATTTGGGGATTTATTTGTAAATATTTCGAAGTCTATTATATCAGATATAAAGAGTGAGGTAATTGAACAGAGATCGCCTTTTAGATCTTCACAAGAGTGCTCTCCGATCTATATTTCCCCAACAGAAGCAAGCCCTGAATCAAATAACATGAGTAGCCCAACATTCAAAACGACCCCTTTTAACGAATCAATTGAAAAACAGTTTACAAGCCATCAGATTGCAAAAACACCTGAGCCTAAGCCTAAGAAAACTATAAAAAAGATTCCAAAAACGCCTTCAACATCCACCCGATCTGCTTCAGTGCATTCAAGAAAAGAAAAATCTCAATCAAAAAGTTTGCTTAATTTATCAGTTTTAGAATATACATAAAATGGCCGGAGACGAGCGACCCGTCCTTCCGTGGCGGGTGTCCTTATGTATACCGGACGTGGTTTTTGGATGCGGAGAGCTACTCAAGGGAAGAGTTAGCCTCGAGGCGAGAGGCCCAGCCCAATTTCCGCTGATTTTGGGACTTGACCCGGGCAGCAGTTTTTCGCATTCTTTTTGCCAGTAGCGCCGAGGCCCAGACTCGGTGTCCGAAAGAGGCAGGGTGAACTACCTGCCTAGGCTACTTGGTGGCTTAGCCCCGAATCCCGCAAGGGGTTGAGTTCTTTCTTGGAGATCGGGAAAGAGGGGAGGCGAAGCTCGACACATATCTCAAGGGCACAAGTCTCTCCAGTCGAAAAGGGTCCCGATCAAAAGGGGCGATCTGGCCAGAGGCGAGCAGGGTTGGGTAGACATGGCCTCGAGTTGGAAATTGGTGGTTCCCGGCAAAATCCGTATGACCCGGATCAGGAGGGAATTTGCCACTACCGAGAAACCGGGGTTTCGGCCCGGGCTCGAGTGCCTTTAGGGTGCCCACCCCGCAGCGGGTCCGCTGCGGAACGCGAAGAATTTGGAAGTAGGGACTATAAACACACAGCTTTAATCTAATCTAATCTAATCTTATCAGTTTTGGAAAGAAGTAACAGCTGAGCAAAAGAAAAACATCAAAAAGTTAATAAAATGATAAAAGCGAAAGAGGAAAAAGGAGTTGAGGAATGCACGTTTTCGCCTGTTATTTATTCTCGCGTGCCTCATCATCTTCATAATTTGAAAGCTAAAGAGCTTCATAATATGAGCAAATCTAAAGGATCGCTTATGAGTGGCTCAATATCAAATAGTAATTCTATTATACATCTCACACCTAATGTTTCACTTTATCATCAAGAAAATTCTTTGCAGCAGCTTAAATCTTTGCCGATACAGTATACTTCACTTACTCCTTGCCAGTTTAGAGTTTCGTTTAAATCTGGCTGTGATATAGCAAGCTTTATGACAAGGGCTAACCGATGGGGCTAGTTATCATATAATACATAAATTAAACTTTTCCTTAATAATGATTTTTTGAAAATATTTCCTTTATGATTACCCAATAAATATAATTTTTATTGTAAAAAATATTTAGAAAGCTATTCTTATTTCTTTATGTATTCAAAATTTATTACACCTACATCATAAAGTTTAAAATAAATAATCCCCTGCATAATTTAAAAATCAAAAATATTATTAATATTAAAATTCCATTGATTAATGATATTTCTAAAGCAATTACATAATCTTATATTCAATATTTTATCCCAAGACGCCTTTTCATACTTTCTTAGCCCATTAATTTGCCTTATCAGGGGACTATCTCTGAAAATTTAAAAATTTATCTCTTTTCATATTGGCTTCATTTCTGATCTTTATCATATTTCACCATTTAAATCCTTATCACCAAAAACTATATGAAGACCTATCTACCAACGAGCCAAACCAGCAGCAAAAAAATTCACAAAATCCAGCCTCGCTCCAAGCTGAAGACCCGTACCTTTCGATATGACCGACGATTTCCGCCTAAGGCGCCTCACAACACAACTCAATATTTAATTGAAAAATCACCTCAAATCCTATGGGACCCTGACGAAATTATTGGTACAATGATTTACTCTAATAAGCTGCTTTTAAATAAAATTTTTACATAACTTTAAGATAAAAATGTGGGGACACGTGTTTTTTGCCTTGCTAAGTTTAACATACGGAGAGCTAATTCATGACGAAAATCTGTATTTTCTTGATGATCTGAACTGGATGGAAGCTGTAAAAGAGCCGAAAGACATGTTTGTGATGTTTTATGAGCCTAAGTGTGGGCACTATAAGCGACTTTTGCCAGAAATGAAAAAAGTCGCGGCATCATTTAAAGATCAATCAGATATTTTGCTAGGCCAGTATGATATGGGACATAATAAGCATATAGGTGTTGCATATGATATCAAGGCTGGCCCTTCATTCCACTACTTTTCAGGGAAGGTCCATTATGAATACACTGGCCCTCAGACAGCAAGTGATATTACCCAATGGGTGAAACTAAGATTATCCCCAAAGGTAAAACTTTTGAGGTCTTACCCTGACGTCCAACAATTTATAAGCGAAAATCCTACTGTTTTTGTACTTTTTGCTGACGAGGATTCTGAAGCTTCAAATGAGCTTGCAAAAGCTATTAAATTTGAACAAAACGCCTTAATAGGGATTTCTATACACCCAGTCGCTCTTTCTGTTTATAAATACGCTAATCCTTCCTTTGTGGTTTTTAAAAAAAATGACTATAAAACTAAGGTATTTGAAGGAGAGCTTAAAGCTGATAAGCTAAAAGCTTTTATTGACGAAGAAAAATACGGATGGGTTTTGCCATTTGGGGATGCAGCTTATGAGTACTTTTTTGATAACAATAAGCCTGGATTATTTGTATTCAGAAATTCCTCACAAAGTGAACTGGATGAGATTGTTGATGAACTAGCCTTGACACATCATGGAAAAATAAAATTTTCTATTGGAGATTTGCATCAGCATCTGACCTTTGCTGAACTTCTTGGAGTAAATCCAGATAAACAGCCTTTTGCGATGATAATAAAACCAATTAATGGAGTTCTTCGTAAATACCCAGCAGATAAAGCGGCTAAAGAAGAGTTAGGGTATCTTATTAAAGAATGGGAAGATGGGACAGCAAAACAGTTCTATAAGTCTCAGTTAGCCCCTGACGATGATTCGTTATTAACAACGTCAAACTTTAAGAAACTTGTACCTTCAGCTGAAAAAGATGTGTTAGTCCACTTTTATGCTCCATGGTGCATGCATTGTAGAGTGCTTGAAAAACAGTTGGATGAAGTTTTAGAAACAATTGGTAATGACACTCTATCTATTTATGCAATTGACGCAATGGCAAATGATATCCCTGGACATGATATTTTTTCATTCCCTACTCTAAAGCTATTCAAGGCTGGTGAGAGCTCAGGAATTGAATATACAAATAAAGAAAAAAAGGCTGAAGATATCATTGAGTTCATAAAGAAAAACAGAGTAGTCTCTTCAGAATATAAGCCAAGACCAAGAGACCAGGCTTCTAAAAAGGAAAGCGAAAATCAGAAAAAAGAAGATCTTTAACTAATATCAATTCATTAAACAAAATTAAAAATTCTCATAAAAACCTTAATCATCATATAATAAAAAAAAACAAAATTCTATTTATTTATAGAAATTAAAATAATTCAACCATTTTAAATGGTATATATAATTTAATTTACAAAATGAGTGGGAAAATCCCTGATCTTAGAAAACTTCGAAATATAATTAAAGAATCCGAAGAAAGAATAAAAATCGCAGACTCACCTATAAAATCAGCTCAAATAACCCCTAAAAAAGAAAACAACCTCTCCCGAGTTGACGAGGAGCTCAATAATGCTCTTGGAATGAAAACTAAAGAAAGCAATTATGATAAACAATTTCTCAAAACAATTAAGCAAGAAATGGAAGAACTTGATAAAGAGCTTGGGAAACATTTCGATAATCAAGAAGAAATTGAGGACGAAGAAGACGATCTCTGCATTTCCAGCGAATCTGAAAAAGAAAAATTTATTTCAAGCTCTCCTTTCCAGCTGACCTTACAAAGTCATTATTCAGAAAACTCTCAAAATATTGAAACTTTGAAAGAAACCACCCCAAGTATCAAAAAAAGCGAAAATTCTAATAGCTCAAACGAACAAAAAAACCCTCATTCAAATCTCAAAATGAGGCTACAAGGAGCTTTAGCTACTATCAAATCACTAGAAAAAGCTTTAAAAGATAAAGAAGCTATAATAAAAGATCTCGAGCAGGAAATAATAAAGAAAAACAAAACTATTGAGTCATGCCAGTCATTAGTCAACGTAAATTCCAATATTAATAGAGGGGAAGGTTCCTTTAAAAATCAGCTACGAAAAAAAGATAAAGAAATCGAACAGTAAGAAAGAGTTAGGAAGATCAAAGAATATGAAGAAAAAATCCAAGAAAATAAAAAAACTATGCTGAGGATGCAAGATTTAAATAACCATTTGATGGCAAAACTTAAAGATTTAGACAAGAAAAAAGAAGAGAAAACTGAGAAAAAAGCAAAAAAGAAAAAAGAAAAAAATAATGATAAAAATTATTTTGAAGAAAATGAGTATTTGAAAAAGAGGCTAGAAGATCTGATAGAAAAATATAGAAATTTACAAGTGAAATATGATTCGCTAGCAGAAAGCTCAGCAGTATTTGAAGAAAAAACTAGGGATTTATATGAGGCAAATCAAAAGTTGCAGGAAAATTTAATAAAGATAATGTCAAGCATTTAGTAATGCTTTTTTGAGTATTTATTTAAATAAAATATTTGTTAAAATATGAGGCCAGCTCAAGAAGAATCTAAAAAGAAAAAAGCTAACTCTTTTAGCTCTAAGCCTAGTGACAGACTTCAAGTTAAAGCAGCTGATCCTTTCAAGCCTAAAAATAAGAGTAAAACGTAAATATTATACAGAAATCTTGGATATGTATACTCTGCAGGTGGGATTCCATGCAGAATCAATCATGGATCTGTTTCTATGAGTTTGTTATGGTCAACTCCGCCTTCTCAGCTAAGCTATGACCCTCTTTTGGTTACTCTTTTTGAAGGGCTCATAGAAACTGAGCATCCTTATATGTTTGTATCTCGTCAAGGGACTAAAGAACTGTTGACAGCTGAGGGCGCTGTAGAAAAAACAATACCTCTAATTCCGAGATTAGTAATGCCTTTACGACAAGCTTTGACAAATAGTGATAAAGGCGCCGTCAGTTCAGCTTTAGATACATTAAAGTAAGTTCAATATAGGCTGCTTTCAGAACTGGTGGGTCCTTATTTGAATAATCATGTTCATCTGTTTCTTCAGCAGCTAGGAAAGAAAATGAATGAGAGAAATTATAGGGATAAAGTTTTATATGATGTTGGATTAATTTAGCGTTAAAATATGGTATATTTAAATTATAAAAAAGTAATGATTTTTTAATAAAATTTATTTTTGATGTCTAATTTGTATAGAAATGCTATAGAAGTATTAATGACGCTAGAAGAGCAAGGAGGAGAAGAAATTGTTCCTATTATCAAGTCAAAAATCCCGACCTATCATACTTAATAGTGGTTTGTGTAATTTAAACATAAAATATTCCATAAATAAATTTAGAATTAGCTATAAATCTTTACTTTGGTCTGAAGCTTAAAATGGATAACCAAAATGTGTATCCTACGTATCCTAAAGCATAAAATATGCACTCCTTATACAGAGCTTTAACTAGTAAATTTTAAAGCATATTATCGAGGAGCTGCTATCCATATCCTAAAATGCTATTCTTTATTTTATTTTAATTATTAAGCAATATAGATTATTTTTATTATTTAAAGGCTAAAAATAGTTATTTTGATGTAACATATATATATGCTACTAAATGATTTAATTCTGTGATTAGCTTGCCTTATTGGAGATTCTATGTAGGATATTTCTAACTCCCACCACGATTGAAACAATTTTTTTAGCTCACTGAGCATAATTTGTTTTTAAAACAAATCATAAAAAATTTTGTTTGTTGAAACTCCACTCCATAAAAATTGAAAAGAAAAAATTAATTTAATTTGTAAAATTTATTTTAAAATTAACCAGAATTAATTAGAGATTTCGTAATAATAATAATTTTCACTTAGATATCAAAAGCTTTTTCATAAAAATTTGTATGCTCACGTAGGGTGGTTTTTATAGGGATTTCTCTATCGGTTTTATTTGGGAGTAATTAAAATTTCAAATGATTTTTCTATATTTCAGTTTGTCTTTGCTGATACCTCAATATAAAACATTTCCAAGCTATCTGCACGCTTTTTGGCTTCTTCAAATGTGAAAAATCTCTGATTTTCAAGATCTGCTTTATTTCCAATTAATATGATTTCTGGGGTTTTACCTGAAAAGTAATTATCAAGTTCTTTTTTTCAATATAATGCGCTATGAAATGAATCAGGGTTTGTTAAATCTATTATAATTGCAAAACCGTGCGCTGATTTAAAATAATTCCTGTATATAGTACTTGTGTCTCATATCTGAAGCTTCATCAATTTTTCTTGTAGTACTTTGTCTTTTATTTTCTTCATGAAACTTACAAAATCATAATTATATGTTAGCTCTTTTTCTTCAAAAACTCCATCTGTATATCTGAGTAAAATATTAGATTTTCCAGAACTTTGGCATCCTAGCAGTATAATTTTTAAGAAAAAAGCACTAAGTACAGTATACTAATCTCCTATATCCATGACTTCACAAATAAATATTATTATTTTTAAAAATTCTCATTATCCTTAAGCATGGAAGATCAGATCCTATAGATTAAACTTAAATTTTTTTAGCTTAATAAAATCTTAAATAAATAAAATAAGCTTAAATTTTATAATTAAATTAATAATTGAGAGTTTTGATTCTTAGCTTGAAAATGATAAGTCATTACGAAACCTAGCTATTTGTTACTTGGTTAACTTTTAAATAATTCTCATGAAAATTTGTCTTTATTAATAGTATTATATAGGCATTATTGATGATAAATGAAAAATTTTTTGAAAAAGCTAAATAATGAGATAACTCCTATCAAATTGTTATTTTGAGCAACTAGTGTGTAGACGGAAAGCATTAACGTGCTGAAGCAAATTTTAATGACAGAAAAGCATTATCTGCTTTAGAGCCAAGTCATAATAGCTTCTGATTTAAAAATAAAGATTATTTTCTGCTGCCTCTCACTTGCATAGCAGCAAATTAATTATGATGAGCAAAAAATCTTAATCCTACAATTAATTAAACTTTGACTAATTTATTTATTCATAATTATTATTCAAGACTTGATTTCGAAGTATGAATTAACTTATTTCCTTTATGAATACAAATTTCTCCACGCTTGTCATTCATTTTTGGCATGTCAATATTTTGGATTCCAAAATTGGATTAAATTCATTTCCATGAATTCACAATCAAACGAGATGAAATAAATGTTAATTCCAATAAAAATAATATAGCCTGAGCTTACTAAATTATCCAATTTATCATAAAAAATAGTTCCAAAAATATTTCTGAGCTAATTATCTAAAACTAGAAGTAATTATCTGAAATTATTAAAGCTTATATAAGGGTTTCTCCTAGATATTAAATTAAAATAAACTATTTTAAGGACTTAATTTTTATACTGCATGAAGTCCAATGAAAAAATTATAATCATCATGAAAATCAACAAAGTGGGCAAGCTATAAATTTTTGATTGCAAATTTTCCAAACTTTTGACTTTTTGACAACACTCTTATTTTATTTTACAAATTTTTATCATTTTTCGAATTTTTTATAATATATAGATAAATTTTGATAGATTTTCTGCATGTTTGTCAACATTTTACAATTATTTATTTTATTGGCTTTTTTTCGACATCGATTTTGGTCTCCAAAAAATTAAAAATAATAATCAAAATATGGAAACTTTGGAAAAGCGCCTTTATGATGCCTTTAAGTATTTTCAAGGCTATGACCGCTCAAGCTCAGCAGAATATTGCCTGTCTGCTTACGGGATTGAAGAAGTGCTTAAATCAATTTACCACGACAGAATCTATATTGCAGGAGTAGATGCTCCTTTAAATCACTCTCCCGCCTCTTCCAATGAAATAAATGGTGTGTTAGTTTGTATGGCGAAAATCGAAGACATAGTCAGGGTTAATCGTCAAGAGCTAGAGAAGCCTATTGTTTCTTTTTGGCAAATCAATATAAGTGACGAAAATGCATCTCAGAGAGGTCATCAAGCTCAAGAAAATTATATATGGCAATTAATGGTAATTATTCCCAAAAACTATACAAATTTTGATGGAGAGTCTTTTTCTAATGCCTCTGAATTAGTTTATATGGTCGATTCATCTGGGAATAATTATAAAATGCCAGCTTTGTTAAAATTTCTGTTGAAAACAAAAATTTCATATACAGAGTCTAATGGGAGATCAAATACTTTTGGAGGATTTTTCCCATCAGCTATAATATTTGATACACTAAACATTAAGCAGCACAAGAATCCCTCCCAAAGCTGACTATGGCTGATATTCAATACAGTAATGCTGATTTCCTCAGGAAATTGTAGCTATTTAAATGAATTTTCAAATCTTGACGTGCACTGAACTAATAAAATATTAGCTATTCTCGAAGATTTAAGCATCGATTTTGCTAAGTGGGTAGAAAATTCAAAATTTATTATTAGTTCTGAAAGGATAAACATGATACAAAACGCAATTTTTACCGAGATTCATTCAAAGGTGTCATCATGGATAATTTTAGAAGATCAAGCAAGCTTTTTAGCAAACAATTTGAGCATAAGTCAATTGTGTATATTATTAGAGTTACAAAACAATAGCAAAGAGGATGATGCTATCCAATTTATCGACTCATTAAGGAAAAGCCAAGAATTAGATTCAGATCTATTGAAAACTCCAATTCCCACAAGTATAAATGAAGTTGAATCGCCTCCGACGCCCCATTGAATAATTAAGGTAAAACCAAATTGTTCATTTAATCCTTCAAGTGCAAATTTTAAACATATAGTCGACAACGGCAATATTTATGTGGACAAAACTATTTTTATAAAGACAATTTTAGAAGACTCTAGCTCTGTAACCGCTATTATTCGGCCAAGATGTTGGGGCAAATCACTGAACATGAGCATGCTCCAAGCATTTCTAAATCCTCAGAGAGGCAAGTCTGAAGAATTCTCAAACTTATACTTATTTACAGGGGAAAGAAATAATACTAATTTGGGCAACTTAGATAATGAAAAGTGCAAAAAAATTATGAAAATAGATGATGGTAAATATAGAAATTTTGCAGGAACAATTCCTACTATTTTATTTCCATTTCCCGAGATTAATCCTTCAAATACTGAAATGCATGAAGAAATCAAGACTGCAATAGGAAAAACATTACAGCAGCATGTTTCCTCATATCGACAATATTTAGAAGGAAAAATAATTCATTCTTCAATCAGTAATCTGACACTTCAAGATTTGGAAAAAATTATTGATCAGGCAAAATTAGATTTACCTATGGAAATGAAGTTATTTAGACTTTATCTATCAGATAGATCTGAAATAAATATATATACAGCATTGAATGATCTAGCTACCATGCTGTATATGATTCATGAAAAGCAGGTTATTGTAATTATAGATGACTACGATAGTAATTATAAACGGGCAGAGGTAAATACAGAGCAAAGACAAGAAGCTACATTGATTTTAAGATATATGCTTAATCCACTAGTTTGTACAATCAATGCATATATTAGGAAAATAATTGTAGCTGGAGTTTATTATGATCCGCTACTTGATATATTTTCTGATCAATGTTTTACTCCTTTTACGGTTTTAGATGATTTTTACTCTGAATTTTTTGGTTTTACTGAATCCGAAGTTGATGAATTACTTGAGCATTATTTGGCACAAGACTCGCATACAAATATAGTTGAGCAGAAAAAATTGATAAAGCAATGATATGATGGTTATAGAGTTGGAAGACAAAAAATTTACAACCCATTTTCAATAATAAGTTGCTTATCAAGTGCTTCGAAGCATAATGCAACACCTCTTAAAACATATTGGCATAATAAAAAAGACCAAAAGCTTTTCACTTCAGTATTCAATACTATTGACTCTCATAATAAAATATTTGAAATAATGAAATCTGGGTATCTTGTTTTAGACAAGCCATTAAGTCAAGACACAACAATTGAAGATAATGTTTGTGTGCTATTACTTCATGCTGGATACTTGACACCCTATGAAAATAAGCCAAAAAACTCAATCTATGTAGTCCCTAATAAAGAAATAAGAAGATATTTTTATGAAAAATTATTTGTTTCATGGATCAATAAAGAAGGGAACAATTATAATACTAATCCTTTTATGTGAATGAATAATTATATTGGCTGCTTAGAAGATAAAGAACAGCTTCAAAATCTTATTCAAACCGATCTACTAGACAAGATAAAAGACCGTAGCAGTAAAAATGAGGCTTTTTTCCAAACTTATACAGGAGGAATAGCTCTTATAGCATTAGAGCAAGCACCAAAGCCTAAATATAAATTGTATATAGAGGCAACTAATAAGTTTAACAAAAAAACTGATGGAATTTTTATTCCAAATCAAGGAGAATCCTCTACCATCATTATTCATGAACTTAAAAAATTAGAATCAGCTTACGATGATAAAGTTCAGGAAAGAGCTGATGATGCTCTTTGACAGATCTACTCCAAGAAATATATGGATATTGCCTTACGAGAGAAATATAGTCATTTCCGTAGAGTGATTATTCGAGGTATTGTGTTTTACAGAAACCCTCCTGAGGGAAATTGGAAAGTATTCATTAAGGAAAATAAATTTAATTTTCACGATGCTAAAGAGATTGATAAACACTTTAGCACGACAAATGGAAAAATACTGGTCCTATCTTCAGTACTGTGTAGAGATAAAGGCAGTGCAGAATCCACAGAAAAGGCAAGGGATATACTTGGCGGGAGAAATATTAGTGAATTAATCGAAAAAATTATAAGGAAAGACTCAAGTTTAGCTGATATGGACAGAACATATCAAGCAGACACATTAAAAAGAAAATATGACTCAGGAGATGAAGGAACCAAAAGGGAAAAAAAATAATGCTAATAATTTTAATTGATTATCACGGTCATAAAAATCTGAAAATTAGAATCTCATAGAGAAAAAATAAGTTTTCTATTAATTAAAACATTTATTTATAGCTCCGAAAAATGCCGAGGATTAAAGCATTTAATGAAAATCCAAAATTATTACTCAAAAATAGAATCCCTTTAAATATTTATATGCGCATCATTATAAAATAAACCAATTGATAAAAAAATAGAGAATATTAAATTTATTAAAGAAGATTATTATAGAGATAAAATTATTGAAAATAGAAGAGTTTTCTATGAAGAAATATTAGAACTTAAAATGAAAATTAGAAGATATGGATATTGTAAAAATATCTAGAAAATTATGTTAGAAACATTAAAGACGTATTATTGACACTTGAAGAGCAAGGAGGCGAATAAATTGATTTTTATTCATTTCAAAGTATAAAATATCTTATAAGTATTTTAAAATTAACTTTCCCCACAACCTAAAATGAATAATAAAATATGTATCATTATCAAATAATAATATGTAGTCTTTATACAAAGCTTTAGCCAACAAGCTTTCAAAGTAACTTATAGATGAACTTGCTATTGGCGCAAGACAACAGTTTAAGCAGACCTCAGAGTGGAAGATTCACTTGAATCTAGCAAAATTATATATTCTATTGCTGCATTAATTTTTGCAAAAATAAATATCCACAGGTTTCGAAAATTTCGATATATTAGCCAAAAAAATGATCATCTGTCTGAGAAAATTGTCTAAGTAATGCTTGAACTCGTTGGGAAACCAATAAAATTACTCAATTAAAAAAGTTGATCATATACCCAAGCAAGCTGGCCCAAGTAATTTCGAGAACTCATTAAAGAAACAAATAATTAGTCAATTAAAGAAGATATAGTGTAGTGAAGCAGCATAAAGAAGATGTCTTAGACTAGGTATATCCAGCTTTGAAGTATGCTTGAGCTAGCCTCTAATCATAACCAAAGTGGTATCTAGCACTTATGCTAGCAAAACTTGCCAGTTATAATAAAATCACATCCTCGAAGTTAGCCCACCGAAGACCAAACCTTAGCTGAGAAATATATTTATTATATCAGCCAGCCAAAATAAGGAAGAGTGCTTAAGGCAATTAAAGCTATGATAATCTCAATGAATAAAGATAAGATGCTTTGAAAAAATTGTTCTGATGATGGACACCATGCTTAGTCAAAGCCAATTTTAAATCCTTATGAAAAATAAGAAAAATTTTTCAACTAGATATACAAATTATTTATATTCAAAAACCTTTATCCTGCAATTTATTTAATTTATCTATTTATAATTATGATGCAAGGATTAATTCCTTTTTGAGAGTCGTCCTGAAAATCAATTATGGTGAACTTCCATAAAATGATTAATCAAGCAGTTCAGAAACCATTTTTGAAGAGCTGGAAAATTATCAGAAGCATTAAGAGCGCGTCGTAAACCGCTTGGAAGACGTTCAGAGGATTTTTTGAATTTTCAGAGATTTTACATACGGTGAAGAAGCAGCTCAGCCATCGAACCCGCAGCATTGCACCCAAGCGTACAGTTGAGCTGAATTTCCCCTTTACAACTCATGCCTCCAATTTCCTATAGCTCTTATAGCATTAGAGCAAGCATTGAGACCTAAATATAAATTGTATATAGAAGCTAATAAGTTTAGCAAAAAAACTGATGGCATTTTTATTCCAAATCCAGGAGAATCATCTACTATCATTATTCATGAACTTAAAAAATTAGAATTTGCTTACGATGATTTAGTGCAGGAAAAAGCTGATGATGCTTTTTGGCAGATCTACTCCAAGAAATATATATTCTGTATTTTATTTTAATTCTAAGCTATATAGATTATGTTTATTACTTGAAGGCTAAAAATAATTATTTTGATGCAACATATATATATGCTACTAGATGATTTAATTCTATGATTAGCTTGCCTTCTTGGAGATTCTATTTAGGATATTTCTAATTAAAATTTCAAATGATTTTTCTAAATTTAAGTTTGTCTTTGCTGATACTTCAACATAAAACATTTCCAAGCTATCTGCACGCTTTTTGGCTTCTTCAAATGTGAAAAATCTCTTACTTTTAAGATCTGCTTTATTTCCAATTAATATGATTTCTGGGCTTTTACTTAAAAAGTATTTATCAAGTTCTCTTTTTCAATATAATGCGCTATGAAATGAATCAGGATTTGTTAAATCTATTATAATTGCACAACCGTGCGCTGATTTTATAAAATCCCTGTGCCAATTTATATTATTTGCGTCTCATATCTGAAGCCTCAACAATTTTCCTTGCACTACTTTGTCTTTTATTTTCTTCATGAAACTTACAAAATCATAATTATATTTGAGCCCTTTTTCTTCAAAAGCTTCATCTGTATATCTGCGTATAATATTAGATCGTCCAGAACTTTTACATCCATACACGATGATTTTTAAGAAAAAGGAACTAAGTTAAGTATACATTTCTCCTGTATCCATGACTTCACAAATAAATATTTATTAATTTTGGAAATTCTGATTATCCTTAAACGTGGGGGATCAGATTCCATAAATTACATTAATAATCGAGAATTTTGCTTTTTAGTTTGAAAATGATAAGTCATTATGAAACCTTGTTATTTATTATCATTCTTAGTATTTATGATGCTAAATTGAAAAAGCTAAGCATAATGAGCATAACTCCAAGCAAATTGTTATTTGGAGCAATTAGTGTGTAGACGAAAAGCACTAACATGTTGGAGCAAGTTGTAATGATAGAAAGCATCATCTGCTTTAGAGCCAAGTTGTTATTGCTTGTTATTTAAAAATAAAGATTACTTTCTGCTACCTCTCACTTACATAGCAGCAAATTATATATGATCAGCAAAAAATCTTAATCCTACAATTAATTAAATTTTCACTAACTTATTTATTCATAATTATTATTCAAGACTTGATTTCGAAGTATGAATTTAACTTATTTCCTTTAGTAAACAAAAAATGAAATATAATCAAAATATGGAAAAGGGGCTTTATGACCTTTTTAAATTTTTTAAAGTTATTATCGCTTAAGCTTAGAAAGATATTCTTTATCTGCTTATGGCATAAAAGAAGTGCTTAAATCAATTTACAGTGACAGAATCCATATACAAGGCACAGATACTCCTATCAATTATTCTCCCGCCTCTATCAATAAAATCATTAGCGTGCTGTCTTATATGTCAGAAATCGAAAAAATAGTCAAGGATGATCATAAAGAACTAAAGAAGCCTATTGTTTTTATTTGGAAAATCAATACAACTGACCAAAACTCAATGCTGATAAGTGGACAAGCTGAAGAAAATTATATATGGCAATTAATGGTAATTATTCCCAAAAACTATACAAATCTTGATGGAGAGTCTTGTCTAACTCCTCTGAGTTAGTTTTTATGATCGATTCATCTGGGAATAATTATAAAATGCCAGGTTTGTTAAAATTTCTGTTGAAAACACAAATTTCATATGAAAAATCGGAGAGGAATACAGATACTTTTGGAGGGCTTTTTCCATCAGCTATAATATATGATAAGCTTAGTAGTAAGCAGCACGAGAATTGCTCCCAAAGCTGGATATGATTGATATTCAACACATTAATGCTGATTTCAACAGGAAATTGCAACTATTTAAGAGAGTTTTCAAATTTTGATGAGAAGTGAATCAATAAAATACTAGCCATTTTTGAGGATTTAAACATTAATTTTTCTCTAGAGCAAAAATCTGAGAATTTATGATTCAATTTAGATTTCAAATGGGTAACAACGATAGAAAAGGCAATTTTAAACGAGCTATATGCAAAATTATCATCATGGCCTATTTTGCAAGATCAAGTAAAATTTTTACCAAATAATTTGAATATAAGTCAATTATGTGCCTTATCAGAGTATCAAGACAATAATAAAGTGGGTGATGCACTCCAGTTTATCGACTCATTAAAGCAAAGCAAAGAATCAGATCCTTATCAATTTAATACACCAACTTCAATAAGATTATATGAAAATGAATCATCTCCAACATATCATTCAGTTATTAAGGTCAAAAAAATCTTAAGTTCAGCACTCAGAATTCAAATTTTAAGCAAATAATTGATGGAGGAGAACTTTATGTTGACAAAACAATGTTTATAAAGGCACTTTTTGAACAAGATTATGATAATATTGCTATTATGAGACCAAGAGGCTGGGGTAAGTCACTGAACATGAGCATGCTACAAGCATTTCTAAATCCTAAGCCTAAGGCAGGCAAAAATGGAGTATTCGAAAATTTATACTTATTACTGGGTGTAGCTTAAATAACTTGGATATAATAAATGCAGATAATGGGAAGTATATAGAGAAAGCTGGAACAATTCCTACAATTTTATTTGCATTTCCCAAGATTAGAAATCCAAATATTGAAAAATACCATCAAGCGATCAAATATAGCATATGAGAAACATTACAACAGCACATTCATTCATATCGCCAATATTTAGAAAAAGTAATAAAAGATTTTTCAATTTCCCTAGACACTAAGGATCTTAAAATTAGAAATTTAGAAAGAATTATCGATCAGAATAAAATAGATTTGCCAATCGAAATGACCCAATTCAGACTATATCTATCAGATAGCTCTAAAATAAATTTAGATGCATTGAGAGATTTGGCTATCATGTTATATAGAATTCATGAAAAACCCATTATTTTAATTGTAGAGGACTACGATATCAATATTACAGGGGCAGCAGATATGGAGCAACGACATAAAATGATACGCCTTATAATAGAGATGTTGAATCCTCTAGTTTACCGTCCTAGATATATCGAAAAATTAATTATAACTGGAGTTTGTTATGATCCGCTAATTGAGATATTTAGCGGGGCACCTTTTGCTCCTTTTACTGTTTTGAATAATTATTTCTCTGATTTTTTTGGTTTTACAGAATATGAAATTGACAAATTACTTGAATCTCATTTGGTTTATATAGCACGCATGCCGAGCTAATAGAGCAGAAAAATCTTATAAAACAATGATATGACGATGAAAATTTTTTCATTTCAGCATTCAAATCTATTAGCTCTCATAACAAAATATTTGAAATAATGAAAGCTGGGTATCTTGTTTCAAATAGACCAATATATGTGGAAACAAGGATTGAAAATAATGTTTGTGCGTTATTGCTCCATGCTGGATACTTGACACCCTATGAAAATAAATCACACAACTTAGTCTATGTAGTCCCTAATAAAGAAATAAAGAGATATTTTTATGAAAAATTGTTTATGATATGAATCGATAAAGCAATTGAGAAAAATAAAATCAATCTTTTTACATGGATAGATAAATATATTGATTGTTTAGAGGACAAAGACCAGCTTCAATATCTTATTCAAGTTGAGCTACTTGATAAGATGACTGACTGTTACATCAAAAATGAGGCTTTTTTCCAAATTTATACAGGAGGAATAGCTCTTATAGCATTAGAACAAGCATTGAGACCTAATATGAATTGCATATAGGGGAAGCGAATAGGTTCGGTAGAAAAACTGATGGCATTTTTATTCCGAATCCAGGAGAATCCTCTACCATTATTATTCATGAAGTTAAAAAATTAGAGCTTTCTCACAATGAAAAAGTGAAGGAAAAAGCTGATGATGCTCTTTGGCAGATCTACTCAAAGAAATATATGGATATCGCTTTACGCTTGAAACATAGTCATTTTCGTAGCGTTATTATTCGAGGTATTGTGCTTTACAGAAGTCCTACTCAAATTAAATTATGGTTCTCCGGATTGTGCTTCCGTACGCTTGCGTACACTGGATTCTTGCTTGCCAGGGGTAGCATCGTTACGCGGACCACATCAACAGCAGTCTTCTTCTAGACTGAGTGCTTGTATTGTAAACCCCTCTGGTGCTGTACATCTTGCGGATGCTATAGAGGGCAAAGGCCGATCTATCCCGTAATAATGGGTGCCACTTCCGGTACTTATACCTCTCCTTGGCTTGCAGCATCAGTCTTGAGTGGGCGGCTTATAGAATTCTGCCGCCCGGCGTGGAGTTGCTTGATTCCAAGGATCCACTCCTTCGAGTCTGTCGAGTGCCGAAGTGCCTTCCTTCGGCAGCTACTGGAAAAAGACTACTATGGCCTGAGCCGAACCCCCAGTTTCTCGGTAGAGGAATGCTCACAGGTCCTTGGGTCCAAAGGACATTGTTGGGCACCTCCATTTCCAACCACAGGAAAGCAGTCAAAACTTATCCGGATACATATCTCTTGAGCCTTCACTATATTCTTGAATCAGAGTCCGTCCCAGTTCGCCGTGACCATAAGTTCTAGACTGCTGCGCCAAGAGGTAGGTCTACACGTATCACAATTTTAATGTATATAATCCTACTCAAGGAATTTGGAAAGTATTTATTAAGGAGCATAAATTTAACTATGATTATGCTGAAGAGATAGACAAATACTTTAGTTCATCAAATGGAGGAATACTGTCCCAATCTTCAGTATTGTGTAGAGATAATTGCAGGATAGACTCCACAGAAAAGGCAAGGGATAAGCTTGGTGGCAACAATATTGATGATTTAATCGAAAAAATTATTAACAAAGACCCAAGTTTAGCTAATATAGATAAGACATATGAAGAAGAGACATTAAAAAGAAAAACCGACCCAGGAGCTGAAGGCACAAAATTCTTCAGAGGGGGCTAATAATTTTAATTGATTATCATGGTTATAAAAATATCAAAATTCGAATCTCATACAGAAAAAAATGGGACTGCTATTTGTTTTTTTTATTAATTAAAACATTTATTTATAGCTCCAAAATGTGTAAATGAGAACTAAAGTATTTAATAGAAAGTTCAAAAATTATAACTCAAAAATATTTATCCATCTAAATATTTATATGATTATTATTATTATAAAAATAAATAATTGATGAAATATAGAGAATTTATAATCGAGTAATTTAAATAGCTTGCATTTACTTGGAATACAATGCTAAAGATAAATAAGAGGACGGCATATATTATGTTTACTTCCCCTTTAAATTTTAATAAAATATCGGTAAAATTACCATTTTTTAGTGCTTTAACCCCTATTTAAATTGGAATAGTTTTTTTTGTTCAATAGGAAACTTTTATAGGTGAAAATAAATTTAAACTTAATTAAGAGTATCGAAAAGCTCCTAGTAGGCTCAAGGTCAAGTCTTTTTCACCTCCATAATGCTCCACTGCTTGCTTGCTAGTCTGAGCACGGCCTCTAACTGTGTTGCTCCCGACTGATGAGGGCTTGCACTTGCTACCCGTGAGTTAGAGGTGTGGGGTTTGGCTTCCTGAAAATTAGAAAAAAACTGTTTTTCAAAATTTGTCAGCTAAGCCGCCTAACATTTTTGGTTTTTGCAACTATGCCGCTTGTTTTGCAACTTTAAGTGGCTAGCCGTCATTAATTTTTAATAGGCCTTTTTAGCTGCAGACCATTAATTTTTAACTGGCCAATTGAAATTTTTTATAGGTTTTTGACAGCTCAGCTGCTAAATTAGCAGCTATGTCTCTTTTTTAGCTAGGTTAGCTTCATGTTTGCAGCTAAGTCTCGCAATCCCTTGATAAACTTAATTTAGACGAGCTTATTATTATTGAAATCTGAAGTGCTTATTTAATCTGATATTTTTCTGCTTCTTTCTGCCAGAGCTATGATCGCTCTCTGTGCCACTTTTATCGCTTTCAGATGATTCAGACTCGTTTTTGCTTATGTGGCTTTTCCTGAATTTTTTATCAGATTTAGACTTATTTTTGTCCTTTTGCTTATCTCTCTTCCTTTTATGTTTTTTCTCACCATAGCTTTCGCTTGATGAACAGGATTCTGCACTTTCAGAATGTTTATTTTTTGATGGAATTGCAATGAAAGCTGGCTCCCTCTTCGAATTTTCTTTTTTCTCCTCTTCTGCTCTTGAAATCCACACCTCTTTCTCCTCTTTGGGCAGATTCCTTCATCCAGCACCTGCAAGCTTAAAAAATTCACTTATTTCAAATATGAAATCTGGCTTGGTTTTTAGATCTGCTAGTCTATGAGCATAATAGAGCTGGTATCCAGTTTTATAATGAGTTGCACCAATGTACTTCATTAAATAAAAATATGAGTCAATAATAAAAATTAATTTAATGTAGACGAGCTCAAGAGTTTCATAGAAACTGCTGTGGCTTGGCTTTGGGTGCTTTTTGGGGGAAAATGTAGCATATGGGTTCTTATATTTTAAAAAAGCTCTGAAAATATGGATCTCTCAATCGTGTTCCGAAAGCGTAAGTTCAGACAGTATTGGGGTAAGATAGTTTCAGGGTTTCATGGAATTCAGATGGTGCAGGTTTTTTGGTGCTTTTCTAAAAAGAGGCTTAAATTTGTACAATCTTGAAAGCAAAACTCTGAATATATGCATCTCCGAATCGTGCACTAGCAAAATAAGGTCAAGAAGCATTTGAATAAGCTAATTCTAGATATTTATAGCAATTTTTCCAAAACTTTACGATCTTATTCTATTTTACAAATTTTTAGTATTTTCCAATTTTTATAATATTTTTATAATTTTTGGCATGTTTGTCAAAATTTCACAACATTTATTTTTGGCTATTTTTTTAGTCTCCAAAAAATTAAAAAAATAATCAAAATATGGAAAGTTTGGAAAAGCGCCTTTATGATGTCTTTAAGAATTTTCAAGGCTATGACCGCTCAAGCTCAGCAGAATATTGCCTGTCTGCTTATGGAATTGAAGAAGTGCTTAAATCAATTTACCACGACAGAATCTATATTGCATGAATAGATACTCCTTTAAATCACTTTCCCGCCACTTCCGATGAAATAAATGGGGTGCTAGCTTGTATGGCGAAAATCGAAGAAATAGTCAGGAGGGATAATAAAGAACTAAAAAAGCCTATTGTTTCGTTTTGGAAGATCAATATAAGTGACAAAAATGCATCTCAGAGAGGTTAACAAGCTCAAGAAAATTATATATGGCAATTAATGGTAATTATTCCCAAAAACTATACAAATTGTGATGGAGAGTCTTTTTCTAATGACTCTGAGTTAGTTTTTATGGTAGATTCATCGGGCAATAATTATAATTTGCCAGATTTGATGAAATTTTTGTTGAAAGCACAAATTCCATATACAAAGCCTAATGGGATATCAAATACTTTTGGAGGATTTTTTCCATCAGCTATAATATGTGATATAGCATTAAGCAGCACGGAAATCCCTCCCAAAGCTGATTATGGCTGATATTCAATACAGTAATGCTGATTTCATCGGGAAATTGTAACTATTTAAACGATTTTTCAAATTTTGACGTTCACTGAGCTAGTAAAATATTAGCTACTTTAGAAGATTTAAGCATCAATTTTGCTAAGTGTGCAGAAATTGAAAATTTTATTATAAGTCCTCGTCCTCAATGATTAGATATGATACAAAAGGCAATTTTAAGCGAATTACATATAAAATTATCTTCATGGTTGATTTTTGAAGATCAAGTAAGCTTTTTATCAACTTTGAACATAACCCAATTGTGTGTATTATCAGATTACCAAAACAATAACAAAGAGGATGATGCTCTCCAATTTATAGACTTATTAAGAAAAAGCCAAGAAATAGAACATGATATATTTAAGACTCCAATTTCCTCAAGAATAAATAGAGATGAATCGCCTCCAACGCCTCATTCAGTAATTAAGGTGAAAGCCAATTGCTCGATCGATACTTCATGTGCAGATTTCAAACATATAGTCGACAACGGCAATATTTATATCGACAAAACTTTGTTTATAAAAGCAATTTTAGAAGATTCTACCTATAAAATTGCTATTCTTAGACCAAGAAGTTGGGGCAAATCACTGAACATGAGTATGCTTCAAGCATTTCTAAATCCTCAGAGAGGCGAGTCTGAAGAATTCGCAAACTTATACTTATTTACTGGTGGGGAAAGTAAAAAAATTATGAAAATAGATGATGGTAAGTATAGAAAATTTGCAGGAAAAATTCCTACTATTTTATTTCAAGTTCCCGAGATTTATCCTTCAAATGCTGAAATGTATGAAGCAATCAAGCTTACAATAGCAGTGATATTATGAGAGCATATTTCTTCATATCGTCAATATTTAGAACAAAAAATAAGTGACTCTTCAATAAGAGTAGACTTTAAGGGTGCAACAATCAAATTTTTTTTGGAAAAAATAATTGATCAAAATCAAATAGTATTACCTAAGGAAATAAGGTTATATAGACTTTATCTATCAGATTTTTCTCAAATAAATATATGCATAGCATTGAATATCCTGGCCAGAATGCTGTATATGATTCATAATGAACCGGTCATTTTTATTATAGATGACTACGATAGTAATTATAAACGGACAGCGGCAAATAGAGAGTTTGAACAGAAACTAGAGAGCTTTTAAGAGATATAGTTTATCCTCTAGTTTATCAAGATTTATATTATATCCGGAAAATAATTGTAACTGGAGTTTATTATGATCCGCTTCTTGCTATATTTCCTAGTCAAAATTTTACTCCTTTTACGGTTTTAAATAATTTTTACTCTGATTTTTTGGTTTTACTGAATCCGAAGTTGACGAATTACTTGAACAATATTTGGTACAAGACCAACATACAAATATAGTTGAGCAGAAAAAATTGATAAAACAATGATATGATGGGTATAGGGTTGGAAGACAAAAAATTTATAACCCCTTTTCAATACTAAGTTGCTTATCAATCGCTTCTCAGATTTATCAGGCACCTCTCCACACATATTGGCATAATGTAGATGGCGAAAGGCTTTTCATTTCAGTATTCAATACTATTGAACCTGATAACAAAATATTTGAAAGAATAAAAGCTGGGTATCTTGCTTTAGATAGGCCATTATATCAGGACATAAGAATCAAAGATAATGTTTGTGCGCTACTGCTTCATGCTGGATACTTGACACCCTATGAAAATAAGTAACACAACTTAGTCTATGTAGTCCCTAATAAAGAAATAAGAAGATATTTTTATGAAACATTATTTGTGGCATGAATCAATAAAGTAGCTAAGAATGATAATATTAATCATTTTACGTGGAAAAATAAATATATTGATTGCTTAGAGGATAAAGAATAGCTTCAAAATCTTATTCAAACTGATCTACTAGACAAGATAAAAGACCATAGCAGTAAGAATGAGACTTTTTTCCAAACTTATACAGGAGGAATAGCTCTTATAGCATTAGAGCAAGCATTGAGACCTAAATATAAATTGTATATAGAAACTAATAAGTTTAGCAAAAAAACTGATGGCATTTTTATTCCAAATCCAGGAGAATCCTCTACTATCATTATTCATGAACTTAAAAAATTAGAATTTGCTTACGATGATTTAGTGCAGGAAAAAGCTGATGATGCTCTTTGGCAGATCTACTCCAAGAAATATATAGATATTGCCTTACACTCGAAACATAGTCATTTCCGTAGTGTGATTATTCGAGGTATTGTGTTTTACAGAAACCCTCCTGAATGAAGTTGGAAAGTATTCATTAAGGAACATAAATTTAATTATGATATTGCTGAAGCGATCGATAAGCACTTTAGCACGATAAATGGAGGAATACTGACCCTATCTTCAGCATTGTGTAGAGATAAATGTAGTGCTGAATCTACGGAAAAGGCAAGGGATATACTTGGCGGGAGAAATATTAGTATATTAATCGAAAAACTTATAAGGAAAGACTCAAGTTTAGCTGATATGGACAGGACACATCAAGCAGAGACATTAAAAAGAAAACTTGACCCAGGAGCTGAAGGAACCAAAAGGGGAAAAAAATAATACTAATAATTTTAATTGATTATCACGGTCATAAAAATCTGAAAATTACAATCTCATAGAGAAAAAATGGGACTATTATTTTTTTCCTATTAATTAAAACATTTATTTATAGCTCCGAAACGTGCCGAGGATTAAAGCATTTAATGAAAGTGCAAAAATTATTAATCAGGAATAAAATCCCTTTAAATATTTATATAATGATGATTATAAAAATAAATCAATTGATAAAAATATAGAGAATATTAAATTTATTGAAGAAGATTATTATAGAGATAAAATTATTGAAAATAGAAGAGATTTTTCTATGAAGAAATATGAGAACTTAAAATGAAAATTAGAAGATATGGATATTGTAAAAATATCTAGAAAATTATGTTAGCTTGTTTTTAATTTAAAAAATAAAATAATTTAATTTATAAAAATTATGTTTTAAATACAAGGTATTTAAAATTACACAGAATTAGCTATTATAACTATATATCAAAATCTTTTTCTAAACATCTTAAAAATTTTTTGTTCGCTTAAGGAGGGAAGAGTTAGAAACATTATAAACGTATTATTGGCACAAGAAGAGCAAGGAGGCGAATAAATTGATTCTTTATCAAGTCAAAAATTCCTACCTATAATACTTAATTTTGATTTTTATTCATTTCAAAGTATAAAATATCTTATAAGTATTTTAAAATTAACTTTCCCAGAACCTAAAATGAATAGTAAAATATGTATCATTATCAAGTAATAATATGTGATCTTTATACAAAGCTTTAGCCAGAAAGTTTTTCAAAGTAATTTATAGATGAACTTGCTATTGGCCAAGACAACAGTTTAAGCAGACCTCAGAGTGGAAGATTCATTTGGATCTAGCAAAATTATATATTCTATTCTGCATAAATTTTTGCAAAAATAAAATTAAAGTTATTAAAATCTCAATGAATAGAAGATTAGATGCTTTGGAAAAAATTGTTCTGATGATGCTGGACATTAAGCTTAATTAAATCCAATGTTAAATCCTTCTGAAAATTAAGAAAATTTCTTTTAATTTAGATATACAAATTATTTATATGCAAAAACCTTTATCCTGCAATTAATTTAATTTTCTATTTATAATTGATTCAAGAATTAATTTCGATATATGAATTTAACTTATTGCCTTTATTCAACAAATAATAATTAAATATGGAAAGTTTGGAAAAGCCCCTTTATGAGGTTTTTAAAAGATTTCAAAGTTCTGACTACTTAAGCTCAACTGAATGCTGCTTATCTGCTTATGACATTAAAAGAGTGCTCAAATCAATTTACAAAGGCAGAGTCCATATTAAAAGCATAGATGCTATATTCAATTATTCCCCCGCCTCTAGTGATGAAATTAATGGTATATTAATTTGCCTGACACAACTCGAAAAAATAGTCAGGAGGGACTGTGAAGAACTAAAAAAGCCTATTGTTTCTTTTTGGAATATAAATGACAAAAATCAGCCGGGTGAACAAGCTAAAGAAAATTATATATGGCAATCAATGGTAATTATTCCCAAAAACTATACAAGCCTTGATGGAGAGCCTCTGTCTAACTCCTCTGAGTTAATTTATATGGTCGATTCGTCTGGTAATAATTATAATTTGCCAGCCTTGGTAAAATTTTTATTGAAAACACAAATTTCATATAAAAATTCTAATGGAGATTTATATACCATTGGAGGGCTTTTCCCATTAGCTATAATAAACGATTCGCTCAGCATCAAGCAGAGTAGGAATACGTCCCAAAGCTGGCTATGGTTGATATTCAACGCAATAATGCTGACTTCCACAGGAAATTGCAACTATTTAAATGAATTTTCATACTTTGATGCGAACTGAAGTAATAAAATATTGGCTATCTTTGAAGATTTAGGAATCAATCTTACTGAGGAGGAAAACATTGAGAGTCTTAGAAACTTACTTACTTATACATTAATAGGAGTCTACCGTATTGTTAACGCAGTCACCAAGGACCCAATAATAGGGTTCACCTGCTTTGCGGTGTAGTCCTAACAAACCATAAAGGTTTGCCAAAGGACATGCGCCTCCTCCTTCCCACGGCGTGCCGCAGCTCAAGTATTGAGTGGGCGGGCTATGGATTTCTGCGGCTTGCTGCTTGAGTTGACGAGAGTTGGCTTTCAAAAATTCCAAAAAATGGAATTTCTGATCACCTTTCGGCAAAAGGGGAAAATTCAGGTCCTGGGACGTAACGCCCAGTTTCACGCTAGGTAATTACCCGAATGGTCTAGGCGTTGCCTGTAGACTTTGCTGGGCTTACCCTTTCCAAACCTGAGCCACCTCTTCCTCTCGGGGAAAAAATCCATTCTGGTCGTTGAGCATGGGCCAGGCTCTGCTCTGAAGAATTGCTTACCTTGGCATTGTTGCCCATTTCCGGAATGGCAAAACCTTACCGGATATAATTAAAATATGAGTCGAGTATGTATGGCCGAGAGGAGAGGCCATACCCAGACGAAGACGCCATATTTTAAATTATGTGAGTCTTAGAAACAATTTTAGTTCGGAATTACTAAAAATGATAGAAAAGGCAATTTTAAACGAGCTTATTGCAAAACTGTCCATTATTTGTTAATTACTTTCAACTTTTACGTCCGTTATGTGATTGCCTTCATAAGAGCTTTTACCTTCCTTTCACATAATGATCATCTGGCTGCTGGTTTCGCCCACTTTGGTTATAGGCAATAATCGAACAACTCTCCAGCTTGAAACCAGGAGTTGCACCCTGGGCATAATTTTTTTCCTTTTTGGGAGCTGACCTGAAAATCAATTTATGGCGAACTTCGATAAAATGGTTAATCAAGCCGTTCAGGGGGCCATTTTGAGGAGCTGAAAAAGGATCAGAAGAGCTAAGCATAAGAAACCTCAATTAGAGCATGAAGCATTAAGAGTGCGTCGTAAACAGCTTGGATGCCGTTTAGAGTTTTTTGAAATTTTCAGAGCAGATTTATGTACTCTGAAAGTAGCTCAGCCATCAGCCCGCAGTATTGTACTCAAGTGTACAGTTGAGTCTCTGCTGAATTTCCCTTTAAAACTCCCTGCCTCCAATTTCCCACAAGGTAAAATCCAATTCTGAAATCGAACTTAGTCTAGCTCTGCACACTTTGGGAATTGTTTACCAGCATAGCTGTCCATTTCTGGTTGACATAACCTTGTGGATATAATTAAATATATGCTCGAGTACGCATGGCCCCATGTTTAATTATATGTGCAAAATTGTCATTATGGCCGATTTTGGAAGGTGGAGAAGGATTTTTAGCAAAGAAACTGAATATAAGCCAATTGTGTGTATTATCAATGTACCAAGACAATAATAAATTAGATGATGCACTTCAATTTCTCGATTCATTCAAGGAAAAAGGAGAATCAGATTCTGATCTATTAAATACACCAACTGAATTGCCTTCGACATATCAATCACTCATTAAGGTCAAAAAAAATTGTAAGATAAACTCTACAATTCAAAGTTTTAAAAGAGCAGTCGACGAAGACACTATTATTGTTGACAAAACAATGCTTATAAAGGCAATTTTAGACGACAATAATACACATATTGCTATTACTAGACCAACAGGTTGGGGTAAATCATTTAACATGAGCATGCTCCAAGCATTCCTAAATCCTCAGATAAATTGACACGAACAATTCTTAAATTTATATTTATTTACTGGGAAAAGAAATAGCACTGATAAAAGCGACTCGGACGATAGAAGGCGTAAAAACATAATGATTGCAGATAAAGAGAAGTATACAATGTTCGCTGGAAAAATCCCGACTATTTTATTTGTATTTCCTAAGATTTGAACCTCAAATGCTGAAATTTATTATGAAGAGATCAAGATTGCGCTATCAAAAACATTACGTGAGCATGTTCTTTCATATCATCAATATTTAGAGCAAAAATTAAGAGATTCTTCAATATATACAAATTTTAGGGATCTAACAACTGAAGGTTTGGAAAAAATTATTGATAAAAATAAAATAGATTTACCTGAGGAAGTGAAGTTATTTAGACTATATCTATCAAATAGGTCTAAAATAAACATATATAAAGTATTGCAAGACCTGGCTATCATGCTAAATATGATTCATAATCAGAGCGTTATTTTAATTATCGATGACTATGATTGTAATATTAGAAACGCAGGGACTGATATAGAGCAGCGGCATAACATGATAGATCTTCTAAGAATAATGCTGGGTTCACTAGTCTGTGGGCAGCATTATTATATTAGGAAAATAATTGTAACTGGAGTTTATTATTATCCGCTGATTGAAATATTTCCTTCAGGGCATTTTATTTCTTCCACTGTTTTGGATAATTATTTATCTGATTACTTTGGATTCACTGAACCGGAAGTTGATGAATTAATAGAACGCCATTTGGCTCATAAATCACTTGCACATTTAATACAGCAGAAGCAATTGATAAAACAATGATATGGTGGGTAAACGGTTGGGAGACAAAATATTTACAACCCTTTGTCGGTAATGAATTGTTTATCAAGCGCTTCAGTGCAGAATATAGCACCTCTACAAACTTATTGGCGTAATGAACATGACCCAGACCTGCTTATTTCTGTGTTTAATACTATTGATCCTAATCATAAAATATTTGAAATAATGAAGGCTGGATATCTCGTTTTCCTCCCCTCTCCATAAGTGAACAATTTTTATAAAATTTACGCATAAATTTTATAGTAATTTTTTTATTCAAAAAAAATTTCAATTTGTAAAATAAATTTACTTTGCAAAATTTAAGTTTTAACAAGTAAGGTTTTAAAATAAAACAGAGCTCACTTATATATAATTTTTTTTTCTATAAAAAATATTTGTACGCCCACAGAGGTGGGCTTTTACCAAAAAATAGGATTTTTCAATAGTTTTGTTCGCTCACAGGGGGTGCGGAGTTAGATAGGCCAATATATGATCAAATAAGAGCTAAAGATGATGCTTGTGTGCTACTGCTTCATGCTGGATACTTGACACCTTATGAGAAATAAAGTCTATCTAGTCCCAAATAAAGAAATAAAGATATATTTTTATGAAAAATTGTTTAACACATGAATCGATAAAGCAATTGGGGAAAACAATATTAATCGTTTTATGTGGATAAATAAATATATTGATTGTTTCTCCCCTCCATGAGTGAACAAAACCATTGGAAAAATCCCACCCTCCGTGAGCGAACAAAAAATATTTTTTATGAGAGAAATTTTGATATATAAGTAATAATTATTAGAATAAAATCTGCTTAATTTTAAACAAATTGCATTTAAAACATAAATTTTCCAAATTAAAATTAATTTTTACTTCTCAATTTGAATTTTACATTTTGAAGAAAAAAATATTTACTATAAAGTTTATATATTTAAAAAAAAAAAAAAAATTAGCCCCTCTGTAAGCGAACAAAATTTTTTGTTTATTCACGGAGGCGAGGGAGTTAGAGGACAAATTGCAGCTCGAGAGTCTTATTCAAGTTGAGCTACTTAATAAAATAGACAGCAATTTAAACATAAATGAAACTTTTTTCCAAACTTATACAGGAGGAATAGTGCTTATGTCATTAGAGCAAGCCTTAAGACCTAAATATAAATTGCATATAGGGACAGCTAATAATTTCGGGGAAAAAACTGATGGTATTTTTATTCCAAATCCAGGAGAATCCTCTACCATCATTATTCATGAATTTAAAATCTTACACGTTGCTAATTATAAGGAAGTACTTGAAAGAGCTAATGATGCTCTTTGACAGATCTACTCCAAGAAATATATGGACATTGCCTTCAGATTTAAACACAGTCATTTTCGTAGTGTAATCATTCGAGGCATTGTGCTTTACAAATGTTCTAGCACAAGAAAATTGACAGTATTCATTAAGGAGCATCAATTTAGCTATTGTGATGCTGAAGAGATAGACAATCACTTTAGCACGGCAAGTGGAGGAATACTGCCCCTATCTTCAATATTATCTAGAGATAATTCCAGGATGGACTTAACAGAAAAGGCAAGGGATAAGCTTGGTGGCAACAATATTGATGAGTTAATCGAAAAAATTATTAACAAAGACCCAAGTTTAGCTAATATAGATAAGACGTATGAAGAAGAGACATTAAAAAGAAAAATTAACCCAGGAGCTGAAGGCAAAAAATTATTAAGAGTGAGCTATAATTTTTAATTGATTTACTTGGCTATAAAGATTTAAAATAGTAATCATAATAGAACAAATGGAATAGTTATTTGCATTTTTAGTAATTAAAGACCCTTATTTATAGTAAATGAGCTTAAAATATATAATGAAATATAGAAATGTCGAAATTGTATAAATAATAACTAAAAAATTTCTATCTATCTAAGTATTTATATTCCGATGATTGCAAAAATAATCAATTAATGAAAAATATAGATAATTTATAATTAAATGATTCAAATAGTTTGAGCTGCTTGAAATAATATGTTGAAGATAAATGCCAAGAGGATAGCATATATTATGCTTGCTTCTATTCTCCGCGAGTGTGCACAAAATTTGTTTAGATATTATGAGCTGGCTCTTGAAATAAAAAGGAATGTTGAAATGGAAGAGGATTGAATAAATGAATTGAATAAGCTTCGATTAAAATTTAAAATCGACTTAACCTAAAAGATTCCAAGAAACAATTTTTAATTCGAGAAATTATAACTTTCACATAATCAATCAGCTGAAAACTAAAAATTCGAGCTATAATTATTTAATTTAACATTATTATGGAGAGTGAGTTAAATTCTTCGAGCGCAATAGCAAATCTCCGAGCGAAGTAATATACCCCAGCCTCGATAAAAATCCCTAAATTAGATACAAATAGAAGAAATTTTTCAGATATAATTATTTATCAATTTTCTCTAAATTATTTGTTATTATCCCTGCTATTAATTTTATTAAAGAAAATCCTCAGATTTCAAGTTAAAAAAATACTGGATTAATATTTATAAATGTCCCGAACAAAATATCATAAACAACACATGAGGATTACAATATCTGGCGAAAGAAATACATCAAATCTCACAATTCCACGTTGCAACTCGTGAAATATAGGAAATCACCCTCTAGACTTAAATTTTTGTAAATCGATTTCTCAAAACTCGATTCTTAAAATAAATGATACTGCTTCTTCACGGAATTCTGATGAGCATGAATCTCACCATCACTTTCAAGTTGATATACTATTTTTTATAACATCAAATAGGGATTTTGCTTATATATTTTAATTTTCAAATTAGATTAATATTGAGATGTCATTTTATTTTAGATTTACTTAATTTTAGCATGTTGGAGTAATTAATAACTTTTTAAATGCATTATAAATAATCCTCCTGCTGAATTTATATAATAATTGTAACTAATAATATCAATTTATCAAAAATTGCATATGCTTAGTCAACAAATAGCTCTCCAAGCCAAGACATCTCAACGAATTCAAAATTCATTAAAAAAACAACTAGAAATTTTAAACCAAGAAAATAATATATCAAAACAATTAGAAGAAGACAACTTAGCCAGCATAAAATCATCACACGAAGAACAATTTAAAGCTTTAGAAGAAGAAATGGACTGCAAAAAAGAAATTTTAGCAGACGATATCAGCAAGCTTTCCTCTGAAATTGAAATTATTTTAAAAAAACAGCGAAGAGTAGAGCAGCATATAAAAGTTCGAAAAACTGACAATAAACTAATAAAAAGCAATTTAATTACAGAAATAAGGGTCTTAGAGCAAGATATCAGAAATCATGAGCTTTTATTATGTAGAAACTTTGAAAATGAGGTGCAAGATTTAGAAGAACAAATCAAGAGAGAAGAAGAAAAGCATGCCCTAAATTTTTCAAAAATTAAAAAAGAGCAGGAAGATTTGATTTCTAGCTTAAACAGCCAGCTTGAGTCTAAGACTTTAATGGTCCAGAGCTTGACAAGCGGAGTTGTTGAAATAAGAAATCAAGACTTCTTTTCAAATAAAACTAATGAGTTGGAGCTGCAGAAGTTAAAAGAGCTTCATGTCTCAAAAGAATCCTTATTAAAATCACAAGAAATTGAAATCACGAAATTATCATCTGAACAAAAATTAGCAGAGTCAAACAGCAAATATTTAGTCTTAGAGTGCTCAAAACTAGAAGAAGTCCTTGACAAAGTAAAGTCAGAAAACGCAAAACTCAGACTGCAAATTAAAAAATTTGGCGTCTCAGGAAATTCAAAAAATCGATAATACACATCTTGGTATGATACAGTAATAATTTAAATAAAAATTACCTTCATTCCTAACCTCCCAGCTGCAAAATTTTATCTATTTTTCATTTTCTGATACATCTAGCTAAGCTAATAATTTCTAAAAATAACTCTAATAAATAAATGGGTATCAGCGAATCTCATCATGTCCATCCAGACTTAAAGTCTCTTGTCCTTACCTCTGACCAAATCAACGCTCTCTATGAAAACTCCAAACTTTTTGAATCTTCTCGTTCTTTATCAGTTCAAGAAATTGAGCCAGTTTTATCACTTTCCCCATCTCAATGTGAACTAGTAGGGCAGCTCTTTGACCCATCCTCAAGCGGAAAAATTGATGTTTATGAGCTTATAGGAGGCTTGATAATCATTTCAGACTCATCACTAGAAACCAAAGCAAATCTGCTATTCCAGCTATACGATTTAGATCATTCCCTTTCTATTTCTTTTGATGAGCTTCTTGTGATGCTCACAACTGGGATGAATGCCCTTTGCCATATGACAGGAGCACCAGCCTTCTCACCTGACCACCTAAATGAGCATACTCATAGGGTATTTGACAAAGTTGATGTCAATCATGATAATACAATCTCCATTAGGGAATGGGTCAGCTTTATTACACGAGATATAGAGCTTGTGCAAATACTTGAAAAGCTTGAACTTATTACGACTGAAGATAAACGCCCTAACTGGGGAAGTGAAGAAAGCCCAGAAGTTGACAGTGACTTAGAAAATGAAACTGACAAGAAAAAGTTCAAGAGAACTGCGGTACAAGAAAAAGTGAAAAACGGAGAAGAAAATTACTTTGATATTGTTGAAGTAGGAGAAGGCGATCAGTTTGGAGCTGTAAAACCATGGGAAGCAGCAGTTAGATCTTCAGTTCCAACTGGGTATAGAAGAAAAGCTGGAGATGACGACCCTCCAGATGCAAATTTAGAACTTGAATATGTATATGGCTACAGAAGTCATGATGTCAGAAATAATATAAAATACACTGCAAATGGAGACGTCCTTTATCATACAGCCGCTATAGGAGTTGCCCTTAACACTTCTGCTAATACCCAAAACCATTTTATTGCCCACACTGACGATATCATTTCTTTTGATATAAGCCCAGATGGGACTCTTGCAGCCACAGGTGAAATCGGAAAAAGTCCTTTATTATGTGTCTGGAATACAGAAACAATGGAATGCCTCAAAACTTTTAAAGGAGTTTTTACCAAAGGTATCTCGATAATCACTTTTTCTCCTGACGGAAGCCAAATAGCCGCTATGGGCGCTGACGATGACCATTGTGTAGTGATTTATGACATAAATAAAACAACAGGAAAATCAGGAGCTATGCAAAATGTGTCTGCGACTGGAAAGGCTGGTAAAGACAATTTTATGGATTTAAAGTTCCACCCTACCATTCCTAATAAACTTATTGCTTGTGGAGTTAAAGTCTATGAAGTTTTGACCATAAACAGCAATACAATTACAGCGAAAAAAGGTATTGGCTGGAATAAGACCCCAAATACTCAGCAACAAGCTTTAGTAAGTATCGGCTTTATTAGTGGCACTCCAGTGACTGGTGCTTTTAATGGCTGCATTTTTAGATGGAATGAAAATACGCTAGGAGATGCCGTCAAAGTCCACGAGTCAAGCATTATTTGTCTATCACAGAGACCTGCAGGAAATGGAATTATTTCAGGAGGAAATGATGGGATGATCCATATTCTAGACGAAAGATTGGCCAAAATACAAAGTTTTGATATAAAATCTGCAGGTAGTCTGCTACCAAAGATTAGAAGTGTATTTGAAGGAAGAAATGGGAAGATTTTGGTAGGGACTAGAGCTAGTGAAATATATGAAATTTCTGGCGCAGAAAGCAGGATAGTAATGAAAGGGCATTATGATAAAGAACTCTGGGGACTTGCCACACATCCTAGCCAAACTAAATTTGCAACTGCTGGACAAGACTGCTTACTATCTATTTGGGACTCATCTACAAAGATCCAAATAAACCAAGCTAAGCTAGAAGCTGCTTGTATGACAGTTGACTATTCTCCCAATGGTGACTTAATAGCTGTCGGTCTCGAGTCAGGCAAAATTCTCATCTACAACTCAGAATCCTTACAAATCCTCCACTCAGCCCATGACCGCAAAAAGCCAATCTCAGAAATAAAATTTTCCCCTGACAGCTCTCATTTAGCTGTAGGAGCTCACGATGCTTTAATATTTATTTACGAAGTAGGCAGCTTCAGACTTCTCCATAAAATGAAAGGTCACAGCTCTGCAATTACTCATATTGACTTTTCTATGAATGGACATATTATCCAGTCAAATAGTATGAGCTATGAAATCCTTTATCATGATATCACTAATGGAAAACACCTACCTGGTGGCTCATCTGAATTTAAAGATGAAGCCTGGAAAACTTGGTCTTGCATTATTGGATGGCCTGTTCAAGGAATTTGGCCACCTTGCTCTGATGGGACTGATGTAAATGCATTGAATAGAAGTCCTTCGAGAAGAGTGGTAGCGACTGCTGATGACTTTGGGCAGGTAAAACTGTTTAAGTATCCATGTGCAGTTAAAGGGTCAGGGTTCAATGCATATAGAGGACATTCAGCTCATGTCACTAATTGTAGGTTCCTTGGAGATAAACTAATTACAACTGGAGGAGGTGATAAAGCTATTTTCCAATGGAGTTTTCATGAAGAAGGAGCTGAAGAAATCCAAGAAGAGCCTATAGAGCAAGCTGAAGAAAAATCAGTCGCCAAAAAGCCTATTAAATCAGAAATCATCTTATCATGGCAAGATGAAGTAAAAACTGCTTCACCTACAGGATTCTCAGCAATTCCAGCCCTTGCCAAAATGCCTGACGAAGAAATTGATATTTTCCATGCGTTTGGATACAATGCTCCTAGAGATAATTTGAAATTCCTCAGTGATGGAAAAATAATTTACCCTGCATCCACATTTGGAGTTCTATTAGACCCATCGTCAAAAATTCAGCAATATTATAAACTCCATACAGGAGAAGTCACTTCTCTTGCATTACACCCTAACAAAAAGCTAGTAGCAACTGGGGCATATAGCAAGCTTAAAGGTTCTAAGCCTGAAATCCACATCTGGGACTCAGAAACTATGCAAAATGTCTGCTCACTTGCGGGTTTCCATACAAGTTCTATAAGATTTCTCAATTTTTCACCAAATGGAGCCAAACTTTTATCAGTAGGCACTGATAGTGACCATAGTCTGGCAGTCTATGACTGGCAAAATAACAGGCTAATCTGCAGCACTAAAGTGGATAAAGGACTGGTTAATGGGGCTTTATTTGTTTCCAATACTGAATTGGTAATTTTTGGGCCGAAATTTATAAAATTCTTTACTGCAGCTAGCCAAAACTGCACAGCAACTAAAGGAAATTCAGCTGTAAAAGCTTTTGAAGAACAATACTGTGGAGTTTTTTATAATAAGAAATTAGTGACTGGGACAAAGCAAGGGAATTTGTTTATATGGGATGGGAAAAATTTAGAAAGATACATAAAAGCTCATGATGGAAGCGTCCTTTCTTTGTGTGCCCTTGAGCAACAGCTTATTAGTGGAGGGTCTGAAGGGACTGTGAAGCAATGGGACAGCTCGTTTAGAAGCTTAAGAAGCTTTGCGATTAGTCAGTTTACTAGTTATGGAATTAGGTCAATTGATGTAAATGGGGAAGGAAATGTCCTGGTAGGAACGAAATCGTCACAGATTTTGAATATTTCTGGATGGGAAAATGCAAGTGTGATAAACCCAGGAAGCTTTGAAGGAGAATTAAAAGGATTGGCGGCTCATCCAAGGGTAGCAAGTATTTTTGCTACGTGTGGAGGAGATAAAGCATTGAGATTGTGGGATATTGATCAAAAATCTGCAATTGCTTCGATTGATTCACAAGAACCATTTGTGTCTATTGACTGGTCTTCAAATGGACTATTCTTACTTCCTCTAAGAATCAGCAAGATAGGAAAAAAGCTCGATTTTTAAAGAGACCAAAGCTCATAATAGAAAAAAAATTATTCATCATTTTTGCATGGAAATGCTCTATATTTATTATATTAGAATTTTGCTATTTAAATAAAACAAATTATTAATAAATAAATAAAAAACGCTTCAGTAAATAATAAAAATTGCTCTTAAGTGCAAAGAGGAGCTAGCAGCAGTCGTAGCATCAGGAAAATTAACCCTATTTGATGCTGGAAATCTACCAAACCTTTCTGCCTCGCATCTATTCCATAAGTCAGCTGGCTCTGAAGCAACATCAGTTAAATTTTCCCCTGATAATGAAAAAATCGCCTTAGGATTTGCAGGAGGCGATATCCAAATCATAACAATAAGTGGCAGCAATTTATCCATTACTTCAGAAATTAAGCCAGACATATCAGGAGGTATTGAGCATTTATCCTGGTCTTCAGATTCCTCAATTCTCGCCGTTAACACTTCCAAAGCTGAGCTCAGATTTATAAGCATAAACTCTCAGTCTTCTGTTCCTTTTGAATCCATCAAAGATCTTGAATGGAGAAACTGGACTTGTCCATTAGGATGGCAATCACAATCAGCCTGACAAGAAGGTCTTAAGACCATTGCAGTCTGCAGCTCGAACAATGGAAAACTACTTGCTACAAGTGACGAAAATCAAAGGATTAACCTTTATAAATACCCAGCAGTAGCCCCAAAACAAGCTTGCAAGTCATTTAAAGGCCACTCATCTCCAGCCTCCTCTTTAAGGTTTTCTGCTGATGATAATTACCTTATCTCCATTGCAGAGCAAAGTATTTTAATATGGAAAACTGACATAAATGAGCCTCATGAAGTAGAAGAAGCCGAAGAAGAAAAATCAGAAGAGCCTGAAGAAATCACCACAACAGAAATCCTTCAAAAGAAAGCTGACAAAAAAGAAAAAGCTAAAGCTAAGCTTGAAGACGGAAACGCCGAAGAAGACTTTTTTAAGCTCGAAGAAGCAGGCCAAGGCGATGAATTTATGGCGACCAAACCTTGGATTGGTGCCTTAAAAGCTCCTTCAGATTTCAAAAGACCTACTAGGAACCAAAAACTCGCCCCAGCTGTTGACATTGAGTTAGAATTTGTCCATGGCTATAGAGGAAAAGACTGCAGAAACAACTTATTATATCTCCCTGACGGAAGACTTATATATCATGCTGCTGGACTTGGAATTATTTATGAAAGAGACTCCCATTCTCAGTCATTTTTCAATAAACATGTCGATGATGTCACTGCATTTGCCTTAAGCCCTAATAAAGAATTAGCAGCTACAGGAGAAGTAGGAAGGAGGCCAAGCATTTATGTGTGGGATACTTCTTCATTAATGCCAGTAGCACAGTTTAAGAAACCGATTGAAAATGGTGTAGCTGCTCTTGCATTTTCTCCTTCTGGAGGGATGCTTGTAGCTGTTAGTGCTGGAGATGACCACAATGTAGCGGTCTTTAATTTGAAAACAGGGGCTGTTATTTGTTTTGTTAAAGGAGATAGAGAAAAAAATCCTTAACGTAGTCAGAAATAAAATGGAGATGTTGGCGAAAATTGATCTTCGAGGAGCACTCCCTATGGTTGGATTCGTCTAATGAAGCTGAATTAGGGCCCCTGTGCCTTTTGAAGTAGGCCTTGGGCTTGGGGAGAGGGAAGTTTTGTTTCTCCCCTGAAGGTTTTCCCTGTCCCTGCCAGGTGGGCAAGACATTTTTGTCTCTAAAAGTCTTCTTCTATCGGGACTATAGGGGTACCGACAGAGGGTGGCTTTGACCTAGGGAGTTGATTCTTAGATAGGTTAGTCTTGCCAGAAAATTCAAGAAGATAAAATTTTGGCTGGGCCTTACACCATTCACACTTGGTGTATATGCACCCAGCGTAGGCCACATTTACTAAAGTCAAGGTAGTCCAGAAAATGGGTCTCGCTTATGGCCATAAAGTCTTAATCCTTACCGTAGTCTTTACTGCCGAAAGCTCATTTGTGACTGTTGGGATCAAGCATTATAAAGCCTGAAGTCTTGCTGGAGGAACTGTGACTGGCAAAAAAGGAGTTTTTGGAAAAAATAATACAAATTTGTTAAGCGCGATTGCAATTGGAGCTGATGTGTATACAGGAGCAGGATCTGGAGAGATTATTAAATGGAAAGGAACTGGAGCAGTTAAAGCTTATGAAGTCCACCAAAAAGCGGTCGATAGCTTATGGACTGATACAAGAACAATTGTGTCAGGCGGCAAAGATGGACTTGTGCATATTCTGGACCTTACATTAAGAAAGTTAAAATCATTTGATTTCAATCAGCACGGGTCTATTTGTCCATTAATTAGAGCTGCAAGCATATCAGGAGATGGTGAATGGCTAGCTGTTGGAACATATGGCTCAGAAATTTATGAAGTCAATATAAGATCTAACGACTTTAGAAGACTAGTTGTAGGTCATTATACTCCTTCAAGAGGCAGAACTGTCACAAATGAAGTGTGGGGACTCGCAGTTTTACCTAACAGAAAATTATAAAAATTATAAAAATTATTATTTTTATTATAAAAATAAAAAAGAAAAATAAATAGCTAACAGAAGAAACTATATCACAGCTTCTGATGATGGAACTCTAAGACTCTGGGACATTGAAAGCAGATCCCAAATCCACGTGCTTAAATTCACTGAAAATATTGAAATCCCAATCTCAGCCATGGCTAGATGCATAGGTGTCCATCCAAGCGGCTCAATGCTTGTTGTTGGCTTTAAAGACGGCTCATTTACCATTATAGACCTAAATTCTTGGGAAATCATCACTCAAAAGAAAAACAGAAAAGAAGAAATTTCTGATGTGAAATTTTCGCCAGACGGAGAAAAGCTTGCTGTAGGGTCTCATGACAATTTTATTGACATTTATACGGTTTCTGATTTTAATCGTATTGCAATCTGCAAAGGACATAGCTCTTATATCACTCATTTTGACTGGTCTCAGGACTCAAATTTCCTTCATTCTAATTGTGGAGCGTATGAGCTGCTGTTTTGGGATGCAAATACAGGGAAACAAATAACTTCTGGGGCCACGTCGCTGAGAGATGAGCACTGGGCTACTTGGAGCTGTGTGATTGGATGGCCAGTTCAAGAAATTTATCCGCCTTATTCAGATGGGACTGATGTGAATGCAACTGATAGAAGTAAGAGAAAGTTTGGAAATAATGAATATTACTTGTTAGCGACTGGTGACGATTTTAGTACTGTTAAGGTGTTTAGGTATCCATGCATTGTTAAAGGAGCTGAGTCTGCTTTAGGAAGAGGGCATAGCTCACATGTGACGAATGTTAAGTTCAGTGTGGATGATAGGTATTTGTTTAGTACTGGAGGAGATGATCAATGCGTCTTCCAGTGGAGAGTAATACCGAAAGCATAATTAATTAGCATCGATTTAAATGTGTTTTATATTAAGAATTTCCAGAAAATAATTAAGATATTTCTAGAGCACTTACTCTCTATAATTTACTAACAATGAAATGGATTTTATTGACTTTTGATCATTTATATATGAAAATATTTATCAAATTTATTAAAGAAAATTATTATAAAAAAGAAATTATAAGAAATCATTAAATATATTTTTAGATGGATATAATTTATCTACAAAACCTCTTTTAATTGAAAAAGATAATTCTATATAATCATTTTTTAAGCTGCAACTAATAAAAATAATTTTGTATAATTTTTAGGATAGTTAGAACATTTTGATAGACTTCTTCAAGAGTTCCCTCAGAACTAACAGTCCTTAATTTTCCAAGACTTTGATATCTATTAATAATTGGCCTGGTTTGTTCTTCATAAGTTACAAGTCTTTTCTTCACAATTTCTGGATCATCATCAGATCTGCCTCCTCCTCTACTTCTGATGCGCTCAACCATCAAATCATGATTGCAGTCTAAAAATAGGCAGCATTCAACCTCTACCTCAGGGAGAATCCTGTTCCATGTTTCATATATAAGATTGTCTTAATTGGTATGCTAATTGTTTTGTGATCCATTAATTTTTCATTCAGCATAAATGAACATAATTTTCTTCGTTTCTTGGGAATCCATCAATGAGAAATCTCTTGGCTGCCCATCCTTGGTTTATCATAGCTTCTCTTAAGAGTTCGACTGTGATTTCTGATGGAACGATTCTACCAGCATTTATATTACTTTCTATAACTTCTTTAAACCTATGATTGCCTGCTCGTGCTCCTCTTAATAATTCACCAGCAGAAAGATGGACAAAGTTTGAGTGCTCTTGGACTAGTTTTTGACATTGGGTACCTTTGCCAACCCCAGGCCCACCAAGCACAAAAATAACTTTTGCTGATCCTTCCATACTGGTTTATTTTTATATTGAATTATTATAAATACTTAATTCTCCAATTAATATAGAAAATAATCTAGCAATGCGAGCGAGTTATTATAGAAATCCTTTTAAATAATTCATATAATAAAGTTTGCTATAATTATAAAGAAATGCAAAATTTTGATATAAACATCCGAGTGAGCGCAAAAATTTCAAAAAATAAGTAAGAACAGGAATTATTTATTTAGAAGTATGCAATCATTTTGTCTTATCTTGTCTTGCACTTCTGATTCAAGCCAGTCCATTTCACACCAAGTTTTAAGGCACCCATCAGCATCAATACAGCTCATTGACGATTCCAGCATAGTGAACACCACATAAGCCATGGCTAGCAAAAATCCAAGCCAAAACATTCAATTCACATACTGTTTTTGTGTCATACTCCTGAACTCCATTTGATAATTAATAATTATTTAAACTTAATTATCTTGGATTACTTTAGAAACCATTGAGAAGATCTTTCCAATATCATTAGGTGGGATATTCTTATGCATAGGAATATAAATGAGTTTTTCAAACATTTTTATTGCATTTTCAGGCTTCTGATGAAAAGCGTCCTCTGTTTCGATGACATTAAGCTGAGAAACGCCTTTATAAGCATCAATGCCTAGGTTTTGAAGCTGCCTACATATCTCTTCAGGATTGTCAACAAGTACTGGGTACAGCCAATAATTTCTTCTAGGTCCATTGCCTCCAGGAATTTGCAGTCCGCTTGATTCCAAGACTTCTGTGCCAATTCTGATATTTTCCATCTGTTTTTCAAAGACCGCCTCATTAAAAGTTTGGATCCTTTGAAGCAAAAATGAAAGCATTGCTTTCGAAGGCTGAGACCGATAAATAGTTAAATCTTGGCCTGGTGTAAAAGCCCTCATCATGGCGACTACATATTTTTTGTAATCAATTTTGAATTTTAAAGAAAACTTTCTTGCAGCTGCATTTATGTACCTAGAATTAATCAAAAGTTTTCCAAAAGAGTATTTAAGGACTTTTTTAAGGAAAACCCTGGATTTTTGGGCTGGATAAAAGCTGTGGAGGGTCTCCATTTCTTTAAAAAGCTCTTCATTTCGAATGAAAGAAATGGCTCCTTGAAAAGCTGTCGAAGTTTTAATTGGCCCAAAACTGAATGCAGTTATGTCAGCATTTGGGTCTCCTGAGTATCCATTTCCACAATACCCTTCTGCACAGTCTTCAAATAGAATCAAGTTATGTTTTTTAGTTAGTTTTGCTATATCAGCCAAACTATTTTTGGTGCCAAATATAGATGCGACCAAGACAAGCTTAGTTTTTGGGGTGATTGCAGCTTCAACTCTGTCAACTGAGGTAGCTAAGTTTCCGATATCAATGTCGACAGGCACTGGAACACAGTTGTGGATTTTGATGATTCTTACAATTTCTGGGATATTGATAGCAGACATGATGATTTCACTTCCTGCAGGAAGCGCTAAAACTTGCAAAAGCAAATCAACAGCTGTTCTGACACTTATTGTCACTAATACGTTTTTCTCTTGAGGAAATAACTGGGAAATTCTCCTGACGAGCACTGCAGAGCTTTCAGATGTGTAAAAGACTCTTTTGATTGCTCTAAACGGATCTGTCCAGCTGCAGTCAATATTAAGACAACTGTAAGGAATTATCCCACGAAACATTATTATTACTGTTCTGACCAGATATCTAAAGAGAAAATGAAATGTCCTTGTGTTTAGTTTAGACATATCTTGGCGAGGAATTTGCTAAAGCTTGGCAAATGGCATATAATGAAGAATTTAACCTCAATGAGCATATACTTATTGATAGTGTTAAGTTAGGACAAAATTAAATGTATTTCCTAGAGAAATTGTTCAAATTATAGATTTATATACTCTAAAATTATTTAAATTCAGGAATGTTGATTGCAGATAACTGTTCATAAAATGCAAAAATATTTTATGCAAATAAATAAAGAAGCTTAATATCATCTTTATCCTTAGATCAAGCTTATTAAAAATTCGATTTTCATTTTTCTCATGAAGTATACTATACCATAGTGATAGCTTTAGTTTCCTTAAATTTGGAGATACCTAAGCAGCTCTAAGCGCTGAAAGAGAATTTATCAATTTTTAGAGTTGACTCGTTTTCATGTTTAGTCGAAATAGAGTGAAAATATCTCACAATGTGGATGAGCTAAAGTCTTCCTAAGATATCGAATAAATAGGCTGTATTTTGATTGAAGAATCAAAGATTCTATTAAAATATATCTCACTCTATAATTAACTCCTCTAGATCTCATCATTACTTTAAATTTCGAAAAAATAAAATAATACCAACAATAAAGCGCAAAAATTTCTTTCCATAAAATAAAATACATTTCGATCTCTTAATGAACAAGATCTTCATTGGGAGATATTCTATAAAACTCTCAAAGCCTAGTTCAAATCAGCTCTTAGAATGTATCATGCGCATTTTCTTTCTTTAAATAATAAATGGTTACAGCTAGTCATATCGGACATAAAGGAGTTTCAGGATACAAAGAACCTAAGAAGAACATAAAAAAAATAAAAAAGAAGAAGGAGAAAAAGCGTATTATTCTGTGGGATATCATGAATGAAAGGCATTTATGGATTTCAATGAATGTTATACCATACTCAAATAAATCTGCCAATATAATATGCTGAAAGTCAAATATAATATCGGAAATTATCAACTGGCTTAAAAATAGAAAAAAAATTAAATTAAATCTTATTTGTATATTATTAGTAATTTACCCTATATATTAGGCTCTTATGCGTTAAATCATATATATTTAGTATACAAAGATAAAGTTTATGAGTCAATTCAAGAAATTCGAAAACAAAATGAGTCTAGAAAAGAATTTGAGTCTAAAGTTGAGCAACAAAAGGCATCAATAAAAGAACAAAAAGTGCTGAAAATAAAAGCAAAAAGTGCACAGCAGGAAAGAATAAGCTTTAATGAATTAAAAAATAATTGCGTTAAGGATGCAATTATAAAAGCAATGCATGCTCTATAATATTTGTATTTGCTATAGAATTGGTTTCTTCGGAGTTATTAAACCTTATTATTCTCTTTATAAAATGAAATATATTTCGATCTCTTAATTAGCAAGATTTTCATTCGAGACATATTACATAAACCTCTCAAAGCCTATTTCAAATCAGCTCTTAGAATGTATCTTCATGCGCATTTCTTTCTTTTAATAATAAATGGCTACAGCTAGTGATATCTGACATAAAGAAGCTTTAAGCTGCAAAGAACCAAAGAAGAACATAAAGAAAATAAAAAAGAAGAAGGAGAAAAAGCATAATATTCGGTATCTCAATATTCGTTGCAGGTTAATCTGAAAAATTGGGAGATGAAGCAAAGTAAGATGAGGATATCATGGATGGAAGACATTTATGGATTTCAATGAATGCTACAAAGATAAAGTTTATGAGTCAATTCAAGAAATTCGAAAACAAAATGAGTCTAGAAAAGAATTTGAGTCTAAAGTTGAGCAACAAAAGGCATCAATAAAAGAACAAAAACTACTCAAAATAAAAGCAAAAAGTGCACAGCAGGAAAGATTAAGCTTTAATGAATTAAAAAATAATTGCGTTAAGGATGCAATTATAAAAGCAATGCATGCTCTATAATATTTGTATTTGCTATAGAATTGGTTTCTTCGGAGTTATTAAACCTTATTATTCTCTTTACAAGCTCACAAATTTAAGTTAAAGCTTTCAAGCCTATTCTATTAAATAAGGATATAAATTTGATTCTAAATTATTATTAAGTTTTTTAAGCTCAATGCTTGGTCACTTTGCATTGATTTTGAGTCTATTTCATCTTGATTAAACAATTTTTTCACCAAATATTTTTGTCAAATTCTCCTTCTTTTAAATTGCCAAATTTGAAAAATAATAAAATGACAGAACTGAACACCTCTGTTGAAATTATTCCTAACAAACTTTATTGAATCAGTGACAGAGCGCCCCCGCGAAATCAACGAAACTCTTTTTACTTCTGTATCGACAACGACTTAGTATACCAGCCTTTCTATTTAGATTTTGGCCCATTAAATATCGGCATGACTTACAAATTTTGTTCAGAACTTGAAAAACTAGTGAACTCCCCCACACACAGCTCACATAGAATCTATCACTTCACATCCCTGCTCCCTCACAAGCGCATAAATGCAGCTTACCTGATGTGTGCGTTTCAAGTCATCATTTTAAATCGATCACCCGAACAATCATTTGAACCTTTTAAGTCCTTGCCTCCTTTTGAAGGTTTTCGTGATGCTGGAGGTACAAATTCTCCATATCGATGCTCAATTTTGCATTGTCTTAGAGGACTGGAAAAATCAATCCAATTAAATTGGTTTGATATGAAAACTTTTAATATAAGAGATTACGAATTCTATGAAAGAGTAGAAAATGGGGATTGAAACTGAATAATCCCAGGCAAAATGCTAGCCTTTGCATCGCCAAACCCGGCTCAAATTGATCAGCAAGGATTTAAGCTGTGAACACCTGAAGATTATGCACCTTTATTTAAGCAGCTTGGGGTAACTGCTGTTGTTAGGCTTAATAATAAAACCTATGAAGCAGAAAGATTTACGACACTTGGGATCAGGCATTATGATATCTACTTTGTAGATGGGTCTGTGCCAAGCAGAGAAGTAATTGACCAATTTTTGAGGATTTGTGAAGAAGAGCCAGGAGGCGTTGCAGTACATTGTAAGGCTGGGCTTGGGAGAACGGGCACGCTAATTGGGATGTATGCAATGAAGCATTATAGATTCCCAGCTGAAGATTTTATTGGTTATATAAGATTGTGTAGGCCTGGAAGTGTGCTTGGCCCCCAGCAGCAATTTTTATGCGATATGCAGGAGCAGGCATTTGGCTGGGGTGATGATTTTAATGGTGAAAATGATATTGAAAACAGAGTCTATGTAATTTTAATGTAGAGAATGGAAGTTTCAAGTCCTGAAGAAATTAAGAGCCCAATGTCTCCAGAAGATAAACATATTTCAATGTTTGGAGATAATGGACAAGCTGAAAGGCTTATGCATGCTAAAAAATCAAACCAAAATTCGCCAAATGTAAGTTCTCCGATACCAAAAACAAAAAATATTAATAATGAAAGAGGTGGCATGATAAGCTTGGAATCGAAAAATTCCAAGAATATGACAAATATTTTTGTAAAGCCGAACTTCATAAGAATTGAAAATGGAAGACGTTCTCAGCATGCAAAATAGAAATAATTTTTAATCATAATGATTTTTAAAAAATATTTTGATTAATATAAAAAGATAATCAGAAAAGTGCATAGATAAATTTAATTATCTTACATTTAAAATTAAATCATAAATAAATTTATTTAATTTTAGCTTAATTTATATAGAAAGTTATTTAATAATTATCTTTTTATTATCCTGACAGAAATTTCTCAAGGATTACCACAATTATTTAAATCTGGGCATCACGTTCTTCATTTAAACTGACTATTTCTTCTAATCTATTTAACGTCGCTCTTTGACAATCAAATCTGCTCACAATTGCATAATAATTTTCATCTCCAACATGCAAGGTGGCCAAACTCAAATAAAAGTCGTTTTGCTTGGGGACTCCGGCGTAGGCAAATCCAGCCTTGTTTTAAGATTCGTCGCTGATAACTTCAAAACTGACCGAGATGCAACAATCGGCGCCTCTTACATGGGCAAGAATCTCCAATTCAACGACAAGACCATAAAATTCAACATCTGGGATACAGCGGGACAAGAGAGATATCACAGTTTAGCCAAAATGTATTACAGAGACGCCAACGCCGCAATCATTACTTATGACATTACCAAGCGTGAAAGCTTTGAAGGCCTTCAAAGATGGCATCGAGAATTACAAGAGTTTGGGCCTAAAGACATAGTTGTTACAATTGCAGGAAATAAAGAAGATTTAGTTGAAACTGAAGCTGTCCCTCCTGAAGAAGCTAAAGATTTTGCTAACTCAATTGGAGCTATATATCGTAAAACATCAGCCAAAACAAACTACGGGGTTGAACAATTATTCAGAGATATCGCTGCGAAAATTTGTCCAGACCTTAACAGTCCTCAATCAGCCCCAAAAAGGAATACAATTGCGCTGGATAAAAAAGTTAACCAAACTCAGGCAGCAAAAGAAAAGAAATGCTGCTAAAATAACAATTAATCGTTATTAAGGTATTTTATTAGTAAATTAAATATTTAATTACTTATGCAACAGTCTATATACTTCATAAAGCTGTAAGGAAGTTTCGTTTAGTCACTCAATCACAAGGATATCTTGCTTAGTCTCATTTAAATTAAAATCTGTAGGCTCTTGTTTAAATTCAGGCTTTATCGTCTAAATTCTTGAAAGAGTTGCCCTTAATTTGTGATTTCCAGGCTCTATTCCAAGAGAAATAAACGACCCTGGCGTCTACAGCCCTGGCCTTATAGGTGTTTCGTCACTGGCTTTAATATGGTTTTACTTTCCTAAGAGAATTGGATAAATCAATCCAATTAAATTGGTTTGGTATGAAAGCATTTAATATAAAAGATTAAGAATTCTATGAAAGGGTAGAAAATAGGGATTGAAACTGAATAATCCCAGGCAAAATGCTAGCCTTTGCATCGCCAAACCCAACTCAAATTGATCAGCAAGGTTTAAGCTGTGAGCACCTGAAGATTATGCACCTATATCTAAGCAAATTGGGTAACTGCTGTTGTATGTCTTAATAATAAACCTATGAAGCAGAAAGATTTACGACTCTTATGATCAGGCATTATGATATCTACTTTGTAGATGGGTCTGTGCCAAACAGAGAAGTAATTAATCAATTTTTGAGGATTTGTGAAGAAGAGCCAGAATGGGCTGCAGTGCATTGTAAGGATGGGCTTGGAAAAGCGAACACACTAATTGGGATGTATGCAATGAAGCATTATAGATTCCCAGCTGAAGATTTTATTGGTTATATAAGATTGTGTAGGCCGGAAGTATGTTTGGCCCCCAGCAGCAATTTTTATGCGATATGCAGGAGCAAGCGTTTGGCTGGAGTGATGATTTTAATGGTGAAAATGATATTGAAAACAGAGTCTATGTAATTTTAATATAGAGAATGGAAGTTTCAAGTCCTGAAGAAACTAAGAGCCCAATGTCTCCAGAAGATAAACGTATTTCGATGTTTGGAGATAATGGACAAGCTGAAAGGCTTATGCATGCTAAAAAATCAAACCAAAATTCGCCAAATGTAAGTTCTCCGATACCAAAAACAAAAAATATTAATAATGAAAGAGGTGGCATGATAAGCTTGGAATCGAAAAATTCCAAGAATATGACAAATATTTTTGTAAAGCCGAACTTCATAAGAATTGAAAATGGAAGACGCTCTCAGCATGCAAAATAGAAATAATTTTTAATCATAATGATTTTTAAAAAATATTTTGATTAATATAAAAAGATAATCAGAAAAGTGCATAGATAAATTTAATTATCTAAATTTAAAATTAAATCATAAATAAATTTATTTAATTTTAGCTTAATTTATATAGAAAGTTATTTAATAATTATATCTTCTCATTATCCTGACAAAAATTTCTCAAAGATAACCACAATTATTTAAATCTGGGCATCACGTTCTTCACATAAACAGACTATTTCTTCTAATCTATTTAATATCATTCTTTGACAATCAAATCTGCTCACAATTGCATAATAATTTTCATCTCCAACATGCAAGGTGGCCAAACCCAAATAAAAGGGACTCCGGCGTAGGCAAATCCAGCCTTATTAGAAGATTCGTCGCTGATTCCTTCCCTGAACGAGAGTCGTCAATCGGCATCTCTTACATGGTCAAGTATCTCCAATTCAACGACAAGACCATAAAATTCAACATCTGGGATACAGCGGGACAAGAGAGATATCACAATTTAGCCATAATGTATTACAGAGACGCCAACGCCGTAATCATGACTTATGACATTACTAAGCGTGAAAGCTTTGAAAGCCTTAAAAGATGACATTGGGAATTACAAGAGTTTGGGGCCTAAAGACAAGAAAAAATCAAAGGATAGTTACACTAATTTTTTCCTATAAAAAGAGACTCAATTTTTTTCTACCGCTATTTTATAGAGTAAAAATTTCCCTTGGTTTCTGGTAAATCCCTAAAGACATAGTTGTTATAATTGCAGGAAATAAAAAGGATTTAGTTGAAAATGAAGCTGTTTCTCTTGAAGAAGCTAAATATTTTGCTAACTTAATTGGAGCTATATATCTTAAAACATCAGCCAGAATGAACTACGAGGTTGAACAATTATTCAGAGAAATCGCTGCAAAATGTTGCCCAGAGTTTAACAGCCCTCAATCAGCCCCAAAAAGAAATACAATTGCGTTGGATAACAAAGGTAACCAAACTCAAAAGAAATGCTTCTAAAATTGTAACTAATTGTTATTAATGTATTTTTATTAGTAAATTAAATATTTAATTACTTATGCAACAGTCTATATACTTTATAAAGATGCAAGGAGGTTTCGTTTAGTTCGCTCAATCACAAGGTTATCTTGCTTAGGCTCATTTGAATTAAAATCTGTAGGCACTTGGTCGAATTCAGGCTTCATCGTCGAAATTCTTGAAAGAGTTGCCCTTAATTTGTGATTTCCAGGCTCCATTCCAAGAGAAATAAACGACCCTGGCGTCTGCAGCCCTGGCCTTATAGGTGTTTCGTCACTGGCTTCTGATATGATTTCACTTTCCTCAGTCACTACTATATCTTGATTCGGAATTATAGGTATTTTAAGGCTGCTCCTTTGCTGATAATTCAAGCTTGGGAACGACAAAAGTTTCCTTTCAGACGATGCGTTTTTCCCATAAGGTTTTTCTTCTATTTTCATCTCATTTAGCTCAGGAGAACTAGTGACTCAGCTACTTTCTAAAATGGCTTGTGAGGCATCCATACGATTATTATTGTTTTCATCTGGAGTTTGTATTCTAGAATTCAGAGCTGATTTACCGTTTTTAATCATATCAAGAAGATTTTTTGGCTTGCTTTCTTCAACTTTTACAGGTGATTTTTCAACAGAGGTGAAGGAAATGTCTTTGGATGTATTCAATAGAAGTCTTCCACCTTTCTGTTTACCTGAATGCCAAGCTTGTTTTTTCAGGTCAACTTTTTCAGAAGTTAATTGATTTTGAGGAAATAATTTTTTTATGTCTAATCTCGGAACAATTTCTGGCCGAGGTTTAATTTTAAGAGGGGTTTCCTGATAGTTTAACTTGTCAGAAAAATTGATAGAAATGCTGCGATGCTTTGGTAAATTTAAATCTTCAGGTTTTACTAATTTCCCCCCGTGAATGAACAAAAAAATTTTTGTTTGCTCACGCAGGGGGTTTAATTGTTTTTTAACAAAAAAATTTATTAATAAAATTTATAGAAAATTTTTTTTTTCGAAATTTAAAAAAAAAATCCTAATTCGCAAAAATTGGAAAGCAAATGTTAATTTAATTTATAAAATTTATTTTTTAAAAACACAATTTGTTTAAAATTAAACAGAATTAATTAGAGATTTCATTATAAAAATTATCACTTATATATCAATTTTTTTTTCTATAAAAAATTTTTTGTTCGCTCACTGAGGGTGGGTTTTTTTGCGCAAAAATAGCGATTTTCTAATGGTTTTGTTCATTCACGGAGGGGAGTAAGGTTGATATGTCGACTTTCTCGACTATTATGTCTGAGAATTGAGACTCAATTTCGTTCATTGTAGGAGCCACTTGTTTTTGTTTTGTCATTGCACATGATCCCATTTTCGATTAATTTAAAATATTTATTTTTCAGGGATTACAAAAGTTACAGTAATTCCATTTTATTTCAAAATTTAGGAGATCAAAATATAGTATGCACAGTTAATTATATAAGTGACCACCGGTGCTTTGATTGGACTTGGGAATGGATTTTAACGCCAGTCCCGACTGCGACTAAGCCGGGACAATCTTGGCTTGGCTTTATTGATGATGAATAAGCTGGCTTTACTGATTTTGTGCTTGAAATAAACTCACTTTGAGGAGAACGCTCTTCAATAAAATCAGTGTTAATTAATTTTTGAGCATTTTCTTCGGGGCTATATATAGGAGTTTCTTTATTATCATTTGGATTGTTGAAATTGTCGTCAGGGTTATGCCTGCCATTAACTTCCTCTTCTTTTAAACAGGAACAAAAATCTTGATCCAATTTAAAGGGGGATAAATTTATTTTTTTAAAAAAATTTTAAAAAAATAAAAAAATAAATTGAAAGCAGTATTTTTGAATTTTAAATTATTTATGAAGAATTAATTGATTCAAATTAAGAAACGTTTATCTAATATTCTACTCGCACTATTTCCTTTAAATTAGATCAAACCTATTTTATAAAAATAGTATTTTTCACATAATAAATTACCTATCGAAAAAAATTTTAAAGGAAAATTCCCAAGCCATAAGCCATGGAAATTTACAGATATTTGTTCCAATTTAAATCCAAAAATGAAAATTTACTTATATTTTGTCCAATTTAAAATGGGGGAGTAAGAATATCTGCAATCGAATGCCTTTGCTTAAAATATACTTCAGAAGAAAAATGCTTGTTTTTTTTAATGTTTTCTTCACACAATTCAGTTTTTTTTTCTTGGTCTTTATAAGTCGTTTTATTTCATATAAATATTAGCTCATCCTTATATTTATTTGTATATTTTTCAGGCTTTTCAATTTCTGGCTTATTCTGTGGTGGTGGCGGTTTATATACTGGAATTTCAGGCCTTGCCTTAGGCTTGCATAATTTGTCTTGATGGATTAATTCTAAATATCTCGCTGACATGCTGTTCGGGTCATTTGCGTTTATCATAAGAATTTGTTCAGGTGAAATGTTTTGTTTAAATTTATTTAAAAATCTGTCATCAATCAGTTTTGATCTTGCTGTCTCAATTGCAAACTGGTCTACAACATCTCTTTCTTCAAGCTTTCTCAATGTATTATACAAAGGAAAAGCATTAATAGCATAATTCAGCTTGGTATTGACCTTTTTTGCTTCAGGCAATGGATAGGCTGCACTCATAGGCCTTGATTTCGTAGGCTGAGTTTCCCCTAAAACTAAAGCTAAAGAATTCCTTGAGCTGCTGCTATTTCTAGCTGTTTTCGACATCCTATTTCATTCAGTCAGTCAATTCATGGAATGCGATTCTAGGTCTTTGATATCCAAATTCCTATTTTTTGAAATTCTGGCACTTTTGATGCCAGCAGTTGATGGGCGAGTTTTGCTATTCAAACTGATTGCAGTTCTACTCGCTGTGGCCGGCCTTGAATTTATGTTATAAGCAGACTTCGGACGGTTTAAAGTTGTACGTGCAGACTGAGGGTTCTGGTATGAAAACGTATGTAAAGCTTCATCCATCTTGCAAGAAATATAATAAAGAAATTATTACTTAGTCTTCTTCGTCGTTTTCTTTTTCTGCGTCTGAGTCACTTTCTAGCTCTTCTGGAGCAACTAATGGGGTTGGCTCTGGCTGCTCTACTGGGTCTTCAGGGTCAGGCAGGACATCAGGAGGTGAAATTGGGTTAAATGTTGGATCAAGTCGTTTCACTCCATATCCAATATACACATTGACCCACGCTCCACCTTTGTGAATTGTTAAAGATCCTGGCCATCTCACATTTCTTATCACATTGGCTGCATAGCACACCGACCCTTCTGCTGGTGGCTTAGCCCCATACACTTGATTATCCCCAATCAAGCTAAACTGCCAGCCTTTTTCTTCTTCAGCGATTGGCTCGTCTTCACTAATAATTTTAATTCTATCCACAACAGGGTCTTCATCTTGCATTTTTGCTTTGATTTCTTCTACATCGACTTCTTCCCCTTCAGGGACTTCAGGTTCCGCATGGGTCACTCTTCCAGCCTTTAAAATATTTGCATGTAAATGTACCCAGCTTTCGTCAGAGCTCAGTTCTTCAAAAGTAGGGACAGCTAATTCCTCTTCAAGCTCAATCACTTGTGGGTCTTCTTCATTGACTTTAAAAATCCCTTTTGGTGCCAAAACAGTGGCTGCGGTTATTCTCGCGATCTGAGCTCTTAATAAGTGCCTTTCTTTTCCTGGGAAAATCGGGTAGCTTAAAATGTCAGCATTTAGGTTTCCTGTGAAAACTTTTTTAATCTGTCTTGCCACAATGATTTGTTGAGGACTTACGTCAGGAAGCTCAATCCAGTCTTCAAGGATGCTGTCAGTTACCCAATATGTGTACTTATTCACACCTTCTCCACGTTTTTCAAAGCCTTTTGGTCTTTCTACATCTTCTTTGCCGGCTCCTTCTAATAAGCCTTCTGCTATATAGTAGTCTTTTTCTCTTCCGTATATTTTGCCCCAAAATCTCATTTCTTTCGCCCCGCTGCTTCTCATAAGCCGCTTCAGGGACATTTGAATTCTGTAGGTTTCTTCTTCGCCAAAGCTAATTCCTGCGAATTCAAGGAGTTTGGCGTCTTTTAAGAAATCGCTTAAGGAATGCAGGGCTGGAGGGTGGGATTCGACGATGAAGCCTTGAGAAGTCTTTACTTTGTATTTTTCAAGGAGTTTTTCATTGTCTCTGATCCAGTTGCTGAGGACGGTCCAACGAGATTGGATGTTTTGAAGATCTGAGGCTGGTCTGGGCTCGCTATAGAGAAAGCGGTTTGCTTTTACGAAGGAAGAGATTGATTCGAAGTTTTCGTAAAGCTTTTCAGGCTTTTCGCGAAGGATGTAAGAAAAAATCTCTTGAAGATGAGAATAAATGCTTTGGCCGCTTGCTTCAGAGCTATTGGATAAAATTTTTCTGAGTTTCTCTTGTTCCATCTGGGTAACTGATTTGAAATTATTAGAAATAAATGAAGCTTTTATAGTAATTAGAAATAAATTTATATAATATCAATTTTTTAGTATCATTTTGGCTGACTAAATATAATTTATTGCAGGTCAGTAAATTTCATTTATATTAGACAAAAAACTAAAAATTTAATCAAATGATGAAAAAACTGCAAGGCAAAGCCTATCTTCAGTGGCCTGGAAATAACAGAATTATTTTAAATGGAAGAATTCTCCTTGGGTAAGCTATAATCAGTTCAAATCTCAAAAGATCAGTTTTTACATTTCTCATGCTAACCATTCCAGAAATATTTTTCATTTCTTATCCTGGACTACATTACTTATCACTCGGCAAGCCTTTTATTTTAATAATCTCCCTTATTCTTTCCCTGCTCTCCCTTATTTTTTTTATTTTCACAGCAATCACTACACCTGGCTATCTTCCAAAACAAATTCCTCCATTTGCCACAGGTCCAAAAAATGCTCCACTGCTATCAAGGGTCATTCAAATTGAGTCTATAAACATCAGAAAAAATATTCGGCTAAAAAATTTGGTGATTCCTCATAAAGGTGTCCTTATGGAATTGAAATATTGCCCAATTTGTGAGTCTTATTATAGGCTATATTTTGAGGCCTCCAAGGGCAGCACACTGTGAAGAATGCGGACATTGTGTAGAAGACTTCGACCATCATTGCCCATGAGTTAGTAATTGTATTGGGAAAAGGAATTATAAATTTTTCTATATATTTTTAAGCAGCTTGTTTGGGTATATTGTTTTTATAGAATGAATTTCTATTGAGTATGTATGTAAAACCTGGTTTGAAAATGATGCATCTGTTATAATGCTCTGCGTAATATTTATAGGGCTAGGAGCGTCATGGTTTGTTATTGGATTATGGGTTATTCATAGCTATTTAATAGCACATAATTTGACGACAAGGGAAAAAGTTAAACAAATTTGGGAAAAATTGAGAATAAATCCTTTTGATAAGGGATTGCGAAATATAGCAAGGATTTTTGAAAGAAGTGTACAGGAAAGGTTTGATTTAAGAGATGATGGAAGTCTGGAATTAAATAGATTTACAAATTGTCACAAAGATAAAGCAGTTAAAACTGTTATTTCAAAACAAAGATACAGCATATATCCAGAAAACAAGCTTGAAGAGCATATTGAGCTGATGAAGGAGTTTCCAGCATCACTAATCACCACAACAAGAAGTGGGCCGGCTACCTCAAGAGATGAGTAATATTTTTGTATTATTTTGCTATAGTGTCTTTTATAGCACCTGCTACTAAAATTAATAGATTATTTGTTGCTATATAATAGCGAATGCCCTTTATTTTTATTTATTAGGCATGTGTTTGGAGAAAAAACGTATAAATGATATAGAAATAATGAAAGAAAACCTTTGATGTTTTTAAGAAAGCCTGGGGAGAATGCTTTATAGCTATTAATTATCGATAATTGTTTTATGTTGCTATAGCTGATCAAAGACTTACTATAAATTATAGAAAATAGAAAATCCCTTAATTATGGTAAAGTCCATTTTTCTATTTATCTAGCATATTTTCTTTTTTAATTTTTAAGCTTATATGAAATCAGCCATAAATCAGTTTTTGGATTAATAATTAATAAATAATGAACCTGAGAATTGTCTTCATTCCTTGTATTATAAGCTTTGCATTTTCTCAGTGCTGTCTAGAATGCAATGGCTGTACAAATCCTTGTTCCTCTTGCAACACTGGATTTTATTTAATTGGAAGTCTATTATGTGTAGATGCATGCCCTTCAAACTCTAATGCAATTATGCTACCTGGGAGTGTATTTGGATGCACCGCCCCTTCTGGAATACTATTTTCTATTGATTTTTCATCTCAGCAAGACCTCACTGCTCACAATATCGGGGAATTTATGACACCATCCTCAATAGCATTTAACTCATTAACCAAGGTTACTCCTTTACCAACTTTAGATCGAGGATTTTATTTTGAAGGATCATCAGGCTTGATAGATACTTACAATTGAATCCCGTCCTACCTATTTTCGCTCAATGTATGAATTCTTCCTATTTCCCCTGGTGTTATTTTAAGTGTTGGGATTGGTGGAACTGAGTATATCAGATGTGAAACGGTTGGGTCAAGCTATAAAATCACATCATTGTTTAAAAGTCAAATATCATCACCATATACTGAAAGCTTACAAATAAGCGGACTATTAATTCAATGGCAAGCAGTAACCCTTCAAATTGAGCAGACTGATTATCGTACAATAAATCTAAATATTATTATTGGCGGATCCAGCAATACGAAAACGATATTCAGTTTTCTGTTTTGTGCCAAAATATCTTAGGGCATCTAGCTCCATATAAAACTGAATATTCATATTGATTTTTCAATACATATTACTGTAAAATAGCATATCAAATTTAGAGGCAAATTATCCAAATTTAGCTTATAAATGAATTATTGGTAAAAGCAGCTTTGGAAATTCCTTTCAAGGATTTCTTTATTCTCTAGTTGTTCGGAGTGAGATATTGGGCACATCAATAACAAAAAATCTACCAAACTGTTTAAATAATTATTATTGAGATGGCCAATCATGCAATCATTGCTCAGGAAGTTGTGGTGTGTGGCCTTGGTGTGTTAGAGGAACAGATTGTTCTTATTGTGCTAGTCCTAACTGCTCTATATGCTCTGGCTATCTTAGCTCAATGTGCACTAGCTGTGCAAATAATGAAAGTCCACCAAGTTGTTGTGATGCTTCATGTGCTACTTGTTCAGGGCTAGGATACTATTCATGCTCTTCATGCTACTCTGGAACATTTTTATTACCTCATTCTAAAAAAACTAAAAGGTGTTAAAATTTTAATCGAAATAAAAAATCAATTCAATTAAATTATTTTAAAAAATTAATAATATTTATTGGGAAGTAAGAGGAATATGCATTCCATCATGCCCATCAGAGTATACAGAAGATAGCACTTTGAATCAATGTGTTGTAATATCAAATTTAATACTCTCTGTATCCTTAAATGACCAAATTGTATTGGATGAGATCAATGGAATTGATATCGGTAGCAATAATACAAATAAGTATCCAGAATTTGACATAAATGATCCCATACCTGCTTACTTAAGAGGATACTATTTTTCATCCAACTCTCTCATGTATTCAGAAGGAAAATATCTCTCCCCATGGTTTTCTCTTAATTTTTGGCTTTATCTCATGACAAGTGGTAGTCTTTTCAGCAAATTTTCAACTACAGATTTAGCTAAAATATCATTTGTCTCAGGTTCAGCATCTGTTAAGCTCACTTTATCTGATTCTTCAATAATATCATTTACTGGATCGACTTCTCTTTTAAGCTCTTGGCATTATTTATCAGTAACAGGGACTGTTATTTCAGGCGAAACAGTGCTATCTCTTTATATTGACAACTCTCTTGACACTTTAAAAAGTTCTATTAGTCTTGCTTATTTATATGATATAGCTTACACTCCGTTTTAGATCGGCGTTGAGTACCCTCTCCTCATGCCACCTACCCCCTAACGGTCCCAAATATTTTAACATGTTGAATATTAATTTGTCAAGCTAAAATATTTGAGGGGGGCTTGTCTAATAAAATTTAAACATATAAAATTTTCAAGAACGTCAGAGGGTGGGTGACATAGGGAGGGGGCACTTAATGGTGAGCAACCACAAGAAGAAAAATTGATATTACCCTACCCTAAATTAGCATTTCCCACACACAAGAATCCACACCTCCTCGTCCCATTTCTCAGCATTCCCAGTCCCAAACAACTCAGAGCCAATTTCCCACAAAATCAGAGCCAATTTCCCACACAACTCAGAGCCAATTTCCCACACAACTCAGAGCCAAACAACTCTGAGCCCCGAGCAACCATAAGGGGTGTGCTATATAGGGGAAATGACTATTGGTGGGACTTCTAGCAGCTTTGAAGGCTATTTATGAAGTTTCGAACTGTATAATGATGAAACTAAATGATCTGCAAGCTGAAATACTGCAGGATGTGGATCTGGATGCTCAGTTTGTCCAATTGGACTTTCATGCCCAACTTGCCAATTCTCAGAATACCTGGATTCTACTTCTTCCTGCTCAAACTGTTTAGCTTCTTGCACTGAGGGATGTAGAAATTCAGATATATGCGACCTTTGCAAATCATATGCATGTGCTGAATGCACATCATTCTCTGGAAGCTGCTTATCCTGCATAGATAATGCATCGCTAGATGGATCTGGCGGGTGTAAATGCAATTGAAGTTTTTATTGAAAATCTTCAATTTCAGACTGCTTTTTATGTGATATGAAATGCAAAACTTGTCTAGAAGTGGGGCATAATTAAAATATGGCGTCTCAACTTGGGTCTCGAGCCCTATTTTAATTATATCCGGCAAAGTTTTGCCATTCAGAGATGAACGGCAATCCTAGATAAGCAACTCTATGGCGTACAAAGCCTAGCCCTAGTCTATTCTCAGGGGTGGATTTTACCTAATGGGAAGGAAGGCACAATGGTTGGAAAGAGAAAGCACTGCAACTTCGTAAAGATCAATCGGGCAACTCCTTAGCGTGAAACCAAGAGTTAAGCCTCGGGCCTTGTGATTTTCCTTTTTGCCGTGATTCGGCCAGAAAATCCATTTTTTGGATTTTCCTAGCAGGCAACCCATGTCACACGTATATCGCCATCTTGGCCGGCAACTGCGCGGAGTCACAACCTAGTGTAACAAAGCAGATCAGCCCAGCGGCCTGTGGGCCCGGTGTGGTGAAGATGCAGTGGGAAGCTCTGGGTTTAGGCAACTCCATAAAGGGCGTTAAACTTATAAATTCTAATGTAATGTCTAGAAACGGGACTATTTGAGTGCTCTATATGCCGCTCAGGAAAGTTTCGCATTGATCTGGTGTGTATAAATGAATGCCCATATGGCTTTGATTCTAATTGTAATCAGGTAACAACTCCTGTTGTAGATCAAAAATTTGACATTAGTTTTAATAGCAGCTATGGAATTTTCACAGTAAATTTAGATGCAAATAGGCTTGCTTTTTTTGATGCTTTGGATCCCTCTGATCCTGTGCCTCCGTCTCAGAGAGGGGTGTTTTTATCCGAACTGATGTATTTGGAGTCTTCAAATCTATATTTATCACATAGCTGTTCTATGGGATTTTGGACTAATATAATGGTTGATGGAGATTTAATACACTATGCTGGCGCTGAATCTGCATTTACAGTCACTCAAAGTAGTCCTCCAAGCTATTCTTTGCAATATTATCTTGTTGATAGAAATATATCTAACGGTGAATATCAGGTATCAACAACTGTTAATTCAGGCTGAAATTATATTTCCTTTACATTTCAATATCTTAATTCAGGGACTCAAGTTACTATTTTTCTTAATGGAAATGCGATGGGAGCCCAATATACATCTGATCGGATCTTTCGTCCAAGATCATCTGCAAAAATGCAGCTAGGATATAGCTCAATATGAATGGTTGGATATTTTTACAGTATTCAGATATGAAATGTTGCAATATTTGATTTTTCTCATTATATAAATGATGATTCTTGTGGTACTGGAAATGGAGTTAACTGTCTTTACCCATATGATAAAGTATTTTATAATGATACAACTAACTGTGGCTTATGCACAAATGATGTAAATTTGGGATGCTCAAGAGGAATTAAATGCAATCAGTGCTATAGCAATCTTTGTGCATCATGCACAGGATATGGACCTAACTTGTGTACTGCCTGCTGTGCACATGCTTCAGGGTTTCCAGGAGACTGCTTTTGTGATGATGGATATAGACCCATTCATGTATATGAATGTAAATTATGCCCAACAGGATGCACTGTATGTGGTAGCGATCTGTTTAGCAGCTGCTCAGAATGTTTTCCTAATTTTTATTTACTATTTGGAGTTTGCAACGCAAACTGCCCAACCGGATACATTATAAATACCGTTAACAATACATGTGACATTAGCTCAATTTTAGCCTTCTCTATTGATTTTCAAGACTTTATTCTTTTGGATACAATTGGTTCATTGAATATTGGGAATGATCCAACCAATAAATACCCAAATTATGATGCCAATGATCCATGACCAGCAGATAATAGAGGCTATTATTTTTTAGGCTCAAGCGTTGCATATACAAGTTTTATGTTTGGACCAACTTTTACTATAACAATGTGAATTAAGCCTCTGCAGACTGGGGTGGTTTTGCAGAAATGGACTTCATCATCTAAAGTGCTAGTTTATATTGACTCAGGCGGCGCTGCCACATTAACTATCACATTTGGCAGCGGCTCTCTTTCAGCGTCATCAGTTTCAAGCCTCTTTAACAATTGGTGCTATTTCTCTGCTACAAGTTTTTTTAATAGTACTGATGCTACAACAGATTTAAATATATACCTAAATGGTCTACTAAAACAAACAAAATCTTCAGGAGCAAACTGAATTGGAGATTTACCTTCAGGATTTCTGTATATAGGAGCTGATTATACCAAAAGTAATGGCTTTGTTGGGTTTTTAACAAGAGTCAATATTTATAATGATGATGCACATTCAGACTCTGATTTTGTGACAGCTTGTAATGGAACTTGTGCAGCATGCCCAGTATCATTGAATTGTTTTAGTGACTGTGCTTTAAATAAATACCCTGACACGTGCGGATCTTGTGCAGGATCATGCAATAAAGGATGTGTAAGAGACTTGACATGCAGACTATGCAAACAGCGAGAGTGTTTAGAATGTGAATCGTTTTCTGGGAACTGCACAAGCTGCATTCCTAATGCTTCTTTAGACTCAGGATCATGTTTTTGTGATCAAAATGCTTTTTATGATTCGCTAAGCCAAAAATGCCTTATTTGTGATTATTTGTGTGATATCTGCTTAACTGATGCTTTTTTTGAATGCAGTAGCTGCACGGCAGGTACAACCCAGATAAATAATACGTGTTTGCATGACTGTCCTTACGGATTTGAGCTCCCTGGATGCATCCCTACTAATAATATAATAATTGATGAGCTTTTTTATGGAACATTCCAAGGAAGCTATGGAATTTTGACTACAGGTATAGACCCTTTAAAATATTATTTTTGAAATAATTCAGAATCTGTTGACCCAATTCCTGCAGTTAATAGAGGTCTTTATTTTACAAATGGTATGTATTTAGAGACGAATACTAGTATTTATCTTTTTCATAGTTTTTCATTAGGAATCTGGATATATAGTGTAACTTATGGGGATGTTCTGTATAAGCAAGACAGGCTTGTTTTGAAATCTAATGGGCAATTGCAGATAGTACTAGAGGATCCTTCTCAAACAGCAAATACTATGACAACCTCAGCTCTTTCAATGAGTGGCTGGAATTATTTATCAATCTCAATTAACTACACAAGCTCTTCCACCTCTGTTACAGTCTACCTTAATAATATAGTAAAATCATCAATCATATACACAGCTTATTTATTCAGAGATGCAGTATATCATACAATGATTATTGGAAAAAGCACTTCCCTATTATTTTCAGGGTTTATCTATGAATTTACACTGTGAAATTATGCAGTTGCAGACTTTTCAGCAAAAACCAATAATTTATGTGGAATAAATAAAGGCTCATCTTGTCTCTGAAGCTGTAATTTTAATCAATATCACGATTCTTTATCAGGCTGCAATTCATGCAATTCTTGTACAGAAGGTTGCAGGAATTCTGAAAATTGCAACGTATGCTACGACTCTTTATGCGAAATTTGTTCTGATTTTAACGAAGGCTCATGTGTTAAATGCATCTCCAATTCCAATCTTATATCAGGTGGATGCTTTTGTGACCCAAGCTGCTACTGAGACACAATTGACCAAACGTGCTCTATTTGTTATTATAAATGCTCATCTTGCACATCTAATAAAGAATACGACTGCACTTCATGCAAAACAGGCTACGTATTACTTGAAGGAGTTTGCACAACTTTTTGTCCGCTTGGCTATGCTAATAGTGCAGGTATCTGTACTTTATATAATGATTTTATATTTAATTTGAATTTTAATACCCTCTCAGGGATTATTCATGACGCACAAAGCTATATTCCAGTGATGACTGGCAACTCATCAGATTTTTATCCTAATTATGATATAGATGACCCTATAGCAGCCTATTTAAGAGGATTCTATTTTAATGGAGTAAGCAGTGTTATGCATCTTCCTATACATAAGAATTACAGCTCTCCAAAGCTTACTTTATCTCCATCATTTACTATTTCTCTGTGGGTAAATCCTGAAAACTCAAACAGTTGCTTATTTTATAAATCTCGAAGCACCATCGTCAATTCTCAAATGGTCTATGTAAGCCTTGTAAATTATTACCCATCTCTTTTGCTGAATCTCAAAGGAAGTCTTATTTCTCATAAGTGTGAGAACATTATATCAGCTTCTGAGTGGAATCATATATCTTTTACAATAGATTTTGATTCATCAAGAAGTACAGTAATTACATGCTTTATTAATACAATTTCTTCTACAAATCCAGCTATTTCTACTTCTAATTATTATCTGGATGATATAAATAGCGTTTCTGTCAAAATTGGAGCTTTTCAGCAGGCCGCAGATACTTATATAAATTATTTTAAAGGCTTTTTGTTTAAGCTATCAATATATAACTCAGTTAAACCAATATCAAGATTAGCCCTGGATTCTGCATTATGCAATGAAAATTGCAATTCTTGTCCTGTCACAAAGACCTGTATCCCAAATTGTAAAATTTCAGAATACTGAATAGGCCCTTCTTATTCTAATTGCTCCAACTGTAGCTCAAACTGTACTTTTGGCTGCAAAGATTCTAGCCAATCTTGCTCTCTGTGCTATAATAAAATATGTCAACTATGCTTGGATTATACAGAAAATGGGTGCAGCAAATGCAAGCCAAATGCCAGTAATGAAACTTCTTGTGACTGTGACTCTCCTTATTCATGAAACCCATATTATGACAGCTGTGAAGTAATTTCAGATGGCCAATACTGAGGAGATGACGGATTGGCCCATTCTTGTACTCAAAAATGCCAAAAATGCACAAATGAAACTGCTTGTGTCAAATGCTTAAATAATACTGAAATTATAAATGGCGAGTGTGTTTGCCTGCACGGATATAATGGAACAAATACTTGTGAACTACTTACGTTTCAAGCTTCACTGAAAGTGGATGTGGATAATTCTTTATATCTAACTTTTACTGAAGAGCTAAAATTTCAATTAAGCTATGGGGATTTCATAATTAATGTAGAAGGAAAAACAAATTGCAAATGATATTTTGAGATTCAAGGGCCTAGTAAATATTTTATTTCAATAGATTTCAGTTCTAGTGTTTCTGCTGGAACTAAAGTTATATTAACATTTACAAATAGCTCAAATATTTTTTCAATATATGATGCTGTCCTTGAAAATATCTCTTTAGAAGGCTCGCTTTATAAATACGAATACACTTCTCCTTATATAGAAACTATTGCACAGCAAGCCACTGCAGGGTCTCAAATTGCAGTAGCCACGTCTTTAATTTCTTCTTTTGTAACTCCAAATCCTTCATCTCTGTGAAGTATGACCAATGTTATAGAAGTTTTATCTTTCATTACCTTATCTGGCATTCCGTTATCAGCGTCAGTTTATACTTTTTTGAATAATTTGAATAGCTTTAATATAATGCCAAATATTTTTGAAAAATATGTGGATTCAAGTAATGGAGAAAAACCATACAAGCAGGCTTATGATTATGGCTATGAAACAAACTTGTTTCTTTTAAACTGTGGCAGTATACTAACAAGCTTGTGCATAATTGTTATATGCTTTCCGATAGTCGCATTTTTATCTAAATTCTCTCATTGTTAGAGGCCAAAGTTATCTTGCTCTCGAAGAAAAGGGGTTAATTATTTTTATTAATATTTTTATATATAAAAAAAATTTTCTATTATAAAAATCTCAATTTTTAAAATTTAAATTTAATTTATAAAAAAGTAAACTGTCAAAATTTTAATAGAATCATGAGATTTTTAATAATTATCATTAATATAATTTTATATTAAAAAAAATTTGCTCAAAAAAGATTAATTTTCCCAAAAATAAGGATTTTTCTCGTGGCTTTGATTGCTCAAAAGGAGTGTAAGTGTACGTATAGGTGGATAGGGAAAAAGTTCACTGAACAATTGCGGGAATATAAATTCTCTGTTTTTATTAGATTTTGGCTAGAAAGTTATATAGAGATTGGAGCTGCAGCTTTGATTGGACTTTTAAATGTAATTATCATATAGTTCCCTGTAAATAATGGTACAGAAATATTTAATATTATTATTTGCTTGCTCTTTGAAGTAACTCTTACTTAGATTCTTATTGCAATAACTCCAATTGCCATGCACTATTTTCTATTAAAAAATCGGAAAAAAATCATGAGCAAAAACAAAAAATTATTGAAAAAGTGGGATTCGCTATTCTATGAGTTTAATATCGATAAAAATGTTATGAGCAGCCAGTATTATTTGCTTTTTATATGAAGAAGGCTGATATATATAATGTCGCTAATTTTGCTTAGAAATTACCCAGGCGCTCAAGCAGTCATAATTGTTGCTTTATCTGCGATATTTACTTTGTATATTGTAATTTATAAACCACATAAAGATTCAGTGCTTAGAATTTCTAATATTTATTCAGAAGCCACTGTTTTGCTTGTGGTCATTCAAATTTCTCTTTTTGTATTTGACCTAAGTAGTGGCTTGCAAAGCTTTCTTGATGAATCTATCATAATATGTGTTGGAAGCATTGTAATTTCGCAGATGATTACTTCTATCGTAATATTTTCCAGAACTATATATACAGTATTAAAACCTAAAATTGATGATTTACTAAAGAAAAGGTCTCTATCCAAAAAAAGAATTGTTCCTAAAAACGACACAGAGAATAGTCTGGATGTTGAAGATATAAATTAATTATCATAACTTAAAAATATAAAACCTAGAAAATCATTAAGAAATGATTGAACTCAAATTATATTTCATAATAATCTCAATAATGTTTTTGTATTACATATAAACGAAATTTTTGATCGATTCATCATGAATATCTTTTGGCTTTCAAATCACAAAAACATAAATATACTAATCTAAACTCTGAGTTATTATCATTCATGCGATTAGGTATCTCGAATATTTATAAATATCCTGACATATCGACATTTTATTATTATTATTATATGCTAAATATACTGATCATATACTCCTTATCAACATTTTAATACTTTAGTATATTAGAACTAAAGAATCTTGAGTAGGATTGAATTTGCTTTTTTCGGCAATAATATTTTAATATAAAATTGCATTTTTAATAAATAATAAAAAATAAAATTAGTTAGTTAAAGCCAATTGACTTTTGTGAGAAGGCAATAAAAAAGTAAATAAAATTTTGGAATAAAAATTATTTTTTAAAAAGTGATTAAATTTTTACAAAAAAATTTGTTGAATTCTGCATATGACATTTGCTGTTTAAAATTGCCTTGATATAAAGAAAAAGGTAGCCTTTAGATTATCATATTAATCCGTTTTTATAAATCTTATTTGCCATTTTCCTGGTAATTTTGAGTTTTCTCTAATTTCTCAACCTCATCATCATTATTTTAAAAGAGTTGATTTTTCTTAAAATTGTTGACATTAATACTTATTAATTCAATGAAAACAAAGCTTGCTTTCCTTTCTATGATAATCAGCTTTGCAATCTCTCAATGCTGCAATGGATGCAATCCATGCACAAATCCATGCGCTTCATGTAGCAGTGGCATTTTAATAGGAAATTTATTGTGCGTTGATGGATGCCCATCAACTTCTACTCTATCAGGAAGTGCATGCTCAGCTCCTTCAGGACTTCTTTTTTCAGTTGATTTCACGACTCAACAGAGCCTAACAGCAAGCTCTATTGGCGAATTCTCAACGCAATCTTCAACAGCTTTTATATCTCCAAGTAAAATTACTCCTTTACCAACATTAGATAGAGGTTTTTATTTTGAAGGGTCATCAAGCTTGATCGATAATAATAGCTATATCCCATCCTACTTATTTACGCTCAACATATGAATTCGTCCTATTTCTCCAGGGACCATTTTGAGTGTTTCTTACCTTACCTTAATCATTTATAGAGTTTAGCATCCATTACGGGGTCACATTGTCCAGGGCTTCCACCATATTTATCCACGTGTCGGGCCATGAACCTCTGGCTCAATCCACTTTGTTTCGCCTGGGTACGAGACAAATACGATGTTTCAGCTTCGACGGGATTTTGAGTGTATCAAGTGGAGGAACTGAATATATAAGATGTGAAACATTATCAGCAGGCTATCAAATAACATCAAATTTTAAAAATCAAGCTTATAGCAGCCTTTCTCCTCAAAATTATCAAGCATCTGGACTATTATTTCAATGGCAAGCAGTAAGCTTTCAAATTCAGCAATCTGATTATACAACTATAAATCTTAGTATTATTATTGATGGATCAAGTAATGCGAACTCAATAATTGGTTTTGAAGCAAATTATCCAAGTGCGAATCCTTATAAATGATTTATTGGAAATAGCGGCTTTGCAAGCTCTTTTCAAGGCTTTTTGGCTTTCATTGAAGCTTGGAGTGACATTGTGACGACGACATCAATTTCTGGGTCTTTTCCAAATTGTGTAAATAATTATTATTGGGATGGATCATCATGTCAAACTTGTTTAGGCTGTGCGTCGTCATGGCCTTGGTGTGTTCGTGGAACTGATTGCTCTTATTGTGCTAGTGATGACTGCTCTGCATGCACTGGATATGGTAGCTCAATGTGCACAAGTTGTGTGGGTAATGGGGTAGCGCCAAATTGCTGTGACAGCTCTTGTTCTACTTGCTCAGGGTTAGGCTATTATTCATGCTCGTCTTGCAGTTCTGGATCATATCTATTAAGAGGTATATGTGTGCCGTCATGCCCAGCAAAATATACTCAAGATTCTACTCAGAACAAATGCATTGCTATCTCAAATTTAGTCGTATCTTTGTCTTTAAATGACAAAATTATTTTGGACTGAATTTCTGGGGCAGCCTTTCTTATAGGCAGTAATGGTGCAAATGACTACCCAATTTTTGATAGCAATGATCCTATACCTGCATATTCAAGAGGATATTATTTTACAGGCACTTCTTCTATGTTTTCATCAACAAATAACATCGCGCCATGATTTTCTATGAATTTTTGGGTCTATCCAATGGGCGATGGCTACTTTTTTACCAAATTCTTAACAAGTCCTTCTGTAAAGTTAGTATAGGGTTTTACCCTGAGTAACCCTATAAGGGCGGATGATTCTCGGTGGAATCATCGAGTTGGTCCAACCAACAAGTGAGATGGTCCAACCAACAAGTGAGTTGGTCCAACCAGCAAGTGAGTTGATCCAACCAACGCACTAAGTTGGTTGGACCAACGATGATTCCACAGGAAATCATCCGCCCTTATAGGGCTACCCAGGGCAAAGCCCTATATCTATAAATTTTTCCTCAGGCTTTGCATATGTTAAGCTTACTTTATCTGATTCCTCTACAGTCTTATTTACAGGATCAACTCCTCTTATGAATTCTTGGCACTATTTATCTGTAACAGGCAGTGTTGTTGCAGGTAAAACAGTTTTATCTCTTTATGTTGACAATTCTCTTGACACTTCAAAAAGCTCTACTACTTTTGCGTATTTATATGAAAATGGCCATACACAAATAGGGGGAAATTCTGGAGGGTTTCAAGGCTACTTGTGAAGCTTTGACCTATATAATGATGAGACTCAATCATCTGCTAGTTGAAATCTCAATGTAGGATGTGGATCTGGTCTTTCCCCAAGTACTTCCTGCCCGACATGCCAAAATTTGGAATACCCAGGGTCTTCTTCATGTACAACTTGTCTAAGTTTCTGTAATAAAGGATGCAGAGATAATAGATCTTGCAATCTATGTAAAACAAGCACATGCTTTGACTGTACATCATTTTCTGGGAACTGTTTATCTTGTATCACAGGGGCCATACCTGATGGTTCTGGTGGTTGTAGATGCGACCATAATTTATATTGGAATATTACAATGCAAGATTGCATCTTATGTGACATTGAATGCTATACCTGCTTAGACACAACTTTTTTTGAGTGCTCTATATGCTATTCAAATGAATTTCTTGTAGATAATATATGTTTAAGAGAATGCCCATATGGTTTTGGCTCTCCTTGCACTAAAGTGGCTACACCTGTTATTGCTCAAAAATTCAATGCAGACCTAACTGGGAGGAACGATATACATTAAAATGGTGACACGTGTCAATCTGCCCTCTTGGCACAACTGTCCAGACCTTATGGTCACGGTGAACTGGGATGGACTCCGAGTCGATATAAAGTGCAGTCTCAAGAGATGTGAATCTGGGTAGGTTTTGGCTGCTTTCCTGTGATTGGAAATGGAGGTACTCAACAATGCCCTTTTGGATTCGAGGGCCTATGGTATTCCTTTACCGAGAAACTGGAGGTTTACCCGGGCCACAGGGGAGTAGTCTTTTTCCTGTAGCTGTTGAAGGAAGGCACTTCGGGACCCGATAGACTCTAAGGAGCTGACCCATGGAATCAAGCTACTCCAATCGCCCGTAGCAGGCCGCAGAAACCCTATAAGCACTCAAGACTGAAGCCTCAAGGCAAGGAGGAGACAGAAGGCGCAGGAAGTGGCATCAGTTTTCGAGCTGAAAAGCGGTAGAACCTTCCGTACGGGAGGTCTTTGGTGACTGTCTCGCCAGTATCGCTAACGCCTGACTTTAAATAACCTAACCTAACCAACTGGGAATAACTATGGGCTTTTCTCAGTTAATTTAGATGCTTCCCGATTAGCATTTTTTATATTACTTGATGCATCTGATTCTGTTCCTGTGTCCCAAAGAGGGATATTTCTATCTCAGTTGATGTATTTGACAACAGGGGCTGGCATTTATATATAGCACTTTCCCTTGAATAGCCCGATAACGGGCTGGCTTCATCGTTATTATCGGGCTATTGAAGGGAAAGAGCTATATCCCACAGCTATTCAATCGGGTGCTGGATGAATCCAATGGTAGATGGAGACACCATCCGCTATATGGCTTCAAATTCTTATTTTATATTTAACTCTAATGGAAATTTTCAATATGTTCTTATGGATACAAATACAACCGCTTATAAATATGCAGCCTATATGACAATAGCAGATGGTTGGAACTATGTTTCTTGAACTATGCAATATTTAAATGGAGGAACCAGAGTCCAGCTGTTTCTTGGAGGTACTGTGAAAGCCGATCAATATTGCCCAGAAAGCATATTTCGCCCTGCGAAATCAGCAGCTCTACAGTTGGGATACTCATGAACCTGAATGACTGGATTCTTATACAGTTTTCAGATGTGAAATGTAGCAATAAATGATTTTTCATACTATTTAAATGATAACTCTTGTGGAACTGGCCTAGGAATCACATGTCTCCATGCGTATACTAAGTCAACATATAATGATATAACGAGTTGTGGTGGCTCATGCAGCACCGACGTCACCTCAGGATGCGCTCGAAGTGTTCAATGTAATCAATGCTACAGTACTCTTTGTGCTGATTGTACTGGATATGGGGCAAATTATTGTACAGCTTGTGTTGAGAATGCCTCAGGATGACCAGGAAATTGCACTTGTGATCAAGGATATTTAATTGATAACTTATACCAATGCAAAGGCTGCTCTACTGGGTGCACCTATTGCAATAGCCAAGCTTTCAATAACTGCACTGCTTGCTTTCCTACCTATTATTTGATTGAAGGTGTATGCAATAAAGATAATTGCCCATCAGGATATTCCAAAAACAGCGTTACAAATGCATGCGATATTGCTAATATTTTACCATTTTCAGTCGATTTCCAAGACTTAATTGTTTTGAATACTATAGATTCATTGAACATTGGCAGCTCATCAACGAATAAATATCCAAACTACGATGCAAATGACCCCTGGCCAGCCAAAAATCGAGGCTACTATTTTTCAGGCACAACTGCTGTATCAACTACATTCATGTTTGGCCCAATTTTTACTATAACAATCTGAATCAAGGCACTTCTTAACTTAAATTAGAAGGCATCTGCCATTTTGATTACACAGTCATCAATGACGCTTCATTGGGGTTCACCCGCTTAACGCCGTCTTCGGTATCGCCTTGCTTAAATTGGGACAATGATTCGCTGGCCATGTTCAGTTCGGGTACTGCCTTTATCTTCAGCTCCTATCCTGAAGTGAGATTTCTCCTGGATGTCTAATCCCTTCCCTTGCGGCTTGAGTGTTGAGTGAAGTTGGCCACACAAAAATCGCAAAGAATGGAATTTCTGGTGTCTTCTGGCAAAAAAGGAAAATCCAGGACCTGGGGCGTAACTCCCAGCTTCACTCTAGGTAGTTTCCGGATTGGTCTAGGGGTTCTGTAGACCTTTCTAGGCTTTCCCTTTCTAACCTGAACCTCCTATTCCTTCGAGGTAAAATCCGATCCCAAAATTAGACTGAGAGTTGGGCTTTTCACACTGTCAGAATTGCTTACCTAGCATTGCCGCCATTTCAGGATAGGTAAAACCGAATCAAGGCACTTCAAGCAGGCGTAGTATTAGAAAAATATACAACTGCAGCCAAAGTTCTGCTTGGAATTGATACCGATGGGATTGCAACTTTAACGTTAACATTGAAAAAATCAAGCATCTCAGCAGGATCAGTCACAAGTATTTTGAATAATTGATGCTATCTGTCTGTTACTAACACTTTTAATAAAGATGGCTCAAATACACTGAAGCTAAATATTAATGGGGTGTTAAAGCAGACAAAAAAATCAGGATCAGATTGGCTTAATGATTTGCCGACAGGAAGCTTTTTTATAGGTGCTGACCCTACTTATAGCAATGGATTTACTGGATTTATAACGAGGATTAATATTTATATTGATGATATATATGCAAATTCTGATTATTTAACGGCTGGATGCAATACAGGTTGCACAGTCTGTTCAAGTGCGAAGAATTGTTTAAGCGACTGCGGTATAAATAAATACCCAGATGCATGCACTAATTGTCTAAATACATGTACCAAGGGCTGTGTAAGAGATTTAACATGCAGACTATGCAAGCAAAGCGAATGTTTAGCATGCGAATCCTTTAGCGGAGACTGTACAAGCTGTATTACAAATGCTTCATTAAACTCTGGATCTTGCTCCTGCAATTTAAACGCCTTTTTTGATACCCCAACCCAAACCTGCATTATTTGTGATAATTTGTGTGATGACTGTTTAAGCACTAATTATTTTGAATGCAGCACCTGTGATAGTAGCTCTACTATTATTAATCATATTTGTTTACGTGACTGTCCTTATAAGTTTACTCTACCTAATTGTGATCCTGTTACAGATGCAGTGATTGATACAATTTTTTATGGGACCTTTCAAGGCTCTTATGGCATCTTTAACACTGGAGCACACTCATCAACATACCAATTTTGGAACAGCCCAGAAGCTGATGACCCAATTCCTGCACTAAATAGAGGCTTATATTTTTCCAGTGGTAGTTATCTAGAAACAAACACTGATATTTATCTTTTTAACAGTGCTTCAATGGGTATCTGGGTATATACAATTATATCAGGTGACCTTATATATAAGCAAAATAGATTGACATTAAAATCAAATGGATCCTTAATAGTAACTCTTGAAGACCCAACCGAAGTTACAACTGCCTATACAACATCAGCCCTAACAATGACTGGATGGAATTATTTATCATTTACCATTAGTTATTCAAGTATATCAAGTACTGTTAGTGTATATCTTAATAATATATTAAAAAATACTGCAAATTATCCAACACTTTTATTCAGAGATGTGGTTTCTAAAACAATCATTATTGGAAAAAGCACTACAACGCTGTTTAAAGGCTTTGTTTATGAATTTACTCTTTGGAACTCTGCAGTTACTGATTTTTCTGGAAAAGTCAATGATCTGTGTGGAACTAGCCAAGGCTCAGCCTGCTTGTGAACTTGTAATATAAACCAATATTATTATATATCTGGATGTTCTTCTTGCAGTTCTTGCACAAATGGCTGCCGAAATTCAGATAGCTGTAATATCTGCTATGATCCTCGGTGTGAAATTTGTTCTGATTTTGAGCTGGGCTCATGTACACAATGCTTTATTGGAGCTAATCTAGAGTTTGGCTCATGCGTCTGTGATGAAAATTACTACTGAAATGTAAATAGTGGTGCATGCGAAATCTGTGATTCTAAATGCTCATCTTGTACGTCTAGTGAAGAATATGGCTGTAATGGATGCAAAGCAGGCTATGTTTTGCTCAATGGGATATGCATGACATTTTGTCCTCTTGGCTACACTGCTATATCTGATATATGCACTTTGAACAGTGATTATATATTTGATTTAAAGTTTGAAACTTTATCAGGCATAATTTATGACTCAAAAAGCTTTATTCCAGTCCTAACAGGAAATTCTGAAGATTTCTATCCCAACTATGACTCATATGACCCTATTGCAGCATACCTAAGAGGAGTTTACTTCAATGGAATTAGTAGCGTTTTGCAATTGCCACCTTTTTTAAGTTATAAATCTCCAAAGCTATCACTGTCTCCTTGGTTTACGATTTCAGTATGAATTAATCCTGAAATTTCATTTGGGACTATATTCTATAAGTCTAACAGTCTCAGCATCATTACTCAGCTGGTATCAATAACCCTTTCAAATTATTATCCTTCTATTTTGCTCCGCATCCAAGGAACGACTATTTCCCACAAATGTGAGAATGTGGTAAACCATTACTCCTGGAGCCATTTATCTTTTACTATAAATTTCGATTCTACAGGAAATTCAATTATTACGTGCTTTGTTAATACTATTTCTGACAGTAGTCCAGGTACCATTTCTGATTATTTTATAGATGACCCAAATAGTCTTTCTGTGAAAATCGGTGCATATGAGCAATCTGTTGGATATTATACAAATTTTTTCAAAGGCTTTATTTATTGAATGCAGATTTATAACTCTGTAAAATCAATCAGCTCTTTATCATTACAATCTTCTCAATGCACTGAGTCATGCAGCTCTTGTCCGCTAGCAAAAAGTTGCATCCCTAATTGTAGAATTTTGGAATATTGGATAGGCCCTTCATTTTCTCAATGCGATTCCTGCAGCTCTGATTGTAGCTATAGCTGCAAGGATTCTGGGAGTTCTTGTACTTTGTGCTATAATAATATATGTGAGTTATGTCAAGATTACATCAAAAATTCATGCACTCAATGTAAGCAAAATGCAAGTAATGAAACTTCTTGCAGCTGTGATGCTCCATATTTGTGAAACCCTTATTATGAATATTGCCAAGTTATTTCAGAAGGACAGTTTTGAGGAGATGATGGGGAAGCTTATTCTTGTCCTATTAAATGTAAATATTGCAAATCCAAGACTTCTTGCATCACTTGTGTTGATAATGCTAAACTAGCCAATAATAATTGTACTTGTATAACTGGGTATAATGGGACGTATAATTGCAATTTAATGACATTTGAGGCATATTTAGAAGTAGACATTGACAATTCTTTATATCTCACCTTCAGTGAGGAGCTTAAATTCACTTTAAATTATGGGGATTTTTTGATTACTATTGAAGGAGAATCTAATTATAAGTGAATTTTCGAAATTCAAGGTGCTGATAAATACTCTATTTCTATGAATATTGATTTTAGTATTATAGCCAATACACCTATATATTTAAACTTCACTAACAGTTCTGGGATTTTCTCAATAAATGATGCTGTCCTCACAACACATGGCTTGGTAGGCTATTTATACAAATATGACTATACCTCTCCTTATATAGAATCTATATCTCAGCAAGCCAAAACGAGTTCTCAAGTAGCAGTTTCAGCCGTTATGGTTTCATCATTTGTATCAATGAATCCTTCATCTTTGTGGACTATGATGAACACCATTGAAATATTGTCTTTTATAACCTTATCTTCTATATCAATTACTCCAGCATTATACGCGTTTTTAATTTGTTTTAATTAATTTTACATTATTGATAAATAAATAATAAAAAATGAATATTTAAAGGAAATATTATAAAGAGCTTGAACAATTATAATATAGTCCCTAATTTTTTTGCAGACTTTATTGACCAAAGTGAAGGAATAAAGCCTTATAAGGAGGCTTATAATTATGGCTATGAAACTAATCTGTTGCTTTTGAACTCTGGAAATATAATAGAAACATTCCTGGCTATTATTTTGTGTTTTCCTCTTGTTGCGTTTCTGTCAAAATGCTCACAAAGATGAATAGGAAGAAGATTTACGGATGCTTTGAAAGATTATAAATACTCGGTGTTTGTCAGATTTTGGCTACAAAATTATATTGAGATAGGAGCAACAGCCCTAATAGGGCTTTTAGATGTATTTTTCATGTAGTTTGCCACAGGTAATGGATTCTTGATGTTCAATGTAATCATATGCTTAATTTTGGAGGTAATTAAAATTTAGACTCTTATTGTGATGACACCATTTGCCTTATTATTGTTTATGATTAAAAACCGAAAGAAAATAATTCATAGGAGTAAAGCATTTCTCAAAACATGGGACTCGCTGTTTTATGAGTTTGATATCGAAAAATGCCATATGAGCAGTCAATATTATTTATTATTTATTTGAAGGAGGATTATTTATGTTTTAACTTTAATCTTGCTGAGAGATTTTCCAGGCTTGCAAGGGGGAATACTTATTGCTATATCAGCGTTATTTGCTTTGTACGTGGCTGTTTATCGTCCACATGAAGATCCAGTGCTTATGGTTTCAAATATTTATTCAGAAATTGGAGTGTTAGTTGTATGCATTCATATAACATTTTTTGTATTTGACTTAAGCAGCAGCTTGGAAACTGCTCTTGAGCAATCAATCTATTTCTGGGTAGGAAGCATTATGGTATCTAATTTGATTGCAAGTCTGATAATCTTCTTTAATCCCTCAATTAATGTTAAAAATATGTTTTTGAATGCTCAATTTTAAAAAGAAATTAAAATTTATATTTTAAATTTTAATTTAAAAATTCATTTTCATAAAACAAGTTGTCTAAAATTTTAAATAGAAAGTAATTATTAATAATAGATTATTCTTAAAAGTATCTTAAAAACAATTTCTTATAAAAATTGCTATATGTTTCCTCTGCAGAGAGAAAGCTAGAACTTTATACACAATTTTGAGGCCAAAAATCGAAAAATTGCTAAATATTAAAAAATCTTCAATGAAAAGAATAGTTCCTCAAACTGAAACAGAGCACAGCTTTGAAGCTAACACCTCTCTTGATAACCCTCATTTATTCGAATAATTATAATTTCACTTTTACTATTAAATAATTCATTACTTCTTAGCGCATTTTTCATTTATTTATAATGGAACTCACTCCAGCCCTCATAATTCAGCAAAATCAAGAAAAGCCAGACAAAATCTATCTGATCGAAATGATAAAAGCAAATATTCGCAGTCTCTGTCCTCTCAATCAATTTTCAAAGGTGAAGAGTATTGTTTTTTCAAGCAATTTGATAGAAGTTATTCCAAGAGGAACTTTTGATAAGCTTAAAGATCTAAAAGAACTTGATATTTCCTGCAATTTTATTTCAAGCTTGGATGGATTAGTGATTCCTTCATTGGTTAGGCTTGTTATCAGCTTTAATCGAATAGAAACCCTTGAGTGAATTTCTGGATATAAGGTAAATTGCATTTAGAATCTCCAAGTTTTAAAGGCTGAAGGAAATAAAATAACTTCAATGAAGCCTTTGCAACCCTTACTCTCTTTTTTAGAATTAAATGGTATTTTGACGGAAATTAGTCTCCGAGGCGCACACCTATGAACCAAGTAGGACCCACCTGATAAAGCTGAAAACAAGGCTTCTGGAGATACCTTGCCGAAGAGACAGGTTTCGCCTCTTATATGGTCTTCGTCTGTCGGGACTATCAGGGCACTCTGCAATAGCGGCTCTAAACATAGGGAGATGATCCTTAGGTTAGGCGAGTTTTCACTCGAAATTCAAGAATGTGGAATTTTGAGTAAGCCTTATACCATTTGCACTCTAGTGTATATATACACTCAGCGTAGGCCACCTTTTCTAGAGTCAAGGCAGTCCAGCTAGTGATATTACACTTATGGTTGTGTAAAATTTTTAATTTTTACTCCCTTTTTCAGTGATTAAAGCCATTAAAAATCCCTATTTTGCGAAAATGACCTCCTTTTGTTTACCTAAACTATTTTTTTATAAATATTATGAAATCTGTATTTTATTTTAAATAAATTTATTGATTAAATTATATTTAATTTCAAATATTTGCGAATTTCGATTTAAAGCTAAACATTTTTTATAGGGAATTGTATTTTAACCACTCTATTAGCAAATAAAAGCCTTGCTGACTCAATAAGGAAAGAACTAGGGAATCTTAAATTAGTAAACTTATCTTTGAACCAGATTTCTCAAATCCAAGGCATTTCTGCAACAGATGTAATTTTTATATAAGATTGATGAGCTTTATCTAGAAAACAACAGTATCGAACAAATCAACCCTCGAGATATAGTCCAAGACTTGCGATAGCTTGGGTTGTGCTGATGATTTCGACGCTACTTAGGTAGTTGAGAAGCCAACATTTATTGATAAAACCAACTCCCTGAGTGGTATCAGGATTCATCAGCACAGCCTGAGCTATAGCAATGCTCGCACTATATTTCGCCAAACCCTAAAAATTTTATTCTTAAAAGGCAACCAGCTTAATGATGCAAGCTTTTTAGAAAATCTAAAAGAGCTTGAAACCCTAAATTTAGATAAAAATGAATTTCAGACATTAGAATCTTTTTCAATGCTACCTAATCTAAATGAGCTTTATTTAAGCACAAATCAAATCTTTATGATAGGGAATAAATTGGAACTTAATGAGCTTTTTCCTGTATTGGCAAGCCTAGATCTTTCAAATAACTCTTTATATGACAGGGTTGAATTATTATGTTTACGACAACTATCAACACTAAGAGAGCTGAATTTACAAGGAAACCCATGTGCTGAAATAGAAAACTTTGAAGAAATAATAATGGAAGACTATCCTCAGCTAATTATATTGAACGATAAACAAATTGCGAGGCCAACTTATTTAGAAGAACTTGCGAAAATAAAGGACACACTTAAAGATGAGTAAGAAAAATTTAGAGGCTTCAATACACATCCCGTCCTTCTTCAGCTTTGCCAATCAGCAAAAATTTGGTAATTTTTGATGAAAATCGAATAAAAAGAGATGTTGAAGAAGCTCATGACATTTTGGTTCAAAAACGAAAAGAGGTTCTTTCAACTTTAAAAAATATTGAGTTTTCAATTGAAAAAACTTTTTATGATGAGTTCCATTTAATTAAAGAAGATCAAGCACCAAATCTTGAAGAGGAATAGGGTAAGTTTAATTGAAGTTTAGGCGTTCCCTTGATCAGTATCTCAGCTGCGGGCAACCTTCAGTTTTTTCAAATTTTAATAATTTGGTTTTCAGTCCGAATCTTGTGCTGTCTTTGAATCTTGGACTATTTAGTTTAGGACCTCAATGGCTACTACTGTTTGGGCTAGAATTCGAGCTAGGGATAAACCTAGCTATCTTCGATTACACACTTTCCTTCTTCGTCCCTCTAGTGGCCTAGAGATAAACGCTTTTTTCAATGACTATTGAAAAGACAAAAAGTTCTAATTGCTAAATCAGATGACTGGAATATAATCTTATTTTTATTTCCCACTCGGTTTGGATTTAGGCTGCAGCGTCCTCAAATCAGAACAGACCTAGAGAAGATGGTTTGGTGACGTCGCTATTTTATTTGTATTCTTTCAGAGGAGCAAAAAAACAAAGAAATAGATGAGGAAGGGGATTTTTATTCTCAGTTGGAAAAAGAGGAAGAAAAATGGTTCAACCAGCAATTAGATATTTCTAAAAAAATCTTGGAGAGGAAAGATGTTACTCATCGGTATATCAAAGATCAAAGGAAGAATACTGACTTTCCCCTCCATGAACAAAACCATTGGAAAAATCCCCTCAATGACCAAACAAAAATTTTTTTAATATAAAAATTTTTATATATATAAATAATAATTAAAATATTAATTCTCAAACTAATTCTAAACAGTTGCATTTTAAAACAGAAATTTTAAAAATTAAATTAATATTTGCTTTCCAATTTTGCGAATTGGGATTGTTCTATTAGAAGTTTATATATAAATTTTTTAAAAAAAAAGTTAATGCCACTCCTTGAGCAAACAAATTTTTTTTGTTCAATCTTGGAGGGGGATTGAGGAAACAAAGAAAAGCACAAATGAAGAAAAGAAGACAGAAAGACCAAGCTCAAAATCTGGAGTCGTTCGGCCAGGATCAAGCTCACAGAGAAAGAGACTTGAAGAAGCTAGGAATTTTAAGACTTAAAACTTCTTTATTATAATAACGAAAGAGAAATTAATTGATTTTTCTTTAAATTATCTGAAATTATATGAAATTATTAATAATTCACAAAAATGCTGGCAAAAGTGGAAATTGATCCTAATTACAAAGTAAACTTAATGTAGGGCCCGAGGAAAGTAGAAAGCTTTTTGCAAAAACTCAAAGGCCAGAACGCAAAAGGCAGGATCTTTTCAAAATTCACCAAGAGATGGTTTGTTTTAGATTTAAATTTAGGCACGTTTTCTTATTCGCGAAAGCAAGGTTCTCCCAAGACAGAAGTCAGCCACTCAATCTCTGATATAATATCAGTTGTGCCAAATCCCAGAGTTTCTTTTCCTTACTTAGATTATTATAGAGTAGCTCTTAGCCAGCCATGCCGGCTTTCACGTCCTTGCTTCGCTTCACCTTCTTGCTTACCAATCTGATTGCACGGCCTGAAGGTATGGCTTACTCCTCTCGAACGAGAGCAACCCAAAAGTAAAGACGCTGGACCACCTTGGTGCATACCAGCAAAATTGCCCTTTCGGAAATTCGAAAAAGCGAATTTTCTGATCAGACTATCGACCTAGATGAAACTTATAGCTCAGGGCACACTCCTAGGAAATTACCCGATTATCCAAGCAAACGCCCTACCCAGAGTTACTCAAATTTGTGAATGAAAATTTGCCTTTAATGTTGAAACTAGAATGAGAATGTACGTGCTGTATTCAGAATCAGTAAACATGCACAACCTATGATGCGTAGCTTTACAAGCTGTTCTTAGGCCTTTAGATAGGCCTAGAGGACCTATTGACTCTGATGTTCCTCATAATATAAGAGATGCTGATCATATATATCCAGATCCACAAAACCCATCTGGATATCAAGATGATAAGTATTATCCCAATCCTCAGCAAACCAATACTTATGATCAAAGATTGCCAAATCAAGATAGAGGGACTTATCAAGAGCCAAGGACTAGTACTAAGCCAATGACAAAAGGAGGTTACAATGTATTGGAAGAATTTCCTTCACATCCTGATGATGTTGATTTCCAGCCAAAAGAAAGCGATTTCAGGACTTTGCCGCCTCCTCGACAAGTGAGAGATGAAGAGCTTTATAGAGATAATTATAGTGACCCTAAAAGACTACAAGGAAATAGTGATTATAAAGAGACAAATTATAGGGAGCCTGATCCGTATAGAAGAGAAGAAGAAGTGCAGGCTTTTAAGAGTAGTACTGACATTCGTGAAGATCCGAACCAAATCAGAAGAGAAATTAAATTAAGATTCTTAAGGTCTTCCAGATTTGATGTCTCCGCACGAAAGGACCTTTGCTTGCCATCACGATTACCCAAGCCCTATAAATAGCAGTCTTCTCCTAGGACTAAGGGCTTGCACTACCTATGCGTCGTCGGTAAGGACGTATTTGTAGCCATCACTATATAAATTATAGAAGAGAAAGAATAGGCGAAGTTCCTAGTTCTGGTAGCAGTTACAATTTAAGACAAGGCCAAGAATACTACCAACCTCCAAAAGATAATTATAGGCAACCGTCTCCTATTGAAACTAATCAATATGCAAACCCAAGAAAATCTAACCAAAATCAATGGGGAGAACCATCATCAACTTATAATCAGCCCAAGTATACTGCAGACTATCAAAATGAAGCCTCTGGTTACAGAGACCCTTATGGCTCAAAACCATCTGGTGAGCCTGTAAGCAATTTTGATAGATCTAGGGGTCAAACAAGCTACAATCGAGAAGAAGGGTATGGATATCAAGAGCCGCAACGTAAAGAAATTCCACGGTATGAGCAACGATCGCAGTTTCAGACTGAGCCTCGTAACCCTGCATATAACCCACTTAAAAGGGATGATCCTTATTCTGGATCTAGAGGCTACCAAGATTCATCGAGTCGATATCAAAATGAAGAAAGTTATCCTCCACAAGCCCAAGCAAGAGCTAGTCCTTATACTCAATCGTATGCCTCTGAAGAATATCAAAATTTACACAGAGTCCATTTAGCTATATTAACTGTTTATATTAAACAATTTCATTTTTTTGCTTAATTTAAGAAGTCAATCTATATATATACATAAAAATGGTGACAATAGACCACCCCGAGCTCCTGAACCTTTTTCTTCAATGCCTGTATGCAAAGACCCAGTGCAAAGGGAAGGGCAGAAAGAGGCCGGTAATCATTTATGTATGTCGAGCTAGATTCTCCTTGAGCTCTAGGAAGCTAATTTCTGAGACTTGGGGTCTCCTCCAAGACCATCCGTGGAAAGGGCAGGCCAGCAAAAGCCCTGAGAGGATGATAAGTCCCTCGAAAAAGGTTCCAAGATGGTGTGCATGAATCCTTTGCCCGAGACAGCGAGTGGAGTATCTCCTTGATCCCGCTGAGAATGTAGAGTATGCAGGGGTGCTAATCCCCAGCCCTGCTAGGACGAACGCGTATAGCTAACTAGCTAAGAAGTCAATCTTCTCATATAGAATGGATACAATTCACACATCATTATACCCGTCAAAATCCCAAAACCCATGGGGTGGCCAACAAGATTCCTGGAGCCAACCACCAGTACAAAAGCCTCAAAAATACCAAGAAGCACCCTCTCAAGGCTTGAACCCACAAGGAGTTGATAGAAACTGGGACAGTTGGGATAATTAAAAAATGCTAGCTATTTATAATCTAATTTCATACTTCTTTCATAAATGGCAAGTGTCTGTTTTATCTTCCCAAATTCCTCACAAAAACTTGAAGCTGAGATCTCTGGCGAACTGACTGTAAAAAATAAATAGATCAGAAGTGTTAAGCAAGATTTATTGTCAAAGCGCTGGCCTCAGGATCAGATTTCTAGAGAAAAAGTTGACAGTCTGCGATTTTTTTGCATGGGGAAAGAGCTGCAAGATGATCAGAAGCTAAGAGACTACTCACTGCCTGATACAAATGTCCCTATACCTATACATGTTCATATTATCAAAACTTCTATTACTAGGCCTGAATCTCATGGTGATGGAAAATGGTGCTGCTCTTGCCAAATGTTTTAAAGTAAAGGAATTTATATTTATTGTGTAGAATTGTCTAGATATTTTTCGACTAGAATTAAAATTAGTCTTTTTGTTTGGGGGTGTTAATTATAATATTATTGAGGGTATAATAAGCATCAGAAACGTGCCGGTATAATAAAATAGTCAAAATGTTATGTGAGGACTTTATATTGTAGAAAATGCACAAGTTTAGTGAATGAGGAATCGAGAAGTGCTTTTGATAAAGCTAGCAGAATTTTGTTGCTAAATTATTTTAAATTTACTATTTTATATCCTTTAAGATATTTTGCAGTCCCATGATGCTCGAGAGATATATTAGGCTTAATATAAAGAAACTAAATTTATTAAGATTAAACTTGTGACGTTCTTAATGAAACTTAGAGGGCAGTTTTTACTATTAAAATTTTAAATGGAGTGCTTTTTCAAATTACTATAGTTGAGATTAGTGTCATATGGATATTATCTTAGAAGAGTAGCTTGTATAGCCAAAGATAAGAAATCTATTCTTTTGGAGCATATAAAAGTGTCAGGAGACAATAAAAGAGATACTATTCTCCCTAAAGACCTTCCATTAGATGCATTATTGGCTGATGAGATGGAAGAAACAAATAAAATTCAGCAAAAAAGTTTAAAGGGCATTTAATGCCGAATTTTTAAAATTCAGAAAAATGCTGATAATGCAATTGCATAATAAAAACTTTAAATGAACTTATTTATTTAAATGAAATATAAAAGGTGCATTTTGTTGATGTTTTGATCCATCATCTGTAAGTTTTTGCTCCAAATTAAGTTAAAATTTTGAGAGAAATAGCAAAAGAGCAGCAAAAAGCCTTTTCAATATCGCTTTAATTCTGGCTAAGTTAATTTAAATTCTCCTATTTAGTTTTTGTTTTGGCGACTAGCTCTTCCCACCCTTTCAGTGCTTCAACTCCTTTTTGTACAACTTCCCATCTGCAGTTCGTATTCAATGCATTCCCATCTTTATCAGTGAGCACCAATGTAGGTATCGTTTGGACTTTATATTTTTCGCCCAAAAGCTGCTTACTCTGCCTTTAAAAGGGGAAAACCCATTAGAAAAATGTTCGCTTTGGGGAAAATTAACTACCCTATAATAGTAATCGAATAATTTTTAAAGTATGACTAATAGTTCTTATAACAAGATTTCTTACTCCCCCTTTAAATTGGACAATTTATCAGTAAAATTTTCATTTTTGGTACTTTGACCATCAATTATTTGGAATAAAATTTGTTTTTAATATGAAAATAATATGCAAATGCAAGTAGGATGATATTTAAACAATTTCGTGCTGAATCGATTTCTATTTTATTTAATTCTTCATAAAATAAATTAAACTTCAAAAGTATTATGCTTAATTAATTTTGTTTTAAAAAAATAATTAGAGATTTAAAATACTATTTTTTATAAAATTAGTTTAACCTAATTTAATGAAAAAAGTGCAAATAGCACACTGAATCAATTATTTTTTAAATTATTTCTTCATAAAAATAAGTTAAAATTCAAAGTATGTACTCGATTTATATTTTTAAAAGTTCCAATTTTATAAATAAATTAAATACCCCATTTTTAATTGGAACAATTTTTTTTTAATTTAAAGGGGGGAGTTAACAATTTTAATTTTAGATATGCTTAAATTTTATAATTAATCTAGATTTTTTAATAAAAAAAGCACTTTTGCCTCTCTTAAAATCATCTTGCTTAATCTTAAGGAGAGATAACAGAAGCATTAGCGAATGGAACTGAAAGCCAAGGCATTTTTTCATAGTAATCTATAAAGTCTTCTTCAGTCCTGTCTGCAGGAATAAGCACTACTTCTGCTTGCTTTTTTGGTGTATTCACTTTATTGTAAAAGTCTATGAGTGTGGGGGTAAATTGTCTGCAAGGAGGACACCAGCTAGCAGAAAAATACAAAAGAATAAGTGGCTGAGAATCTAAAATCTGGGATCCGATCAAGCCTGTTTTGCTTAAAAGATGTGACCCAAGCAATGCTTTCATATTTATGTTAGGATGATGTTAATTGATAAAGTTATGGTAAATGCAAGAATATAATCACGGATTTATTTATATGAGCAGGGTTTAATAGTTTATTCAAATTACAGTTTTTTAAATAACTAAATATATCAAATACTTTTCTTTTGTTTTAGAATATTGCATTTTAATGCATGGAAAGAGCAATAAACTTCTGGATAAAAATGCAATGCTTATTGAGAAACAATAGATTATAGAAATGAGAATAAAAGCAGATGAGCTACATATTAAATAAATCCAATATTAAATGGATTTAAGAACTAAATTTAAGTTAGTTTGGTTACAGAGCAGCATTGTGATTTCCTCTAAGTCTTAGCCCTAGATACTCTTGCCTCAGTAAAGCTTGCTATCAGTCATACGACCAGTTTTTCTTAATTTCTTAATTGGCAGGGCTCTTACTGATTTCTCATGAATGGGTGTATTGGCTTCATTGATGCTCCTTCAGTCACAGATTATGGAGTTCTTTAAAATCTTTTTGTCTAGGACAACTCTTCCTAACTTCAATTTGAGGCCACACAATGACTCCAGCAGCTTCCACCTCTATTTAAGTTTTGACATAATAACGTTTCAGAAACTCACGCAAAATTAATTATTAGGTTCTCGTTCGATGTCAAATATCACACTGCATCTTGTATCACCTGATTTCACCTCTGAATAGTCTCTCAGCTTAAGACGTTCGGATTTCGACAGCTGTCCTCCATACATTTCCGGAATTGCTTGCCCGATATTTCTGTCCATTTCTGGATTGGCAAAACTAGCCATATATATTAAATATGTGTCTAAGACTGCATGACTAGGAGGCCATGCCTTGGGCAGAGGCACCATATTTAATTATGTTTCAAATCCTTAGCAAGCGAGTTCTACCCGATGACCTGATGGACGCGCATTACTCAATGAAAAAAATTGCAGGGAAATCTGGCACTCTTTAAAAAGCTGCTCGTCGATAATTAGCCTCCATCTTGACCAATTAAATATAAAAATCACAATCAACAATTTATTTTGTGTCATTTTCATGCTGCAATAAATAAATGAAATCTCTTATTTAGTTTGTGCTTTAGCCACTAGCTCTAGCCACCCTTTCAGGGCTTCAACTCCCTTTTGCTCCAATTCTCATCTGCAATTTGTATTCAATGCATTTCCATCTTTATCAATTAGCACCAATGCAGGGCTTGTTAGGATTTTATATTTTTCACTCAAAAACCGCTTGAGAGGAAGATCACCATGTGAAACTGTAAGCCAAGGCATTTTTTCAGATGAATCTAATCAGTCTCATTCATATCTCAAGGAATAAGAACTATTTCAGCTTGCTTTGTTGGTGTATTTACTTTATTGTAAAAGTTGTTCATAATTCTTACTCTATGCGTTTTTAAATAGTCAGACAGTTGGTCGGGGAATTTCGTCAAATATTTTAGACTTTTGTTTTAGGTTTTCGCAAAGCAATATTTGACTATCAAAAAATAGCTTGTGAAGATTGTATAAAAGAATGGTATGGAACCTGCAAAAGTCTATGAGTTTCGGAGTGAACTCTCTACAAGGAAATCAAGTGCTAGACGAAAAATACAAAAGAATAAGTGGCTGAAGATCCAGGATGTGGGATTCTACCAAGCCTGCTTTGCCAAAAAGATATGGCCCAAATAATGCTTTCATAATTATTCTAAGATGCAAAATTCTGTAATACGAAAACAAACATCTTTTACTCACAAATTTAGTTATATTATAAGAGCATAATAATTCATTCAAATTCCAGTTATTTTTAAATAAGTTAAATAGATCAAGTTACTTTTCTTTTGATTCTTTACATATATTGCATTCTGAGCGAAACGCGAAATTCCAGTTATTGCATTTAAGGCAAATTCAATCCCCCTCTTTTTCTCTAGCAGGCTTTTTAATATGAACAGTCAACGAGCCAGATTTTTTGTGCTTTTTCGCTTTTGTTTTGGTTTTTGGCTTGGGATTTGGAGTGTTTTCATTTGATTTGTCTTCTTTTGCAACTTCATTGTCAAATTTCAAGCAGCGCTTTGTTACAGGATTAATCTCAATTCTAGCTTGTAGGCACTTTTCTCTTAGAAAGGGAGAAATTGAAGGCAATTGAGAAAAATCTAGTCTTGGCGGAGGATTTTCAGCGTCGCATGATATAGCTGAGGTTTCTTCTAAAGAAGGAGCACTCATGTAGAGAAAAGCATTGAATGTTGGCATTAGCTTTCTCTGGGTAATCATAAAAAAAGAACAGCGTATTTTTTCATAATAAAAATACCGTCATTTTTAACTGTAAAAAAGGTCATGAAAAAAAAAATGCGCTGTACTTTTTTCAGGATCATCCGTCTTTTCTGTATAACCACATCTATTGCAGGTACTTCTGAAAGAAAAGTTCAAATTGGAACAGTTGGGACAGTTTCAATCGCCGTCTACTCTTTTCTTGATTGCATTTGGATAACTTATCTTTTGACTCTGCTCAGACATTTAACGTTCATATTTAAAGACAAATAGTGCCCATACCAGGAATTTGTTCCCCAATAGATGAAATATAAACAATAGAGACAAAGGTTTTTGGATTTGACTGAATTTGGTGTCGAGCTCAAATTTTGATTAAAAATTAAGATTGCTAATTTGATGCAATTAGCCATTTCATTTAAATAAATAAATATTTCTTACTCCCCCCTCCGTAGCGAACAAACCATTGGAAAAATCCTATTTCTTGCCCAAAAATCCACCCTCCGTGAGCGAACAAATAATTTTTTTAATTGAAAAATTAATTATGAAAAAAAAAATGATATATAAATGATAATTAGTATAATGAAGTCTCGAACTAATTCTGTTTAATTTCAAACAAATTGCGTTTTAAAATATAAATTTTGTAAATTAAATAAATATTTGCTTTCCAATTTTTGCAAATTGAAATTTTTTTAAATTTCGAAAAAAAATTTTACCATAAAAATTTTTTTTTTTCGCTCATGGACTGGGGAGTTAGATTTTTGCGCACTTTATATGGTTCAATTTTAGATATAGGCAATGCCTTTGAGTAGCGCGCTAAGCGCCCGAGACTTCCCGACGAAGTCTGGGTGGTGGTTTGACCAGCTGATGTTGGTCAAACCAGCATCCAATTTGACAAATCTTCTATATGAGAAGAATTTGTCATTTTGGATGTTGGTTTGACCCAACATCAGCTGGTCAAACCACCACCCAGACTTCGTCGGAAAGTCTCGGGCGCTTAGCGCGCTACTCAAAGGCATTGCCTATAAACTATATTTAAGATTTTTATGAGAAGCAAATATTTTATATTTTATGGAAAGCACTATTGTAGCTGTCCTATTTGTTCGAAAATAATTATTATACCGGAAATCGCTGCATACTCAAGAAATCCAAAGACATACTTTCAAGAAAGATCTTTAATAGATAAGAAGCCCAAAATAGCTCACTATGGATAATTTCACTTTTTGTGACTTTGGTCTATAGAAAAAGTATTTTCCATATCTAAAATAGAATATTTTAAAAACTTTTAGAGTAATGATGGAAAACCATTCAGATCTCGAAAATATCAAAATTTTAAGCTGGGATGGAGACCTATTTACAATCCCGATCATAATTCTCAACTACTCCGAAGTCCTTCAGCAAATGCCAAACTTGGAGCATGAGATCTCTTTGGAACATCTAGAAATTGACACCACAACCTTAAGCAAAATAATTGAATTTTGCAAGTTTCACGATTTTATCTCTCCAGAGCAAATAGACTTTCCTTTGAAAACTCGTAACCTTGATGAAATTATACTAACTTACCCACCCACTGTGAGCGAACAAAACCATTGGAAAAATCCCTATTTTGCCCAAAAATCCACCCTCCGAACAAAAATTTTTTTATGAAAAAAAATTGATATATAAGTGATATAATCCGTTGGCAAAATTTCTTATGGATGTTATACGCGCCATTTTCATGTGAAATTTCAAATTATGAATTTGCCGCACTAAAATCTGCGTTTTGAAACGCATATTTAGTTTTCACATACCAAATTCAAAATGGCATGCATATGCATGATAAGAAATTATTGCAATGCATAATAATTATTATCTGAAATCTCTAGCTAATTCTGTTTAATTTTAAGCAGCTTGTATTTTAAAACATAAATTTTACAAATTAATAAAATTTTTTTTTCCAATTGGGATTTTTTTTAAATTTCGAAAAAAAATTACTACTATAAACTTTATATTTAAATTTCTAAAAAAACAATCACATAGGGAAGGAGTAAAGGATTTTGATAGAGCATTTTTTAAAAGCTTATCAGAGGAAGATTTACTTAAATTAGCTCTTGCAGCACATAAACTTGAAATTATAGTTCTGATGAAACTTTGCTGCATTGCTATCGCATCAAGCTATGTAAATTTATCAGGCTCAGAATTTGATTCTTTGACTGAATTTATTAAACTTGGAATTGAAGAAGATGAATGACTTAGAGTATGCGAATTTCCATTTGCGATGGATGCTAAAACAAATAATTAAATAATTATCAATCTTAAATGCTTTTAAAATGCTCTGTTTTATATATTTTTCTAGCATTTAAAATTAAAGAATCGTATTTTGATCACGAAAATAAATATTTTACTTTAATTATGCTTAGCCAACAACCCTGCGAGAGAAGTCTTTCCAGATTTCTGAATTTTACCAATTTCTTTGAATATTCTATTCACCAATCGATTTTGCTTATCTCTTTTAATATTTTTCCATTTATTCTGCACCTTTCTTAGCATGATCTTCGCTGACACTCTCTTTATATTCATTTCATACACTTTCTTAATAAAGGTTTGGCATCCCAAAGTTATTTCAATCATTTCTCTTTCTCTAGATTCTCTATCAGATCCTAGATTTAAGCTAAAATAATTGCATTCACTTAGTGCTAGCTGAATTTGGATAACCATATACCAATAATGCCTAAAAATATCCCCGATATGCCAGTTCCCATTATCTTCTTTTGAAATTGTTCCTTTTCTATTGAGTATCATTTCAAATTTAGACAGATTTGCTGATAAATCTGGGACTCCCATTTCACCCACAATTTCCTTTATCATTTCTATGTCTTTATTCATTGATTTTCACGATGTCTCAATTTTATACCAAAATGACGAAAAAGCATCAGCGTTTGGATCAATAATGCCATATTGATCTGTTGCTGGCTTAGAGTAGATTCCTTTTAGCCTTAAATGATGAAAAAAGAACCCATTTTCATTTGCAGCTGCTAGAAATGATCCAGCAGTTATTTTTGAATTTCCGATTGCCCAGGAGTCTCTGAAGAGCTTACTCCCCCCCCCCCCCTCCGTGAGCGAACAAAAAAATTTTGTTCGCTCACGGAGGGGGTTTAATTTTTTTTTTTAAAAAAAATTTATATATAAATTTTATAAAAAATATTTTTTTCGAAATTTAAAAAAAATCCTAATTTGCAAAAATTGGGAAGCAAATATTAATTTTTTATTTGCAAAATTTATGTTTTAAAACGCAATTTGTTTAAAATTAAACAGAATTAGCTCTAGATTTCATTATACTAATTATCACTTATATATCAAAATTTTTTTTCCATTAAAATTTTTTCTATTAAAAAAATTTTTTGTTCACTCACGGAGGGTGGGTTTTTTGGTCAAAAAATGGCGATTTTTTCTAAATGGTTTTGTTCGCTCACGGAGGGGGGGGGGGGGGAGTTAGCAATTCTTGACTCAGGGATTTGTAAATCAATGTTTTTCACAAGGTATTTGAAGTTTTCAAAGTTCATTTGCGCTTGCTCGTTTTCTCTTGCGTTTTGTTCAAATAAATCATTTATGACTCGAATTTTAAAGGATTTTTCATTTCGGTAATATTCCAGCATAACTCGTAGCACAAGAGAACTTTCTATAGTAAGAGCGCCATTTTGGTCTCTGCATTTTTGCCTTAAAATGTTTTTTAGCTCAGTAACGCTTGCTGTAGGAAGATTTGCCATGAGCATGTCGACCACAGAAGAAACCTTATCAAACCCAAGGTAATGGAAATTAGAAAACCTCCCACTTGAGTGGCAAAGTTGAGGGCCTCCAAACAGTGCAAACCTGCAATGCAAGAAAAATGCAAGCTCGTCAATACCCATATCTTCTAAAAGAAACTCTTTAAAAGTGAATATTTCTCATATTTTATTAGTCGGTCTCGCACACAAGCCTAGCAAAATGCTCAATCTGAACTCATTTGCGTGGTCTTTTTTGTGCCATTCAAGCTCTTTTACGTTCCTTGTTCTTTCGTCTACATAGAATGCTCCAAGCCACGCATAGACAAATTCAGGAAAACTTGAAGGGATTTTTCCAGTTTCTTTTGAGCACATTAAGTGCTCATAATATTTTGAATCAAAAATACCTCTTATAGTTATTTCAAGCCAGTCTTCGAAAGGAGGAGAAAAGGTCGCAGTATTTCCTGTAGGAATTGATACTAGAGATGAATAGGTAGGTCTATTGTGTTTTACAAGCTCAATTAAACCGTCTAGTGAAACTTCTTGTTTAAATTTTTGTTTAGCTAAAGACTCTTTTTGAATGATGCTCTCTGATCTTTGTAAAGAAGCGTCAGGGGCTGAGCTGAATTCTTTGTTAGTCGTCCTTCGAAAATAGCCTCTTTCAAATGTGACTGGCTCTCTCACAGGGGAAAATATCGGGTCTTTTAAGGATATAATTGTATCTCCGTTCTGCCCAGCATTGTGAAAATTCCCAAGCATTATGTTCATTTCTAAATTATGCAATTTTTGGGTTGTAGTATGATGCGTGATTTTGAGTTGCTGGTATTTATACCTGTATTTCTTATAAACTTCTAGATCTTCCTTTTGCATATAAATACTTTCTTTTAGCCATTCTATTTTACTTTCCAAAGCTGCTTCATTTTCTTTATGCTCTGCAATCACATCTTCTAGCCCTCTCTTGATTTCGCTGAATTGATTAAAAAATGACATTTTTTCACTTATTTCTGTTTTTGCAAGCCCAAGCTCAAGCTGAAGCTTACTTATGACATTTTTTAGAGATTCGACCTTTTTTTTATACTCAACAATATTTTCTTCCAAAATATTCGCATGTCTGCTCAGCTCAGAATTGATATCGTCGTTGGATTTAACGTCTTTATATCCTTCTAGCTTTTCTACCAGCATCTCAATTCGATTTTCTAGCTGAGCTTTTTCTTTGTTCCATGCTCTTTCCCTTATTTCAAAATATATTACTTCTTCAGCGTTTTTCTTGGCAATAGAGTCATTTTTCCCTTTGATTTCTTTTAGTTCTGAAGACGTTTGTCCTAGTATTTTGTTATTTTCATCAAATTTCTCACATATAGCTTCAAGTGATTTTATTTTGGTATTTTTCTCATCAATAAGTTTATACATATGTTCTCCCAATTTAAAAAATAGATTTTCAATATAAAGCAGGGTTTTCAGCACATCTTTTTTGCTTTCGCCTACAAAATACTCTGCATGTAGAGTCTAACTAGATATTACTTCATGTGTAAACGACTGAAATGCACTAGAAATGCTTTGGAATAAATTCATTTCTCAGTTTTTGTCAACTAATTTCTATATAATTCGTACTTCTAGGTTCTGTCTTTTTGCTTCTTGGGCAGAGCTTAAATCTCTGCATTCGTCAAAGGTTTTCATAAACTGTACAGATGGGGTTTGGTTTTCTGATAGTCGCTCAGGCTTTAGAGTCTGATGCATTAATAAGTAATCAACGGTAGTTTTCTTGTATGTGGAGCCTGGACGTATTAGCCCAAGCTCAGCACCATAAGTGGTGGTTCCAAAACTCATATTGCGAGGAGAATAGAGAGATTGGACTTGACCCCGAGTTGAATTGGCAGTTCGGACTGGGGGATAGTTAGATCTTTGGGATATCACTCTTGAAAAAGAAGAAGTAGAATGGTTAAGTCCAGCTGATTTTGTATTTCGAGTAGAAGTTGGTGTTCGGGGGGAAGGCTTGGGCAAGATAGATGTACCAATTAATTGAGGAGTTAGATCTTTTGACATGCTGATTGTTTATTACGTTTTTGAAAGAATTTAAATAAATATTGGCATTATTTGCTTATTTTCTTAACTCCCCCCTCCGTGAGTAAACAAAAAAATTTTGTTCACTCCGAGGGGGTTAATTTTTTTTTTTAAAAAAATTTATATATAGTTAGTTAGTTAGTTTAAGCTGGGTATTTATAGTCCCTACTTCGTGGACTGCATGCCGCGGTTTTATCCGCAGGGTGGCAGAGGGTACCCACAGCAAGCCCGGGCCGAAACCCCCGGTTTCTCGGGAGAGGTGAGGTCAAGGGACAGAACACTGTCTTAGCTGACCGCCTCCATTTCCAACTCGCTGTGTCACCCAAGTTGACGCCAACACTGCCCTTTCCATCCGCCCATCGCCCCTTTTGATCGGGACCCTTTCAACTGGAGAGACTTGTGCCCTTGAGAACCTAAGTCGAGCCTCGCCTTCCCCTTTTTCCCGGATCATCTCCAAGAAAAAAAACTCAACCCCTTGCGGGATTCGGGGCGAAGCCACCAAGTAGCTTAGGCAGGTAATCCCCCTGCCTCTTTCGGACACCGAGTCTGGGCCTCGGTGCTACTGGCAAAAAAGATGCGAAAAACTGCTGCCCGAGTCAGGCAAAAAATCAGCGGAAATTGTAAAGGCCTCTCGCCTCGAGGCCAGCCCTTCCCTTGAGTAGCTCTTCGCACCCAAAAACCATGTCCGGTATACATAAGGTCACCCGCCACGGAAGGACGGGTCGCTCGTCTCCGGCCATTTTATGTATAAATTTTATAAAAAATATTTGTTTTTGAAATTTAAAAAAAATCCTAATTCGCAAAAATTGGAAAGCAAATATTAATTCAATTTGCAAAATTTATGTTTTAAAAATCAATTTGTTTAAAATTAAACAGATTTAGCTCTATATCATTATACTAATTATCATTTATATATCAAAAATTTTTCTATTAAAAAAAATTTTTGTTCACTCACGGAGGGTGGGTTTTTGGGCAAAAAATAGCGATTTTTCTAATGGTTTTGTTCACTCACGAAGGGGGGGAGTAAGTATTCAGTGCACTTATTGGTTATCGAAAGTAACAGGCATCATTTATTATTTTTTATTTTGATGCCTTAGGTATTTATTTTTAAAAAGAAAAAAATAATCCTAAGAATTATAAAAATACACAATTTTCTTTATCTGAAAAGAATTTATTACGTATATTTACTAACCCAAAATTAATGAAAAAATCCCAGAAGAAAAATTAATTTGTTTACACAATTAAAAATGGAGCGCATGAATTAGGGTCATTGTCCCCTAAAGGTCATCCTAGTGAGGGAAGTTCAGTCTTTCTGAAGGATATTGGCGCTGGAACTGCTTCGGCAGTTCCTGGTGTGCTTGAATCAAGTTCAAGGAAAGAAGAGAGACTCGTCTAGGTCATAGGCTACTGTAACGGTTCGACGGTTAGGCCGATTCCACCTACCGTTGTTCAGAGCTGTTAGCCAGTGATGGAATTCAGGGAGGATGAGCTTGTATTGTCAGATCCTAAGCTAAGTGGGGGTCGACAAAGTGTTATCGTAATCTTAAATCTTAAATCTTAAATTTGTTTACTCTCTCCCTAAGAGAGCGAATAAAAATTTTTAATTGTTTTTTTAAAATTACTTATATATAAATTTTATAGTAAGTCCTTTTTTCAATTTTAAAATCTCAATACGAAATTATTTAAAGCAAAATATTGAATTTAATTTTTTAACATTTATATTCTAAAATGCAAGCTAGCAAATATCAAACAAATTAGCTAGAGATTCATTATATTTAATTATCACTTATACATCAAAAACTTTATATTAAAATAAACTACTCAAAAAATAGGGATTTTTCCAATTGTTTGGTTCGATCATAGAGGGTGGAGTTAGAAGAAAAATTGTATTTGTATGGAAAAATATACTGCCTGATCTTCTTCACAAACAAAAGAAAAACTCATGATTTGTTGATAAGTAACAAGCAGCATTTTTGTCAAGTCTCCTTTGGAGAAATCTTTTATATGTCCGAATTCTTCAAAATTAAGAGTTACACCTTCAAAAGCTATAATATTTTCCACAAATTTCTTAAAGCCCCTAAGAATCTTAATTATTTATGTACATAAAATATATGATTTTTACATGTCAAATAGCTATCTTATTACTAAAAATAATAAGAAATACTACTAAACATTATATTTTATTGGCCTCATCATTGCGGTTTAAGATCGATATCCTATATCTTTTCTTAACATCTGTATCTGGAGATCTTATCAAAAAGCATAACAGCTTATCATCTGAAGAATAATAATGCTCCAAAATAAATGTAAAGGGCTCAGAATCGCCCCCTATCACTTGTTTTAAAACTCTATATCTATATCTTCATATATGCTCATTCGGAGGGTTCCATAGATACCTAAACAGCATTCCTCTCACCAATTCTTGCACATCATGAGCTTGAGTCAAATGTTCCGCCAAGTCCCCCGAGTCTCCTTTCCACTGACAATTCTTGAATTCTTTATAATAGCAAGATATCTGTGGCCTGAACTCGCACATTTTTTCGTGTTCCGGCCTTTGTGATAACGTAACAACTTTGCTGCAGCCTTTTAAGCTGTGAGTGCATTGGACTGTGAATTTATCAAGGAGCTGCTCTAATTGATAATTTCTTAATTCTAATAAAATCGGCGATCTGCAGACTGCGCATGATTTCTTTTGTTCTAACAGTGATCCTGTTTTTTGTACACACGACTGACAGTAGCTATGGCCTTTATTGCATTGGACTATTGGAGGCTTAAAAAAATCAGAGCAGATAAGGCACATCATGCTTTCATAGAAATCATTTGAAGGTCTAGGTCGCTTTACTCGTAAAGATAAGTCTGAATCTTGGTTCATTTGAAATTATTATAACGATCCATAAAGAAATTTTTAATTTAGATATTTAAACACCCCATTTCTAATATGAAAAATAGGCAGTAAAATAGAATTCAAAATTTTTCATGTGTTCGCTATAAAAAATGTCAGACTCATTAGAGTTTGTCTCAGCATTCCGGGACAATAATGAAGAAATTTATGATTTGGTGTGTCGCGGCGTGTATCATCATGACGAGCACAAAATCCGTTCAGCACTAAATGATGAGGTCATCAAAAGCAAACTAACAAATCTTCTTGATTTCTACCGCTATCCTAATGACCAATCAGCTCGAAAGCTAGAAAGCGAACTTAAATGGGCTGGGACACAACCTCTTTCCGCCACAATGAAGAACTTTTTAAACCAGCTTTCCTTAAAGCTTAATTTAAACCAGGAGCAGACATTCCGATTAGCAGAATTATTTTTCATTAACCATCACTCAATTTTTGAGCGAGTCAAGTCTCAAGAAACTGAACTCGTCCAAAAGGAGCTTGGGAATTTGTTCAGGCCGATCATTTCTCTTTACTATAAAGAAAGAATTTACCTTATCAGGACAATGACACAGATTGTTATGAATACCACAATTGAAGGACACCCAGGACAAGCTGTTTGTCTTGAATTTTTATCTGAGCTTAAAATGACGAAGAAATTGGAAGATTTGATATGAAATCAATATAAAGCGGTATGCAAAAAAGAAATCCCAAGCCAGGTGTATGCGCCACTAGAGAGAGAAGAGTGGTTTTTGCAGATTTTGCATGAGGAAAAAGAACTGTTGGAGCTTTTGATTTCGATTAATTATGCTTTTGCGCATTGCTCGGCTGCACAGATTTTGGGGTATGCTGAGCTTTATGTGGAGCAGGATTTTAGAGGGAGTTATAAAGCAATTCTAGCTGATAGCCACCTTATGGAGTATCGGTCAAAGCATCACGAGTTTGTACAGCAGATCAGCGATCTGAGCCTTTTTCATTTGCTTTCTTCTATAAGATTAGACATTTTTGCTGAGCAGCAGACTATTCCTGACTTCCCCCATTAATAATTAAATTCTTACTTATTTGCTGTTTTAAGACAAATTTCAAAATAGTAAATTTTAAACGAATAGATCGAATTTACTAATTATTGGGGAGTTTTCAGACAAAATGCAAATCTTAGGCATTTACCCCCCAATAATAAGCAAATCGATCTATTCCTTTAAAATTTACTATTTGAAAATTTACAGTTAAAACTCAGTAAATAATGAAGAATTATTACTGGGGGAGTGAGTTCAATCCTAACAAAAATCCTTTTAATTTATTAGCAAATCAAGCTGAATTAAAAAGCATCCATGATTTCTTAATTGGATTGTCAGATCGGATAGACCGCATACCTGATCATATATCTCCGTTTATGCTAGCATGATGGTGTTTGATTGCATGGGGGAGGCTTTTCCCAGAGCAATACGTAAATACCTCAGCTTTAGACATAGATTCACTTGCAGAGCTGATCATGAAATTTGATATATTGAATTTCCTTAACGTTATCACAAAAAGATCTCCCTTCACAGGACCTCAGACTGAGCTTTCTTGTGCATTAAAATATATCATGCTAAATTTTGTATCATCTATCAGTGCATCGCAAGCCTTATCAGAAAAAAGAAGTAAAGATCTATTAGTCCAAGTTACATGTGCTTGCTTACTCTTCTCCTCCATGAGCGGGCAAAAATTATTTATAGAAATTGCCCGAGGATGGCGCTATTTTGCGCCATCCTCGGGCAATTCAAAAAAAGGCCCCACACGGGAATTGAACCCACGTGTGGGGCCATTTTTGGTATGTGGAGAATATTGACTTCCACGCACCAAAAATGGCCCATACGTGGGTTCAATTCCAGTGTGGGATCTGTTTTTTGAATTGCCCGAGGATGGCGCAAAATAGCGCCATCCTCGGGCAATTTCTATACTTATTACGGAGGGCTATTAGTTTTTTTTAAATTTATATAGCTTTTTTTTAAACCAATTCTCAACAATAAGAATAAAATAATTTATTTTTAAATTAATAGAATTAGGTAGAGATCGCATTAGAATAATTATCAATTATATCTTATAAAAAATTCTATAAATTTTTGGCTAAATTTCTTATGGACGTTATATACGCGCCATTTTCATGTGAAATTTCAAATTATGAATTTACCGCACTAAAATCTGCGTTTTGAAAACGTATATTTGGTTTTCACATATCAAATTCAAAATGACATGCATATGCATGATAAGAAATAAATGCAACGCATTATATATACAATTATTTTTTACTTGAGAAGGGAACCTAAAAATAGGAATTTTATGATTAATTTGGTCACCCACAAGCAGGGGGGCTAGAAAAAGAAGGATGCCATGAAGCTTTAAACCATTTTTGGAGAGAACATTTTCCTAATAAAAATGGACTTTACTCAATCCTTGCTGATTTAAGCGCAGTGTATCCCCATGACCCTGAAGGCTTTTTACAATTTGTAAGCATTTTGGTTGGGGATAGCAGTAATTCATACGCTGAAGAAGTTGTGCATTATTTAGACAATCTAGAAACCTTTACATATCCAAGCTTTGAAGAAAATATTGCTTATGTCAGCGGAGCAGATCCAAGAGAAAGACGTGTTGTAGCTTCAGTTTCCATGAAAAGTCAAGTAATAGAGATCCCACAAGGAACTACAGGGTATATCACTGCTGAAAGAGTCTCTTCTAATGCTGTCATTGTAAGATGGGAAATTAGGTATTCTCTGTGGCCTGTTTTATTTATGTATTGGGAAGACATGCTTAATAACCTAAAGCATGGAAACCAAGTATCAAACGCTGAAAATATCTTGAACCAATACATGAACCTGCTTTGCCACATAATTATCCTTCAACCTAATATTGGCCCTATTCTCGAAAGACTCGGCCTCAGAGAGCCTGCAAATAACCCAAGTGACGTAAAAGTTACCGATAAACAAAAAGGAACCCCTAACCTCGAACTCTGCAGACTTCTGCTTGATACTTTTATAGAGCTTGCCAAGCTAGCCCTGCCTCCACTCGAGACTTTGTCACTTATTATTGATGCAATAAAAGCAGAACTTAATTTTGAAAGGCAAAAATCTGAAAACTCCTCAATGATTTTAGCTTTGAAACAGATTTCAGAGGATAGGTATGGAATGATCAATATTTATACACACCCACTATTTATGAATATTAACAAGCTTCAGATGACAGAAAGAGAAGCTGGAAACTATGAGACCAGTATATCATTGCTAGACCTTTGTGTTGATATTATTTCTGATAACAGCTTTATAGTCCAATTCCCAGTCGACTCCTCAGGGCTTCTTGGAGAAATCTTAAAATTTGTGATCAGTGAAGTTCTCCCTGAATGCATGAACTGGCCAATTTCTTACAAATGGAGAGCAGCCAAGCTTGGTTTCGACTTTTTGACAGTCTTGTTTAAAAAATACAATAAATTTTCTTTCCCACAAGGTGTAGCTATGAGCTTGAACCTACAATATCTAGATTTGATCACAAATCAGCTTAATAAAATCGATATAGTCGAATTCCTAGCAAACTCGCTGCAAGTTATAATGATTCGGTCAGAACTAAATGAACTGAACTTTGTAAACCTGCATTGAATACGGTCAGAAAAAGAAAACAACGACCCAGAAGAACTACGAGCCATTAAAAGCATGATTTTTTCAGCACTAAACACTTTAGATGAAATTGCTAGCTTAGCTTTATACTCTGAAAAAATTGGAAAAGAGTACAGTTTAGATCACGTTCAAGCTATTAAAGATGTCCGGAGCCTTTTAACACAAAATTTAGGGGACGAAGAAACTTTGCCACTGGTGACTGCTTTGTTGAGCTATGTGAATTTTCAATTTTCCAGAAATTTCTTGGATGATGAAGAGCCTTTATCAGTACCTTCTTTGAGTGTTCTTTCCAAGGTAGTTATATATTGGTCTTTGCTATCTCAAAAACCAACCTTAGAGCACTTTTTGACTGGTAGTTATCAACAAATAAAGGCAGATTTCATAAAATATTTTTGGAGCAGCTTTAGCATGGACCAAAGCAGCGATTTATCAAATCGTCAGAAAGCTCAAGCAGGGAAAGCTTTTCTTGAGTTTATAATTATTTGTTTCCCTCTCCAAAAGTCATTTGTCACTTCAGCTTGTTCAAGAAACGATATTTCAGTTGAGCTAAGAAGTGTATTAGTTTCATTTGCAGAATTCTCTAGAGAAAATGTGAATGAAACCACAATGGAGCTGCTTTTCCATTACATTACATTTTATGAAGAAATTATTAATAATCATTCTCTTTTCCCAGGCATATACAATTCTATATTCCAAGAACAAGGGCTATTGTCAATATGCTTTGATGCCATTACCAACGTGTTCCAAAACATTAAAGATCCCCAGAAATTTGAAGGCTGTCTGGTCTTGCACTGTTTTTCATCAGTCATGTCGATTCTTCTGCACAATTCAAATAAAAACAGCGCTGATAAAGAGCATGCAATTAAAGAAATGTTTAAAGAAGAAATCCTAGGCCACTTATTAAGGCTATTATCTAAATGCATTGCAAACCCATCAACTTCTTCTAAAATGCTTGAAGTAGAAGAATGGCTGCAGAATTCAGGAATTTCAGCTAATATAACTGATTATGCAATTTTGCAGCTGCACAATAAGGCTTATTGGAGATTATTTGACTGCAATCCAAACCAATATGGAGAAATTCACTATTATATTGACCTAGACAAGCTTTCATTAATTTTAAAGACACTAGGCGTTAACTATGAATTAATACAAAAAATTGAAGAAGTGGGGAGAAAAATCAACGCTGAAAAATCACTATTAGATTCTCAATTTTCTGCACTAATAAAATTTAAGCAGCTTTTTGCATTTCTAGTAGGCTATGGAAATTCAAATAAACCTTTAGCACTATTAGACCAAACAATTTCTTTAGAAAACAAAACTCTAGTAATTGCTCCAGCAAAATCTGTAATAGAAAGCCACACACGGGCTTTTGAGATTTTGGCTAAAGTTTCTGATCCATTGTGGGCTGAAATCACAAAAGAAGCGAACTCAAGAAATGAATTTGTCCTGAAATGCATTGAAGAAAAATACGAAATCATAATGTACGCGTTTAACTTGGCAATTCATATTTATCAGTCTAGACAAGAATACTCACAGTCGTCTACTTCAAGTCAAAAAGCAATGGAATATGAAGTGACTGCACGAGAAGAGTTTCACCGCATTTCTAACAAAATTATGACAGAATTTGCCCAGTACTTTGAAAGATTGCAAGTTCCGAGTGTTGGAGCTTTCAGCCTGGTGCTCGTTGTGTTTGGGTATTTTATAAAAGCAAGAACTGAAGGGCTAGAATCAAGAGCTGAACAGTTTACTTTGGCAATAATCCCTAGACTTGCAAGATTTTTGAACTCAGATTCTCAGTTCTTCGCATTACTTGTAACTATTTTTGAAGAGTCCTTATTTTTCTTACAAACACAAGAAGTCATAAATATTTACAAATCCCTTCCTTGTATCAGAATTATGCTAGAAAAAATAAGCTCACCTAAATGCACTGATCAAGAATTTTTATCAGTCATTAAATTCTCTTTTGCTTTTGCTAGAACAGTCCAAGGCGCACGTTTCCTCTTATCTGAAAGGATTTTCAGCAATCTTGCATCAGCATCTCAGCTTAAAGTAAAAACAGAGTACCAAAACAGGTTTAGAGATCCTCAGCATATTTTATGGTGCTGGGTGCTGATGCTGCTAAATGAAATGCACGATATTCTTTCATAATTTAAATATGGCGTCTCAACTTGGGCTTGGCCTCTCGGCCAAGCAGTCTCGAGCCCCCTATTTAAATTATATCTGGCAAGGTTTTGCCATTCTAGAAATGGACAGCAATGCTAGGTAAGCAATTCTGGTTGTGTACAGAGCCTAGCCTTAGCCTATTTTCTGGGATGGATTTTACTTCACAGGTGAAGGAGGCAAGGAAGTTGGAAAGGGAACGCCCAGCTAAGCCTTTATGGCCCATCGGGCAATTTCCCAGCGTGAAACCAGGGGTTACGTCCTGGGCTACTTGTTTTCCTTTTTGCCGATAACCTACCAGAAAATCCATTTTTTTGGGGTTTTCGGAATGGCAACTGCGTCAAGGCCTGGCCAGTAACTCACTCATGAGTCGTCGAAGTCGGTAACACCCCTCCAAGCTTGCCCTGGTGAACAAAGCAGGCTGGCTCAGCGGCCTGTGGGCCTGACAGGTGGAAGTGAAGGTGATAGGTCTGGTCTTGCTGACCTCCATGGTGGACGTTAAGCGTAATAATTCTAATGTAATGCACGATATTCTTTCTGATGACCCTGCATTTCTGTCTCAGCTTTATAATTTCATATCAGGGTTTTCTGATCGATTCCAAAAAATCTTAAGTTTTAATCTTTCAACTGAAGGAAAATATGGAAGACAAATTGTCGCCCACAAACAATTCTCGTTAGGATATTTAGAAGAGCTTGATTTGATGACTTCTCTTATAAAGAAGTTTATTGATAACTATAAATACTGGAAAGCAAGCCATAAAGAAATGATTGAGTCATGGGTAATATTGATAGCTCAGCAGGCATTAAGAATTTATTCAACAAGTATAGATATTCCTCATACTTTTCCACCGGTTTCTGAGCATGAAGTCAAAATGTCAAATAAAACAGTCCCTGATCAGACCATTGAGGAAAGAAAACAAAGAAATTACGCTTGGATGCAGGAAACCCCAAGAAGGTCGATTTTAGAAGGCTTTCCGAATAGGTATAGAGAAGAAGCAATAAAAGCGCCTACAAAAATACAGCCTTCTGTTTTTGCTTATAGAGTAGAGGCTGTTTTGTTAAGTTGCCTTACAAATATCATGTCCTCTTTAATTGGGATTATTCAAATATCAAGGTCTTCACCTTTCTTAGATCCATTGTTGCTGCTTGATGTTGGCAAGTTTTCCATGCTGATTTATAATAAACTTAACCAAGATCAAAAATATTACAAAAATCTTGAAAAAATATCAAATGAGGAATACCAAAGTGCTGAGAATTCACTTTTGTATGGGTCTTTAAACCACACATATCAAATTGATACACAAAAGTTATGTGAAATCGCCCAGGGGGTGTTTGAGATGGCTTTTTACTTAATTTCTAAATCTGATCTGGGATCCATATCGGATATCAAGTCAGAAGCAAGCTATATTTTGAAGGAGTGGAAACAAAATACGAGCACAGGAATTTTTGGAGGGGAAAATAATGACCAGTTTCTGACATGGCTAATAGAACAGTTCTAAAATTTTTAAGCATAAATTTCTTACTCATCTTATAATTGAAACCAAAATATACTACAAAATTCAGGATTAGCTATTTCTTTAAAAAAGAAATTATCATTGTTAAAACAATACATATAAATTAACTGATAAAATTTATCAAATTTATTTAAATAGTATTTTATTTAAACCCTCCTTTAAATAGAACAAGTTATAGGTAAAAAACGATTTTTGTCAAATTTAATTTGATATAAGTAGTTTACATAAAAATTATTAACTTTAATAGTAAAAAAATTGCTGGGAGATTAATTTAAAAAATAGAAATTTACCAAGATATTGCCCCTATTTAAAGGAAGAGTTAATGGTTATTTAATTCCTTATAGAATAAAAAATTATATATAAAAGTTTGCATTGAATTTCTTTCAACTAAAGGCAGAATAATATTCCAATTATTAAATATTAAATATTTATTCAGCTAATTTTAATATTGAGCACTATTTAACTCATATATTAAATATATTCAACACTAATTTTTTAAAACACCAAGAAGTATGTATTTTCTGATACTTTAATATTCCTAACCTAAAACCCTTTGGGGTTGAAAAATTCCAAGAAATATCCCGTCTAATAAAATCTAAAATTTTCTAATGCATACTGCAGTTACACCATTACAGTCTATCGAATCCCATCAATGTCCAATAAAATTTAATGGAAGAGCAAAGCTTGATTAGAATCCCACCGTTCCAATACGTTCACATCCTCGACTGTAATACCAACATTACAAGAGTAACAGAAGGTCCTCTCACTTACGTCTTGAAAGATCACGAACGAATTGGCCTTGGTGGAAAGATTATGAAAATGATCCAAATTCCTCCCAGAAACTACTGTATAATCAGAAACCCAGTTATCAAGGACGAGCATAGAAGAGTTTCTTTTGACGACAACGGAATGATAATTAAAATATGGCGTCTCAGTCAGGGCATGGTCTGGAGGCTATGCAGCTAGGAGGACATATTTTAATTATATCCGACAAGGATTTGCCAATTCAGAAATGAAGAGCAATGCTGGTTAAACAATTATGGTAATGCTCAGAGTCTAGCTCTAGCCCGCTTTCAGGTTGGATTTTAGTTCGAGAGGAGGGTGAGGAGTTACTTTAATGTGGTGGGAAATCCGACCCCACCGACTCGCCCTTATGGGCGAGTTTTATTAAAGTTGTAGAGAAGGGAGGGTTCAGAGTTGGAAAAAGAGGGAGCTCAATAAAGTCTACAGGCAATGCCTAGACTATTAGGGCAACTCTCTAGCGTGAAACTGAGAGTTATGCCTCTGGCTTTGAATTATTCCTTTTATCAATAGTCCACCAGAAATTCCATTTTTTGAGATTTTTTGTGCGTTCAGCCTTTGTTTAACTCATGCAACATGCCGCAGAAGTCCATAGCCTTCCACGCAACGCTGGAGCTAACAAGGTAAGGAGGAGACGGAGATACATAACCCTACTTCACATATCGCCATGGCGTCAGGAAGCGAAGAAGAGGAAATGTGGTGCTTGAGCCGATTCTCGCCCAGTTAGTCATCTAACTCGGCAAAGTTCTCCCTGTAGACATGAGAAAGAAAGTGAATCCCCTATTGGGATCCTTGGTGACTGCGTTAAAAATACGCAGTAGTCAAGCCTATAATCAGTTTAAGACGACAATGGAATGGCAAGAGTTAAGCATGGAGACCGTGAAGTCCGCACATCAGAAACCCACCCTGAGCCTTTTCCACTTTATCCATGGGAAGAAATAGAACAAGACATCCAAAAAATCCCTGTAATTCAGCCAAACTGCGCTTATAAATTAAGGGCTACAAGAGATTTCATCGACAGCACTGGAGAAAGACGTTCTGCAGGTGATGAATGGCTTCATTATGGGCCTGGAACCTATGTTCCTAAGATTGAATGTGACATTGTTGAGCAAGTCAAGTCTTTGACTATCAAGCCAAACGCAGCACTCAAAATTAGAGCTAAAAGATCTACAGTTGATAAGTACGGGAACACCAGAGAAGCAGGTGAAGAATGGCTTATCAGAGAAACTGGAGATTATCTGCCAGGTGTCAATGAAGACGTCGTTGAAGAAGTCAAAGCAATTGTATTGACTGAAAAGAAAGGACTTCAGCTAAGGGCTATAAGAAACTTCACTGATGTGTATGGAGTCAAAAGATTGGCCGGAGAAGAATGGTTGGTGACTCAAAAAGAAACCGACACTCACATCCCTGACGTCAACGAAGTCGTTGTAGGAACCGTCAACTCTATTGTCCTCAATAACAGACAATACTGTTACATCCTCGACCCTGTCGAAAACGGGAAAAACCAGTTCGGTAAAAAAGTTTTAAGAAAAGGAGAATGCACCTTCTTCCTCAAGCCTTTTGAAAGTTTAGAAAAAGGGATCCAAGACGTCTACGTCCTTGCAGACGACGAAGCTCTGCTTCTCAAAGCTAGAGAAAACTTCAAAGACTCAGAAGGCGACGACCATTTGGCAGGCGAAAGGTGGATGATTTATGGCCCAAGAGACTATATTCCTCCAATTGAAGTAGAAGTCCTAGAAAGAAGAAAAGCTATTCCCCTCGACAAAAATGAAGGTATTTATGTCAGAGATAACAGAACTGGAGAAGTCAAAGCAGTAAGTGGAGAAAGCTACATGCTTAAACCGCATGAAGCCTTGTGGGATATGGAGCTCTCACCTGAAGTCGAAGATCTAGTTGCCAGACAAATCACAGGAGAAACCTTCCAAATCGCGAAAAAAGAAGGAGACAAGCAAGTCTACGTGTCGACTGGAAAGCCTTATAAGAGAGATAAAACCAGAGTAGTCGCATTTAGAGTCCCAAGTAATTCAGCTGTGCAGGTATACGATTTCAAGAAAAAGACAAGCAGAGTCGTTTTTGGGCCTGATAGAATTATGCTTCAGCCTGACGAGCAGTTTACCGTTCTAAACCTGTCAGGAGGAGTTCCTAAGAAAGAAGGGCTTATTAAAAATATTGCACTTATGCTTGGCCCTGACTTTATGACTGACATTGTCATCGTAGAAACCAGCGATCACGCCAGTCTTGCTATGACGCTTTCTTATAACTGGTTTTTCGACGTCGATAAAAACAACGCAGAAGAATGCAATAAGATTTTCATGGTCCGCGACTTTGTAGGTGACGCTTGCAAAACAATTGCTAGCAGAGTCAGAGGGGCAGTTTCTTCTTATACTTTTGAAGATTTTCATCAAAGATCAGCTGATATTATCAAATCTAGCGTTTTTGGAAGAAAAGGAGACGCTGTCAAATCTGAAATAAGATTTTCAGCAAATAATTTGGTCGTGACCAATGTCGATATTCAAAGTGTTGAACCTACTGATGATAAAACTAAAGCAAGTCTTAAGAAATCAGTCAATCAAGCTATAGAAATTACAACTGAGTCAAGCAAAGCAAGAGCTCAGCATGAAGCAGCCAAGGCTGAGCAGCACTCGAAAGGCCGCTTAGATCTTCAGAAGGTTCAAGACGAAATTGAAGCTGAAATGGAACAAACCAAACTTATAGAGCTGAAGGTGAAAAACAGCGAAGTCCAATTAATCGGGAAATCCACTGGTGAAGCACTTGCAGAAGCCAAGGCAAGAAAAATCCAAAATGAAAGCAATGTGGAGATGACAACTTTGATTGAAGAAGCAAAGAAAATTGAAAATGAGACTGAGCTGTCACTTCTGAAAGAAAAACAAGCTGCTGATGTCGCCCATCAAAATGCGCTAGATGAATTGGAAATTAATAAGGCAAAAGAATTAGCAGCAATTGAAACTCAGAAATTCCAAGAAATTGTGGATGCAATTGGAAAGGAAACTATTGTGGCGATGGCTAAAGCTGGGCCTGAACTTCAAGCGAAGCTTCTTAAGGGACTTGGACTTAAAGGATTTATGCTGATGAACTCAAAGAACCCTATTAATCTTTTCTCAACAGCAAATGGCTTCGTTCAAAACCCTTAAGCTAATTAACTATTGAATTCGAAAAAATTACTTTAATATAAAATTCTTATAAAAATCAGTAAATCTGAATAATTGTTTATAATAGACTTAAACAATATTTGTTTATTATCGGCCAATTAAAATACAACTTTTGGAGGACCTTTGTCTTTATGAATAATCGACATTTCTTCAATTTCCCTTTGTGTCAGCATGATTCCAAGAGAAATACAATGCAGTGTCATGCACCCATAAAAGCTCCTATAAAGAGAATCTAATCTATCAAATGGTGAAGGCATTATGCTTACATGAGCTCTGAATCCAAAGAATAAAGCAACACTTGTGCCTAAAATATACCTTGTTATGCCTTTGATAAAAGCGCCTATAAAGCCTATAAGAAAATATCATCCGTCCCAAAAGCAAAAATAAAGTTTATTTTTGACTTTTCTGTCTTTTTCAACTAGCTTAGGGAAATAAAAAGTCCTATTTAGGAGTTACCCTAATATTAATGGCGAAAAGCTAAGCCAAAATCATATGGTTCGTCCAGCAAAGTATGAGCCTGGGCCTGATAGGTTTATGTAAAGAGCAATCCCAAAGAGGATGCTAAACACCAAAAACGAAAATGTGAATTGAAGGAATACACAATTAATAACAAACTGCGCTATATAGCTTTTTACCTGGAAAGAAAATTGCTAACTCACCCCCCCTCCGTGAGTGAGCAAAACCATTAGAAAAATCGCCATTTTTTGCCCAAAAACCCACCCTCCGTGGGTGAACAAAAATTTTTTTAATAGAAAAATTTTTTTTATGGAAAAAATTTTGATATATAAGTGATAATTAATATAATGAAATCTAGAGCTAATTCTGTTTAATTTTAAACGAATTGCTTTTAAAACATAAATTTTATAAATTAAATTAAATTTCAAAAACAAATATTTTTTTTATAAAATTTAAATATAAATTCTTTAAAAAAAAAAAAATGAACCCCCCCTCCGTGAGTGAACAAAATTTTTTTGTTCACTCACGGAGGGGGGGGAGTAAGTGACTAGAAAATCGTCAAATTCGCTTTAAAAGCTCTCGGTTATCACTTTCATGTATGATTATCAGCATATATTGCTTATATCTGTAGAGCATCACACCAATCGAATAAATCACAAATAAATGACCAATAATTATTCCTGCAAGAGCACAGGGAAAAAGAGACCTCACAAGTGTTATTGCTTTTGTTAATAAAGCTATACCTTCACTTACAGTGAACACACTAGTGCTCTGTAAGTAAAATATAATGAAAGGCGAATCTCCATCCTGGGTTTCTAAATAATCTTTGTAAGATGCTAAAGAGTCAGCTAAATAATAAAATGAGTAAAATGCAATCGAATACTAAATAATATATACCAATATCATGACAGCAAAAGCAAATGCATATGAAATTCAAGCAGATATGATAATTCTAAATTAAGATTAAGATCGATTGTAGCGTTCACTGGCTTATTTTAGCCCTTACTCTTCACGAGTTAGCTTCACGCTTAGGTAGCGCTAGACACACTAACTTCAACTATGCCCTTTTTCCGTCGACGTCAAAAATAATGGTGACGTCAGACACTCTGTCAGAGAGATTCCCCAGTTCAGGTCCTGATCCTTGGCCAGCTATTAAGGACTGCCTACCGCCAGGACTTGACATATTGCAGAATCACCCAAAATCTCCTAATGGCCTACCTTAGTCCTATTGCAGACTCAAGATTGCCTCCCAAGAAGTAAGGAAGGATGTTTTGCCTCTCTCTGTCGACGTGGGTCAATGAAAAAAGGTTGAGCAGCACTAAAAACCCACGCCGGAGAACTATCGCCAATCGGACCCACCTTCCTCGGGCCTCGATCAACTCGCAGGACACCAACATCTAACTCCGCTCTCCATTTTAATAATTCTCATAATTCTAAATGGATAAGTAAATGGAATTCTCAATACTGCCTTGGTTTTTTGCCTTCGTTTACAGCATAAGACTTTCAATAAAATTAACTTTGCGATTTTCCCGAAGATTTCGTAAATTTGTATTGATTTTCTGTATTTCTTGGGGAAAAATAAAACAGCAATTCACAAGAAAAATGCCCAAATACTTAAAATGGCCCTTATATAGCCTACAATTATATTTGTAATCCAAGCTGCAGTTTCGTGGCTATATGCAGGGCAGAGTGATGCATCAATTAATTTAAGAATGGTGTCATAAGTGCTGTATAATGCACAAAGCAAGGATATTATATATGGAGATGAGCGAATATTGCCGACAAATATAAAGAAATAAAACCAATGAGAGTATTTAGAGAATGAGCTGTCAACATTAAAAACCCAAGGAATGTTTTTCTTTTTATCCTTTATAGTGATTACTTCATTTAAATGATAGCAAATTGCTTGAAGCTCATAAGTGCCAAGAATTTTGGTGTTTAGATCTAAAATATAGAGCGCTCCAATAGTCATGGAAAGCTCTGGAATTATGAACTTGTCCTCAAGCATATCAAGGACATAAAACATCAGCAGCCTAATAAAGGCAAAAGCTTTTAGATGTCGCTTCCAAAATCCTTCTCCTCAGGAATTTAGCAAATCTCTTTGTTTTACATTTTCCATTTTCTCAACACGAGCAATAAATCCAGAATAATTTATAATAAATGCTAATTTCTTTTAGACAAAATAAATCAATCTTTTAAATAATAGAATAATTTATGATTTAGTTTAAGTATTATCTATTAAAAAATGGCCTAGAACTATCTAGACTTTCATCAATACCATGAAGCTCTTCTTCGCTAGGTAAAATTCCGAGAGAAACACAATGAAGAACTATGCAACCGTAAAAGCTGTTGTAGAGTGCATCATAGCTGTCAAAAGGATATGGCATCACACTTCTATGAGCTTTGAAACCAACAAAAAATGCAAAAAGAGATCCTAACTACTCTTTATGACGTACACAATTTTTATTTATTAATCTTACTTATAAAATTTTAAAATAAATATTTTATATAAAATTTAAGCAATTATATAAAGTAAGAAACACCCTTTTTCGCATAAAAGGAAAAAGTTTAAAAAGAAATTATTCGTGCTTAGATGGATAGAGTAAGATATAACGAGTAAGACCTTTAACAAAAGCCCCTACAAACCCTATAAAGAAATTTCAACCATCCCAAAAGCTCAAATATAGCTTATTTTTGATTTTATTATTCTTTTCTACTAATCTTGGGAAATAAAATATGCTGTTTGGTAATTACCCTAATATCAATGGGATGAATCCAATCCAAAATCATGGAGACTGGCTAGCAAGATAGCTTCTGAGATCAATAAGCACAGCAAAAAGTACAATTAAGAAGAATATAAAAAATACAAAAAAGGAGTAGATAACTTGCAAAAATAAAGTATTTACAACAAATTGAGCTGATTTACAATTACGAATAAAAAACATAGCTGAATGACTCGAGAATTTTCATATCTGCCTTAAAAATGCACGATCATTGTCTTCAATGATAATCATCATAAATCGCTTATATTTGTAGAGCATTAATAAAATTGAGTAAATAACGAATGCATGGCCGATAAAAAATGCTATGACGATAGAAGGGTATAAGAATTCCAGAAACAAAATTATTTTATCTTTTGCATCTTTGCTATCGTCATCGTCAGAAGAGCTTACTCCCCCCTCCGTGGACGAACTATTTTTTGCCCAAAAATCCACCTCCGTGAGCGAACAAAAATGTTTTATGAAAAAAATTTTGATATATAAATGATAATTATTATAATGAAATCTCTAACTAATTCCGTTTAAAAAGCTTTTATTTTCAAATTAAATTAATTTTTGCTTCTCAATTTTACAAATTAGATTTTTTTAAATTCTGAAAAAAAAAATTATAAGGAGTTAGCAAATTATGATTTCCAAAGGCAATTATAGTACGCTCAGTGTTTTGAAAATAAAAACCACTGTCATCAGACTTCATCCAGTCAATTAGATAAATCAACTGATAGCTATATATCAAAACCTATGTAGATATTACTTCTAAAGTCGTTGCGAGGGCAAAAGTATATGATATTCACGCTGCTGTAGTCATTCTCAACGGATATTTAAACTTTTTTTCTAATATTTTCCTAGTTTTTTTCCTCTTTTTGCATCATAAGAGTTTTATAAGTGACCATTTTACTATATTCCCAATAATTCCATAAAGCTGGGTTATTTTATAATAGCGTTTTGGAAAAATCAACAAAACAAGCCATAGAAAAGATGACCACACACTTAAAGCTGCTCTGGAATAGGCAGGAATAATTGTAAAAATATAATTGACGCCATCTTGGGCAGAAACAGGACAAAATGATGCGTCCATAACTTTAACTACTGCATCATATATATTATATAATGCACAAATTATAGTCAATGAGGTTGGGCAAGATTTAATATTTCCAACAAATAGTAAAAAATAAAAATAGTGCGAAAATATTGAAAAGGAACTGTTTGCATTAAAAAGTGCCGGAATGGTACTGTCAACATTCTAAATAGCAATTACATCATTGTAGCCATAACAATAGTCGCCAAAACTGTATAATCCTAAAATTTGGGTATTGACATCTCATATGTAGATAAATAATGTTAATGCTAATTTTAGGGTTAATAAGATTACTCTTGTTCAAGTCCAAATTCTTGTGTTATAGCTTGGATTGACAGCTCTGAATAACGGTAGGCAAAGATTGAACTAACTGTCAAACTGTCCATGTCCCCAAGTCCCTTAAGACCTCTCTTCTGCACAAGCCTCAGCTTAGCTTGGATCACTTCTCTTGACGCTAAAACCCTCAAGAAGGTTTAAACTTCTCTCACTGAGTTCGGCTGTAGGACCGTGGTCCTACACCTAGCTGCCATTTTAAATTGTGTGTAGATAAATAAAATAGCATTCGGTTCAATAGAAATTAGCTCTGCTTATTTTCTCTCCCCTCATAAAATTTTATATGGGGTTTGGCTTTCTCTCGAAAACTTGTGTACAGCAGCAGCGGTTTAACTTTGGGGATAACAGAGCAATTGCTCCACAGTGCAACCAAGAGGCTCAGAGTTTTCCTCTCAGCACACCCGAGGAAGGTGACCCTTAGGTGGAACACGCGCAGGAGCTGAGTAAGGGAAGGACGATGGCATTGCGCTGAGTGAGAGTTGCTGGTCAGGATGACGAGCGGCTTATTTGGGATGATCGACCTTTTGGATCGGAAATACTCGTTACGTCGCCATTTTGGCTCTGTCCCTTTAGTGCGAATGTGGCATTAATCGCCTTGAAAACCTAAATTAATATAATGGCATCTAATATGTAAGTTACACCTAAAATAATTGACAATTCTGGAATTTTAAGCTTATCCTCTATAAGATCAAAACTATAAAATACAATATATTTTAATCACCAGAGGCATTTCAAGTGGCGCTTCCAGAACGAGTCTCCTCAGGAGTTTAATGGTTGAACTTCCATTATTATAAAATCTATAAACCTATTTGCAGGTACAAATCCAATTTACAGATATTTCGATAATATTAAATAATGATATTTTGTTCGCATAATTATAAAATAATTTTAGCTAAATTTTTTATCTGACATTTATTATTTCTTTTAACTCCTACCAAAATTAGAAATTTAAATAATTTGACGTAACATTAATATTTTAAAATAAATTAATCGAAAAATTTTAAATTATTAATAATTTTGATTTGATTTTAATTTAAGATACATTATCTATTGAAAAATGGCCTAGGATTATCTTGAATTTGATCAATTTCATACATTTCTTCTTCGCTTGGTAAAATTCCAAGCGAAGTGCAATGAAGCACTATGCATCCGTAAAAGCTGACATATAGTGCATCATAGCTATCAAAAGGATACGGGATTACGCTTCTATGAGCTTTGAATCCCATAAAAAAAGCAAATAAAGATCCTAAGATATAACGAGTTAAACCTTTAACAAAAGCCCCTAAAAACCCTATAAAGAAATTTCACCCATCTCAAAAGCTCAAATATAATTTATTTTTGACTTTTTTGTTCTTTTCCACTAATCTTGGAAAATAAAATATTCTACTTACTCCCTCTTCTTCGTGAATGAACAAAAAATTTTGTTCGATCAAGGCATGGGGTTAATTTTTTTTAAAAATTTTTACATAAATTTTATAGTAATTTTTTTACAAAATTTTAAGAAAATCAAAATTCGAAATGATTTTAAATTAAATATATATTTAATTTTTAAAATTTTGTGTTTTAAAAATGCAATCTGTTTAAAATTAAACAGAACTAGCAAGAGATTTTCATTGGACCAATGATTACATATATATCAAAAATATTTTTCATAAAAATTTTCATACTAAAATTATTTTTTATTCGCTCGCAGAGGGAGGGTTTTTACCCAAAAAATAGGAATTTTTCCAATTTTTGTTCGCTCACAGAGCGGGAGAGTTAGTATCTACCCTAGAATTAATGGAGTAAATCCAATCCAAAATCATACAGATTGGCTGGCTAGATATCCTCTAAGATCAATAAACATAACAAAGAGCAAAGCTAAGAAGAGCATAAAAAAAACAAAAAATGAGTAGAAAAATTGTAAAAATAAAGTATTTACAACAAATTGAGCTGATTTATAATTACGAATAAAAAACATAGCTGAATGACTTGAAAACTTCCATATTTGCCTCAAAAAATCACGATCGTTGTTTTCAATTATGATTAGCATAAATCGCTTATATTTATAAAGCATTAGTAAAATAGAGTAAATAACAAAAGAATGGCCAATACTAAATGATATTATGATACAAGGGTATAAGAATTCCAGGAACAAAATTATCTTATCTTTTTCTTCTTTGCTAATATCGTCAGATGTGCTCTGCAATTTATTATTTCTATAAGCAACTAAAGTATAATCATTTTTTTGAAAATAAAACCCACTTTCATCAGATTTTAATCAGCCAACTAAATAAACAAGCTGATAGGAAAATATCAAAAACTATATAATTATTACTTCAACAGCTGTCGCGAATGCAAAACCATAGGATAATCAAGAAGATATAACCATTCTGAAAGGATATTTGAACTTTTTTTCTATTATTTTCCTAGTCTTCTTTCTCTTTTTGCATCATAAGAGTTTTAGAAGTAGCCACTTTACTATCATTCCAATAATTTCGTAAAGTTGAGCGTTTTTATGATAGCGCTTCGGAAAAAAAATTAAAATGAACCATAAAAAAGCTGACCATACACTTAAAACTGCTCTTGAATAAGCAGGAATAATTGTAAAAATAAAGTGAACTTCATCTACTCCAGAAAAATCACAAAATGATGCGTCAATAACTTTAACTGAAGCATCATACATATTATATAACGCACAAATAATAGATAAGGACATTGGGCAAGATTTAATATTACCAGCAAACAATAAAAAATAAAACCCATGCGAAAATATAGAAAAAGAACTATTTGCATTAAACTTGGTCGGAATAGTGCTGTCAATACTCTAAATAGCTACTACATCTTTAAAATCATAGCAATAGTCGCCAAAACTATATAATCCTAAAATTTTGATATTGACCTCCAATATGTAAGTTGCACCTAAAATAATTGATAATTCTGGGATTTTAAATTTGTCTTCTATTAGATCCAAACTATAGAATACAACATATTTTAATCATCAGAGATATTTCAAGTGGCGCTTTCAGAATGAGTCTCCTAAAAAAAATTCTAATGCGCAAAAAAGATTTACTCATTCATAGAGTGGAGCCAGGAATTTAACGGCTCGACGTTCATTTATTAATTTTACTACAAATCCATTTAATTGAATATTATAGCACTTTCCCTTGAATAGCCCGATAACGGGCTGGCTTCAACCCGTTATCGGGGCTATTCAAGGGAAAGAGCTATAATTAAAAAATTTGATATTTATTAAAATAAAATTTTGCTACTATAATTAAAAAATTATTTTCGCTGGGCCTTTATCTCTTGCGGCATTTGCTATCTCTAATAACTCATCATTTGTTGGCATAATTCCTAGAATTATGCAATACAGGGTAATCGATCCGTAAAAACTTCGATAAAGTGCATCCAATCGATCAAATGGAGGTGCCATATTACTAATGTGAGCCCTAAAACCCAGAAATAAAGCAATCCCTGCCCCGAAAAAGTACCTAACCACCATGAGCGAACAAAAATATTTTGTTCGCTTATGGAGGAGTTAATTTTTTTAAAAAAAAAATTGCATATAATTCGTAAAAATTCGAAATTAATTTGTAAAACTTATGTTTAAAAATGCAAGCCGTTTAGTTAGCTAGAGATTTCATTATAATAATTATCGCTTATATTGAAAATATTTTTATACTAAAAAGCTTTTTACTCGCTCACAGATCTTTTTTTTACTATAAAAATAGAATTTTTCAATGGCTTTGTTCGCTCAATGGGGGATTAAAAAAACCTATAAGAGCCGAACTGGTAAATCCAGCGAATAAAAATCAACTATCCCAAAGACAAAAATATTTTTTATTTTTCACTGTTCCGTCCTTTTCAACTAGATGGGGAAAATAAAGCAGCCTATATTAATGTTACCCTCAAAATAAAAACACTAGAGCTAGTCAAAATTCCAAAGGTTTATTCATAAAGTATGAAGAAATGTCAATAATCATAAAAAATAGTGTGAATGCATAAATGAAGCTACATAGCACGATTGAAAAAGTCATGTGGAGAAAAAGCGTGTTCGTTACAAATTGAGCTATATAGTGGTTACAAGGGAAAAATATAGCTAAATAACTTGGAAATCGTCAAACTCGCTTCAAAAAATCTCTGTTTTCTGGCTCATTAACAATTATTAGCATATATTGCTTATATCTAAAAAGCATTAGGCCTATGGAATACAGTGTCAAAATTGATCCAATAGCAATAGAGACAACAATGCATGGAAAAATAGGCTCTAAGCATTTTATTACAAGGCCGAGAAAATCGATTCCTTCTGAAACTGTAACAATGTGTGTTTCTTTTAAAAATAGCGCGATGAATATGTCATTTCCGGGCTGAGTTGTCAAGTAATCCCTGTAAGATCTTAAATCATCAGTTAAGTAAATTATTGAATAAGAAAATAAGGTATACTGCATATAAATTACACCACAAGCATCCACAATTGTTGCAAAAATTGAAAAAAACGCTGATGCTCGAATTCTGAATGGTATTTTGAAAGGAGTCGTCAAAATTTCCTTTGTTTTTTTTGCTCTTTTACAAAATAGAATTTTGCATGCAGAATTATTCAAATTAATCAGTTCACTTAATTGAAATTTTTTGCTAAGTCTTTTAGGCAACATCACAATAGCAAGCCAATAAAATAAAGCTCAGCAGTTCATAAAAGATCTATAGACAGCTCAGATAAAAATTTGAGAATATCATCTATCAGACTCAGTCGAACGAGTTGGGCAAAACGATGTATCAATTAGTTTAATAATCGTATCATATGCATGAGCTGATGCACATATCACAGTCAGCGCAAACGGTGAAGATTTGAGATTTCCAACAAAGTATAAAATATAAAACCAGTTGACGTACATTGAAAATGGATTTCTCAAACTTAAAGCTGCTGGCATTTGACTTACAAGTTCCTGATTTTCTTATTACTTCTTGATATTCATAGCAAAGCTCTCCTAGGCTAACACTCCCTAGGACATTTAAATTTATATTAATTAAAAATATCCCAGCCAAAATCATGGTTAATTCAGGGTTTCTGAACTTATCATCGAGCATATCAATGCTTTTAAAAAAGCATCATCTTAAAAAGTTAAACACTCCAAAATGCCTTTTTCAAAAATCTTCTCCTCACGAATTTAATAGATCTTGCTTATTTCTCATTTCTTTACAATATTTTTTATTAGCTCCTATCAGTGAGAGAATAAAAAATTTTGTTGATGAAGAGAGATTGATTTTTTTTTTTTACAAATTTATATATATAAATTTATATTAAAATTTGTTTTAGAAATGAAAAGTAAAAATTAATTTAATTTGTATTTATGCTTAAAAATGCAAATTGTTTAAATTTGCAAATGATTTCCTTATAAAAATTTTCACTTCTATATATCGAAATATTTTTCATAAAATTTTTTTCTCCAAAAAATAAGGATTTTTCTAATGGTTTTGTTAGTTTATTTGAGGGAGTAAGAATTTCATATTTTAATATATTTTGACTTATTTGTAAAGGTATATGGCTTTTCTATCTTTTAATATAGTTCTATATATTTATATTGTATTGGAGAGATAATTTGCCCTAAAGACGATTGGATTCCTAAATTTTCCTCTGCAAAAAAACGATAACAATTCAGAACAAAAAGTGCTTCCAGATGGCCTCTAAATTTAACAGTTGACTTCGGATTCTTGACTATCCATAAACTACTTAAAATATCAGTTTATATTACAGATTTAATTTTAAGAATACAAGAAAATAAAATCAATTTCAAAATCAAAACTTATATTCTTTTCGCAACAGAAAGTAAAATTTATTCAATTAAAGGATTATTTTAGCAGGACCTTTGTCTCTTGTGGCATTTGCTATTTCTAGTAACTCCTCTTTTGTTGGCATAATTCCTAGAATAATGCAATGCATAGTAATAGATCCGTAAAAACTCCGATAAAGCGCATCCAATCTATCAAATGGAGGTGCCATATTACTAATGTGAGCTCTAAACCCTAGAAATAAAGCAATCCCTGCTCCGAAAAAATATCTGAAGACGCCAATAATAATTGAGCTCGTATATCCAGCAAATAAAAATCAGCTATCCCATAAGCAAAAATACATTTTATTCTTTACTGTCCTATCATTTTCAACAAGATGAGGAAAATAAATTAATCTGAGTTAAGTTTACCCTCAAAATAAAATGGCTAAAACCAGCCAAAACTGTAAAGGCTTGCTCATAATATATGCAAAAACATCTGTAAACATAAAAAATATAGTAAATGCATAAAGGAAACTAGATAATACAAAGGAAAACGTTATGTGAAGAAAAGCAGTATTCATTACAAATTGAGCTAAATATTAGATACATGGGAAAAATATAGCTAAATAACTTGGGAATCTTCAAACTCGCTTTAAAAACTCTCTGTTTTCGGGCTCATTGACAATTATGAGCATATATTGTTTGTATCTAAAAAGCATTAAGCCTATAGAATATAATGCAGCAATTGATGCGATAATAAGAGAAATAGCAATGCATGGGAAAATCGGTTCTAATTTCCACCCTTTTGAGCAGGAAAAATATTTTATTCGCCCATAGAAGGGGTTAATTTTTTTTTTAAAAAATTTATATATATAAATTTTATAGTAATTTTTTTTGAAATTTCAATTAGCAATATTGGAAAGTAAATATATATATTTAATTTGTAATTTTTATGTTTTAAAAGCAATTTGCTTAAAATTAAACAGGATTTGCTAGAGATTTCAATATAATAATAATTACTTATATAAAAAAAATTCTGGTGTGCTATCTGGGTGGATTTTTTGATCAAAAATAGGAATTTTTCCAATGGTTTTGTTCGCTCACGGAGGGAAGGTAAGCATCTTATTACAATACTAAGTAAGTCAATTCCCTCTGAAACAGTAACAATGTGTGTTTCTTGTAAATAAAACATGATAAATATGTCGATTCCTGGCTGTGTCTTCAAGTAATTTCTATGTTTTCTTAACTCTTCTGTTAAATATATAATTGAATAAGAAAATAGCATATGCTGCATATATTTTACAACGCAGATATCAACTAATGTTGCTAAAACAGAGAAAACAGCTGATGCTCTAATTCTGAAAGGTATTTTGAAAGGTGTTGCTAAAATTTTCTTTGTCTTTTTGGCTTTATTTCAAAATAGAATTTTGCACAAAATATGATTTATGCGAAGCAGCTTACTTAATTGAAATTTCTTGCTAAGTCTTTTAGGCAGCATTATAATTGCAAGCCAATATACTAAAGCTCAGCAGTTCATAAAAGATCTATAAACAGCTCAAAGAAAAAGTCCATTAAATCTTCCCGTATTAGATCGAGGTGGGCAAAAAGATGTATCAATTAATCTGATAATTGTATCATATGTATGAAACAATGCACATATCACAGTCAGAGCAAACGGTGAAGATTTAAGATTTCCAACAAAGAACAAAATATAAAATCAGTTCACATACATTGAAAACGGATTCCTTAAACTTAAAGCTGCTGGCAATTGATTTGCAAGTTCCTGAATTTCTTATTACTTCTTGATATTGATAACAGATCTCTCCTAAGGTAACACTTCCTAGGGCATTTAAATTTATATTATGCAAAAATATTCCAGCCAAGATCATAGTTAATTCAGGGTTTCTGAACTTATCATCGATCATGTCAATGCTTTTAAAAAAGCATCATCTTAAAAAGTTAAACACTCCAAAATGCCTTTTTCAAAAATCTTTTCCTCACGAATTTAATAGATCTTGCTTATTTCTCATTTCTTTACAATATTTTTATATACTCAGTTGCTTAAATTTCTGATCTGCTCTCACGAGCCAAAGATGGATTTCACGCGTGAAAAATCCTTAAATTTCGCGTGGAAACCCATTTTTGGCCCGTGGGAGCAGATCAGAAATAACACCAAAATATTATAAAGAATTTGAGACTATTGGATTTCTAAATTTTTAGACTTTCTTCTACAATAGTGACGATAAAGTTTTAATACACTAAGTTATTATAGATAGCTCGAACAGTGCTTTCAGATAGCCTCTAAATTTAATAGTTACTTAGATTTCTTAACTATCCATAAATACTTAAAATATGAGTGTACTGGTAATTATTTTAGATTGAATTATTAAGAATAGCCAGACAATAATATTAATTTCAAAATAAAACAGAAAGTAAAATTTATTCAATTAAAGGATTATTTTAGCAGGACCTTTGTCTCTTGTGGCATTTGCTATTTCTAGTAACTCCTCTTTTGTTGGCATAATTCCTAGAATAATGCAATGCATAGTAATAGATCCGTAAAAACTCCGATAAAGCGCATCCAATCTATCAAATGGAGGTGCCATATTACTAATGTGAGCTCTAAACCCTAGAAATAAAGCAATCCCTGCTCCGAAAAAATATCTGAAGATGCCAATAATAATTGAGCTCGTATATCCAGCAAATAAAAATCAGCTATCCCATAAGCAAAAATACATTTTATTCTTTACTGTCCTATCTTTTTCAACAAGATGAGGAAAATAAATTAATCTGAGTTAAGTTTACCCTCAAAATAAAATGGCTAAAACCAGCCAAAACTGTAAAGGCTTGCTCATAATATATGCAAAAACATCTGTAAACATAAAAAATATAGTAAATGCATAAAGGAAACTAGATAATACAAATGAAAAAGTTATGTGAAGAAAAGAAATATTCATTACAAATTGAGCTAAATATTAGATACATGGGAAAAATATAGCTAAATAACTTGGGAATCTTCAAATTCGCTTTAAAAACTCTCTGTTTTCTGGCTCATTGACAATTATGAGCATATATTGTTTGTATCTAAAAAGCATTAAGACTATAGAATATAATGCGACAATTGATCCGATAATAAGAGATATAGCAATGCATGGGAAAATTGGCTCTAAGCATCTTATTACAATACTAAGTAAGTTGATTCCTTCTGAAACAGTAACAATGTGTGTTTCTTGTAAATACAGGATGATAAATATATCGTTTCCTGGCTGAGTCTTCAAATAATCTCTATATGATCTTAATTCATCAGTTAAATAATAAATTGAATAAGAAAGTAACATATACTGCATATATTTTACAACGCAGATGTCTACCAATATTGCGAAAACAGAGAACACAGCTGATGCTCTAATTCTGAATGGCATTTTGAAAGGTGTTGTTAAAATTTCCTTTGTCTTTTTCGCTTTATTTCAGAATAAAATTTTGCACAATATATGATTTATGCTAAGTAGCTCACTTAATTGAAATTTCTTGCTAAGTCTTTTAGGCAAAATTACAATTGCAAGCCAATATATTAAAGCTCAGCAGTTCATAAAAGATCTATAGGCAGCTCAAAGTAAAAGCCCATTAAATCTTCCCGTATTTGATTGAGGTGGGCAAAAAGATGTATCAATTAATTTGATAATTGTATCATATGTATGAAACAATGCACAACACAGGGTCAATATAAACGGAGAAGATTTAAGATTCCCAACAAAGAACAAAATATAAAATCAGTTCACATACACTGAAAATGGATTCCTCAGATTTAATGCTGCTGGTAATTGGCTTACAAGTTCCTGAATTTCTTATTACTTCTTGATATTGATAGCAGATCTCTCCTAAGGTAACACTTCCTAGGACATTTAAATTTATATTAGCTCCCCCTCTGTGAGTGAAAAAAAAGATTTTGTTCACTTGAGGAGGGATGCTAATTTTTTTTTTTAAAATTTATATATAAATTTTAGTAATGAAGAAGGAGTTGAGGTTGAATGAGATGCTGGTGCTAAAATTTTTGTTAAAAATATCATGAAGAATAAAACATTAAGGCGCTTAGAGCGCGATAATGCATAATTTATTTATTTATAGATTTTAGAGTAAATTTTTTTTTAAAAATTTAAAAAAATTCCAAATTTTAGGAAATGAGAAGCAAATATATATTAATTTTGGATAATTTATGTTTTAAAATGCAATTGTTAAAATTAACAAAAATTAGCTAGATATTTTATTATACTAATTATCACTAATATATCAAAAATTTTCCTAAAAAATTTTGTTGGCTTACGGAGGGTGGATTTTTGGGCAAAAAATAGGTTATTTCAATAGTTTTGTTCGCTCACGGAGGAGGGAAGAGTAAGCAAAAATATCCCAGCTAGAACCATAGTTAATTCTGGATTTTTGAATTTATCATCAAGCATATCAATACTTTTGAAAAAGCATCATCTTAAAAAGTTAAACACTCCAAAATGCCTTTTTCAAAAATCTTCTCCTCATGCATTTAATAGATCTTGTTTCTTTCTCATTTTTTTACAATATTTTTATTAAAAATTTCATATCAATTTTATTTTACATTAATCTTTGTAAAGATATAGGAGTTTGCACTCTTCCAGGCTTGGAAGTAGAAAAGATATCCATATCACGATCTAGTGCTTGGCCCATGTCGAAATATTCTAAAGGATATTCGACGACACCAGGAGTTACCCCTGTATATCCACTTCGATTGAGATTTAGCATATATAGTTTATTGTTTCTTCTACAATAGGCTACAGGCCATACTGTTTCCAATGTTTCGTCCAAAGGTTTCATACAGTCTTCTATTTTATACGTATATCCTTGCTGATCTAATAAATCTTCAATATACATTAAATAAACTCAATGAGATCCATGGCCGCCCAAAATAGCGATTTTTCTATTCGTAATGGGAAAAACAGCAAGCTTTACCAGAGGTCTAGGCATAGTTACAGGAAGTAATTGCCATTGATTTTGTTTTATTGAGTATGATTCAATTGTATTTCCAGATGGATTCATAGGTCCTCCTCCAAATACAAAAATATGTGTAGAGTCCAATGCTGGGCAAGCTGTTGCCTCATATCTTGCATAATACATAGGAGTGATCTCAGTCCATCTTTGGCTTGCAAGAGATAATCTTTCACAAGTTTGAAGATATGGTTTTCCCCCAAAAACATATACATAGTTCTCAATGTACACACAAGCACAGCTTTCTCTTGCAGTTATCATAGAAGTCATTTTCTTCAATGTGTTGTATTTCGCAGGAGAAAATAGCCAAACTTCATTAGTTTCTGCGCCTGTTTGCTTGGATTTGCCACCAATTATTAGAATTGACATATCAGGAAGATAAACAAGCCTTGAGTTTCAATTATAAGTCCAATTTTTAGCAGAATTTTCTAAATTTTCTAAACCTCTGAGGGTTACATGTGCCCATTCCCCTAAATCTAAATCATATCTTCATGTATTTCTCCCATGCCATTCAAAATAATATAAATATCTATCATGAAACTGCTCTAAAAATCCCATATGATCTAGATGTAAAAACTGCTCTAATAAGCTATTTGGATATATAGATAATATTGATTCTAAATAAGCCAAAATATGTTCCATTCGGTTCGCCACATTTATATGAGAACTTGACCTTATATACATCCCTTGGAATACCCACGTGGACGAAAACACTGCAGTCCCCGGCAATAAATCTTCTTTTTTACCTGACGTAAAAGTAAAATAATTTTTTTCAATTGCTGCTACTTTTTTTACAGCATGTGCATCATATGGGAAAAAAGCAACTGCATCTTCAATATGAAGAGACAATGGCTCTGTAATGTGAATTGGCTTAAAATACTGTAAAGCATTTCCAGATTGAGATTGGAATGCCACCAGCGTAAACTCATGATTGCTCGATGTCACAAAACACCTTTGAGGGTCAAATTTAAAAACTTCGCTATCTCTGAATTGTGCATATGAATTTTTAGCAGATTCTTCATCAGGGAGAACTGAATGAGTAGTCAAACATAAGTCAGGGGATAAGAGGATCCCAAGACCATTTGGCCTTCCAAAGGTATTAGTTACTGCGTTAAAGCCTCTTCCTAAATAGTAAATGGCAAATATCGCTCTGATTTTTTCACGAGGAGGCGCGATTGGTGCTACTTGGCGTTCTCTGTAATGAGTACTTGTATATAAAGGATTTAAGTCAAAATGAGGCTTTTCTACACCGCCATAGCCTACATTTAGTAATGGAGATGCACGCTTGTCAAGGAAAATTGTTCGGTGAGTAGGAACTCCTTTAAATGCTGGGCCTGAAAGATTAGATTCGTGAATTGGAGGAAGCTGGTTACTTTGAAATGTATCAAGAATGGTGATGTTATCAAGATTTTGAATACTTTGAGAAGTACTGAGGGCTGGTTTTCTCATAGTTACAGAGTTTAAATCTTGAGGGCGAGGGCGAGGGCTTGGACTTGAAACTATGCTGCCTCCTAGCTTTGATAAAGATCCTGATTTATTAAGACTTAATCGAGCAGGCTTTTCAAGGGTGTTGCTGGGAATTGGGCTTTGATTAGACATAAAAGGAGAACGGCTATTTCTATATGTAGAAAAAGGAGTTTTAGGTACAGCTAGTTCGTTTAGATTCATTTATTATAAAAAAAGATGTAATTGTGTAACTACAAACATATTATAAAAATTATTATTCAGAGTCAAAAAACAAATCAAAATTTCTTATTTTTATATTTTATTGATTAATTTATTGAAGCAAATTAATTTTACAATTTATTATTATATATCTAAGCTTAAGATCTCTTTGCACTCTTACTCCTTAAAGGCTTTATTGAAGCCTTGGAGCTATCAAGACTTCTTCCTCTCTTCTGTGGCATTTTTGATTTATTTTCTTTCCTTTTAGAACCCAAAGGTTTATCTTTATTTTCAATATTAGATCTTTTTGCTGATTTAGATCTCTTTTTTAATCCTTTGCTTTCTTTAGAATCAGTATTTTTCCGCCTAACTGTTACTTTGATTGGCTGGAAGCTGAATGGTAAAGAAGGTTCTGAGATATAAGAATTAGAAAGAATGCATTCAGAGGAATCCGTTAAAGGCCTTGGAGATGAATTTTTCAAGTATGCAATTCCTGCTCTTATAATTCTCTTGACCGTGAATGGGTCTGATTTTGTAGATTGCTCTAATAAAGATTGCTCGTTCAATGAATGGGATGCTTTGATTGGATGATTTTTACAATTCGGTACAATATTCTCTTTGTTTCTTCTTGAAGATTGGCTTAATAAATCTGAAAACCCATTGATTGTACATTCAATATCTTCTACAAGCCGATGGGCTTTCTTGTTCCAATCGTCTAATTCTGGATAAAAATTAGAATTATTCAATCCTTGCATTTAACTGAATTTAATTTTTTCATTTTTTGTTACAAGTATTAACTTTCGCTACCGAAATAGTTTTTATTTACTTTAAATGCAATTCTAAAGATAAATTGCAAGAGTAAGGCGTATATTATGCTTAGAGGGAGTTTCAGGTTGAGCCATACCTGTTCTGAAGGTATATTTTGAGTTATTATTTTTGCAGTTTCATTAAATACTTCTATCCTCCATTTCACATTTCGGAGCTGAAATAAATGTTTTAATTAATAGAAAAAACAAATAACTGTCCCATTTTTTCTCTATGAGATTCTAATTTTCAGATTTTTATGACCGTGTAAATCAATTAAAATTATTACCATTATTTTCCCTTTTTGAATTTTTTTATGCCTTCAGCTCCTGGGTCAATTTTTCTTTTTAATGTCTCTTCTTGATATGTCTTATCTATATTAGCTAAACTTGGGTCTTTACTAATAATTTTTTCGATTAATTCGTCGATATCATTGCCACCAAGCTTATCCCTTGCCATTTCTGTGGAGTATATCCTGCAATTATCTCTACACAATACTGAATATTGAGGCAGTATTTTTCCATCTGCTGTTCTAAAGTATTTGTCTACCTCTACAGCATCATGATAGCTAAATTGATGCTCCTTGATAAATACTTCCCAATTTCCTTTAGAAGGGCTTCTGTAAAAAACAATGCCTCGAATAATTACATTACGAAAATGACTCTCCTTCGAGCTTAAGGCAATATCCATATATTTCTTGGAGTAGATCTGCCAAAGAGCATCATCAGCTCTTTCCTGAACTTTATCTTTGTGAGCAACTTCTAATTTTTTAAGTTCATGAATAATGATGGTAGAGGATTCTCCAGGAATTGGAATAAAAATTCCATCAGTCTTTTTGCCGAATTGATTAGCTTTCTCTACATGAAATTTATATTTAGGCGCCGGTGCTTTCTCTAATGCTATAAGAGCTATTCCTCCTGTATAAGTTTGGAAAAAAGCCTCATTCTTACTGCTATTGTCGCTTATATTATCTAGTAGATCAGTTTGAATAAGATTTTGAAGCTGTTCTTTGTTCTCTAAACAATCAATATATTTATTTACCCATGCAAAATGATTAATATTATCATTTTTAGACACTTTATTGATTCATGCCGTAAACAAATTTTCATAAAAATATCTCTTTATTTCTTTATTAGGGACTACATAGACTAAGTTGTTTGGCTTGTTTTCATGGGGTGTCAAGTATCCAGCATAGAGAAATAGCACACAAACATTATCTCTAATCCTTGTGTCCTGATATATTGGCCTATCTAAACGAAGATACCCAGCTTTCATTATTTCAAATATTTTGTTATGAGATTCAATAGTATTGAATACTGAAATGAAAATCTTTTCGTCTTCTTCATTATGCCAATATGTTTGGAGAGGTGCTACATTATGCAGTGAAGCGTTTCATAAGCAACACATTATTGAAAAGGGGTTGTAAATTTTTTGGCTCCCAACCCTGTACCCATCATATCATTGCTTTATCAGTTTTTTCTGCTCAACTATATTTGCGTGCGAATCTTGTACCAAATGATGTTCAAGTAATTCATCAACTTCGGATTCAGTAAAGCCAAAAAAGTCAGAGAAAAGCTCATTTAAAACCGTAAAAGGGGCAAAAAATTGACCAGGAAATATAGTAAGTAGCAGATCATAATAAACTCCAGTTACAATTATTTTCCTAATATAATCATCGTCTGAATAAACTAGTGGGTAAAGCATTCGCCTTAAAAGCAATATTATTTCTTGTTCATGCTTTGCATCTACCGCTGCCTGCTTATAAATGCTATCGTAGTCATCTATAATAAAAATAACATGTCTACCATGAATCATATACAGCATGGTAACAAGATCATTCAATGCTGTATATATATCTATTTTTGAGCTATCTGATAGATATAGTCTAAATAACTTCATTTCCTTAGGTAAATCTATTTTTTGCTGATCAATAATTTTGTCCAAATCTTCAAGTGTTAGCTTCTTAAAATCTTTATTTATTGAAGAATGACTTATTTTTGGTTTTAAATATTGGCGATATGAAGAAATATGCTTTCGTAATGTTTTTGATATTTCATTCTTGATTTCTTCAGAAGTTTCGGCGTTTAACGTTAAAATTTCGGGAAAACGAAATAAAATAGTAGGTATTGTCCCTGCAAAATTTCTATACTTTCCATCATCTATTTTCATAATGTTTTTACACTTTTCATTGTCTAAGTTATCCAAATTAGCGTTATTTCTTTCGCCAGTAAATAAGTATAAGTTTGAGAATTCTTCAGACTCGCCTATCTGAGGATTTAGAAATGCTTGGAGCATGCTCATGTTCACTGATTTGCCCCAACCTCTTGGCCTAAGAATAGCAATTTTATAGGTAGAGTTTTCTAAAATTGCCTTTATAAATATAGTTTTGTCAATAAAGATATTTCCGCCTCTAACTATATGTATAAAATCTGCACTTGAAGTTTCGAAGGAACAATTTGTTTTTACCTTAATTACTGACTGGGGCGTTGTAAGCGATTCATCTTGATTTATCCTTATGGAATTTGGAGTTTTAAAGGTATCAGAATCTAATTCTTGGCTTCTCCTTAATGAGTAGATAAATTGGAGAGCATCATCCTCTTTGTTGTTGTCTTTGTACTCTACTAGCAAACACAATTGGTTTATGTTCAAATTATTTGCTAAAAAATTTGCTTGATCTTCGAAAATTAACCATGATGACAATTTTACACGTAGCTCGGTTAAAATTGCCTTTTCTATCATTTCTAACCATTCTGAACTAAACGTTCTTCAAAAATTAGCAATTTTTACCCACTTACTGAAATTGATGCCTAAATCTTCGAAAATAGCTAATATTTTATTAGTTCGGCATACGTCGAAATTTGAAAATTCATTTAAGTAGTTACAATTTCTAGATGAAATCAGCATTACTGTATTAAATATCAACCATAGTCAGCTTTGAGAGGGATTCTCGTGCTGCTTAATGCTGAGTGCATCGCATATTATAGCTGATGGGAATATTCCTCCAAAAGTATTTGATATCCCATTAGACCTTGTATATGAAATTTGTGTTTTCAACAAAAATTTCATCAAACCTGGCAAAGTATGATTATTACCCGATGAATCAATCATGTAAACTAACTCAGAGGTATTAGACAAAGGCTCTTCATCAAAATTTGTATAGTTTTTGGGAAAGATTACCATTAATTGCCATATATAATTTTCTTGAGCTTGTTGCACTCTCTGAGACGGATTTTTGCCACTTATATTGATTTTCCAAAAAGAAACAACAGGCTTCTTTAGTTCTTGACAATCCATCCTGACAATTTCTTTGAATTTTGCTATACAAGCTAACACACCATTTATTTCATCGCAAGAGGCGGGAGAATAATTTAAAGGAGCATCTATTCCTACTGTATGGATTCTGCCGTGGTAAATTGTTGTAAGCACTCCTTCAATTCCAGAAGCAGATAGGTAATATTCTGCAGAGCTTGAGCGTTCATAGCCTTGAAAATTCTTAAAGACATCATAAAGGTGCTTTTCCAAACTTTCCATATTTTGATTATTATTTTTAATTTTTTGATTACTAAAGGCAACAATTTAAATTTAAATTTCGAAATTAAGTCTTGAAGCATAACTTAATAGATAAATTAGTGTAAAATTTAATTATTTATAGGATTAAGGTCGCTACGTATAGATTTCTGCTCATAATAAATAATTTGCAACGATCTAAGAGATTCTTAAGCAAGGGTTTGGCCCTAAAGCAGCATGACACTTCTTTCCAGCATCATCATAACTTATTCTAACATATCAGTTCTTCACTTGGGTTTATAAACATTTAAAGGCTCAAAGTACAGCTTCTTGAATTTAGCTCGTTCATAGAATAGCTGCTTTTTATTTATTCGCAAAGATATTTAAATTCTATTATGTTTCTAACTGAGCTCATATCCATTTAGATTATGCTCATAAAATTCATTATTGAATTTTATTATAGATTTTTATTCAAATAATAAAATGAGCACACTCTATCGAACTCAGCCGTTTCGAACATCACATTATTCACCTGATGGAAGAGGAAGAGATTCATATATTCAAACAAACAATGGTGGAGTATTCAAAGGATGAAGCCCGAATCGTCTTTATGAAGAGCAAAGGACAGTTAAAAGAGAATTTTCTCCTGCTAGTCCTAGACTAGATGCAAAACCTTTTAAATATAGGCATGATGGGACAGGACGAGATACATACGTTGGATGCAATCACGGGGGGTTGTTTTCTTCCTATTTCAAGCACAGCTTCTATAATTCTCTCAGGTCTTATTATCCAAAAACTCATTATGAGCAAAAAAATATTTTTATTAAATCTCAAAACAGCTGACTGAGAAATAAAAATAAAGAAGCATCTTATCAAGGAGAAATGTCAAAAAGACTTAGTATGCCCAAGCCAAAAACCTCCAAAGAGTCTTTTTTCCCCAAAAATAGCCTAAGTATCGATACCAAAAAGATTATGCGTGCAACCATTTACTAACTTTCTAATTAAAACTCTTTGATTTATAAATGTTACTTTTATAAAGGAATAAGATAATCATCTCCTTTCACATTATAAGGGTCATCGTACTTCACTTTATGCTCAATCATTTGGGTTTTCAAATAGTCACTTGTTTCCTTATTGACTCTTTCCTGTTTTTCTTTCATTTCTCTTTCATATAAAATCAGTGCTCTCCTCTGTGCTTCACTCATTCTAGCTTCCCTTCTTTCTTTTTCTTTTTCTTCTTTTTTCCTTTGTTCTTTTTCTTCGACTTGCCTTTTTTGCTCCTCAAGGATCTGTCTCCTCTGGTCTTCATTCATGCCCTTATAATGATAAGGAACGACTCTATGAGCAGCCAGCATGCTTTGGGTGGTTGTTGGGTCTTCAGTCATGAAATTCGAATAAATCGTATTTTGAATATGATGCTCAGCCTGGCGGTTTTCTTCTTCTTTTTCTAGAGCTTCTCTAGCTATTTTTTCCCTTGTCAGCTGCGAGTTCGCTTCTCTGACAGCGTCGTTCATAATTCTGTTTCTTTCGCTGTACTCGTCTTCATTTTGTTTCCACATGGTGTTTGTCTGCCTTGTATATTCAGCCCATCTTTTTTCTTCTTCGTCCTTAAGCCTCTTCTGGGCTTCTTTTTCTTGCATTTGTTGCTCAAGCCAGATTTTCTGCTGAAGTCTTTGTTTATAAAGACGGTCTCCATAGTCTAAGTCTTCGCCTTCAAGTCTTCGAACACCCGAACAATCTTTGCGATTCATATTTTCTTAATGGTTAAAATAAATGTTTTGTGCAGCTTCTGTTAAACAAGACAAAAACTGCAGCCTTACAGAGCATAGGAGAAATGGGGAGCTTTTTCATCTTTCTCATTTAGCTTTGCATCCAAATGGTCCTGATGGATTAAATATTGTTTATGTGGAAATCAATAAAGAAAAGCATCCTTTAGCAAGTTTGGAAAAAAGAAGAGTGGAGAACTTTACGGTTGATTTATATTTTGGGGGAGAAAATGAGACTGTGTTTTCATTGGAAGGGAATGGGGAAGTGTCAATTCTAGGATATTTTGAGCAGAATGATGAAGTTGAATTGACGCCTGCTCAAAAAAGCCAGATAGAGCTAGATAAGTAATAAGTAATTAGATTACTCTTTATTAGTATGCTAATCCTGTTCTACTTGAAAAATACATCGAGAACAGCCTCAAAAAATACCCCCCTTTAAAATTGGAACAGAATTTTTTGTCCCCAATTTAAAGGGGTGTTAATAGACGTTATTTTAAATTTTTGAGCTAGATACAAGTGAAGAGGAGCAATGGGAAATAACAAGAGATAAATTTTATGAAGATGAAGAAGAAAATGAAGAAGAAGAAGAAGAGGAAGAAGAAGAAGAAGAGGAAGAAGAGGAAGAAGAGGAAGAAGAAGAGATAGAAGAGAAAATTTCACCTAAAAAAATACAAACAAATGGGAAAACAAAGCAAAATGATATCAAAAACAATAACTCAAGAAAAAAACCAAATAGCAAAGAAGAAAATAAAAAAACTCAGCCTAAAAAACAAAATAAAGAGGAAGTTAATAAAGCACAAACCAGTAGGGCTCTTAGATCAACTGCAAGGAAATCTTAAAAGTGGATAAACTAGACACATAATTAAAGTAATAGCTAATAATTTTTTCAAGGAAAATGCATTAATTTCCTCCAAAGCAACATAGTGATATAACTCAAAATTATTTTAGTCAGAATTTCAATTTTTTAATACTTAAACAATGTTATTATACTAGTGCAACGAATTACATCTAATGCTTAATAATTAGAATCAATTTAAAAAAATTTAGTGACTAGCTATAAATAGTAATTGAAGACAAAGTTTAAAATAAAATTTAGGTCAATTTTATCAATACTAAAAAAATATATCTAGGATTAAGATTAGCAAAGCAAAAAAAGCAAATTAATTCTGAGGAAACGCCATATTTTGCATAAATATTAAAGCTGGTATGATTCTATAATTCAAATAGGGTTACATTTATATAATAAATGCTTGGTGCGTTATCAAATTTGTTTTCAAAGCCAAAGAATAGCTCAAATTCGGGTTATAGAGGCGAAACAGTGAGAAGTGCCACCTGTTGGCCATCATGGAGTTAAGGTTACAACTGATAGAGGTAATAGCTACCTCATCCATTCGGGTCCCTCCTCAGGTGTAGTAGTGACTGACGCTAACTCCCTTTATATATGAGTAAATATAGGTAAAATTTCTAATTTTTTAGCAAATAAACAAGCTGATATAATTTGAGCGAAAAGATTTGATAGTGTGACATGCTTTCGGGGTAAATTTGTTAGAATATTTTATACTTCCATCCCCTCCTCCGTGAGTGATCAAAATTGTTTTTAATTCGCTCACAGAGGGAGGGAGTTATAAAATTTTTAGTACTATTTAAATAATTTAGATAAATAAAGCATTTAATATATTTTTTTTTCAAAAAAAATGAGCACCTTTTATTGTCCTAATTTAGAGGTGAGGAGCAAGAACATGTCGAAAAATTGGCGTGTTGATCACCAAATTCCTGTCCAAGGCAAAATTAGTGTCGGTGAAGTTCACACTCAAGCAAGTGGAAGAACAACTAGCAAGTTAGTGAATTATGTCACTAGTGGTACATGCATTGGAGCAGCACAAAATGCTGAAAATTCTATAAGGAAAGCTAAGAAATAAGCCCTTAAATAAGAATTTAAACGAAATTAATATGATAAGTTATATTACAATTTTAGAATTGGTGTAAAATGCTATAAAGGGTAAACGATTTAAAATCCTCTAATTTAGAATTTCACATATATTACTTTTATCATTATCTTAAATCGCAGTTCAACTGTTCCTCAAATTTCTAATCAAATCTTTTAGAGATAATTAACCCGTGAACAATGATCCAAGATTATCTCACGAATAAGATAAACTCTTAGAATTTAACAAATAAATCAAGTAGACTTAATGGTTGACATTTAAACTATCTCATTAGAAATAAAATATTGACTATTATTCTGAGCACCTTTTTCGGAGAATTATTGGTATAAAAATGTCAAATCATACAGGTGTGGAAATCGCATGAAAAAATTTTGAGGTCAAAGGACCTCTAACGAAGACAGAAAAGAAGAAAAGGAAGATGAGCGGACTCCCAATCGATGATAAAACCATTATCAGAAACGCAAATGGCATTATTTCTGCCGGCACATTTACCGCAATCCTTGGCCCATCGGGAAGTGGAAAAACAACACTACTGAATTTTTTAGCAAATAGAATTTACTACTTAAAAGGCTTAAAAGTCAGTGGCGAAGTCTATATTAACGGTCATTCTCGTAGTGATATAGATTTTAATTCGATTGCAGGCTATGTAATGCAAGACGACGTAATTATGGAAACAATGACTGTAGAAGAAGTCCTCACGTTCACTGCAAAACTACGGCTCCCTAAAGAGACTTGGAAAGAAAAAGTTGATAAAGTGATTAATAGTCTTGAGTTACACAATTGTAAACACAGCAGGGTTGGAGGGGTTCTAAAAAAAGGCATTTCTGGTGGTGAGAAAAAAAGGGTGTCAATAGGAATAGAAATGCTGATTGACCCAGCTATTTTATTTTTAGATGAGCCAACCACTGGCCTTGATTCTTATAACTCTGAAAACCTTGTGAAAAACATGAGAAATTTATCAAAAACTGGGATTACTGTAATATGTACAATCCATCAGCCGAATTCTTTTATATATAGTAATTGCCCGAGGATGGCGCTATCTTGCGCCATCCTTGGGCAATTCAAAAATGGCCCCACACCGGGAATTGAACCCACGTGTGGGGCCATTTTTGGTGTGTGTAGAACATCGACTTCCACGCACCAAAAATGGCCCCACACGTGTGTTCAATTCCCGGTGTGGGGCCATTTTTTAAAAATTGCCCGAGGATGGCGCAAGATAGCGCCATCCTCGGGCAATTACAATATGCTAATTTTGAAAATGTGCTGCTCTTAGGAGGTGGAAATACAGCTTTTCATGGAGATGCTCAACAAGCAATTCTTCATTTCAATAATTTAGGCTATCCTTGTCCGAAGTTCAGCAATCCTGCAGAGCATCTTCTTGCCCTTTTAAGTCCAATAGATGACACTTTTAACGAAAGGATGGAAGCTTTCAGGAAAAGTTTTAATTCTGAGGTCACAGAGCTTGAAGAAAAAGAAATTTCCCACATTTTTAAAGCCAAAGAGTCAACAGTTTGAGAAGAGCTCTGAATGCTTGGACAGAGAATTATAAAGAATTTTGTCAGGAATAGGATGATTTTACTGTTTAAGATCATTGGAAATACTGTTTTTATTCTTTTAACTTTGATGGCCTTTTTTGATATTTGCAGTGGAACTAATGCAACCTCAGTTATGAATCGAGCTGGCGTCATTTTTTTTATTTTAGTGTTTTTGTCATTTATGGCTGTAAATGCTTCAGGAGCATATGCTGACGAAAAAGCTATGTTTATCAGAGAGCAAGCAAGCAAAACATATAAGCCAGTTTCGTATTTTTTTAGTAAATTATTTTTTGAAGCACCATTTGATTTAACGATCAGAGTTATAGTCATTTTTTGTATTTATTTAGGAGTTGGTTTAAGCTTAGCTAATCCGGAACAAATTTTTATATTCGTTGGAATTGTGATTTTAGTCGAATTATGTGCAAGAGGATGGGGGACATTTTTAGTTATTTCAATACCTGATTTGCAGGCAGCCTCTGCCGCAGCTCCATTTTTAATGATTATTCAGCTGCTTTTTGCAGGTTTTTTTATTAATTATGATAATATTCCAGTTTACTTGATATGGCTGGAGTACATGTCGATGTTCAAATACTCATGGAGTGCAGCTCTTGAAAATGAATTTAACACCTGAGATCAAGCCAAATGCGGCCAGGCTGTATTATGTGATCCAATCGACTATTTTTCAATAATAATTTCACTGGGAATCAACATAGTAATTCTCGCATGCCTTGTAGTCGCGATTAATTTTCTCGCATTTTTAGCTTTGCTCAATCTCTCAAGAAAATTCAGACTTTAGTGCTTAATTAATTAAATATTTTGAAAATAAACCAAGCTATATTTTATATTTTATTAAAATGTGGCAGCTCAATCTTGATCGATCAAAAGAACAAATAGCAGAGCCATATGGATATAGAACACAGATTCACGAAGCTGACGACTCATCAAGAAGAAGGCAAAAAGACATCAAAGCCTTAAAACAACAAAAAGCTGCAGAAATGGCGAACAAGCCTTTTATGGGGATGTTTTCCACATTTTTAATGCTTTACATGAGTGGGTCAGCTCTCAACATCATCCCAATCATTATCACCTGCATGGCTATGTTCACTCCAATAAAAACCCTTTTCTCCTTCAAAGAAGCCTTTGCCCCATACGAAGAAGAAGGAGTCTCTCTATTCTTCCCAAAGCTCAAATATCTGACTTTAAACATGATCACAATGCTTGCAGGGATTTACAAATTTTCTATTATGGGGCTTATTCCTGTTAACGCTGAAGACTGGATTTCAATGATTCCGATCAGAGATCCTATAGAAGTGTCTTATGGAACCTTAATAAGCTAATAAACCTTTCCAAATAAAAGTTGAAAAATAATTATAATGGGCAAGAAGCAGTCAAAGATCCCGTGCAGTTACTCTGACATAGATCTTCTTTTTCAAACAAAAAAGCAGAAGCAAATGGAGTTCTTTTCAAAAATTGAAGGCTTTTCTGAGATGTCTTGTGAGTGGATTCCTTATGTCCGTGACAGGCTAGCAAAATATAATAAATATATTTGGACAGAAGAATTGACGAGGTTTGTGAACACTTGGAATGCCCACCAGGATGTCAGGAGTAAAATAGCGCTGGCTTGGCTATTTTATATGAGGAGCACACAGCCTAAGCCAAAGAAGCAAATTACGAGAACGCAATTGAGAAATTATATAGGGCAATGCAGGACTTTTACAATTTTGCTTGAAAATGATCCTTATATGACTTTAGTTTATGATCAGCTGGCAAAGGATAAAAGTAATGCATTGTATCAGTTGATTCAGAGATTCGGGGCAGCGCTGAAAATGGAGTTTACAAATTACCATCCTTCTAAGACAAGGATTGAGCTAAAAGAAGAAGTCATTCAAAACTCTGCATATCATGCAGAACTTTTGACAAATTATATAAAAGGCTTTATATCAATACTTACAGATTCTTTAAATAAGTTTTATCTGAACTTAGACCAACATATTAAACCAGAAGCTCAAGAGCTAATTGCGACTCATGCAGTCCTGTCTGGAGAAATTTTGGAACTTTTAGTTAAAACATATTTTGTGGCCTTGAAATCAGACCAAGATGAGTATAGTGAACATCTGCGAAGGCTGAAAGGGAGCGATTTGCACTCACTCAGCTTAGATGAATCACTAAGAATTAATAATGGAGAAGGGTATTTTGATGCAATTAAAAATTTAGTCGATATATCTTACAGTACGACATTAACAGATATACTTGATAAAGTAAGCCAATACTCAAATAACATTAAGAGCTCTATTGATAATCATAACCCCGATAAAAATATTTTATTGGAAACGGATAAGTTTCTGGAGATATCAATGCTGCTTATTTCTAAAGCAAGCTCTCCCAATCTGCCAACGATGATGAAAATTGCTGAAAACTTCTTGCATCCCTATTTCAAAAGCCAAGAAATGGAATATGTGATCACTACTATACAAGGTGCAGTAGGATTGCTAAAAACTTGTTCTGCTTAAATAAATAATAATCTCTTAAACCTATTTTAAAAATATAATAAAAAGATTTCGCATAATTTTAAAATAAAACATGATTAATTATTCTTTGTTAGAATACGGGAGTTAATCTTCCTTTGTACTCATCAGTTTGAGATTCTCTGTTATTAATTGCAGAAAGCAATGATCTAAAGTATTTTCGGTGGATTTTTTCTTTTTCGATTTCTCTTTTGACATAATCAGCATATGAAGATACAAATGGTTTTACTCTGTTTCCTGCCATTCTGAAATCTCTGGCTGCCGGCAGAAGTGATGGTGTTTTTGGAACTGTTGGATTCTCTAACAAAGGAGATCTTCATTTAATTTTATTCAGCTTGCACATACTGAAAGAATTATTTGTAATTGTTGGCTCATAGTTTTGCCAATGCCTGTATGGCTTGTTTTCTGTTGAAGACGTTTTCCTGACTCCCCCCCTTTAAATTGGAACAAAAAATTTTGTTCCAATTTAAAGGGGGGTTAAGAAAATTTTTTTAAAAAAAATCAATATAAAATTTTTTATAAAAAAAAAAGATTTATATAAAAAATTTAAAAAAAAAAAATTACAAAAATATATCGAATTAGATTAATAAATTTGTTTAATAAAATGCTATTTACTCTTTATCCTTTAAAAGAAAGCAAGATATAACTAAATTTTTATTATTAATTAAAACGCCACTATTAATTGGTATCAAAATTATTTACACAAAAATTATTATTTTTATTGATAAAAAAATTAAAAAAAAAAATTTTAGAAAATTTATTAATCAAGTAATAATTTTTTTTAAATGAGATGCCATTTATACTCTATTCTTTAAAAATAAAGCAAGAGATAAGTAAATTTTAAATTTTTGTAAAGAATTCACATTGAATTTATATCAAAATTATTTAAATAAAAAATATCATTTTTATCAAAAAAATAAAACTTTTTTTAAAAAAAAAATTAAATTTTTTGAAAAATTTAGCAATTAGGAAAAAAATTTATTTAAATAAGATGCTCTTTATACTCTATTCTTTAAACAAGAGCAGGATATAACTAAATTTTTAATTTTAGTTAAGAAGAAACATTTAAATTATATCAAAAGTTTTTACATAAAAATTATGATTTTTATATATAAAATTTTTTATTATAAAATTAAATTTTGTTCCAATTTAAAGGGGGCTAATTTACCAAAAAAGTGGAAATTTTACCTATATTTTGTTCCAATTTAAAGGGGAGGAGTGAGTTTTTTAGATTGATGTATTAATCTGTGTGATTCGCTAATGAGCATTGATTTTTTCTCTATGATTTTGCATTCAAAAAAGGACTTCGAGTGCTCTTTTCTGTTATGGCTTAACTTAACTTAATATATGGTATTTAAGGTGTCTAGTGCCGCACCCTAATGAATAGGACTATAGCAGACTAGTGAAGTCACAGATCCATCTCGGAATCGCGGATCAGCCGACCGGCCAAGCCTTCTATCAAAGCTTCGCCTCCAGTCGCCGCACCTGGCGCATTGCCGTTGCCTTGCCCTGACTCAGCTCCCACCTAAGGGTCATCTTCCCGTGGAGATGTGCTGAGAGGTAAGTCCCTGATCCTCTTGAATGCACTGAGGAGTAGTTCATCTGGTTATCCCCAAATTTAAACTGCTATTGCTGTGCAGAAGTTCTCGAGAGAAAATCCAATCCCATAAATAAAATTCCATGAGGGAGAGAAAAAATTAGCAGAGCTAATTTCTCTCGAGCCGAATGCCATTTTATTTATCTTTTCTGTTATGGCAAGAAAGAGGATTAAGCTTCATGCTACGGTATTATAATTATGGATTATAACGGAAGTGTTGTGAAACATATTTTAATAATTATCAGACTTATGAGAAAATTAATTCACCAGCCATTGTTATAAGCAAGATTTATTGACTTATAAGATATTCTAATACTAGTAAATCAAATGGTATAGAATTTTGCATATAAATTAGCTTCTCGGATTCAAAGAGTTTAACTAAAATCTAAGATGTAGATATACTTATGATAGAGATTTCGTGTGTGGAAAGGAAATAATATTTAAAATAGGTGATAGGGATAAATTCTAATAGATTTGCTTTGCTATAAAAATTATTATATTATATTATCTCTTCAGAAAAATCCATTATTTTCCAAATTAAATTATAAGCTAAGATTCTTAACTTTTTAAAATGTTTCAATATTAAATAAATGCCCTAATTTGAGATTATTTCCATGAAAGCCATTTATTGATTTGTGATAAGGTACTTTGCAATATAAAATGTCTGAAGAAGACTGGGAAGGGCTTGCAGAAAAGGATGAGGACGAAATCCAGAAGATTTTAGATTCCCAAAACAAGTTTTCTGATGAGTTTACCGCTCCAGTCGTGTCAGAACCTCCAGCACCTACAGCTCAGGAGCAATCTGCCCCCAAAGCCGTCAAGAAGAACAAAAAGAAGATTGGTGAAGAGTTTGAAAAAAAGAACCAGGAGAAAAAACGTGAAACCCAAGGAAAAACTCCAGATTTTGACGAAAAAAGAGCCCAAAAGCAGAAAGAAGAAAAAGCAGACCACGAATTGACTGACGAGCTTTTCCAAGTCACCAAAGTAGAAGAGCTGATCATTATCGTTAATTATCTATAACGTTTAACGTCCTCTACGGGGTCACCTTGTCCAGGGCTTTCACCATATTTATCCACTGTCGGGCTCATGGACCTCTGGATCGACTCACTTAGTTGCTCTAGGGCACGGGAAAATAAAATGTTCCGGCTTCGACGGGCTTCGGTTTATTGTTCGACTCAGCTCCTCGCGTGTTCCGCCTAAAGGTCACCTTCCTCGGGTGTGCTGAGGGGTAAAGACCTTAGCTTCTTGAGCGCACTGAGGAGCAGTTCCTCTGGGTTATCCCCAGAGTTAAACCGCTATTGCTGTGCAGAAGTTCTCGAAATAAAATTGCTTGAGGGAGAGAAAATTAGCAGAGCTAATTTCGCTCGAACCGAATACCATTTTATTTACATAGAAGAGCTAATCAGTGAGCAAAACTACCTGGACTTTGCAGGAGAAGTTTCACGAAAACTAACACATGGCAATGCCCACTACAGAATCCCAATATTCTTTAAAGAATTACTAAAAGATATGTCCACCCTGCTCGATTCCACTCAATTAAGCGAAATTGTGTCTCAAACCAACATTGCTCACGCTGACAAAGTGAAGCAAGAAAAAGGCCCAACCAAGAAAAAAGCCACAAAGAAGCAGCCTGTAATTAAAGGAATCGACAAAAAAGGGAATCTCTTCGGTGATGAAGAAGAAGGATATGACGAGAAACTTGACGAGTACGCAGATATATTTTAACCTTTTAGCATACATAATTAATCTGTGACCCATAATTAATAACACAAAATGAGAAAAAGGCCAAGAGTTCAGAAAAAGTCTGAAAAGCCTAACAAAAAGCTACACAGCAATGTCGTGAAGGAGCCTGAAGATATCAGAGAATTAGAGTACGAAGACCACGGGGAGGATGAATATGACAGCGAAAGTGAAGCTGTCTATCATAGTGGCAGCAGTGTGGGCGAGGCTGAAGAATGGGAAGATTTCAAGAATTTACGACTGGAAGAGACAAAAGATGGAGAAATTAGCCTTGTCAATGATCCTAGCTATAATGCGATGGAAGAGGAAAAAATTGAGCCAGAAGAGGAAAAAGAAATATGGACCGGAGATCCACGCCAAATTAAACAAGGCGAAATTTTGGATTTCGAGAATGAAGCTTATGAGCTGTTTTATCGAACTTCAGTGGAGTGGTCTTGTCTGTCATTAGACAATATAAAAGGCCCAGAAATGTGCACTGGGTTTCCGTACACAATTTATCTGGTAAGTGGGACGCAAGCCCCTGAAGGCCAAAACAAAGTTTACGTCATGAAATGGTCAGAGCTTTATAAAACTCAGTATGACGATAAGTCTGCCTCTGAAGAAGACAGCTCTGAAGAAGAAGCTGAAGAAGGCGACGAAGCAAAAATGGATTATGTGGAATTTTCCCATCATGGAGTCGTCAACAGAATAAGAGCAAATCAAGACTTTAACGCAGTGGCCACATGGAGCGAAAAAGGAGTTGTCAATATTTTTGACCTCAGTTCACCTTTAAAAAAGCTGGAGTCTGCAAATGGGGTTGTAAAATCCCGAGCTGTCGTAGTTAATACCTTTAACGTCCACAATGAAGGATATGGCCTTTGTTGGGGATATAATGGAACATTATATGCAGGTGGTGAAGGAATACACATGTTTGAGTACAACGGATCACAATGGAGCCACTCCAAAACATACAATGGGCATAAAGATGCTGTTGAGGATATACAAAGAAGTCCTACAGAGCAAACAGTCTTCGCAAGCTGCTCATGTGATAAATCCATTAAAATTTGGGACACAAGGGTAGCCACAGCTGATGCACAAATAACAATGCCTAATGCACATGAATCTGATGTAAATGTAATATCCTGGAACACTCAAGAAGCAAGCCAAATCGCATCAGGCTCAGATGACTGCTCTTTTAAGGTGTGGGATCTGAGGTTTTCTCAGCAGCAGGCTGCATCAATTAAATGGCATTCTGATTCGATCACGTCAATATGCTGGAATCCGATGGATAGTTGTGAGCTTGTAGTAGCCTCAGCTGATGATAGAATTACGGTGTGGGACTTGTCAGTTGAAGCTGAAGGGGAAATTGAGCCTGGGTACCCTCCTCAATTATTGTTTATTCATCAGGGACAGGAAGATGTCAAAGAAGTGATGTATCATCCTGATTACCAGATGATCTTGTCAACTGCTGCGAACTCTTTTAATGTGTTCAGGCCAAATATCAATGTTAAAGAAGAAGAGGATAGTTAGAAATTAACTTTTTGAGTCTGCATAGATTTTTTATTAATATGGCATGAATAAGCATTCTTTTAGGTCTTGGCCAATTTTTTCTTATTTTTAGATTGAGATTGGATTTTATGGGACTTTCAAAGCTAAAAATGGAGTTTTAAACGTCTCAGCGTCCAGAGTATTATTTAATGATTAATTTATATAGGCTATATTTAAATTAGAATATTTAAATTCAAATATACCGACATTCAAGCCGAAAAAAAAAGAAAAACCCTTAATTTGCAGATTCTGAGATGATCTATCTTGTGAAGACTTTTAGGCATAAATGGGTAAAAAAATTCAAATCTGATTTAACCATTCAGATTTAATTATTAACAGTAATTATTTCTTATAATGGCAAGTAAGAATCTTATTCCTCGCAAATCAAATGCTAGACCTATAACCCCAGGATCACGAATTCAAAGCTCATCAAAAAAAGAAAATACCCCATCCAAAAATCCTTACAGTTCTTCCAACAAAAATACACTCGGACCTCGGCATAGACCTTCATACTCTCATTCCTCAGCTCCTTCATCACTCGACGCAATTACAGACCGAATCGCTCAGCTCTTAAAAGACGATTTCTTAAAAAATCCTTCAAAAACTGCAACTGACAATTTTACTCACAATCACAATCCACCGAAAACTTCCACCCCAAAAGGCAGCGACAAAAAAAAGGCGAAATCTGCACGGCACAGCCGAACCTCTTCACTTGCAGAAAGGCCTTCAAGTCTGAACACTCTAAGGAAGCTTGAGCCAGAAAAAACCCACCGAAGAAAATTTTCTCTTGAAACCAATACAAATATCCCTTTAATTTCACAAGTTTCATTCTCTACAAATAAAGGCTATATCCCTGAAAACCCAGGGAAAACAAACCAAGATAACCACTTTGAGTTCACGAATTTTGCAAACCGCTCTGATATGCATTTATTTGGAGTCTGTGATGGGCATGGATTTTATGGTGGAGAGGTTTCAGGGTTTGTGAAAAAGAGACTGCCTGAGCTTCTGGCAAATGATCCAAACCTGTATACGTCTCCAAAAAAAGCAATAATAGCAAGCATTTTAAGATGCAACTCGGATTTGCAAGACCTGGAAATTGATATCAATTTCAGTGGCACGACGCTGATAATGGTCCTTATTAAAGGCACAACACTTTTTTGTGCAAATGTAGGAGATTCGAGAGCTTTAATAGCTAGACAAGTCAATGATACGTCAAATACGACAGCTTCAGGTAGACATTGGATGTCAATTGTTTTGTCGCGGGATCACAAGCCAGATGAAAAAGACGAGTCTGCTAGAATTTTACACTGTGGTGGCAGGATTGAATCTTACCAAGACGAACATGGGAACCCTCTTGGGCCTGCTAGAGTTTGGCTTAAACACCAAGATCTGCCAGGCTTAGCAATGTCTCGTTCGCTTGGTGACGGTGTTGCCTCATCTGTAGGAGTTATATGTGACCCTGAAATCTTGGAATTTAACATGACCCCAGAAGATAAGTTTATCTGTTTAGGAAGTGACGGCATTTTTGAATTCATCCCCAACGAAGACATTGTAAAAATCGTAGTCCCGCACTGGAGACTTCAAGACTCCGATGGTGCTTGCAAAGCTTTGGCAAAAGAAGCTCACAACAGATGGTGCAAAGAAGAAGAGGTGATTGACGATATCACTTGTATTTGTGTGTTCCTTAATGTACTTAAAGCTTAAATTTTAATGTAAATTTGCCAATTATTCTTTAGGGTTTCTCCTTGCACACTCGTCAATCCAGTCACTGTACACATCAATAGCTTCACTGAGGGCAGTCACTTTGGTATCCCAGGTCGCTGCACAGACCCTGCAGCTTATGCTGGCTTTGCCGAGGGTTTTTTGAAACATCACTTCTACAGTTTTACTGTGGTTGCAGAATGGACAGTCAAAGATCCTGTCCAACTTGGGTTTGGGGGCTTTAGTGATTTTGCTAGAGCTTTTGCGTTTTCCCATATTTAATTATATCTTTAGATAACTAGGTTGGATTATTTAGAACTCTGTGAAATGAAGCTCTACTTCCACACCAGGGTCGATATTAAAATCAGTCACTTTTTTGATGAAATCAGTTGGGCAGATCAAGGTGACAACTCGTTTGTGGATTCTCATTTCTAGTCTATCAAATGTTGAGGTTCCGTTTCCGCAAGGACTTTTTCTGACTGTTATGCGCAAGATCTTAGTTGGAAGTCTCACTGGACCGTAGGTCTTGAGGTTTTCCTTCTTACATAACCGAATAAAAAATTTTGTGAGTTCACTAAGTTAGTTTGCTTTAAAAAAATTTTATACATATAATATTTATATTAAATTTTTTTTAAAATTTAATATATCCAGTTTAGAAAAATAGGAAAGAAAAATTAAAATTAATTTATAAAAATTATGTTTAAATACAAGCTATAGAATGAGATTTAATTTTAATAATTATCACTTGTATATCAAAATATTTTTCATAAAATATTGATATAAAAACAAATTTTTTGCTCATCCAGAATTTTTTTTTAGAAAAAAAAGATTCTCCCAATGATTTACTTGCTCACTGAGGGGGGAGTTAGCAGAAGAGATGAGCTTGGATGTCACTAATTATTGGTTACTGTTCTCCAAAACTTGTAGCTTTGTGGAAGTGAGGGTGAATCTAATTTTTTGAGGCTTTGATTCGCTTTCAACTCCCTTTCCTTTTCCTTTCTCAAATGCAGTGTCTTCCATTTTCAGCCACTCTAATTATAAATGGCTTCTGAATAATCGTAAACAAGGCTGAGCTTCAGGGTGATATTATGAAGAAAACTTGGATTTTTGAGCAATGTGGCAGAATTTTTAGAAAATGTTTAAAGTTGCAAATTTTGGTGAATTTTATAAAGCAATTCTGGCTTATTAATGGTGTCAGAGTGCAAGCACCTTAAGTTTTCGATATGGAATGACAAAAAAGCGATTTTACTAGCTTTCCCCCCTTTAAATTTAAAAAAATTATTTTTTTTCAATAAAAAATGTTTTTAGAAAATATATATAAATTGAATAACATTTTTAAATTTTATTTAATTTTATGAAGAATTAATTCAAACATATATCGATTTAGTGTGAAAAATGTTTAAATAATTCTAATTCAACTTTTTCTGTTAAATTAGGCCCAAACCAATTTCATAAAAATTAGTGGAAATTTTACCTATGTTTGTTCTAAAAAAAAGGGGGAGAGTAAATCCAAGCTTGACTCAAGATTAATTAAAAATAATGTTTGAATGTGAAGAATTATTAGGTTGGCTCTTTAATTTATGATAATTAGTTGATTTATAACCCTACAGCACTGAAAGTAAAATTACATTGAGAAAATTTAATATAAAAAGCCAATTTTAGAATCAAATAGAAAATAAGCTAATTATGTGATGAGCAATAAAATCCTTATATAAAATAAACTGAAAATAAAAATATATTGAGAAAATTTAAATCTTATATTTAGTCAAATAAAATTTAATTTGGTCTCCAATAGTGACAATTATGGATCAGGAAAGGGAACAATTTAATATGATGATAGAAGATAATAGAGACACAGAATTAAAAGTATTTTTTCTATCAAAATTAGTACACAGATATGCAAATTTCAAACACAAATGCCCACCAAGGAGAAAAGCGTTCCAGCTAAGCTTAAATATTTTTCACGACACTAAAACTAACGATTACGTCCAATTTTCTCCTTCCTCTGCTTCAATTCTTGCAGAAAGAGAGGACGCTGAATCTTTTATTATGGAGCCTTCAACAGCTACACACTCATCAGGGCTTACTTCAATTAGAAGTTTCACTTCTATTGAAGAGCAATGGCTAGGTCGGAATAAAACTTGTATTTTCTACTTACTCCTTTATATGGAGATTTAAACAATTTATATAAAATTATGCTAACCCCTGAAAATTTTAGATCATAACTGACTATCAATTTTAATTTTTAAATTAATTTGTGTCTGTTAGTTTTTTTATGGTTTTAAAAAATGGCTAATCAAGCTTAGACTGATAAGACAAGTGCCCTGGTCATACTTTTTCTGGCTGGTATTCTGCGTTCATAAATTATATAATTTTTTAGATTTAAAAACCAAAATTTAATAGAGATTCATTATTACAATATATATGAAAATATTTTTTATATAAAAATTTGCTCTCAAACAAAAGAACGTTAATTTCCTAAAAATATTTAATAGTTTCCTTTCTTAGAAGGGAGAAGAAGTTAGATACAAATGAAGAATATGAAATAATCCGGCAGAATTTCTTGCATCTCTATTTCACACACAAGCCCAACCATGGGTCAAGAATTTATAAAAACAACCCTGAAGTGCATATATCAAACATAATTCAGCACTTTTTAGACTGTTTTATTACCACTCACAACCTATTAAATATTTTATTGGCCCCACTCAAAGGCAAAGAATGGGTGGATTTAAAAAGTTTTGTCCAATCTCTTGAAGCTATTCAGCAGACAGTCTTCGATAAGTCTTCTTTTTTCTATAAGGAACCAGGCAGTGATTTTAAAAAGAATATGACAATGCAAAAACTGCTCTGTAATTTCTAATTAGTTTTCTTCAAAATGGTAGAAATTTACCATGAAGGAGAATTGGGAAGAGCTCAGCTGCAAACAGTAATGAGCATGGCTTTGAAAAAAAAGAAAAAGGCATCTGAGCAATCTCGGCTTGTGGCATGGACACTGGAAAAAGCAAAGATTTTATCTGGAAAAAGAAAAGAATACGTTACATTTGAGGAGTTTTATAAAATTCTTAAAAATTAAGGACGCAGATTGAAACATTTTTGAAGACATTATCCAGAATGTACAAATAAATTATATAACCAATATTAATCAATGTTATCTTCAATATTATTCACTTGAGAACTATTCATGAACATTAGTGTCTTTGTAAGTGACTCAACGTATTTAATATCACTTGTTGAGCATTTGTTTCCTAACTTCTTAAATATAATTATCATATATATTTTATAATAAATTATTAACGTAAAAAAAAAATTATCTTATAAGAAAGTAGGAGTAAAATTCGTTTTCATTCTTTGTTCGAATAACCTTCAGAATATCCTAACTCCCTCCTTTTAAAGTGAATAAAAAACCTTGTTCCAATTTAAACTGGTGATTAAATTTTCTCGATAAAAAAAAAAATTTTATAAAATTTTAAAAACTAAAAAATATATAATTGAGCGCAATATTTATGATTTTTTATTTATTTATGAAGAATTAATTCAAAAATATAATCTATTTAATTTGAAAGCTTTTAATTTATATTTCTGCTCGAACTTTTTCAATCAAATTAGGTAAAAACACTAATTTTATATAAATTAGTATTTTCACTTATAAAATTTTCCTATTGAAAGCAAATTTTTTTCAATTTAAATGAGGCTAAAGCACAAAAAATGGATTTTATTCCAATTAAAAGGGGAGGAGTAAAATAATTTTATTTCAAAATGTGCTAAAAATTTGGAAAACTTGTGTGGCCGCAGTTCTTTCTTGGGGAGTTGGTTTAAATAAAGATTGCTTCGACTGGAATTGGCTGTAAGGCTCAGCTAATAAAGTTCGAAGTTCTGTAAATTGAGGCTCAAATACTCCATCCACTTTTTTAAGCTGTTGAATTTTCTGACTGTTGTCGTCATTATCAATCATAATCCAAACGACATTTGCAGTTTTCATTCTTCTTTCTGATGGAAGTTCAGGAAGTCCTGCAAGAATTGGGACAGGTGCATCCAATAGCTCATTTAAAGATTCAGGAATAATGGGAACTGTTATATTAGGCCATTTAAATGGTCTCAATAACGTTAAGCATCCTAGCACGCAAGAGGTTAAAAGACCTAAGTTTTTAGACACAAATACAATTGATTTTTCTTGGCTTAGTGCAAAAATGATTCATAATAATTCATTCAACGTAAAAGTGTGAAAAAGAGGAATACAAAGCCACGTAATATCCAGAAGGCTCATATCTTCAGGCACTGTATATTGAACTGGGGCTAATTTTTCTATTGGAATCTCAATTGTCATTTCAGGTCATATCGAATCGCACTCTTGATAAGCAGATAGCAGATTAATCTGATCTTCTATCACATCCTCAATTGGAGAAAATTCTCCATTCAGACTAAACTGTTCCATCCTTTGCAGTCTCTTCAAAATTTGCAAATTCGAAATTATTTCATAATGAAGCTCAAAAATAGGAATATAGCTAGCAATGCAATAGCATTTAGGGACTACCCACAGAGTAGAGTCATCTGCACTCGAAACTAGTTCGTTGACTCTTTCAACTAAAACATAAAGTTCTTCTCTTGTATTGTTAGGAATTGTGAGCCTATTTGTTTCATCTAAACATTCATCTGATCTAAGGGTAAAAATATATGTCCACTTGGATCGGTGCGGCATTGGGCCATATAGAATTTCGTTCATTTCTGATGATGAGCATCGATTTGAAAGCTCTTTTATTTCTATTGGGGAAGGGAAGCAAAATTCAGGTATAACTCGTTTTGCTGATATGGAGATTGAGTTGCCTTCTTCAGGATACTCAAATAATATTTTTGGGTTAGACTGGTTTAGAGATCCTAGGCTTGACTTGGATACTCCAACAACGAAAAAAGCTTCATAGATTCCAGGGTCAACACATTGAAATGCAACACCTTGGTCAGGATTGGCTTGAGGAGGCTTGCCAGACATCTTATGCACTGAGGTTCGGACTTCGACATCGGTTTCAAAATTTTGATTCTTATGGGCAAATAATGATATTGTGTTAAGCATCGCTGGCATCCTTGAAAAAATGGTTTTGGCAAAATCACTGATATGAATATTGATTGCAGAAGGAGGTGGGCTTAGCTGGTTTCTTAAATCCTCATTTTCTTCAATAAGTCTATCGATTTGCTGGCGATCGTGCTCTTTATCAGCAAGAGCAGCCTCACATACAGATTTTAATTCTTGATATTGGCGTAGAAGCTCTGAATATTTAGATTCCATGGCTTCGTATTTGAGTTTTCAATCTTCTATAGTTTCCATTATATGAGAAAAATAATTTACTTCAAGATCAAACTAATTAATTTTACCATGTTAAAAAATTTGCATAATATACTAGTAATGTTTTTATGGAATTATTATTTATTATTATTTTTGATTTAATCCCTTTAATTTTTTTTAATTCTAACCATAAGATAGCTAATTGAATAATGATATACTGAGGTATGATCTTCTATTTTTTTGTCAGGCTTGATACTTTTCCACACAAAAACCTAAAAAATCAAAACACTATTAAAAATTGCCAAATATTTTCTATTGACTAAATTAAAATTTATAAATTATAATTTAAATTTTTTAATTATAATAATTTATATAATAAGCAGTCTAATAGAGGTTTTTATTACTAAATTATGGCTAGAGAAAATAAGAAAAGAACAGAATGCTTTAAAAAATTATTATTTTTAAATCCTGACATTAGACCTAAAGATATTCCGTGTTTTACCTTGATTTTTCTATCATTTTTAAATAAACTTTCTTAGATTTTTTCAGCTTAAAAATAAATTCAACAAAAAATCATAGACTTATATTTCTACTTTGACCTAAATTGAAATCCCTAGCTTCTCAACGATTTAATTTAAATTCTTTATTCTGTATCCTTATATTGATAAAATAGAAATTTCTCTCCCCATTTTAAGTGATGATTTCTAATTTAACAGCAATTTTTACTCCATATAATAAAATTAAAATATCAATAACATGAGGCAAACAAATTCGCTTAAATTATTGAATAACGCTGTTTCTCCAGCTAAAGTTTTGGTTTCACTCACATCTAGTTCCATTAGTCATGTAATGAGAACTACAAGGGGCAAAGAGAAATTGCTTGCCTTAATTCAATATTCATCTGAACTCTTTAAACTCACTATGAAAGAGTACTTAGAGCACGCAGGGAAACCAGATATCCCTACTCATGTTCGAAATGCTATAGAAATCGAAAAATCAATGAGAAATGGAAGAAAGCTAATGAGGGTTTTAATGTTTGTTGACGAAATCAATAGTATCGAGAAAGTTTGACAGTCCAGTGGCAAATTTGATTTCTTTAAAATAGTTCGAATTCTAAACCACTTTTCCAGTACAATATTTTATTTGCTAGATAATTTAGTGTGATGCTCGGATATTGGCATTATAAACAAATACGTCACAAAAGCAACATTGCAATGGCGACAAACCAAGGATATGGCTTGTCTGGCTAAATGCATTTTACAATCAACCATCTGCGTGATGACCGCTTTTAAAGCACGAAAAAAGATCATATCTTCTCAAAATATCTTAAAAGAAAACTCAGATGGAGTCGTAAAGAATGGAGGAATATTCGTTGGCATCATTGAAGGATTATTGATGGCGAAGAAAGAATATCGACTGAGTTTACTGAGTGTTTTTGTAAGCTTTTTAAGATATTTAATGCTGACAAAAGCATTGAATTTGCCAGGAGCAAGCTATATGAGTCGGATTTTCATTTCCCTTTGCGGAATATTTTCAATGTGTCTCAATATCTATTGCCTGCTTATTGGAGACTCGATGATAAGAACAGATACACAGCAAAATAGTCATCGATCTAAATTGAATGACTTAAACTAATTTTCCTTTAAAATTAGCCTGCAATTTAAAATTAACATTTTTAACAAAATCTTTTACTCAACTTCATATTAATTTAACTGAATTAAATAAATGAATTCTTCAGAAGAAATTGCAAACCAATTATCAAGTATTAAAAAAAGCAATGTATCACTTGCTGATGCCCTGAGAGAAATAGAGCTTGCAAAGCAATCGTTTGAAAAAATCAGTTTCCTTGAAAACACCATGAATCTTCATGATTTGACCTTGCATGAGATTAAAAATCAAATGCAAAGATTTATTAGCACGAACTTTTTCAATGCAAAGTATGATGATCTTATGCTGAAAATTGATCAAATAATCAAGTCTAAATTTGATGAATTTTCTTTGAAATTTTTTAGCACCCTTAATGAAAAACTTAGCATATCAGATTCTGAAGCCTTATTCAAGCAAAAAGTGAATTATGTTGATTATAATGCATTATCAAAGAAATTTGAAGTCATCAAAAATATTCTTGAAAAGCACATATACTCAGACTTCGAAGCCTTGAAAACAAAAGTCAAAATGAACTTCAGCCGAATTGAAAATCAAAATAATCAACAAGGAAATACAAATATCCCACTTGAAGAAATCGATAAATTAAATGAAAGGATTAGGCTATTGGAAATTCAAGTCCAAAGTCAGATGGGAGATGAAGAAATGCTTGATGAAAGCTATGATAGCCAGGAGGATTTGGAAATAATGCTTGGGAATTTAGAAAAAGCAATTTTAAGTGAGCATTCAGCATCGATTGGATATGAAATGAGCACTAATGAAACTCATCAAATGCCTTTTGGATTAAGCAGAAATTCCCCTGATGTCTCTAAAGCAATGCTAGGAGAAGGTCTTTCTCCAAGATATTCCGGACAAAGATCCCGATCTTCAGATAAAAGACTAAATGGCGGACTTGTGCAGCAAATTGGTAAAAAATTTGGAATAATTCAAAGAGAACTTGAAATAAATAAATTCAAAATTGACGAAATTCTCAAAAAATCAACCAATTATGAAACTACCATAAAAGATGCCGACTCACTGATGACAAAACTAATCGACAAGCAGCTCGAAATTCAAGCCAAATCAGAATTGATTGAAAAAAACGTGATAAAAGCTATAAATAGCCCTACAGCAATTCAATACGATAAAGACATAGAAATGATCAGCTCAAATTCAAAAGAATTATATAATCAGGTAAAGGTCGACCTTGAAGCTAAAAACAACAGACTTTATACCATTGAAACTTGAATAGAAAAAATTGTAGATGATTTAAATCAAGTGAAAGCTCTTCATAGAGAAAAAATCAATGAAATTGTTAAATGCATGCATGACTTAAGAATCGATAATAATACAACTAAAGTAGAAGTCAATAGATCTTTAGAATCAGTAAAAAGCTTTGAAGATAGTTTAGAAGAAAAAATAAATAAATTTAACGAAGAACTTGACGAGATTAAAGGCCCACTTATTGACTTGATCTCAAATCTCATCACTCTGCGGGTGGGTTTAGCCTCTGCTAAAAGGGCTTTTCCTCCTTATAGAGGGCTTTTCTCCGTTGCAACACCTGGCCACGGTGTCCTGCAGAGGGTCAAAGCGACTGGCTTAGAATCAGCTTATGCTAAGAAGGAACAAGTGGCGAGCAAGTCCCAAACCTAGGCACTCTAAGATGCAGGCCGTTCATGTGCCACCGACAACAACCAAGAGGATGACTCTGGAAACTGGAGGAGGGAAACGTACAGTAAGTCCGGCAGTAGCTAAGCCTCTCACGACGGCATCGGGTGAGCTCGATTAATTCAGATCGGTATTTTGACTAGGATTCTGATCAGAAATTAAGTAACAATAATTACTTGATCTCAAATCAGGAGAGGCAAAATCATATACTTTCAGTGGAAATTAATAGGCAGCAGGAAATAGGGAGACGGCAAGAGATAAATAGAAGTTATGTTGCCAGTAGCATGGACTTTCAAAGAACTTATTCTTCAATGACTTCGCAGGAAAATAGCCCTATTAAAGAAGCTGCTCAGTTGATTTCAGAAACTTTAAAGCCGTCATCAGCAAGAGTACAAAGTGCGTCACCTAAAAGCGCGACTAGGGTACAGAGTGCATCTCCTAGTCTATCAGCCAAAAGTAGATGCTATCAAAGAAAGAAATTCTCTCAAATAGGCACAGGCCAAATAAAATTAGATGAAAACTGGCTTAGCCTTTTTCCAGATGGAGTGCAGATTCAACTCCCAAGGGTTTCTGTTCCAAGTAGCAAGGGATCAGACCCCCAAGCAAAAGAAACAAATAGTGCAGAGAAACAAAAGATAGCTCGTAAGCTTGAAATAAAATCAAAAATCAGATTAAATACATCTTTACTGTAACAAATAAATATTTATTTCTATTATATTCATCTTTTATTAAGTCATTAATCATAAAAATAATGCCTTAAAGCTCTACTGTTTTAATTTCATCAGGATATATTAGATAACTACTATCAATTTCAAAATAAATTGTGCAGCTTATTTTTCAATATTACAAAAATGTCCAATAAAGTCCTTCCTTACCAAAGCACAGACGTCCCAAAGCTCCAAGTTGACGCATGAACAGACAACCAAAGGCATCATGCGACCTCAATAACCCTGACCAAAAGCACCATCTCATGGGAAAACTTAAAGAAAGGGGTTGCTTTCAACATTTCCAACGTAACAGGTGCCAAACCATCCATGACAGATCCTACATCTATATCTATCCAAGTCTATAAGGAGTCAAATAGAAGGTTTAAAATCTTCTATTTTTGGTTTCTGACCATTGAGCTTGCTCACACTTGGTTTGAGCTCATCAAATCTTATTCCAAAGGACCCCAAGAAAATCGAAACATCGCTGTGATCTTAAATCCGATTAGTGGGAACAAATCTGCTTGGAAAGTGTGGCGGACAAAGTTCCAGCCAGCTTTAAGCTACTCTGGCATCAATTATTCTCTCTATGAAACTACTGGGTCAAATTTCATCGAAAATTGGGTCAAAAGCAGAGAGGTCAAACAATTCACTGATATTGTTTGTATGGGCGGCGATGGGACCATGCACTTATTGATCACTGCGATAATCAAGCACCAAAAGGACGCCTTTGAGTCCATCAATTTCGGTATTTTGCCGACTGGGTCACGAAATGCATTAGCCATTGAAGTGGGATCCAAAAAATCAATAGAAGGTATTATGAATATCATCAAAGGAAAAACATTTAAAGCTGACCTGATGAAGGTGAGAATTGAGTCAGAGCTCTCCTTTGCAACAACAGCTGTTTCCTGGGGTATTGTCAGCGATATCAGTGAAGAAGCACAGCATTATAGATTTTTAGGCGCTTTTCGTTATACTGCGGTAGGTTTAAAGAAATTTGTACAAAAATGAAAAAAATACAGTGCTATGGTATCTTATGAAGCTGACTCAGGAGAAGTACTCGATATTAATTCAGATTTTACCTATGTGATGGTTGGGAATCATAGGGTGCAAAATATTTCTAATAATGAAATCCTAACTCCAAATGCTAGGATTAATAATGGCATGCTGGATTTGCAGATGATGAGTTATGGGAATAAGTGGAAAACTGTGAAAATGTTCAAAAAGGCTATGAAATCGGGCTCGCATGTGGAGCTTGGCAATATTACTTCTGTGAAGACAAGACTTGTGTCTATTGAGCCAAAAAGCCCGATTGTATATAACGTAGATGGTGAAATTTATTATGGATCAAGCATCCAAATCCAGGTAATGCCTCAGATGATAACCTACTTAGGACAGACTGAGCAAGCTAAATAACTAATGTTCTCAATAATTTGCTTTTATTAGAAATTCAAATTAATAAATAATAGCGAACTTAGAGTATGCATACTGTTTATATAATAATAGTTACTTTTATATGTTAATAAAAATCATTTTAGTTACTGGAGAATGTTAGATAAAAAAACTTACAAAAAATGACGACATCAAAATTCTTTTTAATCTGAACGCTCAGGTCACTATTTAATTATTCATAAAAAGACCCAACTCATGTTTGTAGTAAAAATTTTGGCCATATAAGAATTAAATTATGGAAAGGACTTCTATTGAATCCCAGGCAGACGAAAACCAGATTTTTCAAGAAGAAGTTTGGACTGACCACCAGCACAATATAAATACCGATCTCAAATTGACGAAGTTTGCCATTTCATGGAAAAACACATCGAAATGCCATGTTTACGAGGCTGCAAAAATAATCGGAGCAAAGCTTTCGCCGAATGACCCCACTTCAACTTCAATCATGATCTATAAAAGTGTATCAAGAAGGTTTAAAATCTACCATTTCTGGCTTTCTACAGCAGATTCAGCTAAAAATTGGACTGAGCAGATCCGCACTTACTCAAACACCCATCAAGAAAATAGGCACATTGCCATAATTCTGAATCCCATCAGTGGGACAAAGTCAAGCCGATCAGTGTTCAGAAATGAATTTCAGCCAGCTCTAAACTACTCAGGAGTCAATTACACTATGTTCGAGACTGCTTATCCTAATTTTATTGAAGACTGGGTTAAGTCTCAAGATGTCAAACAATATACAGACATCGTGTGTATGGGAGGGGATGGGACCATGCACCTCTTGATCACTGCGCTGAATAAATACCATGAAGGTGTCATGGACTCTATTAGCTTCGGGATGCTCCCAACTGGCACTAGAAATGCTTTATCGATTGAAATTGGCAGCAAAACGGCTACTCAAGGAATCGCTAATATAATTAAAAGAAGGACATTTAAAGGAGACATTATTAAGGTTATGATAGAAAGCAACTGTGTGCTAGCAACAACTGCGGTTGCCTGGGGCATAGTTAGCGATTTGTGTGAAGAAGCCCAACATTATAGGTTTCTTGGGACTTTTAGATACACGGCCGCTGGGATTAAAAGAGTTTGGCAGTCTTGGAAAGTTTATTCGTCAATACTTCATTATGAATCAAAATCTGGCGATCTTATTACACATGATGACGATTTTACTTATGTTGTAATTGGGAATCACAGGATTTTGAATACAGCAAATAATGAGATTATGACACCAAAAGCAAGAATTAATGATGGAATGCTAGATTTGCTTATGGTAAGATGTGGAGGCAAGTGGGAACTGTTGAGAGTTTTCCAGAAAACGATGAATTTTGGGTCTCATCTGGACTCTGAAAATGTCAGATATGTAAAAACGAAGCAAGTGATGTTGGAGCCAAAGCATACCCAAGTGTTCAATGTAGATGGAGAGATGTACCACTCACCCACTATTCAGATTCAAATACTGCCCAAATCAATTTCATATTTAGGCCAAACTGATTATTAAGAATCGCTAATAAATAAGGGGTAAGTTTTGTGACTAATATTTATTAAAATTATATATGAATATATAGTAATTATTGTCTAATAATTAAAAAATGATAAATACTGCTCTTATAAACTCTTCTTTATTACATTTCTGAGTTCTTTATCTGCCCTATATTTATAAGTTAGCATTTACTTGCTTCTTTTTGAGGCTATTACATAAGCATGTTTGTCTAGGAACTAAATAAAAGAAAGACACTGAACTCTGAACTCTGAATTTTGATATTTTTACCTTTTTTTAAATTTTTCAATTCCTGGGACACATGATTAAAATATAAAAAAATTTGAACAAAAGGATTTAATTAGTTCTCCAGGCAAATCTTTTGTCTTTATAAAATAGCATCCCTGATTAAGCCTGCGAAAGAAAATAGCATTTGCAACGATACTTAGTCGCTGTTTCGAATACACGAATTTTTTATCATTTTTCTGGAGAACTTATAAATAAAATGCAAAACACCTGCCTGGTAGGCATCGATTTTCAATACGAGACAATTTTAAATGCCTCAATGGCAATCTTTATTGCAGAAATCGGCGACCGTACATTTTTTATCATCACAATTCTCGCATTCTCTTATTCAAGATCAGCAATATTTTTAGGCAATTTACTTACCATGTCATTTATTGCATTAAGTGCTGCATTTTTAGGTGCAGCCTTAATCCTTTTGATTGATCCTTTTTACATTGCTGTTTTTTCTGCGCTCAGTTTTTTTATTCAAGCATTGATGTGTTTTTATGAGTCTCTTGTCAAAGCTAATGAAGAAATAAATGAAGACGACGAAATCAAAATCGTAGAGCCAACGTGGTTTAAAACCTTTTCTAAAACTGCAATTATGGTATTTCTTGCAGAATGGGGAGACAAATCAAATACTACGATTATGGTATTGTCTGCTGTTTCAAATCCTTTACTTGTAGCAGTTGGAGCTATTTTAGCATTTGCTTCGCTCGGAGTAATGGCTGTATTTTTAGGTCGAATTATTGGCAAACGTATTTCAGAAAAATATTTCAAATTTGCAGCTGGCATTTTTTATCTGGTTTGCTGTGCAAGAATTGTGATTGAAGCTTAACCTAAATAATATACTGCCTTGCATATTTAAAATGTGTGTAAATCTCATTTTGATTGAAGAGATTAGTCTCCATGTGTTAAAATTTGATATCCATGTGAATTTCGTGCATTAGAATATAATTAGCATTTATATATTAATCTGAAAATGAATCACTGCTACTTTCCACGTCACCATATGGATTAGCTTTGGCTTGGCTCAAAATTCCTACACCTTTTATAGTTTTGTTGTGGATTTCATTGAAGCGTTTACTCATTTCTTCTTTTAACTTCTCCTGTGGAGATTGGATTACAGGGACATTTGATCTGTTTTGAAGACGATTCTTTAGTTCAGATAGAAAATCGTCACCTTTGGGGGCTGGAGGCTTTTCTTTGTCTGGGAAGGAATCTAAAGCTCGTGCGAGGGGAGATTTTTCGGGCTCTGTTGAGGGCTTTTTGAGATTTATAGAGGATAATGTGACTTTTGGAGGATTTGACTTGCTGGGGAGCGGGGGCAGGGGCGGAGGTGGTGGAGGATTTGATTTATTTGGAAGAGGTGGAGGCGGGGGAGGACTGGATTTGTTGGGAAGTGGAGGAGGTGGCGGGGGATTTGATTTATTAGGTAGTGGTGGTGGTGGTGGTGGCGGAGGTGGAGGATTTGATTTATGAGAAGGAGGAGGTGGGGGATTTGATTTATTAGAATTAGATGGAGCCGGTGGTGGCGGATTTGATTTATTTGGAAGGGGAGGTGGAGGTGGAGGAGGAGGGGGATTTAACTTATTTGATACTTGTGAGTCAGGCAGCGGGATATTTGATTTATTTGAAAGAGAAATATTTTTTTTTACTTTTTGCTCCTCTAAATGTTCAGTTTTTGAAATAACTGAATTATCTTTATGTTCACGTCGCAAGTGATCGCCTTTCTCATTTTATTATTAGATTAGATTAGATTAGATTAGATTAGATATGCTGTGTATTTATAGTCCCTACTTCCAAGCGTGACATTCCTCCGCGCTCCTTGGGGAGCCGTGCTAGCACGAGCGAAAAGGATGGACTTCCATCACTGGCTCTCTGAGCCCGGGCCGAAACCCCCGGTTTCTCGGTAGTGGGCTGCCCTATTGAGTCGTCAGCCGACTGTCGCTGGGCACCACCATTTCCAACTCAGCCTTCCGCCCCGAGTTACGCCAGTCTTTGCCTCCGGTTGGCCAGATCGCCCTCCTGAGAGGACCCTTTTAGCTGGAGAGACTTTGCGCCCTTGAGTTCTAGTCTAGCTTCGCCTCCCCTCTTTCCCGGATCATCTCCAAGAAAGAACTCAACCCCTTGCGGGATTCGGGGCTAAGCCACCAAGTAGCCTAGGCAGGTAACTCACCCTGCCTCTTTCGGACACCGAGTCTGGGCCTCGGCGCTACTGGCAAAAAGAATGCGAAAAACTGCTGCCCGGGTCAAGTCCCAAAATCAGCGGAAATTGGGCTGGGCCTCTCGCCTCGAGGCTAACTCTTCCCTTGAGTAGCTCTCCGCATCCAAAAACCACGTCCGGTATACATAAGGACACCCGCCACGAAGGGACGGGTCGCTCGTCTCCGGCCATTTTATGTATATGCCTTTCTCATTTATAATTTCTTGATTTTCTTTTGAATCATTAATTTCTTGCATATTTAATTGCTTGCTAAGTTCTTTATTTGTCTTGCTTTTCTTAAACGATTTATTTTTAATCTCTTTTTCCTCATTAGTGGTATCAACTTGGCTTAATGAAGCCTTATTATTTTCCTCTTTAAGTGCATCTTGGCTACTTTTCTTAATAGAAAAGCTTTTTTCTTTAATGGAGTCTGATTTAGCATTTTCTTTTTCAACCATAATAGGCATCTTGATTTTAGAACTCGATTTTATTGATGCCTTCATCTGTTTCTTGCTCTCATTCACTTCACTTTTCCTTTCATCTTCTGAAATGAAATCATGCTCTTCAACCCTTATATCCAGCATTGCTAATCTTTTCCCATGCTTGTTTTCTATCCCTTTCGGTAAGCTATCCTCTTTACTTGGCAGTTTATGTGCTAAGATATTTTCACTTTTCAGCTCTTCCCTTTGCCCTTTATTTTCTTCTTTCATGTCCTCTAATTTTTTGTCCTTTTTAACTTCTTTGTCTTTATGCATATCATATTTTTCTTCTTCCAGATCCTCAACTTTGATTTCAATGCTTTCTTCATTAATTTCTTTTACCACACTTTTTGGGGACATTGGATCTAAATATAAGCTAATCACACTATCTCTAATTACATCTGCCTTTTCTCTATACTCTTTTAAAACAGTCCTTTCCCTTGCTGCTTGTTCTTTAAATCTTTTTAATAAATTCTGCTCCTTCATATTTCCTTTCGATTGATAAGCTCAATCAATGATCTCTTCCAGCTCCTTTCTTCCTTTCTCAATATAAGAACCTTTAGCATTTTCCAAAAATAATTTAATGATGGTTTCTTTCTTCTTTTTCTTTTCTAATAATTCATCCTTTACAAGTCTCCATTTTAGCTCGCCACATGCTTCAAATGAGTATAAGTCATTATAGAAATGAAAATAAGGGAAGACTCCTTTGATTTCATTTTTAACCTCTTCTGAAGATTTAAGAATATCGTCATAGGGAACATTTTCTCCTTGCTTTCCTTGGCAAAATGATTTTTTGAAATTTTCGATTAATTCTTTTAGTTTACAGATGAGGTAGCTCTCGGTTTCTTCTTGGCTCTTAGGGTTGCGCTTATTTATGATTTCCGAGTTTGAGCTCATAATAAATTGCTGGATGCAGAATTTCTTGTTATAACTAATAATTTCTTGGGCTTGTTTGCGGGTAAGATTTTTAGAAATAACTCTTTGTCTCAGTTCAAAATCAATATCTGCCTTTGGCACTGCTTGCACGTGTTTGGCTGGCTTCTTTTTAGAGCAGCAACCTCCCATATTTGAATTCTAAAAGTTAGTTACATCGACATAAAATTTAAGTTTGAATTAAGAGAATTACTACAATTAAAACGCAAAGGATTCTTTATGAATTAGCTTTTTCAGCATATTTGCTACAATTTTTTAAAAAATATATGGAATTGGAGAAAAAAGGCTGTAAGAATAATTTATGTGTCAATAATAATTATTAACAAAGATTAGTAATGAGAATTACTCAAGACTAGCTTTAATCAGTGCGACCAACATATCTTTTCTATAATCTTCCAATGGCATTTCTTCTTTGTTATCGTTGATAATAAGTTCAGCTTTCATGCACACATAAATGCGGGTGAGGAAATAAATTGTACTGCACTTCTTCAACCCCCAAAAATCTATAAAAATAGCTGTAATTATTAAAAATGGTTTTTTGGTATGAAAAGTACTAACGGTACTTTTTGAATTTTTTCCAAATAGGTGGAAAAAATAAATGCTTTTTTAAAAACAGAAAAAAGAGGAAAAAGTGCATATAAAAATCTTAAGCTTTCTATCTTAAATTTGCTTCGTCGTGGTAGAATATAGATTTTTAATACACTTTTTTTCTGTTGTAAAAACCTTTTTATTCACCTCTATTTTGAAAAATTCCAATAGTAGCATTTATACTATTCTATACCAAAAAAACATTTTGAAAATTGCAGTGATTTGTATAGGTTTTGGCACGGGTGAAAAAAGTCAAGTTCTCTTTAATTAACCTCACCCCATAAACGCCGCTATCTTGAGCTAAGTGGCTCTTCACAAGTTTGCTTGGTACATAGAAGAGGTTCCTCCACTCGCTTTCATCAAGAGATATGCTATGATGAGTCAATAAAAACCCTCTTAAAAAGCTAAAAAGCCCACTCAACAAACTATGAATTTGTAGATGCTCTTTGGAAGGGTCGTAATAATACACTTGCTTTTCCTTTGTGTTAAGGACGAGTAAAGTCCAATGATCGGCGTGCAAAGGAAAGAGAAGATAGGTATAATTCAAAATGTTTTCTTTTGAATGGATAATGTTTTTAGAACCGGAAAAAACCTCTTCCGAAAAATCTGATCTCGATATCAGAACTCTCCCTCTCATTTCAGCTTTTTGACGTTTATAGCTTGCTTTTAGCATTCTCATGTATGTGTTCACGATCTTTTCAGGCAAGTCTACAGGTTCGTTAAAAGACCTTAGCTCGCTCCTCGTTAATGATTGATTTCGAATCCGCAAAATTACTTCGTCTGGATCTTTTTCTGGATTAAATATATCACTCCATGTCAAAAGACCGTGGATTTTTGACAATGTATTTTTCATCGAAATCCATTTGGTCGAAAATTTTTGATAGTTCGAAAATTAACTGTTTTTTTCGGTCAAATGTCTCACTATCAAAAATTTTCGATCAATTTTTCGGTGAAATGGACACTATCAAAAAGGCAAAGTCATTTGACCCTGCACTCAAATATATCTGCTAGGATTTCTTCAATTTTTCTTATCTGCTCAATTTTTTCTGATGTCAAGCGCAGCCGATTGCTAAATGAATCTAGGGCTCGTATGCTTAGCTGCTGAAATTCTTCATTTTGAGAGTCCGAGCTTATCCAGCTGGCCAAAACATCAGAGTTTTGAGGCTTATTTAAATTTAAAGTTTGCAATTTTTGATGGGTTAATCCAGAATTCTTTTTGCGTTTGGGCTTTAGAAATTCTGGTAGCAAATGGGTTTGAAGATTTTTCTTTGTAAAAATTCTGGTGTATGCAGAGGAATTTTCACGGGATTTAAATAAGCTGCTATTTCCAATTGTACTTCTTGTTACATTTGATTGCTGGCTTTTTGAGAAATCTGAGACTTCATTAGCATTTTGTGATATGCCATTCAAATCCATTTAATTTTCTTATGGTGCAGTAGGCACTCTTAGATATCGTTGATTCAATAACTAAAAAAATTAATTTTTTTGGTTAATTACACAGAGGGGAATGTCATATTGACTTAAAAATTATTTATTATAGAGATTTACTTGGAATAAGACTGAAAGTTTAAAAAATGGTAAATGCTATATATCAGGTAAAAATGGCATATCACGAGAGTTGCTTCTAATTAATTGATATCCGTTATGCATGAAATCAGTTTGGAAAATAGCATATTATAACATTTTTAAACTGCTTCCTAAGATGATCAATCAGATAATATCAAACAATTATTTTCTTAAAATAGTTCTTTCTCAGGGGAGCTTAATATTTTTAAATTTTTAAATTTTTATTACTATAAAAAATCTGATCACTTAGTTCCATATAAGTGAAACAAAATCTTAATAAATGATTTTTGGGGAAGTTAAGAGTAGGTAGGTATGCATAAAATGAACAGTGATGAGTGGCCCCATCCTCCTTGTTGTGGATGTCCTTATGTATATCCGGATATATTTTTTTGGGAGCAAAGAGCTACCTAAGAATAGGGTTAGCCTCGAAGCAAGAGGCCAATAACTATTTTCGCTTATTAATGGCCTGATTCCAAGAAGCAGTTTTTGGATCTCTTTACCGGGAGCGCTCACACCCCAAATGGGTGTCAAATAGAAGCAAGGTGAAGAGCCTGCTTAGACTGCTTCGTAGTCTGTCCCGACTGGCGTAAGCTATTGTTTTCTTTCTTAGAGATGATCCATGGAAAGAGGGGAAGACAAGCTAGACAAGGCTCTCAAGGGCGAACAGGCCATAGGTTCCAGGTTTGGCGCAATGTAGGCGAAGTCTTGATTTGGAAATGAGGCACCTGGCAAAGTCCGCATGGTGGATAAGAAGTTCAACCCGCTCACGCTAAAGTGGAAGCCACTTATGTGCATCTGCCACCCATGGAGGCAGCATTTGAGGTTGCTTATGCGAAACGGTGTCTTTAAGAAGTGGGAGCTATAAATACCCAGCGAAAACTTAACTTAGATTATTAAAAGTAGGTAGATAAAGCAATTTTTAAAATATTTTTATATATAATTAATGATTATTAGGTTTATACAGCTCATAATTATTTTTATAGATGAAATGAGATATCTATTAAAATAATTTTAAATTGGATTTCTAATATTTACGATGGCAAAAAAATCTTCGTTGATCTTAAATGGGGCAATTTAGTCAAATTCGATTTTCTTTTCAAAATTTCCATTTTAAATTATTGTTCTCTAAGAAATGTCATCTAAAAATGCGAGTAGCAATTATTATTCTTTTATATAAAATAATTTCTTATTGAATAACCAAATGCTAATTATTCCTATCTAAGAATAGTTTAATAAAATAATAGACATTTATCTTAATATTGGCATTTTTTATGAGTAATTTTTCTCATTTCAGATGTTCCAAATTTTAAATTTCAATGAAACTAAAAATGGTCCCAGTGAGGATCGAACTCACGACCTCTGCGTTATTAGCACAGCGCTCTAACCAGCTGAGCTATGGGACCTACACAATTTAAATTTGCTTTAAGCATAAATATAAATAATTTCCACTGAGTGCTGAGGATCTAAGCACCTAGATACCCTATAGATGTCGCTTTCAATTTAGTTTTTCTACCAATTTTTATAATTAGGAGATAATTTTCAGTAAATTATATTTTGATGAAAATATGCTAAGTCTGCAGTAAAAGTTTAATTATAAATGTTTAAAGAGCAGAATAATTAAAATCAATTATCATTTCGAATATTGTATTGCATAAAAATTAAAAGGCAATTGCTTATTATGATGAGAATTCTTTGCTAATAGATTATTTTAAAAGTAAAAGAAAAGCTTAAAATTCAAAAATAATAATTCTTTCAATCTTATTTGTTGGCAATAATAAAAATAATTCATTAATATATTTAGTTAATAATATTTTTTATAAATACTTACACTCTTTATTTAAATATCATTTTTTACTTATAATAATCTAATTTTTAAAATGAATTAGAAGTTAATAAATAAATAATATTCATAAAAATTTAGCACAATTTTTATTGGATTAATTACCTTGAATTTAAGATTTTAAATCTTAAATAGACAATTAAGAATTTGAATAGATTGAATCAAAACAAAACTAAGCTAGGGATAATGTAAAAACCATTATTCATTGCTCGCAAAAATATAAAAAGCTTAGCTGTCAGCACGAGGGCTTCCCTGGCGGTCCCCCACCCAAGTACTAACCTCGCCTTATGCCGCTTAACTTCAGAGTTCGGATGGGATCTGGTGCGTTAGGCATAGTATGGCCGACAACGAGAATTATTATTTACTGTGGTATAAATATAGCTTATATTTCATCCCAAAATCATCTTCCATCTTATAATGCATAAAATTTTTTAAAAAGGTGTAAAAAAGTTCCAAAATTAATTCTTTGAATAAAATTTTAATAGTCTATATCTTATAATAATTAGTATAAAATATCAAAATATAAAATATCTGAATGAGAGCACCAGTCCATATATTATTGTTTTAATTAATAAAATATATTAAATGAAATTATTAATTAATAAGATCCTTATAAGAGATTTTAAGAGTGAAATTAAAAATTTTTCAATTTCATTTCTAAAGCATTTTGATGTTTTCCAAGAATTAACTATCTTTTTCACAAAAATGTCATCGCTTAGGTCTTCAAGAGAATCCAAAAATAAAGAGAAATTCTTTGAATCAAAATATAAAGTCGACAAATTTAGTCGGCAAGGCTCTAATGACAGACTAAACGATTTTAAGCAAAAATTGGAATTATCATTTAAAAGCCAAAAATCAAGCCAAAGCAATTGAAAAGCTTTTCGTAGTGAAATAAAGCCAAAACCAATAGCCTCATCATCTTTGATTCCAAGTCTTTCTCATTATCAAGATATATCGCACTTTAGGCCTACAACTCCAACTTCACCTAAGCCTGGATCCCCATTATTTAGGATAAAACCTCAAATTGATGAATTTTTCAGAGGCTTAAATGCTTCAAGATCTACCAGTCCAATTATTGTATCACCCAAAGCCAGAAGTCCATGAGTAAATCTAAATTTGAATAAAAAGTCCCTTCAAGAAGCTCTTAGAATAGAAAACTTACGAAAAGGCATTGAGATTTTGGAAGAAATGAACGATCAAGATTTTAGAAGGCTACCTTCAAGCTACACGCAAGATCTATCAAAATTTTGTAGAAAAGCATTAAATAAAGTAAAAGGATTTGACTTTTAAATTAATTATTCTTTTTGCGTTTTAGTTTTAAAATATTGAGTTTACTACAATATTTACCATATTTTAAAAATGAAGAGGTTTGAAGTATCTAGCGGGACTAAAAGGAGAAGGCAGGAAGAGCTGCTTTCAGAGCTTGATCAAGAAAAAGCTGAAAACAGACAACTGAGAAAAAGACTGAAAGAAGCAGAATATGAAATTGCAGAACTAAACCGTAAAATCAGTTTGGATACACTTGCAGAGAACGGTAAAGAAGGTGACCAGCCTACTTTGGAAGTGTACAGAAGCATAAAAAGTCTTAAACGCAACCTAAAATCATCAATTGAAAACTGTGAGACTAAAGATAGAAAGATACAAGAATTGATAAGTGAAATTTCAAGACTTAATGATGAGCTTGATATATCAATTTCACAGCTGAATGACTACAAAAATAAAGAAAGCAGGTATAATGCTTTTAAAGAAAAAATTGATAGATTAGGTGCGACCGAAATAAAAAATAAAGAATTAGAAGAGCAATATGAACAGTCTGTCCAAGACAAAACTTTATTACTAATAGAATTACAAAAACTCAGATTAAATGAGAAAAATAGCGAAAAACTAGAAAAAGAAATTGAAGATATGACTGAAAGGTATGTCCAAGCTTTAGCGCAGATTTCTGAAAAGCAAAAAAGCAACGAGATATTAAAGAATATGCTAGAAGATAAAACGAGAGAGCTAGAAAAAATGAGAGTTCTTGAAGGAGAAGTCGCAATGCTTACTCCTTCATCTTTAATTAAAACCGATCACTGCTATTCAATAATGAATGGAGAAAAAAAATTGCGGGAAAATTATATTAATTGATTCCTAATTTTTTCAAATAAAATATTTTATGGCTAAGATTCAATATTTTTAAAAGATAGATAGTCAGATTCGGGGTAATATATGAAAATCTTTCGATCAATGATTGGATATATTTTCCAATTTTTAGGAAATTTCGGTTAATCAAGTTAAGGGAGTTAGAAATAAATATGAAACACCATTTTCTAGTCAAAGAACAAGCTTGGGTACTGATGCCCCACCTTTGTGAATCGAAGAATACGAGCTTAAATTAAAAGAGCTACAAAATCAGAATCAGCAATTAAAAAATACATTATGAAATAATATTGAAGTCTGCACTCTAGATAGTTTGATGGCTCAGATAGAAACACTTACAAGCATAAAAGAAGATTCGTTCTTGAAATATGCCCGATTGCAATGCTCCTATCATGAGCTTGAATACAGGTCAGAAGCAATTGACTAGATTAAATTAGATTAAGATTTGGATAGGTATTGAGGGATTATTTAAGCCCTTGCCCCCGTCGAGAGCTAGCTTCACGTTTGTGGTTGCTAGACAGTAACTTTGCCTAGCGCCATTTTTCAATCTTAGCCGCCAAATGATGATGTAGGATGCATAACAGAGCACTTACTCGGTAAGTCTTTAGTCCTTATCTTGCGCTCAGGTTACTCTGTAACTGGGGTGGGATTACAAATGATTAGCTGAGGCTTCTTTTCTCTATGCTTCTAAATAAAGTCTTAGCGCAACCTTTCGCATGAAGAAGTGCTATGCAAGGCACTGCATCTTTCGGTTGGGTGTGATCGCATAAAAAAGGTATTTCTCCACTGGGGCACACCAAAAATCGACTTTGGATACCAAGGTGCAATGGGTATCTTGCAGAATGTGTTCAGTCAATCAACAGGACACCACATGCCTCTATTGGTACGCTATTTAATTAAGTATGAAGCAATTGAAGAGTCTTTAAAAGAGCAAATACATAATCTTACCAGGAATTACACATTATTGGAGGCCAAGCTTGAGTATCAAAAAGTACTGAATCAAGAATTGGATTCACGGCTTAATAACTGTAAATCTTGCCAAGAGTTGAGGGAAGAGCTTAAAATCGTGGAGGACAGATGCAATAAATTAAACAGTAGACTTGAAACCAGGACTGATATTATTGAGCAGGAGCAAAAAAGGCTTAAAGATCTCAGACTTTTGTATGAAAACGGTGTAAAAGAATTAGACGAGTTGAAACAAGAGCACTATAGGCTTAAAGAAAAGTTTGAAAGAGATATAGAATTAAGTGAAAATGGCAATTCTAAATAGATTGTATAGTAAGATTGCTAAAACTTAGAATTAACATTTATAGACTCGAATGATGGTTATAGGTAGAACGGAATTAAGTAATTATACTTTTAAAAAAAAATACTATTTCTAAGCTTATTATTAAATAGAAAGAATTATTTTTTTTTAACTCAAAAATAAGAGGATAAATTTCATTGTAAAGAAAATTTATTTCCAATCTCTTAATTCCCCCGTTTAAACTTGAACAAAATTTCCATTCTTTTGGTAAATAAACCCTCTTTAAATTGAAATACAATTTTATTTTTAAAGGTAAAATTTCATAAGTAAAAATACTAATTTTAATATAATATGCTTTTTGATATGCATTAAAATGGGTGGCGAATCAAACCACCCTCTTAACTCCTGTAGCCGATAATTGAAAGGTTCTGAGGACTTGAGGAAGAGTAGTTTGTGTTTAATAAGTTTATCCGGCTGTGTTTTCTTGATATTGTGAAGCGCAATGCCAGCTGGCCGCCCGCAAGTTTTACTCAAGTGCAAAATCTAGAAGTTGGGCAGGGGTTTTCCTAACGGTGTCAATGCTGTTCATCTGGACATATCGGGACTATTCCCAAGCGCGAAGCCAGGAGTTGCGCCTTAGGCTACGGATTTCCTTCTTAGCCGAGAGTCGACTAAAAGATTTCAACCGTTTTGAATTTTCAATGGTAGGCAACCCTATCGATGTTTGGCATAGTAGTCCAGGCTTTCCAGGTAGCATGCGCAGACCCATATCTTGCAGAAGCAAAAAATGTAAATTTAAAATATATATAGCGCTTTCCCGAGGATGGCGCGGAATGGCGCCATCCTCGGGAAAGCCAGGAAGGCATCCACACGGGAACTGGGAGTTCCACGTGTAGATGCCATTTTGACATGTGGAAGTTTGGATCCCACATGTCAAAAATGGCATCCACACGTGGAACTCCCAGTTCCCGTGTGGATGCTTAGTTGACTTTCCCGAGGATGGCACCATTCCGCGCCATCCTCGGGAAAGCGCTATAACTATTTAGACTGCTCCTGAAACTCCTAGGAGCATTGCGCTTCTTCTTCTTCTTCTTTGATAAGCAGTTCCTTCATTTGAGAACGAAGATCTGCTTGCTAATCTGATAGAAGAATCATCTTTAATCTTGATAGAAATTTCTTCATCAGATAAATTAATTTCATTTTCAAAATTCTCCCCAGCCCGTTTTTTTTCTTTAAATTGTATAATAGCATCATGTAAGTCTTTAATTTGCTGTGGGCAATCAAAGTAAACGCTATCGCAGAGCTTTATGCTCCCGTCTTCATCCCCACTTTCGTCTTCACTCTCATTTTCACTCTGACTGGTGCTAGAAATTGATAGTGAAGAAAGATGCATAAATCGAGAGAAATTTGTATCAGAATTAGACATATTATAAACAAGATCCCTATTTTTTTTATAAGTCTTTGATTTTTTATTTGGTTACTTTAATACAGATCTGTTTTGTTTAACTGTTTTATATCAATGGGAAATAAAATAACAATTATAAAATTAATAGCTTTATTTTTTATCAAGAATTTTAAAAAATCGGTGCCTGAATTGCGTAATTATTTATAATCTGATTTCCTGAAAAAATAAAGAAATAAAAGGCTTACTGAATAATCTAACTAAAATTATTATTTTTAGACGAAAGTCAAAGCCACTATATCAGAAATGATTTTTCTTAATTACATTTTTTTTTAATTCTAAATCCAAGAATAAGTAATTCATCTAGTAAAAGAGAATTAATATTTACTTATTTTTATAATTCTTAACTCTAATGTAATTTTTTTGAAGAAAAATGCTTCTTCAAACTAGAGTCAATTATTTTTCTATTTGCACTCTTCTTCTCGTTAATCGAATTTATTCTAGAAGCCTATATTAAATCACTTCAATTCCTATCTTAAGCCTCTAATTAAAATATCATGCATCATATTTATAATAATTCTAAAATCAAATCTCTTTGATCCTACATCACATTAAAAATGCCAACTAATTTAAGTCAGTTAATCCTAATCTTAAATTATTTATAACGTTTTTAGCCCACTAAAGGGTCGCCTTGTCCAGAGCTGCCACCATATTTGTCCACGTGTCGGGCCCATGGACCTCTGGATCGATCCACTTTGATTCGCCAAGGTACGGTAAATACAGCGTTCCGACTTCGATGGGCTTCGCTACCCTCACAGCTTTATACGACTCAGCTCCTGCTCATGTTCCCCTAAGGGTCACCTTCCTCGGGTGTGCTGAGCGGTAAAGACCTTAGTCTCTTGAGCGCACTGAGGAGCAGTTCCTCTGGTTATCCCTAGAGTTAAATCGCTATTGTTGTGCAAACTCCATAAATAAAATTGCTTGAGGGAGAGAAAATTACCAGAGCTAATTTCGCTCGAACTGAATGCTATTTTATTTATTAAAGTCAGTTAATCACTAAAAATAATCAAACTGGCTGAATTATTTTAAATGGCAGCTATTTAAGAAAATAAATATAATCTATATCTTATGGAACCTTGCAACCACTATGAAAGAGGCTGTGACCTCTTGTCAGCTTGCTGTAACGAATTTTTTGCCTGCAGATACTGCCACGATAAAGAGAAGTACGAGGACGAAAAAGATTTCTCAAAAAAGCATAAAATGATCAGATCAGACGTAACTACAGTCAGATGTCGTGCTTGCCAAGCAACGCAGGGATTAAATCAATATTGTATAAATTGTAATACATGCATGGGAGCTTATTTTTGTGCAATCTGTCATTTATATGACAGCGACTTAAGCAAAAACATTTACCACTGCGATAAATGTGGTATATGCAGGGTGGGGCCAAGAGAAAAATACTTTCACTGCGATACGTGTGAAGCATGCCTAAGCGTAAGTCTCAGGAATTCTCATACGTGCCGCCCTGGAATTCTTAAATCGAACTGTGCTGTGTGTCAAGAAGACATGTTCACCAGCAGGCAACGGGCAATGCCAATGAGCTGTGGACATTTCATACATAACGCATGCTTGAGAGATATGATGGCGCATCATAGATATACTTGCCCAATTTGTTGCAAGTCTATTGCCGATTTCTCGGATTTTTACCAAAAAATTGATGAGGAAGTTTCGAACACTCCAATGCCAGAAGAATATCTTTCTTAATTACTACTGTTTAAGTTGTCTAATTCCGCTCCCTATAAATAGAGACTAACTCCCCCCCCCCTCCGTGAGCGAACAAAAAAATTTTGTTCGCTCACGGAGGGGGGTTAATTTTTTTTTTTAAAAAAATTTATATATAAATTTTATAAAAAAAATATATTTTTTTCGAAATTTAAAAAAATCCTAATTTGCAAAAATTGGGAAAGCAAATATTAATTTAATTTGCAAAATTTATGTTTTAAAATGCAATTTGTTTAAAATTAAACAGAATTAGCTCTAGATTTCATTATACTAATTATCACTTATATATCAAAATTTTTTTCCATTAAAATTTTTTCTATTAAAAAAATTTTTTTCACTCACGGAGGGTGGGTTTTTGGTCAAAAAATGGCGATTTTTCTAATGGTTTTGTTCGCTCACGGAGGGGGGGGGGAGTAAGCAACTAGTGACGTCACTGAACTATCTTGGAATCACGGTGGTCACCCAACCGGCCAAACCTTCTACGAAGCTTCGCCCCCAGTTCGCTGCACATCTCACCCGGCACGTTGCCGTCGCTCTGCCCTGGCTCAGCTCCTGCGCGTGTTCCATCTAAGGGTCATCCTCTAGTGGGGATGTGCTAAGGGGTGAAATCCTAATCCTCTTGATGCACTAAGAAGCAATTCCTCTGGCTATACCCAAAGTTAAACTGCTATTGCTGTGCAGAAGTTCTCGAGGGAAAACCCAACACCATAAATAAAATTCCATGAGGGAGAGAAAATGATCAAATCTAATTTCTCTTGAACCGAATGCCATTTTATTTATGCCAGAAGAATATCAAAAATATTGATTGTAATATCCTCTGCAACGACTGCTTAAAGAGAAACAGAGTAAGATTTCATGTTATCGGGATGAAATGTCCTGACTGTGGCTCATATAATACAACCAGGTATTAATTATAAAATAATAAACAGTTTACACTAATTGCTTTTATAAATTTTTCTCCTATATATTTCCCTCATTAACCTTTTTAAAAGCTCATTGACATGGTCAGGATTTTGGCAGCAAATTTCATCGTAGAGAGCTCCGTTATTTTTAGCGAATTCTTGGCCTCTTTCAAATGAGATAAACCTTGATCGAGGGTTGTGAGTCGTAACATCCAGTCTTGTGCCAACCAAAATGATGACTGAAAGAGGGTTCGATTCTTTTGCAAATTCTTCTAACCGCTTCTCTATCCCAAAAAATGTGATTTCTCTTGTTAAATCAAATAAAAGAAGCCCGCCATATGCTCCATACATGCAAGATTTATTGATGGCTGAAAAATTGTTAGAAGTTGAAATGTCTCAAACGTTAGCTTCGATTGAATTTTCAATGAAATTGACCATTCTTGATGCATAATTAAATATTGTGTCTAGGCCCAATGCATAGCCTGTCAGCCATACTTCCTCGAGCACATATTTAATGTATCCAAAAAGGTGCTGCCAAATATCAGTTAAACAATTTGGGGAAGGCTTAGAGTTGAAAAGGGAAAGTCCAGCAGTGTCTTTTGGTCATTCGGGCAGCTCCACAGCGTGAAATCAAGAGTTAAGACTTGACCTCTGAGTTAGACCTTTTCCTACAGTCAGCAAGAAATTACATTTTTTGAAATTCTGTGCAGGCAGCCCGAAGGGCCGGAAGGATAGCTGTCTAAATCCGAACGCTCGAAGCCGAAAAAACCATTTAGAGACGAAGAGAGGCGATACACAGCATTATGGTGGATCGAGACCTGAAATAGGGACCGATGCCTAGGCAGGTGATATGGTAGTGGATATTAAACGGAGGACTAAAAACCTTAAATTAATATACCTATGAAACCATTCTTGATGCATATCCTATACCAGGTTTGCGAGTGTATCCACCATGATTTGCCATGAAAGTCGATAATAAAGTGGTTTTCCCTACTCCACGGTCTCCAATTAAGATAACTTTATAACTTGATTTGCTAGAACTTCAAGATTTTGAAAATAAATTTGCCTGGACATCTAAATTTTTTTTCTCTGACATACTAAATTTAGTGGTATGCAAATGGCTTGGCTCTTTTCGAGTAATTTCTAAAGACTTAAAAATATCATTTTTGCTTTCATTTGGCTTCATTCAGCTTTTCGGAGTAGACCTTAGTTCTTCTATTGCCTGAGCCTCTTTTGGGTTCGGGCAATACTAACGTCAGAAGATATCGAAAGGGGAGCTGGTCTTACCAAAATTGTTGATAAAACCAGCTCCCCAGATGGTAAAGCTCCAATATGCAATAAATTTGCTCATCTGAGGAGTTGGTTTTACTAGCAACGTTGATAAGACCAACTTCCCTTCCGAAGTCTAACGACGTCGGTATTGCCATAGCCAAAGGAAAGCTAGGGTTATATTTGCAAAGACGTGTTATTTTCATCAAAAACTGGGGAAGTCGATAAAAAATGTATCCTCGATGAAGGTCGTGTAGAAAATCTCTGCCTTGATGCGTCCTCTTTTAAAATTGAGCTGAAAGATGACAATGGGCGGGGCTTGACTTCTATAGGAGGAACCGGTGTTTTAGTAGGCGGTATATGCAATGTTGGAATTTCTTCACTGCTTTCAGACGAATTTTGTTCTTCGTTTGGCTCTAATTCTAGCTCAGCTCTCAATTTTTGTATTTTTGAGTCAACCAAAGAATTCGTCCTTTCTTTAAATTTTTGGAGTTTTTGTACCTGAGTCTCTATTTTGCTGTGCTTTATATTCTCATGACTGTGTATAATGCATTCTTCAGCGTTATCAGCATCTTCACTTGCCTCAAGCAATAACGTCAATAAAGGATGAGTCAAAGAAACAGGCCGATGCTCATTCCCTTCAGAACTCGATATATGTGTCAATAAGCAGTTATCACATAAGTGTCTTTCTAGACAAACACAAATAAATGAAGCCTCCATGGTTTTGCAATCTTGGCAACTTTCTCCCATTTATAGTTTATTTGAAAAGAGAGAGAAAAACTAGTATTAAATGAATGCAATAAACATTAATAACATAAATAAAACCATTGTGCACGCTAAAATTGATTTCGGAGCTATTGTATCTAAAGGAGCATAAGCTGAGTCTCCTGATGAAAAATTCGTTGTGGCGAGCAATAGGGCAACTGGTGGGAAAAATCCAAAGCCAGCTGACATAGTGACACCTTCGCCAGGGCCTGCAAAGCCAAATCGTTCGCCGAGATTACGAAATGGATTATATCCTTCGTTTCTAACTGGCTCTTGCCTCTGAGCACTTGGCCGTGGTGGCAGATTTTCATTGTGAGGCCTGTTTTCTTCTTTGGTGTAGATAGGGATTATAGTTTCGTTTGAAATTCCTGAATTACAAACAGGGCATGTGTGTGATTGACGATTTTGCTGCAGCCAATTGTAAATACAGCTTCAGCTAAGTTACAATTACCAATATAGATGTCCGCAGAGGGTAAGAACTGGCTCATGGGCCACATCAAAACAAATTAGGCATTCGAATCGAGCTGAATCCCTATGCTCTTCCATAATATAAAAATGTTATTGAATTTAAGCTGATCAGCTAAGGATATATGGGACTCATTCTTTGTTAAAAGTGTATACTTACTCCCCCCCCCCCCTCCGTGAGCGAACAAAAAAATTTTGTTCGCTCACGGAGGGGGGTTAATTTTTTTTTTAAAAAAAATTTATATATAAATTTTATAAAAAATATTTTTTTCGAAATTTAAAAAAATCCTAATTTGCAAAAATTGGGAAGCAAATATTAATTTAATTTGCAAAATTTATGTTTTAAAACGCAATTTGTTTAAAATTAAACAGAATTAGCTCTAGATTTCATTATACTAATTATCACTTATATATCAAAATTTTTTTCATTAAAATTTTTTCTATTAAAAAAATTTTTGTTCACTCACGGAGGGTGGGTTTTTGGTCAAAAAATGGCGATTTTTCTAATGGTTTTGTTCGCTCACGGAGGGGGGGGGGGGGGGGAGTTAGCAAATCTAATTTTAATTTGAAAGACTACCAAATTGAGCTATAATTCTATTTATCATTTTAAGAATCCGATTTTGTCTATTTTGTCTTATGATTAATTAGAACTTAAACAATTACTTAAAATATTAAAATAAAATATAAAAATTTTAATTTTCATATATACAAATATAAGAATATTAATATTATTTGAATATTTAATCAGATTATTATGATTTTATTAATTTATATATAGGTGCATGCCATTTTAAAAAATTAAATGATACTTTTATATCAATTTTTTGCAATAGCTTTTGCAAAAATTTACGTTCACACCCCAGATTCCTTGAAGGAACAAATAAAAAACAAATACAACACAAATATAGAGTATGGACCCTTTTAGCTCTCCATAGTGCTGATTTCAGCCTGTCGGATAAGATTCGTCAGGCTTGAGATGACCCCAATGGAGATCAGCTTGCACTATTTAGGTATATTATCCCTTCCTCTCTAGCAAATTTTGGAAATCCCCCTTATGGCTCTTCAATTATCAGCCATCCTTACTGGCCAGAAAATGAAAAAGAGAAAAATGGATGTAAAAGTTTAACCCACCCTAAATACTCTGACGAGAACCACAAACCAAATCATTATGTTACGATTCTAAAGATAGGACAATGCTCATACGCGACTAAAGTCCGTAATGCCCAAAACATCGGTGCTTCAGCAGTTATAATGATTAATGACTCACTTCCCCCCCTTTAAATTGGAACTAAAAATTTTGTTCCGATTTAAAGGGAGTTAATTTTTTTTTTTAAAAAAAAAAAAAATCAATATAAAATTTTTTATAAAAAAAAATTTATATATAAAAATTTAAAAAAAACAATTCAAAAACTTATCGAGTTAGATTAATAAAATTTGTTTAATAAAATGCTATTTACTCTTTATCCTTTAAAACAAAGCAAGATATAACTAAATTTTCATTATTAGTTAATACGCCACTATTAATTGGCATCAAAATTATTTGCACAAAAATTATTATTTTTATTGATAAAAATCAATGTTTAAATAAGATGTTAGTTATACTCTATTCTTTAAAATAAAGCAAGAAATAATTAAATTTTTGAAATTTTATAAAGAATTCCTATTGAATTTATATCAAAACTATCCAAATAAAAAATATAGAAATTTTCCCTTAGATGGCGCGGTTTGCCCTTGATTTGCCCACTGAAAAAAATTTTTGGTTCGACCAGTACCATATGGTTTGGTCAAACCAAAAAATTTTTTAAGTGTGCAAATCAAGGGCAAACAGTGCCATCTATGGGAAAATTCTATATCATTTTTATCAAAAAAAATAATGAAAAATTTTTAAAAAAAAAATTAATTTTTTTTTTAAAAATTAGCAATTAAGGATAATAAATTTATTTAAATAAGATGCTCTTTATACTTTCTTCTTTAAACAAGAGCAAGATATAACTAAATTTTGAATTTTAGTTAAGAAGAAACATTTAACTTATATCAAAACTTTTTAGATAAAAATTATATATAATTTTTTTATTATAAAATTAAATTTTGTTCCAATTTAAAGGGGGGTTAATTTACCAAAAAAGTGGAAATTTTACCTATATTTTGTTCCAATTTAAAGGGGGGGGGAGGGAGTCAGATGAAGATATTTCTCATATCCTCATGATTGATGACGGAACTGCTGGCAATATTTCTATACCTTCCTTTCTCATAAGCAAATCAGATGGCGAAATTCTATTGAATTCAATGACTGAGCTTGACTCTACAGACATTGTCCTTATTCTTAAATTTGAAATGAATCATCCAAGCAATAAAGTTGAATGGGAAATGTGAATGTCAAGCGAAAGTACAGCCACAAGAGAATTTTTAGTTGATTTCTCCCAATATGGGAAGATGTTTGATTTGGATTCTGCAATTATGACGCCTCATTATGTCCTATGGGTTTGTACAGATTGCCAAGATAAAAATTTTACTGTTGATCACCCTGATTGTGTTGGGGGAGGAAGATATTGTGCTCCTGACCCAGATTTTGAAGGACCAAGAAATGGAAGAGATATAGTTTTTGAAGATCTTACTCCCCCCCCCTCCGTGAGCGAACAAAAAAATTTTGTTCGCTCACGGAGGGGGGTTAATTTTTTTTTTTAAAAAAAAAATATATATATAAATTTTATAAAAAATATATTTTTTTCGAAATTTAAAAAAATCCTAATTTGCAAAATTTATGTTTTAAAACGCAATTTGTTTAAAATTAAACAGAATTAGCTCTAGATTTCATTATACTAATTATCACTTATATATCAAAATTTTTTTCCATTAAAATTTTTTCTATTAAAAAAATTTTTGTTCACTCACGGAGGGTGGGTTTTTGGTCAAAAAATGGCGATTTTTCTAATGGTTTTGTTCGCTCACGGAGGGGGGGGGGGGAGTTAGACAAATTTGCATTTATAACCTTGGTAGAAGAATTGGGAGATTAGATATATGATGGAATTATATAAAAGAGTTTAACAGACTTTGTGAAGATTTTGATTTTACAGAGAAATGTGCAGGAAAAGCAATGAAAAAAGCAAAAATAGATACTGCTGATATAAATTATTGCATTCAAAGTAGCTTTGCAAACAGTAACTACGCATTAGCTGAAAACTCAATTCTTTTGAAAGAGAAAAAAAGGTTTCTTCAAGCAGGGATCTCATTTTATCCTACAATAATAATAAACAATCAAACCTTTCGAGGAGATCTAGAAGCAGATGAAGTATTAAACGCAATTTGTGCTGGCTTCCAAACCCCTCCATTAGTGTGTCCATCCCACCATAATCCTCAGCACAATCACAAATACCACCGAAAATCCCACGACAAAATGAGTCTCTCCACAATTTCCATAATCCTTCTCCTTCTCTTTATATCATTATCATTACTCTTATTCTTTTACAAAAGATGTATCCGCAGAGAACTCAACATTGAAATGAAATCCCAAGTAAACTCCGTAATAAGCCAATATATTGCCTTAACCGAAACTAATTATAGTAAAGAATAATCATTACCAAAGCACTCTTAATTTTACACTCCTAAGTAATGCATAAATAAATAGGGTCCACACATGTCCGACTCCAAAAACAAAATCATCAAGAAAGGAAGCGAGCCTACAGAATTCGAGTATCATGTAGCACAAACATTAGGTGAAATCGAAGCATCGGCAAGCGACCTTAAGGGCGAACTTCGTGATGTTTTTATTACCGGAGCAAGTGAGTTCGATGGAAAGTTTAGAGGATCAGTCCGCCAAGCTGTTGTAATCATGTTCCACTACAGATCACTGCAAGCAGTCAAAAGAATATATGCAAGACTTCTAAGCGAGCTTGAAAAGAGATTCAGGAGGCCAGTCGCTATTATATTTTCAAGGACAATCTTACCAAAATATCTCAAATCTAAAGGACAACAAAAACGCCCATACTCAAGGACCCTCACCAGCGTCCATGAAGCCATTTTAGATGACTTGGTCTTCCCTGCGACCATTTTGGGCAAGAGAATGAGAATCAAGACAGACGGAAAGCGTGTATTCAAAGTCCTATTAGATCCAAAAGACAGAGAAAAGCTCGAGGAGAAGTTAGACACTTTGAGTGCTGTCTACAACAAGCTGACCAACAAAGAAGTCGTTTTTGAGTTCCCTATCAACAGAGAATTCCCAGTTTAACTTAAAAATGACTCAACCTAAATTTTATGAAATAAAAATGGAAAAATTAATTTTTCAGGCAAAACTTGCAGAATCTGCAGAAAGATATGAGAATATGTTTTGCTTTGTGAAAGGAATAATGAAGGAAGCTGAAGTTTTGGATAAGGAAATAAGAAATTTGATAACAGTCGCATTTACTAACCTTGTGCGGCAACGTATTAGCGAATGACGAGTCATCGTTGGTATTGAGATGAAAGAGTTAAGCCTTGGAAGAACAGAAAAAGCATATATATTAAGGATATACAGGGAAAATGCTGAGGGCTATATTACTTCAATTTGCATGGAAGTTTTAGGGTTTGTTGAAGACTGGATACAAAAGCAAAATCAAATCGAAGTTAAAGTATTTTTGTTAAAATTAAAAGAAAAAGCTTTCAGAAATTTAGCTGAATTTCAGTCACATGAGCTGAATATATGAATTTATGGAACAGATTCTAGAGATAAGCAGCTGAGAGCTGAAGAAGAAGCATTTAGATTAACAACACAAGAGCTTTCTCCAATTGATCCGATAAGACTTGGACTTGCTTTAAGTTTAGCAGTTATTTCATATGATATTAATGGAGACTCTAAGAAAGCTCTATCAATTGCTGAAGAAGCTTTTAATTTAGCTCTTCCTGAGCTTATCAATATTCCTGAAGAAAACTATAAGGACGTTACTCTTATTATGTCTATGCTAAACCTCTTGATTAGCCTGCAAAATCTACGGTAAGCGATAATTTTTTTTTTAAAAAAAAGCTAAATAAAATAAAGAACTTTTTGTTGATTATATATTACAAAAATCTATATTAAAAAAAATTTTGCTTTCTAACAAGATAGGCTAATTTTACCAAAGCAGGGATTTTTCATGCTTTCCTATCATCCAAGAGGAAGTAAGAGACAACATAACTTTATGATCCAATGATTTGTCTGACTAATTTAATTAAAAATCCTGCAATTTAATTGAAGAATTATTTAGATTAAATGAGCAATGACGTTTCAACCACTTCAAAGCCAAGATCTGAAACTCTTACTCCAAACTCCATCATTGATTCAGGATCTAATACCAGCTCTTTCATTTTATTCCACTCCAACAAGTTGGTGAACTTAAAGCAATTGTCTTCAGAAACAATCAACTTCACAATATTGTCTTCATTTTCACTTCCATCCCACACAAATAAGTTTAGCTGGCATTTTATGTCTGTCTCAATATTGCATTTATCACAAAAATCAAGGCTGGTCTTTTTGCCGCACTCCCTACATATCATTCCTTCAAGCTCTCTTGGGTGATTGGGCAGAATTTTTACGACGAATCCTTCAACCCTAAAGTCTATCCCATAGTTTAAGTATTTCAGTCTAGAAAAAGACACAATAGGAGCTGATTTCATATTTTGGCTAACAATAGTCCTCACTTTTTTCTTTTCAGGCTGTATGTAGGCTTCTGCTATTCTTTGCATTTCTCGTTCTTTTTCAGAAATCATTGGTATTTGGCATAAGCCCATCCACTCAGGAACAATGTGGATATCTGAATAATAAGTTAAAGAAATTCTTCCGTTCTCAAAAACTACGCTTCTTACTCTTACACATAGACCTGGCTGAAGCCATTTTAATAGTTTTTCTCTTTCTGCAGGCACGATGATTTGGGTCACATTATTGGTGTCATAACAAATAATTGCTGAAGGGTCAGATTTTGCCACACCCATTTTGTAGACTCCATAAATCCTTACTAGTATATCAGACTCTGATGTTGTGGTTATGTTGCTCAAAGCAGTAGTTGCTTCCAATTCTGTAGGCAACTTCTGTGCAAATTGCTGAGTTACCCATTTTCTCAAACTTTCGAGGAAATGATAATGCTCGGAAATTTGGTGAAATTGTCCTCCATTGCTAGCATTTGCATTAAAATGACGCAAAGAATCATCCCTTTCTAATTCCGTAGCTGGAAGGTTTCACAATATCGGAACTTTTGACAAAGGAAATGAGCTGACCTATAATAGCTCAAATCAAGATTGCTTTTTTTCTTCATGGGGAAGTGTTGGAAAGGAAAGAAAAGCCTAGCACTGTCTAGATACTCATTAGGCGACTTTGAGCTTCCATCTTAGCCCAAATTCAATTAAAGATTTTGATTTTTTGAATTTTCTGGAAGGAAACCGATGTTGGCATACAGTAATAAGTACATGCCCTTTTTGGAAGGAACAAGATAGAGAAAGGCCGTTTGTGATTCGTGAGCAAGCAGTAAGCGATAATGGATACAGGTCTGCAAGAGACTTCTCCATAAGTAATCAATGCCAATTTTTAATGTTAATTCCTCCATAGTTAGCGTAAGGCGACAATTTGTCTTCTTCTAACTCCCCCCCATCCTTGATCGAACGATTGACTGTAAAAATTCCTAAAAATTGGGGAAATTAACCCCCATCCTTGATCGAACGATTTTCATATCATGCAAATTTTTTATATATATAAAAATATATTAGTTATCAAAAGCTTGGGAAGATGTACCTAATGAAGTTATTTTCGGAGCTTTAAGACACAGAAAGCTGCGGAATCAACCATCCGAAGTGATTTAGCCATCAACCTAGTCTTGAAAACTCAATAATCTAAAAAATAGAGATTCTTTAAAATTTTAAAAACAAAAAAATTTAATTCTGTAAGTAACAAATTAAAATTTATACAGTTTAAAAGGGTAACTAATAAACCAAAATATTATTAAAAATTAATATTTTATGAAATTAATTCAATTTTTTGCTGTAAAAATAATTATTAAATACTCTTAACCCTCTTATTTAAAAGTAAATAAAAAAATATATAGATATATTTTTTATTTTATATATATAAATTATTTTTCCCGAAAATTTTTTTTAACCCCCATCCTTGATAGAATGATGGCGAGTCGTTCGATCAAGGATGGGGGGGGAGTAATGCAAATAAGAAAAATTTAGAACTCTTCGAGCTTGATGATCCTGTTGCAGTCAGCCCTCCTTTATGGATTTTAAAAGAAAATTGTTCAATCTTAATGATATCTCCAATGCCTGCTACTTTTACCATGCTTTGAGGATTTTTGTGGAAAACAGTTAGGGTGGCATATCCAGGGAAAATCGACTGATCTGTAATTTTCATCTTAATCATATAGTCAGTTGTATTAGAAGGCATATAAGACGATGTGCTATCAAACACTACGGCATAGCATGAAGCTATTATAGGTGTATTTTGATTGCAGCTGTCTTTAATAAACTGTAGTGAAGAGAATCTCTCATTATTTGGCCCAAGCAATTTCTGAGGGGACGAGTTGGTTTGTTCTTTATGTGCATATAATTGGCTTAGGTCTATTGACTCAATTTGAGTGTCAGGATTTATTGAATATGAGCTACTCTTGTGGGTGAACCTTATTGATGGCATTTTGTCGTGAGAAATGTGAATGAACCATGCCAAATCGGATCCGTGAATTGCAACATTTGTGCCTTGGATAAAAGCTGGGAAATAATTGCTCACTCTTCCCCTGTGTGAGTGAACAAAACCATTGGAAAAAATCCCTATTTTTGCCTCTTAAGCTAACAAAAAATATTTTTTAACACATAATAAATTTGATTTATAAGTGATAACTAGTATAGCTAATTCTGTTTAATTTTAACCCAATTGCATTTAAAATATATAAATTTGACAAATTAAATAAATATTTGCTTTCCAATTTTTGCGAATTTGGATTTTTTTAAATTTTTCGATACTATAAAATTTATATTAAATTTTTTACCCTCCATAAGCATAAAAAATTTTTTGGTCGCTCACCGAGTGGGGAGTTAGCATATCATAGTTTTCGCTGACATGGAAGTTTGATAAGGTGAGCTTGGTATCTGGGCTAATCTTTTCAAATGCTTTCACCAGATCATTTCCCTCCAAAATAATGTTTACCCGTCCTGTGAAATCTTTGACTGTTATCCTCATCAGGCTATCGTGAAGGCCACTTCGGGAATCAACAGTGACTTCTAGCGGTCCTGCTTGGACGCCAGGAGTGATATGTTTAATATGCATCATTATATTTAAATTATCATATTTAGACAGATGTTAAGCAAATAAGCATAATATTGTAATATAAAAGAATAGAAAGAGCAATTCTGAATTTATTTTCAGTTCTACTATAGCTTAGATAATGAAATTTGATAAGAATTTAAGAAAAATGCGAATTCTGAGTGTATTTCTTCTTTATAATCGAAAAATTATTAATATAAAATAATATAAACTCTTTTCTATAATGGATGCTTTATATTATTTTAGAATACAATAACTAAATTATATATGCCTAGTTTTGTAAAAAATTATATAAGCTCGATAAACAAATTTCTATTGAGTAAAATAATAATTCGATAATAGAAAATGGACAAAAGCCCTGAAAAAAAGTCTAAACTCTCTAGCATATCAGTTGCTGCATCTGGATCTAAGCATGAATATCAACGGTATCACAGTCCTCAACTACAACCTTGTGAACCCTTTTATGAGCTATCCAAAAAAAGAAGAGTTTCCCCCAATTTAGTCAGTTTCGGACAAATAGACTCTACTGCAGAAACTAATGATTTTGAATTTCAAATAAAATCAAACCATGATCAAGATGCATCTGATATGAGGCATCATGCGAATATTATAGTGCCTGAGTATCCTCCTTCAGCATTAAATAATCCTGAATCCATATCTAATTATCCAAATCGCATGAGACTTGTTTTAAGCTCTGGGGAAAATTTGAATCAGCGAGGCGAAAATATTAGAATTAGAAAAGTCCAGAGCACCAATTTCAATTTAAGCGATTTAAATTTTTCTGGTGAGGCAACTCTAGAAGATTTGTCAGAAAAGCCAACACAATCGATTAGAACAAGATATATCAAGAAAAAGAAATCTGATTTATAAGAAATCTTATAAAAAATTGAGAAAATAGTATTATAATTATTTGTTCATTAATGTCCATAATCTAAAAAAATAATTTCTGGTATTAGTTTAATGGCATTTTCAAGTATTTAAACTAGAGACTTCAAATCTTTTACGGAAGAAAAATATAAATACCATATATTGGGATTTATTTTTCAAGCCTAGCATTGCCAAATCTCAATCTAACTTTATATCAAGGAAATTCAAAGCTAGTTTTGGCTGATAAAGAAAATTTCTATAATTCACCATTTGAATAATACCTAATTAAAATCTAGGAAATGCTTAGCCATTTCTTGGGACTCTTTGATGCTTATTTAGCTTGGGTTAAAGATATAAAAATTCCTGATTTAAACATAACTCATATAATAGCAAAGACAAAAAACCATTATTATTTATTGATAAAAATGTAATATATAAAATTCATCAAGTTATTAATGTGTAATTATTGCAATTTTTATGATTTCTTGATATAATGTAAAATAGCTGCCTTTAATTCTAAAACTCTATTATTAGCACCACCAATAATAAAAAAAAATATTTTGCTTACCCCCCCTTCCGTGAGTGAACAAAATCATAGGAAAAATCCCCTATTTTTTGCCCAAAAATCCCCCCGTAAGTGAACAAAAAATTTTTTTATGAAAAAAAATTGACATATAAGTGATAATTAGTATAATGAAATCTAACTAATTCTGTTTAATTTTAAACAAATTGCGTTTTAAAACATAAATTTTGTAAATTAAATTAATATTTGCTTCCCAATTTTTGCAAATCAGGATTTTTTAAAATTTCGAAAAAGCATTTTCTATAAAATTTATATATAAATTTTTTAAAAAAAAAATATTAAACCCCGCTCCGTGAGTGAACAAAATTTTTTGTTCACTCACGGAGGGGAGGGAGTTACAACTTATGCGTAAAAAGCTAATAATGATGATAAATGGATAGAGCTGCCATCCTAGCACAAAAAATCGAATTCCTATCAAATAAGAGAAAAATAAAATGTTGACGTTGATGGAAATTTAATTCCGAGAACAATCCATAAGGAGCAGGTAGGACCCATCCTGATAAGCTGAAAGCAGGGCCTCTGTCCCTTTGAATAGGCCTTCAGGCTCCTTACTGAAGAAGGAAATTTTGTTTCTCCCCGAAGGTTTTCCTGTCCCTGCCAAATGGGCTCAACAGGTATTGCCTACGACATAGTCTTCCCTTGTCGGGACCATAAGACACTCTACAAACAGTGGTTATGCCTTAGGTAGCTGATACTTTGACAGGTGGTTCAGAACGGAAATCAAAAATCGTCGCCTTCCATTTACCTCATTTGAGCTTCGAGGTCTATGGAGGTAGCTATTATATGATCCGAGACAAGGCAAAGGCTTGCCCGCTTATGGCCAGTTTAATTGTTTAATTTATTAATCAAATCAGAATAAATCTCTCAGAGAGATGCTTGCAGAAACAGAAAAAGAAACAGAAAAAATAGCAAATCAGGCAAAAGAAGAAACAATGCGATTTACTCAACTTCTCGAGCTGGTGCTTCCTATTCTCAAGCACGTAAGCAAACCAAAAGAATCAAGGTCAATCCAATGTTCCATTCCAACTCAGACTAATGTGCATGAATTTATCTATCTACACAAAATCGGTGAATCACTAGAAAAATTTATGGATAAACTTAATGAAAGTTACATGGAAAAAGCAAAAGATGAGGCATTGATTTCTCAATTAGACGAAAACTCAACTAAATTAATATCTGAATCAGCAGTTCTTCAATCCAGGATTGAAAGCTTACGAAATCAGAAAGCTCAATTAGAAAGCTCAATTTCAGGTCTCGTTATAAAGAAAAGACTTGCCGAAAGCCACTTGTATTCATATGGTGATTACCCAGCTTTCCTAGGTACTTTCGATAATATTTATAAATAAATTTTGATATCCATAATAAATGGAAGACCGCCAAACCAAAATTGACTATATTTCTCAGGTCATAGCCTCAATAGACTGCCCACCTATAGGAAACCTAGAAAATCTATCCCAAGAAAACCAAGAGCAAACCATAAAATGCTTGCTTGAGATTATTTCAAGGTTCCAAAGAGAACAATACGCCAGACAAGAAACTACAAATAAACTGTTTGATACCCAAAATGAATTAAAAGAAGCGTCACGTGAAATAGACAGATTAACTGACACAAAATACGACTTAGAAAATGAAATTTCAAGACTCCAAAATAGTTTGACTACAAATAATTTAAAATTCAAACAAGAGAGAGACAAATTAACACAAGAAAGAGAAGATCTCAGAAAAGAAAATGCCAAATTAAACTCTAGGGATGTGCAGTTCCAACACGAAATAAAAAAACAAGAAGCTGCTTATGCAAGACTCCAAGATCAGCTGAGAAAAGCCATCAGTGATAGGGAGCCTGTTAAAAATTCAATTGAAGTTGTGCAAAATATTCATACTAATGGAATTAATTTGGAATCAGCGAAAGGGGATAGGGAATTTTTATATTTTATTCAGAGAGGATATGAACGATCAATGGACCAAGCTGGAAAACTTGTGGAGGTGCTAATCAGTAATTTGAATGACTGTTTTAAAGAAATGAGCAAAGTCATTGAATTTAAAACGAAAGAAAGGGTGAACTGGAAACCTATTGGCATTGAAGAAGATGCAAAAGAAATAGAAAATACTGCGAAAGAGAGAATTAATTTGATGAAGCAGGCTACAGAGGACATGGAGCAGCTAAAAGATGATGACGATTTTCCATCTTATACTGTTCCGCAGCTAAAACAGCTTTTAAGCATTTATAAGGAGACTATTGAACAACATCAAAAATTGCTGACTCAGATGCAAGAAAACTAATAACCTTCATTGTAGATTTTTCTAATAAGATTTTAGCTTTTTCTGACATAAGATTATTATGAACAAAAAATTTATGCTCTTAGAAAACTAAAAAATAATTGATATCATGAATTATTTATATAATGATAACCCTCATAAAACTAATAGAAAGCCTTCAGATAAATTTAATCTACTTACTTCCCAATAAATAATAAAGTTTTAATATCATTTATTTAATTGAGTGCCGAAAAAATAACGAAAAATCTATATTTTATTCCAGTATTATTTTCTGTTGAGTTATTGATTGGCAGATTTTTTATCGTTTGGATAAAAAATAATTAGTAAGTACAATTCACTTACTCCCTCTTTAAAAGGGGGTTAATATTTGTATTTTATAAAATATATTATAAAAGGTTTTTATCAATAAAAAACAATTTATAAAATTTTAAAAAAATATATATATCGTTATTTGCAGATTTTTGAACTTTACCACCTAAGCGTGGAATTTTTTCCGCGTGTGAAAAAGAGGATCCACATGTGAAATCAAAAGGGCTCCACACGTGAAAAAACACCTTTTCACACGCGGAAAAAAATTCCACACTTAAGTGGTAAAGTTCAAAAATCTGCAAATAGCGATATTTTTAAATTTAATATTTTATTAAGAATAAATTTAGTGTTAACTGTTTAAATAATATTATACTTGCATTTTTTTAATTAAATTAGATCAAAACTAATTTTATAAAAAATAGCTCTTCTACTATAAAATTTTCCTATTGGACGCAATTGAAAGGGGGAGTTAAGATACATTATTTAGCAGTGCATTCTCATGAATTTGCGCTGCTTTTCGAGTAATTATTAAGAATATACAAACTTTTGATCTTGGTCGTTTTTCTTGTTCTTTTTATAGCAAGTCTGGCACTGCTCCTTTGCATACTTCTTCTTAATCTCTAGAACACGCTTACAACTTTTGCAAGTGAAGGTGATTTCACCGTTTTTATTCAAATTTTCTGCCAAATCCACCTCTTTTGGTTTTCTCCCGCGTTTCTTTGGAAAATAGTCATACGAGTAGGAGGCATGGATTCCTATGAATTCACTGGTTCAATTTGGACCAGGTTTATAGGTTGGAAGAGGTGGTCTAGACTCGGTCTTCAGCTCATTTAGCCTGGCGGTGTATCCAAGCATCTGATTTCTCACAAGTGCAAGATTTTTATTAAATTCAATAGTGTCCGACAATTGGTCCATATTTTGATAGAAACCAAAAGAATTTGGCTGGCTGAATTGCTTTTGAGCGGAATTCTAGTTTGTTTGCAAACCTAGAATCATCATGTGAACCTTAAATTTTTTTAAGTATTAAATTTATTCTAATGATAATAATTTTATATGATGCGATAATTGGTTTTATTATTCATTAATTACTAAATTTTGGAGCTTTATAAACATTTATGCAGAAAATGATCAATGCAGGCTGTTATAATCGAAAAATACAATTTTTAGTGAAATCACGACTCAAAACCTTAAGGTTATTCTTTGCTACAGTGTTTCAAATTATTGAGATTATTAGAAGAAGCGCATTTTATATGAAAGAGTATTATTATTTAAACTCCTGCTGCTGCCATCGACCTTCTGGTAACAATGGATCTCTTAGCTCCTCCTCTGCCTTCTTTCCCATCAGTAAAGACCAAGAAAGTATCAGTAAGAACAGCTCCAGAGTAGCCAGTGTCTTTTCCTTTAAGGCTATAGTAATAATCAAAGAACTTCAACTGGTATACCTTCACTATGTCCTGCAATATGAAAAAGACGATGTCAAATCCCCAAATGAACCCAGCAAGTTTCCAAGAAATAGGCTTCATATCAGGCATATTCCCTGAGTCTCCATTGTTGAAGTTCAAGAACCAGTAGGTGGAAAAGAAGGTTGCACATAATGTAGCAAAGATGAAGGCAAACAACAAAATATAGCCTGGCTTTCTTGTCCAGAACCAACTATTGGTTCTCGCCGCAAAGAGCGTCAAGAAATCAGACAAGGCAACTTTCATGTAAATCGCAGTGAGCACTTCTCCATACTTGAAAACGCTTATATTAAAAGCGTTATAGAATGGATCAGGGTCTCTGGAGTCTAAATTGTCTAAGCTAGTCAAAAGCAGAATGATTGAAGAGACCAAGGCAATGGTGCCGCAGGTGACAGCATTGAAGAACATCAAGGTCAAATTCCATCGTTCTGGCTTCTTTGAGACAGTTACTCTGTCATATGCAATTGACACAATAGTCCCATCATTGAGCACTGTAATCAGGACAATGGCAATGACTGGGAGCGTAAAAGTGTTTGGAATGTGCTTACATTCGCTCTTATCATCGTGATAGTGGCATGTGAAATCACTATCAGGGTTGACTGAGCACATTGTGATAAAGAAGAATAACAGGAGCTGCACTGTACATGCGACTCTATAAATACAATAGTTATTCATTCTTTGGAAGATCTTACGAGCTCTATATATAGCTTCTATAATTACAGAAAGACCAGGACTTGTCAAGACAATATCTGCGGCAGCCCTTGCTGCGTCGGTGGCGCCATCTACAGCGATACCTACGTCAGCTTTTTTAAGTGCTGGGGCGTCATTGACTCCATCTCCAGTCATTCCAACTCTGTGGCCTTTATCTTGAAGAATTTTGACGATTCCAAACTTGTGCTCTGGGAAAACTTCGGCAAAACCATCAGCTTCCTCTACTAATGTGTCTAGTAATTCACGCTGGACGGCTGATGCATCTTCACTGAGAAGGTCAGAGTTATAGATTTTGTCGCCAAGGTTAAGCAGTCTGGCAGTTTCTTTAGCAATGGCAATTTGGTCGCCAGTGATCATTTTTACTTTGACTTCCATTTGCAACGCTTTGTGGATGGTTTCCTTGGTGTCGTCTCTTGGAGGGTCATAGAGGGGAATTAGTCCAAGCATGTTCCATTCTCCTTCCTTGTTAGTTCTTGCCACTCCAAGAGTTCTATATCCACGTGCTGCAAGTTCTTCTACAAATCTGGTGATTTCTTCTTCAATGCTTGGGTCTTTGCTCATAGCTAAAATCACTTGTGGAGCTCCTTTGGCACACTTGAAAGTTTCTCCAGTTTTGGTGTTCCTTACAGTTGCTTCAGTTCTTTTGTTTTTTGGGTCAAATGGGATGAAGTCTTCTTCTTCGTAGCCTTGGAAGCTAATCCTACATTTCTGAATAGCATACTCGCTTACACACTTATCAATTGCGTCTTGAGACCCAACTTCTCTTTTGCACGCAAGTCCAGCAGTGAGGAAAATATCGTCAATGGTATAGCTCTTTAAGAGCATTGGCTGTTGAACAGTCAATTCATTTTTGGTTAGAGTTCCAGTTTTATCACTGCATAGGATTTGCATGCCTGCCAATTCTTCTATTGAACTTAATTTACAAACAATGGCTTGACGCTGGGCAAGAGCATGAGCACCAACAGCCATAGTGGCAGTACAGACAACTTGTGTTGCGATTGGGATTGAAGCGACAAGGATGACGACACAGATAGAAAGTGTGACCAAAAAGTCGTTACCTTTAGTGAGAACAACAATCATGATGATTGCTACAAGTACAAATGATACAACCATGAGGATACCAGTGACTTTCAGAATAACTTTCTGAAAGTTTCCTTTCTGGTTAACCTGTCCTACAAGAGTTGATGTCTTTCCGAAGAAAGTGCGAGGTCCGGTGGCAATAACAATGGCTTCCAAGTCGCCTCTTTTGCAGACAGAGCCCTGGTAAACTGTTTCTCCTTCATATCTGGTTACTGCCAAAGACTCTCCAGTCAGTGCTGATTGATCGATTTCTGCATATCCTGGACCCAAAATAGAATCAGCTGGAATGATGTCACCAAGCTTGATATTGATTCTGTCTCCCTGTACAAGTTCTCTTGCAGCAATTGTCTCCCACTTCCCTTCTCTCTTTACTTTTGCTTTGGGAGCGAGATTTTTCTTCAAAGCTTCAATTGCATTTCCTGCGTTTTTTTCTTCATACCAACCTACAAAGCCATTGAAAAATTGCAGGATGAGCAAGACTACAGCATCAATAAGTGACAGACGAATAGTTTCTATGATAATTGCACACCAAATCATGACTGGCATCGGACCCCAGTAGTATGATAGAAACTTCAGAATGGGGTTGACCTTCTTCTCAGGTAGCTCATTAGGACCATCTCGATCTTTATCTTAATTGCAGATGGCTTCTGCCTATTGGTAGCTCAGTCACCAAGGACACATAACCCATAAGGATTCATTCGCACTGCGACGCCGTTGGCCAAGCTGAGTCCGGTTGAGATGACTCCTTTAGGGCTCAAAACACTCCTGGAATTGCTTTCCTAGCATTACTTTTCCATTTCTGAGTTGGAAAAAACCTGCCGATATAAAAATATGTGATCGAAGCTACATAGTTGAGACTTCATAATTAATTATGGAATCATCTCGATCAAAGCGAAACTTCCACTCCTTCTTATTCAAGCCTTCTTCCCCAGTGTTTATGTCAGCAAGCTGCTGAGCAGTCAATCGATTTGGATTGTTTTTCTTTTCCTCCTCGACGTCGTCCTTCAGTTGTTTGTATTCACTCATTTTGGATCAATATAATTATCACCAATTAAATGGCAACTAAATTTCTGAACTACATGCTTAGGTAGGCCAAAATTTTATGGTTCATTTTTGATAGTCAGACAATTGATCGGAAATATTCTACCTTAACGGAGAGATAGTTGAAAATTTAAGAGTTTTTATATAAATATCGAAATTTTTTATAAATTGGCACAAAGAGCATGCAGACAAATTTTATGTTATAAGAAGATCAATATTTTTTAGATTTTTTAATTTTTACGTCCTTTTTGTGGATTTTTTGGAATTTCACCACACACTTTGCGTCATTTGTCTGGATTTTTGGAAAATTGATAGAAATCAAGCTGGACGGTCTTTAATCAAATGATATAGAAACAGTTTTCCAGATCGAAAAGAATGTGATCCTAAGAGCAAAATCTGAAAATACTTGCGAAAATTGGTCTTTACTGATTGCATAACTAAAGTGATGAAAAATTAAATGCTGGCGAATGGACACTTCCCAGCTTGTTTTACATGAAAATTAATTGGAGCAATGTGAATTTTGCGACGATCAGTGAATTCGGTCATTTCGTCCCATCTTTAATTATAAGTTACTGATTGCTCAGTTCAACCCAAAGTTGTCGAAGAAAATGGCAAAACTTTTTGGAGTTTTTAATGTTTATAATTTCCACCAAATGCTTCCAGAAATCAATTAAAAAATTGCTAGGATCAAGAAAAAATCAGAAATGATAAGGCAAGCCTATTTTCCTTCTTTTATTTCCTTCTTTTTTTAAAAATGTTTAGTGAAGTGTATAAATTCTTTTCCTAGATGAGATCAAAGGAAAGCTTAACTTAAATTAATTAAAATTATAGAGAAGCTCCTGGTAGCACCCGCAGGAGTGATTCTCAACTTTGTGCCACTCAGTCGCCTCAACTTCGCAGCAGATTTGAGAGTTAGTGGGCTTCGCCACCATGCGCATACCTTACTTCAGTTGCCCTTCTAGAAAATTCTAAAAATGAATTCTCTGGCCAAGCTGTTAACTAAGATGAGCTTGTAGCTCAGACGCAAATCCGGTATTGCATTAGGAAATTGCCCAACTGAACTTAAAGGCCTTTCTGTGCTTTCACTTTCTAACTCCAAGCATCCATCTTCTTCCAAGAGGTATAAAACTTAACTTGGAATGAGTTGCGTCGTCCTAGTCCGACATTGAGCTCCACTGAGCCAAGTAAAGCCTGGCGGGAAGCACAGCACCAAACATCATCCTCCCTTCCAAAAGGCCACTCGGTCTCCCTAGCAACAGGTGTTAAGAGGATGGGTTGGTTCACCACGTCATTTTAATACTTATGATACTATCAAAGGCAAAAAGATAGAAAAAATAATGAAAAAAGGCTTTTTTACCTTTTTGATAAAATATTTTTATTCAATAGCTTAAAGGATTTAAATTAGAGCTTCTAGAATTGTCCCTTTTTTAACGAAAAGGAAATTTAAAGCAATTTAAAGAAGAAAACAGAAATTATTCTACCAAGCGTTAGTAAAGAGATATAAGATAAAGAAATTATCATAATTGAGAATTTGGGGAAGCTTTTCAGCCAATTATGTGCTGTCTTCATTTTTAGAATTGATAATAGGAATAGCATTTGGAAATTATTGAGAAAGTATATAAAACTATATTTGATACATCAGAGAAATTATTTTAATTCGTTTATATTCATATTATTACTTTCTTCAGCAAAAGAAAACCCAGAATACGACTCACTTCGACATGGCTCTTCTAACAATTCTTGAGGGCTGTTTGGGCTACATTCTATTTCCATTTCTCGGAAATTGCTTGTGTCTGCATCTCCAAAGGTCACAGGAATAAACGGAGGACTCAACAGTCCTTGCTCCACTTTTTCTCAGTCAATACTTTCAAAAAATGGATGTCTTTTCACTTCATTAGCACTAAGCCTTTCTTTCGGCTCCTTTCTTAATAGTCCTTCCAATAAAGACTTAAACTCATAAGAAAAATCAGAAGGATAAACAATTTCTGTGTTTATTATGCGTTTAGACATCGCAATGCGATTTTTGTGATAAAATGGAGTTGTTCCTGCTGCCAGTTCAAAAAGTATAGCCCATACGCCTATATAGATTTCTTTACCAAACAAATGACAATAGACAGCTAAACGTCCAAGTCAGACTTTATCAAAGCGACGAGCTAGATCTCTATATCAGGAAGGGTTAAAAGTGCATGCGAAAAAATGGTTAACAAGTTTAGCAAACTTGACAACCAAACACTCCAATTTTTAAAATGGCTTTATTATAAAAAATTAATTTTAAATTAAAGATTTTCAATTGCAATTGAAACATAATCATTACCTGATAGTACTCTCTAAAGGTATAAAGAGTCATAACAACTCTTAATTTTTATTTAAAAAATTATTTGTAAAATTTATTGACATCTTTGTGTAGTTTTTTAAATGAATTTCAAAAAGTCAAATTTTTAGTAGATGATTTTCGATGAGAATTGAAGCATAAGCATCGCTTTGCCTTTCTCTTTACTGCCTTTGTAAATCGTAGTGACTCTTAATTTTTATTGCATAAAATTCCTTATATAAGGTAACTCCATCTTTAATATTGATTTGTATTGAGTCAAATTTTTAATAGATGCTTTCAGTGAGAGCTAAAGCATAAGCATTGCTCTATTAGTTCTCCTTACTACCTTTATAGGTCGTAGTGACTCTTAATTTTTATTGACATAAATTTCTTATATTAGGTGACTCCATCATTAATATAAGAAGAATTACTAAGATTACTTCACTTTCTAAGAGGCTACCCCAAATAGCTCTCATTAATATAGTATTTTATTCAGTTTAAAAAGTCAAATTTTTAATAGACGACTTTTGATAAGAATTGCAATAAAAGCATCGCTCAGCTAGCTCTATTTACTGCTTTTAAAGGTCGTAGCGGCTTTTAATTTTTATTGACATAAAATTCCTTATGATGCAATACTATCTTTATATGGCTTTTATATTTTACTTCAAAGATCAAATTTTTAATAGATGTTTTCAATCATAATTAAAATATAAGTATCTCACTTTAATTATTTCTATAGCCTTTAAGGTTGTAGTGACTCTGGAATTATATTAGAAAATTAACTTATCGATATCTAATTTTCTATAATTTCATAATAAATTTAATTCGATAGGAAATAGGAAAAAAATAGGTAAGATACTTATCAGTGTAAATTAAAAGGTATCTTTAATTTAAAATTAATTTTTATAATAAACCATTTTAAAAATTTGCGGGTTTACTAACCAACTTTGTTCACATTTGTAACCACTTTTTGGTATGCCACTTTTTAACCTTTTCTGGTATAGAAATCCAGCTAGTCCATTTGATATAATCTGACTTGGTTGTTTAACCGTCCATTGCATTTTGCTCAACAAAACATCTATATAGGGGTATGGACTATAAAATCCCAAGTGCCCAAATATCTACTGAGGTCCCATATGCTTCGCATTTAAGCATCTCTGGCGATAGATAAGCTGGGGTTCCACAAACTGTTTCGCAGTTCGACTGTTCAATGTTCGATTTAGAAAGCCCAAAGTCAGATAATTTAATATGTCCACTAGACTGGACTAGTATATTTTCCGGCTTTAGATCTCTATATACAATATTTTTCATGTGCAAATAATTTAAAGCACACAAAATTTCAGCAGCATAAAACCTTACCCAGCTTTCTGGAAATGGCCCTCGAGATTTTAAGTGAGTAAATAGCTCACCTCCGCTGACGTAATCCATAATAGATTGGATTAAATGATGTGATTTATTATTGCTGCAAATATCTATCGCTCGAGTTAAGCCACTAATTAGCGGAATAGCCCTGGACATTAAACTATAGGCTAATCTGACACTTTGGTATATCACTGCTCAAAAAAACTTTCGTATATATATAAATCTCGCCACTGGGAAAGCAGAATATTCGTTGCAGACCATTTTATGTAATTCGTAATCTATAACTAAATATAGCTTTTTTTCTGTTTTAAATGCATAATAGAGCTTTACAATGAAGCGGTGAGAAGATTTCGCTAAAACATTCCTTTCGTTTTTGGTATTTCGTATTTGATTATTCTTTTGGATTTGCGATTTTTTTAATGTTTTCATCGCATATATTTTTGATGTCGTTTTGTGTCTTACTTGATAGACTTTTCCAAAGTGGCCTTTGCCAATGTATTTTAATATTTCAAAGTCGTCAATGGTCGCTTTTTCTTTGAAAATACTTAATCCCTTCCTCAGTGGGCGAAAAAAAGATGATAGTAACCCCCTCCGTTAGAAAAAAAATAAATTTAATATAAAATTTTTTTATAAAAATATTTTATATATTTCTAGCAAAATCTGTAATTAAATTTTCTAATTTTTGCAAAAAATTTTTTATAAAATTTATTTAAAAAAAATATGCTCTTGAGAGTAAACAAAAATTTTTTGTTCGCTCACGGAGGGGAGTTAAAGTCTCAAAGCTATCTCGAGACCCATCTTTAGAAGGAGTGCCTCCCATTTAATTATTCTTAATTATAAATGGAGGACTAAAGTCCAATTAACTTCTACATGTTTCTGATATAAATTAGTGCCAAAAAATTTAAATTCAGTAAAAGATCCAGCAATTTTATTACTTTATTATGAACTAAAACAGATGAACAAAATGGAGTTTCTATATAACTTATATCTATCTCCAAATGCAATACTAGTCATCTATTTGCGCATTCCAACTCTCAAGACGTACTCATTATGCTTCGCTTTTGAGGTGCATAATTAATATAATTAACTTTATTTATTTTGCACTTGATTTAAAATATAAATTAATTAGTAATTTCGTCTTCAAAACTTGTGAATAGAGCTCAGCGCCAACTAAATAAGCTTTCACATGATATCAAGAGGAAACATTATCTCTTATGCTTAACTTATCAAGATTTTTTCACACTCAACTATCATTGCTAAAAATATAAGAATTATCACTTCAAATTTAAAACCAATAAAAAACTTTATAAATTATTCTTATTTTGTTTATTATATAATGGAATCTTATTATTATATTTTACAAAATGACTTAATTTCTAACTGAATGAACACCTTTATATTTATATTAATTTATTTCTATAAAGCACATTTGATAAAGTATTTCTCTTATTTAAAATATAAGCAATAAGGCTAAATTTCTAGAATGAGAACTAATAGTCAAGTATAATCAAAATATTTGATAAAATCAGCCAAAATTTAATATGAAAAATTCACTGGAAAAATCTATCTCTAATCCTAAAAGAATAAGAAAAATAGGGTGAAGCGGAAAAAAATACACTGTATTTTTTTCGTACAGTTTCCCACAGTCAAATTTGACATAAAATTTTCCAATTTTTTGAAACGATAGGAAAAAAATACATGGAAAAGAAAAAAAAATTCGAAACCAGGGCGGAAAAAAATTCAACCCCCAAAAATGAAAAAAATCTGCATGAAAAAAATACACATAAAAAAAAAATATTAAATTACTAATATTTAAAAAGAAGCAAAGAAAATGCTTTATTAAATATGAATGACAATAGCAGTCATTGCGTTTGCTATAAATTCACATAATAGATAAAAAATAGATGCAAGAACTGTATCATATGCTTTATAGTAAAAAGTTTTCTGTGTTTTTTTCCAAACCCGCATGAAAACTACTATAAAAATTTGAAATACAGATCTTTAAGTCAAATAGAGTTAAAAAATAACGAAAAACAGTCCCAGCTTAAATCTCTCTTTAATAGCAAGATTTCAAGAATAAAATTAATGCCTAAATGTTAAAGATCAGTTTAAATAAAAAAATTATAAACAGAAGGAAAAAAAAAATTCAAAATTTTTTTTTTAAAAAAAAAAACAGCATGAAAAAAATATCAGTAAAATTTTAAACAGTCTAAATTTCGGCATGAAAAAAATACAATATAAAAAATTTAGTAGGAAAAAAAATACCTATAAAATTTATATATTTTTTTTAAAATTTTTTAATTAAAATAATCCAAATATCTAAGGATGAGTTATCCAAACTCTACTGTGTGTGATTAGTAATAATAATTGATAATAAAACGATTAATTATTTATATTTCTAAGTTTTATTCCTTCTGGTTTGGAGTCGATTACACTGCGCTTAAGTCCAGCTGATCAACTCTTCTTTTAATTGTCTATTGGATAGTTCTAACTCCCCCCCCAATTAATAGCGGACGAAAAAATCGTCCGCTATTAAAAGAGTTCGATATTTATAAATATTTTTCTATTTAAAATTTTTTATAAACGGCTGAAAAAAAAAATGCATTTTTAAGTCAAAAGAGAAGCACTAAATCTAATAAAATGGAGTTGAATGGAGAAACCAGAAAGAGAAAAAGACTAACAGCTGGTGATAAGCTAGTAATTACACAATACTACCTGGATCATCAAAATGAAGGTCTTTCATATGAAGATATAGCCTACAAGTTCAATATATCAAAGTCAAGTGTCGGCGAATTAGTAAAAGGCATTCATCAATTGAAAAGGGGAGATCAAGGTTTAAAGAAAAGAAAGCCAGATGCATATTATTAGCTCTCATAATTTTTTAATACCTTTGCGCTCTATTTAAATATTCCCATCTTTATTTCATTGGCTCTAGTAAATTTATGTTATGCTTTGTTATGTTATGTTATGTTATATTATGTTATGCTATGTTATGTTATGTTATGTTAAGATGCTATGTATTTTAAGTCCCTACTTTGCCGCCGTGACGTTTTATGGATATAACCCCGTAAGGTGGCTAAGGCGTGGCCTCTTCAAGCCCGGTCCGAAACCCCGGTTTCTCGGTTGAGGTGATGACCAACTGACCGCCTCCATTTCCAACTTGATTCGTCGCCCTGAATCTTGCGTCAACTCTGTCCGTACGTCGCCAAATCTGCCCACTGAAGGGCACCTTTTAATTGGGGAGAACCCCGATTTCTCGTCTAATTTGCCTTCCCCTCTTTTCCAGTCATCCCGAGAAAGAACTCAACAGCTTTCGCCATTCGGGGCAAATCACAAAAGCAGCTTAGGCAGGTATGTCGCCCTGCCTCATTTCTGACACCCACTAGGCTGGGCTCTGCTGGAAAAAAGGAGTCACGAATAACTGCCCAAGTGTCTTGGTCACAAAAACAGCGATCTTTGCGCTTAGACCTCTCGCCTTGAGGTACAAAGACATAGCTGGGCCAATTCCTGGCTCCAAAAACCATGCCCGGATATACACAGGTAACTGTCTCAAGAGGATGGGTCGGAAGTCATCCGCCATTTTATGTATATTAGTAAATTTATAATGAACGATTATCTTATATAATTTAAAATTTTTTATAGTAAAAAAATTTCCGTTATTAAATGGTACCTAAGAATCCATTTTTAGGGGAAAAAAACATTGATTTCATCCGCTATTAATTGGGGGGGGGAGTTAGATATTTTGGATTTTTTTAATTAAAAAATTTTAAAAAAATATATAAATTTTATAGGTATTTTTTTCCTACTAAATTTTTTATATTGTATTTTTTTCATGCCGAAATTTAGACTGTTTAAAATTTTACTGATATTTTTTTCATGCTGTTTTTTTAGAAAAACAAATTTTGAATTTTTTTTTCCTTCTGTTTTTAATTTTTTTATTTAAACTGATCTTTAACATTTAGGCATTCATTTTATCTTTAAATCTTGCTATTAAAGAGAGATTTAAGCTGGGACTGTTTTTCGTTATTTTTAACTCTATTTGACTTAAAGATCTGTATTTCAAATTTTTATAGTAGTTTTCATGCGGTTTGGAAAAAAACACAGAAAACTTTTTACTATAAAGCATATGATACAGTTCTTGCATCTATTTTTTATCTATTATGTGAATTTATAGCAAACGCAATGACTGCTATTGTCATTCATATTTAATAAAGCATTTTCTTTGCTTCTTTTTAAATATTAGTAATTTAATATTTTTTTTTATGTGTATTTTTTTCATGCAGTTTTTTTTCATTTTTGGGGGTTGAATTTTTTTCCGCCCTGGTTTCGAATTTTTTTTTCTTTTCCATGTATTTTTTTCCTATCGTTTCAAAAAAATTTGGAAAATTTTATGTCAAATTTGACTGTGGGAAACTGTACGAAAAAAAATACAGTGTATTTTTTTCCGCCTCACCCAGAAAAATAAGCAGACAAAGAAATAAATTCAATTATTTTCTATATTTCAGAATTCCAAGTCCTTTCAACTCTTTAGTTATATTATGCAAGATTCAATATTAAACTACTTTTGATCTTCCATACGCTGATATCCATTCCCTGAAACATTTCCTCCGCGCAGATGTAGGCCAATTATAATTTATTTTTATAGCGTGCATTTCATCAAATTCATAAATAGTGTGCAATTTTGTCGAAATTTAACTTCTTTGGACACGCCTCATCATCCTAAAGATTTGGAACAAATTTCCCTGGATATTTCTTATATCAAAAGTACACGGTCATTTAACTTGGAGCCCTCCGCGCCTAGAAGTAATAATTCCATAAACAATCAAAATACCTAAGATGACTTCATAAACACCAGCAGAAATAAATACTGTTCCTGTGTATTCTGTTTTATCTTCAACATCAAGCTCCTTTACATCGAAAGCACAAAGTAAAGCTATGTAAGTCTAAATAATTTTCACCAAAAATAGACACCCAAAGATTGATATGAGAAGACAGTAATAATAGCAGAAACCTTTCCCTTTTGACATGTCTAAATTATATCAAATAAAGATTAACCATATATCAAAGCAATATTAAAAATTTAATAGAGATATTTGGATAAGGATTGGATAATTTTAGGCCTTGAATTAGTAATAGAATTTGTTCTATGCAATAAATGTTTATTATCTTTAATGTAGCAAATATTTATAAGTATGCTGCTAGGATTTGATGAATGATAAGAATATTAAAGGGCTCAGATTGAAGCCATTGAGATTTAAGACAAGAATCTAAAGCATTTTATTAAGCTAATAGATATATTGAATTTGAGTTATATGAAAAATGATTATCTTGTTAGTTTAGACTATATATTTTTAGCTGCTAATCGTTTATTATTAGATTTTATTTTATCATTTTAAACTTTTCTCCGGATTTTCATATATTTTTTAGTCTTTGCTATTTTAATTATACGCAGCTCAGCTTCTTTTCATTGTAGATACTTAATTTGTATAATTTTCTTGCCTAACGAAATTAAATTATTTGTAATTAAGCTTCATTTTTTTCTTCTTCCTCTCCTTCCCCTTCATCACCTTCCTCTTCCAACTCCTGCTTGGCATCAATAGCATTTGTGTCAATTCCAATATCCACGTCCATTCCTTCATCATTTTCCTCTTCACCTTCTTCAACATGCTTAGCCAGATTTTGTTTTTGTATATACTCCTCAAGGTCTAGATCTCCCTGATCATTTAAGAAATGAGGCTCTTCTTTCATAACAAAGTTTCCACCTCTTGCTTTTATTTCTTCCATAATCTTCTTCAGCACACTGTTAGCCAAAATCATTCCCTGATTTTTATCAATTGTTGTGACTACCAAAACAAACACAGGGGCTGCTATCAGTCTTATTTTCACCTGGATTCTATCAGTTGCCATTGCAGCGCCAGCTGAAAGAGCGTCTCTAATAGAGTCAATCCCTTCATATTCAAAACAAGTGACTGCAAAATCAGCTCTGATATTAACTGGGTGTGGAGAAAGTCTTGTTCTTATTACTGCAAGCAAAGAATTTCTGATTTCTGGAGTCATTTCAATCCCTTCCAGCACAGAATTCGGGTCAGTAACAGCTAGCCTGAACGCATCATAAGCATGCTCATATTTATCATAAAGAGGCCAGCCAATAGTTTCATACAATACTTCAATGTCTGTTTTTGTAGTCTGTGCAACATGCCGAAGAATGCTATTTACGGTCTTGGACTTATTGAATTTGCTCTCACATTCTTGGATTTCTTCAGGAGCCACTCGTTTTTTGGACAGATCTAGATACCCTTTGGCTTCGTCTACCCTAATTACTGTGACAAACTCTTGTTTGCCTATTCTGGTAAGTTTCGTCACTGATCTTATCCTTTTGCGTGAAAGCTCGCCGAGAGGAATCATTCCTTCGATATTGTTGTATTCCAATAAAGAGACGTAGGCGCCTTCATTTTCTACACGTTGGACTTCTACGACAACGATGTCATCAATTTTAGGGAACTGGTTTCGGTAAAAGCGGCAATTGAGGTTGACATCACTGCCATGCTTTACGCCTTTACGGTCTTTTGACTCTTCCATTTATATATATTTTTTATTTAAATTCTCCATAAAATCAAGCTAAAAATCCGACTGGGCAATCCATTTGAAATCCTATACTTTATCTTATCAAGATCATAAGTTTACTTAGTTAGCTAATCCATCTTCGGGGTTACAAGAGGATTCATCTGGTGTAAGAATGCACAGAGCCACAAGAGCCACATCATAACTACTCCGATCACCACCAGTGCCCACGTTAAATTAAAATTTTCTTTCCTTTGACTGTGATCTTTTGTATGTTTTTTCACGTATAAGCTCAGGGGAACGCCAATAACAAAAATAAGGGCAAAATATATGACCGACCCAACCACCAAGCCTGTTGAATTTGACATTTATTGGATATAATTTTGACCATAATATAATGGAACAGTCAAGCACAGACCAAGCTGGAGGCCACGCAGGGGTCATGATCTTTGAAGGTGACAAGCTTTTGAAGAGGTGCAAGGAAAGCGAAATTAACTTCTACAGATGGCTTTACAGTCCTGAGCATGATGACCCGATGATTATGGAACTGAGACAGATGGCTCCTAGATTTTATGGGACTCAAGAAAGGGAAGGAGGGACTTATGTAGTTCTTGAAAATTTATTATTAGGCTATGAACACGCAAGCTTCATGGACTGCAAAATTGGAAAAAAATTAATTTAATTAGCTTAATTTAAACCGACTCTATTGGGACTCTGGATACACAAGACCGAAAGGTCTATTTCTATCGGTTTGTCGCTACTTCTTATTGCACGTTCGGATTTCGGCAGAGATTGCTCCTTCTAGCTCTCTTGAAGGATTTGAAGCCCAGAAGTCCTGAGACCGTCAGGGGCTTGGTGCTTTGCCTCGCTCTATCTGATATCCTCTAGCGCTGTTCTGCCTAAGGATCCTGTCTTTTATATCAGCAGGAGAAAGAGGTAAAACAAGCTACACAAGGCTGGCGAGATAAAAGTCCTAGTCATTTTTCGCCACCTTTAAGCAGAAGTCCGCGCGTAAAAGCATAACTCTAGAATAATAAAAGTTGGGTATTTGCGGAGCGAATTACCCTCATCCGAAGCCATTTTTTTTTATAAATTAGAAAAATCACTTGGACCCCTCATCATTCAGAAAAAACTATCAGAAACCAGCAAATAAAAAATCAAAGCACCACGACTGGGACTCTTGGGTATAGAATTACAGGACTTATCGTAAAAGATGAGCATGGAAATAAGGTAGAGACTCTCGTTAAAGCTTTTAATGAAATTAATGAAGAAAATATTCATCAGCAATTCGCAAAAATTGTAACGAGGGATGGAGCAGTGCAAAGAGATCTTATAGATGAGCTAATTGGAGGGACTGCCAGAATTCTGAATTGGTTTAGAAGCAATAGGAGCAAGCATTTTAGGTGCACTTCAGCCTTTTATGTTGTTGGAAAAAATGGGAAATGCCAAGTAAGATACATTGATTTTGCACATATAATTGATGGAAACGGAGAACTTGACAATAATGTGATAGAGGGGTTAGAAAATATTATTGCTACTTGGCAAAGAGTCAGAAGAGAGCATTGCTCTTAATTAAATTATTGAAAAAATAGCTGTATAATTACATAAATTTTGATTTTTTATGTGGATTTCCAGCAAAACTTGAGGAATCTTTGTCACAAACTGGAAAAATCGTGCTTGGAGCTCTGCTAAATTTTGGAGATGGAGAAAAAATTGACCCAAAAGTCCTGGGAGTCTGCAATCTTTGGTCCGATAGTCTTCTTGATCTTTCTCTTGAGCTTCTGTTTAGCTTTGCTGCTAGTTTTATCATCAGCTCTTCTTTTTCTGAAGGATCTTGCATCTACATAAATCTTACCCTAAATCTTTTGTTATTGAATATCAGTCTATCAGGCTCTTTTGATCTTTTCTCAATTTCAGGAGTTTCGATTTCTTGATAAGCAGGGATTTCAGGGAATTTTTCACTTGGTGTCTGCAGCTCTATTAATAGTTCTGGAGGAATTCTTGTGTTTTCTTTAATGATTTCTTTTGGCTTGCCTTTAAATTCCTTGCTGGTAGCAAGAGTAGATAATGGTAAATCAGGCCAAGCTGAAATGCTTTTTAGCTGATCTTTTGTATTTGATGAAGTAATCGCCTGCATATTCCTTACCGCTTGAGTTTGATTTGCAATAGCTTTTAGCCTGATGTCTTCTTGAGTTATGCTATCAATTCAGCTGTATTTTTCTGCCAACTTTTCCCTATGTTTTTCTTGGATTTCTTCAAATGAAACATTATCTTCGCTTGAATATTTTGCCAAAAATTCATCAAGTGTCTGGTCTGCTTTGCTCTGTGAGAATTTTGAAGTTACATGGGTGTCTGGGGTCGCTAGCACACTATTGTTGTCTTCTGTTCTTTGTAGCTCTTCTCTTGCGATCTGGATTAGTAGTGGATCTCCTAATTCTTCTGCATCAAGCAGTCTTTTCAGAGCAAGAAGCTTCTTTTTGTCAGGAAAATAGTCTCTTTCTATAATCGAACTTATAGATGATAAATATTCATCTTCTTCAAGCACCTCTTTTTTAGGTCTTTTTTTAGGAGGAATAAAGGAATCACTCATTTTTATATATTAATCAATTTTTAGCTTAGCTTTATAGTTCATGAAAAGCTTATGGTAAATTGCTCCACCGAGAGGAAATAAAGATGGGACAAAAATAGGTGCATAAACCCCCACTTTGAAATCCCATTGGAAATATTCTTCCTGGTATAAGCTTTCTCTTGAGTTTAAGTCTACAATTAGATCTACAGCTTGGGCCAGCTCTATTAAATCGTTTGTTTTGCTTGCATTTTCTATATCACTTCTTGCTTTTTCAATATCCAGATAATCTTTAAAAGATATTATCGGCTTGTTTAGTTTGAGAAGATTATTGAAATGCCTTATTTCTGTGTAGAAATAAAATGGTGACGTTAACGGAAATTGGACTCGAGGCGCACCTCCTATGAAGCTGGTAGGACCCATTGCTGATGAAGCTGAAGATACAGGTCTCATTCCTGTCCTAAGTAGGCCTTCAGTTGTGGGGAAGCCGTGCCGAAGAGGAAGTTTTATTTCTCCCCGAAGGTTTTCCCTGTCCCTGCCAGATGGGCTAGACAGGTTTTTCCTACCACATGGTCTTCCTTCATCGGGACCATCGGGGCACTCAGACAGAAGTGGCTCTCTCCAAAGGAGCTGATCCTTTGGACAGGTGGTTTTGACCAGAAATCAAGATGGCGTCGGGCCTGGGAGTATGGCCACATCAGAACCCGACCTGGAGTCGTCTTTCGAGCTGAGGCGTTGAGGTCCGCTGGTTTCGCCCACGTATGGCCTTTTAAAACTAACTAACTAACTTATTTCTGTGTTAAATTTTGTTGTTTGATATAAAACGGCTATAGAATTAGCACTTTTTCGTTCTTCTTGTGTCAAGCCATTGATTAAATTATCAGCTTCAGGTAATCCGATTATTATCCTCAGCGTGACAATCAATATTTTGCTGATATCTCCTAAATGATCAGGATGCACATAATGAACATTTTCCATAGGTATTGGATTGCAATCATCTTCAGAAATGATGATAGCAACATTACTGATTTCTCTTCTTATTTCAATATTTGCCGGCTTCAATATCAATCTAAACTGATCTAAATTTTCATGGCATTTCTTACAGCACATGTCATCATTCCTCACAAAATTGATATTAATTTCAACGTCTAATAAATGTGAAAACTCGTTTCTTATCTGTGTGATATTTTTTTGTAATTCTTTTGGAATTTCCATTGAATCTCTATTAAAAATCAATGAAAGGTCTATTCTTCTAGGCATAAGGTTTAGCTCTGAGCTGTCATTCATAGCAATATCAGGCAAAGGATAAACACTATAGCTTGGATTTCTCGTGATAAAATACCAGATAACTCCGACAAAAACAATAATCAAGAAGTTGTAATAAATCCCTTTAGTCTGACCCATATTATTTTGTCGTATAAATTTCTAAGAAAATGATGAGCAATTTCACCTATTTTTTACTGGTGTTTTCAGTAACTGTGCTGTACTCTATCACATTTGGCCTCTGTGCAATTCGAACGAACAAGCTTAAAAGATTCTCCGAGGACTGAAAGCAAACAAAAGTATTTTATATCACGATTATGGCTCAAGCATTTATGCGATTCGTCACATATGCTCTGCTAACTTGGACATTGCCAAGAAGTGAGACCAAGAACGAGTCTTTGTTTTTACTAGTTTCAGTCCCTGATTGTTTATTTATTGTATCCTATGTACTTTTAGCCCATCAGATGGTAAGTGTTTTTTACTACACTCATATGGAAAACGACATTCAACTGTCACTTATCATTCATTTTACTAGGCCTAAACACAAATCAGTTAGCAAGTTCATTGCCTATACCATTTCTGCATGGCTTTCAGTAGAAGTCCTGTTTTTTACACTATATTTTTCAGATGTCCTAAGGCAGGTTGATATCGAGCTTGAGCTTGCACTGGTAAACATATTAAGTGCAACGATTTTAATGCTCATTTTGCTGTATCTTTATATTAATTATTCAGGAACGCCTTTTAAGTCTGACGCTTCTAAAGACAAACTCCAAAGAATTACACTGGTGACTTTATTGTGAACTTTAGGTCGCTACATAAATGGTGTTTTGGTGCTTATAGATATAAATTCTGCTGGATTTGTGACCGAAATTTATGATGAGAGGTCAACATATGTCACAGCTTGTTTGGCAGTGGCAGATTTAGTTATAAGCGAAGTGTGCTGCTTTTTAACAGTTATCGAGTATAGGTTTATGGAGATCTTTTCCTATGCAGGAGAAGATGATCGAAATAGGATATCAGCTGAGGTGTTTACACATCCTGCTAAAGCAATCTCACTGAGTGATGATACTGCGACTTTATCGGAGTCTTTAATAAACCCAAACCCTTTTATTGATGCCTCTGAAATCACTGTATCTACAAAAATTGGAGCAAGGCAAAATGGTTTAGGAGAGTTGTATAAGTGTTTATATAAAGGAAAAGAGCTTCTCTATAGAAAAATCAGTTTTCCAAGGATGAGCGGGTATGTTTTAGAAGAGTTCAATTCAGAAATTATCAATTTAAAATCCATTGATTCTGGGTATATGGTACCATTTCATGGAGCTAGTTTTAATCTTCCATCAATCGGAATAATAACAGCTTATATGCCAAACGGCTCACTGTATTTCAATTTGCATGAAATTAAAACAAGATTCACTATCCAAGAAAAAGGGAAAATTATTATGGAATTGGCGCAGGGGCTTAGGGAACTACACTCTTTGGGCAGAGTCCATGGGCATTTGTCTTCACATAACTTAGTTTTAGACTCCCAACAAAAAGTAAAGATAAGTGACCTTGGGCTGGAAAAAATAAAAAAATATGCTGGAGTAGTTATAAGCTACCAAAATAAAAATGCCTGAAGCAGTCCTGAGCTGCTGAGAGAAGCTTCTAGGACTTGTGTCAGAGCAAAGCCAACTGACGATATCTATTCGTTTGGGGTTATTGTATGAGAGATAATCACCGAAGAAATTCCATATGAAGGTCTTAACTATTCAAAAATGCAGCAAAGTGTAGGCCACGAAGGAGCCACTCCTATTATAGGCTCCTCATTCCCATCAGATCTCTCCAAACTTGTGAAATCCTGCTGGTCCGTCGAAACTGAAAAAAGGCCAAACTTCAAAACTATCTGTTCCACCCTGTCTTCAATAAAATGGAAATAACAATAACACAGCTATTTTTAATATATACATATTACTAATTATGAGACTAATTACACTGTAATTATCTGCGAACTTCATGCCTTTGCTGGATGATACTCTGCTCTTTCTCAAACTCAGCATGGACTTCTTCAATAGTTGTCGGCTCATCTTTCTTGTTCTTGCTCCACCCGCTGTTTCTTTCATCGACTAAATTCATGATCTTGAACCTCAGTTTAGAAGAAAGCGTTGTTTTATTTTGAATTAGGCTCGATAGGTACTCAAACACTTTATTCGTTTCTTTCTTTAAAGACCCTCGCTCGAAGCCAGCTCCGCCTGTGCTTAGTAGAATGCAAGCCCCTTCTAGCTTGTCTTCGTCAAGAGTTTGGGGTCTTCCTTGAGAGCCTTCATCAAGTCCAAGCATTTCGTGAATACACATGAGCACGATTTTAGTGGTGATCAGCTTCACATTGAAAAGTTCACCGATAAATCGGACATTGCCTTGGGTTTTTTTCTTGTGGAGAACTTTCTTTTTTTCAGCGGCTTCTTCGTCGAGTCCTTCGTAATCGGTTTCTGATGGAACAAATTTAAATGATTCTTCACACATAATGAGGAGCTCGTTTTTGAAAGGATTTTTTGGCGTTTTTTCTTCTTCTAGGCCAGGAAACTTGTGACTCTCAAACGCGACTTTGAAGTGGCCACACATTTGTGCATACATCTGAGTGTATTTTGGCTCTGACCATGCTTTATCAAAAATCCCAGCTACAAGAATTTGCAAAGAAGAAGGAGATGATTTCCCAATGTCCATAAGCTGGTCCCTTAGCTTCTCCAGATTTGATGGTGAAAGCTTGTTTAGAGTAACTTTTATAGTCCTTTTGATCTTTTCTTCCTCTTCTTTATTTTCTTTCAGCTTTGCAGTATGCTCCCTTGCTTTCTGGATGATTTTTTCTTCTTCAGTTGTTTTTTCCCTCCTCCAATTGACTATTGTAAGCGTTTGCCCTTGTTGCTCTTTTTCTCTCCACTCTTTATCTTTCCTCTGCCCTTTCTTAGAATCATGCCTTTTATTGTCCCTTTTCCTGCTCGACTTAAAAATTTTCCTATCACTTAGTTGTGATAGCTCAGCTGTGATTTTTGAGTACTCGCTTTCGTTTTCTATTTCCTTGCCTATTCTTTCGATTTCTTCATATGTATATATGATCCTCTCGTCTACCTTGATTGCCACATCGGCAAAGTCTACTTCTTCAGCAATTTCTTGTTCAACCAGGGCTCGATTGAAAACCAGTGTAAATTTATCTTCAGGCTCTACAATTTCTTCTTCAATTTTTGGAGGCTCAGGAGCTTTTTCTTCCACTTTGGCTGGCTGCTCTTCAAGTTTAAACTGTCCACCGGGAATAAACTCAGGAACGTTGACTGCAGCGTTGAGAGAAAGAGTTTGCATCGATGAAGTCGGTCCAAACTTCAAGGTAAATTCTGGGGCATCTGCTCTAAAAGCAGATGCCGGCAGGGGGACTGAAGGTTTTGCAAGTGGGTTGAACTCCATTGCTGATATACTCAATTTTGTTTTAGACTCAGATGTTAAAGGCTTGGGTTCTGATGCTGATGGAGTGCCTCCCGGCACAAACTCATTTGCGTTTAGATTGAAAGCTGAAGAGTTTTTTGAAGATTCTGGAAGCAAAGCATAGCTCTCATCTGGGGGAGCTGATTGCATTCGATCTATATGTCTGCGGAATTTTTGACTAGATTCAGTCATTTTTATGATTGCACAATAAACAGCTATTATCTAATCTAATAGCCGAGATATAATTGGGACGCCAATATTATTGCTCTGGTGGGAATTAAAAGATAGTCTAAGAGATAAAATAATGATGATTAACAAATAAATTTAAGCCACTCAAAGGTGTTCCAGAGTTAATTTGAATGATTATCAATAATCCTAATAAATTTATGAATAATAATATAAATTAAATCAGAAAGTGAAGTTTGAAGCAAGGAATAGCCAAATCTTGATAAAGAAAATGTTTGCTGCCATTAACTTATTTTCAAAAAAAAATTATATTTGAACTCTCCTCCTTCAGCATTTTAGTTTTAATTAAAATTTTTAAAGCTAATTTCATGAAAACATTTCAATGAAGAAAACAATTACTTTTGCATAATCTAAGCTAATAAAATGCAACATTTAATATCACATTTTATTATCAGTAAAATTTACTATTATACATTAGCTTCACGAACTGTCTATCAAAAAATCTGAACTCTCAACGAATTTAGCATGGTTTGCTAACTTATTGTGCAAGTTGATTCATTTAGTATATTTCCCATGCTTTAGCTCATTCAATTCTTTTGCGAATTGTACAGCTATATCTTTTTGGCGCCATCCATCTTTCCATGCATAAGGATTCAGCATTTCTAGCCTTGCAACTAATTTTCTTAACTTTGAAGGCTGATCTAGAAAATCAAAAGAAGAAACAAAATCCCCCGTTTTCAATGCAGTCCTCAGCTCTATAAACTTTTGAAAATTTTCAGGGCCTAATTCTTTTTCATCGACCCTCTGTGACAGTTCTTCGACAACCAGCTCTATTTGTTTAAAATGTGGATCATTCTCTTCAAGAACCAAGCATACCATCATAATAACATGTCCCAAAAATTCCATTGCTTCTTTATACCTTCTTGCGGCAAGATTTTTTATGACATCAGACATAACTTTTAATAGTAAAACTTTATGGGCATCCCTAGGAATTTTTTGATAAATTGTGCTTTCATCTCGAGAAAGCTGCAATTGATATACAAAACTTTTCATTGCGTCAATAATTTTACCTTTATTCATACATTTCAGCGAATGCGTTGTCAAATAAGCGTCTTTTAATATTTTTCCAAAAGAATTTAGCTCTTTTTCAAGGGCTCGGATTTCAGACTCCTTTAAATCTAAATTTGCAGGGCCTTCTTTGCAGTTCTTAAGAAAGTTCTTTTTAAGTTTGATATATAAAGGGTCAATTTTTTCAATATCCGCAAGGGAGCGTTTTTGTTGGTCGATTTCTTTGACACAGGTATCAAGGATTTGCCATCTGCTTAAATGCTCGGCTCCGATAATTTTTAGATAAGTTGCAAAATTAATGAGCTCATATTGTATAGTTTCCCCAGGTGTAGATTTTTGGGCGCGGAATTTAATATAGTGGTCGTATGATGCCGCTTGCCTTGCTAAATATAGTTCTTGGATTTCATTCAAAGCCATTGAAGCTCTTCACTCATAAAGCTGCTCGAGCTCTCGGTCATTTTGGTATTTTACTTCGTATTTGAGCTGCTCAGGGATGAATCTTGTGTAGAGATCATCATTTATGTCACCTAGGATTGAGTATGTTCTGAACCTCTCCTGAGAAACATTTTCTAAACAAATAGGGTCGAGATAGACCAAGCAGTAAGCAGAGCTTGACCCATTTCCACCTATTGAAGATGCCATGACTTCTGCTTCAGTCACATCAGTTACGTGAATATCATTATATTTTCTCCACCTTTGGTCTTCTGGGTCGTATATAAATGAATAATAATGACCTTTATCAGCTTGACCTTCATGGACTAATATTGAATGAAGTAAATAAGGGGATTTTTTCAGCTCTTGAGTATCATAAATCGACTCTAACTCCAATTTCAGAGTATTAATTCGGTCTTGAGCTGCTTCTAACTGTGTTTTCAATTGTTCAATTAAATAAAATAAAGTACTTGAAGTTGTAATTAAATCTTTTTGCTTTTCTTCTTCAGCTTTTATATGATCAGGGCTTAATTCATTTTTTGACAACTTGTTCACAAAATCTGCTGAACTCATAAGTATGTTTTGTAAACTCATAGATGATGAGTTATAATTCAGGTTAGAGTCGATAAAAAGCTCTAGGTCTTTAATTTCTCTTCTCAAGTTCTCAGCTTTCAATTTCAGTGATTTTGTATATTTTTGATTTTTTAATAAAAATCGGTCGACGTAAATTGTTTTTGGGAAAGAAAATTTGTCTTCGGTTTTTACAGCTTGGCTTGACGCATTGTCATAGAAAACTCTTTGGATTTGAAATAAAAGAATTGATGGCAATTTATTTATATATATGCTATGGCTTGCATTTGCAATATGATTCTTGGGAGTCACAAAGCCTTCGATTTTAGAGTTCGTGGCAGAATCTCATGCGGAATATAAATCTTCATGATGGATGTTTAGATTAATCTGGCCAAATATATTTTGACTGCTTTGCTTTACTTTTGCCCCATCCTCCTCATTGCTCTTAATAATTTCACACTGTTTCCCATAAAACATATCCGCAAGTGCACTAGAATTTCCATCAAATAGTTCTATAAGAGGCTTATCAATTGCATTTTTGTTTTCTTCCAGCTGTTTTATAGACTCATCTATTTTTGAAGTCAGAACAATGTTAAACTCTCCTACATCATTCTGTTTCCCCATTTTCATATCATTTTTCAAGTCATTCACTAAGCAATCAAACAGAATTAGCTAGAGATTTCCATATACTAATTATCACCTATAATTAATTACCCCTTTTAGATCGGCCTAATAGCCGTTTTTTTGGATTTTAGGCTAAAATTTGAATTTTCAGATAAAGTGTAACTGCCATTTGCGGTTTGCCAAAAACGATTTGGTTTGTAAACTCTTTTTTGAAACCGATATTTTTTGTCCAAAGCCCAAAATGGCTCCTAATAAGAATCTTTAAAATTCAGGAGTATATCTATCAAAATTGTTTTGTTAACTCACAGAGAGGGTTTTTTTAACAAAAAACGGGGATTTTTTCCAATGGTTTTGTTGGCTCACACAAGGGGGAGTAAGCATTCAATACAAAAGTTGGATCAATATACATTTTATTAGTCCCAATCATATGAGCAAACAGCCTTTGAAGCTGCTCTAAGACTCTCCCATTCTCATTTTGCAAATTTTGCATTTTTTTGTTGGTGTTATCTTCGATTGGGTAACCGAAAATCTCTCTTACAAAGGAAGGTATCATAAAGTAACTCTGGATTAGAGAATTGAAATAGCATGTATTTCCGATATTTTTTAATCCGACTGGGACTCCTTTAATTCGTCGACGCTCTTCAGGATTTAAAGGCTCTAATGTGTTCAGGTTGATTTTATAAGAGCTATTATTAGATGGTGTACTTTCTTGACTTGAATTCTGGCCATCTGCTGGGTTTTCGTTGTTCGAGTTTTCAATTAGATAGCTAAGAGAGGAATTGAAGTCATATTCACATAATTCGAGGGCATTTAAAGTGTTTTCTAATGAAAATCCCATAGCTGTCAACTCAGATATAAACTTCTCTTTTCTGGATCCCATTTCTATATTAAGAAATTGAATATTAAATTTAGAAACCAATAAATGCATTTTTAATGCAATGGTGCTAATAAAAAATTCCTTGGCTAAAATTTTATTCTATTTCAGCAAGAGTTGTTTCAAGAAAATTTGAGCTGTTAATAAGCTGTAAAATTATATATATTTTAGTGAGAATTTTTTTTTAGAACAGTAACGCAGTTATCATTCACTTCATATTTCTTAAGGTATCTAAATGGAATGAATTATTATAAATCGCAGGCTTCTAAAGACTCATTGAGAAAATTTTGATTCTTTGGAATTAAACAGCTGCAAACTAAAGCAGCAAGTGGCGATTTTATAGTTATATGGGTTATATTTAATACAAATAAATTACAACTTTCCCTTTGGGACATTTAGCAAGTTTTCTTCCATTGGAAAGTCTTGATATATGTTACTAAATAGTTGAGTTTCCATCATTGACATAAGAAATTCATGATCACCCTCCGAAAACTGCCTTAAAAAGTGCATTAAAGAACTATTGATGTTTTTATTTTTATATGTCCTTGCAGCATCAATAATTTTTTGTCAAAATTCTCTTATCACTTTCGCAATTTTCATGCAGGCAGAAATTTGTGCATCTGAAGGATTAAAACATATTTCGTCCCCCTTGAAAAATTGATAAAGTATGCTCACCTTTTGTCTTAGTTCGTTTAGAACAGGGATCTTAACTTCTTGCAGCAAAGAATTTGTCCCTTTTATTTTTTCAGAACAATTTTTTTCATCCAATAGAACCCAAATTAAATTCCCTTTATAATTGACAGGCAGAGAAGTCCCTACAAGAATAGGGATTGGGGCATCAAGCATATCCATCAAAGAGTCTGGAATGATAGGGATCATTAAATTTGGCCACTTAAATGGCCTCAATAGCGCTTGAAAACTCATGACACATGAACTTAGAAGTCCCAGATTTGCTGACACAAAAACGACCGATTTTTCTTGTGCAACTGCACAAAGAAGCCAAAAAAAATCATCAAAAGAAAGCGACGAAAATAAAGGAGAGCAAAGTCACGGAATATCGACCATGCTAAGGTCTCTAGGGCATTGATATGTAACTTTATCCAATCTTTCTGATTCTATCTCAATTGAGGAATTAGGGATAAAACTATCAATCTCAGCATAAGTTTCAAGCAACTTTTTTTCATATGAACTAATTTTTTGGTATTCAATAGATTCTGAGCTGGGCTCTTCGTTAATCATAAGCTCCATTCTGTTGATTCTTTTCTGCAGGAGCATTTGCGAGATAATTTCATAATGAAGCTCAAAGGTTGGCAGAAAAGTGACAAAACAGTAAATTTTGGGGATAATTCATTCAACCTTTAAGTCCTCTTGGTAGGTCAAATCTTCGAACTCTACGCAAAAAACGTAGAGAAGCTCTTTGCTGGAATTTGGCATGTCGCCTTGTGGCTCTTCTAGCTGGTTTGATCTCAATGTAAATGTAAAACATTTACTCCCACGCTTTGGTGGGATTTGGCCATATATCAAGGCATTTAACTCGGTTTCAGAACCGGTTTGACTTAAAGGGCGTGCATCAATTCCTGTGGGAAAAGAACAGTTAATAATCGCTTGCTTTGTATCATCAGGCAATAAAAAATTATCCTTTGGATACTCGTATAAAATTTCTGGTTTGATGGCTCTGCCCCTCCCTATTTTTTCCCCTGAAACTCCAATGATCAGAAAAGAAATATAAGTTTTGGAATCAATAGGTTCAAATGAAGGGCTTTGATCTGGAAGCGAAGGATTAATTTTTCCAGCAGTATTATATATTTTTTTAGGCATCATATCTGGACAAGATTCTCTATTAGAAAGAGTAACCAGTCTTTGAGGAGAAAACATCAGAAAAGGATCTTTAAAGCTGTGATAAGTAAAGGAATGCGGAGTACATGGCAGAGTTTCTCTCATCGAATCAGATCGGCTTTCATAAGATTGAAGTTGCTTTTTTAGAGCTTCATTTTCAAGTTTTAAAAGGTTCATTTGGTTGATATCATGAATACTCCCCTCGATTGCTTGCTGATAACGAAGTTTCAAGTTTGAATGTTCAGAAAGAACAAGCAAATATGCTTTGTATAGTTCATCATACTGCTCTTCGAGGTATTTATTCGTTTTATCCATCCAAATTTTATTATAAATTTCCAAGTATGGCCATATCTGTTTTTGTTTAAAAAAATAATTAAATTGTTATTTTAAGCCAAAGATTATTATTGTGATAAATAAAATTATTTAAATGAATAAGAAATGAAGTTAATTCTTTAAATTTCTATTTAATTTATTTTAGGAAAGTAATTATTTTAATATTCCCTATGATTGCAACTATTTATTTTCTTTTCTCTTAATTGTTTGTAGTAAATTATATTAGTTATATGGAAGCTAAATTGGTGAGGCAAGATAGCAGCAAGCAGGTTGTTTCGATTGATGTTGATTTAAACGGAATAATTCAACATGAAGATAGAGATCATTATAAAAAAGATAAGCTCTGCACAGTTTGTGCAACTCAGTTTGGAAGAATTGGTATTGTTCATGCCAAAAAACATTTTTGGTAAATTCTATACAGCAAATTTTGCTATCGTGGAGTATGTGCAAAGTGCTCTAGTCAGCAGATACATCATCCAGAATATAAAGAACCTAAGCGAATCTGTAATAAATGCTTCCAAAAAGTTTTAATTCACCCATTTGGCTCGTGAACAAGTTTTTTTTGCTTACTTCCCCTCTTTAAATTGGACAAAAATCCTATTCCAATTTAAAGGGGGGTTAATTTGTTTAAAAAAAATAACTTTCTTGATAAAAAATTTTTAAAAAGTAAAAAAATATAAATTAACAATATTTTTAATTTTTTATATGAGGAATTAATTCAAAAAATTAATGGGTTCAATGTGAAAACTGTTTAAATAATATTCTACTTTCACTTTTTCCATTAAATAGGTGAAATTAATTTTATAAAATTTATTTTTTACCTATAAAAATTGAAGAAAAAAATCCAATTAAAGTCCCAAAAAATGGAATTTATCTATGTTTTATTCCAATTTAAAAGGGGAGAGTTATTAAAGGAGGTGAATTTAACAATCAATATTTGTAAATTTTTAATTTATAAATTGATGCTTTATAATAAGAAGTCTAAAATTTAATAAATTTAACTGGAGCCTTCATCATAAATATTATTATATATGTCGGATTATTTACATAAAATATTTTTGCTTATAACGAAGATGGTTAATTTTCCTAAAAAACGAATTTTTTAATTGCTTTACTCACTAGCTACGGAAAAGTAGCTATTCATTCCTCTACTTCAGCTCAAGAAGAAGTTAAAAGAGTGCTAGGAGATATGAGCTCAGCTGAAGAACAGTTAAGAAATTTAATCATCGAAAAAGAAAATGAAAAAGCAAACAGAGAAGAATGGGAGCGAAAAGTCGCAGCAAAATTAGAAGAAAGAGAAAAACTGACACAATCTGAAGCAGAATTAGAAGAGTTGAAAAAGCAGCTTGAAGACCTAAATCTTCAAAATTTGGAATTAAATAAAAGAATTGTTGAATTAGAAGGGGAAAAGAAAAATCTACGTGAAAAAGAAATTGAGCACGAAAATGAAAATTATACAGAAGAAGAATATGAAAGGCTAATAAAAACGAAGTTGGATGAAATTGAGACAGAAACAGTAGAAGGAAATAGGCTTAAAAAGATGATTGAAGAGTACAGATCATTGCTTAAGCAGTGCAACTTTGAAGATCTAGATAAAGAATATGATGAAGTCAAAGAAAAAATTGAGAAAGAAAGTGAAGAAATTAAAAAACTTGAAGAATTGATATCAAAACAGAACACTAAGCGAGAAAATTAAGTAAACAGCTTAAAGTCTTTTATCGATTTCTGTTTCTAATTCTGATAATGATATGCGGTAATCTAAATAAACTTTACCTAGTCTAAATATCGCTTTAACTTTGTTGAGAATTAATAAAAGGTTTTCAGTTTCTTTAAGAATATCTGTAATTGTTTTAGGCAAGTCGTCGACACTTTTAATATCAAGGGCAACTACTAGCTTATCTAAAACAGTACGACAGTGCTTTCCAGCGTGGACTTCATCAACAATTTTGTGGGTCAGTTTTAAAAGTTCCATCATTTCTATATGCTTGCTTTCAATATTAAGTTCTCTACATATAATTTCTCTAACTTCTCCTATAAAATTCAGTAACTGTTCATTTACTTTTTTCAAGTCGTAAGCTGCAGAAACTACTTTATTTGGATTGCTTACTGAAAAAAGTTCTTGAAGCTCCATTACAACATCTTGAAGGTCTCTGATTATTTTTGATTTCGTAGCAGATGTAATAGATGATTTTGAGGAATGCTTATGCAAAGGACTTTTATCACGTTTTCCGTGAAAGCCATATGACTTAGGGCTAGTGATATCCCCGATAGATGATGATCGTTTTCTTGATTTGCTCAATGAACGTGGGCGTGAAGAGTTCTTAAAATCATCTGTTGCAGAGAAATTTCCTTTTGGAGTTCCTTTCACACTAAACCAGCCTTTAACATCTTCATTTGTCATTTTTAAAGGGGCATTATAGGTTTTCCCTAAATACCTAGCTTCTGCTGACTCTCTTAATAGCTCTTTCATATTATTTAGCCTATCTTCCAGATCTTTTTTGTCTTTCTGAAAATCTTCAATTATTCTGTCTTTTTCTTTTATTTTAGTTTTTAGCTCATCATTTTCTTTTAATGCAGAAAATTGCTCCCTTTTAAACTCAAGAACTTTGTCTTCAAAGTCTCCATTAAGCTTTTTAAGTACTGCAATTTCTTCATTTAATGCTGCTATTTTGGTATCCTTATAATTCATCTCAGTCTCTAGAATTTTCAAATTTTGTTTAAAACTCATATTTTCATTAGATAAGCCTCTGTTTTCACTATGCAAGATACTGATTCTTCTTTCAAGATCATTAGCCGAGCTAGTAACATCCCTGATTTCCTCGAAACAATTTTTTAAGCTATTTAATTCTTGCTCAATCGAAAATTTTTCTTTTCTAACTTCTTTATCTATATTAATAAAGAGAAATTTTTTGCTCGATATAATTGAGTGTGATCTAAATCTTTAAATGTTTGGATTTGGTAAAAGAATAATTATTTAATAATATATCAAAGTGAGCAATCATAATTGGCTCATATACTGAAATTAAAAAAAAAACTTATTATTAAAAACCTTATATAAATATTTGAGAAAAAAATTGAAATTATTAATTGAAGGATAAGCATTTCATTCATACCTAATGCATCTTGCAGCTTTATAAGAAGCTCATTTATTTGGTTATCTTTACTCCGCCCTTGCTTTCTATTCAAGTTATAATTTTGTTTCGGATAGTGAAAATCAAAATTTGTGAATATTTGGCCTAAAATTTAATATAATTTGATCTGGATTTCAATATTATAATTATAAATCATATATTAAAATGCGTTTTTAAGCCACAAAATTTATATTAAAATATTTTGATCGTAGCCAAGGATTTAATTTCCCACAGATAGACAATCTAATGGTTATTCTCATTAAGAGGGGTGGGGAGTTAGAAATCATTAAATCTGATAACTGGAATTTAGACTCCTGAAGCTCAGTTTCCAATCTTTCTTTAGCGAGGAATAAGTTTTCCAACTCTTGGCTTTGTTCTTTAAAAGTGATTTCAAGGTTTTTATTACGAGGGGAAGGAATTGATTCTAACCTTGAAGAAAGACCTCTAATAGAATCACTTCCTAGCGGGCTTTTTGGTCCTGAATTTAAATATTTTTGGAAGACTTCACTTGATGCACTTTTATCAGGTGATATAATTGGATTTATAGAAGTAGATTCAGATCTAAAAGGTCGCATAGACTCAGAATAGACGCGATTTGGAGAGATATGCCGTGATGATGCTAAGTCTATGTTGTCAAGTTTTTTCATTTGTGAAGATTCAATGCTGCTTATTCTCAAACTAAGATCCCTGCTTCTTTCTGGAGTTGCATTTAGCGAATTTTTTGATGAATTTCCTTTAAAACTTGATGAATGCTTTTGCAAAGTGTTTTTTATGCCTTGAATCACGTCATCTATTACGTAGTCATTGACCTTTCTAGACATTTGAATTATTGGAATATATTTATAATTTTTGTACTAATTATTAAATTTCCTGAAAAGAGCATTTCTTGTAATATAAAATTACAAAGATAAAGCTTTAGCATATTTGCTAAATTTTACTGTGTATTTTTAATATATATTAACTCATTATTATTCGTTTCAAATCTTCTTAACAGTTAATTAGTAAAAGTCAGTTTATTAAATCAAATTAATTATTTAATCCACTTCTTCAACAGTTGGCCCTCTTCCTTGGCTTCCTTCATTCTTCTGTCCGCCAGGAGCGCTATTCATTCCATTCATGTTTGGCATTCCTCCTTTTTGATAGATCTTCATCATAATTGGATTGCAAACATTTTCCAATTCCTTTTGCTTTGCTTCATACTCCTTAGTTTCTACATTCTGATGAGACTCCAGCCATCTTTGAACTTCATCAATTTTCGACTCGATAATTTGTCTGTCCCCTGCTTCAATTTTATCCTTCAGATTTTCATCATTGAGGGTATTTCTCATGTTATAAGTGTAGCTTTCAAGCCCATTTTTCGCTTCAGCTTTTTGTTTGGCTTCTTCATCTTCTCTCTTGTATCTTTCAGCTTCACTTACCATTCTTTCAATGTCATTTTTGCTGAGCCTTCCTTTATCATTGGTGATGGTGATTTTATTGACTTTTCCTGTGGCTTTGTCGAGGGCTGAGACATTTAGAATTCCGTTTGCGTCGACATCAAAGCTCACTTCAATTTGTGGGACTCCTCTGGGGGCTGGCGGGATTCCTTCTAAGTTGAATTTTCCAAGGAGATGATTGTCTCGGGTCATTGATCTTTCACCTTCAAATACCTGGATGCAGACGCCAGGCTGGTTGTCAGCATAAGTGGTGAAAGTTTGAGCCTTTTTAGTTGGGATTGTGGAATTTCTAGGAATTAATACTGTCATAACTCCTCCTGCCGTTTCAATTCCAAGTGATAAAGGAGTTACATCTAATAGCACAACGCTTTGGACTTGGCTTGAGGATTCTCCTGAAAGTATAGCTCCTTGCACTGCAGCTCCATATGCGACAGCTTCATCTGGGTTTATATTTCTGCATGGTTCTTTCCCATTGAAAAACTCTTGAATTATTTGCTGAACTTTTGGAATTCTTGTTGATCCACCTACAAGCACAATTTCATGGACTTGGTTCTTAGCTAGCCCAGAGTCTCTCAAAACACGTTCAACAGGCTCAAGACATCCTCTGAAGTAGTCCATATTCAACTCTTCAAATTTGGCTCTTGTGATTGTGGTAAAATAATCAGTGCCATCTGCAAGAGAATCAATTTCAATGCTTGCTTGAGTCGCTGACGAAAGCGTTCTTTTGGCTCTTTCACAGGCAGTTCTAAGTCTTCTCAAAGCACGATTATTTGATCTTATGTCAACTCCTGATTTTTTCTTAAAATCATTGGCGCAAAATTCGACCATTCGATTGTCGAAATCTTCTCCTCCCAAATGAGTGTTCCCTGAGGTTGCTTTTACTTCAAAAATCCCATCGTCAATAGTTAGTAATGATACATCAAATGTCCCGCCACCCAAGTCAAATATAAGAATATTTGTCTCACCTTGGCCTTTTTTATCAAGTCCATATGCTATAGCAGCTGCAGTTGGCTCGTTGATAATACGCTTTACTTCAAGTCCTGCAATAGTTCCTGCATCTTTGGTAGCTTGTCTTTGAGAGTCGTTGAAATAAGCAGGGACTGTAACAACAGCATTTTTTACTGATCTGCCAAGATAAGCTTCAGCGGTTTCTTTCATTTTTGTGAGCACCATAGCAGAGATTTCTTCTGGGTAGAATCTTTTTTCTTGGCCTTTGAACTGCACAACAATCTGAGGACGCTCATCAACTCCACAGATGACTCTAAAAGGCCAAAGTCGCATATAGGATTTGCCCTAGGATGGCGCTATATGGCGCCATCCTAGGGCAAGCGAAAATTGGCTCCACACGGGAACCGTATTCCACGTGTGGAATCCACATTTTCCCACGTGGAAAAATGGCTCCACACGTGGAACACAATTCCCGTGTGGAGCCGTGTCTCCAATTGCCCGAGGATGGCGCAATATAGCGCCATCCTCGGGCAATTTCTATATCACTTTGTACAACAGGCTCGTTGAATTTTCTTCCAATTAGTCTTTTAGCGTCAAAGACTGTGTTTTCCGGGTTTCTCGCGACTTGATTTTTAGCTGCATCTCCGATCAGTCTTTCGCTTTCAGTGAATGCGACGTATGAGGGTGTTGTCCGATTGCCTTGATCATTTGCTATGATCTCGACACGGTCGTTTTGCCACACACCAACGCAACTGTATGTGGTTCCAAGATCAATTCCAATACATGGTCCTTCGCTTGACATTTTATTTAATTATAAAGACTTTTAGGGTATCGATTTTTATAGTTTATAGAAAAATCTGGAATTTAAAATTTAAATATGGAGTATTAGGGGCTAAAGGCAGATATCGGGATATATAGATTAAAAATGGAAAAATCTAGAGAAGGCCAAGTAGGGTTAGGATTATTAAAGACGGGCGCGAGCCATATTGGTGCTGCTGTCATCAAAGATCTCCTGCGCAAAAAGTTCATTCACTTTGCGACAAACTGCCCAGTAGTTCTAGTCGTAGCGGTACAGTTATCTCCTCCTTGCCTTGCCGCTTTAATCTTGAATCAGCGGATTATGGATTTCTGCGGCTCTGCGACGGGCGTAGGAGTAGTTTGATTTCAGGGATTAGCTCCTTGGAGTCTATCGGGTATAAGAGAGTGCTTTCTTTGGCAGCTACGAGAAAAAGACTGTTCCCTATAGCCCAGGCCAAAACACCCGGCTTCTCGGTAGAGGATGCCAAGGGTCTGAAGGACATTGCTGAGTACCTCCATTTTCAACTGCAGGAAAGCAGCCAGAGCCTACAGAATATGCATCTGCTGAGGTTGCACTTGCTTCTCGGCTTGGAGTCTGTTCCAGTTCGCTGTGGCCTTAAGGTCTGTACTGTTGTGCCAAGAGGGTAGGTTGGCTCGTGTCGCCATTTTAATATATATTGAGAAGACCAAGTAAAGAGATAATCTGAAATTTGATGCTTTATGTGCAGAAATATTATTAAAATAATAAGGAAATAGTTTAAAATGTTTTATTTATGAATCTATGAATATATTTAAAGCTTTTAATTATAAAATAAAAAACAGATGCAATTACAAAGATCAATAGCCCTTACTGCTCTATTATTTCAAAGAAATAACTAAAGCAAGCTTATAAACAATTATTTTTTAATTTAATTAATTTTTGATGAAATTAAAGGCACTTGCAATCAGAGTCTCTATTCTTTTATTTTATCACAATCCCTACTAAAACTACCTAGTTTTCATACATTTTACATCATGAAAACTCATTGATATATAAAATAATTCCAAATATTATAAAATGGCATAAAATTAACTCATCACAAATGTAACTTATAAATAGGCATGCATATATTGATAGCATTAAGCCAAACTTAAGACCATACACTTCTGCCAAAGAATTTTCTATCAAAGAAATCGCAAAGTCTACAGACATTCACTCTCTTCCTACTCGCTTAGCTAGTCACAACCAACTACGTTTGATAACACCTACTACTTTATCAGTTAGAACGTCAAAAACCAAGAATAAAGCTATTAATTTAGAAATTGAAAAGCTTTATGAAGAAAACCAGTCCTTAAAGCAAGCTGTAAATTCACTTTCAGATGAAAATCTCCGTTTAAAAACAAGATTAGCTCAAAATCAAAGAAGTGCAGATAAACGGGTCAATGAAAATTCTTTTATAAGTCACAATAGAGACAAATCAAGCTCACATTTAATTGAAAATTTAAAACAAAGTATAAGTGAAATGAAACAAGAATTAGAAAATAAAGAAAAAATAATTATCGAATTGAAGAAAAATATGAAAACAACTAAGATGAATGAATTGACTGAAGAATTAAAAATTTTCAAAGAAGAATGTACAAGAATAAGAGGGTTATATGATGCGGTAAATAAAGAAAAAATTGAATTGTCAAAAAAAAATTTAAATTTTGAGAAAATTAACCATGAGAAAAATATGCTGGAACAAAAATTAAAAGATACTGAAAGGGAGAGTGCTCTGAAACATAAAAAACTAGAAGATTCTCAATTAATAAAATCAAATGAAAGCTCAATTAAGCTAAAAGCGTTGGAGAATTCAAATAAATTGAGTATCAAGACTAAAATAGAAGAAAAAATAGATTTCAAACAAAACAGGAAATTCCAAAGCTCCCCACTTAAGAAGTTAATTAAGCTTGAAGATGAAATCAAGAATTTAAAAGCAGAAAATAGTGGAATGAATTCTAAGATAAATGAGCTTACAAAAGAAAATCAAAAATTGATAGATTTGCTAAAGACAAAACAAAAAGAAATAGAGAATTTAACACTTTATCCAGAAAAATCTAAATTTGAAAATGAACTTCAAGCTCCAATTATAGCATCACCAAGTCGTCATCTTTTCATTGATGAAGATCTCACCAGTGACGAAGATAAATTCGAAAATTCAGAACCTCTAATAAATTCGTTATTAAAAAAAATCCTCGCGTTAGTAAAATTAAAAAACTACAGCTTGGAATCGTGAATATCATCAATATCAGTTAACGGCATAATATCTCTTGACAATATAATTTCTGCTTTAAAGTTTGAAAGAGTCCCAATTATTAAAAAAGAAGTCGAACTATTGATTAAAAAGAAAGGAGAAAATTCATCACAAATATTGGAATCTGTACTAATCAATGAATTAAAAAATTGTTTGAAAATAAATAATGAAGAAAAAATTGACGAATTTGATAACGAAAAAATAATAAAAGCATTGCAATGTATAAGAACTCAAATGATAATTGACAATTCTGTAGATCTGCAGGGCTATTTTTTTGAAAATAATTATGGATTTCAATCGTTATATCAAGCTTTGCAACGAATAATAGGAGACGAAGAAGTCCTTAAAGAAATTTGTGGGTTTTTACTTAATGAACAAAAAATAATATCAAAAGAAGATTTAATCAAAAACCTGGATAATCTCATGAATTCATTAGATATTTCAATAGATCAAGGCAAGAAAGATGAATTAAAGAGAAAAATCAAAAATAAATTGAAACTCATCGGCAATCATTTTTCAGAGATGGATAAAGGATGCATTGGCTTACTGCCTATTTCACTTATTATGAGTCAGTTAAGGGCATTAGATATAATTGAAACTTCAATAGAAGAAAATTGGCTATTTAAGCAGCTCATTAAATATCAATCAAGTAAAGGGCTAATTTATTATGATAGCTATTTCAGCAAATTTGTATCAGCATCAAATAGCCAAATGTCTTCTGAAAAATCATATGGGAGTGACTCAAGCTTTTCAGAAGTCAACGAAAATGAAATTATTGCTGAAACTTAAGTATACGAATAAAGAATATTAGTCTTTAGATTTATTAATATAATTTTTTTAATATTAAATGGTTAGTGCAAATCAGTTATGAAATAGGTTTTGAGTTATTTTATATCTAAATAATGTGGAATTTAACTTCTTGCAATGCAGTCTATGAAAAACTTTTACTGAAAAAAGAAAAGGTTAGGTTTAAAAAAGCGCTAAGACTTGTAAAGCCTTGTATAGATAATCTACCCAAAGCGAATCTCACTATAAACTCTTCAAAAGGTTCTAAAAAGCAACGAATAGTTTTAGATAGATGCAACCAAATAGATAATGAAAATAAAGCCCTCTTAGATCGTATGCAAAGTATTGACTCAAAGCCATCTCGCTTAAGCAGGTCTGTTTGCATTCCTCGAGCAAATTCTTATGGAAGCCTAAATTATGACTTACGAAATAGAAATCTCAACAGAATAGTAATAGAAAACAAAGTAACTTCTAAATAGAAAATCCTCAGCAGGCTACAGCGGGTAAGTCCTGTTATTTCTCGTGAAAAGATTGATCTTTCTAAGAAAAAGAGGAACGCAAAATCACTTCTATCCCAATCCATCACAAAATTCAACCCAAAACAACAAAGCCATACATGAAGTACAATTTCATATTTTAATGATTTCATGAGCAGACCTCACAGTGTATCAAAGTTTAGTGAAGTTCTATTTTAAATTATAATTTTTCTACCAAAATGAGGAAAAAATTAGTTGAAATCTTAATAAGTATCAATTTAGTAATGGAACAGCTTCATGAATATAAAATAGTAACACTAGGTGATGGGAGAGTTGGAAAAACTTCACTAACTCTTCGATTCGCTCGTGGTCAGTTTAATGATTCTGAAAAAGCGACTATAAATGCAAATTTTTTTGAGAAACAAGTTCAAATTGGTAGAGAGATGGTGAAGCTTAGCATTTGAGACACAGCAGGGCAAGAAAGATACAGAGCTATTGCGTCAAATTACTATAGAAATGCCCAGGGAGCAATAATTGTATATGATATAACTGAAAAAAGTACTTTCGATAGAGTTGAAACTTGGGTGAATGAATTGCAAAGCCAAGGCGGAAAAGATATTGCAATTATACTTGTTGGAAATAAATGCGATAAAGAAAATGAAAGGGAAATTCCAAGGCAAAACGCAATAGACTTTGCGAAGAGCATTGGGGTTACTCATTTCAGCACAAGTGCGAAAACTGGATCCGGGGTTAATGAATGCTTTATGGAAATTACTCGAGCCTTGCTAGAGAAAGATAGAGGCAAAATTCAAAAAGATAGCCCATTGAAAGGCAGAAAAAGAATAACCGTTGTAGAGAATAATCAGAGACAACCTTCGAAAAAATCTAAATGCTGCTAAATTTGGCAAATATAAAAACTAAATAAATTAATTGTTTTATGTGCATTTATTATTTAATATATCAATAAAGGTAGCTAATATATAGTGCAGGAATGGCAAATTATCATTTTTGATATAATTATAAATTATGGCTAAGAAAGTGTGCACTAATTTCTTTATCAACGATCCTTGCTATTATCAAGATTCTTTTCTAGGATTTCTCGAAAAATCCCAAGAAAATTCTTTTTCAACAGATTTAGCCTCAATTCACACTGTTTCATTTCAAAGCATCTTGGCATGGCTGATCTTAATAAATTGTTCTTTGTATGCATGTGGATGACATATTCACTCTTATGTGGTTGCGATTTTTGTTATATTATCAATATTTTTATATTTTATGAAATATGATCGTTATTTGACGATTAGTCTTTATGGTGAAATTTTATGTACAATTTTTCAATTTGAAACTATAGAAACAGGCTCATTGCTTGAATGCCTCGGCGCCTTTTTCCCTGACTTGCTTATAAATATTTTAGGGTTCAAAAGATGGATCCTTTTCTTTATATTCAGTCTATTAAAATCAGGAATTTTTTACTTCACAAATGCGATGCAGTTTAAAACCGCGCTTTTTACAATAATTTCATACTCTATTTTCAATTATTTTATTGAAAAAGAAAAAAGAACTCTATGGGTACTTTATCACAGCTACAAGAAAAGTTATGAGCTTCACGATGATATGTTCATGTTTACTCCAAATGGGATTTTTGTTGTTGATGAAGACATGCATATTCTCTATCATAATAATAAGGCTGCTGACATCACATATTTAATAGGAAGAGCCAAACTAAATCGACTAGACAAATTTGAAGATATGTTTGATGACGATCATAGAAATCATGTTAAAAAACTAGCTTTGGAAGCCTTGAATTGAAATAAGAAGGTGGAGGAAATTATTATCAAGAAAAAGGACTATGAAAGTGATAATATTGTAACTTTAAGGTTTACTTTTGATCGTATTGAATTCAAAGGGAAAAAATGTCTTAAAATCGTATTCATGAATATTTCTAATATCGTGTTTCAAGACACTTTTATTTCTATTTGCTATAAAAACATATTGGAATCCATTGAACGATTTACAAATAAATTATTTGAATCATATAGAATGCATACAAACATTAATCAACATTTATTGACAGAAATATACTCAATTCAGCATAGATTGCGAACTTTTTTCTTAATGCAATGCAAATTTTTAAGTAAAATTGAAATTAAAAAAGATTACTTTGATCTCCAGGTAGAAATTTTAAATACAATAGAGGCTATTTTTATGAAAGCTGCAAAAAGAGATTTAATTTTTTCTTTAAGCACATCTAAAGACATCCCAAATTGCATTATTGGTGATAAAAAATTTCATAATTATCTCCTTTATGCAGTATTGGATTTTGCAATAAAAAATTCTAATGAAAACTCAGTCATTTTCATTTCAGTATCAATGATTTCCAGTTCTAATGCAGAAATTATTGTAAAATATGTCTTACAATTTCCATCATTATCAATCACGCAAGATGAACTTGACCGCATATTTCAAATTAGAGAGCAAGCTTCAAAAAGAAAAACTCTTAATGATATGATATCAATTCAGCACAGATATGGAAGCGAATTAATTATGTTTGACTCTTTAGTTTGCTTGATGAGAGGATATACTGACGCTAAATTTTCTGAATCAATATGCACAATTGCCATTAACTTACCCTTAATTGTGTCAGAGAGAAAGGCAGCAAGCAAGCTAGAACTAATCACTGGGTGCTGTTTACAAGAATCAGATAATGAATATATTTGAAAATATAAGAATAGTGCTAATGCTGAATTTACAGAAAACGAATCTGAAGATTATGCGATGGTCCACAAAGAGAGCCAACTTCCTAAATATTCTTCGTTAAAAAGTGAAATAAAAGAATGGAGAGTTCTGCTTTTATGCAACTCAAGAGAAAGAGAAAAATCTATCAAAAATATCTTGAAAAAATCGATCACAAAAAATATAAAATCTGTAAATAGTGCAGCTTTAGGCTTATATTTGTATGAAAAGGAAGCAAAGAAAGGACAAATTTATAATGCAATTTTTATTGATTTTCAAACTGCAAATTGAGAAAAACTTTTCCAAATAAAAGATATTAAAGCATCAAATGAACAAACAGAAATTTTATTTTATGGAATTATTGAAGGCGAGGACATTGAAGATAGCTTTATCAAAAAGTTTGATGGCGTTTGTAATTTTTATTTAGTTAAATTCCCTATCGATATAGGGACAATTAAAAACGTTTTAAGAATTAAGGATAGCTAAAATTATTCCTTTATATATTTTCAATATTAAAATATGGTATATTACATTAAATAGTTCATTATATTTATAGCAAACGGATTTATATATTAGCGCCATTATTCAAAATAATTAAACCAAAAATGGTTCTACTGAGAATTGAACTCAGATTTCAGGATTCAGAGTCCTACGTGCTACCATTACACCATAGAACCTAGGTTGTTTTCTTCAAAGAAGTTTTCTCATTATCCCTACCTGCAATCCGCAATTAATATTATTATTTTTTAATACTTATTTATCTAAATACCCAAAAATTATTTATTTGTGAATTACACTAATTACCACTTCGAGGACTTACTGAATGCTGGAACTTGTCCATCGGTGAAAAAGGTGGTAACACAATCGATCTTGCCTGAGGCGAAGGATTTTGTGTAAAAGGATCATATTTTAAATAATCTGATTTCCAGCTGTTCAAAGAGTCAGATTTCAGCAATCCATATGCCAACGAATCTGTTCTTTGAAAAGTATCCGTCAAATCTTGGCTATTAAAGCCATCAAAATTAAAGCCAGCCGTTGCTTCGTCACCAAAATTGAAAAATTTTGGCCCACGGAAAGGACTTCTGAGAAAATTGCTAGGAGTGATAATGCATTGAGGAGTAGTCGCATCAGCACTCTCGATAAGTTCAGCCATCTTTGATGGCGAATTTCCCAAAGAATATTTCGATTTTTCCTCACTGGGTCTTTCGCAAACATTAATCCGGATTTCAGGCATCTCTTCTTGCATAGAGTCTATTGAAATCTGCGGCTTCTTTTTCATAATGCTTCTTGGAGTGGGCTGAGATGCGGGGATATCTTCAGCTAATTGCTCTTGTTTTGGTTCTGTTTTCTCTTCTGTTTCCATTGCTTCAAGTTTTAGATCTTTTCTGCTGCTTAATCTTTCAGATCTTCTTACTCACCCCATCCTTGATCGAACGATCGACTGTAAAAAATTTCTAAAAATTGGGGGAATTTAACCCCCATCCTTGTTCGAACAATTTTCATATCATGCAAATTTTTATACATATAAAATATATATTAGTTATCAAAAGCTTGGGAAGATGCACCTAGTGAAGTTGTTTTCAGAGACTTTGAGACGACAGAAAGCTACGGAATCAACCATCCGAAGTGATTTAGCCGTCACCCTAGGCTTAAAACTCAATAATCTAAAAAAATAGAGATTCTTTAAAATTTTTAAAAAAAAACAATTTATTTAATATGGAACAAATTAAGATTTATACAGTTTAAAGGGGTAACTAATAAATCAAAATATTAAAAATTGGTATTTTTATGAAATTAATTCAATTTTTTGCTGTAAAAATAATTATTAAATACTCTTAACCCTCTTATTTAAAAGTAAATAAAAAAAATAAATATATATATAAAATTGTTTTTAATCCCCATCCTTGATCGAACGATGGCAAGCCGTTCGATCAAAGATGGGGGGAGTTAAAATGGTTGGCTCTGATTTTAGAGGAATTTTCGCAATTGTGTCTTGTTGCGAATAAGCCATGATTATATCAAGAACGTCTTGATCTTGTAGTAGCTGCTTTATGGGCCCTGAAATTCTTTCACTTGCTGGTTTTTTTCTGTTGTGTCTTCGTAAATTTTTCCGAATTGTGCTGTAAAAATGGTTTTTTATAGCATTATCTGACCTCCCAGGCAGGTGTTTTGCTATCTCTGACCACCGATTTCCGTATAGTTTTTGATATTGAAAAATAATGCTTTCTTCTTCTTTTGACCAAGAATCTTTGGAGATCAGTGGGTCAATGTGGTTATGCCAGCGCTCTCGGCACTGCTTGCCCGACCTAAATAGAACATACCGTCCTTTGATTCCAAATTTTTCTAATAGTAATTGTGAAATTTGTGTCCAATGCTTTACCCCATATTCTTCTACTAGTGCTCGTATTGCATCGTCTTCCTGTATAGAGTTTACATCCTGGGTCCAAGCTTTTCTTTCTGTCGACATATTTAGATATATTGAAATCCTCTGACGATTTAATTAATCTATGGGTCGTTACACTTAATGATAGAAAATCAAGGTTCAAATCTTAATGTTTTTTAAGTCGGTTACAATAATTCGTCAATTGGAATTATTTACATTCCATTTTAGTTAACACCAAAATTACTTAAAATACTATAATTAACTAAGATAATCAAATGTAAATTGACTTCTACTGAAATTTTAAGGCATTTTGGATTTCTATCCATCTGCTTTTCAGCTTCTTCTGGTGGAGTTGGTGTGACACCACATTGAATATTTTTCTCAAGCCTTCTTTAAGTTTTTGAGACCCAAACTCTGCAGCGGATTTTACAACGTAGCACCCATAGGCACAATTTAAAACCATTTTCATTTTTTCTTCATTCAGCAACTCCGCTGCCAAGTTAAGTTAAGTGTTAAAAGGATATAAGCGGATAGACCACTAGCATGTCTATATGGTTTAACTACCTAACCTAAGGATTAGCTCCAATAAGCAAAAACTAAGTCGGAGGCAAAACTGTCTAGCCCATCTAGGGAGAAACAAAACTTCCCTCTTCAGCAGTCATCCCTAACAGAAGGCTAATTCAAAAAGTGACAGAGACACTATTTTCAGCTTCATATGGATGGATCTTGCCTACTCCATAAGAATGTGTCTCGGAGTCCATCTTCACCGATTTCACTATTATTTCACGCTGCCAAGGCTTCTCTCAAATATTCAAAATGCATGCACTTTTCCATCACATTCGAAGCGTACTTCTGTATGCACAGTTGTGCAACTTTTCCTTTAAATTTATTAGCAAGCACTTCATGCGAGGCTTCTCCCCACAAATCAAGTGTCTGCTGAATAGCGTAATTTCCGTAAGGATCTTGTACTAGAATATGAGCATTGGAAAGGAGCTCTTTATAAACTTCGTAATTTCCAATGCACTTTTTAATAACACATAGGCCGAGTTTGTCAATTGCTAACTCTGTGACGTGGCCTAATAATTCTCGGATAATAAATGAGGTATCTTTAAGGGTGACTAATAGACGTTGGATCACATGCGAGGCATTGACATTCATTGCCATTTCTATAATGTGACCTGAAAATTTATCTCTGTATATTAACTCTTCTTCAGACGTTGAAGAAAGACATATTAGACCTTGTAAGGAGTGAGTGCCTTGAGAATCTTTACTAATTCTGAGCAAATGACCCCTCATTGAAGACAGTAACATCAACCTCTGTGATGAGTTCGCAGACTTAATGAGGGATTGGCACATATAATTACCATAAACATCGGTCATGAGCGCCCCCATATGAGGTGCCATTACGATTACTATTTTTTCAATGTCCTCTGGCCGACACTTCGCTATGGCTCAGACGCACTAATAGCATGCCCTCAGAGTTGACTTGAAGTAAAAACTAAGCTCTTTAGCTTTTCTGTTCCATTCTGGCGAGCTAAACTCGATTAAGCAAATACAGCCACAATGGTTTGGTTATGAAAAATCTAGCTTGTCTCTCCAGAATGGAGCAGAAAATCAGCGAGCTTGGTTTCTGCTGCATGCCAACTCTGAGGACATGCTATTAGCGTGTCCGAGCTATATTGATTTTTATCTGAATTTTCCGATTTTTTAAAAAAAATATTTGTACAGTAATTTAATGTAGCATATTTCCTTTTTAATTTTATTCTAGAAATAAATAATTTATATTAATAAAATAATTTTATTGTATTTATGATCATAATAAATGCTCAAATTCATTTATAAATATGATATGATATGCTGGAACTTTTTACTGCCTGCTCTTGTCTTACACTGCTCTGGCAGTAAAGCAAGGTCGATTTTGCCTATTGTCGGACAATCGATTACAGGGGTAACTACAGGAGAACTCTCCGTTGTCGATGCTTCTGATTCATCATACAAAATTGACTTAAGAATCGACGACGTAATAGGAGAAAGGTTTTTAAGGTCATCTGGTGAAAAATCATCTTTAAAAAGAATTTCGCTTGATGCGAAATCAATTTGAAGAGAATAGGGCTGCATTGGTTATATTTTTATATAAATGTCGACTTGTGCCATTCATTGTAATTTGAATGATTAGATAAAAATGAGTGAATAATTTTAAGTTAATTGGTAAGTAATCTAATCGATATTTTAAGATGAAATTATAGGGCAAGATCATTATAGAATTAACGAAATCATTTATCCAGTAATTACATTAAATGCCATTTAAACTAGAGTTTTAAAAGCAGCAATATTATTGTAAGATAATGATATAAATAGTGGTTAAATTAAAACCAATTTGAAAAAGAAGTTTAAATGTAAGATATGAAGCTTATTGGAGAAATTGAATTTCATAATTGGAAAATAAAAACTTTAACTAGATCTTTGTAGTGATTATTCAATTCAACAAACATTTGATTATTTCCCAAATGAAAATTCTTGATGCTAGGCTTTTATCATAACTTTTATGATGGGTCTTCTTGTTTAATGCACAATAATTTATGAAAAAGTTTTATTATCGAGTCTTCTATAGCATTCAAAGAAGCTTCATTAGGCAAAAGCAAAGAAATTGCTAAATTGATGCTTTATAAGAAATTTTATTGTTTATCGATGAAGATCATTCTTAGATTTATATTATATGTTGACATAATTTCGGGAGGTCCCCTATGTGGGGACATTTTTCACATGTTGAATCAAATCCTGCATGTGGAGCCACTCATCTGCGGGGAATGTCCCGAAGAGTGGAGACCCTCCCTAAATTACGCTTAGACATAATACAGAATTTAAACTTCATATTTTACTGATTTAATGATATCAGCAAAATTTCTTGAAAATATCTGAAAAAGTTTAAAATTTGCAAATTGCATATTACAAAGCTGTACACGCAAGATATTTAAAATAAATTGAGATTTCCTAATACACTTAAAATTTGAATATTTTAGTTTATTATATAGAAGGGACGTCAATAAGAAAGATATTTGCAACCAGATTTAAATAGGAAAACTAAAATCTAAAGCATGGAATATATTTTTAGTTTTTGTGCATTGATAGCCATTTTGTGAACTCAGAACTTATTTGAAGTCATTTTTATTTTTATTTCACAAAAGATTGATACTATCGCTGCTATTTAGTTGCGGAATAATTTACCTTGCTTGAAAAGAAAAATTTTATGACCAAATGTGCATATTAATCTTTAAAAAACTCATAAATATCAAAACTTATAGAAAATGGGACAATATCTCTCAAAAGTTCATGAATCTCATGCAAATGTGAAGAGGGTATTATATATTTAGCAAATAAACATTATCCCATGCGAACTTGCAAGTAAATTTTGCAAGAGATGGAAGGAGCTTGGAATTCCTTTTTTTGTAAGCGTTAATGAATTCAAGAAAAATATCGTCCAAACTGATGATGTGCATTTAAATTTCGAAAAGTTTATTGCCTCTGACACTGAAATTGAAGTGCTTGAATTTTTGACTTCTTTACTTGTAGCTAGCAAAGGAACTCTTGAAAACAAGCTAAAATGTAAAACTAACATAGATTTATTCGAGTTTTATCAATTTGAAGATGAAAACACTATGACTCCAGATGAATTTTATGTATGTATTGATAAAACATTAAGGGCTATTTGTAATGAAGGGCATATTCAGCTACCTTACATTGAAATGGAGCCTTTACTTCCCCATTTTGATCGAACGATTTTCTAAAGATCTGCCCAACTACAAGTCAAATTTAACTACGATCTCTGATAATAATAATTATTATTATTATTAAAGATATTACAGTATAACGTTTCTAATCTATTCAATGCGATTTTTAGCATATTTACAAATATATTGCAGACTCTATTTCACTTCAATAGCACATAAAATAACTTAGACGAACAAAAATTTAAATTTTAATAATATAAAAAACTTATAAATAGTTGCTTACCCAATCCTTATCCAGTAGCTCGATCAAGGGCAAGGGGATTTAGAAGATTTTCGAGACGAAATCTGCAACGGAGAAAGCATCAACTTCGAAACTTTTAAGAAAGCAGTCATAAAAGAATGCGAAATTCTAGCAAAAATTCTCCAAGAAAGCCACAATTTTTTAAGAACATTGTCAACTCACATAATAGAAAACCCCTATCCAGTTATATCATATCTGCAACCCGGAAATCTTTTCCTTGGAAAATACGAAATCATCAAGCCTCCTGAGATTATTGAAGAAATTTCTTCGACTTATAAGAGAAAATACAAGCATGCTATACTCAACGTGAAAGCTATGATAGGTGAAGAGCTAAATATGAAATTCGAGTTAATTTATCTTGCAGGAGTTTATGGAGACAAAAGCTTTAGGCAAAATTATTTCCGTGAAATTGTCTTGAAAAACAAGTTGACCAAGGAAGAAGTGCAGGAGTTTGGGGAACTCCCAGGGGGGATCCTTTATAAAAGCATAAATGAGCTTGAAGCTACACAAATGACATTAGAAGAATATTTAGACCTAAAAACCAAAGAAACCAAAGAAAAAGCCAAGCCACAGCCAAACCAGCGCATGACTGTGTGTATGAATGAGCTAGAAGCTATTGATTTAGGGTTAAACTTGCTTGATCAGTTAGAAATTCTCCATTCTATGAAAGTTTTGCATTCCAATATAAATCCTTCATCAGTTTACTTATTAGAACAAGATATTCAGAGGCTTTGCTTTTTGGATTTAGAACTGGCTATCTGGGATCCAGTTGAAATTTTAGGCTCAGAATCTCAATATTTTCAGCAATTAAGTGGAGATAAATATGATACAACATTTAGGGATGAAGATTATTTGTCACCTGAGCATAAGGAATTTGCTGATGAATATAAAAGGACTGGGAAAATACCAAAGCATAATATTACTGAGCAATGCGATATTTATAGCATTGGAGCAATAATTTATAAAGCTTTGACAGGAAATGCGCCGGTTACTTTTAGCGAAGATATGGCAAGCCATCCAGGACTATCTCCATATCGAGATTTATTAGATGATTGGGAAGGGTGCAGGTCAAATAACTTTGCCTTTTTGATAGTGTCCATTTGACCGAAAATTGATCGAAAATTTTTTGATAGTTGGCATTTTACCGAAAAAAACCTTTAATTTCGGGCCAAATGTCCGCACTATCAAAAATTTCTGAACGAATGGATTTCGATGAAATGTACACTGTCAAAATCCACGGTCATTTGGCATGGAGCCGATTGGGAATGCCCGAAATCATTGGATTCTTTGATTATTTCCAATGGAATGGCACATTTTTTAATCAGAATTCTAGCAAAAGATGTAACAGCTAGACATAAAGATATAAAGCAAGTGAAAGATGAGTTAGAAAGGCTGAAAGCTATGATTGAGCGAATTCCTAAACCTTTATTAAAAGGACTAGAGCATATCCCTCATCATAATACAGAGATTTTCGATGATAGTTACGTTTTAGATTTGCATGATCAGCATATTGATGATTTTTGTTTGGAATATATTTATAAATTTATCCCTGAAAGTAATATCCCAAATATTCGAATTTTTGGAGATGTTGGGCTTCCGATTAGGGCTCTAACTTCAATTCACCTTGATCAAACGAGAGTATTGAAAAATGGAAAATCAGCCCCTATCCTATATCAAGAGATTTTCACAAAGTCAAAAATCAAACAAATGATCCAATTTCTAGCATATTTGTTATATACTGTAGCCTCTATTTTTTGCAAATAGCATAAAACTATTTTATTTGTAAAATCATAACAGAAAGATTTTAATAATAATTTTTTTCCAAATTGTAATCCGAAAGTTTGCAATCGGTTGGATCAAGAATTGGAGGAGTAAGAAATAGTCATATAGAAGAATTAAGCCTTGCTAGTCAGAATATTTATGCTGAAGAATTAAAGCTATTATCAATTTTTATAAGAGTCAATAAAACACTTATTGCCATTGATTTATCTAAAAACCCGCTATTGCAAAAAAGGTTAGCAGAAGGCACTGAAAACGAAGGCCCAGAAAGCAGTAATGAGCATGCCACAACTGATCTAGGATTTTCTAATTTTTTAGAAGCCTTAGCTCATCATTCCCATTTAAAACGATTTGAATTCGCACAAGTTGAGCTCGGCCCAAGCTTTGCCGAGCAGCTTTGTAAACCAATCTCAGCAAACAGAGAATTAGAAAGATTGAATATGGCTGGCTGTGGGCTTGGAGTTTTAGGAGTTAAATACATCTGCCAAATGTGCGAAACAATGTCATCACTTCGATATGTAAACTTAAGCAGTAACGCTTTTGGAAATGAAGGCGCCATGCATGTCGCTAAATTACTAGAAACAAACCATCATATCCTAGAGATTGATTTATTTAGAAATAATATTGGGAGAGAAGGAGGGGAAGCTATTGGCTGGGCGCTTACAAATAATTTTATTATCCAAAAATTGAGCATTGGAGATAATGAAATAGACCAAAATGAGAAAGATTTAATACTGCAAAGCGTCATGTTTAATACTCAGTATAAAAAATTAAAGGCTACGAATGAGAGGTTTGGGGAGTTTGGGTATAACTTAATGGCAGAAAGTATTAAAAGGTGGACTGAAAAATCGAAATTTGTGCTTGAAAAATTGAGGGCGAGACTGCATCAATGTGAAGACGAAATCGATCAGAAACTTGCAGAATTACTGCTGGATAAGGATGGAAATTTGAATTTGCAGCCTGCTTCTTTGCAACTTGGGATTTCAGGCGGGGAATTTTCGGCTTTCTCGTTTGATAGCAGATCTAGCGATATCCTTTTTAAATAGATTTATAGATTTATTAAATTAATTATGCTCACTAGGATTTTATAAATAGAATAAATTAATAATTGACTAGTATTTATATCAAAGTATAATTAATAAACAAAATAGCCTAAGTTTCAAATAAGATACTTAATTATGAAGAGCAATGGCTAATTTGTTAAACATGCTTTTTTCATATCTATTAACATTTTTTCCAAGATTCTCTAAGATTGCTATGAGAGATTGTGTGAAATTGAAACAATTTAGATTTTTTTCTTGTCTGGTTTTGTGACTTTTCGTTTATAGATGGGAATTCTGTTGGCAAAATTCTCAATAGTCTAGGAGTTTTTCTTGTAGCCTTCTTTTTTTGATGTTTTGCCAAGATCTTTCCTCATTGTGGGAAATAATAAACCTCATTTAGAATTTTTGTGCTTGAGTAGGTTTCGTATTTGAAATTTGTTTCATCAGATAAAAAAGAAGGCGCATCGCTTTTACTTACAGCAGATAGAGATTTAAGTATGCTTTTATTTTTGCTATATACAGACTGTGCTGAAACTGAACATCGAGCAATTTTTTTGGGACTTTCTTCAACTTCTTGGTCGGTCTCTATTGATTTTTGTACAAATTTCGGAATTTTTTGATTTTTTTTTTCGCTTTCTTTGGGTTTTTGTGTAAAAAAAGTCTGAATTCTTCCAGATCTTACAGAGAAATTTCTGAGGCTTGAGCTAAAAATATCACTCCAAGGCCAAACAGAATTGAGAGTTTCTGAAAATCTTTTTGTTTTCATAATAAATTAATCTACTGAAAATTTATGACTAAAAGTAATAAAAAAGTATTAGAAATTTTTCAAATTCAAAATTATTTAAAACCTTTCATGTTCTAATTTCTTACTTATTGAATCACCATTTATATTGACCATTAGTGAATGTTTTCATCTAGGCTCATCCGATTCTCTTCTCGTATTATTGGAATTCGTAGGATTCAGACCTCACAATCAAGCTACCAATCAAATTATAAGTGGATTCCTAGCGCAGCTTTAATTGCAGGTGTAGGGCTAGCAACTTTAAGTCCAATGTGGTGCGAAGATAATCATCAAGATATCATTGCTTGCAGAGAAGATGAACTAATTGAAGGAGTCTTGAAAAAGGTTCAAGTTGGAAATAACCCAGAAAATTTTATAGTCGTAGCGAAAGTCAATGGAGCTGTTTACGCAGTCAGTGGAAAATGCCCTCACTACTTTCTACCTCTAAATCCAGGCTACTTAGATGGATATACTTTAATTTGTCCATTCCATGGGGCACAATTTGATATTCGCACTGGAGAATTAATCGGAGCCCCAGGCCAAAGGTCTCTTCAATCATTTGAGGCAAGAATTTCTAATGGGAACGTTGTCGTAAAAATTCCTGACTCAAAAGTCGATCAAGTCTCAGGAGCCACTGATAGCAGAAGATTAGTAAAAAGAGACCCAGCAAATAACACTTCATTCGTCATTATTGGAGGAGGTGCAGCAGGCCAAGCAGCAGCAGAAACACTTAGAAAAGAAGGTTTTACAGGAAAAATCACAATTTTAACCAAAGAGACAATTCTTCCATATGATAGAGTTCCTTTATCAAAAGCTTTCAAAAGTGATGCATCTTTATTGAGAGATCAAAGCTTTTATGATGAATATGGAATTGAAGTCAAAACTGGAGCCGCTGTACAACAAATTGATAATAAAACCAAGAAAATTAAACTAGAGAGCAAGGAGGAGGTTCCTTATGATAAAGTTTTAGTTGCTACTGGAGCAGCTGCAAGAGTTCCTGGACCTTTGAGAAGACTAGCTGCCAATGTTGAAGGCATTTACACTATTAGATCTGCTGCAGACCACCACAAATTCAGAACTCAAGTATCAAATGCTAAAGATGTCGTCATTTTTGGATCTTCATTCTTAGGGCTAGAAGCAGCCGCCTCAATTAAGAGATCGAATCCTGAAGTTAACGTGACTGTCATTGATCCTGATGATGCTCCATTAGAAAGAGTTTTCGGCAGAGAAATCGCCCAACAAATTTTGCAGTCCCATGCTTTGAATGGAATCAAATTCGTTTTGGGACAGTCAGCAAAAGAAGTTAAAACAGCTGAAGGAAGAGTTTCAGGTGTGGTCTACATGCATACAGAAATGATTGAAACCAAGCCTAGAGAAAAAGAAATCAAAGCAGACTTAGTGCTTATAGCTACAGGAGCAGAAATTCAGACCAACTTAGTCCCTCCTTCCTTGCTTAATGCAGATGGGAGCGTAAAAGTTAACGCTCACTTGCAGACTGTTGATCCATATATTTTTGCTGCTGGAGATATTGCAAGCTTTTATAGTTGGCTTTCAGAAAAACAAGAAAGAGTTGAGCATTGGCAAGTAGCCCAAGACCAAGGCAAAATTGCAGCTAGCAATATGTTAGGAAAAGGTCCAATTTATGCCTCAGTTCCATTTTTCTGGACAAATCAGTTCTTAAATGTCCAATTCGCTGGCTTCAGCAGCGGGCATGATTTCACCTATACAGAGACAAGAGAAGAAGGCAGCCCATTAAAGACAGGAAGAATTACTTATTTCTATAAAAACGGAAGATGCACTGGAGTTGCTGCAGTCAATTGGCCAGGAGCAATTATTAGACTTAGACTTGCCTTAGACAGAGGATTAATGCCAGCCAAAGAAGAGCTTACAGCAAAGACAGCTAGTTATGAAACCATAGCTCAAAAAGTCAAACAATCCAGCCCTTGTGCATGCACCCAAAAGAAAGGTTGCTGTGGAGGACGTAAGTAATTTAATCTTTTAGCTATAAAAAGTCTTAATATTCGCGGTCTTTATAGCTATGCATTTTTATCTTGATATGTGCGGCTAAGATTCCATATTTCTTATAATATATAAATGACATCAGTCAAGCGAGCAGCACACACAAATACAAAGAAAGTTGACCTTAAATTCGTAATCGACTGCTCAAATGTAGTAGAAGATAAAGTCATCATCATGAGAGACTTCGAAAAATACCTAAGGGAAAGAATAAAAGTCAATGGAAAGAAAGGAAACCTAGGCACAGAAATTAATCTATCAAGCAGCGCTACAGAAATTGTGCTAAGGAGTTCAGTACCTTTTTCAAAGAGGTACTTAAAATATTTAACAAAGAAATACCTAAAGAAGTCAAAAATTGCTGATTACTTACGTGTAGTCGCAACAGAGAAAGGCAAGTACGAGCTCAAATACCTCAAGATTTACGGTGATGAGGGCGAAGAGGAGTAATTATTAACATATCATTAGAGTCATCTTCTCTAATTTTTAAATTCTCCAGGTTATGTATCAAGTCTCAATCGAGTTCTTTGATATCATAATTAAAACTATTTTACACTTAAGCTATCTCAATCTCTTAAATTAGATATGTTATATATATCAAAAGAGAATTATGATTTTCCTTTTAAATATAATAGATTAGAGATGATATCGCTTTATAATGCCTTTGATATACTGGTAAAGTTTATGGAATAGCTGCATAAGCCTCACAGTAGATATCGTGAATTTATTTCAGAAAGACTTATTATGAGAGATTATCTTAGTCATCGAAATCTGGAAGCATGTCATATGAATAACCTGGAGTTTCTCGCATTAGTTGGAGGAATATAAATAGATGATAACTGCCTGGAATAAAAACTAAGGCGCCTAGAAGCCAATATAAACCCCAATCTGTAAATCTTCCATTTCCATAATGAGTCATCCCAACTGAAAAGAAAATCACTCCAGAAATTGTTAAAAGAAGAGCCTTAAATAGAGCTTACAAGTAAAATGGTCTTGTATGGGATTTTACGGTGTTTTCTAAGTGGTGGAGGACTTGGAGCACGCTTTTTCATAGTTAATTTATTATTATATTTTACACAACAATTTTAAGAGGCATCAATCTCTAAAATTTTAATATCAATTATTGCTTTTAAAATCTAAATATTTGGAAATTATTTTAAGGTTTAATAACTTTAATTAAAGATTTTCCTATGCTCATGAATAAGGTTAATCCACTCCGGAGGGCCATAGCAATTTGGAGCATTTTCCACAACTTTCGTATATCTTTCGTAAGCCTGCCCATCACTATGTCCTAGAACTGATGCAACTACATGATCAGGGAACGCTACAGCATCCATAATGTTTACTGCATTTTCCCCTACCTCATTGCAAAGCTCAATTACAGTGTCATTGATCCACCTAACTTCGTTCTCAGTAAATTGAGTCTTAATCATCCCTGATTCGTTTTCAAGGACATGGACTCCATATAGGAGCATGATACTTTGCACTATTTGAGCAGTGGCTGGACAGGAAGTCTGGAGTTCTTTCACGAAATTGTTTAATTCCTTCAGCATCAACAGTTCTCCAAATACTTGAGGAAGAACAAACAAGTACCTAACCTGGGTATTGTTCCATGTAGAGTCCATATCAGAAAATCTCCCCATGTTTTCTTGGAGCTTGTTAACGGCATTGACAAGGTAGTAGTTGCAACGGTATTCAAGAAGAGATATTAAAACTTCAGGGTGCTTTAAGTGCTCGGCACATTCAATTTTTGGCTTTGCTGGCTGGAGATTAATGAATTGCAAGTATTGGGATGCAATTGGCTTATTAGCTGCTCTTACTTGAGCTGCTTGAAGAATGTATCTTTCAGCTTGCTGGATAATAACATTGTTATCGCCTTCAAAGGTGCAAACTACATCAGCATCTTGCTTGAGCTTATTGAAGCCAGCATATGTGGAATATCCATGTCCACCGCATGCTTCTCTGCACTCTTGAATGGTTTTAAAAGCATTCCAGGTACTAAGAGATTTGAATACTGTGATCAGCCAATGATATTCTGTCACCAATGGTGATTCAGGATCAGTCCTCATAAGTGGAATTCTGGAATTGTATAACCTCGACACGAACTTTGTAGCAGCATTTGAAGCAAAAAGCCTAGCTAGATATGGCATTAGTCTATATCTGTGAAGTTGATAGTCTAAAATTGATCTTTCTCCATCAGGTCCAAACTGTTTTCTTATAGCTCCATATCTAATCGCAATGGTAAGAGCGTTTCTAGCATAGCTTTCCATTCCTCCAATGCACACAACTCTTCCTCTGATTAAACAGCTTATCATAGTTCCAAATCTTTTTTTGTTATTTCTAATTGAGCTCGCAAATTGTCCTTCAGGTGTAACCTGTGAAAATCTATCCAAAAAGCAGTCATATGGGACTCTGTAATTTCTGAAAATCATGAAGCCATTGTCAATGCCTTGGACTCCTAATTTGTGGCCACAGTCGCCTATAATGATTCCATCTAAGATTTTATGTGTTTCATAGTCCCTTATTGGTATTGCAAAAGCATGCACTCCATAGTTGATTCCTTTCAAAATCAACTGTGCAAAAATAACAGCCATATTGGATGTTTTCCCTACAGCTCCAATCCACCACTTAACAGCAGTAGGGGTAGGTGAATTAATCACGAATTCCCTGGTTGCCATATCATAAGTAGCTGTAATTTCAATACTAGCCACATTTGAACCATGGCCAATCTCAGTCATGCCAAGGCAGCCATAGTCTTTAAGAGTATAAGCTCTGTTAATCAAATTCAGATGCTTATCGGTGCCTAAATTTGTAAGAGCTTCTGTATATAGCACTATATGAACAACTGTACGTGTTCCAAGCACGATATCATTTGTGCAGAATCCCAAACACATAGAAATTTTCTTAATTGGGTTCTTAAGGTTTAGCTCGTGGTTCAGTCCACATTTTGGGAACAAATGCATGATTTGTCTATGGCAGCGCTCTTTTAATTTTTCTCTGTCAAAATCAGCAGCCACGCTGTGATCGTACAAGTCTGGCTTTTCTTTCATCAAGTCCCAGATTAAGGTGTACATATCGTAGAATGGCTCAAAAGTTTTGCGGCGGAGAAGGTCATGGTTGAAATTTTTCCCTCTAGCTCGATACTGGTCTATAGGAGTTTTCCCTATATGGCCCGATAAGGGCCGTGGGTTCTCCGTGGAATTCCTCTGTTGGTCAAACCAACTCAGTGCGTTGGTTAGACCAAATACTGGTTGGCTCAACCAGCAGAGGGATTTCTCGGAGAACCCATGGCCTTTATCGGGCCATATAGGGAAAACTCCTATAAGTTAAATTAAATGCTATAAGGCTATAAACAGTAGACCACTAGCCTGCCTATCTGGTATAAAACACAATGACCTAAGGATTAGCTCTCTAGTCACCCTCTTCCGCCACGTTAGTCCTGATAAGCAAAACTAAGTGGGAGGCCAAAACTGTCTAGCCCTTCTTGCAGCAGGGAAAACTTTAGGGGAGAAACGAAACTTCCCTCTTCAACAGACATCCCCATACTCGAAGGCTTACTTCAAAAAGCGGCAGAGGCACTATTTTCAGCCTCATAGGATGGGTTATGCCTTCTCCATAGGATTGTGTTTCGGATTCCATCTTCCGTCGATGTCACCTATTTCTTGTACTTGTCTAAGGAATTGCTTTTAGTTTCGAATTTGAAGTTCCCTAGGATGTGTGAGCTGATGAGATTGAGACGTTTTAGCTCTGCCATGAATTAATTTTTATTAGAACGATATTGAATCCGTTTTGAGTGAACCATATTGGGAAACGGATATAACCATTTTTATCGGCTAAAATAATAAGAAAAGATATGAATAATTAGTATTGAATAGAACTTATGCGTTTTATGGGCAGATATTAACCCCTCTGTAAGCAAGTGAACCCATATGAAAAATTTCTCTTTTTGGGAAAAAAATCTACTTAAGTGAGCAAAAAATTTATTGTAATTTTTTATAAGAAATATTCATATTAAACTGATAAGTATTATATTGAATTTTAAATAGTGCAATTCAAAATATATCTTTATGAATTAAATTATCAACTCACATGAATTGGGACTTTAATTTCAAAAAACCTCTTAAAATAAAATTTTATTTATAAAAAAATTACCCTTTATGAGTAAGCAAACGATTTTGAGCTTCAAGAGGAAAGTGAGTCGATATCATAAGGCTAGAAAGATTTCGTTTATAAATTTATTAGTTTTTGAATCTTTCTTATCGCTTTTAAATATATTTTTATGTCCATTATAATAATTTAATCCTAATTTTTTATTCATTCTTATTCTTCAATTCTTGTATGTGCATGTCCTTCATGACATATTTCATTATTTTTCCAGAACTTGTTATTGGAAAAGAATTGACTACTTTCATGGATTTTGGAATTTTGTAGTCAGAGAGTTTACCTTTGAGGTACTCCACTACGCTTGCATAACTAATTTCTGGTTTTCCTGGCTTCATTTTGATCCAGGCACACACTTGCTCTCCTCCTATGTGATCTGGGATCCCAAATATTGAAGCCACTTCAATATTAGGATGCTTCATTAACTCCCCTCCTCCGTGCGTGAACAAAGCCATTGGAAAAAATCCTATTTTTTTGCCAAAAAAACCACCCTCCATGAGCGAACCAAAAATTTTGATATGTACGTGATAATTACTATAATGAATCTCTAACTAATTCTGTTTAATTTCGTAAATTTACAAATTAAATAAATATTTGCTTTCCAATTTTTTTGGGACTTTTTAAATTTCGAAAAAAAAAATTTACTTTAAAATTGATAAATTTTTTAAAAAAAAAAACTCCTCCGCAAGCAAACAAAATTTTTTGTTCGCGCTCACAAAGGGGTGGAGTAAGAGTTCTTCAATTTCAGCTGGATAAATGTTTTCACCTCCTCTTATAATGAGATCCTTATTCCTCCCAACAATCCTAATGTACCCATCTTCATCTAAAGTTCCTAAATCTCCTGAATGCATCCATCCATTATGATCAATGGTTTCTTTAGTTGCTTTTTCATCACCCCAGTAATGTTTAAATACTGAATATCCTCTGATGCAAATTTCTCCTACTTCTCCTCTTTCAACAATTTTGCCTTTTTTATTGATAAGCTTTGCTTCAATATTTGGATGAATAGCTCCTGCTGTGTTCACTCTTTTTTCAAAACTTGAGCTCTCCAACATCTGAAAAATTGGTCCAGAGCATTCAGTCATGGCATAGGAGTTTGTGACAGATTTTATATGGAGCTCATTTATGATCCTATTTAAAGTTTCCCTGTCAATTGCAGATCCAGCCATAAATGCAGTTCTAAGCGACTCTACATTCCTTTTTTGCTTTTCTTGTTCATGAAGATACAGCTGGAACATAGTCGGGACTCCTAATAATGCGGTGATCTTTTCGTTCTCAACAATATCCATAATAAGCCCTGGCTTAAAACTGTAATCTGGATAGACCATAGCAGATCCTCTTAAAACACAGCAAACATTTGCTAATGTTCCAAAAACGTGGTATAAAGGAACCCCAATAATAACTTTATCCGTCTCATTCCATCCTAGCATTCCAGTTTCAGTGGTGTTTCATGTGCAGTTTACGATTCCATGATGTGAAAGTGCGACCCCTTTTGGTTTTCCAGTAGTACCTGAAGTAAAGATTATATCGCATGGATCATCAAAGGAGATATCATGCGTAATTTTATTGTAATCTTTGGTTTTTTGATGGTATAGCTCATCAAAACTCATCATTCCTTTATGGCTTTCATTTCCGATCAAAATTAAATGCTTCAAATGGGGCAGTTTAACTGAAGAAAGCTCACCGATTTTCGAAGAATTTATTTCTGGAGCTAAATTTTCAATCATTTTAATGTAATTTGCGTTCCTGAACCCAGGAGGCATGATAAGGGCAGAAACTTGGACTTTGTTAAGCATGTATTCGAGTTCAGAGACCTGAGATCCTGGGTTTATATTAACGAGGATTAAATCAGCTAAAGCGGTCCCAAACTGAGCTAAAGCCCACTCTTTACAAGTTGGAGAGAAAATCCCAACTCTACTTTGGCGAGGGAGCCCTAGAGCTAGCAGGCCTTCAGCAATGTGTTCTGAGCGTTGCAAAAATTCACTATAATTTCATCTTGTGTTTTCGTGCAAACTTAGAAGAGCGTCATTGTTAGGAAATTTCCTTGTAGTTTCTCTCAGCATATCGCCAATAGTATTTCCAAGGAGCTTTTTTCCTATCCCTGAAACATAGCTGAGTCTTTTAGGATTCATATTTATTAATTTGTGTGAATTTTTAACGGATAGCCCTTTTAGATATTAAATTTTATGTTTCCGTTTTTAATTCATACCGGTTAAAAAATTTATTTAGTTATCTTTGAGAATTGCTCCTATTTGTTAACAAGAAACAATCAGGGAAAAGTGCTTAACAATCAGGATGATTTTTTTTCTAGATTTATTTATGTTTAACAAAATTAAAACAGGAAAAGAGGTCAACTCTAGGCACAATCAAAAAACTCCCTAGAGACTTGCCTAACATAAGGATTAACTCTTGGTTAGAATATCTCTCTGATGTGTCCTCAGTGCCCAATAGACGAAGTTATGTGAGAGACAAACCTGTCTAGCAAACCCGTAAGGGACAGGAAAACCTCTGGAGTGAAGCAAACTTTTCTACCTGGCAAGACATATTCGAGTCTGAAAGCCTAATTCAAACCGAGTTGAGGTCGTGCTTTCTGTTTTATCAGGATTGGTCCTATCTGCTGCATAGGGAATGCGCCTTGGAGAGCAATTTCCAACAATTCGCCATTGTACTTCTTTTATGTTTAAGGAATAACGGCTTAATCGTGACGAAAACATGATATCGCGGTTTTTAGCACAAAATTTAAATAAAGTACTTATTAATGTATGAATTCTAAAGTTTTGGTACTTCTAGTCTTCCTTCTTCATTCGCAAAATAAGGAATAATAGTAGACTCTCCAATTTCAGCAAGTGAGGATGGAACCCAATTTGCTCTTCCCTTGCCCTTGTTGACCATTTTATGCTCCACAGCTACCTTAAAGTTCTCTGGCCGGTACCCAAGCATTTGTATAGCTAGGTTATATTCCATGATCAGGCTTTGGGCATATGAAATGTGTCTTCCTCTTCTGAAACTTTCATGGGCTACTCTAAGCGACAATGGGCACAGGGAGTTAAGTTTTTCCAAGATCCTTAAGCTCCACGCAGTTCCTTTTTCTCTGAGTTTATGCATGATGAATTCAAGACTATAACTGGTATTAAAGCACTCTCGCAACTCTCTTAATACCGGTAAAATAGTTGATTTATTTGTGTTTGGCTGAGTGTGATATTTTTCTAATACTGCTATAATGTCTCCGCCTTCAAATATCTCTTTGCGGACAGTCTCCATATCAGCTTCAATGTAATAATGTGAAAACCCAAAGAGATAACAATCAGTACCATTAATTCTTTCTCCTGTTAACTGTAAGTATAAACCAAGCTCAGGAAAGCGGATTCTGTTTAATAAATATGAGGCTCCGGCGTCAGGACAGAAACCTATTGAGCATTCTGGCATAGCCCACGTTGTTTTTGGAGTTGTAACTCTGATTGAACAGGCCCAAGCAAGACCAGCTCCAGCTCCCATCGTGATCCCATCCATCATGGCTACAGTATGTGTTTGAATTGTGGATAGCATATAAAATGTCTTGACTTCAGCCCCAAAAATCTCTTGTGGCGTTATCTCCCCTTGCAATATTCCTAAAATATCCCCTCCTGCACAGAATGCTCGGCCTTCCCCATAGAATACTATGTTTTTCTTTTCAGCAAGAGCTCTGAGAACAGTGCTTTGGATGGCATGCGATAGCTCGAGATTGCAAGCATTCATTTGGTTTGGTCGATTAAACTTCAGAAAGAAGGTGTTGTTTTGCTCAATCATGATAGCCGCAGCATCGCTATTGCTAGATTTAGAATCCATTTTTAAGTTTATATCATAGATTTTTTTTTGTAAATTTTTGGACTTAGATGACTTTTTCTTTAGGATTTAAGGCTGAAAACTAGCAATTTTGTCTTAAATGATTACTTACATGACTCCTAATTGCAGATAATGAATTAATTGTGCTTAAGTCCATTTTGAGAATGAAACATATCCGTTTCACACAAAATGGAGGTAAGTTTTATTAAATGAATTTAACTAGATAATTTAAATTAATTTACCTTAAAACAATATAAATTTGCTTACTCCCCCCTGTAAGCGAACAAAAAAATCTTGTTCGCTAGCGGAGGGGGGTTATTTTTTTTTTTCGGAATTAAAAAATTTCCTTATTCGCAAAAATTGGAAAGCAAATATTAATTTAATTTATAAAATTTATGTTTTAAAGCGACGTTTGTTTAAAATTAAAAGAATTAGCTCGAGGTTTCATTACTAATTATCACTTATATACAAAATTTTTTTTCAATAAAAAAATTTTTGTTCACTCACGGAGGGTGGGTTTTTGGTCAAAAAATAGGGATTTTTTTAATGGTTTTGTTCGCTCACGGAGGGGAGGTGTAAGCACTATTGAATATAAATCCATAGCCTAAATTTAAACTGATTTATATAAAAATATTATAAGAGAGGCAAATAACAGCTTCGAATCAATTTGCCCTTGTATTCCTTTATATTTTTTCAAGAGATGTATATTATTAAAAAGGAAATTTAAAATAGCAGCTATATATATTTAGGAGTAGGTTAATGGCTTAGAAGCTGCAGGACTAGCATTATGATAGACTCTTAGACGTGCTTCTATTCACTATTCCGAATTTTCACTCACTCTCCCCATCCTTGATCGAACGGCTCGCCATCGTTCGATCAAGGATGGGAGTTAAAAAAATTTTTTTGGGAAAAAAATATATATATATTTTTTTTATTTACTTTTAAATAAGAGGGTAAAGAGTATTTAATAATTATTTTTACAGCAAAAAATTGAATTAGTTTCATAAAATACCAATTTTTAATATTTTGATTTATTAGTTTACAACTTTAAACTGTATAAATTTTAATTTGTTTCTTATTGAATTAAAATTTGTTTTTTTAAATTTTAAAGAATGCTATTTTATTAGATTATTGAGTTTTTAGCCTAGGTTGATGACTAAATCACTTCGGATGGTTGATTACGTAGCTTTCTGTCGCATCAAAGTCTCTGAAAACAACTTCATTATATGCATCTTCCCAAGCTTTTGATAACTAATATATTTTTATATATATAAAAATTTGCATGATATGAAAATCGTTCGATCAAGGATGGGGTTTAATTTCTCCAATTTTTAGGAATTTTTACAGTCAATCGTTCGATCAAGGATGGGTGGGGGAGTTAAATGATGAGAATAGGAACTATTATTTTTTTAGTAAATTTAAGCTTATTATTTAATTTTAAGTAATAGACCAAATCAATTTATAAATTTCACTTACCTCCCCCAATTTAATAGCGGACGAAAAAATCGTCCGTTATTAAATTGGGCATAACTTAAAAAGTTCAACATTTATATATATTTTTCTATTTAAAATTTTTTATAAAAGGTTTGAAAAAAAATCCCACTTTAAAAGTCGAAAGAGAATAAAATGGAATTGAATGGAGAAAGTAGAAAGAGAAAAAGACTAACAGCTGGTGATAAGGTAGTTATTGCACATTACGACCTGGATCATCATATGAAGGCCTTTTATATGAAGATGTAGCCTACAAGTTCAATATATCAAAGTCAAGTGTCGGCGAATGGGTAAAAGACATTCATCAATTGAAAAGCGGAGATCAAGGTTTAAAGAAAAAGAAAGCCAGGTGCATATTATTAGCTCTCATAATTTTTTAATGCCTTTGTGCTTAAATGACTCTCCCCATCTTTATTTCATTAGATCTAGTAAATTTATAATGAACGATTATCTTATATAATTTAAAATTTTTATCCGTTATTAAATAGTACCTAAGGCTCCATTTTTAGGGGAAAAAACATTGATTTCGTCCGCTATTAAATGGGGGGAGCTAGAAAGCCAATAATACCCAGTTTTTGCCTATAAGTAGCTAACAAAATTTTTAATAAAGCTGTTTTTGAAATAAGAGTATAGCAAATTTTTAATATCATTAAAACACTTATAATAAGATTGTTCTTTTCAATTTATTATAAATTATCAACTATATACTATTTTAGACCTTCTAATCCAGGGCGACTAAATAATTTACCCTAATTATAAGATAATTTAAACTCCCATTTTGTGTGAAACGGATATGGCTTGATCAAAATATTTGAATATAAAAAAAAATGCGAAAATCTTCATCCAGAATCGAGTCACCTCTTGTAAGCGTTGCTAAAGGAAACACATATTTTGTCAAAATTAACCGTCCATATGCTTTAAATTCCTGGAATCTAGAAATGATTCATTTACTGCATAGGCTTATTTCTCAGGCCCGAGAAGAAAATAAAAATTTTGTATTTTATGGACAAGGTAGAGCTTTCAGTGCAGGCGGAGACATAATTTCCATATCATCGGGAAAAATAAGCTCTGAAGAAATTTTTATAGGAGAGCTCGCAGCTGTTTACTATGTCTCCCTTTTGCCTACCATGAGAATTGCCTTAATGGATGGGATTACTATGGGCGGAGGATCAGGATTGGCTTGGTCATGCAATATTAGAGTTTCTACCCCAAACACAATTTGGGCTATGCCAGAAACTTCAATTGGATTTTCTCCAGATGCTGGAGCTTCTTACCATTTAAGCAGGATGAACTATCCTGAATTAGGACTTTATTTAATGCTGACTGGGGATAGATTAAACGGAACAGACTGCTATTTATATGGGTTTTCCCAATATTACATTGAAGAGGATATTCAAAAAGTTTTACAAGAAATGCAAGACACTGAAAGTTTTATAGATGTTTTGAAAAAGTACCATGTTGAACCAGATTTAAAGCAATCAAGAATAATTCCAGTTTTAAAGGAATTGAGATATTGCTTTAATATTTATGTAGGCATAGAAACAATAATGTATAGGCTCAGGGAACTAGGTTCTAAATGGAGCTTGAGAGCTTTATCTAAAATTCAAGAACTGTGTCCATTATCACTTAGAGTAGCTCATGAAGCTTTTAATAGAGGAAAACATTTAAACTACAGAGATTGCTTAAAGATGGAGTACAATTTAGCAGTTCAAATGACTCATTTTAGAGCCGAAAATTTCAAAGAAGCTGTCAAACATAAACTAGTAAAGAAAGAATCAGGAAGAGTTAACTGGATTCCAAATTCGCTTGAAGAGGTTGGAAATGATGCAATGATGCCGCTTTTTGAAAATGAGGAAGGTCCGAAGTTGCCATTACCGAGACTATAAAGAAATAATGATTAGATAAAAAAATTTCGATATTATATAATTTTGTTGGGGGGTCAAATTATTAATCAAAATGTCTAAATATCAATCCTTCAAAGTTGAAAACGAAAATCAATTTGAATATGATTATTCCTTTCAGCCAAATTTGAGCCAAGATCCAAGAAAAAATATAAAAATATCAGATGAATGCATAGCCCTTACTTCTGACTCACTTAATTTTGAAGATAGAAATTGTATAAATTCTTTAAACTATAGACTATATGAATTAGAAAATGTTAGATCAAATATAGCTAATATGCCATCAGTGAACTGAAAAATTCAAAAAGCTGATTTTAAACTTATAAATGAAAGACTTTTTGCGATAGAAAACTCATATAAAGAATTGCATAATCAAATGAACTTAATACAAGAAAATAATGGCGATAGTAATGAAATATGAGATAAAGGAACCTTATATAAAGTGGAAAAAGAATTAAAATATCGGATAAATGACGTTAATAGCCATATTGCTGGCTTGATGCAAGAAAACTACAGTAAAAATGAAAATCAAGAAATAAGCGAAGAAAATATAGAAGGAGTAATTCAGTTTCTTGATGCAAAAATGCAAGAAAATTATGTTGATTTTAAAGAACTAAGATCGACTGGGAACATTTTTATTGATTTGAAGGCAAAAATTAATTGATTTGCAAATAGCTACTCTAGCATACAAAAATTCAACAGAGAACTAAAAGATATGCTGGACACAGTAAGAAAAGAAAAATCAAGTCTATCACAAAAAGCTAAGCACCTGCAAGACCAATTCAAATTGAAAATAAAGAGTAAACCTTATAAAAGACAAAAAACATCATCTAGTATTGACCAAAGCATTTTTGAGAGGAATTATATTGTTTCTTTCAAAATGAACTCAAAAACGATACAACTCTTAGATCTAGACAATCTTACTCATAAGAATATTGACATAAATATTTCGGAAACTGCATTTTGTAACATATCATATTGCCCTATTTCTAATAATAAAATCTTTTGCTATGGAAATCATACCCAGCACAATTATTCAGGCATCACCTTTATCATCGATAACTCTTGAAACATAGAAATATGCAGTTCTGGAATCCCTTGCACAAATTCGAGTTTAACTTATTATAAAGACTTTATTTTTGCATTTGGAGGACAAAATAGGCATGGTGATTTAGATTTAGCAGAAAAATTCTCATTGTTTGATAGGGAATGAATTCAATGTCAGCCTTTGCCTTTTCCATCTCATGGGTGCTCTTGTGCTCCTTACAAAGAAAATATCTATATCACTGGCTTTAATCTAGAAAAATTATACATTTATGATCCATCAAAAGATTTATACTCAAATAATTTTCTGCAATTTACTTCAGGAGTATCAAAAATTATTTTAGCATTGAGAAATAGCATTATAATTGTAGATTCGATTGGAAATTTTTTTAGCTCTGTGACAGGTAAAGAATGAACTGTTGGACAGGTTGAAGGACTTCCAAATATAGCGCCATCAAGCTATAAAGTTTTGAAAGGAAACGAGATGTATTTTTCTTGTGGAAAACAATTCTTCAAGTTTAAAATGAATTCCAAGAAAAAGATCCAGCAAATTTATTCGATTATTTAGAACGTAATTTATAAAATATTAATCCAATAATTTGGCTAATAATTAAATTTTATAATTTCTAAAGAATTTATATTAATTATAGTTGATTCATATTTTTTTAGTTAGCCATAAATAATAGTAAAATGGAAAACAATATACAATGTTTTATAAAAGACTGCACAAAATTTCCTGATTTTTTATGTAATTGTGGAAGTACAAGGACATTTATCTGCAATGATCACATGAGAATTCACTGCTTAGGAGGCTCATCACATCAGCTATCATTAATTCCAATAAATCTTAAATCTGAAGAATTGAGAAAATCCTTAAATATGAAAATCAAAGATATAAGGTATAGAAGAAATGAAGTAATTGCAAAGCTTTCATCTTATAATCTTTATTTGGCCAGAAATGGTCAAATAGACGACCCTGCCCTAGAGTCATTGGCCTAGGGTCGGAGGGCCCGCAGCTTTTGGGAGGTCCGGGGTGAGTTTTGCCAGCTGTAATTAGACTTTTTCCTTGACCCTTAGATAGGTAGCAACAAATTTGAGACGACTTCATGGAAAAAAGGATGCTAGGAGGCTTCGAGCGGAGCGTGGGGCAAGAAGGAGGACCAGACAATCATCTTCAGACTGATTTCTCCTCTGAAGTAGGAATCTGTGACCGATAAGTCCTAAATTCAAGAGAAGCGAAGGTCTCCCCGACAGATCTCGACGTCAGCACTTTTTGATGACGTCATCAGAAAAGAACCAAAATAATTTTTAGAAGATTTATTGAAGGATTTTTAATTTTGGGACTTGTGCCTGAAAAATGCCCTTTAAATAATTTCTCTTTCTCTCTTATCTTATAATCAATTCTTATTTGAAAAGCTTAAAGTTGTTTTAAATAAATTCGAAAGAGTTGAAAAGAATTATTCCCATTTCTATAATAATGAAATTCATGAAAGTGGTCCAATAGCATCGCCAATCGATATCATGAATCAGATTGAAATATTAATGGTTGATCAGTTAGATGACTTAAAAGGAAATATTTTAGACTTAACTATAAACTTTGAGCCTAAGCAGTTCTTTGAGGCCCAGTTAGAAAATCATCAAAATCAAATGCAAAATCACCTTAAAAAAATATTAGAGCAGTGTGATGAAGTTTTAAAAAGACATTTTATAGATGACAGTAATCCCAATAATCAAGATCTTTTCTTAATGATTGAAAACAAAATTAGCTTATTATCAAATCAGCTCACAATCATATCGTTAGTTGCTTAAATTGGAACATTGCAGCCTACATGTGGAATCTTTTTCACGTGTGAAAAGATGATTCCACATGTGAAATCAAAAGGGCTTCTCATGTGGAATCATCTTTTCACACGTGGAAAAAAATTCCACATGTAGGTTGCAATGTTCCAAAATAACCAACTAACGATACAAAATTTTAATGATGAGTTAAAATTCCAAAATAAAAAGCTAGACGTAGAGAATAAATCGCTTAATTCTCCCCCTTCTCTGGGTGAACAAAAAAATTTTGTTCAGTTATTTTTTTTTAAAAATTGTATATATAAATATTATAATGATTTTGTTTTGAAATTTAAAACAATCCCAATTCGCAAAAATTGGAAAGCAATATTTATTTAATTTGTAAAATTTATGTTTCAAAATGCAAGCCGTTTAAAATAAAACAGAATTAGCAAGAGATTTCATTATATTAATTATCACTTATAATCAATTTTTTTTTTATATTAAAACAATTTTTGTTCGCTCACAGTGGTGGGTTTTTGGGTAAAAACATAGGGATTTTTCTAATGGTTTTATTCGCTCACAGAGGGGAGTAAGATGAAATTAAAATCCCAGGAAAATATCTCTGAATGCGAAACCATTGGTGCTCCTCAAAAGAAAGCAAAAATCTCAAAAAGAAGAACCCCAAACAACAGCATATTGGAATCAAACTGCATTGTTTCATTTACAAATAATTCAAAAACCATAAATATACTAAATCTTATCACTTTAGACAAAGAAAAAATCAATTTAAATCTCCCTGAGAATTTAAGTGATTCTATATCATGCTGTCAAATCCCTGATGATAGAATCTTTTGCTATGGAAACGTTATAGAAAATAAGCAATATTCAGGATTAGCTTTTATTATAGATAAAAACTTTGAAATTAAAATTATTGAGTCATATACCCCTTGCACTCATTCTAGCTGTGCTTATTTTGATGGACATGTCTTTATTTTTGGAGGAAAAAATGAATGCCAAGATTTAAATATTGCTGCAAAGTATTCAATTTCCTCAAACAGCTGGCAGAAATTGCCTGATATGCTAGTCCCTTCTCATGGATGCTCACTCCCCCCCCCTCCGTGAGTGAACAAAACCATTAGAAAAATCGCTGTTTTTTGCCCAAAAACCCACCCTTCGTGAGTGAACAAAAAATTTTTTAATAGAAAAAATTTTTATGGAAAAAATTTTGATATATAAATGATAATTAATATAATGAAATCTAGAGCTAATTCTGTTTAATTTTAAACAAATTGCATTTTAAAACATAAATTTTATAAATTAAATTAATATTTGCTTTCAAATTTTTTGCAAATTAGGGTTTTTTAAATTTCGAAAAAAAAAATTTTTTATAAAATTTATATATAAATTTTTTTAACAAAAAAACATTAACCCCCCTCCGTGAGTGAACAAAATTTTTTTGTTCACTCACGGAGGGGGGGAGTCAGTTGTTTTGTTCAATAATGATTTTTACATTTCCGGTATTAATCACGATAGAATCTACTCTTTTAATTTAGAAAGCGAAAGATACAGTGACGTAGCAGTTAAGTTTAAGATCGGAGTTCCAAGAATTATTATTTGCTTGAAATACAGCACGATGGCATTTGATTCTGAAGAAAATTTTTACAGTTCTTATTCAGGAAAAGATTGAATGTTTTGTAAAGTCTCAGGATTTCCAAATCTAATACCATCATCATACAAAGTAAGAAAAGGCAAAGTCCTATATTTTTGTTGTAAAAGCTCATTTTACAGATTTCAAATGAACTCAAAAGATAGAATTAAACAAATAGGATTTTAATAATAAATTATTATTTTAATTTGCTTAATATCTTATACCCCCTTTCTATTATAAAATTATGGCATTTAAACAGGTGATGCCTTGCATTGTAGCACTATGATTGTAAAAATTAATCTACAAAGTTTGCAGTTGCAGATTCCAGAAATATTTATATATTAAAGCTATTTAAAATTAAACTGTTTTAGCTCGAGCTAGCACTATTGTAAGAGAATCTTACGAAATTATTATTATAAAGAAACATTAAGCTTTTTCATATTTTTAAAAAAGAAAAGTTTTGAAATTAACAAAAGATAAAGAATAATGTGCTCCGGATCAATAGACTATGACTTGGCACCCCATCGCATGCAAAATCATATATGAAGAAGCGTCTATTTTATATGTAAATAGCATGCCTCTAAAATTTAACCCTAAATGTGGGCTGTCTCAATTCACTTCATTTAATCATAAAGCCAATTAACTATAAATTAGCAATTAATTGAAGATTATGAAAATTAATTATTTTGTGTTAAAGATATAGTGATGCTGCAAAGACTATACCTCTTGTTATAAGCCGAGTGCCTTCAGTAAACTTTTGCGCGAGATCATGACTTTGTATTGATTTTGCAGCATCTTCTAGTTGTCTTAATAGCTCGTGAAGTCTTCTGATGCATCTTATAATGGTCCCTTCATATGTATCAGTTAAAGTGCAAATTTCAGAAAACTTTGACCCATGAGCCCAGGCATAGACTGCTTCCATTAATGAAGGTTTATAAGAGTTTACATAAGCTTCTTGATCGATATTCAGCTTACTCTGAACGAATACATCAGCAAACCGTTTAGCTGTTGAAGTTAATAATTGATAAGCTGATGCAAGTTCTGGAATTGCTGGAATTTTGGTTTCTGGTGAATTTTCTTCATGAACTAAACAGCTTAGCAAAGCAACCATCACATCAACAGGTAAATCTCTAAATACACCACTAAGCATAAGTTCTGTTGTCAATAATTCATCACTTGTAGAAATTTCACAAGCAACCCTTCCTTTTAGCTCCACATGATTTTCACTAATAAATCCTAGCCTTCTCAAGACTCTTCTCATAGCCTTTCAATCATCTTTCAGTATCATTGTTTTGCTAGCTTTCAACTGCTTATTTAGTAGCGAAATTGCTTGCTTTAGTTTTTTTTTCTCCTCATATTTAGACTTTAGCTCTGTAAATTGTGGTGAGTTAACGACAGCTAAGCCTTTTTCCAAGCTATTTAATTCTTTTATTTTGTCTATCTCCCCTCTTTAATAAAAATTTTTTTACTCGCTTTTAAAAGAGGGTTAATTTTCTAAAAAAAATTTGCTACCTAAAAGGGAGAAAGAGTAAGCAGGAAATAAATTCAGGGTCATTTATTTCCATATCTTCAACAGGATTTAACATAGGGATTTCTCCATTGAATCTTCTGAAAACTTCTCTTATTGATGCAAATACATTTCTCAGCCCATCTTTGCTTTTAATGTCTGAAGGTAAATATAGTCTTATTGTACTGGCATCTTCAATACATTCTAGATACATTGGAATTACATGTGCTTCGCCTCCTTCAGCATTTACATCATTTAATGGTATTGGTTTATCCATCATGTTTACGTAAAGCACAACGTCAACAACAATTTTAACTGGAACATCTTCGTTAACGTCTTTTAGCTTCCTTTTATCAACTTTTTTCTTACTCCCCTCCCGATAGAAAAACCATGAAAATCGCTATTTTTTTGACCAAAAGTCCACTCTCCGCGAGCGAACAAATATTTTTTAATCAAATTATTTTTTGTGAAACAAAGTTTGATATATAAGTGGTAATTAGCATATGAAATCTCTAGATAATTCTGATAATTTTAAATAACTTGCATTTTAAAATATAAATTTCGCAAATTAAGTTAATTTTTTGCTTCTCAATTTTTACAAATTGGAAATTTTGAACAAAAATATTTTTATAAATTTTATAGAAATTTTTTAAAAATAATAGATTAACCGCGAACAAAATTTTTTGTTCACTCATGGAGAGGAGAGTTAGTAAAATTCACGACAACTCCCCATCCCCAATGGATTCCACTTGGATCAACCACATAAACTAATCTTCCTGGAGTTATAAATCTCAACAATTTTTCTGGCTGTTGCATATAGGTTTTCATTTTTTGTTTTATTGCCTGTTTTGCTGTTTCTATATTGCTGTATTCATCTAACTCATGCTCATTTTCTATATAAATTGACTCTAACTTCTCTTGAAGCTCTTTTCTCTTTTTCCGAATAGTTGGAGAAGCTCTGTCATTTTGAAATTGATGGAATGATTTTCTTATCATATATTCAGGCTGAGAATCTTCTATGCGGATCAAGTTTAAAAGCATGTTGTAGCTTAAATGAAATGAAGAATTTAAAGGATCCATATGACCTTTAACCATGCCCTTTGCGATATCTGGCTCCATTTTTTGATCTAGCATTAAAATGCAGATACCTTTATCATCAATTCCACGACGGCCAGCTCTTCCTGACATTTGTATGTATTCTCCTCCAGAAATCCATCTAAAATTATCCCCATCAAATTTCCTGACATTAGTGAACACGACAGTTCTTGCAGGCATATTGAGCCCCATGCTAAAAGTTTCTGTAGAAAATAAGCACTTGACTAATCCTTCTTGGAATAAAATTTCAGTCACTTCTTTTATTATAGGCAATAGCCCTCCGTGGTGAATCCCTATACCTTTTTTGAGCAAAGGTAAAATATTCCCTATCATGGAAAGCTCTTTATCTTCCTCTGCAAGAGTATCAATTGCGTTATCAAAAATCTGCTGGATTAGATTCTTTTCATCTTCTGATGTAAAATCAAACTTATTCAATGATTTAGCATGAGCTTCGCAGTCCTTTTTGCTAAAACTAAAGACGATTGCAGGCTGCATATCTCGCTCCATAATCACTTGAACAATTTTTACCACTTCTGAGCTTCCGCTTGTCCCAACTTTTTTATTAATTTTGTAATTTTCTTGGGTGTCAGTCAGAGTTGCGATAGCTTTTTTGAAGTTTTTGTCATTAAACTTTCCAGTTTCATCTACAACTAAATATAGCCCTTCACCACCAGCAGGGAAAATATAATGCTGAAGAGGTGTAGGTCTGTATTCTGTATAGACCACATGGCAAGGCTGCTTTTTCAGCTTGCAAATCCATTCTGCAAATTCTATTGCATTAGGTATTGTTGCAGACAAAAACACCAATTTCACGGCTTCAGGTAACATAATAATTGTTTCTTCCCACACCACTCCTCTTTCTTTATCTCTCATATAATGGATTTCATCAAAAATTACCCAAGCCATTTCTCTTACAACCTCACTTCCTTTATAAAGCATAGACCTCAGAATCTCTGTGGTCATCACCAAGCAGCTTGCACTTTCATTAATAGTGACATCTCCAGTCATCAACCCAACATCTTTAAATTCATCGTTAAATTCTCTGTATTTCTGGTTGCTTAAAGCTTTTATTGGTGAAGTATATATCACTCTTTGATGGTTTTTAAGAGCTAAAGCTATAGCATATTCTGCTATGGCTGTTTTTCCTGCTGATGTGTGGGCTGCTACTAGAACACTTTCGTTTTTTTCAATGCATTTGATTGAGCATTGCTGGAATGAATCTAGCGTAAAGGGATAAATTTTTGCTGGTGGCTGATTAGGGACTTCGACTTGATGATAATCAACGGGATATGCACATTCGTGAGTGCAGCCATTGAATTCTTCTTTTTTTACCTTATATTCATCTTCCACTTCTTCATCACTTTCAGATTCAACACGAACTCGCTTTTTGGGAAGTTGAACTATAGGTTTGATGCCATCCTGAAAAACTTGGAAAAGATCATCACTAAAGCCGTCCATTTTTAATTTGTGTTAAAAGTCATTTAAGATGAAGACATTGAATTATTATATTTAAAGGTGAGAGTGTCTTGCTAATTTAGAGCTAAGCACTTTCTTATTGGTCTATAGTAATTTTTAAATATATATGTTGATTGATGATCGAAATCATTTAATTGGTTCCTAGATTTGATAGAATCTAAATTTAGAATCAAATCTATTAGTTATCAATCTATTACTTTTTTCTAAACTTTTGTTTAAATTTTATAAATTGAAGAAATTTTCTTAAGTAATAATTTAATGATTGACTCTCTTACTTTCTGGGTAACTTTAGTTCTCATCCTTATTCCGATCATCTATTTAATCTTCTCAAGACTAAAGAAACCCGAAACTCTTTCCGAAGACCTCACATCAACTTTTGCATCCTTACAAAAATCTCGTCGAGAAATTCTGCATGATCTTGAATGGGCCAAAAAATCTCAAAACTCTTCAAAAATCTCTGAATTACAATCTCAGCTGAAATCGATCGACATGGATATTTCAAATCTATTCCTTTCAGCATCACTTAAGAAAGCTAATTAATTCTAAATAAAATCTTTAGCGTTACCGAGGCTTTTCCTTCTTGTGTAAGTATAAAGCCAATAAAGAGACTCCTTTGACTTTGACAACCTTGAATCTTACACCAGGAATATCACCGACTGCATGTCCACTTCTACCGAATCCTGCCACGAGAACTTCATCGTTTTCATCAATAAAGTTAAGACAACCATCATTAGGAACAAAAGCAGCGATCTTTTTTCCGTTCTTCTTTAGGAGAACTCTCACGCACTTTCTAACGGCAGAGTTTGGCTGTTTGGATTCAATACCAAGCTTCTCTACCACAATTCCTTTAGCGTGAGAAGTACCTGCGAATGGCTTCTTATATTTTGAGTTAAAGTGAGATTTTTTATAGCTCTTATCGGCCCATCTTTGCTTGATACGACGGACTTTCAGCTTGCGGCCTGCAAGAATACCTTTCGGCTCTCCTGAACCCATCTTTATTATCAGCCACTCTATTTCACTCAATAAAAGCACAATGTATGGAAACTAGGATAAGGCTAAAAGAGAGAGGCAAGAAAGGATTCTAAAGGAAAGGTCATATAGGAAAGCTATGAATCATTGAAGGACTTACGAAATTGATTAGAAAAATATTAATTGGAGAGAATGAAGTATTGAAAAGAGATAAAATATAAGAAAATAAGGAAACAAAGAAGTAGAAACTTATATTTGAAGGATGATCATATAGAAATGTTAAACAGCTATTGAATGGAAAATATTTACTTATTAAACCAAAAGCTAATTAAGATTTTTCTTGTAAATTTAACTGAAGTTTGTATTTAAATAAGGCTTTGGCTAGTTTACTTTATATTAGCTATCCTAAAGTTTGAATTATTCAAGTAAATAAATATTTAAGATGAGTAACCCACCACTGTGGTCTGGATTTCAATCTTTAGGCATCCAAGTAGCTCAAAACGCAATTGCTAACCTCCATCCTTTGGTAAGCATAATTAATATGGGGGGGCAACTATCTTACTGAGGTCGCACCACTGTGGGCGCCAAAATGGTTTATATAGCCTAAACCAAGGTTCAGGCTCTTTAATTCTAACCCTTAGTATGCGTAATCAATGCTTTATGGGGTGGGTAAACCTTGGGAGTCAGCTGATGACTATTCCAGTCCAGGTATTGGTTATCCAGATGGTATTATGCTTCCAGTTCCGAAGGGCGGTGGCTTTTCAAGGGTGTCACCTCCCCCAAAGGTGGCCACAGGAGAAATCGGGCCAACTTTACCTCCATAGTATCCGATAGCGTACTGGCAGGGTGTCTTTCTAACCCGTCAAGACTCTTGGGGATCACAGCGCAAGCCCTGCTCCGCATCAAATCTGGAGACTTTAAGCCTTTTAATCATCATAATCTTAATCTTTGGTAAGTAAGCAAACATTGCCCCGCTCGCAAATCAAGGGTTTATTTTTAAAATTTTAGTTTTGTAAAATTTTCCTTCCTTATTTTTAAAAAACCAAATCCATAAATATTTGACATTAGATTTTTCATTTAATTTATAAAATTTATGTTTTAAAGATACAAGCTATTCAAAATTTTTATAGTTATTGGGCATCCCATTATTATAATTATAATAAATATGAACAAATTACCTTTAATCAATGAGGGTTAATTTTTAAAAAATATGTATTTCTCTAATACTTTTGCTCACTAACCAAGGGAGAGTAAGCGCTATTTCGCTCTTAAAAGAGTTCTGATTACTGGTGCTTCCTCAGGAATAGGTAAAGCTTGCGCCGTTTGGCTTTTAAATCAAGGAGCTCGTGTAGCTTTAATAGGTCGAGACTTAGAAGAACTCGAGAAAATCGGTCACCAATTCCCCAATCAAGCTGTTGCAATCCAGTGTGATCTTGCAATCGATCGCCAGCAATATGATATGGTCCTAAGTGCTGTGGAAACCTTTGGTGGGCTAGACATTCTTATTAACGCAGCCGGAATTATTTTTGAAAATGACTTAGAATCCACATATCCCCAAGATCACGACTACATTATTGATATAAACCTAAGAGCAGTCTACCATATAATTCATATGTGCCAAAGCTTTTTAGAAAAAAGCAGAGGCTGCATAGTGAATTTGTCATGCGAATGGGGAAATCGTCCCCAGCAAGGAATGATCTCCAATTGTATGGCCAAAGCCGGTCTTGAAATGCTTACGAAATGTTTAGCACTTGAGCTAGCTCCTGTTCGAGTAAATGCCGTGGCTCCTGGGATGACCAAAACCAATTTATTTAAATACGCTGGCCTAACTCCTCATGAAATAGACGTCTTAAGAAACAGAATGATGAAGGCAAACCCGATGAAAAAAATAGCGAACCCAGATGACATTGTCAAAGCTGTTATCTTTTTATGCTCAAAAAGGGCTGCGAACATCACAGGACAAATCCTAAAAGTGGATGGAGGGATGAATTTGACTTCATCCATCACTATTGATTGGCAAGATACCTTGACGATGAACGCAAAGTTCGCACCTACCGGAACACAGTCAATTCCAAGACTTGTAGATTGGGCCAGAAAAGAAGCGAGGAAATTTCAAGGCGAAGAAGTGCATGATGAAGACTGGGTAAGAGAGCATGAGTCTAAGAGCAATTGGAGCACTAATCTGGCAGATGCGCATATCAAAGTTACTGATAACTACAGCAAGCTTGAAAAAACAGAAAATATTTTGAGCAATTTGGAGGAGCAGAAAGATGAAAATGGGACAATTTATACAGCAGAAAACCCTAAAGCTGCAAGAATGATAGCTGGAAGACAAAGTCAAGGCCCTAAAAGTGGGGCAGCAGTAGGGGGAAACTTGCTAGGGCTTGGATTGAATGCGCCGAAAATGAATTCTCCTTAATCTATTTAAACAGTAAAAATTTATAATAGAATTTAATTGGTGAAATATTAGAACACCTAGAAATATGGAATCCATGCCTTAATCTCCGAAATCTAATATTGGCTTATAAATGTCAGGGACTGTGAGGACTGAGATTCACTTCGATACTGGAGATATAGAAAGCACTCCTGGAATCCAAGCTTATCTTGATCTTGTAACTGGTGATACCAATACCGCAAATGCCAAAAGTAGAGCAGCCCAAATTCTCGGTCATGAGCTAAATGACTTTACTCCAATCATAGCTATAACTTGTGCATCTGAAGATAGTGCAGTAAAACTCAAAAATGTCCTAACTGCTATCTGGTCAATGGCAAAAGGTGCTCTTGCAAGTAAACTAGGCCCAGTTACACCAAAATTCTCTGCAAATGGTATTTACACCATAATCACAGGAACAATTAATGACGAATATCTCCAAAAAGCAAGAGAAATGCTTGAAATCGCTCACAATGTAGCAGGGGAAACATTTGGCCACGAGCAGCACGCACATGTTGAATTTGATATTGGAAATCAAATTAATACCCTCCTGGCGAGCCCTAATATTTTGGTAGACTTGTTCAATGCTTTTTCATTTACTTTGTCTCTTGAAAGCCATCCTAATTTATTTAATGAAGTGGTGAATTATTCAGAAGCCTGCATTTGCAATGAGCAATGCAAGTTCTACTTGAGACTTTTTAATGCTTATAGAGGATTCAATATGTCATTGAGATTTGGAAGCTTTGAAGAATTAAATGAAGATGTGAAGTCACAGCTGGGAGCTGTTGCTAGATTTGTGGTTCCTGAAGATCTTAAAGCTCAGATTCCAAAGCAAGCAACACCTATAATTAAGCCAATGGCTGACCATGGAATTGGAGAAGTGCATGTGCTTGTTGGTGCAGGAAGATTGGTGGGAGAACTCAAAATTAGATTCCCAGGACTTTCACAGTTCTTTTTAGCTTAATTAAATTTATATTTGATTAATTTTAAATGAGAGTGAATTAGTTTACTATTATATAAAGTTAAGTTACGATGAGTACTTATAGTCCCCGCTTTTGAAGCGCTGTGAATTCCCAGGAGATGTCTGCGGGGTGGGCTCCCTCAGGCAGCTCGAGCCGAGCCGAAACTCCCTGTTTCTCGGTAGAGGTATTCTCCGGATATTCATAAGGACACCCACCATGGGAGGTCATGCGCTCGCCACTGGCAATTTTATCTATATATTATTATATAAAGATAAGTTATTAGCTATCAAAAAATATATTGAATTAAAGAATTTATTGAAAATTTAAAGCTACCGTCTTTTAGCCATGCTATTCTATTCTTAATAAAAAATTATTAATTAACTTATCAATGCATGCCTTATTATAAATAAATTTCGTATGCTTATAATATTACATTACTTACTCTTCAATTATTGTTTCAAAATAATGATGTTTACGAGTAGATTTACGAGCTTTAGGTCTTGGGACTTTTTCAATAAAAAAATCTGGAGATTTAAATGACTCCTCAATTCACTTTTGCCAATTTTCTATCCGAATTTTTAAAGCAATTGCTTTATTATATAGCTTCTGAATAGAAATATTGTGAAGCTTGCTTTTGGAAGGAGATTTCATTTTTTCAGCAATGCAAAGCGAATAAAAAAACCGCTGCTGGGAATTTATGTTAATATTTTCAAAATTCTCTATCTGCATTAAAGAATCTTCCATTTCTTGTGTCGTTGTTGAGCTTATAACTGTATTTTCACTTGTAAGACTTTCCAGCTCACTTGTGATTTCATCTATTTTTTTATTTAATTCTTGAGATTTGAGCCCTAAACTTACTGCGTTATTTAAAGCTTTTTGGAAATCCAATGCTTTATTTCTCAGCTCTTCTAAGTTTGCGTTTTTTGCTTCTTTTAATGCTAATTTCTGGTCATGGGCTAAACTTTTTAGCCGATCAGCATATATTTTTAAAGTTAAAGACCCTCTAAAAGTGATTAATAATGAGCTCAAAGACCTGAGAGTTTCTTCATTTTTTCTATCTTCTCCATAATTTAACTCTGAAATCTTTTGGCAAAGTCTCAATAAAATAGATACATAACTTTTATCCCCAGGCTTCAGAATTATTTTTTCTGTCATTTCCATCAGACATTTTTCTAACTTTTTTAGTCGAAAATTGATTTGGTCTAAGGATGTAAAAGATTCTAGTATTAGAAGACTTTCAGAGATGCAGAGACAGGTGCGAGAATGGGATTCAATTAAGTCAATCGGTATGAGATCTTCACAATTTTTACAGAGGATTCTTAGTTCTGGGGGTAGAGGGTTGAGAGTAGGCTTTCGGAGAAGCTTGGATTCAGAGAGTTTTTGATTAGAGGATTTTGGATTACTGCAATTTAAAGAGAGAGATGGAATTTGAGACCGCTGTTGAGTTGGCTGCTTATATTTAAATAAATATTCAATGTTTGATAAAAGATGTTTTGCCATTTTTCTTTATTTTAATATGGTGCTTGATACTATATGTGATAAAGTATATAAATCAAATTATTCATTTGATTATAATTATTTATATTTGCCAACTATTTTATGACTGCAAGAAGCCATCTTATGCAAAATAATATATAAATATACTGATATGGAATAAAATCTACATAATAGTTCTTGGAAACTAGAATTCAATCTTTTCTCATATAGTATAATATTTTATTATTCATAATTGTATTCAATTTATCACAAAATAGTGGATTTGGTGAAAAATAGATATACTATTTATTTGAAGAAAATTCACATAAATTTTGAGCAAAATTGTAAAATCGAAAACTGAATACATTTATTGGAAAATAAAAGTTATGTATTTTCTCTCTTAAAATTTAACTAATAGTTATTTAAATTGCTAATGCTGTCTTCACATTTCTTGCAAAAGAACTCAAAGGTGGTGATACCCAGGTCTTGAGTTTGTAATTATTTGATTTCCATATCAGATTGTCATTTTTCCCAGCTATTTTTTCCTTCTCAGGATAAGGATCAGCCTCATGTTCAGGGAATTTCCCAATAGTATTTCCAGGTAGAGTTGAACTAAATGGCATAAACGGTTTATCATGTTTGACCCCATCATATGTAGTTTTCTTTCCAGCTGATGCTAAAGTATGAGAATAATCGTAAAGTGTCTTACTATTTGTAAAGTTCCTTCCATTGCAAGATGTAGGCCTAAATGGTGCGTCTAATCTCAAAGATTTTTCTTTTCTTCTTTGTTTTCTCACTTTTTAAAAGATGGCGAGTGGTGAATAGGTCCAGGGTAGCTGATGAGTTGATATCGGTCACAGACAAGCGGATCCCATCCTTTTAGGAAGTTCGGGGTGGGTTTTTTTGCATGGTCGGGATTCTTTTTTTGACCCACAGACGATATACCGAGAACGCAATATCTAGATACACTACTGGGAAGCAATTTATACTTCTATCTGCTGGTAGTCCGAAGAGGCACTAAGACATTTTACCCATACTTTAGCACTATCAGAGTTTGAGGGAGTAAGTGCAGCATTAATCAGACCAGCATAAGCTTCGGCTAGTCTTCCCGAAAGACTGGTGTTGTTGACATAAAATAATGTGGTGTGACGTCAGGTAACTAGGGCCGCTTGAACCTGAAGCCTGCCTGGGATTGCGAGGGTTGAAATAAAAACCGAAGACCTGCTTAGAATTTAATCTTATTTAATCTAATCTAGTCTTTGCTCTCTAAGCCATTCTTCTTGGCTATCGTAAGGGCTTGACATATATTCAGGATATTTTCCAATTGTTACTCCAGGTGTTGCAGATCCTGACCCTCTCTTTGCTGGGCATGTGAAAAAGCCTTTTGGCCCTAGAGTAATTTTTCCATCTGGACCTCTTCGGTTTGGTCTTTGATCTGCTTGAACTGAAGAATATTCAAACATAGCAAGCGGCTCTTTAAATGCTCCATTAGATTTTCATGGTTTTCCGTGAAAACTCATCATTTTTTCGGCATTTTCTCTTTCCTTCAGGTACTTTGGAGGAGGATCTTGATAAGTGCCGCAAACATACTCAGGAGTTGAAAAATAGCCTTCTTTGACTTGGCCTGTCTTTGGCATGATTGTCAAAAAATTTCTTGGAGCAGTTATTATCTTTCCATCTGGGCCTTTCTTTGATGCTGGCTCTCTAGCGTAAACATCATCACCTATAGCTAAATTTCCAGGAATTGAAAAGAGTCCATGCCGTTGCTTATAAGGATCAAAACGTGCTTCTTCGAATTGCTTTGTGCGAGCTGCTTCAAATTTTGACGGTTGAGACATATTATTGGAGCTTATTGAGAACTTATTTCAAATATGATAAAAAATTCTCTGATCTAAACTATATATATTATTCCCCCTCCTCGTCAGAGAACAAAACCATTAGAAAAATCCCTATTTTTGGGTAAAAAAACAAACCCTCTGTGAGCGAACAAATTAATATAAAATATTTTTATGAATTTTGATACATAAGTGATCATTAGTATAGTGAAATCTCTAGTTAATTCTGTTTAATTTTTAATAATCCCCAATTATAAAACATAAATTTTACAAATTTAATTAAATTAATGTTGCTTTCCAATTTTTCAAATTGGGATATTGAAAAAAATTCTGTAAAATTTATATATAAATATTTTAAAAAAATAAACCTCGTGAGGAACAAAATTTTTTGTTCGCTCACAAAGTGGGGAATAAAGAAGTTTTTTCACAAAGATTATTTCATCATTGTAAAATAATCTATTTCAATTGGTTAAAAGTTAAAATTCTATATTTCACCAAAATGAAAGGCAGTTTTATATCAGATTAAGTTTCTCATGCTCTTAATAAATTTATAATTAATTCCTATGCATAGTCCATAAGGGTGTGAATTACTCATTTGCTTGGCTCTAAATTATTAGTTTGCTATGACCAAATTTGGAACTCATCCGAAAATTCACCAACTTATGGGGCTATTACAGGAAATTTCTATAGATTTTATAAAATCAGAATAGCGGCTTTGGCTCAGTCGGTAGAGCGCGAGTCTCATAATCTCGAGGTCGTGAGTTCAATCCTCACAAGCCGCATTCTTTTATTCCAACTATTTATAGCGTAGGCACGATTTAAGCTTGCCTTTGTGTTTCTGCCTCCTCAGCAACTGGAGATTTGACTTATAGCTTGAAGATGGAGAGTCAACTCCAAGTTGGCAAAGCAGACCTTATGCCTGGATTTGACAATCCTCCAAGTTGCTAAGGAGGCAGAGGTGTTAGGGCAAGCGATATAGTCCTTCATTATATAAAATTGGTATTATTTTGAGAAAATTTAACATTTACTACAGATGATTATTTGCTCGACTACTTCAAACTATATTTTATTTTAATTATTTTGATACGAAATGATAATAAGGTGCATAAGCAGGCCCAGGAGAAGAGTTTTTGATCATTTGACTTTGCCTTTCAGTGTTTGGCATTACTGCTCTCGGACTTCTATCTCTTACAGATTCTGTGTTCGGTGTATATGCTCCTGGCCCTGGGGCTTTATTTTTGTCCTCTGCTTTTCTTGGAGCGGTTCCAAAAGAATACCCATTTCCTTTATTGAATTCGCTCTATATATCTTTTACATAAATTTCATCCCCTTGATGGCTCTGACTTCTTCTTGACTTATTATTTTTAACAGTTTTCTTTTCTTCCGTTTTTCCACTCTCAATATTTCTTCTAGGAGATTTATACTTAATTTGAAGAGTTCGACGACGTTGGAGACATCGGGTTAGCCAAGAAGGTGCTGATTTTCAAAAATATGGAATGCAATAGAAGGAAAATTTGTTTAATTTAAGCAAAAGCTTTGCTTAGATAGAATAGGTGATCTTGCAAAGTATTATTTTGGACTAAAGGACTTTTTTATATATAAAACTAAATCAGAATTAAATAGCATTTTAATTTAAGATAGGAATGATCTCTTGGAGATATATTTGATAAAACAAAATGCATTGCCGTCCTCGATAAAAAAATGTCTTGGTCAGACTAAAAATACTTTGCAAGATTAGCCATTCAATCTATGCAGAGCTTTTGCCTAAATTAAAAAATTTTCATTCAATTGCATTTCCATATTTTTGAAAATCAACATCTTCTTGGTAAGCCGATGACTCCAAGTGCGTCGATCTCTTCATATTCAGTATAATAGAATTTTCTAATAAATAAGCAGTGGATAAATGCTTACCATAGTTTTCTTTTTCCTTTCTCTCTCATATTTCTCTGATCATCACTTCCAAGATGACCTTAAAATTTTCCTTAAAATTCTTACTTTTTCCTAATTCATATATATTTGCGTACACCTCTTCAAGATCATCAATAATGCCTGCTGCACTTAGTTTTGATATAGTCTCAGGTATACTGACTTTTTTTAAATTGTCCAGTAGGTTTACAATCCATTTAATGCTTATAAGCCTTATAAAAATGGGATAATTCATAAAACTTGTTAATCTCTTTTCTTATGGTATCGCTAACCCTTTCCGCCATTTACAAATTGAATGAATTCTACTCCAATAAAGACGCAGCTGTATAATTCAGATGAAGAATTGCATATTCTGACACCAATTCCACAACGAGTAATGACTCCTCTAACATCTCCGTTTACTCAATCAATTCTTAAATTGTCTCCAATTAGGGCATTTGCATCGCCTCAGTCCAACTTCAACCAATTGTAAATTTCAAATAGAACTTTCACCCCTAAAACCCTTTGGGCTTCATTGGGAAACTTGTCTCCAATATGCCAAGAAGTGGCTCGTCCAGATCTTCTAGCTACTACGACCCGGTTTATTCAAAAATTGGATTTTTCAAAGGTACTGGAAGGATCTGCACGTTTCAAAGCAAACTCTATTGCAGTTGAAATCAAAGTTCATGATGACGCTAACGATGAAGGAAGTCTATTGGCTTCTCTATCTAACTGCAAGCCCAAAAAAAGGCCAAGAAACCCAGGTAAAACTGATAAAAAAATTTGCTGCAACTGCTCAAAATCTAGATGTCTGAAATTGTATTGTGACTGCTTTAAAGCAGGGACTTATTGTGAAGGCTGCAGCTGCGTAGACTGTTATAATATACAAGAGCACGAAAATATCAGGGTTAGCGTAATTAACGCGATTTTAGAAAAAAACCCGACTGCTTTTAAGCCGAAGATTAAAACTGTATCTGTGAAAGGGGAGCAAAAAGAAATGCACAATACTGGGTGCCATTGCAGCAAGTCTGCATGCTTGAAGAAATATTGCGAATGCTATCAGAGTGGCATTTTGTGTGGGCCCAGCTGCCAATGCTTCGGGTGTATGAATACGATACAAAACGAAGTGAAAAGAAAAAACACACAGGTTTTTAAAGTAGGGCAGCTATTCCGTAACTAATTATAAATTATCAAATTAATGGAATTCATTTATTTGACTTATTTTGCATTAAGAAGTAAAATCGCATATCCACACTAATAAGTTTTAGCTTTCTGATTGAATATTAATATTAATAATATTATTTGCTCTATTCCACAAGAAATAGCATTGCTTAATCTTTCCATATTTCTATTAAGTCTCTTTTCATCTCCATCTTAATTTCTGGCTGAAACTATTTAATAAATAATGCAATCAATCATTGGAGTTATCAAGCACAATCTGCTTCAAGCCATTCAAGCTGCAGTCCCAGTTACTGAGCCTATCATCGTAACACCAGCAGCTGCAAAGTTCAAAACAGACTTCATCTCCCCAATTGCATTGGCTATCTTCAACAAACACAAAAAAGAAGGCTGCTTTGGCTTTAAAAATCCTCAGGAATTAGCTCAAGCTATAAGCTCGCATATCACCCAAAATGAAGTAATTCAATCAATTGAAGTTGCTGGAAATGGCTTCTTAAATATCCACATTCAGCCAGAGTATTTAGCTAGTCTTATCCACAGTATCTCAGCTTCAGGGAAACTGCAAGTAAATTTAAACGTTGAAAGACAAAAAGTCCTAGTTGATTTTTCAAGCCCAAATATAGCCAAAGAAATGCACGTGGGCCATTTAAGGTCAACTATTATTGGAGACGCTATATGCAGATGTTTAGAGTTTTTAGGCCATGAAGTGCTAGCTTCTTTAGATTAGAGAGGAAAACATTTTGCTCGTTCACGGAGATGGGCTAATTTGCTTTTTTAAAATTAAAATTTTTTATTTTAAAAAATCCCAATTACAAATTTTGGAAAGGAAAAATTTATAAAAGTTATGTTTTATGATATAATCTGTATAAAATTTAATGGAATTAACTAGCGACTTCGCTATAATAAATTATCATTTATATAACAATCTATTTTATAAAACAATGTCATGATTGCTCAAGGGAAAGGAATAAGAACTAATCATCTTGGAGATTGGGGAACTCAGTTTGGGATGCTTTTAACCTACCTTAATGACACTTATCCAGACTGGGAAACCAATGCTCCTGATATCTCAGACTTAGAGACCTTTTACAAAGCAGCAAAAGGAAGGTTTGACCAAGAGCCAGAATTCAAAGAAAGATCAAGGTTAAAGGTCGTCGATCTTCAAGGAGGCGAGGAAAACGCAATAAAAGCTTGGAAGTACATCTACAAAGTATCAAGGGATTACTTGCAAATCATTTATGACCGCCTTGATATCAAAATCGAGGATTGTGGAGAGAGCTTCTATAATCCAATGCTCCCAGGAATTACTCAAGAGTTAGTAGAAAAAGGGTTTGCAGTTCAGTCTGAAGGCGCGCTGTGCTTCCATGTGCCTGGCTTTGAATTGCCTTTAATGGTTCAAAAGTCCGATGGAGGTTATGGATATGATTCTACAGATTTAGCAGCTGCCAAATATAGACTATTAGATCTAGGCGTGAAAAGAGCAATCTATGTTACTGATATGGGCCAAAATCCTCACTTCTTGACCATTTTTGAAGCGGCAAAACTTATAGGCTGGCACAGGCCACCAGAAACTCGTATGGATCATGCTGGGTTCGGGGTGGTTTTAGGTGAAGACGGCAAAAAATTCAAAACCAGATCAGGAGAGTCCGTAAAGCTAATCACCTTACTAGATGAAGCCCACAGCAGAGCGAAAGAGCAGTTACTTAAAAGGTCAAATGAGCCAGAAATCGGCCAGCAAACCCACTTAAACCCAAGCGACTTTGAAAATGCAGCAGAAGCGATTGGAGTTTCAGCAATAAAATATTACGATTTAAAGCAAAACAGGATCTCAACTTATGAGTTTTCATTTGATAGGATGCTTGATCCTAGAGGAAACACAGCAGTTTACTTGATTTACGCATATGCAAGAATCTGCTCAATCTTGGATAAGGCAGGGCAAGAAGCCGTATCTGCAGCATTAGGAAGTCCTTGCATACTTACAGCGTCACAAGAGAGGGCATTAGCTTTATGGATTTGCAGGTTCCCAGATACACTTGAAACAGTCATTGAAGAACTGTCATTGAATAAGCTCTGTGATCTAATTTATGAAGTCACTACTAAGTTCTCAGAGTTTTATTCTAATTGCAAAGTTATTGGGAGCCCAGAGCAAGCTTCAAGACTGCAGTTGTGCTTGGCTACAAAATTCATGCTACTTGAATCTTTCACACTTCTTGGAATTAAGCCTTTAGAGAGGATTTAAATAAGAAAGGTTAGGTTTTGTTAAGTTATTAAAAGTCAGGCGTTAGCCATATTGGTGACGCAGTCATCAAAGGCCTCGCGTACGGAAGTTTCTACCTCCAGAGGGTCTGTGTCACTTCCGGTACCTTCTATCTCCTCCTGCCTTGAGGCTTCAGTCTTGAGTGTGTCTTATGAATTTCTGTGGCCTGCTACAGGCGATTGGAGCAGCTTGATTCCAAGGATTAACTCCTTGAAGTCTATCGGGTGCTGAAGTGCCTTCCTTCGACAGCTACAGGAAAAAGACTACTCCCCTGTGGCCTGAGCCGAAGCCCCCAGTTTCTCGGTAGAGGAATTTCCATGAGTCCTCGGATCCAAAGGATGTTGTTGAGCATCTTCATTTCCAACTACAGGAAAGCAGCCAAAACCTACCGGATACACATCTCTTGAGTCTGCACTTAATTCTCGGCAGGGTCCGTCCCAGTTCGCATGGTCATAATGTCCGACTATTACACCAAGAGGGCAGATTGGCACATTTCGCCATTTTAATGTATTAAAATATAAGAAAGATAATAATCAAAATAAAGATCTCAATTAAAAAATGGGTAAAAAATTAGAGAGTTAAAGATATTAACCACAATTTCTACTTAATAAGTATGCTTTATTGAATAATGTTTAGTGATATTAATCATGATTTTTCTCATTTCTCTTACTTTCAAAACTAATATGTCATACATCAGTTGTAGGAATTAGAGGTAATGATATGTATTTTTTTAGCGGCACTCCACCTCTTAAGACTTTACTATAAAAATCGATAGCATCTATTTTATTTAATGGTGATTTCATTACTGCGAATTTTGATTTTTTCAGTCCTATTGATACTAAAGTAGGAAATGAAGATATCCCTAAAACTGCTTCAAGTTCAGAAAATTGATCTTGCTCTGCTCATAAGAAATTCATGCTGTGTGCTCGTTCCCTAGTTGACAAGTCATATAATATATCAATAAAGTCAAACCTATCTTCTAAATCACTATTGCGCAAATTTGGAATAAAAGCTATCATACAAATAGATTCCCTGCAAGAGGTTTCAAATTGAGATTGACTCACTATCTGAGGTATCTTTGGTTGGTATTTTGATTCATCATATTTGTCTTGAACAATCGTGATTATTTCTCCAGGGATAATTGAGTTTATCTCAAACTCAAAATTTTTCTTCCTCCATCCCTTTAAATTAGAACAAAAAACTGGTAGCATTTTCATGTTTTGGGTACTTTAACCCTACTTTAAATTTGAATAATTTTTTTTAATATGAAAATTTTATCATTGAAAGTACTACTTTTTATAAAACTAGTGTTGACCTAATATAATATACCAAATGCAAGGAAAACATTTTTGAACATTTTCACGCTGAATTGATTAATTTTTATCTATTTAATTCTTCATAAAAAAAAATAAATCAATTGGGCTCAATTTATTTCTTTTTAAAGTTTAAAAAAAAATTAAGTTGAAAAATACAAATTTCCCACACTGAATCGATTAATTTTCTTAAACTATTTCTCAATTTTTATTCTTTTAAATTTTAAAAAATGTTTTTAAAAATTTGTTTCAACCCAATTTAATAAAAAAATGCAAGAATAATGTCATTTAAATAAGTTTTACGCTGAATCGATTAATTTTTTTATATAATTCTTCATAAAAATAAATTAAAATTCAAACTATTGTGTTCAATTTATATTTCTTAAAAATCCTAAAAAAAAATTTTAAAAAAATAGATGAAAATACTAATTTTTATGAAATTAATTTTGACCTATTTTATTGAAGAAAGTACAAATAGAATGTTATATAATTAATTTTCACGCTGAATCGATTAATTCTTTTAATTATTCTTCATAAAAATAAATTAAAATTCAAATTATTCACTCATTTACTCATTTACGATTTTACAAATTTTTTATAGAAAAATTTAATAATAATTTTATTAAAAAATTAACTCTTCTAAATCGAAATAGGATTTTCCAATTTAAAGTGGGGGAGTTAAGCAGTTTTAGTGAAGGAAATTGTGTAATTTTATTTTTTAAGACATATTGAGGATTCAATTCTGCATCAACCTTTGCTACATTAACCTGGTCTTTGAAAAACGCAGCTATTCTAGGTAACTGGGCATTTAATTTCTGAGAAACCTCTCCGTAAGATTTATAGAAGCAAATGAGTCACATTTGTTCACTTTGTAGTACTTCCTCAATCTGTTTGTCATTATAAATTCACATATTATTTTCTATTTGGCCAGGCTTTGCATTATTGAAAGTATTATCATCTTTAGGCACTTCTACATTTTTTTTAATTATCTGCTCAGGTTTTTGATTTGAATTTTGTAAATTCGCTTTTTCCTGGATTTTTGGAGGCTCACTTGGAGGCTGCGGCTTATTTTCAATGCTAAGTTTCTCAATTTGACTGATTGCGAACCTATAAGCCTCTTTCATGTTATCTTCAAATTTTTTACCAGGATAATAATTATTTGGAGGCTGAGATTTATCAATTCCAAAAAACTTAATAGTAGGATAATAACTTCCCTCTATGAAGATGTAAAAGCATTTGAAAAATCCCTTCTATCAGGGTAAAACTACCCTCGTTAATAAGCATTTTTTATAATATTCTGATATATATATCTTTAAATTTAGAAAAAAATAATATCAAAATTTATATATCAAGGAAAAAAAAACGACTCCTCAGTAGCAAGCATTGTGGGGGTAAGTTACTCCATAGCGGGAGCCAATTGATTGATCATCTGTCATGTCAACTATTCCAAACCTGACTTTCCCCTTATATTCTTCTGCTGCCTTATTTCATTTAGGCGCTAATCTTTGGCTTTTTTGGTCATTTGCTGATATGAAATTGATAAACCAAATATCAGTAGACTTCAAAACTTCTTCATCAAAGTTATTTCTGCTTAAAACTTCAACATATGGGCTATCAAAATAAGAAGCTGCTACTAAAAGAGCTGGCAATGAAAGAAGCCAAGTCAATCCCATTTATTTATCTAAATATAGTTATAATTTTGCTTAATTAAGCTTACTAATTTCATTCCCTGATAGTTGGTTGATAAGAGTGTAATGCCATGACTGATGTAGATCTGGGTTCAATGAGAGTGAAAGCAGGACTATAAATAAGACAATTCCAATTATGTAAGCAGCTGAGATAGACCTTTTGTATGCGTAGCCATAATGGCCTTCATTCATAAAGCCTACATCTGGCAAGCCCATAAAGTTGCAGAAGGCATGAACCAAAATGACAGCATACAAAGATCCAGTAGCTACAAAAATATAGCCGACATAGAATCCGAAAACTGTTGTATAAGCAGCTTGCATCGCAGCTTGCATCACTTTCTGTTGTCTCATTCTCCCGGTGCACTCAAAAGCTTCAACTAGGTGATATAAATGGCTCACACCGAAAATCAATGATGACAGCATTACTGCGCCATAAAACCCAGCTCCACCTGCGATTAAAGCTGTAATTAAAGTTGACCTAAATATCACTTCTTCATAAATTGGCGCAAACACATAGGCACGAAGTGCTTTTAAGTCAAATTCTGTTGTAGATTCTGCCTCATCGAACGCCATTTGGTACAATGGTCCTATAAACAGCACCAAAGTGACTGCACTTGAAGATAAAATCGCAGCATAATTTTTGATAGTGATACCTATGCCTATCCAATGCCACACACTTGGACCTTCTGCTGTTTCAACCTCACTGCTGAATAGGCTATATAATAAAGCAGGCCATAGAACAGTAACTACCCCAATAATTTTGATGCGTCGTAAAATTTCTTTAGGATCATCACGGCTAAGCTTGGACGTCTTGAAAAATGTGATGCATCCTATGAAAACTAGCGGTGTAAAAATAGCCCAGAGGACAGCTTGAAATAGCGATAGAGACAAATACATTTTTTATAAATTATTAAAGTTTATTTAAGCATCACCCCAATCCTCATTGTATCTATAGCCACCTGGAGTTCTTGTGGTCACACCTTTTTCTAGGTCTTTTAGTTTGTTTTCTGCTTTATAGAGGAGATGTTTAGTATTGCTCATGTCTTCTCGGAGCTTTTGGTTTTCTATTTCTAGGCTGCCTTTTTCTTTTAGCGTGTCTTTAAGTTGACTGTGTAGCTCTTCATCTTCAAAATGGCCTTTCGGTGTGATTTCTTGCCTCATCTCCATTTCCCTGATGACTTGGAAATGCATGTTTCTTTCGTTTTTCAGGACTTCTTCTAGTTCTTTATATTTTTGTATTTGGAACTCTGCGTTGCTTTTGACTGCGCTGAGTTCGCTTTGGACTGATCTTAGCTTGCTTTCAGCAATCAGCTTTTCGTTTTCCAAAGCGACAAGTTGCCTCTGCATGTCGTCTTTTGAGTTTTCTATGCTGGCTGCCATATGTCTTGCGTTATTTATTTCTCTTGCGATTATTTCTTTTCCTTCAATAGCTTCTTGGCATCTTTTTTCAGCTTGCTCTAGCTGGTAAGTTAAGTGTGAAATTTGCCTTTCCAAAGTGTTGATTTCTTGCTGATACTGGAATAGTGCATGCTCTTGTTGGGAAATGTGCTGGTGAGCATTTACTAGCTCTTGCTCACAAGCTTGTAGCGATGACCCCCCCCCTCAATCTTCATGTCTATTGCAAACAAAATTTTCATGCCTACTGCAAACAATATTTTTATAAAAAGAATTTAATGATTTTTCTCTAGGTGAGTTTCTCAAAAACCCCATAAAACAGCGCTGCTGTAGGCGTGTCAATGACCTTCTCATCGAGATTTGGACGGCTATTGTCATTGCTCGCCATTTTATTAAACTTATCTAGCTAAAAAGTACAGAAAAATTTAAGATGCGCATCTAAAATTTTGCTGCACGAGGATTAGGATTATTGCAGACAGGCGCTAGCCATATTGGTGACACATTCACCAAAGACTCCCGTGCAGAAGGTTCTACCGCTTTTCGACACCAGCCCAGAGGGTCTATCCCTCTTACGAGTGCCCTTCCGGTACCTTCTGTCTCCTCCTTGCCTTGCGGCTTCAGTCTTGAGTGGGCGGCTTATGGATTTCTGCGTCTCTGCTACGGCAATTGGAGTAGCTTGATTCCAAGGATCAGCTCCTTAGAGTCTATCGGGTGTCAAAGTACCTTCCTTCTACAGCTACACGAAAAAGATTGTTCCCCTGTGGCCTGGGCAAAACCCCCAGTTTTTCGGTAGAGGAATGCCCATGGGTCCTCGGATCAAAAGGACGTTGTTGAGCGCATCTATTTCCAAACACAGGAAAGCAGCCAAAACCTGCCCGGGACTTACACTTCTTGAGCCTGCGTCTGATTCTCAGCTCGGGTCCGTCCCAGTTCGCATTAGCCATAAGGTCTGGAATGCTGCGCCAAGAGGGCAGGCTGACACGTGTCGCCATTTTAATGTATATAATTTGTTGCAAGAGACATGAAAATTATTATTTTTTTTATATAAAATTTTATATTAAAAAATTGCATCTTTGTTGCAATAGACATGAAGATTGAGGGGGGGGGTCATCGTTAGCTTCGCATAGGTGTCTCTTTGTTCAATGGTTGCGACGCTAAATCCTTGTTTTAGCCTTTCATTTTCTTCACAAGCTTTTTTATACGCTAACAGGACGTCTTCTTTTTCCCTTTCTCCAGTCCTCATCATCTGCATCGCCAGTCTTTCGCTCTTAGCTCTTTCTTCATAAGATTGCCTAACATTTTCTTTTTCTTGGCTTAGCTTCATTAACTGCTCATTTACGTATTGGTTTTCTTTACTCCCCCTCGTGAGTGAAAAAAAGTTTGTTCAAGGACTTAATTTTTTTATAAAAATTTATATATAAACTTTATAGTAAATTTTTTTTCAAAATTTAAAAAAAAAGTAATTCGCAAAAATTAGCTTAATTAGTAAATTTATGTTTAAAATGCAAGCTATTTAAAATTAAACAGAATCAACAAAAAGATTTCGTTATAAAAATTATCACTTATAAATAATTTTTTTTTCATATAATATTTTTTATATTAAATTTTACTTAAAAAATAAGATTTTTCTAACGGTTTTGTTTGCTCACAGAGGTGAGAGTTAGTAATGGCCATTACGTGCTCCTGCAGTTCTTGGACCTGTCTCACGCTTTGTGAATACCCTGCTTTGGCTTCTTCAAGCTCTGCTTCGAGATATTGACATTTTTCAGTTAATTTTCTCAATTGGTTTTCTCTTTCATCAATTCTTTTTGCTGTATTTGTATCCTTAAGCTGATACTGGCTTAATGTGTCTTTAAGCTGGGTTATTTCTTTTTGATAATTTGCAATTGAGTGCTCAACAACTGCGATTTCTTCTGTCTTTTGGTCTAAAAGAGACTGAATGTAATCTCTCTCTTGGTCAATATTTTTCAAGGCTTCCTGAAGCCCTTCAATATCGTCTGTTTTTTTCCCTAACTCTTTTTTCAGATCAGCAACCTCAGCTATTAATTGTACTCTTTGGTCTTCATCAGAAGTTCTTGCTTGATTGACATTCTGTATCTTTTTAACTAAATCATCTCGTGCTCTTTCTAAATTTGCAATCAGGCTTTTAAGCTGTGCATTTTGTTCAGCTAGTTTAAGATTGTGATTTTTTTCTGCTTCTAAAGTATTTTGGGTATGCTTTAAGTTGTCTTCAGTTCTAAATTTGTTGGCTTGTTCATAGCTAAGCTGTCTTCTAAGTTCTTCAGCTTCTAATTCGCTCTGTATAGCTCTTTCTTCTAGTTTTAATTTTTCATTTTGTGAGAAGGAGTCATTGCTTTGAATAGAGTTGATCCTTACTTTTAAGCTTTCGACTTCTTTTTCTGCTAATTCTTTTTGGTCTACTGCTCTTTGGCTGATTTTTTGAATTCCTTTTATGGCTTCGCTTGATTTCTTGAGCTCAGATTTCAGTTGTTCAATTTGTCTTAACTCCCCCCCCCCTCCGTGAGTGAACAAAAAAATTTTGTTTCACTCACGGAGGGAGGCTAATTTTTTTTTTTTAAAAAAAATTATATATAAATTTTATAAAAAATATTTTTTTTCGAAATTTAAAAAAATCCTAATTCGCAAAAATTGGAAAGCAAGTATTAATTTAATTTATAAAATTTATGTTTTAAAAAGCAATTCGTTTAAAATTAAACAGAATTAGCTCTAGATTTCATTATACTAATTATCATTTGTATATCAAAATTTTTTTTCAATAAAAATTTTTGTTCACTCACGGAGGGTGGGTTTTTGGGCAAAAAATGGCGATTTTTCTAATGATTTTTGTTCACTCACGGAGGCGGGGGGAGTAAGCACTCTCTTTCGCGCTCTCGGCTGTCATTAATTTGCTGCTTTAGTGCACCTGCTTCAGATTGAGCATACTCAGCTTGCTTAATGTTGGCGCTCAGCATTTGGAGTTCAAGTTCAGCTTTTTCTAAAGCATCTTGTAAGAACTGTTTTTGACTCTGAAGATTTTCTACGAAAATGTGAGAATCATTGAGATCTCTATCTTTTGATCTGATTTCTAATTCAAGCTGCTCTATTTGCTTTTGGAGTCTCGAAGATAGTGAGTCACGAGATAAAGTTTGCTGCTTTAAGCCTTGGTTTTCATCTACAACTTGCAAATATTTTGCTTTTAAGGGTCTTAGCTCTGCCAACTCCTGCTCAATTGAAGTTTTGAAACTTGTTAATCTTCGAATTTCTTCGAGCTTCTCAGCTAGTTCATCTGAAATATTTTGGCGTTCTCTTTGCTCAGCTCTTACATTATTCATTGAAGCCGCAAGCTGATTGTTTAAGTCTCTATTTCTGTCTTCAACCTCTAATATCGCTTGTCTATCCTTTTCTCTCAATTTTATTAAATGCTGGTTTTCGTCTTTTAGATTATTTAATTCTTTTTGGGTTCCTTCATATAAAACTTGCAATTTCTGTTTTTGAGCTGAATGAGAGTCAACTTCGGTTTTGCTTTTGAGTGTTTCTCTGCGCAATTCCTCTAATTGTTCTTCTGCAGCTCTTCTCATCTTATTGGCTCTTTCCAGCTCATAATTCAAAGAGTCAAGCTCTGATTGCAAAATATTTTTTTGGCCTTCTAGAGCTGACAATTTTTGGCGAAGTGCGTAGGATTCTTCAGTAGTTGAAATATGGTCTTTATTTATTTTGGAAAACGATTGCTGATTAGTCTCGATCTCTCTCCTTAAATTCTGATTTTGAACTTGGTACATCATAAGCTGATCTTTATAATTTTTTATGCAGTTTTATGATCAATATCAGAGATTTCTAAACGAGAATATCTAATTTTTTTAAATAAAAAAATGGCTAAATATCATAAGCAAAGATAGATCTCTTAAGCATTCGTTATAAGAGCCTTCTAATTCTTTCAATTGTTCTTTCAGTCTATTTCTTTCAATATCGATTTTTTCGATGGCTTCTGTATAAGCTTTTTTATCAGAGTTATAAGCCGCTCTTAATGAGTCGCTTCTGCTGTTCTCCTCCTTAAGCCTTTGATTTTCAAGCTCCATCGTCTTTACTTTATTCGATAAATTTTGAATTTCTAGTGCCATTTCACTCTGTTGGTTCAAATTAGGAGACTCTAAATCAGCTCCCAGCTTTTCCAGCTCTGCTAATCTTTGTCTTAAAGCTTGATTTTGGTTTCTCATCTGGCTTAATGACTCTGCTATATGCTTATTTTCTTTTTCCATTGTGAAGAACTTCGCTAATGATTGCTTCGCGCTGTCAAGCTCCTCTTCAAGTCTGATGTTTTCTTGGTTCAAATAGTCAATTCTTTCGTTCAAATTTTGCATTTGCCCAGAAACCACCATTTGTTGGTGCTTTGCTGCCAATTGGTCGACTTTAACATCAGTAACTGAGCTTAGTCTTGCGATTTCTTGGTTCCTTATTTCAATTTGCTGCTTCAGTCTTGAGTTTTCGTCTTCTAATAGTGATTTATTTCGGCTTAAATTTTCCAATTCTTCTTGGAATCTATGAGCTCTTTCATCAGCTGCGCGCAATTCGTTGGCCCAGGTTTGGTCAGGTCTCCTGAAATCTTCGACTTTTGCACTGCCATTTAGTGGCTTAGACACTTCAAATCCTTGGACTCTCCCCATAATGTTTGATTCTGGATTGTTTTGGCTAGTAATTCCTTTTCCTGCATAAGTTTTCGACATGACTGTGTCTAGCCTGGTCTTTAATTTTACATTTTGCTGCTCCATATGTCGAAGGTCGTCTTTTAGCTTGTCAACGAGGAACAGCAAGTCAGTTTTTTCAGCTTCAATCTTCTTGGCTGAAGCCCGCCATTGGTTGCTTTTTAAGTCAGAGTCTTCTTTAATTGTCATCATGTTTAAGTGCAATTCATTGTTTTGCTTCTGGAGTCTTGAAATTTCGCTTTGCAGAGGAGCTAGAGATTCGTTGGAGCTTTTTAACTTTATGGAAAGCTCATTGTTGATTTTTTTAAGCTGTTGAAAGCCTATAGTCTGCTTTATCACGTCTTCGAGAAGTCGTTCAACCAAAGCAGCGGACTCAAGACCAAGAGGCTCGCAATAATGGAATTGGTCGAGTTTCTTTTTGAGAGCTAAATAGAAATTACTCTGAAATTTTCTTTCTGCAATGACATCCATTTTTTAAAATATTAACCTTAGAATAGCTGATCGAATTATGAAATCAATTTAAGTATTGTGCTATTTAAACTTTAGCTTCAGCATTAGATGAATCTGAAAGTCATAAACCTGCAGACTTATATATAACTGGTCTAGTGGCACTAAAGCGTTTACTTTCTACTTTATGATTAACGATAGCTCATGCATTGTCTTATTAACAGATGTAAATTTATCAGATCCTTTTTAGTGTCTCTTGTTTTAACAAATCAAGCAGAATAAATATTTCCTAACTCCCCCCCCTCCGTGAGTGAACAAAAAAATTTTTGTTCACTCACGGAGGGGGTTAATTTTTTTTTTTTTAAAAAAATTTATATATAAATTTTCTAAAAAATTTTTTTTTTGAAATTTAAAAAAATCCTAATTTGCAAAAATTTGAAAGCAAAATATTAATTTAATTTATAAAATTTATGTTTTAAAATGCAATTCATTTAAAATTAAACAGAATTAGCTCTAGATTTCATTATATTAATTATCATTTATATATCAAAATTTTTTCCATAAAAAATTTTTGTATTAAAAAAATTTTTGTTCACTCACGGAGGGCGGGTTTTTGGGCAAAAAATAGCGATTTTTTCTAATGGTTTTGTTCACTCACGGAGGGGGGGGAGTAAGTTCCGTATTTCTTTTAAAAGTAATTAATACTCATATGCAGATGTTTTGAGCATATTCAAAACTCCAATTCTCTAAATAGCCAAATTTTAATTTGTCCAGTATTATCTGTGCCCATTTTAATGCTTCTACTTGAAGAACAGTGTTACAAAGATCTTGTTGTTAGAGCTATTTGCACCTTCCTTGCTCATTTTTATGGTATAAATGAACAGGAATCGATTTGCAAACTTTAACGAAGAAGGCGTCCCAGAGGTAGTGCTCGAGGTTGAAGAAACAAGTGAAATAGACGATTCAGTTTCTGTAAGTTACGCAAGTATTATGTGATGCAGTGGGATTTTAATTTCTTTTATTTTAGGATGTGTATGTTTAGCAGAGTACCCAGATATTTATGAAATCAACCCTGACGTATGCATGTTTACTTTGTTTTATATGTGTGCAGAAGGAGTATCTGCGTTAATATCAATGTCTGCATTGAGCTTTTGCTGGGCTTGCACTGTATTAAAAGGATCTCCTGGGAGATGCAGCGATTATGTTGGCTTATTTTCTGTGATAACAATGAGCTTATCAAACATCGCTCATCTTCTTGCTATCGTCATTTCTCCGATTTTGCTTTACAAAGCTGATGACATCCCAATTATTTTTGACGTATTCATAACATACCAATTCGCTTTTGCATTGTATGCATTGAGTCGGTTTTTCAAGATTTCGCATGAGGAAAAGCATTTTATGAATCCTGTTATTTCGGAAAATATTAGGAAAGCAGAGACTGAGATTAAAGAAGCTAGGTCAAGATCAAGCTCTTTACAAAGTGAATTCTCTGTTTATATGGCAGAAGTTGGGGGAAGGGCAACGAGATCGACTAGCAATTATGTAGGGAGAAAAGAAATTGATCCTGAATTAAAAAGAGAAAGGTCAGTTTCGACTGGAACTTCTAATATTGTATTAAAAATTCCGACAAAAGCTGTCGAAGGAAGTCCTAGTAAACTTACATTAGCTAGATAAGAATGTATGAGAGAGTAAATAATATTTAATAATAATTTGTAAAAGAAGCGACTCTCTAACTCCCCTCCCCCCCCCCCTCCGTGAGCGAACAAAACCATTAGAAAAATCGCCATTTTTTGACCAAAAAAACCCACCCTCCGTGAGTGAACAAAAATTTTTTTAATAGAAAAAATTTTAATGGAAAAAAATTTTGATATATAAGTGATAATTAGTATAATGAAATCTAGAGCTAATTCTGTTTAATTTTAAACAAATTGCGTTTTAAAACATAAATTTTGCAAAATTAGGATTTTTTTAAATTTTCGAAAAAAATATTTTTTATAATAAAATTTATATATATAAATTTTTTTTAAAAAAAAAAATTAACCCCCTCCGTGAGCGAACAAAATTTTTTTTGTTCGCTCACGGAGGGGGGGGGGGGGACTAAGCCAAATTTTAATACTTAATTTTTAAATAAATTCTCAAAATGAAATATTTTATACTTAAAATAGTAAATTTATCAGAAATGCAAAGAAACATTGATGAATTTTTTGGACTGAAAGGCAGAGCAGCGAACCCTAACCAAAACAGACAACAAAATAGCGACCCCCCAAATCGGTATACAAATCCTAGACAAAATTATCATCAAAATGATGCAAATTTAAGATTACCGCATCATACTGCGGGTTTATGGAGAATGGTAAAACCGAGACTTTTATTAATTGCCACTAATACTCCCCTTTGATTAGTGAGCAATAATTTGAAAATTTTTAAAAACGAAATAATATGAATTATCGAGCAAAATAATCTTGCTTGCTAATCAAGAGGGAATAAGCAAAAAAACACAGTAGAAGACATGCTCGAATACATATGCGATTTTATTGTAGAAACAAGGCTAGCCTATCGAAATACTATTAACATTGAGCTACTTGTACGAATATTTAGTGAAAATGAAGCGGAAATGCTAGATTTATTAGCGAAAATTGCTGAGTACGCGTTAGAAGTCGAATTTCTATTTAATCAACCTGTGAGGATACTCAGAAAATATCAAACAGTGACAATCGATTTATCACAAAAACAAATTAGATGCCTTCTTGCTCTTCAATTCTGGTGCTGTTTGCCAAAACAAGAAAATTATTTAGACCTTCCTAAAGAATACACATTTTTCAAAGTTTTTGGAGCCACTCAAGATCGAAATGACAGTCAAATCGCTAAACTAAAATGCTTATTCAATTACTTCCGCAGATCTAAAACTGCATCTGAAAGGGTAAAATTGTCATTTTTAAGACGATGTCTAGAATTTACGCCTGATTGAAATGAAAGCCGATCTCAAATGAGCAATCTAATCATTATTGAAGAACAAAACTCAATGGAAGATTATCGAGACAAGCTTATGATAGACTTTGCTAATGCTTATATTGGTGGCGGAATATTATCTACTGGCTGTGTTCAAGAAGAAATTATGTTTGCCAAACATATAGAGCCCATCGTGGCAATGCTTTTTACTGAAAAATTAGAAGACAAAGAAGCTTTGATTATAGTAGGAGCTCAAAGATACAATGAAACTTTAGGTTATAAACAGTCATTTGAATGAATAAGAAATTTCAATGAAGATCTCTCTTATGACAATAATGAGAGAATTGATTCTTACATTGTTTGCATTGACGCTTGCAATTTTGCAGGAAATGTTTATCAGCAGTATTTTCCGAAATTTGTAGAGAGGGAGTTAAATAAAGCATTTATTGGGTTTATGGGAGATCCTGGTGATATGAAATGAAGAGATATTGTAACTGGGAGATGGGGATGTGGAGCGTTTTATGGAAATGAACAATTAAAATTTTTGATCCAATGGGTGGCTGCTTCTGGAGCAGGAAGGAATATGTATTTCCTGCCTTGGGAAATGAAGAATGTGGAGCAGCTGCTAGAATTCAAAGAATTGGTACAAAATATGCAAGTTTCAGAAGTTGCACAAGCAATTTTAAAATTAGGCGTCAATGCTGAGCATGGAATTTTCAACGAAGTATTAAGGATATTAAGATTGATTTAAAATTTTATAAAATTAAAGAAATTACCTTTAAATATTATTCATAAAAAATAATAGCTCATAAGAAACTGTATTTGATGAAAGTCCAAAAATTGTTTATATTACATTTGATTAAGCTCAAGGATTTGATATGAAGCTGTAGCATGGTTGATGTCATTAAATTTCAAGCTTTGAATTACATATTCTTGCGGAAATCCGAAATCCAATATAGTAAGCTGATATAACTTTATAATTAGAAATTAAAAAAAATATTAATTTATTATATAAAAAGTGCTAGCTATTTGCTACACTTGGTATCATATAAATCCCTTACTCCCCTTAGGAGCAATAAAATTTATGACTTTTAAGGATAGGAGGCAGGCTTTGCCTACTACTTAGTCTTCTCTCATAGGACCATCGGGGTATCTAGCAGGTCTGAAATCCAAAAGATTATCTCAATGGGAAGTCTGCCAAAATGGGTGTTTTATTTTTCCACCGAAGGCTTTCCTGTCCATCCGGTGAGCTGACAGGTTTTGCCTCCCACTTAGTCTTTGCTTATAACGAATAATAGGACATCCGATAGAGATCGCTCTAACCTAAAGCATTTATTGCTTCCAGCGAATAAGGGCCTGCAATTGCTACCCGGAGGGTTATAAATTTTGTTCCAATTTAAAGGGTGGGAAATGTTCATAATCCTGGCGCCCCGTCTCCAAAGAATTAAAGCGGGGGAGTTAGTATAATTTTGTATATATCCTATTCTCATCAATCCGTTGAGGCTGCAGAGAAGATCCAGTAAATTTAGGTAATGACGTATCTTCATATCAGTCTTCAGGATCTTGAGTTCCAAACCAGGCATGAGCTTTCATTTCTTCCAGAGAAATTCTTAGGTGAGGTATAGGATTTAGCATTTTGCCTATCAAATCCTGAGCTTCCTTTGATAAATGCACAGGTATACTATATTTGCACCTTAGAATTAATTTTTGTAAATCAGGCATAGTTTTGGCTTTAAAAGGTACCGTTCCACAAAGCATGGCATACAGCAATACTCCCATACTTCAGAGGTCAACATAAAATGGATCATATTCAGTGTCAGCAATAATTTCTGGGGGCAAATATGCTGGCGTCCCACACTGCTCACTTATCATTTCTCCATCTCTTGCAATTCTGCTGACACCAAAATCGCATAGTTTTACCAATGTTAGGTCAGCTGATAACAATATATTGTCTAGCTTTACATCTCTATGAATAACATTTTTTAAGTGGCAAGCTTTTACAGCATCAATTACCTGACTAAAAATTTTTTTAGCTTCTGATTCGCTTAATCTTCCTTTTGATTTGACAAATTGCAATAGATCTCCTCCACCGGAGTATTCCATGACTATCATCAAATGCCGCTTTGATTCGAAAACTTCTAATAGCCTAATCACATTTCTATGCTTAATTTTTTTCATCACAAAAACCTCTTGAAATAGATCAAGCTGAAACCCCATCCCTCTCAATATCAAACTACCTAGTATTAATAATAAGAAATATAAGAGAAAGCGCAGTATCTTGGAATCTAAACTATTAAAAGCAATTAGAGAGCGCTTACACATATATTAATTAATTAATTATTTTGCGACATTCGCTGTCACAGCATGGGCAAGGGATTCGAACCCATGCATCAGCATCCCTGAAAGACCCCAGCAGACACCTTCCCTCTGCTACAGGAGAGTCTTGCACAACAGAATTGAGCACTTAAAGCTTATTTCCCAGGACACATTTCCTAGTATCGTTTTAGACACATACATCTTGCGGACTGTGGGAGTTATCGCTCTACCCAATCAGACCGTCCCTTTCCATGAACTACAGGAGGTAAAAAAAATGTCCCAAGATTAGTTCCTTGAGGTACGAGAAAAACCTATACCTGATATACACCAAGATTAAGATTAAAGGCGTAAATTATTTCCAGATTTGATATATCCGCGCGCTTGGGACCACCTTAATCTGCTAGTCGGAGGCGTTAAATCGCGTGCAACCTGTTTCAACAGTGGTCTACTCCTGGGACTGGGGCTTGCATAGATATCCTGAGTCTCGATGAATTAGAAAGACTCCTTTTGCTTCACGTCTTGCGGATGCTATGGGGAAAAGGCTGCTCGATGCCTCATGTCGTCAGCCTTGATGGGAGGTGGCACCTAGTTAAAAAGAACACCGCCCTCCGGAGCCTTCAGGGAAAGAACTTGTGGTCCCAAAAACATCCAAATAACTAATACATGGGCTGTAATCGCCACAGCTGACTCCCAAAGTTTTCCACTCCATACGGCCTCTCTAGGCAAGCTAAGGTTTAGGATTAAGAGTCTAGATCTTAATTTAGACAATAAAGCCATTTTGGCCACCAGAGTGGTGTGTTGTCATCAAGGGCATACCTATTCGCCTCCGCCATATTAATTATATGTACACCAAGGATGTAGGGTCAGCTTTTCAGCTTTGCTTTCCCATCTGGGTGTTCCCTGCAAGTGTTGAGAGAATTGCTCCAATAGGTCGGGTCGTTTCCACCATATTAATGTATATTACACATATATTGAATATTTCTATTTCATTTCCTTGTATAAAATGGTAAAAATTTTTAGACAAATAAATAAGAGATTTAATAGAGAAATAGGCTTGATTTCACTTTCTTATCTCATTTAATTCATGAGTCCAGCCGAATTCGATAGAAACAAATAAATCAATTCAAGTGTAATTATCTATCATAGACATTTACAAAATCTATAATCGATAGTGCTAAATTAATTTGTTTTAACAAATTGGCAGTTTATATAGTTTATTTTTTATATATAAAACGTTATATGTCTGATTTAAATTTAATACCCAAACTTGTTAGCTATAGAAAAATTTTGCATATGGCGGAGATATCAAATAAAGTAGCTAATATATGTTTAAGTTTATAAATTCATTTTAATAGAAAAGAAGTGAAGATGCTGTAATATCTCTTTTATTTCTTATTATCAAGATTAGATAGTTTGGTATTGAAGGACGTGGGAGGTTGGGGTTGGTTTCATGCTTGACCAGAAATACTTTTCTTCTTATTCTTTCATCTTTGATATAAGAGGTACTAAACATCTTAATGGCTACTTTATATCCAGTAAGTTTATGAGTTCCTATCTTCCCAGAGCCAATAGAAAAATCCTTATTTCTACAAAAATTTGGAAAAATTCTTTTAAATATAAATTGTTTTTCATAAAAAAATTGATACTAATTAATGATTATAAAAAAATGAGATTTCTAGCTAGTTCTATTAAATTTTTAACTGCTTGCATTTAAAGAATTAATATTATGAATCAAATTGACTTTTAATTTCAAGCATTTGCCCTCTATTTTTTTTAAAACTTAAAAAACAATTTTTATAAAGAAAATTATACAAACGGGAAGCATTGTTATTTGGACAGTTAAATTAGTGTCCTATTTTTACTTAAAAAGAAAAAAGAAAAATAGAAATAGCAAGCTACTAGAATTGCTTCTCGTATGTAAAAAGAAAACAAACACATCATTTTTTAAAATAAAAAAACTTAACCCTCTTGATTAACGAGCAAGATTTTTAGCTTACTAATAAAGGGGGATTAAATACACTTTGCCAAATGCCCCTTTTCCTATTTGAGTGCCAAGCTGATAAAAATCAACAGAAGTTACTGGAGGAAGCCCTTTTTTGCGGAAATTTGCAAAAATAGTCTGAATTAAATATTCCCGCTCTTTTTCTTCAGCCTCTAGCTTTGAGATTTCTATCTTTTCAAAACTTGAGCCTAGGCTTGCATTCGGACTGCGTGGGTCATTTTTCGAGTACCCATTTTTTATTGTTTTTTCTTGAGAATCATTCAAAAACCTACTAATCCTATAGTCTTGTGAAATATTTTTAGGTGTCGATTTGTCGTTTAACTTATTTGAGTAAGGGCTTGCAAATATATTATTAGAATCTGCTTTTGGAATATCTGATTTATTTCTTTTATGTCCTGGCTTATTTTTTAAATCAGGTGATTTTGATTTAAATTTATTTTCACACGATTGATCCTTTCTTGATGAAACATTATTCAAAGCATTTCTAATAAATCTTGTAAATCTATTTGTGTATTCTCTATTAAAAATATTTGGCTCTTTAGAGATCCTGGATTTAGGAGAATTGCTTGCTATAAGGCTTCGTTTTGGTGTTGTAGTAGGGCTGACGATCCTTGACCTGCTTTTAGATTTAATTAAAAAATTCAAATAATCCTTCATGACGTTTGGCCTATCTTCATTGTCGAATTGACGAAAATTTGCTGCAGAAAAACGATGATCTCCCATCTATTTTTTTTAATATTTACAATATAATAAATCAGCATAGCTTAATTTAATCAGAAATATAAAGACTCGCAGCAAAAGCAATGTCTCTTTGTACGCTTACACAAGCTAGCCTTGATTTCTCTTTTAAGTCTTGGTCACCTATCACTTCAGCAACTTCAATAAATGTCGTTAATAGATCGTGAACACGTAAAATCCCTCTTACAATGTTTCCTTCTTTGATTGAGGTGATTCCGCAGATTTCAATAAATGGCTTTCCTTGTGCCCACAAATAAACGACTTCTACCATAGAGAGCTTGATGCCGTCTTCATTCATCTCAGACTTAATGCCTAGCTTCTCTTCATTTTCACAGATTTCAGAAACCACAGCTTGGATTCGTTTTAATGGGAAATCTAAGCCTGCAGAAACTTGTGATCAATCTTTGTCTTCCATTTTCGAACGATCTTCAGTTACAAAAACACTAACGGTGGCTGCCAGCTCTTCTGTTGATAATTTTGTAAACAGGCCTTCAAAGATACACTCAGAAATGACGAGGTTGTAAGGATTGTCTATAAGAGCTAAAACTCTTCCTTTTAGCTCAAGTGTAAGAAGGTCAGAGAGATAGTGGTAATTTTTTAACAAATCAATGCGTCGATTAATATCTTGAGGATCTGAGCCTGTTTCAGATTTAGGCTGATTAAGATCACTTTTGTATTTGATTAGATTTAAAGCATTCAGCCAAAGATCATGCCTATTCTTTTTGGTAAAGCAAGGATGGTTTATAATTTTCTTTACCAAATCATCACGTGTGGAAAATTCTGCTGATTGATGATTAAAAATTTTTTTGCTGGGTAAAATAGAATTTCTCCCTTTCAATAGCTCTCTCAAAGCAATTTCCAAGTATTCATCGTCATATTCCATTCTTTTCAAAACACTTATCATGGTTTTCGGCAATTGTGTGCTATAAACTGTAATAACATCAAAAACATTGATATCTTCAATAGAATAGTTTCCACCTGAGAAGCTATTTTTAAAGCTTTCTACCCTTTTATCAATATCAAAAATCAGGCATTTTATTTTTGATCCTTTATTGATCAAAATTCCTGGCAAATTTGCAGTTCTGGGTAGTTTTATTTCTATAAAATTTCCCTCAGCTGGAGCTTTATTCATCATTTGGAAAGTTGTTGATAATTCGTTGACTTTCCTCATCATTCCAATAAATTCAATAAATTGTTCAGCATCGTCTCCTTCTAGTGTTTTCTCTAGCTCTCCACCTTAATAGCAGCAGGCCACTAGAAAATTCTTATTCTTGAGATTAACCAGTCCTTTATAGAGAGCAAAAATTTTTTAATGTAATTTTTTGGGGTATTTTTACATCTGTGGCTAAAGGTTTTCCTAATGCTAATACAGGATAACGGCAACCAGCAGGAATACTTTATTTTCTATATATGTAGGTCTATTTCAATTGATAATAAAATTATTATTATAATAAAATATATTAATTTTTTTACAGTTTGCTTTAAAATATTAAAAATTTTTAAAATTATTTGAAATTTTATTTCATAAATAAAAAAATTAACCTCCCTGATTTAGTACGCAATATTCTTTGCTGTTTAATCAAGAAGGGAATAAAGATTTCATGACCTTTTCTCTCATGATCTGATTTCGAACTTGAGCTTGCGAGTTATTAAACATTGAGTTTTCCAAAAAGCTTTTGGAAATAAGTTCATTCATTGACATTCCTTCAGTATTAAGAACATTGCAGACTTGATTATATCTAATCCTGAATTGACTTTCTAAAGTTCTTGCTTCAGATTTTACAATGGTCTTCAGCTCAGCCAATGGTGGTACTTTTCTTTTGTCCCTAAAGAAATTAATGATATAGCCTTTAGAGTCTTTTCCTCTTCTTCCAGCTCTTCCTGACATTTGAGTATATTCCCCAGATAGCAGATATCTATTGGAATTCCCATCAAATTTTCTGAGTTCACAAAATACGACAGTTTTAGTTGGCATATTTAGCCCCATTGAAAATGTTTCAGTTGCCACCAACACTTTGATGAGTCCTCTACTGAATAAAATTTCAACAATTTCTTTGAGAATAGGCAAGATTCCACTATGATGAACTCCTATTCCTCTTTCAAGCAATTTCAGCACGAATTCAATCTGTGGGAGATGCCTGTCAATAGGGTTAAGTCTATCAAGTGCATGATTAGCAAATGTCATGACGATCTTCCTTTCATCGTCATCAATCAGATCTACACTAGACAGCTTTTCTCCTCTATGGTCTACTTTGTCTCTCGAAAACGCAAAAATCACACATGGAAGCAGTTCTTCGTTCTGCAGTCTAAGAACTAGCTCTTTATATTGCTGGTCTTCTGATTTATAGTACCCTCTTCCTTTATTTTTATTTTTATTTTTGTTTTTGCCTTTTTGCTTATCTTTGGTGTTTAATTTAGACATAACAGTTCCATAAACTCCATCATTTATGACCCCTTGCATATCCACAAACTGATAAAGCTCTCCTTGGGCATAAATCCAGTGTTCTAATGGTACAGGTCTTTGAAAAGTCACTTGGACGTAAACTTTTTGCTGCCTTACACGTCCTACCCAATCAGAAAATTCCATATAGTTTGGAGCTGTAGCAGAAAGCATAACAATTCTTACATGAGGAGGCAAAAGAATTAGCACTTCTTCTCATACAACTCCTCGCTCTGCATCATTAATGTAGTGAACTTCGTCTAAAATTACCCATTCAAGGTCCCTTAGTTTGCTTGATCCCTTATAAAGCATGCTTCTTAGGATTTCAGTTGTCATGATGACGCAAAAAGAATCAGGATCAACGCTAACGTCGCCAGTTAAAATTCCGACTTCTTCAAATGAGTCTTTAAATTCTCTGTACTTTTGATTAGAAAGGGCCTTAATAGGACTTGTATAAATAACTCGGGCTCTTTGCTGCCTCGCCAGAGCTATGGCGTATTCAGCTACGACTGTTTTTCCTGCAGATGTATGGGCTGCAACAAATACGTTTTCATGCTCTTCAAGTCTCATGATTGCTCGCTTTTGAAAGATGTCAAGTTCAAAAGGATAGGTGATCATTAGGACTGGGACTCGTTTAGTGAATTCCTCAACGTTTATATCGTCTTCTATTGCAAAGCCGACGTTTTTCGTTTTTCGGGATCTTATATTGGGAAGAGTTAGATTAAAATCCTCTTTGATTTCTTCTTGTGCTGGAGCAGGAGGCGGGTGCATAGATTGTTCTTGTGGTTTTGGAATATCAATTGGTATGTCTGTGTTTATTTTTTGTGCTGGCTTTACTTGATTGCCATGATCATTTTGATTTGGATTTGATTTTACGACTCATTTTTTAGGATTCTGGCTCTCATTTTCTCTATAAGAGAAGTCTTGGTCTCTTCTTCCATGTTGTCTATTGTTTTGATTTCGCCATCTTCCTCTATTTCCTCTTCCTCGAAATTGTCTTGAGCCTATGATTTCTCTTTCCATTTCTTCAATTTCATCAGTGCGCTTATTTCTATTTCCTCTGTGTGAGATTTTATATTCACTATCTTGAAGCTTAGACTCTGTGTTTCCGAATTCAGTATCAGACATTTATCAGATCTAATTAGAAAATTACTTAGTTTCATAATAAAAATGCTTAATTTTGTAAGACTCTTATCAGGACTTCTCTTATGGTAGATATAATTCTATCAGTGTCCTCGCTTTCAAACTCTTTTTCCCCTTCTTCACCAATTCTGAGACAAAATCTGTTAATTTTATCTGGATGATGGTAAATCGAGCTAATCTGGTCAACATCATATGTCTTTTTGTTTTTTCCTTGGATTATTTCTAATGTCATGATCCCATTATTTTCTTTTTTTAATATTAATTTTGCCTCAGAACTAATAAGCGAAGTAGTATTTAAAACATCAAAAGCTTGATAAAATGACTGAGCTTCACTAATTTTTATTTTAAGCGCAAGTAGCCTTGCAGCCATTTCATTTTCTATTGTGATGTGCCGAGCTAAGCTTTCAACTAAAACTTTTTCATATTCTAAACTGGACTCAGTGACCTTCTTTAATTTGTTTTTTTCTTCATTAATTCTTGAAACTTTTTCTTCCATCTCATAGACTTCTTCTTCTATTGCAGAAATTCGATCTATCAATGATGCATTTTCTCTGCTTACTCCCCCCCCCATCCTTGATCGAACGATTGACTGTCAAAATTCCTAAAAATTGGAGAAATTAACCCCCATCCTTGATCGAACGATTTTCATATCATGCAAATTTTTTATATATATAAAAAATATTAGTTATCAAAAGCTTTGGAAGATGTGCCTAATGAAGTTGTTTTCAGAGCTTTGAGACGACAGAAAGCTGCGAAATCAACCATCCGAAGTGATTTAATCATCAACCTAGGCTTAAAAACTCAATAATCTAATAAAATAGAGATTCTTTAAAAATTTTTTAAAAACATTAATTTAAATTAAAATTTATACAGTTTAAAAGGGTAACTAATAAATCAAAATATTAAAAATTGGTATTTTATGAAATTAATTCAATTTTTAGCTGTAAAAATAATTATTAAATACTCTTAACCCTCTTATTTAAAAGTAAATAAAAAAAATCTATATTTATCTTTTTCATTTTATATATAAAATTGTTTTCCCAAAAACATTTTTTTTAACCCCCATCCTTGATCGAACGATGGCGAGTCGTTCGATCAAGGATGGGGGGAGTTAAAGTTTTGTATGCAGATTGCAAGAAGATGTTCCTTTCTTTCGATAACTGCAAATCCTGCTGAATTTCCGCAGAGATTTTTTGCAGATTTTCTTCAGTAAAGCTTTTGATACTTTCTGATAATCTCTTTTTGTCGCTTAATAAAAATTACTTATTTCTTGTGTCAATATTTATGTGCATAACTGCAATTTCCTGTTTAATACTTTCAATATTTTTCTCGAGCTGTTTATTTTGTTGTTCTAATGTCATAAATCCTCTAGAAAATGACTCATTTAGAGAAGGAGAAGCTTCTCCTTCGTTTACAGCTTCAGATTGAAGAGTTTGGATCTCATGCCTCAAATCATCATTTACAAAGCTAATCCTCTGTACTTCTGCAATCTATATAAAGATTACTTTCTGCGTTAATAAAAGCTCGATTTTAGTTACATCAGTATTCAAAAAATCTACTCTATGTTTAGCATTAGCTCGCTCATCTCTTTCTATTAATAAAGCCTTTTTCAGGATTGCAAGGTTTTTCTTCTGCTCATCTAAGGGGATTTTTGGGTCTTCCATAACCAAATGAGGATTTATTAATGACGCTATGAAATCAAAATTTAAATGGAGCCTTTTAAAATTTCAAGCGAAATCGAAGCAATTGTTCACAAATACAGGCTGGATGAAGACTCATTTTCCAATTATTCTTTTAATCAGACTACTCCTATTGAAATAGATAACCGAAAAAGTGTTAATAAAGCGCCTTCAAATCTGCATCATTCCTTGCAGAACTCACAGTCTTCAATAAATTACTCAACAATATTGAATGAGTCTCCAGATTTGGTGTACCGTGAAGAAGAAATACAAATTTTGAAAGAAAAATTAATCGCCGCAGAATATGAGAAGGATAAACTGCTTGAAGAAAATGATGAACTAAAAAAGAAAAATTGCCCTGAAAAAGAAGGAAACAGTGCTAGCAGTAATCTAGTCATTAAGCAGCTGCAAGATAAAGTGAACTTTTTGAAGTCAAGATGTGATTTTATGGAATCTGAAAATAAGCGCCTTTCTGAGCAGTATGAAATTGATAAGGAAAGCTGAAATATTCAGGTTGAACACTTTAAAAAGCAAATGGAATGTAAAAATAAAGAAAATTTTGGTGAAAATTCTAATAAAAGTTTATATGAGATTATAAAAACGAAGGAAAAAGAAAATGAGGAGCTTAATGGAGCCTTAAATAATTATAAAGATGCAATAGAAAAGTATCAGCTAAAAATAGAAAAAATTGAAGGAGACTTAGATAATATTAAGGCTGAGCAAGATTTAAATTTAAACGAATTTCTCTCGCACATCCAGTGCCTTATGAGTCTCTTTACTTGAGGCTCAGCTACGATATCAGCTCTGAAAAACGGTAGGTGAATCGGCCTAACCATCGAACCGTTAAAGTAATCAAGCCCTTTCAGACTTCTCTAGTCAGTACCAGACTCAGCACTGACCACTTCTCTTCAAGCCGAAACTCTCAAGAAGCTTGGCTTCTCTCACTGAGTTGGTTTATGGGTGGGGCCTGGTGGATCAGGACTAGGGACTCATCCCTAACTGCCATTTAAAATATTGTGTGAGCAAGATGAAAAAATAAGCAGACTCGAAGAGGAAAATAAATTTCTAAAAAATAAATTATTAGAGTCAAAAAAATGCATGAAAACTCATAAATCATCAAAAACAACCAAAAGAGATAAATCAAGGCCAAGTTGCACAGATAAATCATTGAAAAAATCACAGAAAGAAAGATCAGTATCAGCTAAGAGATCTAACTCTTCTAAAAGAAGCACAAAAAGTATCAAAATTCCAGTAGTAACTATAGAAAAGCTAAAAAGAAGTGAAAAAGAATCTACAACAACTTCAGAAAGAAGCTCTGGAAGCACACCAAGAAGGCATGGGCATGTCAGAGTTCCGTCTTATTTAAAAAAGAGTAAAAATGCTAATGATAAAAGCAGTCAAATGCAAGACATTGAAAACGAAATTTCAGAGCTCAACGGGAGATATAGAATTTTACTTCATTTATCTCAAGATGACACTTATGATTTGACCTCTTTAAGAAAAGAGCTTGTAGAGGTAGCTTCAGAAATTGATAGGAAAAGTAAGATACTTTTTTCAATAAGAGATGAAAATATTTAAAAATTATAATAAATGCCATTGAATTCCAAAACCATTCTTCATAATAATTATTAATCCATAAACCAAGATTTTAATATGAGACTAGTGACAAGATTTTCATGCAAGCTAAATATAGAAAGGAATGGCGCTAAACTCCTAGGGCCAGGACTGCAAAATGTTCTTTACACCTTTTCAGTGCATGACTCTGGATTACTTCAGTTTTCAATTACAGCTAAAACTAAAGGTGTTACTATCCCAAACAGCCAATATATCCCCAAGCGATTTACAAATGAAAATATCCAGAAAATCAGTACGCAGTGCATTGCTGATGGAAGATTAGGGATTACATTGATGAATTATAATGCTTCATGCAATGGCTTTAGAGGATATGAAAACCCTCCAGTTCTTACAGTAGTTTATATAAGCAATGCGGAGCCTGACACTCTTCGGCTTCTCTTAGACACTATAAAAGCTGGCCCTTCAAAGAAATCTGCAGTTGAAGCTATTGAAGAAACAGAAGCAAAACGAAAAAAACCAAACCACTCTGTTTGGGATAATTTGAATTTGGATGTCATGAGAATTATTTTCAGCTATGTTGGTGGGAATTTAGCAAAATTTCGTTTGGTGTCCAGAAAATGGCTCCAAGCGCTTCCGTATCTTATTACAAAAGTAAAAGTTCTAAATGGCCGCGAGGTTCCTGGGGAAGTTGTTATCAGAATAATCAAGAAAAACCAATATATTCAAGACTTATCTCTGCTTGATTGCAAAAACCTTCAAGTTACACACATTAAGAAAGCAATGACACTGCCTATTAAGCGTGTCCATACTTTGAATCTCGAAGGCTGCAATCGTTTGTCTTCTCAGTCTTTATTTACAATATTAATCAGTGCTTCTGGCTTAAAATCATTAAATATCAAAGGATGTGATGGCGTTGACGATGCAATTTTCAAGGATTTAAACCCGAGTGTCCATTTAAAACATTTATCAGAGATTGCTTTTAGTGGGAACATCACTGTATTTGGAGTTAGACATTTAGTGAAAAAATTCCCATTAATAAGCAAAGTTGAGGTATTTGGTGCAAATTTGACGTCAGATTTTTGTGCATCTATTTTAAGGCTTCAGAATCTTGTTAAACTCATTATTTATTATTCAAACTCAGAGATGCTAACTGCAGGTTTCAGCTGCAGATCCAAAATCCTTAAAAAAGTGATTATTTTTCCTGTTCAATTCTCAGGAGTGTGTGACCATCCGTTTCATCTTTTTGATGCCTTTACAAAATGCCCATTGCAGTCACTCTCAACAAATTTATCACCTCACCATCTTTCAATGTATCTACGCCATTGGTCTGAGTTGACAGAGCTTACAACTTGCGAACTTATTGCTTTGCCTGAAAGTGTAGAAAAGCTGTGCTTGTACACAGATGGCCACGACCTTTTGGAAACTTTAAAACAAGCAGATAGGGTTTTTCTCAAAAGTTTGACAGAGCTAAGGCTAAAAGTGAACTGCGAATGGTATATTGACGGAATCAAAGAGTTGATGAAGTTGCATTATCCGCTGTGCAGGGTGTATATTAGCAAATCTTAATTAATTATTTATAGTGGTAATTAGGTATTATAATTATACCCTATAAGGGTATACATTGAATCTTGGGAAATGGTTGAAGCTTAAAAGCGTCAATAGCCAAGAAATTAAGATCAAAAATGCACAAAGGACTATAGTGAGAGGAATTGGCATGCCAGCAAATGCTGAGAGCAATAAAGGTCCAACAAAGCTTCCGAATATTTTAAAAGCAAGTTCAAGCTCATCAGCATAAACTTCTAGAGATTCTCTGTCATGAATATTTACAGAATCACTAATAAATAGCCTTGAGGATGTAAGCAGGATGCAGGACGAAAACTTAAATAGCGTTATGACGGCTACTAGCATCATAAAAATCAAGATAGGCTCAGTAAAATAATTTATAGGGACGAAAAACATTGAAAGACCTATCAGCATATAAGAAACTATTCTTATCGTCTTCCATAAAGGTACTGAGTCTAGCAGCTTTGGCATTATATAAATATGAAGGGCATATCCAAATAAATATGAAACGCTTAGAATCACTGCTATCTCAATGTTTTTCATATCAAATTGTATCATAAATCATGCTATAAAAAACTCTTCTATACTTGCAAAGCAAAGTGAAAAGATAGCCAAATGCACCAAAGCATAAATCACTGCTTTTTCTTCATAAAAATGCTTATAGTTTCTCTTGAATGGGTCTTCAAGGATAAAATTCTGTGCTGGAGGCTGCAAATCTCCTTCAGTAGGCTCATCAAAATCTTCTTCCACAAAAGAAATGTGAGTATGTTTAACATTTTGAATATTTCCTGCACGCTCTGGCTCGCTATTTTCTGGCTCATCACTTTCTCTAGCCAGTTCTTCTTCACCTTCATTATAGCATATCTACGCCAATGGATCACTATCTTTCCGACATCTTCTGAGACGATCGAGAGCTAGTGAAGCCAACCCTTAAAATAAAAAAATCATCAGATAATCCAGATTTGCCATTTAAAAATTGATTTCGACAACAATTGTCGATAAAACTAAACCTCAGATCATCTCATGAAACATCGGAAAGATAGCGATCCATTGGTGTGGATGCGCTATATCAATATGGAAAACTTTCCCGACTTCTCCTCTCGCACTCATTGGTCATTTTTTATAATCAATATTTTTTACTGGATACCTTGGAGAAAAATACTGGATTTCATTTCTACTTGACGTTTTAGGCTCTTCAGAATCAGCAAGTATTAAATCCATCCCTGATGCTTGGAGATAGCTTGGGAGTTCTTCTTCATCTTCTTCACTTTGGTTTTCTTTTCTCTCTGTTATTGGGCCTTCATCTTTTCCTTCTTCATTCTTTTTCGTCTCTTCAAGCTCTATATATTTTCCAGGTTTTACTTGATCTTTTATGGGCTTCGTAGTAGGCTTTGGTTTACTTTTGGGCTGAGAAATGGGTGCAGGATTGTCTGCAATTTGAGATAAAACCCATATAAATGTAAAAAACTGAACAAGCCCAATAATAAATGATGGGATTAGAAAAGGATGTGTGTTAATAAAATCTCCTATTTGTGCGCCTTCGTTGATTTTTATATAAGAAGTTGTGCCACCAATAATAATTCCAATCCCGAACCCTATGGTCTGTACAATAACTGCAACATAAGTAACTTGATAAAACTTTTCCATACAAGGCTGGGAAAGTTGTCTCAATAAGATTTTGCTTATTAGTTGAGGGACTGAGCAGATTCCAGCAAAAAATCTAATAGCTATTCCTGATATCAGGGAAGTGCATAATCCAAAGAGCATTGTTAAAAATACTGAAAAAAATAGTAGTAATGATGCCAAGAAGCGGTGCCCGCATTGTAGAGAGGCCCAGCTTATAAATCTTCATGAAATAAATTTGCCTAACTACTCTTTTAAAATTGGAACACAAATCTGTTCCAATTTAAAAGAGAGTAATTTTTTAAAAAAAAAATTTGTATAATTAAAATTATATTGAACACAATATTTTGAATTTAATTTATTTTATAGATATTAATCGATTCAATGTGAAAAACTCTTTAAAATAATATTCTAATTGCGTTTGGTTAATTGAATTAGGTCAAAACTAATTTATAGTCAGTGTCACTAACTATATAAAAATTGGAATTTTTACCTATAAATTGTTGCTATTGAAAACAAATTTCGCTCTAATTTAAAGGGGTCAAAGGGAATCTTACTAATATTTTGTTCCAATTTTATGCAAGAGTAAGCAAAATGCAAAAGTTAGCAGTCCTGAATAGTAGCCGATGTCCTGTAAACTATCTACACTCTTTGTTTCAAGTACAAAAAACCCTGAAATTGGTATTGTAAACTAATTATGATTTACAGCAGTATTTATACTTGTTGATAAAAGGATTAAAATAGGAATTTTTACTTGATTCCAGGGGATTTCTCGAGCTTCTTTTTTACTCATATTTATAGCAAAACATTTGATATGAGATAAGAGATTAACAATTTATTATAAACAGCTCTATTAAGCAAATAATAATTATGTCTAAATCAAGATATGTAAATGATAAAACTAAGCAAAGACAATTCAATTTAAAACATAATAAGAATTTTAAGAACTTGATTATTAAAAGATTAGGATTAGGATTATTAAAGTCAGGCGCTAGCCATATTCGTGATCAGTCACCAAAGAACTCCCTTACGGGAGGTTCATCCACTTTTCGACACCAGCCCAGAGGGTCTATCCCTCTTGCGAGTGCCCTTCCGATACCTTCTGTCTCCTCCTTGCCTTATGGCTTCAGTTTTTGAATGAGCGGCTTATGGATTTCTGAGGCCCTGCTACGAACGATTGGAGAAGCTTGATTCCAATGATCCTTGGCGAAGTGCCTTCCTTCGACAGCTATAGGAAAAAGACTGCTCCTCTGTGGTCTGGGCCGAAATCCCCAGTTTCTCGGTAGAGGAATGCCCATGGGTCCTCGGATCCAAGGACGTTGTTGAGCATCTCCATTTCCAACCACAGGAAAGCAGCCAAAACCTACCCGGATACCCACTCTTGAGCCTACACTTGATTCTCAGCTCGGAGTCCGTCCCAGTTCGCCGTAGCCATAAGGTCTGGACTGCTGCGCCAAGAGGGCAGGTTGACACATGTCGTCATTTAATTTATATTGATTATTAAAAGATGCCACTAAATTATGTTTGCGTACTAGATTGCAATATGAAAGACCTAAAGAGTTAAGCTAGAGATTTAATAAATCATTTTCAGCGTATAGTTCGATGATTTTTATAATTATTTAAATTTGTCTTTAAAATTTTTTTTACTCATCATTTCTTTTACACACATAATAATCTATTTAATCAAGAAATTTTAGAATAATAAGGACTACAAAAAATAAATATAGAAAAAAATTTACTATAGCATTAATCTAATAAAGCCATAGTAATATTATCCATCCACCCTTCATATATATAAGTGAAATTAAACATTTTAGTAAATCTTTCCCGCTGAACTGCATATCCGTTTTACAATATGAAAACTCAAGCAATCCTACTCTTGCACCTGATTCTAATTGCTTCAGCTTCAAAAACAGTTTTCCAAAGCGCAATAGAGCTTAAAAAAAATCCTGTCTTTCGTCCCATAGCTGATGAAGAAATATTTTCAGATGATCCACCAAGTATTATTTATATTAGATTTTATTCAGTTGAGTAGCAGAACTTCTGAGGTCAATAACGATAATTTATTCCATAGAAATAAATTAGCGGTAGTAGGAATTCTTTCATTTATTTCAGTTTTAGTGTGCTGCGGTTTAATCCAAGTTGTGGCTCATTTGAGTAAGCGAACAAATATAGAGTATTTGACAATGAAAGATAACTATAAGCAATATCAAGGATTGTTGAAATTCAAAGAATTTTATAAGAGCTATTCGAAGGAAAATTTTAGGAAATAATTAAGAAATTTAGCTGCTTGTAAGTGATTATAATACAAAATATGAATTTTATGGTAGTTAAAATCATTATTATTCTTATTTTAAATTAACTTTAATTTTAATTAGACTAATTGAAACTTCACCTTTATTCCCTAGGACTTCCAACACTAACGATTCCCTGCCTGCTCGCTAGCTCGCGCTTCACAGCACCGCGAAGGTTGTGCTCGCTATTCGCCAGTTGGATGAGTTACGTCACCGTATTGAGCGCATCAGCAAAGATTGCCCACTATAAAAAATTCAAAAGGGTCAATTTTTTGCCCAACATTAAGTTTTACTAACCCAAGTAAAGCCTTGCGATGCTCTTTCCTTAGCGCCTCCCTGCCTCAGAGGTCTCACTAGAAGAGAGATTATATATAGGAGTTAAGAAGGGGGTTGGCTCACTACACCATTTTTATGTACATTACTCTAAATTAAATTAACCACTATATCTTTTATCTAAATTTAAAAGGGATTTGTTTTAAAACTGAATTATATATTTCTTGTGCTGAAGTATGTTAGATATTATAATTTTACTTACTCCTCCCCTCTTTAAATCGAACAAAAAAATCTGTTCCCATCTAAAGAGGGGTTAAGCTTTATAATGTAAAAAATTTTTGAAAATTTTTCAATATTAAAAGGTGAATGCAATATTTTTGAGTTTAAATTTATTTTTACGAAGAATTAATTTAAAAAAATTAACTGATTCAGTGTGCTAATATTTTAAATAGCATTCTAAGTGAACCCCCTGCATTAAATTAGGTCAAAGTATTTATATAAAATTATTATCTTCACCTATTAAAAATTTTATATATTTTTGTTCCAGTTTAAAGAGGGATAGTAACTATTTTTATTAATTTTTAAAGTAGCTAATAATTTTCAATATAGATTATATTATAAATATAACTTAATAAATAAATTTTTATTAAAATATATTAACATGCCCTTGATTCGGTAGAAATATAAAACTAGTCTAGAGTATAGCGTAGGCACGCCAAATGCCTACCCTCACGCTGAATATTTTATAGCAGCCTTGAGAGCTATAAATCACCTAGAGGTGGCAAGTCAGCTTCAAATTGGATAAGAATCCATTTCGTAAACTTGGAGTTGACTTGTCATTACTTGGCGATTTGTCAGCTATCAAGGGCTACAAAAAAAGACTCAGCGTGAGGGCACACCAAGAGCGTACAAACGCTATATCCAAATTTTAAAATTCATAGCTTAATTTAAAGTATATAAAACTCTGTAAAAATGCACAAATGTTCATAAAATTACTATTTACTCATATCTTTCACCAGCATTCTTTCCCTCGTTAAATTACTAATATTAAATTGGTGACGCTAAGATAAATGCTTTCTCGATATCGAAAAGAAAAGAAGCCAATTACAGAGGATCAGCTAATTACTGTACCTCTTCTTGTGAAAGGTCTTGCTCTCCTAGTCTTGGTCTTAGTAGTTCCACTAGAATTAATATTAAGAGGAACAATAGAGGATGTAGGAGAAAGAATTGTTCTTCATATACAAAAATCAAGAACTGAATCTTCTGATAATTTCTTTCGATATTTATCCTATATAGCTGACAACGTCTTTTTACTTGCAGTTGCTCCAGCACTTTATCATATTTATGACCCGAGAAGAGCAATAAGGCTTATTTTGATATGATGTTTTTCAATGTACTTGAGCAGTTTAATATCTTTAATCTATGGAGAGCCAAGACCTTATTGGAGTGATAACGATATAAAAGGAATATCCTGTGACAATGGCTTTGGTTTGCCTTCCCCAGAATGCATGCTTGGAACAGTCGTTTATGGGTCACTCAGTGTGGAATTTTTTCAAAAAAAAGATAAATGAATCAAAACAATCGTTTATTCTTGCACATATATAATTCTGGGAACTCTAGGATATGGAGGAATATACATGGGAGAGCATTATCCTCATCAAGTTTTTATTTCTTATTGCTATGGCTATGTATTTATTATTATTTGTTTTGCTTTTGATAAGAAAATCATGAATTTAACTATGAAAAGTTGCTTTACTCCCCCCCCATCCTTGATCGAACGACTCGTCATCGTTCGATCAAGGATGGGGGTTAAAAAAAATTTTTTGGGAAAACAATTTTATATATAAAATAAAAAATATATATATATATATTTTTTTATTTACTTTTAAATAAGAGGGTTAAGAGTATTTAATAATTATTTTTACAGCTAAAAATTGAATTAATTTCATAAAATACCAATTTTTAATATTTTGATTTATTAGTTACCCTTTTAAACTGTATAAATTTTAATTTGTTCCTTATTAAATTAATTTTTTTTTTAAAAATTTTAAAGAATCTCTATTTTATTAGATTATTGAGTTTTTAAGCCTAGGTTGATGATTAAATCACTTCGGATGGTTGATTCCGCAGCTTTCTGTCATCTCAAAGCTCTGAAAACAACTTCATTATGTACATCTTCCCAAGCTTTTGATAACTAATATATTTTTATATATATAAAAATTTGCATGATATGAAAATCGTTCGATCAAGGATGGGGGTTAATTTCTCCAATTTTTAGGAATTTTGACAGTCAATCGTTCGATCAAGGATGGGGGGGAGTTAGGTACAAGGCAAACAAAAAATATTCAGTTTATTGGTATATTGGCACTTTATTCCTCTTGCTTGGCGCAATAGCAATTTATGATGAAATTACATTAACGACTAATATAGATATTAGATGGATCGCTAATGCTTCTAAAGATTGCAACTTAAAATATGATGTTGGAGGCTCTTCATCCTTTTATAGATCTGCTTGAATATTTTATAATTTTGGCTTGGTGGCAGGATCAATGCACCTTTCTAAAAAACTCACAATGTTTTGGTGGCTTACTGATTATTGGAGAAGATGGGTGAGATTTGCGATCTCTTTTGGCTTTTCTTTAGGTGTTTATTATTTATTTGGTAATTTCTATCTCAGCTCTGCTTAATTTGAATGACACAACAACTGATTTTACATTTCATTATGCAGTTCCTTACTTTATTATTTCATACACTTACTCAGGGCTACTACCCCTAGTTTTTGCAAAAATACAGCTAGTAGTAAATGTTGGTCCAGGAATTGATGATGACGATGGATTCACAGGAATTAGCTCAGTTGGGCCTCATACATTTAAGTAGGCTAATAAGAAGTTATGGTTTAATGTATATAAAATTCAGAAGTATTCTGAAAAAATTATAGTATCTTTTAATAATTTATTATATTTACCTGCCTTGAACAATTCTCCTAAACTCATCAAAACTAATTTCCCCATCTTGATCATAATCGACTTCGCTTATAAGTTGAGAAGCATCAACGTTTATTTTTCCAGCTCGTTTTAAAGCACTTCTTAATGAAGCTGCTGTTATTTTTCCAGTCCCATTTGGGTCAAAGTGTCGGAATGCTGACCATAACTTTTCTTCATTTATAATATTTTTTGTGGCTAAAGTCCCAGTCAAAAATTCTGAATAATTAATTTTTCCGTCCTGATTAAAGTCTAAATTGTGAAATGTGGCTTCAATTTCTTTTATTTTCGGACTATCATCTGAGGTAATTAGCACTGTAATGAAATCTGATAAAGTAATAAATCCGTTTTTTTGGGCATCTAGGCTATTGAAAGCTTCTTTTAAATCTTTGATTTGCTCATGGGTTAACTCATTCACAACATATGCTAAAATTTCTTTTTGGAAATTGCTGGAAATCTTAAAATTCCTCAGTGAATCAACGATAGTAGGATTTAGATGAATTTTATTAGCTTCTGTAAAGCCAAACCAAGGATGTTTTAATGCTTCTTCTGCAGTTACTCTATGTTTTGGTTCCAATGCAAGCATTTTACTAATCAAATCTTTTGCTTGCGTACTTACTTTTGATCACTGACTTGAACTAAATTCATATTTTCCCTTTAGAATCTTTGAATAGAGTTCTCCTTGATTTTTCCCTAAAAATGGGTGTTCACCACAAAGGAGTATAAACATTAGCACTCCTACACTTCACATATCACATAAAAATCCATATGATCCTTTAAGGACTTCTGGAGCTACATAATATGGTGTTCCAACAATTGTTTTCATGTTTTTGCCTTTATTTCCAAATTTTTGTGATAAGCCAAAGTCAATCAATTTTAATTCTGCGTCAGGCTCTTTGCTATCAAACATGAAGTTTTCAGGTTTTAAGTCTCTATGGCATATATTGGTTTTATGCAAATGATTTACAACTCTTACTCTCCCCCCCATTTAATAACGAACAATTTTTTTGTTCGTTATTAAATGGGGTCTAACTTTCAAAATTTTTTAGAAAAAAATATATATAAAATTTATATTTATATCTATGAATGTTTTATATAAAAATTTCATTTAAAGAGTTAATAATAAAAGGATTCAAATGATGGCAACAGAAAGAGAAAGCGCCTAAATGAAAGCGAAAAGATAACTATTGCTAAATCCCCACCCCTCCGTGAGCGAACAAAACCATTAGAAAAATCCCTCACCTCCGTTAGCGAATAAAATTTTTTTTAATAGAAAAATTTTTTTATGGAAAAAATTTTGATATATAAATGATAATTATTATAATGAAATCTGGAGCTAATTCTGTTTAATTTTAAATAAATTACGTTTTAAAACATAAATTCTACAAATTCAATTAATATTTGCTTTCCAGTTTTTAGGATTTTTTTAAAATTTCGAAAAAAAAAATTGCTTATAAAATTTATAAAAATTTTTTACAAAAAAATTAACCCCCTTCGTAAGCGAACGAAATTGTTTTGTTCGCTCACGGAGCGGGGGAGTAAAGCATCAGCTTAAGATTAAGCCACTATTAACTTATTAGCTCTTATTTATTATTCTTTGCTCGATTATATTTGTCCTTATCTTATTCTAACTACTTAAAATTAGTAAACTATAAAGACTAAATTAGCTTATATAAATTTTATTGTAAATTTTGCTCGTTATTAAATGGGGCCTAAGGAAAAAAATTTTAGGAAAAAAAAATGACGGTTTTGTTCGTTATTAAATGGGGGGAGTTAGGATTTTCTTCATTATTTCAGCAGCATCTTTCTCTTCGTAATGTCCTTTAGATAATATGCTATCTCACAATTCGCCTCCTTCACATAGCTCCATAACTATATGAAAATATCGATCATCTTCAAAGCTCTCATAAAGTCTTACTATATTAGGGTGATCTAGACCTACCAAAATTTCAACCTCGACTCTCATTTTGTCAAGATTTTTTACCAAGCTTTTATCTATTGTTTTTATCGCAACCTTATGGTTTGGATTTGATTTCGGTCTGCCTATTCTAACTATGCCAAACGTCCCTGTCCCTAATATTTTACCAATTTTATACAACGACTTAATGCTAACAGTATATGTTTGGCGTTTCGTTGATCTTCTTGGGTTAGGACGCTCAATATAACTTTTATTACAGAGACTTCCCATTTTTACCAAATCACACTATAAGTTACAATAATAAAATAAGATGTATAAAAGCCCTTCAAGTGAAGATCAAAGAATTCTTAATCAAATTGAAAAAAATGCAAAAATCATGAAAGAAATGTACGATTTAATTTTGTCGGAAAAAGAAATAGCCACTGTTTCTGATTGGAAGTACATTTTAAATGAGTTTATGACCTATATTCATTATGATTTAAATAGTATCATAGAAAAAGTAGAAATGCACGACCCAAACAAGTAATTTTTATTATAGAAATATTCCTTATGAGGAAATTTTGGATTTAATAAAGTCCTCAGTCAAAAATAAAACGAATGAAGAAATTTTCATTGAAAATGAAGGAGAGCAAAATGATAGCTTATTTGATAGAGAAATTGAAATTGGTTCGAACAAAGAATCATTTTCTATCATTGGAAAAGCAAAAAATGCGGAGCCAAGCAAAGGGTCAATATCAAATATTTATAAAGAGCAATTTATTGAATCCAGAAATGGGTCAATATCAACAATAAGTGAATCTAGGAAAAATGAACTGAATGAAGATTTTAAAGAGTTTCAGAGAAGAGTTGAGCTATGGGAAGTATGAATAAGGCAAAAGCTTAGAAATGAAGACTATTTCATGGCCTTTTGCGAATTGATGGAAAAATGCAAGCTCAAAGTCAATGATTATGAGTTTGATGATTTCTCTAAAATTCTTGGAGAATTGTTGAAGAAAAGTGAAAGCATTCTGATCGAAAATGATCAGGAAATTTCAAATATCAAAGGAAGTAGCACAGGTCGAAAATCTCATCATTCATCCATTTCTGCTACTAATATACCAGAAATAAAAATTACAGAAAGAGCAAACAATGATCCTCAATTGTCAATCCAAGATCCTATGGAAACATTTGCAAATCATAATTCGCAGAGTATTTATTTTGAACAATCGAACTTAGCGCAAAAGTTTAATATGTCGCCATTGCCATTAGGCTCTCCTATAGTAGACGCTCCTGCTTTTCAATGCCAAACAATAACTTACGAAGAGTTTTTGTCCTTAATTTTTTCTTGGTACCAAAAGCACAGACCCCCATTCCTACCTCCAGATTCTCCAAAACCACCTGCACCAGATCTGCAGACAAAACTAATAGAAACTTAAACTTACTTAACTTATTATCTGGTGTTTAAGGTGCCTAGTCCCGCAGCCCAAAAAGGACCTATGGCAAAACTAGTGACGTAGGCGAGCCATCTTGGAACAGGTCAGCCCTGGCCAAGCCTTCTATCAACTCCTGCTTCACCAGCCTTGCTACACGTCTCACCTGGCGCGATGCCGTCGCCCGACTCAGCTCCTGCGCGTGTTCCGCCTAAGGGTCATCCTCCCGTGGGGATGTGCTGAGAGGTAAAAGCCCGAAATTTTGAGAGGGCTGAGGAGCAGTTCCTCTGGTTATCCCCAGAGTTAAACCGCTATTGCTGTCCAGAAGTTCTCGAGTGAAAACCTAACCCTATAAATAAAATTCCATGAGGGAGAGAAAATTAGCAAAGCTAATTTCTCTCGAACCGAATGCCATTTTATTTATAAACTAATAGAAACAAATTAAAGAATATCAAATATTGCGAAACGAAAAGATTTCTAATGGAGAAGATACTTCAGTCATTGATAACTTAATTATTACGTTAAGAGAGCAATTAAAATCATTACAAAAGCCTTATTTGAATAAAATCAAAAAAGAAAAATCGTTCGAAGAATTATGCAAAATAGGGCTTCATGAAATTTTTTTATACTATGCTAAGCAGCAGTCCATGCTTGGGAAAACGCCGACTTTTGATGATATACAAAAAAATTTAGAAACCTTAACACTTGGCAAATTTTTAAGGTTTTGTAGGGATTTTGAATTTATGGATGCACATAGTCTGCCTGACAAAAAAGTTCTGACAAAAGAGCAAGTTCAGAAAATCTTTTTAAAAAATTCAGTGCTGCAAAAGGAAATGACAGAGACTCATTTCTTGAATGCAATAAGAGAAATATCAGCACTTTATTATGATGAAGAGTATGACAAAATCAATGAAACTGACTCAAAAGCAATGGCAAAAGGGGGAAAATTAACCAAATTTTATGAGTATATAGGATGCAGTGATGCAAATGTATATTCAAAGAAACTAAAAGGCTTTTTAGTTCCTTTTGGAAGTGGGCCAAATACAAGGATACCAGAAAATGACATTGCTAAAAAGTATAAGCCAAAGCCAAGAAGATCACCTGATAGTAGGCTTGCTTCAACATCTATCAGGACTATTGAAAGGCCTGAAAAAACATTTAGAGAGCCAAATATATTTTTGACGCAAACGGCAACGCATAGAGCTCCATCTGATGCAATTGTATCTCTAACATCCAAGGCAACAACACAAAATGTTTCTTATGCCAAGCGAAATGTCGCAATGAAAGCCAGAAATCCATTTACATGGCAAGGGCTTGGAGAAATGACTGCTGAACAGTTAAAAGATGAAGAAAACTTTGATATTAATGAGCTAATAGCTGAAGAAGATGGCAGCGAAGATGAATATTTGGATAAAAAATATCCTCTAGCAGCTTCACAGGCTTACCTGAAAAGCCCTGAGGCTACTGTAAAAAACGCAAATACCAATTTATCAAATAAAAGCAGTGCAGATCGGAAACGAATGAATAAATCAGCTAGCACGAATCAAATTTCTGAAAAAACACTTAATCCATAAACCATTCTTTCACAAAAATTCGATAATTTCATATATAAGACTAGCAATATTATTTAATCGCAAAAAGGGAAGGTTAGGAGAGGCGATGAGCTGCTTGAAGCTGCGAAAAAAGAAGAAGACGAGCATATGAAAAGAATTCTTAAAATTGCAGATGCGCAACTACAAAAGGCGCAAAATTACGCAGCAAAGATTAAGACAAGTAAATTTATTGTTTAAAAATTTTATATGCATGCTTACGAAGAATAGCCAACTTTGCGCTATTTTTGGATAGCAATAAAATGTGGCCTCCAAATAATATGTTTGCTAGCCAATTTTGCAAACTAGCTAATTCCTGGCTAGCTCAAATTGCTTTTTAGAGGACTATACATCGTAAAATAGTATAGATAGCTGGCTCGAATTAATAAAATTTCTTTTAACAAAATATCTTTAATTATGGAATGCTAATTATTAATTGCTCAAAAGATGATGCACCTTGCTAAGCTTGGAATGAATCTTAGACATTTTTGATGAGGTAATTATGTTTAATTATACAAAAGTTATAAATAATCGGTTAGTTATTTATTAAAAAACCAGTCCATTTTAATTTTCTCCAAATGCAGTCTTAAAGCGTTACAAAAAAATCTATCTAATTTATTTATAATCAAAGCTTTATAAAGCTCTTCTGATTCCTAATCTCTTGGAACAATGCCCACAGTAGTGATTTACATCAAATAAGCTCGGAATACAAAAAGGCAAGCATGAACAGAATGGAAATAGGCAAAGTAAAATAAGGCACATCATTCAAACCATCATTCCAGGAGTCCTTTCAATTCTTGTTAATGCTGTGTGATGACAGTATGGACAAGTTACTTGAATTGGCTCAAATCCATACACACGAGTAGTGATTACTGTGGATTCAATTATAACAGCAGATGGAGCGGCAGGCTGAGCATTATATATTGGCTGACCTGGATAAGCCTGATTAGGCTGATAAGGATAAGGTTGGCCAGGCCCATATGGTTGATTGCCTGGATAAGGCTGATAAGGAGGATGTTGTGAATAAGCTTGAGGTGGGTAATTTTGATATTGAGGAGGCATTCCAGCTCCCTGAGGTTGATAAGGAGCTTGGCCCATTGGAAAATAAGCTGGCTGGCCTTGATTTTGAGGAGGCTGCTGGTTAGGAGGATATGATTCTGGTTGCTCTGCACTCATATTTATTAACTCCCCCCCCCCCCTCCGTGAGCGAACAAAAAAATTTTGTTCGCTCACGGAGGGGGGTTTAATTTTTTTTTTTTTAAAAAAATTTATATATATAAATTATATAAAAATATTTTTTTCGAAATTTAAAAAAATCCTAATTTGCAAAAATTGGGAAGCAAATATTAATTTAATTTGCAAAATTTATGTTTTAAAAACGCAATTTGTTTAAAATTAAACAGAATTAGCTCTAGATTTCATTATACTAATTATCACTTATATATCAAAATTTTTTTCCATTAAAATTTTTTCTATTAAAAAAATTTTTGTTCACTCACGGAGGGTGGGTTTTTGGTCAAAAAATGGCGATTTTTCTAATGGTTTTGTTCGCTCACGGAGGGGGGGGGGGAGTAAGAGAAAATTTTATTAATGGAAATATAAAAATTTGATTTATTGCGTATTTCTAACCTCTAAAATCAAATTAGCAGGCTATAGATAACTAAATACAATCATTTCTAGATATAGGATATAATAATTTGTTTGCTTCAAAAATTATTAGCTTAATTAGTGCATGATTACGAATGATGAATCTATACTAATTTGTATAATTGAATTCAAAATGATAGATGATTCTTGTCTTATTATATTGATAATATTCAATAATTCACTTTAGCATCATCTTACCTGAAATCAGTTAGTTTTTATAATGGCTCAAAAAATATAACTCCCAACTACTCACATAAATATGAATTTCAACGAAATATTTATAATTTTCATTATTACGAAGGTTCAAGAAGTCTATGTATACTTGGATAAAATTGTAAAAGCTTCTCCTTCCATTGCATCGATTTTTTCTTTCTTTTCTGCTATATCTGCATTTTCTTGTTCTTTTAATCTTTCTACTGCTGCCTTTGCTTCTTCTTGAGCAGCAAGCTCCTTCTGTGCTCTCTCACTTTTGAGCCTCTCAACATCGACATTTTCTACCTCTTCACTTTCTTCATACATGTCTTCAATTTTTGGCGCACCAGGGCTAATCCTTCCATCGTCTGTAACTTTGCTAGTGTCAACAATTTCAATCTTTTTACCCTCGTCTTGTTCATTTTTTTCTTCAATAAAAGCTCCTATTTTAGGCTCGGGGATTTCATTAATCGTTTCTTTTTCGAGGCTCTCAATTTTTTGGTCTTCTTTGTTTAACTGGTTTAAAGTAGTTTGATCAAAAGATAGATCTTCGGTTTTAGTGCTTTTTTGTGTCTTAATAGCTGGCTTTGGCTTCTTATTTCCAGTTCCTTTTTGAAGTATAGAGTCAAATGAACTTAAAACGACTTTAGGTAATTTATTTCTTTCATCGGCTGGATAAGGACGGTGAGCTTCGGGGCTTTCTTTGGCCTGGTCGTTGAAATTATTTTGGATACTACCACAACCCATTTAATTATTTTTATTAAAAGTAATGAGATTAATGGCGTTCAAAGGAAGATAACATAGTCCATAGATACAGTGCAGCAGTAAGCCATAAAGAAGAAAATTTAATCCATTTGCCGATGTTTGAGCTATATGATAATTACTTTTGAGAATCCCAATCAGTGAGTAGGACTGCAATATAGATTGAAGAAAAAACCATTAATAAGTGAAAATAGATCATGGATTTTGTATCTACTGGAATGTGTAAGTCTGGATCTTGGGTTGTTTTTCTGTTTAATAAGGGTTTTTCTACATCCTCAGACAGAATTTCATTGCTTGCACCTTGATTTAAACTGATATATGCAGCAATAACTATCATCAAAAGAAGACTTAGAGCTAAGCTGATGATTTTTGTGAGTGGACCTGATATCGAATTGCAATGAGAATATTCGCCTGCAAGAGCATCCCAGCATGAATAAATAAGATACAGATTGATGATTGAGCTCGTAAACAGGGCTAAATAATAATTACAGCCATCATCCACATACCCAGAAATTGAAAAAATAGTTAACGCAACCCCTAAAATGATTGATGAAATTATCAGTCACAAGTTTTCACCACAATCTGTACCTGTAAATCAGTAAAAGCTGAAAATTGTGCAAGCTATACTTCCTATTCAAGCAATTCCGGTTGAAATTATTAAATAATATGAATAGTTATTTCCTTCTTCATACTTTTCAAATCAATTACTATTCCATGTATATGCTATATCAATAACAACTAAAACTTGAGCGATAAGAAATATAACAGAAGCATAGATAGCGAAGGTGTAATAATATTCCTAAATAAATAATACAAAGAATGAGTCACCCATTGCAAAAGATAATAAACACACACACAAAAAACAAAGAAATTTTACAGTCCAGCATCCTCCTATATGGATTTTACGGTTAATGATAGACTCATCAATAAGTGTGAAAATCAGTATGAACAAGAAAATAATTGCTAACTCCCCCCCCCTCCGTGAGTGAACAAAACCATTAGAAAAATCGCCATTTTTTGCCAAAAAAACCACCCTCCGTGAGTGAACAAAAATTTTTTAATAGAAAAATTTTTTATGGAAAAAAATTTGATATATAAATTATAATTAGTATAATGAAATCTAGAGCTGATTCTGTTTAATTTTGAACGAATTGCTTTTTAAAAACATAAATTTTATAAATTAAATTAATATTTGCTCACAATTAAAAAATGGAGCGCATGATTTAGGGACCTTGCTCCCTAAGGTCATCCTAGTGAGGGAAGTTCAGACTTTCTGAAGGATATTGGCGCAGGAACTGCTTCAGCAGTTCCATGTGAACTTGAATCAACTTCAAGAAGTGAAGAGAGACTCGTCTAGGTCATAGGCTACTGTAACGGTTCGACGGTTAGGCTATTCCACCTACCGTTGTTCAGAGCTGTTAGCCAGTGATGGAATTCAGGAGGGATGGGCTTGTATTGTTAGATCCTAAGCTAAGTGGGGGTCGACAAAGTGTTATCGTAATCTTAAATCTTAAATCTTAAATATTTGCTTTCAAATTTTCGCGAATTAGGATTTTTAAATTTCGAAAAAAAAAAATTTAACCCCAGTGAACAAAATTTTATTGTTCACTCACGGAGGGGGGGGAGTAAGCTAAAGCTCTCGTGGTAAATTGCTTGCTGACCTGTGATAGGAGTTAATCCAAGAAATTCTAGAAATGATAGAGCGTCATCTCCAAAATAGTAAAGTAATAAGCCAATACAAATTGCGACGATAAGAATGCTTACTCCCCCCCCCCCCCTCCGTGAGCGAACAAAACCATTAGAAAAATCGCCATTTTTTGACCAAAAACCCACCCTCCGTGAGTGAACAAAAATATTTTTAATAGAAAAAATTTTTAATAGAAAAAAATTTTGCTATATAAGTGATAATTAGTATAATGAAATCTAGAGCTAATTCTGTTTAATTTTAAACAAATTGCGTTTTAAAAACATAAAATTTTGCAAATTAAATTAGTATTTGCTTCCCAATTTTTGCAAATTAGGATTTTTTTTTAAATTTCGAAAAAAATATTTTTTATAAAATTTATATATAAAAATTTGTTTTTAAAAAAAAAAATTAACCCCCCTCCGTGAGTGAACAAAATTTTTTTGTTCGCTCACGGAGGGGGGGGGGAGTTAGGTGTTCTAATTTTCTATCTAGACGTGCAGGTGCATCCAATGAACTTGAGCAAGCATTGCACAAGCAAGAGCAGCAGGATGTTCCTACAGAACAAATGATGCTCCCCATTTATCTAAGATAAAGTTTTCTACTTACTCCCCCCCCTCCATGAGTGAACAAAACCATTAGAAAAATCCCTATTTTTTGCCCAAAAACCCACCCTCCGTGAGTGAACAAATAATTTTTTAATAGAAAAATTTTTTATGAAAAAAAAATTTGATATATAAATGATAATTAGTATAATGAAATCTAGAGCTAATTCTGTTTAATTTTAAACGAATTTTTATTTTAAAACATAAATTTTATAAAATTAAATTAATATTTGCTTTCCAATTTTTGCGAATTAGGATTTTTTGAAATTTCGAAAAAAAATATTTTTTTATAAAATTTATATATAAATTTTTTTTAAAAAAAAAAAAATTAACCCCCCCTCCGTTAGTGAACAAAATTTTTTGTTCACTCTCACGGGGGGGGGGAGTTAAGTGATTTAAAGTGCAATTAATAGTCTTAATTTTCTAAAAGTTATGATACTTATTTCTAAAATTAAATTTAATTTTTTAAAAATACAAAAATAGGTGACAGTTTGATTAATTGTTTTATGAAAATAAACATAATAGCAATTGGGCTATCACTATGCTTTATAATTGAGCTCTCGAATCTCATTAAACAGTTTTTAGTTTGAATATAGGTCAGCTAAAGATTAGATCTTGAATTTGCATTGAGCCAAGAGTTGATATTGCTGAGCCAACGGCTTATATATTCTTTTTCAAAGCATCTTTATCATTTTAGAATCTTCTTAAATAAAAATACAGAGTCCAAAGCACTCTTGATGGTTCCCGCCTTTGCCAAATTTTATAATCAGCCCTCTATTTTCACTATTTTCTTCTCTAAATTTTGCTTCTTCAAATTTTGAAGAATCCTTTCTCTTTGGCTTCCATCGCAGGCTCCTACTTATTATTCCCAAGGCTTCCCTTCAAATAAAAATGCCTCTCCATCACCAGTCCTCCATTTCTAGAACCTTCTTTTCTACATATAGGCTAAAGACTAACCATATTCTATATAAAAATGTCGACCGAGACCTACGCTTTCAATGCAGATATTCAACAGTTGATGTCCTTGATCATCAACACTTTTTACTCCAACAAAGAAGTGTTCTTGAGAGAGCTCATTTCTAACAGCTCAGACGCCTTAGACAAGATAAGGTTCATATCTCTTACAAACCATGAAGTCCTTTCCACTGAAGGTAGCCTTGCTATCAAAGTTGTCCCAGACAAGACCAACAACACACTTACGATCATTGACACTGGGATTGGGATGACAAAGGAAGAAATGGTCAAGAACTTAGGAACTATTGCCAAGTCAGGCACCAAGGCTTTTATGGAAGCTTTAAGCTCAGGTGCTGATATCAGCATGATTGGACAGTTCGGTGTCGGTTTTTACTCAGCATTCCTTGTAGCTGATAAGGTCACTGTGATTAGTAAAAATAACGATGATCAGCAATATGTTTGGGAATCCACAGCTGGCGGTACTTTCAATATATCTTTAGATGAAAATCCAAACTCTGAAAGACTTACTAGAGGTACAAAGGTTATTTTGACACTTAAAGAGGACCAATTGGAGTTCTTAGAAGAAAAGAAGCTTAAAGAGCTTATTAAGAAGCACTCACAATTCATTGGATTCCCTATTGAACTTTATGTAGAAAAGACTAAGGAAAAAGAAGTCAGTGAAAGTGAAGATGAAGAAGAAGAGAAAAAAGAAGAAGGAGAAAAACCTAAGATTGAAGAAGTCACTGAGGAAGAAGAAAAGGAAAAGAAAAAGAAAAAAACCAAGAAAATAAAAGAAGTTTCTCACGAATACGAACAAGTCAACAAAACCAAGCCACTCTGGATGAGAGCTCCAGAATCCATCACAAAAGAAGAATACGGCGCTTTTTACAAATCCCTCACTAACGACTGGGAAGATCACCTCGCTGTGAAACACTTCACAGTTGAAGGCCAGCTCGAGTTTAAAGCCATTCTTTTTGTTCCAAAAAGAGCTCCTTTCGACCAATTTGAAACCAGAAAGAAACGCAACAACATCAAGCTTTACGTCAGAAGAGTTTTCATCATGGACGATTGTGACGAGTTGATCCCAGAGTTCTTATCCTTCATCAAAGGTGTTGTGGATTCCGAAGACTTGCCTCTTAACATTTCCAGAGAAACTCTCCAACAAAATAAAATTCTGTCAGTCATCAAGAAGACTCTAGTCAAAAAATGTCTTGAGCTTTTCAACGAAATTGCAGCTAATGAAGAGGATTACAAGAAGTTCTATGAACAGTTCTCAAAGAACTTGAAACTTGGAATTCACGAAGATACTACCAATAGAACCAAAATCGCTGAATTGTTGAGATATCATACAAGCAAGTCTGGAGACGATATGATTTCATTGAAAGAATACGTATCCAGAATGAAAGAAGGACAAAAAGATATTTACTATATCACAGGTGAATCAAGGCAATCAGTTGCAAATTCCCCATTCATTGAAGCTTTGAAGAAGAAAAACTACGAAGTCATCTATATGGTTGACCCTATTGATGAATACGCAGTTCAGCAGCTTAAAGAGTTCGACGGAAAGAAACTGAAAAGCATTACAAAGGAAGGCCTTGAATTAGACCAGTCTGAGGAAGAGAAGAAAGCTTTTGAAGAATCAAAAGCTCAATTCGAAGGCCTCTGCAAATTAATTAAAGATGTCTTAGGTGACAAAGTTGAAAAAGTTATGGTTGGAAGCAGAATTTCTGATTCCCCATGCGTCTTAGTCACTGGAGAGTATGGATGGACTGCTAACATGGAAAGAATTATGAAAGCCCAAGCACTTAGAGACTCTTCCACAAGTGCTTATATGCAATCAAAGAAGACCATGGAAATCAATCCAAAGCACCCAATTGTCATCAAACTCAAAGCAAAGAGCGACGAAGACAAATCAGATAAGACTGTAAAGGATCTCATATGGTTACTTTATGAGACTTCTCTTTTGACGTCTGGGTTCAGCCTTGAAGAACCAAATGTATTTTCTAACAGAATTCACAGAATGATTAAGCTTGGGCTAAGCATTGAAGATGAAGAGGAAGAAAGTGCTGCCGTTGAAGAAGATTTGCCTCCACTAGAAGGGCCAGCTTCCAATATGGATGAAGTAGACTAAAATCATTAATCAATTCTTTTTAATAATTTAGCCTTAAAATGGTCATAAAAAATAATGCTGATAAAATTCAATGATCAAATAATTAACTTGTATTAATAACGATCCAATATGCAAGGGCTGAGAATCACACAAGGAGATTTCGTTGTCGAACGAAGTGGGAAGCTTAGAGACACCTATAGGATTGGGTCAAAACTAGGGGATGGGGCTTATGGAAGCGTAAGAAAAATCACCCATAGAGTAACTGGAGAGGAAAGAGCAGTAAAAGTGATCCATAAAAAAACACTGAAAAACGACGAAGAAAGAGACGCCTTTTTCAATGAAGTCTCAATCTTAAGATCACTTGACCATCCAAATGTGCTGAAAATTTACGAATTTTATCAAGACGATAAGAATTACTATTTAATTACTGAACTTTGCACAGGTGGAGAGCTTTTTGATAGAATCATCAACAGTGGTTCCTTATCAGAAGCTGTCGCTGCCGAATATATAAGGCAAGTTTTGTCTGTTATTGCTTATTGCCATGAAAGAGGAGTAGTTCATAGAGATCTTAAGCCAGAAAATTTGCTTTTAGACACTGCTGCACCAGATGCAAACTTAAAAGTCATTGATTTCGGCACAGCACAATTTTTCACTCATGGATCTGTCTTGACTGAGAAAATTGGGACTCCTTATTACATTGCTCCAGAAGTCTTAAGAAAAAGATACAACGAGAAATGTGACGTCTGGAGTGCTGGAGTTAACCTTTATATCTTTTTAGCTGGATACCCTCCATTTGGAGGCAATACTGATGAGGCTATAATGAGAAAAATAGCTGTTGGGAAATTCAGCTTCCCATCTCCAGAGTGGGACTCTATTAGTTTTGAAGCCAAAGATTTGATTACCAAAATGCTTACATTTGATATTGAGCAGCGTGTTTCGGCCAGACAAGCACTTGAGCATCCTTGGATGCACAATGCAAGCAGAGTTCCAATTAACCCAGAAGCAACGAGATCAATATTTACAAACCTCCAAAGTTTCAGGACTGAAAGATCACTTCAAAAAGCCACTTTTGCATTTATTGCTTCTCAGCTTTCGACTAAAGAAGAAAGAGAAGAAATGCTTGAAGTTTTTAAATCGCTAGATCGCGATAATAGTGGAACATTATCGAGAGCAGAACTTGTTGAAGGTTATCAACGATTATATGGATATGCAGTTGAGGATGTTGATAGTGAGGTTGACCGAATTATGAGGCAGGTTGACACAGATCAGTCTGGAGAGATCGATTATACAGAATTTATAGCAGCCACTATTCAGACTAATAGATTGTTATCAAGAGATAGACTGGAGGCCGCTTTTAGAGCTTTTGATTTGGATGGAAGTGGAAGCATCTCAGCTGAAGAATTAAAAACAATGCTAGGGAGGCATAAAAATTATAGCGATTCAGTGTGGCAAGGAATTATTAATGAAGTAGATCAAAATGGAGATGGAGTGATTGACTTCAGAGAGTTCACTGAAATGATGCTTACTCCCCCCCCTCGAAGCTCGACCAAGATTTTTGGTCGAACTTCGAAGGGGGTTAAGAAAAATTTTTTTAAAAAAATTTAAATAGAATTTTTTTTTATATAATTTAGTAGTTAAAAAAAAAAAAATATTTATCGTATTCTTCTGTATGGTTGAGAGGGTGTAAGGGTGAGAAAAAATAGTGCAAGATGGTTTTGTAACGCTTTTTTAGAGAACTTGAATACAACAAAAATCGCAAGCTCACCCCCACATAGTTTTAAAAATTTTTGAAAAATTGCTTATTTTCCTAGTAAATTTATATAGGTCTTGGTCGAACTTTGAGGGGGGTTAATTTTCCAAAAAAATAGGAATTTTCCCTATATCTTGGTCGAACTTCGAGAGGGGGAGTTAGACGCAATTAATTAGTCTAAAACGATTATTGATTAGATATTATCATAATATTGTTCTTTAATTCTTTCTAATTCTGCCAATGATTCCTCTGAGTATTTTTGCCACTTAATCAGCCTTGCTCTTTGTTGCGAATTGAATGGCTTTTTGTCTATCATAAATGAGACCGCAATTAAAACAGTAGATAAAATTCCGACTCCAGCAAGCAATAAATCATTTATAGGCAAAGGAATAAGCTTCAAACAATTTAAAATAATCAAGACAAATATAGTTAAAGCTAGGATTCGTAGCATATAGACTCGGTTTTTTTGGTTCCTGAGATAATCATCTCCCTCTAATAAAAACCTGCAATGCTCTTTGACAAATATGCAGTCTGTTGATAAACTGCTTATATTTCTCTCTGTTTTGAAGCTTATGCAGGAGTCTATGTCTTTACATATGATATCTCGTCGATTAGGAAACGGCAATTCATTTTTTAAGATACTGAATGGGTATATATGCAGCCCGTGCTGAAAATTAAGTCTATCTGTTAATGAAGCTGAAATTTGAAAATAGAGCTTATTAAGGTCTTCTTCATTTTCTATTTGATCAGCTTTTGATAGATAAATTTTTAGCTTTTCTGGGTAATTTTTACAGAGAAATTCGACCATGTCAATTGTTTTGTTGCAAAGTCCTTGCCCAACAGGATCCATGAATACGAGAACTAAATCAACGTATTTTGAAAGTCATTTCATTACTTCTAATATGTCACAGTGGTATTTCACATTCCCATCAGTTAGTCCAGGGGTATCAATAAAATCAACACATTCAAAGGATCTTTCAGTGCTGTTGCAAACCTTTGTGTTCAAATTAGCAAAAAAGGTACCATAGATCTTTTTATCGCCGTGCTGCAAAAGTTCGTGCAAGAAGGGGTACAAGCGTAAAGTTCCTTCACTTTTTATTTCCTGAGACTTTGCTCCATGAGTGACCATAGTAAAATGAGATGTCTCAAGAGCGATCCCTGTGCTTTGTAGATTTTCACCTACGTACCAATTTATAAATGAACTCTTGCCAGCTGAATGATTGCCTATAATCATCACTGTAGCATTTTTGTTTGGCCGCACAATTATCCCGTTATGAGACATTTTTTGACATGAGCTTTTGATTTGATGGCGGAATAGTTCTTCTCTGCCGATTTCTTCCAGACCTTGGACTTTTTGAACATTTTTAAATACCCAAAGTGTGTGATTCTCTTCTACTAAGTCAGTTGCCTGGTAAACCGTCTTAATTCTCTTAAAGATCGAGTCAGAGTCTGTTTCCATTTATTAGTTCACAATTAAGGGTTTAGCTTTAAATTTTTGAAAAATGAGTGTGTTGTTTTTAAAATAAAAACAGCTTATAGTTTAATATGATTCTACTTCTAATACTATTATTAACATTTTAAATACCTGATTGCAGCTCATTTAGCCTCTCCAAGATGTTCATATATTTTTGCTTCTGCCTTGAAATTTCGCCTTGCATTTGTTTTTCGACCTCATTTGCTTCGTTTTCTAGCCTATTCAGTTGCTCCTTTAAGGTCATAATTTGAGAAATATTCCCAGGCTCAACACTTGATTGAGATGATCCTCTAAAACTGAACCCCCCACAAGAGCTATCAAGCATTTGGGAGCAAACTTTAATTCCAAAGCTCGAACAGTCAAAATTATAAGGATCTCTTGTGCAAGGGTTAGTACCAGATGTCCCTGACATATAACGATAAGAAATTTCTCTGACTGCTTGCTGGCAATTATAATCATCCTGGCAATAATTTTGATCAAGTAAAGGGGCATAATCAAAATTATACTGACTCCCTCCCCTTTAAATTGAAACAAAAAATTGTGTTTCAATTTAAAGGGGGGTTAAGAAAATTTTTTTATAAAAAAATTTTATATATAAAAAATTTTTTCAGAGATAAAATTTTATAGAAAATAAAAATTATATAAATTTAAAGAGACAATAAATTGAGTAAATTATATTTAATAACATTATAATTTTATGACAATGCCCTATGTTTGAAGCATATTAAATAGGGTATTAACGTATTTACATATAAAATAATGATTTTTACCTATAAAATTTTCTATTATAATAAAATTTTGTTTCAATTTAAAGGGGGGGTAATTTCCCAAAAAAAGTAGGAATTTTACCTATATTTTGTTTCAATTTAAAGGGGGGGGAGTGAGAAAGCTTGATGCAAAGCTCACATGATTTCATGCTAAATGCTGCTAATGAGCAAATGAATAAAATAATGATCTTCATTTCTATTTAATTTTAACGATCTTTTAAAATGGAGATTTTTGTAATTTTTAAATAAAAAATAAACAGCGTTTACCACTTTTACAAGATTAATTAAACAGTCATTTAAGGTCTTTCTTCTTCAAATCTTTCAATTGGCGCTCTTGGGATCGGTGTAGCTATCATAAGTCTCCTATATGGGTGATCTAAATAACTCTTACTTTTGTCGAATTCTTGAGGGCAAAATACTACTAATGAGACATTATCCCTGTCTTCTTCATCAATTCCTTTGGGAATTCCAGCTTTAAGGAAAGGAGGTAAAGCTTGAGCAGGGGCTTCATTCCCTATGACGGAAATATTGAAATAAACTCCTCTATCTTTGGACCTGAAAAGATACATAATTCACAATAAAGAAATAGAGTCACATGTCTCAGTAAAAATATCAATCCCATTTCTGTAAGATCGGTCAGGGCTCATAAAAATTTGGACTCCCATTATTAGAAAGAGTATTGTAAAAATATTTTGAGCAAAATAAAAGTAAACTAAAACTACAAATGCCTTTAGCATGGAGATTTTTTGTCTCACTGCTGGTATTATTTGAACAATATTTTCACTAATCAAATATCCAAGCTTGGTTTGTAAAGTTTTAATATTGGAATATGAATATTTTATTGTCAAATAAAATAAAGTTGCAAACATAGCAATTAGCACTATAACAAGTTCAGGATTAATGACATAAGCGCTGAAGGCTAACTATACCTCTAATTATCGAGCAAACTACTAGAAAAATCTCTATTTTTGGGAAAATTAATTCTCCTTGGCCAAGCAAAAATTGTTTTATATAACCGTTTTTACAAATAATAATTAATGTATAATTAATAATTTTTATAACGAGATATCTAGCAAATTATCTTATATTTTTAACAGTTTTTGAAAATAAATTTATATATTTACAAATTTTGATTTTGTAAAATTCATATGAATAATTTTTTTTATCAAATTTTAAAAGAAATTAACCCTTTTAAGAGCTATCAGAAACTTTGCTCATTACCAAAGGAAGAGAGTAAATATACAGCTCCCATAGTCATAGCTATTAAAGTAACTTCTTGACGGTCAAGTACATCTCGAGTTATTCCGAACCCTTTACTGATCAAAATAAGTATCACAAATATAAATGTGTTATAAAGAGTATAAGCAGAAATTCCTGCTAAAGCAAAATATGAGCTTTCAGCTGAATCTTCACAAGAGATATAGTAAAGCGAGAAGAAAAAATTGCATAGAGTTTTGAATATTAATAGCAGAAGCATAATTCTTTGTAAAGGCTTTGTGAAGCGCTTGTTTCTGTACCATGTATTAAAGATTCATCATATTGTAAAAGATAACCAAACAACAGCAAGACCAGAAAAATAAAAGCTTATTGTTGGGTTATTTTCGCATCCCATTTAATAAATATTAAAATCAACTTATATAGGTAGTAAAAATAAGAGCCATATAGGGAAAAAGTTATGTTTTTTAAAATGATAAAAAAGTTTACTTACTCCCCTTCTTAGATAAAATAAAAAATTTGGTTCACTTATGGGGGAAGGGGTTGTCTTTTTTTTTAAATTATAGTAAATTTTTTTCGAAATTTAAAAAAACATCTAATTGCAAAGTAAAAATTAATTTAATTTGCAAAATCTATGCTTAAAATGCAATCTGTTTAAAATTCAACAGAACTAGCTAGAGATTTCATCATACTTACTATTTACCACTTATATTAAAAAATTTTGTGGGCAAATTTTTCATTAAAAAATATTGTACAGTGTGAGTTTTTACTAAAAAATAGGCGATCGTTTTGTTCATTCGCAGAGAGGGAGTTAAAGAAGATACAGTACTTAATTGGTCTCCACTTGGAGTATCTGTAATAAATTTAGATATTTTAACGATTTAGCTAAGCTGAGCTAAATTCCTGATTTTCAACAATATTTATTTAATGGAATTATAAAGAAATGCTTAAATCCTTCTTCAAGATGATTGATGTCGGAAATAAAATTCCCTGCCGCAGAGAAGCTTTGGCAGCTGGCAAAGTAATATTTTCTGAAGCAGGATTTAACGAGTTAATAACAAAAGGCAGCAAAAAAGGAGACATAGTTCCACATGCTGAAATCGCAGGAATTTTAGGTGCAAAATATACCCCAAATCTGCTTCCAATGTGCCATCCTCTTCCACTAGACTCTGTCCATGTTGAAGTAAAGCCCAATCACGAAACCAAATCTGTTGATGTTCAAGCATTTGCTGCAGCCCATGCCAAGACTGGAGTAGAAATGGAAGCTTTAACAGCAGTTAGCGTATCATGCTTAGTCCTCCCTCGTGAGCCAGCAAAAACTATTGAAAAATCCCATTTTTTTGCTCAAAAACGCAAGCGAACAAACATTTTTTATGAAAAATTTTGACATATAAGTGATAATTATTATAATGAAATCTCTAGCTAATTCTCTCGAATATAAATAGTTTGCTTTTAAACATAAATCTACAAATTTAATAAATATTACTTTAAAGTTATTACGAATTGGGTTTTTTTAAATATTGATAAGGGTGGAATTAGCAGTTTATGATATGTGTAAAAACTTTGACAAATCAATGAGAATTGAAAATATTCATCTAGTAAGTAAAATAAAACATGAAAATTAGCCCTCACCAATATATTACACTATCTATTAACCTCTCTAAGATGCCGAATGGCTGTTGATCTCTGATTGTCTGCTTCTTCTTTGGCTATTGCAATTTCAGCTTCCATTTGTTTACTGCCCCTTTAAACTGGAACAAAATCCTGCTCCAATTTAAAGTGGGTTAATATTTTTTAAAGAAAATTCTATATTAAATTTTTCTCTATAAAAAAATTTTATAAAATTTTAAAAAAATTAGAAATATAATTTTTTGAATTTTAATTTATTTTATGAGGAATTGATTCAAATAAACGATCGGCATCAAAAACTGTATAATTAATATTCTACTTCCTCTTTTTTAATATAGTGAACTACACTGACTGGCACGGGGTATTTTTGGCTCAGTTTCGAGCCAAAAGCACCCCGCGCCAGTCAGTGTAGTTAACTATAATACATTTAAATGGCGATACGTGTCGCTATCTTCGTGGCATAATAGTCCAGACTTCATGGTTAGGTGGAATCAAGTGCAGTCTCAGAAGATGTGTATGCGGATAGGTTTTGGTGCTTTTTGTAGTTGAAATGAAGGTGACCGACAACTTCCTTTGGGTCCAAGGATCTATGACTCTACCGATAAACTGAGATTTCAGCTCAGGCAACAGGAAGCAGTATTTTCCCTGTAGCTGTTGAAGGGAGGTACTATGTCATTCAGAGACTCCAACGAGCTAATCAATTAAATTAAGCTATTACGATTGCCCTTTGCAAGGCTGCAGAAATCCATAAGCTGTCCACTCAAGACTGAAACTGAAAGCAGGATGAGAGAGAAGGCACAGAAGTGGCATCCATTATTGGGGGATAGACCCTCTGGGCTAGAGTTGAAAAATAGTTGAGTCTCCTACAAGGGAGATCTATAGCGACTGTGCCACCAATATAATTAGCATCTGATTTTGAATATTCTTAATCCTAAAAATCCTCGTCTTCCATTAACTAATTTCATAAAGATTAAAAATTCCTATTACAAAAATTCCTCCAAATAAAATAGTACCCAAAATGAAAATTTTACCTATATTTTGTTCCAATTTAAAGGGGTAAGTTATTCATTTCTTTTAGTAGCTGCTTTGTGATGTCATTGCTCTTCATGTCTTTGATTTCTTGAATTTGGTCTTGATACTTCAGCTTTATTTCTTGAACTTTTTTATATTTTTCTGTAACATATTTTTCTATGACATTTTCTAAATCTTTTTCAAAAACTTCTGTGTTTGAATCTTGGTTCTCATCATTATCCCAAACTATCACTTTAGTGCTGCTCCTTGGAGTCCTTGACTCTTTTCTTGCTATAATTTTCAATTCTAAGCTTGTTTCTTGGGAATGCAAATTATCATGGAGCATGGTACTTGTTTTATGGAGCACATTTTCATTAGATTTGATAATTTTTTCTGTATTTCTAACTCTCTTAGCTTGGATTATTTAAAAATGAGTAGCAATTGAAAACAAAAGTAAGTGTCGAATAAATTTATTAAAAAAATAATTAGTTATTTTATTTTAAAGTAGTGATTAGAAATAAGTGGAAAGGAATAAGTGAAGGCAAGCTAGAAGAATATTGCATTGATAATCTGCGTGCCTTTTTCCTGACTTTTGCTTTCACTTTATCGCTAGCGTCTTCAAAGGATTGGTTGATTGATGATATCTTATTCTGTTGCAAAGGTTTTAAAGTATTGCTTTCAGTTCCAGACTGAGAAACATTCTTCACAGTTTTAGAGAAATAAAATGACGTTGGCAGAAATTGACTCCAAGGCCCACTCACTATGAAGCAGGTAGGACTAATCCTGATGAAGATGAAAGCAGAGCCTCTCTCCCTTTTTGAAATAGGCCTTCAGGCTTGGGGGTGCCTTACGAAGAGGGAAGTTTTGTTTCTCCCCCTAATGCTTTCCTATTTTTCCTATCTCTACCAGGTTTTGCCTACTGCATGATCTTCTCTTATCGTGACCATCGGAGCACCTCACTGACGATGACTCTACACAAGGAGCTGCTCTCCTTGAAAGGTGTTGAGGTCAGAAATCCAAAAGGGCGACCTTTGGAGCCTAGGCTGGCAATGGCTAATGGCTCCACTTATGGCGAGCATAATCGTTTTAACTATTACAGTTTTAAGCACATCGTCGCTGATTAAAAATAGTTGAAGTCTGTGGTTGTAGTAAAGATATTTCGGGTCCTTTATAGCTTCATAATATTCAACGGCTTTCTAAATAAAATTTACAGAATATTGCTCTACTAAGGCTTTGATGGTATCTATGTTGCAGTGAAGCTCTGCTTCCATTTCTAGCTCAAGCAGAGTTTCTGCGAAGTTTGAGGGAAGTGTATCTATACCATGTGGTAGGCTGGTCTTGCGATTATGAAGTTTACCTTTTTCCATTTAAATTACAATCTTGTCAGTTAGACTCTTAAGACCATGTATCTTAGTAAAAACGATCTTTTTCGTTTAAATAAAAATGATATAAAGCAAATAGACTATAAATTAATTCAAAACTTACTTAAATATATCTGAAATATAGGTCACCATGAATGTTATAAACATTAATTGTTTATATAAGCATTTATATTTTTATTAACTATCAACTCAAGAGTCTGAAAATATCAATAATTTATATTTGCAAAATACAACATAATTTAAAATAAACGAGAGATTTAGATTAAAGGAATAGCTCTAGCTCAGTTCTTCTATACGTGTTCATTTCATCATCAATCAGTGTTGGGAATGACATGACTAAGCCATCCTGATTTCCAAGGTACAATAAATTATAAATTCTCCAGTATACATCCCTAACTTTTCTTGCAGGATGGAAAAGGCCTTGGGTTACATATGATAGCAGCCTTCCGACACCTAAGCCAAGTCTAAGTCCATCCAACGCATCAATAACAGCATTAATGACATGTGGAGAGTTTTCAAAAACATTTGGTCATATAAAATTAAGCAAATGTGTAAGTGCGTCTTCGCAGCCAAGCCCTTCCACTCCAATTGCAAGATGTTTTATAGCTGCACACGCAATTTGTCTATGAACTAAATCTCTATCAACCAATGCATCTTCTAATAAAGGAGTAACTGCATAGATATAATCTTTTGTCATTTCTCCAATATACTCAAACATAAACGCGAAAGATTTAAGGACTCCATTCTGGACGTTGAGCTCGGGAACTCTATACTCATTCATTAAGGCTGGAATGACGGTAAAAGGCCCACAAGTTTCAGCTACAATCGCAATGGCAACTGTGGTACAGATTCTGTTTTGCCTTTCCTGGACTTTCAGGTTATTAAGAAGAGTTCCTAGCACATCATGAGGGCCAATAGCCTTCGCAATGTACCCAAATGTATTCACAGTAGCTCTTCTGATCCCTTTTTTGTGGGCTCTTAGCAGGTCCAATAAATCAAAGCAGATTCTCATCCATTCTTTAGCAGAGACATACTCAGCACCTCTGTCTGCAATTCTTCCTATTAAATCAATGACGTTTTCCTGGACTTTTTCATGCCTGTTTTTAAGAATAGGGGTAAGTCTTGGCAGCAAATCTTTTATTGGAGGCGTCATCTTGGTCATCCCTATCACATTTACGATAGCTTTTAAGGCGCACAGACAAGACCCAAGCACTTCAGGGTATTCTTCTCCTAGGCACTCATAGAGGACCACCCCCATTCTGCCCATTAAATTATCTTCACCACAGGCTTTCATCACTATTGCAATTTTTGCAACTAAATCGGCTGCTTGCATTCTTACCCTTGGAGATCTATTATTGAGTCTTCATTGAATGGTACCACAAATGTATGGTATTGAAGGCTTGCATCTGATCCCTAAAGCACTGACTACTGTTCCAAATGCGTTGATGACGGCTGCGGAATCATCAGTAGCTTGTTCTTGAAAGGCAAAAAGCATCCCGTCCATCACTTTTTCTTCAAGCTTGGAGTTGATATCTGCGACGCCTAGATTTATAACAATTTTTTCTATAGTTTCCAATACCATTTTTCTAAAAGGCTCGTTCTCGTCTTTCAAGTGGTCTACAATTCTCCCAATTATTTCTCCGCCTCCTACCTTATTTGCTAGCTCTACTGTCGTTTCTATGAGCGGTTTTGAGTTTTTTTTGTCAAGCGCCATTCTTCTAAGCCAGAAAGATCTGAAAAAGTCTTGCAAAATGTGATCTCTGACATAGTTTGCGGAGACGCCTTCAGTGCTGACACATTGCTTCAGGACTTTTAGGACAATTTTTTTCATATCTTCATCTTGAGTGTCAAACTCTCTTATAACTACGTGCATGATTTTGCGAGTGCATGCGCCAGCATGCTCAGGATCCATTAATGGGATTATATATCCCATAGCTTTTAAAAACGCCGCAAGGGCTCTTCCACTATGAGTTTTAATACCTTCCCAAAGAGGCTGGATAATATGTTCAAAAGCTTCGATTCCATAAGGAGCAGATGCTTCAGCCAGCGCTGCTATTGCTAAAGCTGTTATAGTTCTTACTTTTGGCTGCTCATCTAAGAGTCCATCTTTTATGATTTCAGTCAAGGATTTTAAATGTGGCAAAATGGAGCATCCAATTAGGATGGCAATCTGCTGAACTATTTTTATGCCAGTATGCTTAGCGAACCATGATTTTCTGCTATGACAGACTGCCTTTAAAAACGGTAAAAGAGCAGGAATTCCTAAGGCTGAAGCGACCACTGCAAAAGCTCTTGCTGTTGTGTTGCGGACATATTCATCGATGTGATCTATGTCAGGTCTCATTGTAGCAATCATAGTAGCAAGGCCTGCAGCTTTGCTTAATGATGACACTATTTCTCTGCCTTCGACTCTTGCGTAGAAATCTTCATCAATAAGCATAGGCTCAATAACAACCAATATTTTGTGCACGTATGGTCTTACTAAGTCGTCCAATTTATAGAGTTTACAATAAAATATTATATTTTTATTCAGACGGGTAGAATTCTCTATAGAATTTGGAGTAGACAATTACCATAAAAAATAGTAAGTCTCCAGATTTGGATTATATAAAACTCTGTCAATAACTTTTACCAATAAATGCCTTTCGTGATCCTCTAAAGTTGGCGACATCATCAAAGGCAGAATTTGGCTAAACAAAGGCCCAGCCCCTAGCTCTCTTGCTTTTTCTGTGATTTGTCTTAAAGCTTGTTTCCTCATTATAGGGTTACCGTTTTTTACTTTTAGCAAAAGCTCCATGATTCTTCTCTCTTTTTGTTCTTCATATGACAAATTATCAAAATCCACCTCTTGTAGCAAAGCTCCAAAGTAGCCTAAATCTTCTGGCTTTATTTGGGGCAATGCATTTGGTCCTGAATCAGGAACTCCAGGTACCTCATAAGGTTTTCCAAGCTCTTCTGGGATTTGATAAAAATTCATGCCGCCTAAGAATGGGTTTATTCTATTAGTTTTTGGCGGTTTATAGGTGTCAGGGACTGGCACAATTTCATAGCCGTCTATTGGAAGGAGCCCATTTAGCTCTTCATCAGTCAAATATTTATTTCTTTCTTCTAGCTCTTTTGCAAGTCTCAGCATTTTAAGGTTCTGGGGTGTTATGTTAGAGTATACATTAGGTGCTGTTGAGTCAGAATTCTCAGAAGGGGCATCCCAATTGTCTTTAGCTTTTCCTGCCTGATTTTCATCTGAAGGCTCAGGAGACCTAGAAATCGTTGGGGTTTCTCCTCCCCATCTGGTTTTCCTGGTATCTGACTCGCTTTCATTCCTTGTGCTTGCATAATCATTAGAAGCCTCATGCTCATAAGATTTGCTTTCGCCTTTATTTAGCCTTTCTCGCTTTTCTTGCAGATTTCTTTTCTGCTTTTCTCTATCTGCTTTTACCTGGGCTTGCTCTTTTAAGATGTCAGCATATGAGCGTTTATTTATGTCTTTGTCTGTTTTATTAAACGCATCAGCTCTTTCTGGGGAAAATGTCCTTAATCTTTTGCGCCGCTGATATTCGTCTTCCCGATCGATGATTTTTCGACTGTCGTATCTTTGGGTTAGTTTATCTGGGCCTAACTGGGTTGGGAGTTCTGGATTTTCTTCTTCAGAATCCATAGGGATATAATTTGTGAAGGCATTTTTGTCGATCTCTTTCTCTACAGACATTAATTATTAAGTATGTAAGATTTTGCATAGAAATAGGATAAAATGCTAGCGAAATTATTTAAAATATTTCAATTAACTTCTTAACCAATAAAATGGTATTTAAATGACCAAAAATATACGTTTAAAACTTATATTCCTGGAAGATAAAATTATGATTATGGATAGTATATTCTTATGGTGTTTTGTATTCCTGCTCTGCAAACTGGGCACTGATTTAAGCTATCGCAGCAAACTCTGCAGACACATAAATGCTTGCAAGGCTCAATAAGAGTATCTCTAGGATTTTCTAACTCCCCCATCCTTGATCTAACGGCTCGCCATCGTTCGATCAAGGATGGGGGTTTAAAAAAAAAAATCTTTGGGAAAAAAAATTTTATATATAAAATAAAATATATATAAAAATTTGCATGATATGAAAATCGTTCTATCAAGGATGTGGTTTAATTTCCCCAATTTTTAGGAATTTTTACCATCAATCGCTCGATCAAGGATGGGGAGTAAGCATATAACGCAATGAAATCCTTCGGGAATATTTTCTCTGATGTTTCTATATTGGTTTTCCAAATTTCTTCTTTTTCTAAGTCTCCTTATTGCAGGAACAACAAAAACGCACCCAAGTATCACTGCAGTAGCCCATAACCATCCAAGATTTTTTCTCAGATGCCTTAAAATTTCATTTTTAGAAAATCCAATATGGTCAGGAATAACTGTAATTTTTCCATTTGTTTTCGAAAATTTTCCAATAGCAGTGATAGCAGAGTTGCATGAGATTACTTTTTCTTCTACTTCATGAAATACTTCGACCGGAATTATAACCTCCGAGCCAAATCATGAAGAAATAAATGACATTACTCCTTGAAGCATGAGTTCAAATGATGGAGATAAATTTTCACTTTTGGAATAAATTGTGTTCGTATAAATATTTGTATCGTTTGAAGGGCTAATCATTATTTCGAGTCTTCCTTGGACTAATGAAAATTGACTGATTACCCGATCATGAATTTCACGACATCGTCCAGATTGTGCGTATCTGTATTCAATGGTATCAGAATAAACAATTTTCCCATAATTTTTAAAGTGTATTGGCTATATTTTTGTTACTTTAAAAGCATTCTTATCACTGACGATACCTGAAACACAAACTAATTTCGTAGGATTGTTTTCTGAATTATTCACAAGATCTTGCACACTTAAATCTTTTAAATTCCTATACTTTCAATAATTTATTCCATTGAAAACAGCAAATGAGCCTATTATTAAGGTGCAAACTCCACCAATTCCATATATTCACTTTCCTATATCATCCATATTGAAAAATTTATTTATTGATGTATTTTAATTCATTGGCAATCTTTAATGACTATTTTTAAATGTTCTGTATTTAGCATAATGATTTAATTTTTTACGAAACATTATTTTTTAATTCTGTAGCAATTTTATGAGCCAATTTTTTTTAGAACTTATATTTAACTATATAGCCTTATTTTTATAGCATAACAGGAAAAGAAGGATCCATATTAATTCCACAAATTCCACTTCCCTCAGATATTCCAATTTTTCCAAAGCCGTTCTCTCCTCAATCATAGCCTCATGAATTTTTGATAATTCAATATGGCTTCTCTTGTGTTGTGTCAAATCCTGTGATGATAACTACATGATTGAGATTCGCTCCGCAATCATCAGTAATTATCCCACTCTTATAAAATTGTCACGATTTGCTGTCTACTAGTGCTAAGACAGGCTGCTGAGAAACAGCTTGAATAAGCTCAGAAACGTTATTTGATTGAACGCTATTTTGGTAAATCGCATTTGCCATAATTAGCTTCTGTTCATTTGCCTTGCATTCTTGGTCGATTCCAACAAATGGATAATTTTCTGCAGAAGATAAGCCATTTTCTTTGACATATTTAAACGCATTGACTGCATATCCGCCTGAACAACCATTATTATTATAATCACCAGAGCAGTCAATTAGTTCTTGAGAAGATGCCTCAATTAAGCTACCATGATTTATAAAATAATAAGCACTGGTAGCTTCGGCTACAGAAATAGCCCATGAGCCTATGCATCCCTCTTGGTCTTTTACTATTGATGTTACAGCGCCATTTTTTTCCCAATCAATTGACTTTATTTCTGTTTTTCCTTCAAATTTTGCAACGTAACTTTGTGTGGCTACTATATAATTCGCAGGAATATGATTGTTGATAAACTCTTCTTGTGTAAGATCTGCAAATTTAGTGATTCCAAAGCTCCAAGACTTCTTCATATCATTATGATTTTGTATTTTAAGTAGGTTTTCTTTAAATATTTTAAATCGAGCAATATAATCATCAGTTGTTTTATATGACTTGTCGTATTTTATTATAAATGCTTTAAATTTGTCTATATCGAAATCTGTTGTTAAGATGAAATTATTAGTTCTGTTGAGATAATAGCCAGCGAGAGATAAAGAGAAAAGAGAAAGAACTACAATAAGAATGAGGATGCTATTTAAGCTTGAAGTCTTGTGGGATTTATGTCCTTGATTTTGATCATCCATTTTTTTTATAATGAGTTTAATCATATATTTTCTGATCAGCGGACTCTAGCATTTTCATTTTTTCCATCTTGAATACTACTGTTAATCACCTTAAAATTCATAAAATTCTATCCTCAAAAATCCCTATTTCATATTAAATATCTAAATTTTCAGCGATAAGAACAGTTTTGAAAACAAATTATATAAACTAACTCCCCCCCCCCCTCCGTGAGCGAACAAAAAAATTTTGTTCACTCACGGAGGGGGGTTAATTTTTTTTTTTAAAAACAATTTATATATAAATTTTATAAAAAATATTTTTTTCGAAATTTAAAAAAAATCCTAATTTGCAAAAATTGGGAAGCAAATACTAATTTAATTTGCAAAATTTATGTTTTAAAACGCAATTGTGTTTAAAATTAAACAGAATTAGCTCTAGATTTCATTATACTAATTATCACTTATATAGCAAAATTTTTTTCTATTAAAATTTTTTCTATTAAAAATATTTTTGTTCACTCACGGAGGGTGGGTTTTTGGTCAAAAAATGGCGATTTTTCTAATGGTTTTGTTCGCTCACGGAGGGGGGGGGGGGGGAGTAAAGAAATTTATAAATACTAAATTTCACTTTCTTTAGCTGATTTTATAATCCTGATTACTTATTTAAATAGCCTAATTTTTTTGTTAGTTTGATTTAAGTTCTTTAATTTGTATCTTCAACCGATTTAAGAAATCATTTGACAACTTTGGCTTAATTTTCTGCTTTTCTTGAATTGAGCTGAGCTCAAGTCTTTTTTCAAAATCCTCTATTTCTTTATCAAGTGAATCTGAATTTATTTCATCTTCCCTAGTCGGTGAAGTTGCGGCTGTCGATGCTTTGCTTTTATTTTTCTTTTTGCTTCTTTTAGGAGAATTGTGTGGCTCGCCTTCTATATAAGATACAAGTTCATCAAGTGGCATATTATGAAGAGGCTCCCCTTGGAACTCTTCTTCAGAATCACTATAAGAATCATCTTAAACTTAAACTTAAATTGCAGGTCTTGGCTGCTCGCCTATGGTAACCCGTTGTAAATGATCTCCGAGGATATTCAGCCTCTTTGCGACAATAACAGGGAGAATTTGCTTGAGTTTGGATGATGATTTATATGGCGAGTTGCTTGCTCAAATGCCACCTTTCCTCTTATATTCACCGCTTGACACCATGACACTTCGGGTAATAGAGTTCTATATTTCTGTCTCCTCTTGTCGGCTCCATGTTGAGTGAGAAGGTATGGACTTATGTTGGGTTGAACGAAGATTGCCTCAAAAAAATGGAATTTCTGGCCAATTATCGGCAGAAAAGGAAAAATTCAGACCTGGGTGTACCTCCTAGTCTCATGCTAGGACATTACCCAGATTTCTCGGCATTACCCATAGACACTGCTGGACTTTCCCTTTCGAAATCTGAACCCACTTATCCCCTCGAGGTAAAGCCCAATCCAAAAAGCGGACTAGAGCGAGGCTCTGCACATTAATAAAATTTTGTCAAAGTTGCATTGCCAGGAGCAATGCCCAACTAGTCGCAATTTTATTTATAGTATAAGAATCATCAGAAAAGTGTGTTTGTAGGTCGCACTCGTCAAAATATGGCTTAGGAGGTGGGATTGGGTTTGTGGCTGATGCTAAGATTGTTAGCGCGTACTTAAGTTCCCTTTCCATTTTTGTTATCATTTGTACAGCATGATGTCTTGGGTCTTGCGTTTTCACATAGTCAATTAGGCTTGCGTTGTTTTTTACTATTTTTTCGTGGAAAACCAGCTTGTTTATAGTATCAAATGACGCTATTGGGCCTTCAAATAAACAGCTGACTATTTTTCCAATCTGTGTAGCGGCATTTTGTAAGGTGTGGTAAGCTTCAGCTATACAAATGATCTGCAGCATTTTGCTTTTCCCTGTAAGCTCTGATATTTGTTCGTTTAAAGAGTCAATAAATATGTGCACGCCTTCGAAAAGAGCAGAATTTAGCTCGCTTCTGGATCCCTCTGAATAAATCAGCTGCTTTAGCTCGTGTCTGAGTTTTTTGCGAAAATCCCGGTCAACAACTAAGTTGTAAGTTTGTCGTTTTTCAAGAGGATTTTTGGAACTGAGACGCTTGTTTTTGCAAGAAATGTAGTCGTTGAGAAACTCAGTGTAGATTTGGCTGATGGACTCTATTACTTCTTCTCGTAGATCGTCAGCATTTTCTGGGATGAGGTTTTCGGGGCTTTCTGGAAGGTTTTCTGATACTCTTAGAAGTGAAAAATCATTTTGAGAGTCTGAGGTCAACGAGTCAACTTCAATATCGTGTAAGAGTTTTGGAGCTTTGGAGCTGCCTTTTGGCTTGCGTTTGGTATTTTTCTTTCCCATTTTTATTATATTACTTTTAGAAAAAATTTTCACTTCCTGCTTTATAGAATGCTAATAAAAGTTTCAGAAATTCAGCCGTTTAGATTAATAAATCATATAATTTGCCAATTTTCTATATAAAAATTATGTTATTGAAAATATAATTTTTGATTTATTATACAGGGTTCTCCTGGCTATTTCCAGCCTTAGATATTTCTGTTATATAACTCAATACTTAAAATTTGAATCCTTAATGACTTATTCTTCTTCACTTGTCCAAATGGTCAAGTTGTCCTTGATCAGCCCCAAAATGGAAGTAGCTTCTTTGTAAGCTCTTTCATCAAGCTCTTCTAGACTAGGTAAGGCCTCTTCAAAAGTCTTCTTTGCAAGGCTGACTGCTTTTTCTGGCTCCTTCATAGCTTCGTAGTAGAAAACTGAGAAATTAAGTGCAAGTCCAAGCCTGACTGGATTATTGGTAGGGAGATTGACTGCTGCATCAGAGGCTGCTTGATAGGCTTGATGGCTTCTTTGAACGGCTTCTTCGTCTCCAGACTCAGCTAGGTATCTGAAGTAGTCCCCTTTCATTTTTAAATAGAAGACTTCCACTTCATCTGAGTCTTTTCTTGCAAGAAGCTTTTCATCAACCAATTGGCTGACTTCTAGACATAAGTCATGAAGCTCTTTTATCACTCTTTGTCTATATTCTTCGACAATGTCGAGGTGGTCGGATCCACGAGCACTGAGCTTTTCTTTATAGGAGCTTAGAATGCGAGCTGCATTGCGGCGCTCACCTACAGCTTGCTTGTAGGCAACGCTGAGTAAGGTGCGCTCCTCATTGTTCAGAGCTCCTCCAGTTTCATCAATAAGTTGTTTGATGCTGGAGATCATGTCGGAGTAGCGTTCTGCGTGCTCTGCTAGCTTAGTGCTATAGACAATTTCTTCTCTTGACATGTTTAGTATTAGAAAATAAGTTTAAGTAAAGATTAGACTTTAAAGCAACTAAGCTTCAATTCTGGATAAAATTTTTCGTAAAAAAGTTAGTTTGGATTTTTGCCACTTTTTTTAATGATTATAATCAAAAAGGCTGTTTCAAAATTAATTATTTCCCCCCTCTGTGAGCGGACAAAAGCATCTTGTTTGCTGGGGTAATTTTTTTTTTTAAAAATTTATATGCAAATTCATAGCTAAATTAAAAAAATCGCAAAAATTGGAAAGCAAATATTAATTTAATTTGTAAAATTTATGCTTTAAAATGCAAATTTGTTAAAATTTAAAAAGTATTGGCTAGAGATTTCATTAACTAATTATCACTTATATATCAAAATTTTTTGTTCGCTCATAGAGAGTGATTTTTTGGCAAAATACAGGTATTTTTCCAATGTTTTTGCCTCGATCACTGATGGGGAGTAAGAGAATTCGCAGAAGGGGAATATATTACAGATATATCAGGAGTGTGAAGATCAGGGATAGGTGTATATGACCTCATTTCTTGAGTTTCTTGCAGTTTTATTGCCAATAATTTACATTCTTGTTCTTTATCTTTGACTTTTTGAGCCAAATTTGCTTCATGCTCTTGCAATTGCTTTAAATCCAACTCAAGCTCTTTGATTTTTTGGTTGCTGGAAAATTTCGAATTATTTGATTCAATAATTGTCCTATTAACAAGTCTTTCTAAGCTTCGATTTTTAACAGAAACTGTAGGACTTACGCTTGCACTGCGATTATGCATTTTAAGATCATAATATTTACTTGTGAGATCCCTTAATCTTTGGCCGCTTTCTTTAATTAATTTTGCATTTACCATATTTAAAATCGCAATTCGGGGTACGTCCTATCCTTTTCATAAGGCTAGCACTACAATCCGAGCTTAGTGAGAGAAGTCCAAGCTTCTTGAGAGTCTCGGCTTGAAGAGAAGAGGTCTGTGCTGAGGCTGGCACGGACTAGAGAAGTCTGAAAGAGCTTAATAACTTTAAAGGTTCGACGGTTAGGCCGGTCCACCTACCGTTGTTCAGAGCTTCTATCGTAGCTGGATCTCAAGTAAAGAAGACTTAAAGGCACTGTTGTGCTAGAGAAATTCGATAAACATAAACATAAAAAATTTTGCATTTTCCAATAATTTATATTCTAAAGTTTTAATTCAATTCATATAGTCCAATTTCTTTTGTTGGCATTCTTTTTCAAGTCTCATAATTTCTTTTTTACTCATCGACTCTGTAACTCGAGTTTTCACTTCTTGTGATTTTAAATTTTTATTAATATCGGCGAGCTCTTTAAATCGATCCTCTTTGCTTTTAACAATATCTTCCAATTTTTCAACTTCTTCTGTGGAAAAATGCTTTAATTTGTGTGAAAGCATTTGAAAGTCTTTTTCATAAATTTCAATTTGTCGGTGAGCATTATCAATTAGTCTTCCTTTCGCTTTAGGAGTAAGGTCTCTGCTAGTAGGGATCCTCAATTGGTGTCTTTCTTGGTGTTTAAGCTTGGTTTGAATTTCAAGAAAAGCTTGCTTGGTTGATTTATACTCTTGGCGAAGTTTGTCATTTTGAGCTTTTATAGCAATGTACAAGCTGAGTTAAGCTTACTTTTCATAGGCTTCTTTATTCATATTTTCTTATGTTGAAATAATAAAATCTGCTTTATATTTAATGACAGCATTTCATTACCGCAATTCATTCTTTTATTATTATTCAAAAGGTAATTTCAAATAATATATTTTCGGACATTTTTAACAGCAATTCAAATGTTTAAATTAGGAAGAAAAACTAGAAGGAATAGCTCACTTAGTGACTTTGAATTCCAGCATCAAGAATTCGCAGAAAAATTACTTGATTTAGAACTGAAGCTCGAGGAATCCTGCGACCAGTCCACAATTGATGAAATCATCAAGCTCTACACAGTAAGCCCTAATTTAGTCCGCAATTGATTATTATGAGTCCATAAACGATCAAAAATCATCAAGCTATCACAAGAAGCTGCAAGGATTCCTGGCACGCAAGGACGTGAAAGACGCCATCAAATCGCCAAATGCACCAAGACTTAATCGTCATGAGCAGCCTCCTAGAAGGACTCGGATGCTTTCAAAACACACTTCAAGCCTCCCGGACCTTCATCTCCACGCAATAGAAAACGTAATGAAAGAGCATGAATGCGGTACGAATAATGCCCACCATTTATTGCAGGATAATTTAAAGAAGCAAGAAGATTTGTTTGAGTCGAAAATCCAAGAAAGACAGCAGAGAGTAAAAAGTCATACCCTTTCGCATAAAGAAAATTTGGCGATAATGGGGAGGACTAGTGATAAGCAAATTGATAGAATTAATCAAATGTTTGAAGATGAAAAAAGCAAAAGAATAAAAGAAGTGAGAAGCTTATATTCTGGACAGATTGATGAAATGAGATCTATCGCAAACTGCGATATCCTTAAGCAAGTAGTTGTTGAAATGGAAAAGAGTATGGAAAGAGAAATCGCTAATGTGACTGCAAAACTCGCTAATGAGAAATACATAGAAATTGATAAGCTTCGAAGAAGCCGGGGTGTTACCATTTCTTAATAAGGTAGGTAGCTAAAACATAATAAAACTGTACTGCTGATTAAAAAAGGATACCTAGTAAAAAATCTCAGTTTTTTAAACTGATTTGCATTGGAGTCATATACAAAATGTCACATGAATTAAATAGTGAAGCCCAATTCGACCTCCACCAAGAGTCAAATTTCTCAAAACCAAGCAAAATTTTGCCAATAATAAGCAAAGATCAGTTTGATGAAACAATAGCAATTCCTAAATTGAAAAGCGACAAAGAAGAAAATGTATGCAGAATATGCATGGAATACGCAACACTTACTTGCCCCCTGATTTCACCTTGCCGCTGCACAGGATCAGTCAAGTACATACACGAAGAATGCCTCAAAACCTGGTTGGTCTCTCAAGACAAAGACCTTGCAGAAGGTACATGTGAGCTCTGTCAAACAAAATTTACCATGGTTTTTGAAGTCTCTAACAAGTGTTCTCCAAGAGAAAGCCTAAAGCAAGGGATTACACATTTTCTTTTCATCCCACTTCTAACTGCAGTAATGGTTATGCTTTTTGTTATTGTTTACCTGCTCGCAGACAAGTATTTATCAGATTCAAATGACCAAGAAAAAGGCTACATGATCGCTTTAATGGTTATTTGTGGAATATCTGGGCTTGTGATATTTTTATTGATTTGCAACTCAGTAAAAGAAACATGTATTATTGGAAAATTAACGAACTGGGTTATTTTGTCACAGAATTATGACTTAGATCAAAGCATAAGTCCGATGAAAAATGAGATCTCAAAAGACGATATCCTTGAAAGAAGCGCTTCAATTGAAAACAATGTGATGCTGATTCCGAAGAAGGTGACTGTAAGATCGAAAAAAGTAAGAACTCCTACATTAAATCCACCCATGGTTCCTGTATATAGAGCAGGAAATGCAGTTGCGTTCACACCAAGATGCATTTCAGCTATGAGTCTTGTGTCGGCGAACTCGAGCTTATTGATGAGAAGAGCAGCATCAAGGTCTGACCCTTTATCAGATAATGAGCAGTCAGGTGAGAAGTTAGATTCAAATATGCCTTTTCTTCGAAACGCAGAAGCCTAGTAATTCTAAAAGGCCTTTATAAATGTATAATAATTTATTTGACAAATTATTTTCAAGCCTGAATAAAAGGCTATTTTTAGTTTGAATTTTATTATTTAATATTTTATGCCAAGCTATGAACTCTTTTTCTGAAAGCCATGCCCCATTCTTTGATTTTCGTGGGTATCATATAGCTAAAAAGTGATGCAAAAACGTCTTTATAGTTCTGATGTGTTATCATTGTCATAACGGTTCTATCATTTTTATATTTAATTGTTTGAATTGTCATTAGAATTTCTCCCCTGCTAACTCCATCAATAGGAGGCTTTGAAGCGTCTTCAATTGAATAGGAAACCATCACAACGTGATCGTCCCTTCTCAAAACGGTTTTCTTTTCCAAAAAATCTCCTTTATACCCAAACGCTGATATATATGTATAAACGACAATTTCATCTAGATTTTCCCTAATATTTTCTACATCAGAAATGGATTTATCTCACTTTTTTCTCTCTTTAGCATCATTGAGCTGCCTTATGATGATGTTCGGCATAATGTAATTATCAAAATAAATTTTTGAATAAAAGACAGGGAATTTGTCACCATATTTCGATCCGTCAAGTCTCCTTACGATGATGTGCTCAGTTTCTATAATTTGGATCCACCGAGAATCTTTTTTTAAAGTAGAGCTGTATTCAATTATTTCTTGGACTTTGTCGTCGACGATTTCATCGCTTTCTGATAAACAAAAGCTCATGCCTGGCTCATGTTTTAATTTGAATTCTTTTAGATCTTTACTATGAGAGTTCTCTTCTTTTGAGTTGTTTTTCTTTTCTTTGTTCGCAGGAGCATCTCTTGTTTCACAGCAGCCCATTTAATATTATAGGCGTTTTCATACAAAGTATTGTTTTTTTTATTCACAGCAGAAATTTAAAAGGGTGATTAAATTTGCTTCGAAGCTGCATAGAGAATCTGTTGAAAAAATTAATTTAATTATAAACTCTTAAATTGCGATTTTTTAGCAAGAAATATCTACACTTTAATATGTTTAGATTTTGTACTTTAAATATTAAGCTACTTATTTATCGCCAATCCATTTGCATTTTTGCTTTCTACAAATTTAATTCAAAACTAAACGATTCTACTTATTATTTCTTTTTAATTTGTAGATTTCTAAATTATCCTGCATCAATTGCATTTATTTAATAGGTGTTTTTAATAGGCTTATTAAATATAAGGTGAAGCTATTGCTATTATAAAATGGATAGAAACAATTTTCTAAAAATTATTATAGCTAGCGCAATCAAGTCCTTATTTAATTGAAATTGTGTATTAATGTGCCAAAAAGTTTTAAAACCTGAATGAATTAAATATATTTAGACCAGATTTATTTTTAGAAATAAAATTGCATTTAATCTAAAACGCTTAAACGTGCTATTCTTGAACTTAAAACTTGTTTCCGTTGATGAAAAAAGAGGCTGATTTCGTATTATTTACGCTACATTATATTGATTTGCTTAGAAAAAAAATATACTCTGAAATACAAAAGCTTAATTATTATGGCTTAATCTTTTCAGATATGCCAATAATTTCTAAGCTCACTGCCATTTCTTTATTTTAACATAAAATTTACTTTTATTACTTTGCCGCGGTGGCTCGAATCTTCTTTGTCAAGCAAATCATGCAAAGTATCTTCACCAAATGCTCATGACTTGCCAGCACAATAGCCGAATTTAATACAGCCTGCAAGACTTTTGTAGAAAGCCCATTATACAGTGCCAAAGCTCCTTCATGGTCAAGAACATCCTTCAAAACCTCAACAAAGCCTAGGCTTTTTTGATCTTCAAGTTGCACTCTAGTTCTCAATGTTAAAAATGGATAAGTTATCATAGTTGCAATAAACTTAGTCAATGCTCCCAGCAGAAAACAAAAGCCTGCATGCAACTTTTTTTGTTTGAATCTCCTTTTCATGTGCTCATAAGTTACAAATTGAATTACAGGATTTAAAACTAGGATAAAGCTTGTAGACATTCCTTTAAACAAGCCTCTGAACCCCTCATGCTTTATAATTGAAGAAAAGCAACTTGAAATGCTTTCTTCCTTCTCTGACTTCATAAGTCTCGTGTTAACTGTTCATATTGGAGTATTAACTAGAATATTAACAAAGCTAGCTACAAGACTGACAATTAAGTCATCTAAAATTGTCAACTGGCGCTTCCCACGAGACAATATTATTTGCATTGCTTTGTATACTAGAAAATAAACTCCTTGGCTTGAAGCTGTACTGATAAGTGAAGAAATGAAACCTGAATACAGGGACATTAAGTTTCCATTGGTTCGTAACTCTTTAAGGAAAAGTCTTAGCGTGGTTTTAGAATGAGTTGATTGCATACGTATTCGAATTGTATCCAGAGGATGCAAGATCAGAGTAGCGATAACCGCGCTGAGAGAGCCAGACAAGCCATGAACCAATGATTCTTTCATTTTATTCTTGATTAAAAATTATATAATTATTTCATTCTAAAATTTGCTTGATTTTTCTTATTAAAAATTATATTAGGCTTGATTTATTCCTGTGATCTCTTAGCAGAGGTATCTTTAAAAAATATATACTCCATATTTCCTTACTCCCTCAGCCGTAAAAATTTTGTTGGCTCATGGAGAGGGTTAATTTTTTGTTTGAAAAAAAATTATATATAATTTTAAGAAAAATTTTTTTTTTACAAACTTAAAAAAATCCCATTTAGTAAACTTGGAAAGCAAATGCTTATTTAATTTGTAAAATTAATGCTTTAAAAATGCAATTTTTTTTAAAATTAAAAAGAATTAGCTAAACATTTCATTATACTAATTATCACTTATATAACAAAAATAATTTTCAAAAAAATTATTATATTAAAAAAATTTTTTGTTCACTTACGGAGGGTGGGTTTTTGGGCAGAAAAATAAGGATTTTCCAATGGTTTTGTTCACTCACGGAGGGCGGGGAGTTAGTAATTAAAGAACTATTTAATATTAAATTTTTAATTCTTTTCTAAAAAGTTTAAAAAATTGTTTTACTGAAATAAATGATTATTGAGTATAGTTTTATACTATAATTTTTCTAGTTCTTCCCACATTTTTCGATTTCTCTCAATACTTTCCACATATTCCTGAGTTTGCGGAATATGAGTATTTAATAACTTCCACAAAGGATAAATAACAGCATCAATAAAACCCATTTGGTTCTGCTTGATTTTCTTTATTTCATTTCCAACTCTCAAAAATTCAGATACTGGGAGTCCCCTTTCTTCTTCTTGCAAAACTTGTTTATTAAATTCTTGAATGATCCTTAAGGACCATACAGTAGCTAGATCAAATTTATAAGTAGGGTTTCCTACATCAGCTGAATGGAGAACCATATCTAATAAATGCTGTCTATGAGTTGGGTTTTCTCTATTAAAATTTTGCATCGTTTGAGCAAAATTTTCCATGACTATTTTATGCCTGGCCATATCAGTTGCTAAAATTGTAGGAATGATAAGCCTCCTCATATAAGTTTGGTCTTCATTAGGCAAATTGCAAAAAATATCACAGCCCTCAAGCTCTAAAAAATGAACGAGGGTTGCTGCATGATGGTTTTCCAGGACTGAAATGTCATTATATCTGATTGCCAAAGAATGGCGAGAATTAATCATAAAAGCATTGGTAACGCCTGGATGGTTTAAATCGTGGCCATACGATGAAATAAGTAAAGCCAAGCGGTCACGGTTGTCTAGGTAAGCTTGATATTTATCAACATGCTCACCAATAGAGTGGATCATTTGCAGAACTGAAAAAGCGTGGAAAATGTTATGGAAAGGGTTGTCTTGATAATTCTCGCACACAGCATAGATAAATCTCTGCATTTTGCAGATCTCTATGTGGAAAGGCTCAAGCAAGTCATAGAAAATATGCAAAATGTACTCGCGTAGCTCAGCTTTGGGGTAGCTGAAGGCTGAAAAGTCTTTCATTCTTAATTCTGCAACTTTGGTATAGTTTGGTCTGAAAGGGTTATTTTCATTATAAGGGAAGTTCTCGATGTTTGCAAAATAAAGAGGAGAGAGGATGTCGTTATGGATAGCCTCCATTCACTTTTTCCGTAAGTTATCGTCCATCTCTCGGATGTTTATAAAGGTCTGTCTGATCAGATCCAGCTCTGCTGACGTTACTCCCCCTTTTCCTTGTAGAGAAAGCTCTTCGAGCTTTGCAATTATTTTTCTTTCTTGATCTCCAGTTTGACTAGGATCACTGGCCACTGGCCTACGAGTTGAAGCTGAGCACCCTATTTTAAAAATGGAGCAAATACAGCTAACTTGTCGTAATCTTACTTTCTGCAATGAATTTATACAAAAACAAGTAATTTATGTTAAAATTTTATGCTTAATTGGCAAAAGGAAAAAGAGTTGTGAAATTAGATTCTAGAATAAATATTTATTGAAATGGATTCAGGCCAATTTTATTTTTATTATAAAGCATATAATTTATTTATTTATTTTATTTATTTATTTGAGATAGCTTTACAAAATATTCTGATTAGCTTTACTAGTATATTCAGAATTGAGAGATATTGATACATATAATTACAAATATTTTTTGCTTTTTCCTCCCCTCTATTAAACAAAAAAAATTGTGCGCTCAAGGGGGAGGGTTAAGTTTTTATTTAAAAAAAATTATATATTTTATCGTAAATTTTTTTTTCGAATTTAAAAATCCCACTTCGCAAAATTTGAAAGCAAATATTAGTTTAATTTGTAAAATTTATTTTAAAATGCTAGCGATTAAAATTAAACAGATATTTAATTATATTAATTATAGTTTATATATCAAAATAATTTGTTATAAAAATTTTTTTCTATTAAAACAATTTTTGAAACCCTCACGTTAGTGAGTTTTTAGGCATAAAATAGGGATTTCCCAATGGTTTTGTTCGCTTTAGAATAAATTTTATTTGAGCTTAATGTTTATATTGGTGCAGTTTTATCAAAAATATATTGAAGATTGATATTCAATAAAATAGTAAAATATTCATTATGCAATTCAAATTCATGGATTTATAAATTAAGAATATCATGGCAGGCCAAGTTAAAGAAGACCCATTTGCTTTAAAATTTGTTGACCAAGAAGATAGTGATCCCCAAGAAAAACCAATCCAAAAAAAAACGCAAGAGTCTGGTATGCGAAAAAACATTCTTCCTGAGCCTAGACAAAAAAGTGAGCCTGAATCTGCATCTCCAAATTCTTCAGGAAGGTCAAAAACATATGTAAGATGGGGACTTTTATCAGCTAAATCAGAAATCGTTTTATATGATATTAAACAAGCTCTTTATCGCCAGTCAATTATAGAACTTGCACTTATTCTTTTGGGACTATTAATACTTATTGTCCATGCAAAATTTGTAATTTTAGTTCATATTCTGCATCTGGTTCGTCCTTACTTGGCTTATAGGCTGATCATGATTTTGCCTCGAAGCCACAACTTTTACGAGCAGCTGCCTGATGATCTTGGAAAGATAGGAGATGATTTTCAAGGCAAAGCATATGATGAATTGAGAAAAAGCTCAGGAATTGCAGCGCAATATCTTAGTGTTTCAGCTGTTGCCGGATTATTTGATATTATTGCTTTGCTTATTGGCTATGGAAAATTTGATAATCATGATTCAATGGCAGCGACTTATTTTGTCCTAGCTTTTCTTTTTGTTTGCACAGATTTTTTCTTGCCACTATGGTATAGCTCATGCACCTTAATAGATCTCTATACCCCAGCAGAATACGGACCAGAAAAAATATGGTACCGGCATCTACCTTATACAGTATAAGTCTGATTAGGTACCTTAAAACCATAAAACGTAGACTTTTCATTTTCGTATTTACTTTTCAAAAAGCTGACAAGTACAAATTAATTTTGGAAATTAAAATTGATGGCCAATAATGATCTAAAATATTTCAGGGGCTATATTAAGATTAAGATTACGCTGGGTATTTAAAGTCCCCCATTTCGTCTGAGGAAGCATTCTACGGTTTCTCGTATGGTGGCAGAGCGTTCACCAAGCCCGGGCCGAAACCCCCGGTTTCTCGGCAGAGGTGAAGGTCAAGGGACGTGTCATATCGTCTTTGCTGACCACCTCCATTTCCAACTTGGATCGTCGCTTAAGTTTACGCCAACACTGCCGCATCGTCCGCCAGATCTGCCCATTGAAGGGCACCTTTTAACTGGAGAGACTCCCGTTGTGTTGTCTAGGTTACCTTCCCCTCTTTTCCGGTCATCCCGAGAAAGAACTCAACAGCTTTCGCCGTTCGGGGCAAGCCACAAAAGCAGCTTAGGCAGGTAAGTCGCCCTGCCTCATTTCCGGCACTCACTGGGCTGAGCGCTCCTTGAAAAAAGAATTTGGCCACAGAAACAGCGGCCTCTGTGCTTAGATCTCTCGCTTTGAGGTCCAAAACGTTGCTGGGCCAACTCCCGGCTCCAAACACCATGCCCGGATATACATGGGTAACCACCACTGAGAGGGTGGGTCGGTCGCCATATGCCATTTTATGTATATTATTTCAGGGGCTATATTTGACTCTTCAATTCACTTTTCCTGAGGATATTTGGTTTGATTTAGTGACAATAGCTAGAGGATCTTTGGAAAAAATGAAATTCTTTGTAGTAACAACAGTTAGGAGGACTACTTAAAAAAATTTAAACTAATATAAACATTGATTTAAATGGATTGATAGCAGCACACTACTCACAATTTCTAATTTTAATTACTCTTATATATGTATTTTAAATAAATTATTCAGGTGATTTAAGTCCTGGAGATAGATTCTCAAAGGTTCTTGAAAGTGGACTTTGATCATTTCCTGGCATAAACTGAGACACGTTTTCCCAACTTCCATCTGGCTTTTTGCTTACAAGGAAAAGAACAGTATCGTTTGCTACTTGCTGGTCATACAAGCTTGAAACATCTTCAAGAAGTCGATTTCTAATGTAAAGCTTCATATCTTCAACTGGTAGCCCACACATTAGATAAACACAATACTTTACCATGCTAACTGAGTCTTTAGGTTTGCAAGTTATGAAAAATGTTTCATTGCGCAAGCTTTTTACACGGACAAATTGAGTATTTGAGATCAATATGCGATCTGCCATTGCTGTATAAAATATATAACACAATTCGATGCTTTTAGGATTATTTAAATGCTATTTCACTGTTCTTTGAATTTTTAATGCATCCAGCAATTAAAAGAATTTTTAATTAACATGAATTGCTAAATTAGATGAAAATTTTTATTATCATTTTTAAATGTAATTTATATTTTAAGTTGATTAATAAAAGATGATTCTAATAAAGCTGAAGCTAATGGCACTTAGCTTAATCATCTCGGGAGTTTCAGCAAAATTATAATAAAATGGATCATCCTAAGCGGCGGTTAATCCTTCACATGGATATGAATAACACAGTAATTATGAAAGATGAAGCAAACGGCTACTCCCTTGATTTTACTGTAAAGTTTATTTAGCTCAGCAAAATTCTCGCAAGTGAATGCTGGGGCAATATCGTTGAAAAAGAAGGCGCAAAGATCTGAAAACTTAATTTCAACCAGCTTTCCTTTTTAAGACCGGATCCTGCTTTAGTCTCTTATGAGTAACAATATATTTACTCCCCTCCATGCGCTAACAAAAAAATTTTGATCTCAAAGAAGGGGGTTCATTTTATTTTAATTTAATGCATAAATTTTATAAAAACAAAATTTTTTGAAATTTAAAAAATTCATATATGAAATAATTTGAAAGCAAATATTAATTTAATTTGTAAATTTATATTTTAAATGCAAATTAGCTAGAGATTTCATATAATAATTATTGCTTATATGAATATAATTTTTCTTAAAAATTTTTATTTAGCGAATTTGCAGACATGCAATACCCTCAAAAAACCCCTGAAGAAGAGCCAGACCCTGCAAGACGTCAAGTTTTAAACAAAGAAAACAAAATTTCTTACTGCAAACTTATTAGTGAATTTACACTTCCAGGCAAGCCAGGGTATAAATTTAAGTCATTGTTTGATAAAATGCAGAGGTGCCTATCAATTCCAAAGCCAATTTGTGATGACTATGGGTTGATTCCAACAGATGAGGAAGAAAAGAAAGAAGAAGATACTGAAGAGAAAAAAATTGTAATTACTGATGAAGAAGATAGAGATATTATAAAACAATTATTTTATGGAGGGAAATGGCTTTTAATTCCTTCATTCTATAGAATGATCCAAGAGCTTAAAAAATCAAAGAGGGAGTTTTCAATTGTTTTCAGGACATTTGGTAGTGAACTGAGTAACGTGATCGATGAATTTAACTTGTTTTGCAAAGGAAATCATCCACTATTTAACGGAAAACATGGTACTCCTAGGCTGAGATTTGATGGGAAATCCAAATCAAGAGATATGATAATTGAAGATTATAATAAAGGCTATATAAGTAGAAACCCCGGAAGTGAAGATATTTTGGTGCTTGGGACCCTTAATAGACACCCAAATAGCGAAGACCCTGAGGAATATCATGCAGGCGCCATGGATGAAGGAATTGTTTCTATTTATCGCGATTTTCCATCAATACAAGTTGCAATACAAGAAAGACTCCATAGAACTGCTTCAATGGCAATTTCTGATGATTTCGATTACTGATATCAAAACGGAAAACAGTCAGAATACGGAAAACTGCTGCTAATTGATCAAACTGACTATTCAACCTTACAGATCTTTTTTGATGACAATATTGGAGTTGATTATGGTAGAATCGTAGACGTAAGGGATGTAGTCACTGGAGAGCCGATTCCTTATAAAAAAGCCATCAATAAATTCATTTTCAGAGTTGATCCTTATAGAGCTATTGTAGAAGCTGACTATTTTTATAAGTCTATACTGGGCTGCGAAGAAAACTGGAATGAAGATATAAGAAAAACTGAAGCTGGAGAGGTAGATGAAGATAAAGGAGTGGTAGAAGAAATTAGTGAGTGGGATAAACTTCAGCAAGCACCAACAGAGGAATATTTATCAAGAGTAATTTTGCCGGTATTGCTGCCAGGACTTCAAGTTTTGGATATTGAAAGACCTGATGATCCAATATCATTTTTAGCTTTATATGTTTTGAAGCATCAAGATATGATAAAACTGCCAGCGCCAACCCCCGTAGTCAATAATATTTAAAATTAGAAATTTAGTATGCTTTAGGCTTGATAATAAATTGATAATATGACATGCGGAACTTGAGAAGTGTTGTAGATTTGCCCCTATGCAATTATTTATTTAATAATATTTTTTTTGGGAATAGATGGAAAATAATTTTTTATGTATTCAGAAAGTCTAATAATTAAATTGAAAACTATACACTTATTTTACTGAAAATATTAAATTTAATTTTTAAGCCATGTCATTATCATTAAGAGACCAGCTGCCTACAGAAGACGGGATAACACTAACTCCCCTCAGTGAGCGAGTTAAAACATTGAAAAGATCCCTATTTTTTGGGCAAAAGCACTTACACGAGGGTACAAAAATGTTTTTAATATTTTATTAAAAAATACTTCTATATAAAAGTTATAATTATTATAATAAATCTCTAGCTTAATTTATAGCAGCTAGCGCTAAAAAAAAACAGATTTTTTTTGTTCGCTCACAGAAAGATGGGGGAGTAAGAAGAGTGACATCAATTTCTATCAGTGAGCCTTCATCAGTTCCTTGGGAACGATCTCCGAGACAAAGCACCATTTTGCTTGAATTCTCCAAAGTCCAATTTTTTATTGAAGAAGACTTTCTTTATGAAATTGAATCCTCTTATACAGAGCCTTTATCCCAAGATTCCTTGGAAAGCCTTATAAATGCTTATAAGCAGAAAGAAAAATGCCTTATAATTGCAGTCGTGAGGAGCAGAGATACAGAACACTCAACCGTCATTCACAATTTTTATTTCCATGCGCATCTTTTAAACAAACTTTTGTTTAGAAGAAAGCCTCAAAGTGGAGAAATTATAAGTAGATATCACGTTGAGCACCCAATTCAAGTCAATAATCCGATGACAAACCTACCGATAATTGGAGAAGTGGAATACTTTATTGCTAAAGATGGAGCTAATACATTCAGAGCCAATTTTATTGGCACTGATCATACTTTTGCAAACAGTGAAACTCTAAGACATGTTTTCGAGTCCAATGCTCTTAAGCCAGAAGATGCAGAACTAAATGAATTCAGTGCACCAATTACTGATTTTACAAGGTTTTTAGACCTTGATATAAACAGTTTGGAAATCCTCACAAGACTTGTAGAGCTACAAAGAGACACTCTTCTAGCCCAGATTAAAGTGCCTTTTACCCAAGGCTTTTTATATGGAATGCTGATGATTATCAATTTTATATTAATTGGAACGGTTATAACATTTTCTATTCAGAGAGTATTTTTTATTTAGTTTATTGAAGCCCGTGAAGGATCTTATGATGATTTTTCATTTGGTGAGATGATTCCTTATGGATTATTATCTTATCTTATATTATCTATAAAGTTTTTACGTCCACTACGGGGTCTCCCTGTCCAGGGATATCACCATATTTATCCACGTGTCGGGCCCACGAATCGCTGGACCGATCCGCTTTGGTTACCAAGGCACAGGACAAACAGATGTCACCGGCTTCGACGGGCTTCGCTGCCGCCACGGCTTTATTCGACTCAGCTCCTGCGCATGTTCCGCCTAAGGGTCACCTTCCTCGGGTGTGCTGAGAGTTAAAATCTGAGCCTCTTGATCGCACTAAGGAGCAGTTCCTCTAGTTATCCCAGAGTTAAACCGCTGTTGCTATCTCAAGATAAAACCCAGCCCCATAAATAAAATTGCTTGAGGGAGAGAAAATTAGCGGAGCTAATTTCGCTCGAACCGAATGCCATTTTATTTATTTATGGATTATTATCAATTTCTTCAATGTCTCTTGATAAATTGACGTGCAAAATCTACAGAAGCTCAGAAAGCAGGCCTATTTTTATGGCAAAATTGCTGACTTGGGCTATTTTATATGGAGGTCTTGGCCTTTCTTTTACAGCGCAAAGCCTGGGGATTGTCTATTTCTGCACTACCGGACTTATGGGCTACGCTTTCTTTTATTTGCTATTCAGTATTTGTCTCTTTTTCGCCCATGGCTCTCATAAGAAATTGACATAAATTTGATTAATTTTAATTGCTTCATTTATGTAATTGAATTAATTCTGCATATTATGTTTTAGTTCTTTTAAAATTAAATCCCACCTTCTTCTTTTTTATAAATTGAATTTATTTTCAACATAAATAAAGCTATGACATCGAATATGCGAGATTATTTATCTAAGAAAAAATTAAAGCTCTCATCAGCAGATTCAAGTCATATGAATGTCGATGATTTTTTTACATCAGGAACTTTAACTAGCTATCATATCAAGAAACTGTCAAAGCCATCAACTACTACTCGCAATAGTATTTTTTCAAAATTTAATCAATCATCCTCTCTAGGAAATAAATTTTCTTTTGATAAGTCTACTGCAACTACAAAATGCCATGCGGGATCCAACCACTCATTCAAAGCAAGCTCAACCAAAGTCAAAGGCCCAGTTTTAAAAGCAAGGGACAATTTTGATGAATTTTATAAAAGCATAGGTCCAAGTTCAATAAAAAAATCAAAAGGTGCACTTTTCGAGGGAAGCTCAGACTCAAGTTTTTCCAAAAAAATCGACGAGTTGTTTACAACAACGCTGAAAGTGCATGCCGACCAAGATGGCCAAAAATTAAGTGAGATTTTTGAACTGAAGGATATAAAAACTCTGAGTCAATTAGTCAAAGAAAAATCTCTATCTGATGAAGACCCAAGGTAAAATTTATATAGCTATTTAAGCCATCTAAAAACTCTGGCTCTCAATATTTTGAATACTTTGAATGATATAGAGAAGCAAAGTGAGTAATTTTAATAGATGCATACGAGTAATGAGGATTAAATATTTGTTTTCCTAGTCTCTTCTTAAACAACTCTTTTGCTAATATGTTAAAATTTAAGGCTTTCAATATTATTTTTGCTTAAATAGGTTTTCCTAATAATTTTAAGCTTTTTTTCTCATCCTTGCCCACTTTTGTGATGCTAAAGAATTTATTGATTCTATTATATAAAAAGAAATGGAAAACCAACGTTGGGAAAAGCGACTTAATGCCATTATGCAGAACCACCACAAACTGGAAGAAGACCACAAATCCAAAAAGCGCGAACAACTCTATAAGGTCATGCGTGAAGTAACAGGGAAGCCAAAAATTAATGAATTAAGTGATAAAGTTGCAATCCAATTAAAAATGAAAGAGCATGGGATTTTAGAACCAGACCAGCAGCAACAGCAAGATGAGATAAAGCCTCAAGAATTTAAGCCTTCCTTGCAAGACAAGAAAACCAACGCATCTGATACTAATAAATCCAGCGAGAAAACCTCACTCCCCCCCCCCTCCGTGAGTGAACAAAAAAATGTTGTTCACTCACGGAGGGGGTTAATTTTTTTTTTTAATTTTATAAAAAAATATTTTTTTTCGAAATTTAAAAAAATCCTAATTCGCAAAAATTGGAACGCAGATATTAATTTAATTTATAAAATTTTATGTTTTAAATAGCAATTCGTTTAAAATTGAACAGAATTAGCTCTAGATTTCATTATATTAATTATCATTTATATATCAATTTTTTTTTTCCATAAAAAATTTTTGTTCAGTCACGGAGGGTGGGTTTTTTGGGGCAAAAAATAAATTTTTCTAATGGTTTTGTTCACTCACGGAGGGGGGGAGTCAGTAATTTCAAATAATAAGCAAAAACTGAAATCGGCGGATATTTCTAACTTAACATCTGAGACTTCTAGCCAGAAAAGGAAGCTAAAATCTGTTGATTTAAACAATTTGAGGTTGGAAGAATTCAAAGAATTAAGAAGATCATTCCTCAGAGCCCAGTGTTTGCATAGTAGACAGAACTCAGCACAATTATTTTCTCCAAGAATGCACGTTGACCTTAAGACTGGAGAAGCTTCAGATATATATATCAGTGCTAGAGCCCCTCATACTGCTATTCTTAAAACTTCTTCAGGATTTACGAATGCAGATGCACTACAAAGAACCCTTTTAAAAGAAGACGAAACTCCCAAAGATATTCCCTGCAAAGATTTTTATGACAAAAATATCAAATGGGCTGTGGAAAGAGAAAAAGGGCTGAATACAGCAAGAGAAAGTAGAAAGTCGTGTGATTTTAGTGAATGCACATTTAAGCCTTCAATAGAAAGGCTAAATGTGAAAGATCAGCCTATGGATTACTCTACAGAAGAAAAAACATATTCAGGAATCTATACAGGCAGAAAAAAGAAACCTTCTTCAACACCTAAAAATGAAAGAATAAGGCATAATACTGAAGTACAGTTCCTTGCTACTATAGATACATCTACCATCAAAAATCCTAGTGAGGCATTAACAAAGAGAAGCTTGACTCCAGGCAACTTGAAAGTAAAGTGCAAAGAAGGTTTTGATTTCACCTCATTTATGAAGAGAGCGAAACCGATGGTAAGATATTCTTCACTCAATAATCTCAGCCAAAAATCTCTAAGACAGCTATAGTTTAAAATTATTTAGTTTTATTTTTATTTTTAAGCAAGTTTTATATAGAATATTTCTTTTCTCACCCCCTCTCCTGGAGAGATGAAACCATTGGTGAAATCCCTATTTTTTGGCAAAAATTTTTATGAAAAATATTTTGATATATATGAAATAATTATTATTATAAAGAAATCTCTAACTTATTTTTCATTCTAAAATATACATTTTAATTATTTTGGGATTTAGGAATTTTTTAAAAAAATATTAATCCGCCTTAGGAAAACAAAATTATTTTGCTCCTCACTGAGTGAGGGGAGCCAGCAATACTATTAATAATATATTTTCATATATTTATATAGACTGGCCTTATAATCATAATTTATAAACAATAACATGACCACTCTGAAGCTCCAATTAGGAGAAGAGATAAGGCGTGTCGGCAAGCCACCTTCAAACATAAATGAAATAAGACAAAAAGCCAAAGAGTTATTTGGAATCGAAGAGGCTTCTTTTAAATATAAAGACGAAGATGGAGATATCTTAACTATTCAAACACAAGATGAATACGAAGATATTTTGACGCAGCACGAAGGGCCGTTCAAGCTTGAAGTTATCGACTACCAAGTGCTTCTGATGAGAAGAACTACCTATTTATCAGGTGAATCGCCTGAATCTTTTGAGTTGGACAGCTTTCACGATTTTTGTAAATCGCAAACACCAGAAACATTCTTCAAAGGAAATAGCTTCAAATTATCACAGAAACTTGCAAGCTCTCCAATAAGTGAGCGTAAAAAGGTCACTGAAAATACTTCAGAAATAAATTCAGCTTCAATACAAACTGAGGAAGTCCGAAAAAATGAAATTGGAGTTAATTCATTGTCTCATTCTGACAACTGAAATGATGCTGTCAAATTTAATGATTCAGCATCGCAATGCACTACTGAAAACAGCGAATATAATGAAATTAGAATGCTTTTTAGGGAGCTATTGAATAATTATGCTGATGAATATTTAGATGATAACAAGTTTAATAACATTAAATGCTCAAATTGTGGAAACAGCATTGGCGAAATTATATTCAGCTGTGGGGTATGCCTGAGCTTTTTCCTTTGCAAGGATTGTGAAATTTCTTGTCAGCATCCACATAATTTGCTCAAATATAGGCAAAATTGCATAAAACAGAAAATGCAAGACATTGAGCCTGAGTCGCCTTTCTTAGTCAAGAGAAAGCCAAAGGCACCAGAAGCTCCCCCAAGCAAGAAAATACTTCAAAATTCAGAATCAGCAGCATTACAAATAAACTCCCCTATTGTCAAAGGTCCCTTAATAAATGATAATATGCGAAGACCCAAAGCTGAAGTGCCAAACTCAGAGATCAAGGAGCTTTTCACAAAATTAATAAGCATGGGTTTCACAAGCACCCAAGAATTTTACCCAGCGTTAACTGAAAATGGTTATAATTTGGAAAAAACCGTCGAATTTCTTCTCGCGAATCAATAATTTAATTATTTGCATGTAAAATTCTCAATAATTCATCCAGAGGTAGGCGATCTCCTATTCTACTGGCATTTGATTAATGTTTGCACTGGTTTATGATTTAACCTGTGTTTTTGGACATAGTTGAGAAATTCAACAGTTGCAAGATTTTACCATTTATATCCATTATTGAGAGAATAGGGCATACTAAATAAATATATCATAATAAGTATGAGTCATGCATTACCACCCAGTAGGACTCTGCACTCTCCAAATGGCAAACATACAGCTGAGTCTTCAGACCTTCAGCACCCAAAATTATCACCTGCAGGGCGCAATCCATCTACATTTACACAAGGACCTAAGAAACCGCAAAATATATTTTTTAATGCTTCAATTTCGATTTCCCAACTCAAAGTCATGGGAGATATTGATGTAATAGACGAAGAAGTTGATGAAAGCCCTGAAAACAACAAAAACTGTGAAACAAATAAAAGTAGGATAGATAATAAGAAAAACAAGAGCTCATCTCCCAATTCTGAAGAGGCAGAAAATATTGAAGGAGAACTTTTGAAGGTTAGAAAGATTGATGAACTATTACCATTAGAAAAGACCCCTCCACCACCAGGATTTGAAAAACCCAAGGCTCCCAAAAAAAAATTCAATTGATCGGAGGTAGGATATGATTCAGATTTCACTCCTACTCCAGTCAGTGAAATCAAGCCAATGGAAAAAATAGTCAACCACATTGAAATCAGCCACGAACCAGTTGTCTTGCAAGCACCGCCACTGAAGCCAGCAATTTTGAAAAGAAAAATAAGAGGAAATTTTGAAGCTGAAAAAGTCAGTGGGATTAGGCATACAGGAATTCTTAAGTTTTATCAGCTTAAGAAGAGATTTGGGTTCATTTCGATGGATGATAACTCAAAAGATGTGTTCTTATGTGAAGATGACCTGATTCTTTCAGGAGTCTTATCTTATATTATCTATAACGTTTAATGGTCACTACGGGCTAGCCGTTTCTAGAGCTGCAACCATATTTGTTCGCGTTTCGGGCCCATGGACCTCTGGATCGATCCACTTTGTTGTACCAGGGCACGGGTCCATACGGCGTTTCCGTCTTTGATGGGTTGCGTTGCCTTACCTTCCTTGACTCAGCTCCTGCACATGTTCCGCCAAAGGGTCATCTTCCTCGTGTGTGCTGAGAGGTAAAGCTTCGAGCCTCTTGATGTGCTTGGAGCAGTGCCTCGGCTTATCGGCCAGAGTTAAACTGCTTTTGCTGTACAGAAGTTCTCAGAAGAAAACTTAATCCCATAAATAAAATTGGTTGAGGGAGAGAAAATTAGCAAAGCTAATTTCACTCGAACCGATGCTATTTTATTTATCGATAATTTCAGGAGTCAACCATAAAAAGTTCAAGCAAGACGTTTACAATAAAGTTCCGGTTCATCTAAGTTTTTTATTGAAGGAATATGAAGAGAAAGGCCAATTAAAGAGAAAAGCAGTTGAAATATTAGTAATTGAATCTAATAACTCTGCATAACAGCATACAGATAAAAGGCGCATCTAAATTAGTCTATAATAATATCTAACAATAACTTTTATCTCCAATAAGCTTAAGCAGCTTCGTTAAGTTTCAACCAAAATAAGATAATCTTTAACTATTTAAAATGGAAGAATTCAATTGTTTAAATTTCGACTCTGCGATAAGTTCATCCCGATATCCGAACAAAGCAAGCCTTGACCTCACAAATTGTACAAACACAGATACTGAAATAAATACTTCTTATCGCTCTGAACGTAACCTAAAATGCCAAAATAAGCCAAAGTGCATACAACTAAGCATATCGAATGTACTGAAAGCAAATCAGTTGAGAGGGAGAAGTTCCTCAACGAATCCTTCAACTCCTACTACAGCTTTGCAAAGAAAACCATCCATCCCCACAGGTAAGACTCCCAAATTTCCAAGAGAAAGCTGCTCATTATCCCCAACTAGATGCGTAATCCCTATATCCAAGGTATCATCCTGTGATGTCAGTTTTTCTATTAAATTACAGGAAGATTTGCTTAAAAGAACATTAGAAAGAAAATTGCTTGCACAAGTGGTAAAGATGAATAATGAAAGAGAAATTAGCGTAGAAAACCACAGAAGGCAGAAAGAAGAGGATAAGCCTATGAATGCAAGCAAAAAGCTTTTTGAAAAAGAAAACTCTACATGCAAGATAGCGCCGACAAATAATAAAGAAACAAAGTATAGCGAAATATATGCTAGACATCAGCAGTTGAAAGAAATTAGCAATTTGAACACAACAGCGTTAGGAGTATGCACAAGATTAAACGCAACAGGAGGGTCTTGCCAAGGCCTTGGATACTCTCAAAAAAGAAGAAAAAAGAATCAAGAAAACTTGACGATAGAAGTAAAAAATGCATTTTCTTATAGCATGAAAAATGGATGTGGAAGCCCGTTTTCTTCTAAAGATTTAGAGAAGAGGTATAATAAATTGACAGGCCAACTAGACACGATATCTCAGAAGATTCAAGATGTTATAGATAAATGCTCTGATTAATTTAAAAAGTGAAAAAATACATTTTTAATCTATTTAGAGAACTAATTTATAAAAGTTATTGATATAAAAAAGTTAAGTCATGGTTTGAATTGAAATTAAAGTCTCGAAATGCAAAAATGAAAAAGGGATAATTTTTATAAATTCTAAGTAAGTCTGAATATAAGCATTTTATTCCAATTAAATAATTAATGAACTCGACTTTCAAATTGTCAAAATAGACTATGAAGAGCAAGCATAAATATTGAGCTTATTCGATACAGAGTATTATTTTTAACTCATTCACTCGCCATAGTTTTTCTCATTAAAATATCGACCCCATGTTTTTGAATTCCTCTACACCAGAGCCTACCAGAATGGCGACTTAATATTCTAAATTCTCGCGGTCTATAATAAATGGAAGAGCCAAAGTTTAGCTACGATTCTTCAAATATTTTCAAAGATTTATTCTTCACCTGGGCTTTTCCTGTTATAAACTTTTATAAAAAACATCCTCCTGAACCCTCAAATTTATTAAAAGTCCCAAAAACCTTTTATATTAATGAGACTTTTGAAGCCTTAGAAATTGAGTGAGAGAAAGAATTAGCAAAGCCCAAGCCCAAATTCTTTAAAGCATTAATGAGAGTAATTTGATGGGACTGCTTACTCCCCCCCCCCCTCCGTGAGCGAACAAAACCATTAGAAAAATCACCATTTTTTGACCAAAAACCCACCCTCCGTGAGCGAACAAAAATTTTTTTAATAGAAAAAAATTTTTAATGGAAAAAAAATTTTTGATATATAAGTGATAATTAGTATAATGAAATCTAGAGCTAATTCTGTTTAATTTTAAACAAATTGCGTTTTAAAACATAAATTTTGCAAATTAAATTAATATTTGCTTCCCAATTTTTTGCAAATTAGGATTTTTTTAAATTTCGAAAAAAATATTTTTTATAAAATTTATATATATAATTTTTTTTAAAAAAAAAAAATAACCCCCCCCCTCCGTGAGTGAACAAAATTTTTTTGTTCGCTCAAGGAGGGGGGGGGGGGAGTTAAAATATTTTGTCCCTGGCATTATTGGTTACAACCTAAGCTTGATCCAATCTTTATTAGTCATTTATCTAATTAACTTCATACAAGATAGTGGCACAGAAACCTGGGTCGGTGCTTGTTATGTAATAGCTTATGCTGGAGCATCACTTGGCAATTTTTTGCTTTTGAATTATTCTGTTTTTAAGGTCTGAACCCTAATTATTAGAGTAAAAGCCATCGTCCCAATGCTTTTATATAAAAAAATCCTCAATGTTTCTCATACAGTGATATCCCAAGGTAATGCAAAGGGAAAAGTCGCAAATGTCATTGCTTCAGAGCTTGAATTTATGGATCAAATGATAGTCTTAATACTACTTTTTGCTATTCCAACCTATCTCATAGGTGCATTTTTGATTTTAGGCTTTACTATAGGTGTTGCTGGTATAATTGGCATTCTTGTCGTCATACTGCACTGCCCTATAAACTTTATTTTAGGAAAAATGACAGGAAAATATAGGATGAAAGTTGCCCTGCATACTGATGGAAGAATAAAAATGATCACAAATTTGATTGAAGGAATTAGAATTGTCAAGCTTTATGGATGGGAATCTCCATATTTAGAATCAATTTTTTTGAAAAGAAGAGCTGAGATTAAAGCTGCGATCAGCAAAATTAATTTTTTATGTCTTTATAGGATGATTGGTGGTGGGGGAGTTGGATTAGTGCTTTTTGTGACTTTTGCTATACAATGGGGATTAGGAAACTCCTTAGATCCTGGAGTTGTGTTTAGCACTGTAACGATTTTAATGGTCACACATATTCTCGTTTCAATTGTTGGTGCAATGTCTGTGGTCCAATTATTTTTATTTGCAATTTCGATGAAAAGAATTACAGAGACTTTACTAATGAAAGGCAGAAACCCAAAAGCTGTTAATGAGAGCGAAAAATATGCAGTTCAAGCTAAAAATGCTTCTTTTGCATGGAATGAGATTCCTGAAGAAAACAGCCATAAAACCCAAGAAAATTTAATTGAACCTACAACTGCAACAAATGAACTGGTTCTCTCAAATTTAAATATTAAAATAACACCAGGAGAGCTTCTTGTTGTAATTGGTCCAGTTGGCTGTGGTAAAAGTAGCTTACTCATGGGCTTGCTTCAAGAAATCCCTCTTGTAGATGGCAAGCTTAATATTGGAGAAAGAATTTCATTTGCAGGAGATGATCCATGAATAATCCCAGGAAGCCTCAAAGATAATATATTAATGGGAACTGAGCTTGATGAAGAATTCTATAGAAAGACTCTTCGAGCCTGTGCTTTGGAAAAAGATATCGAAAGTTTCCCTTTCAAAGATAATACAGTAGTAGGTGATAGAGGTATAACTCTCAGTGGAGGACAAAAAGCCAGGCTAAGTCTTGCTAGAGCTGTCTATTCGAAGCGCGATATTGTTCTCCTAGATGATCCCTTGAGTGCTGTCGATGCTGAAGTTGGCCACCATCTATTTGAAAAATGTATTAAAGAAGTGCTGAAAGACAAAACAGTCGTTTTAGCCACTCATCAAATACATTTCATGTCTGATGCTGATAAAATTTTAGTCTTGGAAAAAGGAAGGCAAGTATTTTTTGGAAACTACCAAGAGTTGATAGAAAGAGAAGATATTTCGCATATCGTAGGAGAATTAAGGAAAGAAAAAGATGAAGAAGAATTAGAAGTTTTAAAGAAAAGAGAAACAGAAGGGGGAGAGAAAACAGCAGAAACAAAAGACAAGCTGACTATACAAGAAGAGGAAAGAGCAAGCGGGTCAGTTCCAATTTCAATTTATTTTAGATTTTTGATTTATGGCTATAAATCATACTTGATTTTTCCGCTTGTTGCTTTAGTCTTATTCCCTCTTTTTAAATTGAAATAAAAATTCTGTTCTGATTTAAAGGGGTTAATTTTTTTTAAAAAAATTATATTTAAATTTTTAAAACATTTAAAACAAATAAATTGAGCACAATACTTTGAATTCTAATTTATTTTTATAAAGAAATAATTAAATCTTAATCAACTCAGTGTGGGAAAAGTTGAAATAGAACTCTAATTGCACTTTTTCTATTAAACTAGGCCAAACTAAATTTATAAAATTTATTATTTTCATTTTTAATTATTTTAAAAAAAAAAATAATTGAGAATACTTTGAATTAAACTTAATCGATTCATTGTGAAAATCTTTTAATAAGACTCTATTTTAAAACAAATTTTATTCAATTAAAAGGGTTAAAGTACCCCAAAATGCAAATTTTACCGATACTTTGTTTCAATTAAAGTGGAGTTAATTATTGCTCAAGTCTTTTATATTGCGATTGTTTGATGGCTTGCTATATGGGCTTCACAATCAGATTCAGATCAAGAAGACTCCATTTATTTATGAATTTTAGCTATAATTGTTATTGCTCATTATATTTTTGCCTACATTAGAGGTTATATTCTTGGAGTTGGGATGATTATTTCTTCAAAGCATCTACACAATAAAGCTTTAGAAGGAATGACGAAGGCAGAATCTGTTTTTTATGATAAAAATCCTACAGGGAGAATGATAAATCGCTTTTCTAAAGACACTTTGGTTATGGATGAAGTTTTAACAATTTTCTTCTTTGATTTGAACTTTCCTTTTTTTGCTATTATGGGGAAAAATTGATCTGCTTCCTTGCGCCACTGGCCCTAGAATCGAAGGTCCTCTTCTGACGGAATCCGAGGGTTAGTTAGTTTTGCCAGTATAATTTTGGCTTTTCACTAGGTTCCTGGTATATGCATCAGCAAATTCAGGATGACTTCATAAAATAAATGGTGCTAGGAGGCTTTGTGCTGAGCTGGGGGCGTGAAGGAGGTACAAACGATCATCTCCAGCCAATTCTCTCCTGGAATAGGACTTTCAGCCGCTAGATCTTGGATTCAGAAGGAGCAGGGATCTCCCCCAGAGAGATTTTGAGTCACCAACTGGTGATGGCAACACTAATTTTGATGATGTCATCAGAAAAGAAGAAAATTTTAAATAGCCTTTACAAGAATTCTTAATAGTGCTTAAGGACCTGAAATACAGCCCGATAAAATCCTTCTCTCTTTGATTTGATTAATAATACAGTTACTTTGCTTGCCAATATTGTTGTAGCTGTTATTATTGCTCCTCCAAATGTAGCTGTGCTTTTTGGGCTAATTGTTTATTTAACTCTACTTATGCGGTATATTGTTCCTGTGACAAAGGATCTAAGAAGAATTGAAATGGTTTCTAAAAGCCCGATTCTATCATTAGTAAATTCCTCTGTGCATGGGTTAGTGACAATAAGAACTCTTGGATTCCAATCAAAATTCATCCAAGACATGAAAGATGCAATCACTTTTAATATGAGGGCTTTGCTAGGATATCAAGTTGTCCTAAGATGCAGCCAAGTCTATACAGAGTTCGGAGCTAACGTAGTTAATGTCATAAATATCATTGTCTTCCTGCTCTATAAAGACACAATGGATAAAAGTTTGGTTGCCATGAGTATTTCATTAATTATTTCCTGCTGTGGGGTTTCAGGCTATTGGGCTAAGACTATGGTAGAAACTGAAAATCTTATGGCATCTCCTCAAAGGTTGATAGAATATGCAGACATGCCAAGTGAAGGAGAATTTGAGACTAAAGAGCCATTTCACATCACCAAAGGTAAAATTGAGTTCCAAAACCTTTCTATGAAATATAGGGATAACTTTGACCTTGTCTTAAAAGACCTTTCCTTGACTATTGAAGCTGGAAAAACAGTCGGGATAGTTGGCCGCACTGGAGCTGGAAAATCTTCTATAATGCAAGTCCTTTTTAGACTTACCAATCCATGCTCTGGCACTATACTTCTTGATAGCCAAGATTATAGATATACTGGCCTCCATCAGCTTAGAAAACAAATGTCAGTAATTCCGCAGTTTCCTACAATTTTTATGGCTAGTTTTAGGGATAATCTTGATCCATTTCATGAGCATTCTGATGAAGAAATTATTGATGTGATACAGCAAACTAAACTGTCAGGCCTCATCAATTCGTATGCAAAAGGGTTAAATACTATGCTTATTGGGGAAGGAGGGAATTTATCGGCAGGAGAAAAACAGTTGATATGTTTAGCAAGAGCACTTATAAGAAAGAATAAAATTGTGATGATGGATGAAGCTACTGCAAATGTAGACCATGAGACTGACAAATTCATCCACAAACAAATCAAGACCAAGTTTTCAGAAAGCACTGTGCTAATTGTAGCTCATAGACTAAGAACTGTTATTGATGCGGATATGATCATTTTTATGGAGTCTGGAACATGCAAAGAGTATGGATCTCCTTATGAATTGGGAAATAACGAAAAATCAGTATTTAGGAAAATGATTATAAGTACAGGACCTCAAGAGTCACAGCACTTGCTAAAGAAAATTTCATTGTTTGAAGATTAAGTAAACTAATATATTTTTTACTCATAATAAGATGATAAAAGCAATGCTAAGTCTAGATAATAGTTTTTATATTAAAACTTAAGACCTATATAAAAATAGAAGCCAAAGACATTATCTGAGTTGCCATATGCTTTGCATAAGACGCTAATGCTAGTCCTCCTTCATAGAGTTTTAAATTAGACTCAAATGTTCAAATAAGTATAAGTTGTTTTCAAGACTATAGATTCATAGACTAAATTTTTTTACCATTAAAAGACTCCATTTATCGAATTCTAGCCCACTTTTAAATAAAAAGTGTGGAGTCAGCTATGAAGCTACTTGGAAGCTAGAGAGTCTAATAGGGAAAAATACAGCAAAAGAATATTATAATAGAATTTATAATAAAATGATTGCTTTTAGCATCTATTATTACTCCATCTAGCATTTCAATATACCTAGAAACTCTCAACATACTCTTCACTGACTTAAGCCTGTTTCCGAAGTGCCTAGCACTCTTGATTTTTTTCCCTAGCATGAACCCAAATTACTTGAAGTTGCTTGGTATTTAAAGTTAACTCCCATTTACCTTAACTGAGCCTTTTTTACTGATTATATCTATGATTTTGCCTCATAATCCTCTCTCAACATTGACTCCAAAAGAAGCTTCCTACTGAGTTATCTTCTAATACTTGTTAATGCTGAATTTTATCTCTAAGATTGTGTGTAGCTAGTGGATAGTCAATGCAGCTGGGCTTCTCTCTCCTCCCTGTGAATGTTATATTGCTTCGATGAAGTATGCCAAGCACAAATTTACACGCTATTTATAGAATTTCCTTTATCATTTGCTCCCTCAGACCTATGGCCTTGGATATAAGCTTTACTTTCCTTTTCCTTTTCCCTCAAATCCTTTTACTTCATCTATAGCTCTTTGCATGCCCTGCATGAAATCGCTCTTCACTTCTGCCGCCTCCGAATTAACCTGCGAGTAGCATTTAATAATATTCATTTTCCCAATTTCCATAGCTGTGATCCTGACCTAAATTTTCTGCTATTCCCTCACCAACAAGCTTGACATGCTTCATTATCCTTCCGCAATTAAAAATCCTACTCCGCAGCTATGCTCCGTGCCTTCATTGCCTGCCCATCTATAGTCTTCAATTCTAATAGAGTTTCTGTTGCCACTCTATCGAAGATGTTCCTATCCAGATGGCAAGCCGACCTAAGTGCTTTTGTGGCGTGATTACTAAGTTAGATATTTCTTGAGGTATTTTCCGACATCTTGACCATTGTAGGTTATTTTCAGGCTTTTTTCATAATTCTAAAAATGTAAAATTTTTGTACATAATTTGGTCTATTTTAGGCTTGACAATTTTGCGAAATTTAAATTTAATATTAAAATCTTCATAATTGCACTGACATTTATTTTGATTAAATTTAAAATTTTGCTTTATTTTGATAAGAATGGTACAGATAAAAAGCTAGAGCTAAAATATAAATTGAATCTATGAATCTAAAGGATAGTTTCAATTAAAGTTTAGCTTATTTTATTTAATTGATATAAATAAGTTTTATAAGCTAATTAATGTTTGAAGGATATTGATAAGTCATTGCATTTAAGAAGTGATATTATGCTTATTTATGGTATAGATAAAATATTTTTATAAATTTGTTCTTATGAGGATAGTAAAAATTTTTTTTAAAAATAAAACTTGAAGTTTTGCGTACTTATAATCAAAAACAGCTTTATTACTTAATATAAACCCAAAAATATCTTTAGTTTGCTACATATAGGCTTAATTAAAGTTTTCTTGAAAAGATTTTTTGAGTATTTGCTAGACATTTATTTACCACAAAATGATCATACAAATATATATATACATGTCCAACCCAGTTTTTGCTTACGATAAAGCAAACATATTCAATGATTTATTTATGACGTGAGCCTTTCCATGCATTTATTTCTGAAATAAAAATAAGCCCTTACCTCAAAACTTAGTTGAAGTTCCAAAACGAATTAAATTCGATGAGTCCCTTTTGCGCTTAGAAAAAGCGTGGGAAATAGAATCCAAAAAGCCACATCCAAGTTTCAGAAGTGTCTTGATTAAAGAATTTGGTTGGGAATTCATTAAATTCTGCATACCAGGAATTTTTGCGAATAATCTTTCACTGGTTCAGGCAATACTTGTCATATATCTTACTCAATATATGACAGATAATAATGCTAATAGCATCGATGGCATTCTATATGTAATTGCCTATGCCATTACATCATTAAGCTTGTATTATTTTTTGAATCTCTCAAGCTTTAGGGTTTACGCATTAATCGCAAGAATTAAGGCCATCATTCCATGCCTACTGTATAAGAAATTGCTGAAACTTTCCAATATCAGCTTAAATCAGGGTAACATCAAGGGTAAACTAGCCAATTTGATAGCATCTGAGGTAGAATTTATGGATGGCTTGGCATCTTTGACTTTTCTACTTTCAATTCCAACATTTATGATAGGTGCTTTCTTTATTTTGGGTTTTTATTTGGGGCCTGCGGGTATTATTGGCCTTTTAATATCCATAATTCATTTTCCTCTTGTGATTCTACTTGCCAGGTGGGCAGGAAGGTTTAGAGTCAAAGTTGCCCTTTTTGCTGATTCTCGGATAAAAATGATTACAAATTTAATTGAGGGTATCAGAATAGTAAAATTATATGGATGGGAAGATCCGTATTTAGACCGTATTTACTACAAGCGAACACAAGAAATTAAAGAAGCCCTTCACAAGCTTAAAGTGCATTCTCTAAACAAAATGGCAGGCCCTGGAGGAGTAGGAGTAGTTTTATTAGTGACTTTCATAATTTACATCTACCTTGGAAACACAATAGAGCCAGGTGTAACATTTTCTACAGTCACCATTTTAGTCATAGGTCATAGCTTAATAGCAGATGTAGGAGCTACTGCAATTATACTAATTTATATGCTGACTGTGTCAATGAAAAGATTGACTGACTTTCTAATGATGAAAAATAAAGAATCTATAGAATTCAAAGAAAATTCTAATTATGAAGTATGCTTAGAAAATGCCAGCTTTACTTGGAGCGAGATTAAAACGTATGATACTGAGAACTTTATTACCAGCAGAAATTTTATTACAACTTCAGAGGATAATCTTACTCCCCTTCTGTGAGTGAAACTATTGGAAAAACACCTATTTTGCCTAAAAACCCACCCTTCGTGAGATAATAATAATTTTTTATGAAAAAAATTTATATACATAAGTGATTATTAATATAATAAAATCTTATGCTAGTTCTGTTAATTTTAAACAGCTTGCATTTTAAAACAATAATTTTACAAATTAAATTATTTTCTTTCGATTTTTAAGAATTAGGGATTTTTTAAATTTCAAAAAAAAAATTTCAGATATAAATTTTTTAAAAAATAAATTACCCCATGAATGAACGAAATTTTTTTGTTCGCTCACAGAGGGGGTGGGACTTAGCTGCTTGAATGAAATAAATCTAAAAGTCAAAAAAGGAGAATTATTGGCTGTTATTGGACCTGTTGGATGTGGTAAAACAAGTTTGCTTATGGGGATAATGCAAGAAATAGCATTGAGCTCAGGAAAAATCAGTTTAAATGGAAAAGTTTCATACTCTGGAGAAGACCCATGAATAACCCCATCTACTATCAGAGATAACATTTTGATGGGTCTGGAATACAACGAAACTTTATATAAGTCAGTTATTCATGCTTGTGCTTTAGAGCATGATATAGAGAGTTTAGCATTTGGTGATAATACTGTTGTAGGTGACAGAGGAATTACTTTGAGTGGGGGACAAAAAGCAAGGGTGAGTTTAGCAAGAGCAATTTACACTAATAGAGACATAATGCTTCTTGACGATCCTTTAAGCGCAGTCGATGCAGAAGTAAGCGAGCATATTTTTAAGCATTGTATCAAAGAATATTTAAAAGAAAAAACTGTGATTCTAGCAACCCATCAGATTCATTATCTAGCTCAAGCTGATAAAATTTTAATCTTAACCCCTCCTGTAAGCAGACAAAATAATTTTGTTTGTTCACAAATGGTTATTTTTTTAAAATATTATATATAAATATTATAGTTATATATATAAAATGCATGCTATCATTGTAAGCCCTAAATTCAATAAATTAGCTAAATTTCATTATATTAATTATCAATTATATCAAAAAAATATTTCTCTAAAAAACTTTTATATAAACAATTTTTTTGTGTGGTTTTTACCCAAAAATAGTAATTTTTCCAATGGTTTTATTTGCTCACAGAGGGAGAAGTTAGATAATGGAAATCAACTATTTTTTGGAACCTATATAGAATTGCAAGGCAAAGAAGAACTTAAGTATATTGTAGGAGAGCTTCTTACTAAAATTGATGGAGATAAAAATGAAATAGTTGAAAAAAGAAGAGATGGGATTAAGGAAGAAGCTGCAATAAAAGATAAATTGTCGATAGAAGAAGAAGAAATTGAGAATGGCTCGGTTCCATTGAGCACTTATTTTAAGTTTTGGCTATTTGGGTTCAGAACGTGGCTTATCTTTCCAGTTGTGATCTCAATAGTTGTAGCTTCTCAAACCTGTTATTTAATGATAATGTGATGGCTGGCATTGTGGGCAAAAGAGTCAGAATCAGAACAAAAAGACCCTTTTTATATGTGAATTTATGCTCTTATTATCCTATCGACTTATTTATTGTCTTATTTAAAGATTTATTCACTAGGCTTTGGACTTCTTCTTACTCTCCTCGCCGTCGTTCAAAGAGTGGGCTTAATTCTTTATAAAAATTTATACATAAATTTGAAGTAATTTTTTTTTCTTCAAAATTTAAAATAATTCCCAATGGAAAAATCAACTCAATTTGTAAAATATATGTTTTAAAATGCAAGCTGTTTAAAATTAAACCGAGTTATCTAGAGATTTTCGTTATATTGTCACTATATATAAAATATTTTTCCATGAAATTTTACTTATTGCTTGTTGGAGGGGGTGGCTTTGCACAAAATAGGGGTGTTCTCGCTCACGGAGGAGGGGATTAGCGCTAAAAAGCTTCACAATGCTGCACTTGAAAGTGTGACTAGAACGATCACATCATTTTTTGATAAAAATCCGACTGGAAGGATGATTAACAGATTTTCAAAGGATACACTAATGATGGATGAGCTTCTCGCAATGCTATTCATTGATTTTCTATCCCAATCAACTGCTTTATTTGGAAATATCATAGTCATAGCTATAATTGCTCCTACAAATTTAGCAATTATTTCTGGATTTGCTCTTTACCTATTCATTTTAGTAAAAAAAGTTGTTCCAGTGTCAAAAGATCTCCGAAAGCTTGATTTAATTATGAAAAGCCCAATATTGTCTCTATCAAATTCCTCAGTTAATGGGCTGACTACAATTCGGGCATTAAATCTTGAACAAAAGTTTATAAAAGATATGGCTGATGCTGTTTCATTAAGTCTTCGGTCATTTATTAGCTATACAATTATCAGAAGGTTTTATCAAGGATATACCGAATTAGGGGCCACAATCCTTAATATTCTCAATGTTGTCATACTTGTTCTTTACAAAGATGATATAAGTGGAAGCTATGCAGCCATGAGTATATCGCTTATTGCATCTTCTACAAACTTAGTTTCTCATTGGGGAAAGTCTATGGTTGAAACAGAAAATACTATGGCTTCACCGCAAAGAGTTATGCAATACAGAAAGCTTCCAAGAGAAGGAGCATATGAACTTGATCAACGTTTCAGCATCACCAAAGGAAAGATTGAATTCAGTCATCTCTATATGAGATACAGAGAAAACTTTCCTGACGTAATCAAAGACTTAAGCTTCATAATTGAAGCAGGATTAAAAGTGGGAATTATTGGAAGGACTGGAGCAGGGAAGTCATCAATTATGCAAGTCCTATTCAGACTGACTGATCCATCTCAAGGAACAATATTTATAGATGGCCAAGACTATAAGCAGGCAGGATTTCATCAATTAAGAAAACAGATGTCTGTTATTCCTCAGTTTCCAACGATATTTATGGCAAGCTTTAAAGATAACCTTGATCCTTTCCATGAGCACACAGAAGAAGAAATTTTGAGTATTCTTAAGCAAACTAGGCTGCAAGATTTAGTGAATTCATATGCAAAAGGGCTTGATACAATGCTAGTCGGTGAGGGGGGGAGTTTATCAGCAGGACAAAAACAACTAGTTTGTTTGGCAAGAGCCCTAATTAGAAGAAACAAAATTGTTATGATGGATGAAGCTACTGCGAATGTTGACCCAGAAACCGACAAATTCATTCAGAAGAAGATTAAAAAGCTGTTTAAAGAAAGCACTTTATTGATTGTTGCTCATCGCTTAAGGACTATTATTGACACGGACAAAATTATAGTAATGGACAAAGGAACATGTAAAGAGATAGGGACTCCATACGAACTAGGAAACAAGGAGACTTCTCTTTTCAGAAAAATGATTATGTTTACAGGTGATCAAGAGTCAGAATTTCTATTAACCCCCCTTGCGAGAGCGAACAAAACTATCAGAAAAATCCATTTTTTGTCTAAAAAAACCGTGACGAACAAAAATTTTTTATGGAAAAAAATTTTGATATATAAATGATAATTATTATTACGAAATCTATGGCTAATTCTGTTTAATTTTAAACAAATCGCATTTTAAAACATAAATTTTACACAAATTAAATTAATATTTGTTTTCGAATTTTTGCGAATTATCATTTTTTTAAAATTTCGAAAAAAAATTTTCTATAAAATTTATATATAAAAATTTTTTAAAAAAAAATAATTAACCCCCTCCATGAGCAAAAGATTTTTTTTGTTCGCTCACAAAGGAGGGGAGTAAGTAAAATTGCAACAAAAGGAAAATAATTTAAATTATTTTATCAAAAATTTAATTAGACGTTTGCTACAAAATAATTAATTTCTTAAGTTTGAGAGGCTTAATTTTACAAGTCACTGTACGTTTAGCATATAATTATTTTAAAATATATCTGATAGGAAGTTGTAAATTAATTTGGCAAGTTTTCATAAAACATTTTGAATCTTCAGACTTTCAGATTAATTTTCTTAATAACTAGTTCATATGTATAATTTTTAGACTCCATATTTATCCTATCTTTTTCATTTTTGTCGACTAATTCTAATAACTTGTAAAAATTAACTAAAATTCCCTCATTTAGATTAGATTAAGCCGTTTGCCTTGCAGGGCCGGGGATTTCCACCCCTACACGCTCATCGCTCCTGAGGAGCCTCGGCGGACACCCTCCTTGTTGCCTCAAACAAGGGATTCGCGCGACCAGTCTTGACTTCCATGGCTTCTGGAGTCTAAGGGCCAACCACTTGGGTCGAAACTCCCAGTTTCTCGTTGGGCAAATACCGTCTTCAGGGTCTGAGGGTCATATTGCCCTCAAACATTGGCCGACCTTGCCCTTTCCAATGGTTGTCCTGGAGGAAAAACTTCAAGTCCGAGAATTAGCTCCTCGGGCCCAAAGAAAACCCAGCCCGACTATACACAAAGGATTACCGGCCCTTTCCACCTAAATCTCCGACACCGGGCCGTTGCCTGCTGCTGTTGAAGAAATAGGGTCGAGAGTCGGGTGGTCTGTCGTCACCATTTTTATGTATATAAAATTCCCTCATAATTTTTTGATAACTCCTAATAGGCTTATTCAACCATATTAGACTCAATCAGAAATAAGAACTGTTAAAATCTCTAGAATCAAACCAATTAAGAATAAATAGAGTTGCTATAATTGTAAAAAGATAATAATTAATTTGGAAATTTATTTCCCATGAAATTTTTTCTGACTTTCAGATTCTTTTATCTAAGTCCTCTCTCTTTATTCATTCTCTTAACTATTCTCCAAGCTGCTCATTTATATTTAGAGACGTCTGTTGGATAATAAATGTCTAGTCCTGTTTTTGCCTATGACAAGGCGAATATTTTCAATGACCTTCTTATGACATGAACATTCCCATGCCTGAGGTTTTGAAATAAAAATAAGCCTTCTCCTCGCTCCCCCCTCTGTGAGCGAACAAAAAAATTTCGTTCGCTCACGGAGAGGAGTTAATTTTTTTTTTTTTTTAAAAAAATTTAAATATAAATTTTAAAGAAATTTTTTTTTTCAGAATTTAAAATCACTCCGCTTTTCAAAAATAGGAAGGAAAATATTAATTTAATTTGTAAAATTTATGTTTTAAAACGCAATTTGTTTAAAATTAAACAGAATTAGCTTGGGATTTTATGATACTAGTTATCACTTATATATCAGCATTTTTTCCTTAAAAAAAATTCTATTAAAAACATTTTCGCTCGCTTACGGAGGGTGGGCTTTTGGGCTAAAAATAGGGATTTTTCTAATGATTTGTTCTCTCACGGAGGAGGGGGAATCAGAACTTAATTGACGTTCCTAAGAGAATTAATTTTGAGGAATCATTAACTCAACTTGAGATTGCATGGAATGAAGAAGCCAGGAAGCCGCACCCAAGCTTCAAAAGAGTATTAATAAGAGAATTTGGCTGGGAATTCCTAAAATTTAGCTTGCCAGGGATTTTCGCAAATAATCTTTCATTAGTTCAAGCAGTTCTTGTGATTTATCTGACAAGATACATGACTGATGACAACGCTAAGGGCTATGAAGGTGCAGGCTATGTCATAGCTTATGCTGCCACTGCTTTTGTATCTTATTACTGCATGAATCTCTCTACCTTCCGCGTATACACTTTGATTGCAAGAATTAAAGCAATCATCCCATGCTTAATGTACAAAAAAGTGTTAAAACTATCAAACTTGACCTTAAATCAAGGTAATATTAAAGGAAAGCTCGCCAATTTAATAGCATCAGAAGTAGAATTTATTGATGGTCTCGTGACATTAGTTTTTCTCTTTTCAATTCCAACTTTTCTGATAGGTGCTTTCTTAATTCTAGGCTTTTTCTTAGGTCCAGCTGGAGTTATTGGCTTGATTATTGTAATTAAATTAATTAGATTCAAGCTAATCTTTATAGTCTTCAATTCCTGAGTACCATGCGTCCTACGGGATAATTCTTGGGATGGTGTTCTCCCAGGTCGAAAACCCCGGCTTTTCAGTAGAGGATTTTTCCTCCATGGTCCAAATCACGACTTTGCAAAACCTTCATTTCCAATCCAATCAACTTACCCAGCCTGCTTTGCTTAGGCCAGATTGTCCGTTTCTAAGGACCCTTTTCAACTGGAGAGACTGTAGCCTTTGAGTTCTCTTCTAGCCTGTCTTTCCTTTTTCCCCTGGTTCAGCAGCAAAGGAAAAGCTCAACTACTTACGCAATTCGGGAAAGGACACAAAAGAACCTAGGCAGGCATGCCAACTTTCCTCTATCGGACACCTAACCTAGCCCTGAGTGCTGCTACTAAAAATGCAAAAAACTGTCACTCAAGCCAGCGGAATAGTGCTGGGCCTCTCGTCTTGAGGCTAACCCAACCCTTGGGCAGTTCTTTGCATCAAAAAGCCATGTCCGGATATGCATAAGGACACCCACCACAGGGAGGACGGGCCTTTCATCACCAGCCATTTATGCATATGACTTGATTATTGTAATTTTCCATTTCCCTATCGTCCTTTTTTTAGCAAAATGAGCTGGAAAATTCAGGGTAAAGGTTGCTCTTTTTGCGGATTCTCGTATAAAGATGATTACAAATTTGATAGAAGGGATCAGAATAGTAAAGCTTTATGGATGGGAAGAACCATATTTAGACCTTATTTATAATAAGAGAAGACAAGAAATCAAAGAAGCACTTCATAAATTAACAGTTCATTCCTTAAACAGAATGGTTGGAGCAGGAGGTATAGGAATCGTTCTTTTTATTACATTTATCATATATGTATCCCTCGGAAATGAAATTAAGCCAGGCGAGACTTTTGCTGCTGTAACAATTTTAGTGATAAGCAACAATTTAATATCCTATGTAGGAGCTGCTGCTATTATGCAGATGTTTATGTTAGTTGTGTCTATGAAAAGGCTGACTGACGCTTTGATGATGAAAAATAAAGAGCACATAATTTTCCCGGAAAGTAAAAAGCATGCTGTTACTTTGAAAAATGCATGCTGGGCTTGGAATGAAATAGAGACATTGGAAAATGAAGATTTGAAGACAACCAAAAATTTTCTTGCTCCTACAGTAGAGAATCAGATTGTTTTAAATGAAATTGATGTCAAGCTTGACCATGGAGAACTATTAATTGTTATTGGACCTGTAGGGTGTGGTAAAACAAGTCTGCTTATGGGGATTATGCAAGAAATAGCATTAGCTTCAGGAAAAATTCATTTGAATGGAAAAATTGCATACTCAGGAGAAGACCCATGAATTGTTTCGAGCAGCATTAGAGATAATATATTGATGGGTTTAGAATACGATGAGGGTTTGTATAAATCTGTCATTCATGCGTGTGCCCTGGAGCATGATATAGAAAGTTTTGTTTTTGGAGACAATACAGTTGTAGGAGACAGAGGAATTACTTTAAGCGGTGGACAAAAAGCAAGGGTAAGTCTGGCAAGAGCAATTTACACCAATAGAGACATAATGCTTCTTGATGATCCTTTAAGTGCTGTAGATGCAGAAGTAAGTGAGCACATTTTTAAGAATTGCATCAAAGAATATTTAAAAGAAAAAACTGTGATTCTAGCAACCCATCAAATTCATTATATATCTCAGGCTGACAAAATATTGGTTTTGGATAATGGAAATCTTATCTTATCTTATAGAATTTATAACGTTTAAACGTCCACTACGGGGTGACAACCCCAGGTACTATCACTCGCCTTCGTCGCATCGGGCCCACAGGTCGCTGGGGATGGCCTACTTCAATCGCCAGGTGCTTTCTTGGGAAAGTGTTCCGGCTTCGACGGCTCATGGATGAGCTACTTGCTTGCTAAATGGATTGCTTTTCCGAAAAACCCAAAAAATGGATTTTCTGGTCAGCTGTCGGCAAAAAGGAAAAACACGTAGTCTGGGACGTAACGCCCAGTTTCACGCTAGGGAGTTGCCCGATTGGTCCAAAGGACTCTGCTGAGCTTCCCCTTTCCAACTCCGTGCCCTCCTTCCCCATGAGGAAAAATCCACCCCTGAGATTAGACTAGGACTAGGCTCTGAACACAACCAGAATTGCTTACATAGTATTGCTGTCCACCCTAGAATGGTAAAACCTTGCCGGATATAGTTAAAATATGAGTCGAGGCTGCATGGCCGGAAGGCCATGCTCAGGCGAAGACGCCATATTTTAATTATGGATAATGGAAATCAATTATTTTTTGGAACTTACCAAGAAATTGAAGGAAGAGCTGACGTGAAACACATTGTTGGGGAACTTCTCAGTAAATTTGAAGGGGAAAAAGAAGAAAAACCAGAAGCTGTAAAAGAAGAAACTGAGAAAAAAGTTGCTGCAAAGGATAAATTGTCAATACAAGAAGAAGAAATTGAAAAAGGCTCAGTCCCGATTAGTGTTTACTTTAAATTTTTGCTTTTTGGGTTCAGAACATGCTTGGCTTTCCCAGTGCTACTCGTGATAATAGTAGCTGCTCAAATATCTTATATAATGATTATGTGATGGCTTGCACTATGAGCAAGAGAATCGAAGTCTGACCAAGATGATGCTTACAATATATGGGTATACGCCATAATTATCGCTGCAGCATACATTCTATATTAATTAAAATAAATAGCCCACTTCATTAATTGATATTTATTATTTTTTGTTTTATTAAACAGGAATAATTAAAAATTTGGAATTATTAACCCTTATAAATTGGGATAGCATATCTTAGAGCGTACTCTTTAGGACTGGGGCTGATTTTAAGTGCGAAAAAGCTTCACAATTCTGCATTAGAGAGTGTCACCAAAACAGCTTCGGTATTTTTTGATAAAAATCCTACTGGGAGGATGCTCAATAGGTTTTCAAAAGATACGCTTATGATGGATGAGCTGTTAATGATGGTTTTTGTTGAATTTCTAAATATGTCTATTACGCTATTAGGAAACATTGTTGTCATGGCTGTTGTAGCTCCACCAAATTTAGCTGTTATTTTTGGATTTGCTTTTTATCTTGGTTATTTGATAAAAAAAGTAGTTCCTTTATCAAAAAGCCTTAGAAAAATCGAACTAATAATGAAAAGCCCTGTCTTATCCTTATGTAACTCTTCTGTTCATGGCCTCGTAACTATTCGCGCATTAAACCTTGAAGAAAAATTTTTAAAAGATATGCATAACGCTATTACTTTAAGTCTGAGGTCATTTCTTAGCTATCAAGTCATTCAAAGATTCTATCAAGGATACACTGAGCTAGGAGCGACTTTTCTGAACACTCTTAACGTAATGGTGCTGATTTTGTATAAAGATCATATCAGCGGTAGCTTGGCTGCAATGAGCATATCTTTAATTGCTTCAATGTCAAGTTTGGTTGCTTTTTGGGCAAAAACGATGGTTGAAACAGAAAATACAATGGCATCCCCTCAAAGATTGATACAGTATGAAAAGTTGCCAAGAGAAGGAAAATTTGAGACTAATCAACATTTTATAATAGATAAAGGAAAAATTGAAGTAGATCATCTTTTTATGAGATATCGAGAAAACTTTCCTGACGTAATCAAAGACTTAAGTTTTACAGTTGAGGCTGGATTAAAAGTGGGAATTATTGGGAGGACTGGAGCAGGGAAGTCATCAATTATGCAAGTCCTGTTCAGACTGACGGATCCATCTCAAGGAACAATATTTATAGATGGCCAAGACTATAAGCAGGCAGGACTTCATCAATTAAGAAAACAGATGTCTGTTATTCCTCAGTTTCCAACGATATTTATGGCAAGCTTTAAAGATAACCTTGATCCTTTCCATGAGCACACAGAAGAAGAAATTTTGAGTATTCTTAAGCAAACTAGGCTGCAAGATTTAGTGAATTCATACCCAAAAGGGCTTAATACGATGCTAGTCGGCGAGGGAGGGAATTTATCAGCAGGACAAAAACAATTAGTATGTTTGGCAAGAGCTCTAATTAGAAGAAACAAAATTGTTATGATGGACGAAGCTACTGCAAACGTAGACCCAGAAACCGACAAATTCATTCAGAAGAAGATTAAAAAGCTGTTTAAAGAAAGCACTTTATTGATTGTTGCTCATCGCTTAAGGACTATAATTGACACTGACAAAATTATAGTAATGGACGAAGGAACATGCAGAGAGTCAGGAACCCCATTTGAACTAGGCAATAAGGAAACTTCGCTTTTCAGAAAAATGATTATGTTTACTGGCCCTCAAGAGTCACAGTATTTGCTAAACAAAATAGCTACAAGAGATGAAGAATAATAATTTTATATTTATTCACTTATAATTCAAACTAAAACTTTCGATATGGTCTATTCTTTAAGTATTCTCTAAATCTATCTGATGAGTTTATAATTCTTTCACAAAGCGTTTTACATTTTGGAGCATTTATGTCCACAATGTTTCCAAATTTTTCAATCTTTCCAGGTCTCAAGCAAAAGTTATATATAATATCAAATATCATGAAATCGGCCATGGTTATGCTAACATCTACGAAATAAGTAAATCCTCCGTTATTTTTTTCTAATCTTGCTTCAAATTTTCTCAAAAAATATGGCATTTTCTCATGTATAAACCTTTCCCATCCTGGCAAATCATCTCCAATCAAAATCTCTGTAAAGCTTCCTAAAATAAACTTTCTGTATTCGCATATAGAGTCAACTAAATAAGTATCAATGAAATTTTTGGGGTAAAATTCATATTTTCTTGCTATATAATTACAAATAGATTCTGTATCTACTAGTCTTAGCCCATCTATATCTAATGCAGGAAGTAAGTCAAATTCTGAAAATCCTTGGGATTTTAAGTTTTTCCATTCCTCAACAGAAATTCTATGGTCATTAAACGGGATATCAAAATATGTTAGTATTGTTCTGATGCATTCTCCATCTCCATAAATATCGAAATAGTGTAAATTTATCTTAGACATTTTATTGCTTATCAGAATATATTGAATAATTCAATGAAGGGAGTAACATAGCAAATTTTACTATTAGAATTGCCAAAAGGAAAAATGATTAAATAAATGGAAGCAGTTAAGGAGATTTCAGCAGACATAATACATAAAGAAACAGAGAACTACTTAGCTCAAATGGAAAAAGAAAATGAAATTATCGACAAGCAAGTTCGAGAATTATTAGGAAATTGAGAAAATACTGAAGAAGATGCAATAAAAGAATATGACCTCCCACCAAATAGTATGTCTATTCAATTTCTGGAGTCTCCTCAAAAGCAATCAGACTCGAGGTTCAGAGAAAGTTCAGGAAAGTTCGAAACACAGTTTATTGAAGAAGATAGGGATCAAATTTATCTTCATCAAATCAAATATTTAGAATCTCAATTAGAAAATTCCACAAAAACTGTTGAATCTTTAGAGTTAAAACTCACTCCACCCCCCATCCTTGATCGAACGACTCGCCATCGTTCGATCAAGGATGGGGGTTAAAAAAAAATTTTTGGGAAAAAAAATTTATATATAAAAAAAAAATATGTATATATTTTTTTATTTACTTTTAAATAAGAGGGTTAAGAGTATTTAATAATTATTTTTAAAGCAAAAAATTGAATTAATTTCATAAAATATCAATTTTTAATATTTTGATTTATTAGTTACCCCTTTAAACTGTATAATTTTAATTTGTTCCTTATTAAATTAAATTTTTTTTTTTAAAATTTTAAAAAATCTCTATTTTATTAAATTTATTGAGTTTTTAAGCCTAGGCTGATGACTGAATCACTTCATACGGTTGATTCCGAAGCTTTTGTCGTCTCAAAATCTCTGAAAAAACTTTATTATGCATATCTTCCCACTTTTGATAACTAATATATTTTTATATTGTAAAAATTTTCATGATATGAAAATCGTTCGATCAAGGATGGGGGTTAATTTTCCCAATTTTTAGGAATTTTTACAATCAATCGTTCGATCAAGGATGGGGGGGGAGTCAGAGAAAAAGACAATAAAATCAAAGAACTTGAATCTAAACTCACAAAAACAGCTACAAATTACAGCCAGTCTCCAAAAAGAGATATCTCCTTTTCAAAAGAAATCCCGGTCACTCAAACTGCATTTTCTGCAAGCCTCAAGCGAAAAGAGCGAGAGCAAGAAAAAAAAATTGCTGAAATGGAAAGTAAATTAATCGAAGAGAGAAAAGCTATGCAAAGACTTCATCATCTAAATAAAGAACTTTTATCAAAAATAAAAGAAATCAGGACCAATGATTAGTTTAGATTAAAGATCAATTCTAGCCTGCGTAGGCATTTATTTCAGCCCCTACATGAGTTAGCTTCACGCTCATTGGCACTAGATACTAATAGCTAACGCTTTTTTTCTTCAGCATCACCAATATAGCCACATCAGAAAATCTATTGGAAAGACTCGCCAATTCCGGTCTTGATCTTTGGCCAACTATTAATGATAGTTGACCGTCAGCAAGGTTTGAAGTATTTCTAAATAGCCCATCTTCTCCTTTGGCTTGCCTTAGCCCTATTGCAGACTAAAGATTGCATCTCAACAAGTGTAGAAGGATGTACACCTCGGTCTCGTCTGTGGGTCGAGGAAAAAAGATCTAGCACAAAAACCCATCTAAGAAACTATTCCCATTGAATCCACTTTCCTCGCGTCTGGATCAACTCGCAGGACATCAAGCACCTAACTCTGCTCGCAATTTTAATAATTCTCAGGACCAAAGAAGATTATAATAAGGCACAATTAAATAAAACACAAATGAGAGAGTCAAAAATAAGAAATTTGCTTGAAGAAAATCAGCAGCTTGGATTAATGTCAAGACAGCAACAAAAGCGTATCCATGAATTAGAAGATGAGCTTGAAGAAACAAAAGCAGCCTATGATACTTTGCTGGCATCTTCAATGGAATTCGAAGAAAAAACGAGGGATTTGTACAGGATCAACCAAGTATTGAATGAAAACTTAAAAAGCTTTATTGAAGGCGAATAAATATTTATGAATAATAATAACATAATAATTGATCCGTAGATTTATAGACCATGAAGATTAGGAAATAAATTAGTATAGATTAGTTCCAAGCAGGTGCAATATGGTTAATTAAATAAAAATAAGCAATTAAATAGGGAAAATAAAAGAATGCATTTATATTTATTCCTTTGAATATCCCCAATAAGTCGATATAATTAATGCACTATAATAGATCTCTATATCCCCAGCAGAACACCGACAAGAAAAATGATGGTGCAGGGCACTGCCTTATACAGTCTAAGTCTGATTAGGCATCTTAAAACCATAAACGGAGATTTGTCATTTCGTTTTTACTTTTCAAAAAAGCTGACAAGTACAAATTAATTTTGTAAAATAAAAATGGATGGCCAATAATGATCTAAAATATTTCAGAGGCTATAAATGAAGCATGGCACATAATTCAAGAAAAATACTATATAAATTATAAAATATTTCTAAATGTTTATATACATAACTCCAGGTTGCATTTTGTCACGGGACGACAAAATTGGTATTTTATAACAATTTCAACATTAGATATTTATTAATTTTTTATTTCAGAAATCCCTTTTCTCACTTTAAATTCGCCACTTTTCTGAGGAACAAATTATTTGGGTATATCCATGGCATAATTCCAAAAAAAAACTGAGTAAAGCCACCATAATCTCTCAATATGGATAGCAACTAATGGGCGTCACCATCAAAAATGAAATTGCCAAAATCTCAAAAAGTATTTTTAAAAACATAACTAAAATTTTTTTCTGCTGAGAGCTATGCTATTTAGAAACTAAAAATTTCGTTAATTCATAAAAAATGGCTGCTCACTCCACACTCTCCAGAACGATGATTTTTGAAAATCAAAATTTTGTAATATTGCATATAATTTTAACAAATTTCTATCATTTTAGATAGCTTGAAATTATAAATAAATAGGTTAAATTTTTAGTAATATATTTTCAATTTGGGATTTCTGAAACATCGATATATAAAAAATTAAATGTTCGACCTTACAAGAAAATATTCTTTGCTCAAGAAGAGAGGAGTTAGCATTCTAGCATTAATCACTCTAAACAAGAATAAACCATTTAATCTAGCCAAAACATTAATTGATAAGAAATTACTAGATCTCTTTCCCAAAATAATCAAGTATATCTAAAAAGAGGTTCAATAAATTTTCTTAAATAAAAAGATTTAAATCCAAAGTTATGTAACTGCCCAATAATTTTTTAGGTGACTTTAAATTTTAATTCTGAGACCATGCAATTAAAGGAAACATAAGAGATATTTAAATTTTCTAACTTAATAGGATTGGCAGGATAGGGATTTTTATTAATCCCCATTGACTTTGTCTTTCTGAGTCTACAGGAGGAAGTACAGGCATTGGCTTATTCCTCGCATTCGATTTTGTGGGCTTGACTGGCTCCTCTTGCTGGTGAGAAATAATAGCCAGCAGAGAGAGCAAAGATCTTGCTTTTGTTTCACTTGGAGAAGACAAAGGCTTGAGCATATCGGTCCTGCTTGGAGAATTTTTATTAGCTGCATGGAGAAGTTCGTGTTCCTTGAAATTCTGTTTACTGGAGAAAGCTTTTGAGCACTGAGAGCAAACGAAGCTCTTTATTTGAAGGTGGGCGGCGTTTATATGACGACGCAGATGATATTTCGTCAGATAAGCCTTATCGCAATTGGTATATTCTATTTTATATTATACCTAATTACTATAAATAAAAGCATTACTATTGGCTAGCGAGAAATAAAATAGTGAATTTGACCAGGAAGAGTCCATCCTGATGAAGCTGAAAGCAGGGCCTCTGTCCCTTTGAAGTAGGCCTTCAGGCTTGGGATGCTTTGCCGAAGAGGAAGTTTTGCTTCTTGTCCAAATGTTTTCCTGTGCCAGATGGGATAGACAGGCTTTGCCTATCACATGGTCCTCCTTGTTGGGATCAGCAGGGCAAACTTCAAATGGTGGTCCTGCCCAAGGGAGTTAATCCTAAATAGGTGGTTCAGGTTGGAAATTAAATATGGCGGCATTCAATTTCCTATTTTAAACTCCGAGATCAATGAAGTCTGCTCTTTTGGAGCCGAGACGAAGCAAAGGCTATTGAGTTGCCCGCTTATGGCCAGATTAACCGTGAAATTTAATTTATTGATTACCTGATATACTATTTATTATCTGAAAATAGGATAAGGAAAACAAAAGGAAATTGCTTATTCATTGCAATAAAGTATAATAATATAAAAGAAGATAAGTCTCCTTGCTTAAAAATAGAGATCTTTTTAATGTTTTCTTGGGGGTTTGCTATTCATTCCAGTATAATAGCATTTGAACTTATAGCTAGTCGCGTCTTTCTTCATTGGATTCCTTAATTATTAGCCATTTAGGTAATGAAAATTTTCTCTGTATAAAAAATATTAGTTAATCTTAAGAGGAGAATTTTTAATATCGGGATATGCAATTGTTTATTTTAATTTATGACCACCTCATATATAAATAGGGTTTTTTATTTTGGTTTTAATCGTCCATAATAGAAATACGCGATAAATATGTATAGCATCTGCATCGCCTTAGCGTAGCTCTGACACAAGACTAAAGGTGGCAAATCAACTTCAAGCTCCTGTGGAGAAGCATGCGCTAAGCACGCTAAAGCGGTGCAGATGCTATAAATTCATTCTAGCAATTATTTGTATGGCAAGAATGAGTATTCTGTGCGATTTTTTTTTTAAAAACATTTCACTGTTATTCAATTATTATTTAGAAATACTGACAATTAAGTTATGGGATAGGATTAAGCTGAAGCAAGTGAAAAGAATTTTTGGAATTTAAGCATAAGCTACTATTGATATATTTGATTTAAACGATAAAAATAAAAATATTTATAACTCCTCTTGAATTCAGAGAATAAGCAAAGGCATAAAGATTATTCTAAATTGTGACAAAATAATTTTTTCCTTGAATTTTTGCATCCATGTCATTTAATCAAAATGTATTTATGGTTTAATAGTTCTGGACTATTGATCAAAATGTTTTATAGTATGATACGCCTGGAAAAAACTGTTAAATTTAACTACCCCTTTAAATTGAAGCAAAACATCGCGTTTTTTGATACTTTCCTCTTTAAATTGGAACAAATTTTTTCCTGTAGGAAAAATTTTGACGATAAAAATACTAATTTTTATAAAATTAGTTTTGACCTAATTTAATATTGCTATTTAAGAGTCTCTAAACTAAATCGATTAATCTTTATATAATTTTTTATAAATGCTAATCAAAATTTAAAGTATTCATTTTTTAAAAAGCAAATTCATTATGAAAATTCGAATTTTTATAAAATTAATCTTGGCCCAATTTAATAGATAAAATGCAAACAAAATACTATTTAAAGAGTTTTTAAACTTAATCATTTTATTATTTTTTTAATTCTTCATAAAAATAAATTCAATATATTGTGCCCAATTTATATTTTTAATTGTTTTTTATAAATAGGGTTAAAGATGAAATACAAAAGTGGAAGTAGAATGATATTTGCACATTTCATCGATTATCTTTTTACTTCTAAAAAATATTTATTCTTTTCTCTGTGGAGTTAGATTTGAAGAAATAGGGTTACACTATTAACATTATATTTAGAATAATAAGTATTTTTTCAGCAAATATTCTAATTTACCTTGAAAGATCAATTTTTGTTATTTGAAATATAAAAGGTAAAAATCTATTAATTTTTCTTTGATTTTCTCAAATTTGCACAGACCAAAAAATATGAAACATATTGAAAAGTTTTAACTCACCTATAAGTATAAACAAAAAAATTTTTTAATAAAAAAAATTCTTTGTATAAATAATTTTTATATGTTGCTATAGAAAGATTTCTAGCTAATCTATTGAATATTTTGGGGCTTGCATTTTTAAATTTATATTTATAAATTAGATTAAATTTTTTCGAATATTCGGAAATTATGACATTTTTAATTTTTTTGTAGCCTCCCTATAATAGCGAGCAAAAAAAAATTGCTCACGGGTAAGCAATTTTTTATGGTTAATTTGATTTTTTGCTTCTCTATATTTATTATCAATAGCTCTCATTTGTTATAATCTAATTTGATATTTTTAATTTATTCAATTATTTTATTATCTTTCGTTTGAAAAAAACTTATAGAGCAATTCTTTTATATTATTCAGAAGCTCATTTTCATTGATTCTTTGAAATTTTTATCAGACTTTTCGTTTAAATAAAAGTAAAAATGATCTATTTTCTATTAATCTCATCATTTAATAGTAGTAAGCTAAATGCTTTGTAAAATAAAAAAAAAAAAAATAATAATTAAATTTTTATCTTAACTTAACTTAAATTTACAGGCGTCCGCCGTAGTGTTGACGCAGTCACCAAGGACCCAGTATTAGGGTTCACCTGCTTTGCGGTATAGTCCAAACTGGCCATATAAACCAGTCACCAGGACATACACCTACTCCTTCCCACGCGCGTGAGCCGTGGCTTAGTGTTTGAGTGGGCGGGCTATGGGCTTCTGCGGCTGCTGCTTGAGTTGACGAGAGTTGGCTTTCCGAAATTCCAAAAAATGGAATTTCTGGTCGCCTTTCGGCAAAAAGGGAAACTCCAAGTCCTGGGACGTAACGCCCAGTTTCACGCTAGGTAATTGCTCGAATGGTCTAGGCATTGCCTGTAGACTCTGCTGGGCTTACCCTTTCCAAACCTGGGAACCCTTTTCTCTCGGGGAGAAAAAACCATTCTGGTCGTTGAGCTTGGGCCAGGCTCTGCACTGCAGAATTGCTTACCATGGCATTGCTGCTCATTTCCAGAATGGCAAAACCTTGCCGGATATAATTAAAATATGAGTCGAGTATGTGTGGCCGGAGGCCACACCCAGACGAAGACGCCATATTTTAATTATAATTAAATTTTTATCAAAATTATAATATTTATATTTCCATCATAAAATTTGCTCTAAAAATATACAACTTCAAATGGCAAATTTAAAAGATAAAAAATTACTGTCTAATGGTTAGTATCAATTGTAAGCGCAGAAACTAACCCAGAAGCCATCATAATTGAACCACTCCCACGAGCAGACTCTCAGCCGGCATTAATAGGTCATCCACCCTGCGGATCTTCCACAAAAGGCAAGTCTCATCTACTTTCAGACCCAGGCTCATTAAATCCTATATCATGGGTTGTCAGGACGCCTTCTCAAGCAGGAAATTGCACTCTTCGGCTTTCACATGGCACTGACTATTCAATATACGAAACTTTGATTCCAATAGATAATTCCGCTGATGCATCTGGATATTTCCCTTGTGGTCGTCAGGCAAAAACTGAATTTAAAATTGTACCTTTCCCTACAAAAATTATATGTGATTTATGCACTCTGCAGTGGATTTGGGAGACCGAAAAAGGTATTCATTATCAATGTATTGACGTTGAAATAGCAAGTAATGCACAAAGTCCTTGCTCCGGGAAATGCTTAAATGGAGGAGTCTGTGTTGATAAGGAATGCCAATGTGTCCAAGGATTTAGCGGACAATTTTGTCAAAATACCAAAACCGGAGAAGGAGAAGGTGTAAATCATCTTGGAATTTTTACAGTTTTTGTGGTCCTTTTGCTTTTAGCAGGTGCATTAGGCTTAGTTGTCTACTGGCAAGTCCACCATTCACAAATCCCAAGATCTGAAGAGCTTTTCTTAAAAAGACACATGGGCTGGTGCATGCGAGGCAGGAACGAAGATCTTGAAAGAATTGACAGACAAGGCACCGTCATCTCTGAAGAAAGATACAAAGCCAACGTTTAGACGCTAGAACTAAAATTTACTTAAATTTAAACAATTATTTAAGCTTGAATTTCGGTCAGGTGAAAATGTGAGATGATGAGTATATATGGCAGCCAAGCACTCTTTATAATTAATCAAACAATGGCGGACGTGCAAACAGAGAAAGCCTACATGAGACAGGATGGTGTATCTCTTAAAAGCAAGAAGTTCTTCGCCAAAAAAACAGCTAAAGGAGTTAGATACTGGAAGAATGTCGGATTGGGATTCAAGACTCCTAAAGAGGCTTAATCTTAATCTTAATTAAATTTATAGAGTAGCTCCCGGCCAGGACTGAAGGTCCTTTTCTTCCGCCTTTTGGACGCCTCGCTTGCTTTCCTTCCCTGCTTCCAGTATGCACCTAAGTGCCACAGGCTACCACTCAGCTCCTTCCGGTCATGGGGCTTGGTCATGCTATCCCGGAAGTAGGCGGACTGGGTCACCGTGCTTCACGTCGCCAGACTAGGGTTAGAGCTAAGGATTAACTCCTTAGCTCTTGTTGGCTCCTGCCATGCCCTCCAAATTGGCACTAGCGGTCCCTAGAGGAAAAACCCTTGCCCCGTGTCCTATCGGGACGACCCTAGGATCGTCGTTGTTGGACTGGGAGGGAAACCTAGCCGGACACAAACTACCAGTACCAATTCCAGACCTTTCCCTGGGCGGATTGGCTTCAGGCCGCAGCAAGGTCCCCAATCTCGCCTCAGTTCCGGGAGAGGACGGGTTGGTGTCGTCGCCATTTTATTTGTGTGTGACTCCTAAAGAGGCAATTGAAGGAAACTATGTTGACAGAAAATGCCCATTCACTGGAGAAGTTTCAATCAGAGGATTAGATTAGATTAATTAACTGTAGCGGGTCATGGAGGTTTATTTCAGCCTCTACCCAGCGCTGCCAGCTTCAAGCTCGCGCCCTAAGCACTGGCTCTGTAGCTCACTCCTTTTTTCTGTCGACGTCACCAAAAAATGGTGACGTCGCCAGATAACAGGGAGGCTCACCCAGGTACTCCTTGATCAGGGGTCTAGTGACCCGGCGCCGTCCTTTCCGGGGAGGGAGAAAAGTAGCCTCCCGGAGTCTCCTTCAGGTCTCCAAAGCTCCCCCACATAAAGATCTTCCTCACTTCCCTTCTCAATCAGAGGAAGAATTCTAAAAGGAATGGTAATTTCAACCAAAATGAAGCATACCATCATTATCAGAAGAAATTATCTCCACTACATTCCTAAGTACAAGAGATTCGAAAAGAGACACAAAAACATCCCAGCCCACTGCTCACCTGCCTTTTCTCATGTGAAAGAAGGAGATATTGTTACCATTGGACAATGCAGACCTATTTCAAAGACTGTTAGATTTAATGTGCTCAAGGTACAGCCTAACCAAATCTTTGGGTCAGCAAGAAAACAATTCGTTTTATTCTAACTTAAGACTTTTCTAGCAATTATCTTGCAATTAATAATTTATCATTTTCTGGTTTTACTAACCTTAAATATTAAATTATAATTGTGTAAAAGGTCTTCGCCCTCTGATTTCGTAAGGACTTGTATTAAATATTACATTCGAAATGTGAGGGCTCTGGTATATTCCTTCTATTGTAGGAGTTTTCTTGCAAGCTGATAAATGCATAGTACTCTGACCTATAACTCTTGCAGGACTCTGGCATAGAGGAAACTCGTGTCGGTCTTCAATTTCATGTGCTTGAAATCTCAAGCTAAGCAAAGCCTTTGCTTCTTCGACTGAAACCTCGTCTGAGTACTTTTCAAACGCTCTTGGGCCAGAAGTCCTGTGAAGGAAATCGTTATAAAGTTTTTTTAATTTTATCAATGGTTCAGCCTGTCTGAATACCCCCAGCAAATAAGCGTGCTCTGCTTGTATATATTGTCTTCTTGCTTCATAAATTTCAGCAATAGCGACATATATCATTGCAAATGCCAACCCAATGTTTTTCTGCAGCATTTCTTCATAAATCAATAGAGGATCTTGGCAGTTTTCTGCATAAATCACTCATAAATTCAGATATCGCGGATCATTTGAGTACACTGGAGATTTTGCAAAGTGATGGAGGGTTTGAATTAAAAGAGGAGAAGAGTGTTTGAATTTTGTATCGTTTAAATATGGGAGATAAACTGACAAAGGGTCTGGATGTCCTGCTGATAAATCTGATAAATAATGAGAAATTTCTTCAAAGGTGCTTCTTCTGTTGAATTCTTGAATATTTTCCTTCCATGGATCAAAAGTATTTGACCTATACATTTAAATTTAATTGATGCCCCATACAAGAAGAAATCTTCATATTTATCGGTAATATGAAATAAAGATTTTTTCCTTGAAAGTTGTACCAGAAACTATTTTTTCTTATTAGTATAGAAACTAAAAAAAAAACAAAAAATAAAATGCATTTATATAAAGTATCAGACATCTTCCCTAAATTGCAATTGCATATCTACTGAATTTATTACAATATAATTTTTTCTTTCATTATCTGTGATACAAAATGGAACAAAGAAGTGGAGATGCAAAAAGTCTATCTCCAGGGCACAGTCTGAAGGCACTTACAGACAAACAAATAAAGATAAAACTGAAATCACAAAAATGTGACCTGACTTATAAAGTATTAGAAAAAAGCGACATAGAGTCGGACATTGAGCTAAAACAGTCTTTTTGTAGTAAAAATTCTAGAGAAACTTTACACCGGAATGAAAATACAAATGACAAGAGCGATGAGAATAAAGCTATAAAGGTAAACCAAATTGTGTATGAAATTCAAGAAATTATTCCAAAATTTAAGAAAAATGCTGGGATAGTTGATGAGGAGACTAAGGCTGAGATAGAGAAAGGACCAAAAAGCGACAATTGAAGATACTATGAGTTAATCAGTAATCCTTTTCCTCAATATACCTCAAAAAAAGCAAATTCAGATAATGATAGCAATTTACTAAAATTTGACAGTATTTTTGAAAGCGGAAATCTTCAAAAGGCAATCCGTGTAGATGAACGTGAATACGTGCTCATCATAAGACCTGACACAAGAGCAGCTAATTATAAACACTGATTTTATTTTTTATGTAAAAATCAGAATCCTATCACAGTTAGATTCCACATCATCAATTTTGTAAAATTTGATAAACTGCTAGCTGATGGTATGCAACCTGTAATTCTCTCCACAAAATCTTTATTAGAAAAAGGTAAAACCTGACGACGAAAAGGGTGAGATATATCATTCCAAAATACTGTAAATTTTAAAGAATTTTTAAGTCAAGAAAGCAGTGACTGTGAGTATTTTACTTATTCTTTTACATATCATTTTTCATATGAAAAGGACACAGTAAAATTTGCGTATTCATTTCCTTATACGTATACAGACCTATCTAATTTTTTGAGCGAAATTAAGAAAAAAAACACAAAAATTGCTCGAGTTGAAAAATTAGCTGAAACTATTGGAGGAAATTCCTGTGAAATGATTACGATTACTAATAAAGTGGCCAGTTATGATATAAACAAGAAGAAAAAGAAAGAAAATGAGCATTCTGGCAAGAAAGGAGTTTTTATTACAGCAAGAGTTCATCCTGGAGAATCTCCTTCTTCGTATATCATGCAGGGTCTGGTCAAATTTTTACTTGGAAATTCTAAAGATGCAAAGCTGTTAAGAAAAGAATTTATTTTCTGCATTATATAGTACCCCCCCCCTCGTTTGTCGCATTTTCTAGTTTTTTTTTAAGGAAAAAAAAAAATTTTACAGGACCTCGTTTGTCGCATTTTCTAGTGCAAATACATTTGTCGCAATTTCTAGTTTTTTTAATTTTTTTTTGATGTCGCAAATCTTAGTTTTTTTAAAAAATAGTTTCTGATTAATTTAATTGAGTAATTATAGAGGAGTTTACCTTACATTTGCCTGCAGAGGGTTAGCAGGCCCGAGTCCTTCCCAGTCCTTCCCAGTCCTTCCCAGTCCTTCCCAGTCCTTCCCAGTCCCTTCCCAGTCCTTCCCAGTCCTTCCCAGTCCTTCCCAGTCCCTTCCCAGTCCTTCCCAGTCCTTCCCAGTCCTTCCCAGTCCTTCCCAGTCCTTCCCAGTCCTTCCCAGTCCTTCCCAGTCCTTCCCAGTCCTTCCCAGTCCTTCCCAGTCCTTCCCAGTCCTTCCCAGTCCTTCCCAGTCCTTCCCAGTCCTTCCCAGTCCTTCCCAGTCCTTCCCAGTCCTTCCCAGTCCTTCCCAGTCCTTCCCAGTCCTTCCCACTTTACTCTCCCCTTTTTAGAGAATAGATTAAATTAGCTTATTAACTCCATTCTCCTTGCGCTTCAATGACCTGCCTTGCTCTTTCATTTTTCACCTTTAAGAATGGAATTTTGCACTTCCTCAAAAGAAATTTCGTCCCATGACTCCTGAATGGCAGCAATTAGTCTGGCTTTGCTGTCAGGCCTTCTTTTCTCTCACTTTCCTCTTCAAATTGGCCCAGATCATCTCAATTGGATTGAGATCTGGGCTCTTCGGCGATTGAGTCTTCACATCAATCCCGTTTTCTCTGAAATATTCCATAGTCTGCCTTGCAGTATGGGCTGTTGCCCCATCCTGAACGAAGGTGTAGTCTCCATCTAAAGGCTCAATATAGTCCTGGAGAATGTCTCTGATATAGACCTGGGCATTGATTGCATACTTCTCCTTCTTTATGAAGAGCATTTTGCCAAAAACGATAGAAAATTCCTCCCCAGATCATAATTGAGGTTTTTCAATTGATAGGCTCTTCAATCGTTGCGTTTATCCCTTCTTTGCACAAATTAGAGTTACGAAAGAGATGCACATAGCACTCATCACTGAAGATCCATGAAGCGATATCTGAGTCAATCAAAGACCTAGCCCAGGACATTCTCTGCTCTTTATGAGCTTCAGTTAGCTGTAGAACAACCCTCTTCTTCCTATAGACATATCCCTCTTCTTCTTCAGCTCTTTTCCTAGCTGTTCTTCGCTGATCTCAACTGTCTTTCTTTTGAATTGGGCCTCAAACTTGCCTTGCTGACAAAGCCTGTATCCTTCTCACATTCCTTAATGACCTCAGCAAAGTCTTCATCGATGCTTTAGGGGAGATCTGGATAGTGCCTCTTCTCTTCCAGCCGCTTCGTCAGATTCACTCTCAGTATTCTCTGCAGCAATTCGCTCAATAGTCCGTTTAGAAGTCCCCAAGATTGTCGCAAGTTCTTCGTTTTTAAAGAAACCTACGTCAATGATCCTCTTGACTATGCTCTCTCCATCATTCCACTTGATTTTCTTAGGAGGAGGCGATAGTCCATGGTCCACAAGCTTCCGCCTGAGCTCTAAAGTGTGCTCTTCAGGATTGAACTTGTTGGTGTAGTGCCTGATCGTCGTCAGGCTCATGTCCTTGCCACAAGCAGCAAGACGCTCTTGGATCTGCTTTACATTGAGCCTCTCTCCATAGGCCATGCTTTGAATCATTGCCGGGATTTTTATCGGCTGGTCCTCAATTTCGCGCAACTCCATTAATTAATATGGAAGACTAGAAATTAAGCTATCAAATAAGGAAATAGGCATGAAGATAGGGGAATAAGAATGGTGAATGGCAAGTGGTGAGGCTTAAGCAATGGGAGCAGGTAATGGGAAGCAAGCTGTGGGGATTGAGGAATGGGAGCAAGGATTTTGAAGGAAGAAATGATGAAATTTCACTAACTGATCCCTTGACGAATTTTAATTTTAGGAATTTATAGAGAGAAAAAAAAAACTAGAAAATGCGACAAGCGAGGTCCTGAACCGATTTTTTTTTGGCTTAAAAAAAAAACTAGAAAATGCGACAAATGAGGTCCTGAAAATTTTTTTTTTTCTTATAAAAAAAAACTAGAAAATGCGACAAATGGTAAAAAACTAGAAAATGCGACAAACGAGGGGGGGGGGGTACTATACCTATGCTGAATCCTGATGGGGTCATACATGGGAACACAAGATGCTCATTATTAGGGGTTGATTTAAATAGGAGATGAATAAAGCCAAATAAAATTTTGCACCCTACTATTTATTATGCAAAAGAGTTAATTGTAAAAATGAAAGAAGCAAATGACGTTGCATTGTACTGTGATTTGCATGCCCATGCAAAGAAAAAGAACGTTTTTATGTATGGATGCTGCACTACGCCGAAATGTGACAAAACAAAAAAACTTACAGCAATGCTTACTCCTGTATTCATGGCTAAAGCAAATTCGAAATTTTCATATAAAAACACACATTACCGCTTGGAAAAGCAGAAAGAATCAACCGCAAGAATTGTTTTATTTAAGCAGCTAGGGATTATAAACAGCTATACTATGGAATGCAGCTTCTTTGGCCCTGAAGGCCCCAATAACCCTTATTTCACTCTTGCAGATTTCAGCAAAATCGGAAAAGACCTTGCAAAGAGCTGCTTAATTTTTGTAAATACTTCCACTCTTAATAGAAACCTTCACCTAACAACTGAATGAATAAATGACTATAAAGAATCTTGTAAAAAAGACAAGCGCTCTGATGAAACCCCTATCCACAGCAAAGATTTAGCACTAGCTGGCATCTCATACAATGCTATACAAGAAGAGTTATACTTTGTCCAAGAAAACTATAAAGAGCATGAAATCACTATCCAAGAGCCAGAAAATGAAATCAAACAAATTGATGATGATATTTTTTATAGTGAAACTGATCGATACATTCACACTGCAGAACTTGCAGATGAAACTGGAGAATGTAAAAAATCTGAAACACTTGTAAATAGTATGCACACAGATAGACGCACTTCACAGGTCTTCCACACAAAATTCATATCTTTCACTCCTAATTTAATTGCATGCTCAAAAGTGCAAAATCATAAAAAAAGCTACCAGAGCAAGAGAGCAAGCTTAGTGTCACTTAGCAGAAAGCCGACAATGCCAGCTGATCCATATTTATCACAAACAAATGTGCAAAAAATTGTTACCCCTTTGAAGGGGAAAAAGATAGGATTTGATCTCTGTCCTATTGTAGAATTAAAAACAAAGCATCCTATACCTAACGGAAATTGTAAAGACGATAAAAAGAGTTGTGTATTGCACAAAGGGCTGCAATGCTCGAATCCGATTTTCTCAAAAAACTACTTAGAATATTTAAAAAAGCACAAAAGAAATAACTCAGACAATGGGAATGTGTCCATAAAAGATTTGAATAAATTCTTAGTTGCAAGCAAACTGCAATAATTTAATTTTTTATTAAATTTTCGTTTTAAATAAAAATGCTATGGATCCTCCTTCTTGTGAGTAGCACTCAGTCCGCATGCCCTACTTTCCAATGCACTTATTTTTCAGATGACTCGACTGACTGCGCAAAATTTGTAATGTCCAAATCACAGATTTTTATTAATCAATATCCGTGCAATACCATGATGACTTTTTGCAAGTATAGTGACTTAATAAGCACTTGGCATGAGCATGAAAGCGAAGTAAGCACATCTTCCTCAAGCTCAGATATATCTTTGCCTGAAATTTATGCAAATACAACTAGAAGAGTTCTAGCATCATCTTCATCTTGGAACTCTACATCTGGAGCAGCTAATTACATAGCCTGCAAGCAATACACTGTACCTTATACAACGCAAAATATTAATGAAACTGCTGAAGAAATATGCACTAATAAAGATTCTTATGCTAAGAAAAAACTTGCATCAGGGGAACATCTCAAAGAATGCTCATCTGATCAAGATTGCTTATTATTAGATGGAACATATGGAAGTTGTGTGTGCTCTACAGTGGGAAGACAATATTGCACTTTGCAGCTTGGTGATACTATTGCAGCAGATGCAATAGATGCTGCCTGCAATAAAGAGTACACCAAGCTTATGTATTATCTTTACTATGTAGATGCCTTTATAGTTCTCATTAACTCTCTTAATTGCTTCTCCATTAATATTTTTGAACAAATCATTTATGAAGCTCAATCTGAAGCAGTTTCTGGAAGTTCTACCACTTATAGTAACAATGGATTTATTTTAGACGGTGCTTTAATATCAGCTATTATTATACTCAGTTAATATAATTGAATTTAATTATTATTTTGATCTTAATTCGCTTTTATTTGCGAATATATCGGACCCTTTCATAAATCTAGGACTACTGCAGAAAATCTATGCATTGAAATAGACATGCAAGTGACGTGAAGCATAATTAATTTACGTATCTTTATTTGCTAAAAGTCTTGCTGCTAATATATTTTTCAAGTTATTGGAAAGCCGCTCCATGCTTCTTATGTTTTTATTAGAGATAATTGGCTCTTTAATTTTTTTCTTATCCCCCCATCCTTGATCGAAGGACAGGGGTCAAAAAACAATTTTTTTGGGAAAAAAAAATTATATATAAAATAAAATATATATATATATATTTTATTTACTTTTAAATAAGAGGGTTAAGAGTATTTAATAATTATTTTTACAGCAAAAATGAATTAATTTCATAAAATACCAATTTTTTTAATATTTTGATTTCTTAGTTACCCTTTTAAACTGCATAAATTTTAATTTGTTCCTTATTGAACTAAATTTTTTTTTTAAATTTTTAAAGAATCTCTATTTTTTAGATTATTGAGTTTTTAGGCCTAGGCTGATGACTAAATCACTTCGGATGGTTGATTCCGCAGCTTTCTGTAGTCTCAAAGCTCTAAAAACAACTTCATTAGGCACATCTTTCTAAGCTTTTGATAACTAATATATTTTTATATATATAAAAATTTGCATGATATGAAAATCGTTCGATCAAGGATGGAGGTTAATTTTCCCAATTTTTAGGAATTTTTACAGTCAATCGTTCGATCAAGGAATGGGGGGAGTTAGGCTCTTCATCTTCATGATAAGAGTTTATGACTTCTCCTACATAATCTTGGTCGGTTTCTATCATATATAAATCAGAGTTACAGTATCGACCTATTGTCATCCCTCCTAAAATCAAAATTTTTGTCCCAATAGCTATTGCAGAAGCTCCCCATCTATTAGTTGGAGAATTTCCTTGAATACTTACGTTTTCTCAGCGCAATTCTAAAATATCAAGCGCATAAATTTCGATTTTTTCACTTACTTGCAAAGTATCATTTCTTCCTCCAATCAGATATAAATGAGTTCCTGAAAAGACTGAGCAATGGTTTGATCTTGCAGATGGGCTTTGTCCTGTTGTTTCAAGTTTTACTCATTTAAAGCTGGCTTGTTTTAATCTCTTTTTAACTTTTAGACAATATAGATCGTTTGATGGCGACTCAGCAAGTGTTGCCCCTCCAAAAATATAAAAGCCTGATTTCTTTTTAGGGATAATGTCACTTGTCGAATAAGGAATATCATATATCTCAAAATGAGGATTTTTTAAGATATCAGAGGAAAATACAGGTGTGAAACTAAATGAGTGGCGATGGCCAGGCGTAACATGAGTTGTCTCTATTTCTATATTAAACCATTTAAAAGCTACTAGATCCAAGCAGTGAATTGAAGATAAAATTCTGCCATGGCTATCGATTCCTCCATATATAATCATCGTATGTCCTAAGATTCCTGCACCATGATTCCTTCTTCCATCTTTGACATTTCCTTCAGGAATTATGGCTTCCCATGATAATTTTCCAGTATCGAATTTGTAAATGTAATGAGAGCATTCTCTCAGGTTTAAAACAACATTATATTTTGATCTTCCTCCATATAAAATCAAAGAATTTTTATATTCTAAACATGTATGTCCCATTCTAAATCCAGGACTTTCAATAGACCTTTCATATGAAATATGGTCTCATTTAAGCTTTCGAAAATCAAGAATTTTCATGCAGTGCCCATAATCCACACTTTGCCCTCCATACAGATACAAAAAACTGTTCACATAAGCCATTGTCCCAGATACTCTTGACTCTGGAATGGTTCCAGTTGTCGCCTTTATTTCACTGAACAGAAAAAACTGGTTCTTCTTTTTAAATTCATTGGTGAAACCGTCTCTATATCTTTCTGTTAATTCTTCTAAAAAGGATTTTCGGTCAGTGTCAAGTAGTCCGTTATAATCGTTACCCAAGGAAAATATTCTTACATGTTTTTTAATAGAGCTTTGCTTTCTTAAGGAGCCTTGCTTTTTCAGAATTGGAAGTCCTGGGGAAGAAGATTTATCAGGAGATCTTTGGGTCATTGAAAGATGTGAAGTAGAAATCGTAGGGACGCTGGTGTGCCGCAAAAGTGAATGTGTTTTCTCTTTATTTCTCATTTAATCTAAATAGACAATTAATAAGAAATATTGGTGCAAAAGGATATAAAATCGCTTTTAATTAATTATGTGTATTAATTGGAAAAATTTCCTTTATTTTTTGGAAATATAACTGCTAAAAATATCTCAGCTCAAAATGACTAAAAATATGCAAGATAAAATAATCTATAATAAATTTAAAGATATAAGATCTATTTCAGGCATCAGCCTGCAAATTATTAAATTATGCGTGTGTATAAAGATAAAGAAATAGGGTATGATGGATAAAAAAGATAATATAATGTTGCAAAAGATTAGAAAACTAAATAGTGAATATGAAGTTTTTTATTAGAAATTAAAATAATGATGAAAAGAGTTGGCAACTATGAATTAGGCAGTGTCTTGGGCGAAGGAAGCTATGGAAAGTAACATTAATTTAGGGTTCGCATGGGAGTACACATTGAAAGTGGTGAAAAATTTGCCATAAAAATTTTAGACAAAGCCAGGATTAAGCAAGAGAATCTTATTGAAAACCTAAGGCAAGAAATTCATATAATGAAGCATATTAGGCACCCAAACATCGTCAAGTTGTATGAAGTTTTATCATCTCATTCAAAAATTTACTTACTCTCTCCTTCTGCGAGCGAAAAACAGTTTATTCGCTAACGAAGGAGGTTAATTTTTTAAAAAAATATTCCATTTAGAAATAATTTTAAGCAAATATCAATTCAATTTGTAAAATTTATGCTTTATAGCGCTGTTTAAAATTAAACAGAATTAGCTAGAGATTTAATTATAATAGCTATCACGCATCTATAAAATTTTTTTAATAAAAAATTTTTGCTCGCTGGACAGTGTGGGATTTTCCCCAAAAATTACAATTTTCCTAATGTTTGCTCACTCACGAAAAGGGGTTAGTTCTAGAATTAGTAACTGGTGGAGAACTCTTTGATAAAATTAAAGAATGCGGACCGCTTCCTGAAACACAGGTCAGAAATTATTTCCAGCAAATAATCTCTGCCGTTGCTTTTTGTGAGTGTCAACATATCGCTCATAGAGATTTGAAGTTGGAAAATGTTCTTCTAGATAAAGACGGCGTTTTAAAAATAAGTGATTTTGGCTTATCAGGTCTTTTTAAATTTGATAAATTCAACATCGAGCTCATGTATTCTACCTGCGGCACTCTAAATTACCTTGCTCCAGAAACTTTTGGAAACCAAGGATACGATGGCCATCTTTCAGACATTTGGTCTTGTGGAGTGATTTTATACGCGATGCTAGCAGGCACTTTACCGTTTGAAGATGACTCTATTTCAAGGCTAATTGAAAAAATCCTGAGCTGCAACTATGAGATGCCTAAAAACATTTCCATATCTGCCCAAGATTTATTAACTCCCCCCCATCCTTGATCGAACGACTCGCCGTCGTTCGATCAAGGATGGGGGTTAAAAACAATTTTTTTGGGAAAAAAAAATTTATATATATAGAATAAAAAATATATATATATTTTATTTTATTTACTTTTAAATAAGAGTGTTAGAGTATTTCATAATTATTTTTACAGCAAAAAATTGAATTAACTTTATAAAAATACCAATTTTTAATATTTTGATTTATTAGTTACCCCTTTTAAACTGTATAAATTTTAATTTGTTCCTTATTAAATTAATTTTTTTTTAAAAATTTTTAAAGAATCTGTATTTTATTAGATTATTGGGTTTTTAAGCCTAGGTTGATAACTAAATCACTTCGAATGGTTGACTTCGAAGCTTTCTGTCGTCTCAAAGTCTTTGAAAACAACTTCTTCATTATGTGCATCTTCCCAAGCTTTTGATAACTAATATATTTTTATTATATATATAAAATTTTGTATGATATGAAAATCGTTCGATCAAGGATGGGGAGTAAGGCAAATTTTGAATCCTGATCCTAGAACTAGAATTTCGATCTCAAAGATCAAGAAGCATCCATGGTTTCTAGAAAATTACAGAGAGCCTGAAGGTTTGTATAACGAAGCTGAAAATACAAAGGACAGTTCTCAAATGATGATAGATAATCAAGAAGACAGGCCAAGGGTAATGAATGCGTTTGAAATAATCAATTATTGCACAGGCACCTCAATAAATAAACTCTTTGATAATGAAGAGTTCGAGCCAACACATATTTTATCTGATAAAGATCCTTTATTAATAATAGAAAAAATCAATGATGTTATGACAACATTAAAGGTGAAGAAACGAATCCAAGAAAGCACCTTTAAGATCCTCTACGAGAGCATGCTCCCACCAAACATTCAAATTGAAGTGGAGATTCTAGAAATTCTTCCAAGTTTACATGTCGCGATTTTTGAAAGACATTTAGGCAATTTGATGCTTTATCGAAAGATTTTTACTACAGTAAAAACTGCCCTCAATCAGCAATAAATAGAGGAAATGATAACTTATGTGAATTATGAATTTTAGAGATAAATAGTAATAAGTATTTTTATCAAAATTAAAGATAAATTTATACAATCGCTTTTATTTTATAATTTTTAAAATAAATAAGATATATATCATTAGAAATTTTATTTATAATTTTTCATTATAGGAGAGTGTATCAGAAATGGCAATAAGAAACCAAGAAGTTACTAGCTACCTCATAGATTGATTGCTAATTAAGTTATTTTGGGTCTTTGGGGATCAGTGCAACCCCCACTTTGCCCTAGCAATGGCTTTAGTGTAATGCCATGATTTTTGGGAGACTCACCCGACGATGTCTGGGTCTAGCTCTGCGGCAAAGGAATCTCTTAGTCTGTTTATGCTTAGGATGAATAATCTTTGTTCTGCATCCAATATGGCAGACAACTGTGGCAGTTTCGCAAAGATCTCAGCACTCGTGAACCTAGGCTTTGAAATAGAAGCTGCAACTGAAGCGCTAGGCTGTGCAGAGGAGATGCTGATATGGCTTTCTCTCTATTGCTTGAAAGAGGAGTTACATGAAGAAGCAATATTGACTATGTTCGAGATGATGAAGGCTATATTTGGCGAGGTACATAAAGATGAGGATGTAGATGAAGATGAAGATGTAGATGAAGATTATGAAGATGATTCAGGGCTTGCATTCGCTGACATTGCTATTTATGCGATAGATGAGGATTACTAGATAGACGAAGACTATAATGATGAAGGATGCTGTGGAAGTCCTGAAGAGCTTGGAAAAATAGAAAAAAGAAAAGAAAAAGATGAAAAAATTAGAAAATTAAGTGAAAATAGAAATAAAGCAAGAAAAACTTGGTCAGAGAAGATTAGAGGGGAAAATTGAAATACAGTGTGGTACTTGAATTTGCCCGCAAAAAGTGGTTAAAAATATGGCGGGCTGAAAAGAAGTCAAACTGAAGAAATTGAAGAAATACCCAAAAATGAAACAGATGATGAAGTTGTCAATCACTAGTTAAAAACAGTTGTGAAAAATAAAAATTATGAAGAAATAAGGAATAAGACAAAAATGAAGAAGAATCAGATAAATGAAATAGATGATACCAAAAGAATTCATTGGAAAATTAAAGAATTAAGGCACCTCGGGTGCGATAAAAGCTAATATTATTATTATGCTTAGGATGAGAGGGAAACGCCCAATGCGTCCTTCTGAATGACCTTGCCTTTTTCAGGCGTATGCGTACTATTAACTGACTTTGTGTCTTTGGTTTATCAATCCTGGAGCAAGGAAAAAAAACCACCCAGACTTTTTAAAATGGCTAGACCCACTTGCCTTAGCCTAGTACAACTACTAGTCACTTTTGGTATTACTCTGCTCACCATCTTTTAAAAAGCCCTCCCTCGTAGGAGAAGCAGAATTATACTTAAACAGACACCGATACCAAGACCTTTGCACATTATAACCAGTAGATGCAAAAAACATTTTGTCAGCGAACTTAAAAAAGGAAAGTAAAGGATCTATTTGGAATGCTATATAACTTACTTACTTAATTATCTGGTGTTTAAGGTGTCTAGTGCCGCAGCCCAAAAGGGGCTATGGCAAAACTGATGACGTAGGCGAGCCATCTTGGCACGGGTCAGCCCCGTCCAAGCCTTCTATCAACTCCTGCTTCACCGGCCTTGCTGCACGTCTCACCCGGCGCGTTGCCGTCGCCCTTGTCGCTCGACTCAGCTCCTGCGCGTGTTCCGCCTAAGGGTCATCCTCCCGTGGGGATGTGCTGAGAGGTAAAAGCCCGAGATCTTGAGTGGACTGAGGAGTGGTTCCTTTGGTTATCCCCAAAGTTAAACCGCTATTGCTGTCCAGAAGTTCGCGAGTGAAAACCTAACCCTAATAATAAAATTCCATGAGGGAGAGAAAATTAGCAAAGCTAATTTCTCTCGAACCGAATGCCATTTTATTATTGGAATGCTATATAACAGAAAATGGGCTAAAATATTTTTACACTATCTGATTCGAGGCAAGAAGGACTTTTGAACAGAGATCAAAGCAAAGAAGTCTTGAGAGCAATAGTACATTCTGCACATTAACATAAGGCATTTGGTAAACTTGATGTCCCAGAAAGATTTTATGTCATGAGCTTTATAGAGCTGGTTATTCGCGTTTGTGGTGGTGGTGGTGGATCAACCGCCCTTTTAACTCCTTTAGCGGCGTTCAGGGTCATTCCTTGAGAAAGGAGTTTAGCTTTTGATGCGTGCATCCTCTAGGTTTTACTGGCACAGGTGGGTCTGAGTACTACAGGTTTTTCCTTATGGAAAAAGGAGATAAGGAGCTTTTAAGGTTCTCCAACTAGTTCTGGAGGATTTTCCCAACAATAAGAACACTCATCCAGCATACATCCTAGGCTTTGAGTTTATATTTTAGCAAATGATTCCCCAGAAAATTTAAATTTTTGAATTTTCCAGTCGACATAAACCTTCTGATTTTGAGGGTGAGTGCAGGGCCTCATCTCAAAGGATTAGTGCAGCGCAAGAGCCATGTGCAGACTGACAAGCAAGCTATAAGGTATTATTAAAGGGAATGAGGGCCTCTGGCTCCTGAAAATTGATTTTTTTGTTATAAGTTTAAATAGTGATAATAGTTATTCACATTCATTTTAATAAAAGATATAGAAGTTTCCTATGTTTGGCGCTGTAAGGCCGATAAATTCTGATCGGAATTTATCGGTAGGTTGCACCAAATCAATGCCTTGGTCGGACCAAAAAGCGATTTGGTCCGACGAACTTGGAAAGCTCCTGGGAAAATGTCTGCGCTTTTAGCGCTATATAGAGGAAACCTCTATAGAACGATTTGTGTTAAGATCGCAAATTTTATCAAAGTGAAATAAGATTTATAGTTCTTCATAGGATTTTAATATTTTAATACATTATTCTTATAAAAACAAATGAACTAGTGCCTTATTTTTTTTAAAATTCTTTAAAATATAAAACAATGTATAGCAATAGTTTATCGAATAAAATGACTATTTCCAAAAAATTTTATTCTTTCTATTCAACTAAGCACATAGGTAGTAATTCAAATAAGTTTTACTTTAATTATAGTTAGATTCATAAGTATTTCTTAGATAGCACTAAAGCAAATAAATTAACAAGAATTTTTTATGTATCCAACTTTTGGAGAATAAAACTATTCTAGCAGCATGGAGTTCAAAGTTACAAATCGCAAGTTATATAAGTATTTATAATGTTTAATGCGTTCTCTCTGAATTAAATAGAGACTTACTCCCCCCCCCCTCCGTGAGTGAACAAAAACATTAGAAAAATCGCTATTTTTTGCCCTAAAACCCACCCTCCGTGAGTGAACAAAAATTTTTTATGGAAAAAAAAAATTGATATATAAATGATAATTAGTATAATGAAATCTAGAGCTAATTCTGTTTAATTTTAAACGAATTGCGTTTTAAAACATAAATTTTATAAATTAAATTAATATTTGCTTTCCAATTTTTGCGAATTAGGATTTTTTTAAAATTTCGAAAAAAAATATTTTTTAGAGAATTTATATATATAAATTGTTTTAAAAAAAAAAAATTAACCCCCCTCCGTGAGTGAACAAAATTTTTTTGTTCACTCACGGAGGGGGGGGGGGAGTTAGCAGAAACTAGTGATGCCACTGACCCTTCTCCACTCAAAGAAGACCTTCCTAGAGAAATTTCATATACATTCCATTTTATTATTATTATGGCAGCATGGAGTTCAGTAGAAAAATTCACCATACTTTTATTATCAAAAAATGGGATGCACAGGTTCTATAGGTAAAGTTAAGATTATCAGAAATAAATCTGATAAATTAACAGAAAAAAACAAGAAAACAGAAAACCTTATCCAAATTCTAGGAAATTGTGAAAAGGCAACAGAATTTATTAAGGTCGAAAAGAATTTATTCAAAATCAGTGAAGTCGATCCAGATTTAGAAGAATCAGGAATGATAAGTATTTCTTATCATAAAATATCGACAAATTGCTTAAGCACCGAAAAAATTAAACGAACTCTTTATATAAAGGCTAGCAGCCAGCTTTTCAATAGGAATCAAAAAGTAATGAGTCTATTAAAAAGATCATACCAATAAACTAAATTGTATCAATGCATGTCAACGTAATTATAAATAATCCAGTAAATCCTTTTAAATATATGTATTTCTAATTAATTAGTAAAAATGCGTTTTATAATTGATCTAAAGCATAATTAAAAAATCGAGATGGATATTTTTGGCTTAAATAAGATTAATGAAAGCAATAAAAATAAAAAAATTAAAATAAAAATCATGCGATTAAACATATATTTTTACGAATTTACTTTCTCTCACACGAAAACTTATTTTCAAATTTGCATGCAATTATTTTATCTTCAAATTTAAATAAAAATCCTAAATTAAATTAATTTGAAAAATTTATGTTTTAAAATGCAAGCTGTTTAAACAGTATATTAATTAAAGATTTCATTATAATTAATATCGCTAAAATATCAAATATATTTTTTCATAAATTTTTTATATTTAAAAAATTTTTTGTTTGCCATGCAGAGTGGCTTTTATCGGTGAGTTAACGTATTTTGCAATTTTGGATGATTACCATGTTTATTAAACAGCTATCCAGTATTTCATTATATACAAAATTAAAAAATGGGCATATAACCTTTTTTTATTACTCCCCCCTCCGTGAGTGAGCAAAAAAATGGTTAAATTTTTTTTTCATAAAAAATCTTTGTTCACTCACGGAGGGTGGGCCTTTGGGCAAAAAATAGCGATTTTTCCAATATTTTTCTTCACTCACGGAGGGGGGGAAGTTAGCAACTGCTGTATACATAATATGGTATCGATAAACCACCCCAACTCTTGACCCTATTTCTTCAGCAGCAGTCAATAGCCCATGTTGGGGATTTAGGCAAAAAGGGATAGGTAATCCTATATGTATGATGACTGGTTTTACCAAGCCACTTGGAGTTGATTCCTAGGACGCCCACCACTAGGGTCGAAATTCCAGTTTCTTGTTAGATAGATGTCACTCCTTGAGTCCTGCTCGATAAACTTATCATTCTTTTGGGGCTGTTGATTATTTTGGCTCCAGAAGAAATGGAAGCCAAGACGATATGAGTGCATCCCTTCCCTGCGGGAGCGAGGAGGGTGTATGCCGGAGTCCCTAAGGACGAAGAGCATTTAGTGGTGTTTCTCCCCCAACCCTACAAGGAGGAATGCATATTAGCATTACATTATTAGAAACTACTTTAAAGTAGCATAGCTGCTGACTAAAATAGCATGTGAAATCTTTTTAAAGCTTTTCGTTTATTAATAACTTATAGGCTGAAATTTATTAATCTTTAATAACAATCATTTTTATGATTCCTCATAGATCACATTGGCTAACAAAGTTTGCACTTTCTGGAACAGAAGAAGTCTGTGAAACCTTAAGAGAAATCGAACTATTAAATCCTATTCTTAAAATTGCAGATTATCACTTAGAAGCTGGCAGGTTTTCACTACTCCCTCTTTCAAGAATTATTAAAGACTTTAGAAACTACTCTAACACTCCAGTAGAAATTTTCAGAGCGGACATTCCTTCATATAACTATTCTGAAATGATTAAATACCACGAATCTGAGCCAGAAAGTTTTGCAAAGCTCTCAAACGTGTTTACATACTTCAGTCCAGGGAATCATATGAAACAGATTTATCCAAATAACTCAATTTCTCTTCAATATATTTCCCACCTTTTAAGCGCTTTTCCTTCAAAGCAGCCTGCTCCTGACCATATATTTCCTTCACTTTCATCTGATGAGACTATAAAAGAGCAAAGAATTCAGGGAGCTCTAAAAGAGTTGCAAAACTGCTTAACAATTAAGCACGCTGAATTAATTCCCGGAGGAAGGATTTATTTTGATGTCATGGGAACTCTGCCTCAAAACAATATCTTTGATATAATAAATAAAGTTGCGAAAAACGTTATTTCGAATAATATCGCTCCACCAGAGTTTGCAAATATTTCAATCGGAACTCATTTCAGGACAAGAGCTGAAGTCGAGAATGCAATAAATGGGGTGCAGCATCTATATAGGCAGGTCAGCTATAAAGAAGTTTTTGTGAAAATGCCACATTTAGAAGACTTCGAAAACGATGGGGATATTGATAAATACGCAGAAGGGGTTGTGCTGTTTTGGAAGAAAATTTTTGAGATATATTGCGGCATGCATTTAGGTGCAAAGTATCCAAAAGAAGAAATCCAAAATTTAATAAATCAGATACTCAGCATGATAAGAGCAGAAGTTGTTGAAAATAAGCCTATAGCAGCTTCCTATTCTCATCACATTATATTAGAAAAAATTAGAGAGGCTTAATAGATCATTAATTAAATCTAAGATATTGCGTCTAAACTTTATTTTAATATGTCCTAATATATTACTAATCATATTATTTCAAAATAACTTAAAAATTTTTATTATCCAGAAAACATAATTTTAGATTGATTACAAATATAAACAGTTTTAATGTCTTTCATGCGAATAGCCAAAATATAAACTATCTTAATTTCAAGATAAAATTTTACTCAGTCTTAAATTATAATATCAATTCCAAGCTTATTTTATCCTACTAAGTTTATCTAATACAAATTTCTACCAGAATATCAGCGAATACTTTGAAATAAAATTAGATAAAACCATTTTTCATTTTCTGATTTCACTGAACTATTAAAATGGTTATAAAAAATGTTTTCAAAAACCTTATTCTTTGCATCAATAGCCAAAGGCTATATAAATCGCACATTTTCATCTGCCTTGATGAAGCCAAAAGTGCAGTGCTTATTCCATAATGACACAAACACAGCTACATATGTTGTATCTTGTCCTGAAACTGGAAAGTGTGCGGTTATTGATCCTGTACTAGACTATGATCAAGTAGGCCATAGAACTAGAACTATTCATGCCGACTCTGTGATTGCAGAAATCAAGATGAATAATCTTGATCCTTTTATATTTCGAAACTCATGTTCATGCGGACCATCTCACCGGAGCTAAAATTATAAAAAATGCTTTTCCATCAGCTAAAACAGCTATTGGATTTAATGTAACTGCAGTCCAGATTCATAAATAAAATATGGTGTGGCGAACCAGCCTGCCCTCTTAACACCTGTAGCCGTACGAGAGTCTGAGAACCTTGTGGAAGGGAGAGCAGCGTTAGTTATGTGTATCCGGCCCACGCTTTACTTGATCTAGTGGAGTGCAATGTCGGACTAGCCGACATAGGCTCATATCCAGGGCAAGATTTTACCCCACGGAGGATGAAACTTGGAAGTTGGAAAGGGATAGCCTAGCAGGGCCAAAGTGCATTTGTTTGGTCGTCCGGACATTTTCCCAGCTCAATATCGGGAGTTATGCCCTGGGCTATCATTACATCTGAGCAATAACCTGACCAGGAAATTCGCTTTTCGAATTTTCGGGAAAGGCAGCCTCGTCGACATAAGGCACGGTGATCCAGCGTCTCTACCTCCGGGCAGCAAGTTCAGGTCTATTCCAGAGGGAGCAACGCAAGCCTAAGGCTGTGGAATCAGACTAGCGAGTAGGAAGCATTAATGTAAAATGCTTTTCAAGCTTGCCAGGAGCTTCTCTATAATAATGAATGAATGAATCAGTCCAGACTCAATTTTCAAGATTATTTAATCTTTCTAACTTCAGAACTGATGGATCTCAGTTTAATAAATTGATAAAGCATGGAGAATCGTTTAATATTGGAAATTTGCCTTTCAAAGCAATACATAGCCCTGGCCATACTCCAGCATGTATGGTTTATGTTATAGGTGATGCTGTATTCACTGGCGACACTATATTTATGCCAGATTTTGGAACAGCAAGGTGCGATTTTCCAGGAGGTTCTGCAGATGTTCTTTATCAGTCCATCAGAAATCTCTTCGAACTTCCAGACGAGTATAGAGTATTTGTTGGGCATGACTACGGCACCGAAAAAAGGGGTTTGCATGGGAGTCTACAATGGGGGAAGAAAAAAAGAATAACACACATTTAAATTTGGGAACAAGCAAAGAAGCTTTTGTGCAATGGAGAAAAGGCAGAGATGCAATCTTAAAACTTCCAAAACTTATCATGGAATCTTTACTTGTGAATCTAAGAAATGGAGAACTCCCTGATCCTGAGTCAAATGGAATTTCTTATTTTAAAGTACCGATAAATGCACTTTAAAATTCAAAAAATATAAATAAGTTAGTAAATCTCCTTAAAAAATCCCAATTCTGCTTATTAGAATAACTTTTGCCATTATTGTAAACTAAAATGCCACACCATAAGGGATACAGAGCTAAGACCAGAGATCTGTTTTCAAAGCCATTCAGAAGACACGGTCCAGTTCCTCTTTCTCGCACTATGGTAGCCTTCCAAAGGGGCGACTATGTCGATATCAAAGTTGATGGCTCAGTCCACAAAGGAATGCCATACAAGTTTTACCATGGAAAAACAGGGAAAGTCTTCAATGTTAGTGTTCATGGGATTGGCGTGATTGTCAATAAACAAGTAAGAAATAGAATTATCAAGAAAAGAATCAACGTAAGGCCTGAACATTTGACTAAAAGCAGATGCAGGGAGGAATTTTTAGCAAGAGTCATTGATAATGAAAAGGCTAGAAACGAAGGAAGGACAAGCGAGCTTAAAAGAGAAGCCGCTGCACCTAGTGAGGGACATTTCGTGGTAACCAAAGGGACAGAAGTTATTGATCAGCATCCTCCGGTCTATAAGTTTATTATCTAAATCCCTTCTCACAATTAGCTTAATTTTAGTTATTTTTGATATTATTGAGCTCTATTTATAACTCTTTTCAAACTAAAATTTGCGAAATTTTAGACTCTTTTAATTATATCAAGCTTCTATAAATACTCAAGCCAAAATCCTGTCTTGATTTTTCATTGGCAAAAATCTGATGAATTATCCAATATTTTTAAAAATAATTATTCCATGAATAAAACTGGGGAAAATTTAAATGAAAATTATTTCAGCCCAGCCAAGCTTATGAAGGTTACATTTTATTCTTCTTCACAAATTTTCAAAATTTTTTTACATATTTCTGTAATTTAAACTCTAATAAACTCATTCGTTTTGTGGGAAGTTCAAAATTGTCAATAAATTACTTGTCAGACGCTAAACATAAACGTTAATTAAATTCCTAGAGAAGTCATTTAATCAATGTCAAGTGTTAAGGTAATAGACTATGCCTAAAGCTTATTGAATTTTTCAGCCACTACGAGTGGGTTATCTTCAGAAAGTTTTCGAATTCCATGGCTTTTATGATCGAAAGTACAATTGTGCTCTTCAGGCAGTCGGTGTCTCGCACAGAAGGAATATTGACATTTGCAGGTGAAGGAAAGTGGTCCAACTCTCTTGTTGCAGGTAAAGCAGCGGCTTCGGTCTTGTACTGGCTGTTGAGGTGCTGGCTCTGTAGGGAGAACTACTGCTGAAGCGACCTGAGCTAATGTCGTCACTACGTCGGTAGCTTCTTTCTTCAAGGCTTCTTTCTTGTGACATTGGGAGCAGAGTCCTCCAAGGCACCCGTAAAATACTCTGCAGTTCCTACACATTTCTGATTCCATCTTGATGTTTTTTATTATAATTCAAAGATTTAGAAGCAAATAAACAAATATGAACTGATAGAGTTTTTTCCAAAAGAAAGTATCAAGCATTAGGAGGCTTTAAGTATTATAATTGGGGCAATTAAAAAATTAAGGTTTTTCAGAAATCTTCATTTTTATTTAATCTTAATCCCCCCAATCCTTGATCGAGCGGCCATCGTTCGATCAAGGATGGGGATTAAAAAACAATTTTTTGGGAAAAAAATTTTATATATTTATATTTTTTTTTATTTACTTTTAAATAAGAGGGTTAAGAGCATTTAATAATTATTTTTACAGCAAAACATTGAATTAATTTCATAAAAATACCAATTTTTAATATTTTGATTTATTAGTTACCCCTTTAAACTGTATAAATTTTAATTTGTTCCTTATTGAATTAAATTTTTTTTTTAAAATTTTAAAAAATCTCTATTTTTTAGATTATTGAGTTTTTAAGCCTAGGTTGATAACTAAATCACTTTGGATGGTTGATTCCGTAGCTTTCTGTCGTCTCAAAGTCCCTGAAAACAACTTCATTAGGTACATCTTCCCAAGCTTTCGATAACTAATATATATTTTTATATATAAAAATTTGCATGATATGAAAATCGTTCGATCAAGGATGGGGGGAGTTAGATATTTATTAGAATTTAAGATTACGCTAAGATAAGCTAGACTGTGGACAATATACGGTATACTGACAGAATAGGTAGCCTTTCTTTGATATTATAGAGCTATTCATATTAAAATATTAATAAGGGTATCTTATTATCAACTAAAATAAAATTTATTGAGAGATTTCATGAATTGCTATTTGCTGCCTCATCACAACTGGAGTGGAGAATTGTTTTTTATTTTTCTCCAGAGGAATATAAGTATTAAGAAATTCTTCAATTGTCATTATACCTTTGCCTAGCCTTACCATCAACTGATTATCATTTAAGCTCATTCCAACTTCTTTGCTTCCAATATTATAAACCCCCGAGTTTTTCCTATAGATCATTAGATCATACCAGTCTTTCCTTTCATTCAGCACGCTTCCGAATTTCTCATCTATTAAATCTCCTTTCACAGTAACATAAAGAGGTCTTGTTTGTCTTAGATCACCTACTATTTTTTGCATATTTTCTTTTTCAATGCATTTTTCATCGACCATTCTTTTGCAGCTTTCAACTGTCCTGCTAAGAGCTAACTCCCCCCCCCCCCTCCGTGAGCGAACAAAAAAATTTTGTTCACTCACGGAGGGGGGTTAATTTTTTTTTTTAAAAAAAAATTTATATATAAATTTTATAAAAAATATTTTTTTCGAAATTTAAAAAATCCCTAATTTGCAAAAATTGGGAAGCAAATATTAATTTAATTTGCAAAATTTTATGTTTTAAAAACGCAATTTGTTTAAAATAAAACAGAATTAGCTCTAGATTTCATTATACTAATTATCACTTATATATCAAAATTTTTTTTCCATTAAAATTTTTTCTATTAAAAAAATTTTTGTTCACTCACGGAGGGTGGGTTTTTGGTCAAAAAATGGTGATTTTTCTAATGGTTTTGTTCGCTCACGGAGGGGGGGGGGGGAGTAAGCATTCAGAGGTTTGTTTTTCTAGATACTCAGTGAGTTGGTTAAGTTCTTGTAGTAATATTGATTTTATATTTTCGTTCATATTAAGCTGATGCTCCAGAGCTTGTCGGATATTTTCTTGGTCATGCTGAGAACAGAGCTGGAGTTCTAAGTTAATTGTTTTATTCATCAAATTGAAATTGGTATGTGTCAAGTCTTGGATTTCTTCAGTCTTATTTTCTAGAATATTTTCTAATTCATTTAATGTGTTGACTACATCAGATTTCTCTTTGAGGAGATTTTGGTTGATTCTTGAGATATCAGCTAATTCTTCTTCGAAAGTCTTAGCAGTCTTATGGATTTCTGTTTGAAGGAAAATGCATTTATTTTCTTTTTTCTCAGCGATATTTCTTGCTTCACTTATTTCTGTCGTTTCATCTTCCAGCACTTTAATTTCCCCTTCCAATTCTTTTATGGTGCTTTCTAAGTCAAGATTCACTTTAGTGAGCTCCTCATTAACATTTTTTTGATCAAAAAGCTGGCTTTGCAAGTTTTTGATATCTTTCAATAGTTGGGCTTTTTCTTCATTTAGTCTATTGATATTTTCTATTTGTTTTTTCTTTTGGTTTTCGAATTGTTGGATTGAATTTCGATACTCTGACCTTAGCTCGTCTCTTTTATTTTCTGAGACTTTGAGCTCAGTCTCTAATCTGGAAATATGCTCTTTCATCGTTAAATAGTTAAATTCTTCAGCCTTTAGCTCTTTTAAGCTTGCATTTAATGTTGCTAAGCTGCTATTTAACTCATCTTGCTCCAAGCATTTCTGGTTATAAAGATGCTGCTGGTCAAGCAAATTCTGCATAGCTTTAGCTCTTTCTTCAATTGATTGAGAGTGCTTGTCACTTTGCTGCTTGCATTTTTCTTCTAACTCGCAGGTCGCTTTTCTTACACTTTCTTGCAAAATTAGCCTATTTACTTGGCTGTCATGAAGTTGCTTTCTTATTTGTTGGACTTCGTCTTGCATAATTTGGAGGCCTTTAAGCTTTTCATTTAGCCCTAGTATGACTTCTCTTAAATGCTCAGCTTCTTGTTTTGATACCTGTGGGCCTTTCTGACCCATCTGCATAGGCAAATCTATTCCTAGCTCTTCTGCGTTTGAGTAGAGAAGCCTGGAATAGCTTGGCTGCTCATTTGCGTAGTAATCTTTAAGTAATTGTTTTATGTCAGAATATGTGCTTTTACTTTCTTCCAAAGCCAAGAGTTCATATGTTTGGCTTTCAGCAAGTCTTACTAAATACATGCATCTTGGGCATCCTTGGTTTCCTTCAGGAGAAGTATTTAAATCAAGCCTTGTAGTAGATTTTTGCTGATTGCTAGTACTAGCTTGTACTCCCGAAGAATTTCTTATGCTGATTTGGACTTGAATCCTATAAGACTGCTCTGATTCTTCATAAAGTTGATGAAATCTATTAGATGGAGATTTGCGAGATATTAATTTTACCCATTGCATAATTGACCCTCTTAAGTCGCTTAAAATATCTCCAATGCGAATTTCAGCAAAAGCCAACTCTTGACTTGAGTCTTCTAAAGAAACTATTAATATATCGTCTTGAGTAAGATTCAAGATATCAAAAATGAATGGGGAATTAAACGGATGCTAAATAGAATTTTACTTGAACTGACTTAACTTGATCTTTTAAGAAGACTTTGCATATAAGAGAAGAACTTAGTTCTTTTGGGGAATACACTTCATTAACTGTCACTTCAATTTTACTTAGGCCTTCCATTTATGCAAATAATAAAAATGATTACTCTTAAATAGAAAAATTATCCTATATCTAAATCATTTTCTTAGATTTAAAGAATCTTTTCAGATACAAAACCTGGATCAATGCTAACGCAATCAAGAATATTATTGTAAAGATTGAATACGCGACAACTCTTGAGTGGATTGTTTCATTAGTTCCTCGAGTTTCTTCATACATTAAAATTGTGACACACGTCAACCTGCCCTCTTGGCGCAACTGTCAAGACCTTACAGCTACGGCGAACTGGGACTGACTTCTAGCCGAGATTCAAGTGCAGCTTAAGAGATATGTATCGGATCACTTTTTGGTTGTTTTCCTGTGGCTGGAAATGGAGTTACTCAACAACGTTCTTTTTGATCTGAGGACTCATTGGCATTCCTCTACCAGAAACTGGGGGTTTCGGCCCAGTTTACAGCAGAGCAGTATTTTTCCTGCAGCTGTCGAAGGAAGTATTTGGCACCTGACAGACTCCAAGGATTTATGGAATTATGCCACTCCAATGCCTGTCGTAGGGCCGCCGAAATCCATAAGCACTCAAGACTGAAGCCTCAAGGCAAGAAGGAGACAGAGATACAGGAAGTAGCACAGACCTCTGGGCTGGAGTCGAAAGCTGTAGAACCTCTTGTATGGGGGGGTATTTGGTGACTGCATCACCAATATGGCTAACGCCTGATTTTAAATAATTTTAAGCCTAATCCTCGCATTTCTTCTTCTCTCTCCCTAACGTTTTGCAGTTCTTTATGTATTTGTCTAACGTTTTCCTTCACTAATTCTATTTTTCTTTCAGAATCTTTTATGTCTTTAGTAGAAGCTACCCCACTATAATCTTTTGCAGCAGCTCCAGTAATAATTTTTACATTTACCCAAGTAGCAAATTGTCCAGAATTTTCAACGCAAAGCATGTGTGGCCCTTCTTCTGTAGATGTAAAGCTGAATTTGTCTGTATTTACGTTATTTTTCTCAACGATAGTTGCAATATCTTTAAATAAAACCCTGTATGAGAGTGGGCGGAGTTCTGGCCTTTTCTCAGCAAGGGAGACTTCTCCCACATAAAGTGTGCCTTTTGAGAGATCTTCGCCAAAGCATTGCTGTCCTCTAGGTTGGATATTAACTTCAAAGCCTTGGACCCCAGCAAAAATCAAAAATAGTATAAGAGCCATTTTATATGTAATTACTTTTACGTCTCCCTTCTTAAGCAAGCGAAACCATTGGAAAATCTCTATTTTATGACAAAAGCTCAAGATTATCTTTATAAAGATAGTGATAATTAATATAATGAAATTTCTAGCTGATTCTATATAATTTAAACACCTTGCATTCTAAAGCATAATTTTTATAAGTTAAATATACAATTCTGAAATTTAATTATCTTATTTTGATATAAATTTTTATATAAGTTTAATAAAAAAACTCAGTGGGCGAGCTTAATTTTTTTGCTTACTCACATACATGGAGTTACGATCAATTAATTGAATAATTTATATAATAATTCTAAATTAGGAACTGAGCCTTATTTAATGAATTTATATATGAATCTTTAACAAATAATCTGTCTAAAGCTGAAATTATTTTTATAAAATTATAATAAATTATATTTTTGAATTGCAAGAATTATAATCAAAAATTAGCTTATTAGTGAATTTAAGGAGTAGATCTGAGTAGAAACAAAGATAAAATTAATGAAAAACCATTGGCAAAGTCGAAATTTTCTATATTTTGTGTTTAATGATGAGATAAAGATACCAATAATAAGGCGAATAATTAAATTCTTACAACATGGAAGTCAAAAGTTTTATTCTCTAAAAACCTTAAATAAATTATTGAAATCATACCTTAGCATTACTGCATTATAACCCGTTCCCGGCTATAGACCGGCTTAGCCCGATCTTTGCCGGGAAACTCGAGGGGTTGTCTCCGTCACTTTGAGGTGACGAGTCAACTCCCAGAGTTGGCAAATCACCATATAGCGGCTACTTGCCAACTCGGGGAGTTGACTCGTCACCTCAAAGTGACGGAGACAACCCCCAAGTTTCCCGGTAAAGATCGGGCTAAGCCCGATCTATAGCCGGGAACGGGCTATACTTGTGTGGAATTAATTAATATACACCCTGAAATATCGGCGCTTCTGGTGTGAATGAATACTTCTTTGGCCTGAACGATGGCCTTCCATCTAATATTGATGATCCTTGCCTCCTGTGTACTTCAAGGAATTCTTGATTTACGGCACAGATTGTACAACAAAGATGAACAAAGCAGTCGGATAGATATGCGGTCCTCATAGAATATTTTTCTCTTACTTCTCCTTAAGAAAGCAAAAATAATTTTTACATAAAAATTTTGTCTATAATTTTTCAATATAGATTATTTTAGAGCAGTCTATTTATTTTCATATAGCAATATTTTTAAAACATAAATATTTTAATTATATTAGAGATTTTCAAATAATAAAAATGTAAAAGCTTGCTAACTCATAAAGTAAAGTTAGCCTCCCTCTATTATAAGCGGCACCAATAGATTTTTTTTTTTATAAATGTCATAATATTTATATTGAATTCTAAGAACTTTCGCTCATCAAATTTAATTTGCACCAATACACCCTAATCCACATGGGAGAAAGCAATGCAGAGCGAAATTTGATTTACAAACTCTTGACACTAGTCGACCTTGGACACAGCAAGGACTTCCCACACATGAAAACAGTACAAGAGCGCAGAATAATCCAGGAGTCTTGTTGCATGAAAATAGGGCTTCTTCAAAGTCATTCATTCATAATAAATATAATTTTTAATGGCACAACATAATAGCCCGAAGGCAATAATTTTTATTTAATAAATTAATAATATTCTCCTTCAGGTAATTATTACCCCTTTTTCTTTATTAAAAAATTTATCAAAGAGAAATATCCCAATCTTTTGCCTTTACTAATTCCTCCTTTATTCGGAATAAATATTGATAAATTTGCATTTTTTTGGAAATTAATTTTTTTAAACTTTTAATATATGAGAATAATAATTTTTATATAAATAGCTTAGCCTATTTTAGTGGAAATGAAAGTAAAATGCTAATTAAACAATCGATACACTGAAGGAATTATTTTTTTAGTATTAATAATTTATAAAGCTAATTTTAAAATTAAAATATTGCATTCAATTTATATTAATTATTTTTGTTTAAAAAATGAAAAAAATTATATCAATTTGTTTTTAAAAAAGATAAAACCATCTTCATTGAAACAGATTTTAGCTTCATTTAAAAGGAAGGAGTAAGGGTCATAATTAAAGCTCCCTTCTTGAACCGCATTTTTGGTGAATGTTACACGATTATTATAAAACCTATTGGTGCAAATATGGGCTTGTGCATTCCTAGCAAAAAACAAGTCAAGCCTAAGAATTCGTTAACTATAAGTAAAATTGTGACAACATCTTTATGCCAAGTGCCTATTAGATCAATTTATAAATTCGGACAAATTATTGGCAGCGGTCACTTTGGAATAGTCAGAATAGCTACATTCATAGGGACAAATTCAAAAGTAGCAATAAAGTCTATTCCAAAGTCGTCAATTTCATATAACTCTGACAGACTTCGGACTGAAATTGAAATATTAGTCCAAGTAGATCATCCAAATATTATATTCTTTGGGAAATAGCTGGTCAAGCAAAGGTAGCAACCCTACCCCCCCTAAAAATGGTACCCCCACCCCCCCTTTCACAGATGGCACCCCCACCCCCCTCTCGGGTTTATTCTATAGATGTAATTGATAGGAAACAAGCAAAATAAATTAAATATAACCCAATTCAAACACTATATTGATAAATTAAGTCCACAAATTACTTTATATTTATGATTAATTAATAAATTTAAATTAATTAGCAATTAATTAGAAAATATATTAAATTTGCTTTTGATATTTATAAATATAATGCCAAAGATATAGATAATGGCATTTAATTATTAAATGAGCCAAGCACAACACAATAAATTGCATTAAATTTATTGATTCATACATTAAAGCTAACCTAATGTCCATTGTACAAGGATTGCAGGACTGAATTGGTAACAGGATTCAATAATGGTAATAAAAAATAGTATTTGCTATTGTCAGTTTTACTTTTGGATCTCTAATTCGACTTTTAGCCATTATTCCACAAAGTTCATAAATATATGCAGGATATATTGCTAATTAATACCAAAGATCATTATTATGCTCACTAACAAATTTTTTATATGTGGTGTGCTTAGTAGTTATAGGAAATTCTCACCTCATTCCACCTACTCCTTAATCGATTGTGCTACGCTATGTGGATATTGTATAAATCAGTAATTTTGAATATTTAAAATAATAATTTATTTATTACGTCTGCTCTAAATTGGCATTTGTCATATATTTATGCTATATTAAGGGGGGGGGGGTGGGGGTGCCATTTTTTAGGGGGGGTGGGGGGGGGTACCATTAAAAAAAGGGGGGTGGGGGTACCACTTTTAGGGGGGGTGGGGGGGGTGGGGGGGTGTAGGGTTGCTACCTGTGCTTGACCAAATAGCTTTTAAATACCTATCTCTACCATATTTTATATTTTTAAAAAAGTATAAGTATGGTTTTGAGTTAGGAATTACGATTTTATATTAGAATGAATACGGCTTATAGAAACTTATGAAGATGAAAAATTTATATATATCGTTATGGAATATTGTTCTGGTGGGGAATTATTTGCAAAAATAATCGAAGCTGGCCATTTTGATGAAAATCAGTCAAAATTCCTCTTACTCCTTATATCAACCTTAATTGAACTGATGGGAATCATTCGATCAGGTATTAGGAAAATTCATTAAAATAATTTTATTAATTAGTATTTAATTTTTCAGGGATAAAATTTTATATGCTTCACCACAAGAAGTAGAGTTTTAGTATATTAGTAAATATGTTAAACTCACATTAGGATATGAGGAGTGATTATATCACAATATAGATTTAAAATTATTCGATATGGATGGGGGGAGTCAAAGAAAATTCTAATGGCAGTAAATCACTTGCATTTAAATAATATTGTCCATAGAGACATAAAACCAGAAAATTTTTTATTTGAATCCGACGATAAAGATGCTGAACTAAAATTGGTTGACTTTGGTCTTTCGAATAAATTTGGGAAAAAGTTTAAAAATTTGCATTCGAAAGTGGGCACACCATATTATATTGCACCTGAAGTTTTATCAGGCTCATATAGCAACAAATGTGATTTATGAAGTGTAGGGATCATAATGTATACTATGATGTCTGGAGATCTACCATTTTTTTCAGATACTCAATCTGAAATTTTCAGACAGATTTTAATAGGAAAGTACCAAATGAAGGATGAAATTTGAAACAATATCTCTCCTGAAGCAAGAAATCTTATACAACGGCTAATGTGTGTAGATCCTGCTAAAAGATTATCGGCATCAGAAGCCTTAGCACATCCGTGGTTCATTTCTCAGTCTCCTATCAAATTTTCAATAGATGCAGGAATGTTGAAAGCTTTGCAGGATTACAGAAAAATTTCTTTGTTCCAAAAAGAAGCTTTGATGATTCTTATTAAACATTTATCTATACACGAGCTTAAAGAACTTAATGAATCTTTTCTCAGTTTAGATCAATACAAAAATGGTGTTATTTCTATACAATTATTGAGTGAATCTCTTAAAAATTCGAGCTGGCATTTAGCCCAAAAAGAAATTGATGAGTTGATTCAATCAATAGATGTAGACCGAAATGGCACACTTAATTATAGTGAGTTTCTCGCAGCCACTCTTTCTTCAAAATTAAGCTTACAAGAAGAAATAATTTGGCTTACTTTTATGCATTTTGATGTGGAACGAAAAGGCTTTATCACAGCAACTGATATTGAAGAAGCACTAAGCCGTCAAGGCCATAAGCTTGGTAACAAGGGGATCGAGCAAATGTTATACGAAATAGGAAAAAGACGTACTGACAAAATCACCTATGAGGAATTCCTTAATATATTTCTCAACATTAAACCCACAAAAACACTTTAGACATTACGTTGATTATAAAATTTAATTTTCCTAAAAGCCCATTTTTAGCTTTTAGCATATAAATGCGATTTATTTCTAGAAACTAACTCTTAGTTAATCAGAGCAATGGCTTTCTGTCTTCTATGCTCTTCTGCCAACTCTTGCTCAATGACAGCTAACTTCTTGATCATTTCTACCGTGTAAATGCGGCTAATTTCCAAGTAGTGAGCAGATGTTCTCCAATTGAGTGTATTTCTAGGGAATTTTCTTGAATATTTGGCATTGAAATAAGCCAAGTGATCAGAGTTGTTTTTCATCGAAGACATCATGTTGTAGTCATAAATGAAGCTGTGACCGAACCAGAAAAAGAGGATTAAACGGTGTCTTGCAAAGATGTAGTAGAATTTACCTGGGTGCATGTCCATTTCAAATAGCCTTTTGTAGAGAGGACCCCATGGACGTTGAGTCATTGTATAAATCATCATGTACAAAGTATTGAAGACTCTCCCCCAGCTTTCAATAATTGGTAATGGGACTCTGCCTATTCTGAACCATCTGCCGAGTTTTCCTTTCATGCCTTGTTTTCCTTCCCATGTTTTTAAGGTCTTTTCAACTGGGGATAAGAGGTACCTATAGACTTCAGAGATTAGCACCATTTCTAATAATGATTAGTGGTTTTAAAAGATTTTCTTACCTAGCAAAGGCAACACACAATTTTAATTTTATTTCAAAGAAATTTACGCCTGGGAGGATTCTGCATGTTCGCTGATAGGATCTCCTGTTATTGGATCAATTACAACGAAATCTTCAGACTCCGTGCTATTTGTGACACTTCCTCCTTGATTGTGGCGTTTTTCGTTGGTAGCTTTTATCATTGCTTGCTCTTTTTCTCGCTTTTCTTCATCTTCTTCTACGCATTTCTCTTTGCAAAACCAAAATCCTTTATTAAAAATGCCATTTGTTTTTAAAAATGTTCGCCCGCATTTGCAAGTTGTTACTTTTGACACCACATGCATAATTACTTAAATTATATTATAGAGAAGCCCCATACAAGTCCGCAGGCCACTGCTCGCCTTCATATAACGCTCCACCACTTGCTTTGCCAGTCCGAACACGGCTTTCAACTGTGCTGCTCCTCACAGAAAATGGTGCTTTCACTGCAGGAGAGCCAGAAACGCTGGGCCGCCATGGCGTACGTCAACGTCAACGAGTTTGCTCTTTCCTAAAATTTGAAAATTTGAATTTGCTGGTAAAGTTTTAGACCAAAATGGAACCCAAAGCTCAGGATGCAACGCCTGGTATCATGCTAGCGATTTGCCGATTGGCCAAGTGGCAACCTCTGGCCTTGCTGGGTGCCCCTTTCAACTCTCTGGAGCCATCTTCCCACGAGGTAAAACCTTGACCTGGATGTGAGCATGCTATCGACTAAACCGGGAAATTGTGCTCCACAAACCAAGTAAAACCTTGCCGCATGCGCATTTCCAAATGCTATCCCTTCCGGTTTTCCCAAGGAGCCTACTGGCCATTGATGTTAAAAGGAGATTGATTAACCGCACCAGTTTAATTTATATGAAACCACATGCTTACTTGAGCATTCTTTACTACAAAATTCTTTCCCATCATTTAAAACCCCATCTACTTTAGAAAAAATTTTATAGCAGCTTCAGCATGACTTTTTTTCTATTATAATTGGCTTATTGGAACCTATTCCTTCGTCAGCCTTTTCAGGAATTGCTGATTGTTCAGGTTGCCATGCGCCGTCGTAAAATAACTTTGAGCCTTCTTTCGGTAGCATGTCAGGAGTTACAGGATCAACGAACCTTACCTTTTTAAGCTCTTGGGATTCGTCTCTTTGATTAGGATCATGCTGACTCCCCCATCAGTGAACTAAAAAATGATTGGAAAAATCTTATTTTTGATAAAAACCCACCTCCGTTATAAACAAAAATTTTTTAATATACAAATTATTATGAAAAAATATTTTTTATATATATGATAATTATTATAATGAAATCTCTAGCTAATTCTGTCTAACATAAGCAGCTTGCATTTAAAACACATTACAATTTAAATTTATATTTGCTTTAAAATTATTTGGAAAAAAAAATTTACTAGACAATTATTTTTTTTTAAAAAAAAATAGGGGGAAGGGTTAGTCATTCTTCCTCCTTTTCTGAAATTGTCAAGCGCTTCCCTGAACATTGCCGCTGACTCTAATTCATTAAAATCTCCATTAGTTTCTAATAATGAATCTCCAATAGCTGCATCTCTTGTCCCTTCTGAAGTGCTTGGGTGTGGTAGTTCCACTTGCTGAGGGTATGGAAGGGCTTCTAATGTTCTTTCTGACTGGCTTGACTGGTTTTTATTTTCTCTGATTTTTTTCAGCAGTTTTAATCTGTGGCCTAAAGGGATGTTTAAATTATTTAGATGGTCTTCTGTCAGCTCAAGCAATATTTCAAGCTCATCAATCCCGTTTTCTATTAATAAATTATAATATTTTTCCATTCCACATGATATCAAGAAATCCATAATAGGGTTTGCTTTAGATGTTTCTTCTATCTTAGGAGAAGAATCCTCAATTAACGCGCTTGTAGGGATGAATTTGTCAGTTTTTTCTGGCCTCTTAGCGCTTTGACTGCTTGGAGGCTTAGGCTTATAGCTAAGCACTAAATCTGCGTAATTTGTATTAGGTTTATTTTGCGTGCCAGATCTCCATCTTGTGCCTTCTTTTTGTTTGGGAGCCTGCTCTCGCTTTGTTTTTTCGTTTTTCATAAAATCTCTTAACTGGGCAAGCTTGGCTTCCATGAGTTTGGCTTCTTCTTCCAAAACGTCACTACCCGCGCTGACTTTTTTCTTTAGAATTCCTGCTTTTGAATACTTCATTAATTTGTTATAATAAAAATGGGCTTTCACAGTTTAAAATAGCTCACGAATGATATTAGATACAAATTAGCATTTTAGAATGGTTAAATTTAGCTATTAAGTACACATTATATTTTTTCGATTTGTAAATGAACCTTTGTAGAGCATTTTTGAGACGTATTTGTGATAGTTAATTTGTTTTTGGGAGGTACAGAAAATGCATCCCATTGGGATAGTTTAAGAACTGATTCATGGATAGTAACTTGTGTAGCGAAACAGCCAGACATCATAATAATTCCCATTGCTCTTGAGTTTATTATGCCAAGATCAATAGTCTCATCTGGCTTCAGACTGACCACAATTAATTTAATTCTGTCATCTTCTCCTACAATTACGATTTTTCCTTTAGCTTCTTCATCACACACCCAACTTGATTTTGGATATATCACCTTTTCAAGTACTTCTTTATTCGTTTTTGGATCATAAATCGGAAACTGGCATTCTTGTTGAACTTCTTTTTCTCTCAATTTAGGTCTCTTAGGTTCTCTGTTATATATTTTTTCATCACTTTTAGTTAAGTAGCCTTCGTCTTTAACGTCAACTCCAAGAATTATATTTGATTCATCGTAAACAATCCTTTCATTTCTCCAGTGTTGAACTGGCTTGATTCTATTTCTTATTGGATACCTTCGATTTTCATTATCTTGAGAAGGGGCAACATATTTTCTTTTCAAGCCAAATTTTTCATTTGTATGGGGAGTTTTTTTGGAAGGATTTTTAAGTATAGAAGGCGCTGAGGGAATATTCATAAGGGCAGGATTATATAGAAACTCTTCGTCTTCAGTGCTGTCTAAAGTGTTATCATTTGGAATAGTATCAATAGATAGGGGCGACCCAATTGAAATATCTGATTGATTTGTAATATCCCCGAAAGGAATTTGCTCAATAATGCTATTTTGTAAAGTATTTAGCTTGGTTTGATACACAAGCTCCTCGTCAGATGTATCAAAACTCATATCATTAAAAACTGAAGCGATGCTATCTCTTGCATGCCTTTGTATGATTAATTGAGAGATCTCCTCTTCTTGGCTACTAAATTCAAGATTTTTAATGGTTTCATTAAAAGGAAGTTCTACAACTTTAGCTCTTTCTACTATTGACCGCTCAAATTCACTCAAATCAGCTCTCCTTTTCTGCATATATCTTTCCTCTGCTGCCTCACTTTCTCTTGTCTGTCTATTTGCTAAAATATTTTGCTTCTGCGAATATAAAATAACTGGCTTCTTTACTTCACTGCCAGCTTCATTTGTAACTTTATCTATAGAATCATATTCTTTTTGAATTTCAGCAGGCTGATTTTCAGTGTTGTTTTCTTTAAAATTTGGCTTTAATGAAATTCTGCGGCTGGGAGCTCCAGAAAAAGTGCTAAAACTTTCTCTAAAATAAGAAGATGTTGATGAAGGTCTTGATGTAAAATTTTCTTGTGAAGAATCACTATCATCCTTCTCAAACGCTCTTTTTGGGGTTTCTTGGTCATGAGCTGAATCACTATATAAAATTTACAAAGCTGTTAGATAGCCTTTAGGCTGACTATTGTATTTTTCATTTTCTATATTAAATTGTCAATTTGATACGTCTAACTCTTGCCTTCTTCCCATATTCAATTATGAAATAAGTGTTGGGTTTAAATTCAAAAAAGATAAATTGGTATTTAGAAATGAATCATAACTCCCTTCCTCCGTGAGTGAACAAACCATTAGAAAAATCTCTATTTTTTGCCCAAAAACCCACCCTCCGTGGGTGAACAAAAATTTTTTTAATAGAAAAAATTTTGATATATAATTGATAATTAGTATAATAAAATCTCAAGCTAATTCTGTTTAATTTTAACAAATTGCGTTTTTTAAAACATAAATTTTATAAATTAATTAATTTTTGCTTTCCAATTTTATAGAAGTGAGATCTTTTTAAATTTCGAAAAAAAAAATTTATATAAAAATTTATGTATAAATTTTTTTAAAAAAAAAAAAAAAACTCTGTGAGTGAACAAAATTTTTTTGTTTCACTCACACGGAGGGGGGAGTAAGCAGTTTTTGTAATAGAAGACAATAACTCTCATTTTGATATTAATCTCTCTAGAATTTTTGTTCTTTCAATTATAAATAATCATTCGTGAACTATAAATAATATATAAATTGCTATTGTTAGAATTAGCGAGATGTCTTTAAATTCTATCATAAAGATCATGTCTCAATAGAATGATGCTAAGATTTAAAGATTTTATTTTAATGATCATCATGAAACGCCATTATGGACTGAACAAAATACTGACATTAAAGCATTATTTTTGGAATAAAATTTCAAGTGAAAATCTGCACTGAATTAAATACTGGCACAAAAATAAGAACTTGCTATAATAAATACTTGAAATAAAGATTGATAATGGCGTCTTATACTTACATTTTCAAGTATATCATAATCGGAGACTCTGGGGTTGGAAAATCATGCTTCATGCTACAGTTCATCGACCGACGATTCAAAAGTAACCATGACCTGACTATTGGTGTAGAATTCGGCTCACGAACAATTAAAGTCTACAACAAGTCTATAAAACTTCAAATCTGGGATACTGTAATTTATATATAGGCCGGCCAAGAAAGCTTCAGAAGCTTAACTCGCTCTTATTACAGAGGAGCTATTGGAGCGCTACTTCTCTTCGATATTTCTAAGAGAGAAAGCTTCATTCACATTGATAAATGGCTTACAGAAGTAAAAATTGATGGAAACCATAATATTGTGATTACACTGGTTGGAAATAAAATTGACTTAGAAAGCCAAAGAGAAGTGTCCCACGAAGAAGCCAAAGCATATGCAGATCAACATAATATGATGTACATTGAAGCCAGTGCAAGAACTTCATATAAAGTTGATAATGTTTTCGTAGAATCTGTAGAAACCATTTTATCTGCAATTGAAAATGGGAAAATAGTTTTATCTGTCTATCATCCGGGAATTCTTGTAGGAGATAAAACAAAGACAAGAGAAAACGCAGGGAAAAAGTCTGGCTGTAAGTGCTAATAATTTTTAAGAAAAATATTGCTAAAATATTAATCATCCTCTCCCCCTTCCGACGGTTTCTCAGTGCCTGCTTTCACCACTATAACACCTTCTTCCATCAAATCAAGCTTGAAAGATTTGTATTCTCTTCTCATTCTCTCAGTTGGAAGTTCCACATTCGCTTCAATGCTGTTCAATCTTTGCAAAATATTTTGCAAAAGAACTTCCATTCTGTCATCAATCGCCTGTCTTCTCCATTTCATTTTTTTTAATTGGTCGTCTACATAATTTTTACAGTATACTTCAGTTAGGACATATCCTTGGACAAAGCCAATAAAGCGCTCATGGCCAATTTTTCTTATCGCTTCAGGCATTGATTCATTCCCTCTCAGTGTCTATGTATTTCTTACATGAAAAGGCTTTTCAAAGATCCCTTTGAAAATATGGTCGCTAGCAATCTCCCTTCTATATGATTCAATTTGCTGCATTTTTTTAAGAATTTTCGAGTACATATCAGGCCTCATCAGTGCATTTGTCCTCATTAAATATCTTCTATGTTCTAAAATAGCGATTTTTCTGCATTCGTATTGGGTTGCTTGAGGTTCCTATATAAAATATACTCTCAATGACCATATATCATCTTCAACTTTACATACTTTAAAGCCAGCAAGAGCCCTTATTGCTTTAATCATATCATTTCCTTTATATCGCTCTCCTCTTAAGCTTCGCAGCTTAGGATAGACTTCATCAATTGCTAAACAAATATCTTGGACATCGGTTGGACCATTAATTCGTAAAAAATTTATGACAAAGCCTGTAAAGGAGTTATAAAATTGCTTCCTTGAAGACATGACCTCGTTTTCCCATTTCGGAAGACAGTATTCTTTGGATTTTTCTTTTGTTTCTTCATTAATTTCTGAGATTCGAGCGAATTTTACTTGTGGAGCTTTAATAATCTCAACCTTTTTAGCTGTTTTAGGGGTTTTCTTTGAAGCCTTCTTCAATTTTTGCTCAAGTTTTTTAGCTTTTTTTTCCGCCCTCTCTTTTGCTTTAGCTTGCTTTTCAATAAGCTTTTTCTCTTTGGCGGAAATTTTTGTTTTTTTCTTAGGAGACTTCGTCTTCTTTGCTGTATGGGTTTTCATTTTTCAAAAAATATATTTAATTGTTATTCTAATCTATATTTAGCATAACTTAAAAACAAATAAGTGCTCTTGAAATATTAAACAAGAATATTTTCAAGATTCTAATAATAAACGATGGCTAGAACAAATGGGTTTAAAAGACCACTACATATTTTGCAAGTGCTCTCATGAGTAATAGGGAGTTTACTTGCGTTAACCTTTTATCTCCTTATAATTCCTCCTCTGATATCAAGCTCCAAAATTGTATTTGGACTATCATACTCAATTTTTTCAGTTTTCACAATCTTATTTATGATTATATGCACTATTATTGATCCTACTGATTTAGCAATAGAAGCTGAACGAAATGCTAACTACCCCCCTCCGTGAGTGAGCAAAACCATTAGAAAAATCCCTATGTTTTGCCCAAAAGCCCACCCTCCGTGAGTGAACAAAAATTTTTTTAATAGATAAATTTTTTATGGGAAAAATTTTGATATATAAGTAATAATTAGTATAATGAAATCTAGAGCTGATTCTGTTTAATTTTAAAAAAATCGCGCGTTTTAAAAACATAAATTTTATAAATTAAATTAATATTTGCCTTCCAATTTTTGAAAGTGGAATTTTGTTAAAATTTCGAAAAAAAAATTTCTATAAAATTTATATATAAATTTTTTTAAAAAAAATTAACCCCCCTCCGTGAGTGGACAAAATTTTTGTTTCACTCACGGAGAGGGGGGGAGTAAGAATGGCACGTATCATTAATATAGATCATCATATAAAATTTCTGGACTCACCAAAATTTGCCGAATATGCAAATCATATGTCCATGATAATGCAAAGCACTGCGGCTACTGCGATCGGTGTGTTGATGGGTTTGATCATCATTGTAAATGATTAAATAATTGCGTTGGCAAAAAAAATTATAAATATTTTATTTTCCTTATACTTTCTAACAATTGACGAAATATGTCCTTGATGGCGATGAATCACTTTGGGTGCCAAAAAGCTTCATAGACTAAATAGAGATCTAGGACCTTTAATTGCCTTGAGCAGCCGTATAGGGGAGGGCAACCTCAGTCAGCTGGTAGCCATTCCAGTCCAGGTATTAGTTATCTGGATGATTTTTTTGGCCACAATTCTTCTCCTGACAGTTCCGAAGGGCCTTGATTCTTTTTTCATAGTGTCACTCGCTTCATTTCTTGTGAATGCTATTGAGACAAAGGTTAACCCGATGCTTCCTGTAGGCCACCTTGAGGAAGAGGAGGAGTTTTTCTAGCCAATCTGACTCAAGGAGTACACCGATGTTAAGACAGGATCTAGGACAGCTGGACTCTTGCAAGAGACTCCGATGGCTGCTATCGTGCGGAGGTATCAAATCTGTTAGACTTTAAACCCTTTAATCTTAAATCTATTACTTTCTTTGGAGTTTTTTCTGGTTGATCAAATTCTGGGATCGGTATATATTATGGCAGGGATAAACAAAAAATGAGAGGAATATGAAAATATATTAGATAATTATGATATGAATGATTCAGAAATTTATGGCTATATGACTGTGATATGCTTTTTTTGCTTAATTGCATTAGGTTTATTCATTTCAAACACCTATTTAATCTTAATGCATATTTATTTGAATTACAAAGGATGATCAACCTATCAATATATTTTAATCATTAGAGAAAGTAAAGCGAAAGTAAAAAATATATAGAAAAATCAGCGGACTGCTCCAGAGAAGCTACCGATTGACTCCATAAAAGAGTACTATGAGCCATATTTAATTGATAACCGAGACAGTATGGAAATTATGCCGATGCATAAAATTCTACCGAATATCTTAAAAGATATAACTACGATTGGATATAAGGAAGATCCATCAGGTAATCCTTCTTTATCGATTGACATGCAGCTCGATGAGGATTCACTTCAATCAAATGATAATGTACAGTTCCAAGAAGAAACTAACTCCCCTCTATGAGTTAACAAAACCATTGAAAAAATCCCTATATTTTGCCCAAAACCAGCCCTCCGTGAACGAACAAAAAATTTTCTATGAAAAAGCATTTGATATATAAATGATAATTATTATAATGAAAATCTCTAGTTAATTCTGATTAATTTTAAACAGCTTACATTTTAAACCTAAATTTTACAATTTTTACGAATTTGAATTTTTTTTAGATTTCGAAAAAAAATTTTAGCATAAAATTTATATATAAATTTTCTTAAAACAAAATTAACCCCCTCTCCGTAAATGAAACATTTTTTTTTTATCTCATGGGGTGGAATAAGTAAGTAATGATATTCTTTATACATTAATAAGCTTTGTGGTGCAAAGTTATTTGATTTCATATATTTTAAAAATGCCTATGCAGAAATATAATTCATATATGCATGATACCTCGATTGACTTATATTAATCAATGAGACTTCATCATTTTTCGCTCTTTTATAAAAAAACTCAATACAAAAGATGGCTGATCCCATTTTAAAACTTATATTGGCCGTTGAATTAGATATAAACTGTAAATATTTGGCTATAGATATACTTCAAAAGCATTTGTTTAAATGATAATTTTTAATTTTAATTCAAAAATGCCTTTTAGAATAGCATAGCTAGTTTCTGATTGACTATTGGCATTTTCCTAATATTTTTTATCCTTTAAATTCTGGAAAAGCTCTTTGACTACTTATATCTTATATATGGATATACATATAAAATGGCGGACGGCGACCGACCCGCCCTCTCAGTGGTGGTTACCCATGTATATCCGGCATGGTTTTTGGAGCCAGGAGTTAGCCCAACAACGTCTGGGACCTCGAGGCGAGAGGCCTAAGCGCAAAAGCTGCTGTTTTTTGTGACCAGACCCATGGGCAGTTACTCGTGGCTTCTTTTTGTCAGCAGCGCTCAGCCCAGTGAGTGCCCGAAATGAGGCAGGGCGACTTACCTGCCTAAGCTGCTTTTGTGGCTCGCCCCGAATGGCGAAAGCTGTTGAATTCTTTCTCGGGATGACCGGAAAAGAGGGGAAGGCGAGTTAGACAACTAAACGGGGGTCTCTCCAGTTTAAAAGGTGTCCTTCAAATGGGCAGATCTGGCGGACGACGCGGCAGTGTTGGCGTAAACTTAGGCGACGATCCAAGTTGGAAATGGAGGCGGCCAGCAAAGCCGGTATGAGACGGCCCTTGACATTGCCTCTACCGAGAAACCGGGGGTTTCGGCCCGGACTTGGTGAACGCTCTGCCACCATACGGGAAACCGTAGAATGCTTCCTCGGACGTAGTGGGGACCTTAAATACCTAATCTAATCTTATATCTTATATATGTTTTATAGATTCAAATTATTTCAAGGATCAATTATTTATGTTAAACGAAGTAATTAATCAAATAGAGAAACTCTATATAAGAAAAAAGTTGGCTAATTGCTATAGACATCTACTCTAAAAGTAAATAAAATTTGCTCTAATAAGCCATACCATTTTATGCTCAAAATGCATTAAGTTCAGGTTTATGCTGCTTAAATTTTTTTAAATAATTTAAAATGTTTAAAATTTCAGACGCAAGCTCATATCAATTACCACAAGACGAATATGGGGAAGTGGTTAACTTCAATAGTTTGCCTGGGCAGCATAACCAAATTATAAACAGTAAGGCAAAGACGCTTGGACATGTTAACTCATTGAATTCTGATAATGATGAAGGTATTTTATTTGGACTTGGTTTAGCATCTCCTACTTGTCCTACAGATCGAAAATTATCTAACTCTCTCCTTCATGAGCAAATAAGCCATTGGAAAAATCTCTATTTTTTGCCCAAAAACCCGCCCTCTGAGTGAAAATTTTTTTTTTTATATAATGATAATAATTATTATAATGAAATCTCGAGTAATTCTGATTAATTTTAAACATAATGCAATTTAAAATATAAATTTCTCAAACTTTTACTTCTCAATTTTTAAAATTGGAAATTTTTTTAAATTTTCGGGGAAAAAAATCTATATAAATTTTTAAAAAGAAAAAAGTTAACCCCCTCCATAAGTGAACAAAATTTTTTTGTTCACCCACGTAGGGGGGAATAAACAAGAAATTTATGAAATTTTTCAAGATGCCTTCAAAAGAATGAAAGGATTTTTGATGTTTAGTAAGCTGTATAGAGAAATTCAGGATTTTGGAACTTCTCCAAATCTCTGCACTTTAAGAAAAAGAAAAAATACCACTTTTACATGAATTGTTGTTGATAAAATTAGGACTCATTATTTTCATAAAGATAAAAAAAAACTGACAAATTTAGGTCTACTTTTCCATCCAGACAGTAGATGCAAACAATATTGAAATGTCGTCATGCTGGTATTACTTTTTTATGTGTTCACAGCTATGCCTTGAATAATGGCTTTTCAGGATGTCGAAGTAGGTGATAATCTTTATTATCTTGAAACTTCTGTTGATGTGCTGTTTTCGATTGACATTCTTGTAACCTTAAATACAGCATATTTCGAAAAAAACCAATTTTTGATCACAAATCGTTTCAAAATATTTTGAAATTATTTCACAGGGCTTATGATAATTGATGTGGTCACGGTAATGCCATTCATTCTTGCAACATCTGGGGGGAGAAATAGATCGAACTCACTTATAAGAGTTGTAAGGATTATTAAAGTTTCAAGGATTTTCAGAGCTACAAAATTGTCAAAAATATTCGAAAATGTTCAGAGCTCAGAGATTTTGACTGATTTTAATAGGTTTTTAAAGCAGAAAAAAGCCTTTGTTAGGCTGATAGTAGTGATATGCATAATTCTCATAATGGCTCATTTTTTCGCATGCATGTGGTACTGGACAGCTAAGCTAGAAAATTTCGCATATGATACATGGGTTTTAAGATATGGATGAGCAGATTTAACCAAGGCTGAGTTATATTTGAAATCTTTATATTTCGCATTTACAATATTGACAACTGTTGGATTTGGAGATATTACAGCTTCTACAAATACTGAACAGATTTTGGTTATTGGATGGATGCTCTTTGGAATCGGTTTTTATTCCTTTTTTATTGGAACCTTAAGTTCTATTATTGTATCTTACTCCCATATCCCAATATTTGTGAGCGAGTAAAGCCATTGAAAAATCCCTATTTTTGACTAAAAATAACCCTTCGTAAACGAACAAAATTTTTTATGAAAAATATTTTGATATATAAGTAGTAATTAATATAATGAAATATTTACATAATTTTTACAAATTAAATTAATATTTGCTTTAAATTATTTGAATTGGGATTTTTTAAATTATAGGGAAAAAATTAACTTTGTTTTGTTCATGAACGGAGTTATGATGTAGAGAGGTCTGCTTTAAATGAAAAAATTGGGAAAATAGAAGATTTTTCAAGAAAGTTTATGCTTTCAAAAGAATTGTGTAAAAAACTAACTCTACCCGCTTCTCTGTGAGGGAGCAAACAAGTTATTACTTATAGATTGTTTTATATATAATTTTAAAAAAGCAATTGGAAAGTAAATATTAATAAGTAATTTTTAAGTTTTGGAATTAAAAATTTAAATGAATAATAAAAAATTTCATTATAATAATTATTATTTTATATTGAAATACTTTTATCAGAAATAGTTGGGTCCTCGCGTGTGAGACCTTCCCACAATAATGCCAAAGCATTACAGGAGGAGTAAAAAAAGTCATTAGGAAAGTTGAAAAGAAATATGAAGACAATGATGAAGGAAGACTTGAAGTTATAAAAAAACTCCCTATAAAGTATAAATATAGAATCGCAATAGAAATGAATAATCACGCTTGCCAAAAAATCCCTTTTTTTCGAGATCAAAGTATAGTGCAGAAACCTGTTTAGATGGTTCTTGGCTGGGAGAATGCAGCTCAAGCTAATAAAAATGAACCAACTCGAAAAGTTGACAGATGCCTAGTATCAGGCTTATATATCAAATTCCTTGAGTTGGCTTGTCAGTTTGAGCTAGAGAGCCAACTCGGAGAGTTGTACTGCATCTACCAGGCCAAGACCATCTAAAAGAGTTCCTGGGCTATATAACTTTTTTGTGTGATATCGTCCCAAAACTCAATACCTTCACTGTAGAAGAAAATAACTTTATCTATCGAAAGGGTGACCATCCTGAAGAAATTTATTTCATAGCTGAAGGGAGAGCAAGTTATGTGCATGGCCAAGACAATTTTGTATATAAATACATCATTACTGGGTCTTACTTTGGAGATATAGAATTTATAAAAAACTGCAAGAGAATTCATTCAGTGATGGCTGAGACCAATACCTTTATGCTGACAATGAACCATAATCTGTATTCATATATGATCGAAACTTATCCTAATACATATCGGTATTTAAAGGAGTATGCTGAGATCAAAGTTACTAAATGCAGCGAGGCCTTAAAAAGCGTTATGAAACTAGTTGGAGTTAATGAAAGACCAAAAGCCAGAAACCTTCAAGGTACAATTGTTTCGCACACAACAGCGAAGATTCAACAAGGATCTTTGCCAGATATTGAAAAAGAAATTTTTATGAGAAAAAGAGCCTGAACAGATGATCCATATGAAGATGAAGAAGAAGATGATATAAGCGGGAAACAAATAAACAGCAAATTGGATAAGCTCGGAAAAGATATGAGCAAAATGAAAATTGATATATACCATTTCCATTGAATGGCCAATCTCTGTAATTCTCATATTAGCCAATTATATAAGCCACGCAAAAAGGTATGGATAAATATGGAAAAATGATAGAAAAAATCGCCAACTCTTGTGATCGCACTCCGCTTATAAAACTCAGGAAATCCGGATAATTTCCCAATTTTGCTAATAATTACATCAATGTTTTCTTATAGTAAATAGCACTTTTAATTATCTCTTATAAAATGGATCAAAGCGATGTTGTCGACCCAAGCTTCCCGAATCAAGATGATATAATACTAAACCAGCAGCTGCTTGAAGTTATTCAAACTCTCTATAAATCAGAGAGCGAAGAAGAAAGCAAAAGAAGACTAGTCGTCCTTGGGAAAATCAGTGAAATTTTTCGCGATTGGTGCTATCAGACCATTTTAAAGAAGCCTGGCATGAACGAAGAAATGGCTATGGCTGCAGGTGGAAAAATTTTCACCTTTGGGTCATATAGACTAGGAGTTCACGGACCTGGCACTGATATTGATATTTTATGTGTCGCGCCTCGTTACATAACTCGTGAGGAATACGAACGTGATATGTATGAAGTCCTCAAGAAGCAGCCTTCAGTTTCGAAAATTACGGGTGTGTTTAAGACAAAAGTGCCACTAATCAAGATGGTATTTGATGACGTTCCTATAGATCTACTGTTCGCGACCCTTGGGTCATTTGATAGGATAGGTGACGACTTGAGGAATCTGATGGATGATAGCGTGATTGCAAGATGTGACGAAAAAACAACTCTAAGTCTAAATGGTCCAAGGAATACAGATATAATGCGAGCGCGTCTATAAATCGACCTTGACTCCCCTCCTCCCATTATTTTCAGTTTAGATAAAGGAGTAAAAATCAATTTGATCTGTCAAACTTATCATTTTCTTTTTCCTGTTTCATTTAAAATGAAACTGTCAAGGGATCAGAAAGGGGAGATGGAAAGCAAGGTCGAGCCATAGTTACTCTCGAAGTATACCACACTTTCATTAGTACCTAATCTAGCTAATTTTAGATTGACACTGAAAGCAGTAAGATTATGGGCTAAGAGAAGAGCGATTTATTCTAACGTGCTAGGTTTCCCAGGAGGAGCAGCATGGAGCATCCTAGTTGCAAAAATCTGCAGGATGTATCCTAATTACTTGCCAAACCAGCTTGTAAGAAAATTTTTTTACGTATATGATATGTGGGATTGGAATCAAGCTGTTTTCTTACGACAAGTTGAGCAAATGCAGGTTTCCAGCTCAGAGCCAGGACTTATTAATGTAATGACTCCTGCATATCCTTCTTTCAACTCAACTCATACTGTAAATAAACACACAAAAAAAGCTCTCTGTGATGAATTCCATCTGGCTAATAAAATCCTAACTGAAGTTGAAGCCAAAAGAGCAGCCTGGACCGATATTTTTGAGCCAATTGATTTTTTCAACGAATTTCGGCACTTCTTAAAGATAGAAGTCCTGGCCACCACTACAACTGATTTCGAAGACTGGCATGGATTTATTTTAACTCCCCCCCCATCCTTGATCGAACGACTCGCCGTCGTTCGATCAAGGATGGGGGTTAAAAAAAATTTTTTTGGGAAAAAAATTTTATATATAAAATAAAATATATATATAAAATAAAATAAATATATATAAAAAAAAAATATATATATAAAAAAAATATATATATATATATATATATTTTTATTTACTTTTAAATAAAGAGTGTTAAGAGTATTTAATAATTATTTTTACAGCAAAAAATTGAATTAATCTCATAAAAATACCAATTTTTAATATTTTTATTTATTAGTTTACCCCTTTTAAATTGTATATAAATTTAATTTGTTTTTCTTATTAAATTAAATTTTTTTTAAAAAATTTAAAGAATCTCTATTTTTTTTAGATTATTGAGTTTTTAAGCCTAGGTTGATGACTAAATCACTTCGGATGGTTGATTCCGAAGCTTTCTGTCGTCTCAAAGCCTCTGATAGCAACTTCATTATGCACATCTTCCCAAACTTTTGATAACTAATATATTTTTATATATATAAAATTTTGCATGATATGAAAATCGTTCGATCAAGGATGGGGGTTAATTTTCCCAATTTTTAGGAATTTTTACAGTCAATCGTTCGATCAAGGATGGGGGGGGGAGTAAGTAAGTAAACTAAAACTGCTGCTATATGAAAATTTAGATATTTTAAAGCCAGCTCCTTATGTAAGAGTTTATACTCATGAGGTGGAGTTTACAGATTCTGTTTTCCCATATACTATTGCTTATTATGCTGGGCTCAAGTTCATTAAGCAGCCAGTTTTAGAGTCAAGCAGAAGTGTCGATTTGAAGTTCCCAGTCCTCAAGTTTGTAGACGTGATCTTCAAAATGAGAAGAGAAATGGGATACAATGTTACAAATACCAACTTGAGGGTTAAATATTTGACAGCTGAAGAAATTGAGCCTGAACTGAAAGCAAGGCCGGGTGTTTCTACTAGAAAAAGATTCAGATCATTTGATGACACGATTGATCCAGAAAAAAGAATGAAGCTTGACGCAGAACTCAGAGGGATTGTTTCTGCTGAAAGCCTCCCTGAGCCTGTCGTTATGGAGCTTGCTGCTCCGGCTGTTACTCAGCCATCAGCTCCTCCAAAGAAAAGGATTACTATAAATTTAAAGGCTAAAAAATAACTCTGGTATAATTTTCTTTTACTTAATAAGATGGCATTTTTCTACTTAATTTCTGGTAAAATTTATAGCAATTAATTACTTATTAAAAATAAATAAAATCAGTGCAGCTGAAGCTGTCAAAGCTGCTCCCAAGGAGTACTCTATTCAGTATGTCTTTTTTTCTTCCTCAATAAGTTTTCCTTCCATCTGAACTTTTACAGTCCTTGACCTTGTCTTTTTCCTCACAGGGCTTCTTATCTCTCCCATCTCAATATCCAGGTTATCTTGGAAATACTCAATATAGTCATACCCATCCAAATCTGCCGCATCAGTAATAAAAGACTCATTATCATAATTGTCGATTGACATAATTGACCCAACGCTCTGGTTATCATAATTTTGTTCATCTTCTTCTAATTCGCTCAGCCCTTGAATCGCCATGGGGGATTCTTCTGTGATTATTATATTTGCTTCAGCTGGCAAAGTTTTACTTAGCTTGCGCCTTCGTTTAGCAATCTCTTCATCCAAAAGCGGAGATGAGCCTTCACTTTGAGAACCTGTGTAGTTTTCTTCATTGATAGATGATAATTTTCGCAGAGCGTATCTATCAATAAAAATTGGTTTTGGCTTATCCAGCATTTTGGATATAAATATTAGCTTATGGCTAGGTCTTAAAAAATTATAGGAATTCGTATAATAAATGGCTACCTTCACGAATGAGTTGATAAATCAGTGCCTTGAAGTTGTGGGAGGCCAGCCACATGAAATAAGAGAATCAGAGACGAGCTGCAATATTCATCTGTTTCTTCCAGGCGCACAGGGAGCTCAAGGGCTGACAAGGAAAATCACTATTGAGCCAAAAAGATCTTTAGTGACGATTTATTCACAAAACAGAAATACAAGAGCGTTGACTGAGGATCAAAAGAAATATAGCCTGATGTTTATATCGAAAGCGAATGAGCTGATTAGTTTTGGAAATATAGAAATGAATTATGATTCAGGAGAATTCCGATATAAAACAAGCCAAGCTTTTCCAGGAGTTAGAGACCCAAAACCAATCATCGGGTTTATGCTAGAAATGCATAACAATATCTTCCCAAAACTATGTGAAATTCTCCCAAAAGCAATGTCGAATCCAGATCCGACTGAGACTGCTCCACTTTTGCTACGGCTTTAATATCATATATAATAAAGCAAAATTAATTGTACAGCAATATAGTTATAGTTTCAGTTATATTAATCTAATTGACGCACAATACTTATATTCTTATTAGGTTGCTCCTCTTTAGCAAAATTTATTAAACTTTGATATAAAATCTATTTTAAGCCATTGTCGTAATTTTATTAAATTTTTAAATCTGTTTCTATTATTTTCACTAACAATGAAGCCTAAAAACTTAAAAAGTTTCTATTATAGCTATGCATTTATAAATAATCCCTGACTTCCCACCTTTAAATTAGAACCAAAAATCCTGTTCCAATTTAAATAAAATTTTTCACTAATAAAAAATTTTAAAAAATTAAAAACATATAAATTGAGCGGATATTTGGAATTTTAATTTAATTTTATGAAGAATTAAATTAAAATAATAATCAATTTAGCGTTTAAAAATATTTAAATATAATTCTACTTGCACTTATTCCATTAAATTAGGTCAAACTATTTATTGAAAATATTTTTTAATTGGGTTTAAGTACCTAAAAAATGGAAATTTTACGTATGTTTTGCTCCAATTTAAATGGAGGAGTGAGCCTACTTAATTTTTATAATGGTGCATATATAAACATGGTCACCAAAATATTGATTATATTCTCCTTATGTTTGCTTGGTGTCCTGTCGCAAAACTCTTATGTCGCATCCAATATCCAATGGTCAAACAATGGATTGACCGCAACAGTGAATTACCCTGGAAATCCAGCTCAGCCTGTCGTTGCTAATCTTTTGCTAAATGTGACTTTTGAAACACCACAAAGAATAAGATTTAAGTTAACTGATTCTACCACCGCGAGGTGGGAAGTTCCTGACATTGTAATTCCTCCAAGCGCTCCTGTAACTATTAAGCAAGCTCAATACACGGTTAAAGTTAATTCCAGTCCTTTTGGACTTACCATAACAAGGAATTCAAATGGGCAAGTGATATTTAACTTGGATCCTACCCAAGTTTTCCAGTATAATAATCAAGATATTATTCTCTTAAACAACTTGAATTACGCAACCAATTTCTATGGAATTGGAGAAAGAGTCACTAATTTCCCAATTTTGCCTGGAGTTTATATACTTTTTGAGCTGATCCTAACTCAGAAATATTATTTTTTTAAAACAAATAAAAACCTTTCTTAAATAAACTATTATAGCATACCATTTTTTCTAGAGATGCTGCAGGACCTTATGATGATGGCCAACCTCCAGGGAGTAACATGTACAGCAACCAGCCCTTCTATTTAGCACTCGACTCTGAAGGAAACTCTCATGGAGGATTTTTCTTGAATTCTAATGCTATGGATGTTTTCATCACAAGCACAAGCATTAAGTTCCGAACTGTTGGCGGGGTTATCGATTTCTTTGTATTTGTAGGTCCTGACCCTGAAGACGTGATAACTCAATATCACCAACTTGTCGGAAATCCTGTGTTGATACCTTATTGGGGCTTAGGCTGGAACCATTGCAGATGGGGTTATAACAACTTAACAGCGCTTCAATGGGCTTATAATGGCTATATTAGCAATAACATTCCTATAGACATTATGTGGACTGATATAGATTATATGATTGGCTATCAAGATTTTACATTAGATCCTACCAGATACCCTTATGATGAGTTCCAAGACTTTATAGACACTTTGCATGAGGCTGGCAGAAGATTTGTTCCTATTACAGATGCTGCTATAGCACAGACTAATTATTTTGCTTATAACACTGGGCTAACTCAAAACGTTTATATAGGAAGTGCAAACCATCCTGGAGCTTTAGTTGGACAGGTTTGGCCTGGAAACGCTGTTTATATTGACTGGTTCCACCCAAATGCTACAGGCTATTGGCATTCCATGATGTCTCAGCTTCGACAGGTAATGGAATTTGATGGCTTTTGGTGCGATATGAACGAGCCCAGTAATTTCTGTAACGGAGAATGTGGCTACCCAGAGCACTATAACAATCTTCCTTACACCCCTGGCCAAACTGATCTTAATACTAAGACAATTGATTTGGCAGGCACCCATTATGGAGGCTTAATAGAATATAATGTTCATTCCTTATATGGGATTTAAGAAATAAAAGGTGATTTTTACGGAAATTGGACTCTGAGCACACTCCTATGGAGTATGCTTACCCATCCCGATGGAAATGGAAACAGTGTCTCTGTCATTTTTGAGCTATGTGTGTTGGATTTGGGAATCCTTGCCGAAAAGGGAAGTTTGTTTTTCCTGGAGGCTTTCAGGCTCCTTTTGGATGGGTCAGACAGCTTTTTGCTAATCGGGGCCAGAAGGTAATCTCCTATGGTAGTTCTACCCTAGGGAGCCAATCTCTTAGATAGGTGGTTCAGATCAGAAATCAAAAAGGGCAGCCTTCCATTTCTTCATTTGCACTTACTCCCCCCCCCTCGAAGTTCGACCAAGATATAGGGAAAATTCCTATTTTTTTTGGAAAATTAACCCCCTCAAAGTTCGACCAAGACCTATATAAATTTACTAGGAAAATAAGCAATTTTTCAAAAATTTTAATCTATGTGGGGGTGAGCTTGCGATTTTTGTATTCAAGTTCTAAAAAAGCGTTACAAAACCATCTTGCACTATTTTTTCTAACCCTTACACCCTCTCAACCATACAGAAGAATATGATAAATATTTTTTTTTTAACTACTAAATTATATAAAAAAATTCTATATAATTTTTTTTAAAAAAATTTTTCTTAACCCCCTCGAAGTTCGACCAAAAAAATCTTGGTCGAACTTCGAGGGGGGGAGTTAGAGGTCTATGAAGACTGGCTTTTTGGAGCCGAAAAGGGCAAAGCTAGCATTTACTCCGCTTATGGCCAGCATATTTAAATTTAACTTATATGGGATGCATATGGCTATTAATTCTGCAAGTTTCTTTACAGATGTCTTGAATACTAGACCATTTGTGATAACTAGAAGTTCTTTTGCAGGACTTGGTAGGTCTGCATCTAAGTGGCTTGGAGATAATTTTTCTCAGTTTAATTGGATGGCATATTCAATTCCTGGGGTTTTCAATTTTAATATGTTTGGAATACCCCTTATAGGTGCTGATATTTGCGGATTTAACGATGATACTACACCTGAACTGTGCTCGAGGTGGTTCCAGTTAGGTACTCTTTATCCATTTGCTAGGCAACATAACACCAAAGAGGCCATTTCTCAAGAACCTTGGATGATGGGTCCTACTCTATTGGAAACTGCTACATGGGCAATCAGAGTGAGGTATTCACTGATAAATTATTACTATTATCTTATGTTCAGTGTCAGCTTGAATGGAGGAGTAGTGTTCAAGCCAGCCTTTTTTGAGTACCCAGGAGATGCAAATCTGCAAGATGTCCACTCTTCTGACAACTTCATGGTAGGTTCTGCATTAATAGTCCATCCTGTTTTAACTCAAGGCGCAACTAATGTAACTGCCTACTTCCCAAGCGATTTATGGTACAACTGGTATAATGGCCTTCCAATTTCTTTACCGTACAACCGCACAATAGTTCTCAACGCTCCATTAAGAGGTCTTGTTAACATCCACATGCGAGGTGGGTATATTATTCCTCGAGCTGACGATCATCCTACAGCTATGACCATCCAAGAGCTTCGCTACTCCACAATTACCCTAGTAGTTGCCCTTGACGCTGAAGGGGTTGCTTCTGGAGGCTTAGCTCTTGATGATGGGCTATCAGTAAATACCATTTCTTCAGGAAACTACACGCTGATGACTTACATGTACAAGCAAGTTTCAAGCAAGCAAGGGATCCTTTCATTTACGTCAAGCAATCATAAATACACTAACTCTCCCTCCATGAGTGAACAAAACCATTTGAAAAATCCCTATTTTTTGTCCAAAAACACACCCTCCGCGAGTGAACACAAAAATTTTTTTAATAGAAAAATTTTTTATGGAAAAAATTTGATATATAAGTGATAATTAGTATAATGAAATTTCGAGCTATTCTGTTTAATTTTAAACAAATTGCTTTTTAAACATAAATTTTATAAATTAAATTAATATTTGCTTTCCAATTTTTGCGAATTAGATTTTTTTAAATTTCGAAAAAAAATATTTTCGATAAAATTATATATGAATTTTTTTAAAAAAAAAAATTAACCCCTCCGTGAGTGAGCAAAATTTTTTTGTTCACTCACAGATGGGGGGAGTAAAGCAGCAGGTGAGTATCCAGGAGTTTCCAATGTTGTCATTTATGGTTGCCAAAGCCAAATTTCAGCAGTTACTGTGAACGGCGTAAGTGTTATGGACAACCAACAATTTGATGGGACCGGAAATGTGTGTTCTGCGGAAATCGTTGGGGTTCACCCAGACGACATCACTCAACTTAATTTTAGCTTTTAAGTAGCTTAATGCAAAAAATTTGAAATAATATGAGTCGGCTTTACGATGAATGGAAAAAAACTGCTGGGGACAAGCTCCCACGAGTTTTCCGTAAGAAAGATGGAGAGGAAAACAAGTCAACCGTAAAGCCAATTGTTATATCAATCCCACTGAAGGGAGGATCTGAACCTGTTGAATTAACAGAAAATTTTTTGAAAGTAATTGAAAGAGAATACGCTGTAAGATATTTAGAAAGCATAGGAGTCGATCCTACAAGAAAACATATTGAAAAACTACTAGAAGACATGCCACTTGACAACTGTGAAATTAAAGCAAGATGAAGACAAACATCAGGATGGCTTGCAGATGTCATTGATATATACCCAAGATGTAAACAAGTAGAACAGCCAAAAACTGTCTCAAATAACCTTGCTTCACGATTAGAAAGCCAGCCAACTGTTAAGGAGCTGCCAAAAGAAGAATTGGGGCTTACTTTAGAGCACTTCAGAAACGCTGATCCACATATGGGAACTGAGACAGAAGCTGATGAAAAAATTCAGATTGATCTGAATATACACAACATCAAGCAAAATTATTTATATCCCTTTATGGCTGTTTCTTCAAAGCAAGAATTCACTTCAAAATATTCGAACTTCGCCTTGCTTCGTGAACAAAGCAAAGATATGATTGAGAGAGCTAAGCTCTTAAACCAGTCAAGTGAAGACTTGCTAGACTCAAAAGTCTTTAAATTTCCATTTGAATCTATTACTGTTGCTACAGCACACATAAAAGAAATGATGCAGCCAATTGAAATTTCAGCTGAAGATGTTGAAAAAGACATAAAATATGTCTTGAAAAATTTCCCACTTGGGTCATTGCCGATTCAGGTGCAAGCTGGAGAAAGAGGAGAATTATTAAAATCAGCACTGGCTAATGTTGAGTCAGAAAATAATGCAAGACTGATAGGCTTGGTTTCTCATTTTTGTTACTGGACTGTTTTCAGTCATCTTCACAGTATTGGAATTAATGACGAGCAAAGGCAACAGATGTTTATTACGATCTTGCACTTGTTCCATGATCTTGAGTTAAAATCTAAAAGTAGAAAACAATTGTATTTAGCTGTCTTCATCTTAATTATGAGGATGATTGTTGAAAATATTTTTGTAAATTCCTATAAACAATTTTTTGCTGTCCCAGCTCAGAAGAAAATTGCCTGTGAAAAAATCCAATTTGTGATAACAAAATTGTTTGACCCAGAATGCTTTTATATTATGTGTTGCCATAATTTGGGAAGTTCTCCACACTTCAGGACACTTTCACATGTGTGTAACCTAATTCCAATTGTGGAGTTTCTACATTTAGTAGTTCCAGAGTAGAATTATGTTCCATATGTGGGAAAGTGTCCTGAAGTGTTGAGACCATCCCAAATTATGCCAATGTATTATAGCAGAATTAGCTTTTTAGAATCAGGAATTGATGCACTAAGCGTAGCTGGAAAAGCAAGGTCAAAGATGAGTGCGAAATATTATTCAACATCGAGTGTAGTTAAAAGTCTCTTTCCTAATCCTCAACACCCAAGAACAAGGGCTTTGCTAGCTAAAAAAGAAGCTTATGAAGGGAAACTTGAAAATATGGTGAAAACTGCAGCACAAATTGAAGGGACTATGCCACTGCTGCCAGGGAAATTGAATTATTATCAGCAGACGGAACCATGGAAAACTGATGACTATCTAGATATTCCAAGCAGGGCTCACTTGTTTATGCTAACGCTACAAAAAATGAAAAAGACAAGCCAATAAGTCTTATATTTATACTTTACTTACCCTTTAAATCCGAACAAAATATAGGAAAATGGTACTTTATGCCCCTTTAATTTTTTTTCAATAGGGAAATTTACAAAATTTTATATAAAATTAGTTTTGACCTAATTTAATATAAAAAATTCAGCATGAATGCTACTTAAACAGTTTCACAATAAATCGATTAATTTTTTAATTAATTATCATGAAATAAATTGAAATTCAACGTATTACGATCATATAGACAATTTTTTATAGAAAAAAAGTAAGGTGAAAATTAGAATGCTATTTAAATAGTGTAAACACTAAATCGATTGAATGTTTAATTATTTCTTTATAAAATACAATAAAATTCAAAGTATTGTGTAAGTTTATATGTTTAAATATTAAAATTTTATTTAAAAAAATTAACCCCCTTTAAATTGAAAATTTTTGTTCCAATTTAAAAGGGGAGAGATAGAAATATCTTTATATTATAAATAATAATCCATATATCTGAATTTTGACATTAAAAGAAAAAATGACATAAATTGCATCAAGAGTTAATGATAAAAGCTGATAAACATCAAAACCTTGTTCCTGCGTATGATTTAGTCAACGGGATTAAAAATAAATGACTCAAAGCTGGCCACTTTGATAACACCAAAATCAAGGCAGCTTGGAAAAATAAAGGAAAAAATCAGCGCAGAATAAGCGATTCAGAACTGCTCCATAAAGAAAATTTTGAACTAGACTCAGATCAATGCATTGATTATTTGGCAAGTCTAAAAATGAATAGAAGAACTTTGAGCTCGACTTCTTTTTTAATTCTCAATATTCCTCAGAAAATATCTAAACGAAGCACGATAAAAAACATTTTAAATTTTCCTGATATAAATCCTAACAAAAGCATTACTCTGCCAATGATAGTTCAGAGGATTGATAAATCTAAAAGCAGATCAGTGAGCTTCCTAAAGCTCAAACTTCTTCCAAAATTAAAACAAAAAAACATTATTTCCGAACCTCTAAGCAATTTCGGCTCTAGGCCAGATTCAATAAAGTCTTACACCACAGAAGATGAAGAAAGATTCTGACCAAAAGCCAAGTATTCACACAATACCGAATAAATGTATATTTTTTTAGAATTGCATTATATTAAGATTACAATTCCTTCAATTTAATTTCCAATACCCCATTGCCTGCACGGGCTTCCAAGTCCATCATGCATCATACACTGCCTGGCTTAGTCCCTTAATGATCCCTCGGCTTTGAGCGTTCAGATTTCAATGGCTGTCTTCCAACTCTGGGCATAAACATGGGTTGACTGCACAAAAATCCAAAAAAATGGAATTTCTGGCTGGCTGTCGGCAAGAAGGGTCTAAGGCGTGACTTCTGTGTCACGCTGGAGAGTTGCCGAATGGCCAAATATGGATTGCTGAGCATCTCCTTTCCAACTTCAAGTCTCGCCCTCCTCATGGAGTAAAATCCAATCCTACAAGGGACTTGGGTTAGGCTCCGCACGCTGCCGGAATGCTTACCTAGCACTCTTGTCCATTTTTGGTTTAGCAAAATATTGCCGAATATAATTAAATATGTTCTCAAGGCTGTATGGATTAGAGGCTATTCCATAGACGAGACGCCATATTTAATTATGTAATTGTTTTAACAATAGTTAATAGTTTCAAAAATTAAAATAAAACGGGTAATATCACTGTTTTATTCATTGCTTATATGAATTATTTTAATTTAATAATTTAAGATCTGCTATAGTTAATCCTGTCTATTTTTAGCAATCTCGAATACCCTAATTGAGCCATCCCCGCTTGCAACCGCCAACTTATTAGATGTGTGAGCAAAGTCTATGGAATAAACAGCATGAGTCAGATTTGATAAAATTCCAAAAGGTCTCAGTGTTTCAGAGTCATAAAAATAAGCTTCATCGCTTCCAGATCCACCTGCTGCAATAATCGTTCCCATATCTGATTTACTGAATTGCGCTGTATAAATTAGACATGGTCTACTATTGGAAACTACAGTTTGAGTAAAAATATTGTGGCCAGTGTTTAAATCTCATAGCTGAAGCTGATCTTTTATATTGTAACTTCCAGTTAGAAGTTTATTTTCACATATATCCATGGAATCGCCACATATATGAGGCCCAAATATTGCTCGGACAGCTCGCTGTGCTCTGACATCCCAAATAATGATATTATTATCCCATCCCGCGCTAATAATAGTGTTTTCATCTCTCCACTTAACTGAAAAAATCCTATTTCCATGCCCAACCAAAATACATTTAAAAATGGTGACACATGTCAGCCTGCCCTCTTGGTTCAACAGCACAGACTTTTTTGTCACGGCAAAATAGGAAAGACTACGAGTTAAGAATCAAATGCAGCTTCAGTTAATGTGCATCTGGGTAGGTTTGGCTACTTTCCTGTGGTTGGAAATGGAGGTACCCGACAACGTCCTTTGAATCCAAAGACCCATTGCCATTCCTCTACAAAAAATTGGATTTTTGGGTCCAGGCCTCAGGGAGCAGTCTTTTGCCTGCAGCTGTTGAATGAAGACACTTCAACACCCGACAGACTCTAAGGAACTAATTCTTGGAGTCAAACTGCTCCCAATCGCCTGTCGCAGAGTCGCAAAAACCAATAAACACTAAAGACTGAAGCCCAAGACAAGGATGAGGCAGAAGGTACCGGAAGTAGCACCCGTTTTGGATGATAGACCCTTTGGACTAGAGTCAAAAAGCTGACTATGTCGCCAATATGGCTAATTCATTACTTTAATTAACAAAGCCTAACCATGCCCAATCACATCTCCCCATCCAGGCTGCATTTCGGCAATAATAGTTTTACTCCCCCCCGCTCCGTGAGTGAACAAAAAATTTTGTTCACTCACGGAGGGGGTTAAATTTTTTTTAAAACAATTTATAAAAAATATTTTTTTTTCGAAATTTAAAAAATCTAATTCGCAAAAAATTGGAAAGCAAATATTAATTTAATTTATAAAATTTATGTTTTAAAAAGCAATTTGTTTAAAATTAAACAGAATTAGCTCTAGATTTCATTATACTAATTATCACTTATATATCAAAATTTTTTCTATTAAAAAAATTTTTGTTCACTCACGGAGGGTGGCTTTTGGGCAAAAAATAGGGATTTTTCTAATAGTTTTGTTCACTCACGGAGGGGGGGGAGTTAGTAGACTCATCATAAACTCTTACACTCATATCTTTGCTGCCAACTGCAAAATATTTGCCTTCAAGGTCATAATCCACGCAGAATACTTGATTTTCTTGATCAAATCTGATCGTATGCAGAATTTTCCCAGAAGTGGCGTGCCAATGGAGGACTCCTCCATCAGCTGTGGTCGCAACTAGGACATTTTTTGTTTTGGTCTGAGAAGTAGGTGGTCTCCATTGCAGTGCTGTAACTGGCATTGGATCTGCAGTTAGTCGACAGTTCAAAGTCCTAATGAAATTTCCACTTGAACTTGCATAAATTTTGACAGTCCCATCAGCACAAGCAGTTGCTAAATGAGAATCATCAGGGTTTCATTTTACGGCAAGAATGTCTCCGCTGTCTGCAATTGTATGTAGGTGATTGATGACTCTATCCTCTTCCATATCTAAGTTATCAATATTATCTATTTATTAATGCCTTTGGGCACCCAGAGCTTCTCTTTCCATCCTTTCTCTGCCTCTTTCTCTGAACTGTTGTATGAGCTCTGCAAGCGGGGCAAGTTCTTTTTGGTCTACAAGCTTAAATCTATCAATGAAGAAAATAAAATGCTTAAAACAGGTGTTTAAATGATACTCCATTCCAAGAGTCATGATATGCTGGAAATGAGTATGATAAATATGAGCGTAAACTCTAAAGAGACGCTTGAAAATCACTTTAATTGTTGATGCAAAGTTTTTCGGGAAAGGCACTCCGAGCTGAGTTGGAAACAGATGCTCGTTGTTGAGCTGACTTTCAACCCAAGTCATCAGAAAATCAATATATTCACTAGCAGAAACTTTTAGAGGCGTCTTCACATTTTGTCCGTCAGCCCACAAGTACTCATATTTAGGCCCGGCTGACATAACTGGACAAGACTCAGGGGTGCAGAACTCAGTCAAGGCGCCATAAATGAGGTTAATTTCATTGTAAAATTCAATTGTATTTACTGCAAACCATTCATTCAGATCCTCCCCGACAGGAACTTCGACTGCGAGATCAAGGTTTCCAGAACCAAGAGTCATCTTCGCGATTTGCTTGAGCCCATACCCACGTTGACCTTTTTCAATGCGTTTCTTGGGTCGGAAGCTCTTATTTTTGTCAACTTGCATTTTTTAAATTATTCTAGGATATATAAATAAAATTTTATGCTCGTTTTTCCAAAATATTTTCTCCCAAAATGTATAATAAGGTCTAGCATTTCCTAAATTATACTGATTGACATCTATATATATGAATATGGATTTAAGAATCTTAAATTATGCTTTAGTACGCTTTTGTCTTCGAGCTTCCTGCTGCTCTTTAAGATTCTTCTCACGAATTGCGTTAGCTTTGGCCTTAAAGATAGAGTCCATAAGCACTCTCTTGTTCTTGTACATATTCCCTTTAGCTCCCACATAAAAATCGTGATATAAAGTTTTATCAATTTTTGTGCTTGCTCTGTACTTACGGAGAAGTCTTCTGAGAACTCTTTGTCTGCGCATCCACATGATTTTTTCTGGCATTCTAGCTTCAGCTGTACCTTTTCTCTTTCCAAGACCTGTGTGTCTTCCTTTCTTTACAGACTCTTTGAAAAGGTTTGCACGGACTCGTGAGTGAATGGCTTGAGGGGTCTTTACAATGAATCCATCCTTTACCAGTTTGCGAATGTTTTGACGAGAATTTGCCAAGGAAATTTCTTGAATTTCATTAGGATCCATCCATACACGGCGTTTTCCACACTTAAGAACACTAGCTGCCAAGCGCTTCTGAAGTCTAAGTGTCACCATTTTAATGGATAAGTTTATCAGGGTCGCATTTATATTTAGTCATTTATGGGAATAGCCTCAGGAATAGCTAAATAGTAGTTCGGATATTATTACACTAATCAAAGGATTTTGTTCAAATCTTTGAGAAATTATTTACTTTATGCAAGCATTGAGATGCTTATTATTAGAAACTAATGAGCGATATAAATAGATTGAACTAATAAAGCTTTACTTTTAGGTCAAACACACAACAGAAAATTTATAGACTAAAAACAAAGAAAGCACCAATAATTATAAATAGGCTGGTTATATGCTATTATTTTCATCGCTTTTTGATCCACTATCAGCTCTCTCATCCTCTTCGTGCTGCATTTTTGGCAGCTTATCAACTTTCTTCGATCTATTATTGTAAAGTTCTGGGTTTTCCTTTAATGCTGCATCAATTTGCTGAAGCTTTTCTTTGATTTCTTTTACCGTCTTCTTCGAGTTTTTCAGTTTAGAAAAAATTTCCAAAGAATTGCTGAAGTAATCATGGGCTTCAGAGTATCTGTTTAGAATCATATAAATTGTTCCGATTACTTTAAGATTTTTACCATACTGCTGACTTTTTTCCCCAAATAAAGATCGATCAATTTCTTCAAGTTCTAAACATTCCTCTAAGGCTTCCTCATACTCGCTAGCTTTTAGGAGGAGCATGCAAATGCTTCGCTTGACCTTTGCAGTGGATTTGTCGATCATACCATGATTATATTCATAAACATGTTCAGCGTTTCTTTACTCCCCCTCGCACGAACAAAATCATTGAAAATCCCTATTTTTTGGGTAAAACCCCACCCTCCGTGAATGAACAAAAATTTTTGATAAATTGATATATAAGTGATAATTAGTATAATGAAATTTCTTGCTAATTATGCTTAATTTTAAAGAGCTTGCATTTTAAAACATAGTTTTACAAATTAAATTAATATTTATTTTAAAATTATTTCGAAAAATATTTACTATATAATTTTTTTAAAAAAAGTAATCCCTCCGTGAGCGAACAAAATTATTTTGCTCACTTACAGATTCGGGAGTTAAAGCATCTAGGGCCTCAGGGAAATTATTTGAATCTTGAAGCCACTGAGCAAGAGTAACTGCTATGTCAGCGGTAGCATCAGTGTTAATATCAAGTTCACTCATAAGATTTAGTGCTCGCTTTTGGCAATCAATTGCATTTGGGAGATCGTTTTGTTTATGGTGAACTTTAGCCATTTCAGTATATATACCTACCAAAGACTCATGCTTCATTCCAAATGTTTTCTCGTGAAGCTCCCATACGGTTGTCAAGCAATCCAAAGCTTTCGTATACTCTTTTTTCTTTAACTGTACCTGCGCAAGTGCTGAAAGGACTGGGGAGTTACTAATATGGTCATTGCCTAGCAATGACTGATTCATCTTCAGGGCTTTTTCAAGTAAATTCAAAGAATCGTCAATCCCTCCAGCACCCAAATAGCACTTGCCGAGAAGAGTTAAAATGTGAGGATGATAAGGCTTTGTGTCTTCATATTGATTAAATAAGGAGCTGTTCAGCTTTAAAGCTGTAGTTAAGTGCTCCAAAGCTTGCTCGTAATACTCATTGTTCAAGTAGCTTTCTCCTAAATTTGTATGGGCTTGAACTAGAATGAGAGGACTTCGGTTATGGACATTGACTAAAACCTTGCATAAAGCCATTTGGTGTATGCGAACTTGGATGACACCTTCTTTGTCTCCTATGTCTTCACGATCTTTCACGTATTCGTTTAAAACTCTGTTTTTTTCTTCAAGTTCTCCACAGATTCTGTCTGCAATGCTTAAGGGATATTCTTCCATATTCAAATTACACTAATTTAAATCTTTATTTTATATGAACTTATTGAAGATAAGTTTAGTCTAGAAGTGTGTCATGAAGAATTTATTTGGGATTTTTGTTATTTTATGTACTTATCAAAAAAGACTATTTTTCAAGAAAAATAATGATATATCGCTATAGCTGATGAATTTCCTTAAATATCTAGAGCAATTGCTAAAGGTCATTAAAATTTTATAGAGACTGAATAATTGCTAAAACTGACTATAAAATTTCTAACTGTCAGATTGCCAAGATTTATCAATATAAATAAGATTCATCGAATGAAATGTTTAGCTAAAGCATGTTTAAATCACTTTCTTTATTAAACTCTTCTGCATCCTTGTGAGAATATATAACTGCCAAAAATGTTTCCTCTCATTTAACTATATAAATTTTCATTATGGATAAGCTCATTGAAGTCTTATACAGCTGCATTATAAATCCTCAATGTTTATCTCAAGGTTCTTCTGTTTTAAAAGAATGAGAAGTTCAGGCTGGATATTCTGCAACACTTTCAAAAATTTTGCATGGCTCGATACAACTCCCACCTCAAATCCCGGAATCAATGAAATTTTTTATTAGACAATTTTCAGGCATTCTTTTGAAAAATTTCATATCTGATTATTGGAGCGAATCTTCCCACATATCGCCACAAGATATGAGAGAAACGAGACAAGTTTTAATGCAATGTATCAAAATTGATGATCCTAAATTGAAAAATTTAGCAGTAAACAATAAATAGGTTTTGGCACTCTCTGGAATTGTTCTAAGAGACTTCCCAGATCAATGGCCACTATGTTTTGACAATTTATTACAGCTTGCAGAAGGTAATGATCTTGTAACAATTAATTCAATTTTACCCGCTTTAGGCATTATTTTTGATGAGTGTGATGATAGATTATCTCGAGCCACACATCTGATATTCCCGGCTCTTTACAAATTTTTTAATCAGGCAGTAGCACATAACAGCGCTCAAACAAAAGAAAAATGCTTAAGTGTAGCTTCCAAGTGTTTAGAAAGCTTATCCTGGGCTGATGGCGTTGATCAAGAACTTATTTCGTCTTCATTGGACTCATCCTGGTCTAATTGATTTTATCTCTTACTTGAAATCCTCGGATCTGAGGACTCAACAATTGAAATGAAAAGATTAAGCCTTAAAATGCTAACTACCTTTTTTAGAGATTTCACTACTTATTCTTTCAGTTGGTATTATCTAGTAATTCAGCCAACATGGACAATATTACACCAACTTGTTCCCTTATACCAAGCAAATGTGGTATACTCTAAAGAAATTCTTATAAATGATGAGCTTGAGAATGAAACTGAAGGAGTTGAAGGTCTCACGATTCAACTCTTAGAGCTGATCACATCTCTTATCATAAGACCAGTAATCGGCCCTCAAGTTGTGGGAGAACTTAAAGCACTTGTAAATACTTTAGCTTGGTATCTCCCTCTTACGGCTGAGCAAGAAGATTTGTGGAGCAACGATCCGAATCAGTTCATATCTGAAGAAGATAATGAAGAATATTTGAAATCGTCTAGAACTTCCTGCTTAAAGCTGATTTCCGCTTTAGTTGATTTGTTTGGGGATGCTTCTATTGAGTGCATTGTAAGTGCTGTGGAATCGATACTCCGTAGCATTTCACAAGAATCCTCTGCTCCTTTATTATACTCCTCCAATGAAGATATACAAAATATTAGTAACGGGATTAATCAACATTTGCAAGAAATAGTAAAAAAATTTTCAAGTCAGCACATATGGAAAGCTAAAGAAGCTGCAGTTTTGTTATTAGGAAGCATAAGTACAGATATCATCGGTTATAATTCTAGAGCTAGAAAAGCAGGAAAGCAGCCTCTGGAAGTTGCAAATTTTTTTGGATCAGTGATTTTGTCTGATCTTGCTGGGAATGAGAGTAAAAATCCCTTTTTGAAAGGAAGAGCGCTTTGGTGTGCTGCCAAACTTTCTGACATTATGGATGCGAATCATCCAGACTGTGTTAACATTTTCAGGATTTGCTGCAATGAATTGATACATTAAAATGACATAGCGATCCAGACTGCCCTTCTAACACCTGTGCTGGAGCTATCCAGAGACCTTTAGAAGCAGAGCGTTCAAAATATGAATCGGCCATGTTTTACCTGATCTGGTGAAATGAAATGTAGAATTCAGCCGACTGCATGCCTGCATCCAGAGCAGGGTTTTACCTCATGGGAAATTGGTCCTTCAGAATTGAAAAGAAGAGCCTATCAGCGTTTTTGCTTAATCGGACCACTTTCTAGCTCAATATCAGCGTTGCAATAGGTTACAAAATTCCATTTCGGTTGGCAACCTGATCAAAAGTTTGATTTTTCAATTTTCTCGAAGAGCAACTCCATTGAAGCGCGCGGTACAGCGATTCAGTCAATGCACTCTTGGTGAACGATCAATCTTGGCTCAGAGGAGCCCGATAACTGATTTTTGGGTTGCCCATCAGATTTGGTTTACACCCTCCGGATCGAGGTCGAGAAGATGGCTGAGCACCAAAAAAGTAGAAGAACTAGTTGCTCGCGTGGTTATGCGGGGGCCTCTCAAAAAGTTAGCTTAACTTAGCCTTACTGCAATGCATTAAATGCAAAAGAGCCTATCGCTGTGAGATTGTCTGCCTGCTATGCAATACTTAAACTGTCACGAAAATCAGCATCAAGCATATCAGAAATCAATGAAATTTTGCCAAACTTGTTAGTAAATTTAGTTGCTCTTATCCAAAGATGCTCTCCTGATATTCTACACTTAGTTTTAGACACTTTCCAAGAAGTTCTGCCTTTAAATTCAGATATAAGCAGCACAGTTCCCCAATATGCATCTGGGATTTTCTTGAAATTGTTTTCTAAGCACTATGGAGAAAGCAGCTTAATATCAAAAATATTTGCTATAATAAGATACTGGTGTGATTTAGGCAAGTGCATGGGATCTTTATTAGATGTATTTTTACCGTTCGTTATGAGCTTATTTACTTTATATCCAGCTACAAGTAAAGAAAAGCCAGGCTCAATGAGCTCAAACAGCACGATGGGCTCTCAAGTTGAATCACTGCTTATTCTTCCTAGCTCTCTAGAGCTAATGACTTTGTTTTTGAAGAAATCAAATGCAGAAAGCAGCGAAAGAAGGAAAATTATGGATATTATTGAACCTTTACTAGACTTATTAGGCAGGACAGAGGACATTTCAATACTTTTACAAGGAACTAATTGTCTAAGGGCATTTTGTGGGTTTTCTGCTGAAGAAGTATTAAAAAGAGGTTTAGATGAAAAAATTATAGAAACAGTAGCAAGCTTGCTCAATCCTCTTAAAAATGAAGCTGGGGCATTGGGACTGGGATATTTAGTTATCCAGGTATTCAGCAAAATCTCACCCAAAATTGATGAAGATTTATTAATTGGCTGTCTGAACAAGCTTCATCGTTGCAAAATGCCATCAATTGTACAAGGACTTGTGCTGGTTTTTGCTCGGTTAATTCATTCCCATAGTGCTGAAATCCTCGGCTTTCTCTCCAGCCTTACAGTTGAAAGGCGAGTAGGATTAAAAGTATTACTTGACAAATGGCTGATTCACCAGCCATTAATCCGAGGCCGTTATACGAAAAATGCCACAATTGCAGCTTTAGCAAGAATTTATACATTAAAAGATCAAGCAGTAGAAAGTTTGCTTGTTGTTGGTTACAACCCATCTCATTCCAATGTAGGTTCAGAAGTATTAGCGCCGTTCAAAATTTTATCCACATTGATACGATGCCTAGACAATGAAGCATTTATGCCTAAAAGAAAACAGCAAGAAGAAATCGGGCTAAATGAAGAGTTTCAAACAGTAGTGGAAGGCTCTGGGCTTGGATTTATAGGTGATTATGAAGAGCCTGGAGAAAGGATGGATACAATTGAAGATGATAAAGACAGTGTTCAAGAAGACCGTGGAGAGCGAGAAGATCCTATGGAATCATTGAAAAATGACTTGCTAAAAGAAATAAAAGAAGATTATGATGTAAGGGATTTCCAAATCCCAGTAAGTAAGGATAAAGGATTGGGAGATTATGAAACAGGCTCTGAATGTTTGATGTCTGATATGCTTGATTTTGATTATGAAGATAACGATGACATCAATGACGATATTAATGAAGACGACATGTATTCGCTTGGAGATTGGTATGGAGGAATTACCTTGCAAACCTTTTTGCTAGATTTCTTCAACAATTTGATTACGAATGATAAAGAATATCTATTAGCATGCATGAAGCATCTGTTGGCTGAAGATATTGCACTTTTCAAGAAGCATTTCACGTTCTAGATCTGAAGATGATATCTAATAATAATTTAGAAAATTATTGCTTTAAATAATAATTTGAGTTTTAATATATTTTAAAATGTTGACTGCGGATCTTAAATCTCTAAGACTTCCACTTAGAAGATTTTTTACTGGGGGAAGTGATCCTTGGTATAACAATACTCACTCTAGTCAGTTGCGTGTCATGCATACCAACCAATGGCCTATTCCTTACTATAAAAGATCAGGAGTCGTCCCAAGAACTCTATATCCAGAAAATGATTATAATGTTACTATTCAAGGAAATACTCATACCAGTCCAGACGACTCTAATGTGTTCTACACACAGAGATTCCTTAAGCAAAGTATGTGGGGAAGAGAAGTTCTTGAAGCAGTGAATAAAATGGGATTAAAAGGTAGTCTCAATACTCGCATTGAGTCTCCTATAAATTCAGCCAAAATCTATATGAATGACTTGTTGAAGCACATTGATTACACCAAAAAGGAAAACGAAAGAATCTTGAAGAAGAATAAATTTAGTGACGCTTTCAGTTAAGTTTAGATAAATTCCCAATAAAAATAAACTAATTGATTTCATACAACAGCTATACTATGCGAAATTTTTTATCAAGGATTTCTCTATTTTTCTATAGCTTGATGAGAAAAAATAGATGATTTCCGCTAAGATTAAGGGTATGGCATTGCTGGAAAATGATTTTATTAAGCCCAACATGTAAATTTTTAGAGTCAATAAAATTCCTCAACTTTAAGTTTTATTGAACTATAATATAAATAATATTACTCTTTAATATAAAAAACTTAAAATAATTGAGCACTGTATCAATTTTTCAAACTTCCATATCTATTATTTTAATTATTAAGCTATTACTAAAAGGTTAAAAATTATTATTTTGATGCATCGTATTTATATGCTACTAAATAATTTAATAATAAGATTAATTTGCCTTCTTACAGTATCTGTGTATAATTTTTCTAAGCAAAATTTCAAAAGATTTTTCAATATTTCAGTACGTCTTTGCTGATACTTCAATATAAAACATTTCTAAACTATCTGCAAGCTTTTTGGCTTCTTCAAATGTGAAAAATCTCTGATTTTCAAGATCTGCTTTATTTCCAATTAATATAATTTCTGGACTTTTACCTAAAAAATAATTATCAATTTCGCTTTTTCAATATAATGCACTATCAAATGAGTTAGGGTTTGTTAAATCTATTATAATTGCAAAACCGTTCGCTGATTTAAAATAAGCCCTATGTAACGATATAAATCTATCTGTACCGCTGGTGTCTCATATCTGAAGCCTCAAAAATTTTCCTTGTATTACTTTGTTTTTAATTTTCTTCATGAAACTTACAAAATCATAATTATATCCTAGTTCGTTTTCTTCAAAAGCTTCATCTGTATATCTGCGTATAATATTAGATCTTCCAGAACTTGTATATCCTAGCAGTATAATTTTTAATAAAAAGTCACTAAGTTTAGCGTACTATTCTCCTCTATCCATGACTTAACAAATAAATATTATTAATTGTGGAAATTCTCATTATCCTTAAACATGGAAGATCAATTCCATAGATTAAGCTTAAATTTTATTATTAAATTAGTAATTGAGAGTTTTGCTTCTTAGTTTTAAAAATGACAATCATTACGAAACTTAGTTATTTATTATCATTCTTAATGTTATGACAATAATAATAAATTACTGATTTTGAAGTTTGAGGGATTTCATATTTTACAATAGTTGAATGCATCAGAAGATTTTTTACTGGAGGAAGTGATCCTTAGTATAGCAATACTCGCTCTAGTCAATTGCGTGTCATTTATGCCAACCAATGGCCTATTCCTTACTATAAAAGATCAAGATTCATCCCAAGAACTCTATATCCAGAAAATGATTATAATGTTACTATTCAAGGAAATACTCATACCAGTCCAGACGACTCTAATGTGTTCTACACGCAGAGATTCCTTAAGCAAAGTATATGGGAAGAGACGTTCTTGAGGCAGTGAATAAAATGGGATTAAAAGGTAGCCTCAATACTCGCATTTAGTCTCCTATAAATTCAGCCAAAATCTATATGAATGACTTGTTGAAGCACATTGATTACACCAAAAAGGAAAACGAAAGAATCTTGAAAAAGAATAAATTTAGTGACGCTTTCAGTTAAGTTTAGATAAATTCCCAATAAAAATAAACTAATTGATTTCATACAACAGTTATACTATGCGAAATTTTTTATCAAGGATTTCTCTATTTTTCTATAGCTTGATGAGAAAAAATAGATGATTTCCGCTAAGCAAGATTAAGGGTATGGCATTGCTGGAAAATGATTTTATTAAGCACAGCATGTAAATTTTTAGAGTCAATAAAATTCCTCAATTTTAAGCTTTTTTAAAACTATAATATAAATAATATTACTCTTTAATATAAAAAAGCTTAAAATATATTGAGCATTGTATCAATCTTTCAAACTTCCATGTCTATAATCTTAACATGATATTCTTTATTTTATTTTAATTATTAAGCTATATAGATTATTTCTATTACTCGAAGGCTAAAAGTTGTTATTTTGATGTATCGTATCTATATGCTACTAAATAATTTAATAATAAGATTAATTTGCCTTCTTAGAGTATCTGTGTATGATTTTTCTAAGCAAAATTTCAAATGAATTTTCAATATTTCAGTACGTCTTTGCTGATACTTCAATATAAAACATTTCTAAACTATCTGCAAGCTTTTTGGCTTCTTCAAATGTGAAAAATCTCTGATTTTCAAGATCTGCTTTATTTCCAATTAATATAATTTCTGGACTTTTACCTAAAAAATAATTATCAATTTCGCTTTTTCAATATAATGCACTATCAAATGAGTTAGGGTTTGTTAAATCTATTATAATTGCAAAACCGTTCGCTGATTTAAAATAAGCCCTATGTAACGGTATGGATCTATCTGTACCGCTGGTGTCTCATATCTGAAGCCTCAAAAATTTTCCTTGTATTACTTTGCTTTCAATTTTCTTCATGAAACTTACAAAATCATAATTATATCTTTGCTCTTTTTCTTCAAAAGCTTCATCAGTATATCTGCGTAGAATATTAGATCTTCCAGAACTTTTATATCCTAGCAGTACAATTTTTAATAAAAAGTCACTAATTTTAGCATACTATTCTCCTCTATCCATGACTTTAAAAATAAATATTATTAATTGTAAACATGGAAAATCAATTCCATAGAATAACCTTAAATTTTATAATTAAATTAGCAATTGAGAGTTTTGCTGGTTAGTTTTAAAAATGATAGCCATTACGAAACCTAGTTATATATTATCATTCTTAATGTTTGAGATGATAATAAATTAATAATTCTTTGAAAAAAACTAAACTGATTTTAAGATTCGAGGGATTTCATAATTTTACAATAAGTATGTTTTCTATAGTTGCTTTCCTTATTTTTTGTAATCATAAGTTAACGTTAATCAATTAATCAATCTCGCTTGCATTATTTATTAAGCTGAGCTGAATCAGAATTCTTTATTGGTTTAAAGATCTCAAAGAAAAAGCTCAATTTTTTAAGTATGTTGCCTCATAATACTTACTTCCCCCTTTTAAATTGGAGCAAAGCATCGGTAAATTAACATTTATTTGGCACTTTAACCCCTTTTAAATTGGAACAAAATTTGTTTTTCAATAGGAAAATTTTAGAGATTAAAATATTAATTTTCATAAAATTAGTTTTAACCTAATTTAATAATCCAAATGCAAGTAGAATTTTATTTAAATAGTTTCACACTAAATTGATTATTTTTTATAAAAAGAATTAAAATTATATTTATTTTAAAAACTAAAAAAAAAGAAAAAAAAACTAGTTTGTATAAAAGTATTTTTGACCTAATTTAATGGTCAAGTGCAATTAAACAGTTTTCACATTAAATCGGTTATTTTTTTAATTATTTCTTCATAAAAAATAAATTAAAATTCAAAGGACTGTGATTAATTATATTTTTTAAGATTTTAAATATTTTTATAGAGAAATATTTAAATATAATCATTTTTAAATATAAAAAATGTCCTCCTTTAAATGGAAGAGATTTTTTGCTCTAATTTAAAGGGGGGGAATTAAAGATTAAAAATTTTTAATTTCTAGTTGTTACACAAATATTGTATTTTAAATAAATTAAATTAAAAACAGTATTGGCAGATGATTAAAAGATCATAACTAAGGTTAGCTATAAATAATTTTATAATAAAATAATGAGAAATGATAGAGAAGATAATTAAATCAAGATTTAGCATTTATCTTGAGTAGCGATTATACTCAAGTGCGCGCTAAAAAGAGGATAATAATCAATACAAATTGCACCGCCTCCTCTTGATTTCTGACTATCCATTCTGTTAATATCTGCATAGCAAACTTGAGTTCCAACAAGTGAGATACCCCACTTTGAGTGATCATTGGTATTTTTCCAACTATATTTGCCAATTGCAATTGTCAAAATATTTAATTCATCATATTCATATGATGGAGTACAATAAGAAGGCTGATATGGCCTCCCCCAGGTTTCTGCTCTAAATCCACTCGCAAAGTAGGGTGAAAGCACATTTTCCCATAGATCTAGTCCGCTGGCAGCTGTTTTTGCGAAGTAAGTAAACTGGAAGCTTCCGCTGCTAAATAAAAATTACTTAAACTTCATCGATCCTTTGCTAATTGTAAGAGATGATGCTTTATTCGAGGCAAGAGCCGTTATGTTTGCATTAGAAGTGACTATTCTTGAATAGTAAACTTGAGGACGATTAAGTGTCATCAGTCCAGCGATTTCAAATACTTGGCTTGAAGTCAACTTGACACACATGAAATTTTGCCCATAAATAATCTGGGTATCAGCAATATCCAGAATTATGTTATTTGAAGAATCCAAAACAGGAAACTTTGGAGTGGAATGAATAATGTAGATTCCTTCTGATCCTTTATAAGCCAAAACACCTTTTGCATGAGCATATGTACTTCCACGGAGCTGAGCGACAGTTGGAGGTTCATCGCTAAATAATGCTTACTTATAAAGCAAATAAGAGATTGAGGTATCAGCGTTCAATTGCTTTAAAGTCGTAAATAAAGCACTGGTATCGTTAATAGGAAGAGCGCCAACTGTTGGTGTTGTGACTTTATCGTCAAGGTTAGGTTAGGTTATTAAAGTTAGGCGTTAGTCATATTGGTGACACAGTCACCTAAAACCTCCCATATGGAAGGTTCTACCGCTTTTCGACTCCAGCCCAGAGGGTCTATCCCTCTTACGAGAGCCCTTCCAGTACCTTCTGTCTCCTTCTTGCCTTGCGGACTAAGGATTTCTGCAGCTCAGCTACAGGCGGTTGGAGTAGCTTTGCTCTAAGGACCAACTCCTTGGATCTATCGGGCGCCGAAGTGCCTTCATTTGTCAGCTATAGGAAAAAGACTATTTCCCTGTGGTTTGGGCAGAAGCCTCCATTTTCCCGGTCGAGAAATGCCCATGGGTCCTCGGATTCAAGTGATACTGCTTGGCACCTCCATTTCCAACCACAGGAAAGCAGCCAAAACCTACCTGTATACACATCTTTTGAGCCTGCACTTGATTCTTGACTCGGAGTCCGTCCCAGTTAGACGTAGCCATAAGATCTGGACTTTTGCGCTAAGGGGCAGGTTGGCACTTTGTCTTCAAGGTACATATAAGATTTTCCTGGAATTGGTGAAGTTGCAGTGCTCTTAGGGAGTTTTATAATTGTCCACCAAGGGGCTATATTTCCTGAGCTAGTAAGGCAATCTAAGCTGTAAGCTGAGCAAAGGACAATTAATATCACCAAGAATTTCTTCACCATTTTTTGATGGTTTATTTAAAGAATTTAATTTATTGCTTAAGGGGTTTATGTGAGCGCTTTTTCGTAATAGTTCACGGTTAGCTAATTTAAATAAATTGATTTAATGCAATATATTTGTTAATATAAAAATAAAATATTAAAAATCATCTCAAGTTTGCATTTTGTCTTTGCTAGCACTTCGAAATAAGTATTTATAGCCATCTAAAAATCTTCTAATATATCATATATTTAGACTCTCTGGTTTTAAAAGTCTGCTTAAATCTCTCAAGTATCATTTATACCGATTTACCCAATCCCTTATTAATATCATCAGTCCGATGCAAAGCACTAGTTAAAAATGGTTGACAAGAAAACAAGCCAATTTTGAAATGGAGCTTAATTATAATATTAATTTTAATTTATGATACTCTTTAACTGATACATTAAATGTTATTTCTGTTTTCTATAGAATTTAGGTTCAATCAAGTAAAGGTAATTAAATTTGAATTTTATTAATCATTTGAAAAGAGTCTTTAATAAGACATGACCTATGATCGGATATATTACTTACTCCCCCTCCGTGAGTGAACAAAACCATTAGAAAAATCGCTATTTTTTGCCCCAAAAACCCACCCTCCGTGAGGGAACAAAAATTTTTTTAATAGAAAAATTTTTAATGGAAAAAAAATTTTGATATATAAGTGATAATTAGTATAATGAAATCTAGAGCTAATTCTGTTAATTTTTAAACAAATTGCGTTTTAAAATATAAATTTTATAAATCAAATTAATATTTGCTTCCCAATTTTTGCAAATTAGGATTTTTTTAAATTTCGAAAACAAAATTTTCTATAAAATTTATATATAAATTTTTTAAAAAAAAAAATTAACCCCCCCATGAGTGAACAAAATTATTTTATTCACTCACGGAGGGGGGAAGTTAATAAATTTCGAAAAAAATTATTTATGTTCACATCACATTTTCTCTGATTGCCCTTAAGTGAACAAAATCATTGGAAAAATCCTTATGTTTTGCCCAAAGACCCAACTCCCCGTGGACGAACAAAAATTTTTTATGGAAAAAAAGTTTATATATAAAGTGATTATTAGTATATGAAATTTCTAGCTAATTCTGCTTAATTACATTTTAAAGCATAAATTTAAAAATTAAAGTAATTTTTACTTCTCAATTTTTACGAATTTTTTTTAAATTTACTATAAAATTTAAATATAATTTTTTCAACAAAAAAAAATTGACCCCCTCGAGTAATTTTATTAAAAAAAAATTATAAAAATCATATTGTGCGCTCGTTCAGAATGCTGATAATAAAGTTACAAACAATTGTATTATTACTTAAAATATGAAGTTCCAGATAGGATCGCATAAAGGGAATAAGAATTTTAATTTTTGTTGGATTAGAAAATCATGATGGCAATATAACGAGGAAGAAATAAAATCAAAATGCACGCTTGTCCAGAAAACGGAGAATGAAGCTAAAACAATTGCTATTATTACTTAAAATATGAAGTCCCAGATTGTGATAATTATTTTAATTAAATTTTTGATTTTTAATTTTAAATTTTAAGGCATTTTTAATGCACATAAATACATATAGCTATTTATTTTTTAAAAATAATTGTCTTTAACAATTAATATAAATAGATTTTTTTGAATATTCCCGCTTACATCATTCAAATATTTTAATAAAACTTCTTTTGTAACAATATAAGTATTTCAAGAATATTCTTATATTAAAAATTAATTTTTATTATTAAGCTTCATTTTAAAATTGGATCATTTAATTGCCACTGGACAAAAATTGTCTGATTAGTTTTTTAATTTCCAATTTGGGCCAAACTATTTTCAGCGAAATTACCACTTTTCAAGCATAAAGAGAGAAGAGCCGTTTTAATTACAAAATATACCTTGTCTTTTTTTTGCTGAGTGTTAATTATAAGAAATATTTTGAAAATCATATAAACTACATCGAACTAGTTTAAAACTAGGGAATTTTTTATTTAATATTATCTCTATTTAAATAGTGAAGGGTCTGATCTAAGATTTACAAGATGTGAATTCCATTAGAGCGGTTACGTTTCCCATGAGGTCAATCCATAAATAGCCACGATCTATAAGTAATAGTGATAATATAAAAAATGATATGATCAATTACAATTTCAGCTAATAAATCTTATAGCATAGAAAATGAGACAGCAAGAGGAGAACTGCTCCATATAACCAAGTTGTCATTAGACAGTCAAAGCTCATCTACAAATGTGTTTGTAAGCATTGATTTCTCAAAATATCCGATTGCAAACTTAGGTCCTTCTAAAAGATTTTTAAAAACTGATCTTTGTTTTAATACTCTCGTTCCTGCAATTCTAACAGTGGAAGGCCCTGGAGAAGTAATAATTCTTGGAAATTTAGAGCCCATATCTTTGTCTCATACACCATATAAATTACCATCTGAAGTTAAATCGGTGGATTTACCAGTAAAGAGACCTCCAGCTAAACTTCAGCCAAATACACAAATATCAAAAAAAGCTAAAATCTCTGATAATAATAGAAGTGTGATAACTTCTTCTATAAACACAAACAAAAAGCCAATAAATAAAATAGCTCAAATGCTTGAAAAGAAGGTTGAAATAAAGACCCAAGATACAAAAACAAATAATAGAATTGCTTCAAACCAAGGACAAGATAAGAAGAAGCAAGAAATAAATTCAAAAATAAAGAAAAATAATTTTCCCAAACAAATTAATGAAAGGAGAACAAAGTTTTTAGAAATAAAAGAGCGAATGGAGCAGTGGAGAGGAGCAAATTAATCCGCTCATAAAATAATTTTTTAGCTGTAAATGCAGCATTCATATTATCAACGATCTATTAATGCTATATTCTTGATTTGGAATCAAATTTCAATTATGTTAGTTAATTAGAATAAAAATAGATAGCTTATAAAAATTTTATGTCCGCGGTAATCTGCAAAATCCATTCAATTAATAATTTCAATTTAAGTCTTTCTTTTAAAGGATATTTTTGTTTGTGCTTTATCTGGAACTGAAATTGACTTTGGCCTTCCTCTCTTTCTAGGAAACTTTTTCTTACTCCCCCCTCCGTGAGTGAACAAAAAAATTTTATTCACGAAGGGGAGTTAATTGTTTTTTTTTAAAAAAAATTATTTTATATAAATTTTATAGAAAATTTTTTTTTCGAAATTTAAAAAAATCCTAATTTGCAAAAATTGGGAAGCAAATATTATTTTTATTTATAAAATTTATGTTTTAAAACGCAATTTGTTTAAAATTAAACAGAATTAGTTCAGGATTTCATTTACTAATTATCATTTACATATCAAATTTTTTTCATAAAAAATTTTTCTTATTAAAAAATTTTTATTCACTCACAGAGGGCGGTTTTTGGCAAAAAATAGCGATTTTCCCAATAGTTTTGTTCACTCACGGAGGGGAGTTGGATCCTCTTTGATAAGCAGAATCATAGCGAAGTGCCAAAGCAACAGGAATTAAAAAATCATCTGATTTCTTTTTCTCAGTAGCTGCTCGTTTAGGCATTTTTCGGACTTGTACAGCAGGACTCTCATCAGCTTTTTCTACCTTATTTTTGCGCTTTGAGCTTGGATGCGGCTCTGGAGATGTAGCTTGTTTGAAAAGTTGATTATGCTGCTGTATCAAGCCTTGAAGCTTTGAGATTTCGTCTTTTAGTCGATGCTGCTCTTCTTCTAGTCATTGTTTTGGCAAAGATTTGCTATTTATTGCAAGACTCTTCATTTATCTATTATAAGAAACTTTCATTTTTAATATCAAAAAGCAAGGGCTTATTTATAATTCTTTTCTCCAGAAGTTCATTATTTGAATTATAAATTAGTAGAATCAAGATTTCATTAAAATAGAGATTGGTCTGTTTTCTTTGTAGGTCTCCTAAAATCCCCGAAGAGAGAACTTGAAGAAGACTTGCCACTATCAGTCTTCGATGGAACTAATTCTGGCTGCTTTGAGACTTCTTCTTGTTTAACTACTTCAGCAGTTCTTTTAGCTTTTTCTTGGCTATCTAATTCATCTTTTCTTACTTTCTCTTCTTCTTTTTTAGCTTTCTCCTCATCTTTTTTCTTTTTCTCCTCTTCTCTCTTTTTCCTCTCTTCTGCAGCAGCCTTTAGCTCATCATCCTGCTTCCGGATTTCTTCAGCAAAAGAATCAGCCTGGTTCGCTAATTCAGGGTCATGCTTCATAATTTTCTCTGCTTTTCTCAAAGTTTCCAGCTGGTTCTTAAGCATACTTCTTTCAGCTGAAATATGTGCAGGCTCGCTTACTTTTGCGATAATTGATTCAGTCATATTTATTCTTTCATATAATTCCATCTGCATTTTATCCATTACAGACCTCACCAAAAACGTCCCAATAGCTTTAGGAACGCTATCCCTGACAGTCCTTATGACAAGCCGAAAATAGCTGTCAATTCTGTTTCTTATTTCATCTACAAACAAATTTTCTGAGCTTTTTGGTTTTCCATCTGACTTCGGCACAATGTCAGTTCTAGATGTTAAGTAATCAAGATCATTAGTAAACACGTAAGTCTCTTCAGAATCTATCATTTTCTCTACTATTTCTCTGCACTCTTCGCGCTCTTTTAATAATACATGAGAAGCAAGATCTGAAATTTCTGTAGACAACGACGGGAACCTGAAGAAAATTCTTTCGATTAATTTGTGGGCAAGCTGTTCGAGATAGGAGTGGACGTTCATTAAGCAGTCAAGGACGGGCTCTCGTAGTTTTTCTAGCTGAGGCTGAAGTAAGAAAATAAATACATCAACTGATGGGAAGCCGGGTATACTGTCTCCTTCATGAGAAGCCATTGCATGCTGAATATCTTCGTTGGTATATGATTCAGTCACTTTATAATTTATTCCTGAAAATTCAGAGAGCAGGGAATTAAAGTAACCCTTAATTGTAGCCCCTCCTGCTAAATCTTTAGTTATCCTCGATGATAGCTTTCTATCATATTTCCCTCTTATAGTATTTTTGAAAATTTCACAAAAATCGGTGACCATATTCCAAAGCAGCTGAACCTTTTGGCGGGGCTCTTCAGGGGTGCTTGGGCCAAGTTCTTTCAATTTGTCGTCGCATTCTTTTATTCTATGCATAGTTTCCCTCATAATTTCAGGCAAAAACCCTTTAATATGGTTAAACATCACATGAGTAAGTTTTTGAGTTAAAACTTCAGTCCCGAGGTAGCCTTGTGAGATTGTGGAGTAAACTGGGTGTGAGGCGAAAAACTGTTTTTCTTCATTTAATGCATTTTCTACCTTGACATTGTTATTAATATCTTCCTGTGATCTATTTTTGACTCCTACATAGCCAATTAAAATATGGCGTCTTCGTCTGGGTATGGCCTCCCGGCCATACATACTCGACTCATATTTTAATTATATCCGGCAAGGTTTTGCCATTCAGGAAATGGGCAAAAAGCCATGGTAAACAATTCTGCAGAGCAGAGCCTGGCCCATGCCCAACGACCAGAATAGATTTTATCCCGAGAGGAAAGGGTGTCTAGGTTTGGAAAGGGTAACCCAGCGGAGTCTACAGGCAATGCCTAGACCTTTCGGGCAACTACCTAGCGTGAAACTGGGCGTTACGTCCCAGGACTTGGAATTTCACTTTTTGCCGAAAGGTGACCAGAAATTCCATTTTTTGGAATTTCGGAAAGCCAACTCTCGTCAACTCAAGCAGCAGCCGCAGAAGTCCATAGCTCGCCCACTCAACACTTAAGCCGCAGCACGCTGTGGGAAGGAGTAGACGTATGTCCTCTTGGCAGTCTTTATGGCTGTTAGGACTACGCCGCAAAGCAGGTGAACCCCGAAAAAGGGGTCTTTGGTGACTGCGTAATCAAAACGGCAGACACTTTCTAATATTAATTAAGACTAAGACTCCTACATAGCCAAGCCTTAAAGGTATTTCTTCTCCAAGAAGGATTTTTTTTGCATTTGTCCCTCTGTCCATAATATCAATTTTTGTAATGACTCCAATAGTTCTAATGCCAGCCTTATCAACTTTCTTAGCCATCAGCAAAGACTCAGAAGTACTTAAATCAGTATTCGCTGGACATAAACATAATATAATTGTTCTTGGATCAGAAATATATCTGAAGCACATCTCCTTACACCACCTCTATGAGCGTAAAATATTTCGAAAATTCCCTATTCTTTGGAAAAGATTGACCCTGTGAGTGCTCGAAAAAGATATTTTAATATAATTGATATTCCAATATTATTTAGCTTGCATCCCAAAAGAATAAATTTATTTTGGTATATAATTACTCTAAAAAAATAAGCCTATCCCGTGATTGATAAAATCTTTTTTCTGGTTAATGGAATTGGGAATTAGTAATTCTTTCAATATCAGGCGGATGGTCACTTCCAGCAAGCGGTATTCTAGTGATTCCCGGCAAGTCAATAAGTGTTAAATCAGGACAAGTGCTAGAATGAATAGTCAATACAATAGGATCATCCACAATTCCTTTATTTCTCCCTGCTTTCTTTTCAGTCATCGTCAGGATCATATCTTTCACTTTTCCAAAATCAGTGAACTTTTCCTGCACTCCATCAAATTCAGCCCATGGCTTTGTTTCATTTTCAGTATGTACCAGCCTCAGCTCAAGCGGACATCTCGTACATATGCCTTCACTTCTCGGTAGAAAATTCAAGCCTACTATAGACTCTAGCACCGAGCTCTTCCCACTGCTCTGAATTCCAAGTGTCACAATGCGAGGGAGACGAATATACTTCTGCAGCCCAGCGTCTCTGAGGTTGTCAGTCAAGGTTACAATTGATCTGAGACTGCTATAAAAGCTGCCGGCGAAATCCTCTCCAGGCTTCATTTTAATATTAAGTCTTATAAATATGGGCGACGACAAGTATTACCTTTTCAAGAGACTTGTGCAGGTCGGAAAGATGAAGCATTTGTATGAGCCTGGAGAAAGGCCGCCATATCCTATTATTATTGAGTCTCCATTCTTTAGAGATGTGATTGCAAACATGAGACTTCCCGAATACATTCCATTCTTCTATTCAATTCCTTTTGGAGCGGTGCTAGGGTATGCAATGACTGCGAATTTGAAAAGTTTCCCATTAAATAGAAGAAGAGCTTTCACCATAGTGTGGACAACAATGATGTTCTTCGGATGGTATAGATAATACCTTTGAGTAGCGCGTTAAGCGCCCGAGACTTCCCGACGAAGTCTGGGCGGTGGTTTGACCAGCTGATGTTGGTCAAACCAGCATCCAATTTGACAAATCTTCTATATGAGAAGAATTTGTCATTTTGGATGTTGGTTTGACCAACATCAGCTGGTCAAACCACTGCCCAGACTTCATCAGGAAGTCTCGGGCGCTTAACGCGCTACTCAAAGGCATTGCCTATATATTGGATTCAAAGGATCATATTATAAATTGCTAGGCTTTGAGGATAATGGACTTAAATGGAAGTTTAGTGATGAGAAGGTGAAGAAATATAAGTTCACAGAAAATATGCATGGATTTCTGGAAGATGCACTTAAGAGAAAAGATATTGATAGCTCAAGAGCATATTAAGCTTCATAAGCTAATAAGTTAAGAAAAAATAAAGAAACCTTATAATAAATTAAGGCAATTATGCTATTTACATTCATGCAGTAAGATTATATGCTATTTTGACCAAATAAAAAAATTATTGATATTCAAGTAGGCTTATTTTAGAGAAAGATAATAAAAGACCAATAATTTAAATACAAACATTCTTTTATCTTAAGTCTACTTAATCCATCAAAAACGGGGTTCTGCAAATAGGGCAATTTGAGTTTATTCTAACTCCTCCCCTGAACGAACAAAGGGGCTAATTATATTTTTAAAAATTTATATATAAATATATAATATTTTTTCAAATTTAAAAATAAATCCTAATCCGTAAAAATCGAAATCCAAAATTTAATTTAATTTGTAAAATTTATGTTCTAAAATGCAATCTATTTAAATTCAACTGAATTACTCGAAATTTCATTATAATAATATCACACTTATATAGGGATTTTTCCAAGGACTTGTTCTCTTACGAGGAAGGAAGGAGTAAGCCACCTCTTTATGCATTCTTCATGGAAAAAGTGCCTTGGGTCACACTCCATCACAATAATTTTATCCTTTTCAGAATACTCCACTGCACAAATAGAGCAGGAACTATCTCCTTGGTTGACCACAGGGTCATATTCTACTGATTTCAGATCTTTTATCATCCCTTCAGTTGCAGGCAACTGTGAGGTGTTCGAAATAAACATCAAAAATATAATAGCTACTGGCAAGCATGCGCATAAGCACAGCAAAAGCATCGTCGGTATCATCAAATAGCAATACCCTAATATAAGAAGTGCAAAAACTAGAGCTGTGAGGACTGGTGCATCATCATAGCAATCTTTACAACTCCAATACCAAATATTTCCAGGAATCAGCCAGCCAAGGTATGCAAATGTTTGGAGCTTAAATAATGCTGATAAGAATATTCCTTCGTTTATTTCTCCTCCGTCACGGACACTTTTTACATGTGGAATTCTAAAAAAGAGCATAATCACATACCAAATATCCAGCAAAAGACTTATAGCAACCCAAAAAGCGAGAGGAGCGTTGCAGGAAGCTGCAAAAAATGAGAGAACTATGCCGCTTGAGATGATTTTTACAGTGCTGACTGATAGTCGAAATGTCATTAATAGATATGATGAATATTCTACTCGCCTAATTGTGTGGTAAAGGTTTTCTCTGACTATTCCTTGAGATTGGTTAGGACTACGGTTTGGATTTTGGACTAGGGGTGATCTCTCATCCATTTAATTAAATGCAAGTTTATTTGATAGTGATGAAAAACGGTATATGGCAAATTTGTTTTGAAATATAATCAAAAAGCTACAGCAAATATCCATAGAACTAAAAGAATGTCTTATTAGTGAATTAAAGATTGAAAATAATTCTATTAAGCTTGAATTATAATGATGATTAAAAGTTATATCAGCTATAGCTTCATTTTTATTAACTCTCTTATAATTTAAAATGGCTGTTAGGGTAGAGCCATGCCCCTACAGCCGAATTCAGTGAGAGAATTTTACATTTTCTTGAGGGTTTTGCCGTCAAGAGAAGCGATCTAGACCGAGAGTAGTGTGGATAAGAGGTCCTAAGGGACTTAGGGACATGGACAGTTTGACGGTTATGCCAGTCTTACCTACTGTTATTCAGAGCTATCAATCCAAGCTAAGTCTGCAAGAATCTTGATGGGAAAAAAAGTAATCTTATTAGCTTAGCATTAACTCTATTCTCTGTGAATGAGCAAAATCATTTGAAAACCCCTAATTTTTAGAAAAAACTACCCTTTGAGCTAACAAATATTTTTAAGATATATTGCTTATAAAAACTATTTATTATATAAGTGATAATTATTGTAACGAAATCTCCCTAATTTAATAAGGTAGCATTATAAAAAACATTTATGAATTAAATTAATTTTACTCTTCTAAAATTTGAATTTTTTAAAATTTCGAAAAAAAAAAACTATGCACTTTTTTATAGTGTGGAAGCCTTTTACTTGCAGACCAGTAAGAAGTTTTTTGCTCTATAAAGAAGTCCACATTATAAAATTAAAAATATAAACTAAATCGAAAAAGGGAGTAAGCTAAATAACGAATATGATAAAAATATCTTATCCCAACCAATTAATAATAAAAACATAATTTTATAATTTTCCCACAAATATATTGGATGAAATAAATTTCATAAACTTTAAAAATTAATATCAACTGTTTAAAAGGTATTGAATACCTCCAAGCACTCTTAAAAAAATTAAAAGATTAAATAAATATTTTAGGCTAATTTTAATAATTTAAAAATTAGCAAAATCGTTAGTACTGAGGTTGAGTTAGAACAAACTTAATAAAACTTAACTTTCATTAAGCTTACTGCACCACTGTTCCCGCAGGTGCAAGATGGGGATAATACCCAACATTATTTGCTGACACAGCCTGGTATGGCTGACCATTAAGTGGCTGGACATAATTCCGCTCTGTCGGCATATTATGATAAGCCAACACATCATAACTGCTTGATGATTTATAAAGCTTGTAAGCACACAATACAAATGACATAACGACAGAAAAAGCAATTAAAGTTCCAATAATTCCTCCTGCTAAGCTATGTCTTCCAATGTGCTTTCTGATATGGGCTTGCTTTCTTTGGTCTTTCCTATGTCTGTGCTTTTCTTTATTGTCTTTTTTATAGTCTTTATTTTTTGCTGCTTTGGCATGGCTTTTCTTTGTAGACTCGATGAAATCATCTGAATCATCTAAGTCCTCCTCTATAAAATCGTCAGGGTCGTTTGGATAATAAGGATCTTCATTTTCTTCGCTGACATCATCAAAATCAGAAAAGGAAATATCAAAAAGCTTCTCGAGAAGCTTACCTTCATGCCAATAAGGCTTAATCCCAAAGAAATCATCTGGAGAAACAAAGGTGACTCCATTAGGATTTTGAGATAGATTCAGATCTGTGCTATCTGACTCATAATCCTTATCTTGTAAAAGATCAATGTTAAAATCTTTGTACTCTTCAAACTGATTTTCAATAATTTTCTTTTTGCTGTGGTCATTTTTATTATAATGTCCACCCTCCTCATCTTTTATTTCATTTGAACGATTGATTTTGTAGTAGCTTGCTTTTGCGCTATCTGAATGAGTAATTGAATAGGAAATGGCAATGCAAATTATCACACCAGAAATGAAAAGGACCAAAGATTTGAGATACAATTTCGAATGCTTAGTGCACCCTTTATTAGTGAGCAAAACATTTAAAAAACTCTATTAAGTGGCAAACGAAAAAACTCTATCAATTTTTTTATAATAATTAATGATTGCGCGAGATCTCATTAAATTTAAAAAAAATTATTCAAATATTTAAAGATCTATAAGATCCGAAATAAAAATACTTATAACCTTAATGAAATATAACCCTATCAAGAAGAAACAAAATTCTTTTTAGCTCTTAAATAGATAGGATTTAGTATCTTTGGTTTTACTTGCTTTAAGCCCAATCCAGGAAACAAAAAACATTGCAGATGCAATAAAAGTCCTCAGAATCAGCCACCGCAATGTAGTAGGTGCCTGTTCTTCTATATTGAACAAATGAAAAATTATTAAAGCGAATCACAGAAGAGATAAAATCATCATAAAAGCAGACCCAAATCGCACCCAAGAAGCCCAACGATCGCGACTGACTTTAATTTCGTATAACTCAGGCATTGAATTGTGGACAGGAACAACAGGAGCTTGTGCGTTATCGTGAGCTAGGGCTGAAGGTTCTACTTCAAGAGGAGTATAGACTGCTCTCCCATCAGACCCAAATTGTGGATAGTTTTGGTGTGGAAGGTATTGCTGGGAAGGCGAACGAATAGCTCTTTCCATTTTTTATTACAATATATATCTCACCAATGTACAATTAGCATATATCTAACATTTAGATCTGAATTTTTAGATTATAACACATGAAAAAAGGGAATATGTAATTGTTCGCCAATTGACGAATAATTAGCCATTTTAAAAGATTTTTATATTATCCTTGCCAGATTATTTCAGATGGATTGCTTATTAAACTCGATAAATAATATCGGGCACTTCCAGGCTCAATAAATTTTTATATTCTCGTTTTAAACAACATTATTTTCGTTTTGCTCTTTTTTCTGCTGTATTTTTTTAATTCAAGCTCATTATGTTTATTTTACTAATCCAATACAGAAAAATTCAGGCGGGAGCATTTATTTCTCTATAACATTTACCTCCTTGAACATTTCTTGGAGATTTGCTGCCTTCTGATCATTTTTATAGCCAAGCGGCTAGATTATAATTACTTCATTAAAATGGTAAATTAAAAGATAATGAGTAAAAAGATTGATATTCAAGAGAGAAATCAGCAGTTCCTAAAAGAGCCAGGTGTTGAAGATTACAGAAGAATTCATGATGATAACCTTGTCCAGCTTAGAAAAAAGAAAAGGAACGAGCACCTTGCCAAACGGCGCGCTTTTGGCACAGATCGTGCCACTCAAGCTGAGGATTCCCCAGAAATGGTATCTGATGCAATAAGATTTGACATAAGTTCAGTGCCAGAAGAACTTGCCAAATATGAGAGGCAGCTTGTAAACCCTGACCTCAGCCCCACAAATCGCCTAAATACTCTTATATCACTTATTATCAGCAGCACATCTATGGATTTGTTAAAACTATCAGTCCGGACTCTAAGACTAGTACTTACATATGATGAAACTAACCCATGCAAATACATAGGAGACTCAGGAATCTCTGCAAAGCTTATTCAATGTGTGCTTTACCCTGACAAAGACCTCCAATACGAAGCGGTATGATGCATTACAAATTTATCCTCAGGAGAAGACAAAGTTGTAGATGAGCTCTTAAGGCTGAATGTGATTGAAGCTTTGAGCAAAGTTTTCAATGAAAATCCTTCTTCAGATATTGCAAACCAAGCTGTTTGGGCATTAGGGAATATTGCAGGAGGCTCGCAAGAGCAGAGAGATAAAGTTGTTAACTGTGGGATCGGGGAGTGGATTATAAAACAGATTTCAACGTCACAAAGGATGACGGGAACCTCGCTGAATACTATGGTTTGGACCTTAGCTAACCTTTTACGAGGCAAAACTCTTCAGCAAGCAAGTCTTTTCCAAGAATTTTTATCTATTTCACTGAAGCTTTTATGCTTAGATAACGAAGATATACTAAGCGACACACTATGAGGATTTGCTTATGCAATGGATGGAGAAGTTGGAAGAATTCAGCCAGTTTTGAACACAGGTCTAGGAATGAGAATAGTCCAATTAGTAGGCTCTGAAAGCTATAAGATCAAGCTGCCTGCATTAAGAGTTATAGGGAACATTCTCCTTGGAGATGAACTCCAAACACAAACAATAATAGACTACGGAGTCATTGATCAGCTTGTACCTTTAGTAAACAGCCAGAATAAGCTGCTAAAAAAGGATGCAGCCTGGTGTATAAGCAATATTTGTTCAGGCTCAGTATCACAAGCCGAAGCTATTTTAGCACATGCTGGGATCGCCTCTATTGTAGCTCTTTTGAGAGATCCTGATTTTAGCATCAAGCTAGAAGCCTGCTACATTTTTGTGAACTCCACAAACAGAGCAAACTCCAATCTAATAATTAATTTGCTTCAATATGAATTAATAGAAGAGCTCTGCCAACTGATTGACCACCAAGACTCAAGAATCGTGATACTCTCACTCCAGACCATTTGAAATATCCTCAAACACAGCAAAGCATATATGATTTTTCATAATGAGAACACTGATAGAGCCTTACCAAGACTTGATGAAGTTGGAGGCATCTCTAAAATTGAGAGCCTGCAAGGCCACCGAAATTATGATATCTACCAAAAAGCTACAGAAGTCATAAAAGAGTTCTTAGGTGGAGAAGAGGTCTCGCAAAATGCATATCAGCAGGGAAACTTTGAGTTCTAAAAGGTATTGAGAAATGCATAATTAAACTAAAAATAGATATTAAGAAAACCTTAAATTATTCTCGGATGACATCCTCCCAAAAACTACTGATGGAAGAGAGATGAGCAGAATGAATTTCGGAAATATGTAAGGCCTGCTTCAGGTTTGCCACTTTGTTTTCTAGATCTTTTATGTTTTTCCTTTGCCTTTCAGCGTTTTTGTCGTGCTGCTTGGCTACGCACTGCAGCAGCTGTTTCAGATCTGAGCATGTGTAGGTAAGGGCGTCTTTTTCATTTTCTAATTTGTCCACCATAGATTGCAAAATGTCAATTTTTTGAAGAAGCAGTTGATTTTCTTTGTTAATGGGCTCTGCTGGTTTCAGAATTTCTTGAAATTCAGGTTTATAATCTGATAAAGAATTTTGTGACCAATAATTAACAGTTGTTGCCATTTTCGAAATTTTTATATTTGCCTCAGATTAGAAAATTTATGATTAAAGTGGAGTAAACTAATCCTTTTAATATTAAATATGCAGCTCACGTAGGAAAAGGATGGCAAGTGTAAAAATTTTAATCGCATGCTTTTTAAAAATGATAATAAATGCAATTTAAGATGAAAATAATCAAAGGTTTGCATCAATCAATTATTTGACTAACAATTTGTAATTCTCCTAATTCCTGTGCTTCTATTTTTGTCTTGTTAATAGCAATTGTTGGAGATTTATTTCTAGAACTAACGGTTCTTGTCTTTACAAATTAAGTCATATCATCCTCTAGGATAAGTCTTAAGCCCAATATATTTATTTTGAAAGCAAGTTTTCCCCATTATTGACTCAATCAGTTTAATCATTATTGAATAAATATTAATAATGGGTTGCAAAGCAAGTGTTTGCACTGATCCAAATGAACTATTACTTTCACAGCATCTCCAAGACAAAGACACAGACCTCTCAAGCCATGTTTCTCAAAAATCAACTTATTATTCTCTTAATACACTTATTCGTAGAAGAGATGAAATAGATCTGTCAATCAAACCTCAAGAAAAAATCAGAACAGCCGTCCAAATGGTTTTTCAAAATTCAAAGCATCAAGCTGATCTTATGGAAATTCTTGAAATGTGGTTTAATGAAGTTTACACTATCTTAGATGATTCAGTCTTCTGTAAGCAAGACCTGAAAAGCTATTTATGTGTAGATTCTACAGGCTCAAATATGATATGGTCGTTTTCTTCGGATTATTCAATAGTAATATGTTTTTAAACTAATGACATAATTAGGGATCTTGGTATAATCAAGCATGATATCGATGGCATCCGCTCTTATAAATGTTTAAAAGAGTTTTGTGAAAAACTTCAAAGACTTCCCTATTGTAACAGCTTGAGATTCAATACCCAAATGTTTTCCAGACACGAAGATTTTTTACTTGCTTTATGCCCGCTAACAATTTCTTTTTATCTTAAGCTTGGCTCTCATATTGATTGCGGGTTTGGTGTCGAAAAGCCGATGGATAGAAAACAACTATCACAATTTTTGCTCCATTCAGCTGAGGCAGAAAATATTTCAAGATGGTCATATCAGAATTCTCATCCAATTCCTATCCAATTTAACTACTCTTGCTTTCACAGCAGCAGAACTTGCAATTTTTACTTATTTGACGGACTTAAGTCTCAGAATTATGAGAGAGGAATTTCAATGTTCGAATGCTTTGGATCGCCTGTGTCAGCAGAAATTTCAAAAATCATAAGAAGAGCTAAAGGAGAAGAAGTTAACTGTATTATAGAAATTGACCAAGATTCAGTAATTTCAATGGCTATGCAGGTACATGAACATGAAAATTCTTTGGCAATAGCTAAAGAACTTGATACTGAGCTAGACCAAAAGAAATGGGTGAAGTTTCAAAAGCTTCTCCAGCCTAAGTGGTTGCTTTTAGAACTTAATCGAGAAGGCTTTAGATTGATTCATTTGAGTTCAATTACCTAAATCATATGTTTTACTTTTTTAAAGTAAAATTGCTAGTTAAAAAATATTTATTAAAATAAATTAATTCCTTTAAAAATTGACACGTATTTAATATGGAAATAGTTAATAAGGACCTTTACAATTTTCAAGAACTCATTTTGGTTTAAAAATTAATTTCTTATAAATGGATTTTACAAAGCCATTGAACAATAGGTATGATCCTTATGTGACCAAAGCAAAATTAGATGAATTCATAGTCCACCATTTATCGACAGAGCACAAGTTCCCACTTAACAATAAATACTCCAACTCCAAGCTGATAATAGGGTCGATTGCAATTCTTTTTACAATCATTGCACACGCTTATGAATACGTTTACAACGCCCATTTTCCTAAAGACTACTGGATAACCCTCGTCTGTGTGATTTTCTATTTTATTTTCAATTTTATTTATCAGTACATCGAATACTTTGTAGAGCAAGAAATTTTCTTTACATCAAACCCTGAAGCATCTCAATGGAGCCATTTAAACGAAATTTCTATTTCATCGTCTATAAAGAAATTTGACTGCTATTACAATATTAAGCTCTATCTGAATGTAAAGCCAAAAGCTGAGATAAAACACAAAAAAGATATGAAAAAATTAAGAGATAATTTATATGTCTGGGAAACAAAAATTATTGTATCAAGATTTTTCACAGAAGATGGGCATATGGTGAACGAAAATGTGATTAAACTTATCAATGAAGTCCTTGAAGCTGCTGCGAAAGTCTAATAAGCTAAAATCTTAGAATCTATCTATATGAATAATTGATATACTTTTAAGCTTGCTGGCCCGAGTTGGTCAATATAATGGTTTCCTTTCTTAACCCTATTTTGTAATACGCTTATTCCCCCCTCCGTGAGTAAACAAAAAATTTTGTTCGCTCAAGGAGGGGGTTAATTTTTTTTAAAAATTTATATATGAATTTTATAATAAATGTTTTTTGGAAATTTAAAAATAAAAATATTTATTTAATTTGTAAAATTTATGTTTTAAAATGCAAGTTATTTAAAATTCAACAGAATTAGCTAGAAATTTCATTATAAATAATTATCATTATATACCAAAATTTTTTTTTATAAAAAATTTTTATTCGCTTGTGGAGGGTGGGTTTTTGGGCAAAAAATAACGATTTTTCCAATGGTTTTGTTGGGAAGCTAGATCTCTTTCGATAAGTAAAATCCAGAGGACAATCTCTTTGGCACAAAAGCGCCATTATGTCCAAAAAAAGATTAGCAAATTTTATAATCATAATTGAAAAGTCAACACAATTTATTGTTCAAAGTTATAGTGCATTGCTGCAAATTTTGTAGCATTATATATAAATTAATCAAAGAAAGTCTAAAAGATCATAATAATTAATATGCAGAATTTTGGATAGTTTAAGAGTGAAAATAAAACTTTTAAAAAGGCTAAGCTCCTCAAAATAATAAATAGACTGTTTTCAATTTGATGTGATAAGAGCTTGCAACCAATATGATTAAATGGAAAGACTCAAAACCTTAGACATATCACTCAGTGAAAAGCTCGACAGAATCACAAATCCAAACCTGCTTTCCTCTACTCAGTCAAAGCTCCTCATCCGCCCTAAAATGGAAACTTACTCTTCTCCAGATTGAACGAAACTTTGAATTACGAGAATAAAAAAGAATAGCAGACAATCCAAATTTTCAAGGACAGCAGATCATTTTGGCCTCGCCCAAGCCAATAACACAATTTTGAATAAAGAAGGAGTAAGCAGCTTGCAACAAGCTTCTTATTACGGAAAAGTAAAAATTATGAAAAGGCTTATAAGAGAAGGCGCAGATGTCAATCATGAAGACTGAAGCGGAAACACGGCGCTGCTTTATGCAATTCAGTCAAATCAACCCGAGTCAGTCAGGATTTTAATGCAAGTCAAAGAACTTGCAGTTAGCCAAAAATTTGGAGATAGACATGAAACAGCTTTAATAAAAGCTATAAAACTTGGCCATACTGAAATTGTAAAAGAGCTATGTAAACGTCCAGAAGCAATTTTAAAGCAAGATATAGATGGCAGAACTCCTTTATTTCATGCAGTATTAAAAGGAAACTGTGAAATTGTCCAAACCTTGCTTGATATAGGAGGCTCTGAAGAAGACTTGATTGATTATAAAGGACACAACGCAATTGAGTTAGCCATAAACATAGGTGAAATAGGAACTGTAAGGACTTTATTGTCATATCATAACCTTGAAATTACCCAAGCTATAGGACAAAGTTTACTGATCCTTGCATGCTATATTAATGACATTGAAATTGTTAAAAGTCTATTAGCAAGAAAAATGCCAACACACTGTGTTTGCAATGAATCTCAAAAAACCCCAATTTTTATAGCCTATAGTCTTGGATTTACAGAAATCGTGTATCAACTGTTAGAAGTTGCTAATGCTGAAATTTTGGACCATAAAAGCTTAGAAGATGATTCAATTCTTTTGATGGCTACAAGAAGAAATGACCAGATTCTGGTATCAAAATTACTTACTCTCCTCTCATTTGAATTAAACATAGGTAAATTTTTTTGTTGAGTAAGTAACCTCCATCTATCCCGAAGCAAAACTTTTTTAATATTTTTTTATTAATTATTTTAACCTAATTTAATGGAGAGCGTGCAAGTATAATGTTATTTAAACAGTTGGCATGATGAATCCATTAATATTTTTATTTAATTCTCTATAAAAATAAATTAGAATTCAAAAATATTGCATTCAATTTTATATTTTAATCTTTTATTTTATATTAATTTCTTTAAATTGGAAAAGGAATTTTTGTTAAAATTTAAAAGGGAAGGAGTTAAAAAAAGGTGCAAATGCAAATATACAGGCACCGTTTAATATAACTCCTCTACTTGTCGCTAGTGAAATGGGACACGATACCATAATTAAGCTGCTTCTGCAATATGAAGCTGACCTAGACTTTCAGGATGTCCAAGGAGAGTCCGCATTAATGCTGGCTGTTGCAAATAAGCATAAAAATGCAATAAAAGTTCTCCTAGAGTACAAACCTTTAACTTGTATTGTAAACAGCCGGAACAAGCGAGCAGTTGATTTGACTACTAATTTGGATATCAAAATGATGATTGAAGAATATATGTTTAATACCCCTGAAAAGCAAAGCCCAGAATTTAACATAGAAGTCAAAAGACTTGTTCGTCAGCACTCAAAGCGTCCATCTACAGTATCAAATGAATCAATCTTTAAGCTCCTCAAGTCTTCTGCAAAATATGAATATATTTAAGCTTTATTATAACTAAATTTCTTCTAACTTCCTCTTTAAATTGAAACAAAAAATAGTTAAAATTTCCATCTTTGGGCACTTTAACAACCCTTTAAATTGGAACAAAATTTTTCTTCAATAGAAAGATTTTATACTAATTTTTATAAAATTAAATTTTGACCTAATTTATTACAAGTAGAATATTATTATTTAAGCAGCTTTATCGCTAAATCGGCTAATTTTTTTGAATTAATTCTTCATGAAAAAATTTGAATTCAAAATTGGATTCAATTTATATATTTTAATTTTTAAAAGAATTAACCCCCATTTAGAGCAGGATTTTTTTGCACTATTTAAAAGGAGGGTGAGAATTTAATGCAATCACTATTTAAAAATTATTATTTTTTTTAATTTTTCGTAATAAAATATTCGTCTTTGGAATATAATTTAAATAGATTTAAATATAAGATCTATTGATAGATCTTGATGATTGGGGAATTCTTAAAACATCAGTTAACTGTGAGATATATAATTTTTTAATATTTTAAATTAAGATGCAAATATGTTTTATTAAAGTTTTAATTATATCACCTTATAAAGCATATAAAGAAAATTTCTTATATTTACAGAGATTATCAAGCTATGATGAACTATTAATGTTTTATATTTATGAATTGTTTCCTTGCAGCTTTAATTACAAATATCTACCGCTATTTTTTTCTTTAATTTGATTCTCTAATTTATCAAACAAAATTCTTTGATTTGACCTATTTCTTATTTTGTTTTCATCCTCACTCATCTTTGCCAGCTTATCTCACTCAATCAAGCTTTCTCTTATCTTGCTTTCTTCATTCAATACTTTTTCAATCATTATTTGCTTTTCTCTAATTTGTTTATCTAATGCATCTCTTACATCCTCTTTCACAACTTTTTTATTAAACTCATTATAATATGATTTTAGCCTTTCATATTCTTCTAGCTCTTTTTGAATTACTCTTGCTTTTTCTTCATCAATTTTTGATTTTTCTAGCATCGAAGTTCTTTCAATGCTTCTTTTTTTCGTATTTTCAAATCTATTTTCCATTTCTTTAAATTCATCAAAAAATCTTTCTCTGATTTTGAGATAATCTGAAGGATTGTTTAAACTCGGAATTTCGTTAATAATTGATTCTTCTTGATGGACTGGAGTATATTCTTGCTCTAATCATTCAGTCTTAGATTGAGGAGTGCTGAAACCAGATGTGATCTCTGATACTTGAACCAAAATCTTCGATTTTATATCTTCCGCAGCTTCATTAAATGTCATCCCTTTATCAAATAAATCATCTGAATTTTGAATTTCAAAATCCAAAATACTTATTTGGTTGGGCGACAGAGTGTCTTCTCCTATTTCACTCAAGATGACTTTTCGTAATCTCTCCTTTCTTCTATAATTGAAAATATTTATTCGCTTATCTTGGCTCATATTGCTTATTCTTATAAGGAATAAAATGGTCATGCTGACGGAAGAAGGACTTTGATGTGCTCTCCTGATACAGCAGGTAGAATATAGCAGTTGCCCGATGATGGCGCATTGAGAGCGCATCATCGGGCAACTGCTATAAATAAAATGGCTTTCGCTTCAAACGAAGTTAGCTCCGCTAACTTTCTCTCACTCAAGCAATTTTTATTTATGGGGTTGGGTTTTACCTCGAGAACTTCTACACAGCAACAGCGGTTTAATTTTGGAGATAACCAGAGGAACTGCTCCTCAGCGCGATCAAGATTCTCAGGTCTTTATCCCTCAGCACATCCCAAGGGAGATGAACCCTCAGGCGGAACACGCACAGGAGCTGAGTCGGAATAAAGCCGTGGCGGCAGCGAAGCCCGTCGAAGCCGGAACGCCTTATTTGCCCGTGCCCTGGCGATCAAAAAGGATCGATCCAGCGATTTCTGGGCCCGACACATGGATAGATATGGTGGCAGCTCTGGAGTTGGCTACCCGTAGTGGACGTAAAGCTTTATAGATAATTAAGATTAAGATTAAGATGCTGCAGGTAGTACCCATGCGATGAAGTGAAAACATTATATGTCAGTTTTCGATTATCCATCGGGCTTTAGGGCAGACAAAGAGGGAAGTCTCATATAGGCCCTTCCTATAGATGGCGCATTGCGCGCCATCTAATTTATTTTAGTATATCTCCCCTGAAGGTTTTCCTGCCTGCTAGATAGGCTAAGCAAGTTTTGCCGACAACATGGTTTCTCTTTGCAGGGACCTACTGGAACCTCCAGGTGGGCCGGTCCTTGGCAGCTAATCCTTGGATAGAAGGTTCAGGCGGAAATCCAAAAGGCAGCCTTCCATTTTCTCAATTAAACGCCGAGGCATATGAAGACTGCTTTTTCTTTGAAGGAAAGGATAAGTAAAGGCTAGTGAGTTTAGCAGCTTATGACCAGCTTAACCTTTTAGCTCAACTTAAAATAATTTCACTTATTTTTATATAAATGAAAAATGGAAAACATTTAGAGATTTTTGATTAAATTATATTTAATAAATTGTCAGAAATTAAGTAAAATACTTTTCATACGATTAAATCTTTCAGTATTCTGATCTATGAACTTATTTTTTCACCACTTTTCCATCCTTCCACTCTCCTTCTTTTCTGTCCCCTTTTCCATTAATTAAAACCCCTTTTCCATCTTGCTTGCCATCAGCCCAATACCCTTCATATTTCTTTCCGTCTGGCCAAGCAAAAACTCCGTATCCATGCTTTTTATCGTTTAAATACTCTCCTGTGTAGCATCTTCCATCGAGCCATGTAAAAGTTCCTTTTCCATCCATTTTGTTGTTTTTCCACTCACCTACATATTTTCTTTGATCACTTCATATATAAGTTCCGAACCCGTGAATATTTCCTTCAAAAAACTCCCCTTCATATGAGCTTTTGTCACTTCATAAAAATTTTCCTTTCCCATGCTTTTTTCCGTATCAATATTCTCCTTCATATTTTGAATTATCAGGCCAAGTCTCAATTCCGTATCCATGCTGCTTGTCATCAAGTCAGCTTCCTTCATATCTCGTATTATCGGCATGTATGAAAATTCCGTTACCTTTAGCTTTATCATCTTCCCAGTCCCCATCATAAACGTCTCCATCAGCATGAATAAGCCTTCCTTTGCCGTTCGCCATGTCGTTTCTCCAGTGTCCTTCATACTTGGATCCATCTTTTCACAGCAAAACCCCTCTTCCATGCCTTTCCCATTTATCATTTCATTCTCCAATATAAATTGCTCCGTTTTCAAGCTGAACTGGAGGTTTTTTTGATATCACGACTCCATCGTTTAAAGACTTTTCATATTTGAAAGGTCCAAGCTTTTTCGCAGCTGATCTTGTTAATGGAGTAGAGTAGTCAGGCAAGACCCCTTGGATTTCCATTAAAGATCTTGAATTGGTATCGGAGACCATTCTTTTGTGGTGAGAAGCTCTGACTTTAGGCGCTAAAGCTCGACGATCTAGGAAGCCTCTCAGGATAGATTGGATCATTATGACTGACGGAACACTTATTGTACGTATGGACGATTTTGAGTTAAATAAAACGACAGATGAATCTTGCTTCTGCTTGAGTTTACTATTGGCTTTGTCTAGTATCACTTGGCTTTCTTCTACAATATGTTCTTTTAAACACGAGCAAGATTGTCCCATATCCTTATTTATAAGGCTTTTTCTTGGATTGCCCACTAATAATAGCTTTCAACAGCATTGGAAAATTCAAGGGAAAGCTTTTTATAAAATTTACATAATTAAGAAATATTTAAAATGTATAGTCAACCATAGGTTTGGCTTTTAAAAGGAATGCTTTTGAGTTGAATCCAGATTTGAATCTGTAGTCAGCATGATATGGAGTCAATTGACTATAAAACTGGGAGAGGATGGGTGAGCTCATATCTTTGGAGCTTCCTCTAGTAGTCCGAGTGAGAGTTCTTGAAGAATTAGGGGGAGGAATTCTTAGTGGAATGCCCTTTTTAGTCACTGAGCAATAGGCAGTGTAGTTTTTATCTTTCTGGAGATCAAGTGATTTTGAAGGTTTCTTGCTAGAATAACTATAGGTTCTTTTAAGAGATAATTTTTGATCATTTGTGGACTCAGATGAGTTCGCGATTGGAATTCTAGGTGATAGCTCTGGCTGAAAAGTGCATCCAACTAGTTCATTGTCAAAGGACTGCCGTCTTTGCGTTTCGATTTTTTTCTGTTTTTCTTCGAACCAAGAATGAACTCTGTCAACTACACTCATTTTTAAGTAGTTTTTCTTTGGAGTTGGGATTTCAGATACTGATTTTGATCTTGCTGTTAAAGACTTTTTTAAACTTTCTAAGCTGATATACGAATTCATTGCTCTAAAGGACTGAAGCTTATCTCTTTCTGCTCGCTTCGCCGACTCCTTTTCATTTTGGAGGTCCAAACTTCTTCTAGCTTCAGCCATTCTTCTAGATTTCGGGTTAATTAATGGCTTTTCTTTCAACTGAGCTGCTTCTTGAGATTCTTTTTCTAATATTTTCAAGTTAAGCTTAGCTTTGTATCCTGCGTGCTGAGCTTGAAGTAAGTCTTCAATGCTCACAGTTATAGAAGGGATTTTCTTTAAACTTTGAGTTGATTGGTTTAACCTCCCAGATTTTACAGAACCTGAAGAAGAAGCAGGCCGTAAAGTCACGCTCACTCTGGGGACAGATTCTGATTCAAGATATGGCTGAGAATCTATTGTGGAGAGAGGAATATTAGCCTCAAATTCTTCCATGACAAAATTTTTTATTGTGATCTATAGACCTATGAAATCCTAAGAAAAGACTAGCCACTAATGGAACTTATGTAAAAAAAGAAGTCTACTGATTTTGAGATAATATTGGGGATAAGTGTAAGCAGAAATAATAATTCATAAAAACGTTTATTCTAGGAGAATCAATTAATTACTTTAGTCGAAAGAAGAAATAGATGCAGGAAATGGATAAGATCAGTTGCATAAGCAAACTAGTTTTCTAACTCCCCCCTCTGTGAGTGAACAAAACCATTAGAAAAATCCCTATTTTTTGTACAAAAACCCACCCTCCGTAAGTGAACAAAAATTTTTTATGGAAAAAATTTTTTATATATAGTGATAATGAAATCTCGGCTAATTTTGTTTAATTTAAATAAATTGCGTTTTAAAACATAAATTTTTACAAATTAAATTAATATTTGCTTTCAAATTTTTATAGAAGTGAGATTTTTGAAGAAAAAAAAACTTCTATAAAATTTATATATAAATTTTAAAAAAAAAAAAATTAAACCCCCCTCCGTGAGTGAACAAACTTTTTTGTTCACTCACGGAGGGGGGAGTAAGCAATTAAAGAGCAGTTTTTATAGAAGGTAAACCCTTAGAGCTTTTAAATTCATAAGCTTTATAAGTGGCTTTAGTTATTGACCATCTTTTCGCTTATTATTCCTATTAATTATTATTTAAGTTCAGAATTTCTATTTTAAGAATTCTAGATTCGAATATTTATGGTCAATAAATAAAAATTTCTTGAAAGGAGCATCACAATTTCTAATTAATTTTCTTTGAATTCTATGATTTGCCAATCCATTATAATTCAAATGACTCTTTTTCTAATCTTATTTCTCGCTACTAAAAATGCATCTCTATTGAAAAGCAAAGATAACAATAATAATTTTCATAGCATACAATTAATTTCGTTTCTTTTTTTATAATCATGATTCTATCTTAATGAATTTCTGGTAAACTTTATTTTATCAAGTATAAATGCTATTATATACTTTTGCAAAATTAAAAATGTTTGCTTTATTAAATTTTCGTAATATTTAATAAATTTTTGACGAGCGTAGAATTTTAAAACATGATTTTAATATGAATTGAATTGATAATAGGGCAATATTTATTATTAAGTTTCTAAAACTATTTCGTAAATTTTCAAAGTTATACAAGGCTTAAAAAGTACGATTCGGGGCATTATCTTCAACCGGAATGCCGTTAAATATTTGTAAGATCTCGTCCTTAGCCATACTATCAATCTTAAGACTGTTTGTGAACTTGCTGCACTTTTCGTTATCTGCAAAGCTCTGGTCTAAGCCAGCAATCATCGTTGAATCATTTCCTCCAGTTCGAATAACACTTATTTTTATGTTTCTCCTCCTCAAACTTATCCATTCATAAGTGGTTAGATTATTGAGCTTCAGTCACCCATGCAGACCGCACAGCAATGTCAAAAAAACAATCACAAAAGATGTTTCAACCACCAAGATAAAAGCTAAAACTAAAATAAGATCGAATTCTCCGATATCAAGCATACTTTCAACCAAAGAATTATATCTTGTCTCATTGGAGTATTTGAAATCAATTAAGGTTACGCTTATCCCAAGTAAGAAACACATATTAATATTTTGCACAATAATCAGATAGATAAATATCTTATAATTCTTTTTCCCAACACAATTGTTAAGCCACACACAATGATGATCAAAATCATCAACGCATCGATTGCATACTCCACAATGCTTGCTCTTATCATTAACCAGACAAGCACAAATAGAGCAAAAAGAGTTATACATTCTTTCATCAAAATACACATTTTCATTTCTCGCCTTTATATAAGCAATAGACACTGGGTCAGTTGGGTCACTAATAGTTATCTTACTTACTTACTTATCTGGTGTTTAAGGTGTCTAGTGCCGCAGCCCAAAAGGGCCTATGGCAAAACTGATGACGTAGGCGAGCCATCTTGGCACAGGTCAGCCCGTCCAAGCCTTCTATCAACTCCTACTTCACCAGCTCTGCTGCACGTCTCACCCGGCGCGTTGCCGTCGCCCTTGTCGTTCGACTCAGCTCCTGCGCGTGTTCCGCCTGAGGGTCATACTCCCGTGGGGATGTGCTGAGAGGTAAAAGCCCGAAATCTTGAGTGGACTGAGGAGTGGTTCCTCTGGTTATCCCAGAGTTAAACCGCTATTGCTGTCCAGAAGTCTTCGAGTGAAAACCTAACCCTATAAATAAAATTTCCATGAGGGAGAGAAAATTAGCAAAGCTAATTTCTCTCGAACCGAATGCCATTTTATTTATCCACTAATAGTTATCAAATAGCCCAAAACAATAACAATCACTTGAGAAATAAAATACCCGAGTGTTAAAATTGACTAAATAGTTCCTACAATAGAAATAGAAGAAGCTGATGCAACAGATATGACCACGCCAAAAGCGACGTTCAGAACTGTAGCTATTCAAGTTACGATTTGGAGCGGGTTTAAAGGCAGCGCAAAGCCATTTTTCTTAACTTTTCTTCTTTCCATGCAATTATTAGTTCTCTAAACTCTATTCTAGAGTTAAATGAAAATCCTTATGATATAAAAATAATTTTAACCGTGATAACTAGATGCTTAAAAAGGTATGGATATGATACGCTAACCAAGTAGACATACGCCCACTTACAATGCAGTAAATCCCATATAGAGTTTTCGGTGGATGTTTGATTGCTGGAATCGGCGATTATATTTCTCAGGCATACCTTGAAGGGCCAAATCAACGGTATAATAAAAGAAGAGCCTTTACAGTCACTTCTTATGGAGGGCTTGAAATTGCTGTCGAAGCTATACTTTGATACCCATTCCTTGATCGCTTTTTGGGATCTCATCAGGCTGTTATTACGTCATTTTGAAAAGCCATGATTGACCAGACGCTCTATCAGCCTATAGAAATCACAGCTTTTATGAGATACACGTGAATATTAGAAAACAGAAAAGACAGTCTCAAGGAAAAATTTGAAAGGGATTATGAATTAGCAATGCTGGCAAATTTCTTTTATTGGGTTCCTATGTCATTTATGCTATTCCTAGTAGTCCCGCTTAAGTTCAGAGCAGTTGCTACATCGTTTACTTGTCTAGTAATGGATACCTTTATGAGTTTTGCTGCACACAACAATTTAAAAGAAGCTTATACGAATTTAGTGAACCTTTTCAAAGAAAAACTGGATGATTTAGATATCGATGATTGGTGGTAAATATGAAAGAAAATAACTATCAAGTTTTAATAATTCTATATAAATGGGTTTTCTTGATCTGAGATCTGGCTCTTAATATTAAGATTAGATTAGTAGTTGCTAAATAGCAAAAGAAGAAGGGTATAGTACTTAAAAATTCATATTTTATTATAAAAATTCATTATATTGTGATTATAATGCTAACTCTAGTTTTGGCTTTCCTAGCTTCAGCTCAAGCAGTTCCCGTCACATCTACTCCTGAAGGACTTCTAAAATTCTACGAAGCCTTAGAAATCAATTCAATGAACCATACAATTACTTATTTTGAGGGACGCGGGCTTGGAATTAAATTAAATTCAGATGTGCACGAAGGTGATATTGTTCTCAAAAGTGCGCCGGTACTGTCTTTATGCAGTATCGAGCCTTTTGAGTTCAGTCCTTACTTAAAAGGCCTGCCTTCCTATGAAAAACTAGTTGCGAGGATCTTATATGAAAAATTTATAGGGAAAAGAGGAAATTTCATCACAGAATACATCCATTCATTGCCTGTAGATATTGACACTCCAGACTTCTGAAGCGATGAAGAATTTGCATTATTTCATAAATATGACTTATATAGCCTTCCCAGAGAAGTTATAACAAAAAATCTTACTGAGAGTCACAATAACTTTATTCACAGGGTAGGCAAGCTAATTGGAGTCCCTAAAGAAGCATTAGAATATGATGCCTACTTATGAGCTGCATCAATGGTTAAGAGCCGATCATATAACTTCTCTAAAGATACAATTTTAAAACTGTTTCAAATTACTATAGATGATGATGAATACAAAGATGAAGAAGAGCTTTCTGTTATGATATCACTCTTAGATTTATAGGATTTCCGCCTATATATAGTTCTGTAAGAGCTGTGGATTCTGTCCGGAATCCTTTGGTTGGTGGGACCAACTCACTTGTTGGCTCCACCAAATAATGATTTCGGACAGAATTCGCAACCCTTACAGAACTATATAAGAGAAAACCCTATAGCTAACCATTGGTATCAGCCAAGGTCTTCTACTTTTAAGGGCCGAGTTGTTATATGGACACATACTCCAGTTCCTGCATTTGCCATAGTAGCAGGATGGAATCAATCTGCAGGGAATGAGTTTTTCTATCAATATAACTCTGGGCTAAATAATTTTGACTTATTAACAGCCTTTGGGTTTGTAATTGAAGAAAATCCAAATGATTTTATGATTTTGACATTTTCTGATGTTGCTTGTTTTGAGTATAAAGCATCAGAAAATAGCTGCAACTATAGATTATATCCAGGCCAGCCGAACAAAAATTTGATTAAGCTTTTCAGCATCAAATGGCTACAAAATGCAATATTTGATGTCCCTGAAACAGAAAGCCTTCATGAATTTTATGAAAAAATCCAAGAAGAAAATGAAAAGCATGCTTTCATTCAAACTTTATGGAGCTATAGAAAGCAAATAATTCCAAGAGTTGAGAATATGATAAGCTTAAGACAAGTAGAAAGGGATAGGAAAAATGCAAAAACACAAAGGGAAAAGATAATTTTTTCATATGCGGCAGCAATGAGGAAAACAATATATGAACATTTGAAATCAGTTGATAGAGAGCTGCTTTTAATACTGGCCAAAGGACTTAATTTATCTTAAATAAACAATTATTATCTTTAGTTTTTTTATAGGACTGAGCCTTTAGCTAATATTTTATTATTTAGAGCTTTCATACTATATAATATACTAATAATTATATTTATGCTAATAATTTAAATGCATTTTTTTAAAAATAAAATACTTTTATTAGATTAGGTAAAATAGCCTATTCCAATTATTTTTTGTCTTTTGAGCTTGAAAATCCAAGAGCCATCGTTAGCTTGGTGAATAGTCATACAAAGAAGACTTTAATTGGCATTTTAACAAATGGCATTACAAAAATATCAGAGCCATAACTAACACTTGTGTTGCAAATCCATTTATATGTAAGACTCAGCTGGAATTGAATAGAAAATAATATAATAGACCAGCAAAAATACCCCATAAGGCTCCATGATAGCATGAAAAATCCGAATTTTTTCCACTTCTCCCTTTTCTTTATTTTGTTCTGCTTTTTTGGATCTTTATACTCTTTAATATTTCTTTTTGCTAAAATTCTCAAAATAATAGCTATCGGGATCATGAGTAGGATTAGGATTATTAAAAGTCAGCCATTTGGTAACGAAGTCGCAAAAGGCCTCCTGCACGGGAGGTTCTACCACTTTTGGACTCAACCTCAGAGGGTTTATTCCTCATATGAGTGCGCAAACACAGAAGGCTGGAGAGGGAGGAGCAGCTGGAAGAGCTTGAAAAGGCAGGGACTACGGAGGAGATCGTATAGGAAATCGAGTGGTGAATTGCTGAAAAGGAAAGGAAGGAAATCCTAGTAGAGGAGGAGGCCTGGCGCACGTCAGCGATGGTCATTGAGTCGTCCGGCTGTTAAAGGGTCAGCTGGTCTCCCTATGTTGCGGCAAGCCAGGAAGGTCGCCACGGGGGTTTGCTTCCTTGGGAAGGGCTTGCTAACTGGAGAAAACTGCAGTTTTCTGGCCTTTGGGTTCGGTATTTTGGGGTGATGCCCCCGGGAGTTGTGGGAGTTGTGGGAGTTATGGGAGTTATGGGAGTGATGGGAGTTGTGGGAGTTGTGGGAGTTGTGGGAGCTGCGGGAGCTTTGGGAGTTGTGGGAATTGTGGGAGTTGTGGGGATTGTGGGAGCAGCGGGAGTTTTGGGCTCCAGGAGTTGTGGAGCCTGAAAACGTAAATAAGCCAAAAAAGCCAAGAAGATGAGCCAAGCTTGCTTAATTCTCAAATAAGTGCTGCTGCCAATGATCTTGGCATAGACCAAGAAAAGTAAGCCAAGCAATCCAAATTAGAGATAGATTTAGAACGATTTGCTCAGCAATTCAGGCCAATCCTAATTATGGTAGGGTATAAAATGAATTTTCTTCTTTTCTTCTCATATGAGTGCCCTTCTGGTACTTCTGTCTTCCCTTGCCTTGCAGCTTATCGGTATCATGATACCTGTAGAATATACCATAACCCAAAAGTCTCGAAATGAATAGTTGTTAATCGCTTCACTGAAATTCATGCTATCACTGTCGTCATCTTTTTGTTCTCCATCTTGATAAAACAGTCCTATAAAAAACATATTCCCGAGCAAGGAAACAGTATATGCGGTTACTCGCACGCTATGAGAAAATTGACTATCGGGTAAAAAAATGCTGATAAAATCGTGATTTTTCCCAACAAATTCAAAAAAGCTCATCCTTTTCTTTGTTGGTTTGACATCAATATTTTCAACTTGAATAGACGCTATAGAATCAGCCCTACTCATTTCTTGACTTGTATTTTGCTCTGTTGAATGGATAGTAGGATCATAGCCTATTTTGTGACGGAAATTGTGAGCAATCGAATCATCTGTCCTGTAAGTCATATCCTCAGATCTTTCTGTTAATTCATCAGGCTTTTTTGAGATATCTTCAGCTGCTGCTGCACCCTTTATTATATCGAGCTCTTCTTCTGCTTCCTTTTTATCGAGCTTGCATGCTAGCATGGTTAGGACAATATAGAAAATCAAAAGCGCTGCACAAAAATAGAGCCCAATTGCGTTAGTATCTCAGTCAATTGAAGAAAAAGCGTTAACGTTCACTGTATCCCCAATATTACTTGACTGGGCAGTACTTGCAGCACCTCCAAAAAACGCTGAAAAAATTGATAAGTGGCTGCACTTGCAAATGATAACAGTAGTATTGAACGAATCTAAAACACATCCATCTGTTTTTCATTTAGACAGACCTTCTTCTAAATAAGAACAATTTAGTGTTGCATTAGAGCTGTTATTTATAAATTCAACTGGGATTGAAATATAGTTATAACTCGTATTGTTTAATGGGATAGCATCATGGGTTGATAAATCTGTAAGAGTAAAAGAAACTAACTCCTCCATCCGTTGAGCGAACAAAAAAATCTTGCTCACTCATGGAGGGATTTTTTTTTTAAATATTTATATATAATTTTATAGAATTTTTTTTCCAAAATTAAAAAACATTCTAATTTATAAAAATTGAGAAGCTAATAGTAAAATTTATGTTTTAGACGCGATTAGTTAAAAATTAAACAGAATTAGCTCGAGATTTCCTCATACTAATTATCATTTATATATCAAAATTTTTCTTTTAATAAAATTGTTTGTTCGCTCAAGAGAGTAGGTTTTTGGCAAAAAAAATAGGGATTTTTCCAATGGTTTATTTCACTCACGGGGAGAGTAAAGAAAAACTCGCATTTGCACCGCCAGGAATAGGGTCATATAGCACGAAGCTTGTGCCCACATAGTCATTACTGATAAAACTTTCTGTGTTTGATGCTAAAGTTATTGAAGCTCCCATAATTTCTGACGAAAAATTCGAGAGTACAGAATTTGGCTGCTTTGACAACTCAACACTGATTTTTTCATCAAGGAAAAGTTTGCTTTCTCTTGATGACATTCCATTTAGTAAAGCAGAGCCAACACTTTTTATATTGCCTTCAATCGAAGATATGGAGTCTGTTTGATTTGATACTGAACTGCTGTTGACTTGGAAGTTATTATTGCAAATTCCAATGAAGGTTTGAACTTGTGTATCATCTAGCTGGACCTTCCCATCCAGGCTGCTAACAACTTCCTTGATTATATCAGCCACCTTTGCGATATTATCATAACTGTTAATGCTTGGATTTGAAGTAATAACTTTTAGCATACTGAAGACGGTTGTATAGGTATTCGGGTCATAAGGATCTGTGTTTTGTGTATAGGATGATATTTTATCAATAGCTATGTTGTATGAGTCCTGAATCTGCTGATCTACTGTTGAATAATCTCCATTCACAATGTAATTCCTATTTAATGATAGTGAAGAGAGATCAGAAACGAGCTTGGGAATTGAAATCGGGTTTAAATCGGGCGAATTTAATTGAGATTTTACGTCATCTACATATTGGTCAACGTTTGCATCTGCCTGATACGATACGGTAATGCCTTGAAACGTTGTCACTTTGGATAATAGAGAGTCATAAACGTCTACGGATATCATTATTTGTTTGCTTGAGTAAGGAAAAGTTGAATAAATCAAGGAAGAGGTGTTTTTTGAGCTAATAACTTGGTAGATATCACTAATAGTATAGCCAAATGCATACTGGATCGGAATGTTATCTTCAGGATCTACCCAATTTAATGCTTCAATTGAAAATTGTGTCGTCATTTCATATCCTGAACTTGGAGTTACAGATAAACTTCCACCTTTTGGTCCTTGATTCACATAGAATGTTCAGGTAAATACAAAGTTTTGATTTATTAGAGCTTCTAAAGTGTACTTTGAGCCTGCCAACAATGAATTTTGTGCAATTACAAGGTCAGCATAAATTAAAGGGCTTGAAAACAAAATAGGCAGATCTCCTTTGGCTGATCAAAGAATTGAAGTGAACGATCCTTGAGCTTGGACGCGATATGCCAAGTCAGGATTCACAATCCCTACGTTTGAGTTTCCAATTTCTACTATATTTACAGATGGAACGGTACCTTGCTGAGACGTTATATATATACTTTTAGATACTTTTATTGTTGTACTTATCGGATTCAGGGTAGTTTTAGTCAGAATTAGAGTGAAGTTATAAGTGATCCCTGAAGAAAGTGAATTCGCTGAAATTTTCATAAGTGAACTTAACGGATTTGAAATAAAAGTCGAGCAATCAGCTGCATTATATACACACAACCATTCAAAACTGAGCTGTGACTTGCCATCAGGATCATAAGAACTGCCAGCATCAATTAATAAATCTTGACTAACCCCTGCCGGCCCATCAGTTCGATTGAACAAAATGACAGGATCAGACACGTCAGTTTGTACCATCACACTTGCTTCTCCTTCAGATAGATAAACCAAGTCTTTTGCGCGGAATATAAATGTGATATTAGTTGAAGCTGGTAGAACTTTTGGAGGAATAATCAATACATTTTGAGAAGTCTGGTTGCCTCTCAATGACACTTCATCTATGCTTGTAATGTTATTAGTAACCAGTCCAATGCTTCAAGTGACACTAATGCTGCTAGAGATTGTGCAAGCTTGAATCGATGAAATAGATATAGAAAATGACTTCAGTCGAGAAATATATGTAGATTCTAAAGTATTGAAATTTATAGTCAAAAATAGTGATGAAGTCACGTTTATAGATTGGGAAACTGAAATTTCAGTACCAAAGTTATTCTTTGCTGCAAAAGATGCAAATATAATGCTGTCAAAAAGTGAACTTTTAGGAATTGTGATATCACTATAAGTATTGCTATATTGAGTGGAGTATGCGGATATGGCTGCATTAGCAGGGGCTGAAGAAAATGTCCACTTGAATTGCTCATATGGCAGATCATTTCCAATAACTGCAGTCAATTTTAAGGTCTCACAGAGAATTGAGAGGGTTTTGGGAGCTGAAAATGTAAAGCTTGGACTTGGAATCGGACTTGGAAGAGAAATTGGGACTGAAAAATTGGTTGGAGGATTTCCACAAACCAAATCAGAATTTTTTAAGAATCCTGATAAAAATGCTATACTTTCTTTGGAAATTGTATAACCTTGCCCTAGATAAACTGTCAAACTACTATAATCTGTTGCGTAAGAGCACGTATATCCAGATCCAAAACTCTGCAAAGTTTGAGCGTCAAATAAGCAAGAACAACATTTAGGCGAAGCATTAGCTGGAATAGTGAAGTTAAATTGAATTTTTGAATAGCTGCTATCAAAACCAGCAGACACGCTTGTCTGATTCAAAAAATTTTCGCATGGTATGCAAGCTAATGAGTGCAGTCAATATCCTCCATTACATACGCACGCATTCGGAGCTCCACTTGCATTTCCAGCACATTGAGTGCATGCCCCAGAGCCAAATCCTGTACATATCGAGCACAAGGGGTCATTGCAAATATTGCATGTTCCAGCTCTAACACATCCAGTGCTACATGAGTTGCAGGCCGTGCACGTGCTCCCATCTCAATATTTTGATAAGTCGCAAGATATTAAACAATTGGAGCCCTGTCCTGTGCCACATACAAAGTCATTAATGATGCTTGAAAGATCAGTAATTGGAATATTTCATAGAGTGAAAGAACTAATAAATCCAGTAAAACCAGAGTTGCTGCTTTTGCCAATCATTAAGTTTGAAGATGTAAGATCTCTAAATACTGCATTTGAGAAAGGATTTTCGATGAAACATTCATTATTAAGACAAATTTTTATAGTTGTAACTCCATAAACATACTCAAAGGTGATTGCTAAATAGTTTCACTCAAAAAGGGGGGTTGCTGAATTTAAAGTTTTAAGGTTTATGACTTGCATAGGGTCTTCCATCTGAACATTAACAGTACCTTGTGTAGAAAAAGTGAGTTTTTGAGTTTGCTTTTCTAGTCAATCATTGGAAACAATTGAATAAAGTCATGCTCCAACTGTAAAGCTATGTGAAAGCAAAACAGGTACTGAAGATAATAAATACATGTCTCCGTTAAAATATAAACCTCGCTGATATGCAGGAATCGGATCAACTGTTTCTGGACTATTAAAAGGAGAGAATGATGATGAGTTTGTTCCTGCATTTAAAATGCCATATGAGCCTTGAAAACCAGAATTAAAAGACAAATTAATGACAGGTGTTGATACTGATACGCAGGGGGCTTCAAACCCATAAGGGCAGCCATTTAAGCAAATACTACCTACCAATTGATAGTTCATCTTACAGGCAGAGCATTCAAAATAAGCAGTTTGTAAACATGTTGAGCAAAGAGCATCGCAAAATTCACAAGTTTCTGATTCAGACACCCAGAAAGCATCAGAATTACAGGTGCATTCCCCAATGCTATCTTTACTAGCATTTGTAATGCAGTCTATGCATGAATTATCCCCAGTAAACTCTGTGCAAGTGGCGCATTCTTTGGCTCGGCACAGTCTGCTAAAACTTGAACTTCTGCATCCTTTGTCAGCAGATGCAATACAAGCAGCACAAGATGTGCCATCAAAATATTCAGATATTGGGCAGTTGTCTGGGCAGCTTAAATCAGCTGGGCATATTGTACAGCTGCTCAAGCAGCCAGTGTTTTGAAAATCAGTTAATGCGTTGTTGTTTTGAGGGTAAATAGTAAATTTCCATAAGAATCCAGTAAACCCAGGCATAGTAGACCCAGACATTGAGCCATCACCAATATAAACATCTGACGGACTATCCAAAAGATAAAGTGAATTATCAGAAGTTGATGTTTGAATTTGTTGGTTGCCATTTAGATAAGAAGTTATTGTCGTTATCCCATTAGAGTTTATTGCACAGTCAAATGAAATAAAAACCCAACCTGAATTGAGGATATTAGTGCTTACTTTGTTAGAAAGAGTTGTTTGCTTATCTAAAAGGGTAAGGGAAAGCTTTGGATTTCCTGAAGTTTCTATAATTTTTACATATCATGTATTTCCTGCCATATATTTGCCTATAATATAGCCATCTCCTATAGGTTGGATTCAGATAGAAATGGAAAAGGAAGGGGGAAGAGTAACGCTGTTCGTTAGATATTTGCCTGGTAAGAAATAGTAGCCCCTTAAATATGCAGGATAAGGATCATTGGCATCGTAGATTGGGTATGAGTTTACTTCAGAGCCGACATTTCATCACCAAAGAGTGTCTAGCACAATTAAATTAGAAAAATTTAGTGATACTGCTGAGCCAGAATAATCACAGTTGTTTGTTGTTGAGTTTTGAGTATATCCTGTAGGGCAAGATTCTAGGCATTGAATGTCTAAAAAGAATCAGCCACTAAGACAGCTTGTGCATTGATAAAATCCATTTCCAGAGCAATTTTTGCATCCTGCCGCACATTTTACACATGAAAGACCATCATTTGATTTTTGATAATCTGAATTGCATGCACAGCCATTTAAGCTTGGTGACGCATTGGGGACGCAAGTTGAACATTTTCCCGGATCAAAGCCACCGCAAACAGAGCATAATTGATCATCACAGAGATTGCAGTCGTTCGCTCTAACACATCCATTAGAGCATGAATTGCAATTACTGCAACTGGATGTGGATTCATTTTTAAAAGCTGAAATATCGCAGGCTCATAAGCACGAAGATCCCTGTCCAGATCCACAAAATGAAAAGCTATTAAAAATCGTAGAAAATGATGAAAGTGGGACATTTCACAGCTGGAAATAATAAATAAACCCAGTGAACCCAGAACTGCTGCTTTTCCCTATCTGCATATACGTTGATGCTTGATCTCAATACATAAAATGGCAACCTAACGCGCTCAGCCTCTTGATGCAAATTTTCTCAACCTTATGGACAAGATGAACTGGGTAAGAAGCCGATTGACATTTAGGTCTGGCATGCGATAATTTATATCAGTAGAATTTGTCTTAGCTCCCGTGGTTGCAAAAAGATAGTTTGGCAATGTCTTTCGGACCCGAAGGCGTATATCATCGCGATACCAGGGGTTGCGATATGAACCCAGGAATTTACTCTAGTTGAGGCAGACACCATACCCGCTAGACTTCTGGCTATTCTTCCTCGATTAAGTTACTCTTTAATTGCTCGATTAAGGACTAAAGAAGTCCATAGTCTGCTCACTAATACAGGAGCTAAAAAGGCAAGGAGGAGGCATAGCATTAGAGTCAAAGAGAAGCAAGATGGTGATCGGGGCAATCGATAAGCAAGTTATCCTAGCAGTTCAAGTGTCCGGCAGGAAATGCACCAAAGCGGTTACAGCTGTAAGGGTCCTTGAAGACTGTGTAACCACTACAGGCCAAGCCGATCAGTTAATTAAGATTAAGATGCTTGGTCTCGAAAAATTTTATTTGCAAAAATGGTTCCTCCAGCAAAATTTCCATTAAGGTAAAGATCAAGACTAGAGGTCCCTGATTCATAATTAACAGTAAATGAAAAATAAGTCCATCCAGTAAAAGTTGAAGTTGATAAGATATGCCCTTCTGCTACTTGTTTAGTGCTTTCAACTGTTAGCCACACTGATCCTACTGATCCAACTTTAAGTTTTGACTGTTTCTCTAACAAATCTCCATTAGTAACTGCATAAAATCATAACCCCATAGAAAATCCGTAAGAAAGATAAATAGAGGTTGAAGATGTTAGGTTCATACTCCCATTAAAATAGAGCCCTCTTTTATATGCAGGAATAGGATCGTAAGCTTCAGGAGAATTAAATGGTTGATATGTGCTTGAAGATGTTCCGGTTATAAAATCCCCATAACTCCCACTAAATTCAGAATCAAACATCTGGTCAATTACTGCGCTAGAAACTGGAGAACAAGAAGGATCGTAGCCATACGGACAGTCATTTAAGCATATGCTCCCTACAGTTATTTTTTCAAAGTAGCAGGCTTCGCATTCAAAGCTGCTGCCTTGAACGCAATTCTGGCAAAGTACATCGCAAGCCTCACAAGTCGTTGTAGAAGCTTCCCAATAATAACTTGCATTGCATTGGCACCCTCCATATCCATCACTTCCTGCATTTGCAATACAGCTGTTGCAATTTCCTGAAAAAGAAGTGCAATCATAGCATTGTTTTGTTTTGCAAAGTCCACAAGTATCTGTAAATCTGCATCCTTTGCAGTTTCCTGTTCCCAAACCGTATCTTCACATGACGACTATTTCATAAAAGACTATTTTCTCTAGCCTATTTTTTTTTGCCTATTTTTTTTGGCCTTTTTTTCACCTATTTTTTTTTTTGGCCTATTTTGTTTTGGCCTATTTTGTTTTGGCCTATTTTTTTTGCCTATTTTTTTTGGCTTTTTTTGGCTTTTTTTGACAATTTTTTAGCTATTTTTTACTAATATTTTGGCATAATTCAATACTAATTATTTTAATATAATGTTTAATGTATTTTAAAACGATTTAATAACAAAAAATGACAGATTTCTTAATTAATGAATATTAATTCATTGCTTTTAAATTTCGAGAATTCTAGATTTAATTAGGAGTTTTCCACTTAATTTACTCAATATTAATCGCCTAAGGAAAAGTCTCTGCTTCTTAATAAAGTTTTAGTCCTCTCAGCAGCTTCATAAATGAGGCCAGGCAAAAAAAATAGGCCAAAAAAAATAGTCGTCGTGTAAAGTAACCTTCCCAAACAGCTGGTGCAAGAGGATCCATCTCTAAATGTCGTTAGCGAGCAAGTATCAAAACAATTGAAGTCTTTTGAGCATTGAGTGCATGGTGAAGTGCAGCCGGAGGTAATAAAATCATAGCTGTAAAGAGTTTCAGTGTTAAAAAGACAAATACTATATAGAAATCCAGAAAAGCCACTAGTTAAGGTTGATTTTGTCCCAATATAAAGTGTGCCAGTGGCTAAATCCTGATAAAAAGCAAGGCTTGAAGAGGTAGCAGGAGTTGAGCTCACTGCGTTATAATATGAGTTTATTGTATATGTACCACCTGTATCAACTTTCCCAGTAAATGCAACAAAATTTCAACTGTTTGAAAGTATGCTGCTTGATATGGCTGTCGATAATACAGAATTATCGCTCAACATAAGAGAAAGCTTAGGTGATAGCGTCCCACTCAAAAATTCTAAACAAAAAATTTCATTTCCATTCAAAATTCTAGATATAATCGTTCCAGCTGTTATTATATTTACCCATACAGAAACAGAAAAATATGGGCCAGTTAGCATACTTGTAGAAAGATAGGTAGTGCCATTAAAATAATAGCCTCTTAAGTATGCTGGATATGGATCTCCAGAATCATAATTAGGGTACTTATTTGCTGAATCTGATCCTACTTTGAAGCATTCTACTTGGCCAAGTTCTATTTTATCATAAAAAGTAGCATTAAATTCAATATTTGAAACGAAGAGGCATTTACGCTGATTATAATCTCCAAAATATCCTCCAGGGCAATTGAGAAGGCAGAGAGTATTATTGTACAAGTAATAGCCTGAATTGCAGGAAGTGCAAGAATTATAAGATGAGCTTGTACAGTTAGAGCATCCTGTATAACAAGGAGAGCATGATTGCTGCAGTCCAGTTACATTCAGATAATATCCAGTTAGGCAAGCACAGGGAGAACCAGAAGCGTTAGCAACGCACGAAGTGCAAGCTCCTGATGAAAATGATGTGCACGAGCATAAAGGATCGCCACACAAATTGCAAGAGCTTCCATTGATGCAGCCACTTGTGCATGAGGATAAACAATTTAGATTGCTCGATCCATCAAAGTAATACAAATAATCGCATGGTCACAAAACTACTACTGATCCATTTGTTAAAGTACTAATGCTAAAAAATGCTGAAAAATCACTAATGGCTGCTTGCCATAGCACAAAATAAGCGATATATCCTTTAAATCCTGTCGATCCTTTGCCAAGGTATAGCATCCCTACTGGCAGTCTAAATACATAATTTTGATTTGTTGAAGGCGTTCCAGAAATATTATCAATATAACCCTTAATAGTAGTCACTTTATTTGCAAACTCAACTGAAAAAGAAATAAATGCCCAACTTGAACTTATAGAGCGAGAAAGGGTGTTGGTCATGGTTGTTCCATCTCACTTTTCTAAGGTAAAGGTCATCGTCCCAGCATAATCAATGTAAAAATTATTTGAGGAATGGCTTATCATTATTCCGCCCATTGGGTAAACCCACATACTAATAGTTCAAGTATGAGAGAGAGCTATTTCCCCACTCAAATATTGATCATAATTAAAATAGAGACCTCTGTTTTTTGCTGGAAATGGGTCAGCCACTTCTGGAGAATTCCAATAGTTATAGCTTGAAGAGCTGTTGCCTGTAATTCAAGCTGACCCATAGACTCCAGCAAATGGACCTGTAAAGTCAGCTGTTATAACCTGCGTAGAAACAGTTGTGGAATTCTCAAGTCCATATGGGGTTGCGTATAGGCAAACTCCTCCAATGAGAACTTTTCCATTGAAGCATGCAGTATTTGACCAAGTTTGAGTGCAAGTTGTCCCAAATATGTCACAACATCCTGGAAGTATACCTGTTGTACATACAGTGCACATTGATAGAGAATATCCAGAGCAAGAGCCACAATCACTTGTATAGCAAATACTGCAATCAGTGCCTCTCACACACCAAGGCCAAGAAGAGCAGCTTGAGCCACAGTTTTGACAAGAAGATCCATTTCAATATTGACTACTCAAGCATTCAATATATATTGACATCGTTGGAGAATATTGGGTTGTATCAAATCTAACTTGGAGCCAATAAATAAATCCTGTAAAGGAGTCTAATCCATTCGCAGACCCAAGTATTCATGAATAAGAAAGAGCGGATTTAAACCTTACTTCTGTGCTTGTTAAAGATGCACTCGAACCAGTTCCTCCGTTAAGATAAAAAGTCCCAACTACATCGCTGCATGTAGTTTGCTGTAAAACAACTGATAACTGCTGCCAATATGATGTATAATTAATACTATAAGTTCAAGTGGCTGTTACTCTGTTATTACTTGAATCATAAATTTCAAGGGCAAGTATATAGGCACCAGAACTGTTTGCATAAAACCTTAAATATTGAGTTGAACTATTAATAGCATTAAGAATTTCCCCATAAACAAGTGGTTTAGGTTTAATTCATATGTTTATCGTAAAGTAGAGAGCAGGGACGTGGTTTTGGTTACTAGTTGCGCTTGACGTTTTAGCAAAATAAAAGCCACGATCAAGTGTTGGAAGCGGAGGTAGTTGGCCTGTAGAATTATATGGGTATGAATTTAGATTATTAAACTGCTCAGCTGAATTGACAGAGTTTGAAATGTAAGTTGCAGATAAGTCTTGGACTTTTGAGAATTCTAATGTGAATAAGATTGCAGTATCACCACTGGGTGCTTTACATGAGTAAAAACCCGTGGCTCCATCAGAGTTATCAATAAATAATGAAGGACACCCATCCACACAGACTTTTGATTCAGCCAAATAAAAGTCCTTGTTGCATCAGCATGCTCCACTATAGTTGAAGCTATTATACGGGAAACAGGTGGAGTATGCAAGTAAAATCTTGGCGAAATAAATAAGAGTATGCCTCATTTGCAATTATAAAAATTTAAAAGAAGGACATCTGGTCAAGCATAGGTAGCAACCCCACACTCCACCCCCCCTAAAAAGTGGTACCCCACCCCCCACCCCCCCTTTTTAATGGTACCCCCACCCCCCAACCCCCCCTAAAATTTTTAATGGTACCCCCACCCCCCCACCCCCCCTAAAAAATGGCACCCCCACACCCCCCTTAATATAGCATAAATATATGACAAATGCCGATTTAGAGCAGACGTAATAAATAAAATTATTATTTTAAATATTTAAAATTACTGATTTATACAATATCCACATAGCGTAGCACAATCGATTAAGGAGTAGGTGGAATGAGGTGAGAATTTCCTATAACTACTAAGCACACCACATATGAAAAATTTGTTAACAAGCATAATAATGATCTTTGGTATTAATTAGCAATATATCCTGCATATATTTATGAACTTTGTGGAACAATGGCTAAAAGTCGAATTAGAGATCCAAAAGTAAAATTGACAATAGACAAATACTATTTTTATTACCACTATTGAATCCTGTTACCAATTCAGTCCTGCAATCCTTGTACAAATGGACATTAGATTAGCTTTAATTTATGAATCAATAAATTTAAATGCAAGTTATTGTATTGTGCTAATTTAATAATTAATGCCATTATCTATATCTTTGGCATTATATTTATAAATATAAAAAGCAAATTTAATATATTTTCTAATTAATTGCTAATTAATTTAAATTTATTAATTAATCATAAATATAAAGTAATTTGTGGGACTTAATTTATCAATATATTGTTTTAATTGGGTTATATTTAATCTATTTTGCTTATTTTTCCTATCAATTATTCTATAGAATAAACCCGAGAAGGGCGGGTGGGGGTACCATCTGTGAAAAGGGGGTGGGGGTACCCATTTTTAGGGGGGTGGGGGTGTGGGATTGCTACCTATGCTTGACCAGACATCCTTAATAAGTTTATTGATTTCTATAAGATAACTAGAGTCCACTAATTTTCATTATAATATAATTAAAGGAGTTTTTGAACTCTTAGAGATTCTTGCCAATAAGGCAATTTTATTAGTGTCAGCACATACTTTATTCTTCTTTATGGAATTGACTTTATTATTAATTTTGATTTTATTTATTTTAAAATCATTTTTATATATAGCCTGAAGCGATTTGGCATGAAATGCCGATCTTTCCCCTATAGTAAAAATAAAAGGTAGCTAAACTAGCTTTTGTTGGCCAAGCTGGCTTTCCAAAGTTAGACTACTTGATTTGAGGTTTCTATCATTTGGGCAGTTTGCTTTACCAACTCCGTTTTTACGATTCTGAAGATCTGAAAGCCTGAGCCAAATCGTACTCGGGCTATACATTAGCAAGCATTTGATCAAAATAGAAAAGCAGGAATTATGTGCTTACTTCCCCCATCCTTGATCGAACGATTGACTGTAAAAATTCCTAAAAATTGGGAAATTAACCCCCATCCTTGATCGAAGATTTTCATATCATGCAAATTTTTATATATATATAAAAATATATTTGCTATCAAAAGCCTGGGGAGATGCGCCTAATGAAGTTGCTATCAGAAGCTTTGAGACGACAGGAAGCTACGAAATCAACCATCCGAAGTGCTTTAGTCATCAATCTTGGCTTAAAAACTCAATAATCTAAAAAATAGAGATTCTTTAAAATTTAAAATTATTAATTCAATCAGGAACAAATTAAAATTTATACAGTTTAAAGGGATAACCAAAAAATTAAAATATTAAAAATTGGTATTCTTATTAAAAATTAATTGAATGAATTTTTTGCTGTAAAAATAATTATTAAACACTCTTAACCCCTCTTATTTAAAAGTATATAAAAAAAAATATTATATTTTTTATTTTATATATAAAAATTTTTTAACCCCCAAACCGTTAGATTAAGAATGGGGGGAGTTAGCAGCTTTATGATAAATTTAAATATTTTTATTTTCTTCGCCTTAAAGAGTGAGAAAAATTATTTGCTCACTTGAGTAGATAATTATTTCTAATTTTATTTTCAAAGATATAAATATACAATTTGTAAAATTTGAGTAAGAATTTAATTATAATTTAAATTTAAAAGTTTAGGGACTATGAGCTTAATAAAATTAGCTTTCGATTTATTTAAATATTGAATATTTTTTGTAGCTCGCACTTTAAATCCTAAAAAAGGAGTTTTTAATGTTTTTTCCTCCAAACATTCCCAGAAATATTTATATAGACGATCAATGACAAAATTCAAAGAAAGAAAGACATCAAGGCAGTGCAATATAATATATAAGCCAATAAAATTAGGCTTAAAAGTTTTCTTACAATTGGGTGCATGCGACTTCAGTTCTCAATAAGAATCGCGCTCAAGCTGGTTGAAAGCTTATAAGAAAACTCTTACAAATATTATATATTTTTCAATCACTAATATTCAAGTATTGAACTCTCCTCTTCCAAGACTTAATTTTGTAGCAGCTATATCTATAAAAATCATTTGGCGAGCCAACCTATTCTCTTAATCCTTGTGGCTAATCCTACGTCTAATTTATGCAGTGACCTCGAGCAATAGAGGTTGCGTGTGGGAATGTGCTCAGCCAGGATTGAGCTGGTTTGGTGAAGCTTAATTCCGGATTTAGCCGATTTCATTTCTTAAATTCCTGCTTGAACTCTTGCCTAACTTTTTGCTCCAATTCTGCTCAAGTTCTTCCCGCTCTCTTATCTTTGGTTTTTTGACTCTCTTCCCAATATCGCTTCCTGATTGAGGCAACCAATTGAATTGGCACCAAGTGAGAATCTGAACATTTTCCCCGAATCCAGTATTTCTTCTTCAGTTCTTATCGCTGCTAACAAAAATTCTTCATAACTTTCAAAATTTAAAGATTTTCATCAAGTCCCCACTCACAATTATCGGTTTCATCGCAATCTAGAATCTTATAGATTTTGTTTTAAATTCATTATAATAAAATAGTGTTTTATTATTAGAGTCAGCATCATCTGATCACTTTCTGATACTGCATAATTTTCGGCTGGAAACCAAATAAGCTTTTCTCAGTTTTATACACAATACTTATTTTCCTCAATTTAGCTAAAAAAAGTATCATTCACTTTATCAAATCCAAAATAATTGGCTTTCGAAGATTAACTCTCAACTTCCATGCACCCTACTTTATTGTAGTTAGTCAATTTCACAAGCTAAAATTAATTTTTCAATACAAAAGTCTTATTAAAATAATTTTATTTATAAGTTATTATAATAAAATTTCTATCTAAATGTTTAATTAAGTTTCCAAAGTATAAACTATATACATTAAATTCTCGTGAATTTCTCTAGAAAATTTGTTCAGATTGTTTTATACAGGAGGGGAGTAAGATTATCTGCAGCTTGTTGGCATGATTGCATTTCAAACCTAAGCAATTGTATGAACTGCTTAAAAACTAAAATTTTCTAAAATCAATTCAAGAAATCGATAGCTTTTGCAATCTATGAAATCAATCTGAATGCTCTAATACTTATTATTAAGCAAAATCTATTCACCAGCACTTAATCATCAATGACATTTCAAATGAAAAATCACTCAATTTAAGCTTTTTATTATCTAGCAATGCAAATATTATACTTGTGGAGCATACCGAAATATTCATGGCAATTAGCGAACGAAATTGCACTATCCCCACAGCAAATCAAAGCTACTTTCAGTATGGAATACTATTGAACACTAAAATGAGAAAGACAAAAGTGCAATATAGCTTATTGGAAAATTAGCAAAAAAATATTCAGGGATTCATTGATACCAAAATGCTTTCAGAAACTTCTACATAGATAGTTAATGTTAAATGTTTAGAAAGTCCTAATTCTGAAGATAGTCATAATTTTACTGAGATATGCCCGATCTGAATACTTCCAGACCACTGTAAAACTTATCCAAAAGATTCTAAGCTCTAGCACTTCCCCTGTGCAACTTGCTGGAACTCAAATACTGCTAGCTTTATCACTTGTGTTTCTCCTTATTATTGCTTCGCTGGATATTGCTATACAAATTGCCCAGCAGGCATAACAGCTGCAACAAATAATTATAATAAAAATAAGTATTTTATAATTTTAGACTAAGATTAGAAAATTTATAGTTTTTGTCTTTTCAATGCTAATTTGCCACACAGCTCTTTATATATACATTAAAGAATTTGGTACTAGAAACAAATAGATAATTTATACGCCAATTTTTTTATGCAGAAATAAATTTTAATCTGAAAGATTATTAGTTAGTTAACCTTGGTTGTAACTTCTTCGGGTTGGAAACTTTCCAAAATGAAATATCTGGCAGTCATATAGATTGTTTGCATAACGAAGATTTCAATTAAAATACCCCAAAGGAAGCAAATTGCCCAGTAGCCGCTCCACTCATGGCAGAAAGTATAACTGAGCATCACAATTCCAATTATAGAGCCAATAATCAATGCAGTTCCTAATGCAGTTGCAAATGCAGGCCAATAAGGAGCTTTATTTCTATCAATGCTAAAGGCAATAATTAACAAAATTTCAATTGGAATAGCAATAGCAAGAGCCAAAATAGTGTAGCCAAAGAATTTGGCTTGGTAATCTGCAAATAGTGTCTCAGTAGACTCCTCTGATCCAGAATTTATATCTTCAAATCCAAAGAGCAATAAACCTTCTAGCAGCAACTCAAAGAGAAGTATAGTGATCAAGGTAAACAATCTCGTCCATCTAGAAAAGATCGGTCTATAATAAATAATTCCAAATGTCAAGTGACCTTCGAAAAGTGCCTGCAGCTCTGTTTTAGTAGCTTCTACAGTCTGAGCTTGAGGCTTCTCAACAACTCCTGCGACTTGGAACGCGAAGGAATTTTCAGTCAAATCGATTTCCTGGGATTCTACAATGCCCCCTGAATTGTCAAAGTCTGAGCTCATCTCTTCAGGTTCCACAACCTCTTCTTCTCCTCTGCTTAGCTCTACCTGCTCAACTGGCACAGCATAGGAATTTTCAGTCAAATCGATCTCTCTTGATTCAATAACCCCTGAGCTTTCTTCAGATTCATTAACCTCTTCTTCTCTTGATGTAATATTAGGTGAGCTATATTCTGATTGTATATTAATTAGAGCCATTTCAGTTGGTCTCGACACATGGGTTGGGGAGTTCATAGGAACTTTCTTGTGGGTCTGCTGGACATCATGATCTACTTTCTGGGCTCTGTCAAACCAGATCATGATAGGACTCAAAATGATAAGCATGAATAAAGTGACGACCAGGATGTAGATTGGTGCGTAATTGTCACCGCATGATGAGCTTGGAGGAGTGTAAATTGGAGGTGGGGATATGGTAGAGCCTGCTTCACCCAGCTTAAACATGGAGAAATGGTAAACTTCAAAGATAACACTTTCGCTATTTATTTCTAAAACCTTGCAGCCATCTTCTGTCCAAGCTTTACTTGTTTCGTTATAGTATAAGCAGCCCATTGTTGCGCCTTCTGAAACATTTTTATTAATAGGAAGCTCTATAGTGACTGGGTGTTCTGAGCTTGAGAACGGAGTGTAAGTTTCATTATCATAGTAGTTCATTGTATTGTCAGTATAATTGCCAGAGGTTGAGAAACTCAATGATATAACATCAGAATAATCATCAGATGAGGTATTGAAGTATAGGGCTCTCATATTCATGATATCTGTGGATGTGAAATCCAGCTGACTTGGAAGTGCAATAGATCGATTTGTCCCAAGTGTGATATTAGAATTTTGCATGTCGGATGGGAAGTTTCTGTACTTAAATATCTTAGTTTGATCAGTATTTTGAGTCCCGTTAAGCGAAGTCTGGTTTACAAGGTCTTCTTTAGTTGCAACTGCAGCCCAAGTGAGGACAAGGTCATTTGCTGTCATTACGTAGTCTTCTAGAGGCTGCTCAGAGTAGTCAGTAGTATTCCCATAGCTCATGAAACTGTCTGCAATAGAAACAAGTGTAATCATGTTGTCTTGAGTAGGAATTAGGGAAGTATAAGTTGTAAGTAGCCCATCAAGCCAGCTAATAAATTCTTTATAAAGGCTTAAGGTCATCTGAGATTCCTGAGTCGTCATTGAATAAAGTGCTCCTAAAACACTGTCGAGCTCACTGCTTGTGAGTTCTTTTTGGTTAGCCACATAACTCTGCAAGTCACTCCACATTCTTGTGAATAAGTCATTTTCAATCGTTGCTGAGCCGCAGTAGAGGCTGATAGAAGACGGGATGTTGTCTTCATCTAAAGTGCTGGAAATGTATGAGTTCATCAAACTGTCCTCAAGAAGTCTCCTATTAAACGCTTTAACTCTTAAAGTTTTGGAGTAATCTGAGCATAAAAAATGGCCTCTCGGGCCTGTCATTATCTCCCAGCAATGCAACCTCTAGCACATTTTATTTATATAAGGCAATGTTTTGCTAATCCAGAATTTGACAGCTATGCTAGTTAAGCAATTCTGGTAATGTTCAGAGCCTGACCTAGTCCGCTTTCAGGATTGAATTTTACCTCGATAAATAAAATGGGTTCAGAGTTGGAAAATAGAAAGCCCAGCAGCATCTTCAGGCAATGCTGAGACCATTGGGCATCTTCTAGCGAGAAACCCGGAAGTTAAGTCCCCAGTCTATAATTTTTCCTTTTTCAGAAGGTTGGCCAGAAATTCCATTTTTTGGGGCAGCCTTCATTCAACCCAAGCTGCATGCTGCAGAAGTCCATAACCTTTCCACTCAACACTGGAGCCGACAAAACAAGGAGGAGACGGAGACATAGTACCCTACTTCACAGGTGGCATGTATCAGGATGATGAAAAGAGGAAAAATGGTGTTCAAGCCGAAACTCGCGCCTTGAGCCATCTAACTTGAGAAAGTTCTCCTTACCAACTTCGCAAAGAGGACGAATCCCCTAGGGATCTTTGGCGGCTGCTTTAGTAATAGGCAGAAGCTACGACCTATAATAAGTAAAGTTCAAGGTATAATCTGAGCAAGTGCCTAGTTGGTCGCAAACGTGAGCAGTTAGCTGATTTCTCCCCCAAAACAAATAGGTTTCTACTGAATTTGCTTCTTTTGCATATCCAAGTGTAAACACCTTGCCTCTCCAAATATCTTGGAATTGATATAAGATTGGTAAATCTTCCCCATCACGATCATAACAACCGTCAATTCAAAGTTTATAAGTATCAATTAGGGCTGATCCTTCATCGTCTACAAGGTTTACTTGAAGACCACTTGTACAAGCAGCACCTTGGTTTACTGAAATTGATAACTGTATCGTTAAAGTGACACCTTGATCAGTTATACTGAGGTCAAAACCATATATAACGCCTTCAGAAAGAGTCATTGATTGGAATCCAAGTGTTGAAAGATAGTTAGGATAAAATGAAACAGCATTTCCAGATCGCTGAGTCCAAATCAATGCGGCAGTTAGAGAAGCGACAATGTTGGCAATGTACCTATTCCCCCTCTAAAAGCAAGTACAATTAGAAAAACCCGACATGAAAAATATTCTATATACAAATATTTTAATAGGTAAAAAATTATTATAGTGGGCAATTATTAAATTTAAACAATTTGCATCTTAAACAGAAATCCATAAATAAAGCAACTTTTACTTAAAAATTTTTGATTATTGAAAGCAATATAAAATTTAAAAAAATTTACCCTAAGAGAGCATAAAATTGGTTGACTCACGGAAGGGGAGCTATTGAATTTATGTGGGTTAAGCTTGAGAGTATCTGTTAGTATCCAAGCAGCAGTGCTTGTATCCTTCTTTAATACATTGAGATTTATAGTCAAACTTGAGCTTCTAGTGTCTTTAGAAATAGTACAGGTGATATCCCATGCAGCACCTTTAACCATTCTTGATTTTGGAATGGTCAAACTTGATGCAACTTCGTTATTTAGAAGGGTTTTAGAGTCACTTCCAGTGCAAGTAGATCCATCTGCGTTATTTACACAAGTCCAGCTATAGCTCAGAGGAAGAGTAGAATCATCTGGGTCATAAGAGCCATTTGCATCAATAGTATAGTCTTGGCTAGGCGAAATGTCACCACTGTTCTTTGATAGCTTGATATATAGCTGAGATGCTGTAACTGTTATAGAAATGGTTGCACTCCCACTTATCGAACCTCCACTGCTGGCTTGAGTTGCTGTAGCCATAAAGACGTATAAAGTGCTGCTAGCTGATAGTGCATTAGCACTAATTGTCAGTTTACTTGTAGTCCCGCCATTTGCAAGAATTGCTGCAGAGTCAATTTCTGGGCCGCTCACATAGCTCCATTGCCATGAGATTGCAGTAGTCAAGTCGCCACAAAGAGCTGATACTTTTGCCTTAAGAGTCTTTGAATCTGAAGCCTTTATTGAGACGGAGTTTCCTTGGTCGAAAGCTACAGATAAAGCATCACCTCCTTGGATTGTTGTTGTCATTGAGTCTGAATTGGAAAGTCCAAGGGTATTTGTGATTTTAAGAGTTATCTTTAATGTTGTTGTTGAACTTGTGCTGAAGTTACTTCTATTGATAGTGAGGCTCGCGGTAGTAGTCGAAGCAATAGTCGAAGCCAAAGCTGAATTTGCTGGAGAGATTTCTGCTGACCAAGCATATGTAAGGGCTGTTCCTAAAGAGCCTGTTGATTTTTCGCTTGTATAAACTAAAGGATCCGAGCTGCATGAGATTGAAATACTCGTTGGACCACTAACTTTAGCTGTAGGAGCTGGGTTTGAAGTAGCAGTTGGCATCACACTTAAAGGCTGATACTGCGTTGTGCAAGGATCATCTGTGGCTTTCACTATATAAGTTCCGTCCAAATAAAGCAATGAATCAGTTCTCTGAGTAAAGCCCACCCCAAGCCCAATTCTCAAGGTCTTTGAGTCTGCCCAAGAGCATGCAGGATTTTCTCCCAACTTTGTGAGGGAGTCGCTGGCGATCACTTTGGAACAGCTTGAGTCTAGAGTCATATCGACTTTGACATTAAAGTAAACATATAAATAAGCCCATGAGGAGGCAAATGACGATTTTTTGATATCGGTGTTAGACAGGTACTTCTTGCATGTCACACATTTATTATTGATAAGCGTTGAGCCCGAGTTGCAGACACAAGATTTTGAGCCTGAATCATAAGCAGAATTGGCAGTACAAGAGCAAACAGTTTTTGATAACTCAGCATTTGTAATACAGGCAGTACAGCTATTGCCATCTGATTCGCTGCAAGCAGTGCAAAGGTTATTACATACAGATGTGCAGGATCCTTCGCTATTCATGCTGAATTGAGTGTTGCAATGACACAAATTATCAGCGCCAACTGATGCATACTTCTTGCAGGTCAAACACTTAGCTTGGCTTTCACAAGTTTCACATAAATCTGGACACTTAGTGCATTTTCCATTAAGAGAGAAATAGCCTGCAACACAAGCACAAGAAGCAGTTGAAGTTAAAGCTGCGTTTTCTATACAATCAGTGCACACTTTATCTGAAGTACAAGAAGAGCATCTATCAGGGCAATTCATGCATGCTGTCAAGGTTGAGTCATAATATTTCGCTGCTGCTGAGCATGAGCACAATCCTGTCTTTGTGTCAAGAGTCATATCATCTTGACATTTTGTGCAAAAAGCTGAGCTGGCGCATTCTGTGCAAGGCAAACTACATTTGACGCATTGACTGTCTTTTTCGTATGTTCCAGATTTGCATACACATGAGCCAGGCTGACTTTCACTAGTTATCATCCAGGCATCTTTGCACTCAGTGCATAGAGTTGCAGAAGAGCAAATAGAACAGTTATTGCCGCATACTTTGCAAGACTTTGAGATTGTGTCGTAGTAGTATCCGTCCTTGCAAATACATTTAAGTGGACTATTAGGATCTTGGACCATGAGAATTGTGTCTATACAGATTGTGCATTGGGTCTCACTACAAGTCGAGCACAGATCTCCACAAGTGACCTCACAAGTATTTGTGCTTTCATGATACGAATATCCATCTTTGCATTTACAAATAGTAGGATTATCTGTGTTTTTTATAACGTTGATAATATTTTCGCAAGTAAAACACTTCTCTGCGCTGCACCTGCTGCACAAGGTTCCACAAGGCAAACAATTTGTTCCTTGGGAATAAAATGCTCCAGAGCATGTGCAAGATCCAGGGTCTGTAGGATCAACTACCATTGCAGAGTTGACGCATTCTAAACAATTGCTGCCGCTTTCACAACTCTTACACAGAGTTCCACAGTTTGTACAAGCATGCAAATCTAAGTCATAATATGTTCCTTGGAAGCATTTACAATTAAATGGATCATTAGGGTCATAAGTCATAGTTTGAGTATCCAAACACTCTGTGCAATGCGTTGTGTCGCAAGAAGAACAAAGAGCCCCACAAAAGCCAGAGCATGAGCTTCCACAATCCTCGCATTTCTGAGTAATATAATTGTAAACATGCCCATCTGTACATTTGCAAACTTTTGCATTGTCAGGGTCTTTTTCAATGTTGTCGATGCTTGCACAGGTAAGACACTGGTCTGAGTTACATACGCTGCATAAAGTTCCACAAGCCTGGCAGGTTAAGTCTTCTAAATAATATGATTCTTTGCAGACGCAGTGACCAGAGCCTTCAGGGTCAGGAATCATAGTGGTAGGATCAGAACACTGAGAGCAGTCTGTTTTACTTGAGCAGACAGTGCAGAAGTCTCCACAATTTTTGCATGATTGCGAGATGGTGTCATAATAAGTAGCTCCAGTGCACACAGAAGAGCAGCTAGGTTCACAAGCAACGCAATCTACTCCGTTAAACACTGAATCATTTGGACAAGAGCAAGATGTACTATCAGCTATTTGGCTTCCTTTGCAAACACAATTCTTTTTGTCTGCTTGACTAAACTCCATTCTGATTTGATCAGTACACTCAGAGCACACTCCAGTATAAAAGTCACACTTACTGCAAAAAGTACCGCAGCTTGCACAATTGGCACCATTAAACCAACCAGAGCTGCATGTGCATGAGTCAGTATCCTTTTCTAAATCTCCTATGCAGACACAGCTAAATTTATCATCAGCGAATATCATTGTCTTGTCATTATTACAATTCAAGCAAGTTCCAGTATTGTCGGCACAATCATGGCAGAGATCGCCACACTGCAAGCAGTATGAGCCATTAAAGAATCTGCCTATTTCGCAACTGCAGATTTGCCCATCAAACAACTGGTTTCCAGCACATTCACATGATTCAGGGTGATCTTTACTGAAAACCATTCTATCATCGTTTTTACATTTTGTGCATACTCCATCATAATTTCCGCACTCCATACAAAAATCTCCACATGGTACACATTTTCCTGATTTAAAGTAATATCCAGCTTGGCATGAGCATTTATTTGAACTTGTATCAAGTATCATGCTTGAGTCCACACATGATGTGCATTTTCCAGTAAAATCATCACACGCTTCGCAAAATTCAGAACACCAAGCACATTGAGAGCCATCGAAAAACTCTCGAGGAGCTAAACAGTTGCATCCTGCAGAGCTTGCCGTTTGATTTCCAATGCATTCACAAGTCAGGCCAGATTCAGAAAGTTTCATTCTTTTTGACTGCAAGCACGAAGTGCACTTTCCATCGAAGTCATCGCATTTATCACAGAAGGTTCCACATTTCACACAGTTTTGTGAATTAAAGTAGTAGCTTAAATTGCAAGTACAGCTTGACCCAGATAAGGCTTGATTTCCTATGCACTCGCAGACAATATCGTTTGTTGTACTTGGGACCATTCTTTTATCATCCAAACACGAATTGCATTTATGTGTTGTTGAATCGCATTCATTACAGAGGGATCCACAATCAGCACAAGTTGTGCCGTTGAACAGACCAGTTTCACAGATACAATTTGTACCATCGTATACTTGAGTTCCCAAACAATAGCATTCTTTATTGTTTGTCTGACTTATTGCTGCGTTAGGATCTGAGCAAGCCACACATTCTGCTGTATAATCTAAACACTTGCCACATTGCTTTCCACAGGCAACACAGTTTGTTTCATCAAAATAGTATCCATCAGTGCAAGAACAACTTGTAGAGCTTGCTATCTGATTCCCTTTGCAAGTACAAATGCGAGAATTGGTCAATGAAACTTGCATCCTAGAAGTGTCTGCACAGGTTTCACACTCGCCTGTGGTGTCTTTGCATTTGGAACACATGGTATCGCATTGGACGCAGTTTGAGCCATCAAAATAGGTTCCTTCTACGCAATAGCATGCAGAATTGCTGTAAAGTTGGTTTCCGATACACATACAGTTTTTAGTATTTGAGGTGCTAAACTCCATTCTGGTGCTATCCTTACATGTCAAGCATTTGCCAGTTACATCCTCACATTGAGTGCACCACTTTCCACAAGCTTTTCTGTGAACTCCGTCACCTACTGCATAATATCCATTTGAAGGTGACTTACAAGTGTAGCCTTCAATCCATTTATTAAGGTCCAAACATTTGTCACACTGTTTAACTCTTGAACATGCTCCGCAGCCTGAATCGGTGCAGCCTGTGCATGTTGTCCCATCAAAGTACTGGCTGGTGCCGCATTCGCATCCATAAAGACCTGCAACCTGATTTCCTTTGCATTCGCAATCCTTGACATTTGTGGTGCTGACTTGCATTGTATAACCATTCCAACAATATAAACAGTGCCCATTGCTTGAATCGCATGTTCCACACCATTTTCCTAACACCCTCTATGAGATCAAAAATTTGACCCACGATGAAGGGGGGTATTAATAAAATTTATAAATAGATAGAAAAATAATTATTTTTATTATTCTCAAAATCATAAGTAAAATTAATTTATTTGTAGAATGCAAATTATTTAAATTCAACAGGAATTAGCTAGAGATTTAAATCACCATTATATATTCAAATATTTTTATAAAATTTAATATAAAAACAACTTTTTTGCTTGCTCACAAAAAAAAATTTTCCAATTATTTTGCTTTCTTACAGGGGAAATAAGCAGGATTCACATGTGTCTCCATTAAAGTAATAGTTTGAGTTGCAATAGCAAGAAGTGCCTGTAGAGAGCTGATTTCCCTTGCATGAGCAAGTTGCACCATTTGAGTCGATTTGCATTGTTGTAGGGTCATTGCAACTATTGCAACTGTTGTAAGATGAGCACTTCGAACACCAGGTTCCACAAGGAGAGCAGTGAGTTCCATCCTGCTCTGAGTAATATCCAGCAGGGCAACTTTTGCAAGAGTATCCATTTACATAGCTTGATAATTCTTTACATTGAGAGCATTGGTAAGAGCTAGTACATTTTTGGCAATCTGGATCTGTGCATGGATAACAATAAGCATTCTTCAAGAAATATCCATCATCGCAGTAGCATTTGTTATCTCCAGTTTTTAGGTTTCCTTTGCAAACACAAATCTGATTGTCTGTTGTTGATACCATCATATTGTTTGAGTCAATACATTTTGTGCACTCCCCAGTGAAATCTTTGCAGGTTGAGCAAAATCCGAGACAATCAACGCAGTTTGAGCTATCAAAATAGCCACTCTTGCAGTAGCAACCAGTATCTCCTGCAAGCTGATTTCCCTTGCAACTGCATACTCCATCAACTAAATCCATTTTCAAGCTATCTTGACATTCTAAACACTTGCCAGTTGTTTCTTCACAATTCTTACAGAACTTGCCGCATTGCATACACTGTTTGCCATCAAAATAATAGCCACTCGGGCAAGTACATGTATTGGCATTCGTATCAAGAGTCATAAGGCTGTCAATACATGAAGTACACTTTCCAGTTGAATCACTACAGATTTCACAATGCTTCGGACAGTCAGCGCACGTTGTGCCTGTGAAATAAGTCCTTGTTGGGCAATAACAAATATTTCCGGTGGATAGCTGAGACCCTTTGCAACTGCAAGACCCATCCGCATTACTGACCATCCTATCTTTATTTATACAATCTGAGCAAGCCCCTGAATAATCAACGCAGGCCTTACACATTGTTTTACAACGGACACAGTTTTGATTGTCAAAATAATATCCTGAGTAACAATAGCAAGTCTTAGTGTTCGAATTCAGCAATTGGTTGCCAATACATTGACAGTGATAGTTTGACGAAGGACTAAGTTCAAATCTATTTAAACAAGTTGTGCAGTATTTAGAACTTGAATCGCATTCATTACAATAAGCGCCACAATCGGCACAAGCAGTTCCATCATAAATCTTATTGTCCAAGCAGGAACAAGTTCCAGGATCTGTCGTGCTTACAGCCATGGTTGTATCATCCAAGCAGGAAGAACACTCGCTGAGACTTGTGCATTTATCACATAAAGTGCCACAAATAGCACATGTGCTTCCATCAAAATAGGTCCCATCCGGACATTTACACTCAGTGCCAGAAATCGACATAGAAGAATATTTACATTGTGAGCAGGCATCTGCAGTGCATTTTGCGCAATTAGTTGTGCAAGTTTCGCAAAGTTTTGTTCCAGTGTTATAGAAATAGCCGTCACTGCATTTGAGACAGTTATTTTCATCACATGATAAGCAGTTTTGGGTACAGATAAGACAAATGCTACCATTCCAGGTTCCATCAGGACAGTAACAACTTTTGGATGCTTCATCATAAAGCTGAGTTCCTTTGCATTGGCAACCTGATTTGTCATCTTTAACACTCATTCTTTGGTTATCTTTACAATCATTGCAAGAACCAGTAATATCATCACAGGCAGCGCACAGGCTTCCACAAGATGAGCAAGTTTCTGAATCAAAGTAGCTGCCTTTTGAGCAATAACATTTAGTTCCATCTGACTGCTGATTTCCTTTGCAAGAACATTTTGTGTCATCAAGCTCCATCCTGTCACTGTTAGTACAAGAAGTACATGTGCCAGTAAAATCACTGCATGTTTCACACATACTTCCACAAGTTTTACAATTTCCATCAGAACTGCTGAAATATGTCCCAGCCTTGCATGAACAAGATTTATCATTATTTTGAGTTTGAGATCCTTTGCACTTGCATGTAGTGCCTGATTTATCAGGATACATTCTATCGCTATCTGCACATGTAATACAAACGGCTGTGGTGTCTTTGCATGATTTGCAGGTGCTATCACAAGTCTGACAGCTACTTCCATCGTAATATTCTCCATCAGCGCAGTAGCATGAGCTTCCACTTTGGGTTGAAGTTCCTTTGCATGCACATACCTTACTGTCTTCATTACTAACTTCTGCATTATCAACACAAACTTTGCAATTTCCTGTATAATCATCGCAAGCATCACAAAGTGTGCCACATTGGACGCAAGTGGACCCATCAAAGAAAAATCCATCGGAGCAGCCACAAGAGTCCCCAGTCAAAATTTGAGTTCCTTTACAAGTGCAAATTTTAGTATCAGTCGTACTAATTTCCATTCTATTTGAGTCCAAGCAGGCCTTGCAATCTCCAGTTTCATCTTCACATGAAGAGCAGAGGCTTCCACAGGTCAAACACTGAGTCCCGTCATAATAGGATCCAGCACTACAGCACGAGACATATTCAACATCTCCCTCAATTCTTAGATTATTTTCACAAGATGAGCATAAGCCTGTATAGTCCTCGCATTCTGTACAAAACTCAGGACATTCAGTACATTTTGATCCGTCATAGTAGCTGTGCGAGCCACATCCACAGGTGGAGTCATCAATGATATCGGCTTCAATTCTGAGATTGCTTTCGCATTCTGTACATTTTCCAGTTAAATCTTCGCATTCTGTGCAGAAATCGCCGCATTGGACGCAGGTATCATCGTTGCTACTGTAAGATCCTGGACTACAGCCGCATTCTGTTATGCTTAGTTCAATTCTAAAGTTATTTTCACACTCAGTGCAAGTACCATCATAATCAGAACATTCTAGCTTTCCCCTCCATGAGCGAACAAAACCATTGGAAAATCCCAATTTTACCAAAAATCCATCCTCCTTAAGTGGATATAAATTTTTTATGAAAAAGTTTTGATATATAAGTGATAATTAGTAAATGAAATTTTTTAGGTATTCTGTTTAATTTTAATATATAAATTTACGAATAATAAATATTTGCTTCTCAAATTTTGCGAATTAAGATCGAAAAAAGTTACTATAAAATTTATTTATAAATTTTTTAAAAAATAAATTTGTTTCGCTCACTGAGGGGGAGTAAGCAACTCTTTCCGCAAGGAGAGCAGCCGACTGATGGGTTGAAATAGGTCCCAGCTTCACAGTAGCAGTGAGATGAGTCTGCTGTTTGATTTCCAATACAGCTGCATTTCTTGTTGTCGGTATCATCAAATTTCATTCTATTGCTGTCTACACAAGAATCACAGACTAATGAGGTTTCATCACAAGTGTAACAAAAATGATCACATTTGGCGCAGGTTGTTCCATTGAATTGGCCTTCAGCACACACGCAATTTTCGCCGTCAAATGTTTGAGTTCCTAACTCCTCTCTGTGAACAAACAAAAAAATTGTTTGCTTGGAAGTGGCTAACTATAAATTGTATAGTAATTTTTTTTTTCAAGACTTAAAAAATCCAAATTCATAATAATTTTAAACAAATATCATTTTAATTTGTAAAAATTACATTTTAAATTATAAGTTGTTCGAAACTAAGCAGAATTATTCTAATTTGCCATGGATAGCGCTATTTTGGCCTTGATTTTCCCACTGGAAAATTTTTTTGGTTTAACCAAACCATATGATACCTGTCGAACCAAAAGTTTTTCCTGTGGAATTCAAGGCCAAAACAGCGCAATCTACAGGAAATTGCAATGGCTAGATATTAATTATAATAATTATCGCTTATATATCAAATTTTTTCTTCATAAAAAATGCTTATTCGCTACGGGGAGACTAAGCACTCGCAGATTTTATTATTATCTTTGCTTACACCCATTTTATAATCGTCTTTGCAGGTAGCGCACTCAGCAGTGTAATCTTTACATGTGGCGCATTTATCATAGCAATCTAAGCATGTTGACCCATCGAAATACTTGCCGCTGTCACATGAGCATGTAGTGCCTTCTTTTGTTTGGTCTCCTTTGCATACACAAATTTTGCTGTCATCATCTGAAACTTTCATCCTCTTGTCATCAACACAAGATGTACATTCGCCTGTAACGTCTTCACAAATATCACATAAATCACCACAAGGCACACATTCTTGTCCATTATTATAATTTCCATCTTCGCATCCACACCCATCGTCAGTAATATCAAAAGAGAGACTTAAAGTGCTGTCGCAAGATGTGCATCCTACATTATCCTTGCAATCAACACATTTCTTGCCGCAAGGGAGACAGGAAGTTCCATCAAAATAGGAACCTTCTTCACATTTGCAAGTTTTAAGATTATCAGGGTCTTTGATCATTCCATCAGCGATACATATTTCACAATTGCCAGTAATATCTTCACATTGGCTACACTTAGGATCGCAGGCCAAGCAAGTGTTTCCATCTGAATATGTCCCTTTGCTGCAACAGTTCGAATCAGTTATGTCAAACTCAAGCCTAAAGTTGCTGCTGCAAGTCAAACATTTGCCTGTGATATCTTCACACTCTTCACATTTATCACTGCAATGTTGGCATTCTCCTTGGCCATCCAATCAATTAAATGGCGACATGCGAAACCGACCCTCTTAGCGATTCTTTCCAGACCTTATGGCTATAGCGTACTGGAACGGACTTCGAGCCGAGAATTAAGTGCAGGCTTAAGAGATGTGTATCCAGGTAGGCTTTGGCTGCTTACCTGTGTTTAGAAATGGAGATGCTTAACAACGTCCTTTAGGATTCGAGAATCCATGGATATTCCTCTACCAAGAGACTAAGGGTTTCGGCCCAGACTAGGAGTCTTTTTCCTGTAGCTGTCGAAGGCACTTTGGCACTCTATAATTAGTTGATTAAATTTCTGATCGGCTTCCACGAGCCAAAGATTGATTTCACGCGTGAAAATCCAGAAATTCCACTCGGAAACCCATTTTTGGCTCGTGGGAGCCGACCAGAAATTAAGCCAGAATATTATACAGACTTCAAGGAGTTGATCCTTGGAGTCAAGCTACTCCAATCGACCGTAGCAGGGCCTCAGAAATCCATAACCCATCCACTCAAGACTGAAGCCTCAAGGCAAGGAGGAGACAGAAGGTACCGGAAGTTGCGCCCATTATTGGAGTAAAGACTCTATAGGCAAGAATCGAAAAGCCGATGAGCCTCCTGTATGATAGATCTATGGTGACTGCGCACCAATATGGCTAACGCCTGACTTCAATAGCCTAGCTTAACCATCCTTGGTCATCCATATAATATCCAGAGTCACATCCACTGCATTCTACAACGTCAAACTCAAGCTTTAAATTGCTGCTGCAAGTCAAACATTTGCCTGTAATATCTTCGCACTCTTCACATTTATCACTGCATTGTTGACAATTTCCTTGGCCATCCATATAATATCCAGAGTCACATCCACTGCATTCTACAACATCAAACTCAAGCTTTAAATTGCTGCTACAAGTCAAACATTTGCCTGTAATATCTTCGCACTCTTCACATTTATCACTACATTGTTGGCATTCTCCTTGGTCATCCATATAATATCCAGAGTCACATCCACTGCATTCTACAACGTCAAACTCAAGCTTTAAATTGCTGCTACAAGTCAAACATTTGCCTGTAATATCTTCGCACTCTTCACATTTATCACTACATTGTTGGCATTCTCCTTGGTCATCCATATAATACCCAGAGTCACATCCACTGCATTCTACAACGTCAAACTCAAGCTTTAAATTGCTGCTACAAGTCAAGCATTTGCCTGTAATATCTTCACACTCTTCACATTTATCACTGCATTGTTGGCATTCTCCTTGATCATCCATATAGTACCCAGAATCGCATGCACAATCAAGAGCTGTAATATCCATCTCAATTCTAAAGTTATTTGAGCAGGTTATGCATTCTCCAGTTGTATCCTCACATTCGTCGCATTCACTTGGGCATTGAACGCAATCGCTGCCATCATAATATTGCCCTTTATCGCAGCAAGAAGTAATGTCCATCTCCATTCTTAAATTACTTGAGCAGGTTATGCATTCTCCAGTTGTGTCTTCACACTCTTCACATTTATTTGGGCATTGCACGCAATCGCTGCCATCATAATATTGCCCTTTATCGCAGCAAGAAGTAATGTCCATCTCCATTCTGAAGTTATTTGAGCAGGTTATGCATTCTCCAGTTGTGTCTTCACATTCGTCACATATACTTGGGCACTTTAAGCAATCACTACCATCATAATATTGCCCTTTATCACAACAAGAAGCAATATCCATCTCGATTTTGACATTCTGTGAGCATACAGTGCATTTTCCAGTTATGTCCTCGCATTCATCACATCCTTCTTCACACGGAAGACAGCTGGTCCCATCAAAATAATGCCCAGATGAAGTGTCTTCATCACTATCTACAATTGTCAGTTCGATATGGAAAGTGTCTTTGCAAGAAGCCACACAAGTGCTAGATTCTGAATCCCAAAATAGACCGGTTTTGCATTTGCATTTGCCATCAGATTTGTCCATGTTGCTTTCATCAAGGCAAGCTGAGCACTCAGTTTCGGTGCAGGTTGAGCAGAAGCCAAATGCACTGCAGTCCTCGAGGTGACGCTTTGGTCTGGCTGGGATTTTTTGTTTTGAGCCTTGCCCTGCCATAGCAATTTCTTGAGAAGGGCTAGGATCAGATGAAGGGTCGTCTGTAAGCTCAAATTCCATATGAACGACAGAGCCTTCATCAGGAGGAGAAAATTTAATCAGTTCAGCAGCTGAAAGCTGCCAGAGCACTAAAAAGAACCATAGAATGATTCGATTTAACATATTTTTATAGCCAGAGATATAAATCCATTAAAAATTCAAATATTAGAAAAGATGCACATAATAAGAGATGAGATAATATGAAAATAAGAAAGATTAATTCCATAGGTAATAGGAAAATCAAGCATTGATTGATGGAAGATACTTTAATTTAAAAATATGCATAAATTATATTTTTGTACAATAATAATTAGATATGAAAATGGAAGAACTTGGTATACGCTCTATAATGGAAAATAAATTCAAAACTGGTAGCATTAACTTTAAATGGTGATAATTTCGAAATTACCCTTTTCAAACTAACCTGAAAGTCTTTCACAAAGTATTATTTTGGAAATTTCAATAAATTTTCAGTAATCTGAAGTTTCTGGCCTCATAAGTTTAAAGCAGATAGAAGCAATCAATGCTTTGGCACATTGGCGTTGAATAATTTTATCCCAATTCTTGTCATGCAAAAGTAAAAGACTCTAAATAATTTTTATTATATTACGAAGATTTTTATTTAGCATTATATGACATAATAAAAGGCCATACAAATTTTTCAATTGTATGAGAAAAAATACAAATGCATAGAGATAAGCTTACGCATTTCTTAACAGAAATGAATTAGCCTGTTCTAGTAATGAAGATTTATAAAATATCCTTAATATGAAGCTCAATTTCACATATGCATAATAATTATTGATATAGCACATGAACTATAATATAAAATATATTCTACCATAAACTTTATTGGGAATGACTTTTATAATCATACTGAGTTATCATGGCATTTTTTAAAAAATAAAAGAAATAGGAAGGTCAGCATTTTTATTTATTACTTATCAATGAGAATCAGATAAATTTGAAGTGGAATAATGAAAATCATGGGTAAGAATTACTAATTTGATATTAAAAATAGAAGAAAATGGAATAAAAGAGGAGAAAATTTAAGATACACACTATTGGTTTTATTTTTCTGATATGTTTCTTTACGAAATGTTCGATGAGTAAACGCAAAAAAATTCTTTAAAATCGATTTATAATTATGGATTTAATTAGACTCCATTTTAGACTAAAGTATATTAACTAAGAAAAATGTCCTTATAATGCTAGGGATTCTAATTTTTACAACCTTTTTAAATTATAAGCTTAAGCAGTGAGCTATATTTTTAATTATAATATTCTGAAATAGACTTAAAAATAATTATGTTCTTCAGAAAATCAACTAAAGTGATGCAAAAGAATGACATTAATTGTGTATAAAAAAAATGATAGTAAAGGCCTAGATCTCATGAAAGTGCATCTTTTGAGAAAAGGCATTTCATTTAGAAAAGCATTTCACCTAAAGAAGTTAGCTCGGTTTTAAGACTCAGACAACCATAATATATTTACGAATATTCAATTCTTCGCCAAAAGCCGAATATATTAGCTTTCAAGATACCAAAAAATCTATTGCAAAATTTTCAGAAGCTTCTGTTCGTCAGGAAATGAAGGAATACAAATTAATAACTCTTTTAAAGAGAATTAATTCCACTATCATTGAAACAGGCTTCGCTTGCTCTTTTGTGTTTAAAGATTTATGCTTAAAGACAGCAAATTCAAAGCAACTCCTTCAATTATCTCTTAGAATCATTAATAAATTTTCGATGCATTTTAAATGAACTACTTTGTTTATTTCTGCATCTTTTTACTTTATCTTAATTTCTGTATACATTTTTACATATTTGCTTTTATTGTATAAGAAAAAATGGGAAAGTATAAATGCCCTTACGAAGAGTGCGGCCTTGAATACAGTAAGAATTCTAATTTACACAGACATATAAATACATTTCATCTGAAAATCAGATTTTCGTGCACAAAGTGCGGGAAAGAAGTGACTTCTGCTCAGAGTCTCAAAGACCATGGATACTTCCATTCTCGTGCTAAGCCGTATATGTGCAAAATCTGTCGAAAAAGATTCCGTCAAATAAGCCAGCTGTCAGTGCATCGAAGGAAATACCATTCTGATGCCAAATCAAAAAATAAACCCGAGTTTGTCGAGCTTAAGGTAAATTTTATGAAAATTAACCTTTTTGTGGAAAAAATTGCAAAAACATATGAAATCCCTTCCGGACCTTTTACACTCAAAGACGCAAGACTACCTCCAATTTCAAATAAATAATCGAATAACTTAAATAGTTTTAGTATTAGATCCATTAAGATATCAACCTTATCCATCATTTTAGACTATCAGTTTTTAACAGTATTTTACAGCCTTAAATATGCAACTAGCTCGTGAATTCTTGATTTAAACTAAATCGCTAATTATTTATTAAGCTCTATCATAATTTCCTTTTAACTTTAATTTTCTAAGGAATTATTAACTAAGAAATTTTCTCTTATAATGATTAGTATTATTTGCGGATTTGGTACTTGTAAAAATTGGAGAGATTCGTATTATTTCGCATGCTATTTGAGTTAGGAGCTTTCTAAAAACCTTAATGGCCCTAATTTTTTATCCTTTATCAATAAATCAATGTCAATTCTTTTCTATCTATCTTTCATTTTTAGTTAATCTTGGAGTTTGTTTTTAATTTAATTTGTAAATCTAAATGCTCACATAAGTAAAAAAATATTAATTAATTGCTGCTATAATGTTTTTTTCCTTCTTATTTATTTTTTTAATATCCTGCATTTAAGCCTTTTATTAGCATAAAGTATATGGAAATTTATAAAATATACACTTAAATTAATAGTAAAATTTTATTTGCGATACATTTTAATTTTGCTGATTGCTGCTCTTCTTGCCTTCCACCCGTATTTGGGCCAAAATAATGAGTATAAAATGCCTAATTAAATATAGTAATTGCCCGAGGATGGCGCAAGATAGCGCCATCCTCGGGCAATTGCAATACCTTGATTTATAAAGAAAAATGGGGAAATATAATTGTCCTTATAAAGGGTGCGGTCTTAGATATAGTAAAAATTCCAATTTGCATAGGCATGTAAACACATTTCATCTGAAAATCAGATTCGTATGCGAGAAGTGTGGAAAAAAAGTGACTTCTGCTCAGAGTCTCAAAGACCACGGATACTTCCATTCTCGAGCCAAGCCGTATATTTGCAAAATTTGCGGTGAGAGATACCGGCAAATAAGTCAACTGTCAGTGCATAGAAGGAAATACCATCCTTATATGAACTCTAAAAAGAAGTGTGAATTTATTGAGGCTAGAATAAATTTAAACCTCCTTGTGGAAAAAATCTTAAGTGTCTATGTAATCCCTTCAGGACCTTTTACATTAGAAGATGCAAGACTGCCTCCAATTTTAAATAAATAGTTGATTTAACTCATAAATAAATAGCCTGAAAAATTCAATTTTTATTCCATATTTTCGACTGCCAGTTTTTAATGGTATGCTTTAGGTCCTGAACAGATATTTACTCCTCCCCCTCCGTGAGTGAACAAAAAAATTTTGTCACTCACGGAGGGGGGTTAATTTTGTTTTTTTAAAAAAATTTATATATAAATTTTCTAAAAAAATATTTTTTTTCGAAATTCAAAAAAATCCTAATTCGCAAAAATTGGAAAGCAAATATTAATTTACTTTATAAAATTTATGTTTTAAAAAGCAATTCATTTAAAATTAAACAGAATTAGCTCTAGATTTCATTATACTAATTATCACTTATATATCAAAAATTTTTTCCATAAAAAATTTTTTGTTCACTCACGGAGGGTGGGTTTTTGGGCAAAAAATAGCGATTTTTCTAATGGTTTTGTTTCACTCATGGAGGGGGGGGAGTTAGTATAAAGGCTTAAAGAACTAATAGGTTAAAATTTAATGTAAGTCTTTAAGAATTCTCTTATTTGCCAATTTTTTTGCTAGATTTTAATAATAAAAATACTCAATTAGCATTAAACTATTACTAGGATTAAAATATTTAATTTTTATGAATAAATGGGATTGCAATTGGCAACTTTGCTTGCTCGTCAGCAATTTTAGCAAAACTGCTTTGCTGAAATATTTAATATAAAGGGAATTTTGATGCTCCGCTAATATAAAATTATTTGTTCGATATTTTACCTCGAGTTTTGCAAATTATTTTAAATCAACTGATTTAAAAATTTCAAGTGGTGTGATTTAGCATCTAATTTCCCAAAAAATTGCAAACAATGAAAATCAAATATTAGATAATCTGAGCTTTGGGATTTAAAAATAATGGCATAGATGAACTTGCAAAACTATTTGAAAATCTCATGGAAAGGATGACTCTACTTATGTATGCATTTTACCTAAATAAAACAGAATTGATTACATTTTTGAATTATAAAGGCACATATTTAAAAATGAATGTCAATATGAATTTTATGTATATTAATATTGACTAAAAAATCTGTAGTTGCATAAACTATAATACCGTTAAGTCTATAAAATAAGTGACTTCAAAGTTTTTTTTTAGGAGCTAAAATTTTTTTTTACCGTTAAATTTAAGATTTTTTTTTCTTACCATAAGTTACCTCTAGAATATAATAATATCTTATTGATATCAAACACTGACTCTTTTTTTTAAACCATATTGGTTCTTTACTTCATGTACATACCGTATATCATATCATTTTAAGAGTCATTATTTAATTCAAAAATGTTTTATCAATTGAGGAGTGACTGGTCAAATTTCAGGCATAATATTGGTCTCTTTTACTGGACTTAGATCAAGACTAATAGCCTTAAAGCATTCAAGCACTAATTTAAATTCACTATAGATAAATAAACACAAATTTATTCGCTTCAGAGATCATCTTACGCCTATAAATTATTTAGAAATTATGAACTAAGCAATAATATTTGCTAACAAAATGCCAAAACTATCATAAAATATCCATAAGTATTGAGATTATCAGCACCTAGTCGTCACAAGCTTGTGGGTTTTCTTCAAGATAGAGTTTTTATCTCTGCCCGAAATTACATATGACAGAATTATGCTAGATAAAATACCTAAGCAGAAGCAGTTTAGCATTACATTCTTAATAAAAAAATTGATAAAATCTTTCAACCTAACAAGATTTTTGATAATATCCTTACCAATATATACCAATATATATAGGCTTAGCAAGCAAAATTCTTTTAATTAAACCCAGGAAAATCCAATAAAGATTTTCAAAAATTATAATTTTTAAAATCAAGCTTTCCTTTTAATTATCACATCTATAAAATTTTTCCACAAGTTTTAATGTTGTTTAATTCTTAATTGCCATATGATCATGATTAATTTTTGATTAAAAAAATTAATACCCAACCATCAGATGAATGCGATATCTATTTCTCCAAAGCTCAGCGTAATATCAGAAGTATCCGAAAGCTGGGAAGCAAGCGAGCATGCTTCTCCTGCACACAATAAATACTTTGGGAAGCGAAAATCCCAAAAATCAGAGTTTCTTGAACTGATTAGAGAAGAGTCAGAAATTGACATGCCACACTCGCCTTCACAAAAGACGACAATTCACTCCGGACGAGTGTCTATGGATGAAAATATGGAAAACAAAGAACTAGATAGGCTGTTAAAGTCAAGAATTATTCAAGGAAACAATTGCTCATGCACTTGCTCAATATTTTAGAAGTTGCATCATATTCTCGCACAATTTAAAGAGAAAGTATACTAATATATAATTAATTTAAAGGCGCTATTTTTGGAATGAAAAAATTAAATTTTATAAATATACTTCAAGCTTTTTGAGCTAAAAATTTAAATATCTAAAGGTTTTATTTTGACACTAATAAATCATATGTAAATAAAAAGTGATGCAATTTTAACTTAAAGGGAAAAAGATACTGACCAGTAATATAAAATATTGTTCTGATCAAAATTTACCTTCATAACCATAGAAGAATTAAAATTCCCATTTTGGCTAGTAAAAATAGAACTGAATGCTCAACGTTATCAATAAAATCAAAGAACTTACCACAATTTAGAAATCATTTTATTATAGCTCACCCCTCGTGGTTGCTCGCCATTAAGTACCCTCCCCATGTCACCCACCCCCTGACGGTCCTGAAAATTTTAAATGTTAAAATATTTATTTGACAAAGTCCCTCTCGAATATTTTAACTTGTCAAATTAATATTTAACATGTTAAAAATATTTGGGACTGTCAGGGGGTGGTGCATGGGGAGAGCGCGCGCTCAAGGCCGATCCAAAACTGGGGTGTAAAGCTATATTAGTTAATATTTTCATCAGTGTTTCAGTCTGTGCAAACAGTCAAGTTCTGAAAATTTAATAGGCAGTAAGATCCAGGTGTATGAGCTTGTAAAAAGAAAGGAAAAATGATTTAAAACCCATTTGTGGCTCCAACTCTGTAACCTAGTGAGTAAGGGACTCGGTAGAAGGATAGAAATAGTGCAGAGTCTCTCTTTGAGAAGGCCAGGGAAAAACTCTATAGACAAACACAAAATTAAGCACCAAAAGTATCATAAGCACCAGTTGAACCCCAAGAAAGCACCAAAGGAATGGAATGGTGATGTCTATGATTTGATAAATTTGAATAATCATCAGCACATTCAAAAATCTATTTGATGGTGAGGGACAGCTCTAGGCAATACCGGTGATAAGGAACTTGAAAGAGACATCAAACAATATCTTAACTCAGCATCAGGGAAAGGTATGGGGAAGAAATTTCCCCATTTAGGGATTTTGAGGATACGGAGGATCTTAATAGTCTCAAGAATGGCATCACAATCCTAGGATAATGCTCCATTTCGCACCCTATTCTATATGAATGCAATATCTGTCATAATAGAGGACATCGGGAAGATAAATGCGCTATGATTAAGGTGTCTTCAAAGAAACTTCTGAAGCTGAGAGAAGAGATTAATAAAATGGCTACTAAAAAGATGGCAAAAACCATACTTTATCGTTGCAAAGTTGAATTGGCGCTTCGCTATTTAATAGCAGGATTAACGAGAACGTCTAGTGCACTTTCCTTAAAATACCCAAGGAAAGATGTGGAAATTAAAAAGATAGATATAATCCTAGGACATGAGGATGAGACAGTGGCTCTTCTGAAGAGGCTATATATCATAAAATTTGAAATAAACTCAAAATTCAAGTGGAATGATAAAAATAAAATATATTATATATATTTCTATTAACTGATAAATGAAGGGTGATGAGTTTAACTTTTATTAATAGATTTTCTAATATGAGATTAAATCTTGAGTTATTTATAGGAAACTCTATAATACTTATTACCCTTTCTGCCAAAATTGATTATATTTCCAATATCATTATGTTTTATATATTTAATAAATATACTGTAGAAATAAAATAGCATTATTGATGGAAGGACTCCAAGATGCGCTATTAAGGCTAGCCCATTTCTAAGACTTCTGAAAGAATACTCTGGAATATCAGGTGGCTTCAGTGCAAGCGGTATCCTCGCAGAAAGGGAATTTTTAAATTTCAAATTTTTTGATAAGCCCGAAAATAGAATTTCTTGCGATTATCATATTCGATAAATCAGCCTAATTAAAGCTTTATTTATAAATCATCACCATTTTATCTATTTTATTATTATATATCACTATAAAAGCTTTCTGGATTCGCACTAATTTCATGGGACACTTCGTTTACTTGTGGAGATTTTCTGATCGATGAAAGCTCTTCAAAGGTGTGACAGTTTTCATTCTTAATTTGTCTTTCTGTGAATTTATTGCTACGCTGTGATGGCAATGGAGGTTTTGAAGATGCTTTTACTTGAGCATCTCCGCGTTTTTCTATCTCTTCTTCTTTTGATGAGTATTGAGGGGAATCACTGAAGTCGCTAAATGAATCTATAAACTGGTCACCAGGCGTGCTTTTTCTATTTGGTGAATAAGCCATCAAAATTGGTTTTTTTATTTGATAAAACTCCTCAGAAGATTCATATCTCTGTGTACTGTTTTTAGATAGTGACTTTCTCGTTAATCACGCATTATACTCTTCTTCTGCCTTCATTTTTCTCTGCATCTGTTCCATCTCTTTTTTCCTTTTTTCTTCATAAATTTTCTTTTTTTCTTCTCTTTCTTTTATTTTCTTTTCCCTTAACTTTATCAAGTTATTTTTTAATCATTCCCGATACACTTTGCTTGACTCTTCAATTTTCTTTCTCTTTGCACTTTCCTCATCAGCTTTTGCTTTATTTTTCTCACTTTTCTTGACTTTTTCCTCTTTTGATTTATTTCTTTCCCAGTTTCTCACTTGTTTATAGCTTTCTATTTTTTTGACTTCTTTGTCTTCAGCTTCTAATAGTTTTTCTTCATATTCAATTTCTAGAGCTTGGACTAATAATTTTTTCTTTAGCCTTTCTTCAGCAGCTTTTCGTCTTTTTCAATCTTCAAATGAAATTTCTGAAGTTTTCATAGTTTTTGCAGCATTTTCAAGCCTTTCACTTAATAATTCATCAAATAGCTTCTCGTTATCTTTTTTGTTCCCTTCTGCGTTTTCAAGCTCTAATTCAAGTGCTATTACTTGAGAATTATCGTACCCAAATAAGCCTTTTTGCATCCTCTGCCTTACAGCTTTGTCTATTGCATACTCAATATCATCAGGGAGCTCTATTCCCTTGCATTTTGATTCTCTTAGTGAGTTATGCCCTTTTAGTGCTCGAAAATATTCAGTTGACCCGAGCTTTTCTATCGGTTTTGTAGCTTTACTAAGATCCTTTATAAAAAATACCAATTGGCATACAAATTTATCGCAGCTTTGCGCTGCCCTTTTTCTACTTCTGTCTGTATCCATATTATTTGAAATATTCAAATTTAAATATTAGATTATCCTTGCAATATATTAGACATTTTCTCTTCAAGTTTCTTAATTTCCAGGTTCTGCTGCGATAGTTTGTCTCTGTTTTTATCCAGCTTGGTAATGATACTTTGGAGCTTATTATCAGGGCCTTTTGATTTTGAGGTATTTTTGAAGTCAAATAAATCTGGCAAGGACCCAGTGTGATGCATTTGCTTGGGAGCAATTGGAGAGGTCAAGCTGACCTGCCGAGAAAGCTCTTCTACTTCATTTTTTATTTTTGAAACTGCCTTTGTGAGCTGCATTTTTTCATTCCTCAGCTCATTGCATTCTTTAATTAAAAATGCGTTTTCGTGCTGCTTCCTAAATAATGACTCAGTTTTTTCTTTTTGATATCTTTTGCTTTGGCTTTGGAAGTTATGCAGCTTTTCTTTAATAGAAGAATGATATTGCAAAGCTTCTTCTTGCGTTTTTTGCATGTTAGCTTCCATTAGAGTTTCTCTGATGTCTTTTCCTATGACTCCAGAGTATGTTTCAGTTTCTTCAGTATCCACTGAATTTGCATGCTTATCATATAATTCCATTAATTTTAGCGCTATATGGTCTCTGTCAGTTGTTCTAATTAAATGTGCTAAATCACTCTGAAATAAAGTAATTTTTCTATTATTCTGAAAAATCTGCTTTCTTAAAGTTTTGTTTAGCTCATCCACTGCTTTATTTTTATCTTTTAGCCTTTGAACTTTTTCAGTCAATAATTTTTTATTAGAAAATTCTTCTAGCAACTCACTCTCCCATTTGTTAGCAAACGAAGCCATTACAAAAGCCCTATTTATTTAAAATTAACTCGGAAAATTTTTTTAAACTAAATTTTAGGTTTTATACAGTTGAATTTTAAATTATTTTTTTATATTATATTTTAAAAAAATTAATCCTTGATAATTTTTGCTAGATATCCAAGGGGAAGTCAGTATACATATCACGGATAGTTTCTTCACGCTCTTTTATTTTTACGTCTAAAGGATCTCTTTCGTCTTTTAAGCTGCTAATTTTTTGGTTTAAGACAAAGTGAAAATTCATTAAATGGATATTAAAAGCGCGGAGTTCTTTTATTGTGTTTTCTTTTCTATTAATAACTTCATCTCTTTCACCTATTTGTTCTTCAGTTTTATTCAGCTTATTTCTGAGGGTTTCTGCTTCTGAGAGTCTTTCTTTATTTATATCTTCTAGCTCAGAAACAACCTTCATCAGAGTAGATTTTTCTTCTTTAAGTTTGCATTTAGTTTCTTTTAAAACACTGCTTTTCTTGTAGAGCTCTTCAGTTTTGGACTGTTCTGAGGCAAGTTCTTCTTTTTTTCTTGATTTAGTGGCATCAATTTCTTTTTCATGCTCTTGCTCTAATAGAGAAATTTGATTTTCGTAGAGTTCTGAGTCAACTTTCATTTTTTCCAGTAAAGAGTCATAAGAATTTTTTATTTCTTTTAGATTTTCGCTGTAGGCATCTTCAAATTCTTTGAGTTTTTGTTGATGGGCGATCATAATGGTAGTCAATTCTTGGTCAAATTTTACTTTCATTTCTTCCATGTCTTCTCGGAGATGGTAGTATCTTTTGAATTCTTCTTTAAGGGTGGCATCGAATTTTTCTTCTCGGAACTGATATTCACGGTCATTTTTTGCATCGAGCTGTTTTAGCTCTTCTTGATGATTTTCTTCTAATTTTAGCAAGTTTGCATTAAACTCAGTCAATTTTTCTTTTTCGAATGTTAAAAGGCTGGTTTTTTCTTTAGTTAGTGCTTGGATTTTTTGAGTATAAAGAGCAACTTGGTTTTCTAGGGATGTGATTTGTTCAGCTTTTAATTTCGCTTTTTTGAATTTTAATGATTTTATTTGTGATTGAGCAGATTGAATGTGATCATTAGGAACCAGACATAGCTGCTGAGAAGGGTCTGATTCGAATTGGTGATGCTGAGTTGGCACAAAAGGTAGAAAAGGATCCATTTTAGGTTGATATATTTAATTAAAACTGCTATTAATGATAAATCACTTTTTCATAAGTTTTTCTTTGAGATAATAATAAAAAATTATTTAATTATAATTATAAGTTACTAAACAAGATTTAATTAGAGATTCCAAGTTAAAATTTTTATAGTTATAAGAATTAAAATGATTATAAAAAATTTCAAGTATAGACATCTCAGATTTCGCTTTTATATATATCCTTTACATTTTTCAAAATCTTTATTTTATATTCCGCAAATATATAAGAGATGATTAAGAAAGAGTTTATATTAATTGAATATATCAATAGCTGCTTATTTCATCCAAAAGTAAAAATATTGCTACTCGATTTCTATCGAAATGATAAGGTTAAAGCAATATAAATTTTATTAAATCCCCCAAAACAGTAGAATAAACCCACTGATGAGACTCAGCATAGTTTTCCAGATTGATGGAATAGAATTCCAGTTGCTGATTCTCAATGAAACATAAATAAAATGGCATTCGGTTCGAGTGAAATTAGCTCGGCTAATATTCTCTTTCTCAAGCACTTTTATTTATGGGGTTAGGTTTTCTTCTGAGAACTTCTGTACAGCAATAGCAGTTTAACTCTGGCAGATATATAGCTTTAGAGAGTCGAAAAATAGGGCCTTGGCTCTCTGGTTTACTATTCTATATCAGAATTTATTGCCCTAAATATTCTATTAGTAGCTTGCGGCTTGGTCTTCTGAAAACATATTTTATACCAAATTTAAATTTAACAAACCAACACATTATTAGTTTGCTAAATCTGGTCGGGATATGAAATTCAGTTTCCATATAAGAAAAAAATGTCAACAGATTTTAAAATAAATTTTCTGATTCAGAAGCTCTAAGACTTCAAGAGGCATCTATCTCTTTGTTTGCACGCTGTGCTTGCATGCTGAGTTTGCCTACTTAATTTAACTTCTGGATTTTCCTGCTGGGCTTGCAGATGAGCTACCTGTAAGCATAAAGGATGGGTTTTTTGATTAAGCAGGCAGGATGGATTTTCACAAGATTGAAAGGGGTGACATGCCGACAAAGAGATAGATGCTACTTGAAGTGTTAGAGCTTTTGTATCGATATCATCTAAAATCTCCAGTAGAATTCTGACTTATAGATGATTCATAAAACAATGGACTAAGCTTGAGAAATAGAGCATGAACTGAAAATATACAAATTCAATGGGGTGGCATGCCGACAAAGAGATAGATGCCTCTTGAAGTCTTAGAGCTTCTGTATCGATATCATCTAAATCTCCAGTAGAATTTGGACTTGGATGATTTATGGATGATTCATAAAAAAATGGACTGAACTGGAGAAATAGTACATGAACAAAAAATATACAAATTCAATGGGGTGGCATGCCGATAAAGAGATAGATGCCACTTGAAGTGTTAGAGCTTCTGTATCGATTTCATCTAAAATCTCCAGTAGAATTCTGACTTACAGATGATTCATAAAAAAAATGGAAGTTACTGGAGAAATAGGACATGAACAAAAAATATACAAATTCAATGGGGTGACATGCCGACAAAGAGATAGATGCCTCTTGAAGTGTTAGAGCTTCTGTGTCGATATCATCTAAAAATCTCCATGTGAATGCTGACTTATGGATTATGCATTAAAAATGAACTGAACTGGAAAAATAGGACATGAACTAAAAAATAATACGAATTCGATGGGGTGACATGCCGACAGAGAGATAGATGCCTCTTGAAGTCTTATAGCTTATTTATTGATATCATCTAAAATCTCCAGTAGAATGCTCAGTAGTTCTCTTTTTTCTAATATAGGACCAAGAATAATAGAAAATAAAAATTAATTTAGGGACTTAAAAAAAGGGTATCAGAAAATTTATTTTTAAAATCTGTTGACATTTTTTCTTATATGGAAACTTAATTTCATATCCCGACCAGATTTAGCAAACTAATAATGTGTTGGTTTGTTAAATTAATTTGGTATAAAATATGTTTTCAGAAGACCAAGCCGCAAGCTACTAATAGAATATTTAGGGCAATAAATTCTGATATAGAATAGTAAACCAGAGAGCCAAGGCCCTATTTTTCGACTCTCAAAAACTGTATAAGCCGAGGCACTGCTCCAAGTGCTTCAAGAGGCTCGAAGTTTTACCTCTCAGCACACTCGAGGAAGGTGAGCCTTAGGCGGAACACGCGCAGGAGCTGAGTCAAGGAAGGCAAGGCAACGCAGCCGTCGAAGCCGGAACGCTGTATTTTGCCCGTGCCCTGGCGCAACAAAGTGGATCGATCCAGAGGTCCATGGGCCCGACAAATGGACAAATAGGGTGAAAGCTCTGGAAACGGCTATCCTGCAGTGGACGTTAAACGTGATAGATAATAATGTAATGTAATGATTCTCAATGAAACTTCAGAGATAAAACTATTTCTGAAGCAGTATAATTCATCCCTAGGTATCATGAATGAGTCATAATCCAGATGGTATAAATATTCAAAATTTTATATTTTCAGTATTAAAGCAAACAACATAGTTTTCTTATTAATTTCTTTGATAAGCTAGAGAGATGTGGTTGATTGCATTCTTTATAGGTTGTGTTAAGTGGAGAATTAGAATTATGAATACCATATGATGAGCATGCTCTAAATTTTTCTAGGCCATTAGCTCTATCTTTGGCTATTAACATTGTGCTTTTGGTTCTTGAAGATTTGACAATTGGCTAATTGTGTTGACTAAAACAGGCTTTTAAATTGATTTTTCTTATCTGATATTATAAACTATAAAATTTTAAAGCTCTATATTAAATTGAGGCAAAAATCAGCTTTTGTTATTTTCATCGGGGATAAATGTGATTTACCAACAGTTGCTCTAATATGTTTTATTTTTGATATAAAAGAATTAAACTATAGGATAAGATGGCATCATATGAATTCCACAAACGCCTTCTCCGTCTTTAACTCCAAGTCTGATATATCCGCTTTCACCCCATCCTGATCCCCAAGAATTTTTGACAATGTAATAAGGAATGCTAGCAGTCTTATTGTAGCCTACAGCAAGAACTCCATGGTCCAAATTTGTTCCACAGCCACTATCAACAACTCCTGTTGAGTAAAACTGAAATGCAGCTTGGTCAGCTTGCACAGCCACAGAAACAGGGCCTAGGGCAAGTGCTGTCATTAAAGCGTTGCTATCATAAGGGGTGACATCTCTATATCCTGAAATAGTCGCAGCTACAGTTGCTGCCTTTTCCTTATTGCAAGTTCCATCTCTTGCATCGTAAGGATAGTTTTGTTCTGTTGTAAGTCCGCCTTTTTGAATGACATAATCAAAGGCATAGTCCATAAGTCCACCATCACATCCTTGATTTCCATTTGACCTTGAGCAGTCTACAAGTTGTTGTTCACTTAAACTCACTAATTCATTTTTCGCTAAAAACCAAGCACCTTCTATAGCTCCTGTAGCTGAAAACGACCAACAGCTTCCACACCCGCCTTGGTTCTTAACCTCAGTTACTGCTCCTACTTGTCTCCAATCGACTGCATCAGGAATTGTTACATCATCTGCCTCATCAGTGTATCTAGGCAAATGTCCTCTTGGCTTAGTCCCTAAGTAAGTATTTTTGAATTCAGCAAATGACATATCAGCGAATTGGTTTGCCTTTAAAACCCAGTTTTTCGACTGTGTGTTATGGATTCTGATATAAGCTAAGTTGTCTCTGTAAACTTTAAAGCGTCTAGCATACTCTTCTACGGTGGAATAAACCTTGTTGTATTTTTTAACGTAATGGTTGAATTCTTCAACTTCAAGTTGGAATTGTTGGAGCCCTGCTGAAGGAGTTTCGGAAGAGGTAAGGGCAACTGTGCAGACTACACAAACGACTCCGAAAATGGCGAGGGCTGAGTAAAGAATTTTTGATTTCTTAGTGGAGGTGTTGAAATTAAGGTTATCCATCTTAATTTTATTTCTTCAACAGAACTAAATAGAAGAGAATTATTATCAACATGGCTAAGTAGTTTTGGTTTCTTCGTTTAAAGCTTTCCAGATTCTTTGTCGTTCCTCTTCGTAGAGCTTTTCTTTTGAAGACATTTCTAATTCGGCCCCGGGCTTGAGATCAATGCTTTCTTCTGTGCTGTCTGTTGTTTTTATAGCTTTGGGCTGCTCATCTTTGAGATCTAAGCCTAAGCAGTCACCGAAGAAATTTGAAATTATCATGGCACTTGAGGAGGCATTGCCTGCTATCACTGCGTCTATTCGAGGAATGTAGTCAATAAATGTTATGCCACTTACGAAGAATAGCCCACTAAGAGCATTTTTTGGTTATCAAAATTTAAATTTGGCAACTCAGCTGTGAATATGGCTAACCAAAAAAAGGGTTTATTTTTATTGGGCTATTCATCGCAACCTAGTACTGTCACTTCAATCCCATCAGCTACTCTTTCTTGAAGCTTTGGCATAATTCTTTGTTGTGGTGCCCAAGTCACAGACAAACTTTCCAGTGACAAGCTAAGCGTGCTAGCCAAAATTGACCCATCACTTTTTCCAATCAACAAACAGTCACTTTCATCTGACAAAGCCAAGCTGAAGATTTTACATGAAAGTTCAGGTGTCACCCCTGTGCTTGGGACACTGAAACTGAGGACTTTATAGCAAGTCAAATAATCCCATATATGAACTTGGCTTTCTTGTGAACTCAATGCTATAGCAAAATTCTTTGATTCTACAAGAGATACAGACAAGCAGCTCCCAGTGAATCCTTCCAGTAAAATTGGCTCAAAAACTTGAGCTAAAGCATTCATATAATAAATTCTCAACGGATTTGGATCAAGCTTTGCTTGGCTGCCATCGGCAGCTTGATAAGTGTTATCGTGGCCTGATAAAATAAATCTATGCTTATTTGAGTATGCTAGTGCTCTTACTCCTGGAATTATGCCTTCTTCTTTAATTTCCAACTGAGGCTCTTGGGCAGCAAGATGCCATACCCGGACATAGCCATCATGAAACCCTGCATACAATAAATCTGGCACAGGGGAAATCATAATACTAATTTTGCTTGCCCCAGGAGCACTGAACTGTGAAATGCTCCTCAGAGAGTAAGAATCAATCACTTTAAATACCCTATCACTTTCTCCAACCACAATAACATTCCCCAGTAAGCTTTCTTTACAATGTACAGCTGAGATAATAAGAGTTCCATGCGCAGGTGTGTATCTAGGGCTTCTGATATCCCCAGTAAGTAGACAGAACATATCAATATTTCTCGGACTCACTGTGATTATGTGAAAAAGCTGTGAGTACTCTGAAGAGCTGCTTGCATCTGGAAAGATAATAAAAACATTTAAAATGGATCCTCGTTGGTTTATTGGATACGTCAGGTTAGAAGTTACGTGTGAAGCTATAGGAACGCCGAGTTTCTTATTCGGCACAGGCATAGGAGCACGATTTCCCATATTTAAAAATATCTATTAGACTATAGGGTATGAAGGCAATTTTTGAATCCCACAAACGCCTTCACCTTCTGTAATAGCAATTCTAGCGTATCCTTTTTCACCCCATAAAGAGCTAAAGGTATTTTTTATGATGTAATAAGGAATAGGAGTGGCTGTATTGTAGCCTATAGCGAGGACTGCGTGAGTTAGGTTTGTTCCACAGTGTTTATCAATTATCCCGCCAGTATAAAACCTGAATGCATCTTGATTAGCCTGGACTGCAACAGCCACAGGCTGCTTGCTAATAGCTATAAGAAGAGCAGTTGAGTTATTAGGGGTTACGTCTACATATGAAGAAATGGATGCTGAAACTTGTGAACCTTTTTCCCAGCTGCACTCTCCGTCTTTAGCTAAGTATGGGTAGTTCTTTCCTGTAGTGAGTCCGTGGTCTACCACAAATTGGAAGCCATAGTCATTTTCTCCACCATCGCAGCCTGTGTTTCCATATGACCAAGAGCAGTCAGCAAGCTCTTGTTCACTTATTCCCACCTCCATGAGCGAATAATATTAATTGAAAATCTCTATATTTTTTGCTAAAAAACTACCCTCCTTGAGCGAGCAAAATTTTTTTAATGCTATAAGAATATTTTGATAATTACTATAATGAAACCTCTTAATTTTAAACAGCTTCCATTTTAAAAATAATTTAAATTAATATTCTCTTAAAAATTATTTTGGATTAGGATTTTTTTAATTTTTGGAAAAATAATATACACAAAGTTTTAAAAAAAAAATGATTATCCCCACGTGAGCGGATAAAATGTTTTTGTTGGTTCACAGAGGGGAGTTAGAGGAACCAAATCATGCCCAGCTAAAAATCAAGCACTTTCTACTGCTCCAGTTACAGTAAAAGCCCAGCAACTCCAACAAAGTCACTGGTTTTTAACTGGAGTTATCGCTCCTTTAGTTCTCCAATCTACCTGAGCAGGTATACTTTCAGTTAAATCATATCTTTATAATTTTTAGACGACACTCCAATGTGTCTATCGAAAAGAGAAGAAATTCTTCTGAGGTAAGATCAGAAAATTGGTTAATCCCGAGGAGCCAGTTGTTATTTTGAGAATTGTGAAGACGGACTAAAGAAGAATTTTCTGTAAAAATTTGGAGGCGGTGTTGATATTCATCATTGGTTTCATAATTTTTATTGAATGTCTTGATGAAGGATTGGAACTATTACTCAGCTAGCTGCTGTTGCTCAATTTTTGCATGGTAAAAGCTGATATTTAGCCCAATAAAACCTAAAATACAAACCAATCCTGTACCGGTAAAGAATATATAAAGAGCTGAAGACTTGAAAGTTTGCCTCTAAAGCCCATTTATTATATATTGGCTATTTATCCATTAATTATTATGTTAATATACTTTATATTCGTATGAAGATAAGAAGATAATTTAATTTTCTATTTATTTTTAAATTTGAATTTTAATGAGCCTATTATAAAAACTCAAATTAATACTTAAAAGAATGTCTTATTTATAAGTTATTTAGGACAATTCTTTATTTATTCTTTCCAGCTTCTCCTTAATTTTTTAGTTAAAAGATATTTTCTTAAATGATTTAAGTTAAGTGCCTATACTTAGGCTTTAATTTTTGGAGCTACGACATAAATGTGTTGGTCGTGACTGTCCAAGCTGAAGTCAGTTTTAACATCAACAACTTGTAATATATCATTGGCCCACTTGTCTGGGCTTGATGGTGACAGAATTTCGTTATATTGATCTGATAGCACTTCAACTGTTTCTTTACAAGGGGAATTTTTTTTGATTAAGTCTATTACAGACTTAGGAAGAAGATCATAAGGCTTTTCTTCTGTTTCTTTTTCTTGAACAAAATTGAATCTACTATGTGAAGCTTCAAAATCCCTTGAAAAAATTCTTGGTCTAAAGGAATTTTTTTTCGTAAAATTTTCTGTCATTGATCTATCTCTTGTTACTCTTGCTCTTGGTAAGGCTGTCTTTTCATCAGGTGGATCTACAACAATCTTCAATTTTTCTAATAAAATATTTTTTGGCTGAATATTTTTAACTTGTGCCATTGAATCCCTCGGAACCATCTGGGACTGTGGCGCAAGCTTATGTAGATATAAGCATTCTGGTTTGGGACAAGCTATCCCTTCTAGAAAGTAAGTGCAATATTTTGTAGTACCAAAAGTCACTGTTAGTTGTTTTCCTTCAATAACAAACTCGTCACACGCCTTTATGCAAAGTGAAGATTCCTCTTCATTAGAAAAAGTAATGTAAGCACCATAAGAAACTCCAGACGAGCCGTTTGTGTAGGCGTTGGCTTTATTTACAACACATTTTTTGATCTTGCCATATTGTCCAAAATACCTATAACTTTTAAGAAGTGTCTCATCGGCAACTGATGGAGGTAGGTTAATAATGTAAACCAAATCGCTTTGAATTATGCGCATTTTTGAAAGCTCGCTGGGATTTGGTTGTATTCTCTTGCTTTGTCGCTGCAGTCTGAGTAGGTCTTACAATTTTGAACCACTTAAAGGAGAAGAAGAAAAGCTTGTGTCAGCATTTGGATGAAGAGGAATTTGGCAAGAAAGCTTTCGCTCCATTAAATATTTTATATTATCATAAGATATTTTGGATTCTGATACCCCTACAGCCTTATTATTTCATTTTTAATATTAAAATATCAATACTTAAAATCTTGCTTATAGAAAAATGCTCTAGTAGAGAATAGACAAACCTATTATTAAAGTCAACTTGATTAATAGTAAAATATATTAAACTAATTTATGACCTCTATGCTGCTATTTTTTAAGGAGTTCTTGTATTGCCAGAAGGTTTATGAAATCACTAGTAGAATAAAAATATCAGCCTATAAATCAGTTCGCTTATGGAAATACTTAGTATCAATTTCTGCAAATAGTGATGGATTAAGAAAAACTTAGGATGCTTTCATGTCAATTTTTCGATAATTAATGAAATAAGTCTATATTTTACGAAGCCATTTTAACGATGAGTTTGTTAAGGAGATAATCAACAGACAATCCCTTTCGAATCATTTAACAATAATAGTTATCTGCTGAAGGATGAATTCGCAGATTAAAGCCTAGATAGAAATTACCTGCTATAATAAAGATAATTATTTATTTTTAAAAATAGAATAATAAATGAGAATGCTTCGTTCTAAATTTCTTTTGATAAATTATTATTAACAAAATTCAAAGGTCACAGAATATTAAAATACATAACATAAATTATCGTTAAATCGTTAAGTTTACATCTAATAATAAGATTTATAAAAATTTTTCCCGCCATATGGAGATTTATATCCCGTTGGTTTTACGAGTAAAGGTGATTTTCGGTCCAAAGTTATTGATTTTTTCTTATTTCCATATTTCTCAATAACTTTGGAATTATTTTGAGATTTTTTCTTTTCTATAGGGGGAAACATAGGATCTTTAGAAATTGATGTCCCAGCCGCGCTGTCTCCTTCACTAGCAGTTAGTCCTTGAGGAATTGGGAAAAATCTCATAACTTTCCCTTCAGGCTTCACATCACTGAAGTATGGGTGTTTTAAAGCTTGGTTTGGTGTAATTCTGTCTTGCCATTGATAAGTAAGCATAGCTTTAATCAGCGAAACTGCTTGTGAGGACACATGTGGAATCAGTTTTTCAATTCCAGAGCCTTCCACCTGTTTGAAATTAAAATCCATATGCGTAGCTTTTGATTTAAAATCATCCAAAATTTCTTGTGGAGGAGTTCCAAGTACCTTATGGATCTTTTTTACTTGGTCCAGCTCATTTTTCCCTGGAAACAGTGGTGAAAGCGCTAAGGCTTCAAAAAAGATGCAGCCAACTCCCCAAATATCCATCGCGAAATTATAATAACCGTCAGTTAATAAACATTCAGGAGGTCTATACCATCTCGTCGAAATATATTCTGTATAAGGCTGCGTTGAGTTTATCCCTCGACAAGACCCAAAGTCAGCTAATTTTAAGCTTTCTTCAAATAAAAGCACATTTTCTGGCTTAATATCTCTGTGAAAAATCCCATTACTGTGGCAATGGTCAATAGAGAGAAGTAGCTGATACATGTAGCGCTTTATTTTTTGCTCATTTGGAGGAATTTTCAATGAGCAATACCACTCATAGAGGTTAAGCTCCATTAATTCAAAAACCAATGCAAGACGGCCTGTTGGCTCATCGCTATATAAAGGATACTAGATAATTTCAAGCAATTTCACTATATGAGGATGAGGTGAAAGTCTCCTCAAAGCTTGGATTTCGCGTAAATTATTAACTTGATCAAGGGAAGTAAAATGATTTTTCATGCATTTTATTGCGACATATTTTCCAGTTTTGATACTTTGGGCTTTGAGGACTTCGCTGAAGGTTCCTTCACCTTTTTTAGAGACGAGCCTATACTCTGATTAGAAATCACTGTGCATGTTAGAATTAAAATTATGATTTGTTTTCCATATTAAAACTTTTTAATCATAGGTGATGATGAATTAGATAGATAATGAATAAGGAGAAAAATAAATAGAACGAGAGTTTTTGGGACATAAATATCATAATTTTACGATAGAGCACTTTTAAGCTGCAATGGTCATAATAGATCAAATGTAAGTTATTTAATCTAAAAGAATATTCGTAAACAAAATTTTTCTGCAATTTGTTTTTTGCTGACTCCCCCCCCCCATCCTTGATCGAGCGGCTCGCCATCGTTCGATCAAGGATGGGGGTTAAAAAAAATTTTTTTGCGAATATACAAAATAAAAAATATATATTTATATTTTTTTATTTTACTTTTAAATAAGAGGGTTTAAGAGTCTTTAATAATTATTTTTACAGCAAAAATTGAATTAATCTCATAAAAATACCAATTTTTAATATTTTTATTTATTAGTTACCCCTTTAAACTGTATAAATTTTAATTTGTTCCTTATTAAATTAAATTTATTTTTTTTTTAAATTTTAAAGAATCTCTATTTTATTAGATTATTGAGTTTTTAAGCCCTGATTGATGACTAAATCACTTCGGATGGTTGATTCCGCAGCTTTCTGTCGTCTCAAAGTCTTTGAAAACAACTTCATTAGGTACATCTTCCCAAGCTGAATAAATTAATAAATTAGTAGCGATACTTTCTCGTAAAGCTGAATTAGTGTAATAATTCAGTTTAAGATATGGGTAAGTATTGATTTTTTTCCATTTTAGCATTAATTTTACTATAAATTCGCCACGTCGAACAAATTATTACAAACACTCCTCACATTAATTACTTTTAATCTTGAACGCTGCCTACAACCAGGAAAAATTGGTTTGCTCTTTGCTTTGTTTACTTATTATCTAGAATTAAGTTCATAACGCCCAGAGGCAAGCATTATATTAATTCGTTTCTTACCTATTAATTATTCAGCTCCAATTTAACTTAGTACTCAATGTTTAAATTAAGGGAAAGCTTTCTTGGTCATGATGTTGTAGAAGTCTTCAAAAGAGACTTGTCCATCTCCATCACTATCAGCTCTCTCAATCATTTCAAGCAGCTCTTCATCAGTCATTGTTTCTCCAAGTTCTTTGGCGACTCTTCTAAGGTTTTTTATGCTGATGGTTCCAGTTTTATCGTCATCGAAAAGTCTGAAGACCTTTTGGATATCTTCTCTGGTGTCCTTATCGCTCATTCTTGCAGTCATCATGTCAAGAAACTCGTCGAAGTCAATAGCTCCTGAGCCGTCTTTGTCTAAATCACTGACCATTTGGTAAATGGTTTGGTTCTTGGCTTCGAAGCCAAGGGATTGCATGGCAGAGGTTAATTCTCTAGGGTCGATGGTCCCAGATCCATCAGTGTCGAATAAGTCGAAGGCTTCTTTTATTTCTTCGATTTCATCTTCAGTGAGGCCTGGACGCTCGTATTGTTTAGGATTGAAAGCCTTTGAACTTGGTGCTGCTCTTCCTGCCATTTAATTTTATTAAGTATATGCCAATAAATTAAGATTAAGGTTATATAAAAATGAATTTTTAAAATAAAAAAGCAGCTAATAATTATGAATTTTTGGGGAAAATAGATGTTTTGAATGTGAAAATTAGGAATTGAGTATTATTTAAAAAATCTGGAATTATGATAATAAATTTATATAATAAATTACATTAAAAAATTTGTATTGTTTTGTAGTGAAGATGAAATAAATACATTTCTAAAAGCTAATGTCTGCCTTGGCATAGGTAAAAATATATAGAAAGGGAAAAAAGCCAATAATCAAAGGAATTAAATGAGAGGTTTTATTTGTGGCTTTTTATTGTTGGATTTTTTAAAATGGTGAAGTTGCTTTGATCATGATCGGAAAATGTCAAGTGCGATACTGTGCACTCCAAGACTACTTAAACTTCGATCGAAAATTAAGTAACTCCCCCTCTGCGAACGAACAAAATTATTGGGAAAAGGTCCCTATTTTTTGCCCAAAAAATCCACCCTCTGTGAGCGCCAAAAAAAAATTTTTATTAAAAATTTTTGATATATAAGTAATAATTATTATAACTGATTCTGTTCAATTTTAAAAAAAGTTGCATTTTAAAACAAATTAAATGATATTTGCCTTGAATTTTAGCGAATTGGGATTCTTTAATTTTCTAAACATAAATTTTACTATTTAATTTATTTATAATTTTTTTTGAATAAAAGAATTAATCCCTCTCTGTAAGTAAGCAAAAAACTTGTTCGCTTTTAGGGCGAAAAGTATATCTTTCTTTATGACTTATTAGATATAGATGAGCATTTGATAAAAGTTTACCTTTTGATAAATGCTTAAAGAACAAATTTATTTGTTAACAGCATTTCATTTAGTAGAACTCCACTTTTTTCCTTAAATTACAGGAGCTGCAATCATAAATCTTGCTTCCTTTAGAATTTTATAATTAAATTGAAACATTAAAATTAGCTTTGTCTAATAAATATAAGTTATTGGTAAATTGTTACTTTTATGATAATTAATTTTCTCAGAGTTTAAAATACGATCAATATGCTAATTTAAATTAATTTTAAATAGTTCGCTGCTTAAACAAGTTTATATATAATTGAAATATGAATCATTAGTTTCAATTGAGACTGGCATCAGATTTATAAATTTAATGTTTATATTGGAAGATAATGCTCGCTAAAAATTTTAATTATAATTAGTTGCTGCTTTGCCACATATAAATTCGTAATTCGGCCCAATTAATTGCATTTACTTTTTTTAAAGTAATTTCGAATTAAAATCTCCTGATTTACTGATTTTTCTGGAAATATGAAATGGAAAACCAAGAGGAGCAAAAAGAGCCTGCTGAAAGCACCATAAGATCTGAGAGCCAAATAATCGAAGATGCTATTAATTGAAAACCCGTTGAAAGTTCTGATGACTATAGGGTAGAAAATGCATACGCATATGGAGGAATCGCCTTACTCAATCAAGCAACAGTGTCTAAAATGCGAAGCATCGGAAAAGAAATAGTCAAAGAGATTGGCAGAAGAATCCTCAGCGGTAACCTAAACTTGACCACAATCTCTTTTCCAATTAAATGCATGCAAGCCAACACAGCTCTACACAATACAGTAAAAGGTTTACTTATGTGTCCTTTATACATGAATAAAGCTGCCTCTATCCCTGACCACTTGGAAAGGTTTAAATTGGTGATTGCTTGCAGTATTTCTTCTTATCTTTATACATCGACTTTTGAAAAACCTCTCAATCCTATTTTAGGAGAGACTTTACATGGGAAGCTAGAGGACGGCGGAGAGATCTGGGCAGAACAAACTAGCCACCATCCTCCCGTTTCTCACTTTTATATAGAAGGTCCAAATAAAAGTTATATATGTCATGGCAATTACAATTATACAGCTAGTGCAGGCTTGAATTCAGTGACAGTAAAATATATTTAGATTACAAATTATGGGAAAAAATATTTCCAATTTCCAGACGGGTATGTTGTCAGTCAAAACTTGCCGATTGAAACATTCTCTGGGACGTTTTTTGGAGCTGTGAGGCATGAAAGTTTAGGAGTTATAGAATTTAGTGACAATTTGAGTTATTTCAAAGCAAGGATCGAGTTTGGAGCAGATAAAACCTTGCCAAGCGACCATATCACTGGAGAAATCACTGATATGGATAGGAATAAGATATGTGAAATAAGCGGTACTTATTGTGGACATATAGAAATTGATGGCAAAAGGTATTGGGATCCAAGGTATGTTACACCATATAAAATCAGCTATGATATCATTCTGCCAAGTGACTCAGAGGTAAGAGAAGATATAAGAACGCTAACTCTCCCCCCCCCCCTCCGTGAGCGAACAAAACCATTAGAAAAATCGCCATTTTTTTGACCAAAAACCCACCCTCCGTGAGTGAACAAAAATTTTTTTATAGAAAAAAATTTTAATGGAAAAAAAATTTTGATATATAAGTGATAATTAGTATAATGAAATCTAGAGCTAATTCTGTTTAATTTTTAACAAATTGCGTTTTAAAAACATAAATTTTGCAAATTAAATTAATATTTGCTTCCCAATTTTTGCAAATTAGGATTTTTTTAAATTTTCGAAAAAAATATTTTTTATAAAATTTATATATAAATTTTTTTTAAAAAAAAAATTAACCCCCTCCGTGAGCGAACAAAATTTTTTTGTTCGCTCACGGAGGGGGGGGGGGGGGAGTAAGGCTCGGGCAAGTTGAGGAAGCGCAGGCTGCAAAAGAAGCTTTAGAGAATTTGCAGCGCCATGATAGACATCTGAGAAACGCAAATCATTAAAAATCTAAAAAATGATGATTTATATAGCATATGTTTTCTTTTCTATTTGGCAGTATTTATATAAAATATATTACATTTTTTCTAGTTAGCGAGCGAAAACTTATACATTAAAATGGCGGCGAGTCAAATAGACCTCTTATCTCCTATTGCTAGTAATCCAGAAGGGCCCAGGGATATTGAGGAAGGGAGTAAGTATCCGATTTATTAATCAAAACTCAATCCTGAGTAGGTATTAAATTATGGGAATGAAACACTAAGTTGAAATGATGCTTTCAAAAGTGCTAACGGATGCTTGTTAGAGAATCGGGGAAGCTTATCCAGCATAGTATCATAATTCATTCGACCTTAAATTTCTATTTTAGCTGGCAGCTGAACATAAGCAAATATGACGTCTTAGCTTAGGCATTGCCTTTGGGCCATGCATCCTTGAACACCATTTAACTATATCTGGCAGAGTTCTAGCCCAAAATAGGTGTCTATGCTAAGTAAGTAATTCTAATAATGTTTGGGGTCTAGCCTTAGTCCCCTTTCAGGAGCTAGATTTTACCTTGAGAATGATGGAGGCTTTAAGTTGGAAAGGGAAATAAGTACAGCAAAGCCCACAAGGCCTTTCGGGTAAATCCCTTGCATGATGCCAGATGTTATGTCCTGGGCTACAAGTTTTTCCTTTTGCCGAAAGTTGACCAGAAATCCGTTTTTGGAATTTTTGTGCAAGCAACCTCGTCTGGTGTACAGCACGGTGGCTATTCCACTCTACTCTCAGTTGCACTTAAGCTTCATGACGAGAGAATTTAAACTCTTGTGGGGGTGTCAGGCCTAACGAAGCAAGGTGAAGATAAATACCCTTTGAGAAATCAGGGAAGTTATTCAATAATCTAATTTAATGTTAATGTCATCAGCTGACCGACAAATGTTAGAAGGGATTAGTATAGAGTAATGCTATATGCTAATTGGCGGCCAAGAGTTGGAGCGTTAGAGAAGGGAATAGGTGATTCGGATACCTGATAATAGTCTTTTTAATATTCTTAAATAAGCATAATGATTATCGAGCAAAACCATTGGAAAAATCAAATTCTTGAGAAATTAAATTCCTTGATGTAGGTAATATTTTTTTTAAAAAAGCTCTACATAAGCTAACTAATTCATGCACATTAACTAAGGTGAGAGTTAGAAATTATGCTAATAATTGAGACGTTTTTAAGAGTGTACAATGAGTCTCTGATTATTTTATCCATATAAATTACATTAAATGGCGTGGCGAGCCACCCACCCTCTTAGCACCTGTAGCTTGGAAACCTAGAGACCTTGTGGAATGGAGGATAGTGCTAGGCAATTTTATCCGAAAAGTTTTACTTAGTTTGGTGGAGTGGAATGTCGGATTAGGTTCACTTCTGTAAAGGTTTTATATCATGGAAAATTGAAATGAAGCTCAGAATTGGAAAAGGAAAGCCCAGCAACGCCATTGAGGCTCCTTCTGGCCAATCGTAAATGCCTCCAAGAGTGATACCAGGTGCTGGATCTTTGACTTTGACTTTTCATTTTGACCTAAAGGAAAAGAAAATTTGATTTTTCGAATGTTTTGGAAGCCGAACCCATTATAGTAGCCAGAGTCTTTGAATCACGAGAGGCGAGTGTAAGCCCTAGTCTGTGAGGATAAACAGCGAGTTGCTGCACTCGGGTTGGCAAGCATGCTGTGGAGCATTTTGAAGCCTGCAGTGCCTGAACTATAATAGTCATGGACTTCTCTTATGCGCATAGTTAAGTTTAGGATTATTGCTATCCTAGAAAGCATAGCTATCTCACTAAAAAGCCCATAGCATAATAGCCATCATAAGAAAAATTAATTATAACATGGAGTCCAAAGCCACCTTTGAGCAGCTCTTATTAGAAATTGAAAAACAAGAAGAAACAATAAATGGCTATTTACAAGAAGCCGAGGAGCAAGGCAGCATTGACCCAAGTTTCGAGGAATATCTCAGCCAAGCCAAGCTTGAGCTGCAAAAAAAACGCGAAGAACTACTTAAGCAACAAGAACTTGCCAAAAGTATCCGCTCATCACAAGAACTTATCTCTTCACTAGAAATCCAAGATATGGAAGAAAAAACGCCAATAATAAAGAGAAACAATACTAATGGTTTCAAAGAAAGTTCTGTCCCAACAGAGAAATATCCATTCTATTCTGTACAAAAAATTGAACCTCAAAAGCCAAAACAGAGATCATCTTCTCTCCTTATAGGAAATCAGCCAAAAATCGAGCCAGAACAGATTTTTAAAAAAAAAATCAACACAAAAAGCAACAGCTTAAGCCCTTCAGCTCGAAGATATGAGAAAAGTCCCCAAAAGCCAGAATTAAGTGAAAATGTCATTGACAATGTTTATACGCCAGCTATAAAAAAGAAAAAAATTCCCATCATAAAGGTTGATGAAACTAAAGAAATAGAGTGCGAAGACATTAGCCCAGAAAAAATGCATAAAAGTGCTATTAGTGATTTTTCGAATATTTCGAGCATTCTAAATGATAAGGATTTGGAAAGCAAAATGGAGACTCTTCAGTGGTACAGAGAATTAAGGAATTCTGCACATGAAAAAATGCTGGAGTTGAAGGAACAAATTTTATTGGAAAAAGAAAAGAAACTACAAAGCTTGGTGAATTCTTTGACAGACTCAGCTAAAAGTGGTGATTATTTGAGAGCTAATAATATGAATAGGACAAATCCTAATCTGCCTCCGCTATCTCCAAAGAGAAATAAGGAAATTCTTTTAAAGGCAACAAATACTCCAAAATCTATGAGAAATTCATCAAATTTTCAAGACTATGCGTATTTTGCTGGGAAAAGTAGATCAGCTGAAAGCTCTCCTAGTGGAATTGAGAGGAAAAACTCTGCAAACACAAATATCCCTCCCACTGATAATTCTAATTTTAATCAAAAAAGCAGAATAGCTGCAATTAAGAAAAATTTTAAAGAACCGATGCCAAGCATAAAACCAGATTGGCTACCAAAGAAAGAAAAAATTGTAAGATTCATATAGAGCGAGCTTGTAAAAGCGTTGCCAGGGATTCCATCAGAAATTGTGCCAAAGCTAGTGCAAAATATAAATAAAACTCAAGCTTAGGCTAACAATTAAATAAATTTGCTGTAAAATATCTTACTCTTACTTAGATAGTTTAATTATTAATCGTTAAATAAATATAATAAATTTTTATAATAAAAGCTATTTAAAAATTTTGCATTAACTCCGCCCACTCTCCGTGGCCGAACAAAAAGATTGTGTTTGCTCATGGAGGGGTTAATTTATATATAAAATTTTAGTAATTTTTTTTTTAAAATTAAAAAATAGCCCAATTAGAAATAAGTTTAAAGAAAATATTAATTTAATTTGTAAAATTTGCATTCCAAAATGCAAGCTGTTTAAATTTAAATAGAATTAGAGATTTCATTATAATTATTAATTATATACAAAATTTATCTTTATAAAAAGTTTTTTTCTCTCACTGAGGGTCGGTTTTACCAAAAACTAGCGATTTACTACTAATGGTTTTTTTTTGCTCACAGATAGTGGAGGAGTAAGTGAATTAAAAATATAAACTATAAAACCCATGAATTTCTGGGAAGTTGATCAAGGGTGTATGTCTTGTGGCAGTTTACAAAATCTACATCGTCTCTATACCCAGGGCAATAATAAGTTCCTTTCATAAAGTCAAATTTCGGCCTTCCACCTCCGCAATTTGGACATTTCGGGATAGCTCCGAGTACCATTCCATCAGCAACTCTGTCAGCCAATTCATACTTAGACCCTGATACCTTTTGCTCATTTTTCCTTAAGATCTCTTTAAGTGCTTCATTGCTTTTATCTTTATTTTCCTGTATTAATTCTTTGTATTTTGCATATTGATCTGCGGTATAGCCTAGCATTTTAGCTGGTTTTTTCGGTTCTTTTTGTTTTGGCTTCGGATTTTTCACGGTTACTTGAGATGATGCTGTTTTCTGATCATTTTGGACAGTCTCTTTTTCTTTTTTCTTTTCTTCTTTTGCTTGATTTTTCACTTGTTTTGTTTGAGATTTTTTCTTATCTGTAGACACCTTTTCAGCTTTTATTGGCTTGGATAAGTCAGGCTTCTTTTCCTTGTTTTTTTGGCTTCGGGTGCTTACCATAAAATATTATCACAAAAATATGGGGTGAGGCCTAATTATAAAAATCTATTATGATATGTTCGATTAACTTAGGATTAGATTACTTATAATGCCTTTGCTTATTAAATATTCTAAAATTAACTATTAAATTACACCAGTTTTAATATGTGCAATCTGAGTATCTGCATTGAACATGATATTGATCATAAAAATCAATAGTATGACTTTGAATAATTTATAATTTGTATTTCTTCCTTAGACTAAGCTTACCATAATTTTCATAAGGTAATAGGAGCAATTTCAAAATAAATTCTAAAAATTAATTTATAATTAAAAATGGCCTTTTTTGTAGATGAATCAATTGTATTTGTGGTTATTTGACTTATAAGTCTTTCTTTATAAAAAATTACTTTGAAATTAATGTCTTAAATAAAAATACCTATTATGACTTGAAAATAATTGATCAGGGGTTTTAATAAAAGTTAATGGCTACTGTTTTAAAGGAAGTTAGAGTCGCTGATTGAAATGAATCTCTATGTGGGTGTTTCAATGGCATAGGTTCTTGTCTCTGGGTATTGTGCATACCTTACGGTGCTTGTTGCCTGCAAGGCATGGCAATTCAAATAGCAACAGAGGGTACTGAAGGTTGTTTCCTGCCATGCTGGGTTGGAGCCTGTTGGTGACCAACTGGAATGGCTCTCAATCGTGGAAATATTAGAGGATTATTCAGGATTCAAGGAAACTGACTTTGTGACTGTTGCATACATTATTATTGTTTCCCATTCGCGTCATGTCAAGAGTATAGAGAAGCTCGCTACAGGATGGGTTAAAAAAGTTTTTAATAGTAGCTTTATTTAAGATTAAGTGATTTTAAAAAGATAAAGGTGCAAATTGATGCAATTAAATAGTTCATCACTCCATATTTAAGTGGTGTTATTTTGGCCATATGCTAAATTGATTTGAGGGATTAAAGAGTTTTACCTTCATAATAAATCCTCTTTCTATTAGTTTTAGCAGGCATTATAAGATAATTATAGTTTTTCCTTTTAGTTTGAATCTTTAAAGGTATTTTTTTCTTGCAATCTACTTTAGCATGCCTTATCTAGTAAGCTATCAAAAAGCTATTATTTTAGAACTAATAGAATTTCTACTTCAATACTTCTCAACTTATTAAAATCTCTGTGCATCCTCTCAATGCCAAAAGACACCATTTCTATTTCATCTTCAACTTTCACAGAATCCGCATCGCAAGTGGCATGCTGATGTGCTATTTCCTTATCGATTCATTTGTTGTTTTTACAAAATATCTATCTTCTAATCTAAACTTTTATCAATCTAAATAAATATTTTTATGGCTTTATTATTATAGTTTCAATATTAAAATTGATTATTTTTAATTGTTAGAAAATAGAAAAGGGCCTAGCGGATAGTTTTCATAGCATTTTATATCAACTCTCCTCATATCAAAATTATATCCACTTATCTTCATTAATTCCAAGCAATTTTTCATATGATAGACATTGGTGCTTGGAAAAGCGGGCACTTTTAATGTTCAGCCATATTTTCCACACACTTTCCGTAAGCTTTCCGCAATTTTATAATTATTTGCAACACCTCCACAAAATCCCTATATAAATTATCACCAGTGTGTTAACCCCTGGATTCTCTTTTATGCTTCATTCTATAGCTTTTGATATCCTTCTTTCTAATTGGTCTATAACAGAGACTTGAAATGAAGCAAGAAGGGATGAAATTCCTTCATGATTTTCCAATCGAAAAAGTGGTTCAATGTATGGTATTTTTTTAATTCCTGTTACACTTGGATATATATGCTGGAGAGTCCTATGGTAAGGCCCTGAAAATGAAAAATCAAACCCTTTATGATCTTTCATAGGAACTGGGATATCGATAAATTCATGCATAACTGCATTTTCGATTTTTTTGTAATTCATACCAGAAATTGAGGATAATCTTTGGTATACTTTTCCTAGGTTCATGTCTATAGAAATGCCTAAAATTGTGTATTCTCTATGAAGAAAAAAAGAGCTTGGTATTATAATAATTACTATAAAAAAAAGAAGAATTACTTTCACAATGCTTATCGTACATAGGTATAATTATTGAAAGATTTGGATAAAATTAGCTCTGTTTGGTTAGAAGTGCAGCTAAGAATTAGACTTGGAGTATTTTTCATGAAGCTTAAGTGAGTTTGTAAATAGTGTAGAGGATAAACTGGTCTATCAAGTTTCTAACTCAATCTCACCTTGGCAAAAATTAGTGACTCTCTCATCAGCTCAGGCATCCCACCAAGACATGTTACTCCAATTAAATCTGCTTTGCCCATATCAGGGAATTCCATCCTAGAATTTTCAAGAAATTCCGTAACTGAGCCTACATTTGTCCTCGATTGCTTTTTCATATAGACTAATTTTCCTGAGTTTTCAAAAAATCCACATAAAAACTTATTACACTTCGTCTGTATAACAAGCATTTTATTTATTATGCCTTATGCCATCACTTAAATACAAACATAATTATAAAATTCTCTATTATATAATAATAATAAATCAGTATATATAAAATATATTTACATTTTTTCTAACACTAACTCTGTGAATTCTTTTAAGTCAATTTCTCCGTCTCCATTCTGGTCTACTTCTCTTATAATACTTTCCCAAACTGAATTACTTGACATTTTTCCTCCACTGAGCATTGTCCTTAACTCGTCAGTTGTTATAGTCCCACTTCCATCTTTATCAAAGACCCTGAAGGCCATTTCAAGGTTCTTTTTCGAAAAGAGTATTTCATGGTTTAAAGTTGCCTGGATAAACTCGGTATAATCAATAAATCCACTACCATCAGTATCAACATTTTTCATAATTCGATCAACAATAGCATCACTGTCCATTCCTCCTATGACCTCTTTATATATCGTCAATAGTTCGTTTTTGCTGACTCTGCCATCACCATTTTGGTCAAGCATTCTGAATGATTTCTGCAGTTCACGCTTTTCCTCTTGTGTTACCAAGTGAGTAGTGATAAACGTAAAAATTGCGCTCCTAAGTTTGACTGAAGCATTAAATGAGCTTAGCTGCGAAAAAATATTAGAAATTTGTTCAGTGCTAGGAAACTCTAATGATCTATAAGACTGAAGCCAATTATGGCTAAGGGCTTCTTGAGCTGTTAACCGTTTCGATGTATCTCTTTCGACTAGTTTTTTAATAAGGTCTTTAGCACCTTCCGAGATCCTGCTGAAATGTGGTCCTTCGGTCATAACGATCCCATACTTAATATTATGCAAAATTTCGGCTTCACTTTTTCCACCAAAAGGCGGCTTTCCGCTGACTCCCCCCCTCCGTGAGTGAATAAAAAAATTTTGTTCACTCACGGAGGGGTTAATTTTTTGTTTTTAAAAAAATTTATATTTAAATTTTATAAAAATTTTTTTTTCGAAATTTAAAAAAATCCTAATTCGCAAAAATTGGAAAGCAAATATTAATTTAATTTATAAAATTTATGTTTTTTAAAAAGCAATTCGTTTAAAATTAAACAGAATTAGCTCTAGATTTCATTATACTAATTATCACTTATATATCAAAATTTTTTTCCATAAAACATTTTTGTATTAAAAAAATTTTTGTTCACTCACGGAGGGCGGGTTTTTGGGCAAAAAAATAGCGATTTTTTCTAATAGTTTTGTTCACTCACGGAGGGGGGGAGTGAGTAATATATACAAAATAACCCCGCAGCTCCACTCATCGCAGAGCTCATTATAGGAGTTTTCTAATACTTCTGGCGCTATATAATATACTGATCCAAAGCATCCTTTTATTTTATTTTTACTAAAAAATACAGAACTGCCAAAATCAGCGACTTTTATCGTGAGTTCCCCATTAACTTCTTCTAATAAAATATTTTCAGGCTTCAGGTCCCTATGGATTATGTTTTTGGAGTGGCAGTAGGTTACGGCTGATAATAATTGATATATGATATGTGCTGTTTCTCTTTCGCTAAAATGGCCTTTTGAAGTGATTTTATTAAATAGCTCTCCTCCAGCACAGAATTCCATGACAATATAGAAGTATTTTTTATCTTCAAATATCTGAAAAACCTTTAAAATGTTAGGATGATCTAAAGTCTTCAAAACTTGGATTTCTTGTAGCTTGTTTGTCGATGTTAGCATTTCTTGGCTCAGCTCTTTTTTTGTTATCATTTTGACTGCGCAGGTATTTCCTGTGAGTTTATCCAAACATTGGTAGACCTTTGAAAATGCACCTTTGCCCAACTCTTTACTCCCCCTCTCTCCGTCAGCGAGCAAAAATATCTTGTTCGCTCACGGAGGGTTAATTTTTTTTTTTAAAAAAAAATTGATATAAATTTCATGAATAAAATTTTTTTCAAAATTTAAAAAAAAATCCGACTTCGCAAAAATTAGAAAGCAAAAATTAATTCAATTTGTAAAATTTATGTTTTTGACGCAATTTGTTAGAGTTAGCTCGAGACTTCATGATAATAATTATCACTTATATATCAAATTTTTTTTCCATAAAACATTTTTTTATTAAAAAATTTTTATTCACAGAGGGCGGATTTTGGTCAGAAATAGGGATTTTTTCCAATGGTTTTGCTCGCTCATGGTGGGGGGAGCTAGTGATTTCGTATTCATTTGAAAATTTGTCTTGACTCTCTGTAACGAAAAGTTCAGGACGAATTTTAAGTTGCTGAATATTATCAAGATAGGTGCTAACTCCCCCTCCCTCCGTGAGTGAACAAAACTATTAGAAAAATCGCTATTTTTTGCCCAAAAACCCGCCCTCCGTGAGTGAACAAAAATTTTTTTTAATACAAAAATGTTTTATGGAAAAAATTTTGATATATAAGTGATAATTATTATAATGAAATCTAGAGCTAATTCTGTTTAATTTTAAACGAATTGCTTTTTAAAACATAAATTTTATAAATTAAATTAATATTTGCTTTCCAATTTTTGCGGATTAGGATTTTTTTAAAATTTCGAAAAAAAAATTTTTTATAAAATTTAAATATAAATTTTTTTAAAAAAAAAAAATTAACCCCCCCTCCGTGATGAACAAAATTTTTTTGTTCACTCACGGAGGGGGGGGGAGTAAGTGTCTTTTTCTTCGTCGATATACAACCCATATGATCTAAAAATTATGGTAATAAAAAAACAACTATAAGGTTGCAGCATATTGAAGATGGGATGATTAATAAGAAGCTAATAGAACTAAATTGAATAGGGATAAATGGGAATAGCTTACAAAGAGATTAATTATAGTTAAGAGGCTAGCATATATAAGAAAAGATAAGAAATTATTTTAGTTATGAACATTTGCATTTTTATCACAAAAATAAGGAGCTATTTACTGGAAAATAGCCCAGTGTTAAAAAATAAGCCAAGGACTTTTATTAACACTTCCATTTTATTTTACATTTTTGGTTTAAAGCTTTTGTAAAAGAAAATATTGCTGCCTCTAGCAATGATAAAATTAATTATTAAGTATGCAATCTATTTTTGGCTTTATTATTTAGCTTAGATATCATTATACCTTCTTTTGGGAGAATTTATTTTTCAATTTTAATTCATATAAAAATATATCTGAATTATATTTTGATGAAAAGATAATATGTAATAATTTTAGCATATTTTATTTTCTGACTTAATTTATCTATGCTATAAATAATGCTAATGTTTAAGTAAACATTACAAAATTATCTTTGCTTTTGACTTTTGGAAAAGACTTAGGTCTAAAACTTACACTATAAGAATAAAAATGAGGAATAAATTCTCTTAATATCATATTATCAGAGGTGGATTTTATGAAACAAAAAATTTTATTTGAAAATGGAAGACCTAGGATTCAAAGGTCAGCTTAGAATTTATATGCAAACTTACACTGATAGAATTTCTCCACACATAAGAAAGAGGTGACTGGCAACTTGCATTTTGCTATTAATCTTCTTTCAAAGAGTTATCAGCTTGCAAGGTATTTCTTATTCAGGCTACTATGTTGTCGCATATTGCTTACTCCCCCTCCGCGAGCGAACAAAACTATTAGAAAAATCCCTATTTTTTGCCCAAAAACCCACCCTCCGTGAGCGAACAAAAATTTTTTATTGAAAAATTTTTTATAGAAAATAATTTTGATATATAAGTGAGAATTATTATATAAGTGATAATACTATAATGAAATCTCGGGCTAATTCTATTTAATTTAAACAAATTGCTTTTAAAAAATAAATTTTATAAATTAAATTAATATTTGCTTTCCAATTTTTGCGAATTAGGATTAAAATTCGAAAAAAAAAAATTTCTATAAAATTTCTATATAAATCTTTTTTAAAAAAAAATAACCCCCCTCTATGAGTGAACAAATTTTTTTTTTCACTCACGGATGGGGGGGAGTTAGCTATTTTTATCCTTAATCTTTTTTTGAGATTCCTTACTCCAATTAAGAAATAAAATGGTGGCGTTGATGGAACTTGGACTCTGAGGCACACTCCCTATGGAGCAGGTAGGACCCATCCTGATGTACTGAAAGAAGGGCCTCTGTCTTGGTGGAAGTAGGCCTTCAGACTTGGGTATGCCTTGCCGAGAAGTGAAGTTTTATTTCTTCCCCAGAGGTTTTCCCTGTCCCTACCGGATGGGCTATACAGGTTTTGCCTACCACATGGTCTTTCCTCATTGGCACTATCGGGGCACTATCTAAGAGCGGCTCTGTCCAGGGCGAGCTAATCCCATGGACAGGTGGTTCAGGCTGGAAATTCAAATGGCGCCTCGGATGCCATTTTGGAGCCGAGACGGGGAGGATCGTCAGCGCTTGCAGGAGCGCTTATGGCCGGATACTTAATAACTTAACTTAACCTACTCCAATTAAAATAAAATGGTGACGTCGACGGAAATTGGACTCCGAGGTGCTCTCAATATGGAGAAAGCGGCCCACCCTGATGAAGCTGAAAATAGGGCCTCTTTCCTTTTGAAGTAAGCCTTCAGGCTTGGGGATACCTTGCCGAAAAGGGAAATATTGTTTCTCTCCGAAGGTTTCCTATCCCTACCATGGGCTAGACAGTTTTGCCTGCCGCATGGTCCTCCCTTTTTGGGACCATTGGGGCACCCTACATGCGGTGGCTCTGCCCTAGGGAGTTAATCCCTTGAGCAGGTGGTTCAGATCGGAAATTCAAGATTGCAGCCTATCTTTCCCTCTTTTGCCTTATGGGCGACGAGGAGGATAATTTGGAGCCAAGACGAGGCAAAGGCTAGTGGGCTTCATTTATGGCCAGTTTAGCCTTTTAATTTAATTTACTCCAATTATGTCAGACATGGAAGATGAAGAATCTGATAATCCTGTGCTGCCTATGAGAGAAACAAATGAGTATAAACCTTTTATTCGCAAGCTAGGAGAGTTCAGTTTCTGGAAAAATACACTTATAGGAACTCTGATTTCAATTATTTGTACTTTTATAGAGGCTTTAAATTTCGAAATTTTTTGGCCTGTTTTAGTGATTTATTTTTTAGTGCTATTTGTAGCAACGATGAGGAGACAAATAGCCCACATGTACAAGCATGGCTACATTCCTTTTGATTTTGGGAAAGAGAAATATAATAGTCAAAGAGAAAAAACAAAAGGTAGGGTCGAATAACTAATTACTATTATTTCTCTCAAATTAACAAATAATTATAATTAAATATATACCTAGATTCCTCCTTATATTATTCATAACAAAATAAACATTTTAATTAATCTCGATATTAACTTATGATTACATTCGAAGCTTCTCTATAGGAGAATCCATAATAACTTGACTGAATGATTTACTTTGGATAACACTGATCGAGCTTATATTTGAATTCGCGTCTTCTAGCTCTTCCTTGAAAAGTTCGGTAAAATTAAATTCCGGCCCTTTTATTTTACTTAATCTTTCTTCTAAGTTCGGGTCAATAACAGCAGCAGGTGGTCGGTTTTTCGATAAACTATATTTATCATCCACTCTGCTTTTACTTACAGAAATTCCATCCTGATGTAACTTATTTTCCAAATACGCAACAATGCTCTTATCTTCTAGGACAAGCAAGGTTTCTTCAAACTCATATGTATAGTCCACCCCCACTTCTTCAACCAAGTATCTTACACACTCCTTAAACTGCTTACTTTTTCTTTTTTTTGACCATACCGCAGCAATCTGTATGGCGTTTTCCTTCCTTTTATTGACGATTTGAAAATCAGCGCCCATTGTCTCATGCAAATATTTGATAAGATCTATATTTCCTGTTTTACATGAAATTAAGGCACAATTTTCGCCAGTAGCTTCATCAATAAAGTGGACATTAAACTCGTCGTTTGGCTTTTCTCGGAAATATTCTCTGAAGAACTTTACCAGCTCAAGTCTGCCTTTTTCAACTGCTCTTTGAATAGGGGTCATTGTGGAGAGTGGGGCTGAGATTTTGCTTTTTTCTTGTGTGTGAGATTTTGTATTTCTTGATTTGGCAAATATCGAGAGCTCTTCACTATCCTGTTCATCGTCTGAGTTCTCAGCTTGGTCTTTATTGCCTAAATATAAGGGTAAGTAATACTCTAATAAACTTAGATGCCCAAGCTCACAAAGGACTTCGATCGGTCTTTTTCCTAATTGCAAGAAAAATTTAGTCATTATTGACAGCTTAGCATGACCTTCTTCATAGAGGACTTTAAATACAGGAGCAGCGCCAAGGTAAAGGGCATAACCCAAAGGGTTCATATCGACTTGGTGGATTTTAATGACAGGGTCGTCGATCATAATGGTCGGATCCTTGTAATAAATGTTCGTTTTTGAATATCTCTCCAGAATTTGACGGACCTTATCTGCGGAGTTTCTTTCAATGGCTTCGATTAATTTGTTAGAGATAAATTTTTCAATGTTTATGTGTTTTTTGGTCACACAGCAGGCTCCCATTGCACAATTAATTATGGCTTATGAAAATAGTAATATGATTAAGAATTTATATAAGTTTATTTGAATTTTTATGGAAAATAAAGGATGGAGACAGCGCCAGCAGTTTTGTATCGAATTTTTAAATTGATTTAATTATTAAGAATGGTCAATTTTATAGTAATTAATCTCTTTTTGATAATAGTTTATAAAAATTTGGAATTATTAATTTTGACAGTTTTTATTAAAGATAAGATTATAAATAAATAAATAATAATGGATTATACACTGTATTTGGCAAAATAATAACTTTAATAATAATAAGAAGCCTAACCTATTTAATCAAAAACAACCATTGCTTCTAAATTAGTTGGATAAAATTCAAAATCTTGTGGCTTTGACAATTCTAAATATTTTAAACTCCTAAGTCCTTCTAAGTTCCAGAGTGTTTTTTCATTCAAAATAATATTTTTTAAATACAAATATCTCAGCATCTGCGCAAATTCATTTATTTTGCAAAACGAATTATCAGTGAGTAGCTTGCAAGCATCTAACCTTAATTTTTGCAAATTTTTTCCAATATTTTCTACTATAAACGCTAAATCTTCATCAAGCAAAAACTTGCTCCCTGATAATGAAAGATCAATTAATGCTTTTAGCCTTGAGATTTCTCTAAAGCAGGAGCTTTCACTTATGCTACTACAATAGCTTAATACTAAATGTTTTAAATTTTTGAGTTCATATAATAGATAAACAGACTCATCAGTAATTTCTGCGTCATTTATTATTAGCTCTTCTAATTCTTGGCAATTAGAGCATAGTTTTTCAAATGAAAAATCACTTACACCAGAAGCTGTTGATAAATTGAGGTATTTAAGTCCTGAGCAGTTTTCAAAAAGCTCGAAGAGACCTCTCTCAGAGATTTTTCTGCACCCTCTTAATGTTAAATGCGTTAAATTTTGCAAACTTGAAAGTGCTGACAAAGAATCATCAGTTATATATGTAAATGACAATGAAACACGCTCAAGGGCTGTACAATTTATTGCTAGCTCTGATATGGACGCATCTGTGATAGTTTTAAAACTATCTAAAGATATACCTTTTAAATTTCTGCAGACGGTTGCAACTCTCATTATATCTAAGTCGTTTATTGACTTTATTCCTTGATCTGTAAAATTGCTCAAATGTAAAAATCTAAGATTCCTCCAATTATTGATAATAATATTAAAAGAAATGCTGGTAAACTCGTCATGCATTTTTAGATTGTAATCAATAATTTTCAGTTTTTCCAGCTTTTGGCAGTCATTAGATAATTTTCTGATTGTTCAATCATTGAGCCCTAAAGGATTTCAAACATTTCTATGTGCCTCAATTTTTACAGATGTAAGATCTGCTGAAAATTTTTTTATGTTTGGGCTGTCAACAAGTCTTAATGCCTTATAATTTTTGCACTTACCTATTACAAAGCTAGAAATATCTTGATCCAGCGTCTCAGAGTGAATATTTCCAATAGAAATTTCATCTAATTTGCATGCTTTAAAAAATTGAGACCATTCGTTGATATCTACGTTGTATCTGTCGAAATCATCAAGGGTGTTGAATTTCAGGGATTTTAAGTTTGGAAGTCTTTGGATGGATTGAATAAAATTAGGATTTTTTAGGGCATTATCTATAGATGATAATTTTGCATGGGTAAGCGAAATTGGTAAAGCCAAAATAGCATCCAAAGACAAATAATAACAGTCTAGCCTTATCTTTTCTAGTTTTGTGCATTTCTTAATTGCAGATATAAATTCAGAATCTCTAGGCAGTGGAAATATATCAAAATCTAAATATTTAACATGTTGTCAGCACATATTTACTATAAAATTTGCTCAACTGCAAACTTGTGCAAGTTTAAACCACTCTTTGTATTCTAAAAATTCTCCAATGATGATATAAAGAATTTCAGTTGGTAGATTTTGTATGAGTTCCGATTTCTTTTCATTTTGCCTTTTCTTTCCCATTTATAATAAAGTAAATTATAATTTATGATTGGTACAAGTCAATTATATAGTTTATGCATGAAAATAGCTATTCATGCTTTTTTTTGATAATCGATCCAAGTGCAGTTCTTACTTTCTTCGGTTTTGGTGGTTTTACTGACATCAAAAGATCTCGGATACTGTTTTCAATAGAAGAAACTCGAGTCTTCATATCGTCAAATAAGCTAACGTTCGATTGAACTGTATCTTCAATCAACCCTAGTCTATCTCGAATCACCACAGTAGATGCCTCTCTCAGCTGCCTGTCAAAAATACTCCCTTTTCCTTCCAAGTGCTTAAGATTCCCTTCCATTTTTTTAATCTCCATTAGCGAAATTAGTTCTTCTTTTGCTTTAGCATTTCTAACTGCTCTTTCTTTAGCAACCTGTGTAAGAAATTTCTTTTGGTCTGGAAAATCACCCAAAACTTCTAGAAAATCGTGTTTCGACAATACTAAAAATTCAGAATTCCCACATGCTTGAGCATTGTTTTCCCTTACTGAAATTTCAGTCAGAATCTCAATATCCCCTACATATGAACCTTTTAAAAATGATTTATAGCACACTTCATTGCCTTCTAACACAAAATTCACCCTTCCTTTGGTGATAAAAAAAATTTCATCAGGATAAGTTCCTTCTAACCATAAATACTCTAAATCTTTATGCTGTAAAGGCTTTAGAAGAGGCATTAAGGAGACCACAAAAGCAGGGTCTTGGCTTCTGAAAAAAATTAGCTCTTTGACAATACCATTATACATGGTAGCGCTTACTTCATATCGCAGCGATTTTGGGAGCTCATTGAATAAAGAATGTTTGTCACTTCAAACTGTTCCTACCTTACTGTTATTATATTTAATAATTTGCCTTATTCGATGCTTACATTCATCAGAAATCCCAGTTTCTAAGGCAAACTCATGGATTGCTGCCAGCTTTGAAGCTAAAATAGAGTCTTTTGTGTCAATTGCTGTCAAAAATGAAGAGAGCGATCCGATTGTGAAAGAATAAAAGCCTATTCCTATGAGCATCCAAATCATAGATAAAATCTGTTCTAGTTCAGTTCTTCCTGAAATATCTCCATATCCTACAGTAGTTACTGTTGTCATAGCCCAATATATACTTGCAATATATTGGACATCTACAGTGTCATCTAAGTAATCACATCTAACAACCCATGTACTCGGAGAAAAATTATTTATTCTTGCACAAAAAAATCACAAGCAGCCTACTATATGTACACACAAGCAGACTGAAACCAAAAATGTTAAAAGCTTGTACAGTCTTGAGTTCAGCTGTAAAAAATCTTGGACTTTTTCAGCAAGATCATTCGTTTTATAGTGTTTAACAGCTTTGGCGATTCTTATAATTCTTAAAAGCTTATAAAGTTTTGGCACTCTCATAAGCTTCACAAGGTTATTTTGGTGAGCAGAAGAGTTCCCGTTACTCCCTGTCCAATAATCAATTAAAGTATAAGGCACACTTGAAGTGGCATCAATTATGAACCAGCTTTTTAAATAGTCCAAAACAATATACTTTAAATTAGTGTGGAGAACTCCTTCATAGCTATACACTCCACTTATAAAATTCAGCATCACATCTACTATAAATAGAAGGTCAATTGTGATTTCTATAGTAGTCCATACATCAAAGAAAATAACATCCGCAAATGCTAGTCTAAATGGCATAACAACTGCGGTATACATCAAGACTATGGTTAATAAAGTATTTCATGACCTCTTAAAATACCCATCTGGGTCTAATATATATCAAGGAATAATTCTTTCTTCTTCGTCCCATTTTTTGAACCTAAAATCCTCTTCCTTATCAAATTTTTTCTGGAGAATAGTATCAAGGTTTCGCTTAAATTTTTTATCTTGGTCAAAAACCTCATTTGAAGTCCCAAAGAACATAATTTCTTTTTTAAATTTCTCTAAAGCTCGCCGTACTCTTATTTTAAAAAAGGCTCTTTTCCAAAGTTTTTTGGCATTTGAGGGGTTCCAAGTTGTAAAATCTTTAGTGCTTGAAATGTAATTAAAATCCTGGGAATTATTGTCGTTCATTGGAGATTTTGACCTTATTGAGTCTTCCTCTGAGGTTAGATAGTCAAGTTCTGAGGCTTCTAAAGGTGCAAGATAATTTTGATCATATATAGGACTAGCTTTAGGTCTTAACATATTTTATTGATAAGTTTTTTCCTGATTTGAGTTAGATAAAAATCTATGAAATATTTATTAGTGTAAAACATTAGAACAATTGGCTAGCATTTCTCATACATATGTACTAGAAATGCACCCATATCTATGCTCAGCCAGGAAAAACTGGATAGGACCCTAAAGCCTGAAGGATAAGAGCTATAAACTAAGATCGGCTGAGACTTGCATAATAATCTTGGATAAGTAAATAACCATAAGGGTAGAATTTAGATTATATTTTTTCTGCTGGAATTAAGAGTTCAATTATTAAATATTTTGTTAGTTATATGGCGATTATTTCACTTATCATACAGGGCATTTTTTTCAGTTTTCGTTACACTTTTAAAAATACATTACCAAATAAGGAATTTTAATTTATTGAGGAGCTTTTTTATATTTAAATAATTTCTATCGCTAAATAGTCACTTTTGCGGCTATAAGCCTTTTACCTTTAAAACATTATTTTATGATAAGCACTTTCAAATCTGATTGATTTTTATTTTGATAATTATTGAGAGATTTCCGATATATTTCGATGCTCAATAAATGGTTTTGCTAATAGTTTTATTTTTAAAATATCTATAGGCTCATTTTTATAGTATCATTCCAGATTATAAAAATTATTGATATATGCAAATTTATGATGAGGCCTTAAACATTCATATTTGCTAGTCAAAATTCTCTATTAATTATTGTCAAGATTTAAATTTCTATGCTTAATTTGAAATAAACGGGATTGTATGGTCAACAAAAGAATAAGATAATTAAAATTACTAGTTATAATAGTAATAGCAGATTTCACTTTATTCTTTGTCTCTGTTCTGTGCAATGAATTATTATAAAGCATAATTTAATTTCGTGTATCAAATGCATGTTGTAAATTGACTTGATATACCAGCTGGCTGGAGCTAACTACAAAAATAGCCCCATTTCTGCTTCAAGTTGGTATTTATTATATTTTAATTTTTAAAATGCGAAATTATTCTGGTCACTTAATGCATATTTTGCAGAAACTATTAAAAGAGTATCTCAATTGAATGAGAAAAATCAATTCTATTCTTGTAAGAACATTTTTTAAATTCAATTTAGAAATTCTATTAATAAATTAGCATAAAATATTTCTCTGAAGCATGATTTTTAGCAACACCTACTAATTATTTTGAAATTCATACAAAGATGTTGACTTTATATAAATTAATTAACAAGTAAAAACTTATAATCGATTAAATCAATTATATATTTTACATATCAAAATTTGTGCTCATCTTTTTTTCGACAATAGTCCCAAGTGCTGTTCTTTTCTTCTTTATTTTTGGTGGTTTTACTAATAACAAAAGATCTTGAATACTATTTTCAATAGAAGAAACTCGAATCTTCATATCGTCAAGCATATTTACGTTCGTTTGAACTGTATCTTCAATCACACCAAGCCGATCTCGAATCACTACAGTTGATACCTCTCTCAGCTGCCTGTCAAAAATGCTGCCTTTTCCTTCCAAACGCTTTAGGCTCCCTTCCACTTTTTTAATCTGCATCAAAGTAATAAGTTCTTCTTTCGCTTTTGAATTTCTAACTGCTCTTTCTCTAGCAACCTGAGTTAGATACCTCTTTTGATCAGGAAAATCATCCAAAATATCAAGAAAATCGTGTTTCGACAATACTAAAAATTCAGAATCCCCACATGCTTGAGCATTGCTTTCTCTGACTGAAATTTCAGTCAGGATCTCAATATCCCCTACATATGAACCTTTTAAAAATGATTTATAGCACACTTCATTGCCTTCTAACACAAAATTCACTCTCCCTTTGGTGATAAAAAAAATTTCATCAGGATAAGTTCCTTCTAGTCATAAATATTCTAAATCTTTATGCAGCAAAGGTTTTAGAAGAGGCATTAAGGAGACTACAAAAGCAGGGTCTTGGCTTTTGAAAAATATTAGTGTTTTGACGACACCATTATACATGGTAGCGCTTACTTCATATCGCAGCGATTTTGGGAGCTCACTGAATAAAGAATGTTTGTCACTTCATACTGTTCCTACCTTACTGTTATTATATTTAATAATTTGCCTTATTCGATTCCTACAATCGTCAGAAATCCCAGTTTCTAAGGCAAACTCATGGATTGCTGCCAGCTTTGAAGCTAAAATAGAGTCTTTTGTATCAATTGCTGTCAAAAATGAAGAGAGCGATCCGATTGTGAAAGAATAAAAGCCTATTCCTATGAGCATCCAAATCATAGATAAAATCTGTTCTAGTTCAGTTCTTCCTGAAATATCTCCATATCCTACAGTAGTTACTGTTGTCATAGCCCAATATATACTTGCAATATATTGAACATCTGCGCTATTATCTAAGTAATTACATCTAACAACCCATGTATCCGGAGAAAAATTATTAAGCCTGGCAAAAAAAAATCATAAGCAGCCTACTATATGAACGCACAGGCAAACTGACACCAAAAATGTCACGAGTTTGTACACTCTTGAATTTAGCTGTAAACGATCTTGGACTTTTTCAGCAAGGTCATTCGTTTTGTAATGCTTGACAGCTTTAGCAACTCTTACAATTCTCAGCAGCTTATAAAGCCTTGGGACCCTCATAAGCTTCACAAAATTATTTTGATGAGCAGAAGAGTTTCCATCACCTCCTGTTCAATAATCAACTAAAGTATAGGGGACGCTTGAAATGACATCGATTATAAACCAACCTTTTAAATACTTCAAGATGATGTATTTTAAATCAGTATGAAGAACTTCTTCAGAACTATATACCCCACTTATAAAATTCAGCATTACATCTACCATAAATAGAAGATCAATTGATATTTCTATTGAAGTCCACACGTCAAAGAAAACGACATCTGAAAATGCCATTCTATATGGCATAATAACAGCAGTGTATAATAGAGTTATTGTTAGGAAAGAATTTCAAGTTCTTTTAAAACGTCCGCAAGGATTTAATATATACCAAGGAATATTCTTTTCTTCTTCTTCCACTTTTTTGAACCTAAAATCTTCTTCTTTGTCGACTTTTTTTTGGAATATTTTATCAAGGTTTTGCTTAAATTTTTTATCTTGATCAAAGACCTCGTTTGAGGTCCCAAAAAGCATAATTTCCTTTTTAAATTTCTCTATTGCTCGTCCTATTCTTATTTTAAAAAAGGCTCTTTTTCACAGCTTTTTGGCACTTGAAGGGCTTCTAGGTGTAAATTCTGTAGCAGTAATGGCAAAGTGCAAATCTTGAGAGTTGTTTTCGCTCCTTGGAGATTTTGACTTAAGCGAGTCATCTTCTAAAGTTAGATAATCAAGTTCAGAAGTTTCTAAAGGGCTGAGGTAACTTTGATGATATATAGAACTCGCTTTAGGTTTTAACATAATTTTATTGAGATAATTAATTGATGGTCTTATTTTAGATGGTTGAATTAAATAATGCTTATGTAATGTAGATGTTTATTTTTATTTTTGATGGAATTTTTTAGCATTGTAATTGTGAGCTTTTTTATTAAAAGCGCTGCTATCTGGGCAGTAAATTGCATTACTAATTATTTCACTTAATATCCAGGCGCTTTCCACTTTTCATTTTGGTTTTTGAAATTAATTATAAAAGAGCCATTTTAACTCCTTTCGAATTATTATTATTTATATTTTCAAGTATTTTTTTATTCTTAGATTAGTATTTTTTCGGGATTTACTGTAATTTTGGCTTTAAAATATTTTTTTATTTGAATTTATGTTTTTAATTAAAAATTTTATATTTTAGTTGATGACTTTTTCAGACTGAAGAATAAATACATAGATAATTTCTTCTAAACTATGCCTATGCTAACTTTTTAACATTTCTATCTTTCTAAATTAATAGTAAATCGGCTAAGTAAGTTTTTATTATTACCCTTTAAAATGTCTTAGTATTTTTGAAGTTCTTAAAACTTTAAATTTATTGAATGATATACAATTGAATACACTTAAGCTAATGCAATATATTTTATTTGATAAATGGCTCTCAGATGGATAATAAAGTCACAGCTAGCTAAATAATTTTAATATTATATTTTTTTGCAAAAAATGCTTTCATTTAATTAAGAATTTTATTTTGAGCATCATCGTAAAAATTCAGATCAAAAGATTATATTATATTAGAAATTTCTGGATTTTCTTTTCTCAGAAATATCTTTCCATTTTATAGTGAAATCCCAAATTCCATTAAGATGGAAAATGGTAAAATTTTAAAAAGAACTATGAGATTTTACATTATAATTAAAGATTTATATGATTAAGCATCGTTTTCTTCTATAGAACTGCCGTCATTAATCATTAATTCAGGATCTTCTTTATACTCAAAAAGCCAGCTCCCAGTTGAAGCTTCAAGAGTTAAATTATTATGGTTTCCATAAGCGCGGATTTTTTCTGCACTTATCACATCGATTCCACCCAATGATGAATCGATAATTGGGTAGATTATTTTAATCATTGCCACAATATGTAAATGGTAGTTATGGACGGATCTTTAGTCCTCTGATCCACCAGGCTGGGTCCATAAACCAAACTCAGTGAGAGAAGTCTAACTTCTTGAGAGGCTGGCCTGTGTGAGGCTGGCACTGAAGGGCTTGATAGCTTTAACGGTTCGACGGTTAGGCCGGTTTACCTACTATTATTGAGAGTTGTTATCGTAGCTGAACCTCAAGAATGAAGACTTAAAAGGCATTCAACATGAAGAGAAAAATTCAATAAACTTAAGCTTAAACCTAAACCTAAACTTAAAACTTAAATCATTGCCGAAAAAGCGTTAGTTGATTTTGCAGTATCATGATCATGATTGTGCTGCTGAGTTACAATGATTTCATCTGTTTCCCTGTTATAGGTTATACGTCTTTTGCACTTGCGCACACCGCACCTGTAGTAAATATTATTCTTGTGCTTATGTTTGTAATGATAAGTTTGGGAATTCATTGATAATTCTAAATATGATGTCAATAATGGACTGGAATTCTGGAATAGATCGATGCTGTTGAAAATATTATCTGCTTGAATTTGACTTTAGAACTGAAAAATCGTTTCTTTTTGAAAGAAAGATGAGCCAGTTATTATAGCTGGGGGTGCTTAAAGAATTTTTAAATGGAAATTTTGATTATTGAGATTAAAAGATTGAAAATAGTAGAAATTGTAAAATCAGCTGTGTTTAGCTGAAATAAGATGAGATTAACTTTATTTATGCGTCAATGAGATTAGGATGCTCATTTAAACCAAAAAATTATAAAAGTTTGAGATCTTTTGATAATGATTTTTGAAAATTTCTTTTTGTATATTCGAGTAAAGAATGAAGAGTAAGGCGAGTTATCAATTATTTCATGATGAAAATAGAACTTACTACTATAAAATATAAATTAACTGAAACCAAACTCAAAAAAAATAATTTACAAGTTTACTGATGAAAATGCTATAACAATGACTTATTGATGATGAAAACTGACGGTTCCATGCGCACTCTACCGAAAAATAAGATATAGCTAAAAAGAATTTATATTTCTTAAAATCAAAACTTATCAAATTAACAATAAATACTAGCTGATAGATTTTTCTAAGGATTAAAGTAAATCATGCTCAAATAAAAAAATTATATCGTGCCTAAGCCTTTTTGCTGTTAATTAAGATTTTGAGATTTTAAACGTTCAACTACCTTTGTATAAAAGGCAACCCTCTCTATAATTACATGATTGATGATCATTGTAGGAATATTCCCTTTTGGATCTACTAATTCAACAACTGTTAAATTCGTCTTAGTCTGATCCCCTCCTACAGGTTGGAATAATTGCAGTGTAAATAAAACTTCTGGCCTTACAAATCCTTCAGCCAATGGATGCTCAAGTGGTGAGCTTGTTGTTAAAACCGCATAAGTATTTTCGTCTAATTGCTGCTTGCAAGTATATATATAAGCTTCTCTTGGAAAAACTGGAACCATAGGCTTCGTTCTTTCTATTCTAAGTTTGCTTCCATCTTCAAAGGTTTCCAAAATTATCATCTCAGCCATCATATCATCAAGTGCGAGCTCCATTTCTTCCCAATGATTGTAAGTATAATTTGCTGAAGCTTCGCATTGTCCATTAAAGAAACAATCAATTTTTAGTGCATTTATCCCGCCTTCAGTGGTAATTTTGCTGACAGTTGCATTTTCATCTGAAGAAGCTTCTTGTCAGCTGCTGCGATCGTTAATAAGTTTTGTAGCTTCTTCAAAAGCAGTGGCTGCTTTTTCTTGGAGTTTCTCGTAGTCAGACATATCTATTTTATTCAATTTTCTAAATGAGATATTAGGACTAGTTGGCGCATTTCTTTTGGCTATTTCTATATAGCTTAACAATTTTATATGTTTAAAAATTATCCTTCTAATATTTTTTACTTACACGCTTTATTTATTAGAGTTCACTTAATTATTATATATAAAAATATTATTTTATTAATCCTGCTCATACAAAATCCAAAATTTTGATATTTTTTGCAATATGAAGAAAGAGTTAGAAGTGAGCTGAAGGGATATTCCTGCGATATGCGTCATTTCCATAGCTCCAGTCTTGGAATTGTCCCCAAGCAGCCTTATATGATCTTTGCGTGCCTCCATAATGCCAATGGCCAGGCGTCTGAGGTCCAGGATATGCAGTTGGATCATTGTATAGTCTTTTAAGTGCCAACATTTCTTCTTTATCTTCAAAGAGCGCATCAACCAGCCATTCTTTCCTTTTTTCTGATGCTAAAAATCTTCTGTCTTCAATAGCTTGTAAGAAAGGTATGGATTTTCTTTTATACTCATAGAGAATCATTCTTCCTCTGTCTCTTTCTGTTCTGGCCTTTTTAAATGAATAAACTCCATAAAAGAAACAAGTAAAAAGGCATGCAAGAGAAAGCTTGCTTACAGTCCCAGGAATTCTTCTACGGGCTGTCCAAAATAGCTGATGTCTACGCTCATTGTAGGCAGGGCCACGTGCTTTTCAGTATGGGTTGTGGTCTTTGTATTGGTGGAAGATGTTGTCGTCTCCAGGCATATTTTATAAAATAAGAAAGAAGGATAATTTAGTGTGAATATTGAAAGATTTAAAAATATACTTTAAGATAAGACAGAAAATCTATAAATTAGTTATAGATATTTATTTATGGTAGATATAATTTCTTCTGGAGGCGAGGGCTTTAACAAATAATCACTCATTCCGGAGCGAAAGCATAGCTGCCTGTCTTCATCTGATGAATAAGCTGAGTGAGCAATAATATAAGGCATATTCTTAATTTTCCCTTCTTTATAAAGCAAGTCAATTTCTCTGGTAGTTTCCAATCCATCCATTTCAGGCATGTTGCAATCCATTAAAATCACTTTAAACTGATGCTTTGTATCTCTACACTCAATAGATTTTATAGCTTCTCGTCCGCTATGTGCTTTCGAGTGTTTTATATGGTACTTATTAAGGATTGATTCTATGACTTCTAAATTAAACTCATCGTCATCCACAACTAATACATCGGTTCAGCTATTAGATCTATATCTTTCATATTTAGATAGTGAAAAATAATGGAGCTCTTCTGGTTCCAGAGTATTTATTTTTTCATAGCTACCCTGATCATACTTTCCTTGAAATATATCAATTGAAAATCAAAACATAGAGCCTTTTCCCACCTGAGATTTTACCTTAATAGGATGCTCCCCTAGCGATTTTACTAAAAAGTTTGATATGGAAAGACCCAGCCCAGAGCCATTTGGGTTTATACTTGAGCTATTTTGCGAACTAAATGCAATAAAGAGCTTTTTCATCATAGACTCAGATATTCCAATACCAGTATCTTCTACATAGCATTTTAGTTTACCATTTGCATCAATCAGGCAAGAAATTTCAATCCTACCCTTCATAGTAAATTTCAATGCATTACTTAATAAATTCAATAAAACTTGGCTTAGCCTTAAAGAATCTGTATATATCTCTTCAGGGATTGTTGGGTCTACTCTGCAAATGAATACTATTTTTTTCTTTTTTGCTTGAATTGTTATAAGTTCACAAGTGTTTTTTAAAATTTCTCGAAACTTGCAATAGGTTTTTCTGATTGAGAAAACACCAGCTAAAATTTTTGAATAGTCTAATAAGTCATTTATAAGGGAGAGCATTAGTTTTGAAGAAGTTGATATAATGGCTAATTGCTCAATATCTTCTGAATTTAATTTATGCTTTTTTTGCTCAGAAAACTCACTAATAAAGTGTGTAATTGCAGTTAGAGGAGTTCTCAACTCGTGCGAAACTGATCTAAGTAAAATTGTTTTCATCTTATCATTAGCGATGTTCGACTCCATTTCGATTATTTGGTTAGCATTTCTGATTGATAGAAATATGCAAGGTCTTGATTCCCAGATAATTTTTTTGACTCTTCATTCTAAATTAATAGTCCCTTGCTTGGTTATCCCTAAGCAAATTTCATTGTTAATTATATTTTCTAATGCAAAATTAATATCATCAAAAAGCAGTATTGAATTAGTCATTTTTGTAACTTTTTTATCAAGACAATACTCAATCCTCTGTAAAACTGAGTACAAATTATTGCCTTCACAGCCCAAGAGCTGTAAAATGCTAGAGTTATAAAATTCTATTTTTTCATTTGATATTATTAATATTCCGTTTTCAACAGCTTGAGTAATAGTGGCTAATTTACTCCTAGACAGCTCTAACTCTTTTCTATATAAAAACCTTTCAAATGATATACTCTGCCTAAATTGAGCTCTATCGTTGCATACTACGATAATTATAACTAAGATCAGAAATGGGGAGACATGATCAAGTCTGACCTCTCCTTCAATAATTATCTTATGAATATGTCATATGTATAAGTGCTTAATCAGAAATAAATTTCAGAGTCATTGGTTTTTGACTACTGGAATCATGAAATGATATATAGAAATGTATGAAAACATCTCTGCCAGACCAGAATGCACTTGTAAATAAGGTGACCAAATAAATATAGAAATATTATTTCAATATTCTGCAAATATTAAAATTGAAATAGCCTTATAAACTGCTGACTTGTATTCGGCTGATTTCAGGAATAAATAAATTAAAATGTGTGTACAAAAAGTAGGGATCCATAAAACTAGTGTATGATAAGAAGGCCAAATTGCTAAACTGAATGTTCTTGCTATTATTATGATTAGCACTACTGCCTTGCTAATTTTCTGGGAGCTTTTATAAATTGCTTCAACTTCTTCAGACCATCACAAAGATTTCATACTGTCCATTTTTAATAAAATATTAATGTTCTAATTATAAGTTTTTTAACTAGTTATTCACAAAATTAAATAATATTTTCTGGATTAAAATTGATAAAGAAATTGTTTTTGTATAAAATTAGATGAAATTCAAATATAAAGTGAATAATGCAAGTTCATAATAGGTGCTACTATTTTGAGAAGAATTAAGTTATAAATAACTTCAGAATAATTCTGTCTTAAATATATATACTCAAAAAGAGAAAAAAGCTCTTATATTTTTATTGAATGCCAAATCATAATTAATTTATTTCTTTTTAGTATAGCTTTATTTTATTTAATATTCTTAAATTAAAAACACTTGAATATCAATTAATTTATAATATTAAAATTAAAATATAGCTTGCTCCTGACCATAGCTCACCATCGGAGCAACCAAGAGATTGGGCTCTATAACAGAACAATAACTATATAAATTAACAAATAAATAAAAATATTAATAGATGCAAATTATTATATATTAGGAAAGTATATATTGTTTTGCACTGTGTTTAAGAGAAGAGCATATGAATCAAAAGATATGAAAACATAGCCTTTAGAATTTTCAGTATTTATTTATCTAAAGTAATATTAATTTTATAATAAAGGATCATTCCAACCGCAGCAAAAGCTTCTTGTAGAAGAACTTGGCTGGAAATTTTCACAAATTTCTGTTTGTAGGTTTTTTGATTTTGTCGGAGAAGATTTGGATATCAAACTTTTAGTTACATCAATAATTTGGTCACCAATAATTAAATCAAGAGCTTTCTGCCTAACTTTTAATGATTGTATGTCTCCTTGTATTTTTCTCTCTTTTACTTGCACAGGAATGCATACATTGCTATTTCATTTGCTACCTGCTATCTTTAGCATTTCAATCTTGGGCAATTTTTCCTTACCTCCATCATTGATTATTTTGCTCTAAAGAGGATTTTATATATAATATATTTGGGAGATCTCGTGAATATAAATATTTTATCCAATATTAATTATATTAAAAAATTTCTGCTCAGTAAAGAAGAGAGTTTTTTTCCCAAAAAATAGGGTATTTGATTGCTAACAAAGTGTAGAATTAGTTTTTACATTTCCAATGTCAAAGCTCTTATTATTTTTTCTTCTCTTAATTCGCTTCAGCTCCAGATCTTCTTCATTTCTAAGATCTCATATGTGTTTTTTCTTAGGTGTTAAAAATTCTTTCTTTACGTAGCTTGAATTTGCAAATTCTAATTTCCGGCCTGCTTTTCCTATGAAATAAGTTATTTTTGCTTGCTTTTTAAATGCTTTACAATCCATTCAGTCAGGCTTAAATAAGCCTTTTATACTTGGCAATTGACTTTCAATATTCATAAAATGGATTAAATTCCATATAAATCTAACGCAAACTCAAGTAAATAAAATAAGAATGATGATTATTCATGAGAAAGAAGTTCTAATATCTAAAATGGATTATTACCTAGATCATCAAGGTTTATATTTAAAATCGTTAATGCAATTAAAATTTCAGAGCAAAAAATCATATGGAGAAGATTCAATCAATGAAGCAAAGCATTATGCAAAAAATTTTAAATCCATATAGCATGGATAAGCCCATGTAGTGCCTTTTCACTCAAGCTTTTAGTTCAACTCATATTGACAAAACAAGATTGTGCCTGGGCTTGGGTTTTCCAGCCTAGATTACCTTTCAATGCTCTTACTTCACTGAAGGTGGGTGTAACGATCTGCTTTATTTACTATCTTTCAAATTTAGACTTTTTGATAATCCCAATTAATTGATCTATGCAAGAATTATTGAAATCAAAATTTTAACATGCAAAATAAAAAAAGACTAAGATTAGCCTGCCAAAATGCTTTTTTAGACATCTTTTTAAAATGATAAGAGATGTGTCCTGGAACATATGATCTAAGAGTATGCTTGCTATTTCTTTTCTTTTTTATCACTTTAATAGGAAATCAAAAGTAGCAATTTAGCCAGCCAACTGGGTTGAGTTAAGCAGAATGAATTCAAAGATCTCTTAAACTCTACATCTTATTTATTGAGATGGATAGCATCATCTGTAATATTAATTAACATTATCATCTAGAATAGCTCTTCCTTCCTGTTGACGATCAATAACCCTTTTTAATGGACAAACAATAAATATCAGATCTTATTAATGATTATTATGCAATATGAAATAATAATTTAATCATAATATCATAAATTTTAACAAAAAATTGCAATCTCGTGTTAAAAAACAAAAATTTCATTGGCTATGAGGCATTAGATTTTCATCAATTAATAATTTGACTTCATTAAATTGAAATTTACTAATTCTAAAAAATAAATAATAAAATAAGCAAAAATGTATGATTGTTCAGCGATTCAGGTTTAAGGGCATGATTAATTTACGATCTTGAGCCATACTTTTAACTAAGTTTCTGTTTTAGTATGAGGATTTAAGCAAATTCTTAGCAATTTCTTAGTTATAAGAACTTTCATATCCACTTTTCTTAGCAACTTCTAAAAAGAGATGAATTTTTATCTTATTCTATTTATCTTAAGATTTCACTTGCAATTATGTATTATCTGCGATAGTCTTAAGGAAATAATACCAATCTCAAACTTAAACAAAAAAAGACTTCTTTTTAATCTTTTTTTAACAATTCTGCTATCGTTCATGCGCTGAGATCTCCAATTTTAATAGATTTAATGAATTTTTAATTTGTGTTCGGACTTTTCAAAATCCTCCGAAATTCTGAGAAATTAATTTAAATTATTGTTTATGTTTTCAGATAATAAAGAATTTTGTTATCCACTAAATATGGCATAAGAAGCAGGCTGCAGCCTATCAGAAGAGTTTAGCGAATTGAAGTATTTATGTAATAAATCTTAAGGAATCTGATCAAAATTTTATAAATATTCCATTAAAAGTAAAATTCGCTTAATTATAGGAGACTATAAATTTTGGCTATTTTATTTGCTATTTATTTTTAATTTTAATTCGTATACATATGAAAGCTGCAATGCCTTTGAAAAAGTCTCAAAAAATACAGTTAATTGGCCCTGATAGATTGCTATGGAAAAATCCTTTTTTACTCAAAATTATACGTGGCATAGTCATTATTTTGGATGAGGCGCTTCAAAGATGGCATTTTTGAGCAATAATAATAATAATTCAATTTTACCATTTTCAGGATTGATTTTTGAATAGTTAGAGATGGCTGTGATCTTAGATCAAAAGAATATTCAATAGCCATCTATCATATTTCATGAGCAATAATTATTGTATATTAGCTTATTTCTATAGCAATTAGACTTACTTTCCTAAAAGTGAATTATAAATTTAATAAATTCAACATTATATAGCAGTTTTCCCCTATGTCTTGGGTGACGTTTCAGTCCACCATAATAAAAATCATTAATGACCGCATTGTGCCCTGGCGATAGAGAGCAAGCACACAGAAGGTTTTTCAAATTTTTTCATACAAGAAAAAGTGATCCCTAACTTCTAGGCATACTAATCAAACTCCTGCCCGATCTCAAATCTAACTACAAATATTTATTATATTAAAATAAAAATTACAATATAATACCTCCATCTCAATTTAAATGCCATTTCTAGCATTTCTGCTATTATACAACATTCTCTAGCTGTCTCTATCTAATAAATTATTTTATATAAAAAAAATTATCGTTAGTTGCTTAAATTGCAACTTTACCATCTAAATGTGAATATTTTCCACATTTGAAAAGATGATTCCACATTTAGGTGGTAAAGTTGCAATTTAAGCAACTAACAATAATATAATATAGTACTAATACATATTTTATCTATAACCCAATTTTTAGTCGAATGATAAAAGGTCGTTTTATAAAAAGGGGGTAAGGGAATTCGAACTTCAATTCACATTAAGGCTGAGATCTCCAAAAAAAATCTAAAGCTTAATATTTCACTATCAAAAAGCAATTAGCTGAACTGTTTAGCAATAATAGTAACCTCTTTAAGTAGGCTGATTTTTTTGCGGATCAGATATTTTTGCTATCGCTAAACTTTAATTTGTTTTTTCGTTATAGTTTTATCTAATTTTATCACGAAGGCATTTTTTAGGACGAGCCCTATTTTGATTCCTTTTACCCGCTTTATTACATCGGTTCCCATCGTTTTTTTTAATAAATTTTGTTTTCCGAAAAGTTTTGTATTTGACTAGAGTTATTTTTCCCCTATTTCTCTCTTCTCAGTAATACCAGCACTTATAACCATTTTTGAATGGACTAGTAAGAGACTAATAATAAACTAATTCTAATGAATCAACTCTCTTCACAAGCAAAAGAACCTAACACATTTAAAAACAGTAAAAAAGCAAGCGATTCAATAGGTCAGTTAGGAATGGTTAGGCTATTAAAGCAGGCGTTAATCATATAGATGGGTAGTCACCAAAAAACTCCTGTATGGGAGGTTCAACTGCTTTTGACAAGCAGGGGATCTTTCCCCGAAGGTGGATGCCACTTTCTTCTGTATATTTGTCTTTCGGTTTCTGTCTTAAATGGTCGGCTTATGGATTTCTGCGGCCTTGCTACGGGCGATTAGAGTAGCTTGATTCCATGGATCAGCTTCTTGAAGCCTATCAGGTTTTGATGTACCTTCCTTCGGCAGCTACTCGAAAAAGATTTACTGTGTTGCCTGGGTCGAAACCCCAGTAATGCCCATGGGTTCTCGGATCCAAAGGACCTTGCAGAGTACCCTCCATTTTCAAGCACCCAAAACTTATCGGGATACACATCACTTGAGCCTGCACTTGATTCTCTACTCGGAGTCCGTCCCAGTTCGCCGTAGCCATAAAGTCCGGATTGCTGCGCCAAGAGAGCAGGCTTACACGTGCCACCATTTAATGCACATAAGCAATTCAATAGGAGAATCCTTTCTTTGTGAGCACTGCATGAAGTATTTCGATTCTGCCTTTACTCTCAAAGCTCATTTACTGAACGAGTTCGAGCTTGATGATGATTCCATTGCGTTTTTCAACATGGAAACAAGAATAAATGAAAATTCAGAATCGCCAACTTCTGCAGATACCCATGAATGTGAGAAAATCTTCAAAAAATCTGAAAAAGTTCTCCTAAACTGTCCAAACTGCAACAAGATATTTAAGGGCCAAAAAGGTTTAAACCAGCATTTAGGGAAAATTCATAACAGGAAAAAGAGAAACTCCATATGCAAAAAGTGTGGGAAGACGTTTAAGCATAAATACGCACTAAAGTTTCATATAAGGCAGGTCCACGATGAAGCAACAAGAGTGCTTTGTACTTTCTGCGGCAAAGAAATTTACAATAAATATATGCTTGCAATTGGCATGATTATTTTTAGATAAGAAAATTTATTAATTTTTTTTTTGAGGTATAATCTTAGTATTTATAAAAAAAATTGCATAATTAATTAATCTGACGAGCTGAAGAAATAAGTCCCTTGCAAAGCATGTCTCTGAAAAGCATTATATTTTAAACTAGGATGCATGTTAAATAAATTCAATTTCAGATTACAATAAGAAATTAAAATAAATATAATTAGATTGTAAAACTCAACTAAAAAATAAATAACAATTATTTAGCAATTCAAATTTGGTTAAAAATGGTCTGTCTAGATGCTAGAATTTTTTAACTTTTCTGGAACAAATATGAAGCTTATTTTTATATAATGATAAAATAAAATTTAGAAAAATCCAGATCAGATTTAAAGAAATGAACGATTTTTTAATCTCAAAAATTATGATTAAAATTCTTTAGATATTTAATAGATGTAGCTGTTAGAATACAAAGTATAAATTCCTTTATATTTTTTATAATTAATTATCAATGACTCTTCTTTTAAAGCTTAATTTGATCTTGATTATTTTTTTTTTAAAATGATATTTCTCTTACTTTTCTACCAGGATTTTTCATCAATCCTAAAAAATTTATTTGTAATAAAACCATATTTTCGAATGTTTCGAATTTGATTGAAATATATAAAATTATTATTTATTACGTTTATCGCGCATTGCTTAATATGATTCTATTAATTTAGCTAACCTTAATATTGCTATAAATATTTCGAATGAATATAAAAGTTGCAAAGAATCCTATGGTCCCGGTAATCAAAGCATACGCCACACTTGTAAGGAACATATATCCAAAGTAAATAATAACTGACGAAAATCTATTAAACGTCAAATCTGTCATAAAATATATAAATGAATATAAAAACAAATAAATTCCTGAAGACCCAGCGACCCCAAAAGATGCCCACCATCATCTATAATCCTCTCTACAAAGAATTATGTAAGTCATTAATATTGAGACCTCAGCTGAAGTGATTACAAGCACTACAAAGCAGAGGAATAAAAATCCAAAAAGATAATAAAATAGTGTGTGGTGCCACAAGCTCTTCATTACATAACTGAGCTCAATAAACATACACCCAAATGGTAAAGATCCTGCCATTACACAAATGGCGTTAATTTTAAAAGATCCTGGAATGATTTCAATGGGCTTAGGAATTTTATTTATTTTGCAAGGATGATCAATTCTGTTTTTTCTAAACCCTATCGCACTTCCTAAAAATACAAGAGGGACAGAAATTCCAAACCAAAGAATAAGTAATTCAAGCAAAGATGTGAATGGGACAGCTCCTGACGACTCTTCTCCGAGAATGAAAAGATTCACAATGAAAAACACCAAGAAGCAGATTCCTGGGAAAAAGAAAGCGGTCCCAAAAGCATTTCTTTTCCAAAAATCGCCGCCGAAGAACTTGTAAAGTCTTGATGATGTATATCCAGCACCAGCACCCATAAATACATATAAAATAAGCATAGCAGTAACTAAAGCTCCTCTGTTAGCTGGAGTTAAAAATCCAATGCAAGCAAAAAGCAATGTTAAAATGGCCATTCCAATTACTTGTACACCAGATCCGATAATAATTGAAAAAATACTCCCATAAACAGGCGGTCTAAAAATGTCACCTTTAACTTGTTTCCAGCCAGACTCCCCTTCTGGATCAATATCGTCTTTTTCATTATATGTTGATATGTCTTTTTTGATTATTCTTCTAAATATATGAGCGACCATTCCGGTTAAAAACAAAACCATTGCAAAAGAGTTTACAATGGAAAGCCAATGGACTTCTCCACTTTCTCCAGTCATATAAAGGTAATAATCCCATCTATCTGCCCATTTTACGTCACTTTCTTCAAATATCACACTATATGTATATGTAATATTCGAGCCAGGGAGATCCAAATTCTGTGCAGGAAGTGTGGATATCCGTGTAGGAAAAGATCCTGACAGCCTTTCATCAGGAGTCATAATAGTTTCGTTCCATTTCGCTTCCCCAAACTCATGACTTAGGAATTCTGGTGTATTGCAGCCTAATTTTTCAGGAGTATTCAGCAGGCTCAAAGGTTCCACCAAAAACCCTACAATTTTCCATTTGTCCTCGTCTTTCGAATTTGGGTGGATTTTGATGACAATATGATGGTGATTATTAATAAAAAAATCTCTGCCATCTCTAAACCCAATAGGAAATCCATCTTGGTAATAAGAAATTTTGGTTTTCGTTCTTTGGTCATTAGAATTTGTAGTTTGCCTAAATCCAGCTGGAAGGTTGTCAAGAAGCCATGAAGCTTTGTACTCATTATCAATCATCCACTTAAAAGTCCTTATATGAGATCGTCTATTTGTTTGAGTGCATAAAACTTCGCATCTCTTCACCTGACCCATGCTTATCTGATAAGGCGAAGTCTCTATTGTGTCTCCTGTTAAAGTTTGACCAATGTTTTCGCTTTGTGCTGATACATGGTGCGGCTTACAATAATGCAGATAATAATAATCGAATGGAAGCTGAGTTTTTGAAGAATCAAGCTTGTTCACGTACAGGTTGAGTTTGTGACCTTGCTCATAGCTTTTAGGAGCAACTCCAGGGAGAAAATAAGAGTGGACGTGAAGAATAAGAAATAGGATCCACATTATTATGATGGGAGATCAAGATGCTAGAAAGTCATATTGATTAAAAGCAAAAATGGAAATTATGCTCAATACAGTGCATAAAGAAATGATATTTTCAGACACCCCTGAATAAATTTAAAGAGTGGTAGAGAATGCAATGAGGATTTTGTATTTGCTTTAAAAATGAATTTAGCTATTTGTGTAAGATAGTGAAATATTTATAATGCAAAACTATGCTAGCGTGAAAGGTTTGGTGCAAAATTACAAAGATCAGTCAATTCATTTTTGAGTGAGAATTAGAATCTAGATAATATAAGCATTTTTGTGATTGAAGCTCTTCCAATTTTATAAATTATAAATTTGCTATCTTTTTCAGATATTTGATAATTACATAAACCCTTACTCCTTTATGCTAACTCACAGAGATAATTTTTTTCTTCAAAATTCGAAAAAACGACAATTTGAAATATTTTTAAAGCAAATATTAATTTAATTTTTAAAATTGATGTTTGCAAGCTGTTTGAAATTAATCAGAGTTAGAGATTTCGCTATAATAATTATCTCTTATATATCAAATGTTGTTTTTAAAAAAAAATTTGTTTGTTCACTTAGAAGAGTGTCTTTACCCAACAAAATAGGGATTTTTCCAATGATTTTGGTCTCTCATCAAGGGGATGAGTTAGAATTTCAATTGCTAAATCAACTAAGTTTGGCTGTTTTCTGTAATTAAAGATTGATTTGAAAACCGCGACACATATATTAAAATTTAAAGAAGCTATCAGATATAGAGGCTGCCTTTGAGTAGCGCTCTAAGCGCCCGAGACTTCCCGACGAAGTCTGGGCGGTGGTTTGACCAGCTGATGTTGGTCAAACCAGCATCCAATTTGACAAACCTTCTGTAGGAGAAGAATTTGTCATTTTGGATGTTGGTTTGACCAACATCAGCTGGTCAAACCACCGCCCAGACTTCGTCGGGAAGTCTCGGGCGCTTAGAGCGCTACTCAAAGGCAGCCTCTATAGCAAAAATTATAAAAAAAATATTCGTAGCAACTTAAAGGTTATCTAATAATAGTTTTGCTGTCTATATGCTTTTTCTATTGCATAATTTTGAATCCAACTGCTTCTGGTATTTCCTCAACAAAGATGAAGTTTCGAATTTTATAAATATCTATCAAATTATTTGAAATAGCTATACCAGTTTTCTCTATTAGTGCATAAATTTAAATAATCAAGCTTCTTAAGTGCCAAGCTTAATAATCTTGAAATTTCTTAACAGCTATACCCAACGGTCTAAACGCAAATTGAACCCTGTTTCCGAGATAATCTATCGCCATTGACTTATTTTTGAATTTTATCATACTAATATAATTATTTTAAGTTAAAGTTTATGATAAATCTTTGATTAAATTGCTTCTTGGCCTGAGCTTGGATCACAGTGCTAAATAAAGGTAGGTAGGCTGGCTTAATCATCAAACTATTTCTGTTCCCAAGCCATTAGGACCTCTTTGATCTACACCAAACACTGTGTAGATCTATTCTTCTGAGTTGAGATTCTCAAGAAGTCGTGAACTTCTCTCACTGGACTCGGATGTAGGACCAGAGTCCTAACCCTAATACACATTTTTTAATTGTTCTAATTATTTTAAAATGCAAGCATTTAGACGATTATTCAAGCTCTCAGTTCCAATGAGAGAAGCTGTACAGGAAACAAGCGTGCAATACAAAATAGCTGTACCTGCCCCAAAGATACCTGCTGGAAAGAAAGTCAAAGTTAAAGGAGAAGTTTGGGCAGCTTTAGCAAACTATAAAGCAGCAATGGCAAAGAAGAGCATAAAAGAAAAACTGTAAAAATCAAGCTTATATACATAGTGTCATATAAATTAACTAAAATGTCTGCTAATTTTGTCTTACAAGTAATAATTTTATTTATTTTTACTAATTAATATAAAGAAAATTATACTTTCTAATGCATATACCATAACCTAATATCGTTAGTTGCTTATTTAAAAACAATGCAACTTACATGTGCAATCTTTTCGGCGTGTGAAAAGATGATTCCACATGTGAAATCAAAAGGGCTTCACATATGGAATCATCTTTTCACACTTCAAAAAGATTCCACATGCAAGTTGCATTGTTTAAAAACAAGCAACTAACGATAATTCTTTACTCATATGATATATAACGAAGCTTATTAATTGTATAGCTATATACCTCAGCTAATATCTTTGACTTGCCAAATTTTAATTCAAAGCATAAAAAGACCTTAAAAATGCATAGCAAATAATATTTAATTTCACATGATTATATTACCTTCCATTTCCTTTTTTAAAATCCAACTCTCCCGTTGCACTTCTATAAATCAGCTCTTTGCTCCCACCTATTTGCAGTACACACTTATCAAGTCTAAGCTTCCAATTATTTCCTTTCCTATGCACTTTTTCATATAAGCAAAATAAGTAGTCATTTACTTCAGGCGGGTTTGTATTGGTTTCTTCATCACTTATGGTTTCTCCTTCATCATCACTATATGCGACCTCTCTGACTTCCTTTGTTTGTTTTAATTTTTCTTCTTGCTGAGCTTCTTCTATTTGTTTTTTTCTATTGGCAAACTCGTCTGCAAGAGGATCTCTTTCTAGCTCTTCTTCCTCCTCCTCATCTTCTTCAGAGTCTGAGCTGGGAGATGACGGAGGAGTTTCGATGACTTGCGGAATTTTCTTTTCTTCGATTACTTCGATTTTTGCTTTTTTTTCGTAAGGAACTGTATAATAATCTTGATCTGAAGAGGCTGGCTTATTTTGAAAATATTGAGACAATTCGTTTGAGGTAACCTATGTTAGATATACATTTATAGGCTTGAATCCGCGAAAGAGATTATTGCTCCATGCATCTTTAATTCTTTGCAAAGTGTTTTCTTGGCGGCCTGAGCCGAGAAAACCAGGGCGCATACATGTTATACATTCATCTATAATTTGCTGATATATCTCTGTGACATTGGAGGGAGAAATCATTTATTGTGTTTGAGGAAAAATTAATTATTATGTGGATTTAGGATGTTTATGAAATGGATAAATTAATGATAAATTTACTTGAATATTATCTTTAAAGGTCATCTTGATAGTCAAGTATTTCGCAATTGTTTAATTGTGTGCCTTGAATTATATTGCCTGAGTTATCTAATCGTCCTGAAAAATACCGAATAAATCCACTGTGTGAGACCAAGGCTACGTTTTGAGTCCTGCAGTACTCTCTTCATATAATTTTAGATTTATTTCCTCTTCTAAACAGCTGTTCTTCATTCTCCAAGAAATCAGGGTCGATTGAGCTCATCATTTCTAGGAGCTTAACCCTTGTTTCTTGATAGCTAAGGCCGACGATTTGTTTGATATATTCATTATCACATATAGATGCATGGAAATGAGGGTTAGAATTCATAAGTGACCAGTCGAAATGCGAATATTCTGGAAACGGGGAGCCTTCATATACTGATACATCATGGGTAATTAATATTTTTCTTAAAAATAATTTTATAAGATATTAAATAGAATTAATTAATTAATTAAAAACATCGTGGGCATTGTGAAATCTTTCATGCAGGATCGGATGAACAATTACAGAAGGATGGTTTGGGTGGTCTTTGAAAATAATGTCACATGTTTGCAATGCTCTTCTTAATGGAGAAACGAAAACTATCTGTACATCCAAGCTGTGGACTTGAGGAATCATTTCTTGAGATTGCTGAATCCCGAGATCAGTTAATGTAGAGTCCATAAATCGTTCCTCAAATTGAAAATTTTTATTTCCAGGTCTTCCTAATCTTATTCATTCTCTGCATGCCTCGTTATAGTATGTTTCTGCATGTCTTATCAGTCAAAGTTTGCCCATATTGTAATTTAAATTCTTATTATGATAAATTATTTAAATGACTATTAGAAAGTTGTTTAGGTAATAAATCCTATAAAAAGCCAAAAGATATAGTTTATTTTAAATGAATGTTCATCCATCAAATTTTGCAATTAAAGCTGATTATTTTTTGAGCGTGACAAATCTACAAATTCATCAAATTATAGGCTATCAAAAGGATAAATTATATCGCGCGCAACCTTATAGCTCGCTTTAGTTAGCTTAATCCGTTTCAGATAAGTTTTGATGCATTCGGTTATTTTCAAAGCAAACAGGGGAGATAAATCCATGTTTGGTCAGGAAATGGGTATGAGTTTATCATCTTATTCAAAAAGGTTTGAATCACCCCTATGAGGATTATTTGTATTTGCAAATATAATTTTTAAGAAAATAAAATTTAAGTATAAACTTATCTCAGAAAGAAACTTACATAAAATTAGAGACAGATATATTATTTTTTATTTTTTTCTAGATAAAATTATATGATTTATTGATTTTTTTGTCAGTGTACATATAATTTTCATAAACTATTTTAGCTGATTTATTTAAATTATCTTTTATATTTCCGCATTCTGCAACTAGTTATCTATCTATAATGTAAATAATTTTCTAATTAATGCATTATATAAAAAAATGAATAGATTGAATCTTCGAATCAAAGACTGATAGGAGTAAATTGCAAAAAGTTTTGTGGAAACAGGGTAAGAAGCAATAAAATCTGCGTTATAAAAGTTATTAAAACATATCTAAGGATAATTTCAAGATTTTGCCCAAAAAAATTAAAGAGGTTTTATTAAATTACGAGGGGTTGGAAGTTATAAAGATTTAGATTAAGAAAATTATCAATCTCTTCCAATAACTGAAATTATCGTAGCTTTTTATTATATAATGCTCAATCATATTAAGCTCCCCAGGATTCATCTCAAATTTATGGTCAATTGAAAAATTAATAATTATTATATGAACAAGATTATGACTTTTAGTAGTCCAAGAAAATACATCGAAATTACTCAAGAGTATTTAATAATTATTTTTATTTTTTTACCAATTTTTAGGAATTTTTACAGTCAATCGTTCGATCAAGGATGGGGGGGAATCACTAATAAATTTATAAAATAAAAACTATTTAAAAATATTCAAGAAATATTTAATCCAGAATGTTCTTAAAATAATTGCCTTTCATTCTATGTCGAATGGCCTTTTCAACTGCAATACAATCAAATCATGATTCATATTATTTTTATATAATTATATGAAAATATAATTATATAACAAAATTACTTTTAGTTTGATATAATACAAAAATTTTTGAAATTTTTCAACTGCATATATTTTTATCGCAAATAATAAAGCTTTAAGCTCATAAAACTGGTTTGACGTTAGCTTTTCTATTTTAACAAAATAAGCAACCATTTTGATGTTGAAAGCCTTATGAGAGTAAAGCATAAATATCAGAAAATGAATTCTTCAAGTACATATTCACTTTTTCAATAAAAATTAGCCAGTTTTACCTCTAAAATTAGCTAGAGATTTAAACAAAATCTTACAATTTGAGTAAATGTTTATAAATACTATATATAAGCATTGACAGACTTATTGTTTAATTTGGGTTTCACCCTGAGGTTTAGTGTTTCTTCTCTTTCTTCTCTTGCCAAACACCTTACTCCTCCTCTGTGAGCGAACAAAAAATCCTTGTTCGATCTAGGAGGGGTTAGTTTTTTTTTCTCACTTCGCAAAAATTGGAAAGTATTAATTTAATTTATAAAATTTATGTTTTAAAATGCAATTTGTTTAAAATTAAACATAATTAGCTCGAGATTTCATTATACTAATTATCACTTATATATCAAAAAAAAATTTTGTTTGCTCGCGGAGGGTGGGTTTTTAGGGATTTCTCTCATCGTTTGTTTGCTCAGAAGGGGGGAGTTAGATCTATGATAATTTTGCAAATAACACAACTGGCACTTGCCTTTGGCGTAATGCTGTCTGTCCTTGTGAGGGCAATTCCATGCTAATTTGTCTCTTCCGAATCTATGATAACAATTGTTGCACATATTTTTCGCATAGTGTTTTTTATCGTAATGCGTGCATATAGGAACAATACGGGTGGGCTTTTGCTCATCAGGAACATTTATGGATGAAGGCTCTTGAGTTTCGCCTGGCTCGAGGTGGACAGGCTGAAGAGTCTCATTGGAGAAAATGCAAGGCAGGGACAAACAGATTGGCCATACTTGATCATTTACTTGTGGGACAAGCAAGGATGGCATATTAGTAAATACACTTGGGATGGAGATCGTCTCAAGTGTCTCTTTTTCGTTCATAATAATATGGCTTTGGGTGAAAAGTCAATTACTTCTGAATTCTTTTTCCCTCCTCCAAATTTATTATGGGGCTAAGTTTTATACGTGGACTTCTGCACAAGGAGAGAAAATGGCAATGAATTATATACTTCGCCCACCTTATGTATCGTGCTTTACCTCTTTCCCCTGCAGATATAAAAAGAGAACCCTTAGCCCGAGTAGGTGTTCGAGGAAAATTTGATTGAGCGAGAAGTGAGTTTAGCTATTAGCACTTCTGGGTTATCTTAAGATTTCACTTGGATAAGGAGTTTTGAGCCGACTGTGAGGCCCTACATGCATTCAATGGTGGCAGCAAGAAGGAGAAAAAGGGCGTTTCACGATGCTGCGCAGCTAGAGCATATCTAGAAGTAATCATATTAAGCTAATTGCTTGCTCGTCTCTTTTTCGGCCGCAAATTTCATTTTATTTAATGTCCACCAAACTTCAGTAGAGTCGGTAATAGGCAAAGAATTAACTATTTAAATTCTTACTCCCCCCCCTCCGTGAGTGAACAAAACCATTAGAAAAATCGCTATTTTTTGCCCAAAAACCCACCCTCCGTGAGTGAACAAAAATTTTTTTAATAGAAAAATTTTTTATGGAAAAAAAATAGATATATAAATGATAATTAGTATAATGAAATCTAGAGCTAATTCTGTTTAATTTTAAATGAATTGCTTTTTAAAACATAAATTTTATATATTAAATTAATATTTGCTTTCCAATTTTTGCGAATTAGGATTTTTTTAAATTTGAAAAAAAAAATTTTTTATAAAATTTTATATATAAATTTTTTTAAAAAAAAAAAATTTAACCCCCCTCCGTGAGTGAACAAAATTTTTTTGTTCACTCACGGAGGGGAGGGGGGAGTTAGCTCCCCCTTCGTGAGTGAAAAAAAAAATTTTTGTTCCCTCAAGAAGAGAGATTAATTTTTTTTTTTAAAATTTATATCCCAATACGCAAAAATTGGATAGCAAAAATTAATGTATTTTTTTGCTTAAAATTAAACAGAATTAACTAGAGATTTCATTATATTAATAATCACTTATTATCAAAATTTTTGCATAAAAATTTTTATATCAAAAAAAATTTTCGCTCAAACCCACGGAGGGTAGATTTTTATGCAAAAAATAAGGCTTGTTCCAATAGTTTTGTTCGCTTACGGACATGGGGAGTAAGCGATATTGAAGTATTTTTGTTGAGATTTAGCTTATTTTCGCATAGACCTATTATCAACATTAAAATTGTTAATGGGTAAAAATGCTAAAACTGTTTGGCTTTATGATATATTAATATTAAAATTTTCTATCAGTTGGAGCTTTATTCCCTAGGTACTTTGAGATGAAATTTCAATTATTTTGAATTTGCATTATTTGGTATGAATTTAGATTTGAGAAGAGAAAAGATTGTATTTTTGGCCAGATAAGGCCAAAATTTATTTTTAAATTATATCAGCTTGTATTTCTGCCTGGAATCTCTTTTGATTCACCACCTTTGCAAGCCATTTACAAATCGCATTTGTGATTTGGACTTTCTTATTTCTTTCTGTCATTTTTAGCATTAGCTGCAATAAATAGACCCAGCTATAAAAATAAATCACAATCAGAATATTTTTATTTAAATTTTTTGCTCTCAAAACTACGTTTCAGAATTCTTTTATTTTCTAAAGTTTTCAATTACCATATTTATCCCTCAATAGCATATAAGATGGCATTAGATACTTATAAGATTGAAAAATTAAAAGAGAATAATTAACTTAACTCTTAAAAGAGCTCTTATTACCGGGTTAGCTTCTATATAAGATAATAAATTATAATAATAGCTTAAATTCACGACTAGTACGGCTTAACATTCACATTTTCCTTGTTGTTTTTGTTTCTGCACTTGCACAGGAGCGCTGAGTCCGATTCTCATATCGTTCATCTCCCCAGCTCCTCCAGAAGGTGTTGGAGTTTCTCCAGATGGTAAACCTCCTGCTATTTGTTTGAATAATGTTTTAATATTATCCCCTGTTTTCGCACTAACTTCGATGTACATTGCTCCTAATTCTTTTGCCTTTGCCGTCCCTTCTTCAGTAGTGACACATCTTTCTTCCACTTTGTCAGTTTTATTCCCTACCAAGACCATGATGGCATCCGTTCCTCTTTCATTTTTTACATCTTCAACTCATCTATCAGTGCTATCAAAAGTCTGCTTATTTGTGACATCAAAAACAATGACTGCGACTGAGGAGCCTCTAATATAATTTGGGATCAAGGTCCTGAACCGTTCTTGTCCTGCTGTATCCCAAAGCTGGAGTCTGACAGTTCGATCATCAAGATAAAGGGTTTTTGATAAAAAGTCAATTCCGATGGTTGCTTGATAATTATTGTCAAAGGTTTCGTACATAAACCGGGTTATAATAGAGGTCTTGCCAACGTAGATGTCACCTAGAAAGACGAGCTTATACTTCGCCATGGGACTCATTGAGCTCAACATTCCTGTGGCCATTTAATTTTTATTCATTATTTGAGTTTAAAGGGTTCAATCATTCGAGATTACAGCAAATATAAAGGTTTATCTAGATTGGATGACAGTGCTCTATTGTTTAAATAATCTCAATCAATAGAAGATTTATATGAGAATTTTTGAAAAGAATAAAATGCTGAAGATTTTATATTAGATTTTAAGTTTAACTAGGTACAGATTCGATATAAATTGCTAAAAACTGATATTTATGTGCTCATAATGATTTTATGATTTTAATTAGAATTGTCAAATCCTTTCTCTATATTGCGAGTAAATAGTCCCCAGAGCACAATTACAATCCAAACCATAAGAAACATACCCATAACAAATTGAATTGCAAAGCAACTCCAGTCCTGATCATTATTTCTTTTTCTCATTATTTCTATAATCCCCTTGGCTAAATTTCTTACCCCTTGATTGAATTTACTAATGGCCACCTTATAAGGCATTTGAAAATTTAACAAAAATCCAGAGATTAAGAAATTTTGCAATTGAGTATATTATTAACTCTGATAAAAATCCGAAATTAATTTTTATAAAATAATTATAGCAGACATTAGCCCTAAATGAGGAAAACAGAAATCATATGAACCTCAAAAAAGTTAATTTATTTCCTCATGCCATTTCTATCTAAATATTTTTCATAATAATAAAGCTATATTAATGAATTTAAAATCATATTAAGTTAATATTAAAATGCCGCTTAATAAACTAAAACTTTCTTTTTCAAAGCTCTCAAATTTTGCTTCAGTGGCTGAGGATGAAAAGCTCTCTGAGGATTATACCTACTTCTATATTCGCTCGCAGTCATATCTCCATGCAGCTTTTTAATAGGTTCCCACCCATATCCATCGAAAAGTGTTGAGTTCTGCACAAACCCTGAGGCTTGTGTTGATGGTCTTTTAGACACCTGTACACTTTTCCAAAATTCCCCATCTGTGCTTCTATAAATTTCAGGTCTTTTCTTTTCTTGATTTACATAAGATTTTCTATAAGTAGTATCAAAAGAGTCATCTGCATAGTTAGGATGAGTCTGAGGTATTGTATACTAATTGACCAAGAATAGCCCACTATGGAGCCATTCTTGGTCTGCCAGAAAAAATTTTGACAAAAAGATCCTAATCTGCCATTACCACTGAGTTTTGGTGTTTCCAAATTTTTTGGGCAAGCCAAATGCAATAAAAAAAATTGTTCTTTTGCGATGATGCATTTGGCTTGTCAAAAAAATTTGGAAACACCAAAACTCAGTGGTAATGGCAGATTAGGATCTTTTCTGCCATTATCACTGAGTTTTGATGTTGCCAAATTTTTTTGACAAGCCAAATGCATCACCGCAAAAGAACAATTTTTTTTATTTCATTTGGCTTGCCCAAAAAATTTGGAAACACCAAAACTCAGTGGTAATGGCAGATTAGGATCTTTTGTCAAAATTTTTTCTGGCAGATCAAGAATGGCTCCTTAGTGGGCTATTCTTGGTCAATTAGTATACATTTTCCATGGAATCTTGATATTGTATGGTATTCTTCCTCAAGGCCTCCACCAAACTTGCCGTGCATTCTTTTGATTGGAGATGAAGATTCATAAGGACGGTTAGGAAATCTTTCAGTTGATCGCGGGTTTAAATATTTATCACGGTTGAATTGCTGTCTGACTGTTTTAGTGAATGAAGAACCAAAATTATCGTCAGCTTTGGCACCTGGGATGTACCCAGCATAGCCAGGAATTGCATAGGTTTTCGTCGTTATAGGAATTTTGGATGTCATGTCTTGTGAACTGGTTCTAAAGTGGTTATTTGATGTCCAGCACCTTAAATCAGTGGCGCTGATGTCAAGTGATTTTACTTGTGGAGATGAATGGCGAAAACTACTGCTAGCACTATTTAAGTTTCCCAACATTTTATTACGTTGAAGTAACTACGGAACTAAAGAAAAAAGAGCACTCACTTGGAAGCTAAAACGATATAATGATCAGTTATAGAAGTAATTTTCTTAATCATTATATTTCCTTTAAAATTATAATTCAATTAGATTCTAGTGAAATTTATTATGATTTATTAAGAATTATTTCTCGGATATTAATATTTTAAGCCTAAATTTTAAAGGATAATTTTGTGATTATACGCTTTAATTTCTAAAGCAGAGATCTGTGAAATATTGCTCGCAATTACAAAACAAATTTATTATCTTTTTAAAATTTTACCGTTTAACCATGCCAATAAGCTCTCCAACAATCCATAGATTGCACAGTGTAGAGGAGAATTGCATCCAATTTTTTTTTAGCATTGATTAATAGATAATTGATAAGAAATATTTATGATTACTTCTTAATATGCTTTGTCCTTGCTGCAGGTGTAGTGCCTTCCCTGAAACTATTCTTAGCTCTGCGAGGAATAGATTTGAGATATCTCATTCTTCCAGTACCTTCACCTCTTCTTCTGTGGGTTTTAAGTGCCCAGTTGTAATGTCTCATTTTAGCACTAGGATATCCACAAGATGCACATTCTAAAGTTTGCTTATGAAGAGCTCTTTTTCCACATCTTCTGCACACTGTGTGAGTATGTGAATTTCTCTTTCCTGCGCTAGGTGTGCCTTTAGTCTAAATAGCAATTTACCATTTGGCTAAATTATATGCAAAAGTATGGGACAGGAGAATTATCTTTGATGATATAAATATCAAGGCAGTTTGAGACAGATCTTTTTATGAATATAGTTAAAGAAATAAATTAAATTTTATGCTGGTGCTAAGCATAATAAAACTTGGATTAATTAAAAAAATAAATCTTTGAAAATATAGCTCTTATATAAATTTTAACAAATTTTATCTTTATTATGATGTAAATAACTGAGTCAGCTAAATGATGAAATCAATAATTTCAGCGATTAATAGCTCAATTTAAATAAGATGGAAAACACTTTGCAAACTGATATAGGACATTATTTGGCAAAATCAAAAAATCAAAGAAAGAAGCTTGCTGATATTGCAAAAAAATATATTCAAGGAAATCCTAAAGACAGTAAAAGGACCCCAAAATATTTTTCAGAAAGATGCAAAATGATTGTATTGCCGAGAAGTCCACAAAAATCTGATAAAGAATTATGATACTTAAGCTATTACTGCATACCTTAGGATTTTGAGAAAACATTTTGATTTGTAAAATTTAAGAATGCATAGCAAAAAATTCTTTTCATGCAAATTATCAAAGCAATTATTCCAAAAACTTATAAGAATAGACAAATCAAATTTTAGTCTAGATCATAGCAAATTTGAATTGCTTATTGATGAAGCAGCTGAAAATTTAACTTCAAAAAATAAAAGACCAAAAGCAAAATACTCCAAGAAATATAATTCGGTACAAAGAATAATGAGGCTAACTTATTTGAACGCATTTCCAAAATCACCAAAAAATCAATTGGAAATTTCTCCAATAAGCAGAGAATATAAAATAAAAATTCCTAATCCAATACTGAGTTCACGAAGATTAAGTCTGAATGGTTCATTTGATAGTAACTTATCTAAGAGTTTCAGTACCACACAAAAGTCTGCTCGATTCTCTCTTAGGATCAGCATGTAAATAATTATAAAGCAATTTTATTATGTTTCTATTAATTTATAGTTAAATTCCATTGAAAAGATGTGTCTCAAAGGAATATATATATATTTGCTAAAAACTTGATATTTTAATTTAATTAATAGTTATAAACTTCAATGCAATAATTTACAATTTAAAAAGAGCCGTTTATTGTAATTAATTCCATTTATAAATGGGTCGACTTTCTCACAAAAAACTTCTGAAAGCAGAAAAACATTTACTGGAACTTGCTGAAATCCCAACTGAAACGACCCGAATTTATCTCGACCATCAAGATAACTACTCAATATTCTGCCTTCAATGTGGGGATCCTGGAAAGCCACCCATGATTATGGTGCATGGTTACATGGGGAGTTCTGTGATGTTTTATCGAATCCTCAAAGGGCTATGCCAAGAATATCGGCTTTATTGTCTCGATTTATTAGGTATGGGAAGGTCAAGCCGTCCTTGCTTTATGATGGAAAACAGAGAAGAATGTGAGGATTTTTTTGTCTATCCTATCGAAGTCTGTAGAGATAGACTAGGAATCGAAAAATTCGTACTAGCAGGCCATTCATTTGGTGGCTATGTATCTGGATGCTATGCAGAAAAATACCCAAATCGTGTAGAAAAATTAGTTTTAATATCCCCAATTGGAATTCCAAGACACCCAATAGGCTGAACTTTTCAAGGATGAATGGAAAGCCAAAGCTGAAAAGACAGATTTGTGATGAGACTTGTGTGCTTATTTTGGGGTAAAAAGATGTCAGGAGCTACAATTTTGAGGAACGCTGGCCCATTTTCAGGGAAAATTATTGAAATGTACCTGGGAGGTAGAATTTCTGGAATTTCAGAAAAAGAAATGAATAGTGTTTATACATATCTTGAGCAGGTTAATTTGTACCCAGGAAGTGGAGAATATTCTCTTGATCAGATTTTAGACCAAGGGTTATATGCATTATCTCCACTTTGTGATAGATTAATAAATGTCCCAATTGTATATTTATATGGGGATAGAGACTGAATTCTTCCAGACGGCGCTGAACAAAATTCTAAATTTAATTCTTGTCCTATTATTACTGAAATAATTTCGAACTCAGGGCATCACATGTACCTTGATAATCCTCATGAGTTAGTAACTAAAATTTTAAGGAGCGTAAAAGAGCTGGATAACATGCATAAATTAAACCAAAAACAATTAGAAAATCAAGCAAACCCAATGCAATAACTGATAATCTTATTTGCTAGGCGAATTTATTGATATGAGGCTATATTAGTAAATAAATGGGTAGTTAGTTATAAATTGCTCTTAAGGCCGAATATAATAAATCAATTTTGTATTAATTAATAATATAATAAAATAAGAATTATAATTAAAGACCTTGACGAATCTTTCTTGAATGATCAATCATATGTTCAAGGTCTTCTTGCAAGTTATTCATCCATTCCCCATATTTTTTCGGCCCTCTACTTAAATCGTTTCTTTCCATTGGTGAACTTAAATCAATATCTTCGTCCTCTAAAATATCACTTTCATAAACATGCAAATTCGTCAGCTTTTTCATTGAACTTTGCTTTTCATTTCTCCATTTTTTGAAAATTTCGTTTTCTCGAAGCTCATTTCCAATTCCATTATACGCAAATTTTTCACTTTCCTCGCTTTCAGATTTTTCAATCCTTTTCTTTTTTTGTGGATTATTCGAAATGACCCTTTTTAGCTTATTTATTTCTTCTTCAAGTGTTTGGATTTTATCAGGGTTTTCAGTGGATAATTTTGCAATTATTTTATTTTTACTTTCGATTTCTCTTTTTAAGTCCTCAATTCTGTTTGCTGAATTTGCAATTGTATTACTTTGATCAATATAAATTGTTAACTTTTGTAATTCTTTTGAGTTTTCATAAATAAGAGCTTTGATTCTCTCTATTTCTTCATCTTTTATATGGATTTTTTTATTAATTCCATCAATATCATTTATTGTTTTAAGCATTTCTGTTTCGTATGATACAGGATACTCTTTTATTGGCACTGATCTTTCATCAATTATTTTTTTCTTTTTAATTGCAAATTCTGATTCAATTAGATTTTTTTCGCTTTCCAGCCTTATTGCGATTTCTCTATCTATAGCAGATTTTTCTTTTTCAAAAGATGCTTGATATTTTAGCTGGATATCGTCAATAATTCTTTTCTTTTCGTGTATATTTGAAAATTGATTAAATTCTGGAGTCTCATTTGCATTCTCTCTAATAGATTTTAAAGATGATATACTTATTTGAATGGCTTTAGTTAAAATTTTATTTATACTATAAAATTTGTATAATATATTTTACAGGAAATTAAAATAATCTTGAAGTTTGAAGGGACATCCTCATCAATATCACGCCAAAGCATTATAACTCTTTTTCATAATCTTGATAGATTATTCTTTTCTCATTGTCCACTTTTATTTTATATCTTTGCTCCATTTCTTGCACCTTAAAGCTTAAGTTTTCTTCCAATTTTTTGGTATTTTTGGTCGAATTCAGCCGATTAATTTCATTTTTCTTTTCTTCCCTCATTTTCTTCAATTTTTCCTCAAATTCAATTTCCAATTTTTTACCTTCTTTTATAAGATCTTCGTCATATTTTTTAATTAAAAAATCAGACTGCACCTTTGAACTTTCATAAGTTACTTTTTGATCTCAAAAGTCTTTTTCCAGTCTTTTTACTTCTAAATCATACGTTGCTTTCATTGAATTTATTTCAACTTGCGTTGTTTGGCTTTCTTCTCTTCTATACAGTTCTAATTCTGAATTGGCTTGATCTTCAAGTCTTTTTCTTTCATTTTCTATTAATTTTTTATTTTCCTCTAAATTCAAGGCTACTTTTTTAGGTGCAGAAGCCTCAAAGATTTCTAAATCTTCTAACTGTTTTTTCCAAGCTTCTCCTTTTTTTCTTAAATCTTTATCAAACTCTCCCCTGTATTCTGCCAATTCCACAACTTTCTGTTTTTGTAAATCAACAATAAAATCCTCCAATTCCTGCTGTCCTTTTTTCTTTACTTCATCCAGCTTCTTTTTCCATTCTTTTTCAAGCTGTGTTATCTCCAATAAAGGATCTGCTTTCTCTAAGCTTGTCCGTGGCTTCTCCTGCTTTGTATGAGTTTTCTTTTGGCTTTCTATCTGGTTGCTGTTATTGTTATTATGATTGGATTGCCGACTTTTTGATTTTTTTGTTTTTAGCTCTTGGAATAAATCTTTGTAATATTTGTCACAGGGATGGTCTCATACACTTTCTCCTGTTTGGAAGTTGAAAAAATAGATTTCACCTTCTTTATTTTGGCATGCTTTTCATGGCTCAGGGAGTGGGGCTTTTAAGCCTTCTTTGGCAATATACAAAAAATCTTTGTCTTCAGGTAATTTCATGCCAAGCCACTTGGCGTAATCAAGAATTTCTTCTTGGGTTGGCTCATAGGCTTCGTCGATTTCTTCGTCAAGTATTAAGCTGCCTGACATTTAATAAAAATTAATTTGTTTATCTACTTGCTTTTAATTGAATAATATTTTTAAAATATCATTAATATTTTCGCTATAGCTTAAATTGATTTTTGTTTTAGGTTTAAGTAGCAGGATTTATTTTGGCTGCACTATGATGTGTGAAAACTCAAATTATTCTTGATGTCTTCAAATGACCATTCCATTGCAGCTTATTCCGTATGAATTTTCCATTTAATAATATTCAAAAGAAATCGTTCAAAATTCCTACATTTTATTTAAATCTAAAAATAATTATTAATTTGAGGCTATAGAGCTATGAAATTATATCGCCATCACTGAACGTCAAATCCAATTTTCTTCAATTATGTAAACCTTAAAATTATAAATGGCTATTAGAATTCCTACAAGACCTTATCCGCAGTTTTCATTGAAGATTTCAAATTCGAATCCAAGCTTACTAGGAAAGCCTCAAGGGCTGAATTCCAAATCACCTGACGATAAAAATCCCAAATCCCCAATGATACTTCCGAGTTTAAGTTCTATCAACGCTAACTCTATCAGTAAAATAAGAAAAGTAAAAAAGTCACACACTTTGAAAATAGACAGATCTGCAAGCTCCTTGCATAATAGCCCGACCTTAAACGAAATAGTCCCGCACAAATCTCGGCCAAGCTTTAGCAGATCAACCCAGCTAAAATTGACTGCGGACCCTTTAGGCAGTTCTCCACTTTTTGATGACTTATATGAAGAAGAGGAAAAAGAAATTCCATCCCCTATTCTGCATAGTGACATTGTGGAAGAAGACTTGTCTAACTCAGTTTTTAACCCGCAGCCAGTTGATGCTGACATCTCACAAATGCCACATTGGCACAAAATTCCTGAAAATACTAAAAAAAATGATATAGTTGAACCTCTACAAATAAAAAAACCACAAGGTCTTAAGATCAGGGTGGTGAAAAATAACCAAAGTTTATGCTCTTCGAGATCTCAAGAAAATCTTTTAAGAGATGCAAGCTATTCAAGAATATCAGACATAAACAATACTGGGATGCAGCTAGGAGACACAAAAAGAGTTGAGACTAATTCGTCCTCAAATAAAAGTAAAATGAAAGATCATTTATACCAGACATTTCAAGCTATGGAATACTTGAATTTGCATCCAGCACTTGATATGGATCTTATTAGATGCAGAAAAATAAACTTAATTCTCTCTGCATTAAATGAGCAAATTTTGTTGCTCATCATGAAAGAGGTAATTTTTTAATAAATCTCACACAAAATTTTAAAAAAATTATTGAATTTATCTATATAATTTATGCTTTGGAACGTAAGCTGTCTAATTTAATTGACTTCTAGAGATTTCACTATAAAAGCCATTATTTATATATCAAAATATTTTATATAAAAACATTCTTATTCGCTCAAGGATTTGATTTTTAATGATTACCTACTGAGAAGTTACGAAGAAAACCTGGCTTTGAAACCAAGAAAACAGTAATCTTTGACTTGGATGAAACATTAGTTCATTGCGTGGATCATGAAATTGATGAATCCCCAGAAGCAATAATCCCAATAAAATTCCCAAATGGGATGGTAGCGAAAACCAAAATAAAAGTCAGACCTTATGCAATAGAATGCTTAAGAGCTGTGAGTAAAATATGTGAAGTGATAGTTTTCACTTCCTTTAACCAAGCTCATGCAGATGCCATTATTGATTTTTTAGACCCTAAAAAAGAATTTATCCATCACAGACTATACAGAGATAGCTGTGTAATAATTAATGGCTTAATTATTAAAGACCTCAGGATTCTTGATAACAGAAACTTAGAAGATATCATCATAATAGACAATTCAGTTTATAGCTTTATGTACCAGCTGGATAATGGCATCCCTATCATTACTTGGGCTAATAATGAAAATGACAAAGAGCTGCTGAACTTAGTCAATTATATTGCAAAGCTTGCAAAATCTGATGATATCAGAAAAATAAACAGAAAAACCTTTAAACTTCATAGGTTTTATATGGACTATCTCAATGAATTCACAAGAGACAACTCGATAAGACAACAAAAATTAATTAACTAAGTATAATATTAATTCGTTTTTTATAAGAAATTTCCAATAATTTAATTATCCATAGATTTACCGCTGAGTATTGCCATCATGGTCTTCGATTTCTTCAAGCTGCTCTATTTCTGCAATGATTTCATCCTTACATAAACAATGTTCAGGATTCAGCTCAGCTTCTCTTGCTAACTCTTCACATGTTCCTCCATATTTATCAGCACGAAACACATTAATAAGTTTTGCAAACAATCTTCGACCATTAAAAACTATTGGAAAGGGAGTATAATTTTCAGTTTCTCCTTCAGGAGTATTTAAATCATATTGTTCTGATATGATAATCCATGAATCAAAAAGCGCTTTTTCGCTTTCATTAACTTTTACAATTAATTTCATAATAATGTTTGAATTTTTCATAACGTTGTAAATAGTCAGCGTCACCTCTTTAAACGTCAGTTTTTTACATAAGTTTCCTTTATCATATCTCGAAGGTGTGTATACATTTTGATTTAATAAAGAAACTGTTTCTAAACCTATTTTATTAACTAAGTCTCCAAGCTCTTTTTCTGTGGAGTTTCTTCTAGAGTAATAAGGGTCATTTTTATTGTAAAAATAAGTAGGCATTTGGTCTAAAACATAAGCTGAGCAGTATCATGGAGGAATTTCGGCATCTTCGCATCTGCGATTGTCGTCGATTTTTTCTTTAAAAATATTCACAAAGCTAGACTTTTTTGGCTCTTCAGGAGCATTATAAGGATATCCTGCTAAATATAGGAGCGTTCTTCTTATATCAGGCTTAGTTACTAATCTTTCAGTGTTATGGCTTAATGTGTCATATGAATATTCTATTGTATCTAAAAATGACCTTTGAGAAATAAGGAAAAACGCAGGAAGTCTATGCTCTTGTATCGCATACGTATTTGATATAAAATCCCCATATCTCATTCCGTGGTCTCCCATTAAAAATATAACGATATTATTGTCCTTCCCAAAACTGTTGATATATTGTGATAAATACCAAACCATATCTTTGTCAAGTGTTTGCGCGTGCTGTCCTGTTTGCTCATGGGCTGCTGCATAGTGATTATATGCCCATTGGTTTCTGCCTGCATAAAGTCCACTAAATGTAAGTGTGTAATTCATGAGGTAATAGTGAGACATATGATGGCCAATACATCTTTGGTTGCTGCTGCCTCGTTTTTTCGTACTGTATCCTGAAAATCTTGTATTGGCACAAAAAAAAGATTCAGATACGTGATCAGCTTTAGGCATTCTTCCTATAACTCTGTGAAGCTTAAATGCGCATGGATCAAACCCTAAAAGAGTAACAAACCCACTTTTAATCATTTTATACCAAATTGCATCAGAACCAAATAAATCTCTATTTAAGTTAGTTCCAAACTGAAACCCGTTGAACTTTTCACCAAAAATTCTTGCTTGATTTTCAGCTGTATCAGTTCCTATAATATTGTGTATTTTAAAGTCAAAAATTTTTCATTCTTTACCTTTTTCTAAATCGTTCAAATATTGTATTGTTTTTGGCATTTTTCTAAAAAAATGCCTGCGTGAAAAACTATCAGCAGTAAGAACTAAAATAATTAAAGGTTTTTGAGTTTGGCTGCCTGTGGATTGTTTCATCTGCCTAGCGAAATGGCCTGAGCGCTTATATGAATAGAGCTTAAAACGAGGAATATGCTGGTGAAGTTCGAATTTATTGGATTTTCCGCAGGTTCCAATAACTCAATCAGTTTGATTGTCAAGTTTTGTTTCCCCTTCATAGTCTACAACTTTTCAATATTTTCGTAGCTCAACTGGATTAGTAAAAGTTACATTAAAAATTGGACCAGAAACAAATCTTCCTTTGCTTCCTTTAGGACAACTCATTGCCAACGAATTTGTCTGGTAGTTTATAGATAATCAACTTCCTGGTGTTTTATACGCTGATTTGGAGCAATCAGGATATTCATAATACGGAAAAAGAGAGTCGCCTATCTCTTTGGTGTATCCAAATATTCCAGGAATTGAAGCCACCTTTCCGACCAGATTATAAAGTTTTTCAGTTTCCTCTACATCAAGTATTTTTGTGTAATTATGCATTGAAAGGTAATCAGCATTTGAAATTTTATCTGGCTTGCTGATTAATAATTTTAATTGGGAAGCATCTGACTCAGAATCCAAATAAATTCGAGAATTTAGTGTTCATACAGAACATATAGCGACCATAATAACACACATGCAAGCACTGCTTGCAACTATAATTAGTCTCATAAAAGGGGCCATTATATTATGATTCTTTTTAGTTCTAAATGAGTATGACAAGTATCATGTGTAGTAAAATATTTATGCAAAATTTTTTCAGGCTTTTATATGAATTTTTTTAATCTTAATAGTTAAGCAATCTTATAATTTAATTTTTATTATTAATTCTGTAATTTATATATCAAAAGAGATTATCGTAATCAGCAAAGAGTAAGACAAGAACTTATTGGATTTTTTCAATAATTTATTATTAATTTTAATATATTTTCTAAATTAAAATCACATTTCTTCGAGGTTCCTACTTTGGATATAGTGAAATAGAAACGAATTTTTGAGAAATATAATAAGAGGAATAAAAGAAAAGACTCAGTGCATTTTTCTCATGTTTCTTGGTTTCTTAATTATAAAATAATGCTGTGTAATTCATCAGAAATTTAAGTTTCTTATTACTATTTTTTTTCAAATTTGTTATTTTCAGCGCAATATTTTAAACTATAAAATTGCGTATATTTAGGGTACTCATTTGTTAGAATTGCCTAAGATTTATTTAATTTAGATTTTTCATGAAATTCAGAATTATTGCATTAGCACATTTACTTGATCTGCATTTTTATAAGTAAACTTCAAATTATAAATAAAAATTAATGTGATGGAAATATAATTGATGGACATATAATAGATTCTTTTAGTGAATTCTTTTAAGTAAAACGTATCATTAAAAACAATTATAAATCTCTAAGGAAATATTTTATTTTTAGACTGATATTGTCCAAAAATGGAAGTCGATAGAGAATTCAAGATAGTCACACTTGGAGAGGGTCGAGTTGGGAAAACATCCCTTGCAATGCGCTATGTCAGAGGTCAGTTCAACGAAAAAGAACAATCCACAACAAATGCGAATTTTCTTGAAAAAAATATCCGGATAAATGAAACATCGATTAAACTCAACATCTGAGACACAGCAGGCCAAGAGCGCTTTCGTGCACTTGCCCCAAATTATTATCGTGAAGCTAAAGGTGCGCTTCTCGTTTATGACATAACTGACAAAGAGTCCTTTTGAAAAGTAGTGTCTTGGGTTGAAGAATTAAAAATGCAAGCCGATAAAGATATATCTTTCGTAATAGCAGGAAATAAATGCGATTTAGAGCTAGACAGACAAATTCCTAAAGAACAAGCTATTGCATATGCAAAACAAATTGGAGCCGCTCATTATAGCACTAGTGCTAAGAGCGGAATGGGTGTAAATGAGTGTTTTGAGGAAATTGCCAAACTAATATTGGATAAAGAGTCAAGAAGTGGCAGCCCAATAAGGTCCTCAAAGGCAAGGTCAAGAGTGATTGTTAAAAACCAAGAAGAAGTTGTCAAGAAGAAAAAAAGTGGTGGATGCTGCTAATAATTTAAAATTATTATTTGGTATTTCGCTAATAAAAATTTTTTATGTAGAAAATGAAGCTTTGAGATATAGGTAAGGTTATGAGTTTCTATCTTATGAGACTTATATTAATTCTGACCAATAATGCATGCAAAGTCAGATCAAGAAAACGTTTGGTTCTTAGATTAATTGTAGCATTAAGTATTTAATTCATTTGATTTGAGCATTCACATCACTGAGCAATTAAGAAAAACATCGGAATATTTATATAAACTCAATAAAAATTAATTAGATCCAGCACTTTAAATTGATGATTAAATATTGCTATTGATGAGTATACTGGTATAACAAAATATGACTGGAAAAATTAAATCCTATCTAAACTTCAGACGCAGGGTCTGCTATTATATTAGACTAAATGAATTAAATTAGGATTAAGCCTAGTCAACAGCAATTATTGGAATTTATAATAAATGGAAGAAAATAAAAAGAGGATTGATGATTTCAGTGAAATTCCATGTGAAGAAATTTACAGTGTTCCTCTTCAAAAGGGTAAGGCGTATTCATTATGTGCCTGCGGAAGGTCGAGAAAAAAGCCCTTTTGTGATGGATCGCATATAGGAACTAAAATTAAACCAGTTTTGTTCTTGCCAGAACACACCACGGAGTACACATTTTGTATATGTAAAGGGTCCTGCCAGCAGCCAAAAAATAGTGATTACACTCATTTGGATTGATAAAGAAAACAATAATTGAAGCTATTTAAATGCACGACTAAAGTAAATTTCTATTATAGTATGACATTACTAATATATCAATAAATTTTATCATGATCAAATCATTGCATCATTTCGATATCAAAATAGTAAATAAAGATTAAAATAATTTTTTTCAAAAATTTAATAAAAGAAATGAAGCCAAAGAAAAGACAAAATCAAGCAAATATCCCTCATCGCAATAAAATAGAAAAAGAGTTAAAAGTGCTTGACGAAAATCCTAATGAAATCAGAGTTTTAAAACAGAAGCCACAAGCAAAAGCTCATTTGAAAATTAAAACTGCAAAGCTAGAACCAAATCAAAATTATGTTCAATGTTCTACTTGCTTAAAATTATCTAAGCTGATAGCCGAATCCTCTTGTGAGCACTCACAATGTTCAAACTGCTTTCGTAAATACTTGATTTCTTTAAAACTATCAATTTTAGAAGAAAACATTCCCTGTTCAGTATGCAAATCTAAGCTTCCGATGCAATATATCTACAATATTTTAGGGAATAAGGAATCATTTGAAAAAATCCAAGCTGATGTTCTAAACCGAGAATATGCTCAATACGATGAACCTAGAGAAGTCCCTAAATTTCAATGCCTGATCTGTTTAGAAAACTTCAATATTGATCAGGGCATCACATTGTCATGTGATCACCGCTATTGCACCAATTGCATTAAAGGGCACATCGAAAGCCTGATAAATGAAGGAAAAGTTACAGAAGAAGACATGAAATGCCCCCAATGCCCTGCCCCAATAACCCCACAAGAAGTAGAAGGCAATGCCTCCAAAGACAACTTTAATCGATATTTAGAGTTTTCAATGCGAAAATTCAAACCCAAAGGTAAAAATTTATTTTTCAAGCAGTGCTTTAAATGTGACGCACCGATGGAAATTTCTGTAAATGTCAAAGAAATTATTTGCCCTGGATGTCATAGAGTTTACTGTCCCCAATGCAATAACAAGCATACAGGCATGACCTGTGAAGAATTTGAGAAATCAAAAGAAGATAAAAAGAAGCAGGAAGAAATCCCAAAGATAGAAGACATGGTTCGGTGTCCTAAATGCAGAAACGGAATATTAAAAGAGTCTGGGTGCAATTTTATGCTGTGCCGATATCCTGACTGCAGAAAAACATATTTCTGTTTTCTCTGTGGAAAACAACTACAAAAAAAACACCATTATTCTCATTATAAGAAAAGTGGACCTTTTGGAAACTCCTGCAACACCCAGGACCGAATAAAAGATGATTAAAATGCTTTAATACTAATGCTTATGATTATTATTAAATCAGCTGGAAAACATGCTTTCGTCTCCATCAGTTCTAAATACACTTAATGATAGATCATGATGGATTTCTTGTGCTGAATATCTTAAGTCAGGAACTTGTAAACTGTCACCTTTAGAGAATGGCTCATGAGCACAGTTATTGAAAGCTAGCTGAAAGGAGTTGCTTAAACCAAAAGGCCTTGAGTCTTCTACCATCTGAGAGCTTAAAAAAGGGATTGAGTTCGATTTCTCTTCGATTAAGTTCAGCATTGAGGTAGAGAGTAAGGAGTGATCTGAATGAGTGTTCATTGATTCTTGGATTTGGCTGGACACCGGCTTTCAGTAGTAATACAAATGCCATGATGCTGGGCTTTCTAAGCTCATATGGACGTCACCAATTGTAATTTTTTCCTGATTCTTGTTGTATTCTATGAATTTTCCTTCCCAAGGAGCCATTAAGCTGACCGTAAATTCTTGCTTTGGCGAATTTTCTATTATTTCAGGGTGCCACTTATTGTTCAAATGCTCAATAATTTCAGCAAGTAATTTGCTAGACCTCATATAAATCTCAAGCCTTGGAGTAAACCCACATCTTACAAGAGCTTTATGGTAATACGCATTTAGTGGAAGCAGCTGCACTCCAATGGTGTCTGATACCCCTCTAAATAATGCTTACATTGTCAATATACTCCCAGTCCTTCTTCTTTTGATCCTTCCACAAAAGTGGCAGATTATGTCGCCTTCAGTCTGTTTAAGCAAAAGAGGAATTCCTTTGGTATTTGCTGGCTGTCTTAGCTTTGATTTTATATAAATACCAAGTACTTGCATGCAGTTCTGAATAAAATTTACCGAAAATGCAGAGGGATTGTTTGATAGATCTTCAATTTCAGATTTTAATTGAGAATGGGAAAGGGCAATTGTCGTGAAGTTTAGCTCGTTTTTTTCGAAAAATTCAGGATTTGGAAGAGAGGTAAGAGGTATATTTAAGGAGTCAAGCAGTCTTTTCACAGAAACTAATCCTCGATAATAAAGGCTTTTTAATTTTTCTGATAATGATCTGTTGTATTTCTGAATATGATTTACTTTTTTAATTTGGCTAAAAAAGGTTTGCAAAGCCTTATGCTCTTGCTCTATTTCAAAAATTCGGTAAAATGCTTGTTTCTCTTTTTCGCTCCAATTTTTTCATATATCTACCATTATCAAAACTATAAATTAGAAGCAAAATTAAATCACTTGAATAATTATTTTATCTAAAATTTAATAAAATATTCTAATATAAATTATGAGTGAATGAAATTGGTCTCTATTGTATATGAACTCTCTTAACACAACAGATAACCAAAAATAGAGTAAGATTTAGCCCATTATAGAAGAAATTAGTGCTGCTATAGAGACTATCTGGTATAATAATAACAAAGAAACTCATGGGAGATTGAAGATAGAAACAGAGCGTCTATTTATTATTTTGGAGGGAAATAAACAATTTAATTAAAGAGAAAAGTAAAATTTGCAAAATATATCACAAGCTTTCTAGTTGAAATTTACTAGCTTCCAAAACTGAAGAAAGGAATGAAAAAGTTTCTATGATGGCTTTACAATTTTATGAAAGGAAAATGGAAATGAATTGGCAATCAGTTTGCTGCATAAATAATCCTCACTTTCTATAAGAAATTTTTCTGTAGGCTATTTTATCATAATCTATTATAAATTTCATCATAATAAATAAAAAATACCATTACATAACTTATATTTTGTACTTCTGTGTAGAAATAATTAATATGATAACTTATTTAACTCTCCCTCAATATAGCCAACAGAAAAACATAACAAAATTAATTATTTTTTTGTTTAAGTTTATATAAAATTTATAAAAATAAAAGGATAAGAAGATCCATTAATAGTTTATTTATGAACTTAAAATAAGCAACTGATTATTTTTGCGTCCATAATCCTCGCTTAGCTGGTATCTGGATAAAAAATTAGTTATCCTCATCCATTTTTAACTAATCGTAGGCCAAATACAAATTCAAACGTAATGCATAAAATGAATGACCAAAATAGCATGTTTATTGACCCAGTTCTTGCAACTCCAGAAAAGGGGAGCCAAAAAAATTGCAACTGCCGCAACTCACGCTGCTTGAAGCTGTATTGCGAATGTTTTTCCTCAGGTGAGTATTGTAAATCCTGTAATTGTGCTGATTGCTATAACAATCCACAAAATGAGCTTTACAGAACTAAAGCTATCCATAGCACTTTAGAAAGAAATCCAAATGCATTCCGGCCGAAAATTGGTTTAGGGATATCTATTGACGTATCCCATTCAAGGGGCTGCTCTTGTAGGAAATCGAACTGTTTAAAGAAATATTGCGAGTGTTTTCAAGGCGGAGTTGTATGCACTGGAAATTGCAAATGTAAAGAATGCAAAAATTTAGACTGTTATACTGATATGAAAATGCATAAAAAACAAAAAATTTATACACCTCCAGAAAGAACTCAAGAAGAAGCAAGAGAACTCAATGCGAAAATTCTAGAAGGTGCTGAAAAGTATAGGAATTTTATTGTGGAGTGTATACAAGATGTGGAAATCAAAATTGAGGGGCAAGACATGCTGATTTGTAGCGAAGAAGTTTTAGCTTGCGAAACTGAAGATTTAGATGAAGGCCTTACTCCTCAGTGAGCGAACAGAGGCATTGAGAAAAAAAATTGGGCAAAAGCCAATCCTATGTGAGCCATGAAAAAATTTTTATGAAATAATAGTTGATATATAACTCATAGTTAGTATAATGAATTCTTTAGCTAATTCTGCTTAATTTTAAAAAGTTTACATTTTAAAAACATAGATTTTACAAAATTAAATTAACTTTTGCTTTCCAATTTTTGCGAATTGGGGTTTTTAAATTCGAAAAAAATAGCATACCTATTTCCCTCTTTTAGATTCCCATATGCAACTTTTTCTTTTTCCAGCTCAATTTTGACTTTGTCAACCATTTTTGCCTTGCCAATTATTTTTGGCATTTCTGCGAGAAGAGCTTCAATTACCCAAACACACGCTAGCCATGGCAAAAAAGCGCAATTGTTAACTTCTGCTCTAAAAAAGCCAAAATCATCAGCGCTTAAAATCAAGCCCAATTTCTCGGGCTATATAAATTTATATTAAATTTTTAAAATCAACTCCTCTGTGCACGAACAAAAGGTTTGTTCACTCACAGAGGGGTGGAGTTAGTAAGAAAAAGAACTTCACTTATTCGTCAGCTTATGAAGCCAAAGAAACAGCAATTTATGAGAAATTACTAAAATTTTTAACAGTAACTCAAGATGACTCATCATCTTATCATTCTATGGATAACCAGAAACTTGAATGTTAAAGGACTTAATTATAATTGCATTGCAGATAATAATTAACATATAGTCATTTAGACAATATTTTGTATATATCTCGGCAATAAATAAAATGGCATCTATCAGAGAGAAATCAGTTTTGCTAATTTTCTTTCCTAGTGGAATTTTTATTTATGGAGTTTGATTTTACTTTGAGAACTTCTGCACAGCAATAGCGATATATCTTCTAGTCTCATAGGTCTAGGAGATTTGATCAAATGCTGAAGGTTTTCCACTCAGCACACCCAAGGAAGATAACCCTTATGCGGAATACGTAAAGGAGAGAGTCAAGTAAGGGCGAGGCAAGCAGCAATTGATTCGACTGATGGTGGCATTTACTTAGGTATAGACCATTTTTGGCGTCGGAACCCGATACCATACTAATTGAGCCCAAAAGGTTATTTTTAGTCCTCTGGCGGTTTGACTTTAAATATGTTAATTAGCAATGCAACTATGCAATTTATATATCTCTCAGTAAATTAATAAAACCCTATTGATCAGATATGATGCTTAGAAATTGGTAATCGACATTTTCTATGCTTAAGGAAAATCTAAAATTTTAAATAGGATTTTGGCTTCTTTTAAAAAAAGTTTTGTGCCAATAATATTATTGGTTAAAATTGAAAATAAATCATATTTGAAAAATAATGTTTGCTATAAGTAATTGATAATAAAATCTATAAATAATCCCTTATAATAATAGCTTATTATTAAATGTCTGAAGAGCCGGAAGAAGTCCAAGGTATAGAAGACCTCGCTATAGACACTCCTGAAATTTCGCCACTTGAAGAAAACGTCCCAACCATCGGCAGATCTTTAGGAAGCACTTTTACCTACTATAAAATTGAAATCACAGATACTTCCAAAATGCTAACAATCCTGTATTTTTTACTTATTCTCCCTCTGTAGGCAAGAAAAAAACCATTGGAGAAATCCCGATTTTTGGGGAAAAAAGTGAAAGAGCAAAAATTTTAATATAATTATTTTTAAAATGTTTAATATATAAATTGTAATTATTATGACGAAATCTCTATCTAATTCTGTTAAATTTTGAAAACGTCCATAAATTTTATAAATAAATTAATTTTTACTATTTTTTTAAATTCTAAAAATTTACTACATATTAGATAGTTTAGCGTTAAGCCTTCTTGGGCAGGTAGCATTCTTTTATTCCGGAGAAGCTGACTTGTGGCAGAAGCGAATTTAGCGGCTACCCCTGGCAATATATATAAATTTAAAAAAAATATTAATCCTATCCAAGCAAAAGCTTTTTGCTCATTCACGGAAGGGAAGCTAGTGCTGAGCCTTGCAATGAAGAAAGTGACCCCGACATATATGTCTCCTATGGCAACCCTGTCGTGAGTCAAAGTATTTTATAATCAGGCACCTATAATTGGAAGTCTACGAATATTGGCCCTGACAAACTTCAAATCCACCCAGATGATCCAGAATATCGAGAAGGAACCTATTATGTAGGAATTCTATCTTACAAGCCAGGGTTAAATACGTTTCAGGTCACTTATTCTCTTTCAGAGACCCCACAGTCTGCAGAGCTAGAAGAGACATACAGTGGGCTCATTACTGATTGCAAATATTTTAAATTCAGGATCGAAAATCCAGGAGAATCCCGGATAGAAATAAGATTGCGCCCTGGGAAAGGAAAGCTTGCTATGTTTGTTTCTAAAGAGTTATATTATCCTTCAATAGAAGAGCACCAGTGAAGCTTAGGTTTTTATGAAAGTTTAGGACTAATCGACGATGATTATATGCTCTCATCAGAAACTTATATAGACCCTGACCCCTATGATGTGTATTTAAAAAGAAATTTTAGCAGAAAACCCACTTCTAGAGAACTGGACAGGCTGGCTACGCTTCCGAAAAGTGAGACAGAAGAAGAGATAGGAGAAGAACTTAGGTTTTGTATTGACACTGACGAATGGAAATACTCGAACCAAATGTGCTTTGTGGGAATTAAAAATCTTACACAAGAGCCTATTGATTTTACAATAGAAAGAAGAGAAGTTCTAGAAAGTATCCTCGTTTTTATTATTCTTTCAATATTATCCATAGCATTATTAAAGCATTACCTTTTTTAATAATTTACTATAAATAGGAATAGTCTAATTTCAGACGAACTATCAGAAAGATTCAAACTCTTCAACTCAATTTTTGAAAACGTAGAGGGTAGCTCCATTTCTCAAATGGAAAGAAAAAGACTGAACGTTGGCAGCAAAAGCGAGTTCACTTATGGAGAAATTGACTTTGTTCATATGGCGCCTGTTTTTAAGTTATGTGATCCTCAGCCTGGAGAAGTCTTTTGGGACCTTGGGTGTGGGGCTGGAAAATGCATGATAGCTGCTGCTCTGGCTTTCCCTGAGCTTAAAAAGTGCTGTGGAGTCGAACTATTGCCTGGCCTTTACGAGTCTTGCAAGGCTACCTGTGATAACATTAAAACAGATCTGTCAATAGCCCCATTAGAAGTAATCCAAGGGAATATGCTAGAAGTAGACTGGTCAGACGCTGATATTATCTTTACCTCAAGCATATGCTTTCCTCAAGAACTGATTGATGGGATGCTAGAAAAAGCTCATTCATTGAAAAAAGGCGCACGGTTTATTACGCTGAAGACTTTCCCGCAAAATGATATTTTTGAAGTGAAATATAACTTGAGAGTGAAAATGACATGGGGAAAGACAGGAGTTTATATCTTAGTTAGGAATTAAACTAATGAATATTAAGAATTTCCCAAATATCATTACATGAAGGATTATATAATGAGGAAAAAGATGACGAAGCATAGGGAAAAAATCAGAGGATAGAGCTTTTCAAAATTTTAAGTATGGTTATAATAATTTTTGGGTTAATCTGCCTCAAATTTCTTTTATAATTATTTACTAATTGCAGTAAGTATAATTCAACTTCAAAATGGATTCAAAACCCCCACGAAATGTTTCTGAAAACCTCTCCACAAGACTTCCAATGCTTCGAGGTACCAGAAATTCTTCTATTAAATCTATCTTACAAGAAAAAAGTTCTCGCTGCCAAATTCGGCTACAAAAAGATGACATGATGATTAAAGAAAACACCTCTGCAGAGGACGCCAAATCTGATATGCTCCCAGCTGTTCATTTAGAAATGAAAGGAAAGTATCTCATTTTCCGCCCCATTTATGTAGCAGAAAGACCTCCTGCTCCGCCAAATATGGGTTACAATTTCAAATTCTTAGGAAATGAAGTAAAAATTATTCGGTGAATTTGTGAGGATAATGGGATGAGGGAGTCAAAAAAGGAATGGATACTGGGATGAAGCAATGGTAGCTTGAGAAGCAATATTTATCAAAATTTGAGCCGCTGACAAAAAGTTAACCATTTTCCAAGGACAATTGAAATAACCAAGAAAGACTGTCTTTTTAAAAATATATCACGAATGCAATCAATTCATGGCAAAAAAGCTTATTCATTTGTCCCAAACACCTATGTTTTGCCTCAAGACTCTCAAGAGCTTTCAAATGAAATGGATAAAGATAGAGGCAAGATTTGGATAGTAAAACCAGCTGGCAGTTCCCAAGGGCGTGGGATTTTTCTAACTAATAAAATTTCTGACATTCCTCCTGCGACCCCAATGGTAGCTTCTGAGTATATTTCAAACCCCTTGCTTATAAACGGCTTGAAATTTGACCTAAGAATTTATATCGCAGTATCCTCAATAGACCCTCTTAGGCTTTATATATATAAAGAAGGGCTCGTTAGATTTGCTACAGAGCCTTACAACTTAGATGACCCTGCAAACCGGTTTGGTCACCTGACGAACTACTCCTTAAACAAATATGCCCCAAATTTCCAAGACCTCGACCAAGACGGCAAAGGGTATAAATGGACTCTATCTGCTTTAAAAGAATTTTTTGCAGGAAAAGATATTAATTTTAATATCATTTGGGAAGGTATAAAAGACATTGCCGCAAAAACTCTGATTTCAATAGAAACCACTATGAACGCAGGCATGAACATGTTTGTTCCTTACAGTACAAACTGTTTTGAGCTTTTAGGTTTTGACATTTTAATTGACGACCAGCTGCGTCCATGGCTTTTAGAAGTAAACTTGTCTCCTTCAATGAACACTGATACATCAATAGACCTCAAGGTAAAATCCAAATTAATCACTGACTTATTCAATCTTGTAGGTATCCCATCCAGAAGAATGCAAGAAAAAAGAGTAAGCTCTGGCAGCACTTTGAGACCTGCATGAAACTCATTTACATCTAACTCAAACTCAGACCTATCGAGCCAAGAACTTAGAGTAATGCAAGAAACAGAAAGAGAGCTTGGCAGGATGGGAAATTTCGAGTGTATTTTTCCATCAGAAAACATGCATAATTATAAGCAGTTCTTTGATGTAGAAAGGCCATTTAATTCTTTGCTCATGGCTCAGTTTGCGAATGGGAGCAAAAAGGAAATATATAAAAATCAACTGTATGCATATGAAGCAAAAATTGAAAAGAAAAGAAAAGAAACTAGCCTGAGCAGAAGGGAAAGAGTAGTTAATAATGATATTCCTGCACACCCAGACCTTATTTCAATGCTATTAAAACGACACTCTAATGGGAATTTTTAATTATTGTCATAATCTTGTTTAAAAATTGGTTATTAATAATTACAATGGAAAGTGAAAACGAAATTGATCAGTTTGGAAGACCATATCCAGCTAAACAAGGAGGCTACCATATAGCCCAATTCTCCTTTTGGCTAGAGCTATGCAAATGTCTTCCAATGCTAACTGAGAAGTCGGAAAACTAACTCCCTGGTGGTAAATCTCTGTATCAAGTGGATTTGTCATATGGAGAGATTGGTTTAACTAACAAATATTGGTTTCCCAGCTCTCTGATTAGTCAGAGATATCGACATAGCTCAAGCCAAAAGGAGACTTGGACTATATTCCTCAGCTGGCAGCTGATTCAGTAGTTATAAGGTTAAATCCAGGAGGTTTTCATGAAGTTTTACTTGTAACACGTGGTCATTTTCCTTATGTAGGGAAATTAGCTTTCCCAGGAGGACGAATCAATTATAATGAAGATCCCAAAGTTGGCTGCTTAAGAGAATTGAAAGAAGAATGTGGAATTGAAGGAAAGATTTTAGATCTTCTGACCGTTCAAGGAGATCCTCAGAGAGATCCAAGAGGACATGTTATAAGTGTTTTTTATTTGGTAGAAGTAGATGCCAACGCTCAGATAGTTGCTGGAGATGATGCAACTCAAGCAAGATTTTATGCCTTGGGCCCAATGTTGGAAAGTCCAAACTTACTTGCATTTGATCATCATAAGATTTTACAGATTGCTGCTAGCCGCTTGCCAGGCCGATATCTTAACTTAACTTAAATTTACAGGCGTCCGCCGTAGTGTTGACGCAGTCACCAAGGACCCATTATTAGGGTTCACCTGCTTTGCGGTATAGTCCAAACTGATCATATAAATCAGTCACCAGGACATACACCTACTCCTTCCCACGCGCGTGAGCCGTGGCTTAGTGTTGAGTGGGCGGGCTATGGGCTTCTGCGGCTGCTGCTTGGGTTACGAGAGTTGGCTCTCTAGAAATTCCAAAAAATGGAATTTCTGGTCACCTTTCGGCAAAAAGGAAATCTTCAAGTCCTGGGACGTAACGCCCAGTTTCACGCTAGGTAGTTGCCCGAATGGTCTAGGCATTGCCTGTAGACTCTGCTGGGCTTACCCTTTCCAAACCTGAGGCACCTTTTCCCTCGGGGGAAAATCCATCCTGGTGGTTGAGCATGGGCCAGGCTCTGCACTGCAGAATTGCTTACCATGGCATTGTTGCTCATTTCCGGAATGGCAAAACCTTGCCGGATATAATTAAAATATGAGTCGAGTGTGTGTGGCCGGAGGCACACCTAAACGAAGACGCCATATTTTAATTATGCCAGGCCGATATCAAGTTTAACCAATTTAAACTAAGCTTTTTTAAAATTATGCCAGCTATAATATATGACATATTGTGTTATCTAAATTTTATTATATACTAAATAACGAATAAAAATAATTAAATAAGAATAAGCTGCTGTATCCAAATTAATTTTAAATCTTAACTAGAAATATCAGTATATTCCTTCTCCTCCAATAACCCTTATTATTTCTGATTTAAAATTATTAAATGCAAACACTCACCATCAGCCCTGTTGGGATGCAGATCGAAGCTTTCAATCTTGACTGCGATCTTACTCTCTTAGGAGAAAAATTGTATTCGTTAATTACAGAATTAACCGGAGAGTCTTCATTTAAACTTATGTTTAGAGGCAGAATCATATCTAAAGATAAATATTTGGCAGAGCAAGGGCTTAAAAGTGGAGCAAAAGTTCTTTTGGTGAAGGAAAAAGAAGAAAAGAAAAGAGAAGAACAGCCAGCAGTGATGGAAAGCACTCCGCTGGATATTCTGGTAAGCATGGGATATCCATATGATATTGCGACAAGAGCATTAGCTAATGTTGGGAGCGGATATGGAGCTGTGCAGAAAGCAATAGACTATATTGAGAGAAATAAGAAAATATGCTAATTAGCTTAGGCTGCCAATAAAATTGCTTGAAATATAATTAATAGGCAATTTAAAGGAAAATACTATGTTTGAAATTGAAGAAAAATATATTCCATTTTTGGAGCCCTAGAGAGTATTATCATAAGTTATATTTGTAAGAGAATAAATTTCCGATTCACCGCAAATGAATATATTTATTATCAGGAGAAACCTACTGAAAATAAGCCAGTTGAAAAGCAAAATCCGCCACCCCCTATCATGAAGCATCAGAAATCTGAAGAATACCCTGAAGTGCATATAGAGACAAATGAAGAGCAAATATCGACTGTGTTTTGTTGGGGAAATGGAGGAACTGGTCAGCTAGGACTTGGAGAAATCCAGCTTTCACATTCCCCTCACAATGTAAGAGCTCTAGCCGGTATCAAAATGGCATCCATTTCATGTGGAGCTCATCATACTGTCGGTCTCAGTTCATATGGGAATATATATACTTGGGGAAGGTATTTGTACCCTACAAATGAAGAAAACCAAGTAAAGTACGGAAATAAGACAATTCCAAGCTTGCTGGATCCTGTCAAGCATATCAAGTTTTCTAAGGTTTCTGCAGGAAGTGGACATACACTTGCCTTAGACAATTTAGGACAAGTATGAAGCTGGGGTGATGGAATGCAAGGACAGCTTGGCCACGGAGAAAAAAGAAATGAATTTTACCCTAAAATCATAGAAGAACTTCAGCTACTCAAAGTTATTGATATAGCCGCCGGTGGGCAGCATTCAGCTTGCATCAAAGATACCGGAGAAGTCTGCATTTGGGGCCGAAACAATGCTGGACAGCTCGGAACTCGAGATTTAGCTGACCGTCTTTCTCCAACAATCGTGATTTTACCAGAAAACCACAAAATCAAAGAAGTCTTTTGTGGGACTTGGCATACAGTTGCAGTCTCAGACGCCATTCCAAGAATAATGAAATGGGGAAGTGGAAACCCTCTGCCTACCAGAGTCCCTATGTTTGATGACCACAATAATTCTCCAAGAATTGTATCTTGTGGAGGAGAATTTACTTATGTGCTAACATCATTTGGGGAACTGTTTTATATACCAGAGCCAAATAGAGATAACGCCAACCCAAACATCATTAAAGAAAGCTTTACAGGGATCATCAATATTGGCTGCGGAGGAACTTTTAGCTTGATTTTATTACAAAATGGGAATATTTTGGCAAAAGGAGAAAATAAACAAGGACAGCTAGGTGTTGGTGATTTTACTAATAGAAATGAATGGACTTCAGTTAAAGGGCTGACTGGAATTCATGTAGAATCTATTAGTTGTGGCAGCACTCATTGTGGAGCTGTTGTAAGGTTTGAAAATTTAGCGTATGACTTGTTGAGCGCTTCTACTTCAGAATCCTGAAGTGATTTGAATATATGGTCTCGAGATGATAAAATTATTAGAGCTCACAAAACTTTGATAGAGTCCCATATTCCTTTTAATACTTTAGGCTTTGAAGTTGACTATACAAGTGAGTATAGAAGTCAGCTAAACTATAATGAGCTAAAAATCCTATATGCATTAAAATGGCGTGGTAAACTAATCCACCTCGTAACACTTGTAGCTGACAACCCACAGGGGGTGTGCAGGGAGTTTGAGGAAAGGGGGATGGCGTTCGGAATGTGTATTTGGCTGGGTTTTTCTTGGTTTGGTGAAGAGCAATGTCGAATTGTCCGACTGCATGCTTTAATCCAATGCCAAGATTTTTCCTCAATGGGAAATGGGTCCGAAAATGGAAAGGGGCCTCCCAGAGAGCCAATAGTGTTCTTCTTGGCGAGTTGGGACTGCTCCCCAGGGTGAAACCAGGAGTTACGCCTTGGGCTACGGATTTCCATTTTAGCTGAGAGTTCAACTCTTTTGAATTTTTAATGGTTGAAACCTTGCTCAGCGACGAGATTCACCCAACTAATTGTTAGTGGTTGCGAGTCTTCATCTGTAGGAGCATCCTTCGCGATCGTGGAACACAAACTAATGAGCAGGCAGGGGAGCGTTTGAAATGGAGATAGTCCCTGTAGACTTTTCGATAAGTCTTAATAGCATAGCATGATTTAAAAATCCTGATAGAATGGCTATACAGTGGAATCATCAACTCAAAACAAAATATTTCCATTGAAGAAATGCAAGAATTAATAAATTATTGCAATCAAAGGAATTTGACAGGGCTCAGAGATTTGCTGCTAGAAAGGGTAAGCGAAGAAGAATTAAAAAGCGAACATGATAGAGAATTCCCAGAATACAAAGCAAGGGAGACAATTTTTAGATATAAGCAAGAAGAGCTCAAGAAAATAAACCAAGAAGAAAGCAAAGCAGTGGCTCAAATGGACATAGATCAGTTTGGAGACCCTCAACTTGATGCACACGAAGAAGGAAGCGACATGGAAATCGATGAAATGCAGCCAGAAGTACAACAGGTGTCAGCAGAAGAAAGGAGAAGGGCAATGATCGAAGCAATTGAGAAAAGGCAAAGAGAAGAACTCGAAAACCCTCCAGTTCAAGAGCTCCCTATTATTGCTCCTCAACCCCCAGTAGTTCCTGAAGAAATCCCAGAGATTATCCCTCCAAACCCAAGAGAAGCTGAAGAAAAAAGACGAAAAATGCTAGAAGCATTAGAAAAGCGTTCTAAAGGCAATTAATGAAATTAAATTAGACATAATAAATTCCCCATTTTTTGTGCTTTCCAGAAATTTGTTTAGTTTTTTGAAAAATATAATCAGCATTCTTTCCTAAGAAAATTAATCCGATTGTTCCTTACTTAATTTAAATTTCTTTAAAAAATATTTTTATCAGTTCTTTTATTGCTTCTAGATAATTAATTCATTTTATCCTCCAAATTATAATTCTCTACTATGCCATTTGTTGAATATTTAACGCATTTATAATGATCGATATATAGACAGCATATTCCATGATATATATAAATGATGATGTGGATTTTTTGTCTTGTATCTTTTTCGTCAGCGTTTTATCTGCCAGGAGTAGCACCAAAAGACTACAAGCAAGATGAAAACATTGACCTTTATTTTGACAAGCTTGACTCTGCAACGACAGAACTTCCATTTGACACATATTACTTAAATTTCTGCAGGCCCGAACATGTTAAACTAAAGGATGAAAATTTAGGCCAGACCCTGAGCGGGGATAAAATAGAAACTTCACCTTACGAGATCAAAATGAACAAAGAAATTCAATGCAAACCCCTCTGTACAATGGAAAACAAAAACCAGCACTTGAAAAGGTTCGAATGGATGATAGAAAACCAATACAAAGCATCTTGGGTTATGGATAACTTGCCGTCAGGCTTGAGACAAACCATAGTCAACGGAAATGAAGGCACAAAAGTTTCCTATTACCAAGATGGGTTTCCGATCGGCTATAAAGAAGGCAAGAATTATTTCATTTATAATCACCATCACATTGTAATTCAGGTATATCCGACTCTAAGCGGAGAAGTGGACACGTGGAGAATTGTGGGTTTTTTAGTGGAGCCTATCAGTATGGATAATGGGAATCATACATTGGGCTGCAACTCAAAAGCCTTTCTTGAGCTAGAATTTGCAAATTTAACTTGGGCTGAAGCTATATTAAAGCCGCAAGAAAAAATTGAATCAACTCATATGAATAAAATATATGGTGTTAACCCACAACATTTAGAAAGAAACATCACTTATACCTACAGTGTAATTTTCGAAATAAGCAATGTGAAATGGGCTTCAAGATGGGACCATTATTTATATAGAAGTGGAGAAAGTGCTGAAGTGCATTGGCTGTCAATCATCAATTCTTTCGCAATGGTTCTTTTCTTATCTGGAATGGTCGCACATATTTTAGGAAGAACAGTAAGAAGAGACATAAACACTTATAATGAAAGTGTTGATCTAGACGAAGAAAGCGAAACAGGCTGGAAACAAATAAGAGGAGACGTGTTTAGGCCACCTGTTTATGCTGGCATTTTCTCAGTCATAATTGGATCTGGGGTACAAGTTATTGGAATGGCGGTTCTCTCCTTATTTTTTGCAAGTATTGGATTTTTGTCTCCAGCACACAGAGGAGGATTGATCACGACTGCCCTGATTTTTTATGTATTTATGGGAGTCTTTTCTGGGTATACTTCTGCAAGGCTTTACAAGTTCTTTGGAGGGGATTACTGGAAGCGGAATGCTCTAGCTACAGCATTTTTATTCCCAGGGCTCTGCTTCTTTGTGTTCTTTATCATAAACTCTTGCCTTTGGGGTGCAGGCTCTTCAGGCTCTGTGCCTTTTAGCTCATTAGTAGAGCTCTTGCTGCTATGGTTCGGCATATCAGTCCCTCTCGTATTTTTCGGCAACTCCCTTGGCTATAGAAAGCCTACCATTGAAGTCCCTTGCAAAATCAACAAAATCCCAAAGCCTCTCGAAATGATGCCAGGGACCTCCAAAATCAAAGCAATATGCCTGATGGCTGGGTCCTTGCCTTTTGGCTGCATGTTTATAGAGCTCGACTATGTGATGAAAAGCTTATGGCACCACACATTATTTTACTATCTTTTCGGGTTCTTGTTTTTATGCTTTATTGTGCTAGTGATAACTTCAGCTGAGGTCTCAATACTGATGGTTTATATTTCTTTATGTAGAGAAGACTATCGATGGTGGTGACTGTCTTTCAGTGTGGCTGGGAGTTCAGGGATTTATATGTTTGGATATGCAGTCGTGTATTATCTTACACAGCTGAGCATTGATATGTTCTCCTCAACTGTTCTTTACTTTGGGTACATGCTCCTGTGTAGCGTGGCGTATTCGTTGGTTACTGGGACGATTGGGTTCTTTGCTACTTTTATTTTCACAAGGACGATTTATTCATTGATTAAAGCAGAGTAATAGATAATAAAAGGAAAAATTATTAGTACTTATAAATTATTGTGTGAGTAATTTGACAATATTTCTGCCCCTTTTCGCTATACTTCAAATTTCTTTGAGATTATATTTTATTAATAACAGCAAAAATCCAGAGCAGCATATGTTGAATTAGGCTGATAATATTTACTTCTAATATAATATAAGTGTTCTGTTTTTAATAAAGAATTCTAACCAATTTTGCATCAAACATTAAGCTTAATTGTATAATACTTGTTTATTAGTCAATTAAATCTCTTTCGATTAATAACCCAATTCCCAGTAAAAATAACTCATATATCAGGCTATATTTAAACAGGTTTTAAAAAGAAATGGTAAATATTAGATGAGCGAAGAAGAATCAATTTTAAGCGTAGAGGTGTTTTTCTGCCTTATACTCGTGACTCTATTTATGCACCTTACAGTATATTTGAACATATGAAAAGTAGCCGCTATTTAGGTTCGATATATCCATGAATCAGGAATCATAATCATTATTGGAATCATCATAGGAATAATATTATATTTCGTATTCTTTATATAGGCCTGGGAAGAACCTGCCAAGTTTGATGCTTCAATCTTTTTCAATTTTATGCTTCCCTTCATCATCCTCTCCTACGGCTTCAACCTCAAAAGACGAAGAATTTTCAGAAACATCTCACAAATCATCCTCTACGGCGTCATAGGAACAATCCTCAACTTTGTGCTCATCTCATGATTCTCTAATCTTCTCAGCAACTGGGGAGCAATGTATACAGATGGAGGCAAAACTGAGTACATCTCCTTCGAAGAAAGCTTATATTTAGGCGCTGTCTTGTCTGCATCTGATGCAATTTGCGTGCTAAGTCTAGTCCAAGAGAACAAAACCCCACAGTTGCACTCTTTAGTCTTCGGTGAGCATATAGTGAACGATGCTATTGCCATTTTGCTTGTGAGATCAGTAAAAGAAGCTGGTTTCCAGACTTGGACTGCAGGGAACTTTTTCTCCTTTGTAGGGATCTTTTGCATAGAAACTTTCCTTGGGGTGATTTTTGGGATTGCTTTTGGAATTTTCTGCTCATTTGCTACTAGGTACTTGTGGGAGCTGAGGGAGGAAGAAAGTAAGCAGCTAGCGCTTATGTTTTATATTGCCTGGCTTGGATATGTAATCGCTGAAATGTGCCAAGTATCTGGTGTCATTACAATTTTGATCTGCGGGATCTTTTCTAACCATTATGCCTGGTACAACTTGACATCCCATGCAAGAATTGTTGTATCTAATAGCTTTAAATTTTTCGGGGACGGGGCGACTGCTACAGTTTTCGCTTATTTAGGCCTTACTTCAGTTACCTATACGAACCAAGATATTTCTTATTCTTATATCCTTTGTATGGTTTTTTCACTGATGTTTGCTAGATTTATCACGACGTTTGGGCTCAGCTACTTCGCACGCCGACACACAAAGAATTTTTCGCTTAATAACCGTTCGTTATCACTCTTTTGGATAGGAGGTGCCATTAGAGGAGCGATTGCGTTTGCCTTGATTTTGACTGTAGGCAAAGATGAGACTGGAAGCGAAGATGATAAAAACATTTTACATGTAACAGTGCTAGGGATTGTTATTGTGACTACACTGGTAATTGGGAGCATTCTGCCGATCTGGGTGAAGATCATTAAGCCTGAAGAAGAAACATCTAAGGTGGTAGATGAAGATGATGTCAGGAGAACTTTGCTGGCAGTTAAAAGGGATAACTTTGTCGTTACACAAGAGGATTTAGCGAAGCCAAAGTCTTGGCTGCATAGGAAATGGGTAGAAATTGATGACAAGCACTTAAAACCAAGACTTATTCATCCACATGCTTTGGAAGAGCAACTTAAAGCTCAACAAAAATTGGAAGAAAAATTAAAAGAAGAAAATGCAGATGTCTATCAAATAGCGAGAGAAATTGCAGAAGAAGGGAAAGAAGAAGAAAAAACAGATCTATTAGGAGACCTAAGAAAAAGTGATGATAGATAAATAAGAGTTTTAGAGTAACTTTATAATTTCATAAATGAAATTTTTAATTTTCCATATCATTGCCACTGTATGGGCAGCGACTTTGAACCCTGTCTCAATTAGTGCAACATCACTGGATATCAGAACTTCTACTAGCTACTACATCAACATAAATGCTATAACTACAATACCATCAGGTGGCTATATTAAAATTGTGTTTCCATCTCTTATATACATTAAAATAGCGATGGCGAACCAGCCCTTTTTCTCAACACATGTAGACGCAAGCCTGAAAGGTAGCGGGGACCTTGTGGAAGGGACATAGATGCTCGAGGTGTATATCAGGCTTGTTTTTTACTTGGCGTAGTCGAGCGCAACGTCGGAATAGCCGACCGCAGTTCATTCTGGTACCAGGTTTTTTGCCTAAGGAGTTCTGGGATTCAAGGTTGGAAAGAGAAAGCTCGGCAAAGCCAAGCACTCCATCTCTCTATACTACTTTGGCTAGTGGAAGTGCTACATGCTCAATAACTGGCTTGCAAACGGGCTGCACCTCAACATGTACTTTTAATGGAAATAATTTAAAAATTGAAAACTGCTTTCCCCAAACTGGTTATGTGTATATTACTTTGCAAAACATTAATAACCCAGAATATGCTGCAACATCATCTTCTTTTCAGATATTTACTTATGATACCTCAGGAAATTCTTTAGATGATGTGACAACAGGCTTTCAAATAACCTTCAGCAATGGAGTAATGAAGAGTGCAAGCTTAGTTACTGGAACTCAAGTAACAGGAGACTATTCGACATGGACTGTGAATTTCGTCACAAATTATCAAATTGCAAATAAAGAATATATTAGCGTTACTTTCCCATCTTGAAGCAGTGGAATTGGAATTTCGACAACAATGAATTATTGTGATGGGGTTCAAACTTGTAATGGGATAAAAAATATTGAAGCTACCCCTTATTGCACCTGTAGCTCGAATACGCTCATAGTCACTCTTTCAAGCGCAATTAGTCCTGGGTCTACGAGTTTTAATGTGACTTCTGTTAGAAACCCATATAGCGCTGCAAGTGTGTCGGGATTTTATATTACTACTTATGGGAGCTTAGGGGTAATTGACAAGTCTGATATGATTTCGATTTCTGCCCAAAATTTTACACCTCAGCCCCTTGATATTGAGTCTTTGGAAATTGATTCTCCAACAATGATTAATAACGAAACAAAATATAGCGCTTTCCCGAGGATGGCGCGGAAATGGCGCCATCCTCGGGAAAGCCAGGAAGGCATCCACACGGGAACTGGGAGTTCCACGTGGGGATGCCATTTTGACATGTGGAAGTTTGGATCCCACATGTCAAAAATGGCATCCACACGTGGAACTCCCAGTTCCCGTGTGGATGTTTAGTTGACTTTCCCGAGGATGGCGCAATTCCGCGCCATCCTCGGGAAAGCGCTATATACTTTCACTTTTAGTTGCAGCTTACCAATCCCTCAGAGTTCTATATTAAGCGTTCAATTCCCTTCAGATCTTACTGTTAACGCTGCAATCACTACTTCTGTTATAAGTATTTGAGGCATTTCTTCACAAATGACTTATTCAATCTCCAGCAATACAATTACTATAAACAATGGATTTCCAAGCTATTTATCAGCAGATTACTCTATCATTTTCTCAGTCAGCAATGTCCTTAATCCCAGCTCTACAAAGCCAACCTCTCCTATAATAATCTCAGTAACTACAAGCTCTGGTGCTGGGGTTTGTTCAGCTTCTAATAACTCTTTGCTTTCAGTAACTGCGACGCCAGGAACTTTAACAAGTGTGTCAATAACCCCACAATCCTATACAATAAACGCTGACACAACGTATAGCTTTAGTTTTTACTCCTCAGACCCTATGCCTTCTGGTGCTGGAATCAAAATTACGTTGCCAGAAGAGATGTCAGTAACGACTTCTTCTGCTAAGACTTGCTCTTATATAGAATCTTCTAGTGTAATGAGCAAGAATTCTAAATGTCAAGCTGCTAATGGAAGATATATATACGTGACTGAGTGTTTTCCATCTGGGTATACCTCTGGATTAATCAGTTTCCAAATACAAGATGTAATAAATCCTATGCTGCCTGCTACAACTAGCACCTTTTTGGTAGAAACTTATAAGGATAACAGTTTCCAATATGTGATTGGCTCAGATAGCAGTATCATTATAGAGCCTATATCAGGGACTTTGCAAAGCGTCCAAATATTTCCTGCCAATTTAATTACAGGTGAATCAGTGCAGTACACCTTTATAATTTCCACTTCAAACACGATCCCAGCTGGCGGCTACGCTTTAATATCACTTCCTTCTGAAATTTTAGTCACAAACATAAATAACCAATGCACAGGCCCAATTAACCTTGAGTCTACTTTTAGCTGCCAACTGACTACAAGTTCTATTAAAATCATAGATGGCTTTAAATCAAAAAATTTTAGCCCAGGATCTTTTGGGTTCAATGTAACTGGTATTATGAATCCATCAACCACAAAAACATCAGGAACTTTTAAAGTGCATACTTATAGTGGAAGCTATTTAATTGATAGCTTGATAACAGGTATTACTATCACATCTGATACTCCTCACGCTTTAGAATCCGGTTCAGTAGCCACATCAAACAGCTTGGTTGGTGCTTATGCAAGTTTTACCTTTACCTTGAAGCCTTTCAATCAGTTTTATAATAATGGGATCATTATGGTGACACCTCCTAGTGAAATCACTATACCTTCTTCCCCTTCTTGCTCAGTAGGAAATGTAATTCAAGGGATTGTGTGCAGTTTAGAAGGCTCGAAATTAAAAGCAGTGATATCATTGAACACAGCATATACAGGATCTACCTTTAGCTTCATATTGAACAATGTGCAAAATCCAAAGACAACGAAGCCTTCAGGCTCATTTACTGTAACAACAATGGACGATATTTATTCAATTGATTCTCTTTCTACAGGAGTTACCGTGCAAGCGACAACTCCTTTTCAATTAAGCTCTGTTTCTATATCTTCTGCTGATTCAGGCATTAACCAAGTAACCACCTACACTTTTAAAATTACTACAACCTATACAATCCCAGCAGGAGGCTATATCAAAGTAGTCCTTCCTTCCCAGCTCTCTATCACCTCTACTATGAAGTGTTATTACTCAAATGTTTATGTGAACTGTGTAAATAAAGGCCAAAACACTATTAATCTCTATTTATTTTCCCAAGACTTCAGCGCGGCTACCTTATCCTTTGACATCCAAAACATAAAAAATTACCAATTAGCCTCCTCATCTTCAGCATTTGCAATATCTACCTCCACTTCAGACGGCTATAGCATAGAGTCAGACTCCTCCCAAGTTGTCTCATTTTCCTGCTATTCTCCATGTGCTACCTGTGAAACTACCCCCTATACTTGTCTAAGCTGCTTCCCTGATTCATCTTTGCCATACTGCTGGAATGGAGGATGTCATGACGAATGCAATGTCGGGTATTATAAGTCGAGTGACAATAAAACATGCATAGTTTGTAGCGAAATTAATAGCTATTGTGATTCCTGTCCTAATGGAAGCTATCTTTATATGGGCACATGCCTTAGCAGCTGTCCAAGCGGAATTACAGTTATATCTGGCAGTCAGTGTGTCGCCTGCAAAACCTCTTGCAAAACTTGTGTAGATACTATTGATAAATGCAGCTCTTGTGTCTCAGAACAAATATTGTACAATAATAAATGCTATGATGTATGCCCTGATGGAACAATTGAGCTTAGCGGGAAATGCAATAAATGCGATTCCTCATGCTTGACTTGCAGCGAATCAGTTAACAACTGCACAAGCTGTAGCACAGGGATTTATCTTTACTCAAATGCCTGTGTAGATTCATGCCCAGAAAATACTACTGTAGTTTCAGGCAGCAATTGCATTGCTTGCAAGTCTAGCTGCTTAACCTGTGAAACCTATTACGATTACTGCACTTTGTGCAGCAACAGTCTGCTAGCTTTTAATGGCCTTTGTGTTGATAAATGTCCTAGTGGCTATACAAGTAAAAATGGTGCCTGTGTCTCTGAGTGCTCACCAGGCTGTAACTCAATGTTACTAGACAATGGTGTTTGTGATCTAGTCTGCAACAAAACAGATTGCAATTACGACAACGGAATGTGTATAGCCCATACACCTATATAGATTTCTTTATCGAACAATATGTAATGGACTATTGAACGAGCAAGACAGATTCGCTCAAAGGTATGAGCTGAATCTGTATACCAGAAAGTGATAAAAAGTGGCATGTCAAAAAATGGTGACAAGTGTGAAAAAATTTGACAAGTAAACGCGCCAATTTTTAAAATTTATTTTTGTAGTAAATATCTTTTATCGTTATTTGCAGATTTTTGAACTTTACCATCTAGATGTGGAATCTTTTCCGCGTGTGAAAAGATGATTCCACATGTGAAATCAAAAGGGCTCCACACGTAAAATCACCTTTTCACACGCGGAAAAGATTCCACATCTAGGTGGTAAAGTTCAAAAATCTGCAAATAATGATAATAAATATAGGGCTTAATTTTTTATAATAAAAAATGGCTTTTTTCTATATATGGATCCAAAAAAAGATCCGAACTGTGCACCAGGGCGATGATGGGTAGAGACATTCTGCAATCAGAATCTGTTGTTGGACATTGAGAATTTGTAGCGCTTAAGATTCCAGCTTATTTTGAGACATGTCATATTATTGAGTTTTCCTTTATATAGATCCAAAAAAAAAATCGAACTGTGCACCATGGCGATGATGTGTGGAGACATTCTGCAATCAGAATCAGTTGTGGGACATTGAGAACTTGCAACGTTTAAGATTCCAGCTTAGTTTGAGACATGTCATATTATTGAGTTTTCCTTTATATAGCGTCGAAGTTATAAATTTAAAAAAAATGGCTTTTCTATATATAGATCCAAAAAATGACTCGAACTGTGCACAAGGGCGATGATATGTGGAGACATTCTGTAATCAGAATCACTTGTGGGACATCGAGAACTTGCAACGCTTTAAGATTCCAGCTTATTTTGAGATATAGCAAGTAATATCGTATCTACTAATTATCTTCGAATGCCTCAAAAGTCTATTTTAAACCAATAATTATTTAAACAATTACCATAAAATTTTTAATTAGCATTGTTTATTTAAAATTCTAACTCCCCCCCCAATTAATAGCGGACGAAATCAATGTTTTTTTTTCCCTAAAAATGGACCCTTAGGTACCATTTAATAACGGGAAATTTTTTTACTATAAAAATTTTAAATTATATAAGATAATCGTTCATTATAAAATTTACTAATATACATAAAATGGCGGATGACTTCTGACCGGTCCTCTTGAGACGGTTACCTGTGTATATCCGGGCATGGTTTTTGGAGCCAGGAATTGGCCCAGCTATGTCTTGGGACCTCAAGGCGAGAGGTCTAAGCGCAAAGATCGCTGTTTTTGTGACCAAGACCCTTGGGCAGTTATTCGTGACTCCTTTTTGCCAGCAGCGCTCAGCCCAGTGGGTGTCCGAAATGAGGCAGGGCGACATACCTGCCTAAGCTGCTTTTGTGATTTGCCCCGAATGGCGAAAGCTGTTGAGTTCTTTCTCGGGATGACCGGAAAAGAGGGGAAAGCAAATTAGACGAGAAATTAGGGGTCTCTCCAATTAAAAGGTGCCCTTCAATGGGCAGATTTGGCGACGTACGGACAGAGTTGGCGCAAGATTCAGGCGACGAATCAAGTTGGAAATGGAGGTGGTCAGTTGGCCATCACCTCTACCGATAAACCGGGGGTTTCGGACCGGGTTTAAGCGGCCACGCCTTCGCCACCCCTACGGGGTTAATCTCCGTAGAACGTCAAGGCGGTGAAGTAGGGACTTAAAATACATAACATAATATAAAATAACATAACATAACATAATATAACATAATATAACATAACATAACATAAATTTACTAGAACCAATGAAATAAAGATAGGAATATTTGAATAGAATTCATTTAAGCGCAAAGGTATTAAAAAATTATGAGAGCTAATAATATGCATCTGGCTTTCTTTTCTTTAAACCTTGATCTCCCTTTTCAATTGATGAATGTCTTTTACTAATTCGCCTACACTTGACTTTGATATATTAAACTTATATACTATATCTTCATATGAAAGACCTTCATTTTGATGATCCAGGTAGTATTGTGCAATAACTAGCTTATCACCAGTTGTTAGTCTTTTCTCTTTCTGGTTTCTCCATTCAACTCCATTTTTTATTAGATTTAGTGCTACTCTTTTGACTTAAAAATGCATTTTTTTTCAGACCTTTTATAAAAAATTTTAAATAGAAAAATATATATAAATATCAAACTTTTTAAGTTATGACCCATTTAATAGCGGACGAAAAAAATCGTCCGCTATTAATTGGGGGGGGGAGTAAGATATTAATCAATCCGAGTCTAATTGGTATCTTTAATTTTAAATTAATTTAATAATAAAGCCATTTAAAAATTGGCGCGTTTACTTGTAAACTTTTTTCACACTTGCGACCATTTTTTAGCATGGCCTTTTTAACACTTCCTGAAATACTAATTCAGCTCATATCTTTGATAAAATCTTTCTTGGTCGTTCAAGAGTCCATTACATTTTGCTCGATAAAGAAATCTATATAGGGGTATGAGCTATATAACAGGAGTTGTTTATTTAACCAATTTAAATTATTCCACAACCCTTCCGATTTCTCAAAACCCTTTACCTGCTAGTATTTCTGGCGCTGCTAGTGCTGGAGTAATAGGAGTCACAAAAATGGTTTCTCCAGCCACAAGTGGGATGGGAGCCAGCATCGGTTTACTAGGCATCATAGAAGCAGCCTCTTGGATTCGTCTTACAACAGGTGTAGGCAATGCAAATAGCACCCACGGCGACGAGATCTATAACAATTCTACAGACAAGCGTAGAAGATTCTTAATTGACTCTTCTGATGACTATGAAATAGAAATCGGGTTCAGCTTCTTGATCTTTATCTTATTTTGCCACTTTGTAGGGAATATTGCTTTTACATTTACTGTTTACTATGTGATTATAAAAAAAGACTCAGCGTTAAAACAATGAATAAAAATGCACCCTTATGCAAATGCTTTATACCTATTTTTAAGCAGCGTCATCTCTTTTAAATTTATCAGGTTTTTTATTTCAAGCTTTTGTGGACTTTCTGCATGCTCTGCAAGGCTTGATAAGAAAACGAACATTTATAAGCCGATTTTAATTATGACCTATGTAAGCTTAGGAGTTGTCACGATTCCAATTTTATGTGTAGCTGTATATCTAATGTCAACATTTTCTACAGGAAATGTAGTATTTTTGCAAGCCTTAGATACTTTAATTATTACAGCAAGTGTGGCACTACTACATGTGTTTGATTTGATTTTTATGCATAGAGAAATAAGAGGGGAAAGGAAAAACAAGAATGTAAATGTAGATTTGATGGCTGGGATTACCACACCATATACAGAAGAACTTGAAGTCGAAAATTTCAGCATTTGCCACTGTAAAGAAGCGATTAAATCACTTGATTGTGAAACTACTACAAATGGAGACACTTCAAGGGCTCCAATGGACTACTGAGAATACGAAACCCCTGCAAAAGGCCAGACAGCAGTCCCAATTGAGCCTGAAAGTGAAAGTTTTACACCGGTTAAACTTTTAGACCAAGAAGAAAACTTATGGGAAAAGAATAGTGAAATTGAGGAAGAAATGAACGGGCTTAATTTCAGCTTGTTTAACCATCAAGAATCAAGTGAAGAGCATATAGCTAATAATGAGCTAGATGCTACTGAAAAAGATATGCTAAATCAGGACAGTAGTGATATTAATGAAGTCGCAGAAGAAAATTTTATTTTTATGCCAATCCCAGGGGAAGATTTTATTATGAATGAAGATGTAGAAGATTATGCTGAAATTAAAATATTTGGGCTGGAAGAGAAGTTTTTAGTGGATTTACAAGCAGTTGAAAAAGTTTTAGAGAAGTTTTGCATTGAGGAAAAGGAGATGATAGATATAATAAAAATTGAAAAGAAGAAAAATTCATTTATTGCTGAAGAAAAAGTTGTGACTGATGTTATGGAAATTGAAGAAACTATTACAAGAATGAGAGTAAAAGAAAAGATTATTACTGAGCCATTTTATACAGAAGAAGACCGAAGAGAAACTGAAGGCAGCTCAATCGTTCTTTTTTCTAATGAAAACAATATTTTAGTTATAGATCAAGGCAGCAAAAACTCAACTAAAAAAGAATTCATTCTAGTCGACAATGGCGAAGGACTCGACAACATACCCCCTGAAGAGTCACACGAAATCAAGCCAAAAGAGCCTGACTCCTCTTTAAGTGAGCCAGATTTCAACAAAACCATCACTCTCCATATGAACTTTGAGCTTGATGACTCCTCCCGTGAATTTATCGATGAAGAAAACGAGCCTCAGCTGCTGGAAATAATCCCTGAAGAGTCACTTCTTTTATTATCAGACGCCGAAGTTGACGAGTACGACCCAGAGTGTATAAGAGTCCAACACAGACCATCTGGCCTCAAAGTCCTCGTGAAGCAAGAATTCAAAGGAGGAGAAGTCGAAGACGGCACCATCCTTGACACCAGCATGTACGAAATCCACGAAATCGATGAATACGATTCCCATTATGCCATACTTCGAAGAACTAACTCAGACACTCTTATCAGGGTACGAAGAAATTTTGCAGGATCAAGAATAGTTGACGTCGAACTTCGTGTTGGCGGCCGCTGAATGATAGGCAGAGTGGTCTCTAAAGAGTCTGATTTTGACTTCGCCAATGCCTTTGTGGACCCTCAAGACCCTGAATGTGTCATTGCGACTCATAATGTCACTGGATTTAAATTCAGGATACTAAAAGTTTTTAATGGCAGTCAAAGAATTGATACAGAAAATAACGCGCCAGAAATCATTGGAAACTATGACCCGAATTATGTGATGGTCGACAAAGATGATGTACATTATGCGTGGATTAATTATAATGGCCAAAATATCAGGGCGAAAAGAAACTTTGTAGGGGGCATGATTCTTGATATTTTGACTGATAACGAAATAAAGTCATTTGTATTCGAGCCAGAACAGACTGCATTTTTTAATAACAGAGAAGAATTGGATTTGTATGTGATCCCTTCGTATAATGATTCACAGATTTCTAGTATTTTGCCGACGCCGCCTTCTAACCCTACAGAAGAGCTGTTTCATTCATCATCTAGAAAAGGGGTTATTGAATTTTTACCGCCCCCTGTTGAAGAGTCACAGGAAGAGCCCAAATTCCAAGAAAACATCATTGAAGAGGTAGGGTTTGAGCCAGAAGCTACAGGGCAAGAGCTAGTTAAAGAAGTAGTCATACCATTTGATTAGATTAATTAACTTTAGCGGGTCACGGAGGTTTATTTCAGCCTCTACCCAGCACTGCCAGCTTCAAGCTCGCGCTCTATGCACCGGCTCTGTAGCTCACTCCATTTTCTGTCGACGTCGCCATCTAACAGGGAGACTCACCCAGGTACTCCTTGATCAGGGGTCTAGTGACCCGGCGCCGTCCTTTCCCAGGAGGGAGAAAAGTAGCCTCCCGGAGTCTCCTTCAGGTCCCCGAAGCTCCTCACATAAAGATCTTCCTCACTTCCCTTCTAGTCCTGAAGTTTGACTCCTGATACATCGGCTCTGGTCTTCTTGTCTCTGTGAGAGGTAAAAAACCTTGTCGTGGTGTCCCCGACCAAGGTAAAAAAAAAACACCCTGGACACAATACCCAGGCCCCGTTTACTTCTTAGTCCCGTAGTCCCTGAGGGTACAGGAGAAGGACGGGTCGGGTGGCTCGCCATTTTAATTGTGTCATACCATTTGAAGAAGAAAAGCTTTTTGAAAATGTCCCAAGAAGTAACGTCTCAAGTACTAATAGCATGGCGACCAGAACTCTATTGAAATTTAACAAGCTTGAGTATGGAAGTGACGAAGAAGAACAGCAAAACTCCAGGGCATATACCTCAGTGACCAAAAGAAGACACAGAAGCAAGAAAAAAGGAAGCAGAAATACCTCAATTACGAGCTCCCCAGAGAATAACCTTTCAAAAAGAAGCAAAAATAGCCGAATGCAGTCTCAAGAAAGCTTAAAAAATATAGAAGCAATTTATTTACAGAGATTAAAAAATCCTTCTCAAAGTGCTAAAAAGTCTCCGAGAAAGAGATTTCACAACCTAATGAGCCCAGATTCAGACTATGATAGCATCTCTATGAGTGCTTATGAGTCTTTGAGCAACTTAAATATGAAACCTAAAGCAGCTGAGCTTGATATTGAAATGATAAGGAAAAAATACTATAAGTAAAATTGATAATTTAATAATATTAGGCAGAATGGCTTGCAAACTTTTAGTAAGAAAGTTCCAAAGTCTTACTTTCCCCTAAATGGCAATCAAAAAGCATAGGAAAAATCATTAGGGGAATGAAAAATTCTTGAGCAAGAGCAGGTCAAAAATTTTATATAAAATATTTAAAAAATTAACAAAACAATATTGGAAAACAAAAAGGGAGAAAGTTAGGGTTATTCTCGAAGAAAAAATTACTGTTAATAGAGAAAGGGTAGCGAAGCTTAGAAGAGATAACGGGGAGACTGTAATTGATCAGATTACAGCAGACCAGATTGTAAAAGGAATGAGAGGGATGAGAGCGCTAGTTAATGAGACTTCTACGCTAGATCCGTATTCTGGAATTAAGTTCAGAGGACTAACTATACCAGAATGTCAAGCAAGACTGCCGAAGAAGCACAATCAGCCACTTCCTGAGTCTGTTTATTGATTATTGCTTACAGGAGATATTCCAACTCCATCCCAAGCAGAAGAACTGCGCAGCGAGTTAGCTTCACGTGCTTCTCTACCTCAACATATAGAAGATATGTTAAACTCCCTCCCCAAGTCTCTTCACCCTATGGTTCAGCTTTCAATTGGGGTGAATTCTTTATGTGAAGGAAACCAATTTGATAAAGCCTTTAAATCTGACTGTAAACGTGCAGATTATTGGAAATCAGCCTTAGAAGATGCCCTAAATTTAGTTGCGAAAATCCCAAGAATAGCTGCAATAATATACAGAAATGCTTTCAAAGATGGAAAAATCTGTGCACCTTCACAGTCATGTGACCTTGCAGAAAATCTTGGAAGGATGCTGGGGTGGGATGACCCGAACTTTTTTGAGCTGCTGAGGCTTTATTTGACTCTTCATAGCGACCATGAAGGAGGAAATGTGTCAGCCCATACAACACATCTTGTAGGATCTGGGCTGTGTGATGTGTTCAGATCTTATTCGTCAGGGTTAAATGCATTGGCAGGGCCATTGCATGGACTCGCAAACCAAGAAGTGCTGAAATGGCTTATTGAGTTGTGGAAAATTGTAGGGGACAATCCGACTGAAGATGATATTAGGAAATACGTAGAAGGGACTATGAAAAAAGGACAAGTTGTCCCTGGCTATGGACATGCAGTATTAAGAGTGCCTGATCCTAGGTTTTTAATTGAGCTAGAGTATAAAAAGAACTATATTCAAAATGATCCTCTATTAAACATTGTGGAGCTGTGTGGTCAAGCATAGGTCGCAACCCTACACCCCACCCCCCTAAAAGTGGTACCCCCACCCCCCCCCTTAATATAGCATAAATATATGACAAATGCCAATTTAGAGCAGACGTAATAAATAAATTATTATTTTAAATATTCAAAATTACTGATTTATACAATATTCACATAGCGTAGCACAATCGATTAAGGAGTAGGTGAATGGGGTGAGAATTTCCTATAACTACTAAGCACACCACATATGAAAAAATTTGTTAGCAAGCATAATAATGATCTTTGGTATTAATTAGCATATATTTATGAACTTTGTGGAACAATGGCTAAAAGTCGAATTAGAGATCCAAAAGTAAACTGGCAATAGCAAATACTATTTTTATTACCACTATTGAATCCTGTTATCAATTCAGTCCTGCAATCCTTGTACAATTGTCATCAGCTTAGCTTTAATTTATGAATCAATAAATTTAATGCAAGTTATTGTATTATGCTTGGCTAATTTAATAATTAATGCCGTTATCTATATCTTTGGCATTATATTTATAAATATAAAAAGCAAATTTAATATATTTTCTAATTAATTGCTAATTAATTTAAATTTATTAATTAATCATAAATATAAAGTAATTTGTGGACTTAATTTAAAAATATAGTGTTTTAATTGGGCTATATTTAATTTATTCTGCTTATTTCCTATCAATTACTACTATAGGATAAACGCGAGAGGGGGTGGGGGTGCCATCTGTGAAAGGGGGGGGGGGGGTACCATTTTTAGGGGGGGTTCCCTTATTGGGGTGGGGATGTCTGGTTGCTACCTATGCTTGACCAGCTGTGCTATAAAGTGATACCTGACATGCTAAAGCAGCAAGGTAAAGCAAAAAACCCTTACCCAAATGTTGATGCAGGAAGCGGAGCTTTGCTTCATCACTATGGACTTAGAGAATACGAATTTTTCACAGTCCTCTTTGGAGTATCAAGAGCAATCGGCTGCTCTGCAAGCCAAGTATGGGACCGCGCTCTTCTCTTACCAATAGAAAGACCGATATCTCTAACTTTAGAGAGCCTAGAAGAATTGGTTCAGCAAGCTAAATCTTAGGATATGCAATTGATTAAAATTACTCAGCACGTTTCCACTTTAATTCGCTTTCACTATATTCCACAAGATTTTTGATTTTTAACGCCTGAAGATATTGGTTCGTATTAAAAATAGCTGACGACCTTACCTTTTCATCCAATTGGCCATATACAGTAGCTACAATTTCTTCAGTCGTCTTCTGAGAATCCAAAGCATTAAAAACTTGCCGCTCTCTTTGATTCCTATGCTCAATGTTTTCTGTTATTTTTTCAGCTGCAAAGATATTGGTTTCTCCATGTCCTGTGTATAGGATTCTTGGAGCTATATTTTGGACTCTATATAAAGAGTTCATATAGTCGTAATACACATCTAGTATTGTCTATATATCAGTTACAGATCCTCTCCCCATTATTAAATCTCCTGTAAACACAGCATTTTCTTCTTGCAGAAAATAGCAAACATGATCGTTTTTATGACTATGTAAAAAATACCCAGGCGTAAACACTGCTTGTAGAGTTACCCCTTCAGTTCTGATAATTTCATTATCAGACAGTGAATAAATTTGATTTTGAAATTTTTCATTAATTTCTCTATCTTCTTCATTGTCCATAACTCTTTTATAGACAGGCACTCTTCCGAAGTAATTAAATGCATCATTTATCCCTCCAATATGATCAGGATGTGAATGAGTTATAAGAATGCATTGCAGCTCATTTCGAGCAATATTTCTTGATAAATTCTCAATTCATGCAGGGATGCCTTCTCCTGTATCTATTAGGATTTTTTTTTGTCCTGTCCCGATTATATAAGTATTGGTACCTTCTAAGGTAAAACTGCATAAAATTTACATTGAGGGGTTAAATCCTGGGTAGAGAGAAACTAAAGAGGATAGTCTAGACATTTTATTATTAAGGCTGTATAAGTGTCTTTATTAAGGCTAAAATTTCTTCTGCTTGTGGCATCCTTCCTTTGGCAATTCCAGAGTACAGCAGCTGGCTTCCATAAGTGACTTCAAAAGCTCCAGTTGACGTTAACCATGAACTTATAGCATTAACTCCAAAGAACAAGAACAAGCCCGTCATAAGCTTTTTATCCCTCATATAAAGATACCAAGCAGGATACGGCATTTGCAGCTTCTGGAAAACCATGTCTCCTGCTACCAATAGCAAAATTCCTGCATACCTGACAAGAGTGAGAATTCTAATTGGGTTTTACTGTGCGAGCAATCCAAATGGGAATGGAGGATAGCTTGGGGTTTCTGTGATTATTAAAGTAGGATAATACAAGGAAAGGAGATTTTTAACTTCGTCAACTCTAGCTTTAAAACCACAGGTTTGACTGGATAAAGGTTACCAATATTCGATATTTATTGGATCTGTGAATCTATTTATTCGGATATCGTAATCAACTTTAGGCTCATTTGGAAGAGGTTCAGCTTGAGGAGGAGGCTGTGTGCTTGGATCTGCAGGTGGAGGAGGAGGCTGTGATAGCAAGCGAGGCATGAACATTTCTAAGGCAAAACAAAAGCAAAATGCAAACCATGCTATACTTTTGATGTCCATTTTATTTATTATTAAATCATAAATGCACAAGGATTCAAACCTGATACTAAGATAGTTTCACCCTCTGCTAGCGAGCAAAATTATATTAAAATTCTTATTTTAGGTAAAAAACCACCCTTGTTTGTGAGTAAAAATTTTATATATATAATTTTTATGTTTATATGTAAATGATAATTAGAAAAATTAAATCTCTAACAAATTCGGTTGAATTTTAAACGCTTGAATTTTATTACATAAATCTTATAAATTAAATTAATTTTGGCTTTCCACATTTTTATGAATTTGAAAATAAATTTTATATAAAAAAATTAACCTCAAGCAAAATATTTTTTGCTCGCTCATAAATAGGGGAGTAAGTAGCTATTAAAACAGCTTAAAATTCATCAATATTTTTTGCATTTATAATACTCTTAATTTAAATTATTATAAGAAAATTTAAATCATATTATTATTTAGCTCAAGATTTCATTAAGAGAGATTCATCTCATGTTCGAGTTTCTCTAAAAAATGGATGGGACACTTTAAAAATATTATATATATCAAATCATTTTTACTAGTTTCACCACCTAATTATCCACAAAATAAGGCATTAGCTTCCGGTATCCTATTATTTAATATCTCCAAATTATATAATAAGTCCTTGATTTCATTTTTATAATAAGTTAGTGAATAAATATGATTACAATAACAGGTATCAAACCATCCATAAAAGGTTATTTAAGAACACGCCGCATCGTTCTTCATCCAATTTTTATTTTAATGCAGGTATCCGCTCCATAGCTTTGCATTGGTGTATGAATCAATTACAAAAAGAAAGCCTTCGAACAATTAAACCTGAGCTTCGTAAATAATAGTTAGGTGTTCTTCGAATGTGTTGTAGATTTGATAGCTACTCTCATTCTCCTCACTGGAGTCTTTTCAGTGAGGAAGGCGAGAAATTTCTTTATGGGTGGCAAAATTACTCACATTTTACTGGCAATGCTTTCTGGGATACTTTGTGTATTTTCAGCACAATTATTTTTTTGCATTGGATTAAAATAAATTATATTCACACAAATATTGCTATTAAAAAAATCTAGATTATATACAATTGGGCTTTATAATTTTTCCTAATTTATATAATAAAATATATACGTCTGGTGGGATCACAGCGCCTTGAATGCTGGTTACCCCTAGTGTTGTTGGTCTTTTAGGTATGATTTTAAAGTACGAATCCAGAAAAACTTTGAAAATTTTCGGAGTTACTATTTCCTTAATTGGCGTGCTCTCCTTTATTGGCATTGACTTTTTCTATGAAGAATATATCAGTTTTGTAGGAACTCTATCATTAATGATCCACGCAATAGCTCTTGCAGTTGGCTTATTATTATGAAGGAAATTATTAAAAATTTATAAGCATCCACCTCTGGTAGTCTCAACATGGGCAGTAGGAACAGGCACCATTTGCATGATTTTTGCTTATTTATCGCAGGAGCTCTGGTGGATTGTCCCTCCTGATTTTGAAAATGACATTTCTCAAAGCTATGCTAAATAATAAATGAAAGCATTATTACTGATTAGCTGTTTGGCTATTTCCTATATAAATATAGGATAACAATAATCTGTAGGAATATTTATATTCTCCATAAGTATATCATATTTTTGGGGTAATCGTCACCATTTCTGTAGCTTATGCATGCAACTATGGAATCCTCGCCTGAGCTACCAGAAGGTCTGCGATTTCTGTTGTCGCCTTATATGCTAGCGCAAGACCATTATTTACAGAAACATTAAGCTTCATTATTTCGCGTCATTACACAACAATTGAGATGATAATTTCTAGCATCCTCATGGTAATGGTCTTATGTGGGCTACTTTTGAACTCATATAGCAAAAAGAAGGAAAAAGGATCAATTATAAGGAAGCAATATCAAAAGACTGAAGGGAAGCTGAGGACGATTTTTTCTACTGTGGTTGTAGGATTTCAAGAGCCTGTTAATACAGCTCCTTTGTATAAACGATTAGTTTAGATGCAAGGTATGATAAAACCTTCGATAAAGCAAGTAAAATAAATAAACACTTAATATTTCAATGGCTGAGTTGTTGGTCTTTAAGATTAGATTTTTCTATTCATTTCCATTTTTTAATAGCTCAGGTCTTTAATGGCAACTTTATTTTACAATAATAAATTACCTTAGTTTACTTTTTTTTTGGAATTCTATTTCAATATAAAAGCAGCACTTATCTCCCTAAGAAGCTGCTTGTCCATAACACATAAATCCATAAAATCCTCTTTGTCAATGAAAAAATAATTTCTTGTAAATCTAAAGATAATTCCTTATAGTCCTTAAATATTCCAGAATCCTTATCTAAACTCTTAAATTTGCAAAGCTTTCCGTTAACCAAATTCTTGTGTTCCTTTCTATTTCTTCAACCATCTTTAGCAGAAGTTTCTCAAATTTTTATTGGTTTATATAAATATACGTGTCGAGGAAATGGCAGATATAACACTCCACTATTTCAATCTCTATGGAAGAGGAGAACTTGCTAGATACATTCTTCACTATCATGGCACCCAATTCACAGATCACAGAGTTGAGTTCGGTGAATGGCCAGCCCTTAAGAGCTCAGGTGTTGCTGAATTCGGTCAATTGCCTGTTCTTGAAATCGATGGAATTAGAATGGTCCAGAGCAAAGCCATTGCCAGATACTTATGCCAGAAGTTTGGATACTATCCAAACAGCCCAACTGATGTCTACTGGGTCGAATCACTTGTTGACCTTAGAGAAGACATCATCTCTGAATACTTCAAAGCTAAATTCAACAAGGACGAGGAAGCTATTAACAAGATCTTCTCAGAAAAACTCCCAGAATGGCTTAGAAGAGCTGAAGCAAGACTTGAAAGAAACAACGGAGGAAACGGATGGTTCGTTGGAGATTCCATTTCCTTAGCTGATTTCGCAGTCTTCCAAACTGTGTGGGATTACTTACTCCGTGAAGAAAAGGCTGCCAAAGGAGCTCCAGCTGTTGAAACTAACGCACCAAAACTCAGAGCATGGGCTACCAGACTTTTGGAATCATCACCAACCTTGAAGCACTATCTTGAGACCAGAGCCAACTTAGAAGCTTAAATTTAACTAAGGATTTCTCCTAAACACGCGTTAAATATTGTTGAAGCTTTTAAATAAAGCCAATAAATAAAATTAATATCAATAATGTTTATATTGAAACGAAATTATAAAATAATCAAAAATGAAATCTAGAAATCCAAAACGGCTTAGGTCTGTAGCAAGCTAACATACAAATATCATCAAAATAATTTTGGGGCTTAACTCTAAATAAATATCATGCATAGCTACCCATCATATGTTTACCAAGGATACGATAGTAGGAGCAATGGAGTCTATAACCCTTATATGCATACCCCACAGAAGAAAAGAAAATTCGGTACTCTTGAAGAAGGGTTCTTCAGCTTATCTTTAGGAAATAAAGAAAGCAAAGTAAAGGATAAAAAAGAAGATATTGAAATGAGCAGTTCCCTTAATATTTTTAAAGACCTCAATATTCAAGGAATCCCTAATCGAATTTTCAATGAAAATCATATTAAAAATTTCGGCATGAGCAGCTCTGATGATTTCAATTATCAAAATCCTCCTAATCAGATTTCCAATGCAAGTCTTCCTATTAACAATATTAACTGCAATAATATAGTTATTGCAAATTTCAATAATGGCACAGTAGAGAGCAGAAGCAAAATGTTAAGCGATTTAAGTCCCCTATTGGCATCATTAGACTTTGAAAATCAAAATGAAAAACGCTCTTTTAATCCTCCGCATGAATCTGCAATTAAAAACCAAAAAATGATTATGCCTCCATCTCTTCCATATAGCCAATCACCAAAGAAAAGAAATAGAGATGAAGACTGCATGCCAATTTTTATAGGAATCAAAGACAAGTTCAACGGATTTAAAATTGTCCCAATTGATGCAAAAATAATTAAAAAATTGATGAAAAAAGAAAAACAAAATCCTGATGGGCCTATTGCAAAATATATAATAAATATAAATAGGTTTGATAATATTAATAAAAATGTAATTGTATATTTATTTTTAAAATATACTTTATGTGTATAAGCATAATAATTGTTTTCAATGCTGCGCAATATATTCAAATAGAAAATATGCAAGAAATGAGAGCTGAGCTAGAGTGCTTGAACAAAAGAATCATTGAATTTAATCAATTAATCAAAGTTCTTGACCAAAAAATCTATTGGAATAACCAAGCATTCAAAGTCAGAAACGACACCATTATAGCTTCTTTCGTGCTTTTCCGTAGTATTATGGAAAATCTATCTTTGAGGGCACTAGCTTCTTCTACAGTTTTTATTGTCTTAGATTTTAGATAAGCTAAGACCTTTGAATTATCAATTAATTTAATTTTGAAACTTTTAAACCTTAATTCTTTAAGAGAAGGACAATTTTCAGCGCTCATGCTTAATACTCTTTCTTCATGCGATTAATGGTCCTGGAGCTCGAAATAAGGAGATCTGTCAAGTCTTTATGAGTTTTGCCTAATATTATCAGTATAAGGATGTTATAAATATGATTTAATTATCCTGCCCACTTTAAGTCTATCTTACAATTAAATTTTATCACAAAGATGACCTTCGGAATTAAAAAATTAAAATTTTCTCAATTTTTTTATGAGTTGCCTCTGTTCTTGTCACTGTGAAAATACTTTTAAGCATGTTATAATATCCTTGGTACAGCTTCGCCCACTTAACTCGATAAATTTTATCAATTGCAATAAAATTTTCTAATAAAGATGGACATTATAAGAATTGAAAAATTTCTCCAAGGTCTTTATGAATTGCCTCAGATCTCCTTATTTCGAATTCCAGGACCATTAATCGCATGAAGCAAGGGCATCAAGCATGAGCGCTGAAAATTGTCCTTCTCTTAAAGAATTAAATCATTTTTAAGGTTTAAAAAATTTTAAAACTAAATTAATTGATTATTAAAAAGTCTTCGCTTATCTAAAAAATCTAAGGCAATAAAAATGTAGATCAGGTTAGTGCCCTCAAAAAAGGCATAACAATACAGAAAAACGCGAAAGAAGCTATAATGGTTATCCAACTGCACAAAATTGTTATATGTATGCAAACATCTGATATGATGAATGTCTCAGATCAGACAGAAAAAAGCTCCTGATTAAGCTTTTAAAGAGAAAAAGATGGCTTGAGTCTCAACTAAAGCAACAATATATAGTGATATAATTTATTTGGTTTATGCTTATTAATTAAACCTGTAACTACATCTTATATTTTCAAAGTAGTTAATTCTATAATAAAACTAAAACCAGGACTATTGCTACAATTAAAATAACCACTATAAGTAGCAAGCAGGAGTCAGATGACTTCATTATTAACTCTTTCATCCTAAATTGCGTCCTATCCATTTTCGCTTGGGTATGATCAACATTCTTATCCACACTATCCAGCAGTGCATTATGTAAATCCACCTCATCTCCAATTCCTTGTGCAGCTACAAGCAAATTATCGCTAACCCCAATCAATTGGTCAACCACCACGTCTTGATCTTTCAACATCTGGGCTTTGGCTGATTTTAAGTCTTGATTTGACAGATTTTTAGTCTCTGCTGTCTCTTCTCCATACTTATCCCTTTTGATATTGACGACTGGGGCATTTCTCGATGCTCTGTAGGCTTCTTTGTTTTTGTCTTGAATTATGTTGAATTCAGCTTCAAGTTCTTGGACCAAAGCTTTTCTTCTTTCTATTTCTTTTGGAGCCATTTTGTATTTTGAGGGATCTTTGTCGTATAAAATCACTTGATTTTGAAGAGAGTCAAGAATAACTGTGAGATCTGATAAGCCGCCTCGGATTTTTTCATTGAGAAGTCCTACACTTTGCCCGGATTTTTGTTGGGACTCTCTCTCAACTAGAAATTGCTGTAGGAGATTTTTTTTTCGTTGTGCGCTATCTAGGTCTTTCAGAAAATCATCCATTGTTAAATTATTTTAAATGATATTTTATTAGATGAAAATAGAGAGGATTTCAAGAAGAAATTATATTTTTAAATTGAATTCTAAAGAGATATATAGCAGATACTTATTAGATATCCAGAATATTATTTTCATTATTTTCTATGAAAAAGTTGCCATTTATTATTTCTGAAAAGTTGAGTGATTTTGATAATTAATATTAAAATAAAATAATAAAATAAGCTAGTTTATCATAAATTCAATTATTTATCTAGTCAACAGCAAACATTGCTTCCATTTTGTCCCAATCTTCAGCAGTTCCGTGTGCATATTCTTTACTAAGCTTATACAGGACAAGCTGTCCATCGCAGTTTCCAGTTGCCAACTGAGTGCTTTCAGAGGCCCAGGCTAAATGATTCAGCACACTGTTTCCAGTCTTAAGTCTGATATCAGGCATTTCTGTATCTTTATTCAAGTTCCAAAAATCTATTCTATGTTTATTTATTTAGTTATATCCCAATAGTAATTTTATTTTAATAATTATATTTTCTATTTATTATCAAATTTAGTTTAGTCCAGCATAAATACCCACTCCCATCAATTACCGCAAACATTGAAGGATGATGTGGATTCCATTTCACATCGAACACATAATCATCATAAGCATCAAATGAAAAAATTGGCTGTTTTCCTGCCTTCAAATTCCACAACTTCACTGTCCAATCTACTGAGCTTGACAGTAATAAATTCCCAGCAATATCTGTAAATACATTTTCTCCTATCGGGTGTATATCAAGCCCTGTTATAGGTCCAAAATGTCCTTCATAAGTCTCAGTACCAGAATCCACAAGCTTGCTACCATGCAGCTGTGTTTGGAAAATGCTCCCATCTTCAGCGCCGACATAAAATACATTAGTTTCATTGGCAGGAAAAGCCATAGTTGTGCAGCCTACATCTTTAACACGGGATTTCATTTCAAACGAAGAGGTAGGGGTATGAAACATGTTAAGAGACCATACACAAACTTTCCCGTCATTTGAGGCAGATACAATATTATTTGCATGTTGAGAGCCAATTATTGATAAAGAATAGACAGGGTGACTATGACTTTCTGCCATAGGAGGAGTGCGTTGGATTGGCTGAGATTTGGCCCTTAAATCCCAAACTACGATTTGGCCGGAATAAGTGCCCCCAATTACCAAGTTGTGATCGAAGCGGTTGAAGCTGGCTGCAGTAACAGAAGATTGGCAATTTAGTATAAATTCTGGCCGGGTATTTAAAGATAGTGACCAAATGCACACTAAGCCTCTAGGGACCTGAGACACTGTCTGGGTGGTTCTTATGTATGATGCTAATAGTAACTCTTTATATAAAGGTGACCATTGTAAAGAGGTAACGCTTTTTTCATCACAGAGTTTTGGATCATAGAGAGTTAGTAAGGATTTGATATTTCCGTTTGATTCTGTCTTTCATTCATTTTCTATCTTTTCTTTTCCTAAGCTTCTTTCTACAAGCCTTGTTGATTTTTTAAAGAATTCGTTGAAATCAACTGATTCGATAATTCTATTTACCACCTCAGGGTCATATTCTGAAGATTTTTCAGGACTTTTTTCGTCCATTTCTACATCAGAATCTTCATCGTATTCATCTTTGTTGTTATCTTCAACAGTATTTAGTTGAGGCTCGGGGACTTTTTGTTCCTTTGGGATGTCAACTTGCACTTCAGCTTGAACTTTTTCAGGTTTAGGTCTTCCACTGATAGCTAATTCATATAATTTTGCATGAGCTAAAACAGGCTTGCTGCTATTTTTATCTCTTTCAGGCGACAGCGACTGTACAACAGGTTTATTTTCCGGAATCTTTTCAATTTCTTTCATAATTTCCGTAAAGCTTACCTGAGAGCTCGGCATTTGGCTTCGTGGCGGCCTCATTGAAGCTGCAGGTTTTCTTTCCACAGGTCTTTCAGCAGCCTGTTTAGTCGCTGCAATCTTTTTCTGCAGTTCTTCCCTTCTTTTCTTAGTTTCTTCCAGACTAGCACGAGCAGCGGACATTTATTAATAAGAATTAATGACTTACTTTGAATAGCCCTTCTACCAGCTCTCTTACGTTAATTCTTCCAGTCCCTTTATCAAAATCTTTTATGACAGCGTCAATCTCAGCTTCTTCTAAAGGTTCTCCAGAGCCTAACAAGGCTGTTTTTACATCATTTGCATTTACAAAGCCTTCATGGTTTGTATCAAGACTCTCGAAAAACTTTCTAACGTCTTCTTGGTTCGTTATGCTTAATTTGCGGCACTTGACTGAGAGCCTTTGGAATTCAGGAAATTGGAGCTTGCCGACTGGAGCTTGCTGGGCTTCTTTAATGAAGCCTTGGACTTCTTCTTCGGTTGGGTTGAGACCGAGTGCGCGAAGTCCTCTGCCGAGATCTTTGATATCTATTGCGCCAACACGTTCTTTGTCAAGGATATCAAACACGTTTTTTTCTTCCTCTGATATGCTAACCATTTAAAGATTTATAAGACATAATATGAATACTTTATTCGATAAATAGAGGAATATGCTCTTAGTCATTAATTTTTAAATAAAGCATAGCTTTGATATTGATCTGTAAAAAGACATCTTTTAAAGCAGCTTTAGAATGTATAGTTAACTCCCCTCCCCTTAAACGATCAAATTTTTGAATTTGTTTACGAAGAAGGTTTAATTTTTTTTAAAAAATTATATGTAAATTTTTTTTCTAAATTTGAAAAAACTGGAAAACGAAAATTAAAATTTATAAGATGTTAAAAATGGAACAGAATTAGCTAGAGGTTTCATTATACTAATTATCGTTTATATATCAAAATATATTTTTATAAAAGATTTTAGTTAACAAAATTTTTTGCTAGCTCTGGCCAAGGAGAGGGAAAGGGGGAGCAAATACATTCGGAATGTGCTTCTGTATTTATAGAGAATTGATATTTATGTTTTGGAGCATATGCAATTAGTTTTCATTTCCATTTAAATGTCATTAAATCACAAGAAAAATTGAATTAGTTAAAAAGATATTGCAATTTTAAATCAAATTTATTTACTCAAAAGCTCACCAAAAATTATATTAAAACTAAATATTTTTATTCAATAAAATAATTTTTCTAAAATCAAACTGGAGAGCATATGACTCCTATAGATATAAATGATAAACATAAATGGAACTGAATAGGGCAAACCCACCACCTACATTCCCTATCAGTTTAAACAAATTTTATTATACCTCTCCGCTATCCTGAAAAGAGCATTCTCCAAAAAAATGTACACTCCACTCAATCCGACATTCTAATATAACGACCCAGGTTCTTAAAAAGAGATTCCCAAAATACCCTTCAGAGTCTCCTGAAAAACATAGGCTGTCTTATAACTCCCAATCAGTTTCTCCAAGGCGAAATTATATGAAGCCAACTGAAGAATTTTCTCACAAGCTTAGGAGCCCAAGCCCAAGAATAAAAATTCGAACTTTTTTCCCTGCGAATTCTCCTCAAGGGAAGTATTTGACAGAAAGAATATCTGACGGTTTTAGTGGAAGCCCTTATGAAGCTGGAAAAGCCAAGACTTCCAAAGAATATCGCGACTCAATTTTGAAAAGAATCAATGGAGAATTCAAACCTGCTTATTTCGGAAAAGGCATTGAAGAGGCTCCTTATGTGACTTCTTTTAATATTTTACATGATGATTTATATGCTATTTTCCTTTAATTTATCCTAATTCTCCATATTTTCTTAAATATTGCCAATATTTGCTTCTTCAGCATAAATTAACAATAAATTCTTGAATGATAAATAAACGGATAATTCACATTTCATATAAAATGATTGCTTCATTACTCCGAAGTGCCTTGCTAAGAGTGGCTTCTGAATACTTATCAAACGTCGACATAAATAAACTCAGCTTATGAAGTGGCCACATCGCTTTAGAAAATGTCAAGCTAAATGCATTAGCCATCACAAAATCATTGAATCTCCCTTATATTAGGATGATAAGTGGGGAAATAAATAGCATAGAATTGTCAATCCCATGGACTTCTCTCTCATCTAGATCTGTACAGCTAAAATTATGCCAAGTTTTCATCGAAATTTCTTTGTCAGAAAACACTGTTGTCAATAATCCTATTCAGCCTGTAAGTGAATCAGAGGAAACTTTATTAAATCACCGCTTTTAAATTGAAACAAAATTTTTTGATTTTTTATTAAGTTAACTCCCTTTAAATTGTTACTTTTTATAGTGGAATAATAATCTATCTTGATGCTGAAATTATTGTGTGCTAATTTTCACAATTTGCTATATATTGTTCTATTTTAAGCAGACAGTGCAAATTGAATATTATTTTAACCCTGAATCGATAAATTCTATAAATAAATTTTTAGCCCTTTTTTAACATGAACAGCTTTTTGCTCCAAGTCATAGAGGAGAGTAAGCAAAATCATTGGAAACCTGGACTTAGAGATACAGGACTTAACAGTCCTTATAAGAGGAAGAGAAGAAGCTTTGTATATTGGGCAGCTAAATTTAGACAAGCTTAAATTGTATACGACCAATGAAAACTGGGAAGAGGAATTTTTAAATCCATTTGTGCAAGTACCTGGAGGGGCTGGATACAGAGTATGAAGGAAAATTGAATTTACTGATATGAATTTTAGAATTGTGTCAGGCAGCCCAGACGATACTGTGAGTGAAATAATTCTCATGCATAAATTTGAAAAAATCAAATGCTGAGGCTGCCCTTTATGCCACGGATTTAAGTCATCATCGCTATATTCGCTTTGTACAGTCAGATGTCAGAGTTTTGTATTGCAGTCTTATATAGCATCTGAGCATTCGATTTCTCATTATAAGTCGCATAATGCTCAGCTTATCAAAGATTTATCTACTCAACAGCTTAAATTTTTATTGGCTCCCCTACAGGTTAAGCTAAATTTGGTAAATGATACTATGTTTATGAGAGATTTCTATGGGATACTCTCAAAAGCAACCCCTCCACCTGTTCAAACAGAAAATAAAGATGAATCTTATTCATGGTGATCCTGGGGCAGAGATTTCCTATTGAGCCCATTTTACTGTTCAGATGCTATTAATCATCATTCTCATACAGAAAAACTAACAGTCGACTCATTTTTGGTCTCAATTCAGTCGCCTTCTTTACATATACGGTCGAAAATTCATAATCCTATAGATCTAGAAATTACAAGATTTAATTTAACGACTGGAGAGTTCAAAAGTGAGGCAAGGACGAATTATTCTGAGTCATCTGAAGGAACAATCCCAAAACAATGTGAAAAAGTGACTGAAGGGACTGTTATGTGTCCTCTGCTATCTTGTCACCTAAAAAATGACTATGTAGTTTTCAGGACTTCAGATGCCAATTTTTCAATGGTAAACGACAAAGTTGACTACTTAGCTAGAGAGCTAATAGTCCATGCATTTTTGTCAGGAAATAAAGCATCGTCAGATGCATGTAGAAGTAGCAAGTTATGCGGATCAATAGTGTTTGGGAATGATTTGTTGATGAATATCAATACAGACCCTCTATCGTTAGGGTTTTCGTTAGAAGAAATGATGATTATAATACAAATTATCCTGGAAGCCAAATCTTTTTATGAAAGAATTTCTAAGCCATAATATTAATAAATCCGTTGCTTTTTGTCTAAAAATTATTATTATTTGCTTATCAATTAATAACCCAGCATGGAGGATCATAAATCTGATAGAAGGAGAGAAACCTATGCGACACTTGATAACGCAGAATATATAATAGTTATTCCATCCCTATCATTCCCTACAAACGAGCTTACAAAATTTAAAGGAATACACAATTATGAAGAAAGGCTTTTTTATTATTTCTCATACTTAACCAATCCCAATATCAAAATCGTTTATGCCACAAGTTTACCTTTAGAAAAATCAACAATCCTTTATTACATTCAGCTCCTTACTCGAAATTCAAGCTTTACCCCAAAAGAATTAAAAAAACGCGTTTTATTTTTAAGCTGTGACGATACAAGTTCATCATGTCTAGTAGAAAAGCTATATAGGCATCCAATTTTGATAGAAAAAATCAAGCAGTTTATTAATCCTTCCAAATCGTTGATGGTTACCTATATTGGTACAAACCTAGAATATGAGCTTGCCAATGAATTAAATGTCCAGCTGTTTGCTAATGACTATCATTATTCTTATTTTGCTACCAGAGCAGGCAATAAAGAAATATTCGCAGAAGCAGAAATCCCACATCCAAAAAGCAGTGGGGTTATTAAAAGTGTAGAAGGCTTAATAGAAGCTTTATCCACCCTCTATATTGAAAATAATTCAGAAATTACTAAATTTGTCATGTTTATGTTTATTGAATTTCTCTAGCACAACTGTGCCTATAAGTCTTCTTTTACTTGAGATCCATCTACGATACAGCTCCGAACAAAGGTAGGTAGACCGGCCTAACCGTCGAACCGTTAAAGTTACCAAGCCCTTTCAGGCTTCTCTAGTCTGTGCCAGCCTCAGCACAGACCTCCTCTCTTCAAGCCGAGACTCTCAAGAAGCTTGGACTTTTCTCATTAAATTAGGATTGTATAGCCCCTGAAATATTTTAGAACATTATTGGCCATCCATTTTAATATATTCAGAACTAATTTGTACTTGTCAGCTTTTTTGAAAGTAAAAACGAAAATGATAAGTCTCCGTTTATGGTTTTAAGGCAGCTAATCAGGCTTATACTGTATAAGGCAGGTGCCCTGTACCATATTTTTTCTGGTCGGTATTCTGCTGGGGTATAGAGATCTATTAAGGTGTGAGCTATAGGGCTAGCCTGATGAGCAGGACTAGATCCTACCCCTAACTGCCATTTTAAATATTGTGAAATTTGTCATAAAGCAGAATAATGGACTTGGAGGAATTGGGACTTGTCTTTTGCATACAAAGTATTTCGATAGGACAAATTTGCATGAATCTATTAGAGATGCATTAGAAAATAAAATAGAATTCCAGTTTGCAAATGAAAATTGAGAATCTTATCAGCAGAAGATCCAGAATTTTGGAGTTATGGTGGAAATATGAATTGATGATGCTTTTTCTTCACCATCGTGCCAAGGGATTATTTATCAAAATGGGGATGTTGAAATCTTGTCGACTCATGAACAAATTTTGCATGGGTTAATCTATAGTTTGAGAGGGCTTGGAATATTCGCAATCTATAGGTAATGGACAATTTTTATAGAAAATAGATATAATGAATAGAAAATAATTGAAAAATTATGTAAGAGAGAATATGTGGGATGTGAATTTCCAGCAAAAAATGAATATCGGCAAGAAATAATGAACCAAACTGCCAAAATAGGAAATATTTTGTCAAGAAAAGGGTGTAGAGAAAGATTTGGGGTTGATTTTGTTGTGAAAAAAGAAAATGATTCTTTAAATATTTATGCAATAGAAATTAATATAAGGTGGACTGGGACCTCGCATCCCTTCTTGACAGCAAAGAGGCTGATCAATTCTGAAATCACTGAAGATGGCTTATTGAAAAGTAAAGAAGGAAAATTTAAATATTATTTTGCAAACGATTGCGTGATAAATGAAATCTATGCAGGACTTACGCCTAGATTTTTCATTGAATTTATCAATTCTAACGTAGAGCTTCAATTCGACTCAGATAGAATGATTGGAATAGTTATCTATAACTTTTCTTTTACGGCAGAATTTGGAAGATTTGGTGTGCTCGCCATATCAGATTCTATTGATGAGGCAAAAGTTCTTTATTTCAAATCTTTACAAATAATTGAAGCATTTGCGAATGAAATTCATAATAAGAAGAGAAATATAGCATTAGAATAAAATAAACATTTTATATGATAAATCAGAATTGTAAGTGAATAATGGATATTGATATAAAAATGAATGATTCTGGCTTGCAAACTCAATATACAGAATTTTTTTTAACGCTGTTGGAGCTTGTAGGGACCTTATCTAGGATTATGATTAGTTTTTCGAAATTGCTGCTAAATACCTTTTTATTCCTTTGCTATTACTTTTTGGTAAAAGCACCTCTTGAAAATTATCAAAATCTAGTAAATCTAATCAGAATATGGGCTAAAAGAAAAATGAAAACAATTTTAAAAATAATTATTAATTGTTATTAAAATAAAAATCTTTACCTCAATAAAATTCTCTAGATTTCTTTAGATAAATTTTAATTTATTATAGAATATCCAGCATATTTAAAAAAAATAATGGAGAGCAGAGAAAGCATTGACATCGATGTAAGCGTCAAAATTGTACTTGTGGGCGATTCTCAAGTTGGCAAATCGAGCCTTCTAAGTCTATTTATAAACGAAGAATTCAACCAAAATATCCCAACCACACATGGGATTGGAAACAAACACCGAACTCTTGAATTAGAAGGAAAAGTCGTAAAAGTTGATCTTTGAGATGTGCCGGGACATATAAAATACAGACCTGCATTAACTCAGTTTTATAATCATGCTAGTGCTGCTATTCTTATTTTCGATTTATCAAAACGAGAAAGTTTTAAAAATCTTAATAAATGGATCTCAGAGCTGACTTTAAGTGGAATAAAGCTGCCAAGGATTCTTTTAGTGGGAAATAAAAGTGATAAAACAGAAGAGAGAGATATTGATGAAAGTGATTTGCAAAACTTTTTGAAGAATTACTATTTAAAATATAACTAATTATAGTAAATATAAACTTCCTCAGGCTACTGTTTATAATTACCAAATAGCAAATAAGATAACAGCTAATCAGAAGGAACGTTTTTATTTATTTTTTAGGTATATATTGAAACTTCAGCAAAAACTGGGGAAAATGTTGAGGAAGCTTTTATGATTGCCCTGCAAAAGTCGCTGAAATTTTATGAAGGAAGGAATGAAAGTAGAAGCAGCACACAAGTTGATGCAAGAAATCGTGAAGCTTGCTGTGTATGCCGTGTGGTTTGCAGATTATTTTAGTAAGAATTGCTATAAATCCATTAATAATAAATAATAATATATCGTTTTTATTAATAAAATACACAAAGATTTCTTATTTATTAATCGAAAACAAATATGATTTAATATATGTTTTGATTTATCAAGAATAATAAAACATTTGCTTATAAAAATACCATTTTATCTACTTTTAAATTAAGGATAAATTTTTATCAATAATGAATAGCTTGGGTGATCATGAAAATTAAGATCCAACCTATGACCCTAGAAATTCTTTTACAATTCTTGACAATGCTAGAGTATTCTCTAATCTTATAAATACTACTATACCGGCAAAATTCAGGTTGATCTCCATGGGGCTATCTCAAGCCTGTCGGATCTTATCAGATACCTCCTATTGTTTGGTGAGGTCAAAAAGAATTTGAAAACTCCTTTTGGATAGATTTCCAAACTTTGTTTGTCTTCGTGAGAAGTGGAGGAGATGTCAATAAAATCTGACAGACTAACTAGCACCTGAGCTAAAAGGGTGCATAGGGTGTATACTAATGACCAAGAATAGCCCACTAAGAGCCATTCTTGGTCTGCCAGAAAAAATTTTTGACAAAAGATCCTAATCTGCCATTACCACTGAGTTTTGGTGTTTCCAAATTTTTTGGGCAAGCCAAATGCAATAAAAAAAAATTGTTCTTTTGCGATGATGCATTTGGCTTGTCAAAAAAAAATTGGGCAACACCAAAACTCAGTGGTAATTGCAGATTAGGATCGTTTGTCATTACCACTGAATTTTGGTATTGCCAAATTTTTTTGACAAGCCAAATGCATCATCGCAAAAGAACAATTTTTTTTATTGCATTTGGCTTGCCCAAAAAATTTGGAAACACCAAAACTCAGTGGTAATGGCAGATTAGGATCTTTTGTCAAAATTTTTTCTGGCAGACCAAGAATGGCTCCTTAGTGGGCTATTCTTGGTCAATTAGTATATCTATTTTATAATTATGTATTTTTACCTTCAAATTAACTAGAGAGCAATAAATATGAAACCTATCATCTGTTACCAATAGTTATTAATTTTGAATTTCTTATTAAATAACCCAGTTCTTTTCCTTTTCCTTCTCATACGTCCATTTAATTCTTTTACGTTTTCGCTTCCATAAATGATAGAAATCTATTGGTATCCTTTCTACTACATTTTTTATATACCTATATTCATATAATAAGCTAAAATTCAAAGATATCTTAAAATCTTCCACAAAAAATAAACACATAAACCGTATAACCCGTAATACCATTTTACCATTGGTATTTCTACCAAAAGTAATTGTAATATCATGGGCATTATACAAACAAAGAAAAAAGTTCATCTAAATTCTGACTTAGAAGAAAAACCTTCAAGCCCAGACTTTTTAAAAGCAAGAAAAGCCCACTATAAAAATGAATATGTGCTAGCAAAGAAGGCGTTAAAAAAATCACATCATTGTGAAAGCGATCCAGACTTGGATGAGTATCAGAGACTTCCCCAGCGAAAAGCAAGCTTTGTAGAGCCAACTGACGCTCATGATGAAGAATCGAAATCGGTATTTTTCGAAAAATTCACAAAAAAGACGCAGGTCGAAGAATTTACATATGCAAAAAAGGAGCTCATTCGACTTGATCCAAAGCTTTTGGTTTCTCCCCTATGTAAAGATAATGGAGGAGAAAGGAAAAGGCTATCATTGGATAATTTATTGTATGAATCGAGTGATATAAAGAGAAGATACTCTGAGAACATAATAGAATAACTTAATGTGTATAGATATAAGTAAGCGAGAAGTTTTAAAAGGAAATTTAATAAAATTTGAGTGAAAAAATTAAAAATAAATTGTTTGGTAGAAAGAAATAGTAAGGAGCATTGGTTCTATTGAGAAATATTATAAAAAATTAATAAGCAGTCATTTAAAGTGATTTTATTGGAAATGGTTAATAAATATTACTTTAGGAAATTTATTAAAATTATTTAAGAAAAAGCATTGATTGCCCTTACCATAATTTTCCTGCGTAACTCATTTTAAATTTGATTTTTATTATAATATGGAAGCAGAATCTAACACACCAAAGAGAGAACTTTCACCGTTTACTCAATTCTGCCTGACTAATCTTTCTCCAATTGACGACTACATCTCATTTTATCCTATTACAACAAATACTCTTAAGCTAAATAAGCTATATTCTTTTCCCCAAAAACGAGCTCTAAGCTCACTAACCCCAAAGTGCGCATGCAAAAGATCAGGTTTTTCTATTTTTTTCGATTTTTCATTTATTTTTATTTTAATTTAAATAATTTTTTTTAATATTTTAATAGCCATAGATCACAATGCCTCAAAATGTATTGTGAATGCTTTGCTGCCAATTCCCTTTGTGCAGATTGTGACTGCATTGGCTGTAGCAACATTCCAATTGAAGATGAAACCAAGCTTATTTCTCACGAAAAACTCAAAATCGTCAATGTAAAACACCAGCGAGGTTGCAGCTGTAAAAGATCAAATTGCCGGAAAAAATATTGTGAGTGTTACCAAAAAAACCTTTACTGCAAGCATTTTTGTAAATGCTTGAGCTGTGAAAATATGTAACAATATTAACGGATTAATTGTAAAAAATTTACGCTAATTTCTTATATCTTGCTATAGACTTTAAAAGTATATCAGTTTTAAGGTTCAGGCAGTCTGATTAAATTCGCAAGCTTCCTTTGAGAGTCATCTTGGATTTTCAAGATAAATGGATGTTCAAGCAGCTTTTTACTGTCTAATCTTTCAGCTGGGTTCTTTTGCAAGCATTTATCGAGGAAATTTATGAACTCTTCACTCCAAAGTGCAGGATTTTGAAGTCGTGGAGGCGGCCTTGTAGCAATTTTAAATAAAACCTTAATAGGGGCATCTTTAACCATAGGAGGCGGGCCTTCTGCTAGCTCTAAAGCTACAATTCCGAGTGATCAAATATCGACCATATGGTCATAATTAGACCCAGAAATCATTTCAGGAGCCATCCAGCATGGTGACCCCACCACAGTCCCTCTCCTCTTGTTCCCATTAGCCAAATCCGCAGCAAACCCAAAATCGCAAAGTTTTACTTCCCCAGTCCTTGAAATCATAATATTTCCACTACAAATATCTCTATGTATAATCTGTTTTTCACATAAATAATTTAGTGCTTTTATAATTTCTTTCAAAATATAAGCCATAATTTCTTCATCGATAAGCCCAGCTTTGACTTGGACCATTTCATCTAAGCTCATAAACATCAGCTCTTCTATAATTCATATACTATTTATATGGAAAAAGCACTCAATGCATTTTACTATATTTACATTGTCACAAGACTGCATAATTGCGACTTCAGTTAGGATTTTTTGTTTTTCCCGCTTTGAGCTTGGGTTGACTCTTTTTAGGGCAAAAGTTTCATGAGTACTAGTGTCTTCAACAACCCAAAAGTCTTCAAGTCCTTTTTTGGTGATTTGCTCAATAATTGTATATTTTATTTCTGGATTGTTTTTAGAAATCGTTGCAAGATGGCTTAAATTTTGGAAGCAGCTACCATTTTCACTTTTACACGAGGAATTTATGACCATTAATAAGTGTTTTGACAGTCTTTCTGCTTCTTGTTGGCTTGATCCTCGCCTTCTTACTTGCTGCTCCCAATCATTGGGCAATCCCTATATAGATCTTACAGAGAGTCCAGTAGGGGTCTTAGCATCTTCGACCACATGGACATTATGGACCACATTTTTAGGGCTGCTTGCTAAATATTCGTCATGAAGATCACGTATTTCGCTGATCCCTTCAGTAATATTTATAGAATGGCCTCTTTGGCAATTCGGCAAGCAGTTTTTACAAAATCTCCTAGAAAACCCACTTTCTTTTACCTTGACTGTGCAGTCTTTGCAAAAGGTATTGTCTATGTAAAAAAATACTGCATAAATGCCTTATAATAATAAAATGGCTCAGTGCGGAATTAGTTCTCTCCGAGAACTATTCCTTCCTTCGCTTTTATTATTATGGGTTCAGTTTTCCACGTGGACCTTTATCCGCAACACCAATATGGAATACTGCATAGGGTATTTCTTTGGTCCAGGGTACTAGGAGACAGGTGGTATTTCTGCTTGACACACCCGAGGAGGGTGACCCTTAGGCGGAAACACGCGCAGGAGTCAAGTTCGGGCGAGGCAATGCGGCCAGTGCCGACCTTCTTGCCTGACGGGTGAAGTCTTCTGGAATGCCTACATAGGGAGGATCGCTGCTGACATCACCAGTTGGGAGTTAAAAGGATGGCTTATGCATGCCTAAATCATCCTGCGGAAGAGAGAAGACATTTTAAATATCTAAGTAACTAAGTAAGTAAACAAAAATGCATTCACGCTTGCGGGTTAAGAAATGGAAAGGTTTACTGCAAATTTGGCATTTTTTGTGAGGCATATTTAGATTATTACTAAAGGTGATCTTATGTATATATCTTTAAAAATTTTAAAGCTTTTTTTGAGGCTTGGGTAGAGCTTTGTGAGATCGTGAGGCTTTTTTATGTGGTAATATTTGTTCGGGGATTTTTCAAGATTTTGTGAAGGGAGTTTTGATCTGGAGTCTTGGGCTCAGCCTTTGTAAGCTCTTATAGATGACTCGAAATTGGGATCTTTTTTGAGTTTTGAATGACTAAAAGATCGTCTTGACAGCTTGCAGATGAATGAATTGCCTTTTATATGAAATTTAGGGCGTTATGTAGCTTTTATTTCATATTTCTGGGTCAGTTTGTATTAATACTGAATCTTTGCTTGGGAATTCTTCAATTGGAGCCATATCTTCTTTTGCAACCAATAATAGAGCTAATTCTTGAAAATACTCAGACAGCCTGGGTGGGGTATATTAATTTGGCTCTAGCCTATTCATTTGTTGGTAAATTAATAAGACTTTTTCTTTGAATTCATTTTCATTAACTTTTGCATTGATTATGATTTGTGCGATATGATGAGATAATAGAAAAACTAATTTAATTAAGTCTTAGCATCTTCTAGATTTGATGCCTCCGTACGCTTTCGATTAACGCCAATCTGTCAGCAAAAGTTCCAACTCAGAGTCAAAAGCGTAACTTTGGTTTTACGCTGGGGTTGTCCGAAGGGCCAAAAGATGCTGCTGGTTTCCCTTTGCAGCTTTCACTTTCTCAAAAGGTAAAATTCAATCCTGAAAAGGGACTTGGACCAGGTTCCGCAAGTTGTCAGAATTGCTTAGCTGATATTACTGTCCATTTCTAGGCTGGAAAAATCTTGCCAGATATAATTAAATATGTGCTCGAGGCTGTATGGCCAGGAGGCAAGCCTTGAGCCAAGACGCAGTATTTAATTATGTCACTATTTGGAACAGCGGAGTAAAGCGCACCAATAATGTCCGCGGGCTAGGAAGACGCACTCTCAGTACGTTATCGCCATCGGATGCTCTAGGAAAAAAAGAGCTTGCCCTCAGAGCCAGAAGGAAAAAATATATCTGAATAACTAATATTTGACTCCCAAAGCCCCAAAAAGTACACCATCAGATGGGCAAGGGCTAGATATAAAGCGATTTTTACGGCCAGATGGAATATCGTCTTTAAAAGCATATTTAGTCACCCCCTTATTAATTATTAGAAAAATTAAGGATTCAGATAATTTCCCATATATATTTTCTTGTTGCTTACTCCTGAGAGAACTCACCAAAAGGGTTAATTCTTTTTATATATATAAAATTTTTTTAATGCTTTTTCTTGAAAATTGATGATAAAAATATTTTAATATATAAATAATAATTATTATAGCAAAATCACTAGCTGATTTTCTTGAATTAAAACTATTATATTTCAATTCTGCAAATTGGGATTTATAAAAATTTTTGCTCGTTTGTAAAGTTTTTTGCTTTAAAAATAGGGATTTTCCAATGTTTTTGCTCGCTTAAGAGAGGATTCAGTAGAAAAGCCTCCATAAATGTCCATAAATTAAAAATAAAAATTCATAATGAAGTCCATCAGAAGACTAGCAGTTCGTTGCAAAATCATATTCTCCTTCTCGCTGACTTAAAATTCTTACTAGAATAAAAAAAACTAAATTATTTCTGTCCAATGCCTTAAAAAGGTATAATAAATTATATAGCCGCAATTGCAATAAACTCATGCATTATTTTTTAAGATTTATTTCAACAGATTGCTGTAGAAATACTGACTCTTGATAAAAAATGCTTGCTATCTTGGTGAGTTTATTCACAAGTGCTCTTGCCGGTCCTGAATTTTTACAGGCTGGAGTTTCAGCAACATACAATATTTTCACTATAGAGTGGAAGCCAACAATGTGCATGACAACTAAATGCCAATCTGGCTACTATGGACTCAATTTCAATATCCATGGCCTCTGGCCTAGTGTCGCTTCAGGTACCCAGCCTCAATACTGTACATCTTCTTATTCATTTAGCGTAAACTCAACAACTCAAGCTGCAATACAGCAATGCTGGCTTTCAGACAGCGAAACCCCTCTTAGCTTTTGGGAGCATGAATGGGAAAAGCATGGAGTTTGCATGAACCCAGCAGTCCCATCCAATACCTATTTTGCTGATGCTGCCCAGCTTTTTAACCAATTGGGAGTACTGAATTTATTAGCAGCTAAAGGAATTAAGCCTAGCAACTCGCAAACTGTGAGCAAGAACACTTTTTATGGGGCATTTTCAAATGCTATTAATATTCAGTGCTTTGAATCAAGTGGAAAATATTACATTGAGAATGTACTGCTTTGCTATGATAATAGTCTCAAGCAGATTGACTGCACCAAAGCATCAACTAACTGTGGGGACTCATTTTATTTCCCATCCTCAACGTCGGCGCATGAGCAATTATAAGCTAAATCTTGAATTTAAATCCTTTAATGTATAATTAAATTTAACAATTCCAGACATATGAGAAAGTTGCTGTCAAAGGTTTTTCTTTTCAAAGCAAAATGAAAGTTACTATACAAAAGATAATTAAAAAGAATAAATTTTTAATTTAGAGCACTATTATTAAGGGCTGCAATGAAAAAATAACTATCTACTTATTTCCTGCTTTTTCTGCGGAAGAACAAAAAAAATTTTTATTCCTAAAAAATCAAAAAAACTATAAAATGTTTTGAATTTATTGTGTAAAATAGTGATTGAGGAAACAATACTCTGATTACTGATAATGTTAATGAAAGAATCTTTTTAAGCACTATCTCGAAAAATTAAATTGAGACCATAATATAAAGATATATTGCTAGTTGATAGACATATAAAATGCACGATATCTTAAATTGTGCTATCATTATTATCACTATTGATTCCTATGGTGCGAATCTACTACTAACAATTTCTTTATGCTGTTATAAAACAGAAACAGACTATAAATTGAGTATTTCAATAACTTAAAAGTCGAGGGTTCTTGGGTCCGAAATCACTGTGGCTAATAGGAATCAAGCTCAGTTTAATGTTGTAAGTCGTTCCTTCATTAAAACAAATATTGCATTTTGCCTATGGCTTATAATTAGGAATACACAATCTCATCTAAAGGCTGCTTGTGTTAATGAGAAAACTTTGCAATCTATTTTTATGATCTCTATAATACTAAAATCTTCAAGAATTTAATCAAAGAAAGACTGCACTATTGAATGCATTTCCTTCACTTTCCAATTCTCATCCATTTTCAAAATTAATTATAAGCAGGGTAAGAGCTAGGCAAATGAAATCTTTAATATTGACACAAAAACAACGAGAAGATGTAAAAATATGAATGCAAGCTTAAACACATTAAAATGAAATATATGACACTAAAATTCTGATGGCTTTCGATTAGACATTGGAGAAAAAACAAAATAAAAATCTATTTGCTTCAGCAACTTATTATGCATCTTTCATTTAAATTTTATACTGATTTTTGTATTGCATATGTTGAGTCTGCATTGATAAATTGAACAATATATATTAATAAGATAAAATCAATTATAGAAGAAAAAATGAATTTTCAAGATTTCAATATGATTTAATATCAAAAACGGCGCTTTCTCTTGTAAAAAATACATAAGATATAAATTCCTTGGGCTCATTGATTTAAATAAATGATGTAGGAGGGACAGAGTAAATCTTCAAAATTGAAGGGATTTTTTTTTCCCAATTTAAGGGGGGTGGAGTAAACAATCTTGATTGAAAATAAACTTATAGATTAAAAAGCAAAGACTATATCTTTTAAATTCAAAAATATCGTTGCTAATTATAATTTAGCTCAAAATTTTCAATTTAAATTTGAGAGTAATAAGAATTAAGTCCTAAATTCATTATTTTAGCTTTCTAGTTTGTTTTAGATATATTTTTCAAGTCAAACATGAGAAAATACTATGCCATCTCAAGCGTAAGGCAGTTAAGCCAACCTAAGTTATAAATTTCTCAATTTTATATTAAATCTAGACAGCCATGAAATAAAGCCTTAATAAGTTAATGTTTGAAATGATAGCAAACAAATAAATAATTTCTATTGCTATTATAACTTAGTGTAATTTATGTTTTTATAATTGAATTAATTAATTTAATGATTGAAATTATAAAGCAATTTTTCAAAATAATTTAATTAAAACTTATTATCCTTTTTCAATTAGCAGTCTCCACCGCAGTCAATGCTGATTGTGATTACGACTTCTGTTGAGCATCCATCGCATTCTTCATCATCTTCTTTAGCTGGTTCTTGCTCTTCTTCACCGTGGGTTTGTTCTTCAGCTTGGGTTTGTTCTTCAGCTTGAGCTTCCTCTGATTGAGTTTGCTCTTCAGCTTGAGATTCCTCATGTTGCTCTTCGGCTTGAGCCTCTTCGTGTTGCTCTTCAGATTGAGCTTCTTCTGATTGGGTTTGTTCTTCAGCTTGGGCTTGCTCTTCAGAGCTAGCTTCTTCATATTGTTCCTCAGCTGGTGCTTCCTCTTCAGCTTGAGCCTCTTCATGTTGTTCTTCAGCTTGAGTTTCTTCTTCAGCTTGGGATTCTTCTTCAGCTTGAGATTCCTCATGTTGTTCTTCAGCTTGGGATTCTTCTTCAGCTGCTGCTTCTTCTTCAGCTTGAGATTCCTCATGTTGTTCTTCAGCTTGAGATTCCTCATGTTGCTCTTCAGCTTGGGATTCTTCTTCAGCTGCTGCCTCTTCTTCAGCTGGAGCTTGTTCTTCAGCTTGGGATTCCTCATGTTGCTCTTCAGCTTGGGATTCTTCTTCAGCTGCTGCTTCTTCTTCAGCTGGAGCTTGTTCTTCAGCTTGGGATTCCTCATGTTGCTCTTCAGCTTGAGATTCTTCTTCAGCTGCTGCCTCTTCTTCAGCTGGAGCTTGTTCTTCAGCTTGAGATTCCTCATGTTGTTCTTCAGCTGCTGCTTCTTCTTCAGCTGCTGCCTCTTCTTCAGCTTGGGATTCCTCATGTTGCTCTTCAGCTTGGGATTCTTCTTCAGCTTGGGATTCCTCATGTTGCTCTTCAGCTTGGGATTCTTCTTCAGCTGCTGCCTCTTCTTCAGCTGGAGCTTGTTCTTCAGCTTGAGATTCCTCATGTTGTTCTTCAGCTTGGGATTCTTCTTCAGCTGCTGCCTCTTCTTCAGCTGGAGCCTGTTCTTCAGCTTGAGATTCCTCATGTTGTTCTTCAGCTGCTGCTTCTTCTTCTTCAGCTGCTGCCTCTTCTTCAGCTTGAGATTCCTCATGTTGCTCTTCAGCTTGGGATTCTTCTTCAGCTGCTGCCTCTTCTTCAGCTGGAGCTTGTTCTTCAGCTTGAGATTCCTCATGTTGTTCTTCAGCTGCTGCTTCTTCTTCAGCTTGAGATTCCTCATGTTGTTCTTCAGCTGCTGCCTCTTCTTCAGCTGGAGCTTGTTCTTCAGCTTGGGATTCCTCATATTGTTCTTCAACTTGGGATTCTTCTTCAGCTGGAGCTTGTTCTTCAGCTTGGGATTCCTCATGTTGCTCTTCAGCTTGAGTTTCTTCTTCAGTTTGGGATTCCTCATGTTGTTCTTCAGCTTGGGATTCTTCTTCAGCTGGAGCTTGTTCTTCAGCTTGAGATTCCTCATGTTGCTCTTCAGCTTGAGTTTCTTCTTCAGCTTGAGATTCCTCATGTTGTTCTTCAGCTTGAGATTCTTCTTCAGCTGCTGCTTCTTCTTCAGCTGGAGCTTGTTCTTCAGCTTGGGATTCCTCATGTTGCTCTTCAGCTTGAGATTCCTCATGTTGTTCTTCAGCTTGGGATTCTTCTTCAGCTGCTGCCTCTTCTTCAGCTGGAGCTTGTTCTTCAGCTTGAGATTCCTCATGTTGCTCTTCAGCTTGAGTTTCTTCTTCAGCTGCTGCCTCTTCTTCAGCTGGAGCTTGTTCTTCAGCTTGAGATTCCTCATATTGTTCTTCAGCTGCTGCTTCTTCTGATTGGGTTTGTTCTTCAGCTTGAGTTTCCTCAGCTGGAGCTTGCTCTTCAGAGCTAGCTTCTTCATATTGTTCTTCAGCTTGAGTTTCTTCTTCAGCTTGAGATTCCTCATGTTGCTCTTCAGCTGCTGCTTCTTCTTCAGCTGCTGCTTCTTCTTCAGCTGCTGCCTCTTCTTCAGCTTGAGATTCCTCATGTTGCTCTTCAGCTTCAGCTTCCTCTTCAGCTTGAGTTTGTTCTTCAGCTTGAGATTCCTCATGTTGTTCTTCAGCTGCTGCTTCTTCTTCAGCTGCTGCCTCTTCTTCAGCTGGAGCTTGTTCTTCAGCTTGAGATTCCTCATGTTGCTCTTCAGCTTCAGCTTCCTCTTCAGCTGCTGCTTCTTCTTCAGCTGGAGCTTGTTCTTCAGCTTGGGATTCCTCATGCTGCTCTTCAGCTTGAGCTTCTTCTTCAGCTTGAGTTTCCTCGGCTGGAGCTTGCTCTTCAGCTTGAGATTCCTCATGTTGCTCTTCAGCTTGGGATTCTTCTTCAGCTGCTGCCTCTTCTTCAGCTGGAGCTTGTTCTTCAGCTTGAGATTCCTCATGTTGTTCTTCAGCTTGGGATTCTTCTTCAGCTGCTGCTTGTTCTTCAGCTGCTGCTTGTTCTTCAGCTTGTGATTCCTCATATTGTTCCTCAGCTTGAGATTCTTCAGTTTGAGCTTCCTCATGTTGCTCTTCAGCTTGGGATTCTTCTTCAGCTGCTGCCTCTTCTTCAGCTGGAGCTTGTTCTTCAGCTTGAGATTCCTCATGTTGTTCCTCAGCTTGGGATTCTTCTGATTGAGTTTGTTCTTCAGCTGGTGCTTGCTCTTCAGCTTGTGATTCCTCATATTGTTCCTCAGCTTGGGATTCTTCAGCTTGGGATTCCTCTGATTGAGTTTGTTCTTCAGCTTGGGCTTCCTCATATTGTTCCTCAGCTGGTGCTTGTTCTTCAGCTTGGGATTCTTCTGATTGGGTTTGTTCTTCAGCTGGAGCTTGCTCTTCAGCTTGAGATTCCTCATATTGTTCCTCAGCTTGGGATTCTTCAGTTTGAGATTCCTCATGTTGTTCTTCAGCTGCTGCCTCTTCTTCAGCTGGTGCTTGTTCTTCAGCTTGCGATTCCTCATGTTGTTCCTCAGCTGCTGCTTCTTCTTCAGCTTGGGATTCTTCAGCTGGAGCTTGTTCTTCAGCTTGAGATTCCTCATGTTGTTCCTCAGCTTGGGATTCTTCAGCTTGAGTTTGTTCTTCTGCTGATGCTTGTTCTTCAGCTTGAGATTCCTCATATTGCTCTTCAGCTTGGGATTCTTCTTCAGCTGCTGCCTCTTCTTCAGCTGGCGCTTGCTCTTCAGCTTGAGCTTCCTCATATTGTTCCTCAGCTTGGGATTCTTCTTCAGCTTGGGATTCTTCAGCTTGAGCTTGTTCTTCAGCTTGGGATTCCTCTGATTGGGTTTGTTCTTCAGCCTGGGCTTCCTCATATTGCTCTTCAGCTTGGGATTCTTCTGATTGGGTTTGTTCTTCAGCAGGAGATTGCTCTTCAGCTGCAGCTTCTTCTGATTGGGTTTGTTCTTCAGCTGGTGCTTGTTCTTCAGCTTGAGATTCCTCATGTTGTTCTTCAGCTGCTGCTTCTTCTTCAGCTTGAGTTTGTTCTTCAGCTTGTGCTTGCTCTTCAGCTTGTGATTCCTCATATTGTTCCTCAGCTTGGGATTCTTCAGCTTGAGTTTGTTCTTCTGCTGGTGCTTGTTCTTCAGCTTGAGATTCCTCATATTGCTCTTCAGCTGCTGCTTCTTCTGATTGGGTTTGTTCCTCAGCTGGTGCTTGTTCTTCAGCTTGAGATTCCTCATATTGTTCCTCAGCTGCTGCTTGTTCTTCAGCTTGGGATTCTTCAGCTGGTGCTTGTTCTTCAGCTTGGGATTCTTCTGATTGGGTTTGCTCCTCAGCTTGGGATTCTTCTGATTGGGTTTGTTCCTCAGCTTGGGATTCTTCTGATTGGGTTTGTTCCTCAGCTTGGGATTCTTCTGATTGAGCTTCCTCATATTGCTCTTCAGCTTGGGATTCTTCTGATTGAGTTTGTTCTTCAGCTGGTGCTTGTTCTTCAGCTTGAGATTCCTCATGTTGCTCCTCAGCTTGGGATTCTTCAGCTTGAGTTTGTTCTTCTGCTGCTGCCTCTTCTTCAGCTTGAGATTCCTCATATTGCTCTTCAGCTTGGGATTCTTCTGATTGGGTTTGCTCTTCAGCTTGAGCTTGTTCCTCAGCTGCTGCTTCTTCTGATTGGGTTTGTTCCTCAGCTGGTGCTTGTTCTTCAGCTTGAGATTCCTCATATTGTTCTTCAGCTTGGGATTCTTCTTCAGATTGAGATGGGTAGCTTTCTTCTTCGCTAACAGTCTCTTCCTCAGTGCTTTCTTCTGTAATAGTCTCAGATGACCATCCAGTGGCGCTATCTTCTTCTGATTCAACAGTTTCTCCTGATGAGGTTTCTTCAGCTTGTTGCTCTTCATAAGAGCTTTCTTCTACTGGAGTGCTTTCTTCAGCAGATGTTTCTCCATCAGAGGCTGTATCTTCGTCTGCAGGCTCTTCTGAGGTATCGACATCAGTACTTGCTGTATTTTCAGCTGCTTGTTCAGGTAAGTCAGTGGTAGATGCTGAATCGGAGGCAGCTTCTTCAAGATAGTCTTCATCAATGTTTCCGTCAGTTGCTTCAACTAAGCTTTCGTCTTTTTCTTGTTCATCACAAGTGCAGGAGATTAGGCCTAAAGAGATTTGTTGGAGATACATAATAGTTTCTTTATAAGTCATTTCTGGGTCGGCGTTCTTATAACAATCACATGTTGAATAGTCTTCAGGTTCATAATATTGGAGAAGAACTGCCGCGAGTTCTTGCTTGAAATTAAGTTCAGCTTGATTAACACGAGTTTTGGATGCTGCAACTAGCGTGAGAGCTAAGGCAGCGAGGACAATCAATTTCATTGCCATTAAATTATAGTGTAAAACGGATAAACCTTTGTCCTTATATCCGTAAAAACATGGAAGCCTTTTTGGGATTTTCACCCAAAAAGTCAAGATTTGGGCCAAAGAAGGAGAAAAAGAAAGAAAAAATATAGGAAAATTGCAGGGAAATGTGCAGAAAATGAATGAAAACGGTTTGGTGGAATTTTACAGGATAAGGAAGAAGGAATCTCGAGATTTTTAAAAAAATGAGAATTTCGCTAGAAAAACGCATAATAATTTGTAAAAGATAGAGCAAAACAGTTTTCACAGTTATTTTTCTAAAAATTGAATATTTCTTAATTATTTTAACTAACTCCCCCCTTTTAAATTAGAACAAAATATAGGTAAATTTTCCACTTTTTTGGTAAATTAAGCCCCCTTTAAATTGGAACAAAATTTAATTTTATAATAAAAAATTGTATATATAAAAATCATAATTTTTATGTAAAAAGTTTTGATATAAGTTAAATGTTTCTTCTTAACTAAAATTAAAAATTTAGTTATATCTTGCTCTTGTTTAAAAGAAGAGAGTATAAAGAGCATCTTATTTAAATAAATTTATTATCCTTAATTGCTAAATTTAAAAAAAAAAAATATATTTTATTTAAATAATTTTGATATAAAAATTGCATGCGAATTCTTTACAAAAATTCAAAATGTACTTATTTCTTGCTTTATTTTAAAGAATAGAGTATAAATAAATCTTATTTAACCAAAATTAGCACTTTGATCGAATAAATTTTTTGTTTTTATCAATAAAAATAATAATTTTTGTGTAAATAGTTTTGATATCAATTAATAGTGGCGTATTAATTAATAATGAAAATTTAATTATATCTTGCTTTGTTTTAAAGGATAAAGAGTAAACAGCATTTTATTAAACAAATTTATTAATCTAATTTATTAAATTTTTGCAATTTTTTTTTTTATAAAAATTTTCTTAAATTGGAGCAAAATTTTTTGTTCCAATTTAAGGGGGGAGTAAGAAGAAATCTTTTCAAGATTTGCTTTAAATTTTAACACTCTTTTAAACTTAATTTTAAACGAGAACGGGTTATTTAAATTGTTTTATTAGGTTTTAGCAGCTGTCTTTCATTTGAAGTGCTTTTATGCTAAATTCTAATGTTTTCTCTCAATAAAACTCAAAAAATCTTTTCAGATTGAGTAATATTCTTAAAATGCAAAATTTTTTGCTTTTACAGGGCTTATTTGTAATTTTGCTGCTTTAAACCAAAATAGAACCTTGAAAAACTGAGAGAATTGTTGCATAGATGCTTCTATTTGCACAGTAACACCAAAATCTGCACTTTATGTAAGTCTAGGTATTGAAAAACGCACATTTTTAATATAAGAAAAATCAAAAGGTCTGGAGGTGATTAAATATCTATATTTTTTATTCCAAATCACTTATTTACCACCAAAATCTAATTTTTACTTCTAGATTCTCTTCAAAACGATTTTAAAGATTTTTCTAGCAATATTCAGTTAAAAAATTAACTTACAATAACAATAATAGTAGGATAATGATACAGGAATAACTCAAACAATTTAAAAATCAATATTTCTTACGATATTAGCTTTAAGTTAATTTTAAACTTTGAGTTAAACAATTTTCTGTAAAAAAGTGAGATTAAATGCAGTTTGCTTACTCCCGCTATCCTTGATCGAACGATTCACTATAAAAATTCCTAAAAATTGGGAAAATTAACCCCCATCCTTGATCGAACGATTTTCATATCAAGCAAATTGTTATATAAAAATATATTAGTTATTATTAGTTTATTTTATGGAAAATAGTATGTTCAATATATATAGAGAGAGTTTACTATTAAATACTCTTAACCTCTTATTTAAAAGTATATAAAAAAAAAACATATATTTTTTATTTTATATATAAAAAATTTTTTTTAACGCCATCCTTGATCGACGATGGCGAGCCGTTCGATTAAGGATGGGGAGGAGTTATCAAAATTTTGATGCGATAATATGAAAAGATTTACTCGAAAATTGCCAAGGACTAATCACCGAACTTTAATTTTACTTTTTAAATCACTCAAAGTTATTAATTATTTAGATTCAATTTTCAGATAAATATAATTTTCGCATGTAACATTGGATGACAATAGTATATTAAAAATCAAGGATTTTAGGACTTTATTTATCGATGTTTCATACAAATATCTGCTTAATTTCTGAATTTCTTTTAAAGCAAAATGGTCAGAAAATGTTTAGCATATTGAATATGGGTGCTGCTGATGCATAATAAGCGTTACAGCATAAATATGCCTATTTTATTTTTTATTTATTAATAAAAATTTATTCCACATACAAAGAAAATTTCTTATTTTTGACTTAAAGGATTCATTTATGTTTAATAGAGTTTAGCCAATAAATCATTTTCGTAGCCATATTCATCTAATCATTTTCTTTTTATATCTAAAAATTATTTCCTATAAGCTATATAATTTTTAAATTAAGAATGCTGATAAACCATTATGAAAGCTTAATAGAATTTGTGCAAGCAAATTAAATATTAATTTAAGCCGCTCTTAGTCAGTGTAGACCAAGAAATTGAGGTAGAAATTTTAGTAATAAATTTCAGAAGTTTCTAAATTAAACAAGAACATTAATTCAATTGATATTTAGTATTTAAGCATTTGATTATGAAACTTAACAAAACGAGCTTAATAGCAATATAGTTTTTTTCTTCATATTTAAGCTGAATAGATTTAATTTCAGTTTATAATATCAAAATAAATTAAGGGATATATATATTTATTGCTTTATAAAATATATATCTTGCTAATTACTCATCGATTTCGCTAGGAAAAAAACCCTTTTGCAATTCATTGGAATATATTTTATTCTTTGCATTACAGTAGGATGATTTCCTATATCTAATAATCGGATGAAGTAGTCAAAAGGTATATTTATTAATCGAAAATAAGTGATTACAAGTATGCCAAAATTTTAGCCTTAGCTTAATTTACCATAATTTATGCTCTATATATTGATTCAATTATTGTATCTTCTAATAAATAGCTTCTTAGATATAAATTTTTCATAAATTGCTTTTTAGCCTGATGCACTATCGACACAAATTTTCAGATTTTTTAAAAAATTAATATTTCACACCAATTTAAATGCAATAGTTTTAATCAGCTGAATATAATCTCTAATATATATATCATCTTTAATAAATTTCACAATTTGAGCAAAATGCGCTAATTTTACTCTGGCCTCTAATTTCCCTCAACTTCCTCTCATATTTGCTCAATTGATTAATAAATCCTGCATTTGGCATAGTATCTCTGTGCTTTTGTTTCAAAAATGCTAACGCTTTTTTAGCAGAAATTCCTTTCTTTTTCATCAAATATGCTATAACAATAGTGGTGCTTCTTGACTGTCCCATTATGCAATGCACCAATATGCTTCCTTTGTTATCAATTGCGGAATCAATAAATTCAATTGCTTCTTCGAAATAGACTGAGATTTCTGAGTCAATAGTATCAGTTATATCAAGCTTTTTGTATATAAAGTCGTTTGGATATATGGGGTCAATTTCTTTGCAACATGTAAGAATGTGTGTGATTTTATTTTCTTTCAAAAGATTGATATTTTTAGCAGCCGAGCTATTTCCAACAAAAATCCCAGTTGAAACTGGACTAAAAGTATCCAAAACACCCAACATTTATTGTATTAAATTAGTTTAAAGCTATTTCTTGTGGATAATGAAAATATTAAAAATTTTCTCAATTTTTCCCACTGGATTAATCGAGGAATTTCTTCATACAATTTTGTTTCTTTTTCCCCCATTTGTTCTCAAATATCCTCGTGAATTCTACTGCCTAATTTGTAAAGTAAAACTGCTATATCTCTATGGCTATTTCACACAGCCAAACTTAGCGCATTTTCTCTATATCTATCTTCATGATGGATGTCTGCTTTAATTTCTATAACTCCGCCCCTCCGTGAGTGAACAAAAAAATTTTGTTCATTCACGGAGGGTGGTTAATTTTTTTTTTTAAAAAAATTTATATAAAAATTTTTTATAATTTTTTTTATAATTTTTTTTTTCTCGAAATTTAAAAAAATCTCACTTCTATCAAAATTGGGAAGCAAATATTAATTTAATTTGTATAATTTATGCTTTAAAACGCAATTTGTTTAAAATTAAAACAGATTTAGCTCGAGATTTCATTATACTAATTATCACTTATATATCAGAAATTTTTTTCCATAAAAAATTTTTCTATTAAGAAAATTTTTGTTCACTCACGGAGGGTGGGTTTTTGGGCAAAAAATAAGGATTTTTCTAATGGTTTTGTTCACTCACGGAGCGGGGGAGTAAGAAATTTTACTTACTTACTTATCTGGTGTTTAAGGTGTCTAGTGCCGCAGCCCTAAAAAGGGCTTATAGCTAAACTAGTGACGTCACCGAGCCATCTTGGATTAACCTGGGTCAGCCAGGCCCAAGCCTTCTATCAACTGCTTCGGCACCAGTCTTCGCCGCACGTCTCACCCGGCGCGTTGCCGTTGCCTTGTCTCAATTCAGCTCCTGCACGTGTTCCGCCTAAGGGTCATCCTCCTGTGGGGATGTGCTGAGGGGTAAAACCTCCGAGGTCTTGAGTGCGCTGAGGAGTCGTTCCTCTGGTTATCTCCAGAGTTAAACGGCTGTTGCTGCGCAGAAGTTCTCGAAAGAAAAACCCAACCCCATAAATAAAATTCCATGAGGGAGAGAAAATTAGCAAAGATAATTTCTCTCGAACCGAATGCCATTTTATTTATGTAAGAAATTTAACAATTTCTAAAAACCCTCTAGCAGATGCCAGCATTAATGCTGTTTGGTCTATTTCTGTGGAGCAATTTATGTCTAGGTGGCTCATATTTTCATTCATTATCATCATTTGTCTGATATTCCCAGTTTGGGCAGAAAAAAGTCATAATTGGGACATTTTCTGTCTATGCCTGCTTATCATGAATGTTATAATCGTGGTATCCTGCTATATAATTATATTAAAAATATTTATATTCGTTTTAAATAGACTTAAATTTAATCAGGCTTTTCAGTTATGATTTCATAATAATTTTACAATGGGTTGCGGTGGCTCAAAGAAAAGCAGCAAGATTGCTGCGCCTCAAAAAGTAGTTGGAGGAAAAGAAAAGCCTTCAAATTCAACTCCAGGAAATGCAAAAAATAATGGTAATCAGCAAACTGTATCAACACCAGGAAGAAATCAAGTAGCAGCTGGCCAGAAAAATGAAGAGAAACCTAATTCAGTTTCAAAAGACCAGCAGCCAAACCAGGCTGAAAAAATCGTTTCAAAACCTATAGAAGTAAAACCTCAAGAAAAATCCAAAACTTCAGAATCAAAATCCCCAGAAAAAGAGCCGATTCCTTCACATATCCAAAAAACTAAAGAAGATTTAAAATCAGCTGCTATGGCGCAGACAGAAATAAAACCTATCCAAAAAATCCCATCTATTAAATCCGAAGAAGCTAAAAAAATTGAAAATTCTCCTAAAAATGAAGAATCCAAGCTTCCTCAAACAGCTAAAAATCCTCCTTCACAAAAAGAAGAACTAAAAGAGCCACAAACAGCCAAAAATCCTCCCTCTCAAAAACCCGAAGACCTAAAACAGCCACAAACAGATAAAAATCCTCAAAAGCATGAAGAAGCCAAAGCTCAGACCTTAAAAAGCCCTCCACAAAAGCCAAAACCTTCAGCTTCTAGCACTGAGATCGTCCACAGTCAAAGTTTATCTGATTTCAAGCACCCAACAACTTACAACAAAGTAATCTGGGCCAAACAAAGACCCAGTGCCAACGATGGTCACAAACCTGCTGTCGTTTTTAACATTGAAGTTAACGGGGTCACTGAAAAATTGACTTTTAACGATTTTCCTATCACAAGCTCCCAATCAAAAAATATCCCAAAAGTAGTTGACTGTATCGCTTATATTTTAAAAACCCAAAAAGACATTGAAGAAGTCAAAAAAATTAACGCAGCGTTCAAATACGTCTGAAGCCAAAGCGTCATTTGTGATAACCCCCAGCTTATAGCTGATATTGAGCCTACTTGTGAAGAAATGGGGATGTCAATTGTAAATAATATGGACGAATTTATGAAAAAAGTGTATAATGATGATAGAAAACTGTATGTTTTGCTTAAAGAAGTATTTATGAAAATTGATAAAGATAGCAGTGGGTCTATAGATATGAGCGAGCTTGCATTGGCAACAGAACAACTTGGAGGAAACCCGAACCAAAGCGAAATTCAGCATGCAATGCAAGTAATGGACTTAAACCATGATGGAAAAATCAATTTCAGAGAATTTGTATATTGGTGGAAACGAGGCAGACAAGGCGCAATTTCGATACAGAAAATGGCTGGGAGTTTTGCAAGCAAGTTTGCTGCAAATGTGCCGGGCTCTGTAGATTTATTGAGAAATATTGGGATTGGGAAGAGAACTATTGATAAAGCAACATACACAAAAGAGTTTTCTTTGAGGGTTGGGCAAGATTTTTCTGACTCAAAGCTCAGCATGCGGCTGCAACTAGGAAAAAGTGCTAAAAGGGAACAAATTGTGCATGAAGCAAACCAAGCTTTATCATTCAATATGCGTGAAAGTTGGGTAGCTGTAGCCCTCACCACAAAAACTGGAGACGCCTCTTCAGACCATTCCCAGCTTGCTCACGACACCTGCAAGTCTTTATTAAATTCATTTTTAGCTTCTGCTTATGATGGACAATCACTGCAAAACGCTTTAGGAGCTAATGCACAGGTAATGGGAAATAAAGTTTTTGTTGGGGCTTGGATTGATTTAAATAACGAAAAATTCGACATTGTACAAGACCAGATCGCGCTGGTAGAAAGAGTGATAAGGTCACCAGTTGACGATTATATTGATCTATCGTTACAATTTAAAAATGGGATAAGAAATCTGCAATCTGACGAAAAAACAAGCAATGAAATGCTATTTGAGGCATTTCGGATGAAATTCACATATGTGCATTGGGTGAAATTTTTAGAAATGATACTTGCAGTCAGAGGAAAATCCACAAATTCATCTGATTTTTTCCCAATGTCGCTTCTTATGATGTCAGGAAATATAGACTTGCATTTCAAGCATATCAGTGAGATCCCTAAAATCTTTTTCCCACAGCAGGCGATGGAAGCTCCTCAAGCTGAATGCTTTTTGAATACTATGAAGCAGATGGTGAAATCCTATATAAGTGACACCCCTTATACCATTTTTCCCTAATTAGTCTTCTAATATTATTTTGTCTTTATAAACCATCAAATTAAGGGAAAATTCTATACATGGCAAACGTAATCAAAGAAATTGTCGAAAATTTCGCATCAAAAATTGAAGTGATTTTTAGGTTCAACAACCTTGGCTTGAAGGTAGAAATTGAAGCTGACGGCCTCAATGAGTTTTATCAAGCTTTAATTAGTGGTTAATAGAAGTATTTTTATAAATTATGAGTAGCATTCAAAATGGCCGAATGATGCGCTCGACAAGTGCTTCAAAACAAGACCGTCTAGCCAAAATCAAAGAAGAGTTCCAAGAAATCGATAAAAACGGCGACAAGCAGCTTTCCTTTGAAGAAATTAATAATTATTTGTCGAAAAAAAGCGGAAAACCTTTTGATCCACAATTACTAAAAGAAATTTTTAACACGCTTGATAAAGACCAAAATTCCGTCATAAGTTTAGATGAGTTTGTGAACGGGTATTATCAAGCTGAAACTTTGGTAAAATCTCGTGTCGACGTGCTTAAACAAGAAATTAAAGAAAATACTCAAAAATCAGCGGATACCAAAAGACAGTTTATTGAAGCTAAAGCCAATAAAGGTGATAAGAAGAATATTTTGACTGTAAATGTGCAAAAAGCAGAAAATTTAGGAGGCGGGATTTTAGGAAATAAAGCTCCAGTCGTAAAAATTTCGTGTGAAGGACAGGAGATCACAACAAATCCAACGAACCCTGATAACCCTATTTGGGATGAAACTTTTTCGTTTACAGTGACGAATGGGACTGGGGATATTTTAATTGAAGTTTTTGACTCAAATAAAGGGAAAATCACAAATTTTCTTGGGGAAGTGTCAGTGCCGTTTGATGCGCTGAGAGATCAGCAAATGCATGAAGACAATATAGAACTTGTAGGGAAAAAAATAACTGATAGGGTTTCTGGGTCAATCGAAATAGGGCTTCAGTGGGTTTATGATTTGCCTAGCTACTTAGAAGGGATTATTTCACAGTTTGATGCTGCTATAAATGAAGATAAACAAGAATTAGCTCAAATAGAAAAATATTACCAAGATTTGCAGTCACCTTTAGCAGCTTCTGTTATAGGGTCGGACTGGATTTTGCAGAATCCAAAATTCAAAAAAGCTGAATCACCCTTCCTCAGTAAGCAAATAAACTTTTCTAATCGCTCACGAAATTAAGATTTTTAGTTCCAAAATAAAAAAAAACTCAATTTACGAAAGTTTGAAAGTTAAAACAGAATTTAATTATAAAATTTATAGTTAAAACTGAATATTCAAAGTAGAGATTTCATAATAGTGATTATCAATTATTTATCAAAATAATTTTTCAAGAACTTTTTGCTTACTAACTAAGGTTGTAGTTTTTCCTAAAAAATAAGGATTTTACAATTTTTTTTGCTTGCTTAGTGAGTGTTAGGAGAGTGAGCAACAATTTTCAGATAAAATGGACGCTTTTTCAGAAAAAACTTTCGGTAAAATTAATTCAGGAAAACCTATAGCGTGGTCTTTGGCGACACAACTATCGATATATTTACTGTTAATTTTAAGCTGCTTATCAATGTATGTGAGACCTGATTTTCCTAACTTGACAATAGGCGTTATTGCATTAATTTATTTTTTACAGAAAAGTGTTAGTAGCAATTATACCTTTTACAATAGAAAATAGTTATAATATTTTTAATCACGGTTAATCTGTTTCTACTGCTAATGAGTATATAAAATTTTGGCTTTGGCCATATTAGCTTCTGAGATTTATGATTTAATTTGGCTTTGGACAAGCATGAGCGTAATTCTTAGGTAGAAATGGGTTGATGAAGAAGGGGTTGAAAAAAATGTGAAAAAAATTATTGTTTTTGTAAGCGTGATTAACTTCATAGGGAAAATTGCAATCGGCGCCGTGTTTTGGAAAAATTCAATAGGATAAGTTAACTTATTTAAATATTTAACTTATAAGTGATTAACTTATAGAACGAGTTATTTATGAAGGAGTTATTGAAGCCTCTTCAGCTTTTTCTTGATATCTTTTAATATTTTCATTCAAATTTTCCATACATATATTAATTTCTGGGCCTAGCCACAAATTTACACAGTCCCACAAAGGTTTCGCAATAATTGTCAAAAATCCTGTTTCTCCTTTATAATACTGATAAGGCTGGTCCAAATTTTTCATAAATTCTGTTGTAGGCAGCCCATTTTCCAGTTCATCCTTATACTGCTGCGAAAATTCTTTACAAACTCTTCTTGATCATTCCGAATACAGCGAAAATTCTTTTGCACTATGCCCTAAATCGCTTAAATGCAGCATGAGCGCCCCAACTTTTTCACAGTCATCTCCAAGTGTTCCTATTGGTTTTTCATTTAAATCATTAAACCTCGTATTCATGCACGAAACCATATGGAAATGTTTGACCATATCAGTCCATAAAATGCATTTTATCATTAATTTGCGAATTGCTCTAAAGGTTGTTGGTGGAATATTCTCAAAAATATTGGTGGATTCGTGTTGAAGGATATGGAATGTTAATGATGCGTGGTGGTTTTCTAAGACTGATTTATCGTTATGGGTTATTGCAAACTTGCTTGAACTATTGACTTCGTAAGTATTGGTATGACCTGTATGATCTACATCATGGCATAATGCAGCGATTAACTGTGCTAGAATTTCATGGGCTTTGAAAATTGCCACAGCTTTTGTGTTGGAAAAAAATCAGAAACTTGAATGCATCACTGTAAATCCATGAATAAAGCTATGGAAAGGGTTGGCATGATAATGGTCCTTGACAGAAATTACAAATTCGTTTAGTTTTGATGTCTTAATATCAAATTCTTTTAGTAAGTTGAAGTGCTTTAGCATAGATTTGATATAGACGAAATGATTATCAACCTCAAAATAAATAAAAATGGAATTCAGTTCGAGAGAAATTAGCTTTGTTAATTTTCTCTTGATCATGAATTTTTTATTTATGGGGTTTGATTTTATCTAGAAAACTTCTCTGAGCAACAGAGGTTTAGCTTTGGTCAGATAAGGCTAGAGAAACTGCTCCTCAGTGCATTCAAGAAGCTTAGGTTTTTCCACTCAACACCCGAGGAGGATGACCTTAGACAGAGTACGTGCAGAAACGGAGTCTAGCAAGAGTAATGGCAACACCGGTTGATAAGTACTATCTGACGGAAGTACTGACACAAAGGAAGACTGTTGATATGGCGCACCATTTTAAATGATAGAATAGCCCGTGATATCACCAGTTGGGCTTATCCCTTTACAGATAATGGGCTCCATACAGCTAAAATATCTAATTAATTGTACTCATTGTCAACTTCAAAAGCATTCAAACTCCAGTTTTGAAGGACCTCAATCCCTGCATCTGATTTTTGAAAATTTCCTGAATTGTTTGGAAATTCACAAACTTCAATTCGAGGACCTGGCGATTTTTCGAATTTTGCATATTCTGATAAAGTGCTTCTTAGATTTGGTCCTAAGGACCTAGAATCCAGCTTAAGCTTGTTCAAGTTTCCCCTTTTTAAGGTATCAATCACATCATTGATTATTAAACAAAAATCTGAATCAGGTTCAAATTTACTTGAAATCATAGTAAGTTTATTAATGCATTTTTGAAGGCTGGTTTCTACAATTAAAGGAGCTGATGACAGAGAAGATAGTTTTTGCTCCATCAAGGCGAGTTTTGAGTTAAGTTCTTCAAAAGCTGTCACGTCTTCAAGAATTATTATACCTATTTATAGTAGATAAAAAAACTGATAAATTTATTTTTTATAATGGTCAATCAATATTTTAATATATTGCAAATAGATATATTGCGCCTGTTATCTCAAGAGTACCAATATCAATGACAGGGACCAAAAAATAATCAAACATTAATGATGCCTTTTCTATTTCTGAGCACTTATAAATCCTTTGAGCTGGCTTATGGATTCTTTTCTTTTGATTTTGAAGTATGCAATTTATATCAGATATAAGTAAATGGTTTGGCTGCAGCCATTCTTCAAAAGAGCCATTTTTAGCATCTTCTATATTAATTTTATTTTAAATGATGGTGAGCTGAGAAAGGTCAGGATAACTGGAGAGTTGATTTCGGTCTCAGATAAGTGGATCCCATTCTTTTAAGAGATCAGAGATGGGTTTGTGCCGTCAGAACTCATGACAAGCTTTTTCCTTGCCCCATAGGATATATAGAATTTCCCATGGCGTTGTTTGGCCTTGATTTTCCCACTGGGAAAATTTTTTGGTTCGAATAGTACCATATGGTTTGGTCAAACAAAAAATTTTCCCCAGTGGGAAAATCCAAGCCAAACAGCGTCATCCATAGGAAAATTCAATAAACCGAAGGCGCAAAGTTGGCTCGCACTTATAGGAAGCAATTTTTACTCGATAGAGGGTAGTCTAGGAAGAGGCAGTTGGCCATCCCTCATGCCCTGAGTAGTGCCAGGGCTAAGAGAGTCCTTTGTCTTAGAGTAGACCCAGCATTGCCTGGGGAGCCTCCTTAAGAAACTGTAAAGCCGACACGAAAAGGGTGTAGCATGATGCCAGGTGATTAGGGCCACTCAAGCCCTAAGTCTCTTGCAGTACAATGAGGAGATAAATAATCCCTTGAGAACTGCTATAACTTTATTTAACCTAATCTATATTAATCCCTAGCGTATCTTCAACTTGCCTATTGGAATAAATTAATTTCCCTTCTATTTCAATCACCAAAGTATATAGCGCTTTCCCGAGGATGGCGCGGAATGGCGCCATCCTCGGGAAAGTCAACTAAGTATCCACACGGGAACTGGGAGTTCCACGTGTGGATGCCATTTTTGACATGTGGGATCCAAACTTCCACATGTCAAAATGGCATCCACACGTGGAACTCCCAGTTCCCGTGTGATGCCTTCCTGGCTTTCCCGAGGATGGCGCCATTCGCGCCATCCTCGGGAAAGCGCTATAGCTACCTATGCTATTCAAAATATTCGTGAATAAAAAATACTCTTCTCTGCTTTTTTTAAACTGTTGAGTATTTTTAAAAATTGCTCCAATTATCCCAGCAAAGCAGCTTAGCACCTCAACGTCATCTTCATTAAGATCTCCATCTTTTTTATTAATAACTTCCAAAATTGCAACAGCCTTGCCCCGGCTATCTAACACTGGCATACATATCATATTCTTTAAATTATAGCCGTGAACATTGTCAAAATATGCATCAAATCGTAAATCATCATGAATATTATTAATAACAGCTGTTTTGCATTGCTGAGCAACAGTGCCAGTAATGCCTTTTCCATAAGGAATACTGAAATTTCATGGAAATTCAAATTCCTCGCTATGAGACTTTACTATTAAATTTTCGCCTTCTCGGCCATATATGATGCTTCTTTCGCAGTTTGTAATTTCTTGGCTTGCACAGCGTAAAGAATTGATGGCCTCATATGTGTCTTCTAGACACGCGAATTTTTGAATTAATTGTTTGAATTTTATAACTTCATCAGCTCGATCTGTATTATTGAGGACCATAAACATAACATTAGCAGCTTCTGACAAACTTCCTTTATCGTCTGCTGTGTAATCACTAAAATCTTGGCTGCAGTCATCTTTTTTATTTTTTGCTTCAATAATAAAGGCATTTTCTCCGCTCACAAATGGCACAATTAAGCAATTTTCTTTAGTTTCTAGGTTTTTCATAGTAATTATTCTTCTGTCCTTAATAGCATCTACATATGCTTGTTTTACATTATTTGGATCTAATACTTCATTTTTTTCATTTTTGGCAGAATATTTGGAAAATTTATGATTTTCTTTATAAATTCCTATAATATCTTCACAATTTATCAAATGCTTCAGCATTTCTAAGCCTAAACTCAATAAATGACCTATTCTATTTTCACTTGCAAATCTTTGTATAATTGCAGTTGATGTTCTTATTTTTTTCTGGGCAAGCTGGGTAATTGAACTGAATTTTATAGACCATTTTAGCAATATATTGTATTTTTGATGTCCTGTTAGAGGTTTATTTTCATTTAATTCTTCAGATTTGTTTATAGATGGGATATCTTTGGGGATTAATGAGAGATTGTTGCCAAGGGCAATTTCGCTAGTAGTGGTAGGGCTAAAAGTATTGACAAAACAAATAGCGCCAATTTGTAATTTGGAAGAATCCAAGATGGGAATGCATAAATAGGAGTCAATTTTTTGTGATAAGCATAAGCTGTCTATTTTTACGTCAAATTTAGGGTGGATATGGGCTTTGTTTTGAATATTTATTATACTTTGAGAGTCTAAACAAACTTTGACTAATCCTGAAGAAGGTAAATGGCGATCATTTGTGATATCATAAAGTGTATCTTTATTTTTTTCTTTTAGGAAAAATGTTGCTTTTTGGCAAGGAATAATTTTATCTAAACTTTGTGAATAAACTAATATCGCATTTTCAGATTTTTCCATTATTTTTTTCAATTCTTCAATTTTTGATGATTTTTCATTTGATGATATATTGCCCATTATAAATTTTACTAATATTCTTTACCATTTCTTAATCGTATTTGCTATAAAATAATAAGAATTTTTAGATTCTCATGCAAAGATTTTTCAATTTTTAAAAAAATTATTGCAAAAAATACTCATTATCAATATTTAAAATCCTTGGGCTCGTAAATTTTATACGATTATTCGGTTTTTTGTATCTCGCTCTATCAGTTAAAGAATAATCCACAAAATTTTCTGTGTTTAATGTACTACCGCTCCTTTTCACTGATATCGTTTCACTTAAATCGCTAATTTTTTCTGATTTACCAATTAACTCAAATAAAAATAAACCAATTGACTGGGCAATTAAGACATCATTAAAGGTAAAATTTTTTGATGATAAATCATAGTCAAATTTATCATAAAGCATAATAACTCCATATACTTTGGAATTTTCTCCTTCAGATATTGGGACTGCACAAACGTTACGAAATCTCTCTAAAATATTCTTATTTTTTGCAAGATTTATCACAGACTCTGAATTACTTGTGTAAATTGACGAAAAATGTGAGTTATTTATCATTTGATGTTTATTTGAAATTGCTGCGATGCTTGGCAAAATATTTGATCCGAGATTTATTATGAATTGCTGGTCTTTTTCACCTAAAAGCCTTAGTTTATTTTTTTCTTTAATAAAAACCTCCACCTTTGAGACAGAAATTAGTTCTTTACACATTGATACTATCCAGGATTTAGATATACATATAAAATGGTGGTGGCGACCGACCCTCTCAGTGGTGGTTACCCATGCATATCCGGGCATGGTTTTTGGAGTCAGGAGTTGGCTCAGCAACGTTTGGGACCTCAATGCGAGAGGCCTAAACACGGAGATCGCTATTTCTGTGACCAAACCCATGAGCAGTTACTCGTGACTTATTTTTGCCAGCAGCGTTCAGCCCAGTGAGTGCCCGAAATGAGGCAGGGCGACTTACCTGCCTAAGCTGCTCTTGTGGCTCGTCCCGAATGGCGAAAGCTGTTGAGTTCTTTCTCGATCGAGATGACCGAAAAAGAGGGGAAGGCGAGTTAGACAAATAAACGGGAGTCTCTCCAGTTAAAAGGTGTCCTTAAACGGGCAGGTCTGGCGATCGAGGACTGTAGTGTTGGCGTCAACTTGGGCGACAGGACAAGTTGGAAATGGAGGCGGTCAGCGAAGACGGTATAAGACGTCCCTTGACCATCACCTCTACCGAGAAACCGGGGGTTTAGGCCCGGGCTTGGAACGGGCACGCTCTGCCACCCTACGGGACACAACCGTAGAACGCAGCTTCGACGAAGTTGGGACTTTTAAATACCCAGTATCTCTTAATCTTAATCCAGGATTTAGCATCTTCCGTTGATAAATTCTTCATCTTAATGATTTTTGAAAAATATCTCGTGCAGTACAGAAGAACTTCTCCTGGGGATGAAAAGCTTGCTATTGGAGATTTATCTTTGATTTTACGACCTTCCAATGAAAGAAAGTGTTTTTTTGCTTATTCCTTTTGGTAAGCGAGGAAATAAATTAAAAAAATGTTTTAGAATCCAGTCGTAAGCGAGAAAAAGATTTTTGTAGATACAATTAATAATGAGCACTATTATAACAAGGATATAATGTTTTTTTTATAAACAAATTGCTTAGCATTTTTCCATTCATTGAAAATTCTAACAAGGAATTTTAATATTTTATTGAATTAGTCAGTACCATTAAAAGAAAAATTAAAAGAAATTTTTATATTTTTAAGCTATTATTTGGAGTAATCACAAAATATCAATTAAATCTTCAGAATTAGTAAGTGTAATCAAAATTTAAGGCACATCATATTTGTGGATAATTTCATATATCAATATATTTTTGCTAATAATAGCTCTACATAAATAGCAAAAGCTGTATTAGAGCTTTAAACACTTATAGTTAAATATCTTTAAATTAACTTCTTTGCTTTATTTTAAAGATTTAAAAATAAATTAAGCAAATTTTATACTGTGGTAGAACTAAACTAAATCATATTTAAAAAATAATTATTTGGCTTAATATACCCAGCATCTTATCTAAAAATTAAAATATTAAAAAATAAATCACTTCAACGCACTTTTCAACTAATATGAAAATTAATCCTAATCATTTGGAGATGTATTCAATCCACGAAAGAAGCAAAACACTAATTGATGATTCCTTAACAAGCCTGCTTCCATCACCAAGAAGAGAATTAAAAAAGCTTAATATTGAGATACCACTGAGCATTCATTGTGATGCAAAAGTTGGGCCAAGCTCTAAAGACATTTTGAGATCTCCTAGCTCTGATAATGAAAAGTCGTTTCAATTGCCTAACTCCCACCTTTGAAATTGGAAAAATATTGGCAAAATTCCAATTTTTGGTACATTAACATATTGAATAAACAAAATTTTGAAAAAAATATAGGCAAAATACTTATTCTGTATTACTTTCTTTGAATTAATTTATAATTTGTAGCTTAGATTTACCCTTGATCACATTTCAGCATTTCCCCTTTTTCGCAAAATATACTTAAGCCCTAAAAAAATAAATTCCAAACTTTAATAAGACTCCAGAGAACAATACTCTACAAGTACATCCCTCATAAATCCATCAATCGTTTTTTTTGGATCCTTCAATGCATCAGCAAATGCTCTACAAGAACTTCTACGACTTTTGATACTACAAAATCTCTTATTAGGATAATTATTCCTTACTTTGGCGCGAAAATGCCATTATTTGCGCGATAGTTATGCTTTGATTTAATTTAAACAAGTAATGCGAGCAAAATATTATTTAAACAGTTAGTGCATTGGTATATTAATTTTTTAATTAAGTTTTCATAAAAATAAATTCCTTCTTTATATTGAAAGAAAAATTTTCCAATTTAAGGGGAGTAAGCTAACTCCAAAAGTAGGCGCTTCATATCAAAATCCCAACATAAGATTTCCTAGCCCTAAAAGAATTTTAAAATCAGAGCTCAGATGCTATAATCAGCCTACCTATAGATCAATTCTAAGTCCTGAGAAAGCTTCCAAATATATTGGACTTAATAAAACAAAAGAAACTCTAAGAATAAGGGTAAGAGGTTTAGCAAAAGGGCCAACCTATGGAGGCTTTTATTCAGAAGATAATTCCTTGTTAAAGTATATTGATAGAATTCAAAGAAGTTTATAATTATGACTAATTAATTTTTCGAATTTTGATTTAAGCTGTCTTTCTTTGTGAGCACCAAAATAACTGGGCGAAATAATCAAAATAGCCTGATTTTCTGGTTTCTGTCAAAGATTCACTCTTTTTCTTTTTGATTGAGTTGTTTTCAATACTCCAAGTTAACCTGCGAAGCTCTTGTTCTTTTTCTTGTAAAGCAATTACACTTGTATCAAGAGTTGATCTTATTGAATCATTTTGCTGGGAATTTACACTTTCATTTGTATTTATTCGTTTTATTTTTAGATTTTTTTCGACATTGGCATTTTTTGTAAAATTTTCAGATGACTCTACTTTTCTATTCATATAGCCTTCTTCCTTAAATCTATTCATAACATCTTCAAAGCATTGAATTGATTTAGTTCTTTTTCGCTTCATTTTTCTAGGGGTTGCTGCCATTGTTTTTAACTTCCTAACTTCCTGTAAGAAAAATTATTTAAAATTAAGATGATGAAAAAGGTTGACTCCTTTGTGAGTGATAACCTAATTAAATTTAAAACATTAAAATAAAAAAATAAGATAATATATTTTGCGTAAAAAAATAGAGAAAAGGATTAAGGCTATTTAATGGTCTTTCTGGGTCGTCAAAGATAATTTCTATTAAAAATGGCAAATCAGGCACTGCATAATACTGATATAAATTCAAATCACTATAAAAAACAGTACACAATAGCCCAGTTATATCAGTAATAACCCCTACTCCTTTCTCTTTGTGTCTTATTTTCATATTTTCACTATACCCTGAATTTGGTGCATATTTCATAATCCATGGATGCACCAAAATTTTATTAAGTTTTAATCTTTTAGAAGGATCCACCCTCACAAGTTTTAATATCAAGTCTTTAGCTGCAGCGCTAACAAATGATCCAAATATTATCTCACGTGATAAAATCTGCTGGCATTTTTCGCTATCTTTGGTAGCTCTAAAAGGTGGATACCCATGAATTAGCTCGTATAATAAAACTCCCATAGCCCATAAATCCACTTCAAAAAAGTGTCCTTTATTTTCTAGCATTTCTGGTGCCATGTAATCTAAAGTCCCACAAAATGTTTTCCGAATTTCTTTAGTTTGTACGCACCATCCAAAGTCACAGATTTTTATATACAAATTTATAATGATTATCTTTTTATTATTTTATTTATTATAAAAAAAATTAATTTTTCTAACTCCCCCCTATCCTTGATTGAACGATTGACTGTAAAAATTCCTAAAAATTGTGAAAATTAACCCCCATCTTTGATCGAACGATTTTCATATCATGCAAATTTTTATATATATAAAAGTATATTAGTTATCAAAAGCTTGGGAAATGTGCCTAATGAAGTTGTTTCAGAGGCTTTGAGACGACAGAAAGCTACGAAATCAAGCATCCGAAGTGCTTTAGTCACAATCTGGGCTTAAAACTTAACAATCTAAAAAAATAGAGATTCTTTAAAAATTTAAAATTTTTAATTCAATAAGAAACAAATTAAAATTTTATACATTTTAAGGGGTAACCAAAAAATCAAAATATTAAAAATTGGTATTCTTATGAAATTAAATTCAATTTTTTGCTGTGAAAATACTCTTATTTAAAAGTAAATAAAAAAAATATATATATATTTTTTTTTTTTATATATAAATTTTTTTTTAACCCCCATCCTTGATCGAACGATGGAGAGCCGTTCAATAAGGATGGGGGGGAGTAAGCCAGCATATTATTTTCCTTATCTAATAATAGATTTTCTGGCTTCAAATCTCTGTGGATTATTCCATTGTCATGCAAATATTTTAGCCCTATGCATGTTTGTGAGAAAAACTTCCATGCTTTTTCTTCTGATAAGCCTTGCTTTTGTCTGATCAGTTTATATAAATTTCCATTAGGGGCATATTCAAGCAGTAAAAAAACACTTTTTTCGTTCTCAAAATGACGAGGAAGCTGGATTATGTTATGATGGTGAAGGATTTTATGGATATTTATTTCTCGTAATAATGATATGACAGAAGAGTGTTTTTTCACTAATTTTTTCCTGATTTCTTTGATGGCAAATAGATGAGACGTAGATTTTTGTTTGTAAAGCCGAACCTCGCCATAAGAGCCTTTTCCTAAAATTTTTAGAGAAATGTCATGAACTTCACAGAAATCATTCAGCGATAATTTTTGAGCGTATCTGCAAGTGAACTGGTGGTAAGTTATTCAGTCTTGAGTCATGCATCCTTGTGAGCAGTAAATAAGCTGCTCACATGATCAGCATTTAAATTCTTCGATTATTCTATTAGCGCAATAAAAATTTGCACATGCCATTTTTTGGAAATAATATTTTAACTAAATTATTCTAACAGGTTTTTATCTATAGGAAAGTACATTTTTGGCATTATTTTTAAGCAAATTAGTAATATTAAATTAATTTTTTTAAATTTTTCATTATAGATATAGCTTATGGCATTATCTATTTATTGCATAAATATTGTGATCATAAAATTATAAATAATTGCTGTATTATTATTTATTATCCGAAGGGCTTGATTAATTTAACAATATTTATGCCTTAAATTTATAAATTTATTTGAAGGTTCTGTTCATTATCATCAAACTCAAATAATGTCTCTCTTTTAGAAGAATTGTAAAGGCCTTTCTTATCAAATGATAATTTTTGAATGTAAATTTGCTGTTGAAAACTCTGATTGTTAAGGTTTGCTATATTTTCAGAAGAAATTTTAAGCTTATTTGCTCTTAAATCTTTCAATGTGCATCTAATATCTTCCACTTTTGTTAATTCTTCCAATATAGGGACTAGTTTTTCTAATTCTCGATCCTCTTTGTCATCAAACCAAGAAATTATCGGAATACCATTATAAGGCTGTAGTGAATACGACATTGGAGAATTATCTATAATAATCACATCTTTTAAATTCCTTCCCAATTTTGATAAATCCTTAACATAATTCCCATTAATAATTGAGCAGCTGTCTCTGAATAATCTTCCTTTTATATAATCACTGATAAATAAACTCTGTGAGTATAATATACCTCATACCATTATAATAGATCTCTATAGAGGGCCATTTGAGATGGACAGTTGAAGAGTATGTGCATAGTGGAAAGAAAACCAGAGAAAAACATGAATAATAAAGTCAAAAATAATTAAAAAAAATTGCGATTCCATGAAAATTAATCCAATTTGATTACCTAAAGACATTAATTTCAGAGCTTTTTCTTCATGAAAATAAGGGGACCAACAATGAGGGCAACTTTTAATAGAGAAATGACAGCAGAAATGGTATTTGAGCCCTGGACGAATAGCGAAGAAAATGATACACTGTAGAAGTCTCGAATTTTCAACAAGACCAATTGAGCCTGATCTTATGGAGAGTCAGGCAAAGAGAAATATCTGAGAGAAAGCAGTCAAGATGCAAAAGAATAGCATAGGAGCTGCCATTTTCATGATTTCTAGCAGCTTGAGACAGATAGATCTGATTAGTTCTTACTGCATGGGTTGATAGATTTTGTTGCGTTTCCATTTTTATTGTTCTGTTTGGCAAACCATCAACCGACTAAATGCAGTAAGAACTAATCAGATCTCTCTGTCTCAAGCTACTAGAAATCATGTAAAAGGCAGCTTATATGTTCTTCTTTTGTATCCTAGCTACTTTCTCCCAGATATTTCTCTTTTTGCCTGACTCTCCATATGATCAAACTCAATTGGTCTCATTTAAGATTCGACTTCTACCGTGTATCATTTCCTTCACAAGCTGCCCGTGGCTCAAATACACAATTTGTTGTCCTCAGGCCACAAACCAATTCTACTGTCATAACTCTATCAGAACTTGCCCTCATTGCCGGTCACTTTATTTTGAGTTGCAGAATTATTACTCTAATGAAGAAAGAGCTTTGAATGCGAATCAAGAAAATTTAATGTCTTTGGGTGATCAAATTGGATTATTTTTTGGCTTAGATTTAAAGTTTATTAGGCACCATTTCAAAGATTTTTTTCTAACTTTGTCTTTCCACGATACAAATGGAGACTCTTCAACTGTCGATCTCATGTTCCCTCTATAGAAATCTATTCGGATGCTTAAGATATAATAACTATCTATTTTTTTTTATATCCTAATCTCTAAGCAATCTAATTCAAAATATCCCAGAGTTTTTCAATCTTAATTAAGTATATCATAACCATTTGGATCGATTTTATTTAATAAAGGCTCAGCATATTTCGAAATACTTGCAGTAAACACAATGACCTCAAATAGTGAAGAAACCTTTTCCAAAAATTCATTAACTCCTGGCCGAATATTAATAAAGACTTTATGAGTTTTGAACTGATTGTCTACATTTATCATAAAATCATAATAAATTGCAGGTTTAAGCGAACTATGGATTAAAGTTTCATCTAAATCGAGAACTAGGGTTTTTGTCCCTATGGAAAGAATAGACCTTGGTGGGAGGAGTATATCGTGGGCATCCTAAAAGCAGGCCCACGATATAGTCTTCAGCAACTGAGAGGTCACTTGAAGGTGGCGAGCCAAACTCCTGCTGATAAACCAGATCCTTGTGTGCCTGTATTTGCCAACTTGGAGTTTACCTTCCCCCAAGTTACGAGCAATCCTCCAAATTGCTAAGGAGCAGAGGCGTTAGGGTGCGCTGGAAGCGTGCCCACGCTATATATTTTCTTCTTTATTTTTTGCAGGAGACTTTTTAAAAATAGGTGGCAAACAGGAGCATAATGCTGCGATGGTTTTTAAAAAGAAATAGTATCGACTTTTATACTGAAATTCAGGGATTATTTGTATTAAGGCGTTTTCTGGCTGCTCATCTGAATAATCGCTTATTTTAGCAAGTTCAAGATCTGCTTTTTCCTGCACAGTATTATTCATATTATTACCGTTATTAAATTGCAAGTAATTTAAAGTAAGCTAAATTTCTATTATAATTATTGCCTATGCTGTGAACTTATTATTTAAATTCTGATATTTCGATTTATCTATTAGAAATTCTAAAGGAGTTCTTTATTAGTCTTTTAGCATATATGCACACTCTTATCGCCATTCCTTTAATTTATTAATTTGTATAAACTAGATTTATTTTTAGCTTACTTAGCTGATTAGCGTTTTAGGACAGTTTGGTTTCGAGGGTATGTTATTCTTGCATAAGTCTCTTTTAAATCCGAATTATAGGCTTCAGACATTTTCATACACACCCTTTTACCATTTAATGTACACTCTAAACAAAGCCTCAAAGCATAGTCATCAAAACTTACGAGACCTTAATCACTGTGCGTGCTCCGCATAAGGACATCCATCCTAGGAAATTCAAGCATTAAAAACTCTAAGCCAGCTCAAACTACCAAAGTATCACACACTATACGGTGATAAAGGGTTACTGAAAAAATCTAAGCTCAATAATAATTAAATTGTGAAAGTAATGAATAGTAGTTGGAAAGAATAATTCCAGTGATACCATTTTGTTATTATCATTATCAACTTAGCATAGCTTTATACAGACTCTCTTAAATTACCATTTTCCTTCAAATGTAGCTTTTAAGAATTTAACTATGCTTAATGTCTCTGCTTTTTGATACCGAAAACATCATCTCTCTTCCACATATGCTTATTTTCTGATATATTCCATATCTTAATGATGCACAACAAATTATAGGAAATTTTCTTACTCCCCCCCCTCCGTGAGTGAACAAAAAAATTTTTGTTCACCCACGGGGTTAATTTGTTTTTTTTTTAAAAAATTTATATATAAATTTTATAAAAATTATTTTTTTTCGAAATTTAAAAAAAATCCTAATTCGCAAAAATTGGAAAGCAATTATTAATTTAATTTAGAAAATTTATGTTTTAAAAAAGCAATTCGTTTAAAATTAAACAGAATTAGCTCTAGATTTCTTTATACTAATTATCATTTATATATCAAAATTTTTTTCCATAAAAAAGTTTTTTATTAAAAAAATTTTTGTTCACTCTCACGGAGGGTGGGTTTTTGGGCAAAAAATAGCGATTTTTCTAATGGTTTTGTTCACTCACGGAGGGGGGGGGGGAGTTAAAGAAATTCTATAAATATTTTTAAAAATGAAAATTAAATAAAATAATTTTCTAAATGCCCCATTAAGTTTACGATAGTTTGCTCACCATATTTTGAAAAATGAGGCACCAAAGTAATGCCCCATGGCGTAATTCTCAACGCACTAAAAAAAGACGGCTAGAAGACTCCGCTTACCGCCGCGACAAAGAATTTGCTCATCCTGAGCTTCCAATCCACAGCCGTCGTCTTGATATTATGAAAACCCTTTCAGCAGTCCAAGTCCTGATAGTCCAAGGTGACACAGGCTGTGGCAAAACAACCCAACTTCCCCAATTCATAGTCCAAGAGTACCCAAACTGTCGAGTTGCAGTCACCCAGCCCCGTCGTTTAGCTGCAATCGGTGTCGCTCGTCGAGTCAGCAAAGAGCTTGGTACCTATTTAGGCTCAACAGTAGGATACCATATTCGCGGTGAAAAGCGATATGGCCCAGAGTCAAAAATCGTGTTTATGACAACTGGTATGTTTATCCAAGAACTCGTTGGCATTACTGACGAGCTTCCTTGGACACATATAATCCTTGACGAAGTCCACGAACGAGCTGTAGAAACTGAATTTCTCTTAGTCGTCCTAAAACATCTCCTATCAAAATGCCCAACCAAGCTCATTCTAATGTCAGCTACAATTGACGCAAGGCTTTTCGCTAACTATTTCGCTGACTCTGAAATCCACAATGTCCACAATCAATTTGTTGACCCAAAAAAGACCAATGATGATGATTGAGCCCCAAACCAATTTCGCGTTGGGATCACCAAAACGTCAAGTCCTTTTGAAATTGACAGAGAAGACGCTGCACCTATCAAGCTTGCTGGACCTAAAAATTTTGACGTAAAAGAAGTATACCTTGATGAGATCACTGGAGAAATGATCAATGAATTTTTTCAGCTTTCTGATGTAGAGCGTGAAGAAACGGCTAATTATTACCGTGATGAGCTTGTAGAAATCTTGCCAAGTTTCTATAAGGTTGCGGCTTACTTAATAAGAGCTCAGCATTTTTTAAGGATTTTTGAAGAACAAGAACCCCAAACATTTTTAATTTTTTTGCCTGGGATACACGAAATCACGAAAATGGCAAAAGTTTTATTAGAAGATGTAATGAAAGACTGCGCACAGGACTTAGAAATATGTATGCTGCACTCTTCAATTCCTGAAGAAAACCATGCCAATATTTTTAGCAGTCCTGAAGGAAAAAGAAGAATTATTATTTCGACTAATATTGCTGAGAGCTCTATAACACTGCCAGATGTGAGATATAGGGGAATATCCACTTATAGCTTGCTATTGGGAGGATTCTGCATGTTTTTGATCTGGCTAATTAAGCCTGACATAAAAAGTATAGTAAACCCTAATCTAGCAGGGTGGATGTGACCCTATTGAGATCAAGCTGTATTGTGTAGCTATATATTATTGATTTTTGTCTAACTAAAGAAATCACATATAACAGCAAAAGCATGTCAGAAATGCTCGAACTGCATTGGGCTTGCAAAGCAGTCATGAAGCAAAGGGCAGGTAGGGCTGGAAGAGTAGCTGAAGGGGTTGTATTTAGATTAATCCCAGCAAGCTTTTTTAATGAACTAGCTGATTTTTCAAAGCCAGAAATACAGAGATGCCCTCTTGATAAATTGGTGCTAAAAGTAAAACAGCTACAGCTGGGAACTCCTGTAGATATATTAGGAAGAGCTATCCAGCCACCAGATATAGCTGAAGTGAAGAGGGCTGAGGAGTATCTTAAAGAAATGGGCGCTTTGTCAGAAGAATACAACTTGACATGACTTGGACGAGTTTACTCTGATATGCCATGTGATGTAAAAATCAGCAGACTTTGCTTGTTTGGATACGTTTTTGGGTGCCTTCATGAGTCATTAGTGATGGCTTCAGCTTTGTCTCAAGAAAAAAATGTGTTTGCTAGCTGTGCACATTTGGATTATAAAATTGCTAAATCCTCTGTGTTAATTGGAACCAAAAAATCTGCTCGGGCTATTTTTTTTAAAAAAAAAAATCTTAACAATTTAATTAATCGATTTAAAGTGCTAAATTTGTCTAAATATCATTTTCTTGGGCTTTCCTATTTATAAAGAGGTAATGGAAACAATAATTTTAATGCATATGTTGTTATTATTAAAACTCTAAGGCTGTCATCGAGCATTTCTCTCTTTTGATAGTTATTTTTACTTATAAATATTTGTTTCAATTTAAAAGCGAGAGTAAATATGAAAGCCAAAGATATGCTATGCGACTGAGGTGGGATAATTATGCTTTTAGTGACCCTATAGCTTATATGAGGGCTTATCAAGTATGATATCAGCAGTGGGGAAAAGTTTATAAAAATAAATTAGAAGAAAGCTATAGACATACAAGAAAACCAGAAATTTCTTTTGAAGAAAAGCAATGATGCAAAGCGAATTCTGTAGATTATAGCGTACTAACCCTCCCCCATTAATAGCAAGCGAAATCTATCAATTTTTAAAACAACGCACAAAAATATTTAATATATAATTTTAGAAAAATTAGAAACTTTATATGACTTCATTGGTTTAAAATATCTTTCAATAGCTTCAAATAGAAAATTTGATGCATTTTTTTTTCTTAATTTAAAAACTTATATATCTCCAAAAATCTTATTTAAATTCTAAATTAAAAACTACAAAAAGTCTTTTTATTAAATGAGAAAAGAATAAGAGAAATGTGTGAAACTTATATGGAGCTTGAAAGAAGGCTTACTATGATCGGACTATCTAAAGAGCATTTAAAAAATCGACTCGGCACTGGCCAAGAAGATATTTTGACTTTAAAATTGTGCTTAGCTGCTGCTTATAATGGTAAATATTTAATTTCCCATTATGCTTACGAAGACGAAGTCATGAGAAGAAAACGCGAGCAGCAGCTCGGTGAAAATTCTTCATCAAAAGTATTAATTCCAAACATCCCTGATTATTGTAGAGAAAGTGATATTGCTCGAATTCTTACCGAGTGTCGATCAACCCATATAAATATGCATTTTGAATATGGGAACGCAGTTTTAACTTTTGACCCTACTGAAGGTCCAAGGCCACTCCAAATGTGCTTATGGCTCGGAAATTATGGCCCGAGATACAGATGTGGTGATTTTATAGTTGTGAAAAAAAATATCCGCAATGAACAAAGAGATTTGCTCCAAAGTATGGACCCTGAAAATCTAGCCCAACATATAAATTACATAGCTCGTCAGCAGCCTCGAGAAGGGATGACTTTTCAACTAGGCGAAGAAAATTTTGCAGGAAATAAAATTTTTGTGGAAGCTTTTTGCCTGCCAAGGCCTGAATACTTGTATAGGCTTGGGTTTATTGATTTGCTTACTGGGCTTGGAATTAATATTGATGAATATTCTGTTTGCAAAGTCTGTGTTGAAAGCAATCCATTAATGGAGCAGCTTCATATGGCTGTTTGTGCTGAATTTACAGAAAAACGCAACAAAACCACAGCATCCCACGTCACAGTTTTCCCAAAATTCCCACTTTTACCACACATTTTGAGCATGATTTTTACAAGAGACGTCAATTTTTTCCAAAATAATGGAAAATATGGAGGGATTATGGTAGGGACAACTGTGCTGAAATTTAAATATAACTTCACTGGAAAAGATGTAGAAGAAATCAATGATATCAGGAAAGAAATTTCTGAAGCATTATTTGATGAAAAAGGGATTTTAAATCCAAAGCCTCTACAAGTAAAGGACAAAATAATAAGATTAATAACAAAAAGAAGACTCCCTTTAATTGATGAACAATGAAGACATGTCCTAGAAAGCTTTAATCCTTATGATGTTGTACCTTATAAAGAAGAAGAAGAGCCTAAAATTGAAGATGGAGCTATTCAACCAAAAAAAATTGAGGTTTATTTGAAGCCGCTAAAAAAGCTGCCAGATGTAATTGATGATGTAAGACTTTGGTCTGAAGAAGGTCAAAGGGCAATAGAAAGAGAAATGTATCTAATCAGCCTACAAAAAGAAGAATTCGTACAAAAAATAAAAAATGATGCAAGAGCTGCCAGATTGACTAGAGCTGAGCTAATATGTAAAGAATGCAAAATGACTATATGTGCTTATTTTAATGCAAACCCTGTAAATATCAATCCAGCGAGCGGTGTTTTTACTATAACTGGCATTTTTGCGTCTGTAAAAATGCTTGATGATCTTAGAGATGAACAAGTAAACTGTGATTTTATAAGAAATTTTCAGTATAACTTGCTTGATGTCGATAAATGGGCAGCTTGCATGGAAGGGCATATTATAGGTTGGGAATCTCAAGGAAAATGCTTTATCGACCATAATTCGCCTTTATTAGTCATGATGCCTTCAGGCGAAATTTGTAACTGGAGCTCAAGACTGTGGGCAAATGGTATTGAAGGCTTCAGAAATTATTGCAGGTCTCATGAAGAAATTAAAAAGCAAAAGCCCAAAAAGACTCATTGCGACCTATGCAAATTATTAGATTAAGATGTGTCTTTATTGTCCCCACTTCCTGAGTACTATGCGTTGCACAATTAAATTGAGCCCGGGCCAAAACCCGCGATTTATTGGTAGAGAGGCATTTTCCCTCAATTGTCCGAGTCATACAGACTTTGCAGGAAACCTCTATTTCTAACCCAAGCAACCAGCTTACACAACTCTGCTTAGCTTAGGCCAGGTCGCCCCTTTCACAGGACCCTTTTAAACTGGGGAGACTGTAGCCCTTGAGAGGGTTGTCTAGTCTATCTTCCCAATTTTCCCTGGTTCATCACCAATGAAAGCTCAACCGCTTACACGATCGGGACAGGCCAAGAAGAAGTCTAGGCAAGTAAGTCGCCCTGCCTCTATCGGACACTCACCTGGGCCTGGGTGCTTCTGGCAAAAAACTGCCGCTCGAGTCAGTCACTAATCAGCGGAAATAGCATTGAGGCCTCTCTTTGCACCAAAAACCACGTCCCGATATACATAAGAACACCCACGAGGACAGGTCGTTCGTCACCGGCCATTTTATGTATACACCTATACAAATTAGACTGCATTGATGAGAGGGATTTTTATCATCACGTCGTTATTAGTAAAGAGCACTCAATGAATGTAACTGCATTTTTAAGAGATTATAATTATTAATATCTATAATGTCCCTATTCGTTTGATTCTATGCTCCACAGATTTCGTTGTAGGGTGGTAGAGAATACCTGGCTTAAACCTAGGTCTAAATTCTCTGGTTTTAATAGCTATCGGTCAATTACTGACTTTACTAACCATCTCAAATCCAGCCCAAGAGATTGAGCAAGTTGACATCATCACTACCCTTCAAACACCAGAACGACTATTAAAAAAGCCTGCTTCATATAGATAGACTCCAGTTTGCTCAACAGTCATATCATCTATGGCAAGCCAGTCAAAAAGGCGCTACTGTGAAAAAGAGATGCAATTAACTGCAAAGGAGTTAGAACTAAAAGCAGCTAATTATAGCAAAGCAGCAATGTCAGCTCAAAATAAATGCCAATTGTACATAAGGACACCTACAATAGAAAGATAGGAGGCTCATCTCACTCCATTTTATTTATATTGTATTTAAGAGATGGATTTTAATTAAAAAATTAGCAAAACTAATTTAATTGTTTTCTGCTTTTAAGCAGGAATTAGATTAATGATTAAACCAATTTAATCAGTTTTTTATGCTCTCTTTCATTAATAATTTTCTGTATCTTACTCCCCCCCTCCCTCCGCGAGTAAACAAAACCATTGGAAAAATCGCTATTTTTTGCCCAAAAACCCACCCTCCGTGAGTGAACAAAAAATTTTTTTAAAAGAAAAAATTTTTTTATGGAAAAAAAATTTTGATATATAAGTGATAATGAGCATAATGAAATCTAGAGCTAATTCTGTTTAATTTTAAAACAAATTGCTTTTTAAAACATAAATTTTATAAATTAAATTAATATTTGCTTTCCAATTTTTGCGAATTAGTATTTTTTTAAATTTCAAAAAAAAATTAAACCCCCTCCGTGAGTGAACAAAATTTTTTTTGTTCACTCACGGAAGGGGGGAGTTTAGTCATTGTTTTTACGTCAATTTTTTCATGTCTGATAATGTTTAATAACTCTTCATCTTCTTGAGAGTTTCTTTTAGTCGTTAAATATCCAGGCATATCTGTTACTCTTCGTTGGAATGTCATATATAATTTACAATAAATAAAAGCCATCTTTATAAATAACTCAGATTGGTCTTATTTCTAATAATGGTATATCAATTTTCGCTACACTTCTTGGTCTATTTTCCCCACATTTTTGCTCATCTTCTATCACTTTTAGAGCGTCATTATATTTTTTCAATTTATGCTCAAGGATTTTTCTTTTCTTTTTATTTATATGATTTTTATCTTTTGGCTTCAGCTTTAGAAGCTCTTCAATTGCTCTTTTATGGGTTTGGGTGGCTTTTTTAAATTTATCAAGAATTAAATCTTCATCAAACTTAGGCTCAATATCTTTCATTACTGGGAAAATTTTAACACCTTTAGGTTTTATTTGTTTTTCTTGCAGCTGATAGGCTTTAATATCAGCTAAAACAGTTTCTTCAGGGCATATATCAAATTTTCTCGGCTTAGAATTTGTATTTATATCTTTAAGCCAGTTTGGGAATTTTATATCATTTTCGAATTGTTTTCCGAATTCTCTCTTATTGCTTGACAACAGCTTTGCTGTATCAATATTCACTAACTCCCCCCCCCTTCGTGAGCGAACAAAACATTAGAAAAATCGCCATTTTTTGACCAAAAACCCACCCTCCGTGAGTGAACAAAAATTTTTTTAATAGAAAAAATTTAATGGAAAAAAAATTTTGATATATAAGTGATAATTAGTATAATGAAATCTAGAGCTAATTCTGTTTAATTTTAAAACAAATTGCGTTTTAAAACATAAATTTTGCAAATTAAATTAATATTTGCTTCCCAATTTTTGCAAATTAGGATTTTTTTAAATTAGGATTTTTTTAAATTTCGAAAAAAATATTTTTTATAAAATTTATATATAAATTTTTTTTAAAAAAAAAATTAACCCCCCTCCGTGAGCGAACAAAATTTTTTTGTTCGCTCACGGAGGGGGGGGGGGAGTAAGTCTTCTCTGCTTATATACTCTCTTTTGCTTTGCAAAATAGGCTGACTTATTGTCCTTACTAAAGGACTAGATATTATTGATTTCACTTTTCGATATTTTTCAGCGTCAGCTTGCTCAGATAAATGCTTTGCATTGGCTTCAGCTTTACGCTTTGCGTTAAGATATTGAAACTCGCTCATTCATTTTGGCTTAGACTCTTCAAAATCTATTGATTGGCTCCGACGAGAGATGGTCGTTTGGACATCTTCTCAGCACCTAACAAGTTTTGATTGGACTTTATTGCAATCTTTTATAACCTTATCTAAAAATTGTTTAGAACGGTCTGTGAGGTTTATTTCAGTTTTAAAAAACTGGCCAGGTTCGCTGGCTGAGCTATGATGAGAAGATTTTTTATTAAAGAGAAGTGGAGTATTATTTTGAGATTTTGAGGGAGAAAATGTGGAGCAAATTTCTAAATTTCTCATTAAAAACATATTTAAATTGTTTTTTTAATTAAAAAATAAATATTTAAAAAAAATATTTTTTTGGAAAAAAGTAAGTGGGAAAGCTTTTTTTGCTTATTGCGATAGCTTCTTGTTGTTTGAGAACCTAAAGGAGAATACGATTTTTCGAAATTTCTGGGTGTTAGTAAAGTAGGTTTCATCTAGTTAACAAATTATTCAAAATTTGCTATTAATTAATAATGGCAAGTTTAAAATCGCCAGGGTTGATTTCAGAGTCAGCTTTAGAAGTCAGTTATAGGCGCGATACAATTGAAAATAAATTCGCATTGCTGAAATCAAATGAGCCTAAGCCAGAAAGTACTGTGATTTATGCTCATTTCTTTAAACCCAAATTATTTTTCATAATAATTATCTTATTTTTTAAGAAATTATTTAATTAATTCCATTGAAAAAATCATTTTGTTTTTATAATATTATATTACAAAACTGAAGTAAAATCGGTAGTTATGACTAGTGATGAGAAATATATTGCTGCTGGATTAGCTGATGGGAGCATCATGGTCATGAATATTGAAGAAACTAACGAAGATATTGAGCATGAAATAATGCTAGCTGGGCATAAAGACGAAGTTAAATGCATGTGCATCTCACATGATGATAAAATTTTAATTTCAGGTAGTTATGACTGCACAATCAGAATTTGAAATATTGAAGACAAAATTGAAGAAACCTTATTTAATCAGCATGAAGACAAAATTCTCGCCTTAGCACTATCTTTTGATAACAAAAAACTGCTGTCTTCAAGCATGGATTCTTCAGTCATTATTTGGAATTTAGTAGCAAGATCGTCAGAATATGTTATAAACAATTTAGGAGCAAATATATATACAATTGGACTGTCAAATAATGGGAAATTAGCATTATTTGGAGGTAGTAGCCAAAATATCATAGTTTGGGATTTAGATGAAAATTTTAAAAAAAATCAGCTAGTCGGTCACAATTGACCGATTTTAAGCATCACGCTGACTTCAGACTCAAAATGAGCAATATCGAGTGGAATGGATAAAACAATACGATTATGGGACTTAACAAAAATGAGGGAAGAAAAAATTCTTGCAGAGTGCTCAGATACAATAAATTCACTATCTGTAACTCATGATAATTTGTATGTAATTTATGGAGGACATGATGGAGTTGTAGGCATTCTTAGTCTTAAAACTTATCAAGAAATTCTGATAACAGCTCATAGTGCCTCAATCTCTTCAATTTATATACTCCTCCCTCTTTTAAATTGGAAGAAAAAATCTTGTTTCATTTAATTTTTTTTATTAAAAATTAAATTGAACGTATTTTTTTTCGAATTTTAATTTATTTTATTAGGAATTAAGCAAAAAATTGATGAGAACTGTTTAGATATTATTCTATTTCAATTTTTAGGTCAAAACAAATTTAATAATTAGTATTTTCACCCTATAAAATTTTATTTATGAAAATTTTTCATTTAAAGCAGGTTTAAAATACCCAAAAATGGAAATTTACCTTTTCCAATGGGGAAGTAAGCAAAACCTCAAAATACATGATAAGTGGCTCAAATGACAAAAAGGTAAGGATTTGTAAGCTTTCTGAGTATCCAGACGAGATTAAGCACTCAGGCCACGATGGCAGGATATATTCAATAGCTACTTCATCTGACTCTAATTACATGGCTACAGCCAGTGACGATTCCAAAATTATTTTATGAAAAATAAATTCCCCTGATTTTGAAGGAATTTTAGAAGGCCATGATGGTCCTGTTCATAGTGTTGTTTATACTTCTGATGGAAGCAGATGCATATCTGGGAGCCAAGACCAAACTATTAGGATATGAGATCTTTTTACAGCAAAAGAAGAAATGATATTAAGAGGTCATGATGAAGGGATTCTGTCATTATGCTTAAGCTCTGATGATAAATGTACGCAATTACAATAAATGAAATCAATTTATTATATTTTTTAATATAAAATTTGGCTAATAGCTTTTTTTTCTATTCTTTCCAATTGGTTTTATATAATTTCAGGATCAATCGATAAAGCAATAAAAATTTGAAAAATTGATGATGGCTCATGTATAGCTACTTTTAAAGGGCATGAGCACAAAATTACTTCAATTTGCATTTCTACTGATAATCTAAAAATCTACTCTGGAAGTAAAGATAAAACTATCAGATGCTGAAGCTTTTTGGATTCAAAAGAAATAAGTTTAATGTATGGGCATGAAGATGAAGTTACTTGCTTGTGCCTGTCATCAAATAATAAAAGGCTGATTTCTGGAGGTCTTGATGGGACTATGAGAATATGAAATACCAAATTATATTACCAAGAAGGAATTATTATAGATGATGACAAAATGATCAATAAAATGCTTATCAGCGCAGACGATAGGTTTTTATTCACACAAGTTGACAGAAGATACATAAAAATGTGGTCAATACCAGATAGACAAATTTTAGCAATTTTATATGAATTCAAAGACATCCTATCACTAGCACTTACACCAGATAACGAATGGCTTATAATTAGCACAAAGCAGCATGTAAAAGCTTTTAAAAGTCCAATATCAAATCAAAATCAAAATACAGTAATCCCTTACAAGTATTCATTTATTTTTCGGTCTTTTATATATGGTCTATTAAATTATAGAAGCATTTCTCCCATTTCAGATTTTTATAATTACGTGATTTCTCCATGGTGCATTACAGCTCTTCATGTATTTGCCCAGCTGAACCTATCAAAACTTCTAGAGGATTCTATTAGTGCAAATGGAAAATTTATTGCCTGCGCCACAGGAGAAACTCCTCTTTCGATATCATTAAATAAAAAAAGCAAACTTTGTGCAGAAATCATAATAAAATTATTCCCAATTATTTTCAAAAATAACCAGTCAGCTTTTGAATATTTAAGAGAAACTTTACCATTATTAAATAAGAGCAGCTTGCCTTCACTAATTGTGCTGTATAACTCAGCGTTTCCAGTCGTCCATTATCAATACTTACCTACATTTGGAAGTTTATTAGAATATCCGCCTACGATAAAGCTATAGTGCTTTCCCGAGGATGGCGCGGAATGGCGCCATCCTCGGGAAAGTCAACTAAGCATCCACACGGGAACTGGGGAGTTCCACGTGTGGATGCCATTTTTGACATGTGGGATCCAAACTTCCACATGTCAAAATGGCATCCACACGTGGAACTCCCAGTTCCCGTGTGGATGCCTTCCTGGCTTTCCCGAGGATGGCGCCATTCCGCGCCATCCTCGGGAAAGCGCTATATCAAAAACTCCACATATTGACCCTTCACAATTTGTCCATCAAAAGCAAGAAATGTCTAATATGCTTTTTACAGACTATGGGCTTGAATGGCGACAAAGCTTATTTTCCTTAAATTTATCAATGGGAGACAAAAAATCAATTAAATTAGTAAGGTCTATTTTAAAATGCAAGCAAACAGAAATATATAGAACAGAGTTCATTAAGTCACTATTAGCCTTTAAATGACAGCAAATACGTCATATTATGTGGATCCAAGCTATAGTCTACTCCTGTTTGCTGCTTATTTTGTTTATTCACTCAGTTGTTGTCCGAGATGATATAGTCACATTAATTTTAATTTTGATTTTTAATTCCCTGATGCTTTTATATGAAATTATTCAGTCAAATGAAAGCGTGGGGTCTTATATTCGAGAATTTTGGAATATTTTAGATATGATGAGGATATGCTTAATGTATATGTATCCTATATCAGTTTTTGCAGACGCTGACAGGCTGACAAAAGATGCGATGTTAGCTATTTTAAATATTGTGGCTTGGGTTAGATTTGTTGGGTATTTTCGCATGTTTGATAGCACAAGGTATATGATAAAAATCCTTATGGAAGTTGTGGAATATCTTAAACCGTTTTTTGTGGTACTTTTTATAGCTATTTTGGCACAAACTACAGCGCTTTATACAGATTCTGAAAACCCAGAGAAGTTTAAAGACACGTGGCTAGATGCTTATGCAAACGCATATGGGAATTTTGTGAATTATTCGTTGGACTTGCAAATTGTTATTTTTGTTTTTACGAGTCTGTTTATAACGCTGGTTTTGCTGAGCGCACTTGTGGCTTTATTAACATATACGTTGGAGAAATTATCTGATGAACATGATATAGCTGATCAGCAGGAAAAAGCAGAAATTATATTGGAATATGATACAATACATATTAAAGGAAGGCACAAAGGGAAAAATATGTATTTACAACAGTGCGGGATTTCGATTGGAAAGCATGAAGAGCATAAAACTGCAGCAATTAATCTATATAAGAAAAACATTGAAAAAAGGTCACAAATGCTTAGCAAATGCTTCGATTTAGTTGAGAAAAATACAAATAGATTAGAAAAGAAAATGAAAAAGAGGGAAATTTTAAAAAAATACGTCGCTGAATTTTCAAAAGAAATTTTAAATCTGAGAGCAACTTTTCAAAAAGAAATTGATGAATTTAGAGCAAGTATGGAAAATTTTAAAAATGACTTGAGCAATAGGAAAACATTTATTAAATAAAATTTAACTTATCTCTATGATATTCTTAATTATAAATCTTTAAGTTCTTTTTATTATGAAGTATGGCTTGCTGCCTATAGATAGATATATCATTATTATAATTTATAATAATACTTTTTGGAATTTTAAATATGCGATTAAACTTATAAAAAATTTATTCATAGCATTTTAATCACTTTGCGAAAAATAAATATTTATAAAACAGTTTTATCAAGATTTAAGTCTTTGAGGATATCCGTTTATTAATTTCTTAGTGGCATTGCAATAATATTCCCAATAAAATGGCTATCCTTCGATCTTAATTTAAATAATTTTTCATTTATATCTGCTCAATGGGTGTTTGTTCATGTACTGAAAGAGATGAAGCTACAAAAATCCAAAATAAACCAAAAGATGAATACTTAAAGAATATGCAAAAGATAAGGAAGGCCAAAAATGATGAAGATAGTGATGATGACCTCAAAAGAAGCAAAACTGAGAAATCAGCTGTCTCAGCTTTGCTTGATGGAATCAAAGAAGGGGACACATTTAAGTTTGGCGATGGAAGCGAGTATAAAGTGGTTATGTTTATTAGCCCGCCACGAAGTGTTATAATTAAGTGCTTGATCTGTGAAGTAAGCTTTCCAGATATAGAGCTAAATTGGCACATAAAGAATCCAGAGCATATTATGAATTGCTCTGAAAAGTGTGTGATTTTCTAGCCATATATTAATATTAAGTAAGATAATAACTTGTCTAATAATTCAATGCTGAATAAATCATACGATAATTAGCCATTGCATTAAGACCATTCAGATGATTAAGGAAGTAAGCCACGTACCTTAATAAAGCAAGTGAATTTTTGGGTGGTTTATAAAATTCTCCAAATATCTTATGCCACATAAGATAGTCAATGGATAATTTAATATCAATTAAAATCTATTAATTTTGCTAATTTGTTTATATTTTTAATGATTGCGTTAGCTAAAAACAAAATTTTGAATTCATATAACTATGCCTAAACTATTAGAACATTTTGATTATGGAAAGATAAAGAATTTTCTTGTAATTAATGCGTGCAAGCTCAAAAAACTATTTAATTTTGTAGCTTTAACAACTTTATATATGAATGCATCTTAAAACCATAAAATTTTCTATCAGAAATATTTAATAAATTCCTTTTTTCCAATTCAAGATATCTTCAATGAGCGACTCTGAAGGTCTAATATTATGCTTATCTAGCAATGTAAGAAATTTTGATATCGCTTCTTTGTCATTTTCTATAGCAATTTCTGGTTCTTCTTCTGCAACTTCTTGCTTATTAACTAAGCCTTTTTGATCATTTTCTATTTTGCTGAAGTAAATCTCTTCGTCACCTTTGCCTTTCTTCTTGAGACTTGTGCCTTCGGAAGGTTTTTGGTCATGAATCGCCCGGATTTTAGGTTGAAAAAACCTAAAAGTTTGACTTGCTCTCCACACTAGCATATTATTTTATGTTACAGATGAGTTTTTATAATTAATTCCTGCATAGTTGTTATTAAATTTAAATTAAGCTGCTTATCTTAGCCAGGGATCCCAGAAGACATCCTTCCTTGCCGCAGCGGGCAATGGATTCGCACCGCCGATCTTGACTTCCATGACTCCTGGAACCTATTTTATTTTTTATTTAATTCGAAAAAATATTACCAAATTTTTATACTTTTTATTGTGAACATCTATCACCTGGGTTAAAATTCCGAGTCTCTCGTTAGCCAGATATCACATCTTGAATTCTGCTCGAGGAATTTATCACCATTTTAGGGCTTTTGCTGATCCTGCCCTTTCCAATGATGAGCTCCCTAGGTCCTAAGAAAACCACGCCCTATATGCCTCTTTCTCCCTTCCTCTTCGCACTGGGCCATTGCTTTCTGGTGTTGAAGAAAAAGGGCCAGGAGGGTCAGTGGTCTGCCTTCACCATTTTTATGTATTCAAAGTTATTATAATATTATGAATAATATATACTTTCAGCGTGCTTGTATATATTTTTAAGGTAAACAACTATTGCTTTAGAGAGCAGTAATTATAAATTTATTTAAAATTTTGACATAAATCCTTATTTTTTATTGATTTTTCATATCACTTAATAATTATTTAAAGCATCCGTTTTATCTCTAATTCAATATGCTTTTAAAATATTAAAATGGGAATATGTGCTTGCAGTGAACAGTTAAGTGCTATAAAAATTATAAGAGGATATCTACTAGCTGCTTATCTGGCATAAACTCACCAGAACTATGGATTAGCTCCCTAGGTTAGAATCGCCTCTTGCGGATGTCTGTTCAGATAAGCAAGACTAAATTGGAGGCAAATCTGTCTAGCTCATCTGGCAGGGGCAGAGAAAACCTTTGGAGAGAAACAAAACTTCCTCTTCGGCATATCGAAGGCCTACTTCAAAAAGTAACAGAGACACTATTTTCATTCATCTGGTCCTATCTTCCCCATAGGGAGTGTGTCTCGGAGTCCAATTTCCGTCAACGTCACCATTTTATTTCTATTTGCAGTGAAAGGAATGCATACTTAGACCACACCACAGCAAAAGATTATCGAGCTAAAATGGTGGTAGAGTACTTGGATGGGCTAAAAAAATTTAAAAATAAAAAAGCTGACGAAAGTGACGAAGAAAGCGAATACGAAAATACAAGTGGAGGAGAAAATTCATTCGACAATTCATTATTTAATATCCCAGAAGGACTCAACGAAGGAGATGTTTTTGTAATAGGAGATAGAAGCCAATTTAAAGTTGTGAAAGTCACTGATTATTACGAAAACTCGATCACTCATTGCATAGCATGCAACGTTAATATCCCAGCCCATCAAATAAAAACACATGCAAAATTAGCTGACCATATGAAAAAAATAGTTTAAAATAAGTATGAGCTAACCGTTTTTAATACAATATCTCATATATATTAAAATAAGAAAAATGATTGAACCTTGCTTATTAAAAACTTATGCACTTAATCTATTAATTGCTCTCCTCAGCTGCCCTACAATTTGTGCTTTTTGATTTCCATCTAAATACCTCTCAAATATTGACTCCACAATCGCTAAAAGTTCTTTGCATTTTTCTACCATCCTAAGTTCCTCATAAATTTCAACCATCCACAATAGTAAAATAATTTCCCAATTTTTTGTAAAAATCCTTATATCTTCTTCATCTATATCAATTAGTGGAAATCTCCTGTCTTTAATTCCCGTCACAAATTCTAGGGAGCTTAAAGTTTTTTCTGCGTTATTTTTTATTTGATTGTTTCTTTTTTCTATTGCATGTATTGGGTTTGAGCTAACTTTTAATAATGCTGAGCTACTTGTATTAAATGATTCTTCTTCTACCATAGCTACAAAATCTTGTGATTTATAAGTTTTGTAATTGATATAATTGTTGATGGAATCAATAAACTTTGACCAATACTCACGCTCGTATTTTTGTAAATTATCGTCTAAAAGAGCATTAAATGATACCACAACCAATTCATGAGCTTTATTTATTTTGCAGGAAAGGATAAGTTTTCTGATCAAAGAAAGCAGAGAAGAAAAGGACTCTCTGAAAATTTGTGGCTTTATTAAGGAAATCAGGTCTTGCAAATCTTTGTCAGCTTCGTAGCTTTCAGAAACTCTAACTCCCCCCCCTCTGTGAGTGAATTACGAAAAAATTTGATATATAAATGATAATTGATATAACAAAATCTCTGTTTAATTCGAAACAAATTGCATTTTAAAACATAAATTTTACAAATTAAATTAATATTTGCTTTCTAATTTTTGCGAATTGGGATTTTTTTTAAATTTTGAAAAAAAAAATTTCTCTAAAATTTCTATGTAGTTTTTGTTAAAATAAATTAACCCCCTCGTGGCCAACAGAAGTTTTTTGTTCACTCACGGAGGGGGAATAAGCATATTTATAACATTATTGTAGTCTAATTGGAGATATTTCAGCTCTACAATATTCATAATTATTTCACAAATAAATCCTTGATACATTTTGGAGGCATACACTTTTAAGGACTCGACACACATTTCTCGTTCATGAGTTTCTGTGTAGTTTCTGAACAGCTCATTAGAGATCTCCATCATTAAAGTTTCGTCAGAAATGTAGCGTAAATAAAATAATACGACATGGAGAGGACTTTTATATCCAATTAAGGCTTTTATGTATTTAGATATGAGCTCTTCAGCGAGTTGGATTTTGTTTTCTGAGACATCGTAGGCTGATTTAATGATAATTGCTAAGTGGGCTGAAAAGCGGGTGGCATAAATTTCTTCCATAACCCCTTCTTTTGAATTTTCATAGTACTGTGACGTAAAAAATGACAGATTGTCAAGAACTTGATCCCAGTTGCTTAAAATAGCTGGGACAATAGAAGTGAACTGCAGCTTGTTATACGATTTTTTAAATACTTCTGCATGCTGCTGCTGTAGCATCCTTAGAATTCCATCAAAGCTGCTCGGCCATTTATTAGGGATATTTATAGGCAGCCCAAACTCGCCATATTCTTCACTGAAAATTTCTTCAACGACATAATTCGGCTCATTGCAATTTCTCAGTTTTTCTCTCAAATCGAAAATAAATACACTTCTAATCATAGCCCAAAAATGATCATGAATATCATTTTTACATACAGGAAGCATTGCTTCATAATTGCCACACATGCTTCCGTATAATGCTCGTTCATAGCTATATGACTCAAAGTTTATCCTTTTTTTCTCTTCTGAAAGCTTCCAATTTGTGGCTATATAAATGGTGAGATCAAAAAAGTATTTTTCGACTTTTTTATATAAAAGTTGTTAAATCTGTTTTTTAGAAAAAAATAATCAGTTTTGTTTTAAATAAAAGGAAAAGATGTGGATTATTTTTAATCTCTCCATATAAAGCTCGATGTTTGCATTGCCAAAATCACCTTGGTAGCCTTGTGGGGATTCTGGCTCGACTGTAGCTTTTTCAAAGTCAGCTGTGTTAAAAAATGAAGGGATATAAATTAAATTAAATGGATAAACTGGCCAGAAGCAGACAAGCCCTCTGGCCTTTGTTTCGTTCAGTTTTAGGAATAATAGTTCCCATAGCTCTTGGAGCTCGAATGAGGAAAATGAAAGGCTTTCATTTGGATTTCCCACCTTAGCGACCTTTCCAAGGAGCAACTCCCTGGGGCAAAGCCACCATTTGTAGAGTACCCGATGATTCCAGCAAGGGAAGACCATGATGGTAGGCAAAACCAGTCTAGTCCATCTGGCAGGGAGAGTAAAACCTTTAGGCAAAGCTTCCCAATCCTGAAATCTTACTTCAAAACGTGACAGAGACCTTGCTTTCAGCTTCATCAGTATAGGTCCTATCTGCTCCATAGAGATTGCACCACCTTGTATTCAATTTCTGTCAACTTCACCTTTTTATTTCTGAAGGGATATACGAATCTCCAGGGTACTCGTGGATTTTAAAGTCAAAATAAGGGAGAAGTCCTGAAAGAGTAAGTGCTCGCCAAGCTTGATTGGAATCATTCAAAAGAGTTTGGGCCGATTTTAGATCCCCAGCTCTTATCAAGCTAAAAGTATCTCTAATTAATTGCAAGTCGCTTTCTACGTCGCCTTTATCAGGTTTCCTCGATGTATTCCACACAAAGTCAGGGTCAAGCCTCTCATTAAGTCCATTCGCCTTTATTTTCGCGGCTGTGTTCAAAAATTCGGCATCTTTTTCTTGATAATTTTCGGTGCGTTTGATTGACTCCACCCAAGTTAGCATACAGAGTTTGGCCAGAAATAGCCTATCATTCATAAATTCCTGAGAAATTTCGTGCAGGACTGATTTTCCTAGTGATTTGTATTGCCTTGGAAACTCGTTAATAAGACTCAGCTGGATAAAAAGCATCCAGGTATTGTATTCATCAATCAATAAACGACGCTCAAAATTAGAATCGTCGGCATGCTCGTACAGCATTGAGTCAATTAATGATGAAAATCCTCTTAATCTGAGCCCAATATCAGAACTGTCAGTCAAGATTTTGTGAAAGCGGGTAATTAGCTCTTCACAGGGCATTTAATATTTATTCATAGAAACCTTAAATTTTTGGCTCAGTTAAAATATGTAAAAATTAAGGAAAATTAGAATGAATTGTGGAGCTTGTAAACAGCAGAAAGAAAATCTTGTGTGCCAGACTTGTGTTTCAGAAAGGATCGGGCCACTAAAAGAGCATTTATTTATGCTAATCCCACATGTGAGATTACTTAATCCCCTAACTCACTCACTATGCAAGCAGGAAAGCTCTATTTTTTTCCCCCCTCTCCTTGAGCGAATAAAGAATTTTTTTTATATAAATATTTTTTATAAAAAAAATATTCCAATATACAAAGTGATAGTTATTATAATGAAATCTGAAGCTAATCCTGTTAATTTTAAACAGCTTGCATTTTAAAACATAAATTTTACAAACTAAATTAATATTTTGCTTTCTAATTTTTTACGAATTGAGTTTTTTAACTTCAAAAAAATTTACTATAAAATTTATATATAAATTTTTAAAAAAAAGAATAAAAAACACTTCCATGTGTGAACAAAATTTTTTTGTTCTCTCATGGGGAGTAGGATAATTAGCATTATTTTTTTTTGTGAAAAGGAGGAATTGCTTTTAAAATACGTACATATAATTTTTTTTAGACATATTTGAAAAGAAAAATCTAATTTAATTTATAAAATTTATATTTATGAATGCAAACTGTGAAAAATTTGATAGAATTAGAAACAAACTGTTATAAAAGTTATTAATTACATAGAAAAAAATATATATTAAAAAATTTTTTTGCTCAGCTTAAAAGGGGAGAGTTAGGGAAAGGGCATCAGAGGTAATTTTAAAACAATCGTCAAACCAAATGGTCAAAGAAATGCAGAAAAATACATTAAAAAGGCTGAAAGAAAAATTTGATAGAAGTAAAAGTAATTAGACAAGGAAAATCTGGAGAAAATTAAGGCACAGATTGAAATTTTGAAATGGGAATTTGAGGAGAAGAGAAGCTTTATAAGCACTATTAATACTGAAGAAAAAAATAAAGAAAATTGCGAAAATCTGATGCTGGAAACAGAAAAAAAGCGAAAATTACATATAAAAGAAGCAGCCTTGATTTTTGAAAATAATCCTTATTTTCCTGATTATTGCATATCAGAATTGTTTCAGCTAGAAAGGTGCATAGGGTTCAGCCAGATTTTTCAAGATGAAGGTGAAATGAAATCAATTGATAAAACAAATTTTATAATTTCATTCAAAAGTAACCTATATTCAGCTATTATGACTCCATACATGACTGACGAGCATCTTCATGCGATCACTCATTCTATCAATTCTATCTGCTGCTTCATTTATATTTAAAATGGAAAAATTTAATGCCACAATTTTTTATGATCCAAAAAATCCAATGTGATAGTAGGGTTAACTGAGATAGAGAGACCAAATTGAGAACTATTATAGCCTAGGGCAATCTACTATATAAGAGCTATCATAATTAATTGTATGTGCTATTTCATTAATTTTTCTTCCTTTATTTTGAATATGGACATGCCATTTCCTCTATCTTTTAACAAAAGCTATTTTACTATAAAAGACCACTCAGGAAACATCCATCACCTTGATGTAAATGACACTTTTGCCTGTGAGACAGCCTTAATTTATTTATACCAAGATTTAAGATACATGCAGCAGCACGCAGGAGTTGATTTAAACTTGCTTAAAGGAGTTTTTGATGTAAAATCACTAGCAAATTCGCCGTTTTTGGGAAGATGGTTCAGCATCCCTTCATTGCCAATGAATAAAGTTTTACCTCCAAAGATAGAACTTAAGCTTGAAAGCCAAAGTGAAAGTGAGGATGAGTGGGAAGTGCTATGCCATTTATAATTAATAGAAATAGCTTTTCTCATTAAGTATTTCTATAGGAAATAAAATAAAAATTACCGTTATTTAATTTAAATAGATATATCATAATAAATAGTGAAAGTTTTATCCCATAAGTAAATGGATGATTAATAATATACCTAAACAAAACTATGTTTATTTATAAATTAAAATATATAAAGATTTAAATTCGAAAGAAAAATGCAGCTTCAGTTGTAAAGATATATAATATTTAGGCAAAATTGTCCAAGACAGCGTTAGGGAATATATAAAATTGTCAGTGATGATCATGCACCACGTCGATTATTGACGAGAATATGCTTATCTGAGACTAATGCTTGGAATTATACAATTAAATTTTGATTTTTAAAGTCATAGGAATTAAGAATTCTTAATAGGCTTTCAATTTGGATGCTGATAAGATTCCATTTAAAATTCTTCTTTTAGCTTTGCATCTTTTGCTTTTTCGGACTTTCGCTTACTCACCCAAGCGAGAAAAAAAATTTTTCCTACTCATGCAGTGATTTACATATATAAACTTAATGCTTTTCTCGAAATTTAAAATAAATCGTTTGCAAAAATTAAAAAAATTAAGATTTATGTTCAATAGATGAGCTGGAGATTTGCCATAATAGTTAGCACTTATATATTTCAAAATAAATCTTTTATTTTTATCCAAAAATAGGGACTTTTTCAATGGTTTTGCTGTTCACAGAGGGGAGTTAAAATTTTTATATATCTCTATCTCTTTTGGTAATCTTTAGTTTTATTGACTAGTAGTCAAGTTAATTAATTAATTAATTATATATTAGGGCTTGTAGATGAATCTTCATAGAAGACTCTTCCTTTCAGTCACTAGCGAACCTCCCTGGCATGTCAGGATTTTCTACCAGAGATAGCTCTCCTCCAGCTTTCAGCCTGACTCTTAATGCTGTTTCAGAATCTTGGAGTATTCAGAGACTATCAGTCAAGTTAATTATAAACTTTTATGAAATCAATTAAGGCTATCTTATTGGGCATGCCTTCAAGAGAGCTCAAAGAATACATCCCAGTCATTTCAAGAGTCAAGAAAGGCGTTCTTAGTGAAGAAGAGAGCTACCAAATGAGCAAACTTATGAAAAAAAATGTGATGCTTAAGTTTATAAGTCTGCCCATCTCAGTGTCAGTAGGATATTTTATTCCAGTTCCTCCTGATTTTACCTCACCTCTGCTTGCAAAAATAGTTGCATCTTTCTTTAGTTACCGCATTTTGACTGTCCCTTATACAATGCATACTTTTGAGTATATCAAAGAGATAGTCAACAAATATGACCTGAGAAATAACCCTGAATTACTGAATCCTTCAAGAATTGAAAGAGCTAAAGAAATTAATGATCGAATTACGAAAGATTATGATATGCATAAAAATGGCGATAACGTGCCACCCGACCTCTCGACCCTATTTTCTCAAACAACTGCAGACAACGGCCTAGTGGTGGGGAATTATGTGGGCAGGAAATCCTTTATGTATGTCCGGCTAGGTTTTACTTGAACCCTGGAGCTAATCGGTGAGACTCGGGCTTTTACCTCTAGAGCAACCATTGAAAGAACAAGATCGGCGACAGTCCTGAGAGGAGGCTAAATCCCTCGAATAGTACTCAAGAGATGGCATTTGTCTACGAGAAACTGGGAGTTTCGACCCAGGTGGTTAGCCATTCGAATCCAGAAGCCATGGAAGTCAAGACTGGTTGTGCGAATCACTTGTTTGCGGCAACAAGGAGGGTGTACGCTGAAGCTCCTCGGGAGCGATGAACGTGTAGGGATGGAAATCCCTGCAATTTACTAACGGCTTTTCTTAATCTTTATGAAAGAGTATGAAGAAGAAATGGCCAAGAAAAAGGAAGGAGAGCCAAAAGAAACTTATGAGGAGTTCATACAGAAGAAAGAAGACAATTTTGAAAAACTCGTGATGGAATACCAAGCAGAAATGGAGCAGAAGAAAGAGGAGGGGAACAAAGAGACTTTTCGACAGTTTTTAGACAGAAAGAAAAAAGAGCAAGAACAGGGGATAGAGGATAAAGGAGAAAATAAGAAGGAGAATAAAGGAGAAGATAAGAAAGAGAATACAGAAGAAAAAAAGGATTAGATTAATTAAAATTCATCAAGCCAATTCTTCATAATTATTGCTAATTTCATATAAACTGGCTTAAATAATTCCTAGTCTAGGTTTATCTTTAACAAGTGCTTACTAAATAATGATATTTTTATGCTTTTACGAGGCTTCCTCCATCTGCTATAAAAAGTTCTTCAAACTTCACAAGCAAATTAATCCCATCTTCTCCAACAACAATCCAATAATTTTCCTCATTCACCGACTTCCACCCCACAATGGCAAAAGCTTTGACCTCTCCAATTTTAATCCCCATAGCAGGTCCATTATTAACCAGCTGCTCTTTAATGCTATCTTGTTCCCTTATCATCCCAGTTTCTATTTTTATGTCCATATCTTCACAAACCATTGTTTTCCCATCATCCTGCATGGCAAAACAGTTTTCTTTGGCTCTGCAGACTTACTTACTTAATTATGTGTTTAGTCGGAACCAATTTGTTAAATCGGTTACCAAGGATCCACCAGGAGATTCATCCGCTTTGCGGGACCTCGGCCGGAAAGGAGAGTTGCCTCACAGCCATCTCCTCGTCATCACTTCGCGGTTGGCTCCAATCTTGAGTGGGCGGACTATGGATTCCCGGGGTCTTGCTTCAAGCTTCTCCCATACGAGGTTGCCTGCACGGAAAATCAAAAAAATGGATTTTCTGGCCGACTGTCAGCAAAAATAAAATTTTGTAGCTCAAGCCGTAACTCCTGGTTTCACAGAAGTGCAGTGACAGAATGATCCTGAGGACTTTGCTGGGCAACACCTTTTCCAACTGCAAGCCTCCTTTGTCCCAGAGGTACAAGGGCTAGGCTCCTTACACCACAGGAGTTGCTTACCTAGTATAGCTGCCCATATTCAGCTTGGTAAAACCTTGCCGGATATAATTAAAATATGTGCTCGAAGGTAATCGACGTAGCCTACCGCGGAGCACTGAGACATCATATTTTAATTATTTGGCCCTGCAGACATCTGAATAGTTATTTTGAGCTCCAATGCACCCAACCATATGTAAAGTCCAGCTTGTAATATCGAATTTTTGGCTACAGCTGGTGAGGATATTAATGCAACTATTCCATTCATTTCTTCCGTCAAATTCAAATGGTAAAATCAGCTTTGCGTCTACTTTGGTGCCCCAGAGAAGGTTAAAACCGTTGTTTGCTGAACATTTGCCTGAGTTTGCGTTGCAGATTGGGAGAGATGAAGGGCAACAGTGGAGTTGATCGCTGCAACAGATAGCGGTTGGGAACGGGCAGCAGCCATATTTTCCATTTGCTTGAGGACAGCAGGATTCTGTGGAATCACAGTAATGGGACTTGTCGCAGTAAATTTTGGAAGCAAAGCCTAGGGATATAAGAGAAAACAGCAATAGCATTTTTATTATAATTTGTCATCATAATAATTGTAATAGTTATTAATTTTTTGATTTTAGATTAAATTACGCATAAATATTTAAGGTCTCATTTTATGGAATTTCATTTTGTACGGCTTGGGCCGTCTGGAGGCACCTCTGGTAACTCTGAGCCCAGCTGAAACCTCTGATTTCTTGGTAGTGATATTCCCTTTTGGATCGATGACTTCTCTAGGCAATGCCTTTTGGGAATGATAATATTTGCTGCTGGGTACTACCATTTCCAATTCAATTCCTTCGCCCATCTAATTACCCCACCCTACCCATATCCTTGGCTATCGCTCCTTTTGGAGTCTTTTGCTGAAGGGACCGCTTTAAAATGCTATCTAATCTGCTTCCCCTTTTCCCCGATTATCCCTGCAAAATATACTTAACTGCTTCTGTGATTGAGCGATTAAGCTGTCCTACTCCACTTTTTCTAATGGCTTGGATACTATAGGTCAAATAGACACACGAATAATTGTCTATTGAATCAGGCCATAAAAGCAGAATTATGCTTGGATCCCTGATATTACTTCAAAAAAATCATGCTTGGATATAATGGATAATCATTATGAGAGCAGGGATTTGACATCACTTACCACTTTTTATTTTTTTAATGGAGTCTAAAATTACCAAAAAGGCTTGTCTCATCAAAGCTGCTTTGGAATTTGACTAAAGATTGTGCAAATGAGGAAAGATTTGGTGATAATGAGATTAGTAGTTTGTTTAGTGATGATAAATTTTGGAATGATGTGGACGAAATTCTAGGCGATGATGACTACTTGGAAGGAAACGATTTTGTAGAGGATGAAGACAGTGGAGAGGAAGAAAATGAGGAATCAGGCTACTGGGAAGAAATGAGGCTGTGGATAGCCAGCCAAGAGGGAGAAATCCTGGATATAAGAGAACTGATCCTAGCCACAGGATCAATTAATCAGATTCCAATCAAGATCTTGGACTGTGAAAAGTGGAAAGTGAAGAAACCGAAAATTGTGTGGGGACAGAAAAGGCAAAATACAAAAGAGAAGCGAAAAAGGTAAAAAAGGTAAAAAAGGCAAAAAAGGCAATAAAGGCAAAATTGGCAAAAAAGGCAAAAAAGGCAAAAAAGGCAAAAAAGGCAAAAAAGGCAAAAGGGCAAAAAGCGCAAAAAAGGTAAAAAATGGCAAAAAAGGCAAAGAAGGCAAAAAAGGAAGAGAGTCTCTGTAGTGCATGAAACGACAGATTTGATAGACCAAAAGGTGTAGAGCACATTGTCAGGGTGAAAAAAACCGAAATGGTAAATTGACTTGGAGAAAGAGGAAAATATTCAAAGTAGTTAGGTGAAAATCAAAAATAACTGGAAAAAAAAAAACCATAAGGGTGCCCGCTGAATAATAATTAAGTAAGTAAGTAAGTAAGTAAGTAAGTAAGACGTCACTCACCATTTTATGTATATAATTTATTTGAATATGATTAAAAAATCAAATATTATAGCAAAAACCTTGAAAACTATTTTACGCCATTTAGAGGTTCATCTATAATTTATTTCACCAATTGCAATTATTCTTTTTCCCACTGATTTTTGCATAAATAATTTTTTTTTTAATTTTAATTCATTTATTTCCAAAAAGAATATTTAAATTTAAGTTTAAAAATTCTGGTAAAAATCCAGCTTTGTGTTGCCTATAAAATGTCTGAACGAATTGTTGTGAATGGTTTAACCATGACTCCAGAGCTTCTTTTCAAGCTTGGCCAAGGCGGTGTCACTCTAGAAATCGCAGAATCTGCCTGGGACCGCGTAAATCAATCTCGTTCCTTGATCGACACAATTCTTCAACAAGGCAAAATTGCATATGGCATTAATACAGGATTTGGGTTCTTCGCAAATACCATAATCAGTCCAGAAAACCTACGCAAACTCCAATTCAACTTAATCCGCTCACATTCTGTCGGAGTAGGGTCTCCTCTGCCTCCAGAGCGCGTTAGGATGCTATTAGCGTTAAGGATTAATGTTCTGTGCAAAGGGTTTAGTGGAATCAGCGCATCCCTTTTAACCAAGTTAGTCGAAGCTTATAACAAAGACTGTCTTTCTTATGTGCCCGAACAAGGCACAGTAGGCGCCTGTGGGGATTTGGCACCTTTGGCTCACCTTTGTTTAGGATTAATGGGAGAAGGCTTAATGTATGACTCTGATTCTAAAGGATATATACCAGCTGCAGAAGTCTTGGCAAAGAAAAATTATGAGCCTATAAGAGAGCTGTTCCCAAAAGAAGGGCTTTCTATGATAAACGGAGCTCAAATGATATCTGCGCTGTGTGCTGAAGCGCTTGTTAGGGCAGAAATTGCTTCAAAAACTGCTGACGTCATTGCTTCTTTGTCTTTAGATATATTAAAAGGAACTTATAAAGCTCTTGACCCGCAAATACATGAGGCAAGGCCACATCCGGGACAGATGGCTGTAGCAGCTCGTATGCGAAAAATTCTGATGCCGAGTGGAGAAGGGTCAGAACTGAATTTAAGTCATATAGACTGCACAAAAGTCCAGGATTCATATTCTTTAAGATGCATTCCACAAGTCCATGGGATTACTCATGATACTTTAGATTTTGTTAGGGCTCGGCTTACAACTGAGCTGAATTCAGCAACTGATAATCCTATGATTTTTACTGATACATGCCAAATTTTATCTGGAGGCAATTTCCATGGGGAATACCCAGCAAAGCTTAGCGATTATTTACTCTTCCCCGCTCTGTAAATAATATTTTCATGATTTTAGTATAAAATTTATATATAAATTATAAAAAACCCTTCATGAGTAAATTTTTTTCTCATATAAAAAGGGGTTAGGAATTGCAATCCATGAAATCGGGTCTATCAGTGAAACCAGAATACAAAGACTTATGAACACCACTCAGTCTGGTTTACCCAGCTTTTTAGCTGACGAGCCAGGGCTTAACTCCGGCTACATGATGGTCCATTGTACAGCAGCTTCTTTAGTAAGCGAAAACAAAGCCCTTTGTCACCCTTCCTCAGTCGACACCATCGCTACCTCAGCAGGACAAGAAGACCACGTATCAATGGGAGGCTGGGCTGCAAGAAAAGCTATAAATATTGTTAAAAACGTTGAAACAATATTAGCAATCGAGCTCCTCTGTGACGTCAAAGCAATGGAATTCCTCAGACCTCTAAAGTCTTCAGAGCCCCTCGAAAAGGTAATTTCCGCCGTCAAAGACAGAATAGAAATGCATAACCATGACTACGTAGTCAATGAAGACATAGAAACACTGAGAAAAATGATTTCTAATGGAGACATTTTAAATGCTGTTAAAGAATATATAAGCTAATAGCTAGTTAGTAATTAAAAAGCTTGCGATTGGATTGAAGAGCACCAAGGACAGCTGGAATTTGACAATAAATAAGCATTCCACTCATTCTTGTTAGCTGGCCTGTCACAGTTGGTGCAAGCTACTTCGCTGCCTCTCATTACTGGGAAGCCAGTAATCAAACAAGGCTCCCAGGCAAAACCACAGTTAGGGCATTGTAAATTTGCAATATAAATCTCAGCGCCACAACTGTCACAATGCCGGGTGCTAAGTTTTTGTTCGACGCGGTGGTCCATAGACACTTGCAAAACCCAGTCTCTAAGCCTGTCGCGGGTGTCGTTATCAGTGATATTGTTGTCTGGGAGAGGAATATTGGAGGTCGGAATATCAGTCCCTTCAAAATCAGTATTGTCGCCTAATGCGGCTGCGCCTGTGTCTGGGTCTTGTATGGCGTCTGCAATATCTAAATATCTATTTAAAAAGATAAACGCCATATTTAGTCATCCTTCTTCTTGACAAGCTACTCCTGCATCATAAAAAGCTTTATCGACCCTGACTTCATTGGTATATCTTAATAGAGATACACAGATTTTGGTATAAAGACCACGCTGGTTTTTGTTTTTGCATGTACCTTTGAGATAAAGCAGCTGGATAATCCTGAAATAACGCTCGAATTCTTTGGTGACTGGTGAGTTTCTGTCATACATATTGTCTAGGAGTAGCTTAAGAACAGTCCTTAAATCGTAAATTTCTTCATCTTCACATTCGGCGAGGACTTCTACACAAAGAGTTTTATATATGGTGAAAAATGCTGAGTCTGCTGGACTTCCGTAAACAGAAAAAATCTTTAAGGCTTGGGCAAAGTGGCCTTCTTCTGTCATGTGAGTGGTGCATTTGAGCAAGATTTCGCTTAACATCTGAGGATTTCCTTTGACTTTTTCTAAAGCTCCTTCCCAATCTCCACCTGAGATTATTATATCTCTTGCAGCGTTTCTATCTAATGGCATCAATCCAGTATAGTCGCCTTTTGCTTGTAAGTACTTTTTCTCTTCATTTTCTACTAAATTTCTAAGTTTCGCTTCAATGTCAGTATTTTTGATACTCATGACCATTTCTTTAGCTCTCTTAAAGTCCTTACCTTCTATGTAGCATTTTATAGCTTCTTCATACTGCCCGATTCCTGCATACATATCAGCAGCTGCATCATACCTTTGGATTCCTTTTAGTCTTTGACTGACCAGCATAATTATTTGTTGGCATCTGTCTTTATGGCTATATATATTTCTGATCACAGAAAAATTCTCTATATCTTATAGAAAAATGGCTAAATTTCGTAAAAAATTGTCATAAAAAATAAGCCGTCTTTATCATAAGTCATTGCCAGTTGCACAGCCCTTTCCCAGACTTCTTCTAATAAATCAAAATCATTAGTTACATCTTGAGAAATGGATAAATACGCATTAATCGCTTTAACATAATCCCTGCTTTGTTCTAAAACCCTTGCTGTCTGTTTCATATCTTCAGCACCAGTTGCTTCTTCCACATTAATAACTCTAGATACTAAATGTGGGGCATGGTCTTTGGCAACTCTTATAGCGTCATTTCTCATCCTAGCATTTGCGTACATTTCTACTGCTTTTTCTGGGAGTTTTGCAGCAAGTAGACATTGCTCAGCTTTTGGAAATTCGCCGCGGTCTATGTGGTATTTGGCTTGTGAGGATAAAATTTCAGGGACCATATCTGGACAGTATTGGCGGGCAACGCGTAGGGCGGAATAAAAATCACCTTGGTGCTCATACATATTGACGGCTTCTTGGGCTCGGCCAGCTTTGATGAACTCTTCTTCAGCTTCTTTCCAGCGGTTTTCGTCTTCTAAATAGAGAGCGTAGCTTAAGTGGACGTCGTTTAGACGATGGCGGCAATGGGCTTCTGCAAGTCTGAAAGCAGCATCATAATTGCGCTGTTCGACTTCGAATTCTAAGGCAGCTTCTACAAGTCCTTGCTTCATAAGCAGATCAGAACCGCCACCTTTACCAGCGTGGGTTTCAGCCCATTTTCTGGCGACTTCTGCGATTTCTTTAGGGCCGCCATATGCTTTGGCGAGCCTTAAAGCTTCATCCCACATGTTTTTCTTCCTATAAATGTCAACAGCCATTTTCCAAGCTCCTGCTTCTACAAAATGGTGCTCAGCTTCTTTGAATTTCCCTTCTGCGTCAAATTGTTGAGCCAATAAAACAGGCTTTCTATTTTTTTTCCTATTCAAAACGATTTATTAATTTTTCCAAGCTAAAATATCATGATTTTCCTAAAATTTCAATGCATAAAAATCTAAAATAGTTTTATTTATATTACCAATAAATATGCGTGTCCTTAAGTAATTCTTTTCTATATTTTGCTACCAATTTGATCATATTATCATACTGTTGTGCTTTTTTATACATATTAATTGCCATATCTGCCTCATTTACTGTCAAATACATTTTTTCGGCTTCTTTCAATAGTCCTTCACTTTCTAATTTCTGTGCTTGTTTTGTATACAGCAGCGTAACTTCAGTATCAGGCATATTTTTGCATGCAAACCTATAAGCCTGCTCCCATTTATTATTGCTTGTCAGCATTTCAAAAACGTCGTTAAAAGCTCCAGCTTTCATATAAAACTTTTCGGCTTGGTCTAATTGTCTTATGTCTGCATAATGCTTTGCTATTTGTTTGTAATAAGGCTTAGCTACGTCTTGGCTTTGCTGGCCTAGCAGTTGGACAGCTTTAGTCCACTGTCTTGCATTTATAGCAGCTTCTATAGCTTTTTGGTATGCCCCGGCTTCTATGAAATGGTTAACACTGGCATCCATCTGTTTTTGTGAGACTAAGTAATCTCCCCATTTTTCTTCAAGTTTCGCTATATAAGTAGGATAATTTCTTCTAGCTAAATCGGCTCCATGATTTTTACTTATTAATAATACCATTTTTCTGTAAAAAATATGATAATATATCTAGAAAAAAATAAAAAGAAATATTTAGAACAAGAAAAATCATCAAAAGCCACAAGCTAAATCTACAGCTTTTCTATAAGCATTTCCTTTTACATACGACTCTAGTGCTTTGTCAGGCATGTCTAATTTTTCGAAAAATTCTCCAGCTTTTTCATGCATTTCAGCAGCTTGTAAGGCTGATGCAATTTTTTCCATAATATCTGAGTTGTTTATATTATATTTGCTTACTAATGCTGCAGCCCTTGCTGGAAGTTTGCCTTTTAGATATAAACTGATAGCGCCTGGGTAGTCTCCATCTCTAGCTTTTACTTCAGCAGCTTTTTCTTCTTGGTTAGTCTGTAATAGCCAATTAAAATAATTTGCCTTTAGATCGTGCAGTTTAGGGTGCTTTCTCTTTTCTGCAATATTAATATCCTTATTTATAGTATATTAATAAACATCTGTTAATTTATTACAAAGAGAAATTCTTGTTAATATAAACAGCTATAATTTCATCCCACCTATGGAGTTCTTGGTACATCTCCATGGCTTCTTCTACGTCATTTTGGTCTAGCAAAATAGCTTCAGCTCTATGGAACTGTTTTTCAAGTGCAGACAGCTTAGCCTGGACTAAATAAGACTGAATCCCTTCTTGAGCAGTTTCTGCTTTATGCTTGTCACAAAGTTTATTGACTTTATGAAGATATCTTGACTTCCCTACATCTCCCAGGGCTGAATAACACTGCTCGGCTACCCTTAAATTTTGTTCTTCTAAGGCAATTTCTGCCAGTGCTTTCCAATTTGCTTCAATTTCTGGGGTGTTATTAAGCGGTTCTAAAATTTCTACAGCTCTCGCTAAGTTTCTGCTTTCCAAAGCAAATCCGAACTCTATTAAAGGTTCATCTAGAGCATAGCTGACAGTTGACATTCCTTCATTTACGATAACTTCAGTCCCGTTTTTATTTCTTTCGATTTCTTCTACTTCTCCTTTGATATTATAAACAGTCACTTTGTCAGGGTCATCTATACCTAAGGAAGATTTATAGACTTCTATTATCAAAAATAGCTCCGAAACTAACTAACTGGCTTGCTAGTACTAATAAGCAAGCATTTATTAGCAGTCCTTGCTTTCAATAAATAAGCCAAAAAGCTATAAGCTTTTCTAAGGTATATATTATACCACACATTTAAATTATTTCTGCTCTGAGCGACCACTACATCTGAATTCGGCACCCATTGGACATATGAGCAAAACTGCAGCAGCGTCGACTTGGTCTGAGTTTTTATATTATAAAGCATCAGCTGTCTCCTCTTATCTCTATACAAAAGCTTGGTCGCTGACGCATTGAGCTCTAAGAAATCAATTTTGGCATCATGGTTTATTAAAGCTGCTGAATTTCCTGTCTTTAAGTCTTGGACACAAATAGTGTGAGGATCTAGCAGAAACGCAATAATTTTGATAGCTAAATGGTAGTCTTCTTCAGATTTAACGCGAGAATAGTTAAGTCGTGCAGAAATTAAATGAGGGCTCATCTGTTCAGTTCTACAATTCCCCAGGATTTCGTTGCTGCCGTATTCAACTAAGGTAAGTTCTCCTGCATTGAAAATCATGCAGACACCAGGGGAGGAAAAATCATATTTTTCTTTGCCGGAACCTCGCCATTGGATTTCGCTGAGGCGGGAAGTCTCGAGGTCACCGAGAAGCAGAGTTTCAGCAGTGTGGGCAACGACGTATCTGTCTTGATAGATATTGATTTTGTTGATTTCCAGGCCGAAATCGCTTTTTATGGCGACTTTTAAGCTGGATGCGAGCTCTTTTACGATGACTTGGCTGATTGAGACGTAGGTGAACTCGAATTTTCCTTTGTACCGGGCTTTTCTTAAGCAGATTTCAAAGACATCGACAGAGCCACATAAAGAGCCTAATACAACTTTAGACCCATCAGGTTTCCAGCATAATGCAGTGACACTATAAAGGTTTTCTATATTTTTTACTAATTTTTCCACCCATTCTGGTCTTTTAGGGTTATACCCATACACAAAGAACTTGTTAAAGTTTCCAATCACAACAGTATCTCCAGCCGGATTAAACGCAGCCACAGTAAACTCTTTTACAGACGTATCATACGAATAGTCAAACCTCTGAAACACATTTCCATCATCTGTATAAAAAATCACTTTCCCATCATTTCCTGCCGCACATATATGTTCACCCCAATCCAATGCATAAGGTACAGACGGATGTGCCACAATTTTCGCTAACTGATGATTTTCCAACGTATACCTATAAATTGTCCCATCTAAATGCCCAGAAATGATAGTTTCTCCATCAATACTTGAAGCCACCGATACTACATATGATTCAGACGAGTACAAGGTAGCTGCTTTATTACTTCTGACTTGACCGGATTTTACTTTGCCTTCAGCTAAACCAAAAATGATGTCATGAGCTTTGGTACGAGGCCAATTCATACAGGTTACTGCTGAAGATTGAGGGAATTTATTGCAGATCGATTTTTTCTCACCCCATTCAGTCCCAAGCTTGTATACAAAAACGATATTATCGCTTTGAGCTACTGCAAGGCGGGTTGAGTCAGGAGAAAAGGCCAAAGCACGGACTACGTAGGACATCTGGCCTTTTTCAGCAGGGCGGGTAGGAAATTTGTCCTTGCGCTCACCTTGGTCGTCGTAAAGATGGACAACTCGGTCAGCCGTTGAGACTGCGAGCCTCATACCATTTGCAGACCAGGTGATCGCTGAAATTTTTTGCATTCCATCCACAGCGGGCTGGAGGTTTTTTGAATAGCGTAATTGCATCCAATATATTATAAATGGAATAAATTCAAAAGATAGCGTATGAAGATAGCTGATAGAAGTTAAGAAATGGTAAGACAAAGATTGGAGAATTAGAAGGCTAAATCTGAATAAAGCAAAATATTTTAGGAAAATATAAAGAATTTATAAGAAGGTGAAACTTCCAGATAATCAAGACTAAATTAATATGGAAATTTTGGAATTTAATTAAGGAAAAGTTAATTATTAACTCCCCCCCCCCCCCTCCGTGAGCGAACAAAACCATTAGAAAAATCGCCATTTTTTGACCAAAAACCCACCCTCCGTGAGTGAACAAAAATTTTTTTAATAGAAAAAATTTTAATGGAAAAAAATTTTGATATATAAGTGATAATTAGTATAATGAAATCTAGAGCTAATTCTGTTTAATTTTAAACAAATTGCGTTTTAAAACATAAATTTTGCAAATTAAATTAATATTTGCTTTCCCAATTTTTGCAAATTAGGATTTTTTTAAATTTCGAAAAAAAATTATTTTTTATAAAATTTATATATAAATTTTTTTTTAAAAAAAAAAAATTAACCCCCCTCCGTGAGCGAACAAAATTTTTTTGTTCGCTCACGGAGGGGGGGGGGGGGAGTAAGCAAATTAATATCTCATAAAAGATATTTCTTCTTTATCATTCCTTGGTGAGAGCTGGAATTTCGGCGTTGGCATTATATCATTAGAATATGGTAGCAGCTGATTCATAATTAAATATGCGTCTTCGTCTGGGCATGGCCTCCAGGCCATGCGGCCTCGACTCATATTTTAATTATATCCGGCAAGGTTTTACCATTCTAGAGATGGACGGCAATACTAGGTAAGCAATTCTGGTGGTGTTCAGAGCCTAGTCCTAGTCTATTCTCAGGGGTGGATTTTTCCTCGTGGGGAAGGAGGGCACGGAGTTGGAAAGGGGAAGCTCAGCAGAGTCCGTTAGGACCAATCGGGCAACTCCCTAGCGTGAAACTGGGCGTTACGTCCCAGGCTACGTGTTTTTCCTTTTTGCCGATAGCCGACCAGAAAAATCCATTTTTTGGGTTTTTCGGAAAAGCAACCCATGTAACAAGCAAGCAGCTCATCCATGAGCCGTCGAAGCCGGAAACACTCTCCCGAGAAGCACCCTGGCGATCGAAGCAGGCCATACCCAGCGACCTGTGGGCCCGATGCGACGCAAGGCGAGTGACAGTACCTGGGGTTGTCACCCGTAGTGGACGTTAAGCGTATAAATTCTATAAGATAAGATAAGGTAGCAGCTGATTCATTTTGAGTACTAAAACACCAATTAAATCTAAAGCTTCATTTAAGTTCTCTTTTAACTTTTCTCTTTCGTCTCCTTTCCTAATCAAGTTTTCTTTTGATAACCCTAGCTCCCTTTCAGTCTGTCTCAGTTCTAGTTTCACACAGTCCAGTTGCTGCTTCAGACACTCGTATTTTTTTCGTTGCTTTTTAAACTTCTCTCTAATACTGCTACAAAACTCCATGCTGCTCTGAGGTCACATACTCATGCCTAAATAATGCTTCTCAAAGCTGGAAATTGATTTTAAATAATATCCTTCGTCCATATATTTTATTAAAATAAATTATTTTTTTATTTTTTTTATATACTAAATTATTTATTATACAAAATAGAGCTATTTTGCTATTATTAAGGTATTAATTTATTTAAAATTTATTATCGTCATTCGAGATATTGGATTCGTCCAAATCTTCTTCTAGATTTGTTTCCACGAAACTTCAAGATTTTGTATGGGATATTGTAGATGCTTTTAAAGAAGAGAGTGTTTGCAGAGAAGTCAAATTGCTAACTCCCCCCCTCTGTGAGTGAACAAAACATTGGAAAAATCGCTATTTTTTGCCCAAAAACCCACCCTTCGTGAGTGAACAAAAATTTTTTTATAGAAAAAATTTTGATATACTAATGATAATTAGTATAATGAAATCTAAAGCTAATGCTGTTTAATTTTAAACAAATTGCTTTTTAAAACATAAATTTTATAAATTAAATTAATATTTGCTTTCCAATTTTTGCGAATTAGGATTTTTTTAAATTTCGAAAAAAAATATTTTTTATAAAATTTATATATAAATTGTTTTAAAAAATAAAATTAACCCCCTCCGTGAGTGAACAAAATTTTTTTGTTCACTCACGGAGGGGAGAGTAAGATCATTATAAGTGATTCTGTAAGTGGCTTCTTCTTCCATATTGAGACTATTAAGCAGTTAATGAAATCTAATTACTGTTGTTGTGATGATGCAAGAGGGTAAGAGGGTGTGAATAATTGGAATTTTGAAAGAAATTGTTAGGTTTTTGGGTTAATTAAATTGCAGAACTGATATATAAGCATTATAAAATTATAGTAAAGAGTTTTAAGTAAAATCTAAGCTAAAATTAAAAAGGCAAATCCTGCAGCTAGTAATGCAGCTGAGTCATATGATCCTTCGTCATAGCCAGGATCAAAAAGCCCTAAGTCCAAGAGGCAGCTATCAATGGCTCCTGATTGATAAATTAAGATTAAGATTATGTTATGCCGTTCATCTTGAAGGCTGGGGATTTCCACCCCTACACGTTCATCCCTCCCGAGGAGGCTCGACGGACACTGGTCGGAATTCCCAGTTTCTCATTAGGCAAATACCGTCTTCAGTGTCTGTGGGTACACAGACATGGGCCGACCTTACCCTTTCCAATAATTGTATGGAGGAAAAACTCTAAGTCAGGGATTAGCTCCCTAAGGTCCGAGCCGACATACATAAAGGATTACCGGCCTCTTTCCACCTAAATCTCCAACACTAAGCCGTTGCCTGCTGCTGTTGAGGAAATAGGGTCGAGAGGTAGGGTGGTAAGTCATCACCATTTTTATGTATATGCTCCTGATTGATAAATAGTCCAATACTGTGCTTGCTCTAATGAGTACAAATAATAAGTATAAAGCTCTGTTGACACTGATTCACAAAGAGAAAGTATATCCCAATCCAACGTATGCGAATTTGCCCCTGAGCATTGTGATGATGTATATCTTAATTTCTTTCTCATTGTATCTAAAACTTCAGTTGCATACTCTATCATATCACCACAATAGCCTTGATCTGTACCTACTCCGTCGCAGTAGCAAGGGCCTGTAGAAATTACTGTTCCTTTTTGGTTTGACTTATATGTACAAGTGTCTCCAATATTGCATCTAAAAGGCTCTGATAGTTTTTTGGTACCTACATAGACGTCGATGGAATCGCAAATTCCATTGCTCATATATCCACTTTTGCATATCAGCTCGGTTTGTGTTTTATGTCCTAAATCTTGAGAATACAGCTGATAGCAAAGCCCTGTCCCATCAGTCGCGCTACAGAAGAAACCTATACCGCATTGATTGCTGCGTGTGCATGGGTCTTCTTTGCCTTTTGATTCTTTGCAGCTTCCAGATGATATTATACAAGTATTGATACTAAAAATTGGAGAAACTTTTTGGGACGGCAAAAATACTGCAAGGCTCTGCAAAAAACTGCAAGGCCAGTAAAAAAATAGCAAAGCCAAGCAAAAAAAATGCAAAACTTGCAAAATTTTTGCAAGTTTTGCAAAAAAACATTGGACAAAAGCAAAAGCAATTTAAAAAAAAAAGCAAAGCCATGCAAAAATTTAAAAAAAAAATGAAAAATTTCGCAAAGCAGGCAAAACTTTTGCAGGGTGGCAAAAAAGTTGCAAAAATTGGCAAAAATCACGATTAGAAAATTTAACAGTAAAATTTAATAATTTATTGGAAGTGTAGTACAATGTTAAATTATTCAAACAACATATAATATAGAAAAAATAGAAATTAATTTCGTGAAATAAATGCTAAAGTCTAATACAAATATCTTTTAAAGAATTTTCCAAAAACATAACTTAAGAATTTTAAAAATTTGGAAAATTTAATTTTGGCAAAACACTTTGTTGTATCTCATTTTAAAATTTTGCCAAAATTAAATTTTCCAAATTTTGAAAATTTTTAAGTCATGCTTTTAGAAAATTCTTTAAAAGATATTTGTATTAAACTTTATCATTTATTTAACGAAATTAATTTCTATTTTTTCTATATTATATGTTTTTTAAATAATTTAACATTGTACTACACTTCCAATAAATTATTAAATTTTACTGTTAAATTTTCTAATCGTGATTTTTGCCAATTTTTGCAACTTTTTTGCCACCCTGCAAAAGTTTTTGCCTGCTTTGCGAAATTTTTTTTTTTTTTTTTTTTAAATTTTTGCATGGCTTTGCTTTTTTTTTTAAATTGCTTTTGCTTTTGTCCAATGTTTTTGCAAAACTTGCAAAAATTTTGCAAGTTTTGCATTTTTTTGCTTGGCTTTGCTATTTTTTTACTGGCCTTGCAGTTTTTTGCAGAGAGCCTTCAGTATTTTTGCCGTCCCAAAAAGTTCTCCTAAAAATTTCTATTAAAAACAATATCTTATTTTTGAAAGAATTTATTTTTATATAGGCTTTATGCAGGTGCTGTTATTTAATTATGGTATGAATCACAATAATAGTTAGGAAAACAGTCTTCGTCAGCTGTACAGGTGCCACCATCCTGAATTCCGACGCAATATCCATCAGAGTCACATGATCCACTAGCACAATAAGAGTTTACACTGCAGCAAGATCCAGCTGGCCCTTTGGAAGAGCCAGTATAGTTAAAGCAAGCTGTTTCGCACCTGCCATTGTAACACCAGTCACTTGCACAGTCTTTATAATAGGTGCAGCAATCGCCTTGCTTCAGGTTTGAACTTGAGCTGGTCTCAGTGCACATTGTGCTTGGCCTAGTAATGCATTGGGATGCTGTGAATTCTGCTGTTGTTTGTAGATCTGAAAAATCACTGTTACATATTAAACCACTGGCGCATGGGGTAAATGTAATAGATGATGTGCTTACAGTCTCGCAGGCTCCTGTTGTGGTTCCACTCCCACAAGTTATTTTACGGCAGCTACTTGTATCTAGTGCAAAAGTGCAAAGGACTAAGAGAAAGAGAAATTCTAACCTCATATTTTAGATTATTTTAAAAAATTCCAGTTCATTTTATGCTGGATTTAATTGTTAAGTTAATGATCTGTAAAGAGTGGGGATTTTGACAGAAAAGCTGAGAAAATTAAAAGGCAAAGGCAAAAAAAATTATTGTAGGCTTTTTAAGGGTATTTATTAATGATTCTTTAATTTTTTGCGAAATTCTGTGGAAGCACCTTGCCAGTATTGAAAAAAATTGATGAAATGATATGAATTTTTGATTTTTATAAAAATATTATGTAAGTCTATGTAAATTATTTATATTGGCGTGCTTTGTGTCTATGATTACTTCACGAAATATTAAGTTTGTGCTATATGGAAATTCGTGTATTTTGATTTATTAAATATGCTGTAATTTGGTTGAAAAATCCAAAATAGATTGAAAATAAATAAATCAAGTGCCTAGTCCTGATATTTAAAATTTTAAAATCTATAACAGTGCAATTTATCATTATAGGGTTTGACTCTCAATAGCCCGATAAGGGCAAATAATGATAATGATTATGGTTATCACCCCTTAAGGGGTCAATTTTTTTCTAATTTTTAAGATTTCTTCGATGTACTTCCGAATTTCTTCATTTATAAATGTAGCACAATCCTTATATTTTTTCAGCACAATTTCCTCAAATTTTAATGCTACATAGTATTATTTCTGTCAAACTTAATCCAATAAGATCTTCCTTCATCAATAGTTCTTCTATAAAAGTTCTAAAAATCTTGATAAGGGCAGATAATTCCCTGCGGAATTATCCGCCCTAATCGGGCTGTTGAGGGTCAGTCCCTATACTTATGATAAATAATTCAGGTCGTAATATGCTGTTTAGCTATTAATTTGAAAATCAGTGCCTATTTAAGTATGTTATGCTATCCCTTCGCTTTATAAAGTTAAATGGCTCTAGAAAAGATGCAAACTATAAATTATAAATTTAATAATTTCATTCATCTTTTAATTTACTTGTAACAAAAAAAATCTTGAAAAAGGGAACTTTTTTATTGCTTTATTACTTAAAAAGCAAAAGCAATCTAATTCGATATTCTTCCATCTATCTTCAATAAATTATAATAACTATAATTTCTAAGTTACGAATCAATAAAATGATGCTATTAAATGGAAATTAGAGTCAATATTTTAGAAAATCTTGGATTATATTCTAAAAATTAAAGAATTTATGCAAATTAATCTACTGTATAGGATAAAAAGATAAAAAGCTATTTAATTTATAGAATTTCCCAAAAGATTTTATTCAACAAAAATAGAAATTGCCTGCATTAGCAGCTTATATTAGAATTTTAACCTCAATGAAAAATTGTGATCTACCCCTATTGAGGTAATTCCATTATATATTTTTAGAAAAACGTCTTTTAGACTCCTATTATCTTCCTGCATTTATTTGAAATCGAATCCCAAGACTTATTTCCCTAGTTTTCTTACTCCCCCCCTCCGTGAGTGAACAAAAAAATTTTGTTCACTCACGGATGGGGGTTAATTGTTTTTTTTAAAAAAAAATTTATATATAAATTTTATAAAAAATTTTTTTTTTGAAGTTTAAAAAAATCCTAATTTGCAAAAATTTGAAAGTAAATATTAATTTAATTTATAAAATTTATGTTTTAAAATGCAATTCATTTAAAATTAAACAGAATTAGCTCTAGATTTCATTATATTAATTATCATTTATATATCAAAATTTTTTTCCATAAAAAATTTTTCTATTAAAAAAATTTTTGTTCACTCACGGAGGGTGGGTTTTTGGGCAAAAAATGGCGATTTTTCTAATGGTTTTGTTCACTCTTAATTAATTTTTAATTAGATAACAATTCATTCACAAATTTATTATCTCCATATTTTTGTATTTAAATTATAGTTCTTGAGCTGAATTGAAGAGGCACAGTCTTTTCATTCTCTTTGATAGTAAAATAATTGGCTCTTTTTAATTAATTATTTAAAAGTTCATGCCCGTCAGGCCTTTTTGTAAACATTCCTGTCTTTCTCCACGTTCGTTTCAATTTTGATATGGGTAAATAATAATCACTCTTTTTAATATGAGAAACTATAGCCGCAATACGTGAACCAAAGAGGTGAAATATAGGCAGGCAGACGAAGCCATTGTTAATCTTGTTAATGAATTAGGAGTAAAACGGTGAACGAAAATAGCTCGGAGTCTGGAAGAAAATTATGGGATAAAAGGAAGGTAATTTTTAAATCAGAACTGGTAAGCAATGCAGAGAAAGATGGTTCAATCACCTTGATCCAAACATAAACAGCGAAAAGTGGACCTTGGAAGAAGAAAAAGTTCTGTTTGAGTGCCAAAAAAAGTATGGAAATTGCTGAACCAAAATGACAGAGTTCCTCCCTGGGAGGACTGATAACGCAATAAAAAATTATTTTTACAGTACATTGAGGAGAAACCTGAGAAGATATACCATTAAATTTACCATTAATTATTTATTTTAGTGCTTTTGTCCATTTATTTCTAATAATTATCTGTTATAAAAGCTCAAAATTGACTTAAAAATGAATACAATAAAAAAAAGCCTAAGAGTCAACAAATTCATGGAAAAGTCCAAGAATTAATTAAAGTTCCTGAGCTTGCCAATTTACTTACAAGGCACTCGGAGAGGAAGAAAACCCCTTCAGAAAAACTATCATCGTAATTCCCAATTAGTATTAAAGTTGAAATCCCAAAACCCATACCAATGTCTTCCAAAGAGAAAAAAAATAAACAGTCAAAAATTGAAGAAGAGTCTCAGCTGCTTTTGTCCCTGCATCAGACGAAAGATCCAGAAGGTATTTGAATGAAAAGAGAAGGCAATAATAGTGATATAGAAGCTCCTCAAGCTATAAATGATAGAGCCGCTGTCCAGCCACGCAGCTTCCCAAATCCTAATTCTCTACCATGCATGAATATAGGATTTATTTCGTTTGTTACGAACTTAAGGAACTGATGTGATCTCTGTTTAAATAGCCAAAATGAAATGGCAGATAATAAAGGCTGCGGAGTTCACATAAAAAGTGAGGATATAAAGAAGCCGGACTGTTTTTTAGATTCTCCAATATAAATAGATTTATAATTGACATCAGAATTTCGTTATCAAACCCCTTTTTTTTTCTTTCGACCACTATTTGAAAATATTAAATGTGGGTCTTTTTAGCCCTCCTTTAAGTTGGAAACCAAAAAAAGTTCCAATTTAAGGGAGTTAATTTGCTTTTAAATCAATATTATTTTATTATTTTTATAGAAATTAATAAAAAATAAACAAATTCAGCGTGCTAACTACATACGAAACGCAATCTTTCAATTAAATTAGGCTATATAAACATTAATATATTCATATATAATTTTTTTCCTGATTTAATTTGGAAATTTCACCCAATTTAAAAAGGGAGTTAGTAAAAATTTTCTAATCATGATATTTAAACCATTGAAATATTAAATTTTACAATAAAATATAAAGAAAAGGCAAGATAGCTTTTTTATGACTTAAAAAATATTTTTTAATCTTTTATTTTTTTGTTAATTATAATTATTTGATATAATTCTCTATAGGAACTTTCTTTCTTAGTGGCAGCATATTCAACCAAATTTATTATGTTTTAAAAAAATACCTTTTATTCTGCATTTATATTCAGTTAATTTTGGGATTTCATTATTTTTCTTAAAAAGATCAATAGACTCAATTTTTATTTTACCACATCTTGTCTGTCGTTATAATTAATCATATTGGAGATTTCAATTCGATTTATAATTTTATTGATTTTCTACTATTTGCTAGATCACGATACATTTAATTAAACTTAGCATTAGCTCAAAATGGCTGGTAATGGAAGTACGACTCCATATTGTGGCTGAGATATTGGTGACAAAATCACAGTACTAAGACTACACGACGTTTCAAGATTTTGAGGGGCTTCTTCTTTCAGTATTGGAAAAAATCTGAATAATCAAGATTAAGATTAAGACAGATGCAGACCAAGTTTATAAACAATGCCAAAGTTGTATCATGAAGCTGATCTTCTCTGATTTTACTTCATTTTTATACTCACAACACCTTTTTATTACTTCTTCATGCATTTTTCTATGTAATGATAATTGACTTCCTTGCCTAAAACTGATACCGCAGTTAGGAAAAGAGCATACAAAAGGTTTTTGGCCTGTATGCATGAACATGTGCTCAATTAAACTCTGTTTAGATGACAAATACTTCTTGCAAATGCTGCATCTGAATCGTTTGATTCCTATATGAGCACCTTCGTAATGTCTCCTTAAATTGTTCAAACTGCAATAGCTTTTGTCGCAGTTTTTGTAATTACACTTAAAGCTTTGAGTTTTCATATTTATTAAATCCATTTTTGGCTAAAAATTTTCCCCAGGATCAGTAATAGTGATAACTGGATAAATTATTGTCAAATTTATGTAAATGGAAGTACACCCTTTTGAAGGTTAATGAAACACTTTTTTTAGATTTGAAGGTAATTTCAAGGTCTAGTGCATTACAGCTATGTATTTAAATGACTGAAGTCAGGAGCTCTGACTTTTTTTCAATATTAAAAGTATTCGAAAATTCCATAAGATTTTTTAATTGTAATTGCTTCTTTAAACTTAGAAAATAATAAAATTTCAAGAATATATTATAGTTTTAGCCAACTTTTGGATTGTTAAAGAAATTTCTTTATTTATTCACTCTATTATGAGAACAAACAGACCGTAGAGAACAAATTAAACGATTGAATTTTTGATTCTTATAATCTTAAAAAATCCTTTTCAAGTTTGCAATGAGTGATTAGAATAATGCTAAGACTCATATGAACTATAAAAAGTTAAAATATTTCACCTCACATCTTGTGTTTACTTCTTTATAGAAAAAATAAATAAAAATTACTTATGAATTATAAAGAAATCATTTCAGTTTGTTATTTTTCAAAATTTTTTATCTGCATCATTCTCTATCTTATGAAATATTAATTATGAAATTCCTTAAAATTAATCAAAATTCTTAATAAAATGGCTGAGGCTTTTCTTAAGGTTAAGGCTCACACAGAAGATAATCCAGTCTACACAAAAGCAAACTTATTATTAAAAGCAATTGAGCAAGTTCTCCCCAATAAAACTCCTACACTTTATTATGCAAGCATCCTTGATCTTGTGGAAAATCCACAAGACATTTTGCATCAAGAAGCTTCCTTGATTCTTTTAGCTTGTTCTCTCCAGCCAATTTCCATTTCCCTCCTCCAAAAAGAGTTTGACCGTATAAAAAATGGTCTTATATTATTTTATTAAAAAAAACACTTTATTTATTTTTCTAAAAATAATTCTAACCTCCCTCTGTGAGTTGGCAAAGTCATTGGGAAAAATCAATATTTTTTTTCCCAAAAAGTCCCACCTCCGTTAGTGAACGAAAATTTTTTAATATAAAAGTTTTATGAAAAATATTTTTTATATATAAGTGATAATTATTATAAAAAAAATCTCTTGCTAATTCTGTTTAATTTTATAGGTTGATATTTTAAAACATCAATTTAACAAATTAAGTTAATATTTGTTTCGAAATTATTTCTTATTTTAATTTTTTTAAAAATTGAAAAAAAAATTATATAATTTTTTAAAACAAATTAACCTCCTCTACGAGCAAAATATTTGTGCTCTAACGGAGAAGGGAATAAGTAAAAATAGAGAAAATTGCAAATGAAAAATTTCAATAATTCTTCATCCTAGTAATAATAAAAAATGACGTGATCCACCTCTTAAGAGAAGACTCGCCGTATTTAGGAAAATACTCTGTCAAGGTCCTAGAAAGATTAATACAGGTTATTCCTAAAGAAGAGTGGCAAAATTGGGGAGAAAAAGCTAAAATCCTAGAAATTATGGTGGATTTAATCATGCACCCAAATTCACATGCAAGAAAGCAAGCAATCACCTCTCTAGTTAAACTCCTTACTTCGCCCTCTCTGTGAGCGAGCAAGACATTGAAAAAATTCCTATTTTTTTGCCAAAACCCACTCTCCGTGAGCAAACAAAAATTTTTGATTTATAAGTGATAATTAATATAACAAAATATCTAGCTAATTCTGTTTAATTTTAACCAATTGTGTTTTAATACATAAATTTTGCAAATTAAATTAATATTTGCATTCCAATTTTAGCGAATTGGGATTATTTATTACAAAATTTATATATAAATTTTTTAAAAAAATTATACCCTTACGCGAGAAAACAAAATTTTTTGTTCACTTACGGAGCAGGATTTAGAAAAGGCTTAATCAATGTCCCAATCATTTCAGAATACATCGTAAATAAAATGAACGAGTATATGGACATGCAGCAAACCCACGCAAAAACAGAGAGTTTAATATACATTTTACAATTTTTAAGCGCATTTTTACAAATGCTCCCTATAGATTCCACTATATTCCTTGCCTCAAAAGTAATGAGCCTTGCCACATTAAACTTAACGATAAACCTTTCAACCCAAGCCTTTTTGACATTAGAAACTTTATTTGCAGGCACAAAGCTTCCTTTAGACGTGATTCATCGGTTTATTATTGACTTACTAGAAAACCCACCCCTTTCCGGAGGGAATGAAAAATTACAAATTGCCTATATGCAAGCTCTAAGCCAAGCTGTTTATCATTTTAATAGCTTAGATAGCGCAGAATGCTATAAAGTGCTTAGTCAGAGTATATCAACACTTACCGAATATTTATTATCAAATCAATTAGACGTCCAGCATGCAGCCTCAAATTCATTAGTATCAGTAATTTCAAGGTGTATTACAGAGAACCATGCAAAAGAATTAAACCCATTGGATGAGCTGGCTTTAAGCTTTGATGTACTTAATATTGAAGATAGTGGAGTTTTGCCTATACAAAGAATTACAGCTACTATGGTTTATTTATTAAATGAAAGATTTTCTGATATTTTAGAAATGATTTTCCCTATTTTAGCAATTTTTATTGAAAGACTTGGCCCGAATTCTGAGCATATTGTGCAGAGATTGCTACAAGAAATTGATCAGTTAGCAGTGAAAAACCATAAATATGAGACGTTTAGCAGATTGGTAGGAACAGCTATAAATACGCTAGGTGTTAACAAGTTTTTTAATATAATTCCTTTACAAATGAACTTGGTTTCTTTAGAAGACCCAAATTTCTTACTCCTTCCCTCCGTGCGCGAACAAAACCAAGGAAAAATCTCTATTTTTGGCCAAAAGCCCACCCAGTGAGTGAACAAAAAAATTTTTTTAATATTAAAATTTTTGATAATTATTATAATGAGATCCCTAGTTATTTTGCTGAAATTCATTGCACTAGTAAATATAAATTTTGCAAGCTAATTAATCTTTGGTTTCAAAATTCAAAAAAATAAATTGGAGAACTTTTGGGGACGGCAAAAATACTGCAAGGCTCTGCAAAAAACTGCAAGGCAGTAAAAAAATGGCAAAGCCAAGCAAAAAAATGCAAAACTTGCAAAATTTTTGCAAGTTTATCAAAAAACATTGGAAAAAAGTGCAAGCAATTTTAAAAAAAAAGCAAAGCCATGCAAAAATTTTAAAAAAAAATGAAAAATTTCGCAAAGCAGGCAAAACTTTTGCAGAATGGCAAAAAAGTTGCAAAAATTGGCAAAATCACGATTAGAAAATTTAACAGTAAAATTTAATAATTTATTGGAAGTGTAGTACAATGTTAAATGATTTAAACAGCATATAATATAGAAAAAATAGAAATTAATTTCGTGAAATAAATGCTAAAGTTTAATACAAATATCTTTTAAAGAAATTTTTCAAAAAACATAACTTAAGAATTTTCAAAATTTTGGAAAATTTAAATTTGGCAAAACACTTTGTTGTATCTCATTTTAAAATTTTTGCCAAAATTAAATTTTTCCAAATTTGAAAATTTTTAAGTCATGCTTTTAGAAAAATTCTTTAAAAGATATTTGTATTAAAACTTTAGCATTTATTTCACGAAATTAATTTCTATTTTTTCTATATTATATGCTTTTTAAATCATTTAACATTGTACTACACTTCCAATAAATTATTAAATTTCACTGTTAAATTTTCTAATCGTGATTTTGCCAATTTTTGCAACTTTTTTGCCATTCTGCAAAAGTTTTGCCTGCTTTGCGAAATTTTTCATTTTTTTAAAATTTTTGCATGGCTTTGCCATTTTTTTACTGGCCTTGCAGTTTTTTGCAGTATTTTTGCCGTCCCCAAAAGTTCTCCAAATAAATTATTATAAAAATTTATATATAAATTTTTAAAAAATAAAATTAAGGCCCTTTCGTGAGCAAAAAAAATATTTTTATTCAATCTAGAGGGGGGAGTTAGAAAAATCAAGATCATGGATTTTGCCTATTCTTATTGACCGTTTAAATAATGGTGACTTAGGCTTTTTCTTTACAAAAATGTTCCCTATTGCTGAACAGATTGAAAGACAGCAAAATCAAGCTTTAAATGAAGGCCTTGTAACAGCTTCTAAAAAATATCAAGCTTTAATAGAACAAATATGAAGCACTTTTCCAGCTTTCTGCAAAATTAAATACTGGACACAAGATTATCAAAATTATTTACATTCTTTACTTCCCACACTCTCAAAAATCATATCAAGAGGCACGTATCTTAGGCCTTACATATTAAAAGGCCTTGAAGTCTGTCTAGTGCCAAGAAACGAGCCAATATTCGAGTCAGTCCAAGACAAATTTATCCCAGTTTTATTTAACAGCTACTTGGCTTCCCCAAGTAAAGAAGTCTTATCATTTATCCTAAAATATCCAGCTCATCCTGATTATGCTGAAAAATTAGTAAAAGTGCTGATCGATAAAACTATAAAAATAAAAAGAGACCCTAAAGGCAAAATGGAAGACATATTACTCCATATGATTTTAATTACAAAAATGCTACCAAAATTGAAAATAATTTCGGAAAGCGATAACTTTCCCCCGCCTTTTAAATTGAAACAAAAAAAAACCCTGTTCCAATAAAAGACTTTTTTATTTTTAAAAATTTATAAAAAATAAATGAAACGAAATATTTGAATATTAATTTTTTTATGAAAATTAATATAAAGAGTTAATTGAATAAGTCAGAAAACTGTTCAAATAATATTCTGCTTCTTTCACTATATTAGATAAAAACTTGTTATACAAAAAATTAGTATTTTTACTGATTTAAAAATTAAAATTTTGTTTCTATTTAAAAGGAGGCTAGTGCACCCAAAAATTAAAAATTTTTATCAATTTTTTTTTACCCATTTAAATGCACAGTAAGGAAATTCTAATCAGATTTGCTAATGTTTTCATAGAGAATGATCAAGGAAAAATGCAGAAAAAAGCTTATGATGTAATGAGATTGATATGCAAAGCTGACTCTAAATTAGTAGAAAGCATAGTTATGAGTAATTCAATCACAAAATGCCACGAAGTAGCTAGAAAAGCTAGATTAAGAGTATTTGATGAATTAACAAACCATTGGAATTACCAAGAACTTACTGAAAAATTAAATACATTAATTATAGAAATCATGCACTCTTTAAGATCCAATAGCAAAAAAACCAGAGAAACTTCAAAAGGATTTATCCTTAAAATCGGAGAATTTATGAGTAACCAAGGACAATTTTTAATCCTTGTAAACACAGTTCTAGCTGGCCTAGCTTCTGTAATTGATACCACAAAATCTGCAACAATTGATATCCTTTCTTGCCTTCTTCGTCATTTTATTAAAAACGAAGAACAATCAGGCCAAAACATTTTTGACTCTTATGACAGCCAGCAAAATTATTTATGTGAATTATGCACAACTATCAGCTATCTCCTGGCAGATCCAAGCAAAGAAGTAAACAGAGCTGTGCTAAAATTCTTTAAAGATATCATTTCTTTGCTAAGTACAGAAAAAGCGATATCAATACTAGACAAAGTTTTGGGAGGAATTTTCTCAAATATGGTATTCAGTGTTACCTATTTTTTAGCATTTTTATTTTTTTTATAAATTTATTTTCCGAAAATATAATATTTTGGCGTGAAAAAATGATTTTTATATTGCTAGACTATGGCAATAAAAACCTAATAAATAATAGAAAAAAATACACTAAAAGTCAAAGTCAGATATGTAATAGAAAAACTTTTAAAGAAAATCGGGTATGAAGAATTAGAAAAAAGATTCCCAGAGAAACACAAAAAATTATTGCACTATATCGCAAGAGATGTGAAGAAAAAACACAAAAAAGAAAATAAAGCTAAAAAAGAAAAGGAGCAGGAAAAAGATGAAGAAATGATAGACGTAGATAACCCTATCAGAGAAGAAAAACAAGCTCCAGCGCCTGCTCTTCCTAGAGAGTATCATTTTATGAACGAATTAGATATCCCAGCAATGCCAAAAATAAAACAAAAGACTCAAACAAATAAATCAAAAGACGTGCAAATTGTCGGAGGAAAATTCGTTATTAATGAAGATCCTGAGAAGCGTCAGCGCTCAGATTCTGAAAATGAAGAGCAAACTGATGAAGTTTTATACCAAATAAAAATAATTAATTAATTTATTTATATAATAGCTTTTTCCCTATAGCATGCTTTGAAACACCCCAATAGGCATATATAAAAAACGGAAAGTAAATGATGATGGCATCGTTGTAAATTCCACAGGCGACGAATATAAATCAAACAGTGCAAAAGGTGACATGAACAAGCCAGGAAAAGCCACTCCTCACGCATATGTTCAATTTAACGCAAAAATCCTGAACAAGCGCAAGCGTGTCAAGATTGCGAATAAAATGAATAATTTGATTAAAACAGCCAAACAAGGTGTTCTGAAAGGTTTGAAAGCAAGAAAAAGAAAAAATGCTTAAGATAACTCATTTTTACCACCAAAATAGCGTAATTAAATTATTCTTTTTATAATATATAAGGAAAACTAATTTATTTAATTTTTATTTTAATATTTAGAGAAATTAGCATAAATTATACCGTTATAGTTGAAAATTATTGGATCTTGGTGTTGGGCAGGGAAACACAAAAGAACCATGTGATGAAGGAGTTGGCGTCATCGGAGGTGGGTAATTAGGTGCAAAAAAGGGCATACATCCGTTTGGAGTCATAGGATATACCAAAGGATATCCTCTGCCCCATGAGTTTTGCAGCATTTGTATTCACTCTGAGTCTCGTTTTAATCGAATTTCTTCGATTCGATCATGTTTGTCGATATCCATTTTGTCAGGTCTGCATCTGCAAGTTTCTTCATGAGTCAAAATGTCTTGTAAAGGTACCTCTGCATTGCAATTATTGTACTTACACTTAACTATAAGCTGCCTTAGCATTTTGGAAAACGTAGGACCAACGACCTCAATTCGTGTGTTGACGCATCCTTGGGGACAATTTCCGATTGGATTACTGTTACTCTTCCTTAGTTAGCGAGCAAGTTTTTTGCTCTTTAATCAAGAGAGCTTAATTTTCTAAAAATAATGATCTTTCTAATGGCCTTGATTGGTATTTAAGAGTTAGCAAAATCTGTGAGGCAATTAAAGCAAAAAAACTTCTCACAAGCGTAACATTCCCAAGGCTCAGTTGAGTATTCTCCACACACACTGCAGGCAAGTGTTTCGATGGATTGTATGTTTAGCCGTATTTCTCTTCCCATTTTTAAATTATAAAAGGGGTGCTTACTACCCCCTCTGTGAGCAAACAAAACTATTGGAAAAATCTCAGATTTTTCGGTAAAAACTAAAAGAAAAAAAAAAATTATTTAATATAAAAATTTTATACAAAATTATTTTGATATATCAGCATAATTATTATAATGAAATTTCTTGCTAATTCTGTTTAATTTTAAACAGCTTGCATTTTAAAACATAAATTTTACAAATGAAATTAATATTTCTTTAAAATTATTTAAATTTGAATTTTTTTTAAAATTTTAAAAAAAAAAATTTTCTATAAGATTTATATATAAATTTTTAACCCCTCCGTGAGCAATTTTTTGTTCGCTCATGGATGAGAGGGAGTTAGCAAATTTTATAGCTTTTATCTGGTTCCCTCTGAATATAGGCTTATTAATAAATTTTTAAAATTTAATAAAAATGTTCTATTCAGATCCTAATCAAGATGCACGTGGCCGCTTAAAAAATTGGTGGGGAAGGATGCCTGCTTTTACAAGACTTATTCTTTATTTTTCAGCAGGAGTTTATCTCTTAATCCTCCAATTATAATAGTAAACAAAACTTTGTGATTTTTTCCCAAAAATTTATTAAAACAAGATTATATTTAAGCTCCTTTATACAAATGTCCTTTTTCTCCATAAATGTCTTTTCTAAATTAAAAATTATTAAAAATTTTATATCCTATTAAAGTATGTTTCTAATAATAATAATATTTGGGTTAGTGCTGTTTCACTTACACATTGACCACTCTTTGATATCTACTCCTCATCTCACAGTCAAAAGCACTCAGCTGTGGCGCTTGTTTACATTTACATATGCTAGTACTAAAATCTTGCTTTTCGCTATAGAGATGATAGCCTATCTATGACTATCCTGTAAGACTGAGCGTAAGTATGGAACAGTAAAATATTTCATATATTTTTCACTAAACAGCTGCCTTATTGGCTTATCAATTTCACTTATTTTTAGCATAATATCTTATATTCCTATATATTATCTGCAAAGACTATCAAGCTATCATATAGCTGGCGTATGGCATATGATTATATTTGAGACAGTAATCAGCTGCAGCAAAGACCCAGACTCAAATTCCCAATTCTTATCTATCCCAATTCAGATAAAATCAAAATATTTCCCATTCGTAATGACTGCCGCTTTATCTTGGCTTGGAGTTCTTTGGGAATTAATTTTTGGGTTGATTTTTGGATATTTATGTAACAAATATTTAGATGTATATGGCTTTTTAAATTTCACTTTAATTTCTGATGAGCTTGCAACTAGGCTTGAAAGCTCTGCTCTGTTCATTGGAATAAAGAAAATTCCAAATTTTGTTGAAGTTGCTATGGCTGGAGAAGAAGAGCTGCCGATTTTTAAGCAGAGCACCCAATTAGCTTATTCTCAAATTAATCTTCAACAAACTGCACCTTCTGCTCCATCTTTAGTGCAAATTTCTGAACAAGGCTACATATTAGGCAAAGATGAGCAGGATCAAGAAAAATCTTTTGATAAGGAAAATATCATACAGTTTCAAGAAGAAAGTATTAAAGAAAAAGAATTAATATAAATAAAAATTTATATTAAGCTGATAGTTACAGCAAATAAATACGAGAAAAATTTTTGCATAATAAATTTTATCCATTTTAATTGGAACTAACAAATAATAATATAGAGGAGCTTAGAATTAATTTCAAGCAGTTTGTTTAAAAAGTTAAAAAAATTGCTGATTAAGCTTGATTTTCCATCTTCAGGGTTTTAAAATTTGAAAAATATGTTTAAAATGCAGCATAAAATATATTTCAATTTAAATTAAATCCAATAGAGAATTATTTTTGTTATGCTTATCGAAAATTAGCTTTCTTTGCGATATTTTCATCAAATTTATTATATCAGAGTATAAAATATGCATGCTGGCTTAGAAACAGAATATCTTTTTGATCAGAATATTAAAAATCCAAATATGATTACTGCATTGGTACCATTCGAGGACTCTCATAAAAGATCTACCAGTATCAAAAAGTTGAACAGTGAATACCATTCATTCATTAATTATTATAGAAAAGCTCCAGTCCACTTATTGCTTTTGACGTCCCTTGATTCGCACTACTCCCATGTCTCGCATCACTCCCTTGCTTGCCAGTCTGATTACACAACCTAAGGCTTGTGCTGCTCACTCCGGAAGGGTTTGCACTTGCTCCCCAGAGATAAAGACGCTGGGCACGCTGATGAGGTTGCCTTTTCCGAAAATTAAAAAATGAATTTTCTGGTTAGGGTGTTGGCCCCGATGAAACTTGCAGCCCAGGGCGCAACTCCTGTATCACGCTGGAAAATGCCCGCTTGGCCAACGAATGCCCTCTGATCTTGTTCCACTTCCAGGTTCTGCCCTCCTAGCGGTAAAATCTTGCCCTGGATGTAAGCCTGCAGTTGGTCAGCCGACATTGTGCTCCACCAGACCACGTAAAACTCGACCTGATACACTTACCGAACGCTGCTATCCCTTTCACAAGGTCCCCAGAATCCCGTCTGGCACAGGTTTTAAGAGAAGCAGGTTGGCTCGCCACGCCATATTTATGTATATGAACAGTGAATACAACACAAATAAAGCCACTGGAAAAGCCGATTTTGGACCAATAATGTCCGAATCGCCGAACTTGAATAAAAAATCTGAACGAAATTCCCCAAATGAAATTATCGTGATTTCTGGCAAAGGTGTTATGCTTCAGCCCAAAATTCTTACAACAGAGAGTATTGGCAGTAGCATTCAGAATCCTACCAAAACCGTGTCTCAAGAGCCAGATTTTGACTTGGAGATCCAGCCAGTAATTTCACAATCCGAGGCTAAAATAGATATTGATAAAATCTTACCTTCCAAATTGGCACCATTTTATTTATGTGACTCTGAATGAGAAAATTTTAATAATACGCATGAATATAACGAAATAGAAAACATCGATGGAAACATCAGCTCTAAAAATATCCCCATACCTGAAAAAATTGAAAATTCTTACAGAAATCTAAATGAAAGCAACTTGGATAAAAGTGTGAAATTTTTAGGAGATCTGAGGAGAGAAAGAGCAAATAGTATGGAAATTTCTGAATTTTGCAGTCCGAATCATGCACCTTTATTGTCAAGAAGAAGATCTTCAAGGTCTTTTTATCGCCCTGCTTCACATCAGCTGTTAATTCCTCCTCTTCCTCCATGAAAGCCTAAAAGAAATTTTCCTCAAAATTATGAAGTAATATATCTAAAAATAAATAATTGGCACTTTATTCCTAATAGCCACTACTGATTTTTATAAAAAATATTATATCAAGATCTCATTGTTAATTTATTAAATCCTTAAAATAGCTATATCAAAAGAAAGTATCGAAGAAAGCATCATAGAAAAATCGCCTGATTTTTTGATGAATCCATCACTTACTATTAGTCTAGAATCCTCCAGAGATATTATAGGGTTTTCCCATATATAGCCCTGCAAGAGCTGTGGATCCTGTCCGGAATCCTTTAGTTGGTGGAACCAACAAGTGAGTTTGTCCGACCAATGTACTGAGTTGGTTCCGCCAACCAAAGGATTACGGTCAGAATCCACAGCCCTTACAGGCTATATAGGGGAAAAACCCTATATTTCAGAAAAAGATTCATTTGATACTCTTAGACTAAAGCTTCCAAGAAAAAAAACTGAAATCTATAAAATTAATAAAAGTGAAGAATCATCAAGAATTATTGATGAAGATGAAGAAAATAAATCGTCATATGATGAAATTATGGAGAACCAAGCTTTAATTAAAGATGAAAGTCCTAAAGAAGAAGTAGAAAGCTCTAAGGAGCTACTTGATGCAGTAGAAAAAATTATGTGCAGCGAAAAGGTCACTGGAGCACTAAGAGATCCAAGCTCCAAAAAGACACTTCCGCCTCTGCATTTGAAAAAGAGCTCTTACGGCAGAAAAAATAAGCTGAACTCAAGCTACGAGCTGGACAAAAAATCTATAATTATTGAAAATAATGAATCTCCAAAATCAGCCCACTCAGCATCATCACTTGATACTGAAGAGGTAAATATTTGCATAACTCAACGAACTGACTTAAACCGCTCTAGTGATGAAATATTGCAAAAAACAAAGAGAAAAAATGATGATAATTTAAAAGAGAAAAATAAAGCAGTGATAAAGCCAGAAAAAGAAAGGGAACAATCAACACTTAATTGGAGTAAAAAAGTGCCGAATATTAAACCAAAATTTGAAAAGCCAGAATCATTGACTGTAGAAGTTGTGGTTGAAAAGAAAAACAACATTTTTGAAAGAAAAATTGAGTTTGAAGATGAAATTATGCCTGAAATCATAAAATCACCAAAAAATCCAGAAGAAACTGTAAAAATGGAGAAAAATGTTGAAGAATCAAAAGAAAAAACCATCTCTGCTACCCAGAAAATCAATATGAGTCAAATTTATACCAAAATCTTATCAAAAGAGCTAGAAGATGACATAGAAATTCATTTTTCAAGCAATTCTTCTTCTCAACAAATTGAAACGCATCAAAATTTTGAGCCTAAATTACTAACAGATATCAGCCAAGGAAATAAAATAGTCCCGATTTCATTTGAAGAGGCCCTCAAAGTCTTTCAAAGCCTAGACCTAAAGCCTCAATTTTCATCTAAAAATATGTGGACAAGTCAATACACAATAAGAAATATTTTTACATGCTGTTTTAGAGGCTCAGAAGAATTATAAAAAAATATAATAAATTGGGATTAATTTGATAATTAAATTTTTTAGTGAAAATTTATAAGAAAACAGAATAAATGATGAAGAAAAAGAGCTTTGTGAAAAAACCATTGCCTTTTCTGAGGTAAAATTCAACTCTAATAACTCTTACCATTTAAATCTTCTCCATAGCTATTATTCAAAAGTCACAGGAAATAATGATTGACCAGAAAATCCTGAAAACTGGGGCGAAGTTGGCCTTGGTCCTCAGTTTTTTAACACAAATTTTAATTATGATGCATCTGGGCTTTGTATATTTCACTTGTATTTTTTCGCGACGTTTTTTAATATAAGCTTAAAAGAAATGCTAAATTATAGTCAGCAGCCTCCTCACCAATTTCCGCTTGCTAACTCATTCCCATTACAAAAATCCAATTTTTTCGTATAATTTCTATTGAATTTTTTAATAAAAATGGATTTATTACAAATCAAAATTGATTTGGGATAAAAAAAAATATAATAAGAGGATTAAGTACTCATTTGAAGTTACAAACTTGGTGGTCTTAGCTGTAAAACAACGAAAATTAAACAAACTTATAAAAGCAAACAAGAAAACAATTGAAACAATATTTTATTTTTACGCTGGCGCATTTTTATATTGGTTTGAAGACTATCGGATCAAAGGCATTTACTCGTGTGAGGATACAAACTTAGTGATGAAATCAACGAAAAAAATGATAAGAAACAGCCCGAATGAAGTTCTGATGATCGCGAAAAATGCCTTTTATAAAAGCTAAATAATAAATATTGCAAAGAGTATCTGGAGAAAATTTTTAAATATGTCAGCATATCAAATTAATTAAATTAGGCTATCATAAGCAATAATAATAATATGGAGAGAAAAATTGAAAAAGTTTCAAAAAAGATCATGAAATGAAGCAAAACTTTGGCTTTCCCTATGAATCAAGTTGAGCTTGAAAACCTTTGAAGGGATCAAGTAACAGGATTTATGCGCTCACAAGGATTAAATGCTGATCCAAATGATCAGATTTTTCAGGCACTAAAAGTCGGCTCATTAGACAATTTATCTCAGACAAATGCTGAAAGCTTAGTCCCAGAACTAGTCAAGGAATCTGAAGAGCTAGTAAATAAATCCAGCGTAGAAATTGACGCCCAGCACATATCTTCTGCAAGCATATTCCTTGACACTCTCGAAGATCTCACCATTGTAAACAAAGCCACTCTTACTAGCTCAATAGATGTCTATTTTCGCATTAATCATCCTGCACGCTCATTTGTTAAAGAAGAAAAACTCCTTAAAAAACTAGAAAAGCTAATGATTGAGATGGGAAAACTGAAACAGCCTCAGGTTTTTGAAATTCTCCATAATGATATTTCCATTGAAAAACCAAAAGAAGCAATCGAAAAAGCTTTCAATGAATGTGAAGGACTTACGGTTAAAGAAACCCACTTTAAAATCGGTGAAGTTGCAGAAATACAATTTGGAGTTATCAGGAATTTTCATTCAGAGATTGGAAAAATTCCTTTTTACTTGATAAAAAAATCACAAAAAAAGCTCATAAAATTTTTGGAAAAGCGTGGAAATGAATTTTTGGAGTCGTATATAAGACAATTGGAAATTAATTTAGAAGTTTTTTGCCAGACTGGGATCCAAGATTTGCAAGCTGGGAGGTTAAGGCTCTTTGACAATTCAAAATGCAGCCAAGAGTCAAGAATATACATGGGAAATATAGTATATTTAACTAGCTTTGGGAACATAGAAGGGACTAGAACTACCTTAGATACAATTTTGACATTTTTAGATTTACCACCAGAGGCCTTTCGTCAAATTCATACTCTTGCAAAAGACACGAATCCTGAGACATTTGCAGATAATTGGCTAAAATCAACAGACTCTTCATCAAGATTGTTTACAATTGTTAGTCTTTTATTGATTTTTTCGAATACTTATAAAGCTATTTTGCCGGATTATGATTTTACATATAATGATCCTTATACAGGTGCAAATAGAGAATGGCTCCGAAGAATTATTCATGTTTCTTTTAATAACAAGTATGAAGAAATGTTTGGGAAAAGCTGTCCAAAAACAGAATGGACACTAGTTTTAGCAGCAGAGCACGCCATTGCTAAGCTTTTACCAAATCCCCACCCAAATAACTGAAGATTTAACCATAATTTATTCAATGTTCGCGATGACGCTCAAAAAATCCTTGAAGAACACTATGCTTCTAAGCATAAAAAAGTCAAAAGTTCTCCTATGAAACTTTACCATAAAATAAAAGACAAGCATAGGAAAAAATTAATAGATTATTCATTTGAGCTTATAAATCCTAACCCTTCATTGCATATCACAATAGCAATTTCTGGGTGGCTTTCACAAGGAGATGAAATGGAAATTGCATGGCAACTGCTATCAGAAGCTACAGGGCAAAATCAAACTTATGCTTTAAGATGGGACTCAAGAACAAGAAAAGAGGTAGCCAAAAAAGATGTTCCTTCTTTGCTAGCTAAGGCTGTAGGTTCTGCTTTTATTCCAGTGCTTCTTATTCCATTTATACTAAGCTTGAAAAACAATACCTTCAAAAAATCAGCAAAACAAGCTGAAAAAACTGGAATTATTTTAGCTCATTTTATAGCAGATAAGCTATTCGGAAATGCTTGCATCTCGTTAATAGGGTTTTCACTAGGAACTAGAGTTATTTATTCATGCTTATTAGAACTAGCCAAAATGAATTTAAAAATAATTCACGATGTCACACTTTTAGGAGGCGCAACTCCTTTAATTTTAGAAAATTGGGCACTTTGTAGATCAGTGGTGACTGGAAGATTGATTAATTGTTATTCGAAGACTGATAAAATTCTTTCTATTTGTTATACTTGCACCACATTTGAAAAACCGATAGGGAATCTTACTTAAATTAATATCATGTTTAACGTCCCCACAGGGTAGGCATTCGGGGGCCCATCACCACCTCTTGACACGCAGGGATCTGAAAGCACAGTCTCCCGGTACGACTGCCCAGCGCACAGCGCACCTCCAGGTGACGTCACCGACTTCTCTTGAGCACGTAGGTTTGCCTGCACGAAAAATCTAAAAAAATGGATTTCTGGCCGACTCTCAGCAAAAAGGGGAGAATGCGCGGCCTGGGACGTAACGCCCAGTTTCATGCTATCGAGTTGTCCGATTGGTCTTTAGGGACTGTGCAGGGCTTGCCCTTTCCAACCTTTGCGTCTTCCTTCCCCATGAGGTAAAATCCATCCCAGCCGTTGAGCATGGGTAAGGCTCTGTCTTGCAGAATTGCTGACCTGGCATCTTTACTCATTTCCAGAATAGCAAAACCTTGCCGAATATAATTAAAAAAAATGGGCTCGAAGCTGCATCGCCGGAAGGTCATGCCCAGGCCTAGGCCATTTTTTAATTTATCCAATAGGAAATCATGAAATTCCTATAGAAAATATTGAAAATTATAATGTCACTGATTTCGCTTCAGGACATTCAAACTATAGAGAAGTTTTAGATAGGATATTGACTTTAATAAAATATAATGCATAGTTATATTATAAAAAATATATATAAATATATAGATGAATTATAAAGAATATGGTGAGTGATAAAACGAAAATTAAAAAAGTTTTGAAAAAGATAATGAGATGAAGCAAAAACTTGGTTTTTCCTATAAATCAAGTCGAGCTCGAAGTGCTTTGAAAAGACAAAATAGTCGAACTTATGAAATCTCAAGGGTTAGAATCTGATCTCGACAGTGAAATTTTTCAGTCAATAAAAGCAGGATCTTTAGATAACCTGTCACAGCTAAATGCTGAAAGTATAAACTTATTGCTTTCTAAACAGTCTGAAGAGCTCGTTTTAAAATCTAGTAGTGAAATTGATGCCCAGAGGATATCCTCTTCTATACTATTTCTAGACACACTTGAAAATCTCACGTTTCAAAACAAAAATTCTATATCAAACTCTTTAGATTTTTATTATCCTCCTAACCATTCTGCACGGCCATTTGTCAAGCTAGAAGAAATTCTTAATAAATTAGAATTTTTAATGATAGACTTAGGAAAACAAAAACAGCCCCAAGTTTTCAAAATTCTTGAAAAAAATATTTCATCAGCATTGGAAAACTCAAAAGAAGCAATAGGAAAGATTTTTATTGACTGTGAAGGACTTACTGCTAAAGAAACACATTTTAGAGTAGGAGAAATAACTGAATATCAGCTTGGAGCTATTAAACAAATATCTTCAAAAGTCGGGAAAATCCCTGATGCGCTTATAAAAGATTGCCAAGAAAAATTAAAGGTTTTTGTAGAAAATCAATGGAATAATTTTTTGGAGTCATATATTTTTTATTATTTATTTTTTAAATAAAGCTTCATAATCTATATATTTGGAATTAAGAAAATGTGCAGACTCTGTATGTAAAATAAATTTTAGCATTTTGATTTTATTAAAAAAATAGCATAATATTATATAAGACAATTGGAAAACAATTTCGAAATTTTTTGCCAGACAGGAATTCAGGACTTAAAAAGTGGGGCTATAAGGCTATTTGACAATTCAAGATGCAGCCAGGAATCAAGAATTCATATGGGGCATATAGTAATTTTAGCTAATCCTAGCAGTTTAGAAGAGACTAGAAATACTCTAGATACAGTTTTGATGTTTTTAAATATCCCACCTGAAGCTTTTCGCCAAATTAATGCTATTGACAGAAATTCAGATCCTGAAATTTTCGCTGAAAGGTGGCTAGCCTCAACTGATCCTTCAGCAAGGTTATTTACAATTATAAGCCTTTTATTGATTTTTTCAAACACTTATAAAGCGATTTTACCTGGGTATGATTCATCATATAATGACCTATATCCAAGTATCAATAGAGAATGGCTTCGAAGAATCGTTCACATTTCTTTCCAAAACAAATATGAAGAAATCCTTGGCAAATCTAGCTTAAAAACTGAGTGAACACTAATTTTAGCAGCAGAACAAGTGATAGCCCAGCATCTTCCAAGCGCCCAGCACAACTATTGAAGATTTAATCACGAGCTATTATCATGCCTTGCACAAATTTCATTCATACTAGCTCCATTTTGGCACATTTAAATATAATTATTTAAACCTCAGTCGCCAAAATGAACTGGGTCATGAAGAATCACCAGAAATTTATGCAAGGCATGATAGATGTCCGTGAAGATGCTCAAAAAGTCATAAACGATTTAAACTCTTCTGAATACAAAAACCCTGAATTAGAAAGAATAGGTGAAGAATATAAAGAAGAAATCAATGAGAGCTCCTTTTCTAGAAAAGCTTATACATCTGCTCTTAGCATTTATCAAAAAATTATTGACAAAAATAAAGGGATAAATGGAGAATTAAAAGATTATGCATTTGAATGTATCAATATAAATTCATCGTTGCACGTCACTATTGCAATTTCTGGCTGACTATCACAGGGTGATGAAATGAACATTGCGTGGCAGCTACTATCAGATGCCCCAGGACAAAGGCAAACTTATGCTTTGAGATGGGACTCGAAAACAAAAAATGATTTATACTCTTTTAGAGTATATGAAAAAAAATATATATTATTAGTCAGATTTTTTCAGTATTATTTATCATAAGCATAGTCAAAAAGGATTTTCCTTCTTTAATAGCCAAAGTTGTAGGATATGCTATGTTTCCTACACAGATGTTTTTACCATTAGTACAAGCATTAAAAAACCACTCATTCAAACAGTCTGCAAAACAAGCGGAAATCACTGGGATTATTTTAGCTCATTTTATTGCAAATAAGGTATTTGGAAATGCTTGCATTTCTTTAATTGGGTTTTCATTAGGAACGAGAGTGATTTATTCATGCTTATTAGAATTAGCCAAAATGAATTTAAAAATTATTCATGATGTCACACTTTTAGGTGGCGCTGCACCTCTTTAATTAATTAACTTTAAATCTTCGCCATCACAGCACGGGCCCATATATGCTCATCGTCCTCAAGGGAACCCGGCAGACACCCCGTCCCTCCACCACAAAAGAGTCTTGCACAGCAATGGACATCTATAGAATTTTCCCCATAGATGGCACTGTTTGCCCTTAATTTGCCCACTGAAAATTTTTTTTGGTTTGACCAAACCATATGGTACTGGTCGAACCAAAAAATTTTTTCAGTGGGCAAATCAAGGGCAAACTGCGCCATTTAAGGGAAATTTCTATAACTTGAAGCCCTTAAGAGTTGATTCCCGGGAGACAACTCCCAGTATCGTGTTAGGCACTTGCCGTCTTGGGGGTCTGTGAGGAGTCTTATCGCTCTAACCACCGACCTTGGCTGACCGTGACTTTCCAAGGATCGCCGGGAGTAAGCCCTTATCCCAGGGATTTGCTCGGGGAAGCACACGCCCGATATACACCAAGGATGCCGGACCTGTTTCTCAGCTTGGTTTCCCGACCTGGGTGTTTCCTGAAAGGTGTTGAGAAAATCGCTCTAAGAGGTCGGATTGTTCTCCTCTCCTCCACATTAATCTATATAGCTTCACCTCTTAATATAGAAAATTGGGTACTTTGTAGATCAGTGGTGTCTGGCAGAATGGTTAACACCTATTCAAAAACTGATAAAATTTTATCTCTTTTGTATACATTTTCTATATTTGAAAAACCTATAGGAAACTATGAAATTCCTATTGAAAATTTTGAAAATTATAATGTTACTGATTTAGCGTCTGGGCATACAAAATATAGAGAAGTTTTAGATAGGATTTTAGCTTTAATTAAACATAATGCATAATTAGATAATTTGTATTAGCTACTTAGAACGCTGGTCTTTTACTATATCCATCCTATTCTTCCACTCTCTAACGTGAAAATTCAAGTCTACATAATGTCTAGAAAACATTCATGTCGGCTCAATACACGCAAACATAAAAAAATCAGCCAAATCAGGCTCCTTACCTCCATGAAAATCTTGTCTTTGCAGTCTTTGTTCCCAATTTCCTAAAATCTCCAAATATTGTTCTTTCTTATACCCAACTTTTGAAAAATCTGCAATACATAGCTTAGCCCAATCTTTTAAAATTCCTATCAAATCACTGATATAAGCATCTCCACTTACAGTTCTTGTCATTTGTGCTGAGTTTCTATAAGCTAGCTGAAACTCTTTTAAAGGTCCTTTAGCTATATTATCAAACAAAGGCTTGACTTTCTCATATAAGGTAATTTTTACCTATAAAAGTAAAATGGCAATATAATATATTTTTTTATATAAAATTTTTCTTCCCTGACTTCTTTCCTTACAAACTCCAAAGATTGCTCTTCCCATGCACTATATGAAATTCCTTTCTTAAGGACTTTTTGGAATTTAAGCTGCTTCAAGATGTTTTCTGAGTTAACAAAAACAGAATCTTCCTTATTTTTTGTGATTAAAAGCAGCGGAAGCTCCTTCGCATCAGGTATGAGCGCTTGTGTGCATTTAAATGACGTGAGATCATTTTCGACATATAAATCGAAATTAAGCTTGTTGTAATTCATAATTGAGAAAATGTAGGTGGAGTCTATTTGGTATCGTCTTAGGAATAGTTGATACCTTATAGCATTCATAATAACTAATTAAATCATATTTAATAATTCATAAAAATTTAACATTTTTATGATGAACTAGCTAATATTTCTGGCTTTAATTGACTATTATAATAAAATTAGCCACTAAACAACATGGACGATATTTTGTATCTAGGAACTAATCTTCAGCCTGAATATGCACGAAAAGAAGCCTTAGCCTCATGCAAACAGCTCATGGATATCTTAGAACTTCGAAATAAATACATTTTTTATGACGATTACAACTTGCCTCACCCCTTCATATTTCGTCAGACAACGAATTCTGCAAATTTTCCTGTTCATGAAGAATTAGCTTCCTCAAACGTCGTCGCTGAAATGAAAAACGGTGTCATTTCTTTTAAAATTAATGATAACCCTATAAACACAAACATAGTTTCTGCTGAAGAATTCTATCAAGATTTGACCAGAGTTATCAGAGTCTCATATGACGATATAAGCCAATCTTATTGCTATATAGCTCAGACACATTTATAGAGTCCTGAGGAGCGATATTTATGAAAATAAGCTTTTTTGGCTTGAAATTAATAGCTAGAAGAATTTATAAACTAAAATAAATCACCAGTTTGGAATTGGCGACATATAGTCTAAATTTCACAAATTTCGCTCTAGTTAGGGCATAGGCTTGCCTAAGTTATAACCGTCTAAAACTTTTGCAAATGAAATTCGACATGCACATCATGCAAAACACTGAAAGAGAAAACATACCTACAAGAACAGGTCCTTTAAAAGATTTTTATAATATAATAAAAGTTGATAACCACGTACACTTATCAGCGTGCATGAACCAAAAACACTTACAGAAATTCATTAAGGCGAAAATGAATAAAGAAGCTGATACTATTGTTTTATTGAAAAATGGAAGAGAAATGACTCTAAAACAGGTGTTTGAGTCACTAGGAATTACCTCGACATTGACAGTAGATATGCTAGAATGTCATGCAGATCATGTGACTTTTCAAAGATTTGATAGGTTTAATAACAAATATAACCCTATGGGGGAAGCTTCACTAACTCTCCACAGCTCCGTGAGCGAACAAAAAAATTTTGTTGTTCAGGAGTGGCTAATTTTTTTCGAAATTTAAAAAACCCATTATCTCAAAAATGGAGTTGTAAAAACTAATTTAATTTGTAAAATTTATGTTTTTCAATGCAAATTAAATATAATTATCATTTCTATATCGAAATATTTGTATAAAAACAAATTTTCTCGCTCACAGAGGGTGAGTTTTTACCCGAAAAATAATGATTTTTTAAATGGCTTTGCTTGCTCACAGAGGGGAGTAAGAGAAATATTTTTGAAGACCGATAATTATATTGGAGGCAGATATTTCGCTGAAATCACTAGTGAAGTTATATACTTGACCAATTTAAAATAAAATTTTATTGGTTTTAAGTACTGCTATATTTTAAAAAAAAAAAAATATTTCCTTTTTTTTCGAAGAGAGAATAAAAAACCATGAAAAGAAAAAATATATTTTAGCTGAATACAGAGTTTCTATCTACGGCAGAAGATCAAACGAGTGGGATTTATTATCCCAATGGTTTTCAAATCACCATCTAAACAGTCGCTGCATCAAGTGGTTAATCCAGATTCCAAGAATTTATAAAGTTTATAAATCCTCTAGACAGGTAAAAACATTCCAAGACATGATCGAAAATATTTTTATGCCAGTCTTACAAGCTACACTTTACCCTGACCAATACCCACATATAGCATTTTTCCTTACACAAATTGTAGGCTTTGACACAGTTGATGATGAAAGCCAAATGGAAAAAGTCACTTCTTATAGTAATTATAAAGAAATTAAGCCAGAAAGCTGGGACGTAGAAGAAAATCCGCCATATAGCTACTGAAGTTACTATATCTATGCAAATTTATTAGCAATAAACCAACTTAGAAGAGCTCGAGGGATGAACACCTTTGCATATAGACCACATTGTGGAGAAGCTGGAAGCCGTGACCATCTAGCTTGTGCCTTTTTGACAGCCCATTCTATCAACCATGGCATTGAGCTCGCCAATGATCCAGTCCTGCAGTACCTTTTTTATATGAAACAAATCGGCCTTTCTATGTCCCCGCTGTCCAATAACAAGCTATTTTTGAAATTTTTGCAAAACCCATTTTTAAAATTTTTTAAGCGTGGCTTAAATGCGACGCTTTCCACTGATGACCCACTTATGATTCATTTGACTAGAGAGCCTTTATTGGAAGAATATAGTGTGGCTGCTCAAGTGTATGATTTAAGCCAAATTGATCTGTGTGAGATAGCGAGAAATAGCGTCCTGCAAAGCGGATTTAGCTTTGAGGAGAAAAAAAGGTGGCTTGGAGAGGACTTTTTGGAAGGTGGACAGATGGGAAATGATGAAGGAAAAACGAATGTGTCGAATATTAGATATTATTATAGATATGAGACATTTAGAGAAGAGATTGAGTTTATGACCAGCCAGTCAAGGAGAAATTCACTTTTAAGAAATGAGTAAGCTTTTAAAATGTGAATAATTAAGAATAGTTAAATTTAACAGGGGTTTATAATAATAAGTACTTATGGAAAGTAATAGGCATAAGAGAAACAAAAAAAAATTTTATATAGAATTAGAACGTTATTATTACGTTATTGTGAAGTTTCTCATGTCTTAATTAAAATAAGATGGCTCTATTTCTAACTTTATGCTTAAAATTTTTATAATTTTCAAAATATTTATATATTAGGAAAAATACTTATTTTTTTAGAAAAAGCAGATTAAGAGAAAAATCTATGGATTTTCAAGAATTGATATTAAATTGGAATAGAACAGCTATGGAAAACTTGAGACAAGGTAATGTATCAGCCTCTTTCCAGCTACTAAACAAAGCTCAAGATTTTCTTGACCAACCCCATGACCGTGAAATCAAAATGAAATTGAAAGCCATCACATTTAACAACCTAGGCTGTTTTTATAAAAAAACTGGAAAAGTCAGCCTTGCTTTAAAATTTTTACAAAAAGCTTTGGATCTTGATGTTACCTCTCCTTCAGAAAAAACTAACCTTGCAGGGACGCATTTAAATATGTGTGCTATTCAATCGGGGATGGGGAATCATGAACTAGCAATTAAACATGCTTTAAAAGCTATTGAATTTTTAATTGCCAAATAATTTTTATTTTTTTTTTTTTTTTATATTTTATTTCATAATTTTTTATTTTTTAATTTTTAAAAGACGTTGAAGAAGTAGAATTTGCTCCAAGCATCGGCGCTACAACTGCAATCGCATATCACAACGCAGGAGTTGAGTACGAATACTTAAAAAATTACGAAAAAGCAGAAGAATGCTATAAAATCGGGTATGGTAAAGCAGAGGAAAATATTGGAACCGGCCATAATATTACTGAAGCTCTCCTTAGCTGTTACAATAATGTAAAATCGATAAGAGAATTGCAAAGAACAAAAGAAGTAAAATATTACTTCGAAAAATCCAGAGCAAAATCAATGCGAAGCGTCTCTGAAAGAGACACATACAGACCGAATAACTCCGGCCCACGGAAAAAAGAAAAACCATTGTTACCAATCATAAAAAATGTGGGCAAACCTAAACAAAAAGGGAAATCAAAAAGTTTTGATTATTCGTATAGTCCTGATATAAAATTATATGGAATCACAGGCAGAAATTCTTCTATTGAAAAGCCTATTAATTTACAAAGAAAAATAAAATCGACGAATAAAATGGAAATGTTTATTCCAACTGATTTATTTAATTTAAAAAAAGAAAAACCGTCTTATAGTTTGAGGAATATAGCTTCAAATAATGAAAACGATTTACCGCTAAAAGAAGTTTTACTCCCATAATATTTTTATATTAAATAATTTTTTTTAAATAAAAAAGAAAAAATTATTTTATAAATTGTTCTTATAGGAAGATAGAAAAATTAAAAACCATTGAAAATCAATCTTCTGATTTGCACGGAAAAAGAAAAGTTCATACTAAAGAAATAAAAAATACCGAAAAAGAAAGAAATTTTAGACCTTCAAGCTCTTTTAATGATGAAATAGATAAGTCTCCAATTCCAGTAAAAGCTGTGTTGAAGTTTCCAGCTATTAAGCTTGATTTAGTATTGTGTAGTGCTAGAATATCCTCTATTCTTCCGATAAAATAAATATTTTAAGACTATTATTAGTTCAAAAGCCATTATTATAGACCCAAAAAAAATTTGTAATCAAAAAGATGAGAGAGAATCTTCTATTACATTATAGACTATGCTATTAAAATCCAAAAAATTTGGAAAGGTTATATAGCGAGAAAAAAATACAAAAGATTACGGCTAGAGGCAGCTCATGTAAAAGCTAAAAACGCCATTGAAACTTTAGAAGAATTAAAAAAACAATTAAAAGAAGAAGAAAAAACCATAGAAACTAAACCAATTTCTCCATTACCTTTAATACCCCCATCATTTCCTTATAAAAAACCTGAGAAAACATTTAGAAAAATCCAGCTTGCCCCTATCCCAGAAAAAAAGCTTGAAAACAAAATCGATAAATTAATAAAAATTCAAGCAATAATCAAAGGATTTATTGAGAAAAGAAAATTCTTAAAAAAGAAGCAGGCTGCAATTATGATACAAAGCTACATGAAGATGATCCAGGCAAAGAGATTGTATAATTATATAAGAAACGCAGTGATTTATATTCAATATTGCTGGCAGGAATACTCTTTGAGGAAATTAAAGAGAAATTCTAATTAGAATGTGTAATCGTAAGGAATATTTAAAAATAAAATGATTAAAATCTGGTATTTAAGTAATTTTTGTTAAAAGTTCAAAGAATCGCACCAAAATAATAAATGATTCCACAAGCATCCAATAATTTCATCGCCATCATCCTTTTATAAAGTGAACCTCATTATAACTTTAAAAGGAAAACTATCTCTTATCTTTATTGTATCTATTAAACAATTAATTTGAAAAATCATAAATCAGTGGTTTTAATTTAAATGGAATTATATATCTACAAAAATAAAAACAATTCATCTCTTTAACAATTTTTTTTCCCTTAAAATATATCTGATATCGCTATTTATAGAGGATATCAGTTACTTTATTGGTCAAAAAGTAGATCTAAGCATAATGCTCAGTTTTAGACTGGGTTTTCTTTATTCAGGATTTATTTAGCTTAAGAGTTCGAGACCAGCAAGTGTTGCAAATTAAAACAAATACGTAGAATTATGTGGCAACAGACATAGATAAAGTACCTGATTGTAAAAAAAATTTATAGCCTAATATTATTCTTAAAAGCCCTAAAAGGCTTCAAAAAAATTCACTCAATTATTATCATTTAAATCATTGTGATAGCAAATACATTGCGCTCTAACAGAAATTAAAATTAAGCTATTTATAAAAATTAGCATTGACACTAGAGAGATTATTTTATGAGTGACATGAATATTCTAATACCGATCTTTTAAGCTTGATACAAATATGCCATATTCAATTATTTTTTTATTTTTTAGTAGTCATAGATTTAGAATCGTTATTTCATATAAAATCTAAAGTGAAATAGATCTATAAGATTTATTGATTATTTCCTTAATAAATCTGTGTAATTTAAAAATTTAATAAAAATGCAAAAAAAGAAAAGGCCATTTCAGCTAAAGCTGGAACTTGGAAGATTTTTAATTTTAAATTATTTTATAGAGAAGCTCCTACAGGATCCGGCCACTAATCGCTTCCATTATCGCTCCACCTCTTTATCAGTCCATAGATAGGCCTTACACCATGTTGCTGTGCTTCAATAAGATCTTGCACTCACTACCCAAGAACTTTGAGATGCTGGGTCGCCATTCCCTTGCCAACGGGGTTAGCTTCTAGAAAAATCGAATTTTCTGTATTAAGATAGACACTCGAAGCACAGGACACAACGTATCGCACTGGAAAACATTCCCAATTAGTCAAAAAACTAACTTTTGTCACTGCTGGAATATCTTTTTCCAACTCTGAGCTTCCTCCCTCCACGGGGTAAAATACTGTTTTGGATCTGAGCATGCGATCGGCCAGCCCAACATTGCGCTCCACTACGCCAGCAACAACCTGACCGGATACAGATTTCTGATCGCCATCCTCTCTCACACAAGCTCACCAGGTCTCCTAAGAGCCTGCTCGCTACAGGTTTTCAATGCCATTTTAATGTTATGCTAAAACTTGGAAGTACCTGTGAATCTTCTCCTCCACACTCTCCTGTTCAATTTTTAACAGCAAGAAACAAAGAAATTGATAAGTTTGCATCTGAATCGCCACATGAAGCAGCTGCAATCACTGATAGAATTATAAATAAAGAACCCAAAAGAAGTATATTTGGAAAGAAAAAGACTTTTAATTTAAATTCTGATAGAATAGTGCATACAGCTTCAAAGATTTTTGGTAAAACTCAGATCAATTCACTGGCTAGATTCAATTCTACATCATATGAAAAAATTTATTATAAAATATTTTTTTCTAAAAATTATTATAGTAACAAATTCACCAGTTATGAAAGCAATGCTTCCTGCTGAAAGAAGCAAAATCATACAAGCTGCATGTGGAGATCCTGCTGTATATTATAATTATATGAGCCGAAAACTATTCGTAAAAGATTTAGAATCTGCAAGTCCTCTGCTTATAGAAAAGAATAAAATAGAAAAAGCAGCAAATAGCACAGACAATTTATTCAATCGGACACAAGAGTTTGCATATGGAAAGCGGACAAGTGGGTTTGAAAAAGAAAGACTAATAAAGCGACATATAGCATTTTCATTAATTTCCGATACTAATTTTAATAAAAAATATACAAGCTTATTATCATATAAAAAATATACTAAATTTCCAATATTATCCAACAGAGAATAAAGATTTCTTTCCAAAAACACCTGTCGCCAAAACAAAAAGAATAATTAAAAATCCAAAATGCGAAACAATTGATTTAATTATAAAAACCTGTGATGATGCTGTAAAAATTGCCAATACATTACAAAAAAACAGCAAAGAAGAAAGAGAAAAACTGATGGAAAAAAATTATTCAGAAAAAATGACAAACTTCTCTAATGCTCTAAAAAGTGGGGAAATTGGTGAAGGAAATATAGTAGAAAAGCTGCACGAATGTTTTCAAAGAGGAAATAAAATAGAAGATGGCCTCGAAATTGTCTATAAAGGCAGGCATACTTCTTTAGCAGACGTAAGAAAGCATAATGCTAAGATTCATAAACTCCTAAAAAGGTATAAAAATAAAATCTTAAAATAAATAATTTATTTAATTTTTGCAAAGGCATCTTTTATAATGTCCATAGTACTTCTCCACTGCTCACGGCCTGGGGATGGAGCTCTTGCTTTTCTTGGGGAGCTTTCTCGAGACCCGTTCAGCATTTCAGCTTCAAAAGTAGTCATTGTGTTTCTTTTTATTTTACTTCTTGCATTAGGAATTGGTGGTTTTGTAGGAGAATTTTTTATTATATCATAGCTGTCATTTGTTTCTGTGCCTTTTGGCTTTAATGTTTTGATATTAATTGGCTTTTTTCGACTGGTGTGAGACTGTGTAGGAGAATATAAGTTTCTTTCTTTGTAAATATCGTTTAGGCTGCTATTAAGTGGGTTGTTTTCGCTGCCTGCGTTTTTGTATATTGTTCTCCCTTCTTTACTAACAGTTCTAATAGAGTTTACGCTTGCTGTATCAGACTTATCACACTTATTAAAATGGCGACGGCGAACCAGCCCTTTTTCTCAACACCTGTTGCCGGCTTAGCCGGGGACCTTGTGGAAGGGAATTTGGCGCTTGATATAAGTATCCGACTAGGTTTCTCCTTGGCACAGTGGAGCGCAACTTCAAATTTGGTTGACCGCGGCTCATTCTGATGGCAAGGTTTTCACCTCAGGGGTAATGGATTCCAAGGTGAAAAAGGGGAGGCTCAGCTATACCAAGGAAGCATACTTGGTCAATCGGGCAACTTCCTAGCGTGAAACTGGGGGTTACGTCCTAGACTTTGGATTTTCATTTTGGCTGTGAAAATTTGTTTTTCGAATTTTCGGAAAAGACAACTCTGTTGGTGGCACGGTGGCGCAACTCATCCAACTTCGGGTATCGAGTGCACATCCTCGTCTAGAAGGAGCAACACTTTGAAGGCTGTGAGACGGTTGGTGGTGAGCAGCCGAGTGGAGCGATACGGGTGAAGGTATAGTAATTGCCCGAGGATGGCGCTATCTTGCGCCATCCTCGGGAAATTCAAAAATGGGCCCACACCGGGAATTGAACCCACGTGTGGGGCCACTTTTGGTATGTGGAGAATATTGACTTCCACGAACCAAAAAATGGCCCCACACGTGGGTTCAATTCCCGGTGTGGGGCTATTTTTTAAATTGCCCGAGGATGGCTCAAGATAGCGCCATCCTCGGGCAATTTCAATAGGCCCTTAGGTGGGAATTACGGCGGACTTCTCAATATTTAAGTTAAGTTAAGTTAAGTATCAGACTTATCAATTAAGTCTGGTATTGTAGTAGAAAAATCATATACTTTTGCCTTTATTTTTCATATAAATATTTTAAATTTTATATTCAAGGTAAAATAAGGTAAAAAGCTATAGCTCCATCTAGGACTTTTCGTTCTCATGCTTTTATCTGACACTTTTGGCATTAAATCACTGTCAAGAGAAGTATTATTGATTTTTCTTTGTATTCTTGGCTTGTACACTCTGGATTGAAAAGAATTGTCTAAATTTATGACCCTTCAGCTTTGGGAGTTTTCTTCTTGCCGCTGAGGAGAAAAAGATCTTATGCGATGCTTTGTTTCGTTTGTATTATTTTTTGTGAAAATTGTGGATTCAAACACTTTTTCAAATAGTTTTTTGGTAGGCTTGAATTGTTGGGTGGGCTCTCTGAATATTGGGGTTTGGTCCCAGGGATAGGCTTTGTTTTCGTTAACTAGCCATGTTGTTCTCATATTTTTTTAGATAGCAGAAGTATTTATTAAAAAATATTTTATGTTAATTTATATGATTTACTTTGCATTTTATCAAATTATTAAATAAAATAGAAGGGACTATTTTCTATTGTAAAAATAAGCAGAAGTAAAATAATAAATAAACTATTTTAATAATATAAAAGATGTGAGAACACTAAATAAGGTCAAATATCATTGTAAACCATTATGAGCAATATTTTCTAAATTATAAACAGTTACAGAACCTTTTGATTTTCTCAGAAAATGATTAAAAATATTTTATTAAACAAGAAAATTTCTTATAAAATTACAATAAATAATTAACAATTCCATACTATACCCCTTTAAATTGAACAAAAATACTATTCGAATTTAATGGGTTAATTTTTGTTTTAAAAAAAAAATTATATTAAATATTTCTCTTTTTTAATTTTTCCAAAAATTGAGCGAAATACTCTGAATTTTTATAATTTTAGAAAAATTTAATCGATTCAGTATGAAGCCTGTTTAAATAACTTTATCCTTTTCATTTTTTACATTTAAACTAATTTTATAAAAATTAATATTTTGCCTATAAAATTTTTTCTATTGAAAAAAAATCTGCTCCAATTAAAGGGGTTTAAAGTGCCCAAAAAATGGAAATTTTAAATATATATAGTTCTGATTTAAAAGAGGGGAGTTAATAATCCTAAATTTCCATCAAGAAATTATTTTTCATCAAAAAATAAGAATTAAATTATCGTTAGATGTTTATCAAAAAAATCATGAAATCGGCATAATATGAAACCACGAGCTCTAATTTCAAAACCTAAGCCAGCAAGTCATATTATTTCTAAAACACCACTTCCTCCTTCGGCTAATTTAAGTGCTACCATAAGTCCTATTAAAACTCCAATAAGATCAAATACAGTGAAAACCTCATCTGTACACCCACAACTGACAGCGAAAATACAATCCCGACCTCGTACTGCTACCTTAAAACTTGACGATATTAGAAGACCAGACTCAGAAACCCCTGCAAACCCTGAAGAAAAGAAAACCCAGTCTAAAATTGAGCATTATGTTTTTGGCCGACAGCTTGGTCAGGGTGCTTATGCAATAGTAAGATTGGCCACACATCGGCAGTCTAAAAGCCAATTTGCAGTCAAAACATATAATTATATAAATAAACTGTCAATAATATTTTATTTTGAGGTAAATTGAGAATTTTATATATAAAAAGTATATGAAAAATCAAAACTTACTGACGTCAGACGGAAAACTGGTGTAAAACGAGAAATTTCAATATTACAAAGACTTGACCATCCTTATACAATCAAACTTATTGAAGCTTTAGATGGGCCTAAACAAGTAAATTTAGTTATGGAATATGTTGGGCCAAGCTCATTGCATGGATATTTATATAAAAAGGCTTCAAGAAAATTAGATGATCTTGAAGCAAAAAAATTCTTCCAGCAAATAGTGCAAGGAATTGAATACTGCCATTCAAAAAATATTACCCATAGAGATATTAAATTAGAAAATATCCTGTTAGATAAGCATAATTTATTTTAATCAAATTTAGTTTAAGAAAATTAGCATAAAAAATTATAAAAAAATAAGCACCATTAGATAAAGACCAAAATGTAAAAATCATCGATTTCGGCTTTGCTACCTGTATGGCTAGCACCAAAACCACACGTCTTTTCTGTGGAACCCCTAGCTATATGGCGCCCGAAATCTTGTCTAACAAAGATTACATTGGAAATCCAGTTGACATATGGGCTTTAGGTGTTCTTTTATTCGTGATGCTCTGTGGATTTTTCCCATTCAAAGGTGCAAATGACCGAGATCTTTACAAAAAAATAATGTCAGCCAATTTTCAGATCCCTGAATATGTATCACCTACAGCTCAAGAGTTAATAAGAATGATGATACAGAAAGACCCTAATCATAGGCCTTCATGCAAAGAAATACTCGAAGCGCCTTGGCTTGCTTTGACTGAAATTGTAGAACCTTGGCTTAATTATGAACATTTGCATGAGCTAAAAGATATTGAAATTAAAGATACTGTAGCAAGTGAGTTGGCATCAACAAGAGCGACAGAAAGTGTCAAGAGTTAGTAGATAATTATTGTTATTAAATATATGCGGCTTTATAGTCAATTTATTAATCTTACATGAAAAATTTATTCAAGATTGCTTTTCCCAAAGGAAAAAAATTATTTTCGAATATAATTTTAAGCAGAATATTATTATTTTAACGCAAAGCATGCATACCTCGCAGTTTGCTTTTTAGGTTGCTGATATTTCTGTCAACCACGCTCAGCTCTTCTTCAATTTGATCTCTTCTAAGCTTACTAGCTCTACTTTTTGAATGAGCTGGCAGCTTTGAATATTCTGATTCCAGGCGCTGTTTGTCTAATTGTAAGTTCATTAGTGTGTTTTCTATTTCTAAAATTGGGTCTAAAATCGATTTTGTGACTGGTGATTCTTTTAAGGATGGCTCATCTAGCTGATTTTCCCAATTCAATACATTCCCTACATGAGTGGAAATATTATGGTATTTTTATAGCGTATATTTTTTTTAAAAAAAATAAATAATTATTATACAAATTTAGCATGACAGGAATAGATTTTGAGCCACGGCGTCTTCCTGAAGGCCGCTCTGATATCCGAGGCTGACTTGGCTGCTCTCTTGGCTGTGCATTTGAAATCCTATGCTGGCTAGGACTGTAGTTTTCTTCGTAGTAAGGAGAGCTTTCTTCGTATCTTTTGTCAGGGATTTTGTACTCATCTTGATATTCTTCATAATCGTCATGAGGATGCTGATAATGCCTTGATTCTTTAGGCATCAGCAGCTCTTTTAGTTCTTCTATTTCTCTTTGAGACTCTAATAGCTGCTGTCTTAGTTTGCTGATTTCGCCTGGTTCTGGTCTTTTATTAACTCCCCCCTTCGTGAGTGAACAAAAAAATTTTGTTCACTTACGAAGGGGGGTTAATTTTTTTGTTAAAATATTTATATCTAAATCTTATAAAAAATATTATTTTTCGAAGTTTTAAAAAAAATCCTAATTCGCAAAAATTGGAAAGCAAATGTTAATTTAATTTATAAAATTTATGTTTTAAAAAACAATTCGTTTAAAATTAAACAGAATTACTTATAGATTTCATTATAGTAACTATCATTTATATATCAAAAATTTTTTCATAAAAAAATTTTGTTCACTCACGGAGGTGGGTTTTTGGGCAAAAAATAGGATTTTTCTAATGATTTGTTCACTCACGGAGGGGAGGGAGGAGTAAGGTTTTCTAAGGTTTTTGTAAGGTAAACAACTTCTCTCTTAAGCCGTTCTGTTTCTTGGTTTTTTTGCTTTGAAGCACCTGCTATTAAGTTTTTTGCTTCCAATAATTCATTTTGCAGGTGCAGGATTTTTTCATCAGATTTTTCAAGCTCTTTTTGTAAAATTGCTAATTTTGATTTATTTGCATTAAATCTGTCTAACAAATTATCATATTTAGCTTGCTCTAATGACAATTCTTTATTAAGCTCCACATTTTTCTGCTTCAACCCTACATAATCATTTTCAAAATTTCCTGACTTTTCTTGGACTTTTTTTTCTCTTTCTATTTCCAGCTGATTTTTCAACTTTTCATTCAAATTTTCTAGAGCTTCAATTTTTTCTTTAAAATCTGAATAATCATTAATATTTTTGTCCCCAGAATTTCTACTCTGCTCTTCTAATTCACTAATATACAATTTATCACTTTCAATAGTTTTTGATAATTGAGAAATTTTCTTATCTTTTCCCGCTAAATTTTCTTGGTAATTTCTTTTTAATGTTTCTATTTCGTCCTGGTGCCTTGCTAATAAATTTTGAATATATTGTGATTGGCCATTTATTTGTGCTTGTAAGGATTCTATTTGTTGGCGATATGCTAAATCCTCCCTCCGTGAGTGAATTAAACCATTGGAAAAGTCATTATTTTTGTAAAAAAAACCCTCTGAGCGAACAAAATGTTTTAATATTAAAAATTTTTATGAAAAAAATTTGATATATAAGTGATAACTAGTATCATGAAATCTCTAGCTAATTCTGTTTAATTTTAATAACTTGCGTTTTAATACATAAATTTTTCAAATTAAATTAATATTTGCTTTCCAATTCTTGCGAATTGGGAATTTTTAAAATTTCGAAAAAATAAGTTTACTTAAAATTTATATATACATTTTCTTTGTTCAATCATGGAGGGAGAATAAGTCATTATTTGGCATTGGAGGAGGTGGATAATACATAGGATAATAAGGATAAGGATAAGAAGGAGCTCCAGGCGGCATCATCCCTTGCATCATAGGCATAAGTGGATTCTGCATCTGCACAGCAGGGATTTCTGGTTGTTGCATCCCATGCACCATTTGAGCTTGTGGAGGGATAAATGGATTTGATAGTGAAGGTCTTAAATAATCTTCAGCCGAGAACCTGTGTTCTTCAGGAGAATTGCTCAGATGCTGAGAAATCCCTTCAATTTCTCGGGAATCCAAAGATTCATATTGCCGAGATCTTGAGGAATGGTTTAAACTGCTTCTTGGGGTAGAATTTTCTTCTTCTATAAGGGGTTCCTCTCGTCTTTCTATATGCTCTTCCATTGTTTCTTTGCTGTGGGCTAGCTCACTGACATCTCGGTCATACCTTCCTGATGCCTTATAACCCTTTTCTATTAAATTTGAAGAATCCTTCTCAAAACGCTTAAAAAATTGAGATTTTGCAATATTTTCGAGCATATAGATTAAAATGACATAGCGAGCTGGAGGTTTTACCCTGTGAGGAAATGATGAGCTGAGTATGGAAAGGGATACCCAGCAAGCCCAGAGGATGCCCTTTGGCCAATCAGAAAAAATCCCTCCCACGATACCAGGCTGAAGTCCTGGGCTCGGGCTCCCATTCTGGTCGAAAATTTGACCAGAAAAATTTTTTTCGAATTTTCTGGAAGGTAAGCTCGATGTGTAGCATAACTCTTGAGTAGCGAGTGCAAGCCTTACCCGTAGGAGTAACATAGTGATAGACTGTGTCTGGTATAGTAAGCAAGCGTGGACTGGTATGGGAGACAAGTTGTAGCTTGTGACCATGCAGGGGACTTCTCTATAAGCAATTTAAGTTTAAGCAATATCTTCTAGACTTTCAGCAGGGTCAAGAGATGCATCTTCACGGCTTGAGCTCAGCCCAACACGTTTTCTGACCCCTTCAAGGTGCTCTTCTAGTGCTTGTATTTCATCTTGTATGGCTTGGTTCTCTTCCATATAGTAAATATTGATTAAAATGCAATTTTCCTATTTTTATTGTGTATTTAACATTTTTAGATATTTTTATTTATAGTTACAGCTGAAATAAGTATTTAACTGATTTTCTCATTTTTTGGGCGATTTTAAACTTAAGAAGTGACAAAATCTTTCATTATTTCACGCTCACTAAGCTTACTCTTAAGCCATTTATCAGCTTTCTCCAATATTTAATATTGAATTCTAACTGATTTTTAATAATTACTTAAAATATCTCATTTCCCATGATTTTTAAATTATTTTTATTCTTGGTATCTTCTCACCACACCAGCCTGCTCTGCTTCCCCTTTCCTTGCAAAATCATTAAAAATCTGTTCCAGCGAGCTTTGTGAGAGCGCATACTCCGATATTTTCAGTACTTCTTTATTCGTCTCTACAGCTGAAAACAAGTAACCAATTGATTTTTCATTTTCTTTGGCAATTTTAAACTTAAAAAGTGACGAAAAATGTTCCATTATTTCTATTGCAATTTCCTGTGGATGGCGCTGTTTTGGCCTTGATTTTCCCACTGGAAAAATTTTTTGGTTCGACTAGTTCCATATGGTTTGGCCAAACCAAAAATTTTCCCAGTGGGAAAATCAAGGACAAAATAGCGCCATCTATGGGAAATTAAATACCTTGCTAAACTCACTTTTAAGCCACTCATAAATTTTGTCACCCATTTCTTCAATAATTACCCAGGATACTAAAGAATCTCTTTGTACTGTCCCATCATTTTTAAGCTGTTGGAATAGCGAAGACCCTGCCCCTTTTTCTTGAATTTCATTAAAAAATGAGCTGGCGTTCAGCAATTCTAAGCATTGTTGGATTTGATCATTTTTAATGGTTTGCTCACCCATAAGGAGGCGGTCTAAAATAGTCCCTCTATCGGTGACTTCAAAATGAGAGGGGACTTGAACTTTGGCTTCAAATTCATAACGGTCTCCATATTTACTTTTTATCCAAGTAGCAGTTCCAAGGCATCTTAGCCTGCCAGCGACCATAATTGTCATGCGGTCAGATAATGCTTCAGCTTCTTCCATAGAGTGGGTTGTCAAAATGACTGAAGAATTTTTTCGCTTGAGGTTTCCTATTACTTTCCACATTTTTTTCCTAGTTTCTGGGTCCATCCCTGCAGACGGTTCGTCAAGAAATACGACGGTAGGGTTTCCTATAAGTGCCATTGCGACTGAAAGTTTTCGTTTGTTGCCTCCAGAATAGGTGCCAGCTTGCTGGTCAGCATATTGCCTTAGATCCATTTGGTCAAGCATTTCTTCTACTAGTGCTTCTTTTCTGTCCTTTGGAATTCCTTTGATATCTGAATATATTCTATATTAAAAATAATTATTAAATAAGGTTTATCATTAAAATTTATTTATTATAGTAAAGCATAGCCTTAAATGCTCCCTTGCTGTTAATAATTCTGAAATGGCGTCAAACTGAGGACAATACCCAATTAAATCTCTAGCCCTTTCTAGATCTTTTACAACACTATGGCCACATATAAAGGCTTCTCCTTCAGTAGGAGCGATTTCTCCAGTCAGCATTTTGAAAGTTGTAGTCTTTCCTGCACCATTTACCCCGAGAAAGGCAAAACACTCTTGCTCATTTACGCTGAAGCTTACATCTTCGACTGCAGCAAATGCAGCGCCGAGGCCTTGCCTGTATACTTTTCTGACTCCTCTGACGTTAACTTGAGCGTCTTTTGGGCTGATTGTATTTGCTGCTTTCGCTTCTTTTTCAACATCATCGTCCATTTCATAGGCAGTAGGAGCTACATGGGGAGTTTTTCAGAATTTTTGTAGCAGTTTTGGATGGGTTTCTAAATATTCTTGGACATATACTAAAATATATTCATTTAAATTGATATTAGCAATAATTTTATATTAAATTATATTGTATTTACACATTAAAAGATAGTATAAATACACTGGGATCATAACTCCTATCATAAGCATATCAGCTCCAGCAGATTCTATCTCAAAAACATTATAAGTATATCCAGCATCATCGAGCGTCGAATACAAACTGACACTCCCAATATCCATCAGCCCATTCCCAAACGAAAACGCTGGGAAAAGTCTAAAAATTCACCTCAAAACTCGTCCAATTTCTCTAGTCGTATCAAAAATATAAAGAATCAAAATAACTGCTGGGAAAATTCCTCCAGCCACTACATTGAATAAAATCGTCATAATTTGGGCAGTTGGGTAATTTTTGAAGAAAAAGCTGGTAAAATATGTAAATGGGGCAATAGAAATCCCATATAAAAGCATCAAAATTCAAACTGCTCCATAGTTGTCAGAAGGATCAGTCAATATTTCAACGCCAAATGCTAATACCATTAATGCACTTACAATGGCAGGGACTAAATGCTTAACTGAATCCCATACAAAATTAGCGCACCAATAAGAAAATCTTGAAACTCCGCTTATCATATGTTGATGTTTTACGTTATTTTCCCTTTCTTTTACTACTAAAGCTACAATTCCTGTAGGAATAAAGCTATAGTCTAGTATTGTGGCTTTTTTTTTAAAAAGAAATATGTCAAAAATGCTTTTATTTAATAGAAAAATATATATATCCTAACGAAAATATAATAGAAGCAATAAACCCATCCCCAGTCGCCCCAAGTCCAAGGACTTTTTTTGTATAAGGAAGTGGATAATTATATACAGTCACAGTCCAAGGAGTGCTTAATTTTCCTAAAATTTCATTAGACATATTATTATACCACACAGCAGTGGCTTGAAATGCTGACTGGTTATGAAAAACAATAAATTCATACTGTCTTGCATCATCATCCATCCTATTAAAATAATAAGACCCCATTCTATAATGATTAGGATCTGGTCAAGCTTTCTGGGTCTACCTGGCTTAACTGCTCTGCCTGGCAGTCCAGTCTGGATCTACCTCAAATTCTATACTGATTTTCAAGTTCATTAATAGCGTTTTGAAACGATAACTACTGCTATTAAATCAAAAATAAATATCCCCACTTAAAAATTTTTATTTATATTTACGCATTGCTTTTAAAATTACTCCATCATTTTATAAAAATAATTTAAATAATTGCAAAAACAGTAGAGATATATTTAAAAAAATGATATAAATTAAAAGAGAGAGAGATTATTTTATTGCTTATTGCTCTTTATTTCAGGAGCATGCCCTAATTAAAATCTTTTTAAGTTTCCTTTTCTTTTTCTTGACTTCCATGTATTGATGCATGCTTTTTAATTCGACATCTTCATCTTCATTTGGATAATTGTTGATTTAAAATTTTTCTTTTTCTGGTTTCTTTTTGGATTTCTTGCAAATTTAGTTTGGTCGAATCTTTGGGTAAATCTACTTTTCATTTCTGGATCAATTAATTTTCTTTTTTCTATTAATTCTTCACATATTTCTGATTTTTGAGCTTCTCTATAGCTTTCAACACCTATGCTATGACTATAGGTTTTAATATTTTGCTTCCAATCAGTCACCAAAATTGAGTCAGTAATTTCGTGATCTGATTTTTCAATGACTTGAATAATTTCTATATGATCCAAAATATCACCGTGCAAAATTTTAAAGGATTAATCAAATTTTCGTTCAAAATTCGAAATAAACCTCTCCTTTATATGGCTGTAATTTCTTTCTAAGCCTTTATGTTTTTATTTTCTTATAATTTAAAAATATTTAACCAAGTATCATTTTTAACATTTTCAATATGTATTTGACTATAAAATAACTTAATTTTATGATGGGTTGAAATTATATATTTATTTCGCTTTTTTGATTGGATATATGTAGTTTATAATGATTTTGTTTACTTTTATGATGATAATATAAATTAGTTTTAGTATTCAATGCTTTTATACAACTTATATTAGCATTTTATTCCTTTATACATCGAATTGTGTTATAGAGCCGATTGCCAGGTGGAGCCAGTAGAGTTGGGATGTAGAGCCGAATTGCCAGGTAGAGCCGGACTGCCAGGTAGAGCCGGGTTGCCAGACTTCCAAGTAGAGCAAGAGAGCTAGACTGCCAGTTAGAGTAGAGAGCCAGAATGCCAGGTAGAGCCAGAATGCCATTTATTCATCAAGCTATTATAGAGAAGCTCCGCAAGCTTGAAAATAGTTTCCACATCATCACTTGATTCACACCACCCCTGCTTGTCAGTCTGATTGCACAGCCTAAGGCTGAAGCTACTCCCTCCGGACAGGGGCTTGCACTTGCTACGAGATTGCCCTTTCCAAAAACTCTAAAAGCGAATTTTCTGGTCAGGCTCTCGACCCAGATAAACTTGTCGCCAGGGTGCAGCTCCCTGTATCGTGCTGAGAAAATGCCCAATTGGTAGGCGAACGCCCTCCGGTCTTGTTGGGGCTATCCCTTTCCAACTTCCAAGTTTCATCCTCCTCGAGGTAAAATGTTGCCTTGGATGTGAGCCTGCGATCAGCTAGCCCGACATTGTCTCCACCAGACCAAGTAAAACCCGGCCGGATACATACAACGAACGCTGCTCTCCCTTCCACTAGGTCCCCAGACTCTTGCCCGGCTACAGGCTGTAGAGGGCAGATTGGTTCACCACATAATTTTATGCATCGAGCCAGACTGCCAGTAGAGCCAGGCAGATCCAGCCAGGTTTGACCAAGGGTCATCCCTAGTCTCAAACAAATACCAGTCAAATCCAGTCAAACTATTATTATTCGCATTTTCTGTATTTTTATAATTTTTTCAGTCACCTTTAATTTCTGCTGAAACACTATCAGGCCAGTCATATAAAGGATATTGAGGGTCTGAATAAGAATCCACAGTCAATTTATGCTTGGTTGGAGTTGGAAAACGAGTAGCTATCATCATCAATCCTAGCCCTACAATAACCATCACAATAGGTATAAAAATTTCATAGACCAAGCTTTTAAAATCTCTTTTTGTCCAATAAATCCTTTTCTTTAGCAGCGTCAAAAAATGAATAAAAAATAATGAGCCTTTTAATCGGTCTCTGGACAGCACAAAATCATTTTCAAGCTCCACATTTTCGTCTTTTTCTTTATCTTTTTCTTTGTCTTTATTAATCTCCCCATCATCTCCTCTTGCTACTCTTAAAAACACCTCTTCAAGGGTGGTTACAGAAACCCCATAAGACCTCAGCTGTAAGTCTTTAAGATTTGCGTCTAAATCAGCAAAAAAAGTTGTGAATTTATCAGAGCTTGAGCTAGGGATTTGGAAAGAAATTTCAGCATGAACATCACTCATTGCAGTTGCGTCAGGGATATAAGATTGAATAAAATCTGTTGGATAGGTATAAAAGTGATAAATTACAGTCATTTTTTTGCATATAATTTTTAAAAAAATTACTGTAATTTATCATAGGTTTTTTTTGGTCTGCCTAATCTGTTACTTTTTGAGTATGAGATTTACTTGCAATTCCTACTTCTTTAACTATGGTTAAATAGTAGCCAACCCCATAACGCTTTTTTAAGAAAAGAGAGCTTCCAAGACATCTAAGGCTGCCATGGGACATAATTGCAATTCTGTCAGCTAAAACATCAGCTTCTTCCATATAGTGAGTTGTTAGGATTATGATTCGGTTAGCTTTATTGTTTTTTAGCATGTCCCACATCTGTCTTCTCGCTGTTAAATCCATTCCTGATGTAGGTTCATCTAATAATACAATAGGAGAATCTGCTATCAAAGCAATAGCTAAAGAAAGCTTTCTTTTCATCCCACCTGACAAGAATTTAGATAATCTACACCTTTTTGTCATATTCTTATTTTTTTTTCGCTAAAAAATGATAAAAAGCTTTATTTATATAATAAAAAATATTTTTTTTTTTGGAAATTAAATCCACTTCTGTGAGTTTTTCTTTAATTTGTTCCTTTATTATTTTTTTATCTTTCATCCCTTTAAAGACGGAAAAAAGGTATAAATGCTCTTCTGGTGTCAAATCATTATATAATACATTATGCTGAGGACAAACTCCAAGTGACCTTCTTATTTTGGCTAGGTCAGTCGATAAATACAGGTTATTTATTTTCATGTCCCCATAGGAAGTAGGAATAAGCCCGCACATCATAGAAATTGTAGTTGTTTTTCCTGCTCCATTGTGCCCTAGAAGTGCAAAAATTTGACCATTGTAAATATCAAGGCTTAAATTTTCAACGACAGTTTTGCTGCCGAAATCCTTTTTAAACTTTCTAATAAGTAGGGCTTGGCCGTTTTCTTTTTGGATTTCTAAGTTATCATCTCCTGGCTCAACGTTGTCAGCTCATTTAATTTCTTCGCTAAAAAGCTCTTCGTGGGCATTTTTCTTATTTGAGCACCAAAATGATTTAGTATGCTGCATAATATTAATTTTTTTTATTAAATACAAATAAATGCCAAAATTGAGAGAAAACGGACTTTTTTGGAAATTTTTTTATAATCAAACTATTATTTTAGAATAAATAATAAAAAATACCACGGCCTTTTTACACCCCACTCTGTCGGCCACACAATATCAAGATACACAGCCAGGATTGTAAAAATGACAGTATCAATAACCATAAATGCCAAAAAAGTTCCATACGTATAATTATTAATAACCGAACTCGTATTATCAGGCTGGACGCCAGCTTGTCCATCCTCAAATTTCGACAAAACATCACAACCCAGCGCCAATGCTACATTAGGAAGCAGCGAAGCCGCAGTTTTACTTGACTGATCAAGAGTAGGATCAGTCACTGCAAAACTAATGAAATAACTAATCAAAAAAGCCATTAATCCCAGCATAACTGCACTCCTAGATTTCGAAAAAAAGGTGCTTATAAATACACTAAACGCCAAACAGCTCATTCCATATAGCCAATATGATACAAACATGACGCCAATATTGCTATATTTAAATAGTTTAGTCGAAATAATTGCTCCAACAGCTGCAATTAAGGTATAGACTGAGAAATAATAAGTAATCCATGAAAGCCAGTACGCTTTATTGGAAAGGCCCATAATCATCATCATTTCTTTAATTTTGTATTCTTTTTCTTGGACTATTAAAGATATCATTCTGCAGACTGGGACTAAATAAGAAATGATAAGGAAAAAGGGAAGGGTGTTAGCAATCAGTGTGATGAAATCATCAGAGACGTACTCGTCATAGTACATCGGCACAAAACCTGCGGCGATATAAGGGTTTTGGGACCCTGAGTAGTATTTTATGATGTGATTATCAATGTAGTTCATGATATGAATAAGCTTTTTTAGAATAATTTAACTCAGAAAATGTTTAAATTCTATTTATTTTGATAAAATAATGATGCGTGAAAATTTATTTTAAAAAATATAAAATTTGTCCCAAAAAATTGAGACTGAAATTTAGGCATCGGTTTTCTCAATAAAGTCTCTGTAGCTGAATATTTTTGGAAATCAAAAATTTCGATGTTGTCGCCGACTCTTCTATCTCCACTAGGATAAGCAAAAGTCACATTTGTTCTAAAGCTGTATTTTACGTTGTGGAAATCGTTGGTTTTATAAAAAACTACTGCAAAAAATATTTTCATCGGATGATCGCCGTCATTTTCACCATAATCGCTCTTTTTTATGTAATCTTCTAGCTCTCCAATTCTAAAGACCAAAAACATTTTATTTTTTTGTTCAAAGTTTTTATTTAAAAAAATTGAATTTCAACATGCTAAAGCATTTTCGAAGCTTGTCTGATTTTTCTAGGGTGGGAGTTGTCACTTCTAGGTGTTAAGTCCATTCCCAAACTGTTACTGTGGATATTTACTAAATTTTTAAATATTATTTTAACTTTATTTTTTTTCAATCATTAAAATGCATTTCTAACCATTTTATAAGTTAAAAACTAAAAAGGTTGAATTATAAATAAGGAGATAAGTCATTTTCAGAATTAAAATTAGTAACATTATATTGAAGGTTTGGGTTGATAGAATTAACCCAGTTAGTCAAGTTTTGAATCAAATATTTAGTAAAATCATTTTTTGCCTCATTCACGAATGAGATGTATCATTTTCCTTTTTCTTTTTTATCATCATAAAGTCTATAATAGTTGCTTGAAAAGTTTTTAGTCTTCCCCTTTGTATAAGCGAGCAAAAACCTTATTTTGGATAAAAAAAATGCGTATCAATTAATTTTCAAATAGATTTTAATAAATTTTGTTCTGGATATCAAAAAGAACTAAATATAGAAACTAATAAAAGTAGTAAATGAGATAAAACTTTTGTTTATTTGCAAAAAGGAGAGTTAGGATAATCTGTAAACTTAACAGCAGGCTCAAAATAGGTTCCAAAATAGTTTACGTTATTTGTGGAAAGGGTCATTCCTCATTCCTCATCAACAAGGTATGATTTGATCCCATGCTTTGTGTATCCAACAGCCTCTCTAATGATTGCAAGCATTATCAAAAGAGCTATTGGAAACAGAAACTCGCACAGTGAGCCACAAAGCCTTCGTTTCCATAAAATCCAGTTTTTATACAACAGCGCTCGGTAATGTTGCCAAGTTGACATTTATGTTAGAAAGGAGAAATTCGAGAATTTCTGCTATACATTTTTTCGTATAATTGAGATAAGTTTAATTTGTTAAAAAATATTAAATAAATTATATATTTTACTAGGCACATATCGTCACTGGAATCCTATCCAATTGATTTATACCACTCAGGCTTATTGCTAGCCTGTCCCTTTCAAATTATCTTCCACCAGAGCTAGAGCTCATATTGTATTGTTCAGCGCCCTTTGGGGTGAGTAAAATATATAGCTCTATATGCATCAAGGATGCTGAGCCAAGTTCCGGCTTAGTTTTTCCACCTGGGTATCTTGCAGGCGTTGAGAAAATTGTCCCAAGAGGACTAATGGCCGCCTCATGCTATTTAATGTAAATTGGATTTGTTCAAAATAGTTACCAGAAAGGAGTTAGTGAATTTTTTAACGGATCAAATTTTATTTATTCCTAACTATGTTTATTTAAATATATAATTATAAATATGGCTAATATGAGTTACTCTAAATAGAAACTAAGCAATTATGCTAAAATAAGGAAAGAGACATGATAATAAAAGCAGCTTTCTTAGAAAATTATACGGTATTTAAGCAAATGAGCAATAATTTATAATGGCAAATGGCTCTAACTTATTTACCCCCATCCTAAAGTATGCACCAAACCATTGGAAAATCCCTATTTTTGAGAAAATTGGCCCTCATTTAAAGCAAGCAGAATATTTTCTAAAAAATTTTTATATAATTAATAATTGTTATAGCAAAACATCTAGCTAATTTTATTAATTTTAGGCAGCTTGCATTCTTAAATTTAAATTTTATAAATTAGATTATTTATCAAATATATTTTTTAAAAACCAGGAAAATGCTTTTTATATATAAAACTTTCAACTATCCTTTAAGGCGAGCAAGATTTTGACTTAGGGCAGTTTAGCAAGATCTGAAAAATTATAATATTTATGGTTTTCTAAGTTTTTATTATCCCATTCTATCTAATATGATTTTTCTTAACTACTAAAAACATTAAATCAGATTCATCCTTAAAAAATACAATTATTTTTAAAAAACCTTTTCTTTCTGCCAATTTGCAGTTTTAATTAATTTAATTTATATCTCGACACAAAAACTGCAAAATTTTAATAAAAATAATAAAAGCGAAAGCCGCTAAAACTATATGGCACTAGTCACACATATATTTGCGCTACTCTATTAATAGAAAAGAAACTGGACCTCTTAAAGCCGTTATTATTCGTTTAAGAAATACCAAAATATTTTATACCTATCAATATTTTTATCAAAATGCATAATCACATCAGTTCTAAGCAAATATTATATTGTGAAAACATTAGTTTTAAAATATTCTTGCAAAAATGATCTTCATAGGTTGATAATCGTCAATTTCACCATAACTTCTTGATTTTGCAGTTTTAAAAACATTATTTTCTGAATAAATTAGCTAAGATTCAGCGTAATTTAAATTGATTGAATCAATTAATTTGTCAAGTTTTTATAAACATTTTAATAGTTATTTTTACCTCATTAGCGAACTGGATTCAGCAGTTTTATTTATTCTTTCAGCTATCGTGAACTTATTAAAGCTGCTTGAAAAATTTCACGTTAATCTGCAAACTTTAAAGCAGGCTCAATGGCTTGTGTTCCCTTTCGGACTGACATTCTCTTTTCCATCTGCATTGCTTTGCATGTCTAATAAATCCTCTAATAATTTATTGCACGATCAAAAGTGCTATTGGGATATTAACTCGTTCAATGGGTTGCAAAGCCTTCGCCCATAAAATACAGTTTTTATAAACCAGATCTCGGTAATGCTGCTAAATCGAAATTTATTCCAAATAAAATTTTAATTTTGATAATTGTTTTTATGGCAATTCTCTATAAAATCTTAAAGAAGCGTATAAAGGTTTAAAGATTTTATAATATTGATAATACGGAAAAGAAGCAATAAAAACTAACAAGCAAAACTTAGAGCATCAATTATAAGAAAGGAAGTTTCTTAAGGAAATTAGGCGGCTTGTTTATTTCCCTTCCTTTCTATTAATCCATTCAATATGCTAATTTTTTGCCGGATGTTTAAAGTGTCAAAAATCATACAAAATTATAATATTCCTCCACGTGTAAAAATACTTTGAGGAATAAAATTTTTCTTAATTGGAGAAGCATATATTAAGTTGATTTTAATTCTACTAATTTCAGCTTTATTGTATGCTGCAATTTATCTGATTGAATTTGTAAGGTTGTTTGATAAACTTTTTGCTTCTCAAACTTTTCTTTAAGAATACTTATATGGGCTTACGCCCAAAAGCCAAAAATTTTTATTCTTAAAAATTGGAAAAAATTTAATTTTAACAATAAAATGTATAATTCTGGACATAAATGGCATCGTAGTTTCAAGATTGATTGAAGCTTGATGGCACAGCAAACTCAATCTGTCTTGGGTAATAGATGATAATTTTAAACCGATTCATTTTTTCCCAACAAATTCTCATATAAAAATTTGTATAGCTTTGAAAAATATTAACTCTCATTAAGGCATAATTTTTTGTTAAACATTCTGTTAGTTAATTACGCCTTTAATGGTCAATTTAACCTGAAATATGGTTATAAAATTTATGAGTGGACCAGCATTTGGACTCGAAGAAATCAAACGATTAGAATCAGAGCTGTTTAAAAACCCGAATAATGTTCATATTCTAAGCGACTTAGCTCATCGTTATACAAGCCAATGCGACTATGCGTCAGCTATCCAGCATTACGAAAAGATCGTTCGGATCGATACTCACAATGGGAAGGCCTGAATCGCCTTAGGCCACTGCTATTTGCTTAAAGGAGATTACCACAAATGTTTCAATGCCTATCAATCTGCTATCAAAAAAAGTACTGACAGCAGAGATCCTCACCTTTGGTATGGAGTAGGCCTCCTTTACAGCAAATTCGACAGCTTCACACATGCCGAATCTGCCTTTCAGTCAGTATTGAAATATGACCCGAACTTCGACCAAAAGCATGACGTGCTTTATAAGCTTGGGGCAATTTATAAGCAAAAGAAGAAATTCTTAATTGCTATTAACTTCTTCAATAATGCAATACAGTGCCCAAAAATTTCTTTTGCAAAAAAAATCCAAGCTATGTGCAATATCGGAAGCTGCCGGGAATCTGAAGGCAATTTCAACGAGGCATTTAAGAATTATTATGATGCGTTGAAGATTGCCAAAAACAGCTTTAAGGTAAGAGAATACATTGGATTTTCGCTGATGAATCAAAAGTTTTACCAGGAAGCCTTGGAGATGCTAGGGCAAGCTTTAGCATTTGCCAAGGAAAATTGCCAAGAAACAGGAGATATTTATTATCTGATGGGAAGATGCCATCTGGAGATGAAAAATTTCTTGGCTGGGATAGAGGCTTTCCAGAAAGCAATATATAAAAACCCTTGCGTTTGCATTTACTGGATAAGCACAGGGATTTTATACGCCTTATCCAATCAGCCTCAAGACGCCTTCGAGTGCTTTGTGAAAGCTTCTGAATTCAACCAAGAGAACGACGAGGTCTGGTTCAACATGGGAATTATTTATGAGCAATGCAAACAAAAGCAGGAAGCCTGCTTAGCATACCAAAGGTGCTATAAGTTAAATCAACAAAATACCAAAGCTAAAGAGCGCAAAAGCAAGCTAAAACAACAAGAAGAAGACTATGAAAATATTCCAAGCTTTGTACATCCATATATTGAAATATCAGAGGTTCCTTTTTCCAGTAGTAAAAATGAAGCAATTGACAAAAAGGCTAAAAAATTACCAGATATTACAAAATTTGATGAAAAAATTCCCACAGAATTAGAAGATGAAATTAAGAAAAAACTTGAAGACCTGGAAAAAACTGCTACTTTTGAGGCGATGGACAAAGATGTGACGTCACTTATATCAGATATTAGGCCAAGTCTGCATAATCTGATAAACATCCCAATTCCTGACGAAGATTCTCAAGTCCCTATGTCTCTTTATGTCAGGATTAATCCACAATTTCAAACTCCTGGACAAAGCGAACCTCAGCCGGGATTATTTTCTTCGCCAGAAGCTGGACAAACGGATAATAAGTCCGAGTTAATTCAGCCTCCTCCAGCTAGCCAGCCTGAAATAAAGCAAGAAGTATTTCCACAAGCTCAAGCAAAAGCTCCTATCCCTTCATTCATGGCTAGTTCTTTCCAAAACTTCTTGAAAAGTCAAGCAGCCCAAGAAATGCCAAGCTTTTTCAACCCTGCAATGTTTTCTCCTTCAAGCTCAGCCCCTATAAAGCCTCCGATTTCAAACCCTTTTACCAATCCAAACTCTGCAAGCCCATTCAGTCCTCCAACTTTTCCGCATCCTTTTAACTCTCCAGCTGCTTCAAATCCTGTAACCCCTTTTAATCCATCAAATCCTATAGAAAATCCAAGCCCTATGAAACCTCCAACTCTTATAAATCATGCGGCATCTCCAAGTCCTCTAGCATCTTTAATTCCTCAAAACCCTCCAATTCCTTCAAATCCAACAGTCCCTCCTAACAATTTAGATAATCCTCAAATCTCTGGGAACCCTCCAAGCTCTGCGAACCCTCCAAACCTACAAGAAATTCCGAATTTCCCCAAAAATCCTTTAGGAATCCCACCTCCGACTCCTCAACAATGGGCAGCTTTTAAAAACTTCATGATGAACCCGATGATGGCAGCCCAGATGATGTTTATGGGGTCTGTCGGGTTCATGAATTTTATGAAATTCATGAAGGCCCAAGCCCGCAATACTGAAGAAGCTCTGAAAGCTGAAGAAAATGAAGAAACCGTAGAAGAACCCACAAGTCCACAAAAAAGAGTGCTGCGTTCTAATGACACCCCAGCCAAGAAAAGAAAACTATAGATATTTGATTTAATATATTATTTTGATATAAAACAAATGTTTCATTTAAAGGATGCAGTCCTTGTGGTCATTTACAATCCCTCTTAGCCTTCTTGCCAGTTTTCCTCGACTTTGTGGAGGCTCTTTTGTGGCAACTTCTACTTGTACAGGTGTTGAAGGTCTTGATGGTTTTTTGATAACTCGGATTCTAGGCTTGCAAGACTGTGGTTTTGACTCCTCAATAGGGATTTCAAAATCCAGCTCAATCCCTTTTTCTAGCTTAAAACTTTCTTCTTTTTTGGTCTCTTCTATTTCAACTCCTTTTGATCTCTTAAACATTTCTGGATGAATGTCGCTGATAACAGCAGTTTCCAGTTTTTTTGAAAATTTTTTAATTTCGTTTGGAGTTGGCGTCGAAGTCTGTTTTATGAGATCTTCTTGGATATCTTTGGCTCGCTGCAGCAAAAATGTATACTCCTGGTCGAAAGCTTCATGAAACTGCTTTACGTGGTCTTCTATGAAAAAAATATCGATATGAGCTGGTAGGATTTCTTGCTCTGAATAGGCTCCATGTCAAATTTCCTAGGGAAAATTTTTCCGAGATATTTATCTGGAAAATTGAGATTTCTGCTCAATAATACACTATTTAAAAATTAAATAGTAGATTTCTGCTCAATAATACACTATTTAAAAATGATCGACCAATTTATACTATTAAAAGTGCATTATTAGACCTACCCCTGAATATGATATTGAAATATCCGTTGTAGTTGCTGTTTGAGGTCTTGAGGAACAGGGAGAAGTTAAAAAGTCAAAAACTTCTTTATCTCGTGGTGTTGAAAGCGGGACTATATTTAATAAATCCACCCCTAAGTCTTTCGCTTTTTTGGAAAGCTGATTAAGATATATGTCGATGTTTTTTTGATAATCTGAAAAATACAAACTTTTGTCAGGGATTTCAATGAAAAGCTCTATACGGGATTTTAAAAAATTTTTTTTTGCTCTAGCTTTGCCAAGGCCTTATTTTTTATATAAATTAAAATAAGCTTTTTATTTTATAGCTATATTTAGCCTAATTAGCATAATAAAAGAGCAATCTCATTAGCTACACTTTGGTTTCTCTCGATTTTTTCTTCACCAAGAACCCTCAAACTTTCTTCAATTTCTGAAGGATGCAAGCGATTCTTAACTCCTCCCGTGAGCGAATAAAACTATTTAATTCGAAGAGGCGTTAAGTATTTTTTCGAAATTTAAAAAAATCCCTTTTCTTTTACTTTTAATTTGATTTATAAAATTTGTTTAAAAATTAAGCAGAATTAGTTAGAGATTTCATTATACTAATTATCACTTATTTTTTCATGTTTTATATTAAAAATTAGGATTTTCCAATGTCTTTGTTCCTCACGGAGTAGTAGTAAGAGTTTCCCATAAAAGAGGCGGCTGTGACATATTTTATTAATCAATTACAGACTCCTTTAGAAATCCCAAAAAAGCTTATAATAACAGCGAAATCCCTCAGAATTGCATTTATATTTAAATATTGAGCAACTTAAATGGGAGCTGATGGATCTGTTTGTTCATGCAGTGAGCGTGCCAGTAACGGTCTCACAAGTCAAAGTCTCTCAAAATTCCACTTTACAGATGGATGTGTAAAGGTAGTTGACTATACTGGGATGTTCCCAGCAGTTCACTCATTACAAGAACTCAAACATAAAATGCTTGACTATTTGCCATATGAGTTGCAATGTATCAAGGATATTGATATTGACCCTGTTCATAGCTTTGTAAGAGTATTCTTAATTTAATTAATTTTTATATGATAAAATAAAGGATATTATATAATTCCTTGAAGAACGGGGTTAATATATTTAATAGTAAATTCTTATAGGATTGAGCTTAATATAATAGGAATTCAAACAAACTCTAAAGCATGAAGCGAAATTATGCGGTGCGTGCTTTGTGATCAATACTTTTTGATAGTATCGCATTTCCTTACTCCCCCCCTCTGTGAGTGAAACAAAACCATTGAAAAATCCCTATTTTTTGCCCAAAAACCCACCCTCTGTGAGCGAAAAAAATTTTTTTAGTCTAAAAATTTTTCATTGAAAAAAAATTTGATATATAAGTGATAATGAAATCTCAAGCTAATTCTGTTTAATTTTTAAAACAAATTGCGTTTTAAACATATTTTATAAATTAAATTAACATTTGCTTCCCAATTTTTGCAAATTAGGATTTTTTAAAATTTCGAAAAAATATTTTTATATAAAATTTATATATAAATTTTTTTAAAAAAAAAAATAACCCCCCTGCGTGAGTGAACAAAAGGGGAGTTAGAGTTTTTCTATAGAAATTTTTTCCCTCTTGACGCATTTGACAGTTTTTTTCAGAGCAAATGCCTTACTATCAAAAATATTCCTGAGGAAAACTCACACTGTTAAATTTCTGATAATATGATATGCAGCCTAATTATGATAGAAATTATTTTTGCATCAATTGGCAGATTTGCTATTGGGATATGGCCATCATGGAAAACAAGAGAAGGACAGCCAAAAGTAACAGGAACTATTGAGTTCCTTTATAGGTTCAGGGAAAACGCTGTAAATAAATTAAACGATTAAATTGGCCATACGGGAAAGCACACTAACCTTTGCCTCGTCTCGGCTTCAAATAGCCTCCTCCCTGCCCCATGAGACAAACGAAGGAAGGATAGGCTGCCATCTTGAATTTCCGATCTGAATTACCTGCCCAAGGGATTAACTTCCTAGGGCAGAGCCACCCCTGCAGAGTGCCCGACGGTCCCGACAATGGAAGGCCATATGGTAGGCAAAGCCTGCTCATCTGTCAGCGACAGGCAAACCTTCGGGGAGAAATAAAACTTCCCTCTTCGGCAAGGCATTCCAAGCCAGAAGGCCTACTTCATAAGGGGCAGAGGTCCTGTTTTCAGCTTCATCAGGATGGTTCCTACCTGCTTCATAGGGAGTGCGCCTCGAAAACCAATTCCTCCAAAGTCACCATTTTATTCCAAAACGCCGTAAGGAATATATAGAAATATATCGGCGGCTTTCATTTGTTTTTAGACTGATTGGATAGGCATAAATATAACCCTTTTGAAGTATTAGATGACGATGAAGAAAACGTCGGAAGAGTTGTGTACTCAATATTTAAATCAATGGAAATAAAAGAAGATGGCTCAGAAAAGAGTTCTTATTAATCTAATTAATTAAAAGCGAATTTTTATATCAGAGGAGCTAAAAATTAATAAAAAAGAATTTATTTAAAAATTGTTAATATATTATAATTTTTTAAGGAGAAGATCTCGGAATTCTTTAATATCGATTTCTCCATCGCCATTTTGGTCAGCCTCGTGTAGAATTTCTTCCCAGGATTTTTGCTCATTTAATCCTGAGCCAGCTAGCATTTCTTGTAAATCATTTACTGATATTTTCCCACTGTGATCTTTGTCTAGCATCGCAAAAGCAGTTTCTAAATGCTTTTTTGAGCATACCATGTCACTCCTAGCGCTTGCCCTTAGAAACTCAGTATATTCGATAAACCCATTGTGGTCAGTATCAACATTTTTCATAATTTTTGTAGCCATTTCTCTTCCTTGGCACCCTCCTGCTACAATTGAATAATATTTTATAAGTTCTTCCTGAGATATTTTCCCATCATGATTTTCATCAATTTCTTGAAAAGCATCATTAAGTGTTTTAATATCAGAATGGCAAACAATTTGTGAGACAATAAAAGTTTGTATAGCATCCTTCAATTTTGAAGTCTCACAAAAAGACATCAAATTGTCAAAGCATGGCCTTAACATTGCGTGGTCTTTATTGCTATTTGTCAGTCCTTCAGATAGCCAAGGGTGACAAAGAGCCTCAGAAGCTGAAATTCGGGTAAAAAAATCTTTATTTACTCCCCCCTCCGTCGTGAGCGAACAAAAAAATTTTGTTTGCTAAAGGAGGGGGTTTAAATTTTTTTTCAATTTGTAAAAATTGAGAAGCAAAAATTAATTTAATTTGCGAAATTTATGTTTTAAAACGCAATTTGTTTAATTTATCAGAATTAGCTAGAGACTTCGTTATAATAATTATCATTTATATAAATTTTTTTTTATAAAAAAAATTTTGATATTAAAAAAAAATTTTTGTTCACTTACGGAGGGTCGGTTTTTTAGGCAAAAAATAGGGATCTAATAGTTTTTTGTTCGCTCATGGAGTGGGGGAGATAGCAATTTTTGCAATAAATCAATAGCACCTTCAGGTATGTTATTTTGGGCTAAAAAATAGTGGGAAATACAAGTATTTCTAATACTCTGCTTTATTTCTGAGTTATTTTTTCCTGAAAATGGAGGCCTACCCGTTAAAAGCAAAAATAAAATAACTCCTATGCTCCACTCGTCACATTTCTCATTATAAAATTCGTCCTCTACTTCAGGAGCTGTATAATAAGACGACCCTAAGGTGCTTTCAAACTCTCTTTCTAAGTCAACAAAAGCAGAAACGCCAAAATTCAGGATTTTTATTGTAAGATCATTCCCTTTCTGCATCAAACAAATAGAGTTTGGTGACAAATCTCTATGTATCACTTTCAATTCATGTGCATATGCAATTGCTGACAACAATTGTTTTGCAATAGAGCATACTTGAGCATGAGTCAGGCATTGAAGTTCTCTGATTTTGTCTATTAAAAGACCTCCTTCCCAATATTCCATGATAATAAAGCACCGTTTACGGTCAGCTATTATATCATAAGTTCTCAAAATATTTGGATGATCCAACTTGCTTATTGCTTTATAGTATTTTTCTTTAAATTTCCTAATAATAAAAGAAATTAAAATGGTGGTGGTGACAAAATAGGTCCTCGACGACGTCCCACCATTTTGGCGCAAAAGTGGCTTTATAGCCTAAACCAAGGTTCAGGCCCTTTAACTCTAACCCTTAGCATGTCTAGAGCTGCCTTATGGGATGGGTAAACTTTGGGAGTCAGCTGGTGGTCACTCCAGTCAAAAGTTTTAATTATCCGGATGGTTTTTGGGCCGTGAGTTCTTTCCCCTACCGGCTCCGGAGGGTCACAGCTCTTTTTTCCTGGGTGTCGCTGTACCTACAGGCGGCCGTCAGGAGGCATCGGGCTAACCTTTGCCTTCATAGCACCCGACATGACGTGAAGCATATGTAAGGTGGAGTCTCTCCTAACCCGTCGAAACTCAGCGGAGCGTGCAAGCCTTGGCCGTGGGAGAAGAGGTCCAAGATTGGCAAGCAGGTTTTGGGATCCTCGAAAGCGTGCGGAGATATCAAGCTGGAAGACTTTAAAGCAAATTTAAGTTAAGTTAATAATAAAAACATATTTATTATTGAGAAATCTATAACTCCCCCCCCTCCGTGAGTGAACAAAACCATTAGAAAAATCGCTATTTTTGGCCCAAAAACCCACCCTCCGTGAGTGAACAAAAATTTTTTTTATATAGAAAAATTTTTTATGGAAAAAAGTTTTAATATATAAATGATAATTAGTATAATGAAATATAGAGCTAATTCTGTTTAATTTTAAACAAATTGCTTTTTAAAAACATAAATTTTGCAAATTGAATTAATATTTGCTTTCCAATTTTTACGAATTAGGATTTTTTAAATTTCGAAAAAAAATATTTTTTTATAAAATTTATATATATATTTTTTTTTTTAAAAAAAAAAATTAACCCCCCTCCGTGAGTGAACAAAATTTTTTTGTTCACTCACGGAGGGGGGGGGAGTAAGAAATCAGTATAACTTCTCTTTGTATACTTTTTTCACTTATATGAGAGCTTTCTTTAGGAATCCTCACTATTTTCACAGCTCTGACTAACCCTGTTGCCTTATGGACGCATTTACGAATTCTTCCATATGGGAGAGCTGCTATTTCTTCTTGAATTTCATAAATATCACAAAGGGCTTCTGAATCAGAAAGCATTTTTTTTTCTTTTTGGAAGTTAGAAACTGAGTGTTCTCTTGTAATTCTAGCTGGGTTCGCCTCTTTTGAAGGTCCTTTTAACGAATCGTTTGACTTTGGAGGCGAAACCTTCGATTTTGATCCAAAACATCCCATATTATCAGTTTTATAAGTTTAGATTAGTTTGATTCCATAAATGGCATAAAAACAGTTATAACTCATAAAATAAGAATTTATATCAATTACTTAATAATTAAACCTATTCCAAACATAATTATCAGTAATTATTAAAGAGTATAAAGCTGCTTCCCACTTTCCAATAAACAATTAAACTCCTTGAAATAGTCTGATGCAAAAGACTGTAGCGTCTGAATTAGCATTTCCTGTATAGACTTTTCTTTCAAAATGTCTTTAAGTTTCCCTTTCTGCTCAGTCCAGTGCTTTAAGTGCTTAAATAAATTTATCTGAGAATGGAACTGGAATCTTCGCAGGCCTTCTAAGATATTTTCCTTAATTAAATTCCCAGGGAGCTTTGAAAAAACAATATAAACAGTCACTTTAAATACTTTTGCAGGAAGCTGTAAAAGTAATTTTATGTGCTCGTCATTTAAATAACTTATATGTGTACACAAATAAGTTAGCAGCCCTGATAAGCTTTCCCATTGTTCGCAAGCTGAAATAGAGCTTTTTAAGTACTCTAAAATTTTGCTTATCATTTCTGGCTTGAATTCTGCTTGAATAAGTTTCCATAAAATCGCCTGCTCAATTGATGAAAATTCTTTTGATTTTTCAAGAATTTGGACATAATTATCAGAAAAAATTGTATCCTTATTTACTTTTTGGAAGGAAAATAGAAATAAATATTTGGTTTTTGTTTATTAAATTAATAGAGAATATATTTTTTTAATGATAAATCTAATTCGGTCCGATAAATGGTATGTATTTCTGAATTTTGTATGTATAAATGGATTATATTTGGAGTTATTATAGAAGGGAAGTTTTCAAAAACCAATGGGAATATCCAGCTCAGTATTTCTTGATTGCTATCGTGGAGACAGATTTTTAGATCCCTTTCAAGCTGGCTATCAAATTGGAGGTAAAGCGTGGAATTTGTTTGCAGAGAATAAATCACTAAATCCCCTTTAAAAGTGAGCAAAAAAATTGGAAAATGCTTATAAAATATTTAACTATAATTAATATTTTTTATAAAGATATCTCAATTAATTCTATTAAATTTTTCCTTAATATGAAATTAATAATTTAACAAGGCTTTCTCTTAAAAAAATAACATTAATAAAACAAAATTTAAAAAATTAACTATTTTAAGATGGGCAAAAAAGCTTATGAATTCATAAAAGGGGGAGTAAACGGATCCCTACAGCTGGCTCAGCTGAATTTAAATATTTTGTTAATTCTCTCATTTTTTGGCTCTGCGAAATTTGTGAAAAAATCTGCGATAAAATAGAATTTTTTTGAATTTCTTTAGAAAGAGGCTGCAGCAGCTCATTTGTCAAGCATTTTAGTATATAGTTAGCTAAATCTTCAGTGACTTGGCTTTGCTTTTCTAAAACTTCGCACAAAATCTCAAATGTTGGCTCGTTCGCAAACTGAGTCCCTAGTGCCCCCAACGAGTTCATAACCTCCCTAGGCTCATTATTTATTTTTTCTTCAATTTCACACAGAGGAGACAGCACAGGCTCAATACCATTCATATAATTTTCATTTAAATCTGTAGTTCTTGACCTAATCAATGAATCAATTCTCTCATCGGAGCTCAGCATTTCTAATGATGGGAAAATTCCTTGAGTATAGGCGACATTAAAGCACTCTTTTAAATTCCTTAAAACCTTTTTTGTGGACCTTTTATCATACATTTCAGCTGGTGCATGATTTTTGCTCTGAATTTTATATACCAATTGCCCGAGGATGGCACAAGATAACGCCATCCTCGGGCAATTCCTATATATAGCCTGAGCATTCTTTTTGCTTGGGCTTTGATAGGGGAGTTGGCTAACTAATACTGATTTTATCAACTCCTCAAGTGACAGAACTACTTTTTGCAGGGATTTTTGCCATGGTGAGTTGCTAAAAACAGCATATGCTTATTTAGCCAACTCCCTTTTTCCTATCGAAAAAAATCAGGAAGTCCGCGCAAAAGAGTGCTCGGACTATATTTAGACAATTGCTCAAAAAAATTGATTCTGCACAAAATTTTCAGGCTAATTACTATCAAAATTTTTAGTAAATTATTATTGCGACTTTAAGCAATACAAAATAGCCTTTCAGCTGACGTCAGCATAAATTCTAATAACTCTTCAGCTAAAGATACACTTTGGTATCGTGTTAAAGAAAAGCCTATAAGCGACATCATCGGCTCTATTGAATAAAGCTGATCTTGCAAAGGATTAAAAAATAAATTTTTCATTACATTAAGAAGAATTTAAACGCTGCTCGTTCCGCCTAACGTACACTATGAGTTTACCAAGCAGAGAGCTTCCGCAATTTACAGTATTAAGCCTGTAGACTGCTGGGGCAATCTACTTTGCCAATAAACCTCCTCGGGTATGCTAAAATAGTTTTGATGGCTGAAGAGTGAGCGACTTCTGTCTCCCTTTAAGACTCCTTCACTGCCGTAGGATGAAAGTGGAATAACCGCACACCTTTCAAATTTCCAGGACAGGTCAAAGGACAGAGCGTCCCCTTCAAGCTATTATTTGCCTTACTCCCCCCCCTCCGTGAGTGAAAAAAACCATTAGAAAAATCCCTATTTTTGCCCAAAAAACCCACCCTCAGTGAGTGAACAAAAATTTTTTATGGAAAAAAAAAATATATATTAATGATAATTAGTATAATTAAATCTAGAGCCAATTCTGTTTAATTTTAAACGAATTGTTTTTTTAAACATAAATTTTATAAATTAAATTAATATTTGCTTTCCAATTTTTGCGAATTAGGTTTTTTTTAAATTTCGAAAAAAAAATATTTTTTATATAAATTTTTTAAAAAAAAAAAAATTAACCCCCCCTCCATGAGTGAACAAAATTTTTTTATTCACTCACGAGGGGGGGGGAGTTAGCCATTTTATGATTATGGCTAAAAAATAAGCAGTCAAACGATAATGACTGCTTTATGCTTGCTTGTGTATGATGGTCTTTTGCTGATGCTAAAAGCCACTCTATAAGTTGCCACCTAGGGATTCCTTCATGATTTGCAGGAAAATTCACTATAAATCTTGCAAGATCTGGCATTATACACTCATCATGCTCATCTAAAATCCATTTGAGGTATATGAAATTGCCCGAGGATAGCGCTATCTTGCGCCATCCTCGGGCAATTCAAAAAATGGCCCCACACCAGGAATCGAGCCCACGTGTGGGGCCATTTTTGGTGCGTGTAAGTCGATGTTGGCCACACACCAAAAATGGCCCCACACGTGGGTTCGATTTCCGGTGTGGGGCCATTTTTGAATTGCCCGAGGATGGCGCAAGATAGCGCCATCCTCGGGCAATTACTATACCTCGTAAAATTAGTCTGATTAGCGTTTTCTATTATATAAATAAGCCTTGCTTCTATTGAAGGCAAAAGCAGCATTGAATGGAATTTTGGATGTGTAGGAGTCATAAGTAAAGTCCAATATAAAGGATTCCCATCTCTGCCAGGGGCAAATAGGTCATTTCATATATGTTCAATACCATTTACTTCAGCCAAAGAGCTGATAATCCTAATTAAGTCTCTTCCTATAGCATAGCACGCATCTTTTCTACGTCTCCAGATCTGTGATAAGACTTGGACATAGTCAAAAAGGATTGGACTTCCGTCATTTGCAAGGAGTGAAGCCTGGTGCAGAATTTTGTAAAAAATCAAAGAAATTAAGGGCTGGTTAGAAATTCAGTCAAGCTCAGGCTTGATTTCGTTAATAAGGTCAAAGGTTCGGATAAATGATAAAAACATGTCAGCAAAGGCAGGGGAGTCTAGTTTTCATAGCTGGGTGAAAAGTCAGATTGCTCTTTGTGAGAATTTTAAGTAAAAAAAAAAATTATTATTATATAAATTTATAGTGAAAATTAAAAAAAAAAATTAAAATTTTAAGTAAGGGATTAATTGAGTTAAGGTGATGCAGGCTGTTTGAAAATTGTCACGAGAGGTAGGAAGGAGGTATTTAAGCCAATCCATGCCTATGAGAATCCCGTAAACTAGGCCTTTTGATAATTTCTTGTGATCTCCTTGTAGTGAATAGCTTTGAAGCAGGGCTAGAATGTCAATTTCTTCACTTTTAAGTGCGATCAAGTCTCTAACTTCTTTAAAGCTGTCTTCTATATCCTAGATATACATTACTTCAATGCTGCTATCTAAGAGCTCTATTTCTGCTTTCTCAAGAAGTCCCATATCAGTCATATTATTAGCTTGTTTAACTATTTTTGTTATGTTTAGTCAAAAACTTTTAAATTAGCTTTGAGATATTAAAGGTAATTTATACAATTTAAGTTTAAGATTTAAATAGCTTGAGTTTGTATTACAGGTTATATACTTATTTATATTAAAATGCATTTATTTAGCTTATCTATTGTAAATTGCCTTTTAATTTGCATATACTCTACTTGTGGAATTTCATTCCGCCATAGTATTCAATAAATATGAGGAATAAAATACACGTTTCAATAAAAATGGGAGCAAATTATATATATCTATTTACAACAAATGAAAAACATTCTGATTTACTATATGAATGCAAGATGGCAGCGAGTTGGTATGTAAAAATTCTCTATAAGCAGGTATAATATTTTAAGTTAAATCTAAAACACATTTATTTCAAAACAATATAATTAGCCTAATTTTAAGGCAAATTAAGTGTTATTAATTTGATAAATTAAAGTCTTTTAATTAAACAAAATGGACTATCAAGAAGAGTTATTAAGCCAATACGAGCATACCTTAGGAATTATGAAAAAATCAATTTTGACTTTGCAATCAAAATTAAATGAATTAAAACCTGAAATTTCTGAGGAAAATAAAATTGATGAGGTTATAGAAATTTACAGTTATGAATTATCAAATGACGAAGACATCGAAGCATCATATGTAGAAATAAAAAGATTAAACAATGAAATCTTAATAGAAAAAGAAATGAATCGAAAACTGAATGCAGAAAAGCAGTGGCTTATTAAGAAAAATGAAAATGATAATAATTTATCAGCAATTCTTAATTCCAGCCTAAAAGATAAAATCAGTGAGTTTGAGGATAAAATCAATGAGTTAAAGGATGCTAAAAAGGACCTTCAGAGTAAGAGAAAAGCACTAACTCATAAGTCTAAATGCAAAAAATGATCATTATTTTAATAATATTATCTAATTATTTTAGAAAAAATTATTCATCTTTTTAAGAGATATTTCAAAAATAAAAAAATAAAGTAAGAAAAAAAGCTGAATTAATGGCCCTTGAGCATGTGTAATCTTAATCATATTATACTTATTAAGTCCTCTATAATTTGTGAAGCCTTTTTTGCTAACGCTCCTTTGTTTTCTTGCCAATTCATCGAGAAGGTTACTTCTGCTATTGAAAATATTTGAATTTTCTGGCGATTCTTGTCAAAAATGGAAATGGAAAGGGTAATTCCTAGTTTCAGGCTGGGAAATAATTCTAATTGGTCAGGAAACTAATCTCTGGGACTCCTGAGAGGTCCTGTTCCAACTCACCAAGCCATTTTAATGTATATACTTTTGAGCATGCCAAAAAAGCCAACCCAAAGATTTATAATCTTATGAAAAAGAGTTTTAATTTAGAAGAAAAAAATGACAACATAAAAGAAAAGTTAGATTTAATAGAAAGGGAACGCAATGAGTTTCGTGAAGAATACTCAAATATTACTCAAGGACTTACAATAGACGACCCAACTAAGAATATTAACAAAGAAATAGAAAGTAATATTGAAGAAAAAGAAAATTTAATCGCAAAACTGCAGCAAGAATTAAAAGCAAAAAAAGAAGCTCTTACTACTACTCCCTCTGTGAGTGAACAAAACCATTGGGAAATTTCCCTATTATTTGGGGAAAAGCCAGAGATCAAAAATTTTTTAATATAACAAATTTTTTATTAAAAAAAAGTTTGATATATAAGTGATAATTATTATAACGAAATCTCTAGCTAATTCTGTTTAATTTTAAACAGCTCTGCATTTTAAATCATAAATTTTACAAATTAAATTAATTTTTATATAAAGTATTAAAAAAAATTAACTCCTCTTTGTAAGCGAACAAAATTTTTTTGTTTACTCACAGACTGAAGGAGCTAGCAAATCCGAAAAATTTAGTACAGAAGAAACTAAACAATGCAATAAATTAAAAGATGAACTAAGCGAATTAACTAAAAAAAGAGAAAATTTGCAAGCTTTGATTGAAAATGTCGAAAAATTAATTAAAGAAGAGCAGAAAAGTCTAGAAAATCGACCTAAAATTATTAAAGAAGAAGATATTCCAAATATAAAAAATAAACAAAAAGAGATTGAAAAACAAATTAAATCGGCCGATGAAGAAATAAAAGAAAAAGACAAAGAAATTTCGAAATTAAAAGTAGGGAAATATGAAACATCAAAAAAGGTGAAATTCGCTGAAAAAGTATTTAAGTTTATGAAGCAAAATCAACCAAAAGCCCACAAAAAATCAGGGTCTGTCGATATGGCTGCAAAAGTAATATCTGCGCTAGCACCTAAACCTCAGCAAAGAAATTTTTCACAAAAACCAAAGTTAAGCAGTTTAAATATAATTAGTCCAAAATTAATAAAAGCTCAAATATCGACAGAAAAAATGTTGACATCAAGAAGTTCAAGAAGCTCCGAAGACTCTACAAACAACCCTTTTCGATCATTGTCTACTTTTTCTTACAAATAAAATGGCAATGCCACCGATCCATCCTCTCCCAGACCTGCTTCGAGTTTGGGGACTTTGCTGTGGCCTGAGGCTAAACCGAGTTGGAAAAGGAGTGTACGGGTACTAGGCATTAGTGTTCCGGTTGGTTTTTGTCTCTCTCGTCCGGCAATGAAGACTTTGTGTCTTCATGATGGACATTTGGAAAAAAAAGGCTTTTTGCCCTAGAGGCCACTAGTACTGACAGCGAAGGCATAGTTTGTACCGATACTAGCTAGGCAGTTTATCCCTAGCTAGAACTCTAGCCACTCAAGCAGCAGCCATCAAGTCCCAAATCTGTATACTCCAAGGTTCCGAGACAGCATTAAGAGCCAGGCCGAAAGCTGGAGGAGAGCTATTCTGGTGGAAATGCTGGCATACCCAGAGAGGTTCTCTAACAGCTGAACGAGTCGTATACGAAGACTCGTCTCGGTCAGACATAGAAGGAGGTTAGAGCCCAATCTATAATTAATGCTAATGTCTACTTTTTCCCAGATCTAATCAAACTTTGTACTCTTTACCTTGCTATATCTTTTTATTTAAATTCTCAAAATAAATATTTAAAATACAATTGTGCTAAATTAGTTGGTACAGTATATATTTTAGTTTTATTTAAATCAAGAAAAATTATTATACCTAATTACAAATATAAATATTCCTACTTGTAGCCGTTACCCTATTTCACATAATCGTTAGGATAACGGCTGATCAGTATGAATGCTTACACTCACTATATTTAATATAAATAATTTAATTCGCATTAAAATATACTCTAGTTTAAAATCTATAGATATTTGATAAGACTACGAAAAATCAATTTTTAATTTTCAATAAATGGGGATTATTTTAAATATTAAATAATGGGGGATTTATCTAAATACTTTTCAGCATCTTCATCATCCCAAAAATCCACTCCAAAAAAACGACTGCAACCCTCCAAGCCTGTCAAGCCTGCCAAGCCTCCTGAAAAAAAGCAAAAAATAGAAGTCTCTCTCATAGAAGACCCCAAAATTTCCCAAGAATCTTCAAAATCTGCTTTTGATTCTCTCGATCTCGCCATGCAAGATTCCGACGACGACATGCCTAAAGAAATTTCTCCTCCCAAAATTTCCCTCATAAAGCCTCCCCCAGATTTTCTTTCCAAACGAAAAACCGTCATCTCTAAACCCTCCTACAAAATCCCTGAAAATCTTCGTGATATAAAAAAACATGGTGAATCCCAGGCAAAAACCCAAAAAGTAACAGGCACCAAAGTCCAAAAAAAAAACCAAGACATAAAGCCAGGACCATTAACTGGTCAAACAATCGTGATTACTGGCATTATTTCTACAATAGAAAGAGACGAACTAACTGAACTGTTAAGAAGTTACGGATCAAGAGTCACAGGCTCAGTCAGCCGAAAAACTACCTGTCTAATCCATGGGCAAAAGCTTGAAGACGGTCGTCACTACACAGAAGGCAGAAAATACAAAACAGCCAAAGAATTCGGCATCAAAATTATTGACGAAAAAGAGCTCCAAGAAATGCTGTCCTTTTTATTAGGCGCCAATGAAGCTGCTTTACAATTACAGAGCCCTCAGCCTACCAATGAAAATAAGCAGCCAAACTTGACCATTCCAGACGCAATTCCACCTCCTATGATACCAGTCGGTAACCAACTGTGGACTGACAAATATAAACCTAGCACTTTAAAAGAAATTGTAGGAAATACCCAAGCTATTGAAAAACTAGTAAATTGGCTTAAAGACTGACCAGACGTGATTTTAAGAGAAAATAAAAAAGATATCAGACCTGTAAAAGGAGGAAGATTCGACCCTCAGCTCAATGTAAATGCAAGGGCTGCCTTAATTTCAGGCCCTCCAGGCGTCGGCAAAACAACAGCAGCCCGACTTGTAGCAAAAGGTCTGATGTACCAAGTAATGGAAACCAACGCTAGCGACTTCCGCTCCCGAAAAGCCATTTTAGACCCCTTAAAAAGCACCAGTGACTCCAATAGCTTAACTCGTAAAGGAAACATCGTAAAATCCTGCCTCATCATGGACGAGGTCGATGGGATGTGTGCAGGTGATCGTGGCGGTGCCTGAGCTTTATTAGAAGTCATAAAAGTCACCAAAATCCCTATAATCTGCATCTGCAATGAGCGGCAAAGCCGCAAGCTAAAATCCATTGGAAATATTTCCTATGACATAAGGTTCCAAAAACCCAATAAATCTCAAATAGTAAAGCGGATACAAGCTATTTTAAATAAAGAAGGAATGAACGTAGACTCTTCTGCCCTAGAGCAAGTAGTAGAATCCTGTGGAAATGATATAAGACAAGTAATCACTGTCATGGAAATGTGAAGCAGAAACAGCCCGACTATGAATACAATGCAGGCCAAAAAAGGCTTAAAATCAATCACAAAGGACCCTATTTCGATGATTGGGAATTTTGACGCTGGGGCGAAGCTGCTGAATTGGAGGGAGACAAAAACGCTGAGACATAGGGAAAAAATGGACCTTTTTTTTGTGGATTTTGATTTAATACCGCTGCTGATACATGAAAACTACTTGTCGGCTATCGCGATGGACAGCACTGCGATATATAGGATGGCTGAAGCTGCAGACTCTATAGCATTTTCTGATTTAATATCTAGACAAATGAGAAATGGTAATGAATGATCTCTGCTTCAGCATTATGGCCAAGCCGCCGCTATAGAGCCTGGCGCATTAACCGGCAATGGTGTTCCCTTCCCCCGCTTTCCTGAGTGGTTCGGCAAGTTTTCTACCACCCGCAAAAACGAGCGTATGCTTCGAAACATCCGATCCACCATGGCTGGGCATATTTCAGGTGACAACGAAAGTGTCCTTAACGACTATATCCCTATTATCTACCATTTAATCATGGAACCCTTAAAAAAACTCGAAATTGATGGTGTAGACGAAGCAGTCTCCCAAATGTTCTTATACAATCTTAATCCTGACATGTTCAAAGAGCACCTCATCCAGCTGCAATTCGGCACCCCCACCTATGAAGAAGAATACAAAAACCTTTCCACCAAGCTAAAATCCCAGCTTACCAAGTCTTACAATTTAATGCACAAATCCTCAATTGCCAAAAAGAAAAAGAAAAAAACAGGCGACAGGGCGGAAAAAGATAAATTTGACCCTGAATTCGAAGACCCAGACCAGTCTGAAAAGTCAGCTGAAGAGTCAGAAGAAAGTGAAGAAGAAGTTAAAGGAAAAATAATTAAAAAGAAAAAATAATTTTATAAGTCTTTTAATGCGATTCGGGATGATACTGCATTGGTAAAAGAGTGGTCAATTGACAACTCTGAGTCAGAAATTTTGAAAATGCTTTGGATTTCTTTGAAATTGGTAAAAGAGGCAAGAGTGTCTAATGAGTCTTTGGAGCCACAAATGGCAGAGTCCATGGTAATCAAAGTTTGAGGGTCGAAGCAAGCAATTATTATGCTTGTACTGGAGTCTTGGATTCCGAATTGGCTGAGAGTGCTACGGATATTGCAAGAGGGTGATAAGTAGTAGACAAGATCAGAATAAATTGAGTCAGTTTTTTTGGTATTGGTTTTTACTCCAGAAATAGCACGGTTAGCAGCGACCAGGATGTGCTTTATTGATGTAATTAGGCTGGGGTTGATAAAAGCACAGTCAAAGTTACGCACGTTAGCACGGAGTTCAGAGGAATTTGTGAGGTTTATGTAGAGCTGGAGGTAGAGAGTGTATTCTGGGAAAAGCTCAAATGTAAATTCCATTATAAATCAGGAATGCAATAGGTGCTAAAAATAGAAATAAATTATTTCTTGAAAATTAATTAAGTTATTTGCATTTTGAGGTTTAGCTTGTTTTTTATAAAAATTAATTTATAAATGCTTAATTTGGAGGAAAGAATAAGGAAATATAGGATAACAGTGGAGCTTAATATTATGGAAACCCAAAAAACTGAGAAACCAGGAGGATTTATGTCTTGAATTTTTGGGGATAGCCAAGCAAAAACTGTAATTAGGAAATCAAGAAGGAAAAAAAGGCTCACAAAGCCTCAGATAAAACTGAATGCATTGATGGAGGAAATTAGTACTTATATCATCAATAACGCTGAAAACTCTATTTCTGCTTCAAATCAAGTGACTTCGATCTCTCTTTCAAGTGATGATGCAAATGTATATTTCGCTAGCAATAAAGTTCGATAATTTTTTTTCTAAAAAAAACTATAAAAAATATAAGCCATTTTTCATAGAAAAAAATTGACCCAACAATAAAGGAAGTGTGACTTGCTTTAATTACGAAGAATGCAAAATAGTGAATGACGTCAATCTGCATATAAACTCATTAAATACTCTTATTATAGATCACAACCTAAGCAGAGCCGTAATTTGTGGAGATAGTCCTATTTTACGAGTTTATACAATCCCTGACTTTGAGCTAGAATACGAATTTAAAGGGCATAGCGCTAATATTGCGAAAATTTATCTAAATGATGGCTTATGCTATTCAGGAGATACAAGCGGGGTAATCAAGCGAATAAGCATAAAAAGCTTGAAGCCTGATAACCTTGTGATCTCGAACCTTGGGAATATTACTGATCTAGTAGTAAGCTACGACGATTATTGACTTTATATAAGTGGAGATGGCTGTGTAATTAAAGTTTACAACTTAAATTCCAAAACTGAAGTTGCTCAGCTAAACCATCATTCTGCGACTGTAATTTCGTTAGCAATTGATCCGAATTCTGAATATTTAGCGTCTGGAGGTGCTGATAATATACTTTTTTTTCTCATAAATATGCATTTATTTTTTATTTTTTAAAAAAAATAAAAATTCATAAAAAAAAATATATAACGTTTTGTTATGAAAAATCCCTGAAAATGCCCTAGTGAAAAAACTTGGCCAGCATGCCGCTCCAGTCAGATCGCTAAGTTTTAGCCCAGATGGCGCATTTCTCGCTACAAGTTCTGATGATTTTTCTGTCAAAATATGAGACCTAGACCAAGAAAGACGAGAGCAAACCCTTTCAGGCCACAAAGGAGTAGTAAGATCAGTAATTTTTTCAGCTGACCGAAGCAATATTTTTTCTTGTGGAGACGACACTATGTTTAAAGTCTGGAAATTCCCTGTATTCCAAGAAGATTATTTATATAAAGCAAGCTCCAGCACTGACTATAACTCCGTCACCTTTGTCCCTGACACAAAATCCCTCTTGTCCTGTGGGACTGATAAAATTGTCAGAAGATGGGACAAATGTGGAAACCCTACAAATGAATTTATCACACAGGGCGCTGGATTAAAAATCTGTGTTTCCCAAGACGAAAAATATGGCGCTGTCGGGGATGAGCTAGGGATTCTTTATCTTTTTAACCCATTTACGTTCGAAATTTATCATAAAATCCAAGCTCATAGAGGCTTGATGAGAGATTTGTGTTTTTCCCCAAAAAGTGACTATTTGGTGACTGGAGGCGGGGACTCTGTAGTCTGCATATGGAAATTGGAAGGGACTGAAAGTATCCAGCTAAGAGGGCACAACCAAAGTATCTGATGCATTTGTATTAGCCATAACGGAAAAAGAATATTCTAGGACTATTAAAATAATATTTATTTAATTAAATAAAAAAGAGTGCAGAATTAATAGAGGAAAATATATATTCAGGAAGCAGCGATAAAACAGTTATAGAGTGGGATACAGAAAATGCTGTGGAGAATGGAGTAATTCATGCACAAGAGCCTGTTAACTCTATAGCAATTTCTCAAGATGATAATCTTATTATTACAGGAGGTATGGTAGGGATTGTAAAAGTGTGGAATATTGATGAAAAATGGCTTGAGTCAAAATTTACTGTCCACGCAGGGGTTGTCACCCAGATTTTGATTTTAAGAAATAACGACACTATGCTGACTGCCGGCACTGATGCTAAAATTTTTGTGATTTCTCTGCTGTATCGTGAAACTGTGTCATATTTTACTCACAAATCTCCTATTTATTCATTAGTGATTTCGTCAGATGAAAATTACCTTGCGACAGGTGAAAAGCAGCATATAAATTTTCAAGAAAATCCTTTATCGTCCCAAGTCCTTTCTATTGCAGGGCCTATAGAAAAAATTCAAGAATACTTTTCATATATGCGAGACATCTTGACTGACAAGCACCCTACATATGAAAATCTGCACGACAGTTTTCTTATTTTGCCTTATTACATGAACACTCTTCACATTTATTCTCTGCTTAACCTTAAAGAATATATTGGAAGAGCTCTCAGCAATTCTGCAGCCATCATCAAGACCAACCAAGGCTTTTACCCTCTTTCTATAGCTTTACACAAAGATTTCAAAGGGCTGAGAGACGAGTTTGTCAAATGTTTTTGTGCAGTCGGCAAGCACAACCCTTTTATTTTACAAATAGTCGAAAATGAGCTCAATAAAATGAACAAGCAAGGCTTCGGAGCTTTAAACGACCTTTATGAAGTGCTGTACCAAGAAACCCAAAGGAAAAGTCTGCCTAAGTTCTGTGAAACCTATGTGGTTTTCCCTATAACTTATATTTCAGACACCCCCAGAATCAAAGTTTCTAACTTTTTTGATGTGAACGACATAAGCAACCAAGGGACTTCTATGATTTTCAAAGAATGCTATATAAGGCTGAATTTTACTATGGGGTCAAGACAAAGCTTGGATTTCTTACAAAGCTTGTCCCGCTGCAAAAATAATGAGGTCTTTAAGACTCCGCTGGTCCTTGATGTAGTCCATTATAAATGGCAAACTGCCCAATACCCACTTATGTACCAAGGCTTTATGTATTATTCATATTTAATTACACTGTCAGTTTATACAGCTTATTTTATGGGAAATCGATATTTTCAATTGACACTATTTATTATGAATACATTGCTGAATGTGTTTGAGCTGTTTTTGATGGCGGTTTCAGGGAAATATTATTTTACATATGTATGGAATTATGTGGATTGGTTTAGAGGGTGCATGCTTTTGCTTTATGAGTATATGGAATGATATTATGTATATCCAGAGCTTATGCCGTCTGTCTTTGCAATAGTCACTTTTTTAAGCTGAGCCAGAGGGATTGCGTATTTTAGACTATTTAAAACGACGCGATATTTTATTAATCTTTTGATAAGCGTACTGAACGGAATGTCAGGGTACATCATTTTGCTATTTTATTCAATGGCTTCTTTTTGCTTTATTTTCATAGTGCTGCAAAGGAAAATGGAGATTCCTGATTTAATGGGAAATGTAAGAACCTCTTATAACTTGGTTTTCGGGAATTTTGATTTTGGGAACGAATTAATTGAGCTTACTGTATGTACCTTAGGAATTATCATTAACCCTATCATTATGATGACCATCTTAATTTCTATTATCACTGATGTCTATGAACAAGTGCAGTCTGATTGCTTATCTTCAGACGTCAAAGAATTAATTTTTTTAAATATAGAAGTAGAGAACCTTATGTTTTGAAGACGCAGAAAAACACATAAACAATATATCCAGGTCGCCAAAGAATATGAAAAAGAAGAAGACTTGTCTTGGGAAGGCAAACTTACCCTGCTTAAAAAATCCCTTGAAAAATCCCACCATAGTACCATGCAGTTTTTTGGAGCTTTTAATAAGAGGATAAAAGACAGAGAAGAACTAATGAGTCAAAACGCGAAAAAAACGCAAAAAATATTAGAACTGATCAAAAAAGAGAAAGAAAATAAGGATAATTAATTATAGTAAAAATTAAGCTGAAGAATAGGTATTTAGTTTTTTTACAAGACTGGTGATGTTTGATTCAATAATGCCAAGCTCTAATGACATTTCTCGCATTTTACTTGTATTTCCTGCCCTTTCTGCAGTGTAAAATTTAGTTTGGGCTTTTTCTTTGTCTTCTCTTAACAGTCTTAATTTATTTTCTATATTTTTTATAATTGTGTCGATATTTTTGTTCTGCAAAGATTCTGACTGCTGCCTTATTTGTTTGATTTTCTGAGGGTCGCCTCAGTTGCTGTTTTGATGCTGGTCATATATAGGCTTTGGCTCTGGCGTTTTTTTCTCATTTTCTTCCCACCTTAGCACGTTTATAATATTTTCGCTTTGGTTTTCTTGGGTTCTGACTGGGACATAGCCTCGATTTTTTGGAGAAATTTCTCCAATTTTTTTTTCGTTATAAAAATTATTATTCGCCCCACTGTAGCTTTTTTCATGATGTATTATAGGCTCTGGGCTATAGCTGCTTACTGATTTTCTTGAAAATGCGTTAATTTCTTCTAATTTATTTAAAATTTGACTGTTTTTTTCTTTTAAATTGTCAATTTCTGTGTTAAATCTGTACTGGCAGTCTAGGAATTGGGTTTCAAGGATTTTTAAATCAAGTTTTATTTGCTGCAGCATCAAAGCTGTTGAGGATTCTCTTTGGATTGCAGAATTTAGCTCTGTTTCGAGTATTTCTTTTTCCCTTTCAATCGCAGCTAAATTCTTTTGATTTATTTGTAAATCCCTTTGAAGCTCAGATTGTCTATTTTCATATAAATCTCCAATACCTCTATTGTTATAAGATAAGGGCGAGGAATATGCAGTTTGGTGATTATAACTTTGTGGAAGGAAATAAGGAAATTGTGGATTTAGCCCTGAAGCTTGGGATTTGGCAGCTTGAATTGCGTTTTCTAAAATTTCTGCTTGCTGCAATAGGCTTGAATTCTGATAAGGGGCATTAAAAGTGTTTTGGGGATATGCAGGCATTTGAGGAGGAATTATTTGATTTTGTGAGTAATTATAAGGATTTTGAGGTAAAAATTGATAAGGCTGATGATGCAAGTGATAAGGTCAATAACCTTGCCGCATAGTATTTTCTGGAGAAATGCATCTAGAGCCTTGATTTGAAGTCGGCAATGAAACTGAAGAAGGGAAATATTGATGATTTCCTTGAGATTGCTGCATTTTCATTGCATATAAAGCTTCCTCTAATGCTTTTGCTTGGCTTAACAGTATGTTTTTAATTTGATCTGGCTGAAGTGGAGGCTGATTTTGAGGGCTATATTGGCTCTGTGAAGTTGGTTGATTATTTAGGCGGAAAGGATCATTAGAAATAGCTGCAGTTGGAGAATGAGAAGGAAAATCTCTTTCAGACTGATCAAAAGATTCAGAAATGCAGGTTCGGTCGCCACGAAGGCCTCCAAGTCATTTTTCTACATTTGGAGCTTTTTCAATAGAATCTCGCTTTGTATCAATTTCTGATAAGCTATCAATATCGCTCACCTGTATCTTAAAATTTTCAGCTTCCATTTAATATAACTTATATAAAAATGATTTTTGAAAATCTCACTCATCCTACATTCGAGAACGTAGAAATTATTGGTATTGGCCCTGTTTCCTCAAAAGTCCTATACGCCCATCCAATGAATTTATTAAAAATCGCGTATAATAACGTGAAGCATGACTATAAAAAAAGAAAAATTTCACTTGAAAATCCATATTCGATTTTTCTAACTTTTTGAAAAAAAATTAAAAAAAATAAAAAAAAATAAAATATTAATTTTTCATAAAAATTGAATTGGAATCTTTGAGAAGATAAGAGAATTTTGTGGAGGAGGAGATCAGGAACAAATAAAATCAGCTCCAAGCAGATGGGCTCAAATAACTGAAGAAGAAAAAGTCCATTTTCGCTTAAAAGCTCAAGAAATCAACCAACAGAGAATGAAAAACGAAGAAAAGAAAATTGAGTCACAAAACCCTAACTCCCCCCCAATCCTTGATCGAACGACTCGCCATCGTTCGATCAAGGATGGGGGTTAAAAAAACATTTTTCGGGAAAAAAAATTTATATATAAAATAAAAAAATATATAGATATTTTTTTTTATTTACTTTTAATTAAGAGGGTTAAGAATATTTAATAATTATTTTTACAGCAAAAAAATTTAATTTATTTCATAAAATACCAATTTTTAATATTTTGATTTATTAGTTACCCCTTTAAATTGTATAAATTTTAATTTGTTCCTTATTAAATTAAATTTTTTTAAAAAAAAATTTTAAAGAATCTCTATTTTATTAGATTATTGAGTTTTAAGCATATGTTAATGACTAAATCACTTCGGATGGTTGATTTCCGCAGCTTTCTGTCGTCTCAAAGCCTCTGAAAACAACTTCATTATGTACATCTTCCTAAGCTTTTGATAAATAATATATTTTTATATATATAAAAATTTGCATGATATGAAAATCGTTCGATCAAGGATGGGGGTTAATTTTCCCCAATTTTTAGGAATTTTTACAGTCAATCGTTCGATCAAGGATGGGGGGGAGTAAAGACATTTTATCAGCTAGCAAGTATAAAGCAAGAAGAGTCCGAGCTGCTTTTGGGTTTTTTGTGTCTTTTGAAATGACAAAAAATAAGACAGAGAAGTTAAAGCTCCATAAATTTACATCAAAATGGAAAGACTTTCCTCAAGACAGAAAAGAGCCATATTATGTTCTGCACAGAATAGATAAGAAACGGAAAGAATTTGAAGCAGAAGTTGTGCATCGATTTGAGCTGATTTTAAGAATGATTCAAGCGCAGAACCCTAAGGTGTTTTTAACACTCAATTCCAAAGCTAATGAAAGATACTTATCGGTTAGGTTTTCACTCGAGAACTTCTGGACAGCAATAGCGGTTTAACTCTGGGGATAACCAGAGGAACTGCTCCTCAGTCCTCTCAAGATTTCGGGCTTTTACCTCTTAGCACATCCCCACGGGAGGATGACCCTTAGGCGGAACACGCGCAGGAGCTGAGTCGAGCGACAAGGGCGACGGCATCGCGCCGGGTGAGACGTGCAGCAAGGCTGGTGAAGCAGGAGTTGATAGAAGGCTTGGCCAGGGCTGACCTGTTCCAAGATGGCTCGCCTACGTCACTAGTTTTGCCATAGGCCCTTTTTGGGCTGCGGCACTAGACACCTTAAACACCAGATAATTAAGTTAAGTAAGTTAAGAAAAAGATACTTATCTTTTTATTTAGACGATAACTAATTTAATCCATATTTATTTTTTTTAAAAAAAAAATTAATTTATTTTAATTTTGTTGCCGAGTTAAGCAATTATCAACCCAGTGTCGGTGAAAATGGCCCACTTATCCTAGGAGACATAGGCCATGCGAAATTTAAAACAAGAAGAGAAGAAAAAAAGGAAAGGCTATGCGAGATGTTTAAACTCGTCTTAACCAAATGCTGCATAGATTTCGGAGATCTTTTATATCTTGAAAATCCGCAGCAAACTGAAATGTCTCGATTTGATGAAGACTATTATAATCAGATGTCCTCTCACGCTTAATATATTATATCTAATATAATATTTTTGTTTTTTCTCTATTATAATTTCCATCCAGCTTAATATATCATCATAAGGTATATATAATTCACTAAAATTAATAAGGAAAAATCGTCAAATAATCAGGCTATTTTACAAGTTTATTTGAGAATTTTGCTCTTTTAAAGGCAATAGTTGATATTGGAAGGGATGCTCTTTTCTCACTTGTGGTTGAAGGCTTAAACATTATCCCGAATGAGTTGCATTCTTCAACTTTTTTGCCTCTTAATGCGACACTAAAAGGAGCTGGAATAACAATCTCAGTTTTAGCCGGATTTTCTCTTCTATATGTAGAGCTTTGAATATACGCAGATTTAGGCCTTACTCGAGGAGATGCAAAGGATTGTTTAGATCTGATGGGAAGCTCAGTTGTAGCATTTGGGGATCGTAGGGAATGGATTCTGAGGGAAGCCCCTAGGTCGTGAGGATCGTCTATTTCGGTCTCTACTTTTGGAGTTTTTATGGAAAGCTTGTTTTTCCATGCTTTGAATAAAAATACTTTATTTTGCTTCCCTCTTTCGGTGCTAGATGGCTGCTCAACTTCATTTATTTTTGATAAAGAATAGTTACTTTTTTTCTCGATTATATTTGAGCTTCTTTCTGTGAGTTTTTCAATTGTTTTAAGAGTATCGCTGAGTCTTGAAGATACATCGTCTTGGCTTGAAGTGTTGATTTCTCTGTCATTTTTATTGCTTGAGCGAGGTAATTTGATACCAAAAGATTTTTTTTCTTTTTGACTTATTTCTTCTTTTTCTTCGTTTTTGTTAATTACCTCCTGAGATTTTTCTTCCTTACTCCCCCTCCCTGATGAGCGAAAAAACTATAGGAAAAATCCCTATTTTTTGGGAAAAAAATTTTTGAATAAAGAATTTTTTATAAAGAAAAATTTTTTAAATATATAATTAATAATTATTATAATGAAATTTCTAGCTAATTCTGTTTAATTTTGAACAATTTGCATTTTAAACAAAAATTTTACAACTTAAATAAATGCTTGCTTTCTAATTAGATTTTTTTAAATTTCTAAAAAAAATTTTACTATAAAAATTTATATTTAAAATTTTTTAAAAATACCAATTAGCCTCCCTCTATGAGCTTTGTTCACTCACGGAGGGGCAGTTAGTATTTTCAGTTAAAATACTTAAAACTTCATGCAAAAACGCTTTATTTTTAGTCTGCTCTTCCTCTTTTTCTTTTTCTTCATCTTTTTTTGCAACTGATGCCGGCTTGTATTTAGGAATTCTCCCAGCTGTCTGCGGTCTTGATCTTATAGCAGATTCTTCTAATTCTAAGCATTTAAACGAAATAGTAGACGGATCATCAGCATTTAAGCTTAAAATTCCTTTGCTCGTGGTATTTCGTTTAAGGTTGTGAAGTATTTGAATATCAATCAATTTTGGGCTTGAATTTCTAAACATCATTTCATCACTCGACGATTTTACCTTTTTCAGTATTTCACACAATGAAAAAGCATTTATTGAATAATGTGGCTTCGGGTTAAAACTTTTCGGCTTGATATTAGTGATTGCGCTCTGGGGGCGTAATTTTGAAGTAAAAACACTTTTATATGAAAGTTTTGATGGGTGGGAGGTCCTGGGCCGCCCAGAAAATAAAAATTTTCAGTCTTCTTTGTTTTCGATTAACAGATCATCTATGTCAGCCTCTTCTTTAATTTCATACACTTTTTCATTAGATGGAGCTGTTAAAGGCCGAAAATTTGTGTCGGCAGTCCCATGCTTTGAGATTTGTGCAAGTCTGTTCTTCAGCTCTCCGCCAGAGGCTGACATTGGCCTTTTTGGCTTGTTGACCTCTATTTTTGGGGATTTCAATGATTCATCCGTTTCCTCCATTATGAAAATAATAATTTTTTGAACTTCACTCTACGGTATATTAAAAAAAATAACAATTTTTTCCAATTTTTTATTAAAAGATTTTATTTCTGAAGTCTTCTAACCTTTTCAGTATTTCATTTGGACTGTGCTCAAGCTGTTCAGCAAGTCTCCGCTGTGTTTGATAGTCCAATTTTGAATACTGCTCACACAAATCCCCATCAATCACATTTTTAATCGGTGCATAAAACGACCTAAATGACATATGGTCTCTCCCCACCAGTGACCTTGCTTCTTGCCTCATATACATTTCTAAATGGACGAAAAATTCTACGTCATCTTTCTGTGTAATCGGAAGAAAAGTCCCTATTGCCCCCATTGTTGTCCCATATACCAAAGCTTCAGCCCCTCCTTCACTTAATGCAGATTTTTGTATAGAAGTAGCCAAATCTCCTATATAGAAGTGAGCAATATGTTCAAGCTTATAATAAGCAGAATTTAAAAATCCAGCCTCCCACTTAAACTTGACAGTATTTATATCTCTTTCGTCTTCTTCACAAGCGTCAGGAAGCCTTAGGACCATCATATTTTCAAATTTATCAACTGCTGCTACTGTATCATGATCCAGAACAATAAAATTCGTAAGGAATCTTGATATAACGTCGTCTGCAAAGCAATAAATTTGATTATCTTCTTTGCTTCACGTTAAAACTGATACACTTTCAGAGATATCCGTCACAAAAATACGTTCCCCATCAACTTTTATATTGCTGATTAAATTCGGAAAAGTTGTTTTATTTTCGCATTTTTTTAAAATTTTTTTTTTGCCTAGTTCATAAATCCTCAAAAATTTTCCGACCCCGATTAGGATTTTTCCATAAAATGGAGAAATTGCGAGTGGGATATCCTCGGCTTGGGTTTTGTGGAATAATTCAAGCTTGTTGTTGATGATTCGAAAGACACTGATATAGGCTGCAGTAAAATTCCTTGGGTGTAGATTCATATCTTTGACGGTTCCTAGGACTAAAAACATTTCGCTTTCGTAGCCTGTAAAATTGGCGACACAGAGGCTGACAGCTGTTTCATTGTCGGTAAGCTCAAATATTTCGGTAGTTTCTAGAGATCGGGGGTCAAGGATTCTAATGCATGCAGCCCATCGTCCGATGCCGGCACTTGGGGTGCTGATTTGTGCATCTGTAAGTTCTCGAAACTCAGAAAATTGTTTGACAGCTTCTTTGAGCTCTTCTCGTTCGGTGACTGGGAATGCATTATGGTCAGATTCAATGATAATTAGATTTTTATTAATGGGGTAAATTTCCATTTTTCTTGGCGTATAGCGGAGCGGGACTATAGATTGATTGAATAATTCTCCTAGTTTTTCTATAGTAAAAATTCTTAACTCCGCCTCCCTTTTAAATTGGAACAAAAAGAAGTTTATTTTTGTTTTAAAAAAAAAAAAAAAATATAAATTGAGCAGATTTTAATTTATTTAAGAAAAATTAATTTAAAATTAATTGATTCAGTATGAAAAATGTTAATTAATATTCTACTTGCACTTTTTCCATTTAATTAGGTAAAGGAATTTTATAAAAAAATAAGTATTTTCGCCTATAAAATTTTCTAATTTTACCTGTTTTGTTCTATTTTTAAAGTGGGAGTAAGGTATTACCAGAAATCCCTAAAAACCCTTCAGGGCACATTTCTGAGCTAAATGAAGCTGCATATTCTAAGGTTTCATACGATAAAGGAGTAATATAAAATCTTGACATATAATTATACGCAATCCATGGCCTCGATGATAACGAAACAAGTGCTTGGCCGCCAGCTACAAAGCCCTTAAAAAGTCTAGCAGGCTTATTCCCTAAAAACCTTGCCCTAGTATCTGAAAGTTGTCCAGTTATCGAGTCAATGACCGTTCTCAGCATTACCCCATTTGACAATCCTACATGCAAGTATAAATCTTTTGTTTCTTCTGAGTGGCCCATTTCTAATAAACACACAGATTCAGGCTGACTTCCAGGCAAAGCTTGAGTGCTCAGCCTACTTAGACACCCTTCAGGATCTAATGATAAAATTTTAATTGTATTGTCAAAACACCCCAATGCTAAAAATCGTGCCCTAGTTCTGCCTTCTGGTATATTGGAAATACTGATACAAATGACTTCTTGTTCCATTTCTCTTTTTCCAGCTTCTTTAAGCTTCCCTGATGAATCAAGCTCAAAATAAACCAAAATTCCGCCTTGTAAAGTAAACGCTACTTGTTTTTCATTAGAAGTAGCTCTGCTGATTTTTCCTGGCGCTTCCCAAGGGTCGACTTGATATTTTGAAGCAATAACTCTCATCCCGTACTGAAGAATTTGTAGATAACAATTATTCGCTAATATTCTGTACCTTTTTAAATAAATATACCTAATAACAATAAAAGGATTCCTGCTATTAGCCATTTTTCTATTTACTATCTGATATAACGGCAATGTTTATATTTACTGTAATTAGTATATATTTTTAATTAAAAATTAATATGAAATTAATATAATTCTAATAGAATAATCCTGCATGAATAGTCCCACCTGAGACGTCAAATCCTGAATCTGTAACTTCAGTGACCTTTTCTCCAATTCCTAATACAAGTGTGGCATTTAAAAATGAAATGACGATATATTTGTCATAAGAAACTTCCCCTTCTTTGTGGCCACTTTTTAAGCTTCATACCCCGTTTGGCTTCCCTGGCAAGTTTGAATAAGCCATTTCAGTGACTCCAAGCCCATGTCTCAGGACTCTTAAAGCTGACCTTGGGCCTCTTCCACACAAAGCATAAATTTGAGGGTTTCCTTCTTCAGCTAAGTCTTGGATTTTCATATCAGTGATTGCACACAAACTTTCTGTGTCATATAAAAACGCAATATTCGTTAATTTCCGGGGCATAAATAGGACAGTTTCCATTGAATCTGAGCTGCTTATAGCGAATTCGTCATTTTCTCCTATATTTTGGAACTGATATAAAGCATGGTTTCCATATTCAGCAGCTGCAAATAAAAATCCAGTCTTCAAAATACATATAGAAACACAAGGAAAAATTGTATCAAAATATTGCACAGATAAAGACTCGACCTGGTCTTTATTGTATTTTAAGGACACTTTATAAAGGTCTCCTAACTCTGTATGGATTAAAAAGAAAAATAAGTCTTTTTGCTTGTGGGTGGAATAGCAGTTTATCATTAAGCCTCTTTCTAATGACATATCAGCTCTTCTAGGATATGTACAAGATAGCTCTGTGCTTGGGAAATTAAAATACCGGATAATGTTTTCACAGCATAATAAGACCCCGCCAGGACCATCTGAGCCACCTGGTACTGGGATCAAAATATTTGCAGAATTGTCAGTTGGCATAGCGATTTTCCTGATGACATGATTTAGGCCTAAATCCATCTCATAAAAAGTAAGGAGCTTTTGGCCTTGGCCTGTAACTACAGCACTATCAGGGAGCTCTGGGTCGCCATAGTCAACTTCTAAACAGGCAAACTGAGGGTTCTCAAAGCCGACATCAATTCCACAGATATCAAAAACTATCGTTCTTCCTTTGTGAGCTTCTAGAGGTGAGGAAATTGTTAGCTTACTGGTGCTGTCTCTGTTAAGAATGTACACGAATTTTTGCTTTTCAATTGCAGAGATCATAACAGCCCTGCCTTTAGGGTCAGAAGCGACATATTGGCCTGGAACGATTCTGCGGCATCCTGATTTCCCAAAGGTCTCTAAGTGGACTTGTTCAAGATTATTGGTGACTGGGTCTAGCTGGAGAAATACAATTCGTCCTGAATCTGAGCCTATTACTATCATATCTCGATTCGCGCCAGTCATTCTAAAAGTGCAGAGAGAGCGGATTATTCCAAACACTTCTTGACTGTAGACTACTTCAAGAGCACCTGTGTTTTCATTGCTGCGGTAAATTTCAAGGGTTTTTCCTTTGGAAACTGCGATTTCTTGAGCTTTGGATGCTGAAAAATTCCCGAATATTGCTTTGTGTATCCCAGTGCCAGGCTGGAGTGTTAAAGAATAAAGGTACATATTTATTTAAGATAAAGGAATATTTGAGGATAGAGGTTTATAGAGACTGAGATTAAGATAAATAGCTTTTTTAATACATAAAATAGGCTAATTATTGAGAATATACATTAAAATGGCGGTAAGCTAAATGCCCTCTTAGAACCTGTAGCAGGTAGGTTCATTGGGAAACCAAGGGACTTGGAAGGAGGGCAGAGTTCAGAAATGTATCTGGTCGGGCTTTATGTGTTTGATGGCAGGGAAGTTGGCTGAGCCGACCGCATGCTCACATCTAAGTCACGGTTTTTCCATATGGGAGATGGTTCACAGTGCTGAAAAGGGACGCCTAAAAGCTAGAGTTGCAACCTGACTAATCGGGCAAAGTCCTTAAGGGTACCCGGCAGAGTTTTCTGCGTGATGGGCCTGAAGGAAGGTCGCCGCGGTGGAATTCTGCCTCACGGGGGAAGGCCTGATGCCCTGAGAAGAGAAAAAATATGGCCTGTGCTGATTTTTAAAAACCGTTGGCCTCAGGAGTTGCCGGCGTGAGTTGTGGAGCTGATGTTGGCGAGGTTTTGGAGCTGCTGTTGGCGTTTTTGTTGTGCCTTGGGCACAATAAAGCATTGAACGTTATGACGAAGCAATTAAACTTGAACCAGACTATGCAGATGCATGTAACAATAGTAGGGTAGGGATAAGCATAATTTTCTTCTTTAAGGGTATCAGAAAACGTTTTTTTGAATTTTCTGGAAGGCAAACCTTTGGCGTGCAGCATGGTGACCAAGAGTCTCTGACTCTCAGCAGCAAGTCTAATCTCTCATCTGTGAGGAGTACATAGCGGAAGGCCAAGTCCTGACTGGCAAGCAAGAGTTGGAGCATTATGTGGAGTCGAGTAGCGGCCTGGAGAGGACTTCTCAATAAGTAATTTAAAGCTAATCATTAAAAAATAATTTTTTTGTGTTTTCTTGATAATTTTGTTTTCAACATATTAATAAATTCTCTTTAAAATTATTTATTTAATTAAGCATGCCCAAAGAAATTATATCACTTGAAATAGGAAAATGTGGGCATGAAATTGGGACTGCTTTTACCAACAATATAATCCAAGAATGAGCTGTTTATAACCCTTTAGAAATCCCTACAGAATCTGAAAGAAAATCCAATGAGTCTGCAAATCCTTTTCTATCAGATTTTAAAAAAATTTTATTTTCTTCCAGCAGCAGTGAAATCCACCAAAGGTCTTTATATAGTTCAATTATATCAGATATTCCAGAAGCCAGCCACAATTGAGCTAAAGGATACTTGCAATCAGGGCAAAGCCATGGAGAAGAGTTTCTTGACAAAATCACAACAATTGCTGAACAATGTGAATCCCTTGACAATTTTTTATTAATTCACAGCATAGGCGGAGGCCTTGGTAGCGGTCTTGGGTCTTTTCTGCTGAATTTATTATCTGACCATTTCCCTGAGATTTTCCGCATTAATTTTTCAGTTCTCCCTGAAAATTCTTATGAAGTCGGGCCTTATAACGCAGTTTTAGCTATGAAAGAAATGACGGAATATGCTGATTGTGTTTATCAAATTGATAACCAAGCTTTATTAGACATAATTAAAAAAAATACAGAAGGAAACCCAGAAATTAATGCAAGCACCAATTATATTACGATGAATAATATAATTGCAAGCTACTTATCAGATTTAACGTGCTCTATTAGATATCAAGGACTGCTGGGGATGAGTCTTAAAGAAATTTCGTCTAATTTAGTCCCATTTCCGAATTTGCAATATGTTTCTGCTGCTAAAGCACCGATAAGCTCTATAATAAACAATATTCATGATGATAAATCACTAGTACAGATTTTCAATGAAATTACTGATGAAAATAGTTTATATTGTTTTGGGGTAAATAGAGATAAAAAGGTCCCCTAAATTATTATTTTTTTAATTATAATTATGGACATTATCAGCTGAAATTGTATAATAAAACTCTCCTCAAAAAATTCTGTCTATTTGGCTAATGCATTAATCTTCAGAGGAAATGCTACAATTTACGATATCCAAGCAAACACAAACCGGCTAAAAAACTCCCACAAAATGGTCGGCTGAAATCCAGAAAACTTCAAATTGGCCTTATACAATGAATCCCCTCTCCACATCCCTATATCCGCATTGAAGCTTTCCAATGGAAATTCTATAAACTCTTATTTCTCCAGCCTTAAGCAGCGATTTTTAAAACTCCACAAAAAGAAATCCTTTATCAGCAGCTATACCCAGTATATGGACAGTTCTTTATTCAGCTCATCCTTATCAAGCTTAGAAGAACTAATGGAAAGATATACCGCCAACACTCAGCAGCTTGAGGAGCCTACCTTTTCTCGTTTAAAAATGATAGTTTAAAATTATTTAAAACTCCGATTTTCAGCTTCTCTTACCTTTTCTTGCCACCTTTTGATTTCTTCTCTTAAAATGGTATCCATTCTGGCCCTTTCTTCTATAAGCTCGTCGCTTCATCTTCTCCTAATGTTTTGCAGTTCTATGTCTTTTTCTTCAATTATTTCGCGGATTTTTTGGTTGTTTAGTTCTTTTTCTTTTTCTATGATTTCGTCATATTGGTAAGGAATTTTATAGTAAATATTGAAAAAATAGTGGTGGATAGGAATAATGATTATTTAGGGAGAAAAGGATAGGTAAGCTGCTCTTTAAGCTTTTTTAATTTAGCGTGGTGCTTTTCTTTTAGGTCGTCTCTTAGCTGTCTGAGCTGCCGCTTGTGAGTTTCTTCGCGCTCTTCAATGTTTTTTTTATTATCTGTGATTAGCTTTGTGATTTCAGGTTCTAAACCTTTTGCAGTCATTTCTTTGATTTCTCGTGTTTTTTCTTTTTCTCATTTTTCTCTTCTGAGTTTTTCTTGTGTGATTCAATTGTCTTTGACTTTTTTCATTTCTTTTTTGTACTTTTCTTCATTTTCTGAAAGAATTTTCATATAACTTGCTTCATTTTCTTTAATTTTTTTCTTTAGCTCATTGATCAACTGGTCTCTTTGAGCTTTTTCTTGCAACAAATTTTCAATGAAATTTACGTTTTTTTCAATAATTGCTTCATATTCTTCTCTTTGCCTTTCTAATTTCCGGCTCATTTCTGTCTGCCATTCCTTTTCTGCTTCTTCTTTTTGCAGCTTTAATTTTTCTATTGCCGCTTTTAAAGAGTCAATATTTTTATTAGACTCTTCTAATTCGATTTTTAAAGTCATTATTTTTGCTTTTGTTTCGCTATAAGCTGACAAAGTATCCGGATCTGGGTTGGAAAATTCTTCTAAATAAGAAAACTTGCTATCTTGGTCTTGGGTTTCTAAAAAGCTCATAAGGTCTGATATTTTTGAGCTTGCTTTCGAAGGTGATCTATATTTAGACATATTTAAAATAATTTCCATAAAAATAAGCTAAATTAAATTGCCGTTAGCGAAAATATTTTTTGGGTCAATTTCTTTTTTCAGTCCTTTTATCATTGGCTTACACTTAGTTAGATTATAGAAAGCTCCCTCTCGGGGAAAATCCTTATTCCCTTTCATAACGTTCCACTTGTCTGCTTCGCAGACAATCTTCTCACTACCTTCAAAGTCTTGCTCATAGCAGACATGAGCCTGCACAACTCCCTGGTAGTTATAAAAATTTGCGTCGCTATATCGTGCACCAACAGCATTGCCCACCATTAAAATTCAAAAAGGTTGAATTTTTGTGGGCGACTCTCGGCTAAGATGGAAATCCGTAGCCCAGAGCGTAACTCCTGGTTTCACGCTGGGGAATAGTCCCGATTGGTCAAGACGAACGCCATTGACACCCACCTCCCTCAGAGGTAAAAAAACTTGGCATTGGAGTAAAGCCTGCAGTCAGTCAACTCTTACATTGCACTAGGAAAAACCTAGCCGGATACACATTTCGAACGCTAGCCTCCCTTCCTCAAGAGAACTTTTCGGATGCCATATACAGGAGCTAAGAGGGTGGGCTGATTCACCACCATTTTAATGTATCCCTTTTACATTGACAACCCTGGCTCTCCCACTGCTTGATTCATGAATTTTTTCCTCAATTTCCCCACTCCATGATGATGGCTTAGAGATCCTCCGCATCTCAAAATTTCTTCTCTGGCCTCGTCTTCAATTTCACAATACGCTTGCACTGGATTAGGAACTCCTGTGTGGAAAAATCCGAAATATACATAAATGCAGCAGCCTGTATCATAAACTTGTGTAATTCTTGACGAAATAAATGGTCTCTTTTTGACTCCTCGTGCCGCACATGAGGCTTCTATGCATTTCTACATAAATTTTACAGGCAAGTTTTTAAGCAGGGAATCTAGCTTGTCCCAAGAAATGGCAGTCTCAAAGGATTCTGCGACTAAATCATATTCCATGCCGAAATCTCTTAAATAAGCTATCATATATGTCAAAAAGTACCCACGGATTCCGTTTTCAGGGCCGCCACGTAGCCCTTTGCAGCTTCTTGCAAGCCTACTTATTTGTTTTTGTTGTAAATTCACGACGTCTCTGTTCCCTTCAAAGACAAGTGTGCAGGCACATAGCTGTTTTGGGTCGAATTTTTTAATTGTGAGTAAATAATATTTTTTTACTTTGTCCATAAAATGCTTAAATTGAGAATTTTCAGCAGGTTTTAAGGCCAGGGCGAATTGGAATTGTAAGTTGTCAACTAAGCGGACGCTGGCTGGGCGGATGTTGCTGGTCCCGACAGCTTTCATGAACTTTGTGCCTAATTCGAAGTTAGGGAAGACGTAGGAGTCGTAGACTTTGCATAGTGGGAGATGCTTGATTTTGATGGTAGCACGAGTGATTATCTATATAGAAAATACCCCAAATAAGCCTTCGCTACCTATAATATAAGGGATAAGTGGAATTATATTAATTATAAAGAGAGAATTATTTCTAGGTATTTTATGTAAATTTTCTTTGAATTTTAATATATATAAAATGTTATAATAAAAATTGGTTCACGTTTGGCCCTGTAGACATTCTTGGTGCATTGCAAGGCTTTTCCCAAGTCCCTAGAGGAGTGACAATTCTTATTGTGAGGACAATATCATCAATATTTCCGTATACGTTTTTCTTCATTCCTGAGGCATTTGTGCTAATCCAGCCACCTAAAGTAGAGAACTCTGCAGAATCAGGCTCGTGTCCACAACAAACTCCATATCTAGCTAATTCTTTTTCTAACTCCTATTATTAAAATAAACTTTTGCTCATTATTGATTGAATATATTTACAAGAAATAAATTTTTTTTTTTGTCAATTCCTTAACCTAAAAAACATTTATAATAAATTTAGCATAAAAAAAATTAGCAACAAAATCTTTTCCTGCAATTCCAGCTTCTACCACTGCCGTCATACTTGTCATATTAACCTCTCTGACATGGTTCATTTTGCTTAAATCCACCGAACAAATAGTCCTTTTTTCATTAGGGTCCAGCTGCAACGCATGAGTTACATTGGTCCCACCTCCATAAGGAATTAGCACCACATTCAGTTCAGTCGCCAATTTCACAATTCCTTCGACGTGTTCTTCAGTCCCTGGGTACACAACGATATCTACTGTCCTTTCAAATTTCCCAAACTTGACTATAAACATTTCTTGCAATGTGTGGCCATGTGAATGAAAAGCACGGTCTTGGTCATCTTCAGTAACGTGGAGAGAAAAAGGCTTCACACGGTCAAAAAAGGCTTGGTTTCGCACTGGAGGGTCAACTGGGATTGAGTTCTGAAGCGTTGATTTATTGGCTAAATCTAAGCCCATATCACACATAAACTGCACAAAGGAGGGCAGGACTTTACCTGAATAAATGTAGCGATTTCCTTGGAGCTCAACCTGATTTTTGGAGTTTAAGCGGAATTTTGTGTCTGTAAAGCCCTAAATAGAGGTTACCCAACCATCAGGTTTAAACCATGTGTATTTTGGTGTGTGTTGGCCAAGATGGTTACTAATGAGTGAGAGTCTACGGACTGAAGATTCCATTTATAATCAGAGAAACAGAATAATTAATAAAATCAATAATATTTTATACAGCATTAGCCTCACCATAAGCAGTGAAAAAAACTTGCTAAGAGAGGAATAGGCTTTGGAGTCTTTTGGCTTACCAAAATTGTTAACAAAAATGGAGTTTTGGTTTAAGAAAATGGGTTTTTGGTGAGCCAAAACACTCATCAGTAAGTTTTTCTTGATGTTTATAGTGAGGATAATGATGCATATTATATAAGGAAGGCGTCTTATGCTTTTTCCGTGCTTTCTATGAAATTTATTTGAAAAGAGCCTCTACGACGTTTAATGATTTCTCCTTCTACGTTTATTTCTAATGATTTGCGTCTTTGTGATATTTTATGTAAGTCTAAGTTATCAAAAATCATTGATGGATTTTCTAATTCATTTCTGGCTTCCACATTTAATGATTTTTTACTTTCCAAGCCAGTATCAAAAATTTTTACTTTTTTTTGTTCTGGCATATCAGCAGGCAATGAATAGCTTTTTATAGGCTTGCTAGAGGAGAAGCTCTTTAAAGCCGTTTTATTCAAAACTGGCGAAGTTTGGCCGTCTCCAGACAATCTTGAATTTCCTAAAATATTTGGATCAGACTGTTTTGTGTTACTATCATATAATTCTTTAAATACTGGATTGATATTGCCTGATTTGTGCATAAATTTTAATAAGGCTTCTTCAAAATTTGGATTTTTATTAGAAGTTTCTTTTGGAGACCCTATTTTAGAATTAGGGTGAGACTTTATTTTTTTGCTGCTTCTTATATGAAACCTTATATTTACCTTGGATGAGACTTGGCTTACTTTTATTTCTGGCAAAATTGCATTTTTTTCGCTTTTAGTATAATTGTGAGAAAATTTTGGCTGGGACTGGGAGTTGTCGTGTGTTGGCTTTTCTTGGTGGTTTTTGGGAAGAAATAGAGAAGGTGGGTCTAATTTAAGAGAAATTTTATTTGGTGAAGTTGGTGATGTCACTATTCTTCTATGCTTAGGCTTTTCTTTGGCTGTTTTATTTAAAGTCTTGCGAATTATGCAATTTACTTCTTCTTTACCTTGTGTGGATCCCATTTAATATAATGTACCAATGAAAAAATATTTCTAATTAAGCAGCATTTTCTATACAATTTCAATTTTATGAATTTTTTTATATAGCAGGATAAGCACTCATAAGATCCTTAAATTAATCCCATTTATAATTTGTTTTGGCTATAGCGGTTACTATAATTTGTCCAATAGAAACTCAAAATTTTAATATTAAAAATAAAAGAATTTTACGATACTTATAAGAAAATTATTTTTGGAAATAAATACTATTAATGAGCTTATTATGAGAGTTTGGCTTTTTACAGTTCTGTACGCGATTCAATAAGCTCAGGAACAAATTCTAAATGGATAAAATCTCCCCCTCCTGATAAAATGTTAGATAGTTTGTCATGTAGGCACTTGTAGTCTTCACAGTCAATTTGGACATATTTTTTTCTTTTAGGCCTGTATGCGACTATTTTCCCCTCAAATGCTAAACCAAAGGCTGGATATCTTTTTTTGTCAACCCAGTAAAAATCTATTCCAATATATGTAGAATTTATTTTTTAATTAATAGCAATTTTCTTATTTTAAATGGAAAAGGTATTTTTCTAATTAATTCGTCCATTTTTTTTCTTATATAAGAATATTTGGTCATTTGCAAAATCATTCGCTAATGTTTTCAAAATATTTTTTGCATCATTATTTTCCCTATCAATAAACCATAAAAAGCAATAATTTTTATCAGATTTTGAGCACTTCCCAGTGATATATAAGTTTCTACTTAACTCCCTTATTTTTGAGCCATGATTTTTGCTTTTCTCAATAAATCCATTAATCCAGTTTAAAATTTCTTCTCTTTTTTGTTCGCCTTTAAACTTATCTACCTCGCTTTCTTCATCTAGCCCAATAAGTGTCGGAAATTCATTGACGTTATATTTATTGACAAGCTCAGTTTCAGTTGACCTGATTTCTCCGAAATTTACTTTTCCTTTGAATTCTTTGGAAAATGCTTTCAGCTGAGGAGAAGTAACTTTTCTATCAGTAAAAATCAAAATTTTAGCGACATTTGGGTCAACTTCAATAAATTCATGGAAATTTCTGGTGTTTACCAGCCTCACAAAGCTCTGCATTTTATTTATAGCAAAATCGCTCATGGCTTGAAGAGTTTTTTCGCCTTTATACAGTTCAGGATATTCTGCTGTATTATCAGAAAACAGCATAATTGAAGGAAAATACTTAATGCTGTATTCGTCGCATAATTCTTCTTCTTCCTCACAATCGATTGCTGCAATTTTTATATACTTTTTTATGCTAAATCCTAGAATTTATTATGAGCCTTAATATTTAATAGTAATTGCCCTAATCAAGCATAATTCCAGCCAATTTTACTGCCATTGTAATCCACAAGTCCTTAAATTCTGCACAAGCCTGGCTATGGGCTGAAAAAAAATTAATGAGCCAAACTTCATTTCTCCTAAACAGCTTATTGATGTTAGCCAAATCAATAGTTATTACATCAGTATTTTCATAAGGATTTGGCTTATTATCATCGAACAATTTCTGTTTTTTCCCTCCGAAAAACTGATTATACCTGTCTCCAAACCTGATTTGCTGCTCTTTTTTCTGGCTTTCTTGCTCTTGGTGCTTTTTCAAACCAGCTTCTCCATATTTGTCATAAATCGCTCTTTTTTCTGAATCCATAAGAACTTCATAAGCATTCGCAATTTTCATGAACATTTTTTCAGCTTCTTCTTTATTGTCTTCATTTTTGTCTGGGTGGTATTTTAAGCCAAGTTTTTTAAATGCTCGCCTGATTGTTTGTTCATTTGCGTCAATGTTCACATTTAAAAGCTTGTAATATACCTTTGATATATAATAGACAGTATTAAAAAGAGCTAAAAAAATGGGCACTTTATGGGAAAAAGAATAGTTTTCTTCAGCTTGGGCTAACAAATAAGCTGAAAAGAAAAACAAAAGTTTTCACATATAATACACGTGTGAAAATATGGAATTATTAGAAATTAATTGAAAAGGATATGATGAGAATTACTTATGCTGAGGCTTAGCTCCTTTGGTAACTGTTACGAATCCTTCGTTATCGACTTCTTGTTCTGATTTCTTTCTTTTAGGAGGCTCTTCTCTTTTAGTTTCTTCGGCTTTTTTAGGATCATTTTTTTTCGAGTTCGAGAACCTACTCCATTATTTAATTTTTTTATTTTTTAGAAAATATAAAAAAATAAATAAATTTTTTTTAAAAATTATTTTAATAAAAGATTTAGGCCGAGGACCTGATTCTGGCTCTTTTCTTTCTTGGGCTGGTGGTGGCCTTGTGATAGGCTTACTTTCTATTGGTCTTTGAGGAGCCTGAGCAACTTTTTGTGTAGGGCCAATCTCAGGTTTAGCTTGTTCAGGTGCTTTGGTGACAGGTTCAACTTTCTTGCCAGAATTTGTAAACCTCTTTGGTGGTCCAGTAGCTGTTGTTGGCTGTGTCTTTTCTTCTTCTTTTACCTCTTTCCTCCAGCCAATAGTAGTCTGTACAGGCTCTTCATTCCTTCTGAACCCTTCTTTTTGTATATATTTTCTGCTTTCTTGCTCCCTTCTCATTTCTTCAGCTCTTAAGGCATCTGCTTTCTTTTGCCTTTCTTCATCTTCTTTTCTCTTTTTCTCATCCTCTTCTTTTTTCTTTTTATCACTAATAAGCCTGCTTTCTGCTTCTTCAACGGCTATTTTCTTATATGCTTCTTTCATTTTCTTAGTCCATTCATCTACCTGAGCTTCATATCCTAGAAATCCTAAATGCTTTCTCAATTTTTTTTTTAAGAAAAAAAATTAATTTTATTTAAAAAAGAATAGACAGTCATGGCTCTTTTTTCTTCATTTTGTATGAAATCGCGCTTGAGGTCTTTTACTCTTTCAAGTTTCGTTTTTAAGTTAATGTCATGTTCATATCTTTCTCTGAGGATATTTTTTTTAGTTTGGATTTCTTGGTCAGTGTTTTTTTCCCATTGCTCAAGGAGGATTGGGATGATGGTTTCTCTTTTGGCACGCTCGAAGTATTCAAGCTTTTTTTGTTCTTCGTTCATGATGCGTTCTTTTTCGCGTTTTTCTTTTTCCACCAGTTTTAGGCAGAGCTTGTGGATTGCTTCAGGCCCAACGGCAACTAACTCATCATCAGTCATATCATCAAGCCTCCTCCCATCAATATTCATTTCTTTTGGTGTAAACCCTTGTGCTTTGATTCTATAAATCCACAGGTAAATTTCTTCTAAAATAATCGCTTTTTTCTCCTGCTGCAATTTTGACAATTTTATGTCAATTTCTACCTGCTTTTGCTTCTCTTTCAAATCTTTATCAATTTTAGCTTTTTCTTCTTCCTTAGCTTTTTTATCTTGGTCTTCTTTGTTTTTCTGATCTTCTTCTCTTGTTACCCAAATCTTATTCATTTCTTCTTTCTTTTTGATTAATTCTTCTTGGTCTCTTGCTAAGCTTTCTTCTACTTGTTTAAAGCAATTATGGTGCAAATTTTTTCTTTTTTCGGCAATATCGTCTTTTTTGATTGCCAGATAGCTTTCTTGTAAGTATAATAAATCATACTAATTGCCAAGAAAAGGCAAAGTAATAAATATTTAAAGGTTTTTAATATTTTTGAGAATATTTTTTAATTTGAGTCAATTTTTGGGTTGGATTCGCCTTTTCAGATTTATCTTTAAAAAGAATGGCTGACCTTATATAGTCGATTTTTATAGAAAGGGAAGAATTTGTGGCGATGTCAAGGATGTACTCTTCAAGGGTTTCGTAAGGAATAAAGTCAATTATCTTGCAGAAAGTATCAACTTTCATGCTTGAGTAGCATTTGCTTAGCTGTCCTAACTCCCCTTTTAAATTGGAACAAAATATAGTAAAATTCCATTTTTTGGGTATATGCTAACTAGGAATTTTTATAAAATTTATTTTGAATAAAAAGCGCAATTATTATAACAGTTTTCAAACTAAATTGATTACATTCTTAAATTAATTCTTCAAAAAAAATAAATTAAAATCCAATTGAATTTTTTATTTTTTGACATTTTTTATAAGAAAAATTTTAAATATAAATTTTATGTTAAAACAAATTACTCCTTTTAAATTGGAACAGGATTTTTTGTTCCAATTTAAAGGGGAGTAAGACACGCCCGACAAGCAGTCTTTCAATGATCGGAATATAAATAGCGAGCTCAGGGTTGTCTTTAAGTTTTGACAGCACAGGCTTCACTTTATGTGAAAGTGTGAGTGGCAAAAACTGATTTTCTAATAAATAATAAAGCTCTTTTACTTCATCTGATGCGCCTTCTACAATGTTTTTAGTCAATAATAGCTGAATCAGCTGTTCTCTTGATAAAACTCCTGAGGATTTTAGCATGCTAGCAAGCTTCATTGCTAAATCATGGTTTAATTGGGACTCTTCTTGTATGGAGTTAATATCTTCAGCTAGTTTATAGGTTGGAATTGCCAGAGTGGCAAGGACGACTAAGCTGGAAATATTTTTATCTTTTTCTCCTGAGAAGCTTTTATTGTGTCTCCTATGAGTAATTAAACAGAGGTAGTGGGCATAGGCATGGAATAAATAGTGGCCAGCTTTCCAAAAAACTCGGGCTAAGCTACCCCAGTATCTTACTAAAGAAGCTGGTGGGTTTTTTCTATACTGCATAAGGTGGTGGGTGTCTTCAGCTGTTTTGAAAGCTTCTTGCCATAGGTCGAGGTCCATGCAGACGTCGATTTGTTTTTCTCTGATTTTTATCAAGCTGCTGATGGTCTCTTCGTCGTCTAAGCTTATATATGCTTTCTCTTATAAATAAAAATTAATTATTCTGAAATCAATTTTTATTTTCTATATTATATTAGGACTGTCTATTAATAATTATGAATATATTTATTATTATAAAAAATAATAGTTTAGCGTCGTGGCCATATTTTTGTGATTTTTTATAATATTTTGCAAATGGACTCGTAAAGTCTCACACAGTCTCTTGCACTCAAAATGCCTTTTATGTCTGAAGCAAAAATCAAGTGCTTGGATGGCTGTGTCTTTATAAGCCGTCACCATTTTTCCATTTGTTTTTAAGATGTCTAAGCAGAGCTTATAGGTCTCCCATAGGAACTTTAAGGAGTTTGTGATGATTTCAGCTTTTTCTCTTTCGTGCTGGACTGGCATTGTGGAGGCCAGTAATAGTTTATCAGGCTGTTCTTCAGCTTCTAAGTCGCCAATGTCAATGGTTTCTGAGTAATCTTGTAAGGCCTGATCAACCTTGGCCTCAGCTTTCTGGCGGAGACGCTCTAAAACTGTTTGTAAGGACTGTGGGGTGATATTTTGGACAGCATTTCTATACTTTTATAGGTACATTTAGCAGTAAAAATATGGTCATTTTTATAGGAAATTAGGTGGGAGTCGAATTTGGCTAAAAATGTATAAAAAACTAGAAGGGCTTCTTTGAGGAACTTGATGTTTTCTAGCTTTGCACAAAGCTCTACATGGTGGATCTATATAGGTAATACCATGATTTTGTCAAAAGTCAATTGAGAACCACGACGTTTGCTTGTAATTCCTTCATGGAACGCTAATAAAGCGCTTTCATCATTTCCGCTTTCAAGAAGTTCTTCACCGTGTTTCAAGGTGCTTTCTAGCTGATAAGCTTGAGCCATCTTGAAATTATAGTGAATATATGGCACATAGACACTTATTATGGAAGAATTAAGTCTTTGACCTTATTTTTAAAATAAAGGCAATTTTTCCAATAAATTAATATTTTTATTTAAAATTCCCTTTAACCCTCAATTATTAACTTAAATTATTGTTGGAATCCTTGTTTATTAGCTAAAAAAATTCCAACAGTGAAAAACAGCAGGCAGATCACAATATACCAGATATAAGAATCTGAGAAATCGCCAATGAGATCATTTTTAAATGCGCTGAGGCTGCTTCTCTTCAAAATCATTGATTCTCTTTCAAAAGCATCGACTTTTTCTTTTAATTCTTGCTCGCTGGCTCTTAAATTCTCTTCTCTTTCTATAATTTCGTCTTCTAATTTGTTAAGGTTTTCACTTCTTTTTTTATAGCCTTCAATTATGCTGGCATTTATATCTTCTTTTACCTGCAAAACTCTGCTAAGCTCGTTATCTAAGGCTTCGTTCCTACTTTTCAGGACTCTTTTTTCTATTTCTAGCTCTTTAATATCCCTTTCCAGACTCTTAAGCTTAATTAATCTATAAATGTTTAACGTTTGTGTCAGGCTGCTCGGCAACAGCTATCTCCAACACCACTTTTGGGCGAATTTCGCGCCATTTTGCTCCGGCCCCCAAAGGGTGGCCACCTCTGAATTTATCACCATAAGAGGACGTCATTCTTGAAGTTTGGGCTTCGACAACTATTTTTTGAGCTCAGGCACCTATTTGGGTTTATCACGCACCCTAAAAGTCCCAGTTTCCACAGTGTGAGGTAGGTGATATCCTTCTGGAAAATTCGATTCCCTAAGGTCAGAAGTCTGGTAGGAAAAACCACCTGGCTCTTGCTTTCCTGGCATATTTTGGGATAATTTCACCAGAGGAAACCAAATCTCATAATCAAAATATGCAACAGATGAATTTTCAGTCAGGAGACCAGAAAATTCGAGTGACGCCATATTTTAATTATCCCCTTCCAGACTGTCAATTCTTGTGGTATTTTGGCTGATTTCTTGAGATGGCCTTCCGCTCCTATAAATTTCTTCTAATTTCTTTTGGAGCTCCAAATTTTCTTCCAGGATGTCCAAATGCATTCCTTTATGATACGAAATATCTAAATTTTTGCTTCTCAATTCATTAAGTTCTTTAACATTTTCCCTAAAAAGTTCTTCCTGCTTCTTTATTTGGGCGTCATATTGCTTTTTCAATGTTTCCAGCTCTCTTGATTTATTCACTGACTCTTGCACTTGGGCATTTAGTTGGGTTTGGAGCTCTAAATGCCTCTTTTGTATGTTTATATATGCTTCATGCTCTTGCTCATAATTTCGGCTTTCGTCAAGCTTTTTTTGTATATATAAATCGCTATCTTGTAATTTTTTTTCTAAAATATTTTTTTCATAAATAACCTGATCTAGTGTAGATTTAAGTGTTTCGTATTCTTTATCTGCTTGAAGTTTGCTGCTTTCCTGCTGTTCTATAGCTGCCCTTAGCTCTGAAATTTCTCTATTGTTTTGTTCTTCTCCTTCCTGCTCTTCTCCTTCTTCTCCTGTCCTTCCAGACCTAACTTTTACTTTTCCTGCTCTCTTCTTCGGTACAATTTTTGACGATTTTTCTTCGTATTCTTCTTCAATCCAATCAGACTCAACAGCTCTAAAAACTTCTTCAAAATTGTCTTGGCTTTTCCCAGCTTTTTCTAGCTGGCCATTAAGAATTTGTGCAATCTCTATATATTATTATAGGTGTATAAAAATATATTAAAATATTTTTTATATAATTAATCCTTATATATCTCATTAAGTATAGCTTTTTTCGTCCTCACTTGAGTTTGCAAATGGTTTATTATATACGTTGTATATAACTGGATAACTGATTTCCTGTTTTGGCTATCTTTAGTGTTATTTACGTCATCAATAATGATTTCTACTATTTTTTTAGCTGAAGCATACTCATTAGCAGCTTCATAAGAAGAAGGCGCAGGCAGAGAATTTATAATTTGTTCTCTTGATAGCGCAGTTGACCTTGGGGATTTTGTCACTTGTAAATCTTCCATTTGGTTTGCCGCTATATCAGCTCTGCCGCTAAACGAGCTTGGAACTTTCGTTTTCGGTCTTTCTGAGTTTATTTTGACTTCTATATATCTCGTTATATTTTCTTTCCATTTCGAATTTGGGATTCTGTTGCCTCCACTTTTATAGACCATGTTGTCTAAATCTCTAATAAAATATTCATCATTTGCCAAGCTCAGTTTTTCTTCTTCAGTTGTTTTCATTATGTAGCGGGATTCTATTGCTTTTTGGTATAAATCAACGAAATTTCGGCTTAGACCAAGCTCCATTTGAGTTCTTTTTAAAGTAAGCAGAATTTCTTCCTCAGAGGAAGTTGGGGTTGTGGTGAGGCTGCCTATAGGAATTATGGGATCAGCTGTGGAGAAATTGCGCCGCTCAGATCTGAGGAAAGGATTTTGAGTTGGCTCAGCATAAAAGTTTGCCCTTGGAGTTTGGCTTGAGCCGAGGTTAAACATAGTTCTTTCTCTTTCAGCCATTTTTTATTGAGGCTTTTTAACAGAATTATTCTGAATCATCTTATTTTGCTCTTTTTTAAAAAATTAAAAAAATTTCCCTAAATTCTCTTATAAAGAATAATAAATTATATAAAGATATTGATAATCAATTAATTTTCACAATAAACTAAGCAAAACTGCTACATTCCTTCATTTAGAATATCCATAATTCGCTGCAGCTTACTAGACGGAGCACTTTCAAGTAGTGCTGATCCAAGCAAATCGTAAACTTTTTTTACCAGTCTGTTTGTTTCTTCTCTTACATCAGCTTTAGGCTCGTCCATGCAGCGAAACATTAAAGGAACCACATGTTTTTGTATGAGCTGAGGCCGTCTTTCGCTTACTTTTGGAATTGTCTCTATAATAAAATTCAATAATGATGATTTTGATCTATTATTTGCATTAGGTATTGCTGCAATAAAAGGAAGCAATAATGTATGATGGTCTGCGTATTTAAGAAGCGTCGAAACCACTTCTTTAGCAATTTCTCTGATAGAGCTGTTAGCAGAGCCTAGGCTTGGTAGTAAAGAACCAATTACCATTCCTAAATGAGGCTCTAAAGTGTGGTTTAATGGTGGGATTATTTTTATCATGACGCCTAAAGCATGGATATTTACCTTTAAATTTGGGTCGCTTAGCCCTTTTGCTAAAATGCTGATTAGTGGTATCATTTTTTGGGACTTTTTATACCAATTTTATGTGAAATTTAAAAATTAATTTTTACCAATAATAAGAAATTGGTAATGAATAAAATATTATTCATAAGAATTTAATATAAAACTATTAGGATTTTCAGCCACCATTTCTCCAAGTTTTCCGACAGTTTCATGCCTCATTTTCCATTCATTATCATTCATCTCGTCCAGCATTTTCACAATTATATCATTTTCTTCAGGATTTGTATTAGGATCTGTTTCAAGTTCTTGCTTCCTAGGACTTGTCATGCGGAAATTGTCTGTCTGGTTAAGAGGCATTTTTATTTCAGACTTCATGTGCTTTTTTTTTAATGGGATTATTTTTTCTTTTTGCTTGGTGTTTTCTTTGACTTTTCTATATGTATTGTCTGTCAAAGAGTTAGCTAGTAAGCGGTCATGCTCTTGCGCACTTGGGATTATGCTGCTGAGAATGTTTAAAGCTTCTCTTGCTGAAGCTCTTACTTCTGGAGATGCATCAGAAATATAAGTCCCTAATAATTGGATTATTTTTTCTACTTCTCGCAGTCTTATAATAGAAGCTCGCAGCCTTTCAAAAATTTTTCCAAAACAAAACGCTGTTTTTGCTTTTACTAACTCCACTCGTTCATGAGCGAGCAAAAATAATGGAAAAATCCTATTGTTTAGGCAAAAATCCACCCTCCTTGATTGCACAAAAATCATTTAATATATTAATATATGAAAAAAGTAATTAATATATCAGTGATTTTAAAACAATAACTTTTACAAATAATTTTTATTTTCAATTCCTAATTAAAATTTTAAAAAAAATTACTATAAAATTTATATATAATTATTTTAAAAATTAAATCCTTTGTAAGCAAGAAAAATTTTTTGGTTCGCCCATGGAGAGGGGAAGTAAAGAATTTCTAGCAGACTGAGTATTATTAAGTAAAGCAGAGGCAAGCTTATTTTCATTCAAATTCATACACATAGAAACTAATGTTTGATCAGTCTGCTCTTGAATAAAGCTGCTTGTATCAACAACTTTTTTCATAATAATTTTTACGAAATCTGGAATTTCTCCATCTAAATTTCTTCCAATATGCTCGGCCATTTCTCCTAGTACGATAATAGCATTTTTGCATAGCGCTGATCTTAAAGATTCAGCCCACTTTACGACATCAAGAAACAGATTGTGTAAGGTAACTTGGCTTAAAAATACTCCTGGATGGTGTTTTAATAGTCTTCTTAATACATTAATGGTCTCAAAGCATTCATTCCAATCATCAGACCTCCCACTCAATACACATCTTTTTAAGGCATCTTCTGGGTCATCTAGTGGTTCTAATTCGTTTGGTTTTAAATATATTACATCACTATTAGAAAACTCACTTTTTATAGTACTGGAAAAGTTTTCTGCACTTGGGTAGGCTTTTTGGTTAATTAAAGATTCAGTTTTTTGGCCTGTTAAATCTAAAAAAAAATAAAAATTTTTCTATAAAAAATTTAATTATTTTTTTTAAAAATATTTTTTATACCCAAAATCTGCACTATTTAATTTTGTTATGAGTGTCGGCGACGACTGTGTGCCTTCAAAAGAATTTTCATTTTCTTCAGAAATCCCTCTTCTATGCAGCGGCCCCATTGCTTTTATTGGTGACTCTTTTGCTATATATCTGCTTGCATAATTCAATTTTATAGGCCCAGTAGGTGGTTTATCAAACTCAGTCCTTAAATTCACGGCTTTTTTTTTCTCTAAAATAAATCCTTTTCTTAATAAATTTGCTTCGTTTTTAATTCTTGGCAAAGTTTCGTCGCCAGACTCAGAAGACATGCGAAGTCTTGAATATTTTAATTGGTTGGCTGATGAAGAAAAAATATTAGGATTTGTGACGTCTGGAGATTCCTTTCTAGGGGTTGGGTCCATACTCCCGCCTATAACGGTAGTTCTGCTGAAATCAGTTGTAGTTAAATAAGGGCTTGATATTAATGGAGCAGAACTAGGGATGGTTTTTGGGAATTCTACATAGTTGTCTTTTAGGCTTGGCAGAAATTTGCAACGGAACCTTTTTTGGAGAGATTCAAGGGCCGCGTTGTCAACAATTGGGGCAAGTTCGTCATTTACAGTATCAACACCAAGCTTTTGGGCTAAAAGTGCTAAAGCTTCAGTTGTGACGAAGCGGATTTTAGTTTTGGGGTCATCAAGAAGTTTGGCTAGAGGGCCAATTAAAGTGGAAAAATTAAATTCATAGTCTTCTTTAGCTATTCCTATATTTAAAGCAATCCAAAAATATTTAGTATAGCATCTCCACGCTTTTAGCCTCCTCTTGTCCCGATATCTCAAAGACAATCGGGGGCTGGTTTCACTCGCTATGCTGGTGAAACAACCCTTAAAGTGGCATATCTACACCATCTTGATGATTTGCCACTTTAAGGGTTAATTTCACCAGCATAAGCTGGTAAAATCAACCCCCGATTATCTTAGGATACATCAGGACAAAAGGAGGCTAAAACCGTAGAATGCTATAGCTATTCTTAATTATTTTATTAAATAAAAAGAATTTATTATAAATTATTTAGTCTAATAAAGTATAAAAGGATTGCTGCAATCATCACAATAATCGTTTCTTCACGCACATGCCAATTATTACTTGACAATGATTCTATTAAATGAGGAAACAGCACTCTCGGTTTCATTTCTTGCAAAAGAGCTTGGAATACTTTAAATGCAGCTTGCCTAATAGCGATTTTATTATCTCCCAATTTTTTAATACACCCAGGCACAATTTGAGAAATATTTGCTTGCTGAGAAATTCCTGGAATTGACACTATTGTATAGACAATTGCCAAAGTCGACAGCATAACTTTAAAGTTTGTATCATCCAGAAGTTTATTTAAAAATCTAATAAAAACAGCCATAAATGGGTAGGCTTCAGTGTAATTTTCCATCCTTTCTACAAGATTTTCCAGCTCTTCTATAGCATTTACTCGAGCTCGTCAGTTACTTATATCTTCAAGCTGCACCATAAGGTTTGGAGGAATAAACCCAAAAACGAGCCCATTTTTAGAGGATTCTTTAAACAAATCTGAAGAGTTGCCTTGGGACATTGCGTTAGCTATAGCCCCTATAGATGCGCTTTGGAATGCAAATGCACTTGTCCTTTTGTCGGGCTTTTCCAATATTTTCTATTTAAATTAATTTTTTTAATTTTTAGTAAAAAATACGTATAACCCTCCAGGGTTTTTCCAAAAATGATTTTATAGGCGAAAAAATTTCTTTCTGCAAATTATTTCTGAGCAGAGAATTTCCTTTAATTTCCTCACAGCTTTCATTATAAATTTGTTGGTAACCAGGCGTGATTTTTGAAAAAATCGCATTAAAATCAAAAGCTAGATCTTTTAACCCTAAAGCGACCTCTTTGGCTGATTGAGATACCAACCCTGATGTATCTTTTATCATAGCAATGACCCTTTCGAATATTTTTTTCATTTCAGGGATATTAGCTGTATAGCTTAGGTCTAATTTTATGATAGGAATTACTATTTGTAACGTTTGGTGTTTTAGGCGTCATTCTTCACTTTGAAGACCGTATTTTAAGATATAGCTCATGGCAGTTTCCATATTTCGCGTTGTACGGACGTATGCACTAATTACATTTAAAGAACTTTTTGCAATTCCTGGCCTTTGATCTTGAAGGAGTTGTACAAGATTTGGCATTAAAACAATAAGCAATTTTATAATAAATAATAAGAAAAAAAAAATAGTCTATAATGTCAAAATTTTTTAGAAAAATAATTTTTTAAGATATGATAAATTAATTAAAAGAGAATAAAATTGCTTTCAAGGTCTGGACCGAAATTCTATATAAAAAATACTGGGATCAGGTCTTGGAGCAATTGGAGAACCTGTGAAAGGATTTCTCAGTCATGGTCTTCTAATCGATCTCTTAAAACTGTAAAAAATCGAGATGGATTAGGGACTAATAAAGAATTGTTTTCTTTTCGAAATTCTATGAGTAGTTGTTCGAGGGCATTTTTCCTTGTTACGATGTTCTCGCTAGCAATGCTTTCTACTATACTTTCCATTCTTATTTTATAGTTAAATGGATTACTTTTAAGATTTTATAAAGAATTTCGCTTTTTTCCATATGTTCCTTGTAACATTCCAAATTATATATTGATTTTTAATTGAAATTTTAATGCATACTTCGCCATGCATATTCTAATCAATCGATCGAGATTGTCATATCAATGATATGGGTTAAAAAAAATTTTGAAAATTTTTATATTATTTTTTCTATATTAAATCCTTTATGAGATAACCAAAAGATAGAGTTTGAATATATTTACTCCCCATTTAAATTGGAATAAAATATAGGTAATTTTTTTTACTTTAACCCCTTTAAACTTCAAAAACACTTTTTACAATTAGGAAATTTTATAGTAAAAATATATAATAAAGTGGAAAAGTTCATTTAGAATACTAATTAACAATTTTCACACTTAATCGATTAATTTTTTAATTGATTCTTCGTAAATTAAATTGGAATTCAAAATATTAGCTCAATTTATATTTTTAATTTAATTTTTTTTTTAAAAAAAACAATTGAACCTCTTTTAATTTGAAACAGGATTTTTGTTCCAATTTAAAAGGGAAGTTAGTAAGCATGCTGAAATCATATAATAATTGCTAAGAGCGATTATACATTGCAATCTCTAATATTTATTACTTTCAAAGCTAGGAAGTTAGACGTGATGATTCTATTTTACTATACTAAAATAGCTCAATTAAAGGTGGAGGAGTTAGTGAAACTTCTATTGGAGTTTCTGCTTCTAAAATGTTTTAGGAAGATTATAATATGCATTAAGATTCAAAAAAGTAACATAATTCTTACTTACCCTTTGCTAGCGAGCAAAATAATGTTTTTTAATATAAAAAATATTTATACATATAATAATTTGATATATAATTAATTATAATAATAAAATTTTCAATCTTATTATCTTAAAATTTAAAAGTTTGCATCCTTAAAAAATTAATTCATTTGGAATATAATATATGGATTTTTAAAATCCGTAAATTTTATATTAAAGAGTTTTAATCAAAAATATAATAACCCTTTGACTGAAAGTTAGATATTTTTGATCATTAACCAATTAGGAGTTAAAAGAATAAAAATTATTTGAGTAAAATCATCAAAAATTCAGCTAAATAACTGCATTTAAATGATAATGCTTATCTTTAATCATGATATATAAAATGTTTTATAGGTAGGTATAATAAGATAATAAATAACTATTATATGAGTATCTAAATCTTTTATTTATCAACACATTTAGGCATATTATGGATGAGTTTTAGTTATTTCTACCTTATTTAAAAATGAAAGCTGGCAATTTCTTGCAAAATTTATAATATATTCAAAATTAATTTCCCTAAAATACGATTGCTCCAACCAGTAAAATTAAATAATTATTATAAGAACCATAAGAAATATTTAAGATTACACTAAAAACTCACTTTTCTATAATGATTTTTGGGAGAATTATGCACAGCAATAGGGACTGCTGGAGGAATATCAGTATCTTCTTCTTCCTCCTCTTCATGAATAGAATGGTTGTTGCTATTCCCTGAGCTATAACTTGCCGAATCTCCTCCATGTGAAGACTCTCTTTCAATGTCCTCTACACTTTCGTCAATCCCACACACAGAGTCTCCATTTTCCATTTCCTTTATTTCTGGCAGTTGTCTATTATGAGTAAAGTCAAAAACTTCGCTTCCTGACACAATTGAGCCAATTTCTGGGCCTTCACTGCCCGTTTCTTCAGATTTATTTTCTTTTTTTTCATTATCATTTTCAAACACCGCAAGCGAGCTTTCCCCATCCCTGAAAAACCTTTTAAAAAGTTCGCCTTTATTTACCTTTGTTTTGATCATTTCATGGGCAAGCTTGCTTGATCATATATTTCTTGCCACAAAATTAAATTCTTCATGGACTAGAACTGTTTGTTTTCTTTCTGTATCATAGATGCTGGTTCCATTGTAAACTTGTCGCAAACATCTTACTATAGTGGCATGGCAGAGTCCTAAGGATCTATCCAAGTTGCTGGTATCAACTTTTGGGATTAGGCATTCGTCAGCTTTTAAGATAAACCGTTTTTGGATTTCTCTTATATTAGGATAGCTAGCTACGTATTTATTGAGCTTAGGATCAAGTGTCATGCATTTGCTTCTGACTGCAAATCTTTCTTTATGTTTTTTGCTGTTTTTTATCATGATAATAAAAGGGATGCAGGAATTGTATTTTTTCATCAGTTTTTTGATAGCGCCAACGTGGAGGTGAACGCCTTCAATTACAATACTTTCTCCTCGGTGATGGTAGTCTTCTATGACATTGTCTAGATAATCTATGACTTTATCAGATTGCTCTATATAGCCTTGAATACAAGCTTGCTTAGGTGTGAGGCCTTCAGTTTTAATTAAACTTCCAGCTTCATAGGTAGAGCAAAATAAAATCGGATCTTGATCTCGATTTAAGACATTTCTCAATATATGTCTAATTGAATCTGTCGAGAGCATACTTGAAATACCTAGTCTACTTGCTAAGAGAGACGATAAAGTGCTTTTACCAGTCCCTGAAGCTCCACCTAATAGCACAATCACAGGTCGGCGCTTAGATACAACTTCACATGCAATTCTAAAATCAATTATATGCTGTTCCCCTATGTATTCTTGAGAAGACAACGCTTCTTTTGCAAACCTTTCAAAGGCCGAATTAGATAAAGTTAACGCAGGAATTATTTGATAAATTTCTCCTTCACGTATACGTGTTTTTGATTTAATATGAGTAGAAATGAGACTAAAAATTTGGTCAGTGATCTTATAGGCATCATGGATTTTCACCCCCATAAATTTGCAAGCGTCTCTGAGCTGCTGACGATTGTATTTGAATGTGTGTTTTAGAGAAGGAGGGTAACTTAGATAGCACTCAGAATGGTTTTCGCAAAGCGAAAGCTGAAGATCGTTCGTCAATTGACTGAAGATATTATCTTCAAGCACATAGACAGATTCAATAAAAAAATTGTTTTGTTGGCATCTTTCGTCTCCACATACTGAGCAGGAAATCCGATTCATATTTTGATGACCTTATTAAATATATATGGATTACTTGGATTATTGGGATCGTGGAAAGGATTAAAAGGTAGGGTGATAGATAATGGATAAATTGTTTAATAATATTAGCGAGAATTGAAATAAAAATGTTAATGTTTGGAGGAGGATTGAAGATTTTGATTGGGGAAATTGGGAGGATAGGCTGTTTTTAGATGTTGAGAGAAGAGGAATTTCGTTACAGCTGAGGAAAATTTTAGATTGTGCAAAATAAGCGGAGATTTTTGGTAGCTTTCTTCGGCATTGGTGTATTGGTTTTAAATATAGGAGAGCTTGGATATTATATAAATAATTTTTATCTTCAGCAAACTTAATATCTTTTTTTAGTATAATAATTACAACTCCAAGATAGTATAGCTTAAGACCCCTTATAGATTTTTTGGCAGTAATACTTATGCGTATTGAATAGGCGACGAAAATGTCAATTTTTATGAAAAGGGCTAATTAAAAATTGGTAAATATGAGCTATAATTTGCATTTATCAATTTTAAATTGTATTGCTTGGAAAATTAATTTTTTACAGCCTATTCAATAGGAAAATGTTCTCCTAAACAAGCAGAAAAGGGACTGGAGCTATAATTAATCATAGAGAAATATTTTCTAGTAAAAACTATTTAGTTATATGGTCAGGAGATAAAATAATTCACAAAATAAAGATTTTTAGTCATTTTAAGCCTAATATTCCATAAAGTGCATCCGCAGTGACATTTATGCTTTCAATATTTAAATTTGAATAAAATGGAAACACTTGATAGGAATCAATCCTTCGAAATTTCTCCTCTACGAGAACCCCACTATTCGAAACTTTTATCAATGAAATCATCTTACAAAAATTTTATTGTTGATAAAAAGCGCAAATTATCTCAAAATTCTTACTTCCTCAAAATATTTTACTTGATCATACTGGGCAGTTTTGATTTTTTTAAAATTTTCGTTCTTCGATATTTAAAATATTCCATTCAGAAGTAAAAATTAATTTAATTTTTAAAATTGATTTTTTATGAGTTATTTAAAATTAAATATTATTATAACAACCATTAAAATATTTTTTAAAAAAAATTTTCATACTTAAAAAATGAGTTTTTATGCGAAAAGCAGGGATTTTTCAAATTGTTTACTCATAAAGAGTTATTAAAATTAAAATTTACCCAAAATTTTCTATTAATTTAAAAATTATTTTAAAGATAAATAAAAGCCCTCAAAATTCATCAATTGAAATTGAAAATGTGTCTAACAAAGAAAACGAAATGACTAAAGAAGACTCAGTCTCCCAATTTGGATTTTCTATAGAAAATATTTTGCCTAGTCCAAATACAGAAAGTCTTAAGCCGAATAGTATTGGCAGAATCCTTTCTTACAACAAAAATCAAAGATTTGTATCTTTAAGCTCTATTATTCCGGCACAAAACAAAGAATTTTCACAAATCAATAAAATTGTCGATAGAAATCTGGTCCGATCTTTACAGAATTTTGAAATTCAAGAAAAGCAATCAAGAAATGCAAGTTTTTCTGATGAAAATTCTTATACCCTATGCATATAAAATGGTTATTTTATAATAAATTATTGCAATTATCTATCAGCCATGTTTATAGGCTATATATAAATGAAAATATAAATCCCAATATTTTTGAACTCGGGTACTATGAAACTAAAACATCTACTGACTCTTATATACAAAATTTAGACATTTTAGGGGTATCTCCTTGTGCATGCTTTTGCAGAACCTGCGAAGTTTTGGTAAATTCAGAAATTTCTTTAAAAGAGGAAAGAGGAGTTAAAGGAGTTTTCTTGAATTTTTTGTATAAAACTATGGGGTGTTGCTCGAATCCGATATGAATACAAAAAAAATTGGTACACCGTTGTGAAGTTTGCAAGTCAATACTGGGGTACGTATCTTAATATAAAAATTAGTTATTTAAGCAAAAAGTGCATTTCAAGCTTTCTGATTTTCTGAGGTAAATTATACCGACAAATAATTTAGAATTTTTTAATATAACTCTTTAAAATTATCAAACCTGAGGAATGTAAGATTAAGATAAATATCTCCTAAGTTAAGGATTAGCTCTCTAGCTAGAGCCGCCTTATATAGGGTGCCGCAATAGTCCCTATATCTGGCAGGACAGGAAACTATTCAGGTTAGCAATAAAAATCTCTCTTTTCGGAAGGCCCAAACTTCATGGCTTCCTCCAAACTACATAGGTACTCAAATTTTACAGATAGGGATAGCTCTAGCTGCTCTATAGGACTGCGCCTTGGAGCCCTTTTCCGCCAACATCATTATTTTATTTCTGAGGAAGTAATGATTTTTATTTATTTAAAATAAAGAATCATAATGATAGGTATTAACAGCTAACAAGATTTTTAATTCTCTATATATTTAAAGGAATTTCTTTGATGACTTATTATGCTTTTCTAACTGTCTAAGTAGCTGAACTTCATAGCATGCATAAATTGTATTTGATAATCAGGGTAATATTCTCACCATGGAGAGGCGAAGAAGCCTTAATAAAAAGCTGCTCTACAAAAAAACGCCAATCAACAAGCCAGAAATAACTACAAGCTTGTCTCCTTTAAAAAGAACAGCGCTCTCTGCTATTAGTTCAACAGATAATTTGCTATTAAAAGATATTCTCATTATATATAAATAGTCCTCATCACTATTCAGATATTATCCATTTTAAAGGAAATTTAAATATGATTTTATTTATTTTTTATTATTTTTTCACTAAATAGCTTAAATTTGATGCAAATAAAGGATTTCGATCCACGCCAAGTGGGCTGGTAACTTCACCTTTTTTTACAAACAAGTGAAACGAAGTCTTCAAGATTTTAGATCCGTCCGGAACTTCAGCTAAACCATTTGTAGAGCTGACTAGTAACCCCTCGGAGAAACACTATAAATCTTATGATCCCTCAATTGTGAAAAATCCTGTTATTGAAAAAAAATCGTATATCTGCAACTCCCGAGAAAATTTGCAACGATCTCCGCGTAAACTCCCACCGATAAAGCTAGGCGATGGCCTATCTTTTGTGCATAAAATCAAAAACTCAGATGCGGATGCTTTGGATAAATTTATTAAACACCGATCAAGTGTGTCCCAATTTAAGCCGGTTTCACCTGAAAAACTGATCAGAAAAAATACCAATTCAAACTTACCTTTTTAGGAAAAAAATAATTTTTTTTTTATTTTTTTAAAAATATTTAATGAATTTATATTTAAAATATTATTTAAGGAAGTTAGATTTATTTAAATTTTCATTCCTAAATGAACAAAAATCAAATAAGCCTCTACATAATGGCCTCTCTACGAATTTACTTTCTGATATTTCTGAAGAAGCAGGTGCAACAATAGAAAAACTACAAGCGAAAACTACCACTAATAAAGAAACTAACCCCATTCCTCGTGAGCCTACTTTGTATAATAAGCTTTAAATGAGCAAAATTTTTTTTAATTTAACGATGACCCCCCTCAATCTTCATGCCTATTGCAACAAAAATGCATTTTTTAATATAAAAAATTTTATATAAAAAAAAAATAATAATTTTCATGTCTCTTGCAACAAATTATATATATTAAAATGGCGACACGTGTCAGCCTGCCCTCTTGGCACAGCATTCCAGACCTTATGGCTAATGCGAACTGGGACGGACCCCGAGCCGAGAATCAGACGCAGACTCAAGAAGTGTATATCCGGGCAGGTTTTGGCTGCTTTTCTGTGGTTGGAAATAGATTAGCTCAACAACTTCCTTTTGATCCGAGGACCCATGGGCATTCGTCTACCGAGAAACTGGGGTTTTTGCCCAGGCCACAGGGGAACAGTCTTTTTCGTGTAGCTGTAGAAGGAAGTTACTTTGACACCCGATAGACTCTAAGGATCCTTGGAATCAAGCTACTCCAATTGCCCGTAGCAGGGACGCAGAAATCCATAAGCCGCTCACTCAAGACTGAAGCCGCAAGGCAAGGAGGAGACAGAAGGTATCGGAAGGGCACTCGTAAGAGGAATAGACCCTCTGGGCTGGAATCGAAAAGCGGTAGAACCTTCTGCACGGGAGGTCTTTGGTGACTGTGATACCAATATGGCTAGCGCCTGTCTGTAATAATCCTAATCCTCTTGCAGCAAATTTTAGATGCGAATCTTAAATTTTTCTGTACTTTTTAGCTAGATAAGTTTAATAGAATGGCGAGCAATGACAATAGCCGTCCAAATCTCGATGAGAAGGTCATTGGCACGCCTACAGCAGCGCTGTTTTATAGGGTTTTTGAGAAACTCACCTAGAGAAAAAATGCATTAATTCTTTTTATAAAAAATTTTGTGTTGCAGTAGGCATGAAAATGTTGCGTTGCAGTAGGCATGAAAATTTTTTCGAAAAATTTTTGTTGCAGTAGACATGAAGATTGAGGGGGGGGTCATCGTTATTATAAAAATATATTTTGAAAGTTGCATTCTAAATATACATTTTATAAATTTAATTATTTTCATATTTATTAAATCTGGATGTTGTTTAAATTTACCATCTCCATGAGTGAGCAAAAATATTTTGCTCAGATACTTAAACTAATTTAGATTATAGAAAAGCTTCCTGTCGGGATATGAAGATCCTTATTCCCTTCTGTAACGCTCCATTCGTCTGTTTCGGCGGCAATCGTCTCACGGCCTTTAAAGTCTTGCTCCTACCAGATATCGGGCTTGCACATGCTCCCTGGTTTGGGTCATCGTGCAAGGAATTTGGCTTCTAGAAAATTCAAAAAACATATTTTCTGGCCACCTTTCGGCCAAGATGAAAATTCGTAGTCCAGGATGCAATGCCTAGTATCGTGCTAGGAAACGTTCCCGATCGACCAGAGGAGCATCACTGGTATTGCTTGGGCACCCCTTTTTAACTCAGAACTCTAGGTAAACATTGGCCTAGATGTGAGCCTGCGGTCCGCCACCCGGACATTTCGCTCCACAAAACCAAGTAAAACCTGGCCGGATACATTTACCGAACGCCAGAACTCCCTTCCACAAGGTTCCTGAGTTTCTTCATCTACATATTTTAGGAGGTTGTGTTGATTCGCCACGCCATTTTTATGTATATATTTTGCTCATATGCAAAGTGAGTAACTTACTTAAACGATTCAACTGATCATAAGCGACAAGCCCACTAGCATTTGCCTCATCTTGGCTCCAAATTAGCATCCTCCCTCGCCCCACTAGATAAAAGCGGGAAAGGCCATTTTGGATTTCCGATCTGAACCACTTGTCCAAAGAATTAGTTCCCTAAGGCAGTGCCACTGCGTGTAGAGTGCCCTTATAGTCTCAACGAGGGATGACCATGTGGTAGGCAAAACCTTTCTAGCCTATTTGGCGGGCACAGGAAAACCTTCGGGGAAAAACAAAACTTCCCTCTTCTACCAAGGCTTTTCCAAACCTGAAGGCTTACTTCAAAAGAGACAAAGGGCCTGTTTTCAGATAGTTCTTACCTGCTCCATAGGGAGTGCGCCTCGGAGACTAATTTCTGTTAACTTCACCATTTTATTTCTAAATTGAGTAAAGAATTTCAATTCCATAAAGAAAAAATAAGTCGAAAACGATTAGAAAGATCATCAGAAAGTAGAATTGAAAGAAATTTCGAATCAAAAAAAGATACACCAGTGAACGAATTAAAGAAAAAAGCAAAAATTCCTATTCACGTTTAAATTGAATGCGCACAAATACACTTAAAATTTCTATGAAGACAAAAAATAAAGAATATTTTACTTATATATTGATTTGCAGCATAGTATTCCCCCGCTAGCTTTCAAAAAAGGCAAATTTAAAGAGGACAAACAACTAAACCTGAGTAAGCGATCTGGCTTGGGAGGGTGGGGGGAAGACGTGGCAACTGATTGCCTGGAATTATCATATATTATAGAAAATCGATATTAAGTAACAATATTTTTATTATTCAATATATCATTAAGAAGTAGGTATCACAAATCTACACACTGGACAGCTATTTCGTCTTTTAAGCCAATTTACTACGCATTCTTTATGGAAAATATGGTTACATGGAAGTTTCAAAAGGTCTGATTGCTTACATTTTTGGAGTTTTTACCTTAAAAAATTAATGATAATAAATCCACAAATATTTTTTTAAAAAATAACATAAAAAAGAATTAGTAAAATTATCTTTGCATACTGGGCAGTCTAAGCAATCCTCAGAAAGTTCTTCAAATTTCAATGTGCTGCATCTAGAAATTGCAGCTTCATTTGCAGGTGAAGGACCAGAATTGGCCCCAAACATAGACATCAAGCCTTGGATGTTTGGAGGAACCAACTGGAACCCAAATACCATAAAATTCATCCTTGGATCCACAGGCCTGTTTTGTTGACGATTCATTTCTGGCACAAACTGCTGAGGATGAGGCTCATTTGGGTCAATTTCTTCAATATATTCACTTTGACAGTATATGCAGTTTATCATTTCACTAGCGTTCTGGAATTCATGAAGACAGGAGTGGCACCAATATCTGAAATAAGATGATATCATATTTGAATAATTATGGCTTTTTAGTTTATATAGGAAAATATAGTTATGGAGATTATCAAAGTTGAATAAGAATATGTAGGCACTTGAATTAATAGAAAAAGGTGTATTAAAATGGACGTGGGAATTCATAGGGTAAAGTTAAAAAAAGCATTATAATAAGGATGAATTTTATTATAGAGTTTGGCTTTGAAATAAAATAATTGTTTTATGTGAATTAAGGATTTTAATAAATTTTATAAGAGTTTAGACATAATTATTCTGAGTTAGAGTGAATTATAAATTATCGAATAATTAGCTAAGCCAAGCTAAGACTTTTTTAAGTTTTAATAAATTTATAAATAAATATGTGCACATTATCATCAGACTTTCTGCTCAAAATCAATAAAATCCTTCAAAAAAGGTGATCTTATCTTATATTTATATATGAGGCATTATTAATACTGATTCCCCAATCAGCTATTTTTGAAATTCGAATAAATTTACAAGATTTTTTGAGACCCCCTCACAATCAATTATAAACTTTAATGGACAGTCACCGCAATTACAATAGCCACAGCAGACAAGCTTATGGATCATCAAGAAGATTCCCTCAACGCTATGGAATGGACAATTCTTCTCATATGATTCATGAGTCACCATCCAGAGATCTAATTCTCCCCATAATAAAAATTATTTTTTTCCAAAAATTTTTTTTTATTTACCCCAATTATTTTTTTTATTGAAATAATTATTTTAATGCGAGGGGAGTAAATAATCATTGGAAAAATAGAGGAGATTCTAACTATAACCAACGCCAAAACTTTGAAGATGCCCCTTATAAGCGCAGAAAAGTTGACGGCTACGACAACCAGAGAGATCAGCCTGCTAATGAGAAATCATCAACTTTTAATCGTGACAGAAATCAGGGTAACTATTCCAGAGCTTCAGAGCCTAGAGATAACCAGTCTTTTCAAAGAGGAAGATCTGCTCCGAGATTATTATTATTAAGATGATTAAAGTCAGGCGTTAGCCATATTGGTGACGCAGCCACCAAAGACCTCCCGTACGGCAGGTTCAACCGATTTTCGACTCCAGCCCAGAGGTCTATTCCTCTTATGAGCGCCCTTCCGATATCTTCTGTCTCCTCCTTTCCTTGTGGCTTCGTTTGAGTAGACGGCTTAAGGATTTCTGCGGCCCTGCTACGGGCGATTGGAGTAGCATGGTTCCAAGGATCCTTGGAGTCTCTCAGGTGCCGAAGTGCCATCCTTTGACGGCTACTAAAAAAGACAACTCCCCTGTGGGCCGAAAACCCCAGCTTTTCGGTAGAGGAATGCCCATGGGTCTTCGATCAAAAGGGACGTTGTTCAGCACCTCCATTTCCAACTACATGAAAGCAGCCATCTCTTGAGCCTGTACTTGATTCTCAGCTCGGAGTCTGTCCCAGTTCGCCGTAGCCATAAGGTCTGGACTTCTGCACCAAGGGGGCAGATTGGCGCATGTCGCCATTTTAATGCATATCTCTGCTCCGAGAGACGACAGAAACTTTGGCTCTAACAATTTCAGAAAATCAGAGCCAAGAGACAACAATTTTAAAAACTCCAGTGACAATTGGACTTCAAATCGTTCTAATGACTGAAACTCTGATAATGGTGACAGAAGACAAGCAAGATCTCAGTCAGCCCAAAGAAGCTTCAGCCGTAACCGTAACTACATCCATGAGCCTATAAGCAGCAAATATTTCAAAAACTTCCAAAACAATAGAAATGGGGGGAAATTTTTTGATAAAAATAACGGAGACAACTACATGAAAAATGACGATAATAGAGGAAATAACAGAAGCTACAACCAAAGATCAAATGGATACCCAAAGAAAGGCCAAGACAGCCAAGGGCAAGAAAATAAGAGAAAACTAAGAGTAGACTTCCCAGCAATTTTCAGCTGCCAGTTTCCTTTTTTGAACTCTCCTGAAAGAGAAGATAAAGACGTAAAAGGATTTGACAAAGACACGCATGAAGCGATTTCTGAAGTTTCTCCTCAAGTCCATGAAGAAGTTATTCAAGCTTAATTTTAATAGATTAATTTAGATAATTTTGGCTAATTCCAGAAAATAATATTTTAAATATGCTGGAAGAGAAATTACGGATACTAAACAAATACAGAAAACCCAAAGGCCCAAGCTACAGAAAGCAGCTTGAAGAAATCGAGCTCAAACTAATCAAGCAAAAAAGAGTTTTTAAACTGCGCCGATATCCTTTTTCAGTCTGGATTTTAAGCTTTATTTTCTGTTTGACGTCTACTTTTTTACTGTTGAATTTGCATTTTAATATAGAAATGTTTGAAGGATACACAGGGAGTCATTGGCTGCAATATACAGTAATTATTGTTTTTTATGTATTGTCTGGCATGGCTTTTATTTTGGCAAAAATTGAGGTTGCTGTTTTTAATAAGGACGAAAAAAGGTTTGACTATAATAAATATTATTTGATATTTTTCAGGTGAAAGCAATTTTCATGCAAAATTACAGAAATTGCGGACGTTGGGCTGCAAAAAGATGGATTTGTGATGGATTATTCGGATACGACTTATTATAGGATTATTATTTATTTTGGATATGAAAAACCGCTGAAGATTTTAGAGACAAGGGATCAAAGTAAAGCTGTGAGAAAGCTGAAAGAAATTAGGGCATTTTTAGATCTTGATGGGAAACTTCAGATTAATGATAAAAGTTATATAAATTAGATTAGATTCATTTTAAAAATTATCAAAAATGTTTATTTTACCTATTATGCAAAGGTATTAGGTTTGTGGATTCAGTTATTCTATAAATTGGCAATTTCATTGAAATTACACATTAGTATCAATCCTTAAATTGCTATTTTTATTGAATCTTATCGTAAAATGCCTATTTTTTACATGTACAATCGGCAGGCAAGGCTTGAATTCCTCTACATCTTCTTCAATTTTCATTTTGTTTTTCTCCTCAATTTTTTCAATTTTTTTCAATGTATTCCTTATTACTTTATTTATATTAGCAACCCTTGAGTTTGGCCTTGATTTATACAAAAAATTATCTCTTTTGCCTTCTAGCAGAAAATCTGAGTTGTCTTTGAAATAGTCATTTTTTGGAGTTTTTATTCCTCTGTAGCTTTCATTAATTTGAGCTATAAATTCAGGCTTTCTAAAGCTAAAGACCATTTTATGCTGTTGGGCTGTAGGAGAATATGATCTGCAAAAGCTTTTGTCTCTATATGAAATTGCTGAAATTGATTTGTTGAGACCCTCTTTTAAGTCAGTATTATCTCTTTTTATTATAAAATTTAACTATTATTTAAGATATTTTTCTATAGAGATGCAGATTATTGATAGTCAGTATAGAGAAGCATATTTGTTTTGAGCTAAATCGATTCCTAAATACATTTCTTGGCGGCTTCAATGAAACTTGTGTATAAGCATGCAGCCTTACGGGTGGGCTTAAGTCTTGCTCTGATTTAAAATCAAATGTTAAAGAATAGTCAACGGTCGCAAGATGATTATTTTTTGGCGATATTTGAAAATTTTTAAAGTTTCTATTGCTCTCACTTTGATCATTGGTAGGAGAAACTCTGTATATTTGTTTGCGAAGAAGCTTGATTGCTTCCATTTAATTACAATCATAATGGCATATAAGTTAAAAAGACTAATAGTCTGAATAATATCTATATTGCTGGCATAACCCAATATAATTTCCATCTATTTCTATAAAGAGAACTCTATATTCCGAAATTTTTTTATCTGAGACAGACTAACTTACCCAATTTACCCTAAGTCTGACCATTTACCGTTAATTATAAAGCTATTTATATTCATTATGAGCATTTATATATAAAATGGAGGAGCAAAATGATCAACAAAATCAAGTCGATAATAAAATTTCACCAGACCAGTCCCAAAATGAAATACTAGAAAACCCATCCAACGATAAAAATGAAACCTTTAGTAATGACTCAATTGTTAATCGCCAAATTATTGAAATATCCAAGTCCTCATTTCAATTATCTAATGAAGTCGCGAAGCCTGAAAGCCCTGCCACAACTTGTGCTTTTGATGGGAAAAAAGAAAATAATACGGAGCACACCAACCAGCATAATGTAGAAATCCACGAATTTGAATGCAATAGTGAGAACGATAAGGGCGCAAAAAAAAAGGCAACAGAAGGGAAAAAAGCGAAAGATGATATGGAGATTAAGCAGCCGAATGAGACTGAACAAGAAATATCGACAAAACTAGCGAGTTCTCATGGGTTTATATACTCGAAATCAGTAGAATTTAGAAAATTAACTCCGAGATCGCAGCCGAATCAGATTCACTATGCTAGGCCAGACCCTTTTCAACAGCTTGTCAATTTAAGAACTCCTTCAGGGACTTTGACTAGTAATGAAGGTGAAAAAATCCAGGATGTAATTGACCAAGTTAATGAAAACCATAGAGAAGGCATTTATACTGAAAAGTATAGTCATATATCATCATTAAAGAGTTTTATTGACGATGATATAAAAACTAACGAATATCATGACGAAAGACATGTGAGAACTCCTTGTTTTAAATGTATTGTGCAATAATAGCTGTAATTAAGATTATTCATAATTAAATAGTGGAAGTTTCAACTTACGACAATAATGCTGCAATCTTAGGGTTTGATGTAATTTGTTTTAATTTCGCGTCAAAAAGCCTCGAAACTGTCGTGATCATTTCTTCTAATGCTCCTAATCTGTCATTTAATTGCGAAATTTCTGATTTTGTGGTCTTTTTAAACTCGAAAAATTGAGTTTTTAATTCCTGGTTTTCGCTCTCTAACCGGCTTAATTTTTCTATTTTTTTCAACAAAATATTAATATTAAATTATTAATAAAAATGTATTTTTCTATAAAAATTAGAAAATTATTTCCTATTATTGAGTAATATTCTTTTATATGAGCTTACTAAATTTTCTTCAAATTTTTCTTCCTCTTCCTTTTCTTCACTTTTTTCTTCAGGCTCCTCTTCGACCACTTCTTGTTTTGGCTCCTTAAAAGTAAAAAAATTCGGCTCTTCCTGTATTTGAAAATTATCATCGATTTTCGCAATTTCATCTTGGAAAGAAGGCGAATCTTCAGGTGGGGCTGTTTTTGATGGCTTTTTAGCAGCTATTTCAATTATTGGCCCATCGTTTAAGTTTCCTGCAGCTTTAAAAAAATTTGGATTAATTTGTCCTTTAAACATTGACTTCGGTCTTGACTGCTCTGAGTGTCTTCCATCATTTCTCCCTGGAGAGCTTTCAATTACCAAATTTTTATACAAAGAAATTGCTTCTAAAGCAGAATCTCTAACTGGCTTAATTTTATCTGTCCTCGCTTTATTCAGCAATTGCATAACTTCTGAAGCAAAAGGTACAACAGAGTTCGGTATCACTGCGGCTAGTGTATAAAGGGCATCCAAAGCTTGTTTTCGAGTCGCAAAGTCTTCATCTGTAGCACTTTGCAGAAGGGCTGGAAAATAGCTCGCAGCATATGGAGCAAAATCTTGTTCTATTGAAAGAATTAAAGAAATTGATGCTTCAATAAGTTGACCTGTAGCTCGGCAGTTCGGGGAATTTAAATATTCAAGAATTTTCGCAGAAAGTTTTTCTAGCATGAATTTTAAACATTCTATAGGGGAATGTTGGATTATTTTAACTAGGCAATGGGCTGAACAAATTTGGACGTTTTTGTTACTTGTGGAGAGGTTTTGGAAGAGCGGCTTGAGAATTAGTGCTAGCTGATTGCAAGAGCTGGGGAGATCAGGGAGGGTATGCAAAGTGTTATGAATTATCATGCCAAATGTAGAGCTTATTGCGTCAAAAAGATGAGGGTTTGCTTGGTTTTTATAAAAAAATATTTTTTTATTTATTTTTAAAAAAAATAATTATATTTTTAACATTTGCTTCTTTTAGCTTTTTTTGTAAAGTATTAAGCACTCTTGGAATAAAAGGTATCATATTCCCTTCTAATACTTCAGCCATATAGCCATAAAGCTTTACAAACTCCTTTTTATGAACTGGCGTCAAAGTATGCTCATTGACCCCATTAAGCGAATTTAAAAAAATCGTGATTTTTTCATCTGAAGTCGCATTTTGTTCCAATAAAGATTTTATCTCCTCTAAAGCAGTTTGCTGGGTGTCTAGCGCTCCAAGTCTTCCCAGTGCGCTTTGGACTGCCATTTGGAAATCTGTGCTATGCATAGATCCTTCCCTTCTTGATTTCATATTACTAATTTTATAATACTTAAATTTATTTAAAATTGCGAATTTAATATATATTCAATCATTAAATTTGGGTCATCTCCTACCACAGTTCACGCCCCCAGTGCTTGCTCCATTGTAAACCCTGAGTCCACTACAATTTGTATGCTTGGGTTCAAAAAGTTCTGGGAAGCTTCTCTTTTGCTTTCTTCCATAGCCATTCTTATTAAATCCTCTTCTGTGTTTCTTTCCCCCTGCATACTTAATTCCATTGCCATTCTCAATTGGGCGTCATCGTCCCCTCTTTTTGACTCCTCAATAGCCTGCCTGATCATCTGTTCTTCAGTCTGCTCATTTATTGACCTTTCTATAGCTACATCTACGCTATTTCCTTGGCTGTTATGAAGAGAAATGCTTAAGGCTTGTTCTAAATCTGTCTGTGCTGAATTATCAAAGCCTTCTCTTGCCCTCCTTATATTTTCGTGCCTCGGTTCTAAGCCTTGGCTGATTCTTTTGGTAAGCTGAATTCTGATTTCTTCAAATTCTCCAGGTCTGCTTGTAAGTAATGGCTCATGTCCATCTTTGCCGATAATAGAGTTATAATGAGATCTCCCATGGTATGCGAGCCTAATTGGGGTGCCTTCTCCGTAACTTTCATGAAAAGTCCTCATAGGCTGGTTCGCATAGGCATAAATTTCAATAGACCTGTCATATAGCTCGGACATTGCTTCAATTTCTATGTCGTCGCCCCATGCGCCATTTTGGCTTTGGTGGGAGACGTATTCGTCAAATCCTGCATCCCCGCCTACAATAAATTGTGAGAAGTATTCTCGTTCAATGCTTAGATAATTAAGTGCAGCTTGCCTTACTAAGCCATGATGCTCTGTAGTTCCATACAGCTGATGTGACACTGATCTAAACAAACAATTTCCATCCCCTTCTACCGGGACTATTAAAAAGTCTCTTTCCCTTAAAATCCTCATAAAATCACCTTCTCGTCCTTCTTTAAAATCTTGACTAATTATGCTTGTCTGTATTTCTTTATTAGAAAACCTATTAGGCCTGCTCGGGTCAAACTTCCCAATCCCAAAAGCTGTGCTTTTGCTACCAATTTCGCTTATTCTCTCAGAATTTTTATTAATTCACTCGTCCCACCTTTCTGTGTAGCCTTTAAAATGAACTCTAATTTGTGTAGAATTCATGTCAACAATGGTCGCTTCCATTCACTTGTTATATGTGTCCTTCACATCAATGCGGTTATGAAGCTGAAAAGGGGAGCCTCTCCTTCACTGTTTTAATACGCTTTCATTAGAAATAGGTACCCAGCTGTCGAACTTTTTATTGTAATTTGTGAAATGAACTTTAAGTCTGTCGCCAGAAATTTCAAGAATTTCAGCGTTAAGCCAAACGCCTTTTTCGTCTTCGCAGTCGACGTATTCGCCGACTTCATAAGAAGTAGATGAGCTGTGGGAGATGTACTCTTGCACCATATTGTATCAGAAGGTTTATGAATTAAAGGAATATATAAGAATTTTTTACGATAATTAATTGTCTGCATGACTAATCATGTATTTTGTCAATGCTTCTTCAGTGCGAGCGCCTTCATAAGTGTCCACCTTTTCGCCGTTCTTGAAAAGAATCATTGTAGGGTACCCTTTGATTTTCCAGGCATCTGCGGATTCTCTTTCTACGGTTGCATCAATTTCAGCCATTACAAGGGAAGGATCCATTCCATAGAGGATTTCTCCTGCTTTTTTGTAGATAGGAGCGAGATGACGGCAATGACCACACCATGGGGCGTAAAACTTGATAAGAATTATAGGGTAATCTTTTATTGCTTTATCTATAGTTGCGTCAGTCAGGGAAAGGATGCGGTTTTCTTCTTCTGCTACTGCGATGCAGAAAAAGCTGAGTAGAAATAAAGCTTTTAGAGCGGCTGAGACCATTTATCGATTTTTGAAATAAATTCTTGGTAAATTAAATGAATTAATTTTATAACAATTTGTGCAATTAAATACTGAAATTGATTATTTTTGTTGTGAAATATATTTCTTCTTTAAGTTAAGAATAAGAAATAAATTTAATTTAGGAAAATTCAATTTCGTGATAAAATTAAATTAATTGTGCATCTTCTATTAAATTCGGCATCAATTTAGTTATGATATTATAAAAATTTACTAAAAAGCAGGGACTCATGATCCTGATATCCTATAGAAAAACTTCACCAAAATTTTATAATTAAATTATTTATCTAAATTTTCAACATGTCCTTAATCCATATTGAAATTATTGATTTTCCAACCATTTTCAGAAGTCATAATAATAAATACCAGGACATAAATTTTTATCTCTCTATAAAAACACTTCGATATTGAAGGATTTTCTTAACAAAGTCTTGCTAGAAATAAGAAAATCAATGATTCCACGATCCCAATGGCACATTAAATAAAAATCATCGATTTTGATATAACAAACCCATGCATATTACATTGAAAACACACACACGGTAGAGTCCCATAACATATTGATTTTCCCACAGTTCCTATGACTTTTACGCAATCCTATGAAATTTTTATCAAAAATCCAATTTCTTCTCCTCCATGCTGAGAATTAAAATTGGTTTAAGTCCATCTAATTGGTATAAATGGCGAAGACGCTTTTTATTCTCCTCTCAGTGTTTTACGTAGCCTTATCGCTCAATTGCCTTGACAATAGCGGAAATTCAGTCCCATGGTTGACTTTTATTAAGCCTCCACAAGTGGCATATGCCCCTCCTCTCCCAGGAAAGTCTTATTCTTTTCTAACTCCAAATCATATGACTGCAGAAATCGAGTCGCAGCCTCTCAACGTCTCTTCTCCAATCACTTATACACTTAATCAGTTCAATACTGATAGCTCTATTTCGGTTTTGTTTTACAAGTATACTATTTTTTATGCATTTGTGTTAAATTTAACGTCAGGACCATTAAAATATATGATCCTTGGGCCATATTTTAAGGTATAACTGTTATTCAGTGATGGGGTCCCTCCTAACAGCACCAACTATAACAATTATGTTGGGCACACCAAAGGGATTTTAGCTTACACCTCAACCCAGGCCATTTACATAATCCACTCCTTCCCAAACTTTCCATACTACAACAGCACAACTGGGAAAGTGATGCTGGACATATTCCAGTCTGAAACTTACTATGGGCAAAATCTCATGTGCCTACAAATATCCCCACAAACACTTTTTAACCTCGCAGGCTTAATGACCATAAACAAGCCTCAAGTCTATTACAGTAGAATCATTACCCCTAACAGCAACATTACCCTGTTAGTCCAAAACCAAACCACACTGCAAGCCAGCACTGTATCATACAGTTTTTCGTAAGTTTTATATAGAGTTGACGGCAACACCTTCACTTATTTAGCAAGATCTGCAGCAGCTAATTTAGATTTCTGGGAAGATGTGGTATCTAAATACTACAAAGATAGCTTTTACGTACAGTCTTGGGGAAGGCCTTATATGCCAGGGTACTGCCCACCTGATGAAGCCTACACAAACCTAAATGTAGATGAGCTCACAATTAAAAAATATTGGTGGTACGGGTATGATGACCATTCAAAATGGGGAATTGCAGTTGGCCAAACTGTCCTTTGCTATGCAGATATCAATAGAATGTACAGTCAAGCCAGCAGAGGAGGCGGTGGAGTGTGCACGAATTTCCCATCACTTTATACGGTTCATAAAGCAATTGTGGAGACAACAGACCCTTGTGGACAAACTTTTGTGGGAAAGAAGCTTCAAGAAATTAATAATTAAGACTGGAGGTTCTAATAAATTACTGGCTAACTATTTTTAAGCCGATGAAAACATAAAGATGAGTGGTCTTTGATTCAAAGTCTGCCCTGTCCCAAAATTCTTAATTTTTTTATTAATAATATTGTTTATGATTAACTTGATTTGATATTCTTTTAATTCTATATACTTAGAATATGTCATTTAGTAGATGTGGTCCTTCACCAGCGCATTCGTGATCATCATCAAATTCTTGATTCCTATGGCCATCTGAAGCTGCACTTTTGCTTATTGTGCATTCCCATAGCTCAGTAAGCAAACTGCCTCTACAGTAAATCGAGAGGCTGCTGCGTGCTCCATTTTATTTGGAGCATGGCTTGCTGAAACCGGATTATTAGTTAATTCGCCATCCTTTAATAAAAATGCTGAAAAGAGTTACATAACGAAAGCCTAAAATAAATCAAATTCTGAAGCTCTTTTAATGTATATTTAAGGAAATGTAATGGGATGATTTAATGAAATAGCGATAGTCTCTGCTTAAAGCCTAGTTATCAAACTTTAAGGTTTATTTACAGATAAATCTAAGCGAATAAGTAAATTTTTATAGATCAAAGATTTGATAAGTTAGAAATTAAGATTTAGTTAAAGAGGATAAGAAGACCTGAAAGAGCAAGAAATTCGGCGGAGTCCCATGAGTCTATATCTTCGCTTGGATCAAAAATCCCCATATCGTTAGCACAGCTATCAATTACCCCTGATGAATAAAGCGACCAGGCTCCTACGATCATATCCATATTATCATAATAATCCTTGCCATCCTGGTCAATGGAGTCGCAATAAACCAAAAGGTCTAAGTCATCTTCTATATCTGTTAAATGGGCATAATTACCTGAGCAGTCACTGCTGTCATATTGGAATTTCTCATAGAAATCGTCAGTAAAATCAACTATACCCATAATATTTCTGATAGGGCAGTATCCTTTAGTAGAGGTGGTTCCTTCTCCAGCACACTCGCAATCTTTATCACTACGATATTGGTAATTGCCATGGGTATATTTGTAGCTACACGTCTGCCCTATTGTGCATTCCCATGGCTCTGAAAGTACGGTGCCTCCACTAGAAATCGTAACGCTATCGCATACTGAATTATACATCAAGCCTGATTTACAGAATTTCGCATTAGTTGTGATGGTGTTGTCCTTCAATGAAAAATACTGAAGACAGAACGAGCCAAAGCAGCCGTATCCAGCGTCGCACTGATAATCATAGCTACATGTTTTTCCTTCTCCTACTGTTTCGGTACATTTGCTTGAAGAGCAATAAAAGCCAGCCTCACAGTGTTCGTTTTCCGTGCAAGCACCATCTTCAGCAATGCCAATACACTTGTTATTGGCAGTGTCACATTTATTGCTGGCACAGTCAGCATTTACGCAGCAATAAAAATTAGTAGCGATGTCCCCATCATGAGAGGTAGGACAAGACTCAGAGGGTTCGGTAGAATCGGATTTGCATGTAGCCTCGGAATGTTCATCACTTGAAGAGAACTGATCTAATTCTTGGCAGTGGTAACCATCTGGACATGGGCTGAGAGAGACCGTGGATCCTGAAACTGTCACGCACTTGCCTGAAGAAGTAGTTTCCGAGCCACTGCAGCTGATTTTGGAACAGCTTGAGGTTTCCATTGCTAGGACTGAACTAGCCAGAAGTAGAAGAGCTAGAGCAGATTGATTCATATTTATTATAAGCTATGATAACCATTCCTAAATGTTTGAATAAATAGTAATTTAGAATTTTAATAGCCATTAAAGGATTAATAAAGTTTAAGCCGCCTTATCCAGCCGATTTTGAAAACTTCTTTGAGTAGAATCTTTATGAAATTTTTATTTTGAAAAGTAATATAATTTTTATTGACTTGCTACTATAAGTTGACTTAGGAAGATAAACTGTAGCGTTTTATTGGCACTTGGAGATTTCTTACTTAAGGAATCTGCTGCTTTTCAAGAGTTGGCTTAACCGCCAAGTTTAAGACTTGCTCGGGCATATTTATGAAACTGATTGACTGAATTTTCAAAAGCTACCAAAATTCAGCCGGATATTCTAAGAAAACGCATGGCAGAGAATAATTCAAGCTTATTTTAGATCAGTTGTCCTATAGTCTAATCATAAGAATGCATAAAAATTAGGTTAGCAAATTTGTAAATTATTAATTAAAAATTTTCATGATCTATTTGATCAGCTTCTTTTGCTTTTTTAAACGAATTATCAACATAAAAAGATAGAAATAGCTTTATTATTAGTAGTTACTCGCTCAGTTACTTGGTTTAGCATAAAATTGATAATTGTTGACATTTATTGATAAATCTTAATATTTAAAATATATGCGATATAGATGATTTAAAATTTAAGATTCATAAAGATAACACTTAGATGCATTTTTTCTGGGATCAGAAATTTTCTAAAGTAATATTTATAAAATCGACACAAAATAGGGCTGTCTTAATCAGGACCCTATCCATTTTAATTTCTCAACAATCCACTAAGACAGGCAATTTCAAGGAAGCTCAGGTTTGGGTCTAAATAGAAGCAGGAAGAAAATATAAATTTGAAATTGAAAACGAGAAACAAAAAGCAAAAAACTTAAGATTAAGAAAATATAGTTCAGACCAAAATTCGTTGCTAATAATTTAAAAAAGGCAGCCGAAGAAGAAGCTTTTGGAAATTTATTAAAAACCAGAAAAGCCCAATTTTTTGCCGATAAAGCATAGTCTCTAAATTACAATTACTAAATATCAAGGCGTGATTTCAGTATGTTTTGAGTTGAGAGTTATAAAATATAAGAAAAGAATAGAAAATGAAAACATTTAACTTAAATAAATTGTATTATTCTAGGATAGCAAATGATTTACGCTTTAACCAGGGCTTGCTTGGAATTTCGTTTTCTTATATGGTAGAGATATTTGTTTGTTAGAACTTTATAGCAGTTGTATTGGCCAGTGAAAAAGTGGGCAAGCTTAGACGCAAATTAGCATTTTTTTGATTTGAGTTGACTTTCGTTTCATTTCTCCCTCTTGGTCAGCTAAACCACACAGAAAAATATAAATATCTGTTAAAATTATGAGAAGCTTGCAATTTTGTTCTTAGCTCACAAAATTATGTCATGTCTAATTTAAAGAAGTTAATTACTATCTACTAGTCAATTATAATTTTGAGTTAAAACTAGCTCATCCTGGCTTATTTAGCATTTAAGATATTATTAAAAATGAGATTTCAAATTTTGACTCAAACTTCAAATAAATCAAAATTTATGGTAGAAAAGAATGAAAGCAATATCTTTCAAGGGAAATAAATAAAGATTTTTAGAAGTTAAGCTTTTTAGTTAAGAAGAATAAGAAGACCTGAAAGGGCAAGAAACTCTGCTGAATCCCATGAGTCTATATCTTCACTTGGATCAAAGATTCCCATATCACTAGCACAATCATCTATTTGCCCTGAAGCATAAAGCGACCAGGCTTCTTTAATCATTATCATTTCGTTCCTATAATCCAGTCCATCCTGGTCTATAGAATTGCAATAGACCAAAGAGCTCAAATAATTTAAACTTGTTATATGGGCCATACTGCCCGAGCAATCACTGCTATCATATTGGAATTTCTCATAGAAATCATCACTATATCCAGTAATAGCAGGAAGATCTCTAATAGGGCAATATCCTGTATTTGAGCCTTTACCGTCACATTCACATGTCGATGAATCCGTGTACGAATTTCCAGCAATGGTCCAGGTGTAGGTACAAGTTTGTCCTATGGTGCAGGCCCATGGCTCTGAAACTTTATTGCCGTTAACATAAATGGAGACACTGTCACACTTATAATTTTTTGATATTCCTGACTTACAAAACTTATCGTCAAAAGTGGCCTCTCCGTCGTCTAGTGAGAAGTACTGAAGACAAAAAGAGGAGCCATAACACCCGTACCCAGGGTCACATTCATAGTCGTTGCTGCAGGATTTTTTGTTTGATTTAGTTGGGACACAGGTACCTGAAGATCCGCCGCTGCAATATAAATCAGCCTCACAGGCGTCACTTGATGAGCAAGCTCCATCTTCTCTTACTTAGTTATTTAGGTATTTAAAATGTCTTCCCTCTTCAGCAGGATGATTTAGCATGCATAAGCCCATCCTTTTAACTCCCAACTCTTGACTTCAGCAGCCATCTTGCCTATCAAGCATTCTAGAAGACGCAGCCGCCTAGCCAAAAGGTCTGCACTGGTCGCGCTGCCTCGCCCGAACTTGACTCCTTCGCATGTTCCCGCCTAAGGATGAAACTCCTTTGGGTGTGTCAAGCAGAAAAACCATATGTCTCCTAATATTCTGGACCAAAGAAATACCCTATGTGGTATTCCATATTGGTGTTGCGGATAAAGGTCCACGTGGAAAACTGAATCCCATAATAATAAAAGCGAAAGGAGGAATAGTTCTCGAAGAGAACTAATTTCAATTGCTGCCATTTTATTATTATAGCTCCATCTTCCGCAATTCCTATACATTCGTTATTGCTAGTATCGCAGTTATTGCTAGCACAGTCGCTATTTTGGCAGCAGTACAGGTAGGTTGATATTGTCTCTTGCTGCTTTGTTCTAGGCAATTCACGTGCCAAAATAATATGGCATATCAAAATCTGAAAAATAGTGATTTATGCTGCAAATATGAATTTTGCATTGTTGACTCCAACTTTTGAATTGAACAAAAAATCCCTGTTCCAAAACAAAGTGGTTAATTTTATTTTTAAAAATTAAAAAAAAATAATTGAACTCAAATTTTTGAATTTAATTTATTTTTATGAAGAATTAATTAAATAAAATTAATCTATTTAGTGTTAAAACTGTTTAAATACTATTCTAATTTAGACTTTTTCTATTATATTTATAAAAACTTGCTTTTTCACCTATAAAATTTCCTATTGAAAAAAAATTATTCTAATTTAAAGGGGCTAAAGTACGCAAAAAATGAAAATTTATAGATTCTTTATTCAATTTAAAGGGCAAGTTAGTGCTTACAAAAAAAGGGCAAGGACTATAATTGATTGCTATGATATGATGGACAAGGATCTGATGTTGAGGTAGAATAGGTATTGCATTGAGCGTTATAGTGATTGTCATCTGATTGAAATTGCTCTATACCGTTGCAGTATGACCCATCCTCACACGGATTAAGAGTAACTGTGGATCCTGAAACCGTCACACAGTTACTTCCTGCAGCAGCCTTAGTCGAGCTACAGGTGATTGTTGAACAGCTTGAGTGCTCCATAGCTAGAGTGTAACTAGCCAAAAGTAAGAGAATTAGACCAAATTGCCTCATATTTATTATAAAGCTTAATCATAATTCATAAATATTTGAATAACAATCCATTTAGAATATAATAGCCATTAAAAATGTAGATAGTTACACAAGATTAAGTCCTCAAGGGTTTTTGAAAAGCTGATTTGGGTGGAGTTTTATAAATAATTTGGTATCAGTAAAAATATATACCAACTTATAAAGAAAATAAGCTTTATTACGGTTACCGTTATCCTATATTCGTATAATAAAAATGAAATAAAATAGCCAGCTTAATTAATAACTGCAAATAAGTATAATTTTTATTGGCTTGATGATTAAAGCAGACTTGAGACTATGAATTGTTATATTTTAAGGATAGCTATAGTTTAATTTCTGAAATGAACTATCAGTTTTTGGGCTGATCACAAAGCTTCGGATTTCTTCCGGCATATTTATGAAACTGATAAATTGAATTTTCAAAAGCCAAATTAATTCAAGTCAGACTGTCTAAAAATGAAAAAGTATATGAAGGATTTAAAAGAATAAATGCCTACAGCTTAATATATTTAAACATATAAACAGCTTGAAAATACAGTTAATTTTTATAAAAACTTTTCGAAAACTATTCATTTAAGTCACATTTGGCCTCAAAACAGCAAATAAAGATTAAAATAAATAAAAGATTTCGGCAGTTAATGCTTTATCATATATTGAGATCTGGCTTAATAAAATTGTAACCGAACATTTATTGTGCTTCCAAAATTTTTGAAAGAGAGATAAAATGGTAAGGCTTAGCATATTTTTAAATTAGAACTTTCTAGATATTTATTTATTCAACAGTAGACTGCCTGATAATTTCGTGATAGCTACTCAGTTAAATGTAGTTAATGACTCACTGCTAGGAAAGAAAGAAGCAACGCTAAATTGAAGAAGATTACAAAACATCCAAGAAAATGATTATTCTGATAAGAGATTAAAATATCCTGATCCAAAAAATGTTTTCCTGGAACTCCAAATTAATTTAATTATAATTACTTAACGTCTAACGTTCATCACCACATCACCTGAACGGGCTTTGCTTCTGCTTCAGTACCACCCACTTTGCATCGTACCCTATCTTAATATGAATTGTCTGTCCTTCGGCTTCAGGTGTTCGGATTTCGACAGCTGTCCTTCCAGCACTTATGCATCTGTCAGGCATGTAAATATCCCAGTATCCATCAGCAAGAGTTGATAAAAATTTAGTTGTGTAATATGTCATCATTGCCAGTATTATTGATTGGTAAGATTACTAAAATATATTAATTCTTGGGGGGCTGCTGATGAGAAAAACCTCCACTCTGAGCAAACAAGTCGGAGATTGAACGTCAATTAGAAATTTAACCGCCTCCAGCTCCAAAGAATTCTCTTTTTACAGACTACCCCACACCGCTGCATAGTATCTCTGTTGGCCCAGGCTCTATAGAATCTAGGATTTGGTGCAAGCCAAATGACTTTGCCTTTTTGATAGTGTCCTTTTCACAGAAAACAATTTGATAGTGAGACATTTGACCGAAAAAAAACGTTAATTTTCGGCCAAATGCCGCACTATTAAAAATTTTCGACTATGTATTTCGATGAAATGTGTCAAAAATCCACTGTCATTTGAACGTGGAGCCTCTAGGATTCCCTCCACTGAGCCTGAATAAGGGAATTATCCCTTACTAGATTTAACATTTTTAATGTATTGCCGGGTACTGTGTGAAGCCACACTTTATAATTAAAATTGCCCAAGGAGGAATTTCTGTTCGGGAGAACAGAAAATTCGAATGATAGCACCACATTTCGATTGCTAGGAATTCCATTAGGCAAGCATAGTAAATTTATGAAAGCCTGAGATTAGCAAAGCTTGTTTCTTGAATTTTCAAGTGTCTTGCCAAGAAAAACCAAAGAGCAAGATGCGCATATGAGATTTAGAATATACAAAGCAGAGGTGTTTAAACTGGTTAATATAATTTTAAATAATTTTAATTCAAATATATATTAAGAAATTATATAAAATTTATTAAGCTCATTCCATGATAATTATTATAATAAAATCCTAGGTTGTTAATTTAAAAAGCTTGCACACTACAACAAATATTTTGCAGATTAAATTAAATTTTTAATTTTTAATTTCTAACTTTTATAAAAATTTATTATATAATTCTACTTTAAATTTTAATCCCCTTTGTGAGCAAAATTTGTTTGCTTACTCATGGGGAAGTAAGCTGATTTTCTATTGAATTCAATAATAATTACATTTACTTATCTACCAATTCTCTATATCCAGCCCATCCAATGGGAGCAATTCCTCCATACTCTTCCATAAACTCAAGCAAAGTTTCAGTTGGTCCATCTGGCTGCACCTTATATCTTTTTGCATGTTTCAACAAATTGCATGCATTTACCCAATCTCCTTCCAAATAAAATGTCAAGGCTTCAGAAAATTCTTCAATAAACTCTAGTGACACATTTTTCCTCAAATTTTTTAAATCATGATCGTCTATAAACATAGATGACACAGAAAACCTTTGAGACTTAACATCATCATTTAGCCTTTCTCTTTTAATTATTTCTAATACTTTCGCATTTTTTGTATCTTCTTTCCTTTGACTATAATGGCTGACTTTTAAAGTAGACGTATCTAAATCAAAGGTATAAAGATCCATAGGAGCCTTAGTTCCTTTCAATGTAACTCTATCAATTTTTCGTAAATACTGTTGAGTCGTTTGTGAACAAATAGAATAAAAATTCTGACTAACTAATAGAGGAACCCCAAACTGCTTTGTTGCAGCTTCTATCCTAGAAGCGATATTTACATTTGGTGATAAATAAGAAGCATCAATTTTAAAACTGCTTCCTATCGTCCCTTCAATAGCCCATCCTTGATGCAACCCAAAACCCATAGAAACTATATATCCTGGAATCATAGCATTTAAGGCAGGGTGCTGAGAAAACGACTCAATTTTTGGGCTTTTGCAGATCTCAGCTATGATTTTTAAAAAAGAAATGAGTGATAAGTCAGCAAAAGAATTTGTGAGTCGATTGTTTTCTAGCTTCACATTTTCTTTGTTTTCGCTGATTGATTCTTTTGGGAATTTTCATACCAAAAGAAACGCTTGGCCAATGTTCTTATTTGGGCTTCCTAACTCCCCCCCCCCTCCGTGAGTGAGCAAAACCATTAGAAAAATCGTTATTTTTTGCCCAAAAACCCACCCTCCGTCAGTGAACAAAAATGTTTTTAATAGAAAAAAATTTTATGGAAAAAAAAATTGATATATAAATGATAATTATTATATTGAAATCTAGAGCTAATTCTGTTTAATTTTAAACAAATTGCTTTTTAAAACATAAATTTTATAAATTAAATAATATTTGCTTTCCAATTTTTGCGAATTAGGATTTTTTTAAATTTCGAAAAAAAATATTTTTTATAAAATATATATATAAATTGTTTTTAAAAACAAAAAATTAACCCCCCTCCGTGAGTGAACAAAAAAATTTTGTTCACTCACGGAGGGGGGGGGAGTAAGTATTTATTGACATTATTATGGACTATTTTGGCAATTTCGTTGACAAAAATCATAATATCCTGCTGAAGAACTTCTGTAGTTTCAGAAAAATTTCGAATGTCACAGAACCCAAAAATGCAATATTTCTTTTGCCCAGCAATCATGGGGACGATATCTCCTCCACCTCTTTTCATACTTTTTGTGATTACTTCTGAGCCAGCTTCACCAAAGCCTAGCACAAGTAAGGCGCCTATTTTTACCAAGGTTTTTTCTAAAATGCTTGTTTCTAATAGAATTTTATGATGGTCCTTTTTTGCGTTCTTGTTTGAAGTCTTGTTCAGAAATTCCCCAATTTCTTCTTGTTGGGCTGCTTTTACAGGATTTTCTGAAATTTCATTAACTTTTTTCATCATATTTTCAATTGGTCAAATGATAAACTTATAATTGTCCTTTGTAAAATAGATAGCTCCAAATGTTAAGGTAAGGCAAATGCCTAAGGTCATTCCTAAGTCTAAGCCTGCCTGTTTTCGGGTAGAATCCCGCATATCAAACATAGCAAGAGCGTCTAATGGCTTGCCATTATATTTGCCAGACCTTATGATCACTGTTAACTCTTCACTTCTTAACTACCCCCTCCGTGAGCGAACAAAGCCATTGGAAAAATCCTTTTTTTTGCCCAGAAACATACCCTCTGTCAGCAAACAAAAAATTTTGATATATAAGTGATAATCATTATAATGAAATATCTAGCTAATTCTGTTTAATTTTGAACAAATTGTATTTTAAAGCATAAATTTTACAAATTAAATTAATATTTGCTTTCCAGTTTTTGTGAATTGGAATTTTTTAAATTTCGAAAAAAAAATTACTAAAACTTATATATAAATTTTTTAAAAAAGAAAAAATTAACACCCCTGTAAGTGAGCAAAATTTTTTATTCGCTCACGGAGAGGGGCGGAATAAGTTAGCTGGATCAATGGAAGACTCTCATTTATAGACATTTTGAATATCTAGATATATCAAAGGAGTCATAATATTTTTGTGCTCGCTAATATAAAATTCACATGTTCTATTCTCTGCAGATTCATTATCAATGTTGGCAAACATAAAAGCCAAGCCTATAGTGAACGAGTTATTATCTTCATAGTATAGCGTCGAATAAAAGAGAGGTAAAATAATGACCATTCCTAACTCCCCCCCCTCCGTGAGTGAACAAAACCATTAGAAAAATCGCTATTTTTTGCCCAAAAAACCCACCCTCCGTCAGTGAACAAAAATTTTTTTAATAGATAATTTTTTTTATGGAAAAAAATTTTGATATATAAGTGATAATTAGCATAATGAAATCTAGTGCTAATTCTGCTTAATTTTAAACAAATTGCTTTTTAAAACATAAATTTTATAAATTAAATTAATATTTGCTTTCCAATTTTTGCGAATTAGGATTTTTTTAAATTTCGAAAAAAAATATTTTTTATAAAATATATATATAAATTGTTTTTAAAAAAAAAAAAATTAACCCCCCTCCGTGAGTGAACAAAATTTTTTTGTTCACTCACGGAGGGGGGGAGTAAGGCCAAAGTAATCACTTTTTTGATCGTCATCTCAGACAGTTTCTCCCCAATTTTGCTTTCTTTTTGGCTTTTGTATTCTACGTTTAAGTTTTGATTATTTTCACTATTTCTGTTCACTATGCGAGGCTCTTCTAGTTTTTTTTTTGATTTTTCAGGCCCTAACTCCCCTTCCTGCTTTTAACTCAAAAAATAGGGATTTTTCCAAAGGTTTTGTTCTCTCACAGAGGTGGAGTAAGGTAAAGTTATTATAATCAATGGTCTCATCATTAAGCTCAGATTCCTCTTCAGTCAGGTCTATTGAATTTCTCCCACCCCTTACATTATTTACTACTGGAGCTACAAAGCGCTCATTATTTTTCAAAAACTTGGCTTTTGCATCCTCTGATAGCTTGTAAAGCTTGAAAATTCTGATCATTTTGACGACTCTTACAATTTTAATTATTCGAGCTGCTCTGGCGCCTGCTCGAGAAGTTTTAGCAGCTCTTGCAAATTGGCTTGAACTTACAGAAGGCCGTCCTGTAGTGCTGTCAGTTCCAAAAATTTCGTCTCAAATTCAGCCTATATCAATGATCATGGATATCGTAGAAACCAGATCAAGTCAAAAATAAAAACTGAATAAATAGCCTTCTTTTGCTATTGAAGTTGTGATTATTTCGATTAAAAATACTCCCATAATGGCGCAAGTGATAGAGAAAAATATTGAGTCAGCTTCTTTTGAAGTCATCAAAAGTCTAAAGTTGTCCCCAAATAAAGCATATATGGTTAAAGTTGTAAGAAAGACAGTTGTCGACCAGTGATCATATATTGCCTCAATTTTCTTACTTCCCCCCCTCCGTGAGTGAACAAAAAAATTTTGTTCATGGGGTGTTAATTTTTTTTTTTAAAAAAACAATTTATATATAATTTTATAAAAAAATATTTTTTTTCGAAATTTAAAAAAATCCTAATTCGCAAAAATTGGAAAGCAAATATTAATTTAATTTATAAAATTTATGTTTTAAAAAGCAATTTGTTTAAAATTAAACAGAATTAGCTCTAGATTTCATTATTCTAATTATCATTTATATATCAAATTTTTTTCCATAAAAAATTTTTCTATTAAAAAAATTTTTGTTCACTGACGGAGGGTGGGCTTTTGGGCAAAAAATAGCGATTTTTCTAATGGTTTTGTTCACTCTTAGCAGAAGATGCTTATCATTTGGCTTTATCATTTTAGTTTGTGTTAATGACGATGAAGGGAGCAGGGAAATGGCTGAGCTTTCTTCATAGCTGAATCTTTTCCCTTTAAAAATTGTGGTATCATGTGTTTTATTTGTAAATGCCGTTTTATATAATAACTATTTAATTTAGTTCAAGATATACATGCTATTTTTCATATTACCAGTTTATTTATTATTTTTTACAGAATTCATCTTCGCATTATTTTTCTTGAAATTTATGAAAATTTACAATATCTCTACTAATTTTTCATTGATTACTTATAAAATTGTCTTTTATAATCTAGTTCAATATTAATAGAAATAACACAATGAGGCAATTCAAGGGGAAGCCTTATATAAGTGAAAGGATTTAAAGGATTTTTTAATAGTGCCATAGAAAAAGGAAATAAATTAAGAAAAAGCATGCCTGCTTATTCAAGGCGCTCATTTTTAGAGAATTATCGCTACTTATTCGTAAGCACATGGATACTTTTGCTTACAATCTCATCAGCTTTGCAGGCTTATGACTGTTATGATATTATTTGCAACAAAGCTGAGTCAGCAGATACATGCATCAATGTAGTAGATTCCGCAAAAACGGTGACAATAAACCCTTGCACTGACAGTAAAAGCTGCCCATCCATAAGCAAGCAGCTTTCTACAGTGACAACTAGCTGGACCAATGAAAACTGCGTCCCATCAGATCCTGAATCCATTGAATGCCCAACTAATGAGACTTCAGTTCATAATGGTTTTTATTGCTGTAAAAATGAAGATTGTGTATCAGGCATATGCGAAGGTTCCTGATGTAAAGGGAAAAGCAAAAATATTTAAAAAAATTAACCAAAAAATATATTTTTAAAAAAAATCACTTTTCAAAAATAAATCGGAAGAGTTAGGGATTGTATGCTACTCTGATTTAGAATGTGAATCTGATACATATTGTAAAGGACTCAGCTTCATTTCTAAAACTGGCAAATGCACAGCAGCAATCGAATCAGACGGAGCTTGCGCCTATGATGACTATTGCGGAATAGGCTATGGATGCAACGATGGTAAATGTACTCAGCTTTATTCGCTTAAAGTAGGATCTACAACAGACGACAAAAGATTTTGTGTCACTGATTTTGAAGTAGGAGGAATCTGCGAATATCTTGATGTCTATATTGGAAATTCCAAAATAGATTCCCCTTATAAGTGTTATATAGGATCAACCTGCTCTTATTGACTTAATAATCAGCTTTTAAAGTACAGCACCAGTCCATGTCATTGCTCAGGATTAGGGAACACAACTGGCTACTGTGGGGATTATATAGAATTTACCTTAGCTTACGAAGATTTTTTCCCAAAATTTGGGTACAATTCATCTAAGTGCTCCGGGGTTGATACACATATATCTCATCTACACTAGCGGATCACTATGATCACAAGCGTCTCTGGAGAAGATTGGGGGTTTGTGAAAACAGCCCTTGAAATGACAAATCTGTAATATATAGTGGATTTGCCATTTCAAGGGTTGACGAAACCGACTGCCTCATCATCTTGATAAAATTCGAGATCATAGCAATCCACTAGCGTAGATGAGTCATACAGATAATATAGAAGTATTATATAACTGTGGATCTATTAGTAAAGATGCTTATGACTATTACAATAACCTTCACGGCCAAGCCATGCACTGGGCTGTTTTTCAGTCAGGTGCAATAAATGATTGTTCAAGCAGCCTAGATCTATATGAGCCATCCTACACTTTAAGCTCATATGGAAAGAGCCAGTTTCTAACAATTTCAAGAATCTTTTTGTTAATTTATATAATTAATTAGAGACGTTTAATCTAGCAAAACGTAGCTGCTCGGGAATTTTCCAGTTTTCCCCCCATTTGTTCCGATTCATCAATCTTCGTCTAGTTTTGCAAGCACACTGATCCTGTCTCCGGCTTTAAATTCTAAATGTTCGTGGCCTCCTGCGTAGAAATCGTAAAGGGCAATTACTTCCATTAATGGAGAGTTTTCAAGCTCTTGTTCTGATTCGCTGCTTCGGGCTGCCACACTTTGGTTTTGGAACCGCCCAGTGCTTGGCAAGTTGCCCGAAGAGTCAGCTTGGAAAATGTTATTAAGGCTTGAAAGCTCAATTTTGAATTTTTCGCTTGATTTAAAAGCGGCTACTGAAGAAATCGCAGCCTCTAAGTTAAGTTTTAAAGCTTCTTGTTTTTCTTTGAGAATCTCTATAATATCATCATTTATCGACTGAGGTGTTTCTTTGTCCATATGTTTTCCTATCACACTGGCAAGAAACTCGACAGTCTTGCTGAGCTCACTTTTGACATAGTCTAGCTCCTTTTTCAAGAATGTAATTTGTATGTGAAGAGACCTCTCTTCTTCTTTGAAAAATTCCTTCATGGCTTCGATGGTATTATTAAGCCTGTCAATTTCTGTCTTCATTGATTTCATATCGGGGAGAATTTCGCTGTCGTTTAATCCTGGAGGCTCCTGCATGGAAAAACTGGGTTTATGGGGAGTGCTTTCTTTGAAAATCTTTTTGAATTTGTTTTTTGGAGACATGATAGGCTTGCCTGCCGCTTCTATTGAGATGTCTTGCTTTGTGTCATTTCTCCATGAAATAGCTGGTTTATTATTTTTCATATACTTAGTTGGAGTCTGAACCTTGGGCAATACTTTTCCTTCTGCTAAACTTCTGTTCCTTGCCTCCATAACGTTTTTCTTGCTTTGATGGCTCCCTGGTGACCTTGGAGCATAAATGTACTCAGTAACATCATCATTGCGAGCTGAGTCTTTTCTCCTTTTGATGCTAAAATGGGTCTTCACAAGCGCTTGTTTATTCTCCATGAAAATATTTCGACTAAACTTGAAATTAAAATAGCGAATTATCACTTAAAAAACTTCTATATGAACTAATATCCATATATTGACTTTGGCGAAACATTTCCTTATCTTACTAAAGCATTTAGTTAAGCTTAATTAATTAATTCATAATTTTTATTTTCCAAAATTATTTAATGCTTAATCAATATCGCTTCAATAAGATGTGCAATTTTCCTGAAAATCACATAGTTTGTATAGAAAAATTACAGACCTATTCCTTGCTTCATTTTTCAGATTTTTAATCAAAATTGTCATATTTTAAATCTCTTTACTGAATATTAATTTTTCAGCTTATCTTCCATTAATATCCCTCAAAGAATCCTATGACGATATTATAATAAAATCATGTCTGGCTGGGATTTTTCAATCTATCAATGTTTCAATAACTGGGTCATGTTTGGATGGGCTTGCCTTGTGCCTTGTGGATTTTGTTGTATGCAAATTGACAATGCCAAGGTTTCCAATGATGTTGACAGCAATGCTGGATTAATCGCTGGGCTCTGTGTTTGTTGCTTAGGGCCCATTGGGGCTATATACAATCGATATAAGTTAAGGCAAGCCTTGAAGGTCGATGATGATATAATTGCTGACGTGCTTCAGACTGTTTATCTACCCTGCTGTACCGTAACTCAAGAATGGCAGCATACGATGAGCGAAAGAAAAAGTAATCCGCGAGTCGCTATCTGGCAGCTTCATTAAGTAAAGTAAAGTTTAATTCTTACCGTAAAGAAATTAGTTGATTATATTGGAAAATTTTAGTGCCACTGGCTATTGTGTCGTTGATTTTTATAAAATATCCTTGATTGTGCATGATTTAAAGAAAATTGTTGGTTTATAATATTTAGTTAATTTTAAATTATCCAAACTTGATAGTGTGATAGCTGATGCAAAACAAGGTTGAATATCAGATTAATTATTATCTTAGACAAATAATATTTTCCTCTCATTTTGTCCACAATCAATTATATAGTTTATGGGAATTTAATCTAATTTTTAGTTTACTCCCCCCCCTCCGTGAGTGAACAAAAAAATTTTGTTCACTCACGGAAGGGGGTTAATTTTTTTTTTTTAAAAAACAATTTATATATAAATTTTTTTAAAAAATATTTTTGTCGAAATTTAAAAAAAATCCTAATTCGCAAAAATTGGAAAGCAAATATTAATTTAATTTATAAAATTTATGTTTTAAATAGCAATTCGTTTAAAATTACACAGAATTAGCTCTAAATTTCATTATATTAATTATCATTTATATATCAATTTTTTTTTTCCATAAAAAATTTTTTCTATTAAAAAAATTTTTGTTCACTCACGAAGGGTGGGTTTTTGGGCAAAAATAGGGATTTTTCTAATGGTTTTGTTCACTCACGGAGGGGGGGAGTTAGTAAAATTTAACTACTTTTAGAAGAATTAAAGTTTAAGACTGAAAGCTAATTTTTTGAGACTTTAATCAACGACTTATGACTTCTTTTATGTTTTTTATAATTTTCTTTAGCACTTAAATTGAGAAACAAAAGTTGTAGATTTATTTCATTTTCCGACAGTTATTGCAAAATTTTTCATTTGTTTTATATAAAGCCAGATTTAAAGTTCTAATAAATCATCATCTAAATTTTTTTGATAAAAGCCTTTATCTGAATATTTATTTGCATTTTATAAAAATTATCAGAGTCAACTTATACAGAATACCTTATTCATTCTTGATCAAAATAGATGGATTCTTTGAAAATCGCCTATGTTTATAACAATTTAAAATGTCCTTATCCATAGCAGGACACGGTCTCAATAAGCCAGTCATTAAAAATCTTGATGTAAAATCAGAGACTAGCTATATTCCTGTACCTCTAGAAGCATTAAAGCACCCTTACTTAGATGATAATCCAATTTTTCAAGAACTCAAAAGAAAGCTTTCTGCTTATTACGAGCATATTGCCTATTCTCCGCAAGATAAAAACAATTGAGAAAGCATATTTTATTCTTCCTTAAGCGCTCTTCTTGCTTCCCCCCTCTCCGTGAGTGAACAAAAAAATTTTATTCACTCACGGAAGGGTTAATTTTTTTTTAAAAAAAATTATATATAAATTTTATAGAGAAAATTTTTTTTTAGAAATTTAAAAAAATCCTAATTCGCAAAAATTGGAGAGCTCTGGATTTCATTATACTAATTATCAATTTTTCTATTAAAAAAGTTTTTGTTCACTCACAGGTGGTGGGCTTTTGGGCAAAAAATAGGGATTTTTCAAATGGTTCTGTTCACTCACGGAGGGGTGGGAGTTAATGAAATTGTATATACAAGAGATAAAGAATTGCAAATGGAACTGCTAAATAAAGTATCCAAATGAAGCTCTGAAAAGCTAAAAGAAAGAAGAAATCTCACTGCAAAACCTTCTATAAGAAGACCAACCTATATTACAGAAAACCAAGATCTAACCCCTATTTCTTCTTCACGGAAATCTACTGATTCTCGGACTAGAACTGTAGTGCCCGAGCTGACTGCAAGAAGCCTTACTCCTTTATCCTATTCTCCAAAATCCAGCCAAATGAACGATACGAAATACATGGCGTTCACTTACAGATCTGCTGTCGAGGAATATCCTGAGGTTGAGAAAAGTCTTGACCGCCGCTATAGGATCTTCAGAGATAGGGAAACTAGAGAAAAGCAAGCAATCCTTTTCAAGCAAAGTAATTTATAATCAGTGGCTTTAAGTAAATGAGAAAAATCTAACTTTCAGTAGAAACAACTTAAAAAAATATTAAAAATATGAAAAAATTTTTAAAATATTGAAAATATAAACAAATAAAAACATTAAAAAAAGCTCCAGCTAATAAAGGCAAAAGGCTTGGCATTAATTAAGATAGAGAGTAAGTCAAGAAAAGAAGAAGAAATTTCCAGTAAGCTGCAGCAGTTGGATAGTTCATATAAAATAATTAGGGATGATAATAAGAAAAAAGCAGAGATTTCTGCAAAGAAAAGAATTTACGATTTCAGGAAAGCTGTAAAAACAGAGAATTCGGATGATTCGCAAAGTGAAGATGGAGATGAAGCTGATGAGCATTATCAAATAATTGAAAAAATAGGAAAGACAAGAAACCAAGTTGCAAGGATTTTGCCAATCGAATTACAGCCTTACCGACCAAAATCAATTAAAAACGCATCACTTACAATGCATTTTAATAAAAAGCAAGAACAAGAAAGGTACTATAGGACACCTGATAGGATTACAAGTGGACAGATGACTGAAGCCATGGCTGTTAAAGCAAAGTTAGCAGCTCAAGGAATACTCATGCCTTTAAAAGACATTGAGTCAGGTCTAATTTCCCATGACGGACAAGGAAAAATTCTGCTTTCCAGCCTTCCAAAAGGAGGAGAAAACCTACTTAGTAACAACTTCCAAAACATTGATTCCAAAGGGAGGAAAGTGCTTAGGTCTAAATAAACTGCTAAACTATCATTTTTCATGTTCAAAATAACAATAAGGCTCAAGCTTATATTTCACTAATAATTTTCTCTTAAAATCAAATAATAATAAACCGACAATATATTATTTACTAAAAGTCAATGCATTAAGTAAGTCCTGCAGCTTTTGCTCTTCTTCGTGCTCGTTTTTCTCATACCACTGTTGTAGCATCGTCTTAGAAGGAAGTGAAGCGGAAGGCAAGCTATGTCGCTGCATATGTATCCTCTCTTTGTTAATCAGCAACAGCTTCTTATCTGACAGCTTTGGCGATTCCTGCTGCAAAGCGTCCGCCGTTTTGAACTTTTTTGTGCTTTTAAAAGGATTTGTCGGACTTTTCCTGTTTTTCGTTGAAAAAACGCTCTGCGGCCGCGTCGTGACCGGAATGTCATTAGTCCTGATCTCCACATCAAGGCTTTTCCTGACCAGGATCTTTTTGGACCCAGAAATTTTCTTTCTATTAGCTGGCCTATGCAAATTCATATTTCAATTAAATTAAGCTTAGAAACCAATTTTATAAATCATAAAAGCATGCTTCCCAAGGTAGAAATAAACAAATCTCCTACTTTCGTGTGTGCAGTGGGTGCCGAAGCCTTTGCCGACGATCACGTGCCAGTAAGGCTGCCATTTTTCGTCGAATTTCAGCTTGATTGTTTTCGCGACATCTTGACCTTGGGTTTCTATGTCATATTGATTGGTCGCGTCTTTGGCGATTTTGACGGCGTCTTCCAACATATCGTCAGGCATATCTGGAGGCCACAGAACTCGGGCGTCCATAAAAGGGCGTAACTCCTCTTGACTTTCACTTGGTTGAGCCATTTATTAATACTTTAAATTATTTGAATTCACATTAGAGCTTCCTTAGGCAGAAAAAGCCTTCGCCTGGAGCTTCACCTGTGTAAGACATAGAGACTCGGGCTCTGGAGGGCAAAGCGACAAAGTCGATAAAGGTCAGGCCGGTGATATTTCCTGCTGGGTGGTTGCCAGTTTTAGTTTTAGAGGATTGAGCTGAACTGCTGAGGGATTTTGAGGCCAAAATGATAGGCTCACCATTGATTAGTATTTGTATAGATGGCCTTTTTCGGGAATAAAATCCAAAATAAAGCTCATAAAGCCCTGGAGCCACAGTGACTACACTTGTTTTTTCTTTTTCCCACAAAAAATTGTCAGGAGCTGAGTTAGAAATCTGCATTTCCCAAGGGATAGCATTGCCACTTCTTAGCTCTCCTGACTTCCAAATCCATCGCCCTGAACAGTTGTCAGCACACAAAGCTTCAATTATAGGCTGCTGGGATCGCATGTACCCTGAAAATTCTTCTAAATTGACCTTCACATCTAGTTCTTTATGAATTTCGCTTAAAGCTCGGTTTGTGTCAATAATATTTGCCTTCATGTCTAGAAGTGTGCACATATCTTTTATATTAGCTTTTAATAGGAGCTCTTTTTCTAGGTATTCCAAAGATAATTTTGACGATTTTACTTGTAAATCGATTTCTTCTGGATTGAATTTTCTATATAGCTCGTCTCGGAAGCTCTGAAGCTGGCTACTAATTAAGTTTAAATCTTCTACATTTGCTTTGGCTACTAGCATTTTTGAAGCTTGTGAGAGATCCAGCTTAGTAGATAGCAGTCCTTGCACTTCTAATAGAGAAGCTTTATCATCTAAGTTCCTAAACAACTCAGTCTCTATTCTGCTGAATTTATTAGAGATTTGATCTTTTAAGTCCTGCAATTTATTCAGCATATCTTTTTGGACACTTGTCAACTCAGTGCTGACTTCTCCGATGCTTGCTTTAGTTTCATATAAGGTCGTAATCCCTTGCTTCATATTCACTATTTCCCCTTTATCTACCGAGCTATCAGCTAATTCTACCAAGTCTGCCTTAAGGTTTTCTATGTGTTCAAAAGCTTCAGAAATTTCTTTTTCAATCTCATCCCTATTGGCGCTTATGAGACTTTTCAAAGTTTTGGATTGTTCATCTACGTCACTTCTGGTAAGTTCAACAACACCTATCACGTCATCTTTAAGCCTTGCTATGTCTTCTTTTAACTTATTTATTACTTCAAAAGCTTCTTCACTTCTTTTTCTTCCTGATGAAAATTCTTTTTTCGTATCATTGGCGAGGTCTTTTAGGTCTCGCTTTAAGTTGTCAATGCTTTCTAGCATAAAAGAATGGTCAGCTTTTTGAGACAAGGAGACGAAGATTTTGTCTATGTCTTTTAGGTCTGCTTTGAGGCTGAAATTAGAGGAAATGAACTTTCTGGTTTCTTCAATTTCATGCTGGGAATTGCGAGTGGCTGCTTCTAATTGATAATTCAGCTTTTCTATGTTAGAAAATAAGGAGTCTATGTCGCTTCGCTTGGAAATTTCAGGGAGGATTTTTGTGTAAAATTCTTCTTTTTCTAGTTTTTTGTCAAGAATTAGTGATAATTGTTCTAGCGATGAATAATCTGCTTTATTTTCTAATGCCCTAAGGACTTCTTTAACCTCATTTGAATCTGCTTTCTGTCCTAAAATTGCATCAATATCTACTCTATTCGCTTTTCTATGCAGTGCACTTGCAACAGTCTGCTTATTCGCTTTCGTTTCCAAGGCTTCTTCCACATCTTTTCAATCCGCTTTTTCTTTTAGCTGACTTTTTAAAAATTCTACATCTTTTCCACTAGGAAGACTCTCAATCTCATTCCTCAGCAGCTGAATCTGCTGATGAGCATTATCAATATCCCTCAAATTTGCTTTAGATTCCAGCAGCTGTCTGGCTTCTTCCACTGAAATTTTTGAGCCTAAAAGATACTGCAGCTCGCTTTTTGAGACTTTTTCTTCTACTAATGCCCGAATTTCAAAAGAATTTAATTTTTCATTTAAACTTTCTTGGAGCTCTGATATCACTTGGCTTGTGTCTTGTAAATTCGCTTTTTGGGCCAAACTCATTGACAATTCTGCCTTGCTTGCTTTTTGAGGAAGCTGGCGCTCGATGTCTTTGATTGCGCTGCCTTGGGCTTTGACAACGTCTGTTAATGCTTTGACAGTTAATCTTACAATATCTTGGATGTTTCTTCATTCATTTAGGCCTTGCAATAAGTCATCCACAATGACAGTGGAAAAGGGGTCAGCAGCAGGCTCATATCTTCGTGGAGCTTTAGGAGATTCCATTTAAAAATAGGCTTATTAAATTGAAGAAGCTGAGTCAATAAATGGCGCTCACATTTACAACTGACATTGAGCTTTATCTGCATTCCTTTAGAAGTTTGGGCTTGCCAGGGGCTGGGAATTATCAGCTGGTTTTGTCTTGCTATTATATAAAAAGAGGAACCAAAATCTTTGCAGAGCCAATTTATTATGGGACCTATAATACCAAGCAGGCTTCTAAAAAAAAGAAACCTGAATATTTATTAGGAAAAATAATTCCAGAGGAAAACAAAATTAGGCTGAATTCGGTTAAAGTGGGCTATGAAAATATGACTTATTTTTTGAGAGATGTATGCAAATTTCAATTAAATGTGAAAGCAAAAAACACTTTACTAGTTAAAGAAATTTATTTAATGTGCGATTTGGTAGCTTATAGCAGTTTTTCTGATGGAGAAATTATAAAATCAAGCGAATTTAAGATCAGCATAGAAAATTATGCGGCAATTGAATATATTCCAATAATTTTTGAAAATTTTTGAGTGTGCTTTATGGAAGGGGTTTTATCAGTGTCTCCAATTGGGTATAAAATTAATTCTTGAGAAAAAAATGATTTGATAAAGGCTATTTTTTGAGAGAAAAAAAATCAAAATATTAGTCATGAAGATATTTTGCATAAAAAAAAGCAGCTTTTTGATATTCTATTTTCAACAATAAAAGAAATTAATGAAATTTTTGTTCTGGTATCAAAGTCTAGCATAGAGTCCAAGGAAAATATACAGGAATCTGATGCTCAAGACTATGAAATCATTTTACAAGAAATTTTAGAATGCTTGAATGATATGAGCAGCGCTTGTAATGAAGGGTTCAGACAATTTCAGGCCACTCTATTACAATCGCCAGGAAATATAATTAATATCCTCAAATCAAAATACCTATTAAACTTTCAAGAATTCATTACTAGCCGGACAATCAAAAAATTTGAATTAAATTTTGACTTCGATATCCCAGAAGAGGCTGTAAGACTTGCAAAAGACATAGAAAATTTACGTAAAAACAGCATTGAGTTCAGAAACCGAATAATTGATCAAAGCTGCTGAAAGCTAAACGTGATTATTATTGAGCATTCACTTATAATTACCCCAACACACTATTTAAAACAAGAACATTTACACGTGCTAATCTTTGTCCATGGCTTAGGAGCTTCCTCAGCTGATATGGCTAAGCTGTCAAATATGGTCACTATGGCTTACCCATATATAGAAATCAAGCATTTCGACTTAGGAGCTGATAAAACTTTTGACGATATTGGACAAATTGGGGCCAAGCTTGCATCAGAATTAATTGATTTTTTTGAAAATTCTTATTTTACTGACGAAATAAAAATTTCTTTTGTAGGGCATAGTCTTGGAGGAATTTTTATTAGGGCAGCGCTTCCTTATTTAGGATCTTATCAGGCTAAGTTCCATTCTTATATTTCTTTGTCAGCCCCACATTTAGGCGTCGCCGAACATCAGTCTTTAATTAGCACAGGTTTTAAACTTATTAGGGCTTGAAATAAATCAAAATCTTTAGAGCAGTTGTCATTAAAAGACTCAAAATCTATTGAAAACACATACTTTTACCAGCTATCACAAGCTGAAGGGCTAGGATGATTTAATTTTGTAGTTTTAATAAGTTCCAGACAAGACCTGTATTGCCCTTTTCATTCTGCAAGAATAGAAATTCCTTTAAATGGCCAAAAAAAGTATGGAGAAATGGTGCGAAATATAGTAGGGAGAATCGACGATATTAGAAAAATTATTAAAATTGAAATCGACTTTGTAAAAGAAGCTAGCTTTAATGAGTTCATAGGAAGAAGAGCCCATATAAAATTCATTGAAGATGAAGATTTTATATACTCTTTAATTTATAACTATCATTATTTATTTGAATAAAAACTAAATTCAGGATTCAATAAATAGAGAACTTCAAAGTAATATTTATAGATGATTGTTTGGCCGAGTGGTCTAAGGCGGTAGCTTTAGGCGCTATTCCGAAAGGGCGTGGGTTCAAATCCCACAGCAGTCACTTTTTAACTTAAAATTCCAGTTTTAAAAAAAAATTATGGTTTTAGAATTTCAATGAAAAGTTTATATATAAAATAAAATTTTAGGGATGCTGGCTATTATCTTTATTTTGAGTCTCTTCTTTTTCTTTCTCAATCGCTTTAATAAGATTTTTCCCAAACTTCGGAATTTGCGAAGTAGCAAACTTCCTCACCGCTTTAGACATCGCTGGTGGTAGCCCAACATTAATATGTGACACACTTGTCACCTTCGTAATATTCCCATTCTCATCTTTTTCCATCGGCTCTAAATAATACCCTCCTGCAAAAATCTGCATCCTTACAACATCTTTGTCAACAGGATAATTCTCACTTTCTACACTTGTCGACAAATCACATCAGTTTTTCCCGTCCTTGAACTTTCTGCATACCAAGAGCACATCTCTGGCAGAAATCGGAAACGCCCCTTTGTAAATGGTGTGTACAGCTGAAAAATTATCAGTTTTCATGACTTCTTCACTTAGCTTTACAGAACTATCTCACTTAGCTTTCTTTGCTGGAAAGTCTACGAGATTGAAAAACTCATCAGGTGTAAATGGCATGCAAAATTGGTACTTTACGACATAACCTTTTTCTGTTTCTTTTCCTGAGACTTTTACGTCAGGCTTGTCAATTTCAACTATGCAGTTACCACCGTCAAGTCCTTCGCGAATCATTTCTAAGTACTCTTTTTCTGCCTCTTCTAACTTTTCATTGACATGGGCCAAATTGAACCCATTCACAATTTCATCTTTTTTTACGTTCTCAGGTGGGTCATTAGAAATTAGCAACAGTTCGTCTTCTCGTGGCTTAGTCATGCATGAATGGCAAAGACTTGACACATTTTGCCCCATTTTTCTTACTGAATCAAAATTTAAACTTAATTTAAAATTAAGAAGTTCGAATCTTGGCCACTTCTAAGTACTCTTTTCGTGAAAACTTGTCTTTTACGCCAGTTAAAGTATGTATTGAAGCAGCTTGGAATACTACTAAAATGTCCCTAGAACAGTCTCGGAGCTGGTTTTCGTCAACTCTAGAAATTCTCTGCAAGTTCTGTGTCCATGCAGGCTCGACTTTGAACATTTTTCTGGTCAAATATACAGCTGAAGCAGCTATAACTGAGGGTCTATATCTTAGCATGTGGTATTCAACAAGACAAAGCTCTAATAAGAATCTTCCGAAATGGATATCAGTTTCTTCCATTTGTGTGATCTTGGAAAGTCTTTCAAAGAATCTCCAAGATGACGGGACCACCAATTGGTATTCGATTGTGACGAGGATATCTTCTTCCATCTCCACAATTTGTTCCTTTGTGTAGGCTTTGTCAGTCACATATACCAAGTCTGAAATGGCTGGTGGGCTGATGTCTTCATATTTACTTGCTATAAGTTAAGTTAAGTTAGTTTTGTAAGGCCATACGCGGCCGAGCCACGGACCTCAACACCTCAGCTCGAAAGACGTCACCGGGTCAGGTTCTGATGTGGCCATACTCCTAGGCCCGACGCCATCTTGATTTCTGGTCAAAACCACCTGTCCAAGGGATAAGCTCCTTTGGACAGAGCCACTTCTGTCTGAGTGCCCCGATGGTCCCGATGAAGGAAGACCATGTGGTAGGAAAACCTATCTAGCCCATCTGGCAGGGACAGGGAAAACCTTCGGGGGAGAAATAAAACTTCCTCTTCGGCATGGCTTCCCCACAACTGAAGGCCTACTTAGGACAGGAATGAGACCTGCATCTTCAGCTTCATCAGCAATGGGTCCTACCAGCTCCATAGGAGGTGCGCCTCGGAGTCCAATTTCCGTCAACGTCACCATTTTATTTCTTTTACTTGCTATAAGGAATGCAGAAACCCCAGCGAGCTGTAAAAATTGTTTTTTTATTTTTTTCTTTTCAAGATATCTGTCGATTATATTGACTGTTAAATAAAGCGTTTCAGGGGAAAATTTGAATTTAAGATGCACACTTACAAGCCAGTCGATAAGAATTGCCCTCATTTTGTATAAAGTTTGTAGTAAATACTATATCACTAGTAAGAATTTATAGAATAAATCGAATAATTTAGAGAAGTTTTTATTTATTTTGAAGAGATATAATTAATGTCAGTATGAAAATTCATATATTCTGGGTTTGCGAGGAAACTGCATTCTGAATTAAATAAGTTTTCATAAATTTCTGGAGCATAGTATCCAAGCTGAAGAGGGTTTAGGTCATCAGTTGTGCTACTTAATGAGTTGAATGAAGAGGTGAGGGGCTGCAAAGGCTGTCTGTGAGGAACGGGAGTGGTTGTCCTGGTTCTTTTGGTGTGAAAACGATTTGAATTTTCATCTGATGCTATGAAAGATCGATTCATTTTTTATATTTGAAAAATAATGTCGTTAATTTGGATTCTTCATAACATGTGTTCACAAATAAAATGGCGACTTATTCGACCCGTTCAGCCTTCTCCCATGCCCTCGAGTTTTTGTGCTTAAGAGGGTCGAGGCTTGGAACTTGTGTCTTGTGTGGGTTTTTCTCCATGGTCAAGACACCATGGCAGGGTGTTATAGACAAGGAAACCAGAGTCACATGACAATATTCACTTCTAGATGCGAAGGATAATGGGGACTAGAAGGAGGATTTGGGGTCATGTCCTATCTCCCATCCGTAGATAGATTATGCCGACTGCTAGGGTTGTCCAAGGAAGTACCTGGGTGTGTCTCCCCGAGAGATGGCGACGTCAAGAAAAAAGGGCGTAATGCAAATCGATGCCTAGGGCGAGGAGCATGAAGCTAGCGAAAGAGGAGAGGGCCTGAAATAAACCCCGAAGACCAATTCAAAATTATAATAATCAAATCTAATAATAACATGCGTTATGAAGATTCAAAGAGGAAAAATTGATTTTAGGCAATGATAAGCTAGCTTAAAGGTTATACTAGCCATAAGTGGGTAAACCAAGACCATGTAGTATGCAAAACCGCTTTAGCTTATCTGGCAGGGACAGGAAGCCTTCGGGAGACAAACAAAACTTCTCTCTTCGATAAGACTTCACCAAGCCTCAAGGCCTACTTCAGAAAGAGATAGAGGCCCTGCTTTCTGCTTAATTCTGATGAATCTTACCTGCTCCAGAGAGAGTGACTCGTAGTTCAATTTCCATCAGCTTTGCCATTTTATTTCTAAGGCAATGAAAGTTGAGCTAAGTTGCCATAAGTGGATAAACCACTAGCCTGCCTATCTGGTGTAAAACCCACCTAACCTAAGGATTAGCTCCCTAGGATAGAGTCACCTCTTGCGGATGCCCCCATTAGTTCCTTTAGCAAGAGTAAATGGGAGACAAAATATGTCTAGCCCACCTGGCAGGAACAGCGATATAGCACTTTCCCTTGAATAGCCTGATAACGAGCTTGCTTCATCCAGTTATCGGGCTATTCAAGGGAAAGAGCTATAACTCTTGGAGCAAAAAAAGCTTCCCTCTTTGGCAGGGATATCCAGTTCAAAAATCTACTTCAAAAGTGGCAGAGGCACTATTTTGAACTAACTCCGACATTACCATTTTATTTATTTTTTAAGCAATGATAAGAAATTCGCAGTAAAACAGATGAATATTGGCCCTGCCAATATTTAATTTTAAAAGTAACACTTATCAAAAATATTTATACTAAAAGTATTTCATAAAACTGTTAACTGACTGTAAACTTTTTATATATTAAAAATATAATTAGGATTTTACAAAATACTAAGACAATCAGATTATATTGAGAATCCTATCGCAATAAAAGGTAAAAAAAGTTAATTGAAGCAGTTTAAACGGTTAACTAAAAAATTATTTATTCTAATGACTGTTTTTCTTAAATGTTTCACTATATTTAAACATACTTACTCTCCTTCTATCAGCTAGCAAAAAAATTTCTGATCTTCCAGAGGGCGTTTAAATTTTAAAAAAAATCGCAAAAATTGAAAGTAAAAAATTAATTTAAATTGTAATTTAAGTTTTAGAGCAAGCTGCTTAAAATTCACAGAATTAGCAATATTAATATTATTTATATGCTAAAATATTTTAAAAAAATTTTATATTAAAAAACAAATTTTTTGTCACTGGAGGGGAACTTTAATATAAATTCAAACAACATTTTAGATTTAAATTTGAAAATTTAATTAGAAAATCGATATATAAATATGTCTGATAAATATCCTATATTCTTGATTCTTGGTAAAAGAATGTAAAAATTAGATTTATTCTTCCAAAATTACACTCTTATCTAATTATACTTCTTTTCTTGGAGTGGCGCTGCAAGCGCAGGCCACTCCATGCGGAATTCCTGTGTTGGTTTAACCAACATAGGAGTTGGTCGAACCAAAACTGTGCGTTGGTTCGACCAACCCATGAATTCCGCATGGAGTGGCCTGCGCTTGCAGCGCCACTCCAAGGAGGTTTCTATATCTAATTTTTATCCTCAGAAATTATTTATCATTATCTCTTAAAAATGGAAGAGTGTGAGAATCGACCCAAGGCTGAGAAGTATTTTCCACAAGGAAATGCCACTCTTATAGGTGCACAAGCAAAAATGCAATTTTTAAGGGAAAATGCAGGAATTGCCGTTGGAATTCCTTTGAGACATCAAATATACACAACTTTGCAGTCAGCTGATCAGGGTGGCCTCACCGTTCAAGAAGTATCTATTTTCCCCCATGGTTAGCGAGCAAAACAATTAGAAAAACTCTATTTGTAGAAAACCCCTTCGTTAAGGAGTAAAAAATTTTTAATATAAAATTTTAAAAAAATCTTGGCTAATGAGCAAAAATTTTGCTTGCTAACCACTAACTAACTAAATTAAATTATGGCCATAAGACCTTCAAGTCTGGCTTTTCCTCACAATTCTTCAAGTTCGTCAATGTCACACTGCTGCATCTCCTCATGTATTTCAGTCATGAAATTTGCTAACCAAGAGAAGTAAGAAACTCTGCCTTAACACAAAAACCTGCGCAAAAGTGCTTGACGAAATGGTTAGCAAGCACGAAGACATAAAGGCGACAGCCCACCGATACGGAAGAGTCTTTGTCCACAAATATCATATCTACCACAAGGAAGAACAGACACAAGAAGCTCTTAATCCCTCAATTTAATAAAGAAAACACTTTTGATAAATTTAAATTATTTTTCCATCCTATCTTTAAAATTTTTTTATATATAACTATAGGGGCAAAAAAGTTTTTAATATATTAGCACTAAAAGATACTGTGGAGCACTGCAACCACAAATAAAATAAGTTATACATTATGATCATGTTTAAAAAATTCGCAACCTTTTGTTGCGATTAATTGGAAGAGGTAGAGAAGACGAGGAATACATTACCCAGGTTAACCCAGAAATCCTTGAAGAAATCAAAAAAGCTGAAGTTGAGCACGGCAAAGCTATCCTTGATGCTATTGAAGTCAATTTGAAAGCAGAAAAGCGCCCCACAAATCGTCAAAGAGTTACACATCAAACTTTTATAAGAGCATTATTCGTGGTTTCCCGTATCCAGACGTTGAAAGTGAGTTCTATTTACGAGATGAAAGAAATGATAAAAACTGAGCTGGAGCCGAATGCAAAATGATGCCTTGATAAGAAAACAGTACTGAGAATTGTATGGAAACTTCAAAGTGTAGGATTAATTAGACAGATGTGCTTTAAGATTACACTTAAGAGGAACGATGAAAATGCTGTGGAGTATTTAGGAGATGAGTATGAAAGTATAGAAAGAAGCAAAAAAACAATCAAGTTGAATGGGACCACTGATGCAAAAGGAAACACAGTCCTTTATAAAGTTATTATTAGTCTGCCAGGGATTCATGAAAACGACCCTTTAGTAGTGGCATATCCTTTGTTGCAAAATCCTACTAACAGAAAGCCTATTGCAACTCCTGGCCACAAACTACCGTCACCGATTCCGCTGCATTCCAAATACTTGAAGAAACTTTATTTTGAAGAAATAGCAAGCTTAAAAAAATTGAAAGAAAATGGGGATATTTCACTGGAAAATTTAAATGAGACAGTGAATTATTTGTATAAATATAATTTAATCGCTCATCTTTAAATTGGAACAAAAATCCTTTTCCTATTTAAAGTAAGTTTATTTTTTAATCAAAAATTACTTTAATCGAGTCCAATATTTTTATTTTTATGTAAAATTAAAAAATATTAATCGAATTAGTGTGAAGATTATTTAAATAGTATTCTATTTGCACTTTGTCCATTAAATTAGTATTTTCACCTATAAAATCCGAATTGAAAGCAAATTATTCCAATTAAAGGGTGTTAAAAAAATAAAATTGGAAATTCTGCAAGGGAAGTTAGTGGACATTGGGAATGAAGGAGAAAAAGAAGGAGAATTAGAAAAAAAAGAGGAAATCATAAAGACTGAAGAGACTGATGCAGAGGATGAAGAAATTTCCCCTGAAGAGAGAAAAGCGGTGAAACTGTCAGTATTTATTAAATGGGCAGAATATTTTCATCAAAGAGTGACTAAACATTACTATGAGACTTTTTTCGAAACAACAAGAGTTTCGTCTGCTTATTTTGCTCTTAAAATGATTTATAATGAAAAGAAAAAAGATCCAGCTCCTCATGAAAATAAACTGAACTTAGCCTACACAAGCATTAATTTACCCTCTATGAATGTGGAATATTATGATAAGATTCCTGAAAATCTATGGGTTAAAAATGAATGCACAAAAAATCATCAAAAATCCCACCAAAAGCCTGAATCTAAAGCAAAAAATAAAGAAAAAGAAATGAGAATACATGAAAGCAACCAAAAATTTGAAGTTCAATTATCAGAAATGCGACAAAAGATTTCAGAGCTTGGCTTTCTTAAGCACTGCAGGCTACCCAAAAAGCGAAAAGGTGGAGTGCTTGATGCATGGTCAAGTATGAAATCTACCCCTCTCAAAGCCAAACAGCCTAGATGTAATAATAAGAAATATACTTCGCTATTAAATGCGATTAATATCATGTTTACACATATATTAAATCCTTCATTTCATATCCCTACTAATACAGAATTTTTAGAAGGTAAAAATTTTATACTAATAAATAAGTGAGTTAATAGAAAATACGCTGGATTTAGCTTTATTATCGCATTAAAAGTGTTGATCAAATCGAACTCTACTTTAAAATTGATAAAAACAAATAATTTTTTTCGAGCATAATTCTCTATTACAGATAAATACACAATCTAGCGCCAATTTAGCTAAATTAATGTGTTTTAGCAGATTTAATCTAAAATAGCTTATTTATGTATAAGTCATGATATATCTCATTTAATTTATAATAAAGATATGAGCCAAGCACTAAAATGCGAAATAAAGTATTTAATAGATCTGTAAAGATGCTAAAAATCGAGGAGCAAACACATTGCAATATCTCTTATATTTAGTTTTATCAAGAAGGGGTATACAAATTGCCCGGGATGGCGCTATTTTGCGCCATCCTCGGGCAATTTGTATAGCTTGATTATGAGGGGAGTTGGGGAGGTTTGCTTAATGCTGATCAGATGCAGCAGCCACTATTAAGAAAGTTTTCCTAACATTGGAAAATAAGCCTTTAATCTTTGCAACAGAACAAATTAGTGCCCTGACAAAAAGACTTGATGTGGAGCCTCCTTGCTTCATTAGTTTTCTAGAGATACTTGGAGCTATCAGTGAAAACTTTGGCAGATATAAAGTTAACCCTCCGTGAGCTTGAGGCATTCTTTATAGATTTACCATAATAAAAATATTAATTTCACTATCAGAAATATTATAATCAAGTTTTATAGCATTATGGTCTATTTGATTTTACTGTAACCTCTCCTGAATCTCTGCGCATTGCCAGATCACTGAGAATATTATTGGATTCATCTGAAATTAGCTTTTTGAATTTCTTTTTGAACATCTTTTGCTTGAACTTAACGGTGTCTACTCTGGCATCATCGGTTTTTAGCGGGGAATTTTTTGAAAAATTGGAAAGGATTTCGACTGAAAGATTTTTTAAGCTTTCAAAATTTGTCTTAAGCGAAGAATCAGCAATTTTTTCAGCTGATTCACTATTTTTTAGGCTTTTCATTCTCTGTCTCATTTTATCAGATCAAAGTTTTATTTTAGATGAGCAGGATAAAAGTTCTTTTTTCTTCTTTAATAATTCTTCTAGTTCTTTTCTTACTTCTTGCAATTGTTGGCTACCACTAACTTTTCATTGGGAAAAAAATAAGACGGAATTTTTTTGGTTTAGGAATATTAAATTTTTAACACCCTAACACCCCTAATCTTTTAAAATGCAGTAAGCGGAATCAAAGAATTTTTTGGAGACGCATCAATTGCTGCTACTCCTTTAGATATCATTTCTATTTTCTTTTCATAATAATTGCATTCTTTTTCTTTTTGGGCAATTTCGGCAGCTAATTCTGTATTTTCATCTTTTTTATGTATAAGTCTATCAACAATCTCCCTGATATCAGTAACTCCAGTCGCCATCCTAATTTTTCTAACTCTCCTCCTGAACAAAACCATTAGAAAAATCCTTATTTTTGGGTAAAAACCCGCCTCTGAACAAAATACTTTTAATATAAAAATTCTTTATAAGAAAAATTTTAATATATAAGTGATAATAGTAATAATGAAATCTCTTGTTAATTTCAAACACCTTCATTTTAAAAAAACATAAATTTTACAAATCAAATTAATATTTGAACTTTTTAGATTTTGAAAAAAAATTACTATAAATAAAAAAACAATTTAAACCCCTCTGCGATTGAACAAAATTTTTTTGGTCTCTCATGGAGACGGAGTAAATGCTGATTCCAGCTTTTTATTCTTCTTTTTTTCCTTTTCAAAATAATTCGTCAAGAATTGGTCCCAAAACTTATGAAATAATACAGACTCCCTCAATTCTTCATCGCTATCCGCAATAGCTTTCACAATTGAGTGCTCCAATAAAAAACTATTATGCTCTCTTCTCTTTTCAGTTTCTTCTAAAATTTGATGTTTTTCTCTCAAATCTCTATCGAGTTTCCCAATCTCTATTATTCTATCTGTCTTCTGAAGCTTTACTTCAGCCCTCAGCTTTTCCAATACAAATTTTGTACGCATTTTGTCTTCTCTTTTTTTCAAATTCTCGAACTTTTTGGAGCTTAAAGACAATTTTTGCAATTCTAAATTTTTTCTTATAAAAGATCTCTGGAGATCAAGGAGCCGTATGGTCTCAAGCATCCTTTGCTGCATATGAAAATAAGTGTTTAAGTTATCTTCTTCTGCAAAAACCTGTTCCTGAATCTTTTTAATTTTATTAGAAAGTTCTTTGGATTTAGCTTTGAATTGCTCAATTTGGAGACTCCTATAGCCTAGGACAGCGTTTAGTTCGTCCTTAGCAAGAAATATTCACTCTAACTCTTGGGATTGGTTTGGAATCAAATTTGCCAACCAACACCTTGAATGACTTGCCATTTGTCAACTAGTGAAATTGGCTTACTCCCCCCCCCCCTCCGTGAGCGAACAAAACCATTAGAAAAATCACCATTTTTTGACCAAAAACCCACCCTCCGTGAGCGAACAAAAATTTTTTAATAGAAAAAATTTTAATGGAAAAAAATTTTTGATATATAAGTGATAATTAGTATAATGAAATCTAGAGCTAATTCTGTTTAATTTTAAACAAATTGCGTTTTAAAACATAAATTTTGCAAATTAAATTAATATTTGCTTCCCAATTTTTGCAAATTAGGATTTTTTTAAATTTCGAAAAAAATATTTTTTTATAAAATTTATATATAATTTTTTTTTAAAAAAAAAATTAACCCCCCTCCGTGAGTGAACAAAATTTTTTTGTTCGCTCACGGAGGGGGGGGGGGAGTTAGTAACTTTCGGTTCCAAACCAACTCCACAAGTTGAAAAGAAGCCGCTGGACCAGGGCAAGCTAGAAGCTGTCCTAGGCTATATCTGTTTCAACTTGCTTTAAATACGCCAGTTCAGATGTTAGAGCTTTTAGTGTTTTTTGTCTTCGGCTAGTTTTGTCTGTCGTCTGGTTAAAAGTTTTGTGGAGAGTTTTTAATTGTGCTGATATGTCAAACGGATCGCTTGATGAATTCATATTTGTAGGAGTCAGGTAAGAGAGGTCTAGGAAGCGTGATGTATCCCTATCCCTTATCATCAGATGCAGTCTTCTATAAGTGGCTGAACTATTGAGGTTCCTGCTTGATGGCTCTATACTGCGAGGTCTTTGGATACTCGAAAGAGTTAAATTTGGAAGTTTATTCATAATGAGGATTTAGAATTTTAAGAAGCCTATTAATGCAGAAGACCTTATGCAGTAAAATTGCCACACAAATATAATTAATACAAAATGTCAAATGAAAATGAAGAAAATCTTCCAAATAAACGCCCAAACAGACCTGAAGAAAGTGAGGTTCAGGAGCCTGAAAAAAGAGCTAATTCTGTTTAATTTTAAACGAATTGCTTTTTAAAACATAAATTTTGCAAATTGAATTAATATTTGCTTTCCAATTTTTGCGAATTAGGATTTTTTTAAATTTCGAAAAACATATTTTTTTATAAAATTTATATATAAATTTTTTTAAAAAAAAAATTAACCCCCCCTCCGTGAGTGAACAAAATTTTTTTGTTCACTCACGGAGGGGGGGGGGGAGTAAGCAAACACAAACTTCTGACAGCGAAGAAGAAAAAGTCCAAGATAATGAAGAAAGAAATATCATGATTCGAACGATTGAAATTGAGAGCTCGTCTGATAATAGTGAAAGTCTTGACGCTGAGATTGAAAATTACTTGCAGTTCAGAAAAAGAGACCAAGGGTTAAGGTCACCTTCTTACTCTGGGGACTCTGATGAAGAATTGGTGGATGAGTTGCCGATGGAAAATGCTGAGGCTTCTGAAGAAGAGCTTCATGCGAATAACACTTAGAAATGACAAAATAAATAGTTAATCAGCGTACTGAGGAATAAAACTTTGCTTTTTAATTTCAAAATTTATTAATTATTTAAAAACCTTCTTGTAGACCCTCGCTATCCCTTTTTCTATTTTCTTAACTGCTTCTTCAACAAATTCAAGCCTTGCTTGGAACTTCCGAGAAATATCTTGAAATGCTTTTACAGCCAGTTCTTCTTTTCCAAGCGTTTCTAAAAGGAATCCGACTTCTTGGCTCTTTACAATCACTTCATGTGTTGTGACTGTTTTTTCTTTGAAGCTTGGGAAGTTCTGTCTGGATATTGAGTTGTCGTAAATTAAATATTTGTCAACTAGTTTTCGCTCAGAAGCAATATATTTAAATCCTATATCAGCTCCACAAAGGCAACTGATTTTCTGCATTGTATTGTGATTGGAAATTCCAGTTTCCCCTTCTGTAACATTCAACATAAAACTAAAAACCATTCCTTCAAACCAATACCCTGAATGTGTCAATACGTTTTTACACTGTTTACATTGCAGGATTGTGAATGAATTTATATTAAACAATTGGTCGTTTTCTTCATTATGACAATCATACGGAGTATTTTCAGCTGTAACTGCAGAACTTATGCTTGGCTTTGGGTCAATTATTTCTTCGTTTTCCACCTTGGCCAAAGGAAGAGCTTTTGGGTTCCCCACTATGAAATCAAGCTGCTGGATAAATTCAATTTCCAAAAGGATCAGAAGCTGCCTGTTTTTATTTTCAAAATTGCCATTTTGTAGTGCGTAGTCGTGAATTTTTATGAGAGAAAGCTCTGTGACTGAGTGGCTTGAAGACGCTGGTTGAAGACGGGTATTTGAAATAAGAGCATTTAGGTAGTCTATGCCATCTGATATTGAAAGTCTAAATAAATAATACTTTGTGCAGTTTTGAGAAGTTGGGATGACTGAAATTATTTGAAAGACTAAAGGCAGAGGAAGCTTTTCTTTTCCTTGAATTTGAGAAATTGAATTTCTTGATAATGGCGCAAACATTTAAATATTTTAAGAAGGGTTTAGCTTTGATAAAGACCCTCTTAACTCCACAAGACAGCATTTTCCCCTTTATTTACTCTTAAATTACTTTTAAAATCTTTATCATCTGCGCTTATTAAAGTTCTGATTCAGAAATTATTCTTTCTTTCATGATGATAACTGTTATCATTATATTACTTATAGAGAAGTTCACTGTAATTTCCGAAGGACTGCCTCCACCTTAACGCCTTCCTTCGCCTGCCTGACAGTTCGTGCACGACCTACAAAGACAGCTCCTGTGGCAGGGGCCTGCGCTCACTACCGGCAGTTGGATAAGTTATACCACCGTGCCGCGTTAGCAAAAGTCACCCACCATATAAAATTAAAAATGGCTATTTTTTTGGATTAAATCTTGACCAAATTGGAGATCGAAGCTCAGGTCGTAACTCCTGGCTTCAAACAATGTGAAACAATCTGATGGCCAGAACTCAAGGCTCCTTGCTCTCTGAAGCAAACCCTAGATCTTGGAGAAGCTTACCAAACCAGAAAAAACTTGGCGGATGCATGCTCCCGAGCGCCATCATCCATTCTTCGAGGTCCCTGCACACCTGTGGGATGCCAGTTGCAGGGATAAAGAGGGTGAGTTGGTAGCCTAGCCATTTTAATGTATGATGATAAGCTACCAATTGATACCTATTCCTGATAATCCCTTCATCATTTTATTCCTATATTTATTAAATGGGAAATTTACCACCTGGCGGAGGTGATCAACAAGGAAACGAAAACAGAAAAGAAGAGTACAAAAAGCGTCGTCAAGAACAAAGAATCCCAGCCCGAGTCGGTAAAAAGAAAAAAGTCCGTGGCACAGAAGGAGCCGCCAAGCTTCCCACTGTGACGCCTTCTTTGAAATGCAGACTTAAGCAGCTGAGGCTTGAAAGAATCAAAGACTATCTCATCCTGGAACAAGAGTTCATAAAAAACCAAGAAATCCTCCGCCCACAGGCCGAAAAAAAGGAAGAAGAGCGTGCCAAAGTTGACGAACTCAGAGGATCACCTTTGTCAGTAGGCTCACTTGAAGAATTCATTGACGAAAACCACGCCATTGTGTCCACTTCAGTCGGCCCAGAATATTATGTCTCGGTCCTTTCTATAGTCGATAAAGACCAACTCGAGCCAGGCTCAAGTGTCCTTCTCCATCACAAGTCTCATAGTGTTGTCGGGATCCTGCAGGATGAAGTAGACCCACTTGTGAGCGTGATGAAGGTAGAAAAGGCACCACTAGAAAGCTATGCCGATATTGGAGGGCTTGAAGCTCAAATCCAAGAAATCAAAGAAGCTGTGGAGCTGCCTTTGACTCATCCTGAATTGTATGAAGATATTGGAATCAAGCCACCCAAAGGAGTCATATTGTATGGAGAGCCAGGCACTGGGAAAACTTTACTCGCCAAGGCAGTTGCAAATGAAACCTCAGCCACATTTTTAAGGGTCACTGGGTCTGAGCTTATTCAAAAATACCTAGGAGAAGGGCCAAAACTTGTAAGAGAGCTTTTCAGAGTAGCAGAAGAGCATGCGCCTTCAATTGTGTTTATTGATGAAATTGATGCAGTCGGGACCAAAAGATATGATAGCAATTCTGGAGGGGAAAGAGAAATCCAAAGGACTATGCTTGAGCTACTAAACCAATTGGACGGGTTTGACTCAAAAACAGACGTAAAAGTCATTTTAGCGACTAACAGAATTGAAACTCTTGACCCAGCTTTAATTAGGCCCGGTAGAATTGATAGGAAAATTGAGTTTACAATGCCTGACATCAAAACTAAAAGAAAAATCTTCCAAGTTCACACAACAAAGATGTCGCTGGCCAGTGACGTCGATTTAGAAGCTTTTATTATGGCTAAAGACGAGCTTAGCGGAGCTGATATTAAAGCGATTTGTACTGAAGCAGGCATGCTTGCACTGAGAGAAAGAAGAATGCAGGTGTGTCAGGAAGACTTCTTGAAGAGCAAGGAAAAAGTACTTTATAAGAAGAAAGGGAACATACCAGAAGGCCTTTACATTTAACAGGAATCTTTCAAAATAGTTCTTGTTGCTTCAAAATTTAAATATTAGTTGTTTGCCAAGCTTTAAGCTTGAAGCTTCACGAAATTCACTGAAAAATACCTATTTTCTGCTTCACTTCCTTATTCATATGGGAAATACAATGGTTAGGCTAACTGAAATTGGACTCATAGGCACACTCCATATAGGGTAGGTAGGACCTGTTGCGATGAAGCTGAAAATAGTACTTTTTAACTTTTTGAAGCAGGCTTTCGGGTTTGGCATGCCTGCTGAAACTGGGGAAGATTTGTTTCTCCCTTGAAGGTTTCCCTGTCCCTGCCAGATTGGCTAGATTGGTTTGCCTCCCACGAGTCTTTGTTATAGGGACTGACGAGGCATCCACAAGAGGTGAGATAGGCAGTCGAGTGGTCTATCCGCTTATGGCATTAGAGCGTTTAAATTAACCTTATTCCTATGTTTCAATTATTTTAATTATTAAAATCTCCTTTCTTTTCAATTCGAAAAAATGAAATATAGACAATTCATAAAATGTAAATGGAAGTAACAAGAGCCCTTCAAGCACTTTTACAATATGCAAGGAATCTTGATCTGTGTAAAATTGATTATTTATAATTAGTTTTAGCCTTATTTTGCTTAGTTGGTGAGTTCCCTCTCTTACTCTGTGTATAATTCGGTGAATTGCCTTCTTGTGGACCTTTACGCTTATGCGCAAGCATGTCTCCACAGGTCTTGCAGACTCTGACGAGCGCAGAATATCCAAGATGTGGAAGCGTGGTCATAATCGGTGAGCAATCAGAGCAAACTGACCGGCCACAAGCTCGGCAATGATGTCGACGTGTGAAAACACCAAATTTGGATTTGCAGCATTCGCAAGAGTCTTTCAAAGACCACTCCGCCCGCAGTGATTGCTTGACAAAAGAGGTTCATTTCAAGAACTCATCCGCTGAGCTGGCCCTCAGTTTTCACTGCTGTGATGTGTTATCTTTTGTTATTCCCTTCTGAATAAATAACAAATTTTTTTTTTCAATTTTTAAAAAAAATCCATTCAATTGTGCGGGCATACAAATTTTACTGTGAAAATTAACGAGTTACCTTGTTCATTTAAGACTTCGAAGTTTTTATCGAGGAGAACAGTTTCAATCATCTCACCTGACGCGCTGCATTCGAGGGTTGAGCCTTGAAGTTTGAACTTGCAATGGACTCAATCTTTCTCGTCAAAACTAAAAGACCGCTCTGCATTGTCGAGGATTGAAGGGAATTGGACGTCTAAGCTTCCTTCAAATGCCAATTCGCTTTGGAATGTTACACTAGATCTATCGATTTTTGATGGAAGGATTCCCATTTTATTGTATTAATTAGACCACAAAAATTCGTCGGAAGACGACATGCTGGTTAGGAAAGATTATTAGAGCGGAAAATTGTTTTTAATGGTAAATTTTATTTTCATATCAGATTTAAATCTTTTCTAAGGTATGGGATTAATTGCAAGGGAAGATGAATTTTTCTTTAGTGTACAGTGCTTAAATAAATGGGGCTTTACTTACTCACCCTATATGCGCGAAAAAATTATTCACTTACTGGGATTTATTTTTTTCTTAAATTTTGCATGCAGTTTTAAATTAATTTTTTCGAAATTTAAAAAAAAAATCGCAAAATGAGGAAATTAAAATTATTAGAATGCAAGCTGTGTGAAATTCATTTTTTGCTTGCTCACAAAAATAAGAAAGTAGGATTTTCCCTATAGTTTGCTCGCTGACAACAGGGAGTTATAAATTAGTGAGACAATAGAGAAATTAATATGATTTATTATAATTTTTTAATATAAAATAAGAGATTATGAGCATTAGAATTGGGTAGGATGAGTTTCTGATATAATATAAAGCCAGATATGATGAAACTAAGAGAGATTCATGTCGTAAAAGGCTTTTCATATTTGATATTGTTGTGGTTTAATATGGACAGAATTTTTTTAACTAGCCATATCCTGACCTCTTTACCGATAAAAGCAAAAAATTATCACAAAAGATTTAAATAAGCACATTTTTAATTTTATATCATGCCAAATACGAAGTCTTAATAACTCCCCTCTTTAAATTGGAACAAATATCGTTAAATTTCAATATTGACCCCTTTTAAATTGGACGATAATTTTAATTTTTAAATTAAATTTTATAGGCAAATGCATTAATTTTTAAATTACTTTTGACCTAAATTAATGGAGAAGTATGCAGAATGAGTTTTCATACTTTCGATTAAATATTAATTAATTCTTTAAGAAATAAATTAAAATTAAAAAAATTGAGCTCAATTTATCCTTAAATTTTAATATAATTCTTTGCTATAAAATAAATTAAATTAGAAAATGTTTTTTGATCCAATTTAAAGAAATAGGGAGTAAGAGGTTTGGCTTCGAAAACATAAGAAAACGTTAGAAGTAAAATATTATAGCTATCCTAAACAGATGAGCTAAGAAAAGTTAATGTTCTTGCTTTTTTTCAAGTTAGCATTGTAGGGAGAAACCAATTTTTATATTCCATATTTTAAATAATATTTGTCTCGCCAAACATCTTTAAATACTAACTTTATCGAGAAAAAATTTTTTAAATTATAATTTTAGGTGCATTTCAAAATTTTAGAAGCACCTCTTAAATTAGCATTATTAATTTTTTGAAAAAGAATTATCAGATTTTTTAGCAAGATGAGTAAGCACTTTAACTTATCGTTAAAATCGCCCACGAATTCGGAGTAGGATTTATTTTTCACTTAAATTTTTCTTAATCATTATAGTTAATTATTTTCTCACAAATTGAATTTATTCAAAAAAATTCTTAAAAATTTTGAAATCTTACTCCTTTTAAAGAGTGAGGAAAAATTCCTATTTTTGGGAAAATTTATCCCTTTAAGAGTGAGATAAAAGTTTTTTAGTGCAAGTATATTGCATATAAAATATTTTTATGCATATGCAATTAAAAATTTTATAGAAAAATCTTCCTCAAATTATATGAAATTTACATTTTAAACTTAATTTATTAATTAGATTAATTTTCTTTTCAAATATCATAAATCCGAAATCTTAATAGCCTCTGAATTATTGAATCTAAGTTCATAAACTTATCAACCAATTAAATTTCCATTTCAGCAAATCAAATTTAAATCCTAAAGAATAATGAGAATATTGACAAATCAAACATGGCAGAAGCTACTGCCCTTACCAAAAAAATTAACGAAGAATTCCGTGAAATAATCATAGACCGCGGCCGCTATCTCGAGTTGAGTGGCTTTCCAAATAGCATGACAATTAGATTTATTATGTTTATAGCCCACTACAAGTTGCCTCTGTCTCGAAACCGCTATGGGGTATTCGATTAGTCTTCCTCAAGTTCCCCAAGGGGAGTCACCTTGATTTTCTTTACAATGAGGTACCAATTTTGAACTGCGAGCATTGATAACTCTTCTTTGAGCTCTGGCGAAAAATTTGGGGTCTGTAATGCACCCTGAATGTCCCAGTCTCCACCATCTGGGGTAAATGGTAACCCTCTAGAAAATTCAACTCATAGAGTAGGATCTGATAAAAAAAACAATATGCTCTTGCTTCCCTCATATAGTTAGCCAATTAAAATGCTCAAGAGGCAGGAAGACTATAAAATTTGAACGTCACGATATTTGAATTATTGTTTCCCAAATAATTTCATTTCTACAGGCAAATACAACATATTTAACCTCATTCCCAAAAACCTTTTCGAACAATTTCAAAGAATAGCTAATATCTGATTCCTCATCGTCTCTATATTGCAAGTCCTCCCCTTAAACTTATCCCCTACTTCAAGCTGGGCCACTATAGCTCCTTTATCCCTTGTCCTTGCAGTAACCCTAGCTAAAGACGCTTATCATGACTTCAGACGCCACAAAAGTGACAAGGCCATCAATAATCGACTGATAAAAGTATGGGTCGAAGAAAACACTGAATGAGAGTACATAAAATGAATGGACCTTCAGGTTGGGAACATCATTTTATTAGAACAAGACGACTCAGTTCCAGCTGACATATTAATTCTTACCACTAGCCATTCCTCAGAGCAAAACTGCTTTATTGAAACTAGTAATTTGGACGGCGAAGACAATTTGAAAATCCGATACCCTCCTGACGAAATTTGTAGTATTTTAAATGGGCATACTGCTACGACCGCTATGATCAATATCAATCATCTTGATGAGGCGGTATTTAAACATAAAAAAATGGCGGTCTAAGCGCAACCAGCTTCTTGACACAATTTTTCAACTTTACGGACAAGTCAACAGGGTGAGAAACCATCTATATGAAGGTCTGATACGGCTTTATGATATCTAGCTATTTCTCCCTCTGTAGCTTGGTTTTGCCTCTCTTCTAAAAGGCTTTTCCCCCTTCTAGAAGAGCTTTTTCGGACCAAAACCTGGCCACGTCCTGCATCGGTTCAAGACAAAGCTGCTGGAGCAGATTTAACTTATATTAAGAAAGAACAAATAGCGAGCAAGTCCCAAACCTAAACACTCTAATGGCGTGGGTCATCCACGTGCCTCAAGTATAACCGGAGAGAAGGCCTCTGAAACCTGGAGCAAGGAGCCTTTCAGTAAGTCCGATGGTAGCTGAGCCGTTTCGCGACGTTGGGTGAGATCGGTTAATTCATATTGGTATGCCGACGACGAGAATTCTGATCATAAATTAAATAGCAATAACGGCATCTGGGTAAGTCTTTGACTCTGCTCCTATGATGGAAATGGGTAAATTGGCAGTGTCCTTCGGGACTCATAAGGTGGACCTTCATCGCGATACCATCGGTTGTTGCCTGAGTCTAGGAACTGAGCCTTTTTACCTGTAGCTGCTGAGGGCATGCACCCAGCACCTATTAGATTCGGGTTTTCCTGGATAAAGCTACTTTTTAATGAGTCCGCAGGCTGCATAAATCCATATTCTACCCACTCAAAACTGGAGTCCTTAGTTGGGTAAGGAGAAGACGACCCCCCTCGTGCACGCTCAATCCGCCCTGGCGTGAGGCGGGCTCTAGTGAAGATGGAGAAAATGGCTTAGAGCCCCGCCGACCATCATCAACTCAATCACGTTTAGGCGATGTCTTGCAGACGAACCTTCTGGGATCCTTGGTGGCTGCATAACCAATAAGGCACTCTGCCATCTATAATTAAAGATTAAGATGAGGCGATATTTAAGACAGAGCAGCCGAACAATAAAATGCATACTTTTGATGGCTCGCTGAAGCTCAAAGGATACCCAAGAGCGATTTCGATAAATCTTAATAATATGATATTGAGAGGAAGTACATTAAAAAACACGAAATGGATCATTGCAGTTGTAGCGATGACGGGGGTTGATACAAAGCTGATGAAAAACTCCCAGCACCCTAATCACAAAAGAAGCAATATTGAGAAGAGGGTAAACCGCTATCTTATTATTGTATTTGGGATGCTTTTAATTGTAATCATCACATGTACAGCAATTTCGATGGTTTATGCTTATGCATATGAATCTAGGCTGGAGTTCTTTACTGGGAAGGGCTCGAGTGGAGCATTATTAAATGCAATCACGTTTATGATATTATATAATGGGATGGTTCCGATTTCTTTGTATGTAACGATGGACATTGTTAGACTTCTTCAAGCAAAGTTTATTACAATGGATCTCAATATGTATTATGAGCCAATTGATCAGCCTGCTGAGGCCAAAACAGGAGACCTTAACGAAGATCTAGGCCAAGTCGAGTATTTGTTTACTGATAAGACAGGCACATTAACTGAAAACTTGATGGAGTTCAAGATGTGCTCTATCCACGGCCAAATTTATGGCTCTATAGATCCAAATAATACTTCAATGCCAGCGCAAGTCTGCCAGCACCCCAGGTTCGCTTTTAACGACCCTTCATTTTTAGCCAGTCTCAAAAGCACCAGACATCAAGAAATCAATGAATTTTTAGAAGTCCTTGCACTGTGCCACACTGTGATACCAGATCAAAAAGAGTCAGGAGAAATCGAGTATCAAGCGGCTTCGCCTGACGAAGAAGCACTCGTCCTTGCTGCCCACTGCTTTGGGTATTCTTATATATCAAATAAAGCTGGGTCATATACTTTAAGAGTAAATGGTGAAATCTGGGAATACAAGCTGCTCTGTCTTAATGAGTTTACCTCAAACCGGAAAAGGATGTCTGTGCTCGTAGAGCCTATTTTTGATAAAAAACGAAAGCCTGTTTTGTATTGCAAAGGAGCTGACAATGTTATACTAGAGAGATGCAAAGATTCAGAAGAAGCCAAAGACTTGCTTAATGACCACTTAACTGAGTTTTCAATGAATGGGTTCAGGACTTTAGTTTTAGCTAAAAAAGAGCTGACTCCTGAAGAAGCCGAAGAGTATGAAAGGAAATATAATACAGCTAAAAATGCACTAGCTGATAGAGAAGAAAGGCTAGAGGCCTTAGCTTCAGAGCTTGAATGAGACATGGAACTAATTGGAGCCACCGCAATAGAAGACAAAATTCAGGAAGGAGTCTCTGATACCATTTCCACCCTTTTAAGAGCAGGCATCAAAATCTGCGTGCTAACTGGCGACAAGCAAGAAACAGCTATCAATATAGGCTATTCTTGCAAATTACTGCAGCCTGAAATGAACGTGATAAAGCTGAACTCAAAGTCTCTGCAAGAAGCTAAAGAAATGCTTCAAGCGACCTTAAACCAAACTTTATTCGATAGAGCTTTTCGTCGAACCAACACATTCCTGCAAACAATTCAATACGTCGATGCATCACCTGACTTGTCCCCACTCGATAAAACTTTGCCTCAGCGAGGTCGAAAGGCCCGTTATAAGTTTGTCAAAAGCGAATTTTTCATTGACGGAAGCGTTTCTCCAGAAAAAGTGGAAACTTTAAACCTTGCCTTGGTCACAGACGGGACCACATTGACGTATATTTTAAACGACACTTTATGCATGAGGTATTTTTCTATACTGATGTGCATTTCTCATGCTGTTATTTGTTGCAGAGTTTCGCCTCTGCAAAAGTCATTAATTGTGCAGCTGGTGAAAAATCATTTTTGCTTTAAGCCCTTAACCTGTGCAATTGGAGACGGGGCAAATGATGTTGCAATGATACAGGAGGCTCATGTAGGGATCGGAATTTGTGGGAGAGAAGGCATGCAGGCTGCAAATTCAAGCGATTATTCAGTTGCGAGGTTTAGGTTTCTGCTCCCTTTGCTATTGCATCATGGGAGGTGAAACTATCAAAGAATTTCTATGGTTGTCCTCTATTCTTTCTATAAAAATTTTCTACTGATTTTGCTTCTTTTTTATTTCAGCTTTATGAACATGTATTCTGGCACAAGTTTGTATGATTCTTGGCTGATGATGGGTTACAACGTTGGCTTTACAGCGCTGCCCATTATAATTCTTGGCGTTTTCGATACAGATTTATCAAGACAGGCCGTTTTAACCAATCCTCAAGTGTATACTGATGGGATTTATTCTAAAAAATTCAACTACAAGATTTTTATAGTATGGACTTTTAAAGCAATATATAAAAGTATTATTGCCTTTATTTTTCTTTGGCAATGCTCTTTACAAAGTATAGACAAGGATGGGAACCCTGAAAGCTTGGACCAAATGGGAGCTGCTGCTTACTATACAATCGTCCAAATCGTAACTTATACTGTTTGAAGTGAAATGAAGCAGTGGAATAAGCCCTTTATTTTTGTTACGATTTTAAGCTTAATTGCCTTTTACCCAGTCATTTTTATTTATGACTATTCAGGATTTCCAACTACCAGCCTTGAAGGAGTGTCCGTTCACATGTTTTCGGCAAGCTCGTCTGCGTTTTATTTATTTTTCGTGCCTTTTATTTGTGGCATTCCCAGACTAAGCCTACTTTGATGGAAAAGCGTTTTCCATCCCAACAACGTGCAAGAGCTGCAAAGGACCTCAAATAAGATTTACCCCAGCAAAAGCTATGTCGAAGACTCCAAATTCAACCTTATTGCTAAAAGAGCTGTCCAGTATTCTGCTAATCTGAACAATATCTTCGTAAGCAAAGGACTTAAAGTCCAGCGGCACGAAGATGACGAGCGGGAGTACTATGCTTTGCAAAAATATTCAATGCAGTTTAGAAACGTGTACGTGGAAAAAAGCTATAAAATGTACCTTATTGACAAAATATTTAGATTTGTGAGGATCATGTTTTTGTTACTTTTGGCGTTTTACACTGTGTGGAATATTATTGACAGCATGTCAAATACGTATACTGTAGCTTATATTGTGATAAGATGCTTGATTTGGCTGGTGCTGGTATGTGTTGTGATATTCACGAGGACTAGGTTTTTTAAAGATAATTATGATAATTGTATAGTGATTATGATTGCTTGTGCACTTATAGTGAAGTTTGTGCAAGAAGCGATTAACCAGAACGATGGGTCGATGAGCACGGCTGTGGTTATAGTAGGAAGCTTTATACTGTTCAAAGCTAGTGCTTATAAAATATTTATTGTGAATCTTGTTGCTTTAATTGCGTATTTGATCAGAATTAGTGTGACTTATGGAAAAAAGTACCAGAGTGAGTCAATTATTATTGTTTCAAGCTATGGAGTGCTGCTCTTAGGTATTTTCTTATCTTGTGGGTTTATTGCTTTTTCATTTGAAGTCACAAAGAGAATGGAGTTTGTATGGAAACGCAAGCAAGAAGCTCAATACCAAAAAGGCCACGACATTCTTGGCAATCTTTTGCCAAATTTCGTAAAGGACAGAGTAAGACAAGGAGTCAGATATATAGCTGAATCTCAAAGCATGGTAACTGTAATGTTCTGCGATATTTATGAATTCGACAAAATCTGTGCAGCTTTAACTCCTAACGAGCTTTTGCAGCTACTTGATCGCTTTTTTTCGATGCTTGACCAATTATGCGAAAAGCATGGAGTCACAAAAATCGAAACAGTCAACAAAACTTACATGGCTTGTGGAGGACTTTCAGATATCGAGGCTACAATGAAACCGTCTTTGCTGGAGCTAAATCATGCTGAGCGATGTGTAGAGCTGGCTTTGGACATTATAAAAAGACTTGAGCCTGTATCCATTAAAACAGGTGACAAACTAAGAGTAAAAATCGGAATAAACTCTGGCCCAGTCATAGCAGGAGTCGTAGGTGACCACAAGCCTCAATTTTCACTTGTAGGAACTACTGTTAATGAAGCAAGCTTAGAACTTAGAATTTAATTACTTAGAGAGTTTAACGTGCTTCTCTGGTTCCGCAGGGTGATTTAACAAAGTCGCAAGGGCTCACCAATAGACTCCAACTAATGACGTCACCGGGCATTTCCGACGTCACCCTTTTTATCGGGTGGTCAGACCATCCAAAGCAAATGACGGCCAGTCGAAGCCAGATCTCACGGGCTGCGTTGCCTTACTCGGAAGTGCCATGCAGAAAACCCTATGCCCACCAAACATCCACGGATCAGACCAGGAGGCTGTGCACCCCTCCAGTTGCTTACTTGATATTGCTGAATAAGGTCTCACCAGGAAAACTGAACCCTATAATAATAAAATGGGCAAGGAGAGAAATTCCTCGGGAGAGGATTTATCACGACATAGCCATTTTATTATTATGTGTCAATGAAGCAAGCAGAATGTGCTCCACCTTGAAATCCCCTGACAAAATACAAATTTCTGCTTACACCCATGACCATTTCATCACCCCAGGCAAATATAAGCTTGAGCCTGGGTTTGTGGAAGCAAAAGGGCTCGGCAAGGTTCAAGTTTACGTAATCGATAAAATCAGTGTAAGAAAACTCACCCGTAGGCCAGTTACTTTTAATAATATGCACCCTCATTTTGCTAAACCTGAAACTACTGAAGGCCTCGATATCACTAACTCAGACCAGCTTGAAATTTCAAGAGAGCCTTTAATATCCGAAGAAAATGAGCTAAACATATCAAGTTACCACGAAGAAGACGACGACACAAAAACTCCTCACACAGCTGTAAAGTTTGACTTGGAGCAGCTTAAGCTGCTCCCTAATACGGATGATGACTCACAGCTTAACGTTGCGGGGCCTGTGCAATGGGTAGCTTGCTCTTTCAAAGAAAATGAGTCTCAAAGAGAGTTCAGGGTCAGCTCGCTTGAAAAAGACTGAAAAAGATTAATTTCAGTCAATTGAATCGCTACATTTTTCTTTACTGTACTCGCGTGCATTTATCTAGGGACTTTTATAATAACAGGATCTCATTGGAGCATTGCACAAATAATTTATCGTTTTTCTGGGATTTTTTTTATGGTAATCGTGATTTGGAAATTTAAAGCGACTTATAAGATGCCGCTTTTTCCTTGGGCGATCATGATGATTTATATAAATCAGAGTTTGATTAGTGCAATTTCGCTGTCCAGCTTGAGTGATGAGTTTTTATACTTGGTAGTCATTGAGTTTATGTTTATAAATGTGGTGATAAATCATATCAGTGGCTTGCTATTTGGATTTATCCTTATTTCTTCAATCGTCAATTTTACTATTTGGCTTTGTTTTGTACTGCTAAATAATCATGAGTTAACCAAATCTCTTGAGGCAACGTTCTTTATTTTAGCTTTTTCAGTCATTAACCTCTTCGCAAGCTATTCAATGGAACAGCAATCAAGGCACATTTACAACCTATACAAATACACTCAAAGAGATATCAAAAACACAGAAAAACTGCTCCATCAAATGATCCCTCCACAAGTGGTGAGGAATCTTCAGCATGACATCGCTACTACTGACAGATACACTGATGTTTCAATAATTTATGCAGACATAGCAGGCTTCACAGCATATTCAAAAAATAAGGAACCTATAGAAGTCATTACAATGCTCAGCAAACTTTTTTCCACTTTTGACCACTTGTGTGTAAGACATAACGTTTATAAAGTTCATACAATTGGAGATTGCTATGTCATCCTTAGCTTCACAGATGCAGAAAAAAGAGACCCGATAAAAGAGTGTATCAGCATGGTCGAAATTGCTTTAGATATGGTCAAAACAATCAATAAAGTCAATAAAAGTAAAAAGACAAATTTGAATATGAGGATCGGCATCCACACAGGAGAAATCATTGCAGGAATTACTGGGACTAACATTGTGAGATATGATGTTTATGGCCCAGACAATGATATTGCCAATAAGATGGAGTCTAATGGCCAAACTGGAAAAATCAACGTCAGTGAAGTCACCAAAGGAATTCTTGAGAATAGCCAGCCTGGAAGATTCGATTATGTCTACAACAAGTCGGTCAGGCATGAACCCACCAACAGAAGCGTAGAATGCTATTTCGTAGTGCCTAAGTCTGAAAGAGACCTTGTCCTTGATGACGATTAATTTTAAATTTCAAATAATCTCTAACGAAAATCTATAAAATAATTTTTTTTAATTATTCATATGCAAATTTACATTATTCGAATTTCATGGTCTTCTTAAATCCTTTCTTACCATTTTAAAAAAAAATATTGATATAATGTAACTAACTCATAAATGGAACCTTTATCTGATCCATTATCTCTGACGGGTGAGGCGGAAAAAAAATACACTGTATTTTTTTCCTACAGTTTCCCACAGTCAAATTTGACATAAAATTTTCCAATTTTTGAAAACGATAGGAAAAAAATACATGGAAAAGAAAAAAAAAAAATTCGAAACCAGGGCGGAAAAAAATTCAACCCCCAAAAATGAAAAAAAACCGCATGAAAAAAATACACATAAAAAAAAATATTAAATTACTAATATTTAAAAAGAAGCAAAGAAAATGCTTTATTAAATATGAATGACAATAGCAGTCATTGCATTTGCTATAAATTCACATAATAGATAAAAAATAGATGCAAGAACTGTATCATATGCTTTATAGTAAAAAGTTTTCTGTGTTTTTTTTTTCCAAACCGCATGAAAAAACTACTATAAAAATTTGAAATACAGATCTTTAAGTCAAATAGAGTTAAAAATAACGAAAAAACAGTCCCAGCTTAAATCTCTCTTTAATAACGAGATTTCAAGAATAAAATTAATGCCTAAATGTTAAAGATCAGTTTAAATAAAAAAAATTAAAAACAGAAGGAAAAAAATTCAAAATTTTTTTTTCTAAAAAAACAGCATGAAAAAAATATCAGTAAAATTTTAACAGTCTAAATTTCGGCATGAAAAAAATACAATAGAAAAAATTTAGTAGGAAAAAAATACATATAAAAATTTATATTTTTTTTTTAAAATTTTTTAATTAAAAAAAATCCAAAATATCTAACTCCCAATAGCGGACGAAATCAATGTTTTTTTTTCCCTAAAAATGGACTCTTAGGTACCATTTAATAACAGAAATTTTTTTACTATAAAAAATTTTAAATTATATAAGATAATCGTTCATTATAAATTTACTAATATACATAAAATGGCGGATGACTTCCGACCCGTCCTCTTGAGACAGTTACCTGTGTATATCCGGGCATGGTTTTTGGAGCCAGGAATTAGCCCAGCTATGTCTTTGTACCTCAAGGCGAGAGGTCTAAGCGCAAAGATCGCTGTTTTTGTGACCAAGACCCTTGGGCAGTTATTCGTGACTCCTTTTTTCCAGCAGAGCCCAGCCTAGTGGGTGTCAGAAATGAGGCACGGCGACATACCTGCCTAAACTGCTTTTGTGATTTGCCCCGAATGGCGAAAGTTGTTGAGTTCTTTCTCGGGATGACCGGAAAAGAGGGGAAGGCAAATTAAACGAGAAATCGGGGTTCTCCCCAATTAAAAGGTGCCCCTTCAGTGGGCAGATTTGGCGACGTACGGACAGAGTTGACGCAAGATTCAGGGCGACGAATCAAGTTGGAAATGGAGGCGGTCAGTTGGTCATCACCTCTACCGAGAAACCGGGGTTTCGGACCGGGCTTGAAGCGGCCACGCCTTAGCCAGCTTACGGGGTTATCTCCATAAAACGTCACGGCGGCGAAGTAGGGACTTAAAATACATAGCATCTTAACATAACATAACATAACATAACATAACATAACATAACATGACATAACATAACATAACATAGCATAACATAACATAACATAACATGACATAGCATAACATAACATAACATAACATAACATAACATAACATAACATAACATAACATAACATAACATAACATAGCATAACATAACATAACATAGCATAACATAATATAACATAACATAACATAACATAACAAAGCATAACATAAATTTACTAGAGCCAATGAAATAAAGATGGGAATATTTAAATAGAATTAATTTAAGCGCAAAGGTATTAAAAAATTATGAGAGCTAATAATATGCATCTGGCTTTCTTTTCTTTAAACCTTGATCTCCCCTTTTCAATTGATAAATGCCTTTTACTAATTCGCCGACACTTGACTTTGATATATTGAACTTGTAGGCTATATCTTCATATGAAAGACCTTCATTTTGATGATCCAGGTAGTATTGTGCAATAACTAGCTTATCACCAGCTGTTAGTCTTTTCTCTTTCTGGTTTCTCCATTCAACTCCATTTTATTAGATTTAGTGCTTCTCTTTTGACTTAAAAATGCATTTTTTTTTCAGCCGTTTATAAAAAATTTTAAATAGAAAAATATTTATAAATATCGAACTTTTTTAATAGCGGACGATTTTTTCGTCCGCTATTAATTGGGGGGGGAGTTAGAACTATCCAATAGACAACTAAAAGAAGAGTTGATCAGGTGGACTTAAGCGCAGTGTAATCGACTCCAAACCAGAAGGAATAAAACTTAGAAATATAAATAATTAATCGTTTTATTATCAGTTATTATTACTAATCACACACAGTAGAGTTTGGATAACTCATCCTTAGATATTTTGGATTTTTTTAATTAAAAAATTTTAAAAAAAAAAATATAAATTTTATATGTATTTTTTTCCTACTAAATTTTTTTCTATTGTATTTTTTTCATGCCGAAATTTAGACTGTTAAAATTTTACTGATATTTTTTTCATGCTGTTTTTTTAGAAAAAAAATTTTGAATTTTTTTCCTTCTGTGTTTTTAATTTTTTTATTTAAACTGATCTTTAACATTTAGGCATTAATTTTATTCTTGAAATCTCGTTATTAAAGAGAGATTTAAGCTGGGACTGTTTTTTCGTTATTTTTAACTCTATTTGACTTAAAGATCTGTATTTCAAATTTTTTATAGTAGTTTTTTCATGCGGTTTGGAAAAAAAACACAGAAAACTTTTTACTATAAAGCATATGATACAGTTCTTGCATCTATTTTTTATCTATTATGTGAATTTATAGCAAATGCAATGACTGTTATTGTCATTCATATTTAATAAAGCATTTTCTTTGCTTCTTTTTAAATATTAGTAATTTAATATTTTTTTTTATGTGTATTTTTTTCATGCGGTTTTTTTTCATTTTTGGGGGTTGAATTTTTTTTCCGCTCTGGTTTCGAATTTTTTTTTCTTTTCCATGTATTTTTTTCCTATCGTTTCAAAAAATTGGAAAATTTTATGTCAAATTTGACTGTGGGAAAACTGTAGGAAAAAAATACAGTGTATTTTTTTCCGCTTCACCCTTATCTGACAGATTTGAAAAGTCACAGCCACCGCCACCACATCGCCCACTAGATAGGTCTCTATTATACCCCAACGGTATCAACTTTCCTCCTGACTGAAATCTTTTGCGTTCACATCTGCAATATGAAGGCCGCTTGACCAAGGCTGACTGCATGCTACTTATCCGTCAAGGCACTGACTGTCTAAGATGTGAGCACAACTTAATTGAACTAAAAGATCCTGTCACCGTCGTAGGTGACATCCACGGTCAATTTTACGATTTTTTACGAATTTTAGAACTAGGTGGCAACCTAAATGACACAAAATATTTATTTCTAGGAGACTATGTAGACCGAGGGTCATTTTCAATTGAAGTTTTACTACTACTATATGCAATCAAGCTGAATTATCAGCAAACTGTTTTCCTGATCCGTGGAAACCACGAATGCCGACAAATGTCATCGTATTTTAATTTTCGCGCGGAATGCTTATATAAATATGATGCAGAAGTTTACGATACCATCATGGACTCTTTTGATGCCTTGCCAGTTGCCTGCATTTTAAATAACAAATTCTTAGCTGTTCATGGAGGAATTTCTCCAGAACTTGTGAGCATTGAAGATATTTGGAAAATGAATAGGTACACTGAGCCGCCAAGGCAAGGGATATTTTGTGATTTATTATGGAGTGATCCGATTGATAATGATACAGGAGCTTCGACTGATAATTTTGTGGGAAATGATGTAAGAGGGTGCAGCTTTTATTATGGGATTAGGGCTGTAAATACATTTTTGAAGCAAAATAAGCTACTTTCAGTGTTGAGAGGGCATGAAGCACAGTTAGATGGGTATAAAATGCATAGGTGAAATGGGAACTCTGAGTTTCCTGTTGTAATCACTATATTTTCAGCTCCGAACTACTGCGATGTGTATAATAATAAAGCAGCTGTGGTAAAATTTGAAAATAATTCGCTGAATGTGCAGCAGTTCAACTATACAGAGCACCCTTATATTTTGCCGAATTTCATGGACGTTTTTAATTGGAGCACTCCTTTTGTGATTGAAAAAGTCTTAGAGATGCTGCATGGCTTGATACAGCCAAAACATATAGATGAACTAAATGAATTAGGAGATGGAGAAAAAGTCAAAGAACTTAAAGAAGGACTGAGGGTGAGCAAGATTGAACAATTTAAAAATAAAGTGAAAGCAGTCACAAGAATGATGAAAATGTTTAAGACACTGAGAGAAAGCCAAGAAGTCATAATCCAATTAAAAGGCTTATGCCCTGATAACAAAGTGCCGAAAGGGCTACTTCAGCAAGGGAGAGACGCAATTATAGGAGCTGTTGACTCTTTTGGAAGAGCTAAACAGCTAGACATAATTAATGAAAAAAGGCCAGATTAATCAGCTAAATGGTTTCTGATAAATGATTAAGGTGTTTAAACGAGGAAAATTAATATTATAAGGCACATGAGAAAGCATCAACTAGCCTTAACAAATTTTATTGTTATTAAGTTTTATTACTTGCTTTGTGATGTTTTATTCCAAATTAATTAAATTTGATATCTTGCGAAATGTCATTGATAGATGGAAAGATACTCAGGCCTTTTTTTGTTCTTTCTCATGTAGCTTTAATAGGACTCTCTGCATGGCAATCCCCTTTATCATTACAATCTCCTGTGGCAGTGATATTTTGGTATGCATCCACATAGAGTCCCCGTCTTGATTTCATTATCATTGTATTTTTATGTCGGCCTTCTTGATCCTGGATACGTAAAACCTTTAGATCTCTGCTCGTCTACAGAAGGACAGCCTATTGTTCCAAACACCCACAAAATCTCAGTCGTTAGCACTGCAAATCCTCCAACAACCCTAGGCTCAGTATTTAATTTGCAAAAATTCGACTTAAATGACCTAAAATCAAGCAGAGAAGCTGGATTTTATGACGAAAACAGTCGTGTAGATGTAAGCGTGGGAGAAAGCAGTTACTGTGGAGAGGAGTTCGATAATTTGCCTGATGACCGAATTGAAGAATGAAGAAGCATTTATTTCCGATATAATTGTGATGTCCCTGAAAAGCCATTGCCAAGCTCGCCTTCAATTGATATGTCGTTGGCTGACTCACCTAAGAAACCTGAAGACCTTGATTTTCCAATTAATGATGACTCAATTCAGCAAGACCAAATTAACGATAAGCCCAAAACTGAAGAAATTTTATTGAGATATTGCACAATATGCCAACAAGACCAGCCTTTAAGGGCGAAACACTGTAAATACTGCAATAAATGCGTTTATAGGTCAGATCACCACTGCACATGAATCGCAAATTGCGTGGGGGAGCGAAATCATTGCCAATTTTACTGATACTTATTTTTTCAAACATCAGAAGGCATAATTGCTATTATTTTTTTAGGAATCAGCATAGATGATAAAGAAGATGCTGGAAACTGAGTCTCAGCGAATATAGGAAGAATTATTTTAATTTTTGTTATTGGGGCATGCATTGCTTTTGCTATTTTTTTATTTTGCTTGCAAACTTATCTGTGATCTAGAAATTTAACGACTTGGGAATTAATATCATGAAATAAAATCACTTATTTGAAAGATAGACCGAAAGACAAAGGGTCTCCATTTAATTTTGGATTCCTCGGAAATTTTAAATATTTTTGTAAATTTCATAGCAAGCCGAAAGTTTGGAAACCGATTAATTAAATCTAAAGGGCTTAAATTTTTTTTCACTTTTGACAGCTTGAATCTTTTTCTTTCTCTTCGGGCTCTTTCTCTTCTTTTAAGCGGTTTTGAAGGAATAAATTTTATCTGAGCATTAAAATGAAGGATTTATGAATATTTTTGTTCCTTTTGAAAAATCTAGGGATTTATATTAGGATCCAATATCAATTTGCGAATCCGTATTTGTAATAGTGAAATATCTATTTTCCCAATCTTTTGTGTAGCATATGAAATGCCTGGGAGTTAGATTGATTGTGGTTTTGCATAGGAATTAGCTGTTTTTGACTGTGGTTTAGCCCTTCAAACTTTCCAATCAATCAGGAACCCCTGATTGTCTATAAATCGTAAAAATTCTATTTAAGGCATGATTATTAGATTAAAAGAGAGAGCATGCTATAATAATTCCATAAATAAATATTAATAATTAAAGATTTATATATGGGAAATTCTATCGAAGCCCTCTCAAAAGAAGAAATAAGCGAAGTTGATTGGGACTCCCTTTCGCTAGATTCTCTTTATTTCTCTTTAAACCCTGACCTTCTGCAATCTGAAGCTGCAAGAAATCTTTACAAATCTGCCTGCATAAATTCCCCAAGATCAGGAGTTGTTTGGATTTTGACAAAAAAGCTGATAGACTCCTTCAATGAAAAACTCCTCCCAATTAACCTAATGCTTCTCCTCAAGCATTTCTTTGCTTTTTTATACTCAGAAGGAATTCCTTATCAATTCTTATTCCAAGACACATCTTCTAAAAGTCAAGAAGCCTATAATAGTTCATTTCATCGGCTAGTCCCATGCATGTTTTACTTCAAATCACACTGCAAAACAGTTTATGTTAGTGTTCCTCAATCGCCGGACTATAATAAAGCTATTGAGCAAGCACATCTTCTAGATACAATAAAAGTGCATTTTCAAGAAGTCACTGACTACCTTATGAGCAAAAATGAAAGAATTTATTTGGTAGATGATTCAAGAAAAAGCATTGATATTGATAGCATTTATAAGCATTACACTGAAAACTCAGACGAAGATAGCTTGAAAGACCCGTTTAAGCCGCAAACCAAAGTATTTTCCATATTCAAAGCAAATATCGAAACTGCGGAATGCGACTTGACTTCTCCTATGAATTGGTTTTTGAATGAGCTGGTCACCAAAATTACCCTCCTAAATCCTTTGAAAGATATACAGAAAATTGGGACTGGAATTGAACTATTGCTGACAATGATGTCTAGCCAACTTTATTATATGGACAAGCCTATTGAAAGGATTAATTATGAATGTTTTAAAGCGTCACCTGTAGTGGACTTGCTAATGAATTCACAACAAAGTATTTGCCAGCAGTTTTCTTGGAAACTTTTAGAAGTGATAAAGCACCATTGAAAATCTGAAAAACCTAGCCCAGGCTTTCTTTCCGTATTTTATAATACAAATTCACGTGAAAATAGAGAGCAAGAGTGCTTATTTTTGGCTCCCAAATATGCCTTAGCTTTGACGATTTTATTACAAAATTATTCACGTCTTGAAAACCCATTTTTGATTAAAAACTGAAATATCGAGTGGGAAGAAATCACCGAGCTCTTAATCGAGTAATTTTTATCTAGAAACATTGACAATTCCCAATTTCTTTTATTGTTTTACAATTTGCTAGCAAATAATCCCAGCTTTCACGCCCACCTCGTTTCTAAGTCAGAGCCTGAGCGATTTTTAGAGCCCATGGTAAAATTTCTTTATACAGAAACTGCTTTTACAGTAAAATGCAGCTTAGTTTTGATTATCATTTTGCTTCTATCAAGCGATAAAATTTTCTTGAAATTTATCAATAGCAGTATCCAGCTTCAACAAATTTCTTGACTGCAAAATTACAGAATTGAATCCATGAGCCTTGGGTCTTGTCTGTTTTTGGGAATTTTAAGGAAATTTCGAGAAAATTTGAGGAGTTCTAAGAATGAGTTAGTTGCTCTTATTATTCAGATTATCGAGAACTCGCTTTAATTTTCGGTTTCTTTGCCCGCTTGCCAGTGGCTTACGCTGGGGAATCGTCCCGATTGGCTAAGACGAATGCCATTGGCTTTGACTGAAGACCCCTTTCCAACTTCCAGACCTATTTCCCACTGAGGAAAAAACTTTTCATTTGAGCAAATAATGCAGTTGGCCAGCCCTACTAAGAAAACTATCTCGGATGCACATTCCCGAACGCCATCCTCCTTTCCCCAGGTCCCTGCGCAGCCTGTGAGATGCCAATAGAAGGAGTTAAGAGGGTGGTTTGTCGTTTTAATATATACTCTAAGAATGAATACTTATATGTGATTTCTTCAAGCTGCTTCTATAATATTGCTGAGTCTTCTACTAATCTTCATGAGTTAGTGTGCATGGACTATTTATCATTAGTAAAGGCTGTCTATAATAAATACACAAACTTGAAAAACAATGAAAAACCTCCAGAAGATATACAAGGCTGTGTCGAAATTCTGAATTTATTAATTGAAATTTTGGCAAAAATCTTGGTTTTCAATTACAACTCTAACCCTTTTTTGATTTATTCAATATTACACCAAGCAGAGCTGATTGAAAATATAAAAGAAGCAAACATCATCAATAAGAACATTGATATTATTAAAGGTGTTATAGATTTCTTTCTACCTAAAATAAATAGTGATGAAAATATAATTTTGGTTATCATGAGTTACTCTAAAACGTTCAAAATCAATAGAGAAATTGAACTCCAAACATTTGATGGAGCACTCAATGTAGAATTCTTTGAGGAAAAAACAAAGTGGGAGGAATGCATGATACCATTTATATGGGCTGATACAAGTAAATTTTTGTCTCTACCAAACAAAGAGAGAATTTTGCTGTTTAAGTGTGAAGATGGGCTTTAAATTAACTTAATTATTCTTTCTTATTTTGGGTAATATTTGATAGAATTTTTAAATTTTTTTATTTTGAATTATTCTATTTCATCTTAAGAAATCATCTGAGCCGCAAGGAAAGCTAGCTATACTTAGAATTTATATGTACCCCAATATTGAGTTTTTAGATTCCTCACCCGAATTTAATAAAGGATTACTCAATAATTCACATATTTATTATATTGTAATAATTATAAGACATTAACGTAATTACTTTTCTAAACAAACATGTATGCATGCATGTCCAAAGTATTAAGAATTTTCCTAATTAATAAGGAGATAAAATATCAATTATGCAATCTCAAAGATAGATAAAAAACGTGCCATGAAATTTTTAATTTATATCAAATCCTTATTATTTTAATTGTATTTCAAAGTTGAAATGCACTTTTTATTTCAAAATTTTTGTTTCTCAGCAATTAAATAAAGTTTAATAGCTCATAAAGAATAAAATCCTTTTACACTTTCAAACTTAAATTTTTATGCAAAAGAATTACATCTGTTTGTTATTCAATTAAACAGCATATTATCATAACCATTTAACTAGAAGTATATAACTCATAATAATTTTACTTTGGTTCTATATAAATCCAAATACTTATCTCAAAACCTTATAATTTTCAATTGGGTTTGGAGCACTTTAATTGTTAAGTCTTTCTTCTCCTCCATCTTTAAATCGACTTAGTCATTTTTCCCAAAGGCTCTATAGCAAAAAAAGTTAAAAAAATAGGAATATATAAGGAGGGTCGAAAGAAAAATGGAAACAGAGTAACAGTTGCTAGTACCCATGTGAATAAAGAACTGCGAAGATTTCCATATTATGCTGCAGGATTTCCTTGGATTCAAGGCAAATGTCACACTAACCCCTATAACCCACAAATGAGTTTTAACCTTCAGCTGCTTGCCTGAAGATTATTGTGCCAATTGCCTGAGTATCACTTTTCAAAGAAAGTGCAGTAGCTTAGGGCTGCTCTGTATTTGACCTAGTTATGCTCATTTAGCAAGTCTCAATTAGATAGAGTGAACGAGTTGAGTTTTTTTCATTGATAGCAATCTGACTGATCCTGTCAGTAGTCATATGCTTGTCTCAAAGATTAAGTCATGAATGCCTAAGTGTAAGCAATTATACGGCGAGACTGCAAACGACTCATTAAAAAACAGTATAGTTTATTTGGAATACGTTTATATGGATAACCTTTGTAATTCTAGAGTTAATGCATGCTGGTTACGCTCTGCATAGTATTTATTAGATAGAACCCAACGGGGGCGATCCTATGGAAGAATAATAATTGCTTAGCGAATAATCTTCAAAATTGCATCATGATGGGGATTGACTCCTGAATTATTGGTCATCAACGAGTCAACGAGGAATTCCTAGTAAGTGAAAGCCATCAACTTGGATTGCCACTGCCCACCGCTCCTACCGATTTTGAGTATGAGGCGAATCCTCCGGACTGCACACCTCGTGTGTGGGAAGCTAATCAAACCTTATCACTTAGAAGAAGGAGAAATCGTAACAAGGTTCTGTAGATGAACCTGCAGATGGATCATTAGCACATCCTTATTTACCTAACACACTTTTTATAGACAGATATAATGAATTAGGAATTTTATTATTTATTTTTCTCTATTTATTCTATCTCAACTTATTGGCTCTTGTAACAACGAAGAATGCAGAAAACTTCGAAAAGCACTGCAAATTGCAAAACACCATGAGTCAGTAGATCTTTGAACACAATCAACGCCCTTTGGACATGTTCACTTCAGTATCTCCTTCGCCAGCCAAGTTCTCCTATCAGGATCTGGCAGATTGTATATGGGATCAGATAGGACCTTAAGTCAAGCAAGATTACCCGCTGAACTTAAGCATATTACTTAGCGGAGGAAAAGAAACTAGTAAGGATTGCCCTAGTAATGGCGAGTGAACGGATATCGATCCAGAATGGTACAGTTGAGGCATAGACTTTACACTACGGGGCAGGTGTAACTCAGTTGGAATGATGAACCATAGAGGGTGAGGTTTCTCTATTTTTCATTGGAAATTTAAATTTCACTTCTTTTATTTAAAGACTATTAATTTTACAAAGATAATACTAAAAATATTATAAATAACAGAATATTCTATAGTAAAAAACAATCCAAGTGTGATAGTCCCATAACACTTCAACAGCGAATTTCCAATTTTTAATAATTATTTACAATTAAATCTTATAACTAATGGGACCTCACAATTTAGCTTTTATTGTAAAATTCTAAACTTTCTGGTTGATAAATCAAAAGAATAAACATTCATATATCCATCTTCAAAATATAATTTATTTTCAAATTTTACGTACTGAGTCATGTAAAGCCCAAGGTTTGTTACACCGCATATAACCCGAGCCTCCTTTTTGCTTAGGCGATATCGACATCTTCCGACATCAGTAGGGGAGTAGCTTTACCAGCATTTGCTGTCAAAAATCCAATTCCAATAGAAAATCTCTTCAGTGGCACATGAACTTGTCATCTGGGAGTTGGTTTTACCAACAATGTTGCTAAAGCTAATTTCTCTGCTTAAGCCAAGATGTCTATATAGCTCGAGCCATTAGAAGGCTCAAACTATATCCTATTTCATCTTGAGAGACCATATTGTTGACTTTCAAAAAACCCAAAATTGTTACACATAATTCATACTCTGCCTTCAGATACAATAAGCATTTTTCTTTCTTCAGTTATGAGGCCAAATAAACGCGAATAAGTGTTTTTCCCAATTGAATAAGAATATAACGCGTCTAGCCAGAATCCTGCAACCAGAATATCATTACCAAATACTTCTGCACAAACTGCTCCTGAGCCACAAGGCAAGCTAGCTATACTTATCCAAGTATTAGTTCGTATATCGTACTTATCACACTCTATATGATTTCACTTAAGATTTTTAATACCTCCAAATATATAAATTTGCCCTCCAAATTGGGCCAAACCTCCTCCAGCACGCTTTTTTCCTGATTTTAGTATTTTTGATTCCATTGAGACTAAATCAATCATAATTGCGTCCTTTCGTGCACGGTATTCTTTTATGTATCCTCCGTAAATAAAGAGTTGAGTGTCTGGTATTATGCATGTCATTGCCCTTCCGTAATCGCCGAAAATTGTAATTGGGAGTACATCACTATAAACAATTTTTTCTTTTGTTTTCACATCATATGCAATGATTCACTCATCTATTATATTTTAATAATTGTAAGACATTATCGTAATTGTTTTCTAAACAAGCATGCATGCATATCCAAATTAAGATGAATAAAAGACAAATAAGTATTTTTCTAATTAATAAGGAGATAAAATATCAATTATGCAATTTAAAATTTGATTTATCATGAAGAAAAAATCTTAGTAGTTAAAAATCCTTTTGTACGCTTTAAAACTTAAATTTTTTTGTAAAAGAATTGCATCTGCTTGTTATCGATTAAACGCCATATTATCTTAATTATTTATCTATAGGTCAATAACTCATAATAATTTACTTTGGTTCTTCATGAATCCAATTACTAATCTCAAAAACTTATAATTTTCAATGGGGTTTGGAGTACTTTTATTTTTAAGCTATCTTTCTCCTCCATTTATAAATTTTTATTCATTTTGACTTAGCCATTTTAGCCATTTCTCCAAAAAGACCCTATTGCAAAAAAGAAAAAAAAAATTTTGTTATATATGGGGGCCGAAAAGAAAAATGGAAACAGAGTAACAGTTGCTAGTACCCATGTGGGAAACGAATTCAAGGAAATGCCACACTGACCCTATAACCCACAAATGAGTTTCGATTTAAGCTGTTTTGAGATCTGGTGCCAATTACCTGAGAACTATTTTTAAAGAAAGTGCAATAACTTAGGGCTGCTCTGTAGTGATCTAGCTATACTCTTATAGCAAGTCTCAATTATATAAAGTGAAAGATAGTAATCTGGCTGATCCTGCCATATGTCATATGCTTGTCTCAAAGATTAAGCCATCATGTCTAAGTGTAAACAATTATCCGGCGAGACTGTGAATGGCTCATTAAAACAGTCATAGTTTATTTGCTAGACGTTTATATGGGTCGATGTAGCAATTCTCGAGCTAATGCATGCTGTTTATGCTGCATGCGCAGTATTTATTAGATAAAACCCAACGGAGGCGACCCTGTGGAAGTATCATAATAACTTAGCGAACTCGATGTAGAGAAGCATTCAAGTTTCTGCCCTATCAGCTTTTGATGAGTTTATTGGACTACCATGGCAATGACAGTGATGGAGAATTAGGATTCGATTCCGGAGAGGGAGTCTGAGAAATGGTAACCGCATCTAAGGAGGTAGCAAGTGCGCAAATTACTCAATCATACTTAGGGAGGTAGTGGCAAGAAATAACAGCGCGAGGCTTTATCTTGCAATTGGAATGAGTTAAGTGTATAAGCATTTTGAGTATTCACTGGAGGGAAAGTCTGGTGCCAGCAGCCACGGTAATTTCAGCTCCAATAGTATATATTAAAGTTGTTGCAATTAAAAAACTCGAACTTGAAGCTTCGGGGCTAGTCGCTGACCTTCTGGCATCCATCTCAGCAACGGCTTCGGCATTAACTTATCGCTGTCGTGATCAGGTATTCTTTTATTAATTTATAAGGCATTATTCTGAATATTCTCTTTATGCACTTGCTCAATAGAAATTCCTTTACTTCATCTTGAGCAAATGGGAGTGTTTCAGGCAGCCTATAATTAAAATATGGCCTTTCAGCGCTTCGCGGTCGGCTATGCCGACTAGCTTCGAGCACATATTTTAAATTATATCCGAAAAGATTTTGCCACTCTGGAGATAGACGGCAATGCTAGGCAAGCAATTCTGCGGGTGGCAGAGCCTAGCCTGAGTTCAAATTCTGGGATGGATGCTACCTCGTGGGGAAGGAAGGCATGGCAGTTGGAAAGGGGAAGCTCAGTAAAGCCCTAAGGGCTAATCGGGCAACTGCCTAGCGTGAAATTAGGCGTTATGTCCCAGGCTCATGTTTCATGTTTTTTTTGTTGTTGCCGATAGCCGGCTAGAAAATCAATTGTTTTAATTTTTCCGTGCATGCAACTCACGTCCTGAAGACAGTAGCTCATCCTTGAGCCATCAAAGCTGGCAACACTTGCTCCAAGGCTCACCTTGGTGAAACAAAAGCAAGTCGCTCCAGAGGCTTGGGGCCCGGTGAGTTGAAGAGTGAGCGGGAAGACCTGGGGACAGTAACCACGTAAAGGACGTTAAGCGTTATAAGCATTAAGTAAGTTTCAGGTAGGCTTGAACCTGAATCGTCCAGCATGGAGTAATAGAAGAGACTGGGTTCCATCTATTGGTGTTATAGCGCTTAGTAACGATTAATAGGGATAGTTGGGGCATTGTATTTAATTGTCAGAAGTGAAATTCTATGATTTATTATGCGAAAGCATTTGCCAAGGATCTTTTCATTAATTAAGAACGAAAGCTAAGGGATCAAAGAAGATAAGATACCGTCGAAGTCTTCACCATAAACTATGCCGACTAGAGATTTAAGGTGTCATTAATGGGATAATAAATATTTACCAAAAAAATCTATAAATATTATATAAAAACCTATAAAAATACTCAAATCCCATTAAAAGTACCTTCTGAGAAATCAAATTCTTTAGGTTCTGGGGAGTATTATCGCAAAACTTAAACTTAAAGGAATTGACGGAAGGGCGGCACATATGTTAAACAGTAACGCAGGTGTCCTATGGCAAAATCAAAGAGAACAAAATCTTTTATAGACCAAAAGGGAAAAAGCTTGCTTTATTTTGATTCTCAGTGCGAGTGCAAACCGCGAAAGCGTGGCCTATCGACCCTTTACTTTTTAAAAGTCATTAGCCAGTTGCATCAGAAAAATTGCCACATGGAGAACTGGCTTGTGTCAGCCAAGCTACTCCTAATATTTTTATAAAAAATCTTACTCTTTCCTCTCCATAAGCAAACAAAAAAATATTGTTCACTTGGAGTTATTTTTTTTATATAAAAATTTTTATAGTAAAATTGTTTTTTGAAATTTAAAAATATCCCAATTCGAAATAATTATTTAATTTAATTTGTAAATCTATGCTTTAAAATGCAAGTTGATTAAAATTAAACAGAATTAGCTAGATATATCATTATAATAATTATCACTTATATTTCAAAATATTGTTTTCGCTCATGGGAGAGGGAGCTATAGGAAATTATTTACAGAAAATAATAAATCTCTGACAGCCAAGCGTTTATAGCGACGTTGCTTGCTGATTCTCCGATGTCAACTCTTCCTATCATTGTGAAGCAGAATTCACCAAATGTCGGATTGTTCACCCGCTAATAGGGAATTTGGGCTGAGTTAGAACTTCGTGAGACAGATTAGTTTTACCCTACTGATAAACTGATATAGCTACAGTAATCCAACTCAGTACAAGGGGAGCTGTTGGGTCAGATCACTGGTTCATGCGATTTCCTGACAAGTAGGCGTTGCGATGCTACTATCTGTTCCATTATGGCTAAATGCCTCTAAGTCAGAGTCAATACTGAAATGCGAAGTCCACCAGTCACCTATGGAAACCTATCCAGGGGAAATGATGAAGACGGCTTCTCAAAGCTTTAGTTTACATGAGTTATTGTTTTACCCTTTGTTTTGTGGATGTTTTGCTAATAATTGGTTAACATAAAGGAAATTTTGTAGTTAAGTATTTAATATTGAATTATTAATTAAGTTATAAAATTTCAACAAACTGGTATTTAACAGGTGTAAACATTAATAATTAAAAAATTGTTTAATTTTAGTTCTTTAATTCATCTAAAAATAGATTAATTTAATCATAGGTCTTTAACTTATTATATTTTGCCTCATCTAAGATTGCGAGAAGACTGATTTAAATGCTATTCAATTCGTTTTATATTAGATAGTATATTTTCAATAGATACTTCTTGGATGAGCAATATTTGGTTACCTCAAGCTCCCATATACTTTTGGGTTAGAATTCTTTGAAACTTCACCTATTTAATAAAGGGCAATCTATTTTCAAACTATTATTATATATAGATAAATAAGGGCTATATGGTTTGCTCTTCTAATATAAAAAATAAATAAAATTTTCAACTTAATAAGAAAATATCAAACTTAAAAATAATGAAATAATTTTAATTGAAAGTAATTTAAAATCTTGGGATAAAAAATTAATATTGATGGGAAATTTAAAAGAAGAGTCTATGAAATGAATATTAATTAACTTGAGCAGTTGCAGAATTCCTTTACCATAAATAAATAATGACAAAATATAAGTTTAGTTATCATAAGCTACTTCAAAGGCCAGAGAGAGAGAGATTAGTTAGAGAGGTTAAGCGGGGATTCTTTCAGCCCCTAGCCAGTCGGACTTCAGCTTCGTGCTTCATGTGGCACTAAGCACTAAGCACTAAAGCCACCTAACGCCCTTTTCTGTCGACGTCATCAAAAATGGTGACGTCGACATCTTTCGGGGAGACTCACCCGAACCTGCTTGGGCCAAAAATTTTCAGCAAAGGACTCTCTTAACCCCTGGTAGTGCTCAGGGTATGAGGGAAACGTCCAAAGCCCTCCTTCTGGAATTATCTCCGCCATTTACAGGCAGCATAATGCTCCTCCAGAAGTGCCTGATTGGCATTGCGCCGTCGGTCTTCTCGTCTGTGGGTCGAGGGGAGGCCCAGTCAGCCCAAGCCGCCGCCCACCCCGGAAAAGTCGCCTTCATCCAACTCCGTGGCCCTCTGAGGCCGAGATTTTTGTGCTCAGCTCAGAATCTGGTTTCTTTTTCTTCTGTTGGGACAATGGACATTCGCCCAATGATGGCGAAAATTTCAAAGGCCAGAAGATGAATTGCAAACGCTATTGGGATACTCAATGCAAAATATTTTAGAAAAAGAAAATGCCTAGTTACGACTATGGATAATTTCTTAATGTCATTTATATAATTTTTCTTTAAATCTTATCAATGTAATCAGGATTTAAGAAAGTTTTATAAAGATATAGTGCTGAACATTCGGTTATATCGCTTTCCATGTGCCAAATATAATATGGCCCGCGGGAGTCTGATCACCATAAGCCTCTGCGTGGCAATTAATTTTTGGCACTTGGAAGAATTCAAATCACATCAGCGCATAACTATTATAAGACTCGGGATTTTGCTTTCTTTAAAAATATGCTCGAAATTTAATGATTCTAATTAAGAAGTTTAAAAGATTATTGATTTATGCAAAGAAGCTTACTCTATTGAACTATTTCATAAAGAATAAAATTTTTAAGCTTTTATTGAGTATTTTCTTCCCTTAAAATTCACTTCAAAGGCATCTGGCAACTCAAAAATTAAGATTCTGGTAAAAATGATGGAAATTTTGCCAACAGAATTTGCATCACATAAAGATTTATTTTCGAAATAATGTTTCTTTGCTAATTATTAAGTCTAAGGCACTGAAGAAAAGAATTTAGAAATTTTTCTAGCTTTCCTTGATTTCTGATTATAGAAAGCTTTTAATAATGCTAGGCTTGGGGTAAAAAATAAGTATTAGCTATCTAAAGTCATAAATTATTTTACTCCCCCCCCCCCTCCGTGAGTGAACAAAACCATTAGAAAAATCGCTATTTTTTGCCCAAAAACCCACCCTCCGTGAGTGAACAAAAATTTTTTTAATAGAAAAATTTTTTATGGAAAAAAAAATTGATATATAAATGATAATTATTATAATGAAATCTAGAGCTAATTCTGTTTAATTTTAAACGAATTGCTTTTTAAAACATAAATTTTATAAATTAAATTAATATTTGCTTTCCAATTTTTGCGAATTAGGATTTTTTTTAAAGTTTCAAAAAAAAATATTTTTTATAAAATTTATATATAAATTTTTTTAAAAAAAAAAAATTAACCCCCCTCCGTGAGTGAACAAAATTTTTTTGTTCACTCACGGAGGGGGGGGGGGGGTTAGAATAACTCTCTATGATTTACTATAAGGCTTGACTGGCTATTTACTGGTTTCGGATAAATGTCCTAGGAATAAGACATAATTTCAAAATGAAAATTTTCCTTTTAGTGCTAAATGAAAATTTATAAAATTTGAGACAAGCGATAGTATTAGCCTATACTTCGACAGCGCTATTTCCTAGCGAAGCTCCTGGATTACAGAAAAATGTAGGGTGGCCTCTTCTTAGCATGAACCCAGCTAATCCCCTTTTGTGATGGAGGATTTCCCTAATGACCAGTGCAGGATTTTTCAGGAACCTCATTTTCTAAACCAAACCTCGCCCATGCTTGCTAATCTAAAACCCCTAGCCAAATAGTTCCAAGCAGAACTCTTTTAAACTTTAGAATTTTGCACCCTTAAAAGATCTTGTCGAGCCAGCCTTTTAATTCCTTATCATTCCAAAATCAAAATTTAGTAGCTTTCTCAATCGAACAGCCAGGGTTGGCCATCACATGAAAATCATCCTCTTTGATCAATAAAATTCTAAATGGCTTTTGCCAATTTATCTAATTGTCCAAAAGTGATTTGAAATTCAGCAAATTAAATAAAGAAGCTTGATGCTCTCATCTAGATATGCTGAAATTTCTTTAGTTTTGAAGGCGTGGCTAGCTAATTTTGAAAAATTAATTTTATAAAATTTCTGACCAATAATCCATAAGTCCAAATTTTAATATGGATTTTAAATTAATTGATTTCATAATTCTTAGAGGTTACTATTTTCATATTTAGCATTGGCCATTATCATTTATAATAATATGAGACGATCAAGTATAATATTTTTGCTCTTGGCTAGTGGGGTGCTAGCTTTAGAGACATCAAGTTGCTCAACACTTGTTTGCGGTTCGACAGGAACCTCTTCTTCAGGTGCTTGTGTATCAGTTTCAGGGTCTACTGTCACCCTCAACCCATGCCCAAGCGGCTCAGAATGTCAAGGCTTAAAGCAGTTCTATTCACTTGACGACAAATATGACACATACGAGTCCTCCACATGTGAAACTTCTTCCGCTACTGAGACAGTATCATGCCCAACAGAGCATGATGGATCTCTCAGCACTTATGAATACTGCTGTGCAAACGGAGACTGCTCCAGCAATAGTTGCGATGTCACAAATCATCAATGCCTTGGAATTGCTGAAGGAGAAGCCTGCACATCAAGTGAGGAATGTGAAAAAGACCTTTATTGCAGTGGTGGTACAACTGGAACCTGTACAGCTGTCAAGAAATCAGGAGATTCATGCACCTATAGCTATGAATGCAAGGCTGGATATGGCTGCCTTTTAGGTTTTTGCATTCAGTATTGGTCACTATCCAATGGAGACACTTCCAGCAATGGCTATTACTGCAAATCAGGATATGCAATTAATGGGGTTTGCGACAGTTTGCAAGTTAAAGTTATCAATGATTATGTCACTGAGCCATGGAGTTGCTCAATCGGAAATAACTGTGTTTTCTCTTGGAAGTTAGGTGGATCAACTTATACGAGCGAAAAATGTGTCTGCGATGGTACAGGAAGCTCCTCAACTGGATATTGCCATATTGGAGATGCACCTTACATAAATGGCTTCGATGACAACTTTTATGAAAAATTCCAGTATTCTAGCAGTGATTGTGCAGGAGAATATGCTCATATTACAGATTTGAAAGACGATCTAGAAACCTTGGTTAACTGCAACTCAATTGATAAAGACGGATACTCGTATTATTGGAGTATGTACCAAATCAGAAATGCATGGTCTCTTTATTCATCAGGAAAAATTGATGCATGCGCTAATGAAATGGGTATCTTTAATCCAAACGATGATATGGGTTCATGGGATGGAGCTGAACTACTTGCTTATTCAGCTATCCTTATTCTCTTTAACTAATAGATTAGTTTCTTAATCCACTTTTCAATGATAAATTAATTAATTCAAATTTCTAAGGGATAGCGTAAATATTTTACTTAGGCTTTAGTATTAAGAAAATATCCAGTTTTTAGATTTCAAAGGCCGTTTTCTATTGAAAAATCAAAGAAAAATTGCTGTGGAGGCTTTTTCCTGCATAATTTTTGAAAAACCGTCGGAAAAAACTACCTGTGTTTTTGAAAGTAAAAAAGCAGCAGGACAAAGTAAGTTGAGGGGGAAATTTTATTTTAAAATATTATTATTATTTTTATCATTTAATTTATGATAAATAATTTAATTAATTAAATTTATATTTCAAAGGGTTTTAATCTTAATTAGAGGTGGGTCTAGCAGGGTAAAATTCCGTTCTATCTAGAATAGACACATATCTCCCTTTAATCGTGTAAAATTAATATGTTTAATTGTAAATTACCTATTTTTATTTGAAGATTAATAAATCTATAAACAAATATTAAGTGGGCTTGCTATTTAAGAGCTAATTATTTTTAAAAACGCTATATACTTGATATGAGAAATAAATTATCATATATTATAATAACTTGCTAATAACTGCTAGAATGGTGATTGGGCATAATAATTCAATATATTAAATATAATGTATCTTTAATTATAGATCGGTGGATTCACATAGAGAATTTATTACAACAATTTAGCATATTTAATTTCCATTATTGGGTTATTAATTTTTCCACCTGCATAGCATGTTTATATAATACAGTGCATCATGTTAATTTATCTTAAATTTAAGTAGATATAATTGGAAGGATGATAGTAGTGATAAGCAGTTATCATATTTTGGTAATAATATATATGACGCCTTGGCCAAAGTCTACTGAGATCTCATATGTAATTACACAGATAGGTTTTGCTAGCAGTAATGCTATATAAGCAATTATAGCACTGTGCTGCTCGTGAAGTTTAAAATAGTTAAATACAGAGTGCTGAAGACTCCTTGCAGGAATATTCGGAGTGTATTCAGTATATAATTGATGCTGCGTCCGGGCTAGTTGCTCTGTTTCAGTCGAAAATTCCAGAAAATTTGTTTTCAAAATTTAACTCTAATAAACGCTCTAAATGCAGATAGAGGCCTAACATCTTCAATCAAAATTATGCTATTCTAATACAAGAGAATCGTGCTCTAATAGGATCCTTACTCAAAATTCTTGGTTTTCACTACATATAGAAAATTCCTGGGGATAGCGTATTCCGCGCTATCCCCAGGAATTATCTATATAGTTTATTTGGATTAGAAGAGTAAGGTAATACATACCTACTATTAACAAAATATAAGTATCCTGTAGTAAAAAGAAATTGTTTTCAATTATGAAAATCTCGGAAATTTTAAATAACCATGATTAAATAAATTTTCCTTTGATGATATTTATAAGACAAAAAATACGTAAAGCCCCAATTGTTAATTATAATAAATATGGAAAATAAGCGATGCTTCTATGCAAACTGTGAAATTGAAGTTGAATATGTATGCCGATGCACATCTCCTGAGACTTATTCTTGCAAGGCACACTTTATGACTCATTGTGAACTGAGAAACAGAACTCATACTTTTGAGTCTGTATTTTTGGAGCCTTTTGAAGGAACCAAAGATGCCATTCTTAAGTTCCTTACAGAAGAAAAGGCTATGATTGATGAGCATAAAGGAAAAATTGTGGCCTCTTTCAGCAGTAATATTTACAGTTCAGAAACCAACCTTGAAGATTTCCTAAGAAAGCTAGAGTCTGAGCTCGAGAAAATTAGGTGTTTCTTTGAGAAAATTTCAAAAGCTAAAAGGCTGTCAAAAATGGAGCAAGATCCAATTTTAAACCTATTGTCTTTGTGCCCTGATGAAGCTATTGAGAAGCTTAAAGAAATGATCCCAAAAAGCAAAGACTTTTTCAGCAGCTCGGAATTGTTCTGTGGACTTAGTGATCAAATCGAGAAAATGATTAATTCATTTATTAAAAACAAATTTGAAGCTTATCTCGAAAGCAGAATTTGCAGCATTGAAAAAAGGCTTGATGAGCATATTGACTCAAATAGCAGTCAACTTGCAGAAATAAAGTATAGCATTTCTAATCAATGAAGTGAAGCTGAGGAAGATAGAAAGTCTCAAAATTTTAAATACGAAGTGATAAATTCGCTTATTATTAAACTTGAAGATACAATCCAGCATCTTAATAGCAAGCTCTATAGCATAGAAAAAGCTTTCGATGAAAATAATTATAGCGTCGAAGGGTGTTAGGTGTTAGGGTGTTAGGGTGTTAGGGTGTTAGGGTGTTAGGGTGTTAGGGTGTTAGGGTGTTAGGGTGTTAGGGTGTTAGGGTGTTAGGGTGTTAGGGGTGTTAGGGTGTTAGGGTGTTAGGGTGTTAGGGTGTTAGGGTGTTAGGGTGTTAGGGTGTTAGGGTGTTAGGGTGTTAGGGTGTTAGGGTGTTAGGGTGTTAGGGTGTTAGGGTGTTAGGGTGTTAGGGTGTTAGGGTGTTAGGGTGTTAGGGTGTTAGGGTGTTAGGGTGTTAGGGTGTTAGGTGGGTGTTAGGGTGTTAGGGTGTTAGGGTGTTAGGGTGTTAGGGTGTTAGGGTGTTAGGGTGTTAGGGTGTTAGGGTGTTAGGGTGTTAGGGTGTTAGGGTGTTAGGGTGTTAGGGTGTTAGGGTGTTAGGGTGTTAGGGTGTTAGGGTGTTAGGGTGTTAGGGTGTTAGGGTGTTAGGGTGTTAGGGTGTTAGGGTGTTAGGGTGTTAGGGTGTTAGGGTGTTAGGGTGTTAGGGTGTTAGGGTGTTAGGGTGTTAGGGTGTTAGGGTGTTAGGGTGTTAGGGTGTTAGGGTGTTAGGGTGTTAGGGTGTTAGGGTGTTAGGGTGTTAGGGTGTTAGGGTGTTAGGGTGTTAGGGTGTTAGGGTGTTAGGGTGTTAGGGTGTTAGGGTGTTAGGGTGTTAGGGTGTTAGGGTGTTAGGGTGTTA